TCCTTGCCTTTTTCTTTTCTTTTCTTCTTCTTCTTCTTCTTCTTCTTCTTCTTATTATTATTATTTTGGCTTGACATCACACTAGCTCGTTGATCGACTGGTGATTAGCTGGTAGATGTCACAATCAAGCGGATCCATGCCTTATCACCCTTTGACAAACGCTCGTTCGCCGAAGCAGAGCGCGTAGTGATTCCGATGGTGAACCCCAACCCACCTATTACGGGCAGAGATATCCAACTTCCCCTTTTTTGTTCCTGGTGATTTACCAAATGTTGACGGTATTTTTGGCCAGCCACATATTTAGACAATGAAACTAAACTTGGAACCATCATCGACATCTATAGTTGTTTTTTTGTACAATCAATCAAAGAGCTGCCCCCATGCATGATCCACACAATAAAATCATAATGCTAAAGACGCCCAAAGACGCCTGAGAATGCTGCAGTGTAAAGCGACGTCACAGAATTGAACATAGCTCGTCAACACAAACCATGATACATACTACCAAACAGGCATTGCCCCTGAAGTCTGGATTCCTCCGGGGATAGGCAAGCTAGAGAGCACCTGACATGGGGAACCCCAGTTCCAATCATTGGGTCCGACCGGTAATCTGTCATTGCAACCGCCCGCCTCACACTAGCCCCAGACATAACCTAGCAACGCCGATTGAATCCCCTGTTTAAAGCCGAGATGAGATCCAACAGTCCCTGGTATGAGGGTACGTCACCGTCACAAGCCCCTGCCGAGGGCGCTCCCCAGGCATCATGTGATATGCTCTCGTGACCTTGCCACTGGTCGCGATCCATCCAACAGAGACCTGCAATTTCACTAGTTATAGTAGTCAGTATTGCCAGTACCCAGTACCTTATGTTGCAGTACAGATACCAGGTCTGATCGACGGCGATTCCGAGCCACGTTCCGAAGCGAATCTGGTCCGGTCAGCTGTTGCTCCTGGCCCCATCTCTACCTGATCCACGCCTCGGCCGCGAAATATTGCCGGCATTTTGCCGGCATTTGTGGCGGCTCTGCCTGATATCCCTAATTCACATCGTACTTTTCAATCTACAGGTGACTTATGAGTGAACCTAAAGTAAAAGATCACCTCGGTATTTCAACTATGGTCTATGAAACCTCGGTAAGGAAAGTTCCGGAGAGCCGTGTTAAGCAATGTAAGTTGTGATCTATTTCCCGGAAAGTGTATTTGGATCAATAGTCATTTAGATGTTTCCAAAATGGGGAGGGAACTATATGCGTGGCGTGTTGGTGAGATTATCGAACCCCGGAAATATTGCATACATATGGGACATTATGGGTAGCCTCCCGTTCATTGGTGGAGTCCCCATCAGAATCAACAAATTGAAGACTCCTTTCGATCATAACTCCAATATCCAGGTTGCCACTATTGGTACCACCCGAAATATCGAATTTGGGTCGTGAGACCGAGACTGAGATTTGGGACTGAGACAGAATAATGAAGGACCGAACCTGTTCTGAGGTCATCAATATGGGCTCTAATGAAGGTCTTCTAAATGACCTTCCGAGATGATAGAAACCGTTGTGCAGACTTGTCAAGAGCGGGTCAGCAGCGGTCCTCTAAACCCAAAAATTGGGGCTGCACAAGCGGACCTGGAAAAATGCTTTGCATCCTGTAGGTGTTATTGGGAATGTCATACATCCACAAGGAAGAGTCCTCTTACTAGGAAATCCCTACGATGCTTTTATCAAATCAAAGACCGGGGTCGTTATGGGACTCAATGTATACTCCATAATTGATAACTTGTCTTTGCCTCCCTTCTCCATTAATGTCTATTCCTTTGGTCCGCAATCTTTTGAATTAAGCACAAGGGACAGCTGCCAATATCAAACGACCAACGAGCACCAAAATGTCGGGGCCAAGTGGGGTCCGGTGGATTTTCATTTTGCCCCCCAGGCTGACCGACGGTTTATGTACAGTGTACGGAGTATGCGATCCCCGCGTTTACTCCTCCGACCCCCCACAACCCGGTCCACCCCAGATGATCAGCAAATTGTATAAGGGATAAAAATACAAATCAATAAAAATCAACAGGGAAAGAGAGAGCAGGAACTCAGAGAAAAATAAGCTCGCAGATGATGCCTCGCATCCTCGAAGCAACAATGAAATCGTTGCTTCTCCTTCGACGTGCAATAATCACATGATGGATGAAACGTGCATCTTGTGCAACTGAGCCCCGGCGGCGGCTTCCTAGTGAGGTCGATCGGTCAGTGTCTTCCAATCTCCCGGGTTGGGCGATAATTTCGATTAGTGGGGATAGAACGATGGTCGAATGCCCCCTCCGGAGCACGGAGTAGACAAAGGCGTTATCATCTGCACCTCGTGGACAATCGCTTACCGCTAAAGGACGGGAGCACCGTCTCTTTTTCCTTCTCTTGTTATCTGCAGATATGCACTTCGAGTCCAAATCGAGGGCCTTCCTAATCTTGAATGTAGCATGCTGATCCTTCCCCCCTTCTGAGATTACTTCGCCCTCGATGCCAGCTGGCAGGCTCGTGACTACGACGGGCTGTGACACTAGGACTGCCGTGTTCTCTTAGAGGTTCATGGTCGGCCAGGATGTGGCCTCTCGGAAGACAAGGACACAAAGGGGCGGTAAAGGTCTTTTTTTTGATTCATTTCCCCTTTTACCTTCTGGCTGACCAAAGGTTATCCCACCTGATTGATGCCTGTCGCAACATCTAAAAGAATAGGCTAGACAAAAAACATAAACAAAACAACACATCAAAGGATGATTATAATTATAATAATAATAACAATAATAATAATAATTTACACTGGCATTTGGGGATGAAACTCTCCGCGTGGTTACATGGATTGAAACCGTCCATAGATACATCCATCTAAAGCAGTAGATCGAGAGGAATAAGCGCCGTACACTGCAGCATCATGATCGATATGGATACGCAAATAAGTACTCCTTAGTGCAATGCGTAATTGGCAGAAATATCACATTGGTTCCCCCGGTATGTGGTCTAGCCTTGGGGTTAATCGATCGACCATCCCTTTCTCCCGGATACTCGCTGGGTGCGGATATGTCCCCGTTCAGATGGTATTTTCAGCCCAGGCATGTTTCCCCAGAAAATAACTTAGTTCGAAGTAAGAATAGGAAAATCAAAATATTATACCGAAAGGAGACCACCATAATCTGGGGCTGGATTATTCCGCCCCTCTCCAATTCTAACAAGGGATGTTGGGCGGTTGCCAACCAGACACCCCCCTCCCTCTACAGGATTTTGGTCTGTTGACCACCAACGTGGCTGAAGATCTTGGGAGAAAATCAGTCAGAATCTCGAATGGGGCAAGCGAAAAAGAAAGGAGTGGGAAAAAAGGGTAGATCTCGCCCGCTGCCTATTGTACGTGGTGCAGGTAGTAAAAAAGGAAGCGTCCGTGACAAGAATAGTTTAACCGCGACACCGCGACACCTATCAGTTGGCTAGTCAGCCGGACCTTGATCCTGTTAGGCGGCCAATCGCCGGTGGTGCGACAGTTCATCAGTCAGTAGGCTTGATATCTGTCTTCAGTAGATTGCAGTGGCAAGGACTCGTTCAACTGGTGGCGTGCGAGTGTAGTCCAGGCCTTTTCTAGTGGAGGAAAGTTCACCCCCCTTCCCCCCCCAACACTGCTGTACTGGACCAGCATATTCCCTGCCCAGGTGGTTTCTTTGAGCTATCTATCAGGAAATCATATTATCAGTCTAGCATTACAATAAGCATCATCATAATCCCTGATCGTTTCGCGGACAGGTCACAGGCGCTGAAAGGGATTTCTTTTATTCATTTCTTTTCTTGTTCTTCCCTGTCTGATAGTCTGACCTTGAAAGCTGACAATGTATCATTCTTTCGTATTTCATATCTTCATGGAAGAGGTACTTATTGTGCAGTGTTTATATTGTACCAGAGTGGAAGTTCCGAAAACAGAGCGTATTGTATTTCCCCCACGGCGTTTGGCTGTATGTTACCTGTGACAAGGAATCGGGAATATTTGGAAAGACAGGGTATCGTTGATTGGGTACCTCGCTGTTACCGGGGTATGACCGATAACTGAGTGGGGGGAGGAAGTACTGAGTTTGTACAGGTAAATTGGAGGCCCCGTGATGCAACTGAATTTTCTCCTTCACCGACTCCACTCTTTGCGTCTTGGGCGTTCGGGGATCTGGGACGTAAGATGTGTTTGGTGGTATTCGGTAATATTACACGGATTTCACCCAAAGCGAAAAATTGGAAAACCGAAAATTGCAAAATTGCAAAAATCGAACAAAAAAGTCGGGTTTTATTCATTAAAAAATGAAATATTTAATTCCACTTTGGGATTTTTTGGTCTTTTTTGGTCTTTTTCTTTTCCTTTTTTTCGATTTTTCGATTTTTGCAAATTCTTTTTTATAATTTACAATTTTCCCCCTCTTGCACTCCACTCCACTCAGTGCCGCCCCCGTCATTCTTATTATCGTTCCGACAGCCCTTCTCTCCTCCCTTTCTCTTCTTCACCCACTCCATCAACCTTACCTGTCGACCTCACCATCCTCCTACCGCACGATCTTATTAGGAAACGCGTCAATCTCTCTTTTTTGAACGCGTTCCACGCCGGCTGATTGCCTACCGCCAAGAACTCTCCGCATTCAACGGTGCCGCTGTGACGGATCCGAACTGCACGAACGCTCGACTACCCAGTCCCACATCGAAATCGAAATTTCTCTTGAAAGTCGCCTGTCTACCGTACAGACGATAAAACCAATTCGATTGCAACCCCGGTGCCGATTTTATCACTGATTGACTCGCCGTAGCTCTTTGGCCTCCGACTCGAGTTTTTTAAAGCCAATTTCACGAACACACAAATCTTCTAGAACCCTCACTACCGGTTTCCAACCGCCGTACGACCACTCTCGGGGAAGACGGCGACCCCGGAACACCATTTCTTCTCTGTCTTTGATCACACTTATACCACTCGGAACTGTGGCGACCCTACAATGCCTCTCACAACGTCTGTTTTGACGGTGGACGCGGATAATATTCACAAGGTGGATACCGCAAACGCTCAGAGTCTCCATGGCATGTGGATGGGTGAGTTTACTCTCGATTGGAGGGTTATATGGCCTCATTGAGGTTATAATAGTTGAGCTAACAGTGAATGTCTAGTCTTCTCGAAATGTGCCGATTATATGGACCAAGGCCGACGACTTGAGAATTTGAGTTGGCGCCTGTGGACCCGTGAGACATTTTGTGTCGAGCCGGAACTCTCTAAGGATACCTCTGTCCTGCCCAAGTTGCGTTCCGAAGCTGGTGATCTCCCGGAGCTCTCCGCTAGCGTTGAGTCGGCCGCGTCCGACCAAGCCGAACGCATTGAGGCTCACATCAAGCGTCCTAAGTACTCCGATTATCGTCCTGCTGTGGTCCGCGAAGACTCTTTGGCTAGCTTAGGCCGAGGAAAGGAAAAGCACATCACGTCGTTGGATCTGGAGCGCATGGTCCTCAACATTAAAGAAAAGAAGAACCTCGAGCCGCTACCTACCGTTGAGCCTGCTGCTCCTATCGTCGATATCACCCCCCTTCCATCGGCTCCTACACCTACTCCCCCCTCAGTATCTACTGCTAGACAGGTTCCGGTTTTCCCTCGTCCCGTCTGCAAGCCTCGCCAATCTACTGAATCTTGTTCGACAACTGCACCCGAAGGAAACGAAAGCGATGGAGCTCAACTTAATAATGCATCAGATACTAGCGTCTCTTCGTCTGGCGTTCTACCATCCCGCCCGGAATTGATCAAATCACCTAGCGTTATTCGTGGATTCTCGCCTTCGATGATCTCATCCTCTTACCGGTCGCAACCTAAACTCGCTCTCGAGTCGAGCCCGTCCCGCTCTACCACTCAATTGAAGCCATCGCCACTCAAGAAGAAGGGAGGCATGTTCACTCTAGGTGGATCTTCCGGTGACGATGATGAAAGCTCTTTCGAGGAACGAATGGTCGCCAAACCGACACAAGAAAATGCGACCGGTGGCTTACTACGACCTACGACTAGCACCCCTAGTTCTTCAAAGAAGGTTGCCTCACTTAGCGATGAAGTTGCATTCCGACCGAAGAGTCCCAGTCATTTCGACGAAGATGCCATCGAGACCGACGACGAAGTATCAGAGAGCGCAATTGAGGACGATGAAGATTCGGATTGGGAGGACTCAGTGACCGAAAGTGGCAAGTCTAGCGTGGACGAGCGACCGGAGCTCTTCCAACGAGTTGATTCCAGACCCAACCTGGTTTCAAGGCGATCACTTCTTACTATGATGATGCACCAGCCAAACAACATGAGGCAAGGAAATGCATTCCGATCCAGTCCTGCATTACAACGCTCGCGTTTGACATCACCCAACGGTCCATCCCTCCCCGGTTCACCCCGCCAACCCAACAATGATGATGAGAGTTTGACCATGCGTGGCCCCGATGTTCCCCGATCGAAGCCCATCGTTATGAAGTCCCCTCCGCAATCAGCTGCCCATTCACCTCGCACCACTCGTCGCAACATGCTTGCGACCGAATTGACCGAATCGCTTCGCAGACATCTTCTCTGGGAACGCCAACAGAAGAGCGCAACTGCGAATGCGTTCATGAAGCGACGTCATACCGCCCATGACATGAAGAATCTCCAAGAGTATCCGGGGCCGAAGGGCCCCCACCGTGCTCCGGGTCAAGGTACATCTGCCTCGGGCGAGGGCAACAATTCTCGCGACAAAGACTTCTCTAAGAACGGCTCATGGACCAACTATGCAACCGACTATGGCCCTTGGGAATACCACGCCAAGGGATGGTAATTCATTATTTCTCCATTCAGATCATCGATTCTTCTTTACTTTCGATATCTCTTCGATACTTGACTCGTTCGCACTGAGCGTTTCGTTTTTTCCCTTACCGACACGTACGATCATGATCACGCATTGCATTTCGGCGCATCTATGGATTTGTTTTACTTGATTTGGGTCTCATCGGCTCCGGGGTTTGGGGGTGTTCTTCCATACAAGGTTTCAATGGGCGTGTCCCTTCCTGGATCTTCTTGAACCACATCCACCTTTTCCCTTACGACTTTAATATTCATGTACAGCTCAACTCTCGTCCTTTCTCTGGAATCTCCTTAATGGTGGATAAAATATCCTCACAACCGCTTTATCCTACCAAAAATTCCACGGGTTTATCTAAAACCACGAAGTTCGAAAACAAAAAAAGGGTCTTATCGTCAGCGCTTCTCTCCACTGCATGTCTTGTTTTCTATGGCTGCAGAAAACATACTAGCATTTTCTTCTTCTTCTCTTCTTTACCCAGGGAACGGTTCTTTTCTCATTTTCTCGTCTTTTTCCTTTTCGATACCAGATACCATGCTTCTTCCTGTTTCCCCAAGCTAGGCTACATCAAGCCTAAACCATATGTTCCCTGTACGCTACTCATGAAATTCCTGAGCGCCGCAAAAGAAAACCTAAAAACCTGGAATGAGCGAACGAAACCAGTGAAATGAAACATTTTAATAAACATTCCTCATGCAATTCGTATACAGAAGTATATTCAACTAAACTAATACAAACTACTTAAGAAAAACAAAGCACAAGTCTTGGAAATGGCTGGCGCTATGCAGAGACTGCAAATTGGCGGTCTGGATTCCTGTTTTTTTTTCTGTTTTTTTTCGCTGATCGAGCGCGTTAAGATCCTACTAACTATGTACATCTGCAAAACCATGCACCGAGTCGAGGTCCGCAGAAGGTTTCCGGAGGGAATATCCCTATGATACCGACGCTGTATTATTATCTATGGGCACCGGCGTTTCGAGGCTTGGTGGCGTTGACACGTCAAAGGCAAGGAGAAGGAGGGTGGAGTGGAACTTGGATGTGAAAGGGATTATCAGTAACCACCTAGTCATCATGAACTCATGATTACATGTACAGGCGCGAAGGAATGAAATGAGCACATGGCGCGGCTCCTTACCAGGAGCTTGGGTGAAGGATTCAATATTTAGTTTCAACGGATCCATTAAGGGGGAAGTTTAGAGACTTTTTCCATGTGGCATTTGTGTTGATGTACGGAGTACATGTAAGTACTATCCATGGGGCTGATACATAAACACTATCTAAGCAATATACATACATGCTACCTTCCTTTTCCACTATAGTGTTATCCAGTCATAAGCTAAGATATCGAATTATGCACCATCGTCCTGCCTAAGTGGGTATCGGATTGCGAAATCATATCCCGAGACAAAGGGTAGGAACTGAAGATCCTCCACCCAGCACGTAAATCAGTACGACTTTGTATGGGGAGACGCCAGAGAACCTCGGGGCTACAGTAGGTTAATAGGAAAAAGAAAAGAAAAAGGGGTGTGTCAGGTGGTTCGGAGAAGGATCATCACATCCAAGTATTGTGATATGGGGCCAATATCGGTTTGTTCTTGCCATACGCCGCGGAAGCCGAGCGAGCAGCAGACGGAGGACAAAAGTACGAGGTAGAAAAGTACTTCGGAATAGAGATGAGAGGGGAAACTGAACTTGAAATATCCAGATCATGTTTAGTAAATTTCTTAGCCAGGCTTGCATTTCTAATTTATTTTCAATTTTTGGCTGAGGCTATCATCGCACTGTTCGCGTCCACATGTGAAAGACTGACATGTGCTCTGCATTAGTCTCTAGGTCTAAGCTCTATGCAAAGGCAAGTCAAGGTGTTTATTGCGACACGACTTGACATGATAAGCGATCGTTGGTTGAGGAAGGTAAACATTGTAGAAAGCTGTATACGGTAATCCTCCGAGCTTAGACAGGGTTTCCATGTCTAGGCCTGGGCCTTGAATTGTAGATTGTACGGAGTACGGAGCGATGAGGGGACTTAGGGTTCATGAGATAGTGCTGGGGAGATCGACGATGCTGGGAAAGAGAGACGAAGGCCTAGACTCGGCGGGTATTTTTTTCAAAATGTACATGTTTCAAGATGGTTTGCGCAAAGGAGACCCGGGTTAGCCTCATCATGACACCATGTATGTTTTCATTATGATGAGTGTGAAGGAGTATTAGTACTAAGGGATATTCCGAGGTAGTTTGGTATGGGGTTGGGTTTTTCCGTAAGGCGCTACTATATGCAGAGTTCAAGAGAGGCAGGCCTGGCGAAGCTAGAGAATCAGAGAATCTATTCTGGGTTCAGCCTAGGGAAAGAGGCAAAGTCGATAGGTCCTGGAGTGCACTGGAGTTTCCCGCTCTCCGCTCTCCCGCCAGACATGCTTGATGTCATGTTTGCAGTCATGTGGCCTGGTGGGGGGTCACGGGAGGGTCACGGGATGCTCGTGACTCCGGGGAGATGGCGATTTTCGATCTCGCGTTCTGCTCGCTGATTCGCTGTAGCTTTATCACTCTGCTCAACTCCAGGTTTTTCAGGATTTTTTTGGAATTCCTGTATGAGAAGGCGTTTTTGAGTATATACAAGGATCATATTCTGATACATGATAGATGATATTACTTGAAACTCCAATCTCCAGAGTCATCTCCAAAAATGACGTATCTATAAGTAATGTTCGGTGCTTGCCTTTTTTGGCGCTCCCAATGTGTTGCATCGAGGCCGATGTGGAACCGTCCAAACCACCCCACGCTTTTCTCTCCTAAAACGCCCGACTTTCTCCGCCGGGCTCCTCTTTCCCCAATCCAAGCAAGCTATGACTGGCCATGCAATCAGGAGGTGCCCGACATTCGTGGGTCCAACTGAAAAAAAAGAAAGGATTCATTGGAATCAGCTTCATCTTCAACAGTACAGCTAGTTCGAATTAAGGATCCAGGGCACCTTCAATGACAGGAAACATGGTCTTCACTCACCGAGAGGACAAAGCTCACCCAGTAAATATCAGATTTCAAGATTCCATTGCTCCGGTCATTTTCCCGGAGTGTTTTAAACGGAATTTACTTGTTCAGTATCATCCGTAGGCGTAGACGCCTACAAATCCACTCACCAACACTCTAACCCCCTAAGCAATGGCGCCGGCAGGATTCCAGCCACCTCCAGGCCTTGACAATCACCTCTAAACCGATTCAAGCTAAAATTCTCCCCCAATACCCACAAAAAATTCCCGCAGCGGACGTTTTTGGGCCTCGATCTCAGCTCCTCGGTGAAGAGGCTAGTGGGATTTACGGTGGATCAGACCAGAACTCTGGAACCATGCGTAATTCGCACAACGTCCGCATCTTTTTTTGACTGGCTCGTCTCACCGGTATTGTTATGGTCTTCTATAGTGTGTATTTGGCAGTATTGAACTGACATCTGGAGATCGGCATTGCTACTTTGGGTGTTTTGTGTCCACCACTTCATCAATCGAGTATAACGGTGAGGCTCGTAGAATGCCAGTTTGCTAGAAAAGTGGACTTAGGGCTTAGTTCAATTCGCATTTCTTGTTGGCTGGTCTAGTTTGATGACTTGCGTCACAGGATTCGGCATGCCGATGATGCAGCTGCAGCATGTTGATGCTCCAGGCTGTTCTATGTCGGCCAGTCCGATATGGAATTGAGGCTCTTCAGCGTACATCAACGACCACTTGCGATTATAAAGTTCAGTATACGCATGATGCTCAATATATTCTCAATAGCTAAATATCTGTTGACCTTTTAATAAAAAATATAAGCAAATCGCGTTTACAGATACACTACATCTGATCGCAGATGAATAACATAGCTTCGTCCAACATAGTAACTTATGAAGCTGATCTTGCCACTCTTCACAAACGGATGACAGTCTTCCTTGTGGACCACGCACTACATATTTAGAGATACCAAACAGGTTCACAACTCTCCACGCGCATCTCTACGTGTTCGATCTAGATGTTTCTCGATGCCGCAGTTTCGCCGGTGGCATTCCTTGTTTCCCCCTAAGTTTCTCCGAATCCACTGCGACGGATAGAGTAGATATTTCAGGGGAAACTGACAAAAGGCAACTCGCAATCAAACTTACTCCCATACATTTAGTCTCGGTATCCCGAAAAGTTGGACTCTTCGGGATTCCGGCGGCCCAAGCCCGAAGCTACAAACTACTTACAAGGATTGCACAGATCACGAGGAGTTCAAATTGTAACGAGTCGTACAAAGTATACGATAATCCCCACCCACGCGGACCTCGGGAGAAAACCCGTCAATAAGTGCTACATGATTGGTGCTCTGCTTCGTGGGTCATCAATCACGTGAATAGGACGAAGGAGCTCTGTCCTCCGGCGAATCAATGCCGCATGTAACGATGCAAGCCACACGCATGTCGGGAAACACATCTATAGATAAGATGTAAGATATTGATGTCGCGCTGTTATAGTTGAATATCGACATTTATGTGCCTTCTACCGGGACTATTTGCCGGATTCCGAATTTGGATGTTGTTGAGTCTTTTGCGGCGTGGACAATCCCATGGTTGTTGAGTTACAGCGAGGGCTTTTTCCAGAAAGGTTCTGGAAGGATGATCCGATTGGTGCGTCCCATGGCCTAGATGGAGCTAGGCTGCTTTGGGAACCGGATGTCCTTTTTCGGAATATTACGGTATTGTCGTATCGGGACTTGGCCGTGAATTTGTTTTGGTATTACACGGTGGAGCGCGGTATGGGTGTACGGAGTAAAGACGGATACATACACAGAGCCTTGGAGCTGAGAGCGGTTAATCTCTTTAGATGCTGTTAAATATGCAAATCTGGGTTATTTGACAAAGGCTCAATAATGTACATAATTGTTCTTTTCTTCTATATCATTATTTACGGTCTTGTGGCCGTGAACGGTGGTAAGCCCGCCAGAAACAACTGCCTCGGTATGTATCTCCCCATGTTCATCGCACAAGGTGCTCTCACATGGGGGATCGTACTCTGGGTATCAAGTTCAATCGAACGCTTATTGTCACCGGATGATCTTTTAAATACAATATAGATAAATTGAGCGCTCGGTGGAGATTAGAGGATTGTATTTCTAGGTGTATAGCACCTCGTTAGTAGCTACATCTATGTATAGGTTCACACGAATGAGCTACTACACTGCTGGTAAACATTCGTGGAATAATTACTTCCAAGCAAGCCCTGGAGTACGCTAGTGTTCCAGCAGGGAGAACAAAGGAATGTATCACTCAGCCACAAACCAAGCTCGAGATATTAAACTAATACAAACAATAATCTGCGATCTGAATATCGATTCAAGCCGTGGCGCATTCCTCTCATTCTACGATTAAGCCAAGGTATCAGTTCCGACCGTTGAAATCCTCCAAACCGGCCCCAGAAGTAGGGAACCCCAATGCAACTAGCAGAGTCTATGACAGCCACCAGGACGCTAGACAGGGTATCGACCAGCGCCAGAGAAGGGGGTGTGACCATGTCAAACTTTCAACCTCATTTGATTGAAGCACGAAAATAAATACTCCCTGCAAACTTGTCTCTCCACCCTGGTCGCCGGCTTCATTCTGAACCTTAAGCGCGGCCATGCGGCGGTATAAACTTTGCATATCGGAAAAAGTACCATTTTAGATTTCGGTTTAACTCTCATTCAATTAAGATCACGACAGAACCCCATCATCTGATCTGGTGTGGCAAATTCTGGCCTTTCTTAAGTCCATACATAGATGTCCGGGGTAGTTTCTTCCGAGTAAGAAACAACTACAGTAGTGTATGTAATCTGTTCCTGACATTTATAATTAATTCCCCTACCTTGGCGAATACTGTCCCTGCATGAAAAGTCTGCTTGTTTTTTGAGGCATCCATTTAACGGGGTGGAAAAAGTCTTCAGCTCATCTGATCATGTTGACCCCTTGATGTTACCGACGGGGGACCGATCTATCGGTGTTTAGGTACCTTTGTGAGGTGCATGGTGGGCTAAACGCATAACCCTCCAGGGCTGGTGTGGCGGCATCGCCCTAGAGCTTAGTGTGCAGTCGGCGGGGTTCTGGAAGCCGAACCCCTCACCTTTCTCCGCGTATCGCGCGATCTGACCGCCCGAGTGGGAGGTGGAGGGTTGTTATGCGCGTTTTTCTGATTGCGGTAACCCGTCTGGAGACGGATGTGAGCAATAATGTTGTTAATTGTGGAGATAAAGTGGGAATTGACTCGCCACTTTGAGAATTATGCAGAATGTTTCAGAAAAAAAATAATACATGCAGTATCAAACCATTTGTATTCTGGGATTGGAGATGTTCGTGTAAAAATATCAACATTGAGTTGAACTGGGAAAGTATAACGAGGTATAAGGAGCATCGGGTCTTGATTACATAATTATACATAATTATGTTTTCACTATTGTGTTTGTTGGGTTTGTTGGGTTTGACAATATTGCAATGTAGGAAGATACTAACTTAACTAGATAGAAAGATTAATTTTTGACTGAATCACTGATCAGTACAGTAGTACGAATATTTCTAGAATTATCTAATACAATATTTAGCAGTTTTCATGTTACTGCCCCCCATTTATGAGTCACTTTTTCTCCAGTCTTCATGAGTATTCCATGGGAAATGGTGAGTCAGATTGAATCATGGCGGACACGATGTGCAGTTCCCCACATCAAACTCGACCAGTCTTGGCACTGCCAGCTTCAGTAAATACTATATCTTCAAGAACAGAATCAAGATCAATTCGGACCGGCTTTTTTTAGAGCGCCATCTTTTACCCACCCTGGCCCTTACTTGCAACACATTATAACGCCGCTCACGCACCGCAGATTGCCTGTTGTGCATTGCAGATCTGGTCCTGTCGATCCTGTCCAAGGTCACCCGATCTCTGCGTTGGCATTTCAAACGTCACCTCGCCTTGGTTCATCCAGGACAGCATTCGCCCCCATTACTCTCCGTCCACATAGGCTCAGCTCCAACATGGAGAACCAGTCAACTGACATTGCAGCGGGTCCCGAAGTCCATGCCCATAGTAAGTCCTATCTCATTTTCATTGGCCCTATTACTCATGGTGTCGTTGGTGGCTTGTCTCCCGCCAAAACAAACCAAAGAGATGATCTTCCAGGTCTCGACCTTCCTTTCCTGTGCTTTTGTCTTTCCTGCAAGCGTCCTGTATGTGGCAGGGCAGCGCAGGTCCATGCACGCTGAGCCACCGAGGCCACCCGTGGTCCAGTGGTTGGAAACCTGTTGAGGCCCTTAGCTCTGACCTTATGGCCTGAATTTTCACCGAAGCGGCCTGGACTGCGGGCCGCAACCTTTCTGATCACACGCTCATTGCCTTTCTAAACAGGGACTGACCAACCACCCTTGGCTGGCGATGAGTTGTCAATTGCGACTTCGTCCCATGGTGTTACATTCACGGAAGAGCCGTACAGCGCTCGCCAACCCAAGAAAAGAGGAAATTGTCGTTATTTTACAACTAAGAAAGGTACGTGTTATCAGATCCAACTTATTGGTTTTCTGTGCTTGTTATTGTTTTGTTTTATGGAGTATATCGTTTTGTTGTCGTTTTACCATTACATGAGCCAGATGATAAGCCTCGTCCCTCGTATACATGCAAGTTTACTCAAATGTGGCATCGTGTTAGACGAATTGGGCTTGATTTCAATCTGCCAGTCAATGATCCAGTCATCGGATGCCTCTCGTATTGCCTGAATATCATTTATTGGCAGATCATGATTTCACATGGGCAGCACAACAACGATGAATTATCATTTTCGAGTTTGATACTGACCTTGGTCTAGGCTGCCGTGCCGGTGCTGAATGCCCGTATGTCCACGATAGCTCTATTGGTGGGCAGAGCGTGACTTCAGCAGATCAGCAATCTGGTTCTCATGATGCCACAGATGCTCAACAAAATCTAGAACTCAATAGAACTCCTCAAAATAAGGATGTGGCTGCCAATGAGCAACAGTCTAAACAGCCTACAACGGTCTCACATGCTGCTCAGCCTCATAGGCCAGTTTCTAAAACAGAGCAAAAAGACCCGAGAGAGTTTCAGCTAAACCAATTGCGACGACGTTTTCAAGTACAAGAGAAGACAGACAGCGATGGAACTATTCTAGAATTTGGATTGGCCCCCTCTGACCCTGACTTCCCATTTGAATTGAATGCACTACAATGCGTGCTGCATGTTCCGAAGTCATATCCCGCCTCGGGTCGACCGACGCTTATAGTAACTAATCCAGAAATGGAACCTGCATATCAATCAAATGTCGCGAGAGGATTCGACGACATTGTGGACTTCACATTGCGAACAAATGGCCGCGGCACACTCCTCAATTGGACGAACAGTCTTGACAGGCAGCTGGAAAAATTGCTCACATCCCTCGAAAGAGGTCCCAAGCTCAAGTTTGTTGCTAATGTGGGCACTGGAACAGCCGACAGGGGCTCAGTATCTACCAGCAAGACTGCCACCCAAGCTCCCGTTGAATTACCTGTTTTATCAAAGCCAATACCTAAGGCTGCTGTCAAGCCCAGAGCACCGCCAAAGCCTCATGTTGCAAGAAATGTATATACGGCCGATCAAAAGGCCCAGGCTGAGAAAAGGAGATCCCTGGAGGCGAAGCAGATTGAAGCTCGACTTGGCAGACTTCCACTTTTCCAGAAACAATCAGAGACTTCCTTTGTCATTCCGATTCAGCCAAACAAGAGGGATCGTCTTCCTGGCCAGCTCCAGGCTGTGAAGGTAGTGAGACTTCTGGTTCCTGCATTGTATCCACTTGAACATTCCATCATCGAAATCCAAAATATCGACTCTCCAGAAGCCAGATCCGTAGAGATTGGCTTTGCACAGTGGATAGACAAGAATTCCCAGTTGAATCTGGTCTCCCAGATCAATTACTTGGCCAGCAATATGCACAATTTTGCCAAGACACCATTGCCTGAAGTTGCTGATCATTCGCAACATGAACATCTTCATACGGAAACGGTTGAGACTCTATCTCCCAAATCAGAAAAGCCCAATGATGCTGTCTCCGCTGAGGATCCAGATCGACCACACCTGCACGTCATCCCACGTCCACCTGAGTGGTCAGTGACTGAAAACAATGACGATAGCGAGATGAGTGACGAGTCGAGCTTTGAAGAAACTTCCGAAGAGGAGGAGGGCGACGACAACAGTGAAGGTGGCGCAACAGTCCCTATAGCAACCGACACACCAGGGCAAGGTGTTGCATTATCATTCCCTTTCCTAGAGCTCTACGGAATAGAGCTATTGGAGACTATGTATCTTGCGATCACGATCAAGTGTGAGAGGTGCAAGGAAACAATGGATATCAAGAACGTCCCGAATATCACGGATCCGAAGAGCACACCAAAAGTGGAGTCTTGCAACAAATGTGCCAATTCTATGACTATTGGTAAGATTATTATCATATTTCATCATTTCCCGACTATCTGAACTAATATATTCTGCTGAAGGCTTCCGCAAGCAACTGATGCACTCTCACGCTAATCGTGCTGGTTATCTGGATATGGACGGTTGCACTGTTGTGGATCTTCTTACAAGGTACGTATCATCTCTAATAACTACCTTTGCAATATTATAGAAGTTCTTACTGATGTAAATTGAAGTACCTTCATTCCAACCTGCTCCGAGTGCTCAACTCCATACCATGCACCCGGTGTGTCGGCAGTCCGTGGAGAAAGTGCCATGGCAATGTGCCGTCATTGCCATCGCAAAATGGGTATACATATCCTTCAAGCCTAGTGCAAATCCGGGATTAGATACTAACTTAGCCTTAGTTTTCAAACTCCCCGAAGTGAAGTTTTTGCTTGTGGGAAGCGCCGCCAGTAAGTTCCAACTTATTGATTTTTTCATATGATTCAAATTATTCACATTTATCGTAGTTTCATCTCGATCCGGCCTCTCATTGAAGAAGAAAGTAAGAGCACACCCTTGGTTCTTTTCGAAAACATGCTAATCATTCCACAGCCTAAAGAGGTTCTGGGAATTGTTGCTGGACAAGAGCTTCCTCGACGTGGCCGCTGCCAACATTACAGCAAGAGTTATCGTTGGTTCAGGTGCGCTATTGATTGTTTAGATACACTATTCCATATTTCTAACCCCTAGCAGATTCAGTTGCTGTGCTAAGGTGTTCCCCTGCGATAAGTAAGTGTCAACGCCTATTATCTTTGTGTTGAACGTATGCTGACGAATCTAGATGCCACGACGCAGAAACCGATCATCCAAACGAACACGCAAATCGTATGATATGGTATGTATACCTGAAGTCTCAAATATGCAGCTTGGTATTAACTTCTGGCAGCGGATTCTGCTCTCGTGAACAAATTTACAGACCCGAGAACTGCGGTATCTGCAAAGCAGTGCTTATTGGCAAGGCCGGTAGCGGCTTCTGGGAAGGAGGCAAAGGAACGAGGAATCGAGCTCTCATGAGCCGGAAAGGTATGGACCTACATTTCTATAATGACGGTTTGTACAATGCTAATAAAGGAAGTAGATCCTCGAAAATATAAGCGGAGGGGAGCGACTGTCCCTGGTGGTTCGTCTAAAAAGAAGTAGGGGCCATCTATATAGATATGAAGAAACAAAAAAAATGAAATAGGCTGTTTTCAGCTCTGAAACCCGAAGAATTGTTCTCATGTAGTTCAAGTGGAAAGCTAGTTCACAGAAGATCCAGAGGTTCTATTAGCAAGAAGCATACTGATTCTCGGTGATAAATGACCCCCAACCCCTTCCAAGTTTTTCATGGACGCACCTACTACGAGATAATCATTTGCCAGGTTCGCCACTTATGCAACTTTGGAAGTATAACGTGCAATCCTTTACGACCACATGCTTAGGAGGCCCCGCCCCCAAGTAATTGGATTCTATTGATATGACCTCGACAAAATCTATCTGGTGTTAGCTGATAGTTGTGCCAGTGTGGGACCGAATGGAATTTTGCTCTTGCCAGACAGACAGGAACGTTTTGTATGTTGCTGATATCATCCGAAAGAAATAAGATAGTTGATTTGAGTCGTTAGTTGTGTATACGATCTTACATTGTGATTATTCTATTCTTTCCTTTTATCTTTTGCTAAATGTGGATTGCGACGAGAAGTTGCATACTGTTCTCCCATTGCCACAGAATGGCAGTTCTCTCTATTTATCGGGAGTCTCTTATGAAGAGCAATTGTGCAGCAGATTAAATAAAATCAGGTCATACTGGTTGTTTACTTAAGAAAGGAGAAGATAATAACTGAGGTGCATATGTGTCAGTGTTCCCCAAGATGTGTAGGATATCGGTTTATCTTGTAAAAAACTTTGTTATTCTGAGAGAAAATTTCCGTATACCTGCATGTGCAGGGATTAGTGAAAGCAAAGAACTTCAACTACTAAAAATCAAGAATAGGTAATGCGCCTGAGCGCATCGCAGGTACATTATCTAGCCACATCTTCGATCAAAGTAGGGTAAGCCAACCGGGAAAGACGGCAGAAACAACATGAAAAGCCTCTCGAATAATGTATGCAGGGGTAAAAATATCTTCTAGCCCGACAAGTTCATGCAGGAGAAATTCCCGCATTTTTCTCTTTATCTCGGGGCGATGTAAAGTTTGTAAACTATGGTTTCTTCCTGAAGCACCCGAGCCTATGAACGTTGCAGCCCCAGGTATAGGATTCGGTGGCGACCGGGTTCAACTGCCAAGTCACGTTTTCCCCGGCAAAAATCAGAAAAGTCATCGACCCGCAAACCCCATATATCTTTCTCTCCTTGCCCACCTCGACATTCTGACCAAGGTTTGGCTCTGCCAATTTTACACTGTCAATATTTATCTCCATAAATCTCTCGCGATCGATCTTATTTACCAAGATCTCCTGAACCATCGCGTTTCTCTCCGACTTCCTCGCGACTCCGTCACCCTTCCTGACACGACTTTCTCTTTTCCTCAATCATAATGGATCACACTCGGGACCCCTGCCCCTATGTCGCTCTGAGTGACTTTGGTGGTGCTTTCTGCATGGGTGTATGTCTTCATCTGTAGCTGGTACATTCTCGTGAAACATTGAAGAGCTGACCGGATGTTTTTTCTATCTCTAGGCTATCGGTGGTGCTGTCTGGCACGGTGTCAAGGGTTTCCGCAACAGCCCCTACGGCGAGCGCCGCATTGGTGCTCTCACAGCTATCAAGGCTCGAGCTCCTGTACTTGGTGGTAACTTCGGTGTCTGGGGTGGTCTGTTCAGTACCTTCGACTGTGCTATCAAGGGTATTCGCAAGAAGGTTCGCATCCATCGATTATCTGCCATCCTACAACAAATACTTACTTCCGGAAACAGGAAGATGCCTGGAACGCCATTTCCGCCGGTTTCTTGACCGGTGGTTCTCTCGCCGTTCGTGGTGGTGTCAAGGCCGCCCGTAACTCCGCCATCATGTGCGCCGTTTTCCTCGCAGTCATCGAGGGTGTCGGTATTGGTTTCCAACGAATGATGGCCGACAACACCAAGCTCGAGGTATGTGGCGATTTCCCCAATTCTTTCATGCTCTTATCTCATCTGAGCTATTTTTCTAACTGGAATGTTTCGTTCTAGCTTCCTCCCCCTCCTCCATCCGAGCAGAAGGCTTTTGCTTAAATACCCCTTTCTCATCTGTCATCAACAATTGCGATCGACCCATAATTTTCGACGGCACAAAAGTCGCGAATTTCTTCGATCGCTGTCTTTATAACATTCCCATATTGGGTCTCTCTTCTCAGGTGTTTTGGCTTGGGTTCATTTTTAAACGACATAGCATAGAGGTCACTGGTTTCGTTCTGCTTTGAGCTTTCTTATATGCCGCCGGCGGCCTGTGTTTCGGAGCATTGTGATTTGGTGGATGACGGGGTTATTCTTATGGGCCATTTCAAAGGCTGGCGTACGTGATCTTTTCATTGCCAGATGGCCTGCCAAACGAATTTCTCGACTCATCCTGCAAACAAAAAAGCATTTGAAGATGGGACCGTGTTGGATACTTGTACATTAACGCATTGCTAACACGCATAATACGCAATTTTTTTTACACAAACACTGATTTGGATTATTCTCCTGACCAAAATTACCTTTCTGTTGACAATTTTATATCTTACAAGCACGTTAACGACGCTAGCGGAGTTGCGCAATGCCGATACTACACCGACTTCTTTCCCCGCACGAACACTTCAACTTTCACCTACTCCCCCATTAACTACAGAAATGTCAGAACCCACAGCCTCTTTCAAGCCTGCACTGATCCTCCACGGAGGTGCAGGGAATCTTAAACGCGCCACCCTCCCGCCGGATCTATACGCCGCCCATCACGCCTCACTTCAATCCTACCTCCGCTCAACACACAACCTCCTCAAAACTGGTGCCACAGCGCTCGACGCCGCCGTCCACGCCGTCTCCCTCATGGAGGATGACGAGCTCTTCAACTGTGGCCGCGGTAGCGTCTTTACCACAGAGGGAACGATTGAAATGGAAGCGTCAGTGATGGTCACCTCGGTCCAAGACACAACCACCAACCTAGAAGGCACCATCAAACGTGGAGCAGGTGTAATGGGACTTAAGAATATTCGGCACCCTATCCGACTTGCACGCGAGTCTCTTTTGCGTACGGGCGTGACGGTGGATGGTGCACCAAAACATGATGGCGGGAATCTACACTCGCAATTACATGGCTCCCATGTCGAGACGCTTGCGCGGGAATGGGGACTAGAGTTCAAGCCCGATGAATGGTTTTGGACGAAGCGTCGATGGGATGAGCATCAGCGCGGATTGAAGGGTGAGGCGGAACCTCTATCATTGAGCCAGGGAACTGTTGGGTGTGTATGTTTGGATCAGTGGGGCAATCTAGCTGTTGCCACTAGTACGGGTGGACTGACGAATAAACTTCCTGGTCGAATTGGGGATACTCCTTCTCTTGGTGCGGGCTTCTGGGCTGAATCGTGGGAAGAGCTTGTGCCGAACATTGCTCCAAGTCCTGATTCTTCATCTGCACGTGGCTTCATCCAGGAAGCTAGGGAGTTGTTGGCGGACTGCTTACTTCCTTTTATGAGAGAAACTCATACCTCAGCACAGTATACGCCTCTTCCAGGTAGCTTGGAAACAAGGCAGTTCTGGTCTGGATCAGAGAAGCAGGCTTTGGGTTACCAAGCCTCCTCCCCAACACAGAAGGCTTATAAGAGACGTGCAATTGCGATCTCAGGCACTGGGAACGGTGACTCGTTCCTTCGAGTGGCTGCTGCACGTACTGCAGCTGCGATGCTACGTTTCTCTCCACCTAGCCTTGGTTTAGCCGACGCCGTTACAGCGGTGGCTGGTCCTGGTGGTGAACTCCAACGATCTGCCGGCCAACGCTGGAATATCACAGGAGAAGGTGGAGGTGGCATTATTGGGATCGAGGCTGATTCGGGACTTGCTGGCAGTGGAGAACTGCCCCGAGGAAAAGTTGTTTTCGACTTCAATTCCGGCGGGATGTGGCGTGCGTGGGTCGAGGAAGACAGCTCTGGAAAGGAGCATGAGAGGATTATGGTCTTCCGCGAAGAGTATCGATAGACGCGAATTCTCGGTGGGGTGTACTAGTATGTAGATCCCATAAAAATGGGCGGCTGGGAAGGGAACTCCGCTGCGCGTGCACCTTGCAGATAGATTTGCCAATGCCAACCTGATTTCTACCTACCCCAGTCTCATTGATTAGTCTTTACTTGGTTCTACTCTCGAATGACGTACAATGACATTTGTTGAATTCTTCCCATCCTTTAGGTTGGGTTCAGCCTGGCATCACACCTGCAGGCCTACTATGTATACGCACGAGCTTTCAGCCACCCTTATGCTCCATATCTGCAAGTCAAAATTTGATAATTGCGTACTCTTTATTTGGCCTATGCGAGGTACCCACACTCTGATGGCTGGAATAAACACTGTCTGTTACTTGGTTAATTCAGAGCAAGAATCAATAGCTTGTCTGTCTCCTTGCATATACTAGTAGATATTGTTTTTGTGTTACCGACGATCATTCCTCTGCAAGCCACATCCATACAAGAGCTTTTCACAACATAAATTGACCCTCGAGTCTAATTTATTCGCGTTTGTTCTTTTCAATGTAACACTCATATTGACGAAACTCATAATTACCTCTATTTATCATGTTGTCCTACAAGATTCTCGTTCTCGCTCTACTATCCTATGGCGCCAAGAACGTAGTAGCAGCCAAGGTATTCCAAGTTACTATCATCACGTCCTTCACGCCTAGAATACTAATCGGTCTTCTCTTACAGCCCCCAGCCACCCTCTTCACAGAGGAGACATGCCTAGGCGATTCTTTCGAGGTCGCGGCAGATGGCAAATGTGTTCTTCTACCCGAGAATTTGTAAGAGCTGCAATGTGTGAATGCAGAGACAAAAGCTAATCGACGCAGGCAAAAGGATATCAGCGCTGCAGAGGTTCCAGAGGATGTGGTTTGTGACTTTTACACGTATGATGAGCTTATGGAAATTCCTGTGTCGGTATGTTATACTGACATTTATGTAGTGATGAAAAGTGTAATGAGCCACTTTGGATTGGAATGGAGGGTGAGGATAAATGCATGAGCTTCAGTCCATTGGAGATTTCGAACAAGACCGTCAGCGTTCACTGCTATGATGCTGATTCGATTTACGATTAGAAATGAGGATAAATTATGGAAAGAGTATAGATGAAAGTAGAAACCAGATCTATATTCTTATTGAATCTAATGAAAGAACTTGCAAAAGATTACTCCCAAGGTTGCAGATGGTGTTGAAGTCTCAATAATTTCTAGGTATAAGGTAAAAGTATTTAAGTATCTAGTTCATTGCTAGGTATGCAATGCAAATTTTCAACCTTGGAAGAAAGCTAGACAGCACTGAGGGCAACTGATTTGTATGTCATTATAATTTTTACTCTTCAATTTGCATCGTCCACTATATCGCGCTATGGACTTTTTAAATCTCAAAACTTTTGTAAGACACAAAGACAATCAACCTTATATACAATGATAGTGCTATGTTATGGCAGGGTAGCCGGGTATATTCCACATGAGTTCGAAACTTATTTCGATCTTCCACCAAGGCTACCCATGGCCTTCAACCTCTCGCTATCAATTTGAGGAAGGGCCTTGGCACCTGCAGTAGATGGGCTAGGTAGGAAGCCAGTGGCAGACAGGAAGGCGAGGTAACGGCCAATTATGTCTGTGGTGACGGCGCGATCGCTCAGTAATTCAGGAGAGACACCAAAGGAACGCAGCGCAGTAGTGGCATTGACATCGTCAAGGTCTCGCGCGACAGAGTTTGATGGCAGATCTCCAACGACAAAGTGGAACAAGGGAAGAAGTGCAAGCTCCTTAGAGCCAGTGTTGCCCTCATCAGCCACATAGTTATGCAACAAGTTGCACCATTCGCGATAGGGGACTTGAGGTACATTGTAGCCATAGGTCTCCAATGAACCGAGCCACTCGTTGGTAGTCAATGGGGGGTGGCTGATAACCTGCACTACTCCCAAAGGCTCAACTGGTGGGTGCAGCACTGAGGCGACAACGATTCGGCTGACGTGGGTAACTGGGACCTGGTTGATGTTATTTCCAGGGATGTCTGGGCGTGCGTTGACCTGGATACAGCCCTTCCACAGACGCAAGAGGAAGTCGTCAGTAACGGAAAAGCCGGACTCTGGGTCACCCATAATATAACCTGGGCGAATGACAACACCGGCCAGACCACGGCGGCCAGCTTCGCGAACAATATACTCGCTAGCCCACTTCGACTGTCCATAGCCGGTGCCCAGGCCCTTGGCACTGCCCTCTAGGTCGTCGGATTCGAGGACCTTGGATCCACTCTGGTTGATCTCGAAGTAGTGATCGGTATCCAAAGTTGAGGTGGAACTGATGAATGCGAGGCGCTTGGCCTTTCCGAAAGTACAAAGAGTCACACACTCCATTGTACTCAATACGTTAGCCTGACGCAAGCTGGAGTACGGAAGCATCCAGTTGACCTGGGCTCCATTGTGAATGACCAAATCAGCTTCTTGGGTAATGCGATCCCAGTCCTGAGTAGACATGCCAAGCTGAGGCTTGGCGATGTCACCAGGAACAACCTCGACACGGCCGGCCCATTCCTGGCGCCAAAGTCCATATGCCTCAGCAATGCCTCGAAGACGCTGAAGACCAGAAGCGGAATCCTTGCATCTCACATGCGTGATAACACGCATGTTCTTATTGGATTCCAAAAGGCCATTGAGGATGTAAGAACCGAGGAAACCAGTTGCACCAGTAAGGAAGGCTGTGGTGGCCTCGGAAGTGGTTGACTTTGGAATAGTAGACGGGAGATGAGCGGCCAGCTCTCGAGCATCCGCTGAGTATGCCTGATCCACAATCGCGGAGCTAGCGTGGACATTCTGATCCAGTCGGAGACCAGTAGGATCCTGAGCATGTTCGATTTCCGCAGAGAATGTTTCCAAAGTCTGCGACTGAAAGATAGCACCCATGGGGATGTCAATATCCTTCCATTCTCTTCTAACCTTGAAAAGCATCTGTTGGGCAAGAATGGAGTGTCCACCTTCTTCAAAGAAGTTGGACTTAGGTGCAAGCATCCTAGCAGTGATATTTGGCAGGACCGATGCCCAGATATCAGCAATCTTCTGCTGGGTCTCGGTCAAGGAGACTTGAAGGGAAGAGCTTCTTGATGCCCGTCGGTTGACAAGAGCCAGATCACTGGTGCTCGGGAAGGGAAGAGCAGGCTTGTCAATCTTGCCGTTGGGGTTCAAGGGCATGCGAGCAAGTGGAATGAACATGGTTGGTACGGCGTAAGAAGCAACCTTGGTCTTCAAAAAGTTCTTGCAATCTTCAGACAAGGAACGGAACTTCTTCAGCATAGCAACCAGCGATTCATCCTCATTGGTTGGATCGGCGGGAAGGTTGCCATCTTGAGCCAGCTGCTCGAACCATCGCTTCGTCTCTGGAACGATGTAGCTCACCAGAGTGGGCTCCTCATCCTTATCTCTCCGCACGAGCGTAACGTTTTCACGAATGAAGGGGTGATGAGACAAGTGAGTGTCAATTTCACCAAGTTCAATTCTGAAGCCACGGATCTTGACTTGGTTATCAACTCGTCCAGTGCACTCCACAGCGCCGTCGGGACGGAATCGACCAAGATCACCGGTTCGATAAATGCGGTCACGGGGACCCTTATATAGCTTCATCCAAGGCTCAGGGGCCTGAGAAGCGACTTGTTCGTATTCCTTGGTCCAAACACTGGGGTCAACAAACCAGTTGGTCAAGAATTTGGATTCGTTCAGTTCACGGGTGCGTTCATCGTCTCCAAGGTAACCCTCCGCAAGACCACCGGCACGGAGGAACAGTTCACCTTGTTCTCCGACGTCGCAGATACGAGAACGATTCTCGCGGTCAACAACCAAAAGCTGCACGTCAAGCATCCCTTGACCAACAGGAATGATATCTGGAAGATCATCAAGGTATGAAGGCTCCTGGGCCTTGCTTGGGATTTCAAAGAAGGACACAGCTCTTGAGGTCTCAGTTGTACCGTACATATTCACGATAGCAGCATTCGGGGCAAGTTCTTGGAGTCTACGAGAGTCCTTCTTGGTCAAGAGATCTCCGACAAAGAACACGTGGTGGAGCGCAGGGAACTGGGCACTGGCACCACCAACTAAGATTTGACCCATGGCAGGTGTAAGATGGGAGACAGTAGCCTTATGTTCCTTCATCCACTCAGCAAGGAGCTCATGTCCAATGCTGTCACGATGGGGCACAAGAATCTGTGCGCCGAGGAAGAGCGGTGTAAAGATATCACGTTGAATAGGGTCATGGGCGATACCAGATAACATGGTAAATTTGTCATCCTTGGAAAGACCAAATCGTTCTTGCATCCAGGGTGTAAAGTAAGTCAAGGAGAAGTGTCGACCTTGAACACCCTTGGGCTTACCCTCCGAGCCACTGGTGAAACTGAGAGTGGGTACCGAGTCAGGGCCAATTTCAACATCTGGCATCTGTTCTTTGAGAGACTCATAAGCCTGGAGACAGTCTGGCTCTCCGCTAGCACTAGAACCGCCAATAAGCTTTCCATCGTCTAGGAGCTTCAGCGCCGGGACATGAGCTTTGATTTGTAAATTTTCCGCAACAAATTGGGACACTGATTCACCGATAGGACCGGCCTCTTCAGCTGCTCGCTGGATATGAACGAGGAATCGAGGGTTGGCGACTTCTAACAACGTCTTCTGACGATCCTGGGGATAAAGTGGATCTAATACGCTGACCGTTGCGCCGGCCTTCAGAGCTCCCATATATGCGACCACCAGGTCCACGCTGAATATTCGTTAGTATAGATCTTCCAAGACCAAGTTCAATTCCATGATGCGATTAACGAACCCCCGGTGAGCATAAACCATGACGACATCTCCGCGTTCGCATCCATTCGATACAAAGAAGTGGGCTAGCTGATTGGAGGTCTCGTTGATTTGTTTATAGGTGAATTGACGCTCGGGGCTTTGTTGACCCTTAGTTTCAACAACGCAGAGCCTCTCTGGGTGGGCAACCGCGTTGCGAGCAAAGATTTGGTGGATTGCTAATGGCGGAGGGGTAATCTGTTAGCTCTCCGAGATTCTAGACCATTAGAGCTCATACTAGAACTTACGTCCTTTGAAACCATTCCAATTCAGATCCCTTGTCGGGTCCGGTAATGGACTAGATGAATTCCCTGCCATTGTGTCTTTTTCTCCTCGAAGCATTGGATGAGGCTTGATTGCATGAAGTCAATGAAGCAGAACGAGTCACAGCCGATGCCGGCAGTACCAATGTACCCTAAGCCCTAGCAGGTTTAGTGAGGGGGGTGAGTCATGCCTGTGGGGTGAGTCATGATTATGTCAGCATATGGACCAGTTGGCGGAAACTGGAGAAGTATAAACATCCCGAGCTAACTGGGAATATCAGTCGACTGGTCTTGTTCATAGACTTGATTATGATTTAAAATCTCGTACAGACGAAAATGAATGGTTTTCCATTTACCGAGAGATTGCCGTGTGATAGAGGATTGTAGCGTATAACATGCCACTACAAGTTGCATATCTTTATCTCAAAATCAATGAACCCTGTAACATTTTGAACGTTTAATTCAAGTTCTTTAGGACAGACAACGAAGAAGTACTTTCTTGATATAATTAAGACCATGTGGAACACATAAAGCACCAATCAGAAAAAAGCTAAGAATGACGTTTGCTAGAGCGACGAGTAATACATCCATTTTACATGTGCAAAGACTTCATCTATATAACAAAATCAAGGCTCACCATACTTAAAGCAGAAATTCGCCCTTAGTCTTGGCCACCTGCTCGTCATAATAGGGCTGAAAAGCCAACCAGCCTTTCTCAGGACCGCCAACCTGCATAGCTGCGTAGGCTGCTTCATCGTCGTCGATGATCTTCTTCTCATAGCCCGCCGCAGAAGCGGCGTCTGCTAAGAGCTGAGCTTGACATGTTTTATCAAGACTTATAAACCAAAATGCTGCTTCGTCCACACTACCACCAACTGTCAGGAGGCCATGATTCTGAAGTATGGCAGCCTTGCCTTGTCCCAGGGCATTAACTATTCGCTGTCCCTCTTCTTTATCCAAAACAATGCCCTTGAAATCACGATAGACACCGTGGCTCTTATAGAATCGCAGCGCATCTTGCGTAATCATTTCGAGTTCTCGTCCAAAACAAGAGAATGCTTTGCCGGCAACACTGTGTGCATGGCAAGCGGCATGGACGTCCGGTCGGGCTTTGTGGATCTCAGAATGGATGGCAAATGCCGGTGCGTTGATGGGTTCGTCACCAACAACGACTAGCCCATCTTCATCGACTAGAATGAGATCGGATACCTTGATTAAGGCGAAATGGGCCGAAAGAGGGTTGATCCCTAAAAGAGTTAGTACCGCAGATTTGGTAACCGATGAACGATTGGATAGCCTCGATGTAGGCGAGTGGTTGTGGAGCAAGGGGATGAAAGAGATCCAAGATAATGAACGTCGAAATGGGAAAAACTTACAGAAATGGTCGGTGAGTATCGGGTCGCGCACTGAAATGTGACCAGCAACGCCTTCATCGAAGCCTCGGTCCGCAAAGATGCGGAAAGCTGCTGCTAAATGCTGCTTGCGGTACAGGCGCTCATGCTCCAGATTGTCAAACTTAGGATAACTGCGAATTTTCAAATCTCGGCCATCTTTCGTTTTACCGAGCACCTGAACTTGAGAAGGAGCTTCGAGCTTTGAACTATTGCCCACTGACGGGATAATCTTTGGCTCGGCGCTGGGGGTGAGCGAGACGTTTTCGACAACGGAGGGTGGTGCCATAATGATGAATTTGATGAGTGTGTGCTTTGTATAATGGTAGAATAGATGTTTGTTACATTAATAATCTCTATTCATATAACCGGCGCATGGTGCTCAACCATAATGCGGGGTTAAAGGGCTAGTCCAATAAGATTTGACGGATCTATAAGACTATCACGACTAGAAGTGGAGAACCACATTTCTGCGCACCTGTCGACAATCACGGGATCGGAATTTACATTATTGCATACATTTTATGCATTTTCCACTATTCTGTGGACTTGGCGAAAAGGCGAGACTCCAATAAATCTCCGCGAATGGACTCTTTGTCTTCGATATCGTGATGAAGACGACTACATGTACATTCAAATCTAGTATGATGTGAAAGTACATTAACTTGAGTCTTGAAAATATAGAAATAAGGACAAAGGACATCTCAACGTGTAGAATATTTCTACAAAAAAGATGTCAAATATCAACAACTCAGATGGAGGCAAATATACTTTAAATACTAGTAATAGTATATTAAGCTTATAGTAAGCAAGCCTCAGAAGGACCGACCCCATTTCATCGGCATTACAACAAAGTACTAACATCTAAAGACCTAACGACGTCGGTTTGGAAACGCTTTGTAATAAACATGTTGGCCTTTCTGTCGAAAACCTTCATGTCCTAGTGCCATAGCTTCGTCAAAACTTCTCATCGTCAGGACATCAACTCGAATATCGTACTTTTCAAGTCGTCTTGCCATAGGCTTCGCAATTGCCAAAAAGCGCTTTTTCGTCTCCGCGATATGATCATTCTTCAACGCAAGTAGCTGCGTCAATCCTAGTTGTGCCTTACCCAAAATTGAATAAAGCTGCAGCAGGTGCGGGATCTCACTCTCATATGCATTCAATACTTCAATGATTGACTGCAAAGTGGGGATAGACATATTGTCAAACAGACGCAATGCAGCCATGCCATTCCGAGGACTAATCCATAAGAACCAGCGTCGAAGAGCATCAAGCCCGGCAGTAGACAGTTTACCAGGAAAACCTGCCCCAAGGTAAAGTGCTTCAAGTCGATCGTAATGATGCCGTCTTTCGTAGATACCATCGCCATCATCAACCTCGTAGAGACCTAGCCAGACTCGTCTCCAGAGCTGAACAACCTCATTTTGAATCTCAATGCGGAATGACTCTTCGGCTGATTTTTCATCTTCAGAATTGCAAGTGTATTGAGGGGGGCAGTCATCATAGTTGGTGGTGGTGGTAGAGTGATCCTTGGGTCCAACAACTCTAAAGGTGTAGCATGTTTTCTTGGCCGTTTGTTTTTTGATGGATACCGGTGGAGTGAAATGGAAAAACTCCAAGATCTTTCGAAACATTCGCCGACCTCTTCCAGGCTTCATTGTAGTCGCTCAAGTATTAAATAGACGTATAATGAGAATAGTAGTTCGTTTTAGCTGTGGATTAAGCGTCTTGGGCATCTGTGTTGGCAGTTCTTGCTTTTAATACAAGACTCGAAAATATGTTGTAACAATGGCGTCGGTCCATGGAAATAAGACTCCGGTATGAAGCATCATCACTACATGTGTCTAAGAGACGGATGCTGCCGGCATCTATTCTACTGCAGCGTCCATCATTGTCTATCTTTCTTGCTGTCCACCATCGTTATGTTTAAGTGGATTAGAGCAATAATAATATTTGAAGTTCATGATCAAGGTTTGACAAATGTCTCCATATAATGGAAATTTTGAATTGAAATTTCTTAAATATACAATTCAAAGATTTTCAAATCCGACGTGGCCCTTAGGGTTCATCGGTTGCTCTTTTAAGACAACTGGTACCTACAGTAAAAGAAACTAAACGCCAAAAATATTGTTTCTATTTTGAAGCTTAATAAAAATGATTGTTTACATCTACATCATCAAATCACTTTCGGTGATGTCCGGGTGACGGCAGTCTGACGGCGAACCACTAGTTCACGGCATGCCCGGGGCCCTCTGGCTCCTTACATGTCATGGGAAGAAGATGTCGATACTTCATAAATCCCTATTGAGAAAACATATTCACTCATTGACATAAAATTAGGCCACATTCTCCAGTCTTGAAATATTTGGTTTGAAAAATGGAGGTCACCTGAGGTATACCCGATGCTGCTGCCACTCTATGAAACTCCAGAGATTTAGAAAAGCTCCAAGTCTCAATAAGCGAATAATTTTCATGATTAAATCTCTCATTCCACAGTGACTATCTCATGTAAGCCAACTAAAGGTGTGGAACTGTACTTCTAAAGCCAAGCGTCAGAGAACATTGGCAACAGAGCTAGAAGGTTTGAAAATTCGAGACGCCATGCTGTTCGGCTCAGACAGCAAAGCAAAAGCATTATGTACTTCATAACCACCTAGGTACTATTTAGTAAATCTGAGAATTGGCATCGATCTGTAATTTCCGTGCTCAACCATACAAGGAACTTTAAGCCAATATGTACGTACCTAGGGCTATTGATGACTTCATCGTATTGCGTATGTCATACCTGCCCTTGGCATTGCGATCAGTTACTCACGGCGTTGTACGGACTGAGTCAGAATCTGCAACTCACCTAATCCGACATAATTATCTTCTCTGCCAGTCCAAGGAGACTTCAAGCTGAATCGCTGCTCTCTTGACAATTTCGAGCACCTGCGACTGTTATGCTAGTCCTGGCGATCAACCACCCAAGGCTTGGCAGAATGCTCTGCACAGACGATATGTTTGACATAACATGCATCTAAGTTGCCCGTGTATTACAAATCTCTATTTATATTTTAGCGAGGGGGCTTATCATTATTTTGCATGTATAAGAATCCATTGTGAATGGGGCTTCTATTACCAAGTTCTTGTCGAGGGCCAGCATTTTCAAATGGGAAACTAGGAAAAGGCAGCCATTAACCCGGTAGGTACTCTACTCTAAACTTATCACTACAGGACGCAAAAACGAAGTACATGTACAACAATGGAAGATATCAATATTTCTTCTCGGCCAGATCAATCGATGAATTTGAGCTCTATATCAACAACCAATCCATCATCCAATGACGATGAGATAAATAACACCGGTGTTTCAAGTCCCTTATCAGAGCAAAAAATGCATGCGTCTGGCCACAAAGGAGAGGAATGGGCACAAATAGAACGTTTGATTTCGCGGATGTTTGGAAGTGAGCGGAAAACAAACCCCGAAGAAGAGAAAACACGGTATTCTGGAGTCGTATGGAAATCTCTTACAGTCAAGGGGATTGGACTTGGGGCCGCTTTTCAGCCTACTAATGGTGACATGTTGCTTAGTATTCCAAGACTTGTGAAAAAGTTGTTCACTGGGGGCCGGAGAGGGACGAGAGTAGCAAAGCCGGAGCTTCGCGCTATTTTGGATGGCTTCACGGTATGATATGATGTGCTACTTTTTAACCCCTACGCGTGAGTATCTAATGACAGAATCTCAGGGCTGTGTTCGACCGGGAGAGATGTTGCTTGTTCTTGGTCGGCCTGGCTCAGGGTGTTCATCTTTTTTGAAAGTGATTGGCAATCAACGTTCATTACGGAGGAACTGACTCGGAGACAATGGCAAAAAAGTACCATTCTGAAGGTAAGCCATCGCTCAATATTGGTGATATAAAATCTAATCTTTTAGTTTTGTACAATCCGGAGGATGATCTTCACTATGCTACCCTGACGGTTCGAGATACTTTACTTTTTGCTCTCAAATCTCGCACTCCAGACAAACCCTCACGCATTCCGGGTGAGAGTCGCGACGAATATCAAAAAACCTTTCTTACTGCAATTTCTAAATTGTTCTGGATCGAACATGCCATGGGAACAAAAGTTGGCAACGAGCATATTCGAGGCATTTCAGGCGGGTAGGTTGTCCCCCAAAATATGATGGCCATTGATTAACATTCCCCATGAACAAAGAGAGAGAAAGCGCGTTTCGATTGGAGAGGCCATGGTGACAAAAGCCAGTACTCAGTGTTGAGATAACTCAACGAGGGGTCTAGATTCTAGTACTGCGCTTGAGTATGTCCAGAGTCTACGCAGTTTAGCAGACACTGCCCATGTTTCGACACTAGTGGCTCTTTACCAGGCATCCGAAAGCCTATTTAATCTCTTTGACAAGGTCATACTCATCGAAGACGGAAAATGCGCATTCTTTGGTCGAACAGAGGACGCAAAGGAATATTTCGAAAGACTGGGTTTCGAAAGCCCACCTCGATGGACAACGCCGGACTTTTTGACATCTGTTAGTGACAAGAACGCAAGACGTATTAGATCTGGGTGTGAAAGCCGAGTTCCTCGCACTGCAGAAGAGTTTCAGGCCACATACCGAAGGAGCGATGCATATAAGGCCACATTTGCAGATATTGAAGATTTCGAGAATGAACTCAAATCTCAAGAGCACGAAAGGGAACTCGCCAGAAGAAACATGACAACGAAGAACTTCACGATACCATTTTGGAAACAGGTTTCTATTTTTACTCATCGTCAGTTGCTCGTCATCCTTGGTGATCAAGCAGCCCTAGCGGGGAAATGGGGCGTAATAATCTTTCAAGCTTTAATTGTGGGAAGTCTGTTCTATGATCTCCCAGATACAAGGTATATGACAGTTATGAAACGTATGAATTTATGATACTAAAAATTCTGCAGCTCCGGCATTTTCACTCGAGGAGATGTCATGTTTTTCATCCTGTTATTCAACGCTCTACTCGCCCTTGCGGAGTTGACAGCTGCTTTTGAAAGTCGACCAATTCTGATGAAGCACAAGAGCTTGTAAGTGCAGAATTACAATTTGAGAAGATTCAAACTTCCATATTCTGATTGAGTCTAGTTCTTTCTATCGCCCAGCGGCATATGCTCTCGGTCAGGTAGTTGTGGATGTACCATTAGTGTTGATTCAAGTTGTCTTATTCAACGAGGTAGTATACTTGTAGGTCTTTCAAAAGCCGCACTGGTATTTGAAACTAAGGAAAATCATTGCAGCATGGCAAATCTTGCACGAGCTCCATCTCAATTCTTTATCAACTTTCTTTTTACTTTCGTACTAACTATGACAATGTATTCATTCTTTCGTGCCGCAGGGGCACTTTGTGCATCCTTGGATATTGGTAAGAATATCATGATTTTTCATTACTAACGTTTCAAGCACTGATATTTTATTGGCCTAGCCACCCGTATTACTGGTGTCTCTATTCAAGCATTAATCGTATATACCGGTATTATAACTATTCTTCAACTGTGGACGAAGAACCATACTAATTTGGGTTTTTTTTTCAGGCTATCTGATTCCGCCCTGGAAGATGCACCCGTGGCTAAAATGGCTCATTTGGATCAACCCGGTTCAGTATACCTTCGAGGCCTTAATGGCCAATGAGTTTCATGATCTTTCAATTAAATGCGAGCCTCCTTACCTTGTTCCCGCAGGACCAAATGCAAAGTCCGGCCATCAAACCTGCGCCCTTCAAGGAAGCGCACCTAACCAAGTGATTGTTCAAGGGTCTGACTACATAAAAACTGCATATACATACTCTCGAGCACATTTGTGGCGAAACTTGGGAATTCTTGTCGCTTGGTTTATATTCTTCGTCTTATTGACAATGATCGGTATGGAAATCCAGAAGTCCGACAAGGGAGGCAGCTCAGTCACAGTCTTCAAACGAGGAGAAGTCTCAAAGTCAGTTGAAAATGCTATCGAGCTTATCGGCCCTCCAATAGATGAAGAATCTGTGGAGAAAGAAGTACCATCTCCAGACTCAACAGACGAGGGCTCGGGTAGAGACGTTCAGAAAGTCGCCAAAAGCGCGTCGGTACTTACGTGGCAGAATGTGAATTATACTATACCTTACAAAAATGGACGGAGGACTCTCTTACAGAATGTCAGTAGATATGTAAAGCCAAGTCGGCTTACAGCATTGATGGGTGCATCTGGTGCAGATAATTCTTTATGATAAGGCTTTGAGATTATTTCAATGATAACATTGCTCAATACGCTGACTTGAGCAGAAAGACTGCACTCCCGAATGCACTGGCTCAGCGAATTAATTATGGGATCATTACCGGGGTCTTTCTGGTGGACGGAAAGTAAGTAGCCTTGTCCTTGAGGGAGATCTATGACCTGGGAGTCATATGAAAGACAGCTCTGACAATTCTAGCCATCTGCCAAAGAGCTTCCAACGTGCGACGGGTTTCGCCGAGCAAGTGGACATTCATGAGCCCACAGCGACAGTTCGGGAATCACTGCGATTTTCGGCTCTACTGAGGCAACCAAAAAAAATCCAATGCAGGAGAAGTATGATTATTGTGAGAAGGTGATGGATCTTTTGGAAATGAGATCCATTGCTGGTGCTACAATTGGCTACATGAGCTCAGGACTAAATCAAGAGCAACGCAAGCGACTAACCATTGCAGTGGAACTGGCCAGTAAGCCCGAGCTGCTACTTTTTCTGGATGAGCCAACTTCAGGACTCGACTCTTTAGCAGCATTCAATATCATTGGATTCCTGCGAAAGCTTGCAGATGCAGAACAGGCCATTCTCTGCACGATTCATCAACCGTCAGCTGTTCTATTTGAACAATTTGACGAACTAATTCTCCTACAGTCTGGTGGGCGGGTAGTTTACAATGGTCCTCTAGGGTCCGACTCACGTACCCTAATAAAGTACTTCGAAACAAAAGGGGGGATGAAATGCTCACTGCACGCAAATCCAGCGGAGGTAGGTCTCTTACTTCCAAAAATTTGATGCCCCGGGTACGTGTGCTTTTCTGATGTGATGCACCTAGTACATGCTCGAGGTTATTGGAGCCGGAAATCCAGATTATAAAGGCCAGGACTGGGGTGATGTATGGGAACATTCACAGGAGTCGAAAAATATTTCCAATCAGCTGAGGGATATTATTGGCTCTCGCCGCAAAAGGCAGCTTGAAGCGATTAACGAAGATCGTGAATATGCCATGCCTCTCCATGTCCAGATAACGACTGTGACCAAGCGAAGATTCATAGCTTATTGGAGGAATCCCGAATATATCAAAGTTTGTTGTTTATCGCTAATTCTATTAACAATAGAGTCATACTAACCATGGGAATAGGGGAAGTTCATGCTGCACATAATCACTGGGCTTTCCAATGCTTTTACGTTTTGGCATCTGGGCAACAGCTCAATTGATATGCAATCGAGGCTCCTTTCAATCTTTATGACCTTGACAATTTCACCTCCACTCATCCAGCAATTGCAGCCACAATATCTACATAGTCGGAGGCTTTATCAGTCTCGCGAGTCCAACTCCAAGATTTATTCGTGGACTGCATTTGTTGTAAGCAGTATTCTGCCGGAACTTCCGTATTCCATCGTCTCGGGATCTATTTACTTCAACTGTTGGTAAGTAAGAGATTAAGATAATATTGTCAGGACTATTGTTAACCAAAGAAAATTACGCACTTTTGTAGGTACTGGGGAATCGGTTTCCCTCGAGACTCGTTTACCTCTGGCTACGCTTGGATGATGTTAATGTTGTTTGAATGCTTCTACGTTGGCTTTGGGCAATTTATTGCAGCATTTTCACCAAATGAGCCGTTCGCATCGCTGCTGGTTCCAGCTTTCTTTACATTTACAACTTCGTTCTGTGGTGTTGTTGTGCCATATATTGCCCTTCCTCATTTCTGGCAATCGTGGATGTACTGGCTTACACCTTTCCACTATTTCCTTGAAGGCCTCCTAGATGTGGTAACCCACAACATCCCTATTCGATGTGTTGAAAGGGAGGAGGCACATTTCAGTCCCCCTTCTGGCTTGACTTGCGAAGAATATGCGAAGACTTATATCGAAGCATCTGGGGGTTATGTTCGTGAGGCAGGGGGTGGAATGTGTGCCTTTTGCCAATTCTCGACTGGAGATGAGTTTGTAAGTGATTCTCATAATTTCATATTCTTCAAAGGCAATAATCTGTTCCTAACTGCATGTCCCCCTCAGGCTGCCAGTTTGAACGTCTTCTACACCCACAAATGGCGGGATTATGTGAGCATGCTTAAATAAATCCGGTTATGCCAGCGGTTGATCCTAACCTTTTAGGGAGTCTTCTGCGCCTACGTCGTCTTCAATTTTATCGTTGTGTTCGCATTCTCTTGGTTGTATTTCCATGGGGTTCGGAATATGAAACGGTGGTTCAGTGTGCGCAAGGCAAAACATATTGCACATGCATCAGTCTAGGATGGTCTCGGGGAGCCAAAGACATTTCTTTGCATATTTTAGTCTCAAACCAAATGTTCCAAGCCATGAAGAGGCAGAATCGTTGAAGAGCGTAGACTAGTACTAGGACAGCACACATGTGCACACATATAAAGCGTAGGGTCAGCTCCTCCGCCGAAAGCTAAAAAGGCTTGGCACTCGACTCCTCATCCATCTTTGCTCCGCCCCCATTTCCCCATTCATCATTCCCTTTTTTCCCCGGCGCGCTGATCGCTCGTGCCTGCCAGATTACTTGCCAAAAAAAAAAAAAGCTGTTCATGGGCTTCTGTCATGCAGTCATTAATTGCTTAAATCCCATGCCAATTAACCTCTCCCACGCGCCTTTTCTTACTTACACACCCCCACTTCTGACCAACATTGCCGACCATGAAGGAAGAGAGCCAGAGAGAAGCGTCTGAAGATGCACATGACGACCAGTCGAACTCGAGATCCGGCGCTAACCAATCTTCCAAGGATCGCAAATGTCAATATTGCAGCCAAGCGTTTACCTCTTCGTCACTGGGCCGTCATTTAGACCAGTTCCTCTTCAAGAAGAAGCCTGATGGAGTTCACGATGTGGAGGAAATTCGTCGCATTCGGAGCGGGATCACTCGTCGGCAGGCCCGCACAAATTCCGGTAGACGCGACGAAAGCCCTGATGGTGACCCGAGAAAAGGTTCATCCGATCCCTACACAGCTGGAGATTCAGCCTCCAAAGCACGGGAAGCTCCGCCGCGCATGATGTTCAACACACCCACCTGGCATGCAACTGGCGTCATCAACGATATTCCCAATCCGAGTCGCATGCTTGATGGCCCGCGGATTATGCCACCGCAGTCTCGATCGGGATCTTTACAGCTACCGGATTATGCGAGTCGCGGCGCCAATTCCAACAACCCGGATACCATGAAAGCGCTCGAGCTGGCGCTACATGAGGTGCTCGACAATATTAAAGCTGCAACGTAAGCGACTCTGTGTCTCCCTCCTCTAGCCCTACGTGATGGTCCCATGCAACTTCACAATGCCTAACGATTAATATTTAGTTCACGATTTCGACCTCGGCTATCTCCCTTCGAGTTCGATATTCAAGCTCAAACGTTTCCGTCTCTTTGCCTCCATTTTCTCCCCCCACCACCGAGTCTGTTCGCTTCTCACCCTTTCCCCTCACCCGACTCATTCCCACTTCAAGCTCCTAGCGTCGAGCATCTTGACATTGTTCGGCAAGCACTCCGAGCCAAGATTGCACAATGGAGATCAGACCAAATCACAGGGGATCCTGGCGCTCACGCGAAACATATGGGGGCTACTCTGGATCAGAACATGATTTATCGGACTGCACAGCAACATGAGGAAATAGGACTGCGGCACCTGGAACTGGCTTTCAGCCACTGGAATATGCTTCCACAGGAGGCCCGCCGCGAGGCGTGGTTGCTGGAAATGACTCGCGCGTTTGCTCGCGAAGTTGATACACGGAAGTCTGTGGATGAACGCTTGGCTAGGGTCCAGCAGGAAGCAAATCAACTTCGAACGCAGGTGGAGCGTCTGGGGTCATGTCAATGGCCACGAGAATTTGCTCTTTTCCCGCCTGATACACTTCCGCTTTCACGGGATGCGACTCGAGAATTAGATGCAAAACAAAGCCAAATTAGTCCTGATTCCACTCGGTGGGACTACGATCACGTTGTTTCCAAGTGGAAGCGCGTCGTCATGCATGACAAAGGGATGGGCCGTATTGGAGTGGGCTACGCTGCTGGTAGCACGCTGGTCGACTCAGATAACAGCCAGCAGCTACAAAGTCCCGATCTCCGACCCCCTCGACCAGGTGAAGATACTTCGTCTCATCCGAATCGCCTACGGCCTCTACAAACCATCGCGATGAGCCCGGATGCAAATACCGCTTCTACCCCTGCCTCCTCAGCAAATTATGCCTCTCCGTATTCGCATGCAGATACCCGGAGCCCACCAGGCGGCAACGCTGGAGCCCCACAGGCTAAACGTCCCCGTCTAATGAATGGATCTGACGGCCCAGCTGCGCCATCCTCCGATTCAGCTCCTTCCTCAGCCAAGCCGACTGGTCCCTGGCCTAATTCCTCCACCCCAATTCTTTCTAATTTGGCTGCGCCTTCTGGGCAAACACCTCCTCCCTCTACTAGGGGATAATGCGTCTTTGGGCATTTGCTTTTGAAATCTGCATTGCGAGAAGCCAACTCTTGATAAACCAATAACCATGATTGGATGGCAAGCTTCTAAATACCCGTTGTACATTTATCGAACATACAAAGACGTGCATCCTATTATATGTATAATCATGATCTGTTCCACTCAAGCTTGGTCCTTTGAAACCCCGGTGGTTTGCTTATGCCAAAAGGCCGGCAGGTAAGCTATAATTGAGCTAGTGATGTTAATGAAAGTAGTTGTTAAGCTGCTAGAACACAGATCCGAGGAATAAATTTAAACAGGACTAGATCAAATATAAATAGGCTTTCAAATGGTCAAATTGGAGTCGAACTTTTCAATGATGTATACATGTGCATACTATGTAGTAGAGACGAAGAAGAAAAGGCCAGAATAAGATCGACCACTAGATATGGTCTGACCGCCTTTGACGCGGGGGCAGTGTTTACTTGTTTTTCTCCCCACCATCCAGATCAACGACGAAAAGGAAAAAAGACATTCGAGAAAGCACAATTCTGGGCGTGGGGCATTTAAGGATTCTTGGAATAAATTTTCAATCTTAGAAATCTGTCCAGCAAGTAAAAATGTACGTCTCATTTGAATTTACATCCCTGACCCTTCTCCTTACATCCTTACATTACCCTTTCATCCTCCTTCATTTGCTCCAATTCAATTCACCTCCAACCCTCCCCGTCCCATGAAACTTTGCTAAGCAATTTGGAATTAGAACCAGATAGTACCGTTTGCCCACCATGGAGAACTACCAAAAAATTGAGAAAATCGGTGAAGGTACGTGTTGTTGACGCGGTTGTGTGGCCCCATCACTCCCAAATTTGTTCATGCCCAACTCACGCGTCAATTGTTCCTCCTAGGTACCTACGGTGTCGTTTACAAGGCCAGAGAACTTAACCATCCCAACCGAATTGTCGCATTAAAGAAGATCCGTCTCGAAGCCGAAGATGAGGGTGTCCCTAGTACCGCCATCCGCGAGATCTCCCTCCTCAAAGAAATGAAGGACCCCAACATCGTCCAATTGTTCAATATCGTCCACGCCGATGGCCACAAGCTTTATCTTGTCTTTGAATACCTTGACCTCGATCTGAAAAAATACATGGAGGCTCTACCCGTGAGCGAGGGTGGACGTGGCAAGGCTCTCCCGGACGGCTCGATGATGGGTGCAGACCTGGGACTTGGCGACGCCATGGTGAAGAAATTCATGGCTCAGCTTGTCGAGGGTGTTCGCTATTGCCACAGTCACCGTATTCTGCACCGCGATCTGAAGCCACAGAACTTACTTATCAACCGTGAGGGTAACCTCAAGTTGGCTGATTTTGGTCTTGCCCGAGCATTTGGTGTCCCATTGCGAACCTACACTCACGAGGTTTGTTATGCCCCGTGCTAGAACGAAAAGGGGGTGGAAGAATCAATCGCTAAATTCTGGTTTCTTATAGGTTGTTACACTGTGGTATCGCGCTCCCGAGATTCTTCTCGGTGGCCGCCAATATTCAACTGGTGTTGACATGTGGTCTATCGGCGCTATCTTCGCTGAGATGTGCACTCGCAAGCCGCTGTTCCCCGGTGACTCCGAGATTGATGAAATTTTCAAGATCTTCCGGTCTGTGTTGCCCAGTTTGATTCTATCATTGACGTCCTGGACACTAACATTGCTACAGAGTTCTTGGTACTCCCGACGAAGAGGCCTGGCCCGGTGTCACCTCGTTCCCCGACTACAAAGCCACCTTCCCCAAGTGGAAGCGCCCGGATGTACCTCTTGTTGCAGGTCTGGAGGAAGCAGGCCTTGCGCTTTTGGAGGCTCTTCTCGAATATGACCCTGCGCACCGACTTTCCGCCAAGCAGGCCTGCATGCACCCCTACTTCCGACATGGGAGTTCCCACTACTCAGGCCGTGGTGTCGGAGCCCCGCGCAATGGGACTCACTAAATGATCTTATGTCGAATTATTTCTTTGATTCTTATTTCATTCCTGTAACCTTCTTCACGGCGGGTGGCCACCTAAAGGGGCTCCCGGGGGACATGTCTTTCATTGTTTTTTTTTGTACCTGGCGTTCATCGGGGACTGAGCAGGGCAGGCTTACTATCACCAGTTGCTTTTAGTCAATGCAAGGCGTACATACCCATTTCAGACATTCATTTCGTGTTTTAAAGTTTCTTTATGCATTGCCCAGGTGGCATCACGAGATTCTAGAAAGTAACATTACCATGGCATCGGGATCTCATGCTCAGCCCTGTCAGCCTCAAATTCCTGGTGAAACGTGTTTATTTCCAGGCATCACTAACCTCACATTGTAGATGATTAAATTATGAATCATCTTCAGCTATGGCCTATCTACCAATGAGAATCCTAATCTACCAACAATACTACTTCCAGATAGTAAGCAATATGTCCCGGATATTACCTACTATATCTCGTAGTCCCCAGTTCCCGTCGGAGCTGAACCATGGGGCACCACGCGAACTTACTGTAACTCCATGTTTATTCTTAGACACCAACCTCCATCCTTCCCAAGCTTATCCATGCCATCCCATAATAACTTCCACTAAGATAATTGGGGGCCAATTTCTTTTTGATCCTGGATGCCGGTTGTTTGACTCACGAACAGGACAAGTGGTAATTTGAAATGAATCTAGAAAAAAAAGCGGATCAGCTGAATGGGAAGAATGGGGACTTATTGGGGGCCATGAGCGGGCTTGGCCTACCGCACCTGTTCATTCGCGGGGCCCACGGGTCTAACGCACGCCCCTGCAGCCTTACAATGCAAGAAAACAGGCCTGAGTGGTCGAATCCCGTATGCGTTGGTGTACGCGAGTGTCTCGGCGCCGGCGAAGTCGTGGCGGAGGTCATGCAAAGTAGCGTGATTCATGGAGAAGAAAGCGTTGGAAATACTCCGCACTCTCCTCTGTTCCTTCTCCCGTGTATAAAGGCGTGGACCGCCTACTCTGTACCCTGTCGGACTTTTAATTTTCTCCTAGAATCGTCGCTGTTCTTCGAAGTGGTCATTGCGATATAACGACTGAAAAAAGATAAGGTCCCACCTTGTCAGAAACTCTTATATTAAGATTCTTGGACACCCTGAAACGAAAAACTAGCTCAGGAGACAGAGAGAATTGCTTTCTCATAGTCATCATGGAGTTCGAAGATGAAATGTACATGGGTGGTGGTGCCGCTTCTTCTCGGTCTAACAGCCGGCCTCCGCACCGGTCGCGTTGTCAAGCCCCGCAGGAATCTGTGAAGCAATTCTGGGAACAGTTTAACACCAAGTACCCTGGGAAAGTGTACACAGTGCTGCCGGACAATCCCTATGCTCGGACTCGGGCGAAGCGGGTGCCCAACGGTGTCGTCCAGGGCCATGAGGCTGTTAAATCATACGAGCAGGCTAAGCGAGAGTGTCTGAAGTCTGTTGATCGAATTGTGAAGGAGTGCCAGCGGGTGAATCAGAAATATACGGATCCTCATTTCGATATCGAGTTAGATCTGAAATCAGGTCGGAAGAACTATCTCTATGGCCTGAATCAGACAAATGAGGAGATGAGACCGCGGGGAGTAAAGAGAGTGACGGTAAGTCGCGATAGGGCGTTTTATCAGCCCACAATCCTGAAATTCAATCACGAGCGACGTGCTAACGTGACGCCTAGGAAATCTTTGAGAACCCCCAGTTCTACGTTAATGGACCGACTGCATCTGATGTTCGTCAAGGCTATGATGGGGATTGTTGGCTCATGGCGGCGCTGTGCACCATGGGTAACAAGTTAGAATTGATCGAGAGGATTTGTGTCGCTCGTAATGAGATCGTTGGTATCTATGGTTTCGTCTTTTACCGCGGTAAGTTTGAATGGCCCCACGTGTATAGGGATTTTGGAATATCAAGCTGACCAAACCTAGACGGCGAATGGCAACAGTGCATAGTAGATGACAAACTGTATCTTCGTGCTGCGGATTACGATGAATCGGTTGATGAACGTCCTCTCTGGGATGATATTAACGGCACAGATGCGGAAGAAGAGTACCGACGAGTCTGGCAGACAGGCTCACGGGCGCTTTACTTCGCGCAATGCGTGGACCCGAATGAGACTTGGCTACCTTTACTAGAAAAGGCGTTTGCCAAGGCTCATGGAGATTACTCTGCTATTGAGGGTGGCTTTGTCGGTGAAGCTATCGAAGATTTAACAGGGGGTGTCACTTCGGAGATCCTTTCAAACGATATCCTCGATAAAGATCGCTTTTGGAATGAGGAGTTGATGAAAGTCAACAAAGAATTCCTATTTGGTTGTGGTTGTGGCATGTTTTCAAACTGGTTGGATCCCAAGTATAAGGGCCCCCCACGAGACCGAAAGGGAATCTCAGAGAACCATTCCTATTCGATCATGGAAGCTCGAGAAATCAAAGGATATCGCTTGCTTCGGCTTCGGTAAGCTTTACCCCCTACGACTTGATAGCAAATTCTTACTGATTCATTCAGAAACCCATGGGGTAAAAAGGAATGGCATGGTGACTGGGGTGATGGATCTTCTCAATGGACGGCAGAGTGGATGGAGTTGCTCGGTCATAAATTTGGAAATGACGGGGTAAGTTAATATGGCTACTGTGGACAGACCCAGAATACTGACCGTCATATAGTTCTTCTGGATCTCATACAAGGATCTTCTTCGAAAATATCAGCATTTCGACCGCACACGTCTCTTCGGGCCTGAGTGGACTATCACACAACAATGGACAACACTGAATGTCCCTTGGTCTGCCGACTATCATAGCACCAAATTTATGATGAATGTGACTCAGAGTGGTCCGGTAGTCATCGTTTTATCCCAGGTATGTGAACCCGCTTCTCTCTCTTCGAACATTACTAACAGAAGAAAAAGCTTGATGCCCGGTACTTCCAAGGACTTGCTGGTGAATACAGCTTTGTGCTCAAGTTCCGTGTCCAGAAAGACGGTGAAGAGGAATACATGATTCGCAGTCATAGCAGCCACTTCATGGGCCGGTCTGTCAATGCCGAGATCAACCTCGAGCCTGGCCGATACCAAGTTCTCACGAAGATCACCGCATTCCGAGACGAAGATGTCGAGCCAACTGATGAGATTGTCCGCCGTCTTGCATCTGTCCGAAGGGAGAAACTCGTTCAAGTCGGTCTTTCTTATGATCTAGCTCACGCGAAGGGTCTAGTGAGAGAGACTGAACAAGAGCGAAAGGAGAAGGAGCACCGAAAAGCATATGAACGCAAGAAGCTTCGTGAAGAAACGAAGAGAAGGCTACAGAAGGAGTACATCCGTGACCGTAAAATGGCCGCGAGAGAACAACGCATGGATGCCCGTCGTTCCGGCCCAATCCCCAATGGCGCACCTCGTGGTCCTATCCCGAGTCAAATCCTGGCTGAAAAGCCCACCGCGTCGCCTACAGAAAGTCTCTCCAGCGATGGCAGCGATTTTAAGCCCAGCGTAAATGGCTCTGTCCCAACTATACAATTTAATGGACTCAATGGTTTACACGCTCGCCATGCATCAACTGGCTCCCACCGAAGACGAACTGAGTCGCCGCGACCAAGTCTTAATACTCGCCTCGCGACAGACATGTTGGAAATAAGTGATATCGAATGGCTAGAGGGCTTTGAATTTGACAGTGACCTCGATATGCCCCCAGAGGATGCAGAACACAAATCACGCAGTCCAATGCCCAAAATCGAGGGACCTGCTGCTGATCCTTGGAATGCTGTCTGTGTGGTTGGTCTGCGAGTTTACTCGAAGGACCCGAAACTCAGCCTGGAGGTAATACAACCGATACCAGAGGACGAAACTGAAGCTCCCCTGGATATGGATGATCCAGCTGCATCTGCGACGATTGAGAAGTCATTTTGGAACCACATGGTAATCTAGATTGTGAATATGTATAGCACCATACATTTGAAGCCGAAAATTATTGTGTACCGTTGCATGTAATTATAGCTGAAGCATGTTTTGATATTTTAGTTCCATATCACACACTCAATATGTCAACTTCCTTTATTTGATCTCAAGTATTATTGTACCAGGTGAAAAATGATTTTGATTTTCTTGTATAAAATTTCCATCTGTTGTTCTACATGCTGGATAGCAACGGCCACACGTCACGTGAAACCCGGTACTGGTATTGGCCATATCAGCGTCCCGAGTCAACAACCTGAATTCATGGCGTTATGCGCGTTTTTCATTTCAATTCACGAGCGGGTGTTTGTCTGTCGAGGCATGTTAGACTAAATTCACATACACGCCTCGCCAAAGGCAGATTTCTGTCGAGTTGCCGCGATGAAGCATTTTCACTCCCCGTGGGAAACAATGGGCTTGTGTCAATAAGGTTGGCTTATTCTACGCAAAATGATGATGAATATCCCTCTGATATGTGACATACAGTGTAACAAAGCCAGATGATATTTCCAACGACCCATCGTTGGAGTCAAGGGTGATTCTTTATCTTCCACCAGGTCCTATCTTCAAGGGATTCAACGGCAGCGAGCCAGTCCAAAATGAAGTGGATTCTGATATTTGGGCCAATTCAATAAATGCTACAGGATCTAGCTCATTAATATCTAAGAGCACGTCTCCACAACATGCGCTAGCTTGCATGACCTCTTCGACGGTAGTGACGGTGAATTATCGTCTCGGCCTGTCACAGGAAGGAAATCATGCATCCCCAGAGACAGAATCAGAATCAGAACCCTATGCAGTTGAATTCCACAAATACCCCACCCCAGTGCATGATACACTCATGGGATTTGACTGGATCCAAACTCATCTCAAACCCACACAATTCGGAGTCTTCGGCTCACATATTGGTGGATCATTAGCACTTATGCTAGCACTTACAGAAGCCCAATCACTACATGGTATCGCCGCCCTCGAACCAATTTGCGACTGGCCCAGCCTCGATGATTACTGTATAGGTGCAAGTGCCAATAGTACAGATCCCCAAGACACGGGAAACAAAAGATACAAGAGACCAGCCAAACAAAAAGGGCCCGCGCCGCCAGATCTGGTTCCACTCCTCGAAGCGCGGGAGAAATATTTCACCTCGTTTGAGCGGTGTTTTGATGCTTTTGCTTCGCCGATTCTGTTTCTTCGCTCTGCGGGCCGTGATGCTGAGAAACTTTTTCCTCGGTATTTAACCGGTCCTAACCATCCGATTCCTGTCCTAGAAGATGGCTTAAACCCCACATCTACGGCGCGGCAGAGTGGTTCAAATGGAAGGTCTAGTGAGAATGATTATCTTGATGCTGAAATAGGCAGTAATTTGAGTTCTTCAGAATCGCATGTACCTGTTCGTCGGCGGAAGGCGCTCTCTCGATGGCCGCCTTATGGATTGGATTATGGATTGAGTAGTAAGACTTGGTCGGGGCCTGATGATGGAATTGGTAGACTACAGATCACTTTGCCGTGGGTGAAAATCTTTTTACGGAATGGCTCGTTGGAACAGAATGCGAGTAATAAGGATTTACCCGCTAAGCGTACGGTTCTGGATCACCAGGGTGAAGAAATGGCCTCTGTTATGCGAAGAGCGTGCTTTTGGGGCCGGGAGAAAGGGTTCGGAGAACAGAGGGTAACTCTTGGAAAGGTGGATGAGAATTTGGGGCGAGAAGTGAAGGAATATTTTGATGTAGTATTTGACGAAACAAACAGCGATTTATAGATTTTGAGTCTATCATGTTAATATACCAAGATATCACTGCTGAGGTCTCATGAAATCTCAGTCGTTCAAACAAGCTACTTGGCTTCTCCTTCCAGTAATCTGGTACATGGTACTAGTCCGAGGAAGGGTTGCAGGTCTTCACTGCTTTAAGCCGAATTGACTGGTTGCACCCTATACACAAGACCCTCGTTGGGGCCCGCCTGACCCTTGCACAAAAGATCCCATCCGTTTGAGATGCCATTGGGACCAGCCACACCTTGGCCCCAGATGAGCTCTAGTCCAGGTGCACACTCGTGGCGATGATTCACCATGTCTAATTGGCTATCGAGTAACTTACTGAAGAATTTCTCCAATCCCAGAAATTCGATCGCAGTATCCTCAATTCCGGAAGTATTATACTGGACCTTGCCAAGATCAATCATTGACTGTTGAGAGGCGTGACTCTCTTCAGGAGTGTAGACCTATGATTTCAAGGAATTCAATGTCAGTTTGGACGACGAGAACGATCAAAATCTCATCAAATGAGATTGTGAGGCTTACCTTTTGCTGGCTTCCAATCTGGATAATCACCTCAATTGCAGATTTAAGAGTGTCGCTATTTTTGATCAAATCCAAGAGCTTGTCCAACGCGTTGGACCGAGCACCAAAATCTAAAATCACAATCTTAGAGGGACGACGCTCCTCTAGCCATTTTGAAGTTTCGACGCTGGAAATATCCGTATAATCAACTGCTTTGCAAGGGAATACAGGGTTTGCCATTTCAGTAGCAGTAGAAATCTGATCAACTGAGGAGGTCACTTGCAGAAACCCAAGTGAAGCAGAGTGCTTCGGTCGCCTGTTGAAGAAGTATGCAAATCCAAGAGCAGTCTTGGTAGATGCACCCAGACTAACCATGACAGCAGAAGTTACATCTCCATCAGCCGCTGTCCACATAGCTCTTAGTCCTGATTTCCCGCCATATGGATGAATTGGTGTCGTTGTTTCCGGTTGTACTGGGAAGACATATTCATTTAAATGGTTTCCAGCCCGACATAATACGACGGAAGGCCAGGCTAGGCGATCAATTTTTTCTTGCTCTGCGGAGTCGAGAGACTGAGTGCGGGATATATTCTGTAGTGACTCCGGTACATGGACATAACGGTTATACAGCGGCATAAGCTTCTGGCGATGCTCACTAGTCTCAATCCAATGTCCAGCGGGAAGAGATGGTTCCAATTTGAGATCTGTCAAGGCAGCCGAAGTAGGCCAGAATCCCTGAAGAACTGTCCCAGGAACAAGATCTGGGATGTTGCTCTCTTCAACGGTCGCATGGCCCCAAGCTGGAGCAATGCCCCAGTCGGTGGGATCGTTATAAGGCGCCGGATAATAATCAGCCACGGGATAGGTATCCCACCTGTGTCAATCAGAGATACGTTCGCATTTACACTACAATAGAGAAGGCTCACATACCAACGCGCAAGGAATCCCATGCGAGCATAGGTCAAATTATTAGATGTTAAACTGACAATTTGGGTGCGGATGCGAATAGACGAGTCTCCCAATTCTGGCAGAGTCGTATCATCGGGCAGCGTGAAGGTCGCATGCTGGGAGTTGTCATGTTTTGAGACGACGTGGACTTCCATTGTCACTTTGGGTATATTTGTCGGACGCGACAGGTGTATCTTATTATAGCTTGCGAGCAACGTAGCTGTTGGGTTGATTACTATTTATCGGAGCAACGGCAGTGAGAACCGGGCCCGACGTAGTAGAAGCCACACTGATCCAATAACGCCGCGCTTCCTTTTTAGCCCCATCCCGCTAGGCTGGTTGTTAAGGATCAATGGATGCACTATCAATCCTTAGGTCATTTTGACTCATATTCATGGATGAATCATGTTTGTTTGCTTCCAGGGTTGGCGGGGAAATACATAGTACCTAGTAGGTAGTATTCTAAGCCCGTTGTTCAAGTTGAAGCTGAAGGTGATGATGTTGTGACTTAGTAGTAGAAATCCAGAAATATATTCCCAGACTGCCTCTGGAAAAAACTTAGCGAACCCTGGAAGTCTGTCGCCACACGAATTTGGGGGCCGATTTCACGTTTCATATATTTTATTTCGCTTAAGCGATTTGATTCCAGATTAAAAAAAGGGTGATTTTAGGTACTTTGTAGACGGTGATTTATGGTGCATTAAGCAAACAGCGGCCCAAAACATTTGAGTTAAATCTGCCCTGGGATACCGATGGGATACCGGAATCCCAGCTTGTGGCCCGAAATCCCAGAATTCACCATTTTCCAGGATTCTATGGGCATCGCCCTACCAAGATCATTATGTCTTTAAAACAGGCAGACTTAGCCTAGCAATAGTAATGATAACTGCCATATTATGTTCTTGACTTCAAACACAACCATTCTCTCGAATTTACGAATTCATTTTTGTGGACTTGAAATGAAGGACTTCCTGAACTAAATTGTTGTTGCATCTTGAGACAACCTGGACTCTAGGACTGGCTATATTGAGCTTTGGGTTATATATGCACAAATGTCGTCATTGTCATATACCAGTCCGGTATGGTGTAGTGGCTAACATCGCTGTCTCTCACACAGCAGCCGGGGGTTCGATTCCCCCTACCGGAGTTTCTTTTTTGCCCTTTTGGCCCCTTTCCATAACTCAATTTACACTAATATTTTTTTGATCTGCAGATCTACATTTTAGCCTTTCCTCCTCAATTGAAAATTTCTACTCCTCAAAAAAAGAAAAAGAATTTGGGTCGGACGGTCGTCCATACTAAGGTGAGCCAGCCAGCCAGAAGTCGCAATTTGTCTGTCTTGCTCCCGGATTGAAAATAGGTGCTGGGATACCGAAAATGCCATGGGATACCGAGAGTGGGCTGCCGGATATTAAACAGCATCTCCTTTTAACCTCCCTTCTGTCTTTACTTTAAATAGCTAATTAGAGGCCAAATTTAAAAAAATTCAATACACAAACGCAATCTTTGTCTAAAAAAATAGACCTATGCCGCATACATCCATTTCAATCACGGTCTAGCTAGGCCATCAGTATTTTTCATAATCCCAGGCTGATCATTTGATGGTCCCGTGAATCACACGTATCAAAATAAAAATATGATATTGAAATGCAAGTATTCAGGACATTGAGCAACATGAAAGAAATATTCCCAGAGAACCTTTATAATTATAACACCGCCAGGTCTATCATGCCGATATTCATATCAATGCATTTTACAGGTTCGGACCTCCTAGCCCTGCATTCCCATTCGGTGATCCCCACCACCCCTCCATGTCACCCAAATCAGGAAGCATGCCTGTCTCATCAGAAAATTGCGGATTAGATATACTACCTAGGGAATTTGGGTCGGTACTATGCCCTTGAGCTCCAGCAAGCATGTTCAAATCGGATGTGCGAATCCAATCGAAATTGGCGGCATCTTGCGCTGTGAAATTTTGCTGCGCGTAAGAGGCTTGCTGTTGGTTCTGCTGAAATGTAGGATGATGTGATTGTGAAGATTGGTACGAGTTATCGATGGAAAAAGGCGCAGTAATAGGGTTATTGGAAGTAGTAGTCGAATTTTGCCCGGTATTGTGAGTGGTTGTATTGGAGGCAACGACTCTTGATTTCTTGCGTGGAGCCTCCGCCCCAGCTGAGCCCGACGGTATATTACCTGACTGCTCTGTTGAAACAGGGGCAGTATTAGGGGGATGTCTCTGCCGTGAAGTGTTGGATAAGAGGTTGGCAGAGCTCATTTGTCGCTTTGCGCGGGGGCCAGATCGACGCATTTGAGTTTGCCAGCGTCTTTGAAGGGTAACGAGGTAGTCGCGTGTTCGTTTGGCATTTTCGAATGATTGGCCTAGTTCGTCCAGGGCACGGAAACAGAGGTTGAGATATGCGACCATTTCGGCATTTCGGGGGTGAGCCTGGGTCACCTCGCCTGCTTTGGATGGTACTAATGCGGAGCTGGAGACTGTGACGAAGAGTAACATCAAGGCGGCGCTGAAGATGATTGCCACGGACTGGTTGGTCATTCGTCTGAAGGTATAGTGTTTCTCGTATATATGGAGGAGTCGTGCTATAGCTGTAGCGGAATCGATGCACATGCGTCGGGCATGGTGGTAGCCTGGTCCCTGACGGGGAGCGCGAGGTTGGATATAGCTCTTGGAAACCCAAGGTCGATGAAAGAAAATGATGATTTGGTGATATTGCATGCTAAAATATTTGTTAGAGTTGTTATCACAGCAGTAGGGATGGATGGATTTCAAGTTACTGAAGAATTAATAAATGAGGTAGTATAGGCGTAGTATCGTCCTCGGGATTTATCTCAAGATTAGAGGGCAGGTTAGCCTTCCACGCAAACAAGTCTTCGGTTACTTGGAAGCAAAGTCGTTGTAGATCGTGACGAGATATATCAGAGCATCCGTATCTAAATATTGTTAGCGGTGATCCATGTAGTACTTACACCCATCTGGTAGGAGGTGTGGTTAATGAGAACGTACAAAATATGGCCCACGGGGGAAATCATCTCCCATAAAACGACGAATTGCCTGCAGATTAGTTCTGTGGGATTTCTGAGCCCACTTGCATGTTCCTTGTCCTGAAGTCCATATGGATACCAAATGGCCTCCCGCTCCGGCCCGAGGCTTGAAGCAGGTTTTGGCACATTGACGTCCCCGGCATTCATGCGGAATGGTCGGCCAAGATAAAATCCCCAGAAACTATACACATTAGCCACTATAGAATCATGAAAAAAAAATCCGATTTACTTACTGATCTGCTACATAACTTCCCCAGAATGTCGCACGCCGTACATCAGCTTCATGTGGACTGATCTCTCCTTTGTTCACATATTGAGTCATATCAATATGGAGCCCAAGATCAAAGGCTAGACGCATAGACATTCCTAATTTGACGTTAATATTGGGACATCTAGTTGGTCCAATAGCAAGATTTCTCACCACTATAAAGCCAGCCCCGCGCATCGCGATTCGATGCTCCTTCGTGGCAGCTGAGTAGCACAAGGGCTTGAACAGTCGCAACACAAGGGGAATCCAGCTCGATTTCCAAAAGAGCTTTGGCACGATCCGCGAAGAATTCAGCCAGCGATTTAGGGAAAGTGATAAATGTAGGGTGGTATCGAGCCTCAAAAGCACTTCCAATGGCACACCTATATCAAGTTAGCAAGTCACTCAATGCAATAACTTAAATCCAGTGTTTACTGACATGGCATTGGTGAGAACCTCCGAGTAAAACGGTGTATCGTCATATTTGTTTCGCCAATCAGAACGTGCTGTCATGTACATCTCCTTGTCTACGACGTAAATGCTAGGGTTCTGCCACGTGAAATATAACTCAACCAAATGGTCCTCCAAAGCCTGGTCAACAGGTTGGCCAACTCGAAGGTGATTCAGTATATCCTGACCATCATGGCGTACAGTGCGTGCATCAGGCCTTTGGCGCTGTTGCGTTGCAGACACATCCACCAAATTAAGATTGGAGGTAGCGCCATAAAATCGTAAATGACCATCCCCTGCAACTTTGAGTGTTCCGATTCGATGCGAGAGTTGCTCGATAACATCATTCTCGGCCTCATTGTCTTCATCGCTATCGGAATCTTCATGCTGTTCACCTGGCGCCTGGCCAAGTAAAACGCCAGATTGCTGTGCCATATCCATGCCAATTTGAAGATTATCAGGACTTAAATCTGGGTTGACATTCGTTCCCGGTCTTCCGTTGATATTAGCATAGATGGTATCCAAGCTTTCTGCCGTTGGAAGCGTGAAGCCCCAATGCATGAAGTTTTGGCTATCATTCGCGCCTTGCACCATACCGAATGGGTTCCAAGGCCCTATAGATGATGCTAGCTGCTGAGTAGATAATAATCCCGTTGAGGAATTCGATTCCGGAGTGGCTGAATCCATTACTGGCTGTACCTGATGCTCCTTTGGAGCGATTACTGGTGGGCTTTGCCTTGGAGACTCAACCGAAGTAATCGGTAGATTTGGTTTAGTCTCGGAATCCTCATGGTCTTCCAAGGTCGCACCTCCTTGGGCAAATCCACGAGCGATTTGAAGAGTGTCTAACACTCGGTTCATTCCAGCTTCATCCTCCGGTTCCATAGGTGGAGGTTGCAGCCCTTGATCGTAGATGAACTGACATAGTTGATCAATTCGAGCCGAGAATAGCTCGGTGGCCGCTCGAAGAGATACTCTGGGCATTATGTTAGCTAATCATAGTCATTTTCGTCATTCTTAATCGGTAAGATCAGGAATTTGCCCCGCATTAGCGTTCGCGGGGATGCCATTATCCAAGCTGGCATTGCGCATATGACTACGAGCAGAATTCAATTGATAAAAGGGTCTACTCACTTCCGCTTATCATCCCCATGTTGATACTTGCATTCCTTGCCCTTGCGTTGACAATTCTGGCAATGGGGGATCGACCCGTCACACTGCAAGTACACGAATCAGATGCGGCCGGACCCTGCGCCGGATCGAATAGATGGATACATACCCTGATCTTGCTCTCTCGACAAGGAACACAGGCCGTTGTTACATGTTTTCTCGGCGCCTTCTTCGGCTTCTCAGAATCGGGCGACATGGTTGTGAAGTTTTTCTCGGAGGCGACTTCGCCTCCAGGTTTCGGGATCCCGCCGAGTTCAGCCAAATGTGGGGTCGGCGGTTGACGCACTTGAGTCGCGCTCTGGCGACAGGAATACGTAGAAGGATATCACCCAAAGCAGCGAGTGAGGTTACTTAGTAGTGGTGTCGTATCCATAGCTTTATATGTTCATGTATCGCGTATTTGGACCTGAACAGGGTTTTCTCACTCGGCAAGGTTTGGGCCAGTGCAAAATGGTGGTCCAGGTCTGGGGGGCGGGGGTAAAAGGGTCCACTATACCCGCCTATAATACGATGGATGATAAGATATAATCCCATTTCTGTTGGTTTAGACTGATCAGGCTGGTTAGGCTAGATTGACATTACGTGAAGATTTTTAAGAAGAATGAAAATAAAATTATATTTTGCATAGATTTCATATACTATCTTATATTTTTAAAGGATAAAATTTTCATTATTTACCAGTTAGCGCTGGGCTTGATGCGCTCGTTCTGGATAACCTCAACCCAGTATCCATCGGGGTCAAGCAGGAATGCAACATTATGCATTCGGCCATCGGTCAGGCGCTTCTTCCAAGCTAGATCAAGTGACTCGAAACGTTCGCAAGCAGCCTGGAGATCGTCTACGGTGATACCTGGAGAAAAAGGAATATCAATATTAGATTGGATCGGAGCATGACCGAAGGGGTGTCACGGTGAAACTTACAGATGTGGCCGAATCCCTGAGGTTCCGCGTTTCCGTTATGGTATACGGGTCCTTCCTGCTTCTCAGTGCCGTAGTTCCAGGTCAACTCGAGCAGACCCTCCCACTCAGCGACGGCGTTCTTGACACCTTCTTTGATTGGGGGGTTGGAGCCAGGGTAGGCCAGGAAGTACAGGTTAAATTTGTTCTCTGGGTTTTCGATTGTGCGAACAAGCTTCATTCCAAGAGACTCCTGGTAGTACTTCAGACTAGCCTCGGCATCCTTGACACGGATCATGGTGTGGTTGAGGCGATAGCTGGATGGGTCTGTGGTGGGGCCCAGATCCTCATCACCGCGACGAATGATCTCCACCCAATATCCATCAGGGTCTTTCGCGAAAGCAATGTGTCGCATGCGACCTTCCGTCAACTTCTTCTGGAACAGGTAGCCGGCATCCTCGATGCGCTTGCAAGCGGCCTCAATGTTGTCGACCGAGATACAGAGATGGCCGAAACCGCGATGGGGCTCCGTGTTGCCATTGACGACACTGTAGTTGGGATCGAGCTCGGTGCCATAGTTATGGGTGAGTTCGATGTTCGCATTGCGGTCGGTGAAATGGGTTTCCCCCTGGAGAGACTTGGGACCGTCGTAGGTGAGGAAGTAGTTGCAGAACTTCCATTCTGGGTAGTCCATCTTCTTAATCAAGCTCATACCGAGGAACTTGTAGAAGTCCACTGATCGCTTTGGGTCCTTGACCCGGATCATAGTGTCTATGGGGCCATTGTGTCAGTTGTGTTTGTGTTTTCCGTGGGAGGGGTAGCTGCAGTTGGAGGACGGACGGTTCAACTTATAGGTGGAGGGATCGGTAGCAGCCATGGTTAAGGATCTAGTGACTAAGATGCGATTAGTTTGATTCAATCCAATGGGGAAGCATAGAACATACGAGGTATACTAGGTTTGAGGATCCTTTGAGACAAACGCAGCCAGGACATGAAGGATGTTGGAGAAAACTTGTTGGTTTGTCAGCGTGAGGGGAAGAGGGAAAAGTGGGTCTCGTGACTTCATCCACAGCTTTTTGATGACTACAATATACAAGAGACATCAACCTATTACATATAGTTTCATAGTTATTAGTGGAATATTAGGGGATTCTATCATCTAAGATCGTCAGTTCCCTGGGGTACATTAGCCTAGAATCTTATTGCTTTTTTGAATTATTCTAGAATACGAACTCCTTACTCTGCCCCATTATAGTTTGGCCCCGCGGGAACCAGCTTCTCTCTCCCCAACTCCTCTTCTCTCTCTCTCTCCTTCCCACTACCAACTTTCCCCCATCTTTACCTCCACCCCCACACTTTCTTGCCTCCGAAGCAAACCCTACCAACAAAAACATCCAATCGCATTTATACGACCAGCTCATCGCTCGCACAAGCCAGGTACGTGGATTATTCCCAGTGACGACTCTGCACTCCACACCCCAACCCAACCCCGCCCCAGTGCCCAGGTCTGATCGTCCGCTCCCTACGATTGGTCTGTCTTCCCACCCCGATCACCCTCGTGTTGAATACCCTCTCGCGACTATATTTCTTTCCTTTTTTCTTTTTTCCTTTTCCCGCGATTACCACACCTGCATATGCTGCCTAATTCCTTCGCGCGCTCTCTTCTCTTCCAATCATATTCCCATATCTGCCCACGTTCATCCTCCTGCATCATGATCATCTCCGACATGCGGAGAGCCTCGCGGTATCGCATGACTGCAGTCCTACCCTGGCCTCATATATAAATTCCGAGCTTTCCTCCGAGCTTGGCCTTGTGCCACCGGACCCAGCGGGAATAATCGTGTCATCTGGACCCGGGAGCTGTGAGCTGTGAGTCAAACGGCATAGAGCACTCGAGGCTGGGTGTGTTTGTTTCTTTAAAAAATAAATAAACCAAAATCAAAAAGAGAGAAACCCTTAAAAATTGCCTAAGCCAGAACAGAAGGCAGCAGCAGCTTCACCATCCCGCACCATCCATCTTTATCTTCCTCTCTCTCTTCATCTTCCTTCCTTACCCTTTACCCTTCTCTTTCTTTTATCCCATACCCAGCTATGAACATTGAACATCTTGCCCCGTTTGCTCTTCGAATCTTCTCAGAAAAATAGAGGCAATCTATTCATATACCCCCCCGCGCTCTGCGCATGTGAACCAGACCATGGGTTTAAAGATGGCTGAGTTCGAACCACTTCCAGTCTCCAGTTACTTCACCAATCCCAATCCCGACTTCGAGCTTACGCCCAAAGACGCGCCATTCGTTCCATATTGGGCTCATTGTCGCGTGCAGTGCGCGCAGAACCTCCTCCCCGCCTCTGACGAGCCTATCGAGTACGATCACGACGACGAGGACTACAGCGATAATTGTTTCTTCTTCCCCGAAGATTGCTCCTACACCCCACCAAAGGACTGGGTTGTGGAGACACAACACCCACACATAAAAGATAGAGAAGATCAGGTTCAGCAAGATACCCAGGCTACCCTGGGCCGAACCGACAACATGCTTCCCGACCTTCCCGATATCAAAATGCTGGACTCAGAGGCCCTAGGTGATCTTCTAGATGACAATCTCTCTCCTCCAGAGATCACAACTATGATGTATGTCTACCACTCTACCAGATGTGTATGGTTCATCACTAATAAGAAACACAGTGTTTTCGCAACTAACGGTGCTGTCTTCGCATACGCCTCTGCTCTCTCATCACGCCAATTACGAAATCTCAGTGCCACCTACGGCGCCGCTTACACATGCTACGCTAAGACTGCCTCCAGCGGAAATCTCACAGGCGTGAACCCAGCCAGTCACCCATCCTCATACGTAACAGCACAATCAATGTCTTTAGGCGATGTCGGCTCTATTGTCTTTGAACTAGACGATTCCGTCGCAGTGGTGACTCGCATAGCCGACAAAGTCCTTCTAGCAGCGATCGGCCCCAACAAAATCGAACAGGCAACCGCCAACGGTACCGATCCAGAGTACCTAGCCATTGAAAATGGGGCGGCAACCGATCCATCTTCCGGGAATGGCGCCACGTCAGATATCGCTCAAAGTGATACACAACGTGCCGTGGTAGCACCACCATCTCCCAATCCACCCGCCCGAAACGGAGCACTTGATACCCAACATGAAATTGACCGGAGCGTCGATCTAGAACGGCTGGCAAGTCTCAATCTCTCTGCTTCGCCGTCTGTTTTACTGGCACTTGAGTCTAAATGCGCTGCGCTTGGTCGTTTCCTTGGACAGAAATTGCATGATTTGGAGAGTCCGGAGGATTTTTAAAGCAATCTTGAACTTTGCAATCATCCCGGGTTACGAAACTGGAATTTGAAAGTCGGCTATGGAGTAGATATGAATGATCTGCAGAGAACTTGAACTATGATCGTTTACTCCGAGTATTGCATACATGCATGACCTTACGATAAACTTCGAATTTGTTTGTTCAATGTTCCTTGTTAGCAATCTTAGCAAGCGTTATCGCATAGAGCCAAGCAACTCATATATTTTGTTTTCATTATTTTTGATCTATGCCGTTCAATAGTCGTCAAAATCATAGTATTTGAGGTTTCAAGTTATTAAGACAATATATATCTCAAGATGGATCACATGTGTACGTCCACTGGACAATCAAAAATCAAAAAGAAACCAGCTGATACACTCAGAACGAGCTCAAACCCAGCGAGCTAGATGTAGATGTGTGTGAAATGAACCAAGAGCGTATAGAATGGTGGGGGGAAGGGAAGGAACGAAAAGAAAAGAGTGAAGAGAAAAAAAGAGGTTATGAATGCATGATTGAGCAGAGCATAGTGCATGCACGTCCAATATAGCGTAGATCAGCCAAAAGACAACATCAACAAGAAAGAGTAAATTATCAAATTTAAATGTAATCGCGATCTAAGATTTCTCTCCAGCAGCAGTGCCACCAGGACCGGTAAAGTAGCTCCCAGAGCTGGCAGTGCGGCTAAGAGGCTTCGCTGCGGGGTCCGCGCCAGCAGGGGACGTGGCATCCTTTGTATCCTTCGCCGCATCCTTCTCCTCAGAGTATGTAGGTGGGTGGTTCTCCTTCTTACCTTTGATACTACCAACCGGGCTTGGAGATTCAGCAGGCGAAGTAGGCGAGGCAAGCGTAGAGGCAGGAGGAGCAGTAGCAACGGCACTGCTAGGAGTAGAAACGGACGCAGAGCGACCGGACTCCTTAATAACGGACCACCACTTCTCAGCGTTGGAAGCGGTAGAAGCCTTAAAGTTCAGCTCGGTAGCAGTGTGGAAGGCATTGCCCACCTTTCCGTTCGAGACATCCTTGCCCTTAACGCTGAACTTGACGCCGTCGATGGAACCAACGGTGCAGTCGGGCAGATACAGAGACAGCTCGGGGGAGGGATCTTTACGGAAGTCGTCGTCGTCCTTGTACTCGTGCAGATAACCTGCGGGGCTGATAACGTAGTATCCTGAGCTGAAGCCCTTCAGGACACCAGCGCGGGAGCGACGCTCCAGGGAGCCCTCGAGGAGGGGCTGGGTAGAGCGGTGGTCTTGGTTGGGGAAGGAGATGTTGGCAAACTCGCGGGGAGGGGAGTCAGGATTGACGAGCTTGGCGTCGTTGCTAACGCAGAAGTTGATCCATTCGAAATCGGGAGGGATGCGCTGGGCAGCGCCGAGCATGTCGCCGTACATGGCGCGCTGGAGGTCCAGCTGGGTGCCCATGATCTGGGAGAATTGCTCCAGTGCAGCTTGGACGGTTTGTAAGACGTGGGCCTCGAACTGCTGGAAGGAGTTCTGGACAGTGAGGATGTCGTTGCGGTGGTTGTTTTCCTCGGCAACCTGCTTGTTGAGGCGGTGGTTGATTTGACGCTTGAGGAGGTAGGGATCGTGCTGGGGCTCGATCTTGCTGCTCATGTGGGAGTCGTGGGAGGCGGAGTGTTGGCCTAGGAGCTCGATGTGCTTTTGAGTCAATTGACGGGCTTTCTCTACGGCTTTGGCTCCCTTTGCTGCACCGCTCTTCAGTTCCTTGGATTTGTTTTTAATTTCCTTGTGGAGACGTTCGAGGGTTGGGAGGACGCTGCCTTTCAGGTTCTTTTCGGTATCGAGGAACATGTTCACCATTCCCTAGTGGAAACTTCATTAGATCCTGGATCATCGGTTTGGAGGGAGCGTAGAATATTCATACCTGGGAATTGTTACGCAAGTTCTGGAATAGCCCAGCCATACCTCCCTCGGACGCACTGAAGTGATGGGCCTCCTTCATTGGCTCGCTGACCGTCTGTTCCAACCATCAATATTCAACTAGTCGATCCCGAAGGTTCCATATCCGAATAATAAACAAAGGACTGACCTTAAGAATCTTCTCATGGTCCTTGGACTGATTCCTCGAAATCTTGGCAGTGGTCGTGACATAGTCCTCCAAGTTTCCAGTCATGTGCTTCCATGCACGAAGACGCTCGATCAGGAGGTTGGTAGTCTAATATGTCAAAGAAAGATATTAGCCGCCGTGCCCCGCGATTCCCAATCTCTCATACCACCAACATTTACCCGGAAGTATTGATAAACATACCTCGCTGCTATCGGTATCCGGGATAGCTTCATCATCACTCATAGAAGTACGACGAGTCAAGCCGCTGGACACAGTAGCCGACCGCTGGGGGAGCTTGTGCTCCACGGGGCTAACTGGAGTCGACATGGCGACAAGGAAGACAAGAACAGAACAACCCAAAAGAAAACAAAGCTAAAAAGAACCTCACCAAAGACAGAAGTATCGATTCAACTGTCCCAGTCAATGCTCAAGCTTCTTGGCCTTCTCTCAATCTTCTGGAAGGGGGGAAGTTGGAAAATGCGGGATGCGGGATCGGTGTTGTGCCAGTGGACACTTGTGGCTGAGAGAAAACCGGAAGAGCCGTAGAAGCGCTAGTCTATAGCCGGACTAGTCGTTTGAACGGAGCAATGGAATGGCAACGAGGAATGTAATTTGGCCAAAGGTGGGGCCTGATATATTATTGTACTACTGCACTTAAAGCAAAAGTCGTGGTGCGGTGGGAAAATTGGTAAAGTGGGATGGGACAAGTGTGCATTCTTAACTTTGCGGCGATCGGCCATGAATAACGCCTATGAAGTCATTGCCCGCATCTGTGGCGTTTATGCAACATGGAAAACGTCCAGCGAAAAATCTAAGTTCGCTGCCCAATTCCAAATCTACCTGTGATTGTATTTCAAGGTTTCCATGTCAGATTGATGAGATTGGCTAGATCGATAGATCTGTGGGATTTGTTGATTCGACCCTTTAGCCTTTCGCGCATGCGACGCGTCGAACGCCACATACATTAGTACTGATCTTTGGGGGAGGGACGGGTCTTCGCGCTAATATGCTTAGAACCATGTTTTTGGGGTCGCGCCACAAAAGAGGTGGAGCCCATTCTTGCCAGGTACAGAGGGTGATCATGAGCGAATGCGGACGGAAAGGTTACATCTTTTGTTCAACAATCCCATTATGGTGTTATCTTGATTTTGTGGCCGGGCGCAGCATGTGGATCTACAGTATATTCTACTGAATCGGGATACCTATGGAGGGGCAGTCATCGATTTGAAAACCAGTACTCAGTAGCCAGGTAATAATGCATTGTGCTCGGTATCAGATTAAAGTACATGCGACTTGGGTGCGTGAATCGTGTTGGGGAGTCTAATTCTGAATTCTCCCTTAAAGCTGAGGTTCGTGAGAGAGAGAAAAAACCAGAGAAAAAAGCAAATGATCGTCAAACCGTCTATGGAATATCCCATCCTGTCTAATATTCAAACGCCGAAATGTATGAGTCAAAAGCAAAAAAAAGACCACCCATGATCTGGTGGGTGGGGTGGAAAATCATAGCCCTCATGTTGAGGTAGGGAATAGATGAAGAGTGTTATAGAGGCAAGATCCAGTGTCCAGCACTGGAAAAATCACTTTTGTGCGGAGTAGGGTTGGTGGGGGGGGAGGGGTAAAAAGCGAAAACTGTCGAGAGGTAAAGTCAATCCCATAGAAGAGACACGTTGGTTTATCACGTTCTAGCGCGGGCTTGCACTAATCGGAATCTACGTTCGGCGTCATCAGCATTGGTGCTTCCGGAGCCGAAGTAGCTAATACGACTCACCTCCAAGGGCGTGGAGATTCCACTAGCCCGTCCACTGTTCCGGCCACTTCGTAGATAGGCCTGCTGTGGAGATTGGAGTAATGGGGTGGTCGGCAAGCTACTTGCAATGACCGCATTATAGTCGGGAAGGCCAGAGTCAAAAGAGCCCACATTAGACCGCACTGCAGTTGAATAGCTGGGAACTCGACTCAATGTTTCGACCTCGGCGAATTGAGGATGGAAGGGGGTTGCCATTCCTGATGGGAGAGCTTCATGATCAACCTCGTCTGAAGGTCTCCGGGAAAGTTCAGGGCTACCAGGAGTGTGTGAATTAGATCCCGAAGATGGTCCGAAATAGTCATTGAAATGAACATTCAACTGCCGTGAGTTGGGATGGCTCTCAGTCGGGGACTCGTGTGGAGGCTCGCTGGGGGAGGGCTGGCCCATGGTATGCATATTGTGCAATCCCTGGATTCCCTGGAGACGAGTTCGTAGCGCCGCAGCAGAGATGTCGGTGTTGGTCAATGCGTTCATGGAGGCGAGGTTATCGGTGGAAATGTTACGACTCAGGGCACCGCCTGGTGTGTTTGGTCCGCTGCCGGGGCCTGGTGTGCGGTATCCGTTGGGGTCGACCTGACTATATAACTGATCAAACTGGTGCTCTCCATATAACGGAGGTGCCTGTTGAGCGGCGAACTCGTCGGCGGCTCGTCGTTGATTAGCCGACACCACACTCTGGTCAAGGATGTTGTTGTTATCGTCAAGGCCAATGCTTGGGGAGATGAAGATTGAGACCGGGAGAGTTGCACGAAGCTAGTTTTAAAGTCAGCCTGGTCCAATCACGGCAACTAATCACAGGATGCTGCAAAAAGAACTTACTTCACTGATATGTCCATCAGGGTTGTGAAGTTGAATACGGAACTTCAACTTATGACGAATCTTAATGCCCTTGGTGTCTGTGTCCTGCAAACACCTAGTCAAGCTCGATGGCATATCGAGATAACGTGTGAATTGGTAACCTTCAGCCGCCTCATCAATAACCTCAATACTATCATCATTCAACTCATGCTCATCGGATAAGATGGTGCGGGTGATCTTGTAGGTATTGCGGATGGAGTCAGGGTCTTCCGGGTTGAGAGTAAGATCGTGGCTTTCGATGAGCTGTGAACTGGTTTGTCCGATACGCAACCCCTTCAACAGAGGAATCAACTTGAAATCCACACGAATCGAGGTTCCAAATGGAACAGCTTTGGTCGGAGTGCTGATTGAGTACTCAATCTTGTTCGGCCAGATGTTATCGACAGACTGTAAAATTGACCTGTTAGTGCCCCGCCTACCCCACCAAGGGATTCAAAATGAGATCGACATACCATCGCATGTGAAAGCTCTAGCGCACTCGGGTCAAGTGTTCGGATAATGCGCAGGGGCTTTCGCGCCACAATGTCTTTAGCGTACTTCCTTCCGATCTCGGCCTTGAAGCGGTACATGACCCAAGTCTCCGATAGACCCTCCACACTCTCAGGCATTGACCCCTCTAGAAAAACTTCGAAGGGATACTCGTAGTTCCCTGCCTGTAAGAGCTCAGTTTTTCCTTTGCCAGCATCACGGAATCTGAATGTCTTGTCGTAGAATACGCGTTCTCTCCAGGATTTGCGACCACCGGCGGTCGAGCTAGAAGGTAGGTGCCAGCTGTGATTCCGTAGGGTTAGCAGCTTGATCATGTCTCCATGTGGCGCTGAGATCGGGTCACATACCAGACACGCGACATTCCTGTGAGCTCTAATCGGATATGCTTGATTGCGAGCGGCTCCGACAAGCAGAGAACCAGTGTTCCCTTCAAGAGGGCACCAGCAGCTTCATGCTCACTTCCGCGGAACACGATATAGTCATCGTTCAATCTAAAAATCAGTTAGAACTGAGCTGTCGTTGCCTCACTCTGCATGATGCCGGCATATTCAGATCCACGTACCGAATATCAAAGTACTTGGCATTGCTTGCGCTCCCGCCGCCACTAAAGAAGCTGAGAGCCATTTTGAATTATGGCCACCACGGCGACTGGGAGCCGGGTTGATAGAAAATCAAAGATAAAGAAATTGCGCAATGGCAGAGACGATTTAGGGAAGCTGGACAAGATCCAGAAGTAGAAACGAGAGAAATGGGAGTAGGAAAAATAATAAACCACCAGGGTATGACACAGGTTTTTTTTTCTGAACGAAAACCCTCTATGATCTACCGGACAATGTCCAGAATCGCGCAAGCTGGTCCGACCAAACGGGTCCCACTGTGTAGTGGAGATGTGCCGTTTCCGGTTGCAAAGTCAAAGTGGCGATAGAGACGGAGATGATGCGAGCCCTGAAGGTGACTAACCGAAAGTGGGATGTCGCGATAAGAAGAATCTGTTCACCGGAACAAGCGGCGAACAAGATCAAAAAATAGGGGATGAAAAGGGTAGGGTTAGATGGAAAGTAGAGAGGATGAGAAAAAACGAATGAGTCAAACGAGACAGAAAAAAAGAGAATAAACCAGACTAATAGACGAATGAGTTTAGGGGGGCTTTTTTTGACGTTGATCTGCCTTTTACGTCAGCGATGGGATCATTCGAAGGTCAATATCACGGTCGAGATTCGTTATGGATGATTATTATTGTATTTGTTGTTATCGTCTGTTTCTTTTTTAGCAAATTACCGCATTTGTTTCCGATATTTATTTTATATTTATATTTATATTTATTTTTTATCTTTCTTTCTTTCCTCTCTCGATAAGACGAACATCGATCCCTATTTCAGCCCTTCATCCCGGGTAACGGAGGACTCGGGGGGACTTCCGTTTACCCAGTATATTTCCCGGTTAGATCAATGACTTGGCCTGGAACCTGGAACTTGTAACCTCGGGATCGCCCTTCCCGCACCTTTCGCGCGCGATCGATCCTCTTTTTTGGGCTCCTCTTTAGGATGATCGTGCCTGGACGCATAACATGCAGGTTACACGACATGATCGTTATACTTTCTGCACTCCACTCCCACAGCATGCTCTTCTGCATCTCCTACAGAATTTCATCATGAAACGCAAGCGAAGTACAAAGTATAGGGCTAGTGCCTAAACTAGCTATCGACCACTTATTGGTACTACCTTGGCCTTGGCCCATCTGCTGATCCCTAATATCGGGTGTCACAACCTCGCTGCCTGTGCGCATAGCCGCTGAAGAGAGAAGCTGATGACCCGCTGAAGAGAGAAGCTGATGACCCGCTGAAGAGAGAAGCTGATGACCAGGATTATCTCCCATGTAAATCCTCCTGGATAGGTAACTTACTACAGATTCGTAAAAAGTGGCGTAGATATCATCTTCGTGTGTGTATAGATAAATCGATCCTATAGGTGCATCATCCCTGGTCGGGGGCTTATGATCACAATCACACTTAGCATTGACACCCATGTAAACAAGGAAGCTGGCAAAATGCATCTACTTATACTAAAGTGTCACGTACCATGTATGTATCATGTAATCCGTCTGTACTCCGTCCACAGTTCTAGATCTGCATGTGTGTGTGTGTGGGTTACCCTCATAATTGGATGTCCCTGTGCTATCACTAAAGCTCATACTGCCAACAAAGCCCCACTATGTAGGTGTCACTTTGTTCACCGGCCACACCAACCTAGCTTGGTGTCCCTTGGTACAGATGACGAGGAATTGTAGGTTCTGACGTGTATACCACATCCATACCTTGATTCATGATTGAAAAAGAAAGAATCGCAAAAAATAGATTATTCTTCTCACTTCTTACTTGAGTTGGAAGAAGATAAGGCATCCCGCGCCATTTGGACCCTTCCTAGACGAGATGCACTCGTCAGATGGCGTCTGCACGCCTCATGCGCCAGGAAGTTACGCACGAACAGCGATTTCTTTGGGCGTTCGTCGTTTCCTCTCATTGAAACCAATAAAGATAAAGCATCGATAAGCTCCTGACCCGCCATGGTGAGCCAGCCCAAACCCAAATCTATACAAGTGTGGTCTCGGCCTGGGCTGCCGACCGCGGGCACTATCGGGATCCCTTCATATGAAAATGGCTCGGGCGTTCCCGCTCCTCGGAATCCCGACTGGGTGCCGATATTTCTTTGATAGTCTTTTCCTGTTACGCGTTTGTGCCGCCATCGGACATTTGTACTCCTGACGATCCCACAAATCACGCATAGAAATACTCTGCTGAAGGAGGCTGTGTTTCAGTTTTTTTTTTCAAGCTCCTGCATGGGGCTTTATGTGATAGTGATTTGTCCCCTTCTGATGTGGATGTGATACATGTCCAATTTATTAATGGTCTTGTGCTTTCAAGGATTACATATTATGGCCCCTGCCCATATGACATAGTAATAAACGTGACAGCGGGTAAAGCTGAGCGACATACTACTAATTAACCGAGTCTGAAGCACGCCGTTCTTCAATGTTCTCATTTATGTACTGATATTGTGGGTCTGAAAAACTAGACATGCTTTCCAAGGTCCTCAAGTTTTTCATATTTCACTCGACCCACCTTGAAAAAAATAAGTAGATCATTGACGGTGAGCTTTTTAGCTAAGATCGGAGTTTTCCCTAGCCATTGATTGTGTACCCGCTCAGCCTGGATCCAGTATCCGGTGAAAAATGGATTCCAGAACCACTGGCAGATCCTGTTTCTACATTTCAGCGGGTACTCCGAGCCATCACATCATCTAGACCCATCCATTGACGATAACATGGGTTTGATAGCCTTATCTCTGCTCCCCAATCAGGGAATGTAATTGCCAGGATTACTCAGACGCCTGGAACAAGTACATATGTAGAACGCTGGATTTACCATTTTCGAATGAGCTTGTTCTAGTGTTTCATTGCCATTTGAGTATCATTGTGGATTCTTCTCCTAAGATGCTGCGTATAACATTTTGAATACTCTGAGGGAGAAACATCACACCTTGAATAGAGCAATATAAAGCGACTTTAAGGCTAGAATAACCTCGAAAGCTTACGCTTAAGTACTTGCATTTAAGATTTTTGATCTAGATACATGAACTCTAACCTAGTTACTGTACGTCCCTGTCAACTGAGTGCCAAGCTCAAGATTCAAGTCGATGCAGTCCATCTTTCTCATCCTGGTCCAACTATAGAAGTATCACCAGTGCAAGAACAAAATCCCGCACGGCACTTCCAAGACGCACTACCGGAGAAACAAAACTGAGTCAATTTTTAAATGAAAGGGAGGTAAAATCGCCCCTAGCCTTATCAGTCTCGCTTGTCAGCTTCCGAAACAATCAAAGAGACGAAAGCTGGTGGCAAAGATAACAAAGACAGACAGACACAGACAAAAAGTGGAGATGTTTAAGAGATCCCATTTACCAATTGTTGGACAGAGATCCAGCACACCACGCCAAGAGACAAGGAGATAAGATAAGAAAAACGTGAGAAAAGAAGAAATTTCCAAAAAGAGATCCCACACGTACGGTATGGCCGGTCCAGAGCTCCATAGTTGACCCACTACAGGTCTTTCAGACAGCCAGGGTTGCTGTTTAGTGGGTTCGATTTTACTGTATATATGTTGGTAGGGCAAGAATCGGGGACTAGACCACAAACAGTGGAACCAAATGCAAGAATCGAAAGACTCTGTTGACAACCCCTGAAGCTGTGCATATTTTATTTCCAATGGCATGATCACCGCCTCTTCCTACATGGCTGTACTTACGGAGTGCTCCGTTCTCCGTGCGGTCGTCATGTTAGCATTGCCGAATATCGGTAATTTGTTTTTGCCATCGTCTGACTTGAGCTTTCTTTCTCCCGGCGCTGTCGTGATCAATCAACATCACCAAAGGAAACAGCCGGAGCTAAGTTGTATAGCCCCGGCGATCGCTTTTGCCAAGATCGAAATGGCTAAGAATTTTTGCGCTCGGTAGACGCCAATCAGACTGTATTGTGCCGCCACATGGTTTGTTTGCCTTATGTCAGGTTCTGGGGTAACTACCTCAGGCTATGTTTGATCGAGTTATAGTTATGTGGATACGATTCAATATCAAGCTCCCTTCTATATATTACTTCTATAGTCCATATCGGTGTTTGATATATCCTCACCTATTCATGTCTTTAACTGGGTCCGGGATATGGAACAATACTAGTAGATAGGAATTCTATCCTTCACGCTAGCACATGAGTAGGTACTATTGTCTTCCGAATGTTGCATGATGGCCGATCAACATTGTACATAAGACTTCGGACATATGTGTGCGGTTACACGACATCAATTGCCACTGGACTCATTACTCGGTATTGCCTTCTGGCTTTGTTCGCGGAAGTTCGTAATAGCGGCACAACCCGCCCCCAAGCAACACTGCCTAGGGGCTAATCACTTTAACGGAGCGAGAACAATGCACCAAATGGCCGATCCAAAAGTCGTTTCCCGGCTGGATCTACCTCTCCTGCATGTCATAATCGAATGTGATGTATATTGCAGAATTCTGGCCCGCTTGGAATATTCGGTGTTCTCGCCGATGGTTTCTAATTCAAGGAAGAGCTGCCGAACCTGATATTAGATGCTAGCTAACTATTACTAGTAATTGCGGGGTTGAAAGGCTCACGAATCAAAAGTCGATTCATACTATCTTTAGGATACTCTGAGTCATGCCAGTGCTGGTCTCAATAATGCAGATACATAATTGACAGACTGGTGTTTTCAATGTTGTACTCATGCAATTCTTCATACTGAAGTTGTGTCAATGAACTGGTTTTTGCTTGCCTGTATAAATTGGATACAAATAATCGAACCATTAGAACTTAAATATCACCAAAAAAGGCGGACTATGAGCAGGACGGTCAAGGCAATCAATCGCAGTTAGCTAAACCGTGGCAGGGTATGAATTCTTTCACGATTATATCATCCCGTCTAATAACTACAACATTTGAATTTATTGTTTCACGGCTTAGGCTTTCAACCGTATATTGCTTAGATGCCGGTCTGGTGTATTTCAGGGACTCAGTGAGCAGGTCCCGGTAGTAATTATGTTCATAGTGATAGATAGAATAGTAATAGAATCAGCATCGAGGAAAAGATACACCCCAAAACACAGAATGCAAAGACAATCGTCTTGCACCAAAATAACAACTTCGCTATTGTTGCTGTGTACAAAGTATTAAAGCATCAATCTAGAGATTGAGACATGTCTAGGTTGGTAAGGCGGCATTGGACGTCTGGCTAGCCAGTCTGGTCCCACATAACCAGGCCGAGACAAGTAAGTGCCGGTCATAGGTTGTGGTTGATGGATATTGCGAAGCCAGGGCCGATATTTTGAAGACAGACGCGGCGGGTGGTGAAGGATTTCGAATCGTAGGTTGATATGATAGGAACACATCTCGAGCCAGCAAGATCATGCTCGGCCATGACGTAGATATAGAGGGTGAAGGTTGTTTAGCGAGCTAAGCCGAAAGTATGATGGGCGTTTAAAATATCCAGCCCAAGATAATGTAAAGCAGGACACCTGCTCCAATGACCATGCCTGCGATCTTGAGTACCGCGACGGTGTCGCCTTGTTTCGCCATTCTTGTCAACCGGGAGGCGCTGCCTTTCAAGTTCGTGGAGAAGGATGAGAAAACTTCGTTCTAAGTAATCCGTCAGGGTTAGTCATTCACCCGCATTGTCTTATTCTCACTTGGGGCCATTATGGATGTCTCTTCGAGGAAACGTACCGAGTGATCGAGCGAGTCTTGATCCCGAGCATTATCATGAATATCGATCGTTACATGGCGAAGGGCGGAGACTTTGGATGAGAGAGAGTTGAGGAGCGCATTGTTTTGTCTAGAAGGGGAAGTCAGTCTTGAGAACGAATGAGGGCGTAGGGGCGAAGGGGCGAATTGTTGGTCGTTGGATAGCGCCAACTGACGACTGTGGTAGTCTTAAGGAAAGGGGGGCACGTACTGCTCTCGTTCGTAAGCGTCACCCATCTTGAAAGTTGAGAGAAGCTACCAGGTCTTCAGTCGAGTGTAGTTTTATGAATTCCGGAGGGTGAAGTTGTGGCTGAGAAAGAGGATGCAAGAGTGATTAAGATGGCGAGTGGCTCATCTGGGGAAATCGGCGGAGCCAATCCGTGGACGCCGAGGCTGTTGCTGACAGGTCATGTGACCACATCTATCTATATGTAGCACATGGAGATTTACCGAGCCAAAAACCTTCAAAATGAATTCCATTTATGTTTATTTCCATTCTTCTATGATTCGAGGCTTTAGTAATCTATTAAATGAGAGTTTCCTCAGCATACAGATCATGGTGTGGCCAATGTATGATGGATCATATACAGAAGCCGAGCATACCCTGCCATCCAATGAGTCCCCACCTCGTCCAACAGACTGGCAAACTCCAAGAAGATACGCTGTGCATGACGAGCACCAGAATCATATCGCTTGCCATCAATCAAAATTGGTCCGCCAAAACGAATAAACCTAACAGCAGGGTCATCTAATTTTGTGGAATTACGGGGTACCATGCTTGGTGATTCAGGATTCGAGATTCCTTCGTCCCCGATTATCTTCCAATCGACAACTGAGCTATCCAGATCGAAATTAATACTTCTAGGACCGGGGCTCTCCTTACAAGCCATATCTGGACTGACTAGGACATAAAAGCCAAGGATGAGGGCAGATATGAACAAAGTTCGAACCGACTGAAACGCTGTTCCATCTGCGGGTTTTCGATGCGATAGAATGCGGAGTGACTGGACTGCATGAAGACATGCTCTCCGTGCAGCTGGGGTGCATGCCCAGGAGCTGAGGGTTTGTCTAGCATCAAACATTGGTTGCGGACCGTCGTGACCAGCAGCACGAAAAAGAACATTGATATCAATTGTTAACAGCATCCAAATACTATGCCATATGACGATGCCATTTGGATTGGATTCACGGAGATTTGTATCGTATAACTGAATCAATTGCATGAGGAGAGGGGCAATTATGCTTGCGCGCTTATCGAGACGACAAATATTCCATGGGATATGTTGGTGTTGATCGACTGGTAACAGGTCTGAGCAGACAACCAATCGGTGCGTATCTGCAAACGCACGGAGGAGAACGGAGCACAATAGTCCGTACATTGAATGTATAGGTATCGGCCCTTGTAGATCGGGTAGGTGAAATGTATGTGATGATAATTCGAACTTTTGGTTCGGATGAGGGGTTTCGTTGAGCAATCGAGACCACTCGGCTGGCGTTGGGGCTTTGTAAAGGCTGACTTCCATAGGTAGGCAAAGAACTAAGTTATCAGTCGAAATGATTGGATTCATCGAGAACAGCCCTGATAGCCAAGAGTCATGGAGCACAAGACCTATGATCAGACTAAATATCATTGATATTAGACAAAGGGTATCATGAATGTTATTTGGAATATGTATCTGACCATACTTTTTCGTTGATTCCGCTCGGCTCCAAGCAATCCATTCAGAAGAATTCCGCTGCTGTTCAGTATTCGCTGAAAACAGCATGTCGTAAGTATCATCAAAACTTGAACAGAAGAAACCAAATCTTTGCGCAGTCTAGAAATATAATTAGATGACAACACCAAAAAGCGTCAATGCACACACATTGAACTCACCTTTGTAACATGTAAGTAGAGGCTCCGGGACTTTTCCGGGTAAATATTCCCCTGGGACGTGTTAGAAAGAGAACGCTACAGGAAGAAAAATGATTGCTTACCCCTGTTGAAATAAACAAAAACAGCGTATGATGTGCCAGCACAAGATAGCTCAGAAGTTGGTTCGGCGCATGGAAGTTTATACTCGTAGAAATAAGTTGAGTGTGAACCTCGTTCAGAATGGTCTTTACCAGACAAGAAGATGGAAGCATTAGCTGCAGCTAGATCAAGGATTGCAAGTAAGAGCCATGTTTTCATTGTACATACCGGATATAGTTCTCGGATAAAATCAATAGCGTCGTCGGTCTTGAGAAAGGAAACCCCAATCATTGACATGACAAATAGTAGTAAGTCAGAGACTTTGTCGGAGTCGAAGGTCGCAGGATGAAGGACCGGGTAGGTGGGTTGATATCTGCGACAGTAGAGATAGAATCCCTGTTCAAAAACCTCTATGTTGTTGATACAAATAGACTCGAGACCACATCTCAGATCGTCGAAGAAGTCATTACATCCACACACGAGAAGTTTTCGCTTCAAACCCCTGAGTCTTACTCTGGAGCTTTCTGTCAGGCTGATCTCTGACACGTTGCCTTCCCTGCCAAGGGGCTGTGTAGAACCAAGCTCTGTGCGAAGGTCATAGCTGGAAAATATGTTTTCTGAAGAGCTAAATGCGATATCTTGCCAGAATTCAGATTTGGCTTGGGCAAAGTCGCTACTCGAAGTTGCAGGCCAAAACTGTTGAATTTTGCTTGCGATCCCTTCAACGCTGTCACACCTTGAATTTGGGGCGCTTGGGCTAAGTTGAACTGGGCCAGTAACTATGTTTTCAAAGTTCTGCGAATCCAAGAACGGTGTGGTAGTCGGCGGATCAATCGTGCTTACAGACTGTTCGAAGAGAAGTCTGAAAACATCTGCGTTCGAGCTACTTCTGTCCACACTTTGAGCATGATAGTCTGGGATATTCCCACTGGTAGATACATTCTCGTTCAAGTATGGATGTGTGGTCATAAAAAGATCATCATGGCCTTCGAATGTTGGATCCGATATCCCAACAGGAATGAGAAGCTCATGAGTAAGGTGATCATCAAAGGCAGGATCCAAGGGTGGTTTGTATGCAGCTTGTTGTTCAAATGGGTCAATTGGAGGTTCCTGGTTTGAATTAGCTCATAATCCAACCACCAGATTTCATGTAAAGATGGCTCACAGGGACTTTTGGTTTACTCTCTATTGTATGGTTTCGACGATGGCGTAAGAGAACATCCCTACCAAATTAGCCTACGCCAATGAATTTGGACCGAAAATCTAACCTTCGTGCAAACTGCTTTGAGCAAATGGAGCATACATATGGTCTTTCTCCGGTGTCTACCTTCGTTGTCAGAATGGAGGCTCTTTCAAGCTGGTGATGCCAGTCGGCCGGAGCAGGGAAACATACGGGCTAATTGATGACGGTTGAGGTGCTCCGTCTTAGAGAATGTCTTGTCACATCGTGTGCAAGATATCCTATGTGAACCACCTTTGCGTCGTGTTCGCATTGTGTTCAAACCCATTCATATGGAATAGGTGGGAATATCTCGGCCAAAAGAATTGGAAGTGCCGGCTAATGGTTTGCGGGGTCGCTCCTCTCCTGAAACTACTGCCTCATTTGCCAGGCATCAACAATTCACTTAGGTTAACTAGTTAAGTTAGGGACTACTTTTAATAGCTCCGTTTAGGGAGCTTGGCATGGAGTTTTGCTGTGCCAAAGGAAAACAACGGTTGTTTCATCTTTAATCTATGCAGGGGAAGTAGGACACGTTTTGAGACAATTTACTCGGCGAGCTACGATGGATGCAGCTAGACGCCGAGAACGGGAGCTGACTGTAAAACAGAGGATCCTAAAAATTGTGCACAAAATCCACACAACTAAATATCTGTAAAATTTTGATACAAAGTTGCTCCCAGCCTTGAGTATCCCGCATAAAAACTCCCTATCTAGACGCCACCATAGTGGGAAACAAGGGTGGGGAGGAACGAACCCCCACATCCCACATTCCCTGGATTAAAACGCGGGGAATCAGTTCGATTGATGAGATCTATCAAGAACTTTAAATCTTTCAATGTGGGGACATGTGGCATCCTTCCAAAACGTTGTAGAGAACACTGAATATAGTAGACACTTATAAATTGCTAGATAACGCCCCATAAAATATGAAAATATCGGTAATAATCTCAAATCCTTTTTCGCGATTCCTTTCTACACAATGGCCATCCTTCAAGCCTTAGACCATCGCATCGAGTTTATATCCGCAGGTCTCTTTCTCTCTTTAGTTGGATATGTAGTCTATCAACGCTATTTCCATCCACTGTCGAAGTATCCAGGGCCTTTCCTCGCCTCTCTCACCGATTTGTGGCAAGTTCATCAATTCATGACTTTAAAACAACCCTACGCCCTCACAGAGCTACATAAGAGATACGGTTCGATCGTCCGATATGGCCCGGATAAACTAAGTATAACCGACGAAGAGTCTATTAAAGCAATATATCAATCTGGCGCTCGGTATATGCCCAAAACAGAATTCTATGATGCTTACGGGGCAGCTCACCCTAACGTGTTTGGCATTCGTAATGAATCCGTGAGTTTCATTTCTTCATGGCCATTTTAACAATATGCGTTGCTTATGTTAAATCTTTAGCTTCACTCCATACGACGCCGACACATGTCGCATAGCTTCTCAACGGGTTACATGAAAGAAATGGAACAATATTTAGACGCGAATATCAAAATTCTTCGACAGAAAATTTCAGGTTATGCCTCTACCAAAGACGCCTTTGACCTCAAAAGGGTATTACAATTTTATGTCATTGATGTACTGGGTGAACTAGCCTTCAGTCAGACATTTGAAGTTCAAACCTCTGATGATGAAACTCGTGTCCCACCTGTGGTCGAACATAGCCTACTTGCAGCAGTGACTGGGGCTTGGCCTATGATGACTGAACGATTGAAGCGGTGGCTTCCACTTATTCCACACAAGGGTCTACAAGCCTTATTCAAAGGCCGGCAAGCTTGTGCCGATCTTGCGTCGCGCTGCGTAGCTCTTCAGTTGAATGCTGTCAGATCAAAAGGTTCAACAAATGACACACCGAAGAGAAAAGACATCCTCACGAATTTGATTCTGGCAAAGCATCCCGATACAGGAGAAAGCTTAACCCAAACAGACCTTGAAACTGAAGCATTTGGATTCATGTAAGATCTTTCTCACGATTATACATGCAGTGTGTCCTATGGCTGCTAACTGGAAGATTTGCTCAGTATTGCGGGTACTCATACAACCAGTGCCACAACCACATTACTATTCTACCACTTGCTACATAATCCAGATTCGATGGCAAAGTGTGTTACAGAGATTGACACCAGCTTGTCAATTTTGCAACCAGATGAGAGCGCTTATTCGGTCACTGTAGCTGAGACCTCGCTACCCTACCTTCGAAGCTGTATGAAAGAAAACTTTCGTATCACACCAGTTTTTACGATGCCTCTTGCCAGGCGGGTCATGATGCCTGGAGGAGTTACCATTGCTGAAAACCATATTCCCCAAGGAGTGAGTGCATTCATATTTCTGCATTGAAAATCTTCAACCCAATCAACGTGCATTTCTGACAATATCATCAAAGACTTCAATTGCCGTCTGCAATCATGCATTCCACCACAACCCCGATGTATGGGGACCAAAACACAACGTCTTTGATCCATCACGATGGGAAGACAAAGAAATTGGTAATAAATCTCGGCTACTGATGCACTTTGGATTGGGCGGTCGTCAATGCATCGGGAAGACACTGGCCATGGCCAACATCTACAAATTGATGAGCACTTTATTGAGCGAATTTGAATTTGAACTGGCCGACAAGGAGGAGGCGAGACGAGCATCGAATGGCGAGTTTCGTGGGGAAATACCTGAGTTGATCAGTGTCGGAATTAGTGATTTGGCTACTTCCTTGATTGTTCGGGCTCGAAAGCGGGGGAGATCTCTCTGAGCACTCGAAAATATTCCTTCTGTGTGAAAATAGCAGTTATTGGTAATAAAATCGGGGTAGTTAAAATTGTACCTTGTCATACTTAAAAACCGGATTACATATTATAAAATACTGACATGCGTTCATTACCTGTCAGAGCTGGAGTGTGCGACCGTGATGCCCCCCCGGCCCCCCCCCCCACCTGATTCTTTTGTATGATTATCACGCAGAACAGGCAAAAACAAGTATAATATCTTGAACGACTCATCCACTTCGCAGGCAGTTTTCTTTGGTAGCACACCGCGACCTAGAGCGGCAGCCTGAGAATTCAACGAGTTTAAGCACAATTACGATCAAAAATGGCAATGGTGTGCTTCCAAACAATAGAGGGGAACCCCTTCTCCCGGAGCTGTGCCATCAAGGCCTTGTTGGTTGCGTCCTTTCCATTATGGTTGAGAATGTAGTAACCACTGGCGGATGCATTCGTGGAGTTCTTCTTGGAAGGAAACTCTGCGGAGGTAGAAAGCCAAGTCTGCCACTCTCCAGAATCAGACATGGAAATGGAGATGGGCTTGATCAGGAAGCCCATGATGGAGCCGACAACGGATCCCATGCTATTCTTCAGAACCGGTGTTGCTACAATGCCGGGGAAGACGTGGAGGAAGCTGATCGATGGGTGGTCGAAGGCAAGGGTCTCGAATGCGAGAGACGTCATGGACGCTGGGTAGCCGTTGCTAGTAGAAAGAGAGAACTCCTTATGGAGGTCCAGATTGTCTTCTTCGATCTTGATTTCCTTACCCCCAGCGAGAATGCTGACAACACGGGGAAATTTGGCGCTTTCAAGAGTAGGGAGAAGATTGAAGATGAAACGCATGCGGCTGTAGTACCGAAGGATATGGTTGATGTCGATCTTCGCGTCAGTCTCTGTGCTTGGCTTAGTCTGTCTGGAGTGGAAGTTTTCTGGGATACAGTGTCTTCTCTTACCTTTCTTGCTGAAAGCAATGCCTCCAGACGTAAGAAACAAGAGATCCAGAGCTACAACCTTGGATTTCAGGTCCTGGCAGACTGTATCCACCTTACGAAGATCGGACACATCGGCAGGGATAAAGTGATAGAAGCCGTTGTTGTTGGCTGCCTTCATCTCCTCAACAACCTGCTTGCCGGCTATTTCATTCCGGCCAACGATGTAGATAGTCGGCTTGGCAATGGCACCGGCCAACTTGACAGCAGTGCTCCGTCCAATACCACTAGTACCGCCTACAAAGAGGGCAGTCAGCTCTGGACGAGCAGTCTTGAGAGTAGCATTCCACTCGCGCGCTTGAGCAAGAGTATGCTCCATGATAAAGGTAAAACAACTGGTTCATCTATGTAAGAACCAGAAAACAGAAGAACTTTCGTACGATTTAACTAAAGTATTAAAGATGAGGAAAAAGGAAAGAGGGGAGGTAGGCTCCTACGCATTATTATACAGGAGAATCTGACGGGTGCGGGGTTATATGATCCGTCATATGATCCCGCAACCTCGTAACCTCGATATTGGTATTAACTTAGTATCGATTCGTTATATTACCTCCTCCTCCGAAAAAATCCTAGCCTCTAGGCTTTAGCTATTAGAATATTATCACTCTTATTATTATTAACAAATTCATCCTTCTCTACTACTTTAAGCTATACTAGTAGGTATATAGAAGGTCCCGTTTTATTAGGGATTAAGTATAGAATTCTTTTGATTTCTCTAGTATATTCTTAAAGTTACCTGCGGGGTACTATTTAGTGTCCTTATTTTTAATCTAAGATACTTAATATTATAAGTATCAATAGTGTATATAAGAATCTTTAATCTTATTAACTTTATAAGCCTCTTTCTTATTAATAACAATTAGTAGTATTATATCCAGGATCTATCTAATAAGAGGCTTTATATATATTGTAGGGTATAGCTTATCTAGTAAGAAGACAAGATATACCTTTATTAAGTCTAATAGTTATAAATACTATAAATTACCTTCTTTTTTCACAATTTTGAATGGTCTATATTACTAATTAGATATTTTCTAACTCTATCTTCTTATCTTCTAGATATATATAGTAATAAAGACAAGCTAGCTAACTCTAAATTTATCTTTACAGTATTATATATCTATATATCTTTTCTAACTTACTTGTATAACTCCTATTGCTTTATAAGTATGTTACGGCATATATGCATATTTATATTCAAGCGTTACCGTATACATGCATATTGATATTCCGAAGGAAAGATCAACGAATGACGCATGTTGATATTAGAACGGGCACATGACTTACCGAGGGTTCCAGCCCCGGACCTCTCACGTGAAGCACACGAACTATGGTTGGTATAAAATGTATGAATGCTTGGAAGTAGTAGACTTCCAAGGATTAGTTTCTGTATAACTTTTATAGAACTCTATCCAATATCATATCTGCCTAACCCTTTGCATGAGCGTGAGATTACTCCTGTGATGAGGTGCCTACGATCTACCAGAATGGAGAAGGTGCGAAGAACAACGAATAACAACGTTAAGGAAAGGGAAAGAAGAGAGAGAGAGAGAGCTATGCTACATACATGTAGGCGGATGCCACTCTCCAGGCCAATCATCTGATTGGCCTGCATCCGAGAGTGGGTCAAACCGCACAAACGTGCAGACAGTGCAAACATACCCGTCCCGAGTCTCCTCCATGTAGTTATACTACAACTCCCACCCGGAGCCCCGCCGCCGGCGATGAGCCCCCGGGACCGATAGCCCAGCCTGGCGCCGTCACCTGGCGAGAAGAGCCGTTTTGCAGAAAGAAATGTCCACCGGAATTGCGATAACGAACGAGACCTCGGCCCTTAAATAGCCCGGTCCGCATTTGCGGGCCGCTGGCTTCTTAGGGGGATTTCCCATTGCCCCACTCCCATGGGTCGGATGGGTTGTGCACAGGTCTAGTTGCCGATATCATTAGGCAATCAGAGTGTATGACGTGTGGAGTTCCGCACGCCAATCGCACGCTAACGTAACTAAGTTGAAAGCTGACCAGTAGTGAGAGGAAGATGATAGGTAACTGTGATGACTAGAAACGCGCCGCGGGTAGACTTGTTTTGAGATACTAGTATTTGTATTTTTATGGAAGGTTAGGGAAGGTAAAATATATTTTCGAAACTTCGAAATTTTATGAAATTTGGCCTCTTGAAATGAAATTTGAAATGGACCTTGAAATCTCGAAATCACACTAGTCCTGAAATGGAAAGCTCCGTAGTATCTGTCCAATAACACGCCTAAACTGGTCAACCTGAGGACATATGGACATCTGGAGCCAGTAACTCAGCTTCATCGCGACATCCCTACATGAGCTTGTGGTCATTCGATGGAATGATGACTCATCAACAACAATAAGGGAAACGGTAAGTGTTATAGAGACTATCTGATATTCAAGTATTACCTGGAGGATTTAAAAAATAAATAAATATCGTCCAGATCCTGGAGTTCGTGTTTATCTATCTCAAATTGGGCTATGATGTACATGTACTATGGCTGGCCGATTGCGAGGTTTCTGCCGCATTAATACCTGAGGCAGCAATCCCCTGCAGTAGACCGCCTTGGACGTGCAGGCATCTTAGCCGTCCCACATGTACAGTATATACAGTGGCTGCTATCTAGTTAGCACTTGAGGCGTTCCATAAGCCGAGTGACCCACTCCCCCGGTTTCCCAGCTCTGATTCCCACCCGGCGGGATTTACCCGTGAACCTGGCGCGTTTTTCTCAGCCAATTCCTATCTTTCTTGGCCCCCTGCGATTCACCATGCATGCAGTATGACCTGATCTTGCTAGCCAATTAGAGTTCTTCTTCTAAATCCTCTGTATTATCGCGAAAATAGTTCCCATGGCGCTCAACAGCACGCAGATCCGTACCTGATGACCTTTGCCGAAAAGATGGCGTCTACCGAAGAACGGCCGTCCAAGCGAGCCCGCCAGGCCTGCGAGCCCTGTCGGTAGGTTGAAGTCAGTCAATTTAACACAGCTTCCTGTGCTGATCTTTGTTCAGTCGGAAAAAATCACGGTGTCCGGGAGAGAAGCCGACTTGCTCCTACTGTGAGCGCCTGGGCCAAAGATGCGTGTATGCAGGCGAGACTATCGAGGAAGGGTCGGATTTTGCAAAGAACATGGTAAATAACATGATTGCTACCTGTCGAATGAAGCTTACAGTGTTATTCAGGAAGATCGCGTTTGTCGCATAGAGGATAGACTTGAACAGTTGATCAATTACATCACGTATGTTCTCTGGCTTGGCCTGGCGTTTTTTGGGGGGACTACGACCTAACTTCGAGGCGACAGCAAACAGAATCACGGAGGGGGTACTGAGCCTCCTGATAGTCTACAACATGCGCAAGTGCATTCACCAAGACACTCAGTGTCAACGCCTATATTAAACGCTTCCATGTGAGTAGTAAAATCCCCCTTTACTTCGATAAGGGCGAGCTTCAACTGACGTGCATCACAGAGAGCTCTCACGAGACACATCGGCCGTACAACTGTATCTTACATTTTGTAATTCTCAGCCTTTGCCATTGTTCCCGGAAAGAACTTTTACCACATCTTTCATTAACCGAGATCCCGAGCTTTTACTTGCGATGGAGGCTCTGGGACTTCGATTCCGCGGAAATGGCCTCAAGGAGAGATTAATTCAAGATCAGATAAGGTTAAACACAGAAAAGGCATGTCAAATGGTAATGGCACGTCTAGCACATGGCAATGTAGAATTATCAACAATTCAAACACTTTGTCTTCTCAGCATGCTAGAATTCACATGTAAGAGTCCCATACATCATTGAAATTTCCCCTTACTAACTTTGCCATAAAGCCGGACAGCTAGTTCGAGCAGGGTTTTATACAAACATGGCCAGTTATTTTATCCGCAATATCCGAAGCGCTAGTGTGGAATTCTTAAAGAATCTAGAAACGGAGAAGGATGAACGAAAGCTATGCCACGCAAGTATAATAAAGTTGAAAAATATCCAAGGATCTTCTCAGCAATGGCCACTCGGAGGAAATGGAGACCAGGCTGCTCGTCGAGAGATTCCTCATCCCACGTTTGCCTCATGGATATCGAAAAAGGATGTAAGAAAGGGCGATATGGGCGCAAATGCTGATATGAGTATCGTGGCAGCTACGATACATACTAGTGAGCTATGGTCGCTGGCAGGAAATTACGCAATGGATCATACTAAGGATGACACACATCCCCCTTGGCATCCACAATCAGATTATACCATGATAAATTATTGGCACACCGAACATGAGAGTTGCATGCCATTACAATTCCGCCTTCATGCCAGCCGTTTTCACGAACACTCCATGGCAGATTTGCAAGCAAACCGTGATTATTGGGGACCATGGCTGTTCTTCCAGATGGCCTGGCATGCAGTTCCATGCCTTCTCAACCACCCATTCCTTCTTTCTATGCGACTGAGGAACTTTAGGCGGACTATGCCTCAGTCATTCCTGCGAAATTCATTCGAGCAGCTCACATTTCACACTGGCTGGATCATTCACTTTCTTGAACTGACCGAAGCGAAAAACTTCGAGGTATCAGATCCAACTCTCGGTCATTGTGTCGCGATTGTCGCGACGATCTATCTCCAACACAGCTTTGCCGATGATAGAAACTTTAGTAAAAAGGCACAGACTGGATTTGACAAATGTCTTCGGTTCTTAAAAAGAATGGGTCATCGATGGCCACATATTGATCGCCAGGTGATACCCCTCAAACTTCAACCCCCGATTATTCATTATTAACATCTGAACAGGCTAAGCAACTAGAACAGCTTCGCGGCAGTATCTCTCCGGGTGACATAACAGTAGAAACGAATAATTCCTTGAACTCCCGAGGGAAGTGGTCCGTCAATCTGCATTTACTTTGGAAAATCCTCGCATACTCTCATGCCAGTAGATCCTCGAGCTCATCTGGCGATATCTTTGGTCCGATTCTGGCTAAGGAAAGTTCCAGTAGTCTGAGAATACCATTGGCCGGTATGATTGCAGAGCAAGATTTCGCACTTATTGGATCCGCCGGAATTTCGGGACACAAGACTGTGGCGTCGGAATGTGTCACATACCCTCCTGAGCAGACGGAGCATGATGAGGCCGGTTCTGAAATGCCTGCAATAAACCCTACGGACTTGACGGAAGAGCCTAGCCTGGACTTTGCTAGTGAAGAAACGCTGATTCTGCAGCTACAAGACTATGACCGGGCATTTGAAGATTGGTTGAGCCTGAATCCATCCTGATTGATATGTTCTATCAATCTGTTGACCCGGGACCCGGCACGCTTCCGTGTTCTCCGGACGCCAAGAACCCGGCTTATAGCCGGATTGCTCATATTCGCCTCCACATTGAATCTTTTAATTTACTCTAGACTCATATCTCATTTCATTTTCATAAACCCCCACTTTATTTTAACACCAGTGAAAAATGGCCCCCTCTAAAAGTGATCCAATTTTGATTGTGGGTGCTGGCGTTTTCGGCCTATCCACCGCACTTGAGTTGAAGCAGCGAGGATACGAAGACATCACAGTTTTGGATCGTTACACACCTCCAGTCGTAGATGGAAGCAGCGTGGATATTTCTCGAATTATTCGAATTGACTATGCTGATCCAATCTACTGCAAGATGGCCCGCGAAGCCTACCAGGGCTGGACCACAGAATACAAGGATCAGTACTTTGAATCTGGGTTTGCATTGCTATCCGAGACTCCCCGCAATGACTGGATCGAGAAATCCAGGAGCACCGTTTTAGAGATCGGTGGAAAAGTTGAGGACCTCAAAGACGCTACACAGTTGCTCGAGTCTTATCCCAACATTCAAGCCAAACTCTCCGGCCTTAGCGGCTACTTGAACAGGCTTGGTGGCTGGGCCGATGCTGCAGGCAGTATCCAGAAGCTGGCCTCGAAATGCAGCGTCGAGGGCCTATCTATTGTCTCCGGACCTCGCGGAACCGTTGTTTCTCTACGAAAAGAAGGCTCCCGGGTCGTGGGCGTGAACCTCCTCAGTGGTGGGTATCTACTTGCCTCCCAGGTCATTCTGAGCACTGGTGCATGGACAAATCGCCTTTTGGATGTTGCGCATGCCGCTTCTTCCTCAGGTCAGCCAGTCGGTTTCATACAATTGACCACCGAAGAAGCGCGGTCCTTGGACTCTACTCCTGTCATGATTAATATGAGCTCCGGTGTATTCTGCTTCCCCCCTACACCAGGCTCGAACATCTTGAAGCTCGCTCGTCATGGTTATGGCTATGCCAACGAAGTCACTGTTCAAACCGACGGCTTTGATCGTACCATCTCGACGCCCAAACTCGAAAGCAGCAACGCTCAAACAGGCTTTCTGCCCGAGGACGCTGATGAGGACCTACGTGCGGGTCTGCGTCAATTCTTCCCCAAATTCGCCAACAGGCCGTGGATCAACCGTCGCCTTTGCTGGTATACCGATACTCCTAAGGGCGACTTTATTATTGATCAGCACCCGAGACTTCAGGGTCTGTTCGTTGCCACTGGTGGAGCTGGACAGTAAGTTGCTTCTTTTCTCTATCCCTGTCTCTAATGACGCCCAAATCGAAGTAAATCTTTGACTAACCTATTTTTAGTGGATTCAAATTCCTGCCTGTCCTGGGTAAATATATTGCCGACTGCTTTGAGAACAAGGCTCCTGAGGAGCTGCGCAAGAAATGGCGATTGGATTCCCCGGTTGGTAGTGCTGGCGCTATGAAGGGTGATGGCAGCCGAGCTGGGCCACCACTGAGATGGCTTAACGACTTTGAAAAGGCAAAACTATAGATAGCCTAAAGGCAAAAATCAAACCATGCTCATACGTGCTAATGTATCCATGCAAGCAGAATAGAGGTTGAATCCTTCAATGCGTTATGTAATTCATTTCTAAATTATAAGGAATCATACCCAAATGTTCAACAAAATTCCGATGAAGAAACACCCTCAGACCATTTCATGACAAAAATAGCTTTTCTAGACCTCAGCTCCCTTAGAATTCACCCCTCTGTACCTTCTACTCCGGGAGCCAGATTTCTTATTCGAAGCAGTCCCATCTGCAAAGCTACCATCCTGACAAACCGGGAACTCCTCTGGTCTCAACCAATACGTATCATGCGAAGGCTGGCCTTTCCTCATACCCTCCAGATCAAGCGGGTCAACGATAGTCGCCCACGACGACCGGTTATCAATCCAACCAGGCCCGTGACGCTCAGTAGACTTATCCATATCGAGATATCTGCATTTCTCCCTTGGCAAATAGCGACCAGGATGCAAGAGATTAAGCCAATAGGTGAAGATCAACATTGGTCCCAGCTCGAAGGCATAAAGATACCACTCATTACTGAGGATAGGTCCACAGTTCTCACTGCAGCCGATATTCTGAAACATTTCGAACGCTTCAACGGCACGGAAAATACAACGGAGCAGAACAAAGGTCGATGTCCCATATAGAGTGAAGCAAACTGTTTTCACGTTTCGAGGGACGGGGCCTGCTCGGGCGGCACGGACGTGGAACGTCACGACGATTGCGACGACGAGGCATTCCACCACTGCCTGAAGGATAAGACCAGCGGCAATAAGTATGCCACCGGATTTATATTGGCTTAGATCTGAGCCAGCTGCGGCGTTCTTTGCTGCACCTGCGACTGTGATGCTTTCGACTGCGGCACCGACGTAGACGAAGAAGATCAGGACGCGGTTTGGGTTGAGAACGGCGTGCATGGGGACGTAGTTCATCAGTCGGCCGACGAGATTGTATGCGGCGGCGGAGTAAACTGGTGGTGCGAGGTAGATGAAGACGGATTGTGCGATGTAAAGGTTCATGTTGCCAGGATGGTAGCTGGATATGCAGCGCAGGATCCAACCGGTTGTGAAGAGAATTCCTCCCCATGTAACGAAGAAAGTGACGCGCCAGAACCTATAGTTACTAAATTGGCAATGGTTGGTTAGCATGGAATTTGAGTGAAATTGAGATGAACCCTTACAAATTCTGGAATACATGCAACAGCATTGATATGCCCACTACCGCTGCAAAGACAGCTGGTAGTACATGGCTGGGCTGGTATAGGTAATAACTGACAGAACTATCTGTGGTGGAACCCATGATGACTATTTTGAATGAGAAAGGATTGAAGGATAATTAGACTTAATTGAGATGGGTACTCTTGTGTCTTAAATATTTTACAAAGACCACATTGACCCCCCGATCCATGATCTGTACAGCGCTTCATCATCCCAAAAAGAGTAACGATCAGACTCAATCCCTAAGGCTGAGCGCACTGCCACGCGAGAAAAGAATAACTAGAAATTAAAAAAAAACAGCCCCATCAACCCAAATAAACTCAAAATCTCTGTCGTCTGCCAAGAAGCACCTATCGCATCCATATTCAACTTAGCCCCCACGGGATAATGCATCCATACCCCACATTTCACCCAATCAGAACCACAGAGCTCAACCAGCGCGCTCCATGGAACCCAATACAGACTAGCCTATACTCTCTTCCAGATGACGCTCGAAGTTCTTCAACATGAACTTCGCATAAACCCGCCCTTTGCTAGCGCAGTCCAGTAGCCGACAAGAATACCTACACTGGCATCACTCAGCGCTCCCTTGACCCTACGATTTTAATCTCTCTCCCGCCTTCGACGTCAAGCGTGCATGAAGATCCATCTTCCCCGACACGGTTCAGGGTCTTCGTAGCCCCACCAAGTTTAATTTAGAACAGTCTCTTGTCGCAAAATGCCAGGCGTTCCGAAAGGGCGCGCATGCGATGCATGTCGTAAGCAAAAGAAAAAAGTTAGTATTAATGAGATGATTTATTTCCATGTTCTATACATCTCCGCTCCAGTCCAAATTTGAAGTTCAAGTTCAAGTTACTAACGTATACTCCAGTGCGACGAGACACAACCCTCCTGCTCACGCTGCATTCGCCTTAATCTGCAATGCGTGGGATCAGGAAAACAGCGCTACAAGTTCCAAGAAGAGAAGCGATGCAAATCAAGCATGCAGCCTGACGCTAAAGCTGTAAAACGAAGCTCACAGTCCCCAAGTACATCATCCCTGTCCTCGAATACCTCGCAGTCTCCAAGTTCATCCCCAGGGGCAATTACCAATGCCTCCGAATTCGTGTTCAAAATCGTTATACCCACCAAACCAGAGAAGATGCAGATCCGCCTCCCACCAGAGTCTCCAGTCCTAAATCCAAGTAATGCTTTATCGCCCTTAGCAATCAGATTTATTCACACGATTAGCCGCACTACACACTTCCGGTATAATCTTTGGTGGACGTTCGGCACATTTCTGGAAGACGTGCCACGCCGTTTAGGCACAAATGAAGCTCTTGATCGTTCTATTGAGGCGTTAACAGCTGCACACTCGGGATTCTGTGGAATAGAACGTAATGGGGCGACTGTCGAGGCGTTGACAAAGTACTCTCAGGCTTTGAGGACATTACGGGTATACCTTGATGATGGAGTTCATTCGCAGTCCTCTAATACGTTATGCGCAGTGATGGTTCTGTTGGTTTGTCAGGCCTTTCTGGGTCAAACAAGTCAAGCCTGGTCAGGACATGCAGAAGGAGCAGTTCTAATACTTAAAGCGCGAAAGAAATATGCACCACGCGATATGTTTGAAAAGAAACTATTCCTATCATTGCGCGGCACTGTAGTAAGGTCTTCACTTTCCCCCAGAGAATTTATCCGAATTATTACTTCTCCAAATGATTTTGCAGGCATTGATCAAATCCATTATTTATCCGTGCAAGTCAAAGATACTAACAACGACAGCTCTTCGAAGGTCTACTTAACGACCGAATAAACCTTACCCCAACAGAATGGGACGAGCTCGTTAGAAATGAATTCGACGCAAACACACCAGAAGGTCGCATTCTCCAAAATCTCGCCAAAGGCCCCCATCTAATGCCACAATGTCGCCAAATCCTCCAAACAGCTTCAGATCCAACAAACATCTACAACGAAGCCCGCACACTATACCAAGACTGCAAACAGGACCTCCAAGAATTAAGAAGTCGAGCAGTAGATAACAACGCATCAAGCATAGACATGACAGGTGTTCCAAAGGACAAGGAGAAATTCGTGACCGAATTTTTCCACGCCCATTATCAGCGCACATACGGGATCGGACTTGTTGTGACTTTATTTTTTAACTGCATCCTTAATTCATTAGAAAAGTATATGGCACTAGCGTTTGGGATGGATGGTGACTTTACTGTGCAGATTGATGCGAATTATCTTGCAGAGGAGGTTTTGGCGTTGGCGGAAAGGTCGATGATTTACAGGCCTGTCGGCGCTGGGTATTTGATCATTTGTTTGACGGCTGCGTGGGCGGCTACTAGTGATTCGGTGTTGAAGGGAAAATTACGGGTTGCGTTGAATGATTATCATGGGGATTTTAAAGTTAGGGATCACTTTCGGATGAATCAGGAGTTGGAGTGGACGGCGGAACATTTGAGGTTGGGGGTTTCTTTTCGGGATAATGGGGAGAGATATTATCCTGGTACATAAAGACCGGAGACTGGGTGATGAAGATACATGTATTGATGAGATATGGGAACCTTTTAAGTAGATACCATTTGAACACTTGAACACTGAGGTCAAGATGTATATAGAATGAAGATATGTTATTCTTTCATGCGAAGTTCAAGTTTGCTCGATTAATGACGAAGTGTTGCTGCTGGATCCAATATCTGATATCTTTGGCTGAGTGTCTATGCAAAGTCATGGTTTTCTACCCGCATTAACAAAATACGAATATCATGATAATTATGGACTGGCCCGTAGGAAGGGGGAAATATAAAGGTTTCGGAGAAGAGGAGAATACATAAATAGTCCGAGCTGTATGGACACGGGAAGTAAGAACCAAAAGAAAGGAGAAGAGAAGCGGGAAGACAGCTTGATCGCAAGAGAGAGAAGAAAAAAAGTAAAAGCAAACCCCAGGCGCTATGCGAAGAGAGAAATGAGACCATGTGTGTGTGGGAACAGACTATATGGTAGAGCGCAAAGTTAGGACTGCAGTATACCGGCGCAAAGGACCAGTAATGGCCAAATAGGATACAGTCGAGCGCATGCACCGTAACGTCCGTACGTGACTTCTTTTATCCCCTCGGACCTGATATATGCGCAAATGCATGGGCCCGTGGCTGCTTGGGTCGATGGATGCATCAATAGCATTATAAAAGGCGTAGAAGGGAATAAAAGGATAGAAAGGTGGGACATGGGTGGAAATGGTAAAGGGGATGAACCTTGATGTGTACAGTTTTTGGGGAATAACCTGGACTGACAAACGCGTGGATTGGGTATTTCCGTTGGCTTCAGAAAATCAGAACGCATAATGGCAGGCAGCAGAAGAGAAAAAGAGTGAAAAACCATCAAGCGTTGTTTCACCACATGTCATCGTCATCGTCGTCATCCAGTTGGACGTCGTCACCAAAGGACGAATGTCCATACTGGTAATGCCCCGAGTCGTAAGCATGGCCATTCTCGTAGCCATGCTTATCATGTCCGTGAGCCTGGTAGCGATCGCGTGGATCATCGTCGTAGTCATACATGGATCCGTCATCATATCCACTGTCCCCGTAGTGTTGTTGCTCTTGTGCCTGTTCATGAAAATTCACCCGTCAGTTACTTGTTCCGACTCTTGGAAGATCGGTTCTCTGCTTACTTCTTGGTATCGCTGATATTGTAAGTACTCATCTGGCTGCTGCTGCTGCTGCTGCTGCTGTTGTTGTTCTCGTTCTCGAGACCTAGATAATCTTTGAGATCCCGAGGAAGCCACCATCATCTGCGGGTGCATCTGTTGCACCTTTTCTAGATATGAGTACATGAAGTTACTCAGCAACACCTGAGAGTAGAGAGCGCGCCGGGGATTTGCCAGCTTGATATGAGCCATCCGATAAATTGCACGTTCTTCCAAAATAGAGAAACGAGTCCATGGGTAGTCGACATCAGCCCGTAGCTCCCGTACTGGAGGATCAGGAGATAAGTTTCGGGAGGAGTTCTTCCTGTGATGACCATCTCCACTATGCTTCTTTCTACCACCACCGAATATTGAGGAGAAAATGCCATCCTTCTCTTTCTTATCTCCGGAAGCTCTTCGAGCTCCATCTTTCCGCCGCTCCTCCTCCAGTTTCGGGTCAAGGCGATCTAAAATAAGGCTTTCTCGGCCCTTGGGAGTAGTGTCCAATGATGACTGAGCGGATACTTCAGAACGAGTAGTGGTACTGTGAGCCTTTTCTGCACTTTTCGTTTTCGCTCTTCTTGAGTCGCTTTCTTTATCCTTCTTTTTGTCCTTCTCTTCACTACCCAAAAGCCAATGCCAACTTGACTTGCGGCTGCCCTCATCTTTCTTTGACTTTTTGCTCTCTGCCTTTCGTTCGTCGGGTTTTCGCTCTTCGGGAATTGTTGGGATGAACGACAGACTATCTGTACGAGTGCTATTTCCTGGTATCATCTGAGGGTTGTTCGCAAAGTCATTGAGTGTCGGAGTTGTTTCTCTGCCCTGGCGATTGGGACTCATCAAAGATCGTTTGTTTGGTGTCGTATCCGCATATTGACCCGTCTTGGATGAGTGTGCAGAAGGCGTATCGCGTTCAATAGAACGACTGGATTGTGAAGTTGGGCTCGGCGATGCGCGATTTGAATCGTCGGCTTGCGATTCGACAATAGAAGGGACATTTTGCTCAGCGGGTGGTACGTGCTTAGATCGACCATTGGAGCTGATTCGTGATTGCCATTGCCGTGCGTATGTGGCGGCATTTGCCTGTGCCTCGGCGTCGAGCTGATTGGTTGCGCTTTCCTGTTGCACAGGAGTTGACATAGCATCACTTTCGGCCTCCGGCCTGTCAATAATTGTATCGAATGTTGAACTGGTTGCAGAGCCAGGTGTATAAGTGCCCCTGGACGAAGTAGACCCTGACCGTGCTGTGCGAGTTGCTGGGCCAGCATCTGATGAAACCCGGGTTAACCCCAGGATTGGGGCAGCATCCGGTGGGGAAACAATGGATGGAGGTGAATCGGCAGATTCCGAGAGACCTCTACCTATTCGTTTGGAATAGGGAGCCTTCTCGCCCTTTTTCAAGCTTCCCTTTCTATATTGCGTCCGTGTCGACCGTCGTAGGCTATGACCTGGGGGTGCTGGCGGTAAAATAGGCTTATCCTCGCTTGCAGAAATGCTTGCATTTTGCATGTCTTGAATCAAGTCATCTTTATTCGACGGAGAATCATCCACCAAAGTTTCCAGCTGTTGTAGATTCGGACTCAGCATGCCATCTCGCTTGCTTGCCTGTGAGCGCTGGCGTTCCAATCGTTCCGCTCCATCTGTATATCCTGCAGAATTATCGATTTGTTTTGACAACATAGACCGTTTCCGACGAAGACTACTCTGTGATCCTTGACGTTCAGGTCCCAGAGAAGAAAAGTCGCCTGATTTCCGCTTAATCAAGTCGGTCTTGCTATCAAGAAACGACTTGAATTCTTTGGGTGCCAACTCTGGGTGTAAACTCGCGGGCACCCAAAATAACCGAGACGCATCATTCTCATCGGCGGTCGGGGAGGGTGGGAGAGACGGAATAGCGAGGTTATTTCCAAATGATGGAAGGTCGGGATCGCCGGCAGCTGCTACATCCATTGACATGCGCCGAATGGCAGCAAGATTATTCAGTTCTTGAACAACCGCAGCGGGGTCCGATTCGTAGTCAATATCATTGAGAGGGAACGAAGAGGTCGCGGTTTCCGACGGCGATCGAGTCAGATCGGGAGACCTGGAGTCACTCTCCCGGTCAAAGGATCGGTGGGTGGCCAGTGGTGGGCGAAGGTGCCCATTTGTTGGTTTGGACTGGTCTTCGATCGGCGAATTTCGCTTCGATGTGTGTGGGGAGTCGGGGATCGCGGCGCCTCGCGGAATAGTGGTGATGGACTCCGCATGCGGAGATGCTATATAGCTCAGACGCCTTGCATCATTGCGGTCGTAGTCATCGTCGTACATATGCCCGATGGCCTCTGTCACATGGTGGCTAGGGTCGCTAATCGACAGATGGGGACCATGCCCTCTCCGCGTCGCGTGTCCTCCACCAGCCTCAGGGGCAGTCGTGGAAGCCTAGGAAAGGTGAAAAGATGGTCAGCATTGAATGGCAATGGCGAATCAATCCAGGCCAGGGTCCCTAATCAATGGGGTATCATTTCGGCGCATGGGGGTTTGGTGATAGGCATTGGAGGGGTCCCCGGTGGATGTCGAGAGAGGGGTGAGCAAGCAGACAATCACGACGCCTTTTTTCTTCCCCCAAGCTCTTTGTGTGGGAAAGCAGTAAAGTCGGAAGGGAATAGACAAAGGAAAAAGTAGTTAAAATACATACCTGCATGGGAACCAACTACACAGGAACCAAAATAGCCCACAGTTGACCCTGAAGATGGGGCTCTCTCAGGGAGAGGAGGGGACAGAAGGGTCAATGTACCACGAGAAGGAGAAGGTTCATCGAAGCGGGGGAAACGGAACGGAAAGAAATGGCCCTAGACCAACCGTCATTTGAAGGAAAGAGGGTAGATCAGAGGGATCAAAGAAGCAAAGAATGGGAAGAAATGGGGAATGTTGGGGATTGATGATAATTTAGCGGGCGGAGTTAGTGTTCGGTCGCCAGCACCTGACATCTTTAAATTGGCCTCTTTACTCTATCTCTCTCTCTCTCTCTCTCCTCTCTCTTCTCTCTTCTCTCTTCTCTACTATTCCCTCTCTGGGATTGTTCCTCTGCTAATAATCTCCAGTTTTCTCTTTAAACTCTACGGGCTAAAATCCCTAAATCGTCCATTCTTTTTTCTCCATTTGACCTGGGGTCTCCACTTTTTGGCAACAAGGCACAGAAACGGCCCATAGAGCCTGGCCCAAGGACGATCATCAGGCTCTGTTTGGGAGGTGAAAACCAGACAATGGAGTCGATCCACGCTATCCATGAACACCATCCACCTTTGAGACGAATACAGCAACCCTGGAACCACCCCATACGCACTCATCCACTTTACTGACGTAACATGCATGCATATCGATGCATATCGATACATATGAATACATACATACACTACCCAGCTGGAATTTAGTGAGAAATTTATCAACTCAACCCCCCCCCCCCCCCCCAAGGTTCCAAGGCTCAACTGCTGGATTTACGTACTGCAGACTACGCATGACCTGCAGTCCAATCTAGTCACGATCGACGGGTGACCCGATCTCAACACCAGTTCTATACTAGTCCTCGTGGTGGGTTGACTTTGGTCTGTAGTTCATGATTCACCTATTGGTTTGAATTTCAACTTCGCCGGACGTGACAACCTTGAAAGTACTACATGTCATTCCCTGGAACTATAGAATAATAATACACCCACATATAGGCAATAATTGATCATGTGTTCTCTTTAATTTATTTATTTAATTTTTTTCCAACTCAACTGATTCCAGGATGACTAGCTTGCGGCTCTGGAAGTTAAGTCGCCTCACTATGTTATTCTTTATCTATACAATTCTATATAATGCGAAAGCCATTCATTCCACTCTTAGTTCAAACCCCAAGACCTTTAAGAGTTATGCTTTGGTCTGACTTTCTGTTTCTCTTTCCCTTTTTGTCCTTTCATTGTTTCAGAACAACACATTCTCCAGTGGCACAGAACCCCACCCACAACAATATATCTCCTGCCAATTCGCGGACAACTAACAAAGCAAGGGTCTAGGGCTCAGGGGCCGCTCTTAGTCTTGCCTTGCCCCTTCCAATCATGAGATAATAATACAGTAGGTAACAAGAAAAGTCGGGTTACTCTACATACGGGCGTCGGACTAGGAAAAATGGTAGAACTATGTAGCTGCAGGTCGTGCAAACATTCGCGTAAGCCTGTTCACTCAAGTGTGTACTCCCAAATAAAGGTCTAAAGATGATCATACTAAGCAGGTCATGGGTCTATTTGAATCAAAACTAAACCAAGATTTGAAAAGATTATCCGTACGAAATGATGACAGATAGATAAGTAGAAGAGTAGATGGAATAAGGCCTCTAGGAACATGCAGACTGAGTAAGGGGAATCCACTACGTAAAACACAAATAACGTAATTCCACCGCGCCGTAGACCAGGTACATACATGCTATGTCCTCAGAGCTGAAAACCGAACAGGAGAATGACAAATTCTTGAACTGGGATTTAAGAGTGCAAAACAGAAGGCAAGATGTGCTAAAAAATGGGTGGAGATATGAAACAAAAGAAAAAGCAACGAATCCAGACACGCCCAAATGTATATTCGTCAATCCTCATCGACCACATGATGTGCCTTTGCATGTCCACAAATCATAATGAGGATGCTGCACTAACATAGCTGAACGCATGAGAAATCTAGGCGCCGACATAGTTACTGCAATCATAATTAGCTTGGTAAGATCGTAAATGGTGAGGATGAGTGTGGTGATTGATGGTGAGGCTTACCTTGGGAAGATGCCGACACGATCGCCGATCCGCCCCGTCCACCAATCCTCTGCCTTCTCTGTTCGCTTGATAATGGTGATGACTTCGCCCTTTTTGAACCCCAGATCACCTTCTTGGTCTGCATCAAATGTGAAAAGCGCAACCGCCTGGTCCTGCCGAAGTCCTGCGCCTCCACCCGTCCGTTGCCCGAAGACCGGTTTGGGGGCGCTAGGTCGGGTCGGTCGACGGTCTGAGTAGGAATATTCGTCTTCATACGTATTGCTTCGGCTACGTCCATATCCATTCTCATAATCGGGAGGAGGAGCAGCAGTACGTGTCGTTGCCGAGCGACCCAGCCCTCCTGCCGGGCGATCATAAACATCATCTGCCCAGGTATTTGCCCGGCGCGGCTTGTCGCGATATTCGTAATCATCTTGTTGGGTATTCGACCGCTCCCGTTGTACGCCTTGGCCATAGGCTTCACCTCTCCGACCTTCCCAAACTACATCGTCATGGCTTTCATCGTAGACCGGCACATCATTGTACATTGCGTCCCCGGAGGCGCGGGCATTTCCTTGGAAGATGCGCGAATTGAGCACGCGCATCAATGCATCAGTAGATGGCGGAGCGCGCACAGTACCAGTGAGAAGTTGGTTAGCCGAAACACGGCTTTGGTACATCTTCTGATTGGCATCCTTGCGCTCGACCAGCATACTACCCTCTAAACTGACTCCGGCGAATAGACCCTTAGTCTTGGAGTAGGAGAAGATGGCAGCAACACCCTTTGTACTAGCCGCACCGGCAGCTTCTGCATTTCGACCGACGGGTCCTGCGGCGAGCGAGACGTTACCACCCAGCGTGAGTGTACCGAATTGGGAGAATGTGCGAACAGCCGAGGCATCGTTGAGGATGAAAACAAAGTCAGTCAGTTCGAAACCAATCTGGCCACCGACACCTGCGCCAGCGGTCGCGATGGCAGATGGAGCGGACCAAGTGCCATCAGCAAGACGAGCAACAACGATACCCGAACCGAATCGACCAGAACCAATGAAACCAGCTTTCAAGACCGTGAGAATCGCTAACCCCTGTTTTGGCATCATATGTTAGCGTGTCCACCCCCTCAACCCCGCTATAACGATTTTTCTTTTTTTTTTCTTTTTCTTCTCTTCCTCACCTTAGCGCCAGCCAGAATCTCTGGAGGGATAACCTTGTCTGGACCGAAAGCCTGCTTAGGGTCGACGAAGGATGTTAAGATTTTCGCTACCTTCTTGCATTCACCTAATCAGAAGATGATTGTCAGCCGGAGATGCCGAGAGCAATTGCGGGGAAGTGGGCAGGGCAAATTGAGAAAGACTTACTGGCCAAAGACGACGGCAGAGGGTTATGGATCCCGAGAGGCATCCTGAAGGCAGTCGTCGGCGGAAAATGAAGGAAGACTGAAAGGGGAGGAAACTGAAAGAGGCAGGATGGTTGATCGGAGACTCGAAAGGTCGGGCAGGTTAGTCAGGGCGATGGGGCTAGGAGGTGGACCCAATGACGGCGGACGCGGGACAACAGCGGTTCGTAAACAATAGGGCGGATGAAGTACCGATGGTTGTAGATTCCAAGGGTTCACTTCAATAATCAAAAAATATTCTTAGATATATTTGAATATGAGTGATAATTTGTTTGCAGGTTCTTTTTGTCTCCAATCATATCCTAAAACACCTACACCTCTACTAATTGCAGACAATCCAGCTCTTCTTATGAATTATACCCCCACAACTCCAAACGTTCATTAGTGGCGCAGCAGTCATGGGGCACAGCCTCGCTTCCAGCAGTAGCCGCATTCAAGCCATGGTAACAAAACCTTGGACTACCTATTTGCTCATTACAACTTACTGAAGTAGGGCTGCGCATGATACTATCGCTGGACGATATTGTCGTAGCTTTTGAGTTTTTACGATGCGATATCGTCTATTGCATCGCCAGGCCTCTGGCTTGGCGATAATATTGTGATAATATTGTATCGTACCGCCGGCAATTTTGAAGACGATATGGCCCTAGAGAACGAGATCGCAGCTCTATACCGAAGCCAATTGTAAGTATAGTCTGACATGATTAAAAACAGGATGTGAATGTTGCAGATTCCAAGCGCTCACCTCAATAATCAAAATATGTATAAATAATTTGAAGTCGAATGTGAATTCTTTATTTACAGATTTCCTTTGTTTGAAATTTTTCTTTGTCTCCGAACAATTCCGAGTCCTAAATGATTACTAGTACTGAGAGTCCAGCTCTTATTGACAATTTCTGTGGAAGCAAACCTTCTCACAACTCAAAAGCAAATACTCATCACCAGAAATCCAAAATAACATGACTTCGCGAGTTGAAACTTTTCCCTCCTGGGGCGATGAGATTGATGCATCTGAGCTTATCAATGGAGAAGGAGGACAGCTCCTCCAAACGTATACCAAAATGAAGCCTGAGAACATAGAATCGCATGTGAAGTACATTGTCAGTTTCAAATCAAATACACCACCCTTTTCAACCCTATTGGTATTTGACTGACAAGCCCTATCTATATAGGCGAGAAAGGGCTGGAATGTGCTTAGATACCCTTGCTTCCAGCAGTTTTTATTCCTACACCTCGATCTATCCCGCTCGCCTCTCTATCAGGAAGTGACCAAGCAAGCCCGGTCAGGCAGTTTGCTGTTAGATATCGGATGTGGTCTCGGACAAGACCTACGGCGACTCGTTCAAGACGGAGCACCAGGCGAGAACTTGATTGGTCTGGAGATACAACAAGCGTATATCGACCTTGGCTATGAGTTCTTCCAAGACAATTCCACGCTAGAATGCAAGTTCCTTGTCCAAGACTTTTTCAAGGACACTCCAGAACTCACTGCTTTGGCAAAGAAGATCAGCATCATGAACTCTGGATATTTTATGCATATGTTCGACTGGAAGAAGCAGTTGGACGTAGCAAAGCGTATGATCGATCTGATGGCTCCCGGCAAGGGTTCAATTATCACTGGAGTCAATTTTGGTAGCACTCGTTCCGCAGGACCATTCAGCGATGTACCACCGGGTTTTGATACGATTTTTCTTCATAATAAGCGGTCGCTCTCTGGGATATGGAGTGAAGCTGCAAAGGCAACGGATACTGAGTGGAAGTTTGACTGTGTGTTAGAGGATGATGAGAACTTTAAGAACATGGCTTCCGGGGGTTGTCGGTTGAGATGGACCGTGGAGATGCAGTAATAGTGCCTTAGTTTCGAGGTTCGAATATCGTAACTATATACTATAAGCTCTACATAGATTGAAAGATAAATAGAAAGATAAATAGAGAAATGTCTTCTATAAATACCTTGAATCAAACTAGTAAGCTCACTTATAGATAAAGAAAGGTTATATCTTGAAGATATACCTTAAGACAGTAGATTGCAAGCTCAACTTCCAAGGTTCAAGGTGATATCCGGGGACTGCCTTTACAGATACAGTAGTGGGAGGTTCGATCTCCCAGAAAATGTTACGCGAAGTCACGGGATTCAGAAACTTGCGAATATACGTTTTATATAAAAAAAAGCTTGACAGAATAATTATATCATCCATGGATATACTTATGATACTCTCTTACTATGTATGCCTCCATACAGATAGTCCTATGCTGTGCACCATGATACCTTTATAGGTGTGGATTTTCTTGTCGTTTGCCCGAGTGCGGCTATCTTGTACTGCCACCAGGCATTCCCCTCTTCAATGTTTAATAGGTAAGTAATGTTTGAAATTGGCTTATAATGTCACTGCTTGTTGAAATGAAAACGAGCATGGCCGCTCTGGCCTTCCGTAATCGGGGATTCGGGGATGATATAAAGCGGTGGGGCCACTCGAGTGGTTACTGCCGCTATCCCAGTGCAACTCCGCTATTATCTCTAAACAACCTTGGAACCCCGGATTAGCGTTGGTTGTCTGAGAACATGCCTAGAGTGTAGGCAGCTCTATCGCCACAATAATGGCCACAGGTATATTCATCCTATCTAAGGCGAATGGACGCGTTTATAACGAATTGAACCTAGTTCGGATCTCCGTCTGCGGCGACGAAGGCACAGGTAAGTCGAGCCTGATTACCTCGCTGGTCAAGGGGGTCTTCGTCACAAATAAGATTCAGCCTGTGCTTCCTCAAATTACCATCCCTCCCACGCTCGGAACCCCTGATAATGTCACCACTACCACGGTTATCGATACCTCGGCCCTGCCACAGGAGCGAAACAACCTGGCGCGCGAAATTCGAAAGTCGAACGTTATATTATTAGTATACTCCGACCACTACAGCTATGAAAGAGTCGCGTTGTTCTGGTTGCCATATTTTCGATCGCTGGGAGTCAATGTACCTGTTGTCCTGTGTGCCAACAAATCAGACCTTGCAGCGACTCATACCGAAGCACAAGTTATCGAGGAGGAAATGCTGCCTTTGATGTCAGAATTCAAGGAGATTGACTCTTGTATTCGAACCAGTGCTCGGGAACATCGAAATGTCAACGAGGCTTTTTTCGTATGCCAAAAAGCGGTTACACACCCCATTGCACCACTTTTCGATTCCAAGGAGGCAGCTCTAAAGCCAGCCGCTGTCTCGGCTTTGCAGCGCATCTTTTATCTCAGTGACCAAGATCGAGATGGATATTTATCAGATAAAGAGATCACGGACTTTCAGACTCGATGCTTTGGAAAGCCCTTAAGTGAAGAGGATTTGGCCCACATCAAGGAAACAATACAGAAAGGCTACCCGGAGTCTGTGACGGAATCAGGCATTGACTGTACGGGTTTCATTCATCTAAACAGACTATATGCAGAGAAGGGCCGTCATGAGACAGTCTGGATTATACTGCGGGCATTCCAATACACCGATAATCTCTCACTGCAGGAGAGCTTTTTACACCCCCGCTTCGAGGTGCCACCATTCGCTTCTGCCGAGCTATCACCTGAAGGATACCGTTTCTTTGTGAACCTCTTCCTTCTATCTGATAAGGACAATGATGGAGGTTTGAACAACGCCGAATTGACATCCTTGTTTGCGCCAACACCTGGCCTCCCAGCATCCTGGGCTGATGGCTCATTCCCCTCTTCAACAGTCCGCAATGAGGCCGGGCATGTGACTCTTCAGGGATGGCTAGCTCAATGGAGTATGACAACTTTCATGTCTCCCAAGACTACGTTGGAATACTTGGCATATTTGGGGTTCGAATCTTCAGATCGCAACAATTCTTCAATCACAGCCGCATTAAAGTTAACAAGACCACGAAAGCGGCGCCGACGCCCTGGTCGTGTCGGGCGCAATGTGGTTCAATGCAATGTCCTTGGTGCTCCTGGGTCCGGCAAATCTGCCCTACTGGATGCTCTGCTTTCGCGCGGATTCAGCACGACCTATCACCCTACTATACAGCCTCGCACTGCCGTTAATACAGTCGAGCTACCCGGTGGTAAACAATGTTACCTCATCATGGACGAGTTGGGTGAGCTGGAGCCGGCCCTCCTCGAGAACCAGGTGAAGCTGCTCGATCAGTGTGATGTGGTCGCGTATACATATGATTCTTCCGACCCAGACTCCTTTGCGTACATCCCTGCACTTCGAGCGAAGTACCCGCACCTGGAGGAACTACCTAGTGTGTTCATCGCCTTGAAAGCTGACCTGGACCGCACCACTCAACGGGCCGAGCACCAACCTCACGAATACACAGCCATGTTAAATATGCCCAGTCCCCCATTGCATGTTAGCGTTACCTGGAACTCCATTCAGGAAGTTTTTGTACACATCGCTGAAGCTGCGATGGAGCCAAGCACCGCATTTCCTCGTAGCGAAGAGGATGTTGAAGGCAAATGGATGTCGTGGGGTATTGCGCTCGGGGCGGTGGTCTGTGCCGGAGCCGCGGCCGTAATGATTTGGCGTCGAGTCAGTGGCAGTGGCAGTGGAAATTAAACCTCTTGAAGGTTGTAGCTAGGAACATTTGTACTATAATACCCTTATATTTCTTTTTTTTTTCCCAAATGTCATCTTGATTAATCAAGTTATTAATTTTCCAGTTCCCCGTTCCAGATTTAAAGTTGTGACGGTTCCTACAGAGTGCGTCTTCTTTTTGTTCTTTGATCCTTCGGCTCGACCGGGGACATTAAGCCCGATAGCCCCGCCAGGCACGAGACTTCTCCGCTCGCCTGTTACCCCGGACCAAAGTGAACTCTCGCGCTGACGTTGCCGGTCTTTTCCCTCTTGCTCCTCAGAATTCCATCACAGCCTCCCCAACTTCGCCTAGAGAGATATATTACTGCATCTTTTTGTACAGTTCTGGTGCTACTTCATTACCCCCTTTGGCTCTTTGTACATCACTGGGAATTAGCCTGCTCAGATTTTGGCTGCGCATGACCTGTTGGAGGTAAACCTGTACCATCTTGCTCTAGATATCTCCGGCTCCGAGAAATCAAAAGTTAATCGGGTTACTTCTCTCGTGTCTGTGGTGAAATTGAAGTGACAACTGGAGACTATCATCGAATCACAATCAATCCCCTTGTGAACACGGTCAAGCTGCAGGTTGTCCTGGGTTGCACAGGTTGAATTGGACAGAATTGGAACTGCAATATAACAATTCAATCGTCATGTTGTAAGACAGTCCCCTTTTATACCCCCCTGTTTTCTTGGTTTCCTTTTCCCGTCCTTTCCTGGTGTTGCATGACTATATCGCCAGCGAGGCTATCAGCTCAGTGCTATCTCACCTATCTTCAAACGTCATACCACTCGACTTTCACCCGAACGTTATCGGCACTGATACGCTAAGCACGTCATTGGGCATAGTCGATATCGACACTTTGATTTGAATGAAGAAAGCTGAGATCAGAATGTCTCATTTTCCAATCAACTAACTCACTTGGCAGTGTTTTACCACCACCCCCTCCCCGCTATACTATCCCTGTCGCATATGCGGCGGGGGCAGCAAATGGTATGGCGGTCCCAGTGGTCGAAACGAATAACACAATCAGCCACCCGGAAGGTGGCTGTCCACTTCAGGTTGGAGAAGGTACGTAAGAGAAATTTAAAAAAGAAAAAAATTATGAGCGCGAGCTCAGGTGGGGGATCTTCGATCAAGATATCCCTTACCTATTCACATGGCCCGCGTTGCTGATCATCGATGATCGCCTTAGGAACTTACACCCTCAAAGACGACCTCCTCCTCGCAACACCACCTCCCCACCCTTCAGAGGCCCCGATAGTAAACCCGAACCCTCTTGCGACCGTTCCAAACCCTCCGACCTCTGGCGTGAAGCTGTCGCTGGTCTCCCTCGATCCGCGCAAGAAACCACCACAATTTCTGAAGGGACCTGTGCTCGCTCCTCAATTTGGCGATGGAAATCCCGCACTTGCACCACCTGCAGCACCACCTGCAAAGGATGCTCTCAAGAGACGCAAGCCGAAGAACAATATCATCAAGAGTAGTTCCTCATTTGTTTCGCGAGTAATCACCCACGAAACATCGGCCAAGCGTCTGAGCGATCGTGATCCCAATGGAGTTTTCGCATTCGCCAATATCAATCGTGCATTCCAATGGCTCGATATTACCTCCGCGTCCAAAGAAGATCATCTAACGAAAGTCTTGTTCACCAAGTCGCATATGCTATGCCATGATATCAACGAATTGACGAAGACCGCTTCTCATTTGGATATTGTGATGGGTTCCTCGGCTGGAGATATCATCTGGTATGAACCTATGTCTCAAAAGTACGCTCGCATCAACAAGAACGGTGTCATCAACAATTCTCCCGTGACACATATCAAGTGGCTTCCTGGATCCGAGAATCTCTTCATGGCCTCTCATGCCAATGGCGCGTTGGTTGTCTATGATAAGGAGAAAGAAGACGCTTTATTCACACCAGAGAACACTGGTATCTCTGAGGAGTCCAGCCAATTGCCTTTGGATATCTTGAAGTCAGTGAACTCGCGAAATCAGAAGGCCAATCCAGTGTCATCATGGAAACTGGCTGGCCAGAAAATTTCAAGCTTTTCTTTCTCGCCAGACCAGCGACATCTGGCAGTTGTTCTAGAGGATGGATGTCTGCGCCTTATGGACTATTTGAAAGAAGAGTATGTATACCAACAACCAAGATATTCCAAATTTCGAGACTAACATAACAACACAGGGTTCTGGATATCTTCCGCAGTTACTACGGTGGTTTAATCTGCGTATGCTGGTCGCCAGACGGTAAATACATTGTCACCGGTGGTCAAGACGACCTTGTGACAATCTGGTCATTCCCCGAGCGTAGAATTGTGGCCAGATGTCAAGGCCACAACTCTTGGGTCTCTTCGGTAGCTTTTGATCCCTGGCGCTGCGATCAGAAGACCTATAGATTCGGTAGCGTCGGTGATGATTGTAGACTTCTGCTTTGGGATTTCAGCGTTGGAATGCTCCATCGTCCGCGTGCGGTTCGTTTTCGTCTCATGTCGTTTTTAATTTGTCTTCATTCGTCTAATGTATCTTCACAGCATCATCAAAATTCCGCTCGCCACCGCAGCAGTCTCGTCCCGCCTCCCGCACCGTCCGTGCCTCGCCATCGTGCTGACAGTGGAGCAAATCGCATGCGATCTGATTCGGAAAAGACCGAGAACTTCTACGGCGATATCGAGCCGGTGGCTAGCCATCCTATTGAGCCTCGATCACGAACTGCGCTCTTGCCTCCTATCATGGTATCGTTGATCCTTGAATTCCAAACTCCACAGCAATGACCTAACAATGTTAATAGTCCAAGATTGTGGGCGAGGATCCAATCTGCTGGCTGGGTTTCCAGAATGATTCTATTATGACATCCTCTTTGGAAGGTATGGATTTTAAATTTGGGTATTTCTGTTTCTCGATCAATACGCTAACCTTTTCATCTCAGGCCATATTCGCACTTGGGAGAGACCTAGTGACAGCGTACTCAATAATGACCGCCGTCGTTAAGTGCCGGATAGTCACCCGAAGCTTTCAATGTGCACCGCCTGTCTGTTGACCTTTCACTCAGTAAATACTTTTTTAGCGCTCTGGAGTAGGATCTCTCTTAATAATTTTTCAGATACCCAATTTATCAAACTCAACAATCAGTTACAATTTCTAAAGCTTCAATTTTGTCGCTAGATAGCAACCTGAGTAATTGCAAAACCTGCCTGAGAATATCAAGCTACCTAAACTTGCTTCGCAGAATCAACGTGCTGGAAGCTGCTGCAATGATTCGCCCACCACCAAAGTGCCTTTATTATACCCCTGTTTATGCAAATATAGGGCTGCTCCTTATAAGCATATTCGAGCTACGACACACATTCATAGTAATAAACTCAGTATAGGGCGTTCACAGCATTATTGCAATCGCATTAAGGTAAAAACAACTCATAGATCATAAAACATCCAGACAAACATTAGATCCAATCGCATCAGTATCACTTTAAACTAGTTGTCGGAGTGCATCTTCCACTCATTATTAATCCGCACACAGTATAGCCCGAAATATAATTAACACCACGGGATGCTCTTTCGTATATTTTACTCAACAATGAGTCTGTGACTCCTTTCACAATAAGAACAGGAAATATACTTAGAGTGCCAGAGCAAAGAGACCGAGAAGTAAGCTACCGGCCTGGCTCGGGGGCATGATGTAACCAGCTGCATTTGTTGAAGTTGCCGATGCAGTTGAAGTAGAGGTCTCAGTCTTGATATGCTTTGTTTTCGTCGATGTGGCAGTCGAGCTCATGGTGGTGGTTGACACTAGGAAGATGATGAAGTTAGTATCTGGCAGTATCTGGCAGTATAGGTAGTGACGAGTGATGTAAATCCAAATAAAACTTGGAAACCAGCTGAAAACATGGCACCATTTACTCACCACGCGTAGTGGAGCTAACGGTACGGGATGAAGAACGAGTGCGAGAGATAGAAGATGAAGACATGGTAGAGGATGGCGTCTTCGTGGAAGAGACAGATGTAGAAGAAACAGAGGAAGATGGTGATGCAGTAGGGGTTTTGGAAGAGTGCGAAGAACTTGTACTCCAAGAACTAGAGGATGTGATAGAGGTGGACGCACTGATAGAAGAACTCATCATAGAAGATGAAGAACGGGTAGAAGCAGAAGTAGGTGACATGGTAGATGGAGGAGAAGTGGTATAGGTAGACGCACTGGTGGAGGAGTGAGTACTAGCGCTCGAAGAAGAAGAAGCTGTCGGAGAAGAAGTATGAGAAGCAGAAGTCGAAGAACTCATAATAGTCGACGATGAAGTCTGGAGAAAACTTGAAGTAGAAAGCATGGAGGTCGACGCAGATGTAGATGCAGATGCAGAGGTAGATAAACTTTCACTAGCAGTGCTGGTTTCCTTACCAGAGCTAGAGGCTGACACAGCCTTAGATGGAGTCACTTTGAACTGTGGTGACTGAGCCAAAATTGCACCATTATTCCTGGATATAAAGTTGACCTGGTAGCCACCACTGTAGGATTATCAAGTTAGTATACCTCAGGGATGTAGCTACATATTGGACTCGGGATCTCGCGTACCCAGTGTCAACATCACCGACATCTTTAGCTTTGATCGTATACTTTCCGAGGCTAGTATCGACTCCCGAAGCAACCAATTCGTTTGCGGTGGGGTAAACATTCTGGTTCACTAGGTAGATATCCATCTTGGAGGGGTCGGTCCTAAATATCATTTCCAATATTGTAAGAACCCCCGGAACCAGTCACACTGTAAAAGGCGAACTTACGACACTGCTTGCCATTTGACAGTAATAGAATCATCCAGAGGGACTTTCTGGTCGATCACCGGACTTAAAATCTCGAGACCTAGTAATAGTAGAGGAATCTGTTAGACTAGATTCAAGACTCAATTGACTCCACTATTTACCTGCAGCCGAGACAGCAAAAGCCAGCAAGGTCGAAGAAATGGTAAGACGCATTGCGACTGAATGTTACAAGCTCCTGCTTTGATTTAGAAAGAGTAGTCACTAGAGGAACTTCACAATGTATATGAAAGACCAGAAAGGTTGGAAGAGAAAGTTGAAGAAGAGACCCAGCGGGCAATATCTTATAAGATGTCGGAAACCGTGATATATGAAAAAAACGGGAATAAGCTATGACCCATTCTACACTCTTCTTTATGACATGAGAAACTTTATTTTTGGACCAAGGAACTCATGGTGTTCCAATGCGTCATGTCTCATGCCTCTTATCTTCGAGGGGTACAAGAAGCAAAAGGCAGGGGCGGCATTGGCTGTACTCAAGGCTACATGAATAACCACTTGTTGACAGAAGGTAAATATTCTTCTCAGGTGTATCCTGTAAAGTATTCATACTAGTCCGAACTGCAATCTCAAATGGGCGAATTCATGCCGCACAGCCTATCTAATTTAAATCGGCCGCGCGCCATAGTTCATGTGCAGTACCTGTCTATTTTGCAAGCAGGATGGCTTGACTCCATGTTGACTATCCTAGCATGCTAGCAATTGGTCAAAGTACTTAGTCCCCTGGGGTCACCGCTGCATTTTGTTCAACACTAAGAGAAGTTCTGGTCACTTGGTACTCTACTTTATAATCGACGCGGTTACTCAACTGTTGATGAGGTATAGACCCAATCCCCTGATCAAGGAAACTCAAAAATTCGTTCCTTCTTTACTGATTCGTTGATTAATATAGATATCTTTACTCCTGGAATACAAGTACTAATTTTTTAACTTGATGATCTATCTTAGGAATATAGAAAATAAAACGCAGACGATATCAACTCTTCCGTTCCACCACAAACGTCCATCAAAGCGTCCAAGGCTCTATTAGATGTGAGAAATCTGCCAAGGCTACGCCCGACGGTCATAGCACATCTGGGAATCGGAAAAGAAGCTGAATACCCTGCGCATGATCTTGGAAAGCGGTCATGGATCTATGTAGGACAAAGGTAAGGGCCGAGCCCAAATACGTTTTCAATCCAACGCCTACTATGCTCACACAACACGGGAGTACCATGATGATCTTATCACTCTTGTTCATCTTAGCAAATCTCGAATGTTATCATTTTGTATGATGCTTCTCTCAAATTATTGGTCGATTTCATTTCAATCGCTCAAATTGAACGTTGTTGCCTCAAACCTAAATTTCCCACAGCAGCCAACAGAGCTCGTACAGCATGTAGGTCGTATCGGAAACATCTTGATTGGATACAAACTAGTGGAAACTGAAATAGTTCTATCATCAGATACGGTCGCACTTCGGATCCCTGCTACATATGATTGTTGCCAGGCGATTGATTGTCTCCGTTCGGGCCTGACGCGTATTTGTGTTCTCCGACGCCTCCATCTTGGCCGGACCGAGCTGCTGACAGCATGCCTAGAGGCTTGTTACTATTCCAAGATTGTTTGAATTATGATCCTTATCAAAAAAAAATATAAATAGAATAATTACCGCAGTGGTTCTGGTTTTCTTTGGTTGATAGCCGACAGTAGATAGAATCTTTACACGTACCCGTAGACATAGATAATCGCTCGAAGCTTGGACTGAAGTTAACTGCTGGGCTTGAGGTCTATAAGTTCATAATGAAATACCAAACGGCATATGTCTAGACACTCCACGGTCAATCCATGGATATGATAAATATCGGGTGCGCGGGTATGGCGGTTTTTATTCACAAAAAGAAAAGATAAAAACAAAGCAAGGCCGAATTTTTAGAGGTTTTCCTAACACCTTAAGCATCATCATCTTTCATCCTTCATTGGATTCAAATTTGAAATCCAAGTCTTTCAGGGTCAACGGGTCTAACGCAAAAAAGATATCAGTTCTTCAAGTCAAGGTTCTCGAGAATAAAGTCAACTTCGTCATCCGCAGTCTCAATAATATTCTCAGGTAAAAACTGAGATTTCCATCCAATTTGACCGCCATGGACAGGAGTAAGTGTACATCTGGGGCATATTAGAAAGAATATTCCAAGAAAATAACACAGCAAGTACTGTACTGACCTTCCACCCAGCATGACAGGTACAAGTGATTCCGGAACTCCCAAGCCCTCAGCCATCTGCGTCAAGGCTGCATCGTCCACTGACTTAACGACATCATCATCCACAACACCGCGCTTCGCCAATGCCACCGCAAAAGCATGATAGATATCGCGCCAATTAATACTACCGGACGAAGCGAGATAAAAACCTTGCTTATTGTAGCCCATCTCAGTGCCAAGAAGCATATTTCGTAAAACTTGCAAATAGAGCGTAGAGTTATCCACGATATGGCAAACCGGCCAGGACTATAATAGTTACAAATTTTGTCAGCACGTCATAGTAATGAAAAGACTAGTAGTACCCATAGATATGAATTATTATCGATGCCGAGGACATACCGCGTCAAGGCCATTGACATCATACACTCGCCTAGCCTTATGGGCAGCCTTGATGATGGCAACAACTTGAATAGAGATTTTGTTGCCGAATCCCTCTCCCTTTCCGTACACAATACAAGGCACAAAAATATAGCCTCGCACTCCATACTCTTCGCAAAGATCGATTATTGAGAGATTGGTTTTGGTAGTCTATAGAATCCTCATTTAGCATCCAGCTTATGTAGACCATTCTATTGGAGCCATACCTGAGCAAAATAAGGATGTGGTGCCACGGAATTCTTGAGGGTGTTATAAAGATCCGGATCTGTATCAAGCAGCAGCTTCTCAGTAGTAAGGCCTGCATGGGAACTAAAGTGCTTTGCGCCCCCAGTGTGCAAGAAGTGAACCTCTTTCCCTGTCTTAGTTTTGACCTCATGTAGAGCGCGGATCATGGTTGGCTGGTGCTGGTCGCTGGCAGAGTCCACGAGGAAGAAAATGATGGAAATTTCATTGCTGATAATTCTTTCGCGCAGCTTTTCATGGTCACCAAGATCACAAAGTAGTGGTTCAGCGCCGTACTGCTTCACAGCTTGGCTTTGGTCTCCTGATCGAACAAGAGCATAGAGCATCCCGTAAGGAGGGAGGTTAGCATCTTCCCAACGGGCAAGAAGAGAGCCCCCGAGGTATCCCGAGGCACCAGTGATAAGAATGTTGTGGGACATGGCAGATTTTAGCGATAAAACTTTGGCTATGGGATGTGATAGAATGGTCAAGGAGGGTTAAGGAAATTGGACCTTTTATATCTGAGAAGGTGAGGATAGGGTTGATCCTAATTGGGAAACCCTTCCAAGGTTCCACATTCCGTAGTATTAAACGATGGAAGGCAAAAAGAAATTAGGCAGATCATCTAGGAGAATGGAGATAGCTTCCATACCTCCCCAAGCTTGTTGATTTTGTCCCGCCAGTTACGCTTTGAACGATGAGAAATGTCCCATTCGAGTTATTGCCGTCCATAGATCGATCCGCTACTTCTCATTGGCTTAGTCTTCTTACCCCTTCTGGATTGGCCCAATGTTTCCTATTGGCCGAACCCAATATACGAACGGAGTCCACATTGATGCAGATACTCATGAATAAGCAGCCTCATCAGTATTACTAACTCAATTTGGTTGTCCATATTTCAACATACTTTCGACATGTGGGCAGATCCCATGAATTAATGCTTATATCACAGCAGACTCCCCATATGTTCTATAATTTTGCGACTCCCCGATCGGTAAGCAAGCGGAAGAGAGTAAATCGAGCTTGCAGTTTCTGTCGTGCACAACGCGTTCGCTGCGATACAAATGCTCCTTGTACTCAGTGCGTGGAGAACAATATCACTTGCAGTCGTCTCCAGACTGCATCTTTGTCGACATGTCACAGGGAAACACGCAATCGAGAGCGCGTGCCAGCACCTTCTACTCATCTGAGTAGCAGAGACCATGAATCAGGCCAAGACCACCCAGAAAGACCAAAATATCCTCAACATTCAGCTAGCTCTACAATCTTGACATACAAGCTAGATTCGACATTAGAATTCGTTACTCGCATCAACACTTTTTGTTCCAGTGCCTTGCAACTCTCTTCACAGGCAGCACAGCACGATGATGATCCCGGCCCTTATAGGTCCCCATTCTGCCCGGGTGAAGTGAATATCTCACCATCTGGACCGTGTGACATTTCCATCGAGCAGTTGAAGACTTTATTGCGCATCTTTCAAACACGCATTCATCCTCTTATCCCGATAATGTCACAAGAAGACATTCAGCTGCCCGTTTCAAGTTCTTCCAGTGAAACAGAGGATACAGTACCCACTCCTCTCCAAGATGCGATAACTGCCTACACAATGCAATACATCTCTCACTCGGGTCTTCACACCCGCCTCCTGGGATTACAGTGGAAACAGTTCGACACAGGAAATGAACGATCGAGGGTAGTTGGCATGCCATATTTCCAAAGATGTCTAGCATACTGTACTCAGTATGCTATTTTCGAAACTCCCTCTCTCATGACACTGAAGTGCTTTTGTATAATGACGCTTTTCCTACTGGATACGGGCCAACATCATACGGCATATGCGGTAATTGGAATGGCTGTTCGATTAGCCCAGTGTCTGAACCTTGATAAAGTTCTTCCCAGCTCCTCGGATGATATAGAAAAACTCCAGATATGGTGGACGCTCGTTCACTTGGATTTCCGCTGTTCAAGATATGAAGGGAAGCCTGTCTCGGAGTTTTTAAGCGCCGGAATCTCAAACTCCTGTCATCCACCGAGCTCTGCGATAGATTCCCACTCATCACAGTACTACATTGAGAGTCTTCGATTAACATGTGCTGCACTCACAGTTATGCGAAACATATCACATAGCTCTAACTTGATATCAAACCCCGGGAACGAATCCACAAAGTCGCAAGCCGAAGCCCTCATGGCCAATTTACAGCCCCTGAACAACTGGAAAGTTGCTCTACAAAAGAACAAGAACTTTCAATGCCTATGTCTGGATGTCCCTGAGAACCCTTTAGATTCAACTTCTGGAAAAGACACCTTGAATCCATCCGTTCACCCTCTCGAGATCCAACAAAACACCCTTTTAGAACTCCAGTACCACGACATTATAATCAGTCTACATCGCAGCTTCATTGAGCTTCCAGCTGCCACGCACATACATCATGATTCTTCTCATATAGAGCATGTGCAAACGGCGCTCAAGCACGCACTAGCAACAATACAGCTCATTCACTCGCGCATGTCGCAACATGATGTCTTCTACGGATGCAGCGAGCTATACCAGTATCAGTGGAATGCTGTCTTGACACTTATCGGATTCATGCTTGCTTATTCTTCGTCTGTGTACTTCTCAACAGCACTGAGGCATGTGAATCTTGCTCTTGAGGTCTTTGAATTTGGGGGTCGACTGTCAGATGCTGCTGCGAGGGCGGCGGGGTTCACTCGCTTCTTACGGGATAGGGTATATAAAATGAGCTGTTCTATCGATGCTGGTAGTATACAAGCTGATGAGAATTCATTCGGCCCAAGATATGAGCCAGGTTCTTTGCGAACTCCGTTTTCCAACTCTTTGATGGGGATAGATGAAGATTTTGGGTTGAATCTTTGGTCTTGGAATGATTTGATTGATTCTGATACATGGCTAATGTCTCAGGCTAGTGATCAGAATGCTGAAGGTGGCTCTTAATCTACTATGACCTCCGAGTCGGGACTCCATGATCTGGGCACGCGTGCTAATAGCTTGAAGATGCTCTTATTCTTCATATGTATTTCGAACAAGATAATATTAATGACGAGAGTATCGCATATATGCTTAGATTGAATTCCGGCCTTGATTTTGGTATCATTGATAGTATACATAAATTATATGACAAGAAAAGGGGAAGAGAAAATACACATGCCAAGTATAGTACAGGTCTATAGCGTCAAAAGTCTAGAAGTCTATGCAAGCCCGCTCAATGGGATATATAATGCAAACACAATGGCGCCAGGCACACGAAGAAAGGAAGAAGGGAGAAAGCCCATGGCAAGTTGAGAAAAAAAACCAAGGATGGTTAGGAGCTGTCACTGCTCTCAGCGCTTGACTGAAGCTGTTCGACTGGTTTCCAGGTGTCCATTTGACGGGGTTTCACCGGAATTTGGATGGCATTCTGCAACACCCAGTTCAAGGGTCGCGGTGCACCTTTCCATTGCTCATCCATTATAGCCGCAGCTTCCAGCATGATGAAAACAGAGTTGACAGGCTCATATTTTGGGGCTTGAAAGATGTCTGTGTTGACAATTTCTTTGGCTACGCGAAGCTGGAGATCGCGTTGTTCGCCAGCACTCTTGAATCCGGACGTGAGGAAGAGCAAAGGGTTATCTTGAAATTCGGAAGGAAGTTCTGCCAACGTGGACTTTGAAATGATACTGCTCCCAGTATTCTGATCAAGACCAACGATGACTTTTCCAGCGTTGATGTCCCAAAGCTCGCGGATCTGATCAGTCTTTTTATAGGACACGTTGCGGCTCAGGGTAGAGAGAACAGTTTGCTTCATCTTGTATGTGACAGATTTTTGCAAGCAGGCGTGACGCCAAAGTACTCGGCAAATGTTGTACTTGCGACTCTTGAAGGCGATCAAGAACAAACGCTCCCACACCTGGGGCACAAAACGGAACGAAGAAAATTTGCCAAATTCAAATGTGTAGTGAAGTGCACGGCTAATGCTTGAACGACACATGGGCATAATCTGAGCAAGACATATACCGTCAACTGCAAACGACTCTTTGGCGCATATCGCCAGCAACTCATTGACTGCGTCGAAGTTCTTCAAACGAGAAGCTACACTGAACATCTGGCCAAGTAGCGTTGCATTGAACCAATCAGCCCCATGGGTTTGTTTCATGAGAGCAAAGTAAGATTCAACGTTTTGTCCATTTTGAAGGTGCACATAGAGCGAATCTTGAATCGTTATTTGAAGAGCAGATCGAATCACCGCTACATCTGTCAAAAGACCCTTGTGCGCCATACGCGTAATTAAAGAAACCTTAGTGCTTGGAGTGACAAAAGTCTCCAGCAGAGCGAGCCAGGTGTCAGAGTTCGGGGAAATCTTAGCTCCGGCCATCAATTTGAGGCACCAACGAAAGGATTTGATATCCTGGCGGCGCCCGGCACTTCGTAGTAGAATATTATAGGTGTCTGCGGTAGCAACATATTGTCCTTGTCGAAATACAAGCCGGGCAGCCTTGAGTTGATCACGGCCGCACAGGAATTCCAGGGCTTGGTTCAAAGCAGCTGTAGAGAATACCTTGCGATATGTATCATCCTGGAAAAGCGCTTCAATATGCTGCGCGATTTCAATCCCATAGCGTACCGAGCGTCCGTTTGGGATCCCTTTGGTACTCTTAACAGACAATCCGTGTGCATTTGTCAAGTCCTCAACGAATTCAGCAAATTCCTTGACGGTGCTCAACGAAGGACGAGAGGCAAGAACAGATTCGAGAGTAAATGGTTTTTTCTTGCTCGAGAGGAAATTCCAAACTCCGCGTATTGTGGGGGCATTCTCTCTCGTGGCATAAATGGAAACGGGGGGCTTGCCTATCTCAACGAGAGGATCGCCGCTAGCTTGAAGGGATTGGATGCGTTGGAAATCCCCTTTGATCAGCTCCGTAGTACGTTCGGATCCCGTCAAAATGACCTTGCGATTCATTCCGTCGCCTTCTCGGGGATGCAATATTTGCACTTTACATCCATTGCGTAGATGCATATACCATATATTCTCCTTCATACTTTTATCGATCATACCAGATAACGCCGCCACCGTTTCTTCTGGAATAAGCAGCTCCCTGTGCCTATTGCTTCTTCTGGTCTGGGTTTGAGTTATTTCCTCAACTTCCTCTATCAGGTACATCATATCTTCCCAACTCTCATGCATTGCAGCAGAAAACGCCTGAGGTTGAGTCTGTTTCAAATAAGCTTCATAGCGAAGCTTCCTCCGATCTCGGACGGAAAGTATTTCTTGAATTTCCTCCGTTGGATCAAGCTTTGACTGATGTTGAGATTCTGTGGAAGCAGCAGCACGTCGTTGACCCTCCTTTCGGCGTTCCCGCGGGTTTGTACGGGTGGTATTTTGACCAGTTCGGTTATGTGGCACGTGTGCTAGGTCGTCGTCGACCTCGACTTGCAGATGCGGGTAATGTACAGAGCCATTGCTTGATACAGATTTCCTGAGCTCATAAGCATTATCTGTGGGCTCCGTATTGTCGTCTTGCACTGGCGACGAGAGGCTTTCTGGTGGGTCGTTGAGATCCCGGCTCGCGAGGTTGGAGTGCCATTGGGTCGATTGTTGAGGGAACGGTCGGGGAGATGTATATACAGAGGGGTTGTTTGGTGTACGGAAGGAGCGAGGGGTTCGATTGCTTTTCTTCGGGGCTGCTCGAAGAGCTAAGGACGCGATCGGTCGCCGTTGCTGTACGGCGGAGGCCGCCCATCGGGGGTAGAGGAATAGCAGAGGATCCTCCGGGCCAGCCGCGACGGTGTCCAAGGCGATGGAAAGACGCCTTCCGAGACACGGGCGGCCACTTGTCAACATGTGGACTGGTGTCCGTAGCATCCAAGGTACGGAGCAGTGGTTGTATACGCAAAGGTGTTGAGAATCCCGATCTTTGAGTTCCGAAAAATGCACGCGGGAAGGGAAGGCGGTGTCGGCGATCCCGAGTACACTGACGGAGCGATTCATAACTACGAAGTAGAAGTACCTAACTACAGTATACATTTCTTATTTATAGTATATCCTACAACAAGTCTCAAGTAATGAACTCAAAACCAATCATATTCATGGCTAGGTATTATCCCAAAGAAAACAAGAACCGAATTATTCGTCCAATTACTGTACAATAGAGCAATCAATAGATATGCCCGTCCCGGCCCACCTCCGCGGCGTTGGGAATTCCTTTGATCTCCTTTCCCCTCGTCACAGGCTCACTAGATGCTTGCGACCGTTTAGACAGCAAGGTGTCATGTCTAGTAACTGGAGTCAAATCAAGTAGCTCAGTTGCTGAGTCTCCGTGGGCATCAGTAAAAAGATCTGGGCCAGTAATATGTTGTCTGGCACTCTCCGCTGCCCGTAGCAGATTATCTTTCTTGCGTTTCAGTTTGTCTGCATCTTTATTTCCGGGATCATCAGCTGGCTTGGAAAGTATGTGTATCGTGTTGACAAGATAAGTCACGAATTGCCAGCGGGATGTCTGGAACAGAAACATAGACATGATCTCCGGTACCTGTTCAAAAGAAAAGAAATCAGATTAGTCCATTGCCCTGAACATCTACCGCGATGTGAAAGACACTCACCTTATCATTGAGGTAATAAATTTCCTCTCCGCCCTCCTCCACAAACTTTTTTAAAGCGTCGATTCTCTCTCGATCAATCGAGGCAAGCTTCAAAGCATACATAAGGGAAGGAATATCTCCAATCTCCTCAAGATGTACCTCTTCATCAACTTTGGTGCTAACCCGACTCAAAAACCCAGACTCAACCCGCGAAAGTCCCGTAACACTCTGGTCTCGACTTCTCGTCTTAGAATGAATAGTAAAGTAATCTTCCGTCAACATGTGCGCGTTCTCAAAATCTGAGTGGCCACGATGTCTCCTCTCGGGAATCTTAGTCCGTAATCGAACCCATCGTCTCCTTCGAACAAAAGAGTGAAACCACGGGTGAGTACCGTGCCATTGCGAGGATCCAAACGAGAAAGAGTACTGCCATCCTTGCTCGTCAACATCACCGGACATATCAACGTACCAGGTACGCCATGTCCATTCCCAGCTTGGGTCGGGTACTTGGGCATTGGTGATGTTTACAGGGCTCGGGCGCTTATCATCCTTCATCCATGCGGAAGGGTCGAGGTTGAGTAGCGAGCTATGCGAGTACAGGGGTACACCAAAGAAGAACGAGCCCCGTTGATTCTCATATAAAATATCAAGTTCTGTGACGGCTTTTGTGTTTGTCTCAGAATCGGATTGTTGCCCCTGTCCCCCTGTGCCAGAGCCAGATTGAATGGCCTCATTTGTATGACTGGGAGCTCGGGAGGGACAAAAGTCTGCCGTGTCGACACGAGCTGTTTCTGTCGCGAAGTCTGACGTTATATTTTCGTTTCGGGGCCCCGTCGAGCTCTCCGCTGAGATTGATCCCCGTATTCGTGATGACTCCCTACTCGGTGATGTTTCGGGGTCTGTTGCAACGCCTAGCTTATCCGGTTGCCATTTGGCGTATTTGCGCTTGGTGAGCTGTCTGGAGACAGATGCATGACTGAGGTGTTTTGAAAGGCTGCTTTGCTGTGCATGTTTGGAGGGTCGTCGCGAGGATTCCCCGCCTGTCGGTTGTTCTGAGGGGACAGTATTGTCCACCAGTGCAATGCTTGGTGGGCGCTCCATGGTTTGTTCGTTTAGATATGACCCCGTTTATATTCAATGGGTGTGCTTCGGTTGAAGTTCGAACCCTTGCTTCGATCACGAGGGCTGTCGCATTATCCTGTGAACGACGATATTATCTGCACCTCAGTTGCCTGGTTTCAGTCCAGATCCAGCTGGACAGACGAACGAATTATGACGGGAGTAAGACAGGGGATATGAATTATAGTGTAAAAAGGAAATACAAGGCTAAAGGAATCAAATCGTAACCTCAAGGGTTCGAGGGTAAGTAAAGAAGGAAGTGAGTTCAGCAAGCCGCCGATGACATCGTTTGCGGGGCCTACAGCAGATGTAGCTGCAGCACCGCAACCTGCTGAGTCACATGTCCCTAACTAAGAATATCATATACTGAGAAGAAAAAGGTAGACACAGTATAAACAAGTAAAGACTTATTGGAATGAATATAAACATTCAAATAGTAGGTTATTTCGAATACCAGTCCACATAGGCAAATCCCTGTACTTTTGTCCATAGTTTACAAAGGTACTTTTGACCGCATTATCATCGGTCCCGCCAAGACCCAGTACAACGCCCAAAACACCCGCGAACAAAACAATCTCCGCACCGCAACACAACCCACCAAGATGGCCGCCCAACACTACCGCAAAATAGAGCTGCAATCCCCAGCAGACTTCACCTTCCTATACGCAAACACAGTCGGTCTCTCGCGCCAAAAACTCGACCTGAACCTTCCCCCGTCCGCAACAAACGATGACGCCCCAGATCCAATGCGCGAACGCGTCCGGGAATTGGTTGATGAGGTGAGATAGATACTCTACATTCCTGCACAAGCTATATCTATCTCTCTGGATGTGGTGCGATGTGATGCGATGCGATATAAGGCTGTTTTGGATGTTATATTATGAAGCAAAACTAACAACTTCGCAATAGTACATAAACGACACATTCATGACAGCGGCATCCTCTATAAGCATTAACGGCATTGAGGCCTCGCATCCACAATTCCCCTTCCCAGCTGCATTTACAGCAACAGAAACAGTCGAATACGAACAATTTGACTCGGACCTTGCATCGCGTGTCTCGGCTCTATATGCTCAACTTGAGTCTCTTACTACGAGCGTTGCACAATTGCGACGGGATGCGCCGCGACAAGCGGCAAGGGCATATGCGAAGGAGTTGAATCGGGTTATTGAGGATGAAGGGTTTGAGGAAGAGGAGGAAGAGGAAGAGGCTGATACTATGGAGGAAGACAAAGCAGAGGAAATGGATGTGGATAAGGATGGAGCCAATGGATCTACGAAACACAACAAGGATGGCGAGCGGATACCGCTTAATGACTCCTTACGAAAACGTAAACGGCCTGATCCTAAGTGGGAATTGGAGATTCCATTGGGGACTGAGGAGGAGGCGGAGAGGTGGCGAAGTGGGGATATGGCTGATGTTTATGGGAGCGCGCTGAGGACTTTGCAACGCTTGCAGGGGGAAGAGAGTGTTGAGGAGGGAACCGAGGGTAATGCCTTGGCTACTACGGTTGGGAAGGCTGAGAGGGCTGGACGGGCGGCGGATGTTGTTGAGCATATGTAGGCTCTTGTCTGCTCTGGGGTCTGCTCATCTTCCAGTATTTTGCTTGGTTTCTTCTTCTTTCTTTGGGATTTTTGATTATATGCCAAGGTCGGGTCACGGTGTTTCGGTGTTTCGGTGTCAAGTTGATGGAATCATGATACCATGTTTTGTTCTTATGGCTTGTAGGGCAAACTCTGTATGTCTACTTTACTATCAATATTGTCTATGATTACGAAGATAGGTATTTACTTTGGACTCAAGTGAGTTCGTGTGTAATGATCAGCAAGGAAAATCCTTGGATTCACTCGTTTCCGCTATGTGCTCTCCCATGTATACACTCCATTGTCCAAAACATAAAGAAAAAAAAGCCAGTTTTCCACTGCACTCCCCAACTCAACTTGCTTTTAAATCCACTGCAACCTGCCCTTCTATATCAGCGCGGACATCCGCGTCTTCAACGGGCCATAAAAGACATTTGTGAATAAGAACTCTCCATGATATTTAGATCGAAAACAACAACGAAAGGGGTAAAGGGGGTAAGAGATCCACGCTATATGTGGGTGGGTAATCGGTGATGATGTATTGAAGGCTTCCAGGAGAGGTAGAACCTGGGGGTTTGCCAACAGAAGGATGTTAGATGGAGCAACTTCCTCCACACGGACCAGTGGGTGGGTATTTATTCAAGACGGATGGATGTTGTCGAGAAAGAATCTCCGCTGGACCATGAATCGGATCGAATTCCTCTCTCTCTTCTTTTTTTTCTTCTCTTTTTGGATTTTCTTGTGAGTGAGTCGATTGTGAATCTAGTCGAACGAACAGGAACCGACTCCTCAAATTGTGAATAAACGAGCGAAAGGGGGAATTATTCTATATTTGCTTAAGCACTGGTCTCAACGCCCTCCTGGCCCTCGGCGTCCTTCTTCTCGTATCCGGGGTCCTCGTTCTCAACAACAGCAGGGGCAGCAGCCTCCTCCTTCTTGTTAGCCCAGGCAGGGGTGCGAGCCCACTCAGCTTCTTGCCAGGGACCCATATCGGACAGCTCACAGCCACCCTCGCAGCTGCAGGAGCCACCGAACTCAACAGGCAGGTTCTCCTTGGGGACCTGAGCGAGCAATTCCTTCTGGTAGCCGCTGCCCAGAACGTGGATCTTGTTGACAGTGACGGGGTCAAGGAAACCCTTGACAACGCTGAAAACACTGCTGAAACCCCAAGGGGCGTTGATCAGATAGAGCTTGCCAAGACGCTCGGGGTAGTAGTTCTGGGAGATCTCGGAAGCTTGGCGCACGTATCCATAGACAGAGGGAATGCTAGTGATACCAACACCCTTCAGGTCCATGATGGAGCAGCAAGTCTCAAGCAGCTTGCCGGCCTTGCGGGAGCAAGCGGGCAGACGGGGGTCGGACAGCTTCTCGTACTCGGTGACAAGGTTCTGGAGCATGCGGTCGCCGGTGGTGATCTTGTACATGGCGTTGAGGTCGATCTTGCCCATCTTCTCGATGTAGACGGGGCGGCCATCCTATTATGGCAGAGGATCATTAATTAAGTTCATTTCAGAACGATCGCACATGTATCCGGTAGCTTACCTTGTCGGTCTTATGGTAGTATTGGGGGTAGAACTTGGACACCTCCGCCTTCTCCTTATAATCGAAAGTGGCGGGGAGAGTATCAGTTCCGAATTCCTTGCGCCACTTCTCACAGCCGACGAACCTATAGTACAAAGAAAGACATTGGTCAGATAAAGCGCGGTGAAAAAAAAAATCGACGATGAAAAATCACATGTGAGATGCACAGCGTGCTCTCCATGCAGGGCATGAATTAATCATTGGGGAAACAGGAAACCTACATCGCCTTAGAAGCCACGAGATCAAACTTGCGAGCACGCAGGAAACGAAGCAGGGTCAGAGTATCCAATCGCTCAGTGTACCCGTCCTTCTCGAGATCCTCGCGCAGCTTCTGGACCTTCTCATCTTGTTCCGGTGTTGTGTGGCCAGGGTGGCCAGGCTGATCCTCGGGGGCGGTAGTAGGGAAGTCGTACGAATCGTACTTAGGGTCGACAGGCAACTTCTGTTCAGTAGCGGCTGCCATGGTGAAATGTGTAATTGGAGGGGTAAAGGTGGGAGTGGGAGGAAGAAAGTTGCAGGAGGAAAAGGCGGAGGGGGTCGTAAGTGGCCACAAGGATAAAAGGCCCGGGGAGATCGGCCACTTGGTTCGTAAACAAGTGATCGAGATCAATAGTTACGAAAATAAATGTTCACCCGTTAGTTGCCACTGGCAATTCAAATAAAATGGTAACATATTGGAGCAAATAAAGTTCCGCTTGCTGTGTTCAAGGGGCTACAGAATAAGGGGTAAGATGATGATCCTACTCGTTCTTCAAGCCCAACTCATACTCCAGAGGTTTTTTTTTATGGCTACCTATGTATTTGTATATATTTGTCTACGTTTGCAGCCAAGAACTTCGAGATAATATAACGCAACAAATCAATTGTCAATATTAATTCATTTATCATGTCACTTTATGTACTTAGAGGCGGTTGTCGTGTTGCCTGAAAACGGCTCTTAACTCTGCCGCTTTAAGGTGTACGTACCCTTTTGACACCGCCGGTTGAGCTTCAAGCCGTGATGGCTGTTGGCTACAGAAAAGTCTCCACAAGAGCCTAATAATGCCCCGTGTGAGGGGCTCGAGGCGGTGTCGCTATGCAGGTAGCCTTAATTACAAATTTTACGTAGCAGTCCAGAGTTTTGGCGAATAGGTAACTAGTTCATTCTTTCTAGCGTTTTCAAATAAAGATAATCTACCATCCATTGATTCGTGGCTTCTGGCTTGCTGTACAGACAGGTTTCACGTAGTCAAAATCATACGGGTATTCAAATGCAAACAGCCCCACGTCGCAAAAACAAAATAAAACAAAAAGACATAATATTATACACAGCGCAGTGAAGCCAGGGCCCAGAGCGGTGATGGTACGACATAACAACAAGTACCATAAATCGAGATTACACGGCCATGATAAAGAGATGCCCCAGGCCAAACAAGGAAGGGGAAGGGAAGATAAATAAGACGCGCTGGGTATAACTTGCAAGACGAAAACAAAATAAGAAACACAGCAACAAGGGGGATAGTTCAAAGGCCTTTCCAGAGATCGTCTGCAGATCCCGAGCCAGCGGGACGAAGTGCTGATCATCCTCGATCGGATATGTTTGTATATCCACAACATTCACAAGAGGTACATTGCTCCACCGAAAGAGGGGGAAGAGCATCCAAATCATGATAGAAATAGTATGGGAAAGCGTTTCATTCCGTGCATCGGCGGTCGAGGATGGACGGGCTCATGTATAAGTCGGATTGTAGTTTCGGGTCCATCAGGTTCGTCATAATAGATTAAGTGGTGGTGTTCACGGTCAACCGAGATAAAGACTCGGCTTGGACATAGAGAAAGAGTAATGTATGCTATGTACTCGATCTCATACCGATAATAAAATCGGGGTTATAAGCGAAAGAGAAAGTTTTGATGGCAGGTCTAGCCTTTACCACCCCTTCTTGCGTGCGAATCGCTTGTTCAACAAAGCAAGAACTTTGGTGACATTGAACTGGACATACTCCAGGTCAAGATCCTCCAGGTTGTCCTTCTGCATCTCCAAAAGGTCATCCAATTTCAGGTCAAGCTCTAGGAGTCCACGAGCTCGGCCTTTGTAGTGGAGACTGATAACAAATGTACCGGGGAGGGGACTCTTGAACATGAAGTAGATGTTCGCTCGGCGGTTTTCCGGCACATTGCTGCGTCGAATAACACCTTCCTTTTCCAGTTGCTGGTGGGTAAATTTGTAAGGGCCAAGTTCCTGGTGCTTCTCCTTCTTGCGCTGCTTGCCCTCGGATTGGCTGCGCACGTTGTGAAGATAGGACTTGTATGTCTCCAGCTGACCGACCAAATAGGCATTATGGTCACGGATAGTAGCGAAAACCTCTTCCAATTTGCGGGTCTCCTCCAGTACCTTTTCTTTCAATGACCCAAGGTGCACCAACTCCTGCTCGACCTCATCACGGAGAAGACTGAACTCATCCGAACGGTCGATCACGCCCATGTCCTGCAGCTGGCTCAGCAGCTCCATAGTGCGAATACCCTTCCGTACCATTACAGCATCATTCTTGAGGGTAGCAGCGGCTTCGGCGATGCGGTCCAGCCGCAAAGGCCGACGGGCGACCGAAGAGTTTGGAGGTAGAGATCGAAGAATCTGCACAAAGGTGGATTTGGCCTCCATGAAGAACACTTCCTCTTGAGTGATGTCCAGCGCGGCTGTCAGGTCGTCCAAGGCAGTCTCCCATCGGCTAAACAGAGGAACCGTGATAGTACGGTTCTCTTTGCGAGGAACTTGTGGAGGTGCAGTACCCAATTCTTGCAGTAGTAAAGCGAGATGGGAGTTGTGATCCTGGCCAAGTGCCACGTTGTGCTTCTCAAGAAGAGCGTGGGTGGCGTACATTTCATTCAAGGTAATCTGGAGTTCCAAATCACGCTTGGATAGAGCTACGTAGTTGTCCATTTCGAGACTTTCGTAGAAATCTTGGACTTCACACAAGTCAAGGAGGAACTTGTTCACGCGTTCTTTGTTCGCCTCAATGAAGGGCTGAAGACTAGCCATGTAAGGCTCCTTGGCGTAGGAGGGCTTGTTGGCCAAGTTCTGTATCATCTTGGCGATCAAAGTGAGGGTACGGCGAGGCTTGTCGGTCGGGGTAGCATCAATGAGCATGTAGGAACGAGGGGTGACAACGGCGGGGTTGATGAAGCGCAGGAAGAAGAAACCACCGATCAAAGTACAGATTGTCTGATCTTGGGCATCAGGGTACTTGCGACGAGACAAGCTTCGAATCTGCTTGCAAATCCATCGGATACCGTACGGAGTCTCATCCACCGCGTCGATAATGGTGTTGAGGAATCCGTTTGCAATATCGGTCAACATCTTCAGACGCGGAGCGATGATTGCTTGCACCTGCTGGTTATCAGCGGCATCCTCAGCCGTGACAGACCGAGCAAGATAATCGGGGAGAGTGCCTGTCTCCTCTTCAATCTGCTTCACCATGCTCTCGTAAACCTTGAGAGGGTTGATTTCCAAATCCACATCACGCAGTTCAATCAATGAGTTGATACGGTCGGCAAGGACTTGTTTCAGGTAGCTTTGACCGGGACCGCGACGTGTGTAGGTAGTCATCATACGAGATACCGGGGTATTCTGGCGCAGAAGGGAGGAGTATTCAGGGGTGTTGTCGAATTGGTAGGTAAGGACGGATTGGAACATGGTAAGCAAGAGGTGCTCTTCGCGACTCTCGTACTGGTTACCGTAAATGGTGAACATGACAGTCTGCAATAGAGAATCGATCTCCGCCATGGAGACTAGTCGACACAAGTGGGCAATGTGACGGGGTTCGGATTGAAGCAGGAACAGGAGGTTGCCGTATTTCTGAGTTCGCTCGTCATTGGGAAAGAAACCCTCTTGCGGGTCGGCGGTGTCGTCGAGATGACTGGCAACTTCGTTTTGCTAGATAGAATCGGGGATGTGAGCAGGCGGTCCTCGATATGTAGTGATAGTGAATAGTAAATAGAGTTGTTGTGACTAACCTCTTCCAACGCCATACGGTTCTGAATCAACAATGCGATTCGCGAGTCCAAGTAGCGGACATCTTTCTCCAGGACGAAGTTCTTCTTGGATTGGGATGAGATCTTGGACTTGAGTTCTCGGAGATGCTTTTGGGCTGTGCGAAAGTCAGCGCTGACCTATTGCCAGAATCTTAGGTTGATTGTGATCGTACCTCGCGCCAAATCATCGGATATTTCCAAATCCCTATCCTTCGCGGACATGGACAGGTACAACGCGGTGACCGACATCCGCTTGGATTGGCGGAGCGACCGAGTATCGTGCGACGACATTGTGTTCTGTCGTGCGACGGGCTGAAACGAGGAAGAAGAGGATGAAGAGGCTCGGGAGATTCTCGATGCAGGTTGTAGCATCGTCGCAACGGACATTGTGTGATTGTAGGAGGGGAGGAGCAAGCCTTCAAGAAAGCCCGACTTTACAGCCGACGACTGGTACTGTCAAAGTCGATTGCGCGAAACTCTAGATAAGAGAGAAAGAAGATTAGAACACGATGCAAGATTTTGTTGACAGCGACCCTCGTATGATTTATTGGGTAGAAACCAGGTGCACAGTTCAGGCATGTACCGTAGTAAGGTTGTTCGCATACCTGACAATCTCCCCGCTGAATTACTTCTCTTTATTTTTTTATTTTTTTCTTTGCCCTCGTCGTCAGGGGGTTGACAAACAAGGTACTTTTCTTCTCAGTTATTTTTTTCACCCACAATAAGGCGAATCAATAGGAGAAGGAATCGAGTGACCAAAGGCGGGAATGTGGGAGGGGGAGAAGAGAAGAGGCGGGTGGGAAAGGGGAATTAGAATTGATCGGAGGGGGAGATTATTATTTCGTTAGTTCGCTGTTAGGGCGGGTTCTTCTCTCTCTCTGGGGGGTGGAGGGGGGGGGGGGAATGGGATTTACGGGTGGAGTCAAGTCTCCATCATGATTTTCCCTTTATATTATAATAGCCGTGCCGTCGGCCACTAATTCGGCCACCCCGAATTAGTGTCCCCCACCGTAATGCAAAATATCACCGTAATGCAAAACACGCAACAAAACATCAATTTTTAAACTAAATACTAAATGAATCTTGATATGCAATTATATCACCATTATCTCCAAGAATCGGCGTAGAAGACACAATAGGTGATTTATCTGTTGAGGGTCGAGAAGGTTCAAATCCAAAGCGTTTTTTAAAATCTTTGGCCACCCGTCTATCCTCTTTTTCATCTTCCTTAGCACGTCGCTCAGCAATAGATCGATTTGCATCTTTAACACGTAAAATTCCATCATCTTTGAGGTTTAATAATCGCCGTTTGGTAGATTTTTTAGCCCGTGGGGCCTGGATTTGGGCTATTTTTGCGATCGTAGAAGATGCGTTTTGAATCGCCTGAACGTGGAAATCCATCTCTATAAGTATTTGATCTAACGTCCGTTTTTGCCGAGGTGTAATACTATCTAATTCCATTAAGGGAGCTAGTTTTTTGCGGCGTTTCTGGACGTCTTCTGTAGTCTTTGAAGGTATATTCTCTAGACTTGAAGATAGTATATTTTCCAGTGGTGGTGATGGTGTTTTTTGATCCCGAAGATCAATTGATATATCTAGGATAGAAAGAAGGGCATCTTCCAGTTTTTGACAGACAATTTTAGCATTGACTGGATAAATTCCTCGTTCTCGAAACGCATTTCGGCAAACTCTCTGTGTCAAAGCTTTATCTCTAAAGCCCATAAGGTCTTCGAGAAATGAGTTTTTATTTGCTGTAAGACCCCCACCCCACTGTGAAATAAGGTTATTTTATTAACGAAAATAAGCCTTATAAGCCAAAAATGGCTTACCATCCAAAGGTTGAATATAATTTATCTTATTTAGTGGAAAACCAAAGATCTTAATACCAGCTTTTTCAGCAGAGTTTAAGAATTCAAATGTCAGATATGAGCCACAGCCATCAACTAAAAGAATTCTTTGCTCGCCTTGCTTAACACAATACTGCGTTTGACGGTCAAATTCTTTGATCCAAAGCACAGCAAGTTCATCAACCATATAGCCTTTCTCAATAGTTGCAGTCATCCACTCCTCAGGTAATTTGGTATCATACCAAGCCTCCATTTGATGGCGTCCTTTAAAGATAACAAGGGGTTCCATTCTCCAACCATCAGCCGCAATACATTCTGCGACAGTAACTCGCTCTCCATGTTCTTCACCGGCAAGACGTGGAATCTTTGTTTTATAACGTATAAAGACTTTCTGAGTTTGTCCTTGGCCCAATTAGAAGCCAGTTTCATCAAAATTATAGACAAGCCTTTCTGGTACACCATCAAGAATTTTGTCTAATAAATCATACCAATGTTCTAGAATAGCAACATCTTCGTGGCTCATTCTTTTTAAATCTATAACCTTCTGTCGTCTCATCTCAAAATCAACATCCGGGAAACGTTGAATAAAGCGATAAACCCAGTTTTTTCCGACTGTTCGGTCTGATGTTCCCGATCGGGCAAGAGTCAGATTTGCCCACTGTTCTATAATATTTGGTGTCGGAGGGATAAAAGCTTCATCCAATGATCGAATCCAGAAGGATAAAGCTTTCTCTTGGACGTCATTTAAAGCCTTATTTTGTGGTTTTCGTTGAATTCTGGGCGTTGATTTTTGACGGACTCGGCGGTACAGAGTATAATACGAAATAGCATATTCCTCCGCGATCTGCGTCAAATTTGGCTTTTTGAGGGTAGAGGCATATCCAACAGCCTCTTCCATACGAAATACTTCATTTTCATAGAAATCGGCCATAGTTAAGGATGTATAATTGAGGGAAGAAGACGTGCGGGAAAGTGTTTTGCATTACGGTGATATTTTGCATTACGGTGGGGGACACTAATTCGGGGTGGCCGGATTAGTGTCCTCCGGCACGGCTATTATAATACAATTGATCAATGCATGTAGACATCCGGTTTGTTTTCTCTCCGAAAAATGATCCATTGATTTTACTCAGACCGAGTTTGTCTCTTCTTTGACTTGTTAATCCACGTCTCTTTTTTTTTGTTAGTGTTTTCTATGTATGCAAGGGGAACATCGCCTTTATCGTTGTTCATGCACAATTTTATTTATTTTTATTTTTTATTTTTTATTTTCTATTTATTTGATTTAATTATGATATCTACATCCATGTTATCTATTCCCCTGAGTCTGATGAAATCCCTGTGATCGTCTCATACACCTACAAGTACATCGTGATAGATAGGAAGTACCCAGCACATACATAACCTATGTACACTACACATGCAGGTATACTCTCTAAGTAGCCAAACTGTCCAACCCTGCTCTACCCCTGGGTCGTTTTTTGCCACTGGCAAAACATCTCCCCCTTTTCCCCCTCAACCTTGGTTCATCCGGTTACTGAAAGATTAGGTACGGACTTTCGACCAGCACAGAAATCGCGATGATCGTCTCAATCCCGGTCGTCCTGGCTCCGTTAGTCCGTGCCCTCCACTCAATCATATGTATCTCAGGGGGTCCCATCACTGATTAGCTAGTCTTGACGTCAACTCTCGGTGCCACTGAAGACATTCCCCCTCTTCCTACACTTACTACTCACAGGTACCTGCATCCGAAGAGGAGCCCCTAGCCGGGCCGCACTGACTCCCTCCCAAGTGGAGATCCAGATTGAACGGGGCCTCCAATTTGGGTAAGACGGGCTCGCGGCCTTTGTCCACGAGACCTCCATGTGGACGCTGCATCCCTCGTCGAGAGGAAAAGACAAAAAAAAGTTTCAGGTTGAGTCCTGGTCTAGTATCTTTTCTTTCTCTCTCTATATTTACAAAAACTCTCGCTATATTTGGTGACACCGGCAAGAAGGACCCTCGGGGAGAAGCCTTATCGCTCCTTGTTCCTCCACACTGATTGACCTCATTCCCGGGTCCGAACAAAAGAAATGAACAGGTAAAAAAAAAAAACCACTCCACTATGTTCAATCCATTGAGGGGTCTTACCTGCTGCACCTGCAGGAATCACTCGACACTATCGAGTGTCTCAAACGCAAGGACTTTTTTTGCGGATCTCCTAGCCGATTTGGCACTCCCGGCTCCTTCATCCGACATCGTGCGATTCATGTGTATGACGATGGTCTCAATCACCTTTCTATCTTTTAATGAACATTCCCTGTTATAATTCCCGCTGTCTAGGTAACTGGGATTCTAAAAATAATCGCGGCAATGGCGTTAATCTATTCATATTCCGTTCCTCAGCTCAACTTGGAACACTCATCTCGTTCATCCGTCACATAACGGGATCCTAGTTTTCTTCCTCATGCTTAAAACAGAAAGTGAAGAAGAAAGCAAAAGAAAATACAAAAGAAAAATGGCTCAAATGTGCCCCGTAGATCGTCCAGGACCTCATGTTGTCCCAAGCTCAACTCCTACTATACCCTATTCGAAACCGTCGCATTCGTACCATTGCTTTTTTTGGAGGGGGTGGAGGCACATCAATTTTCTTCTCTTGCACGCATTCCTGGTCAGTGCTTTGCTGCTCAGGGGTAAATGCGCACGAAAGTGGATCCGGTGGGACTGGAAATGGAGACTCGAGGGTTCCCCCCTCCGCAGCATGAACTCTCTCAAAATGCATGGGGATGACTGTCCTACCCTCATGTCCTACCCCTGATCACTGAGTCGTTCCAACTGGTAACATCTATCCGTCATGTCTCAGGCTCTCCATGCACATATTCCTTTGTGGCGTGCAGGAATGGAGCCAAAAATAAACTGGTAAGATCACTATACAGTGCACCGCGCAGTACTTCAAAAAAAAAAAAATGAAAAAAGAGGATCCGTACTCCACACCTATACTACACTATCTTTGCCTCTTTTTCTTTGCTTTGTCTACCCGCATCTGCCATGCTCATCCCATCCCATCCCATCCCGTCCGTCATGAAACGCGCCAAGCTCCGTCGCAGATCCGTCGCAGCTGAGCTGTAACCACCCCTACTTACTAGTTCTCCCGGGGGCTTCCGTGCAATACAGTATACAGTATGTATCCATAGTTAGCTTCCCCGTGGCTTGGGCTGGATTGGATCCATCAGTGCCAGGAGTGTCAGAGGGGCCGTGATCGGCAATGCATGTATGTACAAGGTTAGCTAGCATACTCGACTGCGCGCGAAACAAGCCTAGCATCAATTAACGGGCCGCTCCATCCACAGCTCGTGACGGAGCACTCAGGAACTGGCACCGGCTATCTCGTACGGAGGCCTCCGCAACTTGGAACTCCACATCTACTAGTTACTTAGCGAGTCGATAGGTACGTAAACCTCAACATCCCATTGCGGCGTTATGCCCGAGCAAAGTAGACGAAATCTTGATTCTAACGTAGGTCGAAGTGTAATTTTTCCACCGTCGAACCTTGCATATCGTTGTTTGCTTTTTTTGGCGCTGATACACTTTCATTTCTACGCGGGGAATGGTGGTCCATGCGATGCGGGAATGGAAGATGCTTGGAGTCTGTGGTCGGCTGACTGCATCCATCTCTCGTGTCTGTGCTTCGATGATATCCATGTCCATCATTCTTTGATGCAATGCATGAGGGGCTAGGGAGTTACAAGGTTTATCGATGGGCCCATGTGACTTTAGCGCCAGGAACAGGCTGGATCTGGAAATAGCTTCGGTTAGCTGCTGTTGATGTTGACGCAATGCTTTGGTCTGAGTTTTACGCTAGTGCGCTGAGCATTCTGTCGTGGTTGTTTTGATTTATCGGGGTGCATATGCATGTACTCAGATGGTGAGGTTGCCTTCTTGTGGGTTGCAGGCCAAAAGGCATGAGGGCTGCTCACGCACGCGGTATGTATGTTTGGTCTAGACTGGGACTTTTTATGATGAACATTCCTATCGAAGGGCTCGAATGCTCCTTTTAATCTGGTCAGCCACGCCTGAATGTAAACTGAACGGGATGTTGAATCAAATTAAAGTCTCGTGGTCCAAGACAGTTTCTTATAGTTACCTAGTTTATAGTGATTATATCCACTGTGGTGAATCATGTCTTCTATTGGAGTAGAGCTATCAGCATGAAACTACTACCTACATAATAGTGCAGTGGACATTCATAGATGTCTAGGCTTGATAAGAGTGGTTCAAGTTAGCACAAGTTCTAACAATCAATACCCATCAATCGCACTATACGCATCAAAGATATCAGAGGAACCTTGAAAGCGTCCATTGAAAATCTCATAAAATCGTAAACCCTAACAATACTCAAGCATATAAAACATAAAGCATGATATCACAACCTGGAGTCACATTATGTATAGTATAGATAGACCTCCTCCCGCCAACCTTGGAACATGGAAGAAGATGATACCGTGACCCTAAGTATCTTTCTTCTCACCCTCCGTCTGCTCCTCTTTCTCACCCTCTCCCCCTTCTCCTTCACCATCACCCTCACTCTGCGCCTGCATCCTTGGAAGGAAAAATCTACTAATCATCCCCCCAAAGAACCGCTGGTCAACCCAGCCCATCAACCCATACAAAATCCACCCCCATCCCCACAACGAAACCCCCATCATACTAGCAACAAGCAAGACAGGACCAAGAATAACCAAAGAAAGCACAGCCCAAAGCAAAAGAGCAACAGCCGCAAAGACAAATACGCCCGCCAAAAATATCAACAACGGAACACCGCAGCAAATAATCTGACAAACGATAAATGTAGTGGCAATGGGTCTTTTCATCGCTCCTTCGAACATCTCTGCTTGTTTCGATGGTGGGAAGAGGTATTGTACGGCCCACTTGACTAGGTCTTCGAAGCGATCCATGGCTTGCGGGAAGAGAGAGTGGAACCAGTTGTTTACGCTGGACCAGGCGCTGGAGAAGTTCATCTCGCCTTGTGGTGGTTCGTGCTGGGTGCGGGGTTGGCCTTCATCGCGGGGGAATTCGCCTGGGACGATAGGGTCTGTGAGGTCGTTTGTTGTTTTATTTAGTTGTTTTGAGGCGCCGGATTTGTCTAGTTTCGGTATATTTTTCACGGGTCGGGTTGCTTGTTCGGCTTTATTTATTGGGAGGCGGTTGGTTAGGCCGCTTGTGACGGGGTCGAGAGACATCGTGGTGACCACGGGGTGAATAGATATTGAGAGTATTGATGGTAAGAAGCTCGAGGTAAGGAATCAATTAAAAAGAGTCGGTGAGTATGAACTTCTGAATTCGAAATATTTTCTTGTTAAATAAAATCTATGATCACGACCTGAGGACATAGATCTATATCAACGGTCCGTGGTACTAGATGACGTAGGGGGCGTGGTATAAACTTGATCAAATATATTAATTCTAACAATCCACTATTCCTATACCACTAAACAGGTTCAAAGGCTCCAACGGTAGTACAGTAGGTAAAGAAAAGAAAAGAAAAATCAAACCGATGATGAAAATGATGATCCAAACTCCAATTTAAATGCCCACATCTGCGCCCAACCCACCCACATCGTTATCACGGATATGGCATCCAATGCCCTTAATTAATCCAAGTATCCAACCCCTCCGGCATTGCCTTCAAACGTTCGTATGACACCTCCTCAGTTCCTTGGAACGGGAACGGAAGTCGGTTAACTTTCAATCTTGACAATGACAATTTGCCTGACGTGTCATTTTGCTCCAACAACTCACACGCTTCACGGAATATAAAAACGAGAAGACTCGCAATGTCTTCGTAATCATCGCCCAGTTCACCCCACTCTGACTTCGAAGCTTGATAAACGGTATGGCTCCACTGGGGTCGTTGGCTTATTAGTTTGTATAATTGAGGATACTACAGAGGTAGAGGTAGACTTACCTTGCCTGTATTGTCAATGCGGTAAAACCAAAACTCATTTGAGTCGGTTGCGAGGCCGTATATCTCGCGGCTCATTTTGCCACAGCGCTTGCGTGAATCGTGGATCATGCCTTTTATAAATGAGATGCCATATAAAGCGAGCTAAGAGGGCTATTAGTACCTACCCATATACGCATGGACAACTGCTTCGTCGAAAACCCCAGGTGTTTCGGTATGCACAGCGACAAAATTGGTGGCAAGATCCTCAACGGGACCATACCAGAGACTGTAGTATGGAGTGCCACCGAGCGAATAGGATTTGCCTGCGCATGGTAGGCGGCAGTTGAACTCAAGATCAGTATGAAGAGTCAGCTCGTCTGAAAAAGCTGGATCTGTTTTCTCAAAGATATAATTCAGAAGAAGGTCCAGGCGCGTTCGTCGAGTGGTCATATTATTAGGCTCACGAAGAGTGACATTACTCAGGCATTTTGCTATAGAATAAATCAGCGATGCTCATAAAATAATCATAAAACTTAAGAACCTTCCAAGGTTGGGACCTACAGCATGTCTTAGAGAGAATATCTGGCTTGGGGCCATCCAGTGCTTCCCGTTCTGCTCGAGCTTCTCGTTCCTCTTGAATACGCACACAGGGCTCTTTGGTTTCGGCCAGAAAGCGACAAACTGGGTCATGGCGCGTAAATTTATTGACCTCGTTGATCTTCATGTCCTCTACTGGTTTCCGGTCCTCGTTTAACAGACGCATGGCGTCTCGGGCTGATTTTTGGGCGGTTCTTGCGAGCTGACCGGGTGTTACTTTGCCTTCTTGGGAATCAAGAGCTGCAGAAAATACTTTTTTGATGTCGTGGGCGAGCTTGGCAAGTCTGACCGTTTTTTTGTTGTGATGCCTTGGGTTGGGATGGCAAGCGAGTCGAGGCATAGTGTAGTTGATTAATTAGTACCAAATATATGTAGCAAGAGAAGAATATCCAATATGAGAGCCTGAGTAAGTGGAAAGAAAATGAAGAGTAAGAGGAAGACGAAGAGAGAGAGAGGTAATTATTGCGACAAACTCAAGAAATTCGGTTCAATACGATGTCGGCCATCCCTTTGTGTTCGCGGGTCTTGAATTGGTATAGTAGGTATCCCAACGATATGACAAGTTTGGGGGAGATGTCGTAAAACATACATCTTTTGGAGCTATCCATGGATCAATCGCTCAGTACGAAAGATATGATACCAAAGCCATAAAGTAGAAAATGGCCCAGCAACAATTACCACCTACGTGATCTCAGGCTAGTAGATAGTAATAAAGGATATACCTTGATATTGATATTTGATATTCAAACCCAAAACGCCCATTCAATGTAGAAAAATGCAAGTCTATCTTTTCTGGTCGTTTCGCATGGTCATCAAAAAATGCTCAGTTACCACCGTTTCCATGTCCAGTAGCAGCAATATTGGGCGCCTCGACCATCCCCGGAGGTGGACCGTAAGGATCAAACGCCGTTCGAACTGAGCCCACGCCCTCTTTCAGGTAGAGAACAAGACGATAAGCCGAATTCCCATTTAAATAATATCGATGTAGTCGCTTGCTGCGGAGGAAGCCTAGTCGTTCGTACAGCTTCATCGCTGCGGTGTTGGTCATTTCTGTCTCGAGCACGATCTGTCACAAAGTGCAAAGGTTAGCCAAGAAAAAAGAGAGCACTCTCATATGATACAAGGACAAACCTCGTCTGCATCTCGCTCGGTCATCGCATCTATAGCCATGCGCACTAGGTTCGTCGCAATGCCCCGTCCTCGGTACTCCTCGCGCACGGCCAGCATGGCGATATACCCCCTCAATGGACCGCTGCGATGAGGCTCAAGCTTTGAAACTACGACTCCGACCATGTTATCCTTTTCGTCCATGGCGAGGAAACAGAGATCGCCCCATTGATATAAGAAGTAGCGGTAGACGTAGATGCTGTAAGGTTCGGAGAGATCCTTGGAGATCAACTGGCGCATTGCGGCGACATACTCGTTCTCACGCGAGCTGTCATACCGCACGTAGCGGAGTGGAGAAGAGGCATCTTGGCTCATTCCGCAGTCTCACCGAATTATAGGTGAGGTAGAGGTGTCCAGGATCCTGTTAGGGAAGAGGGGAGGTGGGGAAGGCGATAGGGAGAGATAGAGGAAGCACAAGGCGGAAACACAAGGGAAGGAGCCCGATTGCCATGTGACGCCGATCGTCCCGTTAAATGTTATTGCTGGGATCCTTGAGCTTGTGATTTTGTCCTAAGTATTCTATTCTTATCTTGTGGATTTCCTGTTTTATTCCCTACACGAACCGCGCCTACCAGAGTATTCTTCCTACGATCGATTGGCTTGCACCTTGCCCTTTGGTTTCTTTGAGCGGTCGCTATGCTGCGCCGCCGCACAGGCAAGGACGACACTCCGTCCCGCGACGACAGCAACAAACAGGATACCCAGCCACAAACAGAGGAGGATCGCCTACGGGCTGAGTTTGGAGGTGCGAAAGTTAAACAGCTCGTTATCACCCCACCACGCCGAAGCAAGCGCCGTAATGGATTGATCTTCGCGCTCGGCGGGCTCTTTGGAGTCTTGGTTGCTGTATTTTTTGCGAACCAGCAGGAAGTCATCAGTTTGGAATCGTTATTGGACTTGAACCTCGATAGCTTGATTGATGTTATTCCACAAGGAATTGTTCGTGATGCAAGAGAATTCTCGGTACTGCTTCCCTTCCCTCCACTGGCCCTCCTACGACCCGTTAATGGATTGATGCTAACCTGCTATGAAAATACAGCAACACGAGCGCGATGCCATCAATTACGATTCTTTTGCCGTCGGTTTACATCTCCAATCGCAAGGCGTACAGGCCAAGCATCCTGTCGTCATGATACCCGGGGTTATTTCAACAGGGCTCGAGAGCTGGGGAACCGGTGATACTTCACGTCAATATTTCCGACGGAGGCTATGGGGCAGCTGGAGCATGATGCGTGCTCTAATAATGGACAAGGCAGAATGGAAGAACCATATCATGCTTGATCGTGAGACTGGTTTGGACCCGCCCGGTATCAAGCTTCGTGCCGCGCAAGGCTTCGACGCTACCGACTTCTTTATCACAGGATATTGGATTTGGAACAAGATCCTTGAAAACCTTGCTACAATTGGTTATGATCCTACAAATGCGTTTACGGCCGCATACGACTGGCGCCTTGCATACCCGAATTTGGAAGTTCGAGATAAGTACTTTAGCCGGCTGAAGTCTTATATTGAGACTGCAGTGGAGCTGCAGGGTGAGAAAATCATGCTGGCGTCTCACAGTATGGGATCACAAGTAGTTTTGTATTTTTTCAAGTGGGTCGAAAGCGAGGAACACGGAAATGGTGGCAAGGACTGGGTCAACAGACATATCGACTCCTGGGTCAATATCAGTGGCTGCATGCTTGGTGCTGTCAAGGGACTGACGGCTGTTTTGTCAGGCGAGATGCGCGATACAGCACAGCTAAATGCTTTTGCAGTTTACGGGCTGGAGAAGTTCCTGGCCAAAGAAGAGCGAGCAGAGATTTTCCGTGCGATGCCCGGTATATCTAGTATGTTGCCCAAAGGCGGCGAGGCTGTATGGGGCAACGCAACCTGGGCTCCAGATGACCAACCTGGTCAAGCACAAACCTTTGGAAATCTCATCAACTTCCGTGACACCAATTCATCGTTGACACATCGCAATCTTACCGCTCCCCAAAGTCTGCAGTACTTAATGGACCACAGTGAAGAATGGTACCGCAACCAGGTGTTGGGTAGTTACTCGCACGGCGTCGCACACACCAAAGCTGAAGTGGAAGCTAATGAGAAAGACCCGCGCACCTGGCTCAACCCACTCGAGGCTCGACTCCCCCTTGCACCTGATATGAAGATCTACTGCTTCTACGGTGTAGGTAAGCCCACAGAGCGTAGCTATTGGTACCAGGAGGAGACTGATCCGCTGGTAAACCTCAATGTCAGCATTGACACCACTGTTACGTTGAATGAACATGTTGACCATGGCGTCGTAATGGGCGAGGGTGACGGCACCGTCAACATCCTTAGCACAGGCTATATGTGTGCCAAGGGCTGGCGCATCAAGCGCTACAATCCAGCTGGCTCTAAGATTAAGGTCTTCGAGATGCCACATGAGCCGGACCGCTTCTCACCCCGAGGAGGTCCCAATACAGGTATGCTCCACCAGATTTGACATGTTTCAATTTATACCTCTATGTGATCAAATACTTACTATATCTAATAGGCGATCATGTTGATATTCTTGGCCGCGCCTCGCTGAACGACCTCATTCTCCGGGTAGCTGGCGGCAAAGGCGACGATATCGGGGAGACCTTTGTCTCCAATATCCGCGAGTATGCGGAACGTGTACAGATTTTTGACGACGAATAGACTTTTAATGAATCTCGGGTGGGCACCTTTGTCTAAGTTAATATTCCCCTTTTGTTGTTTACACTGGTCTCTTCAGGATACCCACAGATATTATTAGACTTGCATATTAGAAGGTAATATTTCTAATTGGATTGGCATAGAATGAAACCAGGGAATATCCGCTATCATTATTTTATTTGCTTTAAGCACAAATTTCACTATCTCATCTTCAAACTGCGAATATTCGGAAGATTCTACTGGTACACAAGACACGTAGCTTTGAAAGTATAACAATGCATGTACCTGCATAGACCCGTGGGCAACATGATACTCATCTGATCAAGTGTTACCAGTTCCTAGTTCCTGGTCCGCTCAGCATATCTTGGCAATGAATTACTTTTTCGGTCCCTCGTCCACAATGACGGAAATCTATCTCAGTGAGGGCACAAGGAGGTATATGAATGCTTTGGATTGCATGCCCAGCCACTACCAATATCGCCCAAAAGCTGTCAGACGGGAGTAAAAGTAATTAAGCAGGAGATTCTTGCCGACGTATAGATACCCGACGAGCTAAGTACTTACTAGCAACGGTAAGAAGAAGAAAACATTCTTAATCCACTTCAACCATGCTAAGAAGCTATCCACCCCGCAACTCGAATTCAATAAATCCTTCAGGCTTTCCGTCGAATGCACCCACCTGCAGGTATCTACAAAGGTTCAGTACTTGACCTCGTAAAAAAGAAAGATGGAGTTCGTATCACCGAAACCCAATCTCCAGACCCAGTAAGCAATACTGAATAAAACAAATACAAAGCTTAGAAGAAACTAAAATGAACTAATTATGCAGTCCAATTCCCAGTCAAAATTACAGTGTACGAGGGGATATGCTCACCGCAATCACATTCACAATTTACAGACCCTAGCATGCAACCCCTCCCTGCCGGCACTCCACGGAAGGGTACATGTGAGTTTGGCCCGTGGGATCGACAGAAGAAAAGCTACCAGCCACTCAGACGATAGCTGGTGATCTGCATCCTGCAAGAGCGGGGGCAAAGAATGAGCAGGGTGCTGGTGATCTGCACTGAGCCGAATTAGGATCTGAAAGGTTCTCCAGTAGAGCTAGGATTGCTTGTACTGCGTCACATAGTCTTCGGTAGCGCGAATTTACCTCCTTATACACACTACAGTCTTCGCTATTCACACTGCAAGATCTATTTTTGTATATCCATATCTTAATCACGTGTATTAGCTATATTGGAAATATCAAAGAGCTGTTATTACCCCTCCAATTCTTACCTACTATTACTAACGATCAGGGGCATGATGAACGTAGTAAAGCAAGGTTCTCATGCAAATATGGAAAAAGCCATAGAATCAAGAGTTCGTCCTAGCGCAAGATGGACCTCATTCGAGGGCTGGAATTATAACGGCATGAAAGAGCGCTTAGAGACAGCGCTCGCTAATCTCAACAAGGAAGCCCTCCTGTCTCACGCCGAGACTATAAAGGGCCAGAAGCTGTCGATGAGCGAAAACTTCTCGGCAACTTCTCGGCAGGGCAATACTGGGCTTGTTTCGAGATGGTAGCCGAGGATGGCAGTCTCATGATTTCTCATGTTCGATTGCCACAGCATCCTGACATGCCTGCGACAGTCAGCGAAGAGGAAGGAAATTACGCAATTATGTGCAAAATCTCGACGATGGAATTTGTACGCCAGAAAAACTTTCCATATGTAGTGGTTCCCAATGTCTATGCCTATGGGCGCCCTGGATCTCGGCGTGCAGCGGCCGCGGGTGCTGCGTATATGATGACAGAGGGCTTTTATGGTAATACATTACAGGATGTTGCGTTTGACATGTGCAATTTACCGGTAAGCAAGTACCCTTATTCGACTATAATCTTGCTCCTTGTTTTATTATGAATTCCCTAGCAAGGCCTAGGTTCCAGTCCAAGGGCATATTATAACCCAGTGGACAATGTGCAGGCGCAACAAGCAACTTTGCGTTATCCTCAAATCGGTTCTATTGCCCAGCTTACTCAATCAGGGGAGCCTGTTATAGGGAAATTGTCTACAGTAGCAAGGGAAGAACCTGTCCCACCAGGTCCATTCTCAACAGCTTCGGGTTATTTCATTGCCATTGGAACAACAGCATTGCATCAATCAGATGTTCAAAATAAAGCGCACGGTTCAGATACAATGCAATATAACATGCTCGATGCCTCTGTCTTCCTCGATATAGTACAGACAACTAGCCTTTTTACGATGCCTCAAGATATTTTCCACCTGAACCACATGGAGTTGATGATGAAGAAATAGATGGGTACCTTTGTGATTTGCGGCCTCGGATGAGTTTAGATTGATCTCTACTCTAATAGTTATAGCCAAGGACGTATTTTGAAAGCTTCAAGTTGTCATGATTTCAATGTTCTATAAAGTGAAGTGTATGCAAACGTGGGTTTCTTTGGAGCAGTACTATTTATTTAGATGAACTTGAAAGGCTCAGATATCAACCTATAATCTTATCTCATGATAATATCGGCACGGGATTGGGCTGCCTCGGTATCTTTTTTCTCTATATAGTGTGAGAGCTGCCAGTGACAGCTTTACTGCGTGATACTACTAGAGATTTGTACAATAGTCAAGGCGCTAGACTGGATAATACCACGATTTTCCCTCAAAAGACCACGCGATCATTTCGCCCGACTTACTTTGTACAAACTTAAAAAAGGCGGGAAGATCAATAATAACTAGAATACGGCTGTATTGTAACCATTTGAGTTTAATTTAGTTTGTCTTTTCTGTTTCCTTTTTCCCATCCAAGAGAACCTTGGTTGCAGGCTTATTTAGGAGCGGTGGAGGTAAATAGAGTTAACCTTGGAATGGAGCTCTGGAAAGACTAAAACAAGGTTTTGCAAGGGATTAAGTACAGGGTCTATTGTTTATACTACATAGTCAGGTGCACAATGTGGAATAATAATGTAATGTACAATTCTTCATAACTTCATCTAGGGATTAAGAATAATGCTAACGATATTTCCAACTGATCGGAGTCCAGGGTGTACACAAGGTAGCCAGGCCGATCGCGAATATGTTCCACGGCCCCCTTCTGGAGGAAGGGAGAAAATACACGAGATATTAGGTGGGCGGGAGTCGTGGTGGATGGATGGTCGGGTGCCATGCCAAATTTCAGTTGGATCGTGCTTCATTCCCGATAGCCAGAAGCGATGAGATCGGCAAACAAAGAGTGGTTTAAATGAGCTCCGTCGAATCACATTCACCTCCCAATGTCTGCCGCAAGTAGTCCGTGCTGTGCTTCTTTGCCAGTCGGTTTCCACTGTGATATTTCCCAGATAATATTGTCTGGTGGGAATCACCCATGCCGACGCCGGTTTTCACCTGCCAGCGGCGAAGGCACCAAAACGAAGGTCAGACCGATTCCATGGTATGTAAAACCTTCTCTTTCTATGTGCCGATGCAATAAAAGCATGCTCTCAAAAAGCAGCCAAAGATATTCAAAATTTTAATGCACAGCGAGTGTAGTGCATGTAAGAGGCGCCGAAACGTTTTTTTGTTCCCGTAAAAAGTCGTTTCCCAAAGTCCCAGACGCCAGTCATAAACGATCGACATGAATGATAAAAAAGTTTGTGCATCTGAACGAGCCGAGAAGCGAAAAAAGTGGCTCGAACAGTAAAAAAGTTGTAGCGAAAGACATAGGTCAGAAATGAATAGAAAGGTGCGGATCGTCCCAATAGGGCGCGTCCGAGTCTGTACAAGCGAGGGTTTCCAGACGGTGGCGATTGCGAGAATATCGCAATAGAACCCCGGGCAGGTTATCAGGGTCCGCCACCGGAATTAGTATTATGGACGGAGGTTGTCATCCCAGTAGGGTGACGAGGCATGTACAGCCAGAAGGTAGATAACCTTCAACTCAAGGCGAATCGAGTACCGAGTGCCTTGTGAATCGGAGGTTTCCTAATAGGATTAAAAACCTTAAGGTGTCGAAAATTGTTTGATGCAGATGATGGTCCCAACATTGTCGTCAAAAGCAGAACGCCGTTTCGAAAAGTGATTAGATGCAATAATAAACAAGTCGAACACAGTACGTGCATGTCAGCGGTCTCAGCGACCGGCTTCGATGTCGTGGTTCGATGTAAGGGTTTCGCTCTCCCAGGCGTAGTGGTCATCCACAGGGCTCAAAGAGCCAGAGGAGACCGAGGAGGAAGAGCCAACAGTCCACTCGTCGCTGTCCAGATTGAATTCACCGTCAAGACTAGCAAGGTCGTAGCCAAATTCGCGAGAGGCATCGCCGACCTCGACGTAGTCGTAGTCCCAGCGGAACATCTTATCACGCTGAACACGCGGGAGGAATCGAGTCTTGGCAAAGTAGAATGCCACGGTGGCGAGGAGACCGCCGCAGACCAGGTCAACCGCGTAGTGGTGCGATAGGTACATAGTAGCCCACCACATCCACAGCGTGTAGGTAACCCAGAGAGGCTTGAGGCGAGGGAAGACGTGGCTCATGAATAAAGCGGCCAGAGTCGAGTCGGCTGCGTGGAGAGAGGGGAAGGCGCCGAAGACCACAGGGGACTGTTTGAATCCCGAGGTGTAGAGGTCAATTCCAAGCAGCTTGTCGATACGGGCAAGACCGGCGGGATTTCCCTGCATAGAGTAGTCGGCTGGAGCGAGGCCATACAGGTTCTCATACCAGGGTGGCGAGCATGGGAACACCAGCTGAATAGTCACAGCCAACATACTGATGTAACCCAGAGTGCGGGCGAAGAGCGGAGTTGTACCCGGTGGACCAAAAATGAACACAACACCAGACACGACAAAAGGCGCGCCATAGTGGCAGAGTCCGTAGGGAATCCACGCCAGGATATCCAACACTACATTCTGGTGGGCGGATAGGATGTTGCTAATGTTGGCTCCGTACAAGATGTTCTCCATGGCTGGGAGCACTCGGACCCAAATTGCAGGTCGCCAGTCGCTTGGAACGAATCTATTAAGCACTGAATTAGCATTTTTCATTCAAAAACGCGTGTCAATCTGCCCAGCGATCCTCCGCAGGGGAGTGATCACGGCGCGCAATGATAACGTCACGTGGGGCGAGAATCAGGGGTCCTGGGAGGAGAGGGGGTTGGACATACTGGCAAGCATAGAAAAAGATAAGCCACCCAGCAACGGGTAAGAAGGGAAGAAAGAACTGCCTTGTGAGGGGTAGGAGAAGAGAGAATAACAGCAAGGTAGAGATACCAGTCTTGCCTAGTGGACCTGGCGATTGCATGGCAGATAGGGAAAAGATGCCAATGATCAACAACAGTAGATACTGAAAGTCATACATGGTCCATCGGTGAGCCTGAAGCGAGCGGAGTGTGTCCACTGGCGAGATCGAAGTCTGAAGGGTCGAGATAGACGAGGTTGGTGATAGTCGACTCCGAAGCTTTGAGCGGATCTTGCGGCGCATGCGATGCGGCACCAAGAGCTGGAATGATCGCCATGGCACCTGGATTTGAAGTTTGCCAAACTGGTTCTGCGTGCGATCCTTCCATGATGGATAGGTATTCATCTTTTTCCCGGCGTAAGTCTCCTGTAAGAGACTCTAGAATCACTCGATTGTTGAAGGGGGGCAGAAAAGGGCTCGAGGGATGCCGCGGGATGAGACGGAAGGAATTCGCAGGAGCGTCCGGGAGATAATTCAGCGTGAACAGACCGGCATGAGAGAAGAAAGGTTAGGGTGGACGGAACTGAAGTAAGGCGTCGAGCCCTGGACAGGATGAGAAAACAAGCAGAAAGAAATGGGAAAGCTAGAGAGAGAGGGGGGATAGGTAAGGATTAAGAAGCAGAGAAAATGGGAGGATTTCGGTAATCTTTTCGGTATTGGTATTACCATGTTCCAGGTTTGGCGCCGCCCGAAAAGTCCATGGCGTCACTAATCGTGGACTAGTGCTTGGCCCCTATTGCGACCTGACCGGCTTAGGGGGGTATTTTATTTATTTTTTTCTTTTACAAATTTTCAAATACTACGGTATAGGAAAGATCATTCAGGGCATTTACGATCTATCATATTCCAAGGTTATCAAGTAGTTAAGTGTGAAGTTCTGGCAAGGTCGGTTTTCTTTCATATTTTTCAGCCGTTTTTTTTTTCTCTTCTACTTCAACAGGAACAATACGAGGTGATCCCGACTGTGCCGGGCGGATGCTACGGAACGGAGTCACGAAGACCGAGTGGCTGATGCATGAGAGATCACAGCGGAGTTTATGGTCAAGTGCCTCCGATTTTGTGCAGAATTTGAAAGACCGAGGTCAGCATCGCAAAAATTTGTTTGTCTCGGTACCTGACTTTCTTCTTTTTCTTCTCTTTTACAACCTGTTTTTCTCTTTGTAACATAACGCCAACTAAACCTAGACAGGCAATGAGTACGGCCGTACGAGACTAAAATTCATAAATTATACTTCGTGCACTAAAATGCAAATCAAAATAAAGGAAATTACAATACAGTCAGAGCTGAAGAGCTATAATCAAAAACCCTTTTTGGACCCATAACAGCGCTCAGCAAGAGAAAGGGGCCTGTAATGGTTGGGACGCAAATTTTCAATATAAGATCCATTGAAGGTGCCCGATTGGCCCACCCTCCCCTTCGGCGGCCCCATCGTTCAGTCCCGGTATCCAACGGGAGGCGTCAGATCTCCAGGCCTAATTTCGCTTAGTCCACCAACGGTTGTACAGTGTCCATGCCGCATTGGTCTTATTCAGGAGTTATCAGGTCCCTGTTGTCCTTGGTGATTTCGGGCTTAGGAGAGCTCCCGAGTCCCCATGGATCTATATCCATGTAATCTAGGTACCGTATCCAACATTCGAGTATTTGCCAGGGATGCATAGTGATGCCCGCGACATAAAGTATAGAGAACAAAACGATCTACTTCGTATCCATTTCTTAGCTCGTTGCCACTGCTCGTATGATTGACCTGGCGGGGAAATGTCGCGTGTGTCTTTTTTCCTGCATCTGAAAGTTCAATAGACCAGGCGCAAGCGTTGCTTGACAGCTTAAACCCTGCCGGTGTTTCCAGACCTATCACTGTCACGACTCAATTATTGGGCCAATGCGGCGCTACGCGACGCTATCCTGGCTTGGCGCGTTGGCGACCATGACTATTACTAGGGACGGAGTAAAACAAGGCTTCTCAAACTCCGATCACCAACCTCCTGATTGTAGACCTTCATTTCCCAAGGAAATCCCGAAAATCCCGTTGCCTGCACTAATTATGGAAGCTGAATATCTCGCAAGCCGATCATGGTTTAGCTTGTCGCCCCCAGTTTCAGAATTCATCGTCGCGCGACCGAGGCCAATCACAGTCCCGCTCGGGGGGCCAAAGCTCCCAGCATGACAATCCGCGCTATTTGCGAGAAAAACTTTCTTTATTTTCCGATTCGAGGGAATTTGTATACTTGCTTGGATGTTTATACAGCATACTCAGGCGCCGCACCTTATATCAAAATAAAATAAAAGGGAATAGACTATTCCGTACCGAACACTGACAACCTCACTCGTGGATGACACGCGTGTAGGTAGAACCATAGTATGTCATTACCCTGTAGTCGGCTTTCGGCACTTGCGTACCCGCTTACATCGAATACAAAGGGCAAGGTAGAGGTGGGGCTCAAACCAGGACATTACTCTGTCCACTTCGGTGATAGTTCGATAAAACACGATTGTATTCACGGAGTACTAAGATGCCTCGCAGTCGCTTGGTCTATGCTTACCGCTCTTGTATCCTCTTCAAATTAGTATCTCGTGGCTCTTGCCCACTGTGGATACATCTCATCTTACTACTCCTCTGCCCCGTAGTCCGTAGTAGAATTCAAGCAATATACAGCTAGTTCACGAATTGAGCTAGATCTTGACCAAATCAAGCATTGGGGTATTTCAAACATTCGTGCTTTCAAACCACCGAGGATTCTCTGATTTTCCCATTCCTACCGGCATGTAGATCCTTATACCCATAGCCTTGCTATCCCGTGTGTGATGGCCAAGAGGGTACGTACCCCTTTCCACTTAGGAACCCGTCCGATTAATATACATGAACAGTGCTCTAGCCTTCCCAAGGTTCTATGATTTGTACGAACACAAACCGGTTTATATCACTATGAACACGATCTTTGAATTTAGTGGAATTGATGCGTCCATCACTGTTCAGTATTAGCCTACTAGCTCCGTATGTTGTCTTAAATGTTTGATTCTAAGAATGATAGCGAAGAGTATACAAATATCTTTGTATAAGAACTGAATATACATTAGAAAACCTGAGAGGATATGAAGTAGTCACTCGTCAGTTCATCGTGATACGTAGTATCATAAAACTCATTGTTATTCCAAGCCAAGTACTAAGTATCATAGTATAGAGGTTCAAGTTGCTTCGAACTGTACATCTAAAGCCTAGCTATAATGAAATGGCAGGATAGATAAAAGCCTCAAATCTTCTCACCAGCGACATCAAAACATGTTTATCTAGACATCTCCATCGTATCTAGTCCGAGATATATGAAGTGGCGTCAGGTCCGACCCAACGAAAACCCCCTTATTAATGAATCCCCAGGTCCCTTATGCCGGTAAATGAGCGCACATGGTCCGAGGGCGAGTCAATATCCCACGTTTCAGATACATTCGCGCGCGACCGAGACCAATCACAGAACAAATCTAATCGCCTCAAGACCCGGCGCTTACAAAGATACCAATATCCAATATTGAGTGTTTCTTGAAACATTCACGTCACAAAGACATGAATCAGTATTGATAACAGCGTATTGACATCAGCGCAAATAAGCCGTGTGAGGTAGACTCGTATTCGTTTCCTTCTCTCGTCGATGTGGCTGCCTGGAGTAGAAGTGGATACTAAGAATGGACAGGAGAAGTGATGCAAGGCTAGATAGCGGGCTGTCCCTCACTTACCTAGGTATTTTACTTTGTTTGATGAGTTGGTACACTGCGCCACATGGGTGTGTGGAGATACGTATGAGGTCAGCCATGCATTAAATTCAGGGAATAAACAGTTGTTGGAGTAGAATGGGGCTGGGGCTGGGGCTGAGCGGCTTACGGGCACTTGGCTCTACATAACAACCCTGGAGATTATCCGGATAACAACGTTCGCTATTTTTGGAGCATAGCATTTTTAGGTTTGCGTATCTGCGCTGCATGAGACCTCATTAAGGAAAGTATACTCCGTATTCGAATTCTGTAGGCATTGGTTGCGCTCTTGCTACATTAATCCTCGCATCATGCACTCTTTACAACGGAATGTGAATTACAACATGATGGGGCTTCTTAGTACCCCAGACGCAATGACTACATTTGCAGCCCCATCCTTCAGTTGAATACAGCCTAACGTTTACTCCACAAGTCAAATTAAAATAGAAATATCGCCATTTCAAATTTGCCGGAAACAGAAAGGCGAAGCTATAGAATACAATACGGATTTTGAATGGCAATCCATTGAGAATCCAAACAAACTGACCAATATACTATCCGCTTCTCAAAAATAAGGTACATTTTTACTGATATGAAAATAGATATTCTGAAATTACTGCATTTTAGTTTTTCAGGTTCTAGTTCCGCGCAAATTAACCGCGACCTCGTCATATTTAGCACCGCGCAACTTGAACGCAAGAAAACACTCCAAAATAACCTCATGTACTCAAAATTTGACTGATTCCCAACATCTATTCCCGAAACTTCAACCTGATCTCCAAACTTGCCTCTGAACTGTGGCAACTCTCGCGAGGCAAAATACAGCCCCATGAACAATACATTGCCCAACACAGCCATGCATAATTCCTGATAAGTTTCAGCATTGCATCAAAATCCAGGCTTATGCACAGTGTCTGCAGATCAGCCTTGCACTTTAATCTTGATTACTTAGGAGAAACGTGATCATCCTATTAGGGGCGATATGCATTGCAAGTAACGATAAGCCATCATGCCCGGCCACGCCCCCACTGTGGCGGGGTATTGTCCACGTAGACGTTAGGAGTGAAGAGTGAAGAGTGAACATCCTCGTGAATCTGTCTTGTCATGAAGTAAAATCAATCCATGCATTACAATACTGTTTATGTTTATGCGATAGGGCGAACCCTTGCCTTGCTGGAATGTTGACTGATTGTGTCGGTGGGATAAGGCGATGCGGTGAAGTTGTAGCTTGTTATTTTTGGTTCTTGTATAGGTATGATGGCGTAATTATTCAAGTTGAATCTGGAAGCCTTTCTAATAGCTGAATATAAATCTTGGAAGTAATGGTGAAGAATGGTCTGGCTGGACAGGGCTTCTTGTCTTTGACCTCGAGGGGAATAAGATAAGTGCTATGACGTTGTGCTTCGGGGACATTTCTATGTAAAAACATCCATTGGAGCAAGCAGAAAACAAAAGATTCATTCCATAAAAACCCATTCACGTTTGCATGGACTCGGGTTTCTTCTTGTAAACAGATATCTAGAGAATAAAGAGTGTTTGATTTTGAGTATTGAATGAAGTACAACCCACCCACAAGACATGCGCGGTGGGTACTTTCATCCCGAGATCTCTAGCTAAGATTGTAGACTCCATAAACGAGAGAATCTGCCCGTCGCCCGACGGAGCCCCGAACGCCGATCCCTGTGCCATGAAAATGCTGATATCACCAACGCCATGAACTGCAAATAAGTAAACGAATGAGGTAAATTTTTTGATACACTTTTCTTTTCTTTGTGCAGCTGAAATCACTGGTGACCATGATCAGAACCACCGCCATCGGCCAACATTTGAAAACCCTTGACAAGACCCATAGCGGACCCCGCTGCAAGACCCCCCACAAGGATCATCTGGAAACCACCAACCATGCCCTTGCGGATATTGCGCCGACCGCGCCAACCACTCACAAAGCAGGTTTTGCCATACCCAAATATGAATAGAGCGACAGCCATAGTAGCGATCGACCAGCGCAGAGCAAGGAATGCATCATGTGGACCGACAAAGAAGTAGGGTAGGAGAGGAACAAAGCCACCCAGGAAGTAACCAAGGGCAATAGTCAAAGCGCAAATGACAGCTCGCGATTCTGATGGCTCGGGAAGTGTGTGTTGGAAGTTCATTAAAAATGAAGGAAGCATGGGTGAATTTGACAGATGGTGGGTTAATTGGGCGACTAGTTCGGATGGCAGCTCGTAGGGCTCGAAGACCTCGGAGATGGTACTTGTAACTGATGCTGGATCTGTCATAGTTTGTGTTTCAGTCTCCTTAAGTGTGGCTTTGTATGATTCCCTAAAACAATCAATGTTAGCACCTGGATCCTGTTTTTTTCGAGTGGAGAACTGCTGGATTTTGGGTTTCGTTGCTTTTTTGTGCGGGGTTACAACATACTCTTCGCTCTTAGCTCCTAGATATCCACCGAGGCCCATGGAGATCGCACCTGCGATGAGCTCGGCCATGCCGCCAAACACGACGACTTTAGTATCACCCAAGGCAGACAGTCCTGCTGTAAGGGCAAACGGCACAGTCATGCCGTCAGAAAGGCCAATAATGGCATCGGAGACCGTACGGCCATCGATCCAGCTGCCGCTTTTCTTGTCCAGATTCGGTTTATGGCCAGCTTCGATATCTGGATGCAAATGCATGTGGACATCTTTCTCGTCGTCCGTGGACGATCCCCGATCGGATAACCGGGAGTAATTGGACATCATGCCGCTGAGTGATGTGATGGACATTTCAATAACAAGGGATAGAAAGCTGGAAAGAGGTTGAAAATGCTAGAGAAGCTAGCAAGGGAGAGACGGAAAATAAACACAGCGACCGACGGACTTATGAGGAGTAAGGAGTGTCTTATCTCGCTTGAAACGTTGCAATGATCGTGCGGAGAGACAAGCCCATCACAATCCCTTGAGCCAAAACGTGCTTGGCAATTTGTTTAATCCATTTTGTTCACAGGATGCAACACCATGCACGTGCAATGCTGATTCGAGGAGGATCAGCAACAAGAATACGCTATGTGGATCAGTGTGGAGTTGCCCGGTGCTTAAACTAGAGTAGACGGGACTCGGTTTGAGGGGAAGGAGCCAATCAGAGCCTATACAATGTCAGCGGTGGGTCACCACCTGACCCCACCGCCTTCCACTAATGAGAACTGAATTAACACGCGATTAGGTAGAACAGGAAAGATGCGGAAAACATAGGCTCTTAGAGCCACACTGGTACCAGGTACACGCGACCTGATCATCCATCTGCATGATTATCATGCACACCCGGACACGCCAGGAACACCTGCCTCGTTATCTCGCACTAGAGGGGGACTGTCATATAGACACTTTCGGCCTCGTCCTACACAAGTGTCTAGATCTCAAGCCAGAAGCGTCCTCATCGGGATATTATTGCCCCTCCATCTTCTCCCCACTCTGACAGGAATGGAAAAATCAGGGGGACGAGTCTTGTGGATCGTGCGAAATCTACTGATCTTGATAGGCCTTTATCTGCCTCTAGGAAATCTCCGACTACTAATATCAGCAATTAGCGTCGGAGCTGGCCCTCGTGCTCTCTTTAGCTTCGGTGATAGCTGCTTAGAACAGAGAGATCTCAGGTGTCCACTTTGCCATTCTACTACGAAAAACGGTGATTTCCGATGAAGCAAGATGAGAATTCGCTGGAAAGGAAGGTGCCATGGGTGCCCTGATTTCCGGTCTTCGTGTCATGGGAAATAGCCATATCCACCCTATAAATTAACATCTTTCTCCCTTTCTGGTGAATGAGAGTCATAATCAAGTCCCTGCAAATCTAAGTTGCCGAGCAGTAAGACTTGCCGCTATGAAATCAACCTGGTCCTTTGTTGCTCTCTCGGGTCTTGTTGCGGTGGCATCAGCTCGCCCAACAGGAAATACCCAAGTTTGGAGCCAGTTGCGGAAGAACGTGAGTGGAAAACTTCGGTCATGGATATTAAACAGTCTTCTAACTGTATACTGGCAATAATAGATCAAGCATGTCATTTACCTGACACTGGAGAACCATTCTTTCGACAACATCGCCGGGTACTGGGACTTCCACCCAGATATAGACAACCTGCGCAACATCTCTTTCTGCAACGAGTATACAAATCCTAACTGGACAGTATATGGAGAGCCCTTGGATATCTGCGCAGGCCCCTATGAGACCGAGGTGCCACTGACAGACCCGGACCATAACTTTGCCGGTGTCAGCTATGAAATCTTCCGCAAGTGGAACCCGACCAAAGATGACGTGCCAAATATGGGCGGCTTCATTGAGCGTCAATCAGAGAAATACTCCGAGACGCCTGGCGATGCCTCATTCGTTATTAAAGCTTATGATGAGGCGAAGACTGCTCTTCTCGCGGAGCTGGCAAAGAACTTTGCTTTCTTTGATTCTTATGTAGGTTCGTTCCACTTGGGCATAAAGCATGAATTAGATTTCTGACATGAATAAAGTTCGCTGAACATCCCGGCCCAACCAATGTTAACCGCCAATTCGCTACTTCCGGCTCATCGTGCGGCTTCGTCGACAACACTGACCAGTCTGCTGGCTTCTGGAACAATGTGACTGGTACTACCTGTGCAACGTCGATCTTCGAATCTTTGAGCAACAAGAACATCTCCTGGAAGAATGTAAGACATGACAACAACTTGAATATGGCCATTATACAAAAATGAAAACTAATTATCCATTTAAAGTACTACGAGACTGATATTGTCGATGCATTCATGTACAAGGTAAGTACCTGTCATGGATTATTTGAATCAATTTCAACTACTAATACTTCACAGTGGGTGCAAGATAACGCCATGGATAACCTGGCCCATGCAAGCGAGTTCTACAGTGACCTTGAGCAAGGAACCCTACCAACCTTCTCATACATTAACCCCGAATGCTGCTCCGTCGACTCCATGCACCCGACCAGCCCCATGGCATCGGGTGAGCAAATGATCAAGCATTTATACGATTCGCTACGCCGCTCCCAATACTGGGATAATGCGTAAGTACCACTGCCCAAATACATACTCAACAATGAATACTGAACATTACGATAGCCTGCTCATCATCAACTTCGATGAACACGGTGGTTTCGCTGACCATGTCGCACCACCCATGAACGTGCCCCAGCCCAAGGACGGTATCACCTTTACTGGTACCTCCGACGGCCACAATGTCACATATGACTTTACGCGTCTTGGAATTCGGTATGTTATCCATTAAACAAATCCATCTCTCTCATGTAAACTTACTGATATTGAATTCCTTCTCAGTGTTCCTGCCTTCCTTATCTCTCCGTATACTACAGCCAACACTCTCATCCACGACCAGGGTACCGAGTACGCCGATAACTCGGCTTATACCCACAGCTCCATTTTGCATTTCTTGCAGGAGCTCTGGAGTCTCGAGGGCCTTAATAATCGGGTGCAGTGGGCTAAAACCTTTGAGTCGGTCTTTACCAACGACCGCCGCACAGATACTCCTGAGACACTGACTACGCCTACGTGGAATGGGGGTGCTGGAGAGCCCGAGCCAAGCGCATTCTATCTTCTTAACCAGGACTATAGCTACTACGCTGATATGTAAGAGGTTAGACTAAGATGAATGATATAGATAGAGGGGCCCCGGGGGCAAATGGAATATTACCACGTTATAGTCCAAATCCTTTGAGTATCAAGTAAATAGCCCTATATTTGGAATGAAGTAAATAAGAAAGAAATCCAGTATCAATAACTATGTAAGTGTAGTAAAAATAAGACAAGAGGAGATGGCAATGCCATCGCAGAATTCCGATCAGGCTATGTACTCATGCAAAGCTAGAAAGGATCCCCGGGTATAAGGCATTTCATACATCATAGCGCGTTTACCAGAAAGGCATAATGAAGTTATGGGAAGGATTGCAAATGATAAAAATGGGCAAGGAAGAGAAAAATAATAAGCAACAACGAGGATCAAGAGAGAAGAAAAGAGAAAAGAAAAAAAATATATAAGAATAGGACCGTGTCTCTGAGTTCAGGCTGTACAAGAATAGACGCAAGGCAGATAAATACCCACATCCATGCAAGAGCGCCATAAACGTTGATGTTGATGTTCATAAAAGAAGAGAATGCAAATCGAGCATTTATGTATGTCCTAGGGCGTCAAGTCGAGCATATCCGATCAGCGGATATGGGGTAGTACAGGGGTTTACTTCGAATACCTAATCAGAAACCATTAGTCCGAACCGATTTCCTCAAGTAAATAAAAGGCACAAAACATACGGCTTGCGCTTCTCAGCCCCATGCTCAGTCTTAGTCGCATCCGCACCACCCATATCCCAAAGTCGACTTTTATACGCAGGGAACGAGGTGTGGTTCCAAATGTTGACAAGTACACTATACCCAGTTAGCAGCAGCCCCAAAACAAAACCAAAAACCCAAAAAAACCTTGCTTCGCTACACCCGGCGGTCAAAGCAGGAACAAGATTCAAGTGCCTGCAGCACCACCGGAAGATCCCAGAGGCAAGACGCACAAAACCCCTAGGAAGAGGGAGGACAAGTCATACCTTTGGCTCCGATCCTTGTACTCCTCATCCTTTATTTCCTTCACCCGCACCTTCATTCCATCTTTCGAGAACACCATGTGCTTGCGCTCCATTTTCTCCTTCGTGTTCTTGCTCACATCCTGGACGATGCTGTAGACGACGTATCCAACCCCAGCAAGGATACCAACGAAAACAACCAGAAAGAAGAGCGGTAGGAGATTTTTCACTGCCATTTCGTTTTATTCGGTAGGTTGGTAGGTGAAGAGAGAGTGAAGATCTTCGTTCCTGATCGTAAGGAGGGAGGTGTGGCTTTGAGGGGCGATCGGGGGCTGAGTGGAGTCGATTGTCACGTTTTTAAAGGTGGTGTTTGTTGGCGCCAAGCGTGTAGGGCTAGGCAGGGGAAAAATATTGTTGCCTGAGCAGAGACGGCGTTGTGATCACTTGGAATGAGGGTCTAGGTAGATAGGATGAGAGAATAAATGAGGAATTGAGAGTGTTTGAGAAGAATTGGGCCAAACAAATGTTTTGTATTGGGGTCCGCATCTAACGGTTTTCCCCCTGTGACGTTCCATGGAGGGGAGTGTGGCGGTGCGATTGTGTTTTATCTATTTTAGGAAGGAAGGGGGTGTGACTGTGGCTGTTCGGGTCCACGGGTAACAGGACTGGGGTAAACCCGGTGCATGAGTAGATTGTAGATTGTTATTCCTTGTTTTGGTATTTAATTATTTATGTTCTACATTTATTTCATTTTGTTTCCTGGGCCCTATTTTCTTTCTTAGCAACATAATAGAATGGCAGAGCTTATCAGTTCTTCAGAATGAACGATCTTCGAATCGGATAACCAACCTTGGAGCTATATGAAGTGTTTAGATTGGAGAATAATCCAGCTCAAATCGAACGGTCTCATATTTTGTAGCAATTTGCTTAAATCTCAAATTTTGCCCAATGGCTCCGTAGTCTTGGTCGAAGAGTGACTCCTTGAGCTGAAAGCTCGCAGTGCCGGTTTCTCGAAGTTCCAAGAAGGCATGGGGATCAATTTGGCGCTGTGACACAATTCTGCCAATATCGTAGTCCCACCGTTTAGTATTTTCGGAAACTGACTGCAGCCTCTGTAACACCGTGGCTAAGGCATCACCAGATAGCAGTCCATCGCGGCAGGTTTCCCAGTATCCTGCTATTGAGGCGTTGTTGCTTTGATTCGATTTTCGTATACCAAGCTCAAAGTCCATAACCCGCTTAACACTTTTAATTAGGTCGATTGCCATTGAGAACGACTACCGGAACATCGTGCTGATGGTGCTTTCCATCAGCGCATAAAACTGCTCGCTCGTGCACTTGGTACGCATCCATTCTTCTTCCGCTGCGGCATTTCCTATCTCTTGCTGCTGAGCTTTGAGAGATGCATCGCTAGTAACTAGAGATGCCCCGAGTTGCTCAAACTCTCTATCAATCTTCATAAGCGTTCTGAAAATTGGGCTGATCTCAAGACGACGCTCCTGAATCTGAAGAATCCCATTGCCTTTTCGTGCTGCTCTTTCCGCTTGCATGTCCAATTGTTCTTTGGTAAAACTAAGAACCTCCGCACCATAAGAAAGACATGTGCTTAGTTGGTCGCCACTGACAGTCACATCTGCACCGACACCCATGGGGTTGGCTTTTGCACCAGCCTGGGGAACAGGAGCAGTAAGAGCAGCTGTCCGCTTCATAGTGCCTGCGGAAATTAATACCCCTTGTGCTATAATGGACAAGGTATCTTGCTCGGCCTCGTACTTTGTCATACGATAATCGTCTTTCGTCGTTCAATGTTTTGTTCGATGTCTTTCCACTTCTCGCCAATCTGAGGAACTTCCGTCTCATCGCCAGTCAAGGCTAAGTAGTACCGTAGTCGCAGCTCCTCCTGATGCCTGGTTACCTGAAGAACCTCAATAGACTTTTCAATTTCAGTTTTTTGATGACCCTTTACCCGTATCGTAAGGGATACTATAGTAGTCTGGTGCTGAGTTTGCAGTTTGGATAGTCTCTCTGCATCCTTTGCCTCTTTAGTGGCTAGAAACTGGGCCGAACCCCCTGACTTCCGAAACTAGCTCAGAGGCACGTCCGAGCAAGTATTGGAAGCGATACTGAGACAGAGGTAGTTCATAGCAGCAGATAATTCTTTCCCAATTTCAAGCTGAGCCTTGATGGTATCCTGGATATCGTTTGAATCTGTTGATTTACTAAACATATGGGGGAAAATTTCAAAGGCTATAAGGCGAACCTCCTCGTCAGTCAACGCATTGTTTGCCGCCTACACGGCTGCAGAATATCTAACATTTCCCTGAAACTTTCTAATACACTTAACTCATTGAAAACTTTCTATTTTGTCTTGTGTAAAATTTGATGCTCAGATGTTCATTTGTCGTCTCAGCTTTCATCCCAAAGTTCCTCGGATATGGTAGGACTGGGGCTTGTGTTTCGTGATGTTCCCCTCGACGGATGTCTTCAAAAATTGTTCAAGAGGTTTTCCAATCTCCTTAATTTTCTCGTAGTACAGCAGCATGCTGTGTTACGATCGTTGCATCGCATTTCATAAGGCATATGCAATACCCACTTTTGTACATTTCAGTTGCTACAGTAGCGACCACTATCGCCTTCCTTGGCAGAAACATAGAGAGACTGTTTCAATTCTATTACCTTAGCCCCCTTAGTCAATATAGCTATGTCCTAATCATTGTTTCTCGTGATAAATTGGATCTTCATTATTTCCGTAACTAGTAGTTTACACCTTAGTTTGTAATATCGAGGCATACAGTCACACAACAAAATACAAGCCAAGCCCCAACCCAAAGTGCAAACACCCAGATATAAAGATTAATCATAAAATCATAAATCATCTAACCAAAACTAAAATTCTCATACATATAAACACATGATAAAATCTCAAACCACAAAGTCCAAGAACCACCAAACCTCCACCACCGAGATCCGCACGCTGCAACGGTCCCCACAAAAATCCCAATCGGGAATCTCTCACTTCATCTGCGTCATAATGATAGAATACAAACTCAATAAGCGGTGAATTCCGGCTGCGATCTGGGGAGGAGCTAAAGCAAAAGCTGTACTTCAATACCTGGAACAACTCAAGTTCAAGTGCATCGATCCACCTAATTCTAATTCTGTAATCTATCTAAATTATCTACCTACTTGACACCTACCTACATACTCAATCCCGACCATGTGCGACGTGCCTTTCATCCCATTCTTCCCCATCTGTTTCCAATGCGGCACCGATCAAAACCCATGTCATTGTAAGGTTGTTGGACCAACGCTAGGTAATTATCTAAGCAGAAACTCAAGGATTCACACTTGCAGGAACTAACCAAATCAAATCATCGTATATAGGATTCTGCTGCACGATCGTTGCTGCTGTATGTACCAGCACCAGTTCAAATTGATATGCACTTCTGGAATATACTAACTTCTCCAGGTTGTTTGCTGGCCGGCTTCGATCTTTTGTGGATGTGGATGTACTCAGACAGGACGAGAGTATGGTTCTTTCCTTTAGTGCTTGTGACTGATCGATGCTAACCTTGAATCATTTGTAGTGTGTTGGGGTACCCAGTAAAATTGAATGGGCAAGTTAGTAACGCGATACCATTTTGACCTCGGGGTGGTGGTTGGAGGAATGAGTTGTGTCGAACTTGAATCATACCTTGGATGGCAAGTCTGAAGGGTGATTTTGGAAATTCTTTGGGGGTTATGACAAGTGCTCTTTCAAGTTGTAGGGTCTGCTTTGCCCGTTTTCTGGGCTTTTTCTTTAGTTTTAAGACTTTCCATATATAATATTACACATGCACATTGAAGCAATATAACTTGATATTATACTCAATGATCGATAGCAGTTAGTTACAGTAGGAATCAAGTACCGATAATGTTCATTCAACGAAAATCATTATTAGAGAAACATAAGGCCAGGGCTTGCTGGAGTACAATGCGACAAGACGGTGCAAATGAGGTATCCAGATCAAAACGATCAATCAAAATAGACGTGAACACGTGAAATCAGACCATTACGATCCCTTCCAAAACAACGAAAGCATGTCTCCAGTGGGTATAGCCGCTGAATTGCCACCGTCTAAAGAGATAAGGAAAAAATAGCATGGAACTTTGCCTAACATCCGAGAGTGTGCACTACTGCCAAACACCGAAGAAAGGTCGGAAATAATTATCTATTTGAGCTTCTCCTTGAGCTTGCTGAAGAATCCGCTCATGCGCTTCTTCTTCTTCTCGTCCTTGGCATGGCCGTCGGAACCGGCGGTCTTGGCAGTGCTTGTTTCTGCGGTGGTGGTAGTTTCCGGTCCAGTTGTCACTTTAGGCTGGGCTTGGTTCTCGGTGTCGGCTTTGGGAGCGGATGTGGGAGGGGCAGATGTTGGCGCCGCATGGCCTGGAGGAGGGCTGGAAGTGGGTGAAATATTGGCGGAGTCGTAGCCACTGGTTAAAGCCGCAGCAGTAGTACCGGCAGTGGTCTTTCCGGGAGCTTTGGCGGACTGGGCAGCAGTTTCGGTGGGGGCGGGTTCGCCAGCAGACTCATCCACGTCAACCTTCTTCTGAAGCTCTTGTTCGACATCCTTCTTCTCTGCCACGGCTTCCTTGTTGGCTGCGGCTTCAGGGCCCTGATCGGATTCAGCGATAGATTCCTTCACCACCTCTGGAACGTCATTGGCAGGTTCTGTGCCATTTGCTTGTCTGTCCTTCTCCAATGGCACCTTTGCAGCCAAGGCAGCAGTGGTGGAGTTGGGCGCAGCAGATTGAATGGTGTAACCTGGGTCGGCCATGGCGGCCTGCTGTGCAGGCCCTCCGACGTATGTTTGATCCTGCTCAGTTGTCGCAGCGCGCTGGGCGGGTCCACCGATAGGTAGACTAGACTCAGGGATAGTGTTCTTGGAGATGGGGGGTACAGAAAAAGCACTGGGCCCAGCTGTGTCACTCTGAGTGCCGGCGCTACCGAGGGGCACACTGTCGCCCTTTTCATAGGATTCCTTATCCAGTTTCACGGTTGACTGGACAGTATTGCCATGGATCGTGCTGGGGTCAGGGACCTTCTCACCAGGGTTCAGCTTAATCGGGTTCCCGTAGCCACCCGAAGCCGGGATCGGATTGACAGAAAATATTTGTTCGGACTCCTGTCCCGGGGTATCGGGGAATGCGCCCGGAAGACTGCCATTTGTTTGCTCTTTAGAGTGCTCCAAGGGCACATTGGCCGCCAGGGCAGCGGTGGTAGATTCGGGGGTCACGCCAGACATGACAGCGGTAGTAGCGGTGGGGGTGTCTTGGTCCTGGTTGGAAAGTTCCGTGCTCTGAGGCTGAGGCTGAGTCTGGGTCTGGGTCTGGGTCTGAATGTCTTCTGGTAGAAGTACGTTGTTGATGTTGTCTGCACCGTCGTTTTCTTCACGCACACGGCTATCAGTAGTCCAAGTGCCGTCAACAACAAACTTGTAGATAAATGAGTCAGTATTTCCCCCTCACAGTGGCGTGCTCGGAATGGTCTTATAGTTTGGGAAAGCGGGACAAAGAACGTGACGTCAGCGGGAAGGAGAGTCGTCATACAAGGAAAAAGAAAAGCTGGGGGTTGGTGCCTAGTTGAGGCCTGAGGCAGTCACTGGCTCTCACCGCAACGTTTCTTTCCCTCTTATCTACGGCTGAGGCGCAATACCTAACAAGGGGGGGAGGCGGGTAAGGCAAGAGAGGGGAAAAATGAGGTGAAGAGAGAAGGAAAAAAAAGCAAGAAAAATATTGCATACCTTGTATTGAATCTTCTCCCTGATCGGAAGAGAAACTTCCTTTGCGAAAATGTCGCCCACCCGGTCCAGTTTCACTGTCTTACCCCAATCATCGAAATTGCCCGTAACGAACACCTCGTTCGCAGTGTAAGGCCTTTTATGCAAATGCGAGGAACCGTCCAGTCAGCGATCCAATCCAGGATTATGTGTCTGTGTCACTGGGGAAGGGTGTAGGGGGGGGGGGTGTCAAGGAAACTCGAGCTCTCCACATTAAGTGGGCACCTGCATCAGATAAAGAGCATTGATTCAGACTGAACTCACCATTGGAATGTGTAAGTCCCCATGGTTCCAACGAGCCGAATTAATGCTGGTATTAATCCAGCAAAATTCAATGGGAGATAAAAAAAATTTGTGACGAGAGATGGAAAGAGAGAGAAGAACCAGGTTGGCAAGGGCGCTTCCAAGCTCTAAATCGGAGTGGGGTGTGACACAGACCAAGTGTCAGGGTCAAGGAGTTTCGGTCTGGTTGGGATTCATGTTAACGTTGAGATAAAGGGAAAGGGAAACTAATATACTATTGACATAGTGGGATTGTCAAATTCCAGGGCTCTCTATTAACACCTATACTACGTTGTAATATGAACTACTAGTATATACATCAAGGTACCATCTTCATTGTGTGAGCTTTCCCAGGAGCTTAACTGTGGCGCCCGAACCATGGCTCAAGCGCTTTGGGCACGGCCAGAACTAGATTCTCGTCTCGTCAGAGATAGTAGAAACAATCAGACTAGATGATAAATATACATAGAAAGTACCATATTTTTATTCCAGGGGAGTTGAATTAGATTTATTAAAATTAATCAGTCGAGATCAATGTTTGAAATTACCTATTGAAACGTATAGGTTCCCCCAATGGGCAGGGATGGGGGGACTGTGCTCTGTGCTCTGTGTTACCCGGGGCTTGGTGCGATCGACACTACCCGCTTCCTACTGATTCGCACTGCGTATTTCTCATGGCTTGGGTACCTACATGTATGAAAGTTTCTATGATTTATACAGTAGAATTTATATATGGAAGTCTATGGCATTGGAATATTTAAATAGTAATCTAGAGAAGAAAATTTCGAATTCCCCCTGTTATTATTTTATTATAACCAATTACCCCACTATAACAGAGAATATAATGAGGAAGCTCATCCGCAAACGGTCAAGAGGTCAAAATGTCAAAATGTCAAGACCCAGGTTCCTCAAGACTCTTCAACCCAAAAATGTCAAAATGCATGACTTCAAGAGTCATCTGGGCCCCAATTTGCCACCGCGACTTCCATGACCTCCCGGTCCATTGTGGCGACCAATGATGGTGCTGATTCCCGTGTTCTAGAAGACACCTGGAAGACTCACCCGTCAAGCTTCTTCTTTTTTCTTCTTTTCCGTCTTTTCCGTCTTTTTTTTTCTTTTTCTGTTCTTCGTCCTATTCTCCCGCTTCTTCACAGTAGATCTTTGATAGTTACGCTTCCATGCGGGTCGTGTGCTTGACTATCTCCCAATGTCATATAAAATTATAATTTTAAAAAAAGCTCTTCAACCAGAACCCATAAAATTAAAACACTGTAAATTCCAAACCTAATATAGCAAAGGAGTCTCATTCATTGGATCTTCTTTCCACTCTTTTTCCTCCAACTGGACCCAAAGATGGGAACAAGTGACGTCGATCATAAGGAAACATTGGTGATCGACGCGACAGAAGCTCAGACCAACTCGCCCCAACTTTACTCCTCTTCGTCTTTTACCCCTCCTTCATGATCTTCTCCTTTCCCTCCAATTAATTTGCACCGCGAGACCTGGGGTTCATCCTGCTCGGCTTGTCGGTTCCTTCTAGATCTTCACCTCCTTTTCCCTTTTCACCTTCATTATTTGTGCGTCTGTGGTGTGCGCCACCCTTTGCAGCTTTCCCTTCCCCCTCTAGGTGAGACCTTTTCTCCATCATCCTTGTCCTGCATATGGCCCTTCCCGAGACGAGCAATTCCGAAGAATCATTGTAAATTGTCTGCAAAACGGAAACCAGCTCACACGGCTCCAATTAAGACGCCTGTACCATTCCCCCACTCCCGTTTGGCTGCAGACTGCCCCTCCCGCTGGTCATTCTAGTCATTCTCTTTCATCTATTGCGACTCGCTTCTCCTACATATATACCTTGATCATTGGAACCAGTCGATTCTAACAATATCCTACCTGGAGAAGACCAGATATTCAAACCCGCCTTGCCATCTGGACTATAGTCTCAAATCCTCTCTTTCTTTCTCCCTCAAGCTTCAACGTCGCTGGACCAGCGGCCTCTCCGGCTCCTATCACCAACGCAGCCATGGCGGAAAGCTCATTCCCAGGGTCTGCCCCATTCATAAATACCAGCTCTAAGAACGACAAGACCTCAAATATCCAAAAAATCTCAGAGGATGAAGAATTCGAAGTGACGTCACCCACTGATATGACTTTTCGACAAGCCAACTCAGGCGACAACAAAGGAAATGCTTTGTTTGGAGGAAGCGCATTCAGCGAAGGGGGATCACAAACTGCAGGAGGCTCGCTATTCGGTCGGGGGAGTCCATTTGGTGTAGGAGGTGCAGAATCAGGCCCAGGCCACCCGGACGACGATGAGCCTGGAGCTCTCCCACCTGGCCCTGCAGGACAGGGACTCCCAAACAACTATGCCTTGGGTCGTCGTACCTCTGTCTCCGCTGAATCCTTGAACCCCACATCTGCCGGTGCTGAAGGCTGGACACCCCCGCATCACCCCAAGACGGAGGACCAACTAGCACGGTTGAAGACTGCCGTCAGTAGCAACTTCCTGTTCTCTCACCTCGACGATGATCAGTTCAAGACTGTACTCGATGCGCTAGTTGAGAAGCCCATTCCAGCCAAGGACATCAAGGTGATTTCTCAAGGCGACGCCGGTGACTATTTCTACATTGTGGAGAAGGGCTCTTTCGATATCTATATTCATCCATCTGGCTCCGTGCAACCGGGCCCAGATGGCCTGGGTAACAAAGTTAGCAGTACCGGAACCGGTGGCTCCTTTGGTGAATTGGCTTTAATGTACAACGCCCCTCGTGCCGCGACAGTGATTTCCACCGAGGCCAAAAGCACCCTTTGGGCTTTGGACCGCATCACCTTCCGCCGCATTTTGATGGACTCTGCCTTCCAGCGGCGCCGTATGTACGAGGCATTCTTAGAGGAAGTGCCACTGCTCCTGTCTCTCAAGCCCTATGAACGATCTAAGATTGCCGATGCTTTGGATACTATCAAATATCCTGCCGAAGCCACCATCATCAGTGAGGGTGATCCCGGTGATGCATTTTATTTGCTCGAGTCAGGCGAGGCCGAGGCATTCAAAAACAGCGTTTCGGTCAAGACATATAGTCGAGGTGATTACTTCGGTGAATTGGCTCTGCTGGATGATAAGCCGCGTGCGGCGAGTATTGTCACCAAGACCGATGTCAAGGTCGCACGTCTGGGTCGGGATGGATTTAAGAGGTTGCTCGGGCCTGTGGAAGATATCATGCGGCGAGCCGACTATCAGGTGGATGCGACCAAAGCTCCTATTCCATGAAATGTGATATAATACGATGAAATCGGAATAGGACTTGAAACTGAAAATCCTAAGATGTAATTCTGGGCGTGATATAATAATTCTTTTTTTTATCTCACTTTGAATCCCAGTCAGCATTTGATGCTTTCAACTGCTCTATTCTCGCATGCCTTTGCCCTTCTTGTGTGCTTTTTCTTTTTGCTACTCTACGACTCTCCCTATTCCTCAGACCTGACACTCTTTATGACTTCGTGTATCTACAAATTCCTTGTCTCTTTTACGTGCGGCGTGGTTCCTTGACACAGGTACCTACTATCGTCTTTGTCACATTACCTCGCTGTGTTGTTTGATAACTTTCCTCGTGCTGTTTACTCTACATCAACAGGGTAGAGCAAATTGACTAGAACTCCGTCAAATTCATTTTTAAATCTACATGTCCAACTAGGGCTTGTATTCTCGAATTCAATATTCATATCAATAGGTTTACCATGTAGATTTCGAAAGCACCTGGTTTGCACTTAGATATCAACAGTCTAGGAAACAAGTTATCTTTGGTGCTGTTAAGCTTAGGTACAGAGTAGCCCCTGTAGTACTAGGCCTTGTCTAGACTCTGAGAAAAGACTCATATTCTGTTGCCAACGGCCACATTTAAAGAAACCAGGTTTGACTTGGTGGCATGAACAAGATTCAGGGTGGGATACCATGGATTATCTAGGTACTCTATATAGTAGGTGCAACCTTCCAAGGTTGGCGGGGGCTCGGTGGAGGCTATGTGTGTGGAGGGAGGGGGTGAGCAGATACTGCAGGGATATGCTTTCCCTGCAGGTCATTTTTACTCCAATTCAGCTCTTGCTCCGCTTGTCCCCGCAGTTTCAGCGGTTTATGCTCTCTACAGCATTGTTTATAGTACATAATAGATCGATAAGGGGGCATAATACAGATCAAGCTGTGTATGGATTATGTTCACGATCTATCTGTCTTATTTCATAGTTTCCCCCCTGCAGGAAATGGGCGTCAATTGGAGTCTATATTGTACATCCCGAGGTCTCAGCGGAAATAAGCCACGGAATATCACTAGAGGGGTAAGACTCCACTTATACAGAGGGCGGTATATTTTCACATGGAGAAGGTAGCTAAAAATGGTAATAGGTATACTATGTACTGGATTATGGAAATCAGAGAACACCTTAGGCCCGTTGGGCCTACCTCGACTCGAAGATTAGGCTCTTTTGTCAATCCTAGTAGACTATGTAGTCGATCACTAGAATCGGTGAAGAACCAGACACCCAGTCTAGTGGATCAAGTCGGAGAAAGGAGCGGGGCGGGAAGAGAAAATTTGTACCCGGAAGATCGTCTGGTTCCCAGGGGGAGGGCGATTGGGACGAGACAAGTTTTTCTTCTTCTTTTTCTTTCCCAATGAATGAAGAAATCCGTAGGTTTGAATTCATCTCATTCGATTCCATCCCATAATTTAAAACTGATTATCATATGTCCCAGCCAGTGATGATAGAAGTAAACACGCTAAAGAACTGATTCCTCTCTAGTACGGCCACGTGCAGGGACCATCCCGGCAAAACGGCCCTCACCGCCCGGCCGTAAAGAGAGAACTTCAGCTTTTGCTTCTTCCCTTCTCTCCTCCCCAGAGCCATGTCGTCGCAGACCATGACGGCGCCAGCTGTGGGCCATCGTCCGCCTGATCCAGGCACCGATACGCCCATGTACGACTATGGCGGCTCACAGAGCGACGCTTCGCCCTCGAACGACCCTAGAAGCGACTCCGCAATTCGCGACATGCATAATTCTGCCCCAGCCTCTATGGCTTTGCCCGCCACCCCAATTGGGATTAAGACAGAACCCTCGGAGAACCAGGATTTTTCAATGGATGTGGATGAAAAAGATTCAAATGCTCAAACGGCCGCCGGGGCTCTTTTAGCTCAACTGTTAGGGAATCAGACCGCGACAACCTCTTCTTCTGCGCCGGAACAATCTACTGGAATTCAGACAGAGCAACAGGATGTGAAGCCGCTCGGTTCAAATCGCCCTTCAATAGATCATGCCGCCCAGATCTCTACGCTCGCCGACTCGAACTTCAACTTTGATCCAGATTCGACGTCTGCGCTGGGGGGGATGTCAAATATACCGAATGGTCTGCTTACGGCGGATTTGTTTGCTGGGCTTGGTACGGCTCCACAGGAAGGAAATATTGGCGAACACCGATTATCAGATGCTATGGATCCTCTATCAGATCCATTGAACTCAAAGTCGGGCCTTGAGCAGCCTTCGCTCTTGCCTGCTTTTGATGTGGTCGAAGCTCCGAAGAATGCGTTTGAGGCTTTGCAACAGAACGAGCTGCTCACGGCTGCATACCTCTCACAGAGTGCTGATCTATCAGCTTTGGGATATCAAGATGGATCAGCATCAATTTCTGGATCCGAGCCTAAGATTCAAGCATTTGCCAAGTTGGAGTTTGATGATGGACATTTCTATGTCAATACGTACTCCTTCATCTTGGGACGAGATGTCCGAGCTGCGCGTGCCGCCCACCAGCGCGAGATTCAGTTCAGGCACGCCGTGCGGAGTTCCAGGGCAAAGAGCTCGAGCGGTGGCCACACCTCGCATACTCCGAATCGAATGAAGAGGGAAGAAAGTGCTGCTATGATGGGTAGTGTTGTTAGTGATCGTGGAGGTATCATGGGATTTGATCCTGATGTTCCCCCGCACCTTCCGGGAAATGTGGATATCAGTAGACGATCATCAAAGTCTTCTCTTGGTGAATCTGCTATGCCCATGCATGCCAATCCAGCGCAGCTTCAAACAACCACTGCTACAGACTACAATGCGCTTGCAATGCAATCTTTGCAAGATGGAAATGCTGACGCAAAGCCCGTTGATGCCCTGGCTCTGCTTCCATCGCCTGACTCCTGCCCTACGATCCCTATACATCCTCCATCGACTGTTGATGGCATCGCCGCAGGACATCGCGGAATATCCCGCCGACATGTCCGCATTGCCTACAACTTCGACCGTAGTCTCTTTGAGATGGAGGTTATGGGTCGTAACGGTGCATTTATTGGAGCGGATTGGCTTTCGCCGGGGCAGCTTCGACCGTTGCACAGTGGAGACTATATTCAGATTGGAGGCGTGCGTATCCGATTCTTACTGCCAGATGTACCTATCGGCGAGACTGGTGCCGATCGCCTGGAAGAGCAAGCGGCGGATGACGACGAAGATGCTCTTGAGTCCGTTGATGCTGAGCATGAGATTGATGATATGGACAGAGCTTTGAGCGATAGTGCAGAGGGCAATGACTCGAAGGTCACCAAACTTATTCTCAAATCGAAGGACCATGATTCCAAGACTATACAATCTATTGAAGCATCGGGAGATCAACCAGCTCGCCGTCGTGGACCTGGCCGACCTCCCAAGGATGGGATCATGTCTAAACGTGAAAGGGCTGAACTTGCCCGGGAACAGAAAATCGCTGCTAAGCGTGAAGCTAATGGCGGTATCACACCACCACCAGCCACACCAACAGCACAGGCGGGACCACCACTGCCAACAACTATACCAACATCAGCATCCGCGTCAGCGTCAGCGTCAGCGTCAGCGTCAGCGTCAGTGCAACCCCGGCCGTCTAAAGCTGGCAAGACAACAACAAAGGAGCCCGTGGGAGCCGAATCACCGAATTCGTCTGTTAAGCCCTCAGATAAGCGGAAATATAAGAAGCGGAAGGGGGATGGCACCTCAATGGATTTCCCTCTTCCTTCTATGGAAGGTGGCCAATTACCCACAGAGCAGCGAACCGAGGAATATGTCAAACCACCACCAGTCAAGAAGCGCAAGCCGTCTCGGTCACCTTCTCCCAATTATCCACCTGAGTCTGCGTATACGCAGGAGGACTTGGCCAAGCCGCCTTATAACTACGCTGTTCTTATTTTTGATGCTCTTACGGATGCTGGAAACCCGATGACGCTGAAGCAAATATACCGCGCATTAAAGTTGAAGTATCCTTACTTCCGCTTCAAGTGTGAAACAGAGGGATGGACTTCAAGTGTACGACATAACCTTAATGGTAATAGCCACTTGTTCATGCACGCAGAGAGGGATGGCAAGGGTTGGTCATGGCAGCTTCGGCCTGGTGCCTCTGTTGAAAAGGAAAAGAAGAGACGACCGTCACCTCCACCACCGCCGCCACAACCGCCGCAAGTATCAGTTCCAGCTCCCCAACCGTATATGGGCGGTCCTCCTATGTCTCATTCCTATGTTTCCCCATCTGCTGGTCCACCTCCTCCAATGCAGACCCAACGCCACAACTTCCAATTCCCTCCAATGCCATCCAACACCAACACCTTCCCTGCACCTACTCCGGCGGCGCCTCAGCATTCGAGTTCATACGCACCTCCTGCTCCTCCAGTCTCTTCTACTCCTGTCAAACCTCCTGTTTCTACTCCCGCCCCGGCACCTGCTCCTGCTCCTGCTACTGCTCCTGCTGTTGCTCCTCCTGTTCCTGCTCCGGCATCTTTCCCTATCCCAAGCACTATTCGGAACAATCTCCCTGCTGCTTTTGCTCATACCATCCCATCCACTTACACATCTCCCTATGCATCCGATCCCACACCTAAAACTGCTCAGCCTGGTCAGACTCAAACACCAAGGCCTGGACAAGGGCCACCACCGCCTCAACAGCAGCAACAGCAGCAGTCTCCTTACCCACCTCAAAAGCCTCCTTCTTCTCAACCACCACGCGTAAATACGCAACCTCAGACCTTTTCTCCTGCTCCCCCTCCTGCTGGGTCTCAATATAAACCTCAGCACCAGCAACCGGCTCATTTACAGCAATCGCAGCCCCCACCACAGCCGCAGCCTCATCAACACCCTCATCAGCACTCTCAACCTCCTCAGCACGCACCACCTCCGCATCATCATTCACAGAATCAACATCCTCCACCTCCACCTCCTGGCCCGCCTGCGCATTCGCATTCGCATTCGCAACCTCAATCAATGCCAACGCAGCACAATCCTATGCCAAGTGGACAATCGGAGACATCCTCGTTCAATGACCGTGCGAACAAGGCGATTGATGATTTCGAAGCGGTGCTTATGGAGGACTACGAAGATAAGAACTACATCCGAGAGGTGCTCCGAAGTGCTCGTGCTCGTGTACTAGGCAATGCTACTGAGAGCTCATTCCCCGGTGGAGAACCCAAGGACGAGGGCGTCATCATGGACGTACTTCGCAACCTGGTTGGAAGCTTGAAAGACGAGTAAACCAAAAACCGCCTTGCCGGTTCCATTTTCGTTTCTTTTTTTATTCTCGTCATGACTTACGACCTCTGGCGCGTTCTGGGGAACGGCCTTCCCGGAGTTTTTATCTTTTCAGTCCACTTTTTTTTTCCTTTGCTCCATTTTCCCTCACCTTTTCTAACCAAAGTTTTGTGGGACCCGACCTATTTGTCCGAAGTGTTGCTTCGAGACACAATGGGTTGGGATCGTATCATTTCTTTGGAAAAAGTTCGGCCAGGAGGGAATGAATGGGTTTTTTTCTTCCTTCTTTCTACTCCTGACGACTTATCGAGTATACGAGTCTTATGTCTTTGTTTGTGATTGGGTTCTTGTTGAATCTTAATGATATCCCTCTGTTCTAGCAGGCAAGAAGCCTGGTCATCTTTGTTTCTTTCTTCGATTTTGTCTTTGTCTTTCTCCTTTTCTGTTACCCTTTTCTTTATGTTGGCACATGGTTCATCACCTGTGCCACGAGAGAGGGCTGGGGTGCTTTCGAGCGGATTAGCTGTTGTTTAACCCCCCACCCTGTTCTTACTTCCCGACACCCTGCGATGAAGTCAGGGTGTGGGTGCATCCAAAACTAAAAATCAAAAGCTAGCATAGAAATACCAATCCAATATTCACGGGAATACCGGAACGTGCCTCGATCTGTGGATTCAGAGTAAACTGGTAAATCGATAAATTTGCATGGTGAGCCTGCATTAGCACCCGTTTGTTTTTAAGTAGCCGTGGAAGTACATAGTATGTAGCGAGAGGTACGTACACACAAAGTACTGCACAATGTAAACACCGGTATATTCTTAATTATAAAAAAAGTAATATACATTAAAATACACTACATCCTTAATTCCATTTGACCTTTACGTCCTCCATATATCAATGGCCTATCTAGGACCTTGAATACCTAAGTACATATCCGCCATTTGCCTCCCCCGCCCCACGACCCCAAAGGAGAGAGATGCGCCCGGATTCTTCCTTGATGGCGGGGTTTCAAATTTAATCTGAAGCAGGAACACTTGGGCCGAGTGTATCCGGCTAAGAGCGTTTTCCATTTTCTGTCCCCACCGGAAGAGAGGAGAAGCGGGTAGTAGAAATGGAAATGGAAATGGAAATGGAATATTCCGTACAACGTATAATACAGAGCTAGGTGCGGCGTGGGTGCGTTGTACCTGGAAGGACTAGACTAGACTAGACTAGATCAGAGTTAGGTACATGTAGCGGAGCCGGTTATTCGGTGAGGGATTTTGTATACTATCTAGGCCAGGCATAGGCCATTCCCCGTAGGTATTAAGTGGGCTGTCAGGGAAGAAACCAGGAATCAAACACTTAGTCTCCGGTCTAGTGCAGCTGTACTCCGCCGAATGGAATCCTTGAAGGATAGAGTTTTGACAGACGGGGATTATTAATAGAGTGAGGAGTGGTGTTCGGGCGAAAATGGGAAAAGGAAAAAACGATATTATGATCGGCCTTGTTTTTCTAGAACAAAACAACACTAGGGCTTGGGCTACTGGTTGTTTGGGACTGTGATCGGCTTCAAGGGGGTGCTCTAGAGTACTGTACTCAAAGCACCTATTGTACATAGTCACGGAGTCCGGGTTTAAATAATAAGTGTGATTATCAGTAATCATACTTAAGTATCATAGGTAGATGATAATAATAATTAGATGAGTTATTACATGTGCTGTCCTCAAAAAAATAAATTCGCCTCCTTGATCTGGTAAGTGTTCTCTCGTTGGGTACCCAGTGGCATTTTGTTTTGTTTTTCTTTCTTCTGTATTTTAGGTACTTTAGTATTATCACCTGGGCAGTGTTCTATACCCTTACTGGGGAACCCATAGTCCAATTAGAACCCCCACCGTCGACCCCCGGTGCTGGCCCCCCTCTCTCTCTGCTGTCAGTGGCCATGCGGCATGACGCTATGCACACTGCAGGGATAACTACCCAGTGTCATGGATGTGGACTGTGACTCAGAGAGGAGGAGGGGTCATGACAAGTCACCGGGTGTCTCTTCTATGGTCCTTACTTGGTAGTACCGGGTGATGGACCGCGGATGATGGAGATTGTTATGCCAACGCTATAGTTTAAGTATTATGACTACGAGTCTAGTTGGATTCTATTAAAGGCCTCACATATTTTAAAATAGTTCATAGTCAGTATTCAATACATGTCTATATATATATATGCTTTGCATGACTAGCAGTGTTATTATGTAGACGTCCTTGAATTCCTTGAGTACATTGATCTCGTAGACCAAGCAACGGATGGAATGTCCGTTGCAACGCTTGGGCCTGGTATTTTACATTTTACGCTCAATGTTCTGTTATGGGTTCACCAGGCATTAGTCAGGTGGAGTCCGCACGAGTCCGTTTTTTTTTTCTCCAATTTTAATTTTTTGTTCTCCTTTTTTCGCGGTGATTCAACCTTTTTTTAGAATTTTTTTTCCCCCTCTAATTTTTTCCCTCTAGAGGAGTGACACGGGCGTTGCATCACTGGAGGTGGCCCCCATACATTAATTTTTCTTGACTAGAACAGCCACTTGAGAGGCAACAATGATGATGATGACGGGGGGTACCAGTTTCATATTTCCATAAATTTGTTACATATTAGGAAATTAGGATGAAATGTATAGATTTATTTGATTTAATAAGTTATAGATTATTTTGTATTAAAAGCAATCAAAATTTAAGAATCAGTTGGAGTTTCGGGTTGGGAGGTGAGTGAAACGGCCAGTATTACAGCACTTGAGGGCTACTCCATACTCGTTAGGGGGTGAATTTTCAGTTTTCCAACTACAATAGGCAATAGAAGTGGATACACTGTTAACTCGGTGTAGAAACTTTTGAGTGGCTCCAATTGTATTGCTGTATGGTCAATGTCCTGTATCCACAGCAGAAGTCCAAGCTAAGTCCAGGCTCAAACGCCCCCGAGCCACTCGAGGGCCACTCGTCACATCGTTGTCACGTATTGTAACACCAGACCCTCCCACACGGACACTTTCACACACTCGCCCAGCACACCCTTTTGACCTTCTTCATCCTACTCTCTTCTCCCTTTTTCTTCTCCCTCATCCATCTTCTCCCCCTTCCAACGAGCTTTTCACTAAGTGTCGTTGCTGACCTCACGAGAGTGAGGTTTGCCTCTACGCGAGGGAAAACAAATCTTTCCTGTGATTTTCTTAACTTTTCATCGGATTTCCGTTGTGTGCGCGCGTCTTCCTAGAGAAACAATACTTTTCTGGGAACACGCCTCGAGAATCTGTGTGATATCTGTCTTGATCTTGTGAATTGGCCTCCAAGCTCTGTGCTCCGTCAAAAGAGTTTCTACGGTTCAAATTCTACCACACTCCTTCCGTCCCATTTGTGTTTCACTGTTGGCTTCAGATTCTTGTTGAACAGATATCGATATCTCTCAATGTCATTCAACTAGAGACGTTCCCTACGATCATATTAGAGCGACGCGCTCACTGAGCTGCGCTCTTCCCTTTCCGGATTCAGGGCGACGTGGAAGTCGTAGACGGTTCGTTTCCCCTCAACTTTCGTCTGACCCCAGGTGTTCGCCCTTCCTCATCAACCCCCGAGGCTGGTGCTGACCCCGAGTGATTCTACAGCATTCAAACTCGTCTACACCTCTCCGTCCTGATCTGGTTTTTCCTAAACCCTTTCTTCGAAAATGCCATCTTTCTTCGCTCCAGGCCACGGCCTGCCTCCTACCCCTCCTCACATCAACAGCGGTGGCCGCTTGGATGAACCTTCCTTCTACCCTGTTGCTCACTCTGCGTTCCCGCCTCGCTATCACCAGAGTGGCTGCGAGTTCATTGAACAGTACTCGCAATCCCTCTACGCTAAGCCGAACGCGATGAACCTGCACCCGCAGTCTGCGAATATGATGCACCACCCTACGCGCGAGTCGATGCACGCCATGGCTCAACAACAGCCTATGTACGGACCGATGGCAACTTTGCCTCCAATTCGCTCCAGTGTTCAACTCCCGCCCATGGAGAGTGCCATCCCCCCGCAGTACCGCCGTCAGGATATCGCCCCGATGCAGCACCAGCAACAGCAGGAGCAGCCCCGCAAGGAGGAAAAATCGACCGGAGGTGTCGCTGCCCACCTAGACTACGAGATGGATCGTATGTCCGACTTCGTGGCGGAAATGACCCAGGGAATGTATGATTTGTACAACACCAAAATCACCCTAGCAGATATTGACATCATGCGAAGCATATCCCCAGGATCTTCGGTTCCCCCTCAGTTTCGCAAATACGTCTTCCAGATTTTGTCCTCGACTCGCCTGCCCAGCTCGACCATTTTGCTGGGTTTGTACTACCTGTCCTGCCGAATGCGCCAACTTTCGGCTCAGCGGGTGTACCAAGCCAGTAGTGGCCAGATTTACCGCATGCTCACCGTTTCCCTATTGCTAGGTAGCAAGTTCCTGGACGATAACACTTTCCAGAACAAGTCTTGGGCAGAGGTCAGCAACATCCCCGTCGCGGAACTCAACAAGATGGAATTGGAGTGGCTTTTCGCTTTCGAGTGGAAAATCCACAACCGCATGTATGACGAACAAGACGGCTTTAACTCGTGGCGACGCCACTGGGACAGCTGGCGCGCTAAGGCCAACATTCGCGCTCAAGAGTCTCGCCAGTCTCTGGCCCCTCTTGACACTAACGTCGTTCGCCAGCACCAGTCTATTGCGAAACCTCTTTTGTCCCCCGAAGGCCCTATCCCACCACAGTACCAGCGTAGCTCTACTATCGAGAACTCCTGGCTCAACCCTGCCGCTTCCGAGTATTCGCCTCCTTCGGCACCCCACAGCGGACCCAACACCCCCGACTACTACTCAGTTGGGACCTGGGGCTACTCGAACTCGAACCCACCACCGCCTTACACGCGCGCGTGGGCTCCCCCTTCACAATACATCCCTCAATCAGCACCGCGGTCACAACCTCCATCGTACCACCACACGCCCGCCTATGGCTTGCCTTTCGCTCAAAGTGTTTGGACTGGCCACGGGTCATCGTGCGGTTGCATGTACTGTGCTAAACACATGGAGCACTATATGTGCAACACTGCTTTCCCAGCTCTACAGCCTATCCTGGCAGGCTAAAAGTTTGGCCATCCATTTGTTATTCACTGCTGATTGACCATTGCGGATGGAAACAGACGACCAATATCGTCGTCTTGTCTTTTTATGTTCATTGCGGCTTAGAATTTTTTCTTCGTTTCTCTTTTCCTTGCGTCGCCTTGCAATTTCGTGGGTGGATTTCGCACAGCCTTTTATTTTTTTATGACACTGTTTTCTTTGCTTCTCTCGTCCTGCTGATTCCTGATCTGATGCGACGTTCACGCCCTCTTGACATATTTTGAATCGCTGGCCCTCGCCTTTTGACGATCAATCGGCATATTGCGACTCTCCGAAAAGTCTTTTTTTGTTCTGCGTCTGCTGGTTCGTGTCGGCTTAGCGAAAAACTCAAAAAATACCAAAAAAAGAGGAAAAAACGCTCCCGCGGCGACATTGGCACGCCCCAGTCAAACCTCAAAATACTATGCCTTCCCCTGTGGTTGGACATGGTGTCACATCAGTTGGACGTCACCGGTTCTTTTTTTTTAATTTCTTAAGATCCAGTTTCTGGTGCTATTCGACGGCTGGGGCCGCAGTCACGACGATCACGAATTCTAAAATCTGGCCTTGGTCTATTACCCATGACTTCGGATCATATCTTCGGCTTATTTTCTTGTTTTCTCTCTCCTTCTGCCTTTCATGCAGGACATTCCTTCGTCCGGCCTTGACTACCCATAGATTGTTTCCCTTTCCCTTTCTTCTTTCTCTCTTCATGTCGGTACATTATTTTCATTCCAATTCCCCACGCTGCAGTCAATTTTCTGGCGTTAATATTTTCTCTTCACTCTTCTCTTCTTGCTCTTTGTCCAAATTCATTTGGCATCCTCAATTACCGAAATTCGACCAAACAAACTTGATATGACCTTTCCATTCTCATTTTTCCTTTGATTTACGACTTTCTCTAGCGCCAACGCTAAAAGCCCGCCTGGAGTTTTTACCTTTTTTTTTTCTCCTGCTTTGTCTTTGTCCTCCTTGATTACGAGCCTGGAGTGCAGTGCGACAAGTATCGGCGCCTTCCAGATTTCATCTTGCCGATTGATATCTTGCATAATCCCCGTTTTCTTTCTCCAGGCTGGATGTTTACCATCGATGCTGGGGATCAAGTCCATTTCGGATGAGGGGCAGATTTGTACGTAGCATTGGCGCCCTTCAATATTTGAGGTTTTCCCATTGCCTGTTCTATTGTCGTCTTCCAATGCCTTGACGCTTATTCTGGTTTCTCGTTTGTGTGTCCTCGCATCGGTCCGTCGGTTATGGGTTGCATACGGAAATTCCTTCAATAGAAGATGGTTCGAGCGAAATATGTGACAAGATATTATCTTTGTCTTTATCTCTCTCGTTGTCCTTGTTCTTTAGAGCATTTAATCCGCATGTAGTATGTTTTGATATTATACGTGGCTGGGCTACTTGGTTGCCCTTTGTCTTGATATTGGAAGATTGGCCCATGACTTAAGACTTTTGATACATAAAACATTAAATAAAGACTTCTTGAAAGGATAGACTTTGGTATTCATTGGGTATAATTGTACTAGTTAAGCTTTGTTGTAAGGTTTAGCTTATAGGCTTATAGCTGAGATGATGCATTCGCCGTGGGAAGTTTGTACTAGCTCCATGGCTCCTCTAAGGCTCTGACACTAGATAGGTATAAGGTACGTACATGGGGCTGTAAGAACGTAGGCAGACATCTTCATAATAGATAAGTCTAGACTAACTTTGAATAGTTATGTGGACGGTTCAACTCAAATCAAATGATACGGGACATCAGTCACAATTTAGATCGAACTAAGTAATAAAAGGAAAACTCCATGGTATTAATTCCCTTGCTCATAATGCATTTTTCCTCCTCACTTTTAAAACATATTCGTTCATGTAATCATTACTATCGTAACGCTGAGTCGGGCAAATGCCTCTCTCTATCAATGTCTTGTCTTTCCTCGCTGTTTCCAGCATGACCATTGATGCAAATCCTTAAAATGCATGTAGAACAAGATGCAACAAGAAAATAAAGAAGACAAAATCCAAAAACGTGAAAAGAGAAAACAAAGAAATAAGAAACACGTAATGAGAAATAATAAATCCGTCACCGATCACCGAAGGATGTGTAATCAATAGACACTCCCTCGAATACTCTGATCTTGCCGTTGCTGCTCCTCTAGCGAGATTTCTGGTACACTTTCTGGTACACTATGGTTCTTTTCTTGACCGCTGCTCCTGCTCTTATCACTCATAACTGGGGATTCAACATCAATATGGCTGGATTCCGGAGTGTGGCTATCAGAGTGTGTGGAGACATCATCACCATCACCAAGGATATTAGCCATTCGGTGATGAGGCTGCGACGAGGTAGTTGACGATGTCTGGCGATGATGGGTTGAGTGGCTATTCTGTAAAGGGACAGGTTGGTGGTGATGATGATGATGATGGAGATAATGGTGATGAGCTCGAAACCGTTTAGAATCCTCCGTAGGGTTCGCGCTTAGTTCATCATCACCATCATCTTCTATTTCCTGTGATGGCCGATGTAATGTTGGTCTAGGATGGAATTGTCCGGAGACAGGTCGCAAGCTTCGGCTGCCGTGGTCATCTCCTTCGTCGTCGGATGGAGCGAGGCTATTTGCACCACTCATGGAGCCACCTCCATCCCGTCCGCCGAGGTGAAGTAGGGCTAGCTTGAAACATGCCGTGGAAGATGATACAGGCGGTGTATGGAGATGGTGGTCATCGCTATCTCGATGGAGGCCTTGCATATGTGGCCGCATTGGGCGAGTAGTGCTGCTTGTGCGATTATCGGAGCTTGAATCCCCGGTCCTGTTGGATCTGTTGGCCTCACTGGCTTCAACCTCAGGATGTGGGTTGGATTGAGAGTGATCGCTGAGAGAGTTCCGACTGGGATTATTTGGGTTCTGAAATGGGTTACTTCTGTACTGGAACGTTTTGTCCGTATCATTGGATGAGGTTGATGAAGCCACTTTTGGATCACCATTTGACTTGCTGGTTCCATTCTCATGTCGCAAGGATTCGATCATTCTCGACCGGAGAGAATTTTTAGCATCCCCCGATAAGCCATGGGTACAACCATCGGGACAGCCACCCCCATTTTCTTCGGATGGGTATATGCTCCGTCGGTGTGGTACCAGTAGGACTCAGACCTTGCAACTCGCGTTCGTTTTTCTTCTCGAGATCTCGTTCTTTTCGCATTTCCGACCAGGTGCGAAGCTTATTCTGAAGATTGTATTTTCCATTATCTTCGTTGTGTGTCATGATCACAAATTCGCAGTGATCGATGTTCCGAAGGTCTTCAAAGTACTCCACGCTCCAATGGTACCACTTCATTAGAAACACTCGGGTCATGAGACCGTGTGTAACAAGGACACAGACACTAGCAAAATCATCCTCTCCGAAGAGTCGCCACAGGGACTCGTTGAACCCGCTCACTCGATCATAGGCATCGGCGGCAGACTCGCCGTTAGGAATACGATAGAAGAAATGACCGTAGTCAGCTCTCTCCATCCACATTCTTTCCATCTCCGTCGAGCATGGTTGAAAGTTGCCAAAGTCCTGCTCTCGTAGGCGGGGTTCTTCGTATACTTTTATGGTGTTCCGGGGAAATGGAGAAGGAGATGGGGAATCAGAGGTAAGAGATTCCAAGATGCCTTCGGTTGTTTCCCTTGTACGGCGATACGGAGACGTAAAAAAGTGAAGGTTATCATCTGGGCGTAGTAGGTCTCGTAATCGACGGCCTGCTTCTTGAGCTTGACGAAGTCCTTCGGCAGTGAGTTTTACTCGGTGATCTGGGGTTGTCTGGTGGATATCACGGTTCTTGTTGCCTTCTGATTGTGCATGTCGAACCAAAATGATCATCTGTATATATAAGAAATTAGGTTTTTATCTTGTATTACCATTGTTGGAAGCCTCTTACCCGTGGTTTTCCCATGATTGTTAGGGCATGTGCTACAAGCAAATCCAAGAAGATGCGGGGGAAGAAATGCCCTCTGGGCAGTAAATTAGGCGGTCTCACCGAGGACGGGGTATAGTGGCCATTGTAGACGGATGCTGAATAAGGGAGTTTGGCAGCAACATTACTGATGTCATTTTAGGTGGCAGATTGAAGTTACAATCGTCGAAAGGGCTAGTATAATAGTTCCAGTTTTGCCTACTTGCCTAATAAAGATGATAGCCACCTATGTATCCGCAGGAGTTGAACCCCATCTCGACTATAAGATTGTTAGACCAGAGTCTAGATGGCCTATTACCAGGCAATAATATAAGGCACCAACACTACTGTATTCGGGCTAAATAAGCATCCGTCTAGCCTGGCCGTTGCACCCCGTCGTATCTGGTCACTAACCCACAGCGGCTTTTACGCAATCGCAACCCGCTACAACATAACAACATCGCAGTATTGAAGAGCCTCTAGTATGGCCGACTCGCTGCTGGAGCTCCTGTCTCCACATATCTTAACACCCTCGAATGATGCTACAACCTCACAATATCTTAATCGCCTGTCGACTCTGTCTCTGCAAAACCTCCAGACCACCGAACCCCAGTCCCTCGCCCAATCCTCCCACTCCACGCTCCTGTCTCTCCAAGCATTGTCCAACCGTTCCCACCGGACATTTATAACCTCCTCCGATAACCTATCTACCTTACGTACCTCAATTCCTAAGTTGACGAGCGAGGCGCAAGAACTCCGCGATGCCGTGCCAAAGCTCGACGAAGCCGCCGTGGGCTTTTCTACCAAATATAGCAAGATCAACGACAACGCCTCCTTAGAGCGACGCAAGAAAGCGATGCAACTTACCCGCAATGTGGACCGACTGTCTGATATTCTCGAGCTTCCTTCTCTCCTATCCGCTGCTGTGTCCGCTGCCTCGGCCAATTCAGGAGCTGGCGCGGCATCTACGACATATTCATCTGCGCTCGACCTACACGCACACATTAAGCGATTGCAAACGTTATATCCCGATTCTCCATTGATTCAAGACGTAGCATCTCAGGCCGAAGATGCGATGAAAGAAATGACCACCAATCTCATTGCGGGACTCAGAGGCCAGAACCTACGACTCGCAGCAGGTATGCGAACCGTCGGCTGGTTACGGCGAGTTGCACCGGATTTAGAGACCTTACAGAAGGAGGGGGCTACAGGAACTGGAGAAGGAGCGCTGGGGGCTACCTTCTTGATCTGCCGACTAGCTCATTTGGTCTCAACTTTAGAGGCATTGGATCCATTACGAGAGCTTGCAGACCAAGAGACCCAACGGAGGACGGATGGAAAAACCAAGTCTGATTCGTGGTCCGGTGGCCAGCAAACCGATCGCTACTTAAAACGGTATATCGAGATTTTTCGAGAACAGAGTTTCGCCATTGTCTCTTTATACAAGAACATCTTCGCTGCGGAACAGTCGGATTCTGACGTTGCCGCGTCAGGGCTTAAGGCATCCGACCCCAAAATCAAGTTACGGGATCCCTTACAAAATCGCCCGTCAGCCCTGGCAACGTTTCCAATGCACTTGGTACAACTCCTTACAGATACCATGCGAGCGTACCTTCCCAACGTACGGGACAAAGGTTCGAGAGAGAGTCTGCTGACGCAGCTATTGTATTGCGCAGCTAGTTTGGGTCGCCTCGGGGGCGATTTTGGCATGATCTTGACAGAGCTCAGTAGGGAAGAGGACATAGAGTATGAATGGGAGGAAATAATGCGCAAACACCGGGCATTAGCTGGGCGGTTAGAGCAACTTACGAGTCGAGTCGCGGTGCATTGAATGTACAGTCAATAAACTTTCTTCTATATCCATTAAATATTCAACTTCATGTATGGTAGTGCCAAGCATAGACTTAAACTAGGGTGGGTCTCCGCCTTTTCCCCGTGTTTGCGCCTTGTGTCACTCTCTTCCTTTCTCTCTCGCTCGAGATCTTGTCTTTCTTCCCTTGCTTCACTATTCTCTGAAACTACCTCTTTGAGCCCTTAGACCACCATATCCATTCCCTCCCATCCATAACTCCCATCTGTCCTACAACCGTCCTTTTACCTCTATCCTCTATACCTTGTGGCGGAGCCATGGCCGCCCCCACGCTGGTTGACCCGACCAAGCAGGCCGAGTACCTTATTGTCCTAGGTGAAAGACTGTCAAATTCGGATCGCAGTCGATTGATTAATGTAAACTACAATTACAAGACGAAACACGCGACACCGCAGCAGCGTTCAATCGTCACTCGCTCCGCCCGGTCGCACGATCTCTACGACCTTTCCGTCGCCGATAAGGCCCCGAGCGCCGATCACACGTTGACGTATGCCTACAAAGGCAGTGAGGATCCCGAAAGTGAACGCAATTTGGTGCTTGTTTTCGACCCCGAACGAAAAGTCTTTGTCTTGGAACCCTTAGCCACCAAATTGAATTTCAATCTCCGATCCGCGCCCGGAAAAACGGAGAAACAGGTTATCGAGCAGTACGAGCAGCTCCGAATAGCGCAGGAGGATGAACATACATCAGGAGATGACCCCAATGTCGCGAGTACCAGTGAAGATGAAGGTCCTGCGGACGAAAGTAATCCATACGACTTTCGACATTTCCTCCCTAAAGAGGGCGCCGAGGATCTCAAACCCGCCTCAGGCGACTCCACTCCGGAGCCAGTGTACACCAGCAAGGCGAACACCCCTGTAATACCAGCAGCTAAGCCTGCTTCAAAACCAATGCCACGGCCTAGAAAGGAGGCAAACCCACTTCGAGCTCCGAGACGCCCAGCGAGGCCCCAGGCTAAGCCCAATCCGCCCAGACGGAGTCCCGACCCCGTTGTTGAGCATATTCCCGAACCTACAAGCACAAGTTTTGATAAACAAGAGCATGAAGATGCGCGCTCCCCCATATCAGATGCAGGAACTGGCTCAGCATCTCAGCAGACTGTTCAGTCACCAGGCTCAAACATAATCGTTGATGGCGACTTGATAATTGACATGGGATCTCCCCCTCCCTCCCGAGCATTCAAGGTCAACCCAGCCTTTTTCTCCTCTAATAATACCCCCGATGACCACGATTATCCCGAAGAGGAGATGGAGAGTTTCAGACTTCCGTCTCCAGCAAGGAATACACAGCCTACATCAGCCCCTGCTGATGCTGGCCACGAAGACAATGATCAGGAAGATGAGGAAGATTTACTCGCTGCGGAGATGGAGGCTGCCTTTGAAGAAAGTGCCCGAGAAGAAGAAGCACGCACCCAACATTACGGCCAGCACGCTTCGAGTCGGTACAACGTGCCCAGTGATGACGAGAGCGAGGTTAGTGAAGAAGAGTAATACCTTGACCTTCATTTACCTGTAATTCGTTCACCTTTTTTTTCGTTATTGCATACTGTTTCAAGCGTGGGCGCTAGGTTCAAGAATAGGAGATACCAAATGCATAATCACATTTCCTTTATTGTGGGCTTCCCAGTGCCTTTTGCGTAGATTTGAAGGAAAGCCTAGACTAGAGGGTGTTGTCTCTGAAAGTCTGATGTTGATGGCTATGGAATCTGGCTATTGGATATAGATAGCTTGTTCTGATGTTACTATCACACGCACAAATCTCATGGTAAATAACAAGATTGCATAAATAAGAATATTGATGTAAGTATACAACAGCCAAGGCTGGCATGCTCTCCGGGGCTCTTGATATAGTTCCTGGTCGAATCGGAAGTGACGTTGATCCGCTCCGGGCAGCTTTCACCTCCGCCGGAAATGACGCTGTAAACGTTCTTCATTCCTCGCTTTCATTGCTCCCTACTTTTTAGGCGCTCCTTTGTCTTACTTCTGGGGAATCCAGTGACCTGACGCCTACTTATAAAGTTTGCAAAGATGCGATGAAAGACCCAGTCGCGCTTGATTGGACTGGACCACATCTACTCGGATTGGAATCTATAGAATTCCTCCAGCGCGCAGGCGCGCTTCACATGCCAACTTTTTTTTCATGAGAAGCAAAGTCTAACTCACTTTTCCGCCTTCATCTCCGATTCCAGCCAAATCGAAACCGTCGAATCCCCTCCCAGATGGAGTCCACGGCCTCCCCCGCGCCATCAAAGCACCAGATTCCCGGCGTGGCTAACCCTGTTGTGGCAGCAGCCGAGCAAAAATGGTTGTTTCCAGAAGGAGATCTAGAGCGCACGCCCTCGCGCCTCGATAAAATCGATCGTGAGAAGGAGGATTACATTCGACACCGGGCTGTTGAGTTCATCTGGCAGGTTAGCATGATGTTGAAAATGCCGCCGCAGACCTCCATGACCGCTACCGTTTTCATGCACCGGTTCCTGATGCGCTACTCGCTACGCGGACAATACCCAGATCAAGCGCCCGAGTTAATGCACCCGAAAGTTATTGCGGCTGTGGCGCTGTTTGTCGCATTCAAGGTGGACGAGACCATGCGTCGCATGAAAGACTTCGTCGTGGCTTGTTGCCGTGTGGCCATGAAGCAGCCTGATCTAATTGTCGACGAACAGTCAAAGGACTACTGGAAGTGGCGTGACCTAATTCTACAGAACGAAAGCGTGATGCTCGAGTACCTTTGCTTCGACCTACAGATCGAGTCGCCCTATCGCATTTTGTGGGAATACTCTCAGTTCCTCAATGTCACCGAAAACAGACCCCTCAGACATTCTGCCTATGCCTTCCTCAACGACTCAACATACACTGTCCTCTGTCTACAATTCCCTTCCCGAGTTATCGCTGCCGCAGCCCTTTACGCCGCAGCGCGTCACTGCCAAGTTACTTTCCCAGATGACCACAAGGGCCGTTCATGGTGGGAACAGATTGGCGTGCGTGTCGAGGACCTGGTCAGCGCGTGCAAGCTTATTGTACAAATATACGAGCGTGTACAGCAAAACTTAAGCAAAGGCTATCCCGACTTCGCTATCGGCGACGCCTCCGACCCCAACGATCCCACTCGTCTCTTCCACAGCAACCCTACCTCCGCTCCTGACCTGACATCTTCTCTTTCCACTCCCGCGGCTGACTCCCCCGCTGGAAATGGGCGCAAACGCTCCCGTGAGCCAGACTCTCAATTCTCTGCAAATCACCACCCGAGTCCTATCCCACCACCTCAATCTCAGTCGTCATTATCATTAAATGGCGAGCGTTCCCCTAAACGCCAACGCACAATCTCACCTGCCCCTAACTCGGGAACACCATCTACATCTCGTCCTCGAATCCCGCTTCGAGCAATGGGTGCCTCATCAGCGAAACCTCCCCTCGGAGAGCAGTCACTAAACTCTGCTATGAACGTCGATTCTTCGCAGCCCACAAATACCGGTGCAAGGCCAACGGATGAGACCAGTGCTGAAGAAGGCGAGGTCTCAGACGCTGGCGTAAATCGAAACAATGCGCCGCAAAGAGAAGCAGTTGAGGAAGGTGAAGGGAGCGAAGAAGGCGAGATTTAGTTCTTTGCATTTCATTCCTTTATCTCTGTCCTGCTGTTTCACAATTTGCTTGAGTTATGTCTATTCTCAATTTGGTGGCATTTGTGTCCGGGTTGCATAAACTTGGGGAGTTTTTGCTTGTTTCTTTTTCTCCTGCCCCATTGTCACATCTTATTTACACCGTGGCGAGTGGTTATGTCTGCCTCGAATTTATCTTGGATGCAGTGTAAATCAATGACTATCTACGACAGCTCCAATGATCAAGATATTATTACATAAACTGGCTACACTTGAATACCTCACAATATGAAAGCGATGATGAAAGTCCCAAGCTTCAAAGGTCTATTATGTAGATCGAATAAGTGAACGCCTTGCCTATCTATGCACCCAATGGCTAGCCTTGGGGAGCTGTCTTTTCTAGTACCCTAAATCTAGCCCAAATAAGAATCGAACGTATCCTAGTAATGAAAATAATAGAGCTTAAAAAAGAGAAATGCAATAACTAAAATCGAACGCTCGTGTGCGAACGACAAATTGAAGCCAATGTCCAAATGTAACAAGCCCAAAAGCCAATCCGCGAGAAAAATGGATAACGTAAAATTGCCTCTAGCAGGGACGAAAGTTCCTGAAAGGTGCAATAAATAAAACGATAGATGCAAGATAAATGTCAGATAAATTTCAATGTCCGAGAAGGAAAAAGAAGAAAAAAAAACGGAAAGAAGCTAGTATCCAGCTGTCATGACACCAAGTCCATGATCAAGCAAGCTGCTCGAAGCGACAAAGCTAAATCCACCAAATGGATTGCTCTCGCTATGCCCATGCTCATCCTCAAGATCCTTCTTGGACATGGCTCGACCATTCGCAGAAGCATAAGGCGACGTACAGAAGTCATCGAAGCCATTTGCAACAGTAGGACTAAGAGGAAGACTTGTGAAATCACCCGAGAAATTCTCTGCAAGGGCCGGATCAGTGACGATGGGTTGGATCGGGGGCTGGAGTTCACGGCGCTCAAGAGCAGCCCAGTCAATCTTGCGGAAGAAACGATGTTTCTTGATAGTGATCAAATCCTTAGGCATATGATAGCCCAGGCGCTTAGCTGGGTCTTTGCGAAGCAAGCGAATGAGAAGATCTTTAGCATCTGGGCCTAGGAAATAGGGCATGACGAGCTTCTGCTTGATGATCTTCTCCTGGAGCTTGGTGTGATTGTTTGCGCGGAATGGAGGAGAACCAGTGAGAAGATCGTAGCCCAGAGCACCTAGGGACCACCAGTCACACGCTTTGCCGTATGGCTTGCTCTGGATAACTTCTGGAGCCATGTACTCGATTGTACCGAGTCTTGAGTTGCAGCGATCATCGTCGCTGAGAGCAATCTTGCTGAGACCAAAGTCAGTGAGAAGTAGATGGCCCTCGCGGTCGAGGAGACAGTTCTCGGGTTTGAGATCGCGATACAAAACGCCGACGTTCTGGTGCAGATGTTCCAATGCGAGCACCATCTCTGCCATGTAGAAGGCCGCGGCATCTTCCTCAAACATGCGCTCCATGGCAAGATGAGTGAACAGCTCACCTCCCTGGGCGTATTCTAAGATCAGGTACAACTTCTCATGGTCTTGGAAGGCATAGAAAAGCTTAACAACAAATGGATGTCTATTAACACTCTCCAGAATTGTGCGTTCGGTCTTGGTCTGTTCGACAAGCTTCTTGTGTACGGTTATCGAAGCCTTGCGGAATTGCTTCTGGGCGTAGAGCTTGCCCGTAACGACATGTCGCACCAGCAACACAGTCCCAAATGACCCTTTTCCAAGGCATAGTATGGGCTCAAAGTCTTCCGCCGTCATCTTGCGGCAAAGCTTGCTTCGCATGTCCATTTCCTGTGCGCCGGCACCCGTCTCCGTACCAGCCGGTTCATCGCCGTCTACAGCTTCAGGGCTCACGAAGTCCTGATCGAGAGGTACTTCATAGCTTGTCAGAACCTCGGTTTGATCACTGTCGGAGTATACACTCGCGTTGCTGGGGGTCTCGGAGCAAAGTCCGCTAGTGCCCGCGGTTGGTTTTCCAGCAAGACTCAGCGAATCGAGTTGGAGCTTTAATGCGCTCACTCCATGACCCGCCGGAAGCCCACGAGGACTAGACCCTCCTACAGTAGGGGGACGGGAGCTCTTAACACGCGAGCTGGTAGTAGAAAAGTCCTCGTCCTCGTCCCCCGGACGCCAGCGGCGTGAACCCGTGTACGGTTGAGCGAGCGGGATCGGCCTGGTTTGCCTGCTTCTTCTTTTTCGCTTTCCGGCGCGCTTTTCCAGTAAGTAAGTTTGCATCGAAAGCGGGTGGCTTCATTGCATCCTCATTGGCTGCAGCATTGACCATCTTGAAATGTGATGACAGGCCTCCCATGTGGACATCCGGGCCCTGTTGATTGGTCGGGTGTTCTCCGAAGGGCTGAGCACTGTCAGCCTGAGGAGTGAACACATCCCCAACAGTGAGATCGTCAGGGTGTGTGGAGTCCATGTTGAAAATGGAGTCCAAGGTGTATGTCTCTTGTCTATACTGTCCAAAGTATACTCGGGGTCGAAGATAGATCTGATCTTCAAGGTGTTCCGTGAAAGGGAAAAGAAGCCGCCAGCCAGTAGGCAGATGTTCCCATAAAAGGGCGAAATTTAGTGGTTATGTTACTCGAATTGCCAAAATGGCAGTCACTGAATAATCGCCATTTTAATTAGCTTCATTATGATTTTGCTCTTTCGCGATTTTTGGAGGGGTAATTTGGAGCATTCTTCTTTGGGATAGTAATTTTGTTCTTCTCTTTACCCCGCTATTCGCTTCAAATTGGGCAAAAATGAAAGCAAGCGACACCACATACCTGGATTTGAAAGGCAAAATGCAATTTCTCCTCTTGGACTTGGACGGGGTTAAAACCCCAGACTGAATCGTCTCGAGTAGTTTTACCGTCCGCCCTTCTTCAGGACGGACCAGGAACCCCTACCCAAGTCACCTCGCCGTACGCGGGGTGAAAGGCCAAGGTGGGAGTAGTCGATTCGGTAGCTGAAGACACGTCGAGAAGGTCGGGAAGGGCTCCAAGGGCGAGAGATTCAAGGGAGGTTGGGTTCAGGTTGGCCAGGGAGCTGGTCAGAAGAGTCAAGGCGAACGGGGATGAGGACGCAGACCGGTACATAGAGGACCAGAAGAAAAGGTTCGCGATCGAAAGGATTTTGTTCAATATTCCCACGGAGTGGAAGTGAATGAGGTATGGTGCAAGTCTGAGATGAAGAAAATCATCTCGCTTTGAGGCGGAAATCCGGGGCCGACGCTAAACTGTATTGGGTGCTCACGTGTCAGATCTGATTTACATGTGCTACGATAGGCTCAATCTATGATCTCTACATCTACACCACACAGTACAATATACTGGTAAAATATGGTAAATTCTTCTACATATCGCAATACGGACCACGTTATAATAAAGACAAAGCTTGATCTTTAAGTATTTTTGATTATTTTTCATCAAAATAACTAGAATTATCGTTTTTCCAGGGTCCCGCCGCAGTCATGATGCAATGCAGGTCCCGGCTATGATCTAGAATGCCATGCACAACATATCTACCGCTGAGCCACCTCGTGGCTCTCAAAGAATGCCTGGGATCGTGTGATCTCAACCCCTGATCTCTGCACAAATGCAATAGCACTCGGCTTCTCAACCAGAACAGTAACCCGCTCATTTCCAAAGTCCACAGTGACAATACGGGCAATAAAAGTAGCCAATGCCTCCACAGTCTGGAAAGTAGTCTCATCCACCTTCTATAATCCAAATTAGTACCCAATCCACCATTAAAATCAAATAAAAAACACAACACCATATACGTACCTCAGCAACAGCCCTCGTCATAGCTTGGTAAGTATCAACAACAGTAGATCCCCAAGCCAACTGCCCAGGACCAGAGAAAACAAGCGAAACAATAACAGCCTGCTTCTCGACGCGCTCATGCGAATTCACACCCAAAACAGCATAGCATCGAATCCCATCAATTCGGAACTCTTCTTCCAACACAATAGAACACCTTCCCTCGCCCTCGGCCTTATATCCCCAAACAGTAACACTACGATACTTCAACCCCTCCTCAGCTCTTAACAGCGCCTTAGGCAAATGCAACCAAACCTCGCAACGCCCATACTCTGCTTCAATGGGATAAGTAGATGGTGCATCGACGCCAACACCGAAAAAGCTATTCCGTGGACTCTGGTGCACATGCGACATTCGGCGCACGCCAGCGGCAGTCTCGTCGAGGAGTCCCAGGCCGGCATTTGCGACAATGCCAGCTGTCACGCGAGGGTCTTGGCCTGCGGCGCTGATTTTCATTTCCTCGCGCCGGGTGCCCTCGACGCTTATCATGTTGTGGTGGGGGTGATCTGGGGAGGAGGGCTTGTGGGCCATCTCCTTGATGTCGGTTTCTAGGCGGCGGAAGAGCTTGCCGTAGTCGATTGAGAGGGAGACATCGTCTGTTGCTGCGGAGGCGATTGCGGAGGAGTAGGAGAGTTTGAGAGTTGCGGTGCAGGGCTGGGGTTTGTCGGGGCGGTGCCAGGCTTCTGGGGCTGCGGGGAGGGGAAGTTGGATGTCGCGGAGTTGGACGTTGTCTAGGACTGGAGGGGGTTGAGGGATGTGGACGGAAGAGCGTGGTTGGGCCATTTTGGTGGTTTGGATCGCTTGTTCCTTTTCGGTGCTTTCGATTTCTAGTATGAAAAGGGATTTCCGGACTGGCTATGGATGTTCAATCGGAATCAGAAAAGGATGCTGAAGCGGATGAGCTTGAACGTTGATGGCGAGGTCGTGATGACAGTATGATGTAGCTTGTCAATTCGGTCCTTATCCAAAGCACCTGGTTAGTTTTATCAAGCGGTTCAAATGGCTGAGGATACTCAGATCTGGTAGCGACAAATTCCAGGTGGAGATAAATGGTGGGAGGGGTGGGGGAGAGAAGCTCAGGAAGTTTTTTAGCGGGGCAGCCCGCAGATCATAACGGCGGTTCAACTAAAGTTATGGCAAAGTTTGGAACACCACGCCCTAAGCCGGGCAAAACGGGCAAGCTAACATTAAAGTAACGCTACCTTTTGCGATAGTACATTGTTTCAATTATCAGGATCAATATACGTCCAAGATAAGCCTTTCATTAATTTAACTCCACGGGAACAAGCGGGAATTATCAAAACTTCAAATCTTTGAAAGAAAATCACGATGCATTATCCGTTTTCATGTAGTAGCTGACCAGGAAAACACGCTAAACTCTCGGCAGATGGGAGGAACTCATGGTACCATAAAGCTCAATACGATGATACGATACGTAGCGGGTATTTGGAGGGAGTAAAAAGAAACATCTGCGGAAAACAGCCGAAAGAACAAGGACACCGAACCACTAAGGCCAATCCTCTTTACCAATAGCGAGGGCGTTCATATGCAACATATTCGCCGCGCGGGGGAGTGCGGGGACGGGCATAGGGCCGTGTTGCCAGATAAGGATCCTCATAGTGGCGTGGAGGAGGGGGAGGTCGACCATCATAAGGATCATCGTAAGGACGACGTGGAGGCGGGTAGTCCTCCATCCGAGGCCGAGGGGGAGTGCGGCGTCCATAACCATCTCGTTCATAGTAGTCTCGGCGCATGGGAATGGGCGAGCGTTCCCGGTAGTGATCCCGGGGACTGTATCCACGGGGTGTAGGGAACCTTCTGTCATATTCGTCCATGGGTGGGTAAGGCCGACGTGGGGAGCGAGACCGGTAAGGGTCACGCGGAGGACGGTCATCAAAGTTGGTCTGAATCTGTGAAGGGGGAGGGTCATAAGGGAGGGTCCTTTCCTAGAGTCCGGGGGAGGGAAGCGAGTTGGGTTGTATCCTTACATCCGCAGTACAGCTCACATGTACTCCTTTGAAGTCTGTCTGGTCCAGTTTCTCCACGGCAGTCTTCAGGTCATTGGCCGTCTCAAATTCAACAAACCTTTTATCCATTGTCAATCAAAAGTTAGGTAGAAATGCCTAGGCTAGGCTTCAAATGTGAATGGTTGGTAACCCACCCTCTTCCTTGTTCGCGACCCGTTTCTGAGTAAACGACATCCAGTCCGGACTTCCGGGCGAAATCTTTGAGATCCTAGAGAACGTAATGGTGAGTCCAGGTTCCGTGATACATCCGGTATGATTCCATGGAGTGACAGGAGGGTTCTACATCCGGGCATGAAGGGGGGAAGGATCAAGTTGCAAATGGCCAAAGGTAAAGGTCGTCCAAATCCTCGAGACAAAGGTTGAATGTACGTCTGTTCAGGATCTCCGTTCCAGACATGGGGTTTTTTTTCAGGGTAGAACGGAAAACCCAAAAGTGTCTGGTCTATGGTTATAGAACACAAGGCTAACGACCTCACCAAGGGATCAGGGGTTGGGAGGGAAAGTGGCCGTGGGGAGTCACAATCCGGGGGGAATGTCCAGGGAGAAATGGGCTTGGGCTGCTAACCTGCCAACTTGTTTCTGGAAGACCAGAGATCTGCATTCGGAACATCGTGCGGCGCGGACGAGGAGCAGCAGGGCGGTCCGGTGGGCCAGCGAAGTTCTCCTTGCGCCGGGGACCACGAGCGAACTGCACTGTTAGTCGCTCACCCTTGAAGTCACTGCCGTCTGTTGCATAATCAGTCACTGCAGTTTGATGATGTTGCCACCATTCAACACGGTTATAACATACGGAAGGCTACATAGAAAATTAATCAGCAAGCTGGACGAAGTTTGAGCTTTGATGAATCGGTGTTTGAACTTACCAGGCACAACATCGCGAGCATCCATGGCGTCTTCGTACTCGATGAAGCCGAAGCCATTCATAAGCTTGATCTCTGTGATTTTGCCCGAGCCATGGGTGCTGAAATGTTCTTCGATATCCTGCTTGGTGACTATCAATTATTGATTCACGGTCAGCGGGGCGCAACATAAAACCCGAAGAAAAGAAGTGTTAAGTCATCAGGCATTATCCACAGCATGTTGAATGCTTCTGAAGAAAGTGGGCGATGGCGCGTGACCATGTATAAGCGAGAACCAAATCCCATTCATAGGCAGGCCGGAACAGCACCAGGGGACCAGCCAGCGGTGAGGCTGAGAAAGAGGGTAAGGGTGTGTTTATTTGCGAGCATACCATTGCGGGGCAGGTTCCCAAGATAGAGTCGAGTAGAAGACACCTCCGTCATGGTTGCTGGTTGATGATTCAGGGAAGAATCACGCTAAACAGAACCTTGATATGGGAAGAAAGGTAAAGGAAGAGACGGCCAAAGAGCTGTCTCAAGGCGACCGAAGTGGGACGTAGCCAAATGAGGGAAGATGGCGGTGATAAGCGGCAAGCGCTTAAATCACTTTTACTTTTCCCCTTAAAAAGGAAAAGTGGGCTAAAGTGGGCTAGACTAGACTCGGTCGATTCCACCAGAGCCTTTTCTGCAAGTGGTTTAAGTTGGATAAGAAAGAAAATGGGGGTGGGAAAGGTACTCGTATGAAAATAAATAAAGAGAAGCAAGAGAGCGGGGGCAAAGAGAGAAAGGGACAGAAAAAGCACTGAGATTCTGGCGGTGGGCGAAGTCGATGCAAAGTGGCCGCCTCACTTTTTTTTTTCACTGTGCTGAACTGTATCCACGTGTTGGCTTCCCCACTGAGGTCCGGCGCGTAAATGGTGTTTCAGAGTTCTTGCTGCAAATAGGCATCCCAAAGTGTTCTATTATCTCATATTTGGGGGTTATCTATAGAAGTATGAGATTCACGAATAACATGGTTACGGCTCGTGGACCTCCACTCTACATTCCACGGTTCTACCCTTCGAGTTCCCCCATGGGGCGGGAGGTACCTATACATACGTCAACTAGTACTTTTGACCCTTTGATTGCAGTAGACGACTACATCTAATACACGGGTATGTACCTGCACTGCAGGTAAAAAGCCTGAGGATTAATTCATGATGCAGATGGTCAGGAATAAAAAAAAAAATTTAATGAAAAATTAAAAAATTAAAAATCGCTGTAGCTTTTTTGGTATTCTCGGATATATACAGTACAGATAGGCCAACAAGCCCTGGCTTATAATCAATAGGATTCCAAAACTCCATTTTAACCCCAATAAACTTATGTCATGATGTACTTGGGACCCTCGCCACCTTGGGGAGTCTGCCAGTTGATGTCCTGAGTAGGAACCTTGATATCACATGTCTTGCAGTGAATACAGCTAAAACGAGGAGGTTAATATTGAGTCAAAGGGATCAAAGAGATAGCAGAAAAGAAAGGAATAGAGACATACTTTTGAGAGTTGATCTGGAACCGCACGCCATGCTGTTTGGTAGGATCCTCGACATACTCATATACACCGGCAGGGCAGAAACGGTTCTCCACTCCCTTGTAGATGGGCCAGGCAAGATCCTTGTGCTTTTCCCAGTCCTCCACTTGGAGATGCACCGGTTGATCTTCCTCGTGATTTGTACCCGTGCGACTCACACTAGTGAGGATATCGAAGCTGATCTCGCCATCAGGCTTGGGGTAATCGATCTTGTTATATTGAGAGGCGGGCTTTGTGGCCGCGGCATCAGTGCCATGGTGACTGAGCGTCCAAGGTACACGACCCTTGAAAATATAGGCCTCAAGTCCAGAGTACATAAGTCCACCAAAGAAGCCGAGAGGACCATTGAAGGAAGGTCGAATGTTACGCACTTCATAGAGCTCCTTCCAGATGGAAGAATCGCGGAGAGCTTTCTCATAGTCGAAAAGGAACACAGTACCGTTATCTTCGCCCTTCAGCGCAGAAAAGGCAGCCTCAGCAGCCAGCATACCTGACTTCATGGCTGTGTGAGTACCCTTGATCTTAGGAACGTTCAAGAATCCAGCGGTGTCTCCGATTAAAGCACCACCGGGGAATGCACACTTGGGAATGGACTGGTAACCACCCTCGTTGAGAGCACGAGCACCATAAGAGATACATTTACCGCCTTCAAGCACCTCCTTGAACATAGGGTGGTGCTTCATCTTCTGAAATTCACCATATGGTGACAGCCAAGGGTTAGGGTAGTCCAATCCCACCACGAGACCAACACTGACCATGTTATCGCCGAAATGATACATCCAGGCACCGCCATAAGTATCCTTAGGGAGCGGGTAGCCCATGGAGTGCACAATCTCTCCTGGACGGAACTTCTCCGGCTGAATTTCCCAGATTTCCTTAATTCCGAGACCATATGTCTGAGGATCGCTGTCTCGTCGCAAATCGTACTTCTTGATCACTTGCTTGGTCAGACTACCATGACATCCCTCCGCCAAAAGTGTGACTCGTGCGTGGAACTCCATTCCTCGCTCAAATGTGTCTTTGGCGTTGCCCTCCCGATCCAGGCCCAGGTCGTTGGTAGCAACACCCTTCACAGATCCATCTGGCTTGTAAACGACCTCACTAGCGGCGAAACCAGGGTAAACCTCCACACCGAGCTCCTCCGCGCGCTCAGCCAACCATTGGGACAATTGACTTAAGCTAATAATGTAGTTGCCGTCGTTGTGCATCTGCGGGGGAACGGGGAGTGGGTATGAGCCGGTCTTTGTGAGGAAACGCATTTTCTCGCCCTTGGCGGGGGTCGCCCCTTCGAAGCGGGAAGGGTTATCTTCTGACAGCCAGTCTGGGAAGAGTTCGTTCATGGCAGTGGGTTGCAAGACATTGCCGGAGACTATGTGGGAGCCGATTTCGCCAGCCTTCTCCAACAAAATAACACGGAATTCCTCATTTCCTGCTTCGTTTGCGAGCTGCTTCAGCTTGATTGCAGCAGCGAGACCGGCGGGGCCTAGAAAGGATCAAAAATGCAGATGTTAGTCTGGATTACTCTTTCGGGAAAGCAGCAGATTTTGCCATGTGAACGGGATTCATTCCCATGTGAAAGAAAAGGTGCCACCACATACCACCGCCAACAATGCACACATCCACCTCGTCGGACTCGCGGTCCAATTTCCGGGGATCAAAATCTCCATTCTCATCAGTGAATCGGCGTACTACCGATTGCGAAAAGGCACGGGTCTGGATCGGTGAAGCGAAAGTAGCTCGGCGCAAAAATTGGCGATCAGAGGTCGAGGACAGGCGAGCGGGACGAGATTGGGAGACGACGGAGGATATGGAGGGGCAAGATCGAGCGAATCGAGTGGAGGACCGCATTTCACGCCTCAATAGAGGCAGAACGGCGCCTTTGGACGCCATCGCGGGCGCAATTTGAGAAAAGGCGAAAGAGGTAGGTCGGAGTTGCGATTGGCGAGAACGGTATGGGTGGATGGTTAGGTAGAAGTTAAGTACATGACCTCGGGATCAAATTCCACGAGGTCTCAAATACAGCGATCGGAAGTAAAGAGAAGCTTATTTGCCAACCTTGAATAGCCGACACTCTGATTCTGTGCCTCCAGAGAAATCGCCGAAAACCGCCTACCCGAGGCTTTATGGGCTGTAGCCAATCAGAGCACGGATGATTGGGAATCGCCGGACTGCCGGCTCACCGAGAACGGCCACTGGTCACTCACTGCTGGTCACTGGGCAAAACTAACTGCCTGATCTTCTGTGAGGGGGGCCACATTTGTCCGCCTTCGGTCCAGCTCCTGAAGTGCTGTCAGCATCATCGTCTTCTTTCTACCTATAATTCCTTGTTTTTTGGTGGCTTGTTTTTTGTCTTGTGTTTCCCCTCCTCCATATCCGACCCGACCGTGTACAAAGGTATTGATCGAATTAATATACTCCCTATGTACACTGGATCGGCCAGCTGAAGGATCCTAGTGGATCATCAGCGGTGAGTCCATCTTGACATCATCGACAGAGAGCGCAAACACAAAAATCGAGGCAGAAATTCAATAGTGGATTCAAACGAAGAAAGCTCTCCATGGAGCTAGCTAATCTCCTGTGAAATGATCATCGACTCGAAAGGCAAACAGTTTACGCCGCAGCTTTTTGCCCGCGTTAGGTGCATTACGGTATACGGGCGCGGGCGACACCTACGGGTATCGCCACCCAACAGCTTTGCATTAAGCTTCCCATGATGCCCGATGGGTATTTCCCATATTATTTGGGGTATTATTCTGGAGTACTTGAGCAATACTTGGGAATGTGACAACAGCTCAAAGAGTACGATGGTATTCAGCATACCAAATACAGGAGGTGATGATCGCATGCCATGAGACTGATCCAAGGCTTGGCAAGAGCGGTGGATCAGATCCGCGACTTGACCAGTCCAATGCCAAACGGACACCCTGGCCTCTTCTTCTCCTAGCAATGCCCCTCCACAAACAGAAAAAAAAAATTATCTTTTAATTTTGACTCACTAATATTGTGTGTGATAAGAAAAAAATTAAAAAAGGATACAAAAGAGTTTCATGGGAAGCGCCCGTGGAAAATTAGGGCGCTTGGTGTCCACCCCCGAGTCGACAGAGCAGGACCCTGTGGAGAGGGTGAAAAGGGAAGGAGGGAAGTCGGCGGCAACAATTTTTGTTCAGTTGCCATCCATTAAAGCGGCGAGAGGATAGCGCGTCGTACCAAGACACGGACGCGTGATTGGGTATCGGCCAGGCTTGGGGGGAGGAGAGACCCGATAATCAGCTGGAGGAGCGCTACAGGCTGGGCAATCCACTGCAACCATGGCGCCGCGGAGGATAAAAAGCAAGGGAAGTCAAGCCAGTTAGGATCCAGTCAGGGGGCGTAGCACAGTGGGGCGGCAATAGTAACAACCAATAACGGTGAGTCAGAGTAGAACGCGTCGATGATTGGCTTTACCAGCCAGTACCAGAGCCGCTAGCGGGGCCTTGAGGCCATGGGTGAAAGGGAGAAAAGGCCGCTGCTTTAAGCGCCACCAGCGGGTCCAGCCTCCCCTGGAGTTCAGTGTGAGTCAGCACTATATAAAGAGGCCATCTCCCACCTTTTCCCGAGCGAGAGATTCCCTTGGTCTTGGCATTTGGACTCTTTCTACTCCCCTTTCTCCCTCCCTCCCCCCACCTCTTTCCTTTTGTGGCAACTTGCTGCTTTAATCTTGATATTTACGGATCCTGGATTTTTCCTGATTATTTTATTTGGGTATTACACCTAAATAACTTAATAGTATCAATCAGTTTTCCAATATCCCGTGGGAAGGAAGGTTCTCTGGAATTTCAAATTCTCATTTGATTCCTAAAAAAACAAAAAGGGTCATCTCATAATCCAGCCTAACTCCTCTGGAAGCTTGTCCTCGACTTGCTTCATTCACTCTCATTCAGGTCGCGTTCGCAGATAGAAATCATTTCCCAAAAAAGAAGTCCCAATTGAACAAAAAAAAAGCAGAGCAAAAAAAAAGTTCCTGTTCAACATTTTACCTTGTTGTTGCCTGCTGCCGCACTCTTGATCCTTTTTAAAGTCCCCATTTCTCTGTCTCCTGTGGCGTGCGCTCTCTCTCTTGAAAACACTTCAGTGTGCTTTTTCTGGATATCTGAAAAGATCGACATATTCGTGTTACTCACGTCCTGCATCTTTTCCAAGGGGGATACATTGATTTGTCCATCTCCCTCTGTCTCGTAAGTTTATATCCAAAGTTTCTGTCACCGTCCACCGCCTTCCATCTTCATCTTTCTTGTTTCCTTTCCGACACCCACCTCACCTCATATCCTCGACCCTCCGGCTCTTCTCTTTGACACCGGGTGGCAAGAACTTGGGACTAACCTTTCAACCTTTCTTTTATCTTGCACAGTGGTCTTTGTTCCCTTTGACATACTCCTATCTCGTTGGCTCTTTGACTCATCTGATCCTTTGATCAAATCTGTCCAATATGGACTCGCTCACGACTCACCCGAAGACTGCCGAACAGGCTCGTGCCTTCACCTCGCCCTCGTCACTGTCCTTCCCTGGTGGTGCTGGTACTGGCGAACTTACCCCTCCCTCCTCTGAGAAAGAGATTCAGGGTGCAAACGGTATGAACGGCCACGGAGGAAATGCCATGAACGGCAACGGGGTGACCCCCGCTACTCCGGCAACTCCGGTTGCGACACCTGGGGCGACCACGGGAAGCAGTGGCATTGTGCCTACTTTGCAGTGAGTATTGACTCTTCTGGCTTGTCTTAAAACCGCATTCCATAAGAGCTCAGAAAGGCTGAAACTTCTTTCTCTCTAAAGAAACATCGTGGCTACCGTCAACCTTGACTGCCGCCTGGATCTGAAGACCATCGCGCTTCACGCTCGCAACGCTGAGTACAATCCTAAGGTATATTCCACACCTCCCTGAGATTGGCTTCCTATCAGGGTACAGTGTGGCTGAACTAGTCTCTTTTTCTTTCTTATTAGCGTTTTGCCGCCGTCATCATGCGTATCCGTGAACCCAAAACAACCGCCCTTATCTTCGCCTCGGGAAAGATGGTTGTCACCGGTGCCAAGTCCGAAGATGACTCGAAGCTGGCCTCGCGCAAGTACGCGCGTATCATCCAGAAGCTCGGTTTCAACGCCAAGTTCACAGATTTCAAGATCCAGAACATCGTCGGTTCTTGCGACATCAAGTTCCCCATCCGCTTGGAGGGTCTGGCATCTCGCCATCACAATTTCTCTTCCTACGAGCCCGAACTCTTCCCTGGTCTGATCTACCGCATGATGAAGCCCAAGATTGTGCTCTTGATCTTCGTCAGTGGTAAAATTGTCTTGACCGGCGCAAAAGTGCGTGAAGAGATTTACCAGGCTTTCGAGATGATCTATCCTGTGCTCTCTGGTATGTCCTTCGCACTTTTTCCCATCCCATCTTGGCCATTGTTACTAACCCACTCCCTAGACTTCCGCAAGATGTGAGCAGTTTGCTTTCGCCAGGAAGATCATTCTTGCGTCTTCGCCCTTCCACATTGTATTAACATCTCCATCTTATCTTTTCTCGCTATGGTTGGCCAAGAGATGGTGGATTGGTCACTCCCATCCACCTCTCGACCTCCCGTTATCTTCTTCACACTTTTTTTTCCACGATTCCCTACGCAAGCATTGTTGGGCGTTTTAGCGATTTGGATTATTCTTTTTTTCCTCTTTTTTTTTTCTTCTCCATCTTTTCGACTTTACAATTTAGAAGATTGCTGCACACCGCAGTGAGGCGGTTCTGTGCGCTGGTCGAATGGCTGCCTCTTAATCCCGTTCACGTCATTTGGTCATCCCCGTTGGTGAGGCAACTTGCTACGGGACCAAAAAAAATTATGCTCAGCTTAGATTCCCTCGTTATCAGTCTATCTATCGGTGGCTTCGAGAATTATGGGATCGGCTTTTGCCGTGCTGCTTCCGTTACCAAAAAATGGAATTTTTAAAATAATACTGAACATTCTCTATTCCCTTCATACAGTACTGTATATGTGTAACCTTGGAATCATTCAAGCTTGACTTGGTAGAACAGTAGTTACGGTTTTGAAGTCTGAACTAAATAAATGGAAATGCATCTATCATGTTTGTTTTCAACTCGAATTTTATGTTTTATACATGAATGCCCGGGCGACAGGCCCTAACTTGTATATACATCCCCACCTGTGGACCCGATTGATGTTCAAGTAGGTACGCCAGGCTTGTTCTAGCAACACTTGAGATTACAATGCACTTCCTCTCTTGACCTTCGCAGTCTTGGCCAACTCATCCATCAAGATAGAGTTTCGTGCCCCTGACCGACTCCCGTCACCATCAAATATATCCTCATTCGTAGGCGCAGCCAACTCAGTCCACTCCCATAGCTCCCGCAACTCAGGTTCCAAAGTACCCTCCATCGCATCAACAACCTTATCACCAAGAACAGGGAAGAACTTATAAGCATGTCCGCTACCACCAGTAGCCATGAAAAGTCCCTCATATGCAGGATGATACGAGACAATAAAGTCACCATCCGGACTAAAAAAAAACAAAGACAAGAACCACGTATTAGCACTCCGCAGCAATGAAAACAGATATAAGACATCTGCCTAATACGAAATCAGAACCCAAATCAGAACAAGACAAACTTACGTGTCAGTGTACCAGCAAATCCTCGTACCAGCAAACGGCCGATCCACAAACCGTGGCAGAAGCTGTCTCAGCGCAACACGGAACGCCTCCTCCCCCTCCAGCGGGACAGGTACCCCCGTCTCAGGTAGACTAACCTGCATCCTGTCTTCGGAATCCTTGACACCAGGAACAGGCACGCTAACCGGATTCCGATACCCATACGCATGTCTCGCGATCTTGAGCAGATTATCCCGTGGCGGAATAATAAAGATTCCAGTCGCAAAGTTCAAGATAGTAGGCAGGTTTTCCAACTCACGCTGCTCCTCATCACTAATCTTGATATACGCAATAGCCTGTCCAGTAGCCACAGCCTTACCACGTAAATCAACAAGTCTAGGCGTCCAAGCTCCAGTAGCAAGAACAACCAGATCAGCCATGACAGACGATCCATCCGCTAGTTCGACACCAGTTGCGCGAGGCTTGCTACCCTTGCCCTTCTCCTCAGAGAAAATAACCCGTCTCACCTCTGCATGTTGAATAGTCACTTTTCCCTCCTTATCAATGAGGGACTTTGCATATGCCACACTAGCCCCGGCATCGGACCAGCCCGATCCCCAATTCACATAGCCACCTGCTACATCTAGCGTCTCGCCGTATGGAGGAACAACACCCAGTACGTCCTTTTTCTCAGGTAAAAAGACAACATTGTCGCCTTCGATTTCGCGAACGTTTGCATAGCTCTTGCGTGCGTATTCCTTTGCGCTGGCGCTGTCTGCTGGGTACACGAGTAACAGTCCGTTTTGTGTGTAGCGCCCTTCTTCACCCCAGGGGGTACTGCGCCATTTTTGAATAGCGGAGGCAGCTAGTTTGGAGTATGCGCCGTGTGCGTAGTCTGCGCGGACAATACGGCTTGTGTCTACCGAGGAGCCGTGGGGGTTTGGAATTGTGGGGGAGGCTTCGATTAGAGTTACTTTTGAATTGGGATAGCGGGTGCTGAGAGAGAGGGCCGTGGATACTGAGAATGATGTTAGATTTGTGAAGCTTTGTAATTAAAACGATGGGTATAGGTATGGGAATTTTATGTGGGAATTGGGATTCATAGTTGTTGGTGTTCTGTTGGGTTTTCCCGGGGACGGGTTGTGGGATAGAGAAAAATATCGGGGTAAATTTGTTATGCAGTTTGTGTATGAAGTATGAGGTCAAATGAAATCAGAACTCACGGCCAAAGACTCCTCCGCCCACAATTAGGATATTCTGCGGCAATCCCATGCTAGAAGGGTTGATACTTTGTCTTTTGTGTTTTATGTTGTTAGGAAAAAGTTGGGTTGGGGATCGAGTTGGAGATTGGAGATCATCTCTGGGCGTCCCGATAACGGACCAGAACTTATCAAACCCCGGCCCGGTTCCCGACTGTTCTCCATCTTGACCGAAAAAGCCAAGCGACGAGGCTAGGATCCTCTCTAGAGCCGAGGAAGTATTCGGGTCTGATATCTAATTGTTCAGTCCTAAGGACAGGATATATACTTGTGTTTTCTCGTCTTGATTCGCGGAACACCCCTATCCTGCTGCTTCTACGCGCTCCTGAGATTTTTTTCTTCTTTGATATCGCGCATTGAATACACGAGCTGCGCGAAGTCAACTGTGACCAAGTCTTGCATATCCTCGCCTATTCAAATCTGGACGATCCATATAAAAGCCCCAGTGGCCCGGCCATCAAGATGAATACACAAATAACCCGCGCCCCCATACGGCTCAAATGGTCAACATCATGCAGAAATGTACAAACCAAAGCGAAAACACCTCGATCCCAACCAAGGTATGTAAACCCATATTCAATATGTAAATCTCAATCTCACACATCCCAGTCGAAGAAGGCCACCACCACAAAGGCCACAATCCTCAGAGCCAGAAACAGTCTACACGCGCCACCCAAACTACAAAGGGCCCACCATGTCACCGCGCCTAATGACATTCCTAGGAATCTCAGTCCTAGGCATAAGTTCCTACTGCGGCTTCCTCTATGCCTCATACACCCGCGAAGTAACAAAGTCACAAACTCTAACAATCCCAACGGACGTCTCAAACCGCTACAACACGAGCGCACCATCTTTCGACGCAGAAGTTGACCTTGCCGAAAAGGCAATGCGACTCGGCTCAAAGCGTAAAGATCTAATCAGTCGCGTACACGGGGACGTCCTCGAGGTAAGCTGCGGCACAGGCAGGAACCTCGAGTACTATCAGCTTGGTGAAAGGCGTGGTGTGGATTCTAATGGGCGTGCAGCGGTTTTAGGCTGTCGCTCACTTACGCTTGTTGATCTTAGTCCGCAGATGGTGCAGATTGCGGAAGAGAAGTTTAAAGCTTTGCATTTACATGGTGATGGTGATGGTGATGATGAGCTGTCTGTTGTTCCTGTTACTTTTCGGGCGCAGGATGCAGCGTCTGTTACTGTTGGTAATGGGGTTGAAGGGAGGAAGTTAAAGGCTTATGATACTATTGTGCAGACTATGGGTGTTTGTTCGATGTCTGATCCTGTGGGGACGTTGCGGCATTTAGGTTCTATTACGGAGAAGGAGAATGGGAGTATTTTGTTGTTGGAGCATGGGCGTTCGTATTATGATTGGTTGAATCGGATTTTGGATAATTTGGCGCCTGCTCATGCGGATAGGCATGGGTGTTGGTGGAATCGGGATATTGGGGCTATTGTTAGGGAGAGTGGATTGGAGGTTGTTGAGGAGAAACGGTGGCATTTTGGGACGACGTGGAGGTTTGTTTTGAGGCCAACACGGGATGGAGATCAGAAGTCTCACGATTCTTGAGATAATGTTGTTCAGTCTACTGTGAGGACTATGTGTATATTAGAAGGTTCTGTATTATAGTACTGGAGTGTTCCAACTTGAAAGTTCCGAGTCCAAGGTTGAAGGATATCAATTAATGTAAACATATATGGATGGATCTATACCTAGTGAACCACAAGGTTTTGGGGTCACTTCGCTTAATTCTGTTGTCGTGTTTCAAGCAATATTAATAGTATGTATCCATAATAGAAGTGTACGCTGCATATGAAAATCGAAATTCTAAAAAACTAGTCTCCACTATTGCATAACCCTTATTTGACATATTGCACCTGGGCAATCTCCAAGTCCGTTGCGGATAGATGAATGCGGGGCTCTGATGAAACGACCGACCAATGCGCATATAGATCTACGCATGTGAATTGCATTGCCGGGGAGGAGAGCATATCATATACATTTAGCCGAGTTGAAAAGCGTATTCCAAGTTTAAAATGTTGATTTTATCTCGCATATGTTGCCTCATTCAGGATAGATCTATCCATCTCGATACTAAATTTGTGAAGATGGAGGGTAGACCTCGGGACGTGACCTGTAGTTATGTATGGATGAATAGCCAATTACAAGAGAACTCTTATTCGGATATATTGACCAGGCAACACTAATGCAGCTGCAGAAGACACTACGATTTAGTATACTAGCAAGATCCAATTAGAGAAAGCTAAAGATGTATGTGTTGGATGGATCCTTTTAGATTTTTCATTCCCATGAAAATGGAAGGACTAATGGGGGGATCGTGCGTACTTTCCTCACTAGTCAAACGACGAGGCCGAACGGAATAAACCGTGATAGGGTGCCTACGTCTCTACCGGAATGGAGAAAGGGTGCGAAAAACAACTAATAACAACGTTGAAGAAAAGGAAAGAAGAGAGAGGGGAGCTATGCTACGTGAATATAGGAAGCCCATTCTCGGACCAATCATATGATTGGTCTGTATCCGAGAGTGGGTCAAACCAAGCAAACGTCCAAACATGCAGACATGTCCGACTGGAACCTTCTCTCTGTAGCTATACTACAGAAACGTCCTTCCAATTTGGATCAGTCGGTAGATGCGCGGTGCAGATCATCTGCAGGGGTATCTATATGTCTTGAATTTTGAATGTTAGTTGGCCGAGAGATTGGGATTGGAGGGGGTGGACATGTTAGTGCAGTTGTTGGATATACCGGCACACCGTACATATTGAGACATGATGCAAGGAATTTGATATGTATGGGATTGATGATTTACTTTGGTCACGTTTACATTTACATTTAGTGCTTAGATATACTAGTCTATGCACTATGTACGGAGTATGGAGGTCACCTGTCTCTGCAGTTGAAGATATAAATTGTATTCCTCGCATAGGTAGGTGGATTTAGTTTGAAGTAAACAATAGCAGGAAGGCTACTATAGGAAAACTCCATGACTCGGTCGGTATCTAAATATTCAAATGCCGATTTGCCACATGGAGGGGAAGAAATCAAGACTAAACGAAAGATGGCAGGTATAGAGACGCGGGGTAGTCAGATATGGCCCCATTCATATCAAGGAAATGCAATCCTGAAAAGTCTAGATCCAAAGGATGCACCCCGCCACACGAAAACGAGATTGAGATTCCATCGGACCAACCTCCAGAAATTGTTAGCGTTAGCGTATGGATTACGGTGTACGGAGTACCGACAGGCTAATATGATAGGGATCTGCACAATCCAGCCTGAGATGAAAACATTATGTAGTAATATGAAGAGTAGGCTAGGACAGTCTAAAAAATATGGCGCATAAAGCCAGCCAGCAAGATTGCAAATAGTCAAACTCAAGCATCACATACTCTGCTTAATGCAAGCTGACTGGGCGTACCACCTACCTCATCTGTGGAGATGCGGAGAATTAGCGTACATGTACATGCATATTGTACCGTAGGCTCCCCGAACCGACCCAGCCAGAGGCAAAAAAAAATAAAAATAAAGGATAAAATTCCAAAATTCCAAACTCTAGATCAGATAAATGATCTTCCCTTCGGCCGACATATCCAAACAATGGGATGATAGTAAAAACCCCAGATCGATCCATGGTTGACCTATCAGATATGGGAGGGTAACCTTCCCCAAAATGAACGATGTCATCACTTAAAACGAGTCAAACGAAGCAACAAGATTGGATCGATTCGATTTGTTTGTCTCTCGTAAACGACAACACCGAGGGGGGAAGGGATAGGCGCTGATGGAATGATTATCGCAGACTTGCATGTGCCTGTAATGCCCCTACCCGCGCCCTTGCTGCTTGCCAAGACAAGTATAGGTAAGAGCAATGATACAAACATGTACCCTAGATTGGTAGATTGGGCCTACAAGAGTGTAGCCGATCTTTACGAGAATTGCAGGAATTGAATTATTGAATTATTGAATCATAGTGGAATGAGGATCGGCTCCTTTCGTGAATATCTTTAACGTTCGTGTATACTACCTAAACCTTGACTATGTTTTGGGTGTTTTGGGTGGAGGCAGTTGGCATCATATCGACGTCGACGGATGGAGACTTAAGGGGGAAACGAAATGCGTTCCCCTCTTTATGCCATCATCACTTTTTGGTGACCCGATTCCTTTGTTTGCAGGTACCGACACGGTGGATGTGATAGATGTCTTGGAATTAGAATTTACATAAAATTTAATTTAGTATCATTTCTATTTTTTGTTTTCTTTTTTAGATTGGAGGGATAGAAAAGTCAAAGTCAAACAAAGACTGTAGAGTAAGTAGGGGACATGATGCCCCGGCGATATTCCGTGTAGGAAGGAAAAAGAGGAGGGGCGGGAGAGAGGATAACTGGGCGTACGTAGTTGGTAGCGGGTTACGAGGCAAAGAACACAGAGCATACAGGACGGGACTCCGTTAAGCTGAAGCTCTCCCGTTCTCTGTCAGGGCTGCATCATCTGGTGGCGAGGCTCCCTGTTCCCCCCGAGGCTAACTGCGTGCATCCCCTTACTAGGGCGACAATACGGAATACAAGTACCATACAATGATTCGGCCGGGGATCCACTTACTACAGTGCAGTGGAGATAGTGACCCTCCCAAACGGCGACGCTAGGGATCTTTTTTGGGAACCGGTGTTTTCGACCGGAGGTCTCGGGTTGTCTTGCTCGCGTGCACGGGAAAGATTGGAGAAAGCCATCAAAACAGTTTCAAGACCGTCAATCAGAAACCAGGAAGCAGAAGAAAAATCATGATAGATCTATTCAGCCGAGAGGAGAGGTCGATCTTTTCTCTGCACATACTTTCGACGCTAAAGTAGACAAGGAGCAGCGGTCAAGATGCTACAAGACGACTGGTCACCTAGCAACCAATTTTATTGACAGATCGAATGCATCTGCAGACAGGAACAGATTTGGGATGCATCCATGCACGAACGGTGCATGGTCGGTCTCTCTCATTTGGACAGCACCAATCAGGAACCCGGAAGAGGGTATTATTGTTCCGGACAGAGCAAGTCAGGGCAGTTCTCAGTGGTCGGGGATCGATGTTTAAACGGAGCTGATGGAGACCGAACTGGAGCACATTTTATGGACCTATGGAAAGACAAGGTCCATTTTGGGTGTTGGGACACATGGCTTAGTGTCGTTCTCACTCCACTAGACTCCATCGGTGTTGGTGTTATTTGGTGGATTTTGCCTCTCATCGGTATGCACTATGGCCCAGGAAGGAATGGAGCGGCTTGCTTGGCTCGATGAAGTAGATCCACTCACCGCCTGGAATTTGAAGGCGGAAAAATGTTTTTTCTTTTTCTTTTTTTTTGTCGTATGTCGCATCCCTGCATGGGTCAAATGTTCATCTTTTTCCGGGGCGGTGTAGTAGTTGCATTTGGGTAGCAATAATATATTTGAAATCCCAGAAACGGCGTGTATTTTGGTATATTCAGTATAGTTCATATTTTTATGAGGAGAGGCAAAAAGAAGTGCAGAGCAAGTAGAAGCTGTTCCAGCTCCGAACAGCCGGAAAATCTCGATCGGCACCGCGGTTCACTCTAGGCAGAGCAGTCCATGCCGTAACGAAAATCAGAAGAATGGATTCCCCCCAGCCAATCAGCGTCACTTGAATTCGGGACAGTATTGGTAATTACGGGAATGTGACAGAATAATATGGGAAAAGTGAGGAAAAAAGGAGGAAAAATTAGGGAAAAATTAAAATGTTAGAGAGAAAAAAGCAAAAATAGGAAATGGAAATGGAAAAGGAAAAAAAAAAAAAAAAAAAGTGGAAATAAGGAGAATCCACAGTTTCCATCCAAAGAGAGATTCCTCAGGTAATTATTCGCCTTCCAACTGGAAGCTCAAGTCGCATCTGCCTCCCTCTCGTCCTTTCCCCCTTTACCAACATCCTCGAGAGTCCCCTCCGAGTGAATTAGTCTGTGTTTTTTGTCTAAGTTTTTGAATATTCTCTATTTGTATTCTTTCTTCTTTCCACTCTTTCTCTCCTTTCAACTTTTCCCCCCTCCTTTGTTCTTCCCGACCATCTACATCACAATGCCGTACAATACCCGTCGCAAATCACTATCCCTCCCCTCGTTAGGCATCCATCTCCCCAACTCGTCACGTCGCTCTCCCTCCATCTCAAAAGGCGCATCCGAGGATCAACACCCTGCCAAAAAAGTGAAGCGATCGCATACTTCATTATCACCGGAGCCTTCAACGAAAAAGGGATCACTCGTGCGCGCCGGCCGGAACGGAGCCTTCGAGCAGACACCTCCCCCCCTCACCTTTGGATGGCGGTCTGACAAGGAAAATCGATACCGAGGGTATCAATGATGATATCGTCGTGGCCGTGATCGATCAGTTGGAGAAGACTGGGAATCGTCCCCATTTAGTGAAGGAGCTAGCCGCGGTTTTGGTTTCGCTGAATGCGACTGTCGCAAAGTAAGAAGATCCCCCCTCACCCCCCAACCTTGGCCCCGGCCTCATCCTTTGAAATCCTCTTTATTTTCCAGCTGCTAAAATTCGATGGTAATAGTTCCGCAAACCCCGCTGCGCTCCTGTCTTCCCGACTCGCAGCTTACATGAAGCGTCCTTGGACAGCTCTTGCGCCATGCCCCATGGCCAAGGAACTTATCTTAATCCACCCACGCAAAGTCTACTATTATCTGACGACTTGCCCCCGTCAACCTACCCCGGAGAATGATGATCTAATCGGCATCGATGGAAAGAACTTAACTCCTAGCGTCTCTAGCCTGGACCAAGATGAGGATGATATGATTTCGCGACAGCGCAGCCCAAGCCCCGAAGTGGATCTGTCATCGCCAGACTTTGAAGAAGGAGAAAATGTCGATTTGGATGGTTCCGACTGCGGCACTCCCACTGATCAGTTCCCCGACCATACTAGCCATAAGCGCTTAATGCACTCAAATCGTGCGGCCTCCCCGCCCCTGGAGGGCGATGAGAAGGAATTCACTCAGACCGCCAGCGCCGTGCGTGAGCGTGCTTCGGAAGAAAAGGCCAGCCGTGAACAGTCTGCCGAACGCGGAATTTCAGTCTTGTCAGAGAGTCTCAGCGCCATGGATGAGGATAAGAATAATGATTCGCCTATGAACGGTGGATCTATCACACCCTCCATCCACGGCGAAGAAGAGTTTAATGATTATTTCTCTCACGTGGTAGACAATGAGTCTCGCGATCTGGATGAGGCCGCCGCCGCTACCCTTTTCGGCACCTCACCTTCTCCCTCTCTCACCTCTGTCGCGTCGTCTGTCTCGTCTGGAACGAGCGCGGTCAGCGATAGTGGTCTTGATGTTGATGAGCAGGTCGACACTCTGCCAACTACTCCACAAATCAGCCTTCCCGCTGATCCGGATGTTGCCCCTGTCTCAACTCTGAAGCGATCTCTAGATATGCTGAACAGCGGTTTCCCAGATGTTGATTTTAAGATGTCTGATCTGACAGAGTCACACGAGAAGCTCAGTATTGGCCCTCGCCACTTCGCTAATTTGGACTCTGAACCTGTCTTCGATTCCTGGAGAGAGTTGCAAAACCCCGAGACTGTCGAGGTAGACGAGCTTGACGAAATGTTTGGCGAAATCTAAACATTTCCGAGGACCCCTGCCATGACATGACCGACCCGCTTTCTCCTCTCTTCACTATCGCTTCCTGTCTTTTGAAACTCCACTTCTTTTCTCTCCCCTCTCGCTTGCCTGAGAGCCACTCTTGTTATACCCCCTTATCACCTTTAAATCCTTGTACATGTCGGCTTTCACCACCTCGCCGTGATCTTACTCCTCTTTTTTTCTAATCTTATTCTTGTACATATACACATCTGCTATTGTTGTTGGGAAATTTGATATCTTGCCCTGGATGGGTAGATGGGAGACTAGGATTTATGCGAAATCTTTATTGATTAAGAGAAGGACAAAAAAGCGAGATGGTTTTTCCCCTGCTATCTATTTCCTGTATGCTAAGGCGTCGACGCAAATCTATGAAACAATTTATATTATCGAGAAAACCTACCAGAATTTATGATCTCATTATTGCAATTTGTAGCATCCAGATGCCGCATATATGCCGACTTCAATATCATCAACGGGATGCATCGACTACGGGAGTTTAGGGGGTTTGAGCAATGGAGGTAAGACCGCCTTAAAACGAGGGGGGATTTATGCAACCTAAATAGTTTTACATTTCAAAATGTTTTATTAAAGGGTTTTAAGCTGCTCGCCAGTCAGTCAGAAGTATAGTAGGTGACCACAAACTTCGCAGATGCGACTCTCGTGGATTTCTGACGGTCTATTTTTAAAGGTAGAAAGTAACTGCATTTTTCATATAATGTTTACTTTTTACATAACCTATTTTTACAATATGAGAAGGGTATCACGGTCCTATATCCTCTATACATTCCCCATTGCTGTTGTAATACTCACCAGAGCATGATTGTGCAGCACAATATTTCTGAGCCATGCAGGAGGGCGATCTTTCTCAAGTGCCATGGCAATAGTCCAGATAGCGCGACCTGACCTATCCAGGGGATGGTATAGCGGTTCTTTCTGGGAAGATGGATAGTAAACATCTGCAGCCTGAGTAAGTTGCGCGAGGAAAGCATTGAGTTTTGTCCAGCGATCTCGCTCCTTATAATACATCCTTGGGTTAAATGGATCTGCATGCGTTAGCATTTTGACCATTAGAAATGAATTGGAGGATGAATCAATCACCTTCGTGAGCGCCACCAAACTCTTCCCATTCCTCAAATTCCGTGTACCCAAACGACGGTAACTCTGTCCAGAAGATATGACCTTGAGCATCCAGAGGTTCATTTGTAGATGGGTAGATTGCAACTTGCTTCTGGAGATGATACATGAACTCGACAAGCTTTGAGTGCTTGGATGGCTCCAGGCGTTGAGCGAGCTCCACTGTGGCACAAGCGACATTGTAGTCTGGGGTCCCGAATTTGTTCCAATCCTCCGGACCATAGATAGACAATTGATCCATGGTTAGTTTGAGTAGGTGAAAGAATGCATCTTGCATGGTGATCTCTTCGTTTACGACTTTGTCAAGGAGTTTGAATTCGTCTGACTTTTCAAATTCCTGAATGAAGTCTTCTTTGGTCATAGTGAGGGTGTATTAAACAAAGTAGGTGTGAATCGGTTGAGAAGATGATCCAGCAAGAAGAAATCTGGCTTAAGTAAGAAAAATTATTGCACAGCCTTGCGCGACATGATCGCGCGGGCCTTAGATACCAATATGGACTCGACTTGCGTAGACCGACGTGCAGCCGCCATCGCGTTAAATACCACATTTGGCAAACATGGTGCCTTGTTACTTACTTTCAGCCTCATCACTGGGGTGACTATTTTATTTTGCCTATAGAGCATTTTAATGTTGGCAGAAAGTAGAAAGGTGACGCCGGAGATAAAGAGTACTTCAGGATGAGATCTGAGGCCCTAGACTACCTTTATATCTTTTCCAAGTTGATGGCGTTGATGCGTGGTGAATACTTCAAATGTTCAAATGTTCAAATGTTGGAAATGTTACTCATGCAAGGGCGCTAACCCCAATCCGGTTAGTGTTATATTTGATGCGCCAACGCCAGCGCTAGGACTTTTCGCCGTCCACCCCACTTGCTCCGTATATCTTGATTTGCCCATCGCAACAACGCCGCCATTACTATTAACCTCCCCATCGTTGAATAGTATTGCTCGCTATCAAAGCTTATACAAATGGATTCAACCGCTCCATAGAACATCATCGCCGCCCGTGCGATCTACTTGGCCACCAAATCGCATCGCGTTGCACTACGCCCCTCACCAATAAATTGTACCCTAAAACCGTTGCAGCGCACTTCAACCGCCTAAACCACAATAATGACGATGGAGGATCCGCCTAAGATTCAGCCAGGAAATGGTGTTGCTGCCCAGGCCGAAATTCGATCTCAACTTCCCGCCCGTCCCTCGCTCGCTCCTTCTACCGCACCTTCCGCCACCGAGACGGCGTCGACGATCGGAGGAGGAAATTCAGTCGCAGAATCGAGGGCTCCTTCAAATGCTAAAGTTGCCATTCCACGCAGCAGAGGAGGAATCGCCCCGCGATATAACCGTCGGGTGCCTCGGGCTTGCGAATCCTGTCGCCAGCGCAAGACGAAGTGCAGTGGCGATACACCTATTTGTCGCCAGTGTCGTGAGTTAAGGGTGACATGTAACTATCCTGTTGGTTGGAAGGAAAGGACGAAAAAGTAGGGCCCTTTGCGATACCGATTGTTGTCTGCTTCTTGGAACCGATACTAAATTGTGATTTTGAAATTTGCAGGCAGGTTGACAAACTTACGGAGAAAGCCCATGACTATGAAGCCCTGTTGAAAGACTTGGGAAGTATTGTGGAGACTCGCACTGCAGACCGGATCAAAAGCTTGCTGGACAAGGTACGTTGATTTCTTGCCGAAAATTGGCATGTCAAAGACTTACGCTAACATAACTCTAGCATGGTTTGGATGTGGAGTACTCATCAAACAGCAATCCGTCTCACTCCGTTACGCCCCAGGATGATATTGTAGAACCAGACGAGCTGAGCTCACCATCATCGATTGGCTCGCTTGAAGCGATCGATCGAGTGCAAGAGGATCTAAATCGAAACGAAAATTCTCGAGCCACGGGGTATATGGGGAAGAATTCCGAGGTGACCTGGATGCAACGGCTCCAGAGAGAAGCAGAACACCGATCACAGGGATTACCGGGATCTCTAGAGCCAGGACAAAGCAAAAGACAAGATGACGACCTTGCCCTCCACGCCGTCAACTACCATTTGGATGACTTGGATATCTCCGTCCCTGGCCCGATCGAGATGTATGCTGTGCCATCTCGGGAGCTAGCTGACCACTACTTTGAAGATTACTTACGGACTGTTCACCCATTCTTTCCGATAATTAATCAGCCTCTATTTACTGCACAGTATAAGACGTTCTTTGACAGTAACGCACAGCCTGGTGACAAATGGCTTGCCATCTTGAACATGATCTTTGCCATCGGATCCAAGCACTGCCATCTCATTGAAGCACCATGGGCTGGGGATGACAAAGACCACTTGATGTTTCTGACTCGAGCCAGGTTCCTCAGTATGAATGGTGATGTCTTATTCAGTCATCCTGATCTCCAGCAGGTCCAGGTTGAAGGCTTGATTGCCTTCTACCTGCTTTCCTCGGATCAAATCAACCGGTAAGTGACTCAGACAAAGCGAAAAGCGAAAAGAAACCTCATTGACGTTTATCTGTCTAGGGCATGGAAAATTTCCGCACTGGCTATTCGGTCTGCCATTACCCTAGGTATCAATATGAAGAATAGCAGCCCCACGACGCCAAATATCTCCAAAGAGGCTCGGTACCGTGTGTGGTGGTGTCTCTACACCTTCGAACATCTGTTGGGTATCATGACTGGCCGAGCCACTTGTATTCTGGATGGAGTTTGCACCACACCTTTGCCGCTTCCGTTCGAAGAGGACACACTCACAGAGCCAGCTGCTGCTGAATTATTAAACAATTCAGTAGTCCGGGATGAACGCATCAACAAAGTGATGGCGAGTGCTTGGGTTCGACACATGCCCCTCAACCCCACTGGTGGGAAAGAACCCACCGACGCAGCCCGTTTTCGGGACAATTCGTGGGTGAGAAGCTTACCCGCCAGCTCCGGCCTTTGCCACCTCTACTATTGCGACTTGGCCGTAGTTGTTCAGGAAATCGTCAATAAAGTGTACTCGGTGGATTGTGTGATGGTCCCCTGGGCTCACATTGAGAATCGAATTGGCGAATTGAGGTCTCGTATCGACCTTTGGTATCATAGTCTTCCAGACACACTCGACTTTACCAAGAAGGAGGATGAAGGTCCCGACAGACTTCGTTATAAGTTAGCTCTTGCATTTCACTACTACAGTGCGCGTATCACATTGGGACGGCCTTGCCTCTGCCGGCGCGATGCGCAGAAGAAGAGTCCTTCTGAGCGCTCCACCTTCAGCCACGACATGGCAGAGCTAACTCTGGAGTCTGCCAATCTCATGCTCGATCTCATCCCCGATGAGCCTAATGGTATTCAACTCTACGAAATTTCCCCGTGGTGGTGTATTCTACACTATCTCATGCAAGCAGCGACTGTTCTCCTCCTGGAGTTGTCCTTCGGTTGTGTTCACAAGCCAGAGAACGAAAAGCTCTTCATCGTTCTAGCCAAAAAGGCAATCCGATGGCTTTTCTCCATGTCCGAGCATAGCATTGCTTCTCGGCGTGCCTGGCAACTATGTGATGTTAGTCTCCGCCGCTTAGCTACTGGCATGAAGTTCGATGTCAGCGATATGCCTGAGCACACTTATCAGGCTGCTCCTACCTCCACCCTCTCAATTGAACAGCCACACGAGGCCGTACAAAACATTACACCCTCTGCAACGGGCCTCTGGAATCCACTGCTGGAAGACCTGTCATTAGCTGGCCAAGACCCCGAGTTTGGCACAGATCATTATTATAACAGTTACCCAAGTTTTTCGGATGTTCCAACGTCAGACCCCATGGCCGCTATCAATGACTCTCAAATGACGGACGATCTGTATTTCCCATATGATCCCATCAGCGGTGAATTCATCCGCTCGTTCTTCCCATACTCGAATGAAGAACAGAACTGGAACCAGACTTGATCTCCAAAAATCGATTATTAAGTTCTTGGACTCAGGAAATATTCGCTACGAGCTTTATTCTTTTCACTTTTCTTTCCATTTACTCGCCTTTTAACTCATTTTTAACTTCCCATTTAGTGGTTAATTCACTCAATTGGCCCGACCCGGAGAGTATAAGTTGTGCCTCTAATATCCTCTCTTCTCCTACTTTCGCTCAATAACAGATCATCAATCGCCATGTTATGTTATGGCCTTTTTTGATCTCCCTTTCTCCTCGATATTTTACAGCTCTATATTAAAAAGGCGAGCATTTTATTGGATGATGTATTGAAGTCTTGGGCGGGCAGTTATTTTTGTGTTTGGAATATGCATAAAACCAGGAACGTTATGGATATCATGAATGCGGATTTGGGTTTGGCGTTTGTTTGTATATCCTTTCCCCCGCACTGTGACATTGTTTTCTAGGCGGTTGGGACTCAGATATTTGGAGTTGATGGTTTGTAGTTCCTACTTCTTTCATTGCCCGATACCCTTTGGGGATCTCAAGACTGGTCTGACGACGGGCAATTGTATATATTTTCTATGTATTTATTATTACTTTGTTGTACCATTGCGGCCATGCTTAGTTTCCATGGAGATTTAGATCATAACTGATATCATGTTCAATGTATACTTTCTATTTCACTTGGGTAGTTCGTATGTCTAGATGTCTATGTGCGTGACGACCCCATAAAGCAGGGGAGAGCAAACAAGAGGAAAGAAACCAAAATGATAATACATCATGTGAAGGGTTGAAAGGAAAAGGGGTATACTATTTACACTGTTGGACCAATATTCCAGAAAGAAATTATTATACATAGTCTTCTTGACTCGTTGATCGCGTTCTGATCAACCCATAGGTGTCGAGGCGGCAGAAATTATGAATCCGATTTTTTCGAATGCATCTCTTTTATATGAGCATCCATCCAGGGTCCATCTTGGATCTCTTTAAAGCGATCTCTGTATCGCTTTGCCTTGACAGGAGTGAGCACGCCGCGATAGCGCAGGCGCCTCAAGTGGCCAGGGACCTCGAATTCGATTTGTTCTTCAGGCATCCCGGCGCGTAGGAAAAGACGAACGCACAAATCAAGATTCGCCTCTGCAGGCGAAAAGGGAGGAAGACCACCCTTTTGGGTTTGATGTTCGAGTATTCGCTTGGGAACCCCGAGTTTGTATCCGTCTTTATGAGATTTCGATGGGGTGGAGGATTCAGTGGGTGGTGACGAGGATGAAGAGGTTTCTGGCGTTTTCTCATCGGCTGGTTCGGGTTTATGTTCATTTTGTTCTAGGCCCCGTTCAACTCTGTACTCTTCAAGTGCGGCTCGGGAAAGAATGCGGTAGGTGTTCAAGTTGGGAATAACTGCTTTCTCCATGGTATGTTGGTGCCATTTAGGATTGTATGAGGGATCATTCTGTTCCCAATCACGTTCAGCGAATGCTTGAAGTCGAGTGACGCCTCCTTCTTTCTGGCGCCAGGACTCCGGTGTTCCAGGGGCTCGACACCATTTGAAGAGGAAGTTTTTGCTGAATTCGAAACTGCGAACTTGAACAATTGCGGAGAGGAGAGTGTGGAATGAGACAACAGGAATGTATTGCAACTTGTCGCGGCTTTTAAATTTGCGCATGGACTTTCTTGATGCAACGTCCGCCAGCTGTCCAGGTACCGAGAGGAAAATGGATCTGACTCGCTCAAGGACTCTTTCCTGGAAATCGGTGACTCGGGCGTTCCTGCTCCGAGGTGTATTGAATTCGCCGTCGAAGAAACGATTGAGAAGGTCAGTCGCGCAGGAGAGGCTCTGCTTCAAGCGGTCTTGGACTTCTGTTGGGGCATTACTGGATCGGCTTCGCTTGAGAGCATCTTCAAGTTTGACTATCTTGGCACCGAGAGCCATTATATTGCTAAAGCCCCAGGACCTCAATCTGTAATCACGTAGGTATTTGAATGCCAGGATTGAGCGCTCCCAGTCACCAAAAGAAATATGGAGGTTGGCCATTGCTTTGAGTGCATTCACTCCAAGTGGCATTTCGAGGGATTTGACCACACTTTGGCTCAATTCTTTGTTTTGTGTGGCTGCAGCAAAACGAAGAATTGATGGGGCTAAAATTTGTCGACCATATGCAGCAGGTGGGATTGAAGGGCCATCCACATCGTCGTTGAAAAGTAGCCAGTTACCAAAAGCATCTGCACGAGTAGCCGTGGCTAGATCGAGCAGGTCGGCCAAAGTTGAAGGTGAAACTTGGGGGAGCGACGACTGCGTTAATTGAGACATGTCTAATCTCTGCGAATCAAAGAATGGCACATCGATCGATGGGGATTGACTGAGATGCTCAAAAAAGGCTTTGATGTGGTGGGCCTTGCTAGCATCGACGATATTTTGAAGCCACGCGTATTGAATAAAGGCAGTGCTAGCCTGACCTTTGTAGCTGTAGCCCTTGACGTTGTATTCCACTAGACCTGATAAGGCTGCTGTCTCGTCATATAGCTGTGCTCTTGTCATATTTTCTAATTCTTTCATTGAGGGGACCGCACTGTTTTCCCATGGGGGAACAAGACACTGAGTTGATCGTAAGACCTTTTCAAAGGAGCTTGGATCTTCGCGGGGAAGCAAGCAGCCAGATTCTATAATCCGAACAATGTTCTCAGTAGCCACTTTGTTTGTAGGGCGAAGTTCGTCCTCGGGGCCTGGTGGGTCAAGCAAAGCGGTTAGAGGAGCCGAGAACTTCAGCAGATCGGAAGGTGAGGATCCATGAAATCCAATTCCATTATAAGCATCATTGGCGAGCCCAGTTCGTAGACTTGAAAGCACTTCAGAACTGATGGTTCTCTGGCCGAGTCCATTAAAAGGTGGCTTCTTTGCACCCTTGAACGTGGCAATGGGGTTTTCTTGGCCCGGTCGACGCCATGACTTTTCCGTGCTAATGTTTGTTTGCCGCACAACATCGAGGGCGTCCAAAAACGGCTCCCAACTCTCGACATTCCAAGACAGACGGTCCTTTCTCCTGCTCATTTGATCCACCAACCAGGCACCTTGTTTATTGAAGCCATGCTCTACACAGCACCAAAGGATGAGCTCAAACCAGATCTCAGGACCCAATTCTCGAACCCCAACCTTGAAGGGAAGAAAAGGGGGATCTTCTCCAGCTTCGGTAGCCGCGGAGGCAAGGGCAGACTCATGTTCTAACCATGCCGCATCAGAAAGAACGCTCATAATATGACTTGATAACATATGCATCCCAGGCGGACGCATCGACAGTTGATTAATTTTGCTATCCGGGGACTGGTAAACCCTATCAGAGATCAAATCCAAATGGTGCAAACGAGCAAGTGAGCGATAGACGTAGGGCATTGCAGCTTCGGCTTCCGCAGCTGGCCGGTCTGCAGCTTCCAATACTAATGACCCAAGGCTAACTAATGTTTCCGCCAAAAATGTGTCGGCGAAATTACGCACAGCCGGGCGCTGTCCTGTGATTTTTGAAAGGGAGGTGTTTTCGGAAGGCGGGCATGTCGGGATAACTTCGCGTTTGACGATGAGATCATCTCGACTCTTGCTCGTCAGCTCATGGAGGGACATCCCAGTATCTAACCAGGAGAGGCTGGGGGCTATTCGTCGAGGAGTCATGTGCGGAATAAGAAGCTCGTATGTGTCGATGAGTGTACTCAGAATATTGTACACGTATGGCCATTGCTTCTGATAAAATCCCAGAAGATTGAGAATTTGAAGACCCGGGCCCATCCGTGCGTTATGCAATATTCCCTTTAACCCATGACCTCCATCTAGAGCTTTTGTATAGTCCAAAAGCGAAGTCGGACGCTCAAGTTGTTCCAAGGCAGCCTTGCCCTGTTTTGCGGTTCTTAAACATTTCGCTACATGAGGTGCCCATGCATAAATACTCCTGCCTTTGTATGCATAGAGGGGAGGCGGTGGTAGCGAGTTGTATGATAATATAAGCGCGTTCTCTTCGGCTGCAATGCCCTCTTCCGTCTTCGTTGGCCGCGCTTGGGAGTGGGATAACTTCGGGTATGAAAAGGCGGAATGGCGTATATATGGCGTTACTGACCTGCGGCCGGTTCGCAGGAGGCCGCCGGGCCACAAACACCTTCTCATGACACGGCGACAAGCTTGGTGACGAGCTTGGTGGAAGGCGCCTGCGGAGGATTCACGGACTCGATGGGATCGGGTGTGGTGTGGCACATTTCGGATGGCACATGAACCAGGTATGTCGCGGATATTATTCAGACCGGGTGTCTTGTGCGTATCAATTGGTAGTACCCGTGTACCCGTCACGACGGGATTGTTGAAAGAATACTGGAAAGTTTTCAAGGGAAACAAGTCGCTGGAAATTTGAAGCCAAAAACTGGATGAGTCAGCATACATGCACCGTAGCCAATCGGAGCGGCCACATTTACTTCGATCGTCCATGCCAGTTGGGGGGATTGAGAGGCAAGAAGAAAAGGGAATCTGGGCATTTATTGTATGTGAATAAGACGTAAATATATTTTATGAAGCCAGTCTTGGTCTAAATGGAGGTGCATCGTTGTGTTGTTCGTCTGTGACCATAAGGTGCGACAGGGCGACTACCGCTTCCTACGAAGAAACTCAATGCAAATGGCAACAGGGCGTTACCATGTATCCGAGAAAATACCACATATGTATATAGTAATAAGTAGTACTATAGCTGAATATTTCACGATCAAGAGTTTGATTTGTGTGGATACGGTGTCGGTCTATATACTTTTCTCAACTGAACCAGCAGCCACGGAAACACAACAACCTTTCTCAACCACACAAGGCAACGAGAATGCCATCAACGAGTACAAGGTAGTTTCAGAATCTAAGCTAAAACGGCAGGGAACTGACGAGCATGAACACGCTGGGCGTCCTCACCCTGGGAGTTGGGCTCAGCATTAGGAGTGGGACCCGCAGGCACGGTCACGAAGCTGGATGGGCTACCACCGCCGAAGCCACCAGTTGGCTGGGGACCTCCAGAAGGAGAAGGACCGCCCCGACCACCACCGAAGCCTCCGGAGGGGTTATCACTACCCGAGGGACGGGGTCCAGGACGACCAGAAGGGTGGCCGGAGCCGTGACCGTGACCGCCATGACCACCATAGCCATCACCTCCTGCACTACCAGATGTGAAAGTGCCGGTGGATTGGGAGCCAGAGGGAAACTGGGAAGTTGGAGTAGCATCCTTGTTGTTGCCGAACTGTAAAATTGTTAGTTCAGTGTTCAAGAAGGATATTATAGACGAAGCAAAGCGCCGCATACTCCAGGAAGGTTCCAGGCCACAGCATTAGGAGCCATGAAGAGGGCGGCAGCAAGGCCGAAAGCAACGTTGAACTTCATAGTATTGAAATGTGTGTTGTGATATGGAAAAAACAACGAAAGTGTTTGCAGACAAAAAGTCAAATATATTGGATGGTAAAGAATGGATATGTTGAGTGTCAAACTCTGAATGATCTGAAATTTTATTGCGAAGGAAGGAAGCGCGCAGCACTCTGATCAAAGGACTATATTGCGAAGAGCTCGAGCAGCTCTTTATACCCCGTCCATAGATGTACATGGGAATGGCTGTCTTCTGTCAAGTGGACTCTAGCTGGTTCGGGCTGTCCGAAACATCTAGACCAGGCATGCAATACCGAGAACGGTGGAGATCAGCGTTCTGAGACTGCCGATAATGGATACTCATGATTGTCATCGGTTATAAAGATGTCGAATCAAAGGTTATTATGGCAAAGGTTGTGCCGACGAAGCCCTAGGACCCACGGCAACGACCATATACTGATGTGGAGCCGAGACTTGTACGGAGTAGCCAAGGGGCGCAAGTGCACAGGTGCAGGATGTACGCCACCAGGGGCAATGAAATCCCGAAGCCCTGACAAGTCACCAATCAGGAAAGTAACTTGAATAAGGTGAAAGTTGAGCGACTTTATTCAGGTGGGTGGTCAACGTGAAACGGACAAGTCACAGGGACGCTCCACAGGGGCTTACACGTCGTCTGCCGATCAATGCGCCGCTTGTGAGATGACGGGATCGCAAATTCCCCAACGAGATTGGCCAATTCAAAGGACCCCTGTGGTAAAATAGAAAGAAATAGAGGACCATGGGCGGCAAGCATAGCGTGTGCCAATATCATTGGGCATGGGCTGGACTAAGCTGGATATGCTCATCGTCGAATAGTCCAGCGCCACTCAGGGTCTCATACTTACTCTGCGACATCACGATCCCTCGATTGCGCGTTCTATGCCTCGAAAATAGTAAAATTGCCTAAATTTAATTATAGAATAGATGAGAAGAAAAGAGAAATGTCATAAACTGAAAAGGGGTATTGTACATCAAATATCATTGTAGGGGTCTCTCAATTAACATGATACCAAATAAACACACAACTCCATACAGGAATCTCATCACATCATGACAGCAGAAAAGAATGGAATACATCATATGGACACTTGGGTACCTCATAATTCTTCCTCCTCTGGTTCCATTTCGCCTCCTAACTCCTGCTCTACCTCTTCAACCACAAAGCTCTCATAGTTTTCTAGGCTCTTCTGAACGTGAAGCTTGAATTGGATGACATCGTTGAGCATGGTTTCCACTTTAGTGTGTAATTCCTCTCGAAGTGCATTGGCCCGTAAGGTGAGTTGTTCATGTTCAATATTGGTATTCATCTCGCGCTGTTCCATCAATTGGACACTTTCACTAAGGGTGGCGCGCATCTTGGCAAGCTCCTTTTCCATTTTCTCAATTTGAGCGTCAGAAGCAAGTTTCTGAGTGGTAGTAATTTCCTTGGTTTGTTCGAACTCCGCTTCTGCTGCCCGGCGTCGGTGTTCCAATGCCTCGACTTCACTTCGCTTCTCGTCCATCGCCTCCTTAATGTTATCAAGTAGATTGCGGCGCTCCAGGTCATCGTCGATCCCTCTTTTCCGTCGCTCGTTGATTTCCTTACGGAGAGATTGTAGGTTGTTGCGCACAAAGCCTCGGAGGTCGAGATTTAGTAGATGTGCCGGGTGATATCCAACGAAAGGTTCTGCTAATAGGCGATCACCCTCGGACGGAATTCGGTTGGGTCCACCACCAATCTGGCTGGTAGCAAAGTTGTTTTCGTTGACAATCAATTGTAGTTCGAACTCTTGACCCTTAGCGTTTACCGCGGAAGAGGGAATCAAGCTGGCTTGATAGCCAAGAGTATTGTAGGTCTTGACAATTTGTTCCAAGTCTTCCAGCTTTTGGCTGGCTTCCGACTCTTTCTCCATGACCCGCGCATGCGCCTCTTCCTGGCGAGCCATTGTATCTTCAAGACTCTTTTGAAGACGCTCGCGTTCGGAGTTCATGCGATCAATATCTTGAATGGTGATGCCCTGTTGATCCACACTAGCTTGGAGATCAACGCGCTCAGCCTCGACTGTTTGAAGGTCGTCATCAGTTTTCTGGAGTTCGGCGTCGAGAATTTTGATGCGAGTCTCATATTTGTCAATCTTTCCCTTAACGTTCTGATTATAATCTTCAAATTTCCTCTTGTCGTCTTCCAAGATTCGAAAGTGCTTATCTAGCTTAGCCATGTCGGGCGCGTTCCTCTCCATTTCTTCGATCTGTTCCCTAAGGGCTCGGTTTTCTGTTTCAAGCGCCTTCATTTCCTGTACAAAACGCTCATTGCCACGGGCAAATTCTTGCGACATATTTTCAATGTGCGGGACCAATCGCTGCTCTGCCGTCTCATCGTCCTCGTCCTCACCACCCTGAAGCCAGTCGTGATAGGCCTCAGTAAGAAAACGAAAGATAATCCGATCACCTGTAACATCAACACCAACCTCTGCGCTAGCCTCGTCGTATTGTCCCTGTACATAGCCCTCCATCATCTGTGCCAACTGCATCAACCAATGTAGCATACCAAGGAATGTTGACCAATTCTGGCCACCGACGGCTGCAATTTGTGACTTGGTAATGCCCTTTTCATAAGGATAACGCAACTGCTTAAGGATAGGGGGCACTTCGGAATCCATGGCTTTTTGAAATTTGTACCCCGGGTCAATACGATGGTACAGCCACTGGAAGATGTAGTTGAAATCTTTTTGGGTCGGTGAACGGAGGGTATTCTGACCCAAAGAATGTTTCATCTCCAACTCAAACTGATTATTAGTCAAGTACTCTAACAACTCGTGTCCAATGCGCGCTTGGAAAGTCCGATCTCGAAGCGGTCGGGGGTCTCGCGGGACACCCGCCACGGCAGGTACTTGATTGAAAAAAGACTGGTGGCCATGGGGTCCCCCCGTGGACGGTCGGGAGAAGACACTGCTTCGGCGCTGTAAACTTTGTGACGCGGGATTCGATGGAAGAGAGCCAGGCGCAAAGCTTTGTCGACCCGCACTAGCCCCATGGAACAAGTTGGTCGACATAGAACGGCGAACGGACGAAAGGCCAGCATCGGCACCTAGTGGCCCCCCAGAGGAAGCACGAGCGAAGTTCGGCTGCTGAGGCCTGCTAGCTGAGTTCAACAGGGAGGTTCGGCGGGCATTCTGTGACGTTAACGGGGGATTATTGTAACCGACGGAGCTCGTGCGCTTCAGAGCAGATGAGGGCTGTGGGAGAGCAGAATAGTTATGGACACTTCCCAAAGTCTTCAAGCCAATTGTTAGCATCCCATTTGCCCACGCGTTAATTAGCAAAGCAATTCATACCTCTCGAGGACCCGGGCGCCTGACACTAAACAATCCAGTATCTTGCGACATTATGATCACAAAGGCCGCTAAAGCGGCGCGTCAAGTCGCAATAAATCAACAAGTTGAACAAATTAAACAATATTTGAATTCTAGCGATTGTAAAACCGGAACACCCAAATTGCTTGTGGTGGAGGGGGAATTGTTATCATGCAGGACGGTCGGGCGAACAAATGTAAACAAGAAGCGGGTCACGTCTGAAAAGAGAAGGCGGTACCCACCTCCTGCAAACAGTCCAAACAGGGGTACAATCACGAGACTTTCCCAAATTCGGTGTGGGGAAGCTCGGCGGTCGTGACTTCCGAGGTCCAACGGCGAATGCCGATGACGGTCGCTTTCTCCTGCTTCACTTTCCCTTCACATCTTCTTGATTGAGCAGATTCCACCCATAATGGCTCCCCGCGAGGAGCTCATTGCGTCTGCTGTATGTCTCCCTTTACTCTGCAAGCAGTCCCTAAAGCGCCGCTAACCTATGACTTCTAGGTGACCTGTACGATCAACTATGTCCATCGCGTGGCGGAGTATTGGCTAACCATGCGACAGTTCTCCAGGATCCCTCAGTGGCATCATCGCCCATTGAGAAAAGAGTCGCCTTTCTACAGTCCAAAAATCTAACACAGGAAGAAGTCGACCTTGCTTTAGCGAGAGTCGGCGAGGATCCTGCTGCAGCTGCAGCTGCCACAGGCGCATCGTCACCAGCCCCCTCTTCACAACAGGTTGCTTATCGGCCACCACCACAAGCCCCCCAGGGGTATGGCTATCCTCCATACGGCCAATGGCAAGCTCCTCCTGAGTATGCATATTATTTCGATGGTTTTTTTTTTCATTCTCGTCAATTACTAATTGTATAATAGGCCGCCCAAGCGCGACTGGCGAGACTGGTTTATCATGGCGACAGTGGTAGGAGGAGTTGGATATGGACTATACTTCGTCACCAAGGTAAGAAGCCTGCCAATCGCTGATATCTGAGGGAAATATTGTATATTGGGTGCTAACAGTATCTCAGCGTTACATTTCCCCACTGATTGCGCCGCCAACCCCTCCTCAACTAGAGCAGGATAAAGAGAAAATCGATGAGCAATTCTCCCGTGCATTTGATCTGATTGAGCAACTTTCGACCGACACTTCAGCCCTGAAGGCTGCTGAAGATGCCCGTACCGAGCGTCTCGACGCTGCTCTCAAGGATGTGGAATCCCTTGTTGTAGATTTGAAGGCTTCTTCACGTCGAAGAGACGACGAGGCTCGCCGAATCAGTGATGAAGTCAAGTCGTTGAAGGATGCCATTCCTAAGGCCCTCGAAGGTGCCCGAGAAGGGAATGAAAACCGATTGAAGGAGCTTGGAACCGAGTTGAAGAGCCTGAAGGTCCTACTGGGTAATCGCCTGGGTGGTACTGGCGCCACTTCTCCAGCTGGCAGAACTTTAGGCAGCTCGACACCCCCTCCTCCCCCATCTACTGCACCTCAGTCGACTCCTACGGATACCAACACTGTCACCCCACCTGCCCCAGCCACCACTGGCCTGCAAGCAACCGTGACTTCGCCAGAACAGGAGACTCAGCCCTCAACGAGCACACCTGCGACTCCGGCTCCAGCCACCAGCCAGAGTAGCCCGCTTTCGCAACTGAATCGCTCGGCTTCCATCCCAGCCTGGCAAATGGCCGCTGCCAACCGATCCAAGAGCTCGCAGTCAAGCCCTGCCCCAGCTGCTAGTGACAAGCCGACGGATACCACTAATGAGCAAAGCGCCCCACCCAGCTAAACTGGCATCGTCTGTTATTTCAACTTCTGTATATTTCTTCGCTAAGATGTATTTATTTCAAAAGATTTCTTTGCTTTTTTTTGCATAATATTTGGATTTGGTGAACGAATCTTAGAATGAATAATTTTGGCCCTATACAAACCTCATCTGCCTAGTTGGAATCCCTAAGCTGATAACTTTGAGCCTTTCGTACATAAATCCTACCTGTTGTATGCGCCCGATTTGATGATGAAACAGGTGGAAGCTGTGGGGCAACGGGAACCGCCTGGAGATTGGACAGTTACGCGCTGGCACTATAACCCCCCGTCAAATGAACTCTCACCACGCACATGGTAGGACAATTCTGGCACAAAATGTTTATTTTAATATTCCGATGGGGCCAAAACATTGCATTATAGATATGGTATCTATTAGCAGCCGTGGGAAACAATCTCGCACTTGAATTTCGATTCCTGGCGCTTAAGTAGGTCGCAGAAAGGCCCAAGCTTAGTATCAACACTTTCCATCTAGAACAAACAGCCCCCCTTCAAATATTAATAGTTTTCTTTCGCTTCTTCTAAATTACTGAAAGAAAATGTCAGTTTCCTATTTCAATCTAAGCTCATTTCTCAGGCACATCGATTCTTGCCGTTTGTGAGACTGAGAGAGCTTCCTCGTTGAGGTCCTTTGTATCCAGCATGGACTTCAAGGGTGATAAAAACTATGAAACCGTTTCGATTTCCTCCATCTCGACGAAGGTCAATAGTTTTACCACCCCATCAACGCCTGGATGGCGACCGACATACATACGAAGACGAGTGCTAATGGCATTCGTGATCGTCTTCTGTGGCATCATTGCAACTCTCGAAGTCCTCAACCACATCTCCTCGACAAACCAAGGACTTGCCTCATCCACCGAAAGCCGTCACTATCTTTGGACCTACGGACCAACCGCCATTCTTACTCTCATCTCTGCCTTCTGGGGTCGTGTGGAATTTCAAGCCAAACAAAGCGTACCATGGCAAGCTATGCTTCAAAAGCCCGAGACGCCGGAGAAAAGTATACTACTTGACTATATCTCTGAGATGCAACCCTTCGCAATGATTCGAGCCATTCGTAATCGGCATCATATCGTTACTTCGGGAATTAGTGGCTCGCTACTTCTGCGCCTCCTTCTCATCATCTCAACTTCTCTGTTCAGTCTTCAGGAAGTGGGAGTGAACAAGGGAAAGATTCCAATCCAAATACAGGGAAACGTGAGCAAGCTGAGTGTTTCGGACTTTTCTACCGCTTCCAATCAGCCGTTCGATGCCATCAATGGTATTCTCTTCGAAAATGTCTCCTATGAAGATGGTACCACTGCGAACTTTAGTTTCCCCACATTCTCGACATCTAGCACCTCGAACGAGTCTGTTGTCCTCGCAAACCTTACTGGTCTTGCCCCGGACCTGGAATGTGAGCCTGCGACTCTTGGGTTTAATACTTGGTCGATTGAGCGCGTTGAGTATCTCCAACAAAAACTGGTATATCCGCCACAAAACGATGTGCTCTCATCTTCCTCATGCAAAATACAAAACATTTCAACGGTTTTGGGCTTGCCAAGTTTTGGAACTCTATTGGGCACTCGAGAAACAGCCTTTGCTGCCCTATTCAAAGCAGGCCAATGCGAAGGCTCAGATGGGTCCGATGGGAAGCGCATTATACTAGCGGCAATAGAAACAAAACTAAGCAAAAAGACTACGCCAATCCCGACCAACTACACCCTTGATGGTAGCCCTGAAGGAGCAACTGAATGGCCGAAAAATATCACTGTAAACAATGCTGTGAATTTGATATGCAAGCCGATAGTATCTCTTGTGAAATTACTAGTAAAGTCCAACGCGACCGAAACATCCCCGAACATGGATATACAGACGTTTGAAGTTGAGAACACAGTACCACCTGGTCTGGAAGCATGGGATATTGCCAGCAACATAGTCTCAGAGTCCTCAATCGTAGCATCTGATGAATCATCAGCTGCGTGGACCGAGCAACCTATATCTCACTCAAATCTGTTTCAAAATACAAATGAGACACAGATGACTGTTGACTATGCTATACAATTAGGAGCTATGCTTATTGGAGAGACCAAAAACTACACTGATTTCCTTGAAAAATGTGTACTTTTGAATGCGGCTTCCAGCTATTACCGCGCAATTGGTTCCCAGCTAGTCCATCAGGGATTTATTTCTCAAGGGAAGATTGCATCTAGTGGCTTTCAAATTCTTACCGAAAATAGGGTCACCATGACCCAGTTAACACTTCGCGCGATGGAAGTTTGTCTGGCACTTGCTATTATATTTGCTATAAATATGATTGTGTTTGCTCCACGGACTGAGTTATCTCCCTACAACCCAACGTCTATTTCGGCGGCAGCTGCAATCATGTCGAGCAGCAAGGTGCTTCGCAAAACTCTTCGTGGAAGCAGCTCCAAGCCTCTAGAGGCCATAACCACCCTTTTGGAAGGAAAGCTCTACCATACGGAGTTGGCTCCAGGGGGCTTCTCAATTGCTGCCAGGGCCAACAATACCGAGAAGAATGCGAAGCATACCGACATTGAGATCGATCCTAAAAGGAAGCTTCACTGGAGTCCTTTCCCAACGTTTATTTTTCGTGTCCTTTTATTCATTGTGATAGCACTTTTGATAGCTGTCTTGGAGATTGTTCTATATGTGTCCGATGCAAACGATGGACTGGGAGACATATCTTCCAGTAGTGGAACTGTACACTATACATGGACCATACTTCCTGCTCTGATGATGGTCCTTATCGGTGTTCTTTTTGGCAGCATAGATTCTAACACTCGGTGCTTGGCGCCATACATCCATCTGAGAGACAAAGCCGGAGCACTCCCCTCACAGTTCATGTCTGTTGATTTTATGGACTCCCTCAACACCACCAATATTCTCAAATCTGCGAAACTGAAGCAATTTGCTGTCTTGACTACAACATTGTGCACATTAGTCACATCTGTCTTGACCATCGTTACGAGTGGTCTTTATACCACCATGGACGTACCGGGGTATATTACCTTGGAATTCAATCAAGAATCAACATTTTATGGGAGTGAGGTCTACTACACAAGCCCCGATGGCACAGACTCTTCTTTCCAGGACAAAGGTCTTTTAACATCCGAGTACATTCTCCGTGATGATTTTGACTACCCTAAATGGACATACGAGGAGCTCGCTTTTCCTGAAATTTCACTTAATTCAACGACCTCTACTACAACAGATCTCACCGACGCATATGCAGACATCACCGTCCCTGCCATGAGAGCAACAGTAACCTGCAAGTTCCAGTCAGGTGCAGATCTCAATGCAACACGCTACAAGTACTATGGCCAGAACTACACCACGTTCGACCTCTTCTTCGCGCCCTGCAACTATAGTAGCACCCATACTTCCTGGGTAAAAGAGGAGTATAATTATATGCGCCTCAATGGTGGATCAAGCTTTGGATTTACGGCCTTCAACCCCTGTACAGTGGAAAGTGGCGATTACATTGCAAACACAAAAGACACTGCTACCATCAACCCTCTTGGGGGCACAATATCATATATCTGGGGCTCTCTTAATAACAACTCATTCTCACATGTTGCCGCATTGACGTGTCGAGAGTCAGCTGAGATGGTCGATACAAAGACCCGGTTTACATTACCAGATTTCAATATTTCCACAGAGATTCCTCCTCAACCCGATGAATCAACGGCCAGACCAGCCATAAACTATACAAACAGCGAAGACTGGACAAGCTCCACCGAGTCAGGAACAGTAAATAGCTTTGATAGCTTCTTCAGCGCGCTAGTTTATGGTAAATATGCCATTCCAATGGAGTATCTTGCCAACGAAGCAGACAATGAGAAGGTGATTAGCGCTGTGAAGTTCCAACATCGTGTCGTCAAGGCGCAGATATTCAATTCCTTTAATCGGGAGTCTGTTGGAAATTCCTCGTCTTATCCATCTCCTGCGACGCTACGAGGAAAAGTTACTACACCAGGACGACTACGTTTATTCCAGGATGCTGTCTCGACCCGGGTTCTGGAAGCGTTGCTTGGCACATTGCTTATTCTGGGTATCTTGGGCTCTTTGTTGACGAATACGGATCATGTTTTACCTAAGAATCCATGTAGTATTGCTGCTGTGGCGAGCTTACTGGCTGATTCAAATATCCTACATCGTTATACTCCCGACATTGGAGATCCAAATGCGAAGGAGGTCGAAGAGAGGCTTTTTGCGGATTGTCGGTTCTTTCTGGGTTGGTGCTATGATGGGCCTTTGAGAGGGTTCAATGATGATAGATTTACGATTTATCTTACTGATTATGGAATTGAAAAGAAGCTTCAGCTTCCTCCGAGTCGAGAGGGATGGGTTTGAGGTTGGATAACGAATAGAAATGAATAGATTAATGAATGGATGAAGATTATATGGCAAAGTCTCGTAATTGTTTTCAAATTATTGAATCCCGAGGATCTTTCCCACTAGCATTAGATATCTAGATTGATAACCAAAGCACACAGACAAAGAACGCGATTCAGAGGCTATCTTCAAGTGGGTCTAGTCCGATAAGCGATAAGACATGGCAACGCCTACCTCATCGGATCTTTTACCAGTCCAGACATTTTGATTCAGTTTTCAGCCAGCCAAAATGGCATCGCCGAGAGCAAATTCCCCCTCATTAGGAGAGAAGGATCGCTGTCATCATCGGAGCCACCATGAAAGTTCTCATTCCCACCGACACCGACATCGCGATCGTGATCGCGACCGCTCACGCTCCCCCCATCGTTCAGACAGACACAGACCTGATCGCCCACACCGTCGACACCACCGAGACCGAGACCATCATGACCGAAAGAAAGAAGAAACTTCCGCCCAACCTGTGGTGCTACCTCTGAATGCCAGGCAGCTCTCCCGGCGGGACTTGGAGGTGTTCGAGCCCATGTTTGCAATGTATCTCGACATCCAGAAAGGAATTTTCATTGAGGACTTATCAGAAGACGAGGTGAAAGGCAGATGGAAGAGCTTTATTCATAAATGGTATGTTAGGCGGTGTTTTACTGGCGAAAGATCTTTAGCTAATGCCATGCTTGGTAGGAACCGCGCGGAGTTGGCTGAGGGATGGTACGACCCAGCCACGCTGGAAAGGGCCCGCCAAAGTGTAGCAGAACGGCCGCCAGCTGTGAGTGGCAAGAGAGACTCGCCCGAATATGCACAAGATGAACAAGACACAAAGGATACTAGTCAGGCGCAAGAGCCAGCAGACGATGATGATGACGAAGATGACGACGATTATGGGCCAACTCTTCCCAACCCGAATTCAACGAGACAAGTGACACATTCCGGGCCCACAATACCAAAAATGCAAGATCTTGAAATGAAAAGAGGTAAAATGTGCTCCGATATGTCGAAAGTTACAATTGACTAACGGTCCTTATAGAGTCCGCACTTGAAGACGCGAGAGCCGGGCGCGAGGAATTCCGACAACAGCATCGCAGCGAAAAACGATCTCATAAGGCTGCAATGAAAAACTTAGAAGAGGAAATTGCGCCTCGCGCGGAACCCGGTACTCGAGAGAGACAGCTTGAGAAGCGCCGAGAGGCTGCAGCATCCAACCGCGCATTTGCAGATGCTCGTGGAGGTTCACCGGAAGCCGCACCGGAGGCGGACTTGATGGGCTCCGGTGACAACGACCTTGCCTCTTTGAAGAAAGAGAAAGAGCAGCAGCAACGCAAGAAGAATGAGAGAGAGCTTCGAAGGGAGGAGATCCTTCGGGCTCGGACAGCGGAGCGTGAGGAGCGCGTTCAACAATATCGTGAAAAGGAGGAGGAAACAATCGGCTGGCTGAAGACCTTAGCCAAGCAGCGGTTTGGTTAATCTTTCGAAATGAAGACCAAACACATTGCCAATTGTATAGCTATGCGATCTTAGCGTTTTTTATTTTGCAACTTTGCAAGCCTTTCAATCTCCTACTGGGCACTATATGAAAACATGGATACAGTTCCTGGACCTAATAGTGAAATCTATATTTCGAAGAACCCAATGAACTCTTCCTTATGGTTCTATTCCAGATAATCTTTCTTACTTCTCCTTGTTCCAACTTCAAGGTCCTGTCCAGAGTTCTAGCTAAGTTTCCACAGCATCACACATATGTGCAATGAGCATGTGCATCATGATACACATATTCAAAGTCACCGCAAGGCAGCCAAAGTAGACCGCTGCTTCCCCTCTGCATCGAAATTCTGTGGATTCAACCACTTCTCAAAAGACTCAGCCAAAGCAGGCCATTCCGAATCAATAATCGAAAACCAGGCTGTATCGCGGTTCTGGCCCTTGACAATCATATGCTGGCGAAAGACGCCTTCCGGCTTGAATCCAAAACGAACAGCAGCCTTCATAGAAGGTTTGTTCAGATCATTACATTTCCATTCGTAGCGTCGGTATCCCATATCCTTGAACACGGCATTCGTAAGGAGATAAAATGCCTCCGTTGCAGCCGTTGTACGCTGCAACAATGGCGAGAAGACAACATAGCCTATTTCAATGGCGCGATTCTTCTGGTCAATGCGCATGAGAGAAAAGAATCCCACTGCTTTGTTGGTTTGTTGGTCAATCAGAGCATATAGGTATGGGTCTGGAGACTGGGAAAGTCGCGCAATGAATGGCACGAATGATTCCTTGTCTGGGAAGGGTCCATCTGGGATGTAGTCCCAAAGTGCGTCATATTCCGATCGTCCTATGCTTTCGTAGAGGTCATCTGTGTGGCTAGGGTCGAGCTTCTCGAGGCGCACAGAGCGGCCTGTCAATGTGGTTGGCTGTGGGGGTTTGGCAGGGTGCGTATCCACTGTTGCGCCGAATGATCTTGTCATTTTTGTTTGATGATTCAGAGTATGTCGAATGAGAGATTGGATATTGGAAGGTCTTTCAATGGAAAGAAATTCAAGATGGGGTCTGGTAGTTATATGCTGGAGAATTGGAATTGGAGATGAAGATGAGTCAAGTACTATACCAGCCTGAGGTTCTCCAAGTATTTATTTTCGGTGGGGTTTGAGTCTTGACTAAGTAAATGCTGACTCAATTCCAGTGGGATTGACGAATGAATCGCGTTGATAACAAAAGATATGATGGAAATTATTTGTAAAAGCTAGTATGACTCCGAATTTCTTTTCTAGAGATGCAACCCCAGATCTACTATGTATGCTTAATTGTCAGTTTTGATTCACGGGGAACTGACTCGGACTCGGTCTCATTGTCGAATCATCACGGTAGATCGGCGTCTCGGCGGGAGCGACAACCGATAACGTCCACTGTCGAATAGGATGAACGCGATCTCGAAGGGTCCCCAGATTAGAAGGTTCACGCCCTGCGATATTTGTAGGCAATTGAGTCCAGAAAATCCTAATTGCTCACATAATCATGCAGCCCAAATTCGTGCTGAATAAACAAAAGCCGGGACTTGCTTAAGATTGGGGGTTCCATCACAGAATGCGATTATAGAAGAGGTAATAGGAGATCAATTGGCAATAGAGACTGAAATGAATCATCATCTTTTATATTAGAAGTTTCTGGCTTCGAGCCATACTAAACGAGAGCCTGAAGCGTATCGACGAATGGGACACTACAACCGGTCGTTAAAACACAACAAGACCTCCATTAAATTTACCATGAGCCGTGCGTGCTATCTCCAGCTTGAGGCCGCGACTCATAGTCCACCGTAAAGTTGTCTGTCCGTCGGATGGCAATGGGACTCATGTGGATCTCGTTAGAGCTCTCCTGCACATGGCCATTCTTCCCTCCATCTGAACCAAGGATACTTTCTTGGCTCTCAACATTGGTAATAGCTAAGTCATCTTTCCGTGCAGCCGATCTCTTGCTTCTATCGTTAGATGATGCATTCCAGTTGCTGCTTTGCTTTTTGTAACCTCCGCTATTGCCATTGCTGTATGAGCCTAGTGTCCGTTTGCCGAGGATGATCTCGAGGAGAGGTTGGAGAGTGGGGATGCAGGAGGCAATGGCGACGACGTTGGCTTCGATACTAAAAGATTACTATTAGTATATCACGTAGATAAAAGGGGGATGCGGTTAGGGAAATGATTACTTAGTCCATAAAATGAGGTCTGCTGTTCCATCTATAAAGGGTTAGGTATAAGACTAAATTCTCAGTGATTGATGGCGGCTTACAAGTATAGTCGGATTTGTCTGCAAGTCCATGCAGCTGTGTGCATTTCACAATGGCCATAGCTGCTGCGATCGCACCTAGTCCCAAGGCGGCGGAGAGAGCGACCCTCTTGCGCAGGGACATTTGCAGTTTCATGAGAACGGTCATGGGGTAAATGGCGAGGTAAAGATCAACTGAAGCAGAAATAGCTATATGTTCATAAGCCTTCTGCAAGTAAAATGAAATTTTGATGAAGACTTACCACCGGTGAAGATAGCATAATTGATAAGCATCCAAGTGCTCTTGCATGTTGCCTCGCCCGACTCCTGGAGTGCCGGTGTCCACAAAGCGCGGGGTGGATCACACTGAAAGGTCAGTATGGTTGTTTCAACAGCTAAAGATAGGGCACTTATACTAACCATGGTGAAGAGTATGACGATACAAATACAAGACACGGCAGCAGCAGTTGAAACCAACGTCCAAAGAATGATCTTTTGGATTAAACCAGGATTCATAATCCTTGTAAGCATGGATGTCACTGCAATTTTTGGGATCGTGAACGACAGGATTCCCAATAAAAAACTGACATTGTTGAGTAACATGGCCATGACCAGATTTCCATGTTCCTCAACTTCAACCATGTGTTTTCCAAAGCCATAATACACCGATGCTGTCGTTGCTCCACAATAGGCAAGGCCCAATGCCATGGCAACTACAATCAGGTAGTCATCGATGCCGAAGTTCTTGAGCATCTTCAAGCGAATGAAGACTCGAGCAACGACCATCATAAGGGTGAAAGACGTCAACGTCCACACCACTGCCAGGATCTTAGGGCCCTTGTCATCTTTAAGATTTTGCGTAGTGACAACCATTGTGACTTTTCAGGCTCTGCCGTCAGAACCGCCTGTCAATGGAGGAAAGAAGAATCGATCCTTCTAGGAAAGAATAATGCGAGACATGTCCCGTATTTCAAAGCGCAGGACTGACAAACCTCGGCCACCCAGGGGATTCCGGGGAACTGTCAGATACTATCCAAGATCCACTGTTGGCCCCTAAATTATGTATTGCCGAGTTTTTTTTTGGTCCAGGCCCACTGGAGAAGAGGAGATACAGGGTGACCCGTCAGGCTGGTAATGCTCCGTTAGAGACACTACCAGCCGTTTAAGACTGGAGCATTTGTGCATTATTTGTACACGAGAATAGAGGACCCACAATAAGTACGCAATGGCGAGAAGGCTAGCAACGCTAAGACCCCTCTGCAAGACTAGGTTATTACTGCCAAGTTTCTTGCACCCCTGTCCCATTTCACTTATTTTTATCGATGAACCATCAAGAGATTGTACCTGGACGAGACATAACCTGGGAATCGGAGAAGGAACTCCAGGCGAGCATCTGAAGTAGACGAATGTGGCTGCGCGTATCCAGGTAGGTCACTCCACCATTATCTCCGCCAAGCTGTCATATTAGAAGGTTCAAGTGCCAGATAAAGAATTGTCTGTGGGCAAATACCGATCAGCACAAGGATGTTCACGAGAGAATAAACTAGCCTATCCGGGAGAAGACAGGTCATATGTGGCGTTTTGACAGTACACACGCCCGAATCCTCGAAAAGCATTTGCCGAAGACATGTCCACTTCTAATGCTTCAAGTGGGGCATTTAGCCCTAAAATAACGGCGGCCGCCACAATAGGGGTTAAAACAAGCGCTAAAGCTTGAATGAGCGGCGGAACCGGCGATCCTTCAACCGCTGGCGGTATAGCCCGCTGGCTGGATAAAGTTTCCTAAGGGCAAATTGTACGATACGGAGTAATCGTCGAAGCGCGAATCCTTCGTAGGCTGACCCGGCTCACTAGTGGCCTGAAAGGATCTTCATACCTTCTCGCTTAGATAGGTCGTACGGAGCACAAGCCTCAAGCCTCAAGTTTCGAGTCTTCCGTTCTCTTTTTCAATTTCTGCTTTCTGAAATGTGCATAGATGATAGCTTGGGTTAAAGTAGAGGATCTGTCAAAAATTGCAAAGATCGAGAAGCACGACGACTATTACTTATCACTTCAGGTTGCTATATTCAAGTCCTGTTTCTTCAATTGTATACATACGTCCACGAAACTCCACAAGGGCTGTTGGTCCCACACGAGTATTTCCCGGCTTGCCCCCGTTCTAGGTTACCATAGAGAAGTTTGACTAATTTCAACTTATCCACTTACCATAACGCTACTCCATTGCTTTCTCCACAGTCTCCATATTTGAATGGCACAAGAGGCCACATGCCAACATGGATATTGGAAGTGATAAGCATGGAGACTGCGCAACCCCAAGCCATTATTTGACCCAGACCAGTCGGATCATCCCATTTGGCCTTGAACATACCTAGACTTAAACTAGACACGACCTAGACTTAGTTATGCCGTCTTTGCCCCTTTTTTCTCTCCGAAACCCGTTAGAAAGGCCGAAATTACCAGAATCTGAGCGGATCCAGAAACGGCTCCCGGATATCCCAGGGGTTAGAGCAGAATGAGCTTAAAGCCCCCATGGCCCCTAGAAGTAATGTTAGAGAACCAAAAACCATTCATCTTTTCCGTTTGAACACATAACACATATCAAAATGACCATCGAAGCCAATGGAAGTGCCACGAGCGGCCACCAAGAGGCATTTGTTGACGGCTCAGTGGCAATTTCAGCCAATCTTCCAGAATTGGTCCCAGGTCTGCTAGAGAAGATCGCTGCCTCTGGCAACGCCTTTGTTTCCAATGATCCCAAGGCTCGTACTGAGCTTCTTGATGCCGCACGTTCCCTCGTTTATGCTACAGAAACCCCCAGGGAGACTATGATTCGAGTATCATGGTCACAATCTACATTGTATGCCTGTATTGAGACTGGCGTTGATTTGGGTCTTTTTACTGCTCTGTCAGGAGATGACAAACCCAAGACTGCTGACTCGCTGGCCAAGGCCGTTGGCGCTGAGCCAAGAATGCTTGGTGTGTTATTCCGAATGAATCCCAACCTCATGTGAGGTATCTAACTCCAGATAGCTCGTATTTTGAAACATCTCTGTGCTATGGGTGTAATCCTGGAGACTGGACCCGATGAGTACCGTCGAACTGGTTTCTCGATTTCTCTCATGTCAGAGCGCTATAGCGACGCCTACCCATGCATGTAAGTCCCCCATTCTTGCCCTCATCTTGAATTTACGTCTTCATTTCGATATGCTCACAGTTTCCTGATTAGCACCGATTGCATCACAGGTGGTATCATGGCTCTCCCGGCCCACCTAAAGAAAAACAACTATCGCAACCCTTCGAACGGCACCGATTGCGGCTTTCAACTTGGATATCGCACCACAGATCACTGCTTTGAGTTCCTCAAGAACCACCCTGTCGTGGCCAAACAATTCAATAATCACATGTCTGCGTACCACCAGGGTCGTCCCAGTTGGATGGATGATGGATTCTTTGACGTGCCCAGACTTGTCCAGGTAGATACAGGGGATGACGGTGCTCTTCTGGTTGATATGGGTGGTAGTGTGGGCCATGACTTATCAGAATTCCGTCGCAAGCATCCTAATGCTTCCGGACGATTGATCCTGCAAGATCTCCCACATGTGCTTGAGCAGGCTCGCACAATGGAGTTGCATCGATCCATTGAGATTATGGAGCATGACTTCTTCACCGAGCAACCTGTCAAGGGTGAGTAAAATCCGTTCCTCTCGTTCATGGAAAGTTCCCCACCTAATGAATACGATCACAGGAGCTCGCGCTTACTACATGCACTCCGTGCTTCACGATTGGCCCGATGAGAAATGCGTGGAGATTCTCAAGAATATTGTCCCGGCTATGACCCCCGGATATAGCAAGATTTTGATCAATGAGAACGTTATTCCGGAGACAAATGCCTATTGGGAGACTACTAGTTTGGATATTATCATGATGGCAGACTTTGCTTCAACCGAGCGAACCGCTGCCAACTGGCATGCTCTGGTAGAAGCTGCTGGCTTGAAGGTTAGCAAGATCTGGTCCGTCCAGCGTGGTGTGGAGAGTCTGATTGAATGTGAGATCGAGTGTTAAATAATTTTCAATGAATAATTTTTTTCAGTTTCACATAACATAAAAACCACCGTCTGAGTATCTGTCAATAGTTTTGAGTTAGACCAGTTGGCTGGGACGTTGTTCCGGACGACAATGTCGGTATTTACCACGGCAGTGTGGCATTTTATGGTCGTACTAGACCTGTGTCTATCTCCTTGCAGCGCAATAACAGGATTATCGCAACTATTGAGGGCGAATCTATCTCTGCTGGCTGTCCTCATGAAATTCAGAATCTGGGTCGGCAGTGCGAGCACTGGAGATAAGATCTCTGCCAGGCTAGATCTCCTCCTTTCCGAACAAACTTGCGCCAATGGTACTGACGCGAACAATTTTGCTGGCCTGTGTGAGTTTGCTTGAACATATGGTTACTGTCTCCTAGGCGCCTGTATCTGCACGAAGATAGGAGTAGGCCATAAGAAGTCTAACTCAACTAGTGTGATTAGGTATCCTGTTGAGGGCGAGGGTGCTAGTTATAGCGGATTGTATTTATTTGATTGCAATCTGAGATTCTGTCTACCTTCTTTATGCGGTACCGTTAAGGTTCTGTTAAGTATACTATCAGTGTTATCCTTCCTTCCCCTAGTTTGTACCTTAGGGATAGATAACAGCAAATTGGCCGGTTTTGTGATTTAAGCTATATCTATGGCTTCTATCTAATGTTTATTGACAGAAAAATGCACCAAATAATTGCTCGTCAATTAGAGGACATCAAGGAGCATCTACCAATCTCACCAACTGAAGCTGCGTGGATAATGACTTCGGGGCGTTTTCAGAGACTCAAGTGCGCCTTCGGTACTGAAGTGGTTCAGACGCCATGGTTAACACTTGACATCCCCCAACTTGAATCTGATGCAGGTTTTCCCGACGCCCAAATATTCAACGGCCAAATGCGCATTCCATGGTGAGCTCAAATTTCTCTCGTCTAAAACCATATACACAGTACATATCTAAGTTGAGCAAATGTTCTAGGGAGGAACTGCAGAATTGCTTCGACACAAAGATTGATGAGATATCCGCTCTTTTGGATGGTCATATCCGGAATATGTACGCCAAGTTTCCTGACGATCAGATTGTGAGTCCCATCACCCAGCGCAGTGATCACTTAATAGTATGACAGTTGCTTATTTTATCTGACCCCGGGGCAGACCTACACGATTCTTTCAGGTGGATTTGGCAGTTCACCATACGTAAGGCAGCGCCTACTGGATAAGTATAATCGCACTGGCACAACTAGTCCAATTCACCCAAATGCCGACGGCATGCAGATTCTGGTCGCCGATGAGCTGTAAGTGAGAGAGAAAGAAGAAGAAAAAGAAACACCTCCCTTTTTGCACTACAATTCTGACCAGTATGAATAAGACAACTTGTTGTGGTCCATGGCTTAGTTTTAGATCGGATACAGCAAATCAAGAAAGGGGTTGTTACCTTCGGATCTCGATGCTCCCCCGTGAGTTATGGCATTGTCTGCGACAAGATTTACGACCCAGATAAACATATTGGAGAATCTGTCCGACTTGATCCACGCGATAAGAAGACCTATGCCCGCGATCAAATTGACTGGCTTATGATTCAGGTAAGACGAGAAAGCGCTCCAATTTTGCCTTTATATTGATGTTTGAATATTGACGCATTCCTTCTACGCACTCAGGGAAGCCCTATTCCGTATGCAGGCCTAACCAAGCCGTTCCAACTTAAAATGGATCCCGGACGAGAGGAAGAGCCTTGGAATGTTCAAATCGTCATGTCACACTATCCACTCGAGAGTTTGCCTCGAAGTTTGAGCCAATAAGGCGTCCAAAGAGTCTGTAATCTCAACATTTCCACGGAAAACGTGGATAAGAAGTTGAAGAATCGCCACTGGTATAACATGAAGCCCACATTTTGGCGAACAACATTCGACGTGAAGGTGGTAGTCGGGCCTGCCGATCTATCGTTCCAATTGTGGTCCAAAGACAAGAGAATCCGAAACACCAAACATGAGCCTATCGGGGTGAAATGGATGCCGGCGGACAAGGATTAATGTCCGCTATTTGTGAGGGTCCCAAACAAATAGCTGCAATCTATAGCGTTCAAGCGTTATCATTAGCCTGTGAAGAGCAAGTACCAATATTTTGAAAATTCAATTGGGGGGTTTATAACCATGATGCTTAAGTGACAGTGCTCCTGTAAACTAGTGGCGACTCGCGAGTATAGATAGAGCGGCAACGGACCGCTCCGATCGTCGGATCACGGACAGCAACCGTAACCCAACCCTGAACCTTGGAAGCTTAACTTCCTCGTCATCCCTTGCCATGACCATTCACCATTCACCATTCATCATTTACAGCCAAAATGTTTAAATCAACACCAACGCGTTTGAACACCCAAGTCCCATTACTCAATCATGGAAAGCGCGCTATACATAAGCAACACTCCCTGCCAGCGGCGTACTACCGCGGCGGCACATCAAGGGCTATCTTCTTCAAGCAAGAGGATCTGCCCCAAGACAGAGCCCACTGGGACTCCATATTCCGTGGCGCAATTGGAAGCCCAGACCCATACGGGCGACAACTAGATGGCCTCGGGGGCGGGATTTCCAGCCTATCAAAGATATGCGTGGTAGGCCAGTCAACCCACCAAGACGCCGACATAGATTACACCTTTGTATCGCTGGGTGTCAAGAACACAGACGTCGACTACTCCAGTAACTGCGGAAATATGATAAGTGCGGTCGGACCCTTGGCGGTTGATTCAAGGTTACTTCCTTTATCGAGGGAAACAGCCGACTCGGTCTCGGTTCGCATCCACAATACAAATACCGGCAAGATTATACATGCTGCATTCCCCATTGTCGATGGAGAAGCTGCGTCAATGGGTGATTTCTCCATAGATGGTGTCGCGGGAACAGCAGCTCGTATACAGTTGGACTTTATTAATCCTGCTGGATCGGTTACGGGTAAACTGTTGCCAACAGGTCAGGCAACTGATACCATTGATGGCATTTCAGTAACCTGCATTGATGCTGCTAACCCCTGCGTCTTTGTTAAAGCATCGGATCTCGGCGTAGTAGGAAATGTTACTCCAGATGAGATCAATGCACATCCTGACCTACTTACGCGCTTGGATTCTATTCGTCGTCAGGCTGGTACGAAAATGGGACTTGCGAAGACACCCGCTGAGGTTCCGGGAAGTGTGCCTAAGATATGTTTGGTTTCGGCGCCTCTCTCCGATGAGAGAGGTATTGATCAGAAGCAGGCGTCTGGGGATGTTGATCTTCTTGCTCGTGCCTTGTCTGTTGGACAGCCACATAAAGCAGTGCCCATTACCGTTGCTTTGGCTTTGGCTGCTGCCGCACGTGTACCTGGGAGCACCGTGGCAGAGACTGTTGCGAAAGATAATGTAGATCGCGCAGGTATCATTATTGGTCATGCTAGTGGGAATTTACTGGTCGGTGCAAACTTTGACACGACTGGTGGACTTGTATCGGCAACAGTGTTCCGTACAGCTCGAAGACTCTTTGAGGGGAAGATATACTGGAAGGGTGAAGAATTGATTTGAGGTTAGAGAGATTTCTTTTGAATGGAAAAGACACGACACCTCTCCAACTTTTGTATTATACTACATTAACAAAGACTTTTATGCACGTCTACCAAGATCTAGATCTGCCACCAGCTTCATATTTCCCTTTCCCTCGTTATCCTCAAGGCCAAAGAATGGCTTCACGGCAACATCAATGGTCTCTTCGAACAACCGTCCAACGACAATCTCTTTGAGATCTTCACCCGTCTGCGCAAAATCAGGGAAGGCATTCATCTCTAGCAGCCATGCAGCCCCAGTACTATCAACCAAGAAATCGACACCAAACAGCTCAAAAGCATTCGGCAGAGTCTGGAAATGAACCATCATTCCCCTGGCCGCAGCTTCAAACGCCTCACCGGTTACAGCACAAATCTGTGAGAAGATCTGCTCTTTCCAGTCAGCTGACAGCCCGGGGACATGGTGATCGAGGTCCCAGAAGCGGCGGACACTGCCTTCATTTGAACTGCCGCCTTCTTGGAAACAAGTATTGGTGAGATGACGGGCTAGATCTTTGACCTCATCATCTTCTTCATGGGGTGCACAGTATGGCTTTGCGGCGAACAGGGCCAACATCTCCCTGAAGACGTATACCTTTAATGATCCTATGGCGAGAACGTAGGTACGGATGTGGAACTTGCGATTCGAGGATGATGGTAGCAGGAGTGGTGGATCAATGTAGGGCTGGGCAATGAAATGACGAAGTTGAGAGGTGACCACACCAGCATCGTGGGGTTGAGCTTCATCTTCATCATCATCATCAGCTTCGGCTTCGTCTTTTTCAGAACCGCTCTGTTCATCATCGGAGTCCTCTTCCCATTCCTCAAATATCTCTTGTAGTTGGGCCTCGCTGTTGAAAAGACGGATTCCTTGACCGCGATCACTCATGCCAGGCTTGAGAATCCACCATTCCTTTTCAGACTCAGGGCGCTCCTCATTCTTATCTAGACTCTCGCGAAGCTCGTAGGCCTCAAGTAAGGCATCGTCGAGGAACTCGGCATAGTCCAGTTCGAAGTCAAATGCAGGCTTGAAATGGTTTTTCAAAATGCTGTCTGGATGTTTGGAAACCCAATTGGCGATCGTGTTTGAAAGGTAATGCTTGCGGATCAAAGCTTTTCGAATGATATACGCATTCCCAAGAGAAGTCGATGGTCTTGAGAGAATATGTTCGAATTCGAGGCGTTCATATTCACGGTATTGAAAGACCGGTGCAGAGCGTTCTGGCAACTCGTCAATCGATGAGATGCGTTTGGAACAGGCCTTATCTCCCAAACGACGTGACAATGCTCTTTCGACTAGTTCTCCGACATAAGGAACATCACAGTCGATAATAGAGTACACTGTGGGCAGGCTAGACGTGGATTGTTTATCTGAACTACAGAAATCCCTCTATCAGAACGGTTCCATTGAATAAATCGATCATAAACCTGCAAGGCAGAATAAGAAGTGCAAATCTCAAATAAAAATGCAAATAGGGACACATGACATCTATCAGCTATGCCAGATATCTAAAGCAAATGGACCCGTATATTTGAAAACAAAACAGAATATCTGCAACCGCATCATATAATAATTTCCACTCACAGCTTAATCTCGCCCGTGATACCGGGGGCGTGCATGAAACTAGCCTTTAGAGGCGTGACACTATACAGAAAGACGAAGTTAAAAAGAAGATCAAGTCAAGTGTATCAAACGTTTACTTACCTAGTCATTTGCTCTTTGACGGCCCAGCCGTCATTTCCAGGCTCGCTTTCCTCAACACTGCGATACACATCTTGGAAGCTTGGTGCCCACTTGAAATGCTTATGCTGGAATCTGGTGTGACGGGGTTTATCTCCATTAGCGGCATCAGCCTTCTGCCCTGTCAACTCGCTTTCAATACGAAGTCGCTTCTCATCCAATTCCGGATCATCACCAGCAGCATCAGGGTCAGCAGCCTGGAAACAACTTCCAGATGTCCACTTGTTAATTAGCATATCTGTGTATAGAACCTTATTTTGGCTTACGCCAGGCTCTAGCGGAACATTGACGGTATAAAGATCCACGCCGTTGACCCAATTAGCGCAAAGATACTCGATCAACTTGACAGAGTGCTTCGAAGCTTCAGCGATGACTACAGGGTCGTGGTTCCGAGAGCTGAAAGCATATGACAAGGCGATAGAAGGCTTTCCGCAGACAGCACCCTCCATAGCGCCACCAATGGTTCCGCTGGACAAGGCGAACAACGCTGTACTATTACGACCGTAGTTGGGGCCGGAAACAACGACATCGATCGGACCGCGCTCCTGGAAAAAGTGGTAGAGACCGATCTGAACGCAGCTTGCTGGGGTTGAGTTTATTAGGATCCATTCATCGCCGCCGTCATCGGACTCGCCGTCGCTACCCCGCGGTAGGTGGTGTGTTGTCCCATCGTCTTGGTGTAGGGTACCCGGGCGAAAGTATGTTGGTTTCACAGATGCACCCACTATGTGCGCTTTGCCAATCCATGAACGCTGCTGGTGTGGGAGAACAACCGAAACTATGTGCCCCGCCGACTGGAGTTCATGGACAAGGGAATGAACATAAGGCGATGACTGGTTTGACGGCGGGCCGTCGTCATTGGTGATCTAATCGCACCTGGTTAGCTTTTTGTCTTAAGACATAGTTTTTATAATTAATATAGGAAAGTGTATGCGAACCAGGATATGCATGGTGATGTACTAGTTAATTGGCGAGGAGATGGAGGGGAAGAACTCGGAGATTTTCCACCCCGCGGAATCGGAATCCCTTTATCGGAAGCGTTATCCAACTCGGCATTTACATCATTCGCATTAATAGTTCTTCGTCAAGCTAAGGGTATATCGAAAAGGGCCGAAAATAAGATAAATAACAAAATTAGACAGTAAAAGAACATTCAGACTTAAATGTCATACTCTTTTAAATGACTTCGTCTTTTCTGCATTCCTGGCGTCTCGGAACTTTCTAGCCCAGAGCCGATGCCGCCCTCGTCACCTTCCGCCGCATAGCTCTGTAACAGGAGGCTGCTACCAAGGTAATCCTCCGGCTCTTCCTTCTTCACTTTGACGTGATCACTGGACGACCCACTGTCTTCAGCTTCAGGTTCGTTCTTAACGAGGGCTTGCTCCTCCTCATCCTTGATTTCATCCTCGTCCGTTGACGTAGGCGCAGATCCTAAAACCCAATTCAACAAGAGCCAGGTGACACTCGCGGTTGTCACCGAGACAGTCCAGAACATAGAGCTGAACACGACAAAGGACGTGATCTTCCAGCGATACATAAACCACCTGTAGCAAATATTAGCCCCGACACATTCCAGATAACCAGCGGAGTGGGAATAGTACCTAAGCCCAGTAAATCGTGCCCGGAATTCGACACGGGCAGAGTAGATATGTAATTTCTTTTCACTCTCAATCTCAAGGCGCAAGTTCTGCGGTAAATTCCGTGCGCCTCGTGCAAATGCAAGCTTCTCCATCATCGGGACCTCCAATCTCTCTGCCTCTCGACGCCAGCCAATAATGTATAGAGGAAGGCGTACCATCCTTCGGGCAAGATCCACTAGAGGCGAGCTATAAGTAAGGGTGCTTGGTCGGCGAGATTTCGAAATAGGAGTAACGGAATTGCTGGCTGTGGGGAGCACAGAGCTTGTCTGGGGAGAATAGAGCGTAAGATCGATCATGAAGTTGCCCGCATCGATATTGGAGGGCGTACGAGGTAGGTCGAGGACGACGGCGACATCGTAGGCTTGCGAAGAGACGAATTCGGATTCGAAAGAGGCCGTGCCCCAAGGAGAACCGTCACTGTTTACAAGGGGGATTAGCAAAAAAGTCCGCACTCGTTTCAGATAATCGCGTACCCAAATTGTAGATGAACTTCACGATCAACGCCGACCGTAGGAATGAATCTTAGGTAGAAAATGCCATAGGCAATACCGGAAATTCCCACCAAGAATATGGTGGCACCGATAAATAGTAAAGTATTTAGGTAAATGCGGAGAGCGGTCCTTGAGAATAGCACGCGGAACGGCGCCCAGAGCGCGTCCTATTTTGTATTAGACCCATTGATTAAGAGAGGGAGGGGGAAGAAGAAACAAACTAAGACGACCACCTGAGATGACTGTCCCTCGTATTCTGTCTCATCATCTGTAAATTCCGAGTCCGCCATCGTATGGGGTGTGCAGTGAAGGGGGGAAAGTCCAAAAAACAAGTTCCTCGGCAGATGTATCGTGGGTCCCAATCAACCTTATCGCAGCTCCAGACTTGTCTCTACAAGATGAGGTCACCTCTCGCAACACCCATTTACACCATCTTTACTCCATATTTTACATAATTTACATCACCAAGGCTTTTTGTTTTTAGGCACCTGGACTTGATTCCGACTCATTGTTGGGAGAAAATAATTGACATGCTTAACTACATCTCGAAATCTAGCTAAAATCGTAAATAGAAGTGGTAAATAGTTCAATTAGGAATCTCAAGCCGTCAATGCAGATCCCCATCAACTCCAGCTTTTACGATCTTATCATTACAGGTCGCGAGCGGCCTTGGAAGGCGAAAATAGAATCGTAGGTCATGCGGAAATCGTGACGAATAGGAAAGATGCATACCGTCCCCGTGGCAAATCCCGGCCGTAACACATAAAAAAATAGAACTTGAAAAGCAATGAACCCCGTGAAAGAAAAAGGAAATGGCAAAAAGTACAATGAGTAAAGTGCGGCATCGCCATGTCGCACTTAGGATGTGATCGGGAAAGTGGTGGCGGTGGGAGGTAAAGCTTACGCCAAGGGGCGGGGGCTTTGCTGCTGAATGTGCTGAAGCAGAGCATCAAAGAGTCGACCGATCTATCGGAAACACGTTAGTTTCGGTTTAAATGAGAAAATGTAGTGTAGGAATGCATACCTCAGGGGCCGCTTGGATGAAAGGAAGACGGAAGAAAGAGTAGCTCCGGTTTTGAAGCAGCTCCTGCAGAGTGATAATTAAGCCCCATGGGTGAGGACGGTGGACAATCAGGCGTTCCAGAAGCACTCGAATGATTTGCTGGCGGATATCGGACTCATCCTGTTCAGAATAGTCCACGCCAAAGAGACGCAAAATGGTGAAGCTGAAGAAGTAGGTATGGCTGTTGGGGTACCGCAATTGGTTGGCCATAGCACTCAGCAAATAGTACCGAGCCTCCGGTTGCATGTTTTGGGCAAGCTTGTCCAGAAGTGCGGCATGAGGAGAATCTTCGAATGCACTGCGGGTGTTGGTCTTGGGGGCCAGCTCTTCGACGGCTTGTTGGCCAATGTACAAGACTAGCGCGTTCATGAGGACAACGTCCACATTGATGGGGGCGTAGAAGAGGGCGGTATCAGACGATGCCGAATTGATGACAGCATCACAAAGTTGTTGAATGTGAACATCAGAGGCATTGCCGCTTTGGAGAACGCTGTCCACGGTGTCCTTAATGTTTGCCTGCTCCAGAGGCGCAGCAATATCTCCTGCAATCTGAGGGATTTCGCGCATTTCTTCAATGCGCTCCACTTTGAGGCCCTCGCGGAAAGGATCGGGGAGCTTCTGGAAGGATGATGGGTAAGCACTCAAGACCAGGTTGCGGAGCTGCGCGCAATGAGCAGGGATCACATTGCAAAACTGAAAGTGGTTCTCGGCCACAAACTCAGGGAAGTCGTGATGTAGAATGAGCAAGATGCGGAGGACGCCCTTGTACAGGTCCTTGGCGACGTAAGAGATGTTGGCCGCCTTGAGCTGCTCGCCGATGTAGGAGAGCAAGGCCTGCATAATCTCACAGTAGAGTGGCCAGCCAGCCCGCTCGGGCATATTAAGCATGTCCGACATAAAGACGCGGTGGGAGACCAGAGAAAGCCAGCCATAAACGAACCCAGGGATGTATCGCGGCTGCATTGACAGAATTCGGTTGGCCATGGCAAATATCATACCCTTATGATCTTCGTGGTGTTGGAACCCAGCTAATGAATATTCACAGAGGATGCTGGAGAACAGGCGGAAGAAAACACGCTGGTTGAATGCTTCGCCTCGCATAACTTGATGGTGGTTGAGAACAAGAACGAGAGAAGAAAGAATAGACCCAAAGTATGCGGGTTTGCTGGCCTTAACAGCACCGGCGCTTTCACCCTGGAACTTGACAAGGAGAACAACAAGCTTTGATAGGGCATCAATGTACAAAAATGCTTCGTCAATGCTTCCATTGGGGTTTTGGCACTCATGTTCGAACATGGCAATAGAAATATCGATGCTAAGGCGGAAAAACAAAGCAGAATCTTCAGGATTGTTCATGACTTGACGATTGTGCATGTCCTGCAGGAAGGAGTGGTAGGTCCGATCAGTCGCACCAGCAGCTTTGTAGATGCCGATCCATTCACTGAAAATGTACTCCATCTGGTCTCGCTTGGATCTGGCTTGATCACCCAGGAGTGGGTTGACAACCTCTGGGATGCCACCATCGCGCAGCTTGCGGATAATTTCCAAGGCAGGAGTGAGAGTAGGGTCTGTGATGAGCCATTGACTCATGGCCTCCAGACTGCCTGAGAAGTCGGATCTGAGAGCTGCGGGTTCGTCGTTCAGGAGAACGCGAATCATCAGAGTATCAAGCAACTCCAAGGCACGAAGATCTTTTTGACCGATAAGGCGGGCCAGGACCATGTCGACCCGACGAATATCCAGAAGACCAGCATCAATCAGAGAAACTGTGACAGGTACATTGAACATGTGCTCATCGTCAATCTCCGCCAATAACGCCCACGTGTATCGTGCAATGAGCGTTGACATGTCGCAGAGCTTGGCAAGTAGGTGAACAAGAACTTCAAGTTCCAGGGGTCCTGATGACTGGGAGTATAGAGTCGTACAAATCTTCAACGAAGTCAGTCGTGCCAGCTCTTCGCCGTTTGGTGAAGCTAGAATGGAACGCAACGCTGTGTTGTATTCTTGAAGTACAGCACTGTCTCTGCCGAGATCTTTCACTCGCTCCTCAGCCGCATCCCGAGTGGCCTGCTGGAGCTCGGAGATGAGAGCTTCAACCTTCTCTCGTGGGCCTTGGCCGTCGATGAAACCATTGGTGTGCACGCCACTAATCTGGGAGACAGCTTGAGCTTGAGGCGTCCTGTGGGGAACGGCAGGCTGCTCAGCGGGCGTGGAGAGATTGGGAATGGCAGGGTATGCTTCTTGCAGCACATCAGGAAGCTGACGGCCGGTATCAGTCGAAGCGTTTTGGGGGAGAGTAGTAGCGGTTCCGCGTGATTGACGAGCAAACTCTTCGTAGATGGCCAGTTGTTCCTTGTTGAGGCCACCAGGAGCTTGGCGATATGGCTCTGGGATGAAGAGACCCCAGCGGTTCATAGAAGGATCAATAAACGGCTCATTAGGGCGAGTAGCAAGATGGCGACGTCGCGCCTCAAGCTGGGGCTCAACCATTTTCTCGATCTCGGGCAGGGACTTCTCTTCAGCCGCCTTCTCCACAATGCCGCAAGCGGCATCCAAGTTATCATTCACACACATCAAAATCAGACCTTCTGGCATAGGTTGATCGGAGTACTCCTGTTGGATCATCCGGATGTAATTGGTCATGCTGACCTTAAGAGGCTCTTTGCAAGTAACCAGAGCAAGGCTACCGGCAAGCTGTCGGGCCATAATGCCAGCCGCATGTCGCACTTTCTCCTCGTCGGGCTCCATTGCGAAGTCCTTCGAGACGAGTTGCACGGTAGAGATGGAGGCAATGGTAACGGAGCGTTCGACAACCGGTGTGATTATTTCCGCAATGGCACGTTCCACTGCGGTGGTGACTATTTGTCTCAACGCCGTAGGATCCACCATACTGCTTGCCGAGGGAGGCAGAACAAGAATCTTGTCAAGGCTAGGCAGAGTAGACATAATAGCGGCAGGGGAAAGTCGTTCGTTGCGAATGCCCTGGTTGATGGATGAGAGACCCATATCCTCGAAAGCTTCCAGTCCCTCGGGAATGTTTGTGGGTGCTGGCATGACATCTTCCACCTGAGCTGTACGATCCCGAATGATAACAGCCGGGTCAACAGTCTTATGGTCAAGATCTAAATCTTTGCAAAGAACTTCTATCTCGAATTTGAGATTCAATTTAAGCTCAGCAAAGTGGTAAAGCTCCAGCAAAAGACCAAGTACATCCATCAGCCAAGGATTGGGGGGCTTAAAAACAGTTGACTTTGTGGCTTGAACGAGCACCTTACAAGTGAAGGGGATTGTAACCATAAGTCTCTGGGCATCATAGCCTTCCAAGAGTAGCCCCTTGAAATAGATGTTCTTGTGCTTAACGGGCTTGTCCTTCGCGATTGTCAACGAGCCAAGCCATGCACCAAGATTCTTGAGGTGGCCTCGCTCAGTAGATGAGATCAAAGTGGCATCCGAGTTTAGTAACTTTGCAAGGCTGACATACGTCTCTCTCAGAACCTCGGCCCAGAGAATCTTGTCTCCGATTCGATCAAGAAGGTCAAGATAGAGTTGCTGGAAGTTTGGTTGCAGCTTGGCACGCTCTTCCACCAGATACGCCGCAAACCATTGATGGTGCTGTTCCCGCAAAACTTCACGTAGATCCAAAAGCTTCTCCTCGATATTTTGCTCCGAAACGTTGTTAAGGACAAACAGAATCTTGTCCTGAACTTCTTCATCTGGGTCCCGGTAGAGCTCTCCACGAAGCGGAGCGTCAACCGAAACAGATTTGAAGGTGAAGGGTTTATCACCAGCTGACCGCTCGTCGGCGTCGCCATTTGGCAATGGCGAAGGTCCGATATCCCAATTTGGTGGCTCTCCTTCAATGGCTTCCTTGCCTTTAGCTCGCAAGACTTCTTCGGCCTTTTGGAAGATAGGTGTATTTCGTAAGGTGGGAATTTGAAGGAGAAGATGACAGAAGCCTGCCCACTCAGACAAACGATCCATGAGCTGCTCAATGGCCTCCACTCCGAATTTGAACATTGGGTTTGATACTTCATGCTCTCTAACGGCTTCCAGGATCATACCCAATCCAACTTTGAGTGTGATTCCATCAACCAGTCGGAAATTGATGATGCCACCGAACATGACTGCGGTTTTCGTAAGAGCTTCAAGAGGGTATTCGTGATAGCAATGGTACTCATCGATGAGACCATGTACCATGCATGAAAAGAGATCTTGCTCCTCAGGCTCTCGAGATGACTTGTATCGCCGCATCAGCTCCAACATCTCCCTGAGCGACAGTTCATCATGGTACATCTTGCCAAAGAGTGTCTGCATTTGCTTGTCAACGGCCTCAGGTAATGTGTTGCCATTTTGGCCGTTAACATCAATCAGGTCATCGAAGCCCTCGCCATAATTGATCAATCGAGGATACGTCTGGATGCAGATGCGCTGAACAGGCGTCAAATTCTCGCGATCGCCAACAAACTCCTCAAGTACTGAAAGGAGAGTGTAAACGGTCTTTACAGAAAGGCTGACCATCTGCGGGGTCGACTGCTCCTTGCGCTGTACGTGTAGCTCGTCTTCAGCCTTAATTCGTAGAAACTTGGACAAAAGGCTGCCCATATCAACTTGTCCTTTCTGGGCAGTAAGCCTGATCCATTGGCCGAGGTCAAATGAGCCCCGACGGTCTGAATAGCAAGCAAGGTCCAGAGCAAGTCCATTAGTGAAGCCGAGAAGATATTCGAGCCAACCAAACGTGACTGCATGGTCGTAGATCATGGCAGTGGATGTAGGGTCTTGGCTGAAAGCCGCGAACAATTGCTCAGATACCCACTGGCGGTCCTGGCGCCACGCACCATGAAGAGCGAGCTGAAACCCGTCTTCTTGCTTCGAAATGAACACGACGAAAGTTCGCAGGACGAAGCTTTGTTGAACGCCAGACCATGGCTGAGGAATAGCCAAGGCGGAGATAAGAAAAACAGGAAGGTCATACTGCACGACCGCCTTGATCAGAAGTTGGCTTTCCTTTGCGGCCCAGGAGGCCTGGGAAAACAACGCGAGGTCAAAAATGGCCTTGATAGCATCCATAGAACGGAGTGGTGATTTAGATGCACGCTCTCCCTGCAGTTTCACTGTTTCGGGTGCGTCATCAAAAAAGTCAGAAGGAAATGTGGCACGAAGGTTTGGGACTTGGGAGGCATCCGTTCTCGAGGCAACGAATGCTGTGAGGAATGACATTTGGGTATCACGATGCTCCCAGTCACCACCCCACAGCTTCTGGACATCCACCGAGGCATCAGTAGCAGCGAGGGCAGAGAGCACAGTGTAGAGCTTCTCAAATTGCCTTGGCTCCACCCTTAAGCCATCTCGGTCGAAGTGCCGGAATACAAGTGTCCAATTAGGTTGCTTTTCGGCATAGGCCCCAATGAGGGTATCGAGTGAGAATAGGTGCCAGTACTGAGATAGAATCATGAAAAGAAGCGCGGTTGCAAGGTTCTCTTCGCTCCAGCTATCTGGACCCGCTGCATTAATCAACTCCGTGGTAGCCTCTATGTTGGCGGTTGCACGGGGTCCCTTGGCATGTAGTTGCCTTACAAGGGCGTATCGGGGGTTGACGAAGTTGAACATTTGCAAAGCGGAGCAGACTTCGAATGGCATGTCCATGTTGAGATTTTTGTATCGCACATTTATTGCATAGACCAGCTTCGCCTTGACATCTTCTGTGAAATTTCGGGGAGGGTAAAGAATGAAGCGTTCGATGGTCATTCCAAGGAAAGAATTTTCGATGTCTTTGGTCGCTTCGGAGGGATGTGCGAGGCTTTGCAAGAAGGGAGCAATGTTATTGGAGAGAATTGCATCGGCTAGATAGAGCAAAAATGTTAGTGAGGTATTCACAGCATACAAAGTCATGGATCCAGCTTACCCTTAGCCCGTAGATCAGACTTGTTTGTCATTTTGAAAGCTAGGGCGAGCGCAACTTTCAAAACGGGATCAAGACGGAAGTGGTCTAAGAAGGTGGATAGATCGAAGTCACGGAAAATGTCTCCTTCGGAAGTGTCTACCGTCTCCGCAATCTTCTGTGACTGCTCGATATCGGATGACACTTTCTGCATTTCCTGCACAAGAAGCGGGTAGTTGCCCGCATTTTCGACTGACTTGTTCGACCCAGGGAAGACTGTGGGCGCATTGCCAGTAAGAAGGCGGCGGAAATATTTTGAAAAGACCTCCATACCGTTCGATGTCACGAGCTATAAGTGAGATGCGGGTTAGCTCTTTGAATTCAAAGAGACTGTCTAGAGTTTAATTTTACCTTATGTATCTGAGCGGCTTTTGTCTCCCACTTTTCTTTTCCTTCTTTCTCTGTAATTGAGTCAAGCAGCAGGAAGACCTGTGCAATTGAGATCTTTGTGAGCGACGATTGGCTCGAGTGGGCAGCTGCTGACCCAGGCTTGTCTGATGCAAAGCCCGTAGGCGAGTTCACAGTTGTGCCGGATGATAGTGGTGAAAAGGCGACACCTCGAGAGGAACTCGGCCCACCACCTCCCCCAGTGCCTCCACCACCCGTGATGGAGCCTGTTGCTGAAGCGAAGTAAGACCCAGCAGATGGGGTGTGTGCCCGAAACTTGGGCGAAGAAAGAGACTGGGCTTGTTGCTGCGAGCCAGGCTGCAGTGAGGTGAAAGGAGACGGTGTGGGCTTCGGACTACCGCCTGATATACCCCTAGTGGAACTCAGAACAGCAGAAAATGATGATGGCGTAGAAACCCCAGGGCCTGCGTCCAAGCCCCGGGAGGAAGCAGAGGGAGCGGCGGAGGAGAGGTTGGTCGCGAGAGGAGTCAACCCACGACGAATGCCGGTCTGCGACGCGGACCGACCCCAGGCACCAATCTCAGTCCTGGTCGAAGAAGGTTTATCGGTGCCAGAAGCAATCGACGATTGGGCGGAAGGGTGAGGGGGAGGGAAGGTCATCTAGGAGACGCGATCATTTGATCTGGAGGGTCCGACGACAGATTTTTAAGCGGGCGGCCGCAGTGAACACGATCGATAAGACCAATCGATGGGGGTGATGGGTGTTATGTTGATACGGAGGCAATCGAGGGGGTGAGAGAAGAAGGTTGGGGGGTGGGATGGAAGAATGGATAGCGATGGAGGAAAGGTTAGAGGAATGGTGCGTCAAGGTGCGAGGTGTCGGAAGTGTTGGTGCCTCAGGTGTCACGAGGGAGCTTGGGCGTGAAGAGTTCCAATGTTGGGCATGTTCATTTGCTGGATGAGTGTTTTATTCGAATTACTCTTTTTGTGTGGTGAGTTAAGTTATTCAGATTCAATTTAGCTCAGATGTGTGTTACATTCCCCGTCAGTCTCTTCATTCTTTTACAAATGAGACCTCGTCGCTGTTCGACTACATCTGGCACGTGACCTGTGCTGATATGTGTCTGCTGAGTCATGGTTGTCCCGCTAAAAGTGGAAAAAGTGGGCTTTTCCCCGGGTTTGTGCATATTGTAGTGGTGACAGTCCAAGAGAATGATTCGATATCATTTTGAAATAACACTTATCTAGCCAACATTATACTCGCCTTGCAACCATATTTACAGTCATCCGGTGGATCGCTTTAGTTTACCGTGAAATGCATCATGATTGGCTAAGTATACCCGGAGAGCCTCAGCTCTCATCTATCTTGACTTTGCGTTGTGGCCATTCCAATGCTTCTTCCCACCTAGCATCGTGTATACCTGTTTTCAGCTCTAATACTACTTCAGCTACTAGAGCCTTACCAGATCCTTCAGCCCACCAAAAATGGGCACCGAACTCATCCAATAAAACTCCCCAGTGCATGAAAATCAAAAGTTCAACAGGCCTGCGTAGACGCAACCTGCTAATGAACTCTTTCTGTACATATCCTAGCCAGGCCATTATTGTTACCGGGTGCGGACTATAAACGAACTTGGCAAAACAAGTTCTCAAAAGCTCGATAGCCTCATGGTTGATTTTCTGTTCCTCGGTGTCTTGATCAACATCCAATTGGTTCAGCTGGTCTAGCTGGTCCAATGCTCTACCTGTCTCGATGTCGATATCCGCAACAGCCATTTCCCAGAAACTATACTTCTCGAATATGCTCGCTTGGAGCCATGGGGCACTAATGCGAGAGATACTAGTGGCACCCTGCAGCAAATCAAAGAACGTCACCATGTTCTCGACTGTACTGACTCGTTCTTCACGGAATCTTCCGTGGAGAGTGGGTAACGCAACGCCGATAACTGTTATGATGGCTGAATACGCATATACAGCGTCACAATTTTGTGGGGTCAAGTTATCCAATGCGTTGCGAAATGGGCCGAAGGATAAGCTGTTGTAGCGGAGGGCAACGTCGAGGTAAGACACCGGGTTGTTGGACTCGGTTGTCGTTGCAGCCATGTGTAAAGCAGCAAGTGCAAGTATTCCATGCATAAGGAACTCGTTTGTGTAGGCGAGTTTCGGGATAAGAGACTGCCAGCCCGCCTTATCAGACAGGTCGCCACATAGGCTTTTATATGTCTCGGTTGAAAATTGATGCATTAACTGCAGATCTTCAAGGGTATAGTGATTGGTGTCCGTCTGCTGGGGGTCTCCATCATGTTGAATTTCATCTTGACTATCAATGAGTTCCTCGCTTGGAGATTTGGAATGGACAGCGCCGCTAGTAGTATAATTTTGGGTGTTATCCAAGTAGCTGCAGTGGAGCAGCCGATAGGTGCAATTAGTGCACTGAGGCCGAGTTTCATCACACTAATAAGTAGTTAGGTTAGATAGATCTCTAGCCTTGAAAAGCAGGCCGGAATTACCGACCCCGCGTTATACAAGTAGTCTTACCTTCACTCGCCTTTCTTTGCATTGGATGCATCCAGCCCGGGACTTTTTGTGTGATCGCCGAGGAGGTGCCTTCACTCGGCCTGAAGGCGCCCTTGGGCCAGAGCCGCCCGTCATGACCCAATCAAAAGCTTCTCAGGAAGAAAGAACATCAAGCGTCTACTACAGACATGAATGCTTCCCAACTACAGGCCAGCTCGACCTGGAATTTGGAAGGTCTAACACTGAAATTGATGGTCAAGCCACAGCCTTGTAGAGCTCGCGCTTACTCATTACATGGATTCAGGTGGATTGATTGGTAGGCGCTCGGCTGTGTCTCTTGGCTTTCGAATACGAACACGACGTCAACTGGCAGTATGTAGCTTTCGACAATCTCGTCAATTATGGGATGTCAAAAACCAATCCTTCAGTGGTCAAGAAGGAAAGCAGACTGAGATTATTTGTCGAAATGAGATTGGTCCCCTCAAAAAAGCAACACGCTCAGGTCCTACTCAAGTGTTATCTTTTGTGTATACTCAACTCCCATGCTCATTTACAAACTACTGTCGATTTTGCGAGATGACCTTGACATGAACAACAAAGCCCGATTCACAAGGCATTTGCCTTTATTCACAGATATATCTACTATTTCAAAAAGGTGGTTTCCAGGTGTAAGGTTATCGTGGCAAGTACTAAGACCATCATGATACACCCGAAGGCTCGTCGCAAGCTCCAACAGAGCCAGGAAGACAGCGATACCTCAGTCACAGGCTCTGCCCTATTTGAACCCCAACCAAGACGTTGATTCCCAAGTCTGCAAAGGCCAGATGGTGAAGTCATTATGTAGTCGCAGATGGGAGGTCTACGCAGGTAATCAGCATTACTAGAAGGGGGAAATTCACGAAAGACATGTATCAGAGATTGCCTTGTTGGGTTTTGATTCAAAGAGTCCCTACTGCTGGTAACATAGATGTGCTGAAGTAAAAAAAAATTTGGACAGAATAGCCCAAGACAATAATTCATTTGCCAGAAAAATACCGGAACCACACCAGTTCATCCAATATAACGCCAATAAATATCAGGTTTGATCAATATATAGATCAAATATAACCCAAGAAGATAAAAAAAAGCTGCGTGATGACAAATCGCCTTGTTAAGGGGGGTTCCAAAAATGGTAGAAAGGAAGGATAGGAAAGCAGAGATGATGGGGATAATGGGTCGGGAATGAGTAACAAGACAATTCTCCCACGTAAGGGCGCAGAGAGATAAAAGAGTAAAATCACACAGTGAGAAGAATGATAATCGTGTGCACATGAACCAATGCTAGTTTCAGAACCCGATCTAACGCCACGCCGGTGTCCCGGGAACAATACCATAATGGTGAACAAGGAGGCCCGCTCAAATGCCAAGAAATCAAATTAACCATTCAATGACAAACAGTAACATGGCGTTGCCCATTGTGCTCTGGCAGTGTACGTTGATTCAGTACCAGCAGCAGTGTTGACATAAGTCGTCGTTGGGGTAGGTGCAATCTCCTGAACTGCATACGTCTGATGAGCAATGGATTGGATATGGCCACTTGCATCCACTTGCATCTGTTGGCAATATGGTGATGAAGCAGCCTGGTGATCACGTCGTTCTTCCATCTTGATGATTCGTGGATAGTTGGTGAGCTCGTCACGCTTTTGAGCCTGAGCAGTGGCCATGCTTGCGGCAAGATTGCCGCCAGTAGCAGCAGTGGTTTGAAATGATGTGTCCTTTGCCGATTGGTTGACATACAGGAAAAACTCTAACATCGTGCTATTCCACCAGCAGAACCACGGCTTTTCACCAGGCTGGGCAGCCTGTTTGCGTTCCATAAAACCTGACATGTTGTCGGTTGAAATTTCACGCTTCGAATTAGAAGACACTTCGATAGCATCCTCGGGGAGAATCACAAGTTTATCAAAGTATGACCAGAAGAATAGAGCCGGGCCAAAGCTTGTTTCGCTGTTATCCACAACAATGCTCAGGTTTTGTGTAGGAGTAGGGAGGACCGGCTGTTGGGCCCCATAGGAGTATGTGGTGGTGGTGGAAGCTGCGTCGCTACTGAACACAATAGATTGTTGATCGCCAGAATCTCCAATGACAATCTCAAAGTCCTCTGGCTTGTCAAGACAACTCCAAACCGCCCTGACATCGTGGTTTTCAACACACATTCGAGAATAATTTTGTAATATTGTGTCGACAGTATAATGACCGGTCGGTGCCGGCTTAAAACCGGTTGGTGTGGTTGTCACCGACGAATAATCCATCTCATTTGAAGCAGTCACCGTCACAATATGCGGGCCGTTTGATGAGTGGTCTGCTGCCTGTCGGTCGGCCTCATGGGCTCTTTTTGTGCCAAGGACACCGCCAATCACACCTCCAATAGACCCTCCAATCAACATAACAGTAGCAATGAGAACAAGAGTCCAAACTGGTAGACCGCAGCAGGCAGTTTGCTTCCCCTTGCGCTTGAGCTTCTCCTCAAATTCCATAATGCCTGTCGTCGCTGCGGCGCCTGTAGCACCGGCTGCCGCCGGTCCGACATAATGACCACTGTTCCCCGTTCCCTCCGGGATGAGTACCCTTGAAGACGTACTCGAGATAGGCGGCTCTCTTGAACTCGAGTTAACTGATGTCGAATTAAGCTGATGTTCGTCTTGTCCTAAATTCACATCGACAGGAGGACTGGTTCCATCGGCCATCGTCTCAGCACCAGGAACGGCCCCTGTCGGATAGCGGGAATAGGGAGGCAACGGTTCTGTGTGCCCATCCGGTCCAATAATGTCACCCACATCATCGATTCGACGACTAGGAGGTGGCTGATATGATGAGTTGATGCCTGGGAACCCCACGGGGATTTCGTCATCCATCCCTTCTTCAACAACATTCTGAGTGTACATCCCATAAGGGTGTTGAGGGCCGTTTGTTTCGCCCATTGGACGTTCTTGCGGGCGGATGGTCGATGTACTGCCTACACTTGGGGTCCGACTGACACCAACTTGAGGGTACATGGAGTATGGATGGCTAGGGCTGGTGGCGCCTGTGTAAGGGCTGAGGGCGCGGGGTATCGAGAAGCGAGAGGAAACACTCTGGTTCCTTTGCACAGCAAAGGGGGCATTGTTGATAGAGGAGACGGAGTTGCGGTTGTTTGCAAACGCTCCTTTCTGTGGTAAACTAGATCGATAGGGTTCTTCAAAGGAGACCCGGGCGTCATCGGCGAATGGGTCGACATGTTCAGGGGCAGCGGCGGCGGCGACACCAGTGTGCTTTTGTGAAGGGTGCGTTAAGGTGGTCGAGGAGGCTATGGAAACCGGACTGTGTGCGCGCTCGATTTGGTCGACATCCATCGGTTCTAATGAGTACTCGTCGGAGAAGACATTGGGATTGGAGACGCGCGATGTGCGACCGAAGGATTGGCGAGGCATCGACTCATAACCTCCCTGGGATAGTCGTGGTGTTTGAGACGACCTCGAAGCCGAGCGAGAATGATCGGGTGAAATGCGTCCAGACATATCCCCTTGCTCTGGCAGCCCTATCGGGCCACCTCGGTGAGTTCGAGTCAAACCAATGACGCTGGCACCCCGGGTGAAATGGGTGACGGGACAAAAAGAGACAAATAGGACTCTTCCGTTACAGTGTCGGATGGAAAGAGTCGGAGTGCGAGGATATACAATGCGAGTGGTGGGATGGAGAAGGGGGGTCGGTTAGTGAACAGGGTGAGGGTTGAAGATGAGGTGAGAGGCGAAGGGAAGGAGACGGACTGAGTTTGAGACTTAGTGTGACGGCGGTAATACAGAGTCGGGGGAGGGGGCGCCACAGTGCGAGTGTTACTGTACGGGCCAACTTTGAAAATAACATGTATTGGAAACTACAAAAGGCAAATCTGAACTCTTTTCAACTACTACACTTTATTCTTTCAGTGGAATGATATCTTGATCTTCTTTTTTGTTGTTTCTTGTTATCTTTGCTGTTCAGACCCTTAACCCTTCGCTTTCCCCCATAGTCCGCCGCCCCCCAAAGGAGACCCTTCGACCGGACGCGATCGACTGGGACCTCCTCCTCGAGCGCTACGGCCACTAGGGCGACCAAACTAGCGACTAAAATTCACCCTCTATTTGAGCAGTGGGTCTGGGTCATTGCCACCCACTCTTTTCTCTCCCTAGTGGAAAGTGAGAAGGGTTAGAATGGCATGAACAAGAAAACGAAATACATACCAAACAAAAAAAAATTACTCTATTGTGTACATCCATCAATACAGTCATCTCAATATCCGATCTAGAATGGCTCTTCTTCCTGCGAGGATCAGCGAAATTTTTCTTCCCATCTCCGTCACATAAGCCTAGAATCACGCGAAATCCGGTCTTTGTCCGGGTCTGGATTCTCAACCTGCATCAGTCCAAACAGGAACAATGTCTCCAGGTCAGCGGCCAGCCAACGAGAACATTTGACTGTGGATCAGGAATCCACAACCCTCTTGAGCCCGATAAAACTTCATTTGAGTGCTCAACTCGTCGAAAATTCTCAACCGGCTAATTGTTATTACGGGGTGTTCGGTACTACATGTATGTAACAGCCAAAAAAGAAGAAAAAACGAAAGGAACCGTCGGCCAAACCTGGAAATCCCAGCTGAAAACTCAATCTGGCTGTACCCGGGATTTTCAGGCATCACGCCCGCCCCCAACAGGGCTGAACATTGGCCAGCGGATATCTCGGAGTTGTGCCCAGGAAGAGTTGTCTCAAACAGACAAACTCGTCACTTGTATGAAGATAACGCCAACTCTCCAAGAGTTCTAGAAAATCCTTCGCATATCGAAATACTCGGTTTCTTTGTACACATTTCACCCAATTTTTATCTAAGGACCTGCTTGTGACCCTGTTCCCCGCCGCAAAATTACGTCGGTGGATGACTCCCGAGATCGCTGGGATGATTATTACATCAGGCCTTGGATCCATGGAAACCCTGGAAGCCTCTTCTTGGGAATAACCGGGGCAGAATGCCAATACGGGTTAGGGTGTTCGGGCATTCCCCGGTACAAGAACAAGAATTATATATTGATCGTTAGATCTGCTATACAATGAAGCGTTTCCACTCCTCGTGCTTGGGTGCCTGACCCAGTTAGTCTCGTTGGGGATTTCTAGGGTATAAGGAGCATGTATGCGTAACATAAGGCGTGTCAAGGGACCAGTCCAGATTGTGTTCTTTGTCTCTGTTTAATTGATCACATTGTAAAATGACTGGGTCAGCATTTCCCTTTCGTCCAGGTCTCCAGGTCCATATATAATTATGTATGGTTCATAGCTACCCGCCAAACCCGATTCCACCACCTTTCTTTCCCCTGCGGAAAATTTAAGCGATCTGAGATCTCATAATTCTTAGTTCGGTAAACAGAATGATATGATTTGATGGAGGCGATTAAATTCATCTTATCTCCGTCGAATAGCCTTTTGGCATCTGATTCGTCTTCCAAGCTCCAAGTTTGAATGTAGTTTGTGTATCGAAATGTACCCACATGTGTGATAGTATATGGAAAAGGTACGTACCCATCATGTTCCCACCTGACATCAGCGTAGTTCTAGAACCTATCAATTCGTGCTTCAACAAAAGGATGTAGGGCTAGAATGATGAGAAAGAAATTAAAATTGCTAGATATTACGAATCATAAAGAATAGATAACCGAGCAAACCCTTTTGAGCCTCCGTCCCTAGTAGGTACAACTGAAGCATCTTTATAGCCAGGACTTTACTTTCTTAATAAGCAATTTCAATGTTCTTGAGCAGCTCGCGACCTCGGGAGCGATAATCTTTGGATATGCATTATCCTTTGCAATTTCAATAACTCTTGAAATTGTGGAAATGAGCAGAAAAATGGCATTTAACACGAGCCCTCCCTCTTAAAATTGCGACTGCATGAATACTAAACTCGTGTCGATTGAATACTGAAAAATAATATGTATAGGTATGTGGTAGAATCCTAACCCAAAGCAGTCATAACTTGAAGCTGACGAGGAGACGGTGAGAAAAAATGCTATTAGACTACAGCAAAGCCAAAAGATGTATAAAGTTCTTAGTTTGATACATAGATGCTGCCCTTTCCAGGGTCATAATTTGATTTGATGAAAGTGTTATACCTAGATACTTCTGAGATCTGCTGCTTCTGTTGGACAGTATGACATCAACTGGGAATATGAGAATGCACATTCCAACACATGTGAATCTCACCCAAGCAATATTAATTATTGGGATATCATCTTCAACAGTTCTAACTGCTTTCAGGATATTGAAGTGTGCATAAGTCATGCCAAGCTGAGTTCTAACTCTCGGGACTTATCCAGCTCATCCTAATACCCCAGATGCATGGGTGAAAGGATCAACTGAGCAGCGAAAACTTTGGGGAAGTTCTTCATGAATGACAAATCCATGGAATGTAATGAGCCACTTTGCGCTCGCGTACCTGATTTATAGAAGTGGGCAGTCGACTAGCCGTCCATGCTACGTACGAACCTTATAGTCCAGACAACCATACGCTACCTTGCTCAGATGCATCTCGATATGGGCTCAAATAATCGTGTAGTACTAGAACTTGAAGTTGTGTGAAAAGGACATTAGTCCTATTCAGGACACTCGGAAGATCAGCTCATGCGTGTTCCAAGCTACAAGATTCTCTTTATTCAATATAAGTTTCGTTGCATTCACATATTGATGCATGTGCCCACTGCCCAGCTACAGCAAGAGGTTCTGCTGGGCTGCACAGAGATTTCCAAGGTTCAACTTGAATGTTTCGAGGCTGGGCTTCAAGTTGTCAAACTTGAACATTAACATCCATCGTTAATACATATATTAGCGCTCAGGTGCATGCTGAATTCATTATCAATGAACGATCAAATGTTACCCTTCGGGACATCGGTGTAGAAGTCTCCGAAAGGGTCGGGCTTGTGCTTCTACGAGAGCTACGAGTGGTGAATCCTGAAAGAACAAATAAGGGGCACATTTGAAGTAAGTGGACTGGATATGCGCGGGAGACCAATAGCGGGATGAGGTTGGAGGAGGACGCGTCCACGGTACATAGTTTGGAGAATTGTGCTGCAAGCTCGTCCGCCATGAATCAGCTTGATTTGGGCTCTAGAGAAAGTTATTTTTATTATTCACTGAACTACTCTATTAAACGAAAGAGTAAGAAGAAGCTTTTCTAGGCGAATAGCAACCCATTCCCCAAGCAAAATTGGAAGGAGACAATAGAAGGCGAGGTCTTGGCGCGGGGAGTTCGACATTTGGAGCCCTCCACTTCCCCGGCTTCTCCACATATCCTGCCAAAGCGCGGCCCACTCAGGTTTTTCGGAATAAGGATCGGTTGCATTGAGACTCTTGGACCTGTGACTCTACAGATCTTTTCCTGATAGAGTTTAATTCTGACCGGAGTATTCTGTTTAGCTTTTCCATTATCAAAAACAGCCATGATTGCTCGGAAACGACTAATATGAACATGAAACCCGGTACTACTTAAGACCGGCCAACTAAGAGTCAACCAATGCTTCGCCGCACATTATCCCGACGCCGAAGTCCTCGTGGCCATGAATTTGGAGTAGCCGAATACCTGCAGGCTTTTGTATAAGGTCGCGGGGATCTGGTCCACTGTTGATATCCTCCATCGCACTTGTTCTTGATCCCCAGTGGGTGACCCATCAAAACCCAGACTCTCCACAAAAAGACCAACCAACCATGGGGCTTTATAATCGAAAGATCACTGTCGATGACAATACTATTACATCGGCTGTCAATTTAACACTACGACAGTCTTTGTTTCCTAATCTTTTGGGTATACTGAAGACCCTGTTCTCGCACGTCGTGGCAATAGACTAATAGCGCGCCGCCACGCAGTTACAATCCTTTTCTTCCTCTGGGGATTTGGCTATGGTCTCTTGGATACTCTGAACTCGCATTTTCAAACGACGCTCAATATCACTGCTGGTCGATCTTCTGGATTGCAAGCTTCATACTTCGCTGCGTACTTCATTTGCCCGTTGACTATTTCCGGGTGGATCGTTCGCAAATATGGCTTCCGAGTGACATTTATGACTGGTTAGAACGATTAATCTCCTATTGTTTCCACTTTTACTTATTGGCTGATTATATGGTTATATTCAGGTCTTGCTGTTCTTGCTGTTGGCTGTCTTCTCTTCTGGCCAAGTGGAGTTAAGAGATCATTTGGTGGCTTCTGTGGTAGCATGTTCGTAAGTGAGCTCGTCTTGGCCATGTCCCTCGTGTCTTTAAGTTCTAAAACAAAGCGACTTTTTAGGTCGTCGGAGCCGGTTTGGCCACTTTGGAAACAGCTGCAGACCCGTGGGTTCCATCGCCATGAATATATCTCCAGCTCATCAATCCTAACGATCATATTGCTCTCAGATTCCTTTCCATTTGCGGACCGCCGAAATACAGCGAGATCAGACTTAACTTGGGACAAGCCGTGCAGGGTGTTGGAACCTTCATTGCTCCGCTTTTGGCCTCTCGTGTCTTTTTTGCAAACACAGTTGATACCAATGCCGGGCTGAAAAATGTTCAATGGACCTACCTCGGTGTAGCCTGTTTTGTATTTCTCTTGATTATTCTTTTCTGGCTCGCACCCTTTCCCGAAATTACCGACGCGGATCAGGAAGCACTAGAGGGGCAAATCGCAGAAAATCATGCGGATGTTGGCCCATTCAAGAAACAGTTCACTCTATTTTTGGGTGTATCAAGTCAATTCTGCTACGTGGGCGCACAGGCTGCTGTCGCTGGATATTTTATCAATTTTTGTGAAGAGGCTGGTCGAGATGCTGCATCAAGCTGTAAGTTCCAACTCGTGGGGTCCGAATTTGACAGTAGAGCTATCCTCTGACTGTTTCTGTTTTAGCCGACTTGCTCTCGGTTGCACAAGGCCTCTACGCATTCATGCGCTTCGTTTCTAGTGGCCTCATGATGATGAGGCCATTCAAGCCTCGTATTATGTTGACTGTTTTCTTGACTCTCTGCGTTGTCTTCTCTGTTGCATCCATAGCTACTCATGGCACTGCCTCCGTCGCCATGATTATTCTTGTCTTGTGTTTTGAATCAGTAAGTGAATCAGATCCGGACAGATATATTTCAGTCACTTACCCAAACAGCTTTGCTTTGCAACAATTTTTTCATTGGCTCTTCGAGGCCTAGGTCGTCATACCAAGCGAGGTGGCTCCTTGCTGGTCGCAGCGATCTCTGGCGGCATGGTGTTCCCCCCAATGATGGGAGCCGTTGTTGTACGTCATTAACCCTTTCTGTGATATTAAAGTATTGAAAACTAATATCGTGATCTATTGGCAGACTAATGTAAACGCCCATACTGCCATGGCCATCCCAATGATGGGTTACATAATTGCTTTGGCTTTCCCGATCTATGTCAATATGTATAAGAGAGACGTGATGGATATGCACCGTGACACCGATGTTAACGTCACAATTCCAGTGAGCAAGGACATTGCAATGGAAGAAGGAACGCAAAGCAAGCCTGTCGCCACGAACATTGAAACAGGTGATCCTGTGGAGCAAGAGAATCATGGAACGAGTGCCGAGTAGGGTTGCTACGAAATGGGAGCATAGATTGGAATGAATCAAATTGAGCTGGTGTCTATGTGTGCTACTGGCAGCTTGTCAAAAGTAGAGATCTTTGTGATCTCAAGGGCTCCTCCGAAGGTCAAGGATATTTGATAATCTCAATTGCCCCTTTTCACCCCATCCCTGTGCTCCACTTTGGACATCTGGTCTCACACGGAGATACCAAGCCCAGGCACGCTTGTCTAACTCAGATCGATCCAAGGTCGTGGACCATGAGAAGCAGACGGAGTTAATGGCACGTAGAAGGTGACCAACATTGTCTTCCTGCTCGCCATCCATAAATGGAGTTGGTTTTGACTTTTTCACTGGAAATTTGTTTTCTTGTAGTCTCGTGATTGATCGAATAAGATAGGATCGAGCAGATTCCGCCGTGAATATTGGCAGTCTGTTTCCAGATTTGACTTCCGGTTTTGTAGCCTCGGAATGCGAGTTTCGAAGTGCCTCTAGATCAACACCCCAGAGTGGTGGCATTTTGTCAGGGCTATCATTGGCATCGGGACTTCCAAGAAATTCAATGACAGGGATGTCGCTAGAATCGTGTTCTTCTGATGTTGACTGGAGCGGTTTTCCTTCTTGGGGGTCATAATCCCATCTTTTTAGCACTCGAATACCTCGACCGAGGACTTTGACAACGGGTTGGCCCTCTCCCCACCCTTCTTCCTCAGCTGCCCGTTCACTCTGTATGCCTAGACTGATGGCCTTGGTCTGGCTATTGGCACTGACCAATGCCTGGGCAAGGCTAAGTCTGCTAGATATTGGTTGTTCAGGCATTGTGTATTTCAGAACACATACCGCAAAGGCAAGTACCAACGGTGCTCGGTTGGTCACCAAGATTATATTTCGCAGCTCATCGTCACCCGCAGTCGAATTTGGCAGGCACAAAGATGATTCAATTTGATATGGCGTTGAACCTTTTGTCATGGGGATATTTTTATTTTTCTTTGCCTGAGGCGATATACCTGTGTCATCAGTAGAGCTGACTCGTTTCTTGGATACCCGCCTTGCAGCATTGAAGACTTGTTTAGCCATTTTGTCATTTGTGAATATTTCTTCCAGAGCTTTAATATTCGACTTGGAAATTTCTTCTGGGCTTTCTTCTGTTAGTGGTTGACATAACATGTGGGAAATAACTACATACCTGTTCAGGTTAGCTTTTTGTAGTGCTGGGATGTTACCCATGGCCGACGCTAATGGGACTTTTGCATCCTTTGACAAGAACCGTAAGAGATCTTGGACCTTGGATGCATCCATATCTTTTGTTTTGATGTGTCAAGCAAGTCGGCCAGGAAATTGAATAGAGAAAATTCACTGTGAGTAAACACTTGAACCTCATAAGGTAAAGTTATGGTTGAAGCACAAAAGCGGTTCTTGATGTTCTTGACAAATGAAGACGATAAGATGACCGCCTTTTTCACCGCCCAGGAGCATTTCCAATCAGGAAGCAGCTACATCTTACCCAAGTCGTCTGGACCTTTCAACATCCTACATTTGAAGCTGGTTTTCGACCGCTGCAGCTGCAGCTGAAGTACGTGATGCCGGACGATTCTAAAGAGAAGGGCTTCCCCGATGTCTCCGCCAAACTATCTGCGCTACCCAAGAAATCGTTATTTGAACGCCAGAAAGCCGAAGCCGAAGCTAAACGCGCTCGAGAGAAGGCCGAAACCGCAGCAGTCTACGAAGACTTTGTCAAATCATTCGAAGACGAAGCGCCCACTGCACCGAAGGGCTTCGACCCGCGACCGAACGCATTCGGCCCTCGTGGTGGTGGGGTTGCAGGAGGACCAGCGCGGCGACATTTTACAAGCTCTGGCCCTCGTAGCAGTGGTCCAGGCACACTAGGACCGGCGCCGCAATCGCTATCTCGAAAACGGACACATGAAGGGTTTACACCTCTGCAACGAAATCGTGATTCTGCGCATGGTGTTTCTGGGTTCGATCAGACTACAACAGGTTCATCTGCCCCAGCGCCTGGCTTTAATAACCTATTAGACGATGATGAAGACCATCGGAAGGCCGACGCCAAAGACGTCGAAAGAGAAGCTGCAAAACCAACTCTTCAGCTGGCTTCCTTGCCTCCCGGAACGTCGCCTTCAGTGGTAAAGGCATTGATCCCAAGCTCATTGGCGGTTGATAATGTACACATCACACGACCCTCTACTCAAAATGCAACAGAACGGAGATCATCAGCAGCTATTGTCACTCTCGCGAGTGACACCGCGGCTTCTGATATCGACAGTGTCGTCAGTGCACTTCAGAACAAGTATCTTGGTCGAGGATATTACCTCTCTTTGTCTCGGCATCTCTCATCTGTAGCGATTACTTCAAATCTTTCGGCATCACTTGGCTCTTCTAGTAGTGGCTCAGCTCCATTTGGGGCGAAAACTATTCAACAAACTCACGGGGGCAGTCTGAATCGCGCACCCCCGCCAGCGTCTCACCGCGGTGGGTTTGCTCCCCCAAGCTCATACGGACCGAATTTGGGAAGAGAGGAACCATCCACACGGGTAGAGGTCAAGGCGCCGTCAGATATAAAGCAACTCAGGTTAATACACAAAACGCTGGAATCGCTCCTTCAGTATGGGCCTGAGTTTGAAGCCTTGCTTATGAGCCGTCCAGAAGTACAAAGAGAGGAAAGATGGGCATGGCTTTGGAATGCTCGCAGCCCTGGAGGTGTGTACTACCGCTGGAAATTATGGAAGATCGTCACACAACCTTTGCAGATTCGCAAAATGGACAAATTTACTCATATCTTCGAGAATGGACCAGACTGGTCCTCCCCTGATAGTCATATCAAATTCGAATATACTACACACCTCGACAAATTTGTTTCTGATGAGGACTACAATTCATCCGATGAAGAGCATTCAGATAATGAAGATGAGAGACGTAATCAAGGTGGTGGACCGCCTCCGGAAGGAATAACAAGTCAACAAGATGGCCTTGGCTACATGAACCCCTTGCAAAAAGCCAAACTTACACATCTTTTGGCTCGGCTGCCAACAACCCATGCCAAGCTCCGGCGTGGTGATATCGCACGGATTACTGCTTTCGCGATCGAGCATGCTGGCGCAGGTGCAGATGAAGTTGTTGATATGATCGTCTTGAATATTCTCAGCCCGTTGGCATTTACTGGCGCCAACCCTGACCGAGAATCAGAGAAAGCTGCCGCGGATCAAGGCAATGTTCCAAAAGAAGAGGGCGCCGATGTGCAATCTAAGCAACCAATGGATACATCCTCGGCTAAACTAGTTGGGCTTTATGTCATTTCGGATATTCTTTCTTCATCAGCAACCAGTGGCATGCGCCATGCCTGGCGATATCGACAGCTTTTCGAGTCTGCACTTCGTTCTCATAAAGTTTTTGAACATCTCGGTCACCTTGAAAAAGACCTCAATTGGGGAAGGCTCAAAGCAGATAAATGGAAGCGCAGTGTCGGCACCCTTCTCCATTTATGGGAAGGGTGGTGTGTTTTCCCCCAGGACAGTCATGAGCATTTTGTCCAGATGTTCGAGCAGCCGCCACCCACTGAAGATGAATTACAAAAGGAGAAGGAGAAAGTCGAAACGGAGAAGGCTATCAATGCATTTTCTAAAGGAAAAAGTCGATGGAAGGCTGTGGATGATGATCCTACACCTGAAAACTCGAACTCAGGCCAATCTAGTACAGCTGGGACACAAAGCCAGTCAGACAGAGTTGGTGTCTTAGAAGACGAATCGATGAGTGACATCGATGGAGTTCCCATGGAAGATAGTGATCTAGAGGAGCTTGAAGAGGGGGAGCCCATGGAGGAAGACGATTCAAAACAGGACGAGGAGAAGAGGGCCACAGCCCTAGAATCTACACAACCTGAAGTAGAGCCTGAGGAGCGGGATTCCTCTCGACGCCCACGAAGGCCCCGGCCTAAAGCTGAAGACATGTTTGCATCTGACTCAGAAGTAGGCCAGTGAGAGATGAGGGAGATAGACATATGACTGTAATGATACCAAACAATTTTGACTTTCTTATCAAGCCCTGCGATGCAATGCTACTACCCAATTTACCCGGGCTTCGAACACCACGGAGTAAAGAAGAATGAGATCATTATCGGGTAGATTTGATACTAGGCTGGGCGCATGATGCCGCCGCCTGAGGCACCAGCGGCAGAATTCGGTGCCCCACAACCCCTCCCGCCGTCAACAAATACCTTCTCCCACGCCCTCTTTCTTCTATACCGTCGCATCTTTCGCAAAATCTCTTCAAAATGTCTGGTAAGTACAGCAGCAATACTCAGCCTTTGTCGCCGCTTCCCCAGGCCTCCTAGGCCCATTGAACACCAAGGAACCTTGTCCAGTATTACCACTCGTTTTCAATAGCATGAACGGGTTGCGCCTGGCATGCTGATGCCATGACCATATAGGGAAACCCCCTAAAAGCCAACTGAGTTAAGAGTAAAAAGCTAACAGTATCCTTTTTTCATAGACTTCAATGCCATTGCCGGTATGTTTCTCCCATACCCAACCCCCAGATCACCGATGCGCCGACCGCACACAATGATAGCCCCGCGCTGGCCGGCGAGATCGCCGCACTGGCCCAGCAACAAGCCTCTCCGCATACTCATGAACGCAAACCCTCTCTAACCATAATATTCCATCTCACAGAGCAGTTCGTCCAATTCTACTACCAGACTTTTGACACCAACCGCGGTGCTCTTCTGCCGCTCTACGTAAGCCTATCCGCCTGATGCTACCTGCAGCTTTTTTTTTCTGTCGCGAAGGCTTCTGTCCTGCAGTCAGGGATACATTCAGGATTACAAATACTGATTTCATCGTGATGATATCTAGCGCGATGGTTCAATGCTCACCTTCGAGACCAGCTCGGTCATGGGTGGTAACGCAATCGTTGAGAAGCTGATGGTTCGTTCTTCCTCATCTTGAATCCTATATACCATTGGCCTTCCTCAGAAAAGACTGACACAAACCTTGTGCAAACAGACCCTGCCTTTCCAGAAAGTCCGACACGAGCTTGCGACTTTGAACGCACAACCTACCCACGGTGAGGGTATCATTGTGCTTGTGACCGGTGCTCTCCTGGTATGTAAGAATCACGATTATGTGGTCTCTATCAAAATTTACCTCAAGATGTTTCAGCTAATAAGACTATCTGATAGGTTGATGAGGAGCAACGTCCCATGAACTACACCCAGTGCTTCAAGCTCATGCCTGAGAACGGCAGCTACTACGTCCTGAACGATGTCTTCCGTCTGGTTCTGGGTTAAACAGTAACCCTGGAAATTTATTACGATGCAACGAGGGAGATGTTCTCTCGACGGGCGTGAAGCCAATGTGTCCCGGGGATTTGAGAGTTATATGGCTATTAAATCATTTTGAATTGTAGGGGGTTCACATCCCTTTTTGGTTCGCGGTCACTCGAGACGAATAAATCAGATTTCATTTAAACATAAATAACTATTCTTTTCATATTATCTCCCCTCATATTGTATTTCATCCTTAAATTCTCCTTGTTGCATTTCATTGTTCTATATATCTTACGATCATAGCACACTATAGTGGAAACTACAACTCGTACGGTCCAGCCGCCATGCGTCGAAATATCAAATTCACCAATCACTGGCTTTGCAACAAGGGCGTCTCTTCAGAAGGTTGTTCAGCGGAGACAGGTCTCGCCTCATTCGTTGCTGCATGCCCATCTGATTGATCTTGCTCCCCTGGCGTATCACTCACGCTTCCTTTATGTTTGCTGTCCGGGCCAAAATACTCAAAGTAAATGGCCATCACCAACAGCGTACCCTGTAAACAAGCCGTAACTACCAGTACCCCCCAGATACTCCAGCCCTCAAGGCCCTCACGTGCGGCCAAACTAGCAGCCCAAACAAGACTTCCCGGTGTCTGGATGCACATCATCGGAATGCTCAGACTACCTACACGGCGCAGGCGGAAAGTGGTGTAAATCTGCGGGAAGTATTGAATAGATGCGAAGGTGGCGGATAATATTCCAAGGAAGTTAGCCCAGGCCGGAATAGCTGCGGGGTTCTTGAGTTGAAACGCGATGGAGATTATTAATGTGGCGAGGACATGCAGGAGGCAAATGGCGGTTATGATAAGAGCGGTGCGATATGTTGGGCCGCTGGGGCGGACGGGGTTGGTGGGAGAGGTGGCTCTTGGGAAGTATATGACAAACAGGAGTAGACTATGGTGGGTTAGTGTTGGGCTAGGGGTATATGCGTAGAAAGATATGAAGGGTATGCCATTCCACTTACATTGAGAAGAAGCAGAGCCACTGAGCCCCCACCTGGAAGATTCCAAGCATGCCTGCGAAGCAAGCTATGCCACTAATCTCGCTCTCTTTGCAGCAAGCAACACTCTGCGAAGTCTTCGGGAAGACAAGGATGTTCGCAAAGGCGGATGTACCTGAAGTGGTGCCCAAGAGGACAAAGTAGGGTGAGATGCCGAAGGAGCTTCGACGCGTGATTATTCGGATGTGTTGCGGTAAATAAGAAACCAGGATACCAATGATGATTAGACTGGTACATTTTATATTAGTTCTATATCCGCATGACGGTGAATACTGGGTAGGATAACATACACAGAGAGTACGGGCTGGAAGATGCCAGGCGAGGCCAGCTCGCGGCAGACTGGTGACAATGAATCACTCATGGCAGCGGTCCTGAGGCCTCTGTAGCAGTGCGTTGTAAGTCTAGCCGCATCTAAGTGCCCTGGAAACCAACAAAGCTGTATTCCCGTACAGTGGACTTGTCAATATAGGATGTTTCCAAGGTACAGATGGGAAGATATGCAACGTTCAGGGAGGAAGGTTGTAACTTCAGTCCCCGCAACTGATAACTACCCGCCTTTGGGTGGCCACGCTAGTCCTTACTGAGATTAGGCTAAAATCACGTGTGGTATGATGTAGTTCATTGCCTGAGGCAGATATTAATCTAAGCCATTCTGCTCTTCTTTGTGGTTTTTCATTTTTTATGTATACACCAATGCTAGATAAATAGATTATTCGAGGCGAATTGGGTGCTTGAGTGGTGCCACAACATCCCTCCAATAACTCATCAACCCAGGAACCGGAAAGTGACACATGTGCAGTCTTAGCGTCACCGATCAAGTATAGGATAAGGTAAACAAAATGCCTACTAGTAGTTGCCACATCATGAGAAATGTTCCCTTGGCTACACATATCATTTAATTATCCTCTTGGTCTATCGCTCCTCGTATACATCTACACATACCATAAATATATATATTTGTGAGTTGTCAACTTGAAGATATTTTATTTATCAAGCATGGGAAATTGTAAGGATATCACTTCGAACTTATTAGGCCCCGAATCAATGGGGTTGAAACACTTTTTCTCCTTCTTGTACTCTCCTCGCTTATTCATCCGTGGCCATTTTATCGATTTCAGTACTGAACATCTGCAGTAGTCTAATGTGCACATGCAAGTTGCGTCATCAGCTTCTTCATCTTCTGGGCCGAAAGTCCTTTGTAAGCCAAGATTTCGGTCGCGCGTGGAGAATCATACTCGGTGACGGGAAGGCTGCTGAATAACAGACGAGTGTCTGGATTGGGATCATGTTTTAAAAGGAGTTGACACATCATTGCGTCTCCTTTTGTAGCGGCCCACTGCAGTGGGGTTGGAACTAGGTGCAAGGCTGGACTATCATATTCAAATTCCACCTTTGCTCCCGCCTGAAGGAGCTCACATGCGGCCATTGTGTGTCCACGTTTGATCGCTAGAGATAGGGCAGTCTCGTTGTCACCATTTGAAGCATTAATGTCGGCTTTATACTTCAGCAGCAGCTTAAGCCCTCGCACGTCACCCAATTGCGCCATATCATGAATAGGCTGGTGAGGTTGACCGGCAATACTCGGACTAGCGCCATGCTCGAGTAAAAGGCGCGCCATTTCGAACCCTTCATCTTGTCGGAGCAGTGCTTCGGCAAAAGGCGTCCTTTGAAACATATCTATGGCCGAGAGGTTTGGCTCAAATCTCAGGAGTAGTTTGAAGAACTCGAAGTGTTTTCTTTTCACTGCGATGTGGAGCGGGGTTTCCAGCTGGCCATTTTGTGCGGAGGGATCTGCTCCAAACTTCAGAAGAAGGTGCAAGATCTTGAGGGGAACGCCTTGTTGGAGATGCAAATGCAACAGGGTGTTTAATTGGCAGTCTTGAATGTTAGGGTTAGCCCCGTTCTCGAGTAGAAGTAGAACTGAAGGAAAATCGTGGCTTTTCATAGCGAAATATAGCGCGTTGAAGCCACCCCCACAATGGACATTTGGGTCGGCACCGTTTTCCAGGAGAACTTGGAGGATATCGGGGTCCGTATTTTTGGCAGCTGCGATCACAGGTGTCGATTTGCCCCTTTTCACGTTGAGGTTGGCTCCGACATGAATAGCCATGGTGACTGTCGCGAGAATGCGTTCCTTGATGCCCCAGTGGAGGGCTCTATCGCGATTTGCAGCACGGTACCGATACAGATGTTCATTGAGCGATTGGAAAGAGTGTCGATTGACCTGAGCCAGCGAGTTAAGATCCCTGTTTTTTTTGAGCTTTTCTCCGATCAAAATCAACAACTCGGCTGGTAGTTTGTTGAAGCTCATTTTGGTTTGGTATGGCGAGGCGATGGATATGAGATGGACAACTTTTTGATCTGGTAGTATATTATAATTCAGTCACAAGACCAATGAATGGGGGGAGATCAAAGCGAGATGATTGTAAAAGGTTGGAGGGGGGGTGATGACAGATGGAAGGTGAGAGATGGGATTCCAAGAGAAGGTGTCTGCTCCCTTTTGGGAAGAAAAGGCTCTACGGCTCTTGGGCTCACTTGGGTTTACCTTGTGCTTTCCTCAAACCCCACCTTCATATTTTTTAAAGGCGAATATTAGTTCTATGGCTTACTTGATAATAATTCTTTTCTTGAAAATCTTTCTAGTATCAAGGGAGACACTTAATATACACAATTACTAGTATTAACATGGAAATGATGGGTTGTTTACCCCAGCATCGGGAACGTCGATAATGAGTAGATAGGCCGATAGGTGGCCGAGAGGATCTTAGAACAACAAAAATTCTTTCAAACCGCGGAGCTGCCTCATTCATAAGGAAGAACCCAAAGGAACAAACTTCTAGCTGTGGATCGTTATGTAGACCTTTTTGCTTCTGCAATCCAAAAGCCTTCCATCGTCCATCTCCGTGCCTGGGCATATCTATCCACCGCATTACGCAAATATGAGTATTCGCCATCTCGAGCCTGGCACTTGCTATGCAATAGTGGTGTATTTCCATACAAGTCATTGTCCCCCGGCCAATTCAGATACCATGAGCCATGCAGGCTTTTCCAGGGCATAGGTCCTCCTCGACGATGGGCATAATTCAGCAGATCATGACCCTCCTCATCCGCATTAAACAGACCGGATTGGCCGAGCAGTCCTCGATAATATTGAAACAAGTCGGTGGATGGTGAATACATGAACAGCCCGTTGCAGAATAGAGTTGATACTTGTGCTGAGTCTGGAGTATCGGAGTCTGTCGCCGTCACAGGCGATGCTACCATGACAAACTTCTTAGGCAGTACACTCTCATCTTCTGAAGTCATCTGCGAATTATGTTCAATTTCAGTTAGTACAGAACTCAGGTCGTCGAAGATTTTGTCAATCGGATGAGTTAAAACTGTGCTGGCATCCATGAAAAGGAGCTTGTCGTAAGGGACCACTGTGGGATCGAAAATGCGCAGCTTGGTTGCCATATCGCCCCAGCGACCTTCAGGGATGCCTTCAACTTCGACAACAGTGGCCCCATCCTCTCGAAGTCTTTGGCGCTTGCTCTCTCGCACGTGTTGATTGACCAGTACAACGACTGGAACAGGATTTCGCAACTTGGTGGTTGGTGCATGAAGCAATTGATATAAAAGCGTCCGAATACTTAGATATTCGGTATCAAAATTGTCGTTATGGTCTTTCTCGGTCCTATGCAGTCCTAGGAAGGTTGTGATAGCATGGCGGCCCTAGCTCGTGGCTGGTTGTGTAGCAGTTTCTGGCCCATCGCCAACTGCCTCTGGGGGTATTGGGGTGCCGAATAACAAAAAGATCGTAAATCCAATAGAGAGGAGACAAAAAATGAGCAACTTCTTGCTCATGAAGTTTTCCGGGCGACTCGTTTCGTGTATCATGGTCGCCGCCGATCTCAAGTTCTGTGGATTTGGTTTTCAAGGGTCACTTTAAGGTGATGAGGCGAGAGGAGGACAGTCTCCCTTATATAAGGAACATACATATTTATGTAACATACCGAATAAATCGGTTGTTCCTGGCAGTGATCAGCCAATGGTGACTACATGAAGGCTCTGCATTTATATAGCGTGAGCTGCATTCGGCATTAAATGGGCGAGGGTCACATTTGGGCACGGATATAGATACGCGGGATGTTGATTGGTGGGTTCAGCACTAACTAACTAGGTTAGTTAATTATATATAGGACTCAGGCACCAAGGCATCCAATGACCTAAAACAGACTTTGAATAGCGTCTGAAGGTGTAATTCCAGTGGAATTTGCTACCTTTGCAGTCTTGAAGGGCATTTTTATATTTTTCTCTTCCAACTTGAATCTTATATCTTAGTGCATCCCTTGGAATTCCGTGAAGTTGCTTGGGGATCCGACTAATAGGATGGGTCCGTCTCCAACATACTACGAAAGGGATAATTACGTTGCGATTTCTCAATAAATAGGTATTCAATTCTAATCCGGATAGATAAACATACTGATAGCAAAAGCATAAATATGTCTTTTTGTTTCGAGTAATATGCAGGACCGTGGCCTTGTGCACAGGCGCAAGATGGCATCATCCCATGGGTGACACAAAGTGGAGTTCATGGTTGAAGCTGAAAATCATCGGTGAGAGAGCTGAATACTTGCCTCTAAAAGAGACAATAGATTGGACAACGTGGCGTCAACTTGATCTTCAATCTCACAAACAAAGAGACAAGATTATGAAATGACGGCAATCTTCTTGGAAGAATGGGTGCTTTGATGAATCATGCACTTTAAGCCCGGGGAACCAGGCAAATTCCCCAACTACGTCACTGCACGATCATCCCTGCGAGTTCCCTGCCTGCATCACTCTTTGAAAAACGAGATCTGAGCTCTCGTATAAATGCATACCATGCACCTCTCCTGATTAATTTTTTCCCTCCTTTCCTCCGAATATTAGTTGGGTACGTCTCTTCTGCTCTTCTTTTTAGTGTTTGGATATTGTGACGCTAATTGTTAGCTATACAGCTCCACATCAAAATAGTCCAGCCCAACAACATCGAAAGTCAAAATGAAGTTCCATCTGGCCACTGGCCTGGTAATTTTTCTTGCCTCTGCTGAAGCTGTAGGAGCTTCTAGCTGGTGGAGCAAGGCTGGTACGAAAACCACCCCTGACTTATTTTCTTCGATTTTAAAGCTCTAACATCATCTTCTAGTGTACAACAAATGGCATGAGACAGAGCTTGAAAGATGGCTCTCCGACCACGGTACATCAGACCTCAATTTGAGAATTAGTTTCACAGTCTGACATCAGAGTCTAGATATCCCTCACCCTAGCCCTGCCGACCGCAGAGATCTCGAAAATTTGGTCAAGTCCAACTGGGACTCCAAGGTTCAGAAGCCTCTTGGTCACGTCACCGACCAAGCCTCCGATGAGCTGCAGAATGCTAAGGAATGGATTTTCGAATCGTAAGATACCCTCGATGAACCATACTAGAAGAGAGACATTAACAAATATCGATCGCAGCTGGTCCGATTCGCACCTGAAGGCATTCCTTGATCGTCACGGCATTCCAGCACCTCAGCCACGCAAGCGCGATACCTTGATCAAGGCCGCCCGCGAGAACTATGAATCTGTCGCTCAAAAGGCCGGCGAGACTGCCGCATATCCCGGTAACTGGCTTTATGAGCAATGGTCCGAGTCCGATTTGAAGGAATGGCTCGACGAGCATGGATGGCCCGTTCCTCAACCCACAACCCGCGACAAGCTTATCTCAACTGTTCGTCGCAGCTCTCGAATCGCTAGCCTTCAGGCCCGTGCTATCGCTTCCTCCGCTGTTGCCTCCGCTGAGGCGGCAAAGGCATCTCTCAGCGACGAGCTTTTCAATGCCTGGTCTGACTCCAAGTTGAAGGAGTTCCTTGATGAGCATGACGTGCGGGTTCCTCAAGGTTCCAAGCGTAATGAACTTGTTGCCCTTGCTCGCAAGCACCGACATTATCTTCTTGGTCAAGCTTCTAGTGCATCTTCCGCTGCCTCAGAGGCTTTTGGTGCCGCTACCACCAAGGCTGGTAATGAATACGCCCGTGCGACAGACGATGCAAAGCTGAAGGCTGAGGATGGATTCAACGGCGCCATTGACACATGGTCGGACTCCCGGCTTAAGGCTTTCTTGGATGCTCGCAGTGTTCCGGTTCCTCAGTACAGCAAGCGTGATGAGCTTATCGCCAAGGTACGTGCCAGTGCGCACAGGGCTTCCGGCGGGTGGAATGAGTACAACTTCGATACTTGGGACAAGGAACATCTCCTGTAAGTTCTGCATTCCAAAATATTTCACTTGTTTAAGATTTTCTAGCAGAGCTAACATTCATAACAGCAAATACTTGTCTGCTTTGAACTCCAAGGCTGCAAAGAAGGCTGATGCCTCTCGCGAGGAACTGATCAAGCACGCCAAAGACAGCTACACCAAAGCTTCCAAGGCCGGTGGTGAGCAGTATGCATCGGCTACTGCAGCCGCCACAAAGGCTACTGGCTCTGCCAAGGATACCAGCTTCGACCAGTGGTCGCAGTCGGATCTCAAGAAGTACCTTGACTCTTATGGTATCCCGGTCTACCAAGGCTCGAGCATCAACGAACTTCGTGCTGCGGCTCGTCGTCAAACCACATTCTTCAAGTACGGCACAAACAATCCCCAGGATACCATCTATGCCAAGGTCGCCGACACTTTACAGTGGGCTTTGGATCAGTTGAAGATTGGTGCATCCAGTGGCCGTGCCCAAGGCCACGAAGCAGCTGAGAATGTTCGCGAGAAAGCTTCCGAGAAAGCACAGGGCATTCGCAGCGAGCTGTAAAGAAGTCTGAAATGAATTATGTGGTAGATCGCAATCGCCCATCAAAAATAAGGGTAAATTTGTGCGTTTGAAATCCTACAATTCCCGCATTGTTTGAAGTCACGATGATACGACATGTTTGAAATCGAATGTGAGTTTTGGGAGGCTACCTGGGGGAATCTTTCGGGGTATTTCTTTTTTCATTATCTATGCCGGTAATAACAGTTCTCGTCTTCCGAAATGGATTTTCCTGAATTAGTAGTTGGAAGTCTTCCGGGGTTATTTACAGTATACCCCGTAGAATAGCCTCAAAAAGGGCAAATTGCAACCTTGATATGCAGTTATGTTTCTGATATCTCCGAAATACAAGTAAAATGTGAGCGCTTAGTTATTCTCCTTCTTTCTCTCTCTTCAATTTTTGGGTTTCAACTCATGTAGCAGGTCCCAGCTCAATCAATCTGGACAAATTATGACTTGGGGGCTTCGGGGTCACCCTCAGCAACCAGCTTGCCAACAACCAAGTACTTCTCCGAGAATCGCTCCTCCCATGACTGAAGATTCTCAAGTTGGTCCTTGTCCAAATCCTTAAGATCGTCCAGCGGGGCAGACAGATCTTTTGTCAGCATATCCTCATCGAAGCTCTGGTGAGCAAGTCCTCGAGAGGCATCACGACCAGCAAAATTTTCGTATGGACCACCCTATATCGCATCATATCGCATGTCAGCCGGACCAGTTCATTATCAATAAATATAGCTTCAATCCACCTACCGGGCCATAGAAGTTCCTGCCGGGAGACACGTCAAAGATCCGACCACGCACAGCCAGGTAGACCGGGCGGTTGTCTTCACCGTTGAATTCGAGTAAAGTCTTGGGGGTGTAGATGCGGAAGACGGTTGGGGGCGGTCCACGGGGGAGGTCGATCTGCTGCTTCGGTTTGAAGTGCCAGTAGACTAGCACGACGAAAAGGGAAAGGAGGATTAGATTGATTGGAGAGGCGATAGACATCCTGCTGATTGTGTTAGTTGTCTATTTGGGGGCTTCTTGGCGTGGCGGAATTGGGAAAGCACATACACTTCGGCTTGGGGCACGGAGTCCTCTGGGGGGTTTTTTTTACCGGAGTCAGTAAGGATTCGCTCTTGTTGAAGAGATAGAGGGGACATACCTGGCATTTTATCGGGAAGGGTGGAGATTCGATGTTGCTGACGAGGTAGGAAAAGGAAATGATGCATTGCATTGATGACATCTTCTCCCCGCCCCAATCACACGTGACTATTGATTGTGATTGTATATCATCTGCGAATCATTTATGTATTTTACTTTGCAGAAAATGTAGTATTCAATTCTATTTTTATAGGATAAATAGTATGAGTCAGTTGGAAATAAAATAATTCATATTCAATGGGAGTAGAACCAATATCTACAATCAAAAAGGACCGGGCGCTTGCTGATACACATAGTACCTACTATAAATAGTAGTGACAAGCGGTTAAGATTAAAGCGTACCAAAAACAAGCGTAACATGAAACTCCATGAAACCATATCCATATTCCCCCCTCCAGCCCTGTGTCCCTGAATCTACTAGTATTTGACATCTCCACTGGAACAAGTCGCCCCCATTTTTAATTGGAATTTGTTATGCCATTTCCGGTAAGCTTTGGGGGTTGAGTTCTCATTTCCTGTTTGATTTCATCTTTGATTTTGCCATTCCATCCATCCTTTCTTTTCTAAGGTCTTTCACATCTTGGATCTTTGTGCTGACACCCGTGGTCAACCGTCATACGCCTACCTTCATTAGTGTGGATCCGGCAAGCCCCGGCCACTTTTGCTTTCTTTACTTTTTACTACCCAAGTGGTGTTGCTGCATTTGCAATCTTGCCCTCCATTTCTAAGTATCACGCAACGTCGATCAAGATCACCAGCTTATTTGCCTTTTCGATCCTTGCTTATTTTTTGCCCCATCCCCGCGCACTTGGGCATCCAAAACGTCATCCCAAAATTTCCTGAGCCGCAGATAAATATGTGGTCGAAGGGCGGTTTTGGTCGATCGCGACGTGGCATATCCAACCCCACATCGGCTGATAATAACTCGGGGACTACAATAACATCGGACTTGTCAGGTGCCGCGCGTGCAGACTTATCTTCCAAAGATTTGCCTCTTGTGCCCGAGTAAGTGCTATCTGCAAAAACATTTGGGGCCACCAATAGAGATCTAAGTTATTCAAAAGCCAGTCTGAATCGTCTTCCGATATCAACACCGGTGGGGATTTAACAGCGCCCCAGGAGCTTAATGAAAATAGATATTCAGCGGTTTCTCCCTTGGCATCGCCAGAATTAAACATGCGGGACAGCATCAGCAGTTTCTGTGTTTCGCCGATTGACGAATCAAACAACTCACTTCCCCGTACACAGAAGACAACACTGGATTATTTTGGCGATTTCCCAGTAAGCGCAATCAATGTCGAGGATCCCCCATCTCCGCCTGGGCGGACAAAGAAGAAAGTCGTTGCATTTGCAGTGGGAACGCCTGAAGAAATCCCAACTCTGCAGATAGACTATTCTCCCGCAGAGTCTCCCGCATATGAGGAACCGCCTTTTATTCAACCAGTCCAGCATGCGGGTCCCGAGGCTCCCATGTTTAGGGAGCCGCATTATGGGAAATCAGAGCACCCCAGACCAAAAATCAGCCAAAGGCAGAAACAGCATCAAGCACCCCATGAACAACCAAGTAAAGAGCGACAGCATCATTGGCATCCAACGCACTGGGATGCCTTCTCTGGGGAGCCTACGTTAGGAAAAGTTGGAAAGACTGGTGAAGTAGATCCGCAGCAGACTACTTTCCACAAGTCTGCAGCCTCTGCATCAGGCTTTTTAAACTGGGGCCGTGAGCAACTCCAAGCCAAAACGAAGATCGCCCAAGCACAGGCTCGCAGCCGCATGGCTGGCTTCTCCAAACCCGAGTCTCCTCAGCTCAATCAGCTCAAAGATACAGAACCGTGGCTGAGAGACGCCAAAGCTAGACGAGGCTCATCACCCCGTATACACGAGAAAGAGAAGCAGGAGAAGCATCTCAAGCATCCCAGTAACGAACACAGGCGACGATCCTCTCATACCGAGTTTATGCCTACTACAGTGACAACGATCACTGCTGGTGGCGGCCCAAAGACGTTACCGCATAGGCCACCTCCATCAAAGCAATATCACCAACGGCCTCGACGAGAACAACGAGATTTCAAACCATCGCCAAGGCTTGATACATCGATTGACACAGAGCCCTTTAGCGATTCTGGCGTACAGTTTGGTGGTGCCACAATCAAGCCTAAACCTGGCAGTCCTGCTCCCAGTCCCCATGGAAGCCCGAGCGATAGCCCTGGAGATAGTCCGAATGCCCGAGAAAGTCCTCCAGCAATTATCCTCAACAAGCCACAGGATGATCCCCAGGATAGCTTGAACAGTGAACCTAAAGCTGCAGGAGACATTTCTTCTATCATGTCTCGACATCGCCCGACTCCCAACGGAATGCCGATATCAAAGAAGCCAGTTCGAAAGCCAACGCCAGCAGAGACTGCGCAGGACTCAGATACAGTCAAACAGCCCCCCGCGAGTGATCCCCAAGATCCTCTTAGTCGCGTCCAGGCCATGGAGAGCAAACGAGATGAGCTCGGACGACGCCGAATCAATCTGCAAACGGTGATTTCCGAGTTGACTCGTGTCATTCAACCCACTTCTATTGCCTACGACCTTGCTGCCAAGCAAGAAGTGAAAAGAACTGTTCTGAGCATGGAAAATGAGATTGCAGAGATCAAGAGAGAGGAGCATGACCTTGGGTTAAAGATCACTCGAGCATGGAGGCGACTTGATGAGAATAGCAACGGAGACGGTAGTAATCTATGGATCAAGCGCGTAACAAGTTAAGTCATACTTGATGTTGGGGATTAGAAGATGATACTCCAATTATGACAATTTTGGCGTTTTCTTTTCTTTCCTTTCTCTTTTACGACTTTGCATTTCCTTTTTTATGAGATCCGAGCGTATCTTCTTTTGTTGGTGCTTGTTTCGTTTGATTCAAATACCCGGCCATGTAGCTTGTTTTTGTGCCCTGCTTTCTCTGGTGCTGTTTCAAGTTTTCCGTTTCACTTTCTGGTCGTCTGTGATGTATACTTCAATTAACCAATATTTTTGGAAATGTACGTTGATATTGTGTAGCTTATATACTAAGTTGAAGAACATCTGTTCTCTATGGAAGACTAGACCGGATCCTGGCAGAGAATTAACTATTAATCAAAAATCTGCAGGAGTGGCGCGAAGGTGAATAATGTATATTGCGCTTTCATTGGATATATGGATGATTCGTTTGGATCGTAAAATGGATGGGAGACGATTTCCTCCATGTGCTATGCGCCTAGCGACCTTCCATTCCAATTTATTTCTTGCCGGACTTCTTGATACCCTGCTGACCAGTGTTCAGGGGACCCTTCTTGCCCTTGGCGGATTCCATCATAGCCTTCTTGGCCGCGGCATCTAATGCGCTGAGTATTAGCTAGGTGTATTCATAGGCTTAATTATCATGAATTGAGAAAGTACCGGCTCTCTGCTTCTCGTGGAAGGCAAGATCCTCATCATCGAGGTCCTTCTTTTCCTTCTTGGCGGCCTTGAGAGGCTTGACCTTGCCACCTATGTTAATGGTAAGCAATGTATTCATGGTGAGTCAACACACTCCGTATCACGGCCGCGTACCTTCTCTGCTTGCGCCACCCATGATGAGTATGAGGAATGAGATTGATTTGGGACTGAAAAAAGACCGAGGGGAGACGATTGAGGAGGGGGAGGCGTTCAAAGAAAAAAATAAATTGTCCGGGTTTATCAATTCAAGAGGGGAAGTGGCTGACCGCCTACCCGATAAGGTTCTAGAGGCGGCGCTATCTTGAATCCAGAATCCGTTCTGCGCAAACCACGAAGCTTCCTCTCTCAATCACATATTTCCCCCATCAGAGCGTGGATCGCCCCCATCGATCTCTCACGCTCGAATTCAAACCTTCTCAAAGACCCGGCTCTTTAATTATGTGCTTGGGATAATCGAAGCTACACATAGGCTTTGGTGTGAAGGCAGGCCTCTCAAGCCGGTTGGACTTTCAAACATCCCCAAAGATTCATTTTGTCTCTTGAGTTCACGCTAACTGAGCCTCTCTTTCCGAAGCCTCCTCCAAAGGCCGCAAGAAGAAGACTTTAAAGTACCCGCAAGGGAAGAAAAATTGCACCTCGCGCTACTTGGCTGACAGCGCCATCTCGCAAGTTGGGTAGCAATGGCATCATATCAGAGGTCGAGGTCTCCATCGACCCCTTCAGAGGGTGAGATCATCGAGCCAGGCTCAGAGTTGAAGGCAATCGCGTCAAAATCTCCTCTTAATGGCACCAGCGTTGACCGTCCCCCCAGAGATAGTAAATCTGCTGCAACCAGATCCCCTCCACGACGAGGCAGTCGATCACCACACCGAAGAAAGTCATGGACACGGTCGCTTTCACGTTCGCGCTCACGATCCCGTTCTCGTTCTCGTTCGCCATATCGGCATAACCGCGACAAAGGATACAAGCGTAGACGCGACGAAGAGCATGATCAGTACGATAGTCGGCACGCCCGGGTCGAACCCTCCCGTCGCTATGGGCCTCGGCACGACGATAGAAATGATCGCGCGGCCCCACGCCGCCAGAACAAGACATACCATGACTTTGACAGGGAAGAGACCTACGGCGGTGGTCTGCAATACACGGATGAGTACGATCGACGCCGAGATAAGCGTCAACGTACCCGTAGCCGATCTCCGTATCGCGAAGTGAGGAAGCAGAAACAGTATGATGACTCGGAATCCAAGGCGCAGCCAGCAAACCCCAAGAGACGTGGACCTTCATCTAATCAGGCAGTGAGCGAAGGAAAGCCCCCAGCTCGTTCTCGGGATTCCAAGCTTAATGCTGAAACCAAACCAAAGCAGATGAAGCAGGATCTTCCCACGCGTGTTCATTTTGCTGATGAGTATGTCACTTACCATAATAATCTTGCCAAGTATGAAGCTAATGAAATGTACAGACCCGAAACCCCCGCATCAGATGCCGTGGAGGAACCCGATATTTCTGAGCCGATGGACGAAGCTGCTGCCGTGGAAGCTCGCCGAAAGCGTCGTGAGGCTATCCGAGCCAAATACCGAAGCCAAGCAACGCCCTTGCATCTTAAAGCAGTACACGCAGGTGAAGTCGAAACAGATTCATCAACTCCTGGTGCGGATGCCACCAGTGTCCAAGATACAGCGGGTATGTTCCTTGTCCCAACAGACAAGAATCGAAAGCAGGCTGACATATATGAATCCTCATCTATAGAATCCCCACGAACTCCAAATGACGGTTTCCCAGATTTCAACATCGGCCAAGATACGGACTTGGTTAATACCAATGGGCCCCTTGACGAAGATGAGCCTTCCGCTGCAGATTACGACCCAACCATGGACATGAAAGAAGAGAGACAAAAACATGACGGTAGTCAAAGTGTGAAGGGAGACATTTCGTCCGCAACCTACGATGAAACACAGACCGTAAAGCAGGACATTCTCATTCCCGATACCCCCGTTGCCCAACCAGAAGCCCCAGCAAAGGATCCATATGACATGTTCGCAGATGATGACGACGATGACATGTTTGCCGAAGACAAAGACGAGCCTCCAACGCATGCATCAGCTTTGTCAGCCATCCCCCAAGCCAAGGAACTCGATATCAGCATGATGGACAACTGGGATGATCCAGAAGGCTACTACAATCTCCGCATTGGAGAGTTGATCAACGGTCGGTATCATGTTACCCAGAATCTGGGCAAGGGTATGTTTTCCTCCGTCGTACGAGCCACAGACGCCACAACAGGAGGCCTAGTAGCAATCAAAATCATCCGCCAAAACGACACCATGCGCAAAGCCGGAATGAAAGAGATTGGAATCCTAGAACAACTCCACGAAGCGGACCCGGAAGACAAAAAACACCTTATTAAATTCCTCCGCTACTTCGAACACAAAGGACACTTGTGCATGGTCTTTGAAAACCTAAGCATGAACCTCCGCGAGGTGCTGAAGAAATTCGGCCGCGACGTCGGACTTAACCTTCGCGCTATCCGCGCCTACGCTCATCAGATGTTCCTGGGCCTAAGCCTGATGCGCAAATGTAACATTCTCCATGCAGATCTCAAACCTGACAATCTACTCGTTAACGAGCAACGAAATGTCCTGAAGGTCTGCGATTTGGGTTCCGCATCTTCATCATCTGATAACGAAATCACCCCGTACCTCGTTAGTCGATTCTATCGTGCCCCTGAGATCATCCTGGGTATTCCATACGACTACGCGATAGATGTATGGTCTATCGGATGTACGCTTTTCGAGCTATACACAGGCAAAATCCTCTTCACTGGCCGAAACAATAACCAGATGCTCAAGTCTATCATGGAGTGTCGGGGTAAATACCCGCCTAAGCTCCTTCGGCGTGGATCACTGGCTCATCTGCACTTTGACGATGGGCTTAATTTCCATAGCACGGAGGAAGACAAGATTACTGGTCGTCCTGTTACTCGCATAATGGATTTCAAGAAACCGACCCGTGACTTGAAAACGAGGTTGATGGGTAATGGGACGCGTGGAATGTCTGATGTTGAAGTTAAGGAGTTGACGCTCTTTGTGGACTTTTTGGATCGGTGTTTGGGGTTGAATCCTGAGAAACGGATTACGCCTGCTGATGCACTGAAACATCCCTTCATAGCACGGAAGATATAGTCTGCAGAACTTGGTGTCTTGTACGGAATATCATTCTTCTTTCATTCTATGATCGAAATCGTTGTATAGCGTGCTCATAAAAAGGAGCCTTGGAAGCAGTCTTTATTTAGTGTTACATTCGGAGTTAGATTCTAGCAGATTTCCAACTATCAGTTTGTATGTATGTACTTTACAACTACAATGAACCAAGGGGAGTTCAGTGGATGATTAATTTGTTTCAGTACATGTGTATGTATTCATCTTATGGATGCTTCTATTGTAATGCAGAGGAATGTCTTGCGTGTATGATCGTAATGATTCAATGTGATATCTCCAAGTAATTAGTATGATATGGTATGTAGTTGTTCCACATGGGATCTTTATTCAAGCATGTTGCTGATCCCATTCCAAGGTCCTTATTCCAGATATCCTTCTGATACGCAACTGCTGTTCCAAAGATTTGAAATATAGCCTTAATAATGCATATCTATGTGCTCTTGGGATCAAACCCAACACTGGCAAGTGAGACATATCTTAACTTCCGCAAAGTCTTTCGTTGCACCCAGTCCAGCCAGGTTGAATAATGAAAGAAATCGAGAATCCAGACTTGATCATAACCAGTGATCAAGAGAAACTTTCTTCTCTACTCATTTCAAAAATGCAAAAAGAAAATAAAAATGAAATGGGTTCGAGGAAAGCAGATTCACGCTCGAAATCAATCATCATCATCATTATCCTTTGGGTGGTAGCCGTACTTCTTCCAATTTTGTTCAACCCACCAGTTCGTGACGTAAGCGGCATCATAGAGCCAGCGTAGCGCTTCATCGTCATATTCTTTGCGAATGACGGTGGCCAAGTCAGCGAGACTGAATCTTGAAACGGGTTCCACTTCATTGGGATCGGCATTCAGATCGGAGAATCGCCACTCTACATCATTGACGAGCGGGATGACGAGTCGGAATTGGGGCTTCGCGCCGGAACGAACGGCCAGCCATGATCCACCGGTATTCATAACGGTGTACTGCCAATTTTGCATGCCATCTTTTTCCTGGGTGAGGGGACGGAGAAGTGACTGTCCTTCGTAGAGAGAGAGGATATCCTTGGTGGGTTGGATAGATTCCTCGCCGATGGATTTCGACTCGATGAGAAGATCCAGAATAGAAGGCACAATCTGGTTGCTATTGACAGGACCAGAGACCTCTAGAACTGGAAGCTTTGGGTGCGCCAGGACAATGGGAACGGCGAAACTGCCAACGTGAGGGTTATCGTAAGGTGTGATACCACCGTCGTTGGGCAGCGAAAGACCGTGGTCACCTGCCATGACTAGCAGGGTCTCATCGGCGACGCCCTTCTCTTCGAGAATAGCCAGAATATCGGCGAGCCAAGTGTCTTGGTAACCGACAGCGTTGAGATACCTGTTCAAGTCCTCGCCGTGGTTTTTGGTCGAGCCCAGAAGCGAAGCATAGATATCGTTTGGAAGACCCCATGGGTGATGTGTTGTGCCGGTGAGATGGGTTAAGAAGAGGCGCTCATGATCGCGTTCTGCGTCATCAATTGCGTCGCGGATATAGTCGCGAAGTTCGCCATCGATATAGCCATAGTAGTTGACTTCCTTAGTTTTCACTGGGTAGTGCTTTGCACCGGGCTTTTCGATAATCTCCTTTGTGAACTTTTCTTGGTAACCCAGCTTTGGTGTGAGTTTGTCTTGGTTGTCATAGCTGTCAGTGACTGACTGCATCCAGACCGAGTGCCAGGGCCACTGGGTAAAATCATCGGTAGTGTTTGGCTCAGCTGCGATGCCCTTCTGGTGGCTCAAGGTCTCAAAGATGTGCGGTAAGCAAGGCTGATAGATGTCGTATTCCCACTCGCGGTTGAAATCTGCAACGAGGGGCGTCACGCCGCACAGAGTACCAGTCAGACTCTTCAGTGTGTAGGTGGAAGTTGTGTATGCATTTCTGGCACTGATACCGCCATATGCCTTGGGGTTGGAGTAGAGCTTGTCGTCATGCTTGAACCCGGAGTCAAATCCGGTCAAGTACTCAGCGGTGCGAGTGAGGTTGGCAATGAGTTTCTCGACGTCGGCAGGGATCTCATCATTCTTGTGAGTCTCTGCAATGCGATTATAGAGGAAAGAGTCCTTGCGTATGGGGAATGTATCTGCACGAGCGCTCTCTAGCTTCAGCAAGACCACATGCTTAATCTTAACGCTTCCGTCATTCAAAGCACCTCGGATCGACTCCAGAACTGGCTGCTGCAGATTGGAAATGTGCATTGGGTTCTTCTGTGGGCTATAATGCAGGGACTCATTTGTCATAGTCTTCCAATCCTCGAAGCCGGAGCCAGGTTCCCCAGATAACCAATCCCATGATGGCGGGGTAGCCTGCGATGTGCTTTTATCCAAAAATCTATATTCCGAGCGGGGTAAACCAGTGGTATCGACTGGCGAATTCCGGTGACCGCCTTCAAAAAATGAGGCCAAAGGTAAGGTACCCGACAGGTACAGGTACATCGGATCAGGCGGCCGAACTATACGCAAGGTGGCAGCCAAAAACACAAATGTGAGCACCAGGACTCGTGGCAGTAGACGGTCCGTCCGTCGACGTTGCTCTTGAGTGGAGAATTCATGGTCCTGGGAGCGGTTGTTACCCAGCGGGTCGAGTAAATAGTCACCTTCCTCCTCTTCCTCGGCCGAGTCGTTTAGATAATCATCTTCCAAATGAATCTGTTCGTATGTTCGAGGATCGGGTAATGATGTATTCTTTGAATTGGACTTCCGATTATGGAAGCGTTGCAACCAAGGCTCCACGCACGGTCGCAGTCGGGCGGTTAACCAACGGAAGGGCCACGCCAAGACATGTAGAACGCCACCACTAAACGAGTGGATTGGCCGAGCCGTGAAAAGAGCAGCAGCCACGAGTAACGCCTCCCCGATCAAAAAACCGGTTAATCCTGATAACAGAGTGCGTAGTGCGGCCGCATTCCCCGTAAACGTCTTAGCTTGACGCCAGTGGATTTCGGCCCCCGTGAAGACGTAGACCGAGAAATTGGCTGCTGCCATGCCAGAAACGATCAAACTGCATCAGAAAAAAAAAAAGGTTAGATCATTCATTTGAATATGCCCATTTGTTCCCGGATCGAAAAAAAACCCCTTTTTTTCTTTTCTGATTTGAGATTGAAATTTTGAAACAATGTCCCATGGCTCGAAATGAACCAATGACGATCGTGCATAACTCGCATCTCGTAATCGTAATAAAAAAAAAGGGGGCGATAGAGGGATTGGAGAGGGTGGAGATTTACCTGGCAGGAAGAACGAGGATGGCATTGAAAGCCGCAATCAACCCCGTCCATTTCTTCACAAAGATCCGAAACAGTAATAGAATGGCCACATCTTGGAAAAAGAAGGATGGTCCCCAGAGAAGGAATTTCTCAAAGGGAAGAGAATAGAGATGGGCGTATAAATGTTGCACTTTGGCAGCGAATAAAGACCAAAATGCTAATGCAAAGAAATAACGACGCGAAAAGTCCCAGAAAACCTCGAGAATGGCCAGGGTCTTTTGAGGGTTCTGATAGACATGGTTGGCCTGGTAGCGCACGAAGTTCACCACGCCGGCCACCTTCATGTTGAGAAGCACATAGGAGATCTGCTCCTAGGCATATATCTCAATAAAAAAAATATAGGAGGTAGTTAAAAAGGAGAGTGATGATAAGAGAGGAAAAGAAGAGGAACGCAACGACAATGGGAAATGATGTGCTTCTCCCTCTAATAAGACAAGACACGCGACCCTTAACCCAGTCCAGGGTCTCAATTTCTTAAGTGGAAACTCCGCCTCGTTTCTTCCTCCACAATTGGTTCTTGTATTCCCCACTTGGCCCCCATTCGCCAAGATGCCAAGGGCCATTGCGAGGCTGAATGAGTGTCTTTGCCCAAATCAGTTCCAACGTCCGTCCCCTGAAAGGCTCTTGGATTACGCTCCAAAGGGTTCTGTTCAGTTTAGTTCGATCCAGTTGCATATCATCATTTCGCGGCGATTGCATCCCCATTCGTTCCCCCTCAGTTGGTCTCCACTCGTATAGGGAGGGATTTCCGAAATCTCACTCACCCCCACTCCTGCGCCATTCTCCCCCAATCCCCAACGCCAACTCCCTGATCCCTCCAGAAAGGCAACAGCATTCATAATTCTGTTCGGATTTTGGGGTCGGTTGTTGTCACGCGAGACACGAAGTCAAGAGGAATAGGTAACAGTACCTTTCCTCACCCCTCAAATTCTCCCCCCAAAATCACCTGAATCATGCTGCTCGGCGGCCTTTTCAGCTGGCTCTCCTTGCTGTTCGAGCCACTGGCCGATTCAAACGTGCCCCCAATTCAACCACAAGCCCGATTACGACCCGAGAATCGGCCCTGGCAAAACATCATCACTGGTGTATATGGCTATCCCCCTTTGCTCAAAATTCACGATCGGACCGGCGAGATCAGTTGGAGTTTCCGTCGCGAAGATGTCACGCAGGATCTGCCGCCCGCGATAAAGAAATGCCTGTGGGCGCATTCCAACGATGCGACCGAGATCAAATACATGCACGATGGAAAGAGCGTGGGCGCCGTATACGCTGACCTGGCCATGGTCGTCAATCACCTCCCCGACGATCCTGTCAACGATAAGAAGATCACCTTTGCCGTCTGTCGCGACAATCAGTTCCTCTGGAACGCCCACACCGTCGAGGCCTTACCCAATGACCTCTTTGCGATCGGAACCACCGGTCAACGACCCTGGGATGGTATTCTCGTTTATAATGCCAGTGCAGCCAACCCGCTTGTCGATGAACCCCCTATCCTCCAGAATATAACCGGTCTGCGGGCTATTCACGCCATGATCTGGGATGAACAGGAACAAATCCTCTGGGCGTGCGGAACTGATGCAGCCGCCGATGGCTCGGATCCAGTGCCAGCCTATGGTGTCGTCCAGGGGTATCCATTTGATGCAGCGACCGGGCAACTGAGGAAAGACGATCGATATATTTATAGGCTGCCAAATGCGTATACGATCGAGACGGAATGGGGCAAGGGTTATTCGTGGTGGGCTGGTCCTCACGATCTTGTACCTGTACCAAATGAGCGAAAATTCCTTGTTTCGGAGGATCGGGGGCCACATGCGCTTGATCTGGAGACGGGTGAGTATTTCATGGAGTATGAGGATGTGATCGAAAAGTATATGAAAGGGTTCGAAGTGACGACAAACGATCGTCATGGAGTCAACCACACCGATCAGTATGAGGAGTTGCCGTTATCTGATCTGAAGAGCTTCAACCTTGCACCAGATGGCGCCTTCATATATGTGCAATCACTCTGGACCAAGTTCCGTGGTTTCCATATTAGTCTGGTAGTTGATGGTCATCGACGCAAGATCAATTTGGGTGATGAAATGTATCGAGCCCGCTGGTGGGGAGATATGGATGGATGGCCCAAGCCAAAATGATCCAGTATTTGGTCAAATCTCACCCCCGACTGCCACCATGGCATCGGTCAACCTTCTTGTGCAACCATTAGTATGTGAGAACATGTCGACATAGATGATTCCCTATTTTCCCCTTTTCTCTTTTTCTTTCCTTGTCATTATCCTTTCTCTTCTTTTTTCTTCCTTTTTTCTTCTTCTCATCCCCAATTCTCCTGTGTGTTGCATCTTGTTAGTCAATTCTTCTTCTTCTGCTTTTCAAGATCAGTGTTCATCATCGGCCGTTAAAGCTGGTCTAACCCGATGATTGGATACGGCAACCACGATGGAAATGTCGCCTTCCGTCGACTTGCAGACGGCCGCCAACAGCAGACAGTGGACATCTTAAGAACCACCAAGAGACAAGCTTGAGAATCAGTCCCGGAAATGTTGAGATCTTAAATGAGATCGACTGTGAAGAAAGAAAAGAAAAGAAAAGTTTAATTGGGGAATGCGTCTGCCTAAATAATAACTGGCTCATTGTGCAGCACTTCCCATTACCCTAACACCTCATAATGGGGCCAGATCACTTAACTAGCCTTACATTTATACAGCCTTGTCTCCTTTTGGTTCTGGCTAAGCCTCGCAAATGATCCTCGTGGCTAATCAGAAGCCGTCGTTTATAAACCCAAGCATCTCAGGGTCCAGCAGGCCCCACTCCTTCATGACTTGTTTTCTAAGGCGGAGCCTCATCACGCAAAATCAGCTGTGACATTTTGGGCCAAAGACTGCTTTTTTTTCATATTCTGGGACAATTGGCACATACAGAATATAAATAATATGTACATTTTATGGTTGCAAATACTCCAGGGCTTGATGTTTTTTTACCTCTTCCCTCCTCTTTTTTCTCTCAGGGAAAAGGGTCTCGTGATGGATACCCACTCATCTAGCCCTGGGGGCATTCTTATTCGTATTATAGTTTATTTTCAGCAACATAGAGCGAGCGAATACGGCGATTGGGCAGTTCCTGTTTCCAAACTCCTAAATAGGTTAGAAATAAGATTTTTTTCTTCCTGTGTCCCTTCGGTGTCCTTCAATTTTATACTAGTCATTCTAGCCGAGGTATAGCGTCTCCACTTAGAACAAGCAATACTCTAGTAATACTTCAATTAATTGTATTATTTTCCAACTGTATGGTTCAAATTAAAACGTGGCCTCCAGCTCATTTCTGGTTAAAATCAAAATTCCCCGTCTTCAAGTTTTAAAGAGTTCTACTGCTACAGGCTGCATGTCTTATTTAATCACCGACGGCGATTTCCATATAAACTAGGCAAGTGGCAGCCTGTTTCTGCAAGTTTCACCCCCGAGGTTCCCGCTATTATAGGACGGGCTATTCCAATAGCGGCTAAGGTTGAGTTTGGAAAGGTGGCTCAGTTGGTCTTGAAACTACGTTAGGCGTTGCCTCGTCCACTTCCAAACCGGGTAATACCTATTCTATCTTCATACGCATGCCTTCAGGGCCCGCGCTGTGCACTGTTGTCTTCACGTTCAAGTTACGGGCCGCTCCAGCATTGAACTTGAAGATTGCATTTCACCGTCGGCTTTATTTTATGTGGTTGGTGACCCCAGAACCTAGAAACTTGAATAGAGCCCTGGAAGCCAACCTTTGCAAGGCTGTTGTTAGCACTTGGCTTGCTTTCCCTTTCTAAACCTTCGTGGATTGAAAGACAAGGCCTTTCAAACTCTTGAGCAAAGAACAAGCCACGCCATAGGTGATAAAGGGCCCGTGGGGTCCGGCTTTGAGCTTGGAAAGCGATCTCGATGTCTTGCAGATGTTGAGAATTTAAATGATGTAGGACCTCGTCCATGATGATCGTATATAGATTAATTGCGATTCGAGTAGAATAGGATCTTCTGTCTGACAAGGCTAATTGGTTCATTTCTCTTTGATAAATCACTCTTGATTCTCGCACTCAACATTGTCGAGCTTCGTCAGTTCCAGCTCTTCAATCATAAATGGTGTCCCAAAGCACTTCTCACAGCTAGGATTCCTTTGAAATTTAGTTTTCTGCGTGCATGGTCGAGGTTAGTGGCTTATTACTCGGTACTGTTGGCTTTGAGATCATGCCATTGAAGCTGAAGTATCCCAGCATAAAACTCGCCCTCGATTAACTTCGATGGTATATTCTTCTTGAAGAATAAGATCTTGTAGTTTCGCCAGTTGTTTCATAGCCTTAAAAACCTAAAAAAAGTTTCACTTTTGAATCAGGTCGCCAATATATCCTCTGTCAAGGCAGTTGGCGAATAGTTCACCGAAAAGCTTCCAAAGAAAGAGACGAAATCCCAGAAGACCGACAAGGTTAACAAGAAGGAACTTAAGGGACTTGACAAAGTTAGGAATAAGGGCCGAGAAGCAGTTGACAAAATTAAGCAAGAGAAGCTTGACGAGCTTTGGAAAATTGAGAAGGAGGAGTCTAAAAAATTCGATAAGCCGCACAATAAGACGCTTGCAGATATTGATCCACAAGAGATAGCTACTGGAGTCGTACTGGCAGTAGACTGCACCGATGCAGACAGAGGTCAACCTTGATCTCAAGTAAGTTTCCATCGACCTATGAGCTGATTTGTCGTTTTTACAGGATTTTGAATATTACAGTTATATTCCGGGAGTCAGAATAGCCAATAGCCAAATTAACAATGATTCTTAGGGATTCAGATGCGCAAATTGCTCGTTGTAGGCAGCTTATTACTGAGATTGCTTGAAATCCGCTTTTTCTCGACAGATTGAGGGTTCTGCAAGGGCTTAAAAGGCTTCGAGAGTAAGTTACTCGGCTCAAATAACAACATGATACCATCTCCCTAACACAATGCAGGGAATTGAGGGCCATGCACCCTGGGGTCTCTGACGATGTAGCAGATTGATTGAAATTTTTAACAGATCTGGATGCTCAGCTTACCCAGGACGGAGATAGATAACAGGTATCACCTACTATAAATGTTATCATGAGGGCGTATCAGGCGAACAACCTTCAGTGGACTTCTGGGTATGTGACATACTGGTCGAGAGGAAGGCAACTTTGTGAACCAAGGCTTTTTGACCGGCATGAATACCTCGTTTGGAACAAATTACATGCGGGCTGGACTGGTTTCTGGGTCGAAGGGGTATGTAACATGTACTATGTCATCATTCTTAAGCTCAAAGACATGGAAGACCAATGCTGACATGGTATTTCTTAGCTTTGAGAATCCCTACCTTCGCGCAGGTTTTGGAAGAAAAGAAAGTGTTGGCCTACAAAGTTCAGGGGCCCATCCGTCCCAGGGCTCTCAGGAGGGGGCATTGCCAATGTAAAGGTACTTTTTAATCTAATTTAAGGACATGATTCTTCTAAAATGACTTCTAATCTCCATATTTTAATCATAGGCCCCAATTTCCCTTCGGTGCATTCTAGCACCGGAAGATGTAAATGATCCACCTACTGCAACAAACTTCGATCCCGAGAAATCTCAGAGGCTGAGGGATTAACCTATTCACCACAGCCATGTTCCAAGGGTTGCAGTAGCCGCGGAGTTTCCACACGCTGGTGAAACAAACATCAGAGGCGATCTCCCAAATTTACCAGGTCCCCAAGCGAGTATGCCACCTGACGCGCGGACTCCATATAAACACATGTTTATTAGGCTAAATGATGACACTGAATCTGATATTCGTACCATAATGGAGAGGGATAGGAACCACCTGATAAGCCAGACCATGACTGGCGTTTATCAGTCCCAGCCGGATGCACCACCGCGTCGTCCCGGCACACCTCTTCTTCGTTATATCTAGGTTATAAGTGCCTCGGGGATTTCCTATTTTGAACCGGTTACAGCTTTAGAACAAACTGCCGAAATGAAGAGGGCGGACTTATGCTGAAAAAACGGGATTTCATAGAGGTTGCTATATCACCTAATAACAATAACCTTTCCGTTGAACCCATACGGTTGCTGGGGCCCTGGTTAAGGCACAGGTTCTATACTGCGACATGTCCTGATAACACCGGGCGTCTTTATATCTTCTTGAAGGCACGGGGATTTATGTCGGTGAATCGTATAGGAAAAGATTTCGCGGGTACGTTACCACCATTGTCAGTCAGCCAGCGTCCGCCAGGTGATGGTGGTGGGAATAATGGCGGTGGTGGTGGTGGTGCTGTAGATCGTAGGTATCTGAATTGATATGGATCATCGACATTGGTATCATCTCTATCGGGATTATGGGCACTAGCACTGGATCATCGACAATGACTTTGGACTAGGGAAGGGCGCAGTGAAGCCACCACAAGAAATTTTAATCTCAATAAAGCTGTGCGTGCTAATTGGCGATATACTTATGTTTATGCTTTCACCTACTTTATTACTTTGCTACTTTGCTACTTTTCTACTTTTCTACTTTTCGTCGGGGTCTTGCTAGGTGCTAAATAGATAATTCATTCTCACTTTGTCACTTCTGGTTCAGGCGAGTTGAAGAGATGACAATCACTTAGTATATCATATTATCACTATTTCATTAAATTTCATTGATAACATTTGGTACTCCTTTATACCATAGAGTCCATGGGCATTTATATGGTTTGAAACGCATGGCAAATTATTACTGGGCAGAGTCGGTAGTGACTCGGTTGAATCATATTGACACTGGATAAGAATTATTAGCAATTGATTATAGTCCAGAGTTGGTAGTGAACTTGGTTAACACCTATTGACATTGCCTAAATAGCATCGACACCACCCTAGATAATATTGCCCAGACATCGCTCAGATCAAGCTATATAACCATTAACAGCTTGTCAAGAGTATTGACCAGCTTGTTACGATCAATAAGAGTTTAGTGAACCCGGGTGACGACCCATTGATATGATTTAAAAGGCATTGAAATTGCCCGGATAGTAGTAAGATTGACATAACATAAAACTCCTCAGCAGAGCGCACACAGTCCGTAAAAACTACTTGAAGTTTACCCACTCTACAGCATTTGAATAGTTAAACTGTATCTATTTTTCAACAGTAGCCTCCCACTATATCCATTTCTTATATAATACATAGAATCACAAAATAAGATACTGGTTTCAAATTGAATAGCAAGAGCCGATTGATTTAGGTAGAAACACCGTGACGAGCTTGAAGCATGACGGACACTCGAGCTACTGCCAGTGAGAGTAGTTTGTTGGCACAGTCACTCCATACCCGAGATTAATTTTCGATTAATCACTCCTAACAAGCTGAATTCCATGGAATAAGATGGATGTATACTCCTTACATGTGTACGACATCATAGTATTACCCGGCAAAGTAAAGGGATCGCTACTGGCACTTCGCTAGGGCATCGAAGCAGTCAATGTTTAGGCAGTTCTGCTCAGGTGGGAACGCTACTGCATGTAGGCAGCTAGAGGTCCACCACACCTGGGTAGTAGTAGTAGCAGGAACAAAGAAATCACCTGGGCAAAGGAGGCTCAAGGACATGGAGATATATCCATCCAATAGCAATCCATCAAAAATCGGCCAACCACTGACCCAACCCGGCCGGACCAAAACTTGCCAGCTCCACCGTCCACGCAGCTAAAAGAATGCAGAGTGAGGGGAAGGTTCTAGATCAGCAGTGCTGACATCAACGGATCCAATTGAGCCCACGGTGGAGGTGAGCTGCCACGCTCATCTTGATCTCATTCCAGACCGAAGTCTGATGCATCACATCACAAACGGCCGCCCGTTATCCAACGCGTGGTTCATCCCTTTCCTGCGATGGAGCACAACTGTAATCACATCACAAGCACGGCACCAATAACCAATTCATTCATTCGGTATGGATGGAGTCCAGAGTTCAAGGTATGTAATGCTATTATTTACTAAGCCAGTCGGAGACCCGGGGGAAGGACGCGAAAAGCCAACTACGCATTTCCTGCCAAGTTAGTGCAGCACTTAGTTAGTCTTGCCCCTCACTGTGTGCCATGTTTTCCGAAACAATGGACAAATGGGCATATTGTGTGCTGGGAAGATGGGGTGGATGGGAGCCGATTGGGCAGAAGAAAGGAAATTGCGTACCCAGTGAGCTGGGCTGAGGTGAATACGAGAGAAGTCAGGGTTGAGGAAAAAGGCAGCTAAAGGCAAAAAGGAGGATTGTGAATGGAGGAGTGAGGCTAAAACCGGCGATGCATGGCGTTTGGAGAACAGGCAATGTACCGAGTGGATATTACAATTGTAGTCTACTATAGGATGTATGTACTCGGAATGATGTGGAGAGAGCAATAGTTTGGTTTTGTACATGTGGTGTAGGATGGGTGGCGCGAATTGCATGCGGTGTACATGGGGGTACATGTACGAGGACGATAACAGATTTGACTACTCCATATGGATATGTAGCATTTCAGTTCCAACCCGTGGCGGGCTGACTTTACTCTGCAGGGATAATTCCAAGGAAGACAGGTGGGAAATTAGATTGTTGTTTCGTGTGGATGAGTTCTCGAAGGCGAAGATCTCCGCGTTCCATGGTTGCCACCCCTCTAGTGGCAAAGGTATCCGGGAACGGAGGAACAAAGCTTACAAGGGCAAGTTGAAGGATTATTACTCCATGTTCACATTCTCATTCTCATGCTCATTCATTTTCTTGGGGTGTTGATGATGTCGATATGTGTTTATTTTGTGGAGCAGTGAATCTTGATGACTCCTCCTTTGAGAGTTGTTTTTCTTCCCCTGGCAGTTGGCATTCTACGCCTCCATGCAGGGCCGATGATCTACTAAGACTGGAATTTGCGAGGATCCGCACGGCAGATAAAGCATAAAGATAGTTTGGGACAAATATGGAGCATACGTAGTAGAGTGCTTAGTATTACCGTTGACCTTGATCGAATGCATTAAACTATTGAGGAAGAAGCATAGGACTGGTAATATTCTAGGTAGCGGTGAGGAAGCTATATCTTCATATTCTCGGAAGCAAGCGGTTCAGCTGCATTGCCAATCCTGGGGTGCAGCAATGAGTCGATGTGATGCATCGTGCAGATCATGTGATGCTCACCGCAGGTTGACTGGTCTGTCAAAGGGGGAGAAATGATGGGACGCTGTGTTATACTCTGGAGGACTCGGTCCGGTTAGTCCCGGGGATGAGGGACAGGACAGCCTTTTGGAAAAGGATGCAAGAGCCCGAGGGACATACGTTAGAGGGGGAAGAAGGGGGCAGGGAAAGGCAGAATCCTGCCCCCGCTCGTCCTTTTTCCCATTTCCCATTTCCCAGCCACCTTCTTTGCTTTTTTTCTCACTCTGACACAGACTTAGGCGCCTTGGTGAGTCGCACAGGGCGTGATGCATCCGCCCCCGAACACCACCCACGTTGGACCAATCAGTCAGAAACTGGAGTCACAGTTTGCCCAGGGTCTGCAGGCCCGTGCCACCAACGAAAGCCGGGAAGAAGGATCCACTCGTTCTGTTTTCGAGAACGGTGTCGAATGCTCTGGTTGGCCACAAGACCCCTCCTGCATCGCCTCACTTTTCGTTGGTGGTCGGTGCTTCTTGGTTTAGAGCTTGAGGAATAGAGTTGGGGCCAAACAGTAATTAATAGCATACTCCGAATGGATCCTTCTCCAGTCAATCATAATCCTGGTCGGTAGGCAGAAAAGCAGGGCCCCCTGCTACAGGTGAAACGGAACACGGAACACGGTTGAGAAATTATGATTATTCATTGCTATTATTTTCGGCCAACAAGTTTTTGTTTTGTTTTTTTTTTTTGTTTTTTACAGGAGGGTGGAGCAGGGCGTTATGGAGACACAAGATGCATTCAATAAGCATCCATGTGGGAACGGGATGAGGTGGCGGAGAGGTCTCGAATCATTTCAATCATGCTTGCCACAGTCCTCTGAGAGTACGCATGCAATAAATCAGGAGGGGAAACTTGGAAAGTCAAATTAAAATTAATAACGAAAATAATAAAATTCAAACCGAGAATCTTCCTTCTATGACAATCCATTCCTAACTGTTATAAACTGCACAAATCAGAATAGGGGGCAACAGAAAAGTGTAGCAAAAGATGCCTTGGGACCCGCAGGTGGCGCCTGCAAGTTGGTTGAAGAGGAGCCCTAGTGGAGGCAGTGATTGGGTGGGGCCCAGACAACTCGTAAACTAGTTCCGGCACTAGTGCAGGCTGCACACCGCTCCCTGGAGCCACGGTGGCCTGGCCTTGTCCACATGGACCAAGCCCACGACTCGACGCATCATCGATATTTTTATCGCCCCTCCCTTTAGGATTTCCCTCTGATTTATTATTATTATTATAATTTTTAGGGGAAATATTCCTTATTTTTATTTGGTTATTATTATACACCTACACAACTCTATCATCTTTCCCTTCTTTCCTCCTCTTCTATACATATTCTTCTCTTCTTTTTTATATACTCTCCTTTGCATCCTTTTCTGGTTTCCCGCTTCTTGTGCTCTCTCTCTCTCCCTCTATCTTCCGGGTCTGTTTTTTCTTGTTTGGATCTTACTATACTACAACACTCTTACCCGCCACCACTTTCCGGAACTTCTATATTCGCCCCCTACGGATCTACCTACTTCGTGGAATGGCCTGCCCTTGAATGCCGTGGGATTTCTTTCGGATACATTTTTTATATAATTCCCTGGACAAAAGCCACTGGATCTTATTTCGCTACTCGCATCCTTAACCCCCTTAAGGATTAGAGGATTATAAACAAAAGGACCTCGAACCGTTACCGACTTGGATCTTTCCCCGTCGTCTTATCTCCATACTTCCTCTCTGGACTCCCCCTTATCTATTTTACTTCCGGATACACCATGTATCCCACTATGCTTCCCACACCACCTCCTTCTCCCCAACCACGTTGCTTTTCTCCCGAGGACCGATTAGGACTTATCTTGGCCAACCGTCTGGAACTAACCGGCATCCTGGGTGTCGGAGCTTACGGAGTAGTCTATACCGCCGTGGATATTCACACCAACATCTCCTATGCTGTTAAGGCCTTGAACAAGTCCGGGCTGGATCCCCGACAATTAAAGTACCAGCAACGCGAGATTCGCCTCCACCATTTGGCCAGCCAACACCCTAATGTCGTCTCCCTGGTTCGCATTATGGACTCCATGGACTGTACCTACGTCGTCATGGAATACTGCCCGGAAGGTGATCTATTCTCCAGTATCACCGATAAAGGCAACTATGTGACCAATGACCCATTGGTTAAGCGTGTGTTCTTACAGCTCCTGGATGCCGTACAGTTCTGCCACTCCATCGGAATCTACCATCGGGATCTCAAGCCCGAGAACGTCCTGGTGACGGATCAAGGCATGACTGTCAAGTTGGCCGACTTTGGCTTGGCCACTACGGACTACTTCACCTCGGATTTCGGATGCGGATCCACTTTCTATATGTCGCCTGGTAAGTTTTATATGGAACTTGTATCGCATTAATGATCTTCAAGCTTTCCCCCCTTACCCATATTTCTTTCCCGCCCGGACAACAGCCTAATTTATCCCAAACAGAATGTCAACAGACCAACCCCCGCCCCATGTCTTGTTACGTCTCCGCAGCCAATGACGTCTGGAGTCTTGGTGTTATGCTTGTCAATCTAACATGCGGTCGCAACCCATGGAAACGGGCCTCCACCGATGATTCCACTTTCCGGGCATATCTTAAGGATCCCTTCTTCCTGAAGTCTATCCTTCCTCTATCTACGGAGATGGTCTGTATTCTCAGCCGCGTCTTTGAACTTGACCCTTCCAAGAGGATTACCATACCGGAGCTACGCCAGTTGATTGTGGATTGCCCTCGCTTTACTGAACAACCCCCTGTGGCCCCCTGGGTGCCGGACCAGATTCCGCAGGCCGACTACTTTGGCCAGCCCCAGATGCCTTTCATTCCCGTAGAGCCCCTGCATGCCCAGCCTTCTGGGTCATCATCGGATTCTTCACACTACTCTGACTTCTCCGACTCGGCCGTCTCAGACGTCTCGGCCCTTACTGAGGATTACACCGACTACAACTGCATGTCCCCTATCGTTTCGGAGCAGGTGCCAGACTGCAAAGTTGTGTTCCCTCATCCCATCTGCGTGGACCAATCGATCCCCGTGGATATTTTCCCTGGACCTCCTATCCCGGTCTGTTAAACCTGAGATCAACTAGACCGATCTTCTGATTTGCTACTTCCTACCTACTTTATCACGCTTATTACACGATCCACACGCCTATTACCTTCTACTACCATGTTGAATCGCTACCCACCTTCGGAGTTTTTTGATTTCGAACTATATCTCGGGAGACTTCGCTATCTCCTGTTGTCCACTTGGAGTTTTTAATAGCTGCACTACATCGACAGGCTGCTTCTTTCCCACCTGCTTTTATTTTTTCCCTGGACATATTCCTATTCTTTCCACTGGATTATCCGGACTTCCTTGATTTTCCCCAGGTTCCACAATCGTGACTATACTTGCATTGTCCACCGGATGTAGGCCACTTGTGATCATCCTTTCTCAATGGCCATATCCCGTTTTTTCCTCCACGGTTGATCCGACCCTGACTTTCTACTGTTTTAATATTTCCAACACATACCAGGAGGCTGGCCACAGTGACTTCTTTGTTTTTTTGTTTTGTTTTTGTGGTTTTTTTTTTTTTTGCTTTGAAACTCTGAAAATATTGGATTATCTATTAGGGAGGCATGTTTTGAACACATAGTCCCCAAGGCGGGGCGAATGTTTTGTTTTCAGGAAAGGTCGTTTGAGGCGTTGTAAGCTGGAACATACCAGCTGGCTGTTGATTTTTGCTTTTTGGATAATCTCCTGTTTCATCCCAGACAGATCTACAATGATCCATCTGTTTTCTTGCTTATGATTTATGGGTGGTTTTGTCTCGGCTGTTTATTTAATGTTATTTGCATATTGTGCATAGATTTGCCTCAGCATGGATTGGATGGGGACTTTGGGGCTTTTTCTGGTTTTACGATATGATACCTCGGACAATGGAGCGATAATTGATTGCATCGCCCAACATTCAAATGTTTACATTCTACTTCAAACTACAATTTTGACTTGGCATAATTCTACTTGTTTGAAAAGTCTTCCTTCCCTTGTGTAACTTGACCCTGTTCCACAGCCAGCAAATTCGAGAGCCACAACATTGCAGATCAACTCGTTCGTGTGGATTCTTTTATGTGGTGCGACCGTGTGATTCATTGCTGCCCAAGTGAGACGTGCGGCGTGTTCGAATGCTGAAGCACCAAACCGGACAGACAGTGGAGTACAGTGGGGTCCTCTCCTATCCTCCCCTCTCCTCGGCTTTCCTTTTCGATTCGCAACTTCGCAGTCTAGGTCTTGCGGAAGTGTAAATTGCTGCTTATGCGCTGGCTGATTCGTCGGCGTCCGCGTACAGATTAGAAAAAACCAGCGCAGTATTGGTGCATCTTACTCGCGCTGAACTGTATTGCTATCCATAATCCACTCTTGACCTCGCAACAGCCGCATCCTGCGACATTCTGGACCGGGGTATCGTGTTCGTCTTCGTTGGGCACTTGTCTTGGCAATTTTTGTGTTGTTGCATGTTGAAGCGAAGAAAACACCACTCCTGCAGCTGTCTCCGAGTCCTTATTGGGTTCGAAGTTCTTGGCCCGCTTTTGCTTAAAGGTGCATATGCTTTCCCTGCCTCTGCATAAGGCCTGGGTGACCCAGGCTGCCATTCTTTGGGTAGGAGTAACGCATTCACTTCCTCGGTAAGAGGCTCTAGCAAAAACGAAGTCTTAGAAGTAGATAGAAATCCACCAATAGTATGAATCGGAGTGTGAATGAATTGGAAATAAAATGCCAAAGAGGATTCCAAGCCGCGAGGCGTAGTATTTACATCAGTAAAAAGACTTGACTATCAATACATATTTCTATTCAAGATCCACAAGTAGTCCTAGCGAACGCCAGTGGTATAACCGGATTCGACAAAAAAACAATTGGGTATTATCTGTCGAAACGAAAAACAGAAAAGGAAAAGAAGACACGCAAGCGCCCTGGAAAATGGGCTCCGTATGCGCCAAATCATAAAAACGTAAGAGATAAATAATATGTATTAATAAAGCAGCCGCATTTCATGAAATTCCGAGTCCCCTCCTAAGGAGTTTTTATCCAGTTGAATAGTCATCTGCTGACCCTCTGGAATGTATTGAACAAAATCATCATCAACCAATATTTTTAGATCCTTTTCGCTAACATGAAATATATCCAAGTCACTCGATGGAGTGATGCCGTATTTCCTAGAGATTGCTAGGGCCAAGCCTTGTGTTGTGCGCTCTGACAAGTAGACAGCACGGTAAACCTCAGGCTGTTGAGAAATTTCCAGCATAAGCCGAACGTAGAAGCATGCAACTATGAGATTCAATTAGATATTTGTGAGAAAGTAGAACGGGGTCAACGAGCATACTGAATGTGGGTGGCTTTGTGGACACATAATTAATTTTCTCATTGTCTGAATCACCTGGTGTGAAATGTTCCGAACCAGAACCACTATCCTTAGAGCTGGGAGTTGGCATATGTGTCGGTGAGACCTCTGAGCGGAATTCATTGCTTTGAATATCCGGCATATGAACCGCATATAGATCTGGGTCGTCTTCCTTGCTTCCACGGAGCGCTAAGATGGTTCTAGGCTGAATAGAAAGAGCCATATGTTCCAGTTCGACAAGCTTCGAATCAAGTCCATCATCGCTTTGTTTCATCTCAACCTTTGGTGCACGCATTGCTTCCAAAGCGGGATTATTGAGCTCAGGAACTCTGCCTCTCTTGCGCTTCTGCGCAACTGGCTTCAGTGTAGAACTAGCCATTTTATGCTTCAGCTTCTCAATCGCCTTATTCAGATTCCCACTGTCGTTGGACATTTTGCGTTCAGCACCATGGTCCCGGAAAAGCTGTACTCTGCAGAAAGAAATCTCTGAATCTTCAGACCCGGGATAATCGACAGGGGGCATCAATTCCTGCGTCTTCACACAAAGACGGATAGGTAATCCCTTCACCCCCTTTGAGCGGGTGAAGTCTGTCGACAGGAAATGTAGTCGAACCGAGAGGTCGAAAAGATTGAAACCCGCAGCAGGGTCCATTGTCCAAGTGATGCAGAAGCCATCGAAAGATTTTTGCTCAATCTGACATTGAAATCTAGGATTTGCAGCACCAGAAAACTCAACGGCAAATGGCACGCTTTCTTTTCGGGGATTATAGTTCATGGCTCTGGCCTCTCTCCACAGTTGCCAGCAGGCGGCTGGGTTCAATCTTGCATCCTCCTTATCAAATGTTACTCGGACAAAGGCTCGGTATCTTTTCGCTTGTCCACCGGTCATTGAGGGGTTTGAATCCATTATTGACAACTTATAAGCTTGTCCCTTGTTCAGGTAGCTTAGTGTTGGATCTTCGCTGTTCCGTGTCATCGCAGTTGGGGCTGCTAGCGTAACACAATATCGAAAGCTGCAGACACGAAAGACATACATTAGTATCCAAGGATATCGAAGAAAAGGAAGAATAAAAGTAAACTCACCCCTCATTCTGCCACTTTTGCAAAGACTCATCTCTTTGGTTCATGGGTAGAGACACAGGGCTGCTACCAAAATGCGAGCGCTCATTAGATGGATTCATCGTTTCATAGCCTGAATCTAGATGAGGAAGAGGCATATTCATTTTCATGTCTGTTTCTTTATCTATTTGTGGATTGCCCCATTGCTGTCCCACAGAAGACATATTAAAGCGAGAGTTCCAAGATTCATTTTGTGAAACACCCGAAGAGCTCTCCGGCAAGGAATAGATATCTTCCGTTTGCGCAAGGTTTGTGGGAGAGAATTGTTCATCATCTTGATATTGCGCAGTTCCAGTCATATCCAGGGGGTCCATGAATGGCAAAGCACTAACGGGATCGATTTGGGTGGAATTAAAACCCGGGTTAAATACTTGCAAATCATTCGGGCGAGACGACATGTGGGGCATAAAGCCCGGAGCATATGCTGATGGGTTATTCATTATACTCTCTAATGGGCTTGATTTGCTACTTGTAATTAGTTTGACGATTGCAGGCGCTTCTGTATTAGATTGCATACCTTGTAGATTGGCCTTCCTTGTGATTTTGAGTGTCGGAAATTGGAAAACAACCAGCAAACGCATTATGAAAGTTGTTCAAGAGCTCCTTACTCGGCTTGTGTGAAATTCTACATCACAAATCAAAGTCATACGTCAGCTGCCACATGATCTTGAATATTCTTGGGAGATAATGCGGGTTTACCTATTATGAAGCATGGTCGTCGCAGTTCTTGGGCACCCTAATACTTGAAAGAGGGCAAAGAGAAAATTAGGATATTATCAACTACATATAGTATTAGTATTTATCAACGTCATATGTATTTTGTGGTTGCAATCAAGCTCCATCGAGTTTGAAAAATGTGACCAATAGCGGACTTTTATCGCAAATCGTATAGTAAAACCAGATTTAATACCTTGGGAACCTACAGCCCAACATCAAATAATAATGGAATTTAGGACATTTCATATCTTTGATGACGTGAATAATACCCAAAGTGGTAGGACTTGACAAGGGATTCATATCAAAGGCGCTGGAATGCTCAACCACGATTGGTCGGTTAAAAGTACCGTATAGCTACGCCTTCCGCGTTCGGAGTATTTCTCCCCTCGAGTTGGAGCCGTATCGTTGATGTGGGGAAAGTCGTTACTGCGGGTCCCAGGCTATTCTCCGCGGCCCACTGGTTTTAGATTCTCATCCCAACTGTAACTTACAGTATACACGTCACACACCCAAGGGGTTAGTTTGGTCCGAGATTATTGTAAATACCTACGCATAAAAGTGATAATCGATGTCCCGTCCTTTCCTGTTCTCCCGTCAATTGCTGTAGATTAACCCCCCCCCCCCCCCAAAAAACGTGAGAATGTCTCCCCCGGGAAAGCGAAACGCCCTGAGCGCAACCGTATCGCCGCAAAGAAGTTTCGAGAAAAAAAGAAGCATGAGTGCGCTCAACTACAAGCCACTGATGCAAAATCAAGCGTTCAAGAGACCGAGGTCGATATTTTACAGGAAGAAATTTGGCATTTCAAAAATCAATTGTTTACGCATGCACATTGCGAGGATCAGCAAATCGGTTTGCAACTCCGTGGAATGGCCAACTAATTGACGAGAGTGGCCGACGATCCATTCGAGTACCCTTCGACACCAGTCCAGTCTAAAGTACGCCCTGATATGACCTTGGGGACCGAGGATGGGACAAAGTGGGAAATTAATGGGACCGAGTTGTTCGATACCTTTCTGGATTTACCTTCAAATGTTGAAGTGTATAATATAAGCGATGTTTTCTAAATAAAAAGTCGTCTTAGTTGCGTGTCAAAAATGGATCCTAGATGCTGGACTTACTTGATGTCATCGACTTAAAAGATCTAGCATTGTACTGTATGCTATGCATGCGTGTTACAAGGTCTTATTTGTATGCATGACGGGCTGTAAAGGGTATGACCAGGTCACAAGTAACATAGGAAGTGAATTATTATCAAACAATCATTAAAGATCTTTTGTTGAAAAGAGCGGGGCTTATCTACCAAAAACCGACCATTAACAAATCCCGGAGGCTTTTCGATACGTATACGTAGCGCAAACTAGGTAAGTCACGTAGACCTCGGATTTAAAGTGGATGGATTTATTGCCCGTGTCTCCTGTTTGATACAAATTGAAGATTGAATGGAAATCTCCCCTCAAACCCCTGCATCGGACGAGTACTGTACATGCACGCTTAGCTACGTCCGTGCGCGCTGTGATTGGCATCCGGATCGACCGGGAGAAAGAACCGACCAATCATCTGTTAGAACCTGATGACCTGTGGAGCCCCGAGGTCGCCAACAACCAGCCTGCTTCAAGGCACCATGGAATTTGGATCATATTTTTCAGGCCCAAAACTTTTACTACGTGGTATTTTATGCTTCCTTGGATATATTCATCAGCCACCTATGTCATGAATGAGAAAAGATGGGGTGGCTCCTTAAGCTTAACTTTCAAATGTTGTGGACTGATACGTCATTGTACGTCCCCCACGGGTTATATTCTAAGCAACTAACATTTCACTTACTAAGTAAACATAAAAACATAGGATTCCTTGGAAGGGGGGTTCTTTTACTGCACCAGACGAAGGCAGAATAAAAAAAATGCATGTCTGCCAGTGCAAGTCTCTTAACGAGTGCAGACTATGCATTTGACCTTATTCAAACAAAATAACGCACCACATTGACGTGAACATTACAAAAACCACAAAATTCCAACACAAACGTAATAGCCCAGCTACAGAATGCTATACGAAGAACCCAACGCGCCAGTACACCATGTCTCAATCTGAGCAACAGTAACACCCTCTTCACTAGCAATGGTGGCGCATGTATCACCAGTACCCACTATATAGATTAATCACAGTTGGTGATCATTCCATCCTGAATGGGCGTAGGAGTAGTAACTACGTTTACAGACTTAGTAATACTAGCGGCAACGGCAGTAGTAGTGCTCGTAGCGGTGTAACCGATGATATCGATACAAACATAACATCTAGACCAGAGACTGGCGCAGCTGCTTCCTACAGTCGGGCCCCAAGTGTAACAGTTCGTCAATGCGATGCCAGCACATGTATCACCAGATACAACAAGGTGGAATTGATCACAATCCGAAACGATTCCACTCTGTACGGTAGTTGGAGTTGGAATTCCGTTCCCAGAGGCTGTGGCTGTTGTTTTTGATGCGCTGGTAGTTGATGTTGATCCAATGACACCAATGCATGAACATAATCTTCCACCCATAGAGATGTGCAGCCAGTGCCAACTGCTGGATTCCAGGCATAGAAATCAGATAAGGAGACCCCGGCATAGGCGACAACAGCTGCACATGTATCTCCCGTCTCTACCAGGTGGAAGGTATTGCTGCTGCTGGTCATCCCTGTTCGAATGGGAGATGGGATGGTGATGCTGTTACTGGAAGTGGTCGTGGAGGCCGTTGCGGTTGTACTACTAGTAGCTGTACTATCTAGAATATAGTAGCTGGATCCCGGAGTTATAGAACAAGAGCCATGTTCGTCGAATAAAAAACAATCCCTATTATTCAATGTTTTAATCTGAAAATAGTTAGAGGTCACATCCATTCAAATATTGCTCTGAGGGATCGGAAGGCTCGGTAAAATAAAATAGAATCCCCAGAGCCCTGGATCCATTAGACCCGTGGACTGATGCAGCTAGGATAATGCACTGCACGGAGAAACTAGCACTAGTGGTGTCCGCGCCAGAACCTCGCAGCTTGACAGGCTAATTACTAGAGAAATATCAGCCAGACTACCGAATTACCCGTCACTTTAGATATTTCGAGTTTTTCGGATACTTTGCGGAGTGCATAGTTGCCTGGAAAGTATTTACCGCAGTTTCAATTACAAAATACTTATTACAATACCATCTATCTGTTTTCACGACCTCAAAATTATATGCTAGTTATTGCTGTTGAAACAAGACCCGTGGCATATAAAATCCAAGTTAAGGAAGTATATCCAGTTCTACCCTGAGAAGGCAGGTTTGGATAGTATGACTCCGTACAAACTCCAGTGACATTAAGGTCCCATGATGACAGTTTGACCACTGATGAAGTGCACTGGTAATATTGCTTACTTCTGAATCCTCCAGCCGAGCAGCACATGGTGTACGCGAATCCGATGCAGAATCCGAGATCAATGCGCATGCGTCTCCGTTCGTATGATGCAACTTGACCACCGTGTTATTCAATATCTCCTCAATCTCGATATTAACAGGCATCGGACAAGTTTCGGATTCAAAATCTGGCTGTTTCCCATCCGATGTGGTAGTAAAATACATCTCACCACTAGGGGACTCATTTCACTGATCTGCTGAATAAGATCCGTTTATGTAGGAGCAATTCCAAGAAATACTAAGTTCCCAATACAAACGCCAGACACCTTCTTTTTGATTCGTGCGCGACGTGTGGTTGATCCAGAAGAATGGGTCGGTAGAAGGACTCCCCGAGCTTACGTAGGAGTTGCCTCTTAAGATATCATTCGAGTCGAGATGGAATAGGCTGTACTGGATCGTAGCACCCAGTTACCATGCCAAGTCGGCGTTCTGGGCCGCTAGTACAATAGGGAAAAAAGCCAGTGGGGCATAAGTGTCGTTGCGTGGGAAGACCAGGTCTAGTTAGATTGCTTGGGAAGCTGCAAGGCTAGTTGAGATGACAAATCCCACTATAAGCAGGGCGATTTGATTTTTGTCATATGGCTGGGTTGGGAATCTCATTATGGGAGAGATGAAAAGATTTGGAGAGAACGAAGTGATGCATTTGCAGGTATGGAGTATATGATGAGTGCGGAAAGAGATGAATTAACCCTCCAAAAAGTTCAACTACTGTCTCTGTAAAGTTATGCTTCTGGCTGTAAATTATAAGCGAGTGAACACCAGTGAAATCAACATGGGGCGACCCTAGAGTCAGATTGGGTAACTAACCAATATGATATCATTCGTTCATGTGTGTGATTACTGGGCACAAAGCAACCACGTTCAGTCCTCCCAAGGCTAATTTACGACGGATATCTCCGCGCCAAGCTAGAGGGGATTTACTCTTGTGATCACAGGTGCCACGAAGACGCTCATATCCAATTACCGAGAACAACTAGATCATGATCCCTATAGATGAGGCCAACTACGCATCTTGGACGGTCTTGATTAGGTAGGAACCATCTCTCCTCAAAGTAAACTCCGGAGCTTTTGATGGAAATTATATTATCCGTTCAACTCGAAGTTCAAGTTGTCTGCTAATATATATAGCATAAAGATAATTCAACGGTATCTAGGTATTCATCACTAATTCCGAAGTTTTCACCTCCACTTGACAATCCATCTATTTTAGGGCTGAGCGAAGGATTGGAGGCGCAGATGGCCCAACTGGAAGTCGTCTTTAGACTGGAGCCCTGTCCCGCGAGTCCGCGACCTTCTGTTTGCTCAAAGTATCCAACGACTAGTTTAATGCATACCAGCCAGTGACAACCTTGGAAAACAATGGAAACAGATGTGACTTTGGGAATTGTCTCGCTTGTTTCCTCCAGACTTCTACGCGAAGTTTCTGGCAACCAGAGAATACCCCACACCAAGCCTATCAAAGCAACAGCAAAAAAGAACCAAAATGTGCCGATTGGCTGCAAGGCATCTACTAACATCATGCTCGGGAGGACCTTTTGTCGAAATTTCACATTAAAACAGCTAATTGGGCCACAAGATTAGAAGACTCACCTTGACTAGAGCAAACTTATTGGCGTAATGGATACACATTAGGAGGCTTGTCCCAAGAGTACGGACAGGCGAAGGGAGTATTTCGGCATTAATCAGATATTGGATAGAGTTCCATCCAAAAGCATAGCCAATTCCTGTGACGTAAATCGCCGCAACGGCACCAATCGCTGCTCGAAGTGCATTGCCGGACTGAGGCTCGCCTTGGGCATCCCAGGCGGTAATGAATATCGAAACATAGAGCAGAGCAAGAAGCTGCAGGATAATTCCGAATAAAAGAGTACGTTTCCTTCCAATGCGATCTATGAAGAAAAGTGCGCTTGTAATTGCAGTGACCAATTTCACGACTCCGAAAATAGCCGTCTTCAATAGTGTCTCAGATTTGCCCGTCACATTGAGCAGGTCGAAAAATTTAGGCGCATAAGCTGTCATTCGTTGTCAGTGATATCTTTCAAGAGTAGTGTTTTGGGAAGAAGTCATCCTACTTGTAATGGCGTTTGTTCCCGACCATTGACTGAGTAATTGTGCGGAAATAAGAAACTATAATCGATAAATATTGGCAGTCTGCCCGAAAAGCAACTTCCATGGCTCTAACCAAGACCACGCTGACTTGCTCGTGGAGAACTTTGTCGCCATTTCATCTTCTAGATATTTCACCCCTTCAACAACTCGGGGATTCTCTGGGCTCAACCCCCACAGCTTGGCTAGGCTTTGGGTAGCGTGTGATGTGTGGCCACTGTAGACCGAGTATCTCGGACTCTCAACACATCCGATTGAGAAAACGAGTAAGACGATCGCCATAATGAGTTGGCTGCTTTCCGGCAGAACCCACTGTGCGCTGGTATGATTGGATATGTGAAGTGAGGCACCATAACCGGCAAAGTACTATATTGATCACATGGGAGCAAAATGAGTGACTGGGTAGCTTTCTTCAAATTTTGACGATAGAGTCAACTCACACCAATCAAAACGCCTATGTACTCAGATGATGCATAAGCCCCAACTAACAGGCCCCGCGATGATATCGGTGCCACCTCGGCTAAGTAGATTGGCCCTACAACGCCAGCCTGACCTACTCCCAGACCCATAACAAACCGACCGGCAATACACTGCTTCAGATTACCTGCAGATGTAAGGAAAACTACCATTCCAATAATCCAAAGCGTACATAGCTGCCGCATGGTCCATAGTGGACCAATGAAATGACTTGAGAAAAAGGCGATCAAGCCTCCAGGTAAGCTACCAAGGTGCAACATGGACGTGATATTCGATAATCGATTTGCCCTTTCTGCCGCACTAAGGTCGCTTGCATGAAGCTGGTAGTCTTTAATGAAAGAAGGTAAGTCGTCAACAGTTGCAATAAGACTCTCGTCCAGCCCTTTGGCTGAGCCCAAAAGGCCAAATGCCACTGCCGCACATATAATTGGAACATTCAAGTATTTCATGATTGAGCGACCAAAAAAGGAGTCGTTTTTTGACCTCAATAAAAGCAAAACTATGGATTCTTATACTTCAGACGTGCGCTCCAATTCTACCTCTCTGGTACTTTAATTCAAGCACATATACCTGAAATCTTTAGGGCAACCACAAGGTCCCCTTCGGTTAGCAGATTGGTACTGGGTCTCTCCACTTAGGCTGGAGCTTAGCCAAATACTAGGCCCACCTAACACTAGGGCAGACGAATGAAATAAGAAGGCATTGAATCTCATTGGTCAGCCCTACGAGTGGCGCCTTTGGGGGAAAACGTCGTAATCTGCGCAAGGCAGATGGAAATGCGCCAGTGAACTGCCGTCCTAGCCGATACGTGCCCTTTCGGTGTGTTTCCCCAGTCATTCCGATCCAAGACTACGTAAGCCTTGACTTGATATACATTTTGGACATTTCGAGATCCAAAACTTGATCAATGGCGCCGCGCGTAAAGTAGAAAGGGGGAGTCAACGGCTTAGCTGTGGGAAAGAGGGTCCGCTCAATCCAGGAAAAGTTTTCTCGTGCGAACTTTGAACTTTTTCAATCGAGAAAGCGAGTCCGGACTCGGGAATTTTGTTGCATCTCTTAATTAGCACTGCCTGGGGGAGAAATACAATCTCGGTGGTGTGCTTCCTAGGTACCATGCCACGCACAACACTCTTACCACTTGTGATGGACTCGATCCATGTTAATCTGCGGTTCTTCAAGGTCTTGGTTAGGCCATATTTAAACCAGCACTTGGACTAGGGAAGACTTTCATTTGTTTGGAGAAGCCTTTGTTGGGGTTTTTGATATATCATCCCCGGTTGACGACTCAGTTGTTGGCGATGTCCATCCAGCTTACTTCATTGGAATCAGGTCAAACTTCGTGCGCTGGGCTTCGGTCAATAATGATGGGCGCACCTAGGTGCTCTTGAGGATGTTGAGGTCTCATCTCGCTCTCGGTAAATGATAACATGAAGTAATACCTAATTCATGCATACAGGGAAAATTGCGTTTGAGTCTAAGTTCTTCGTTTAGGCTAATTAAGTGATTTATCGTCATCAGACAACCTTAGAGTTGAATGATCTACCAAGTTTCGGCTGTACAGTAGAAAGATTCAAGTCGTATACAAGGTGCTCATCTACTTTATCTGCTTCCGAAGGATCAACGTCCTACTAGTAGAATATTCACAAGATTCAAGTTGGAACGAAACTATTTGTATTGCAGTATATGACAAGAAGACTAGACAACAAGGCTTTGGAAATTAACAATGGGGGTGTATTCATAATATTCAATTATCTTACATTAAGAATATTTGTTTAGTAGTATCTCAATAATTTACAGGTATTATAGATATCCTGATTTCGTTCAACGATGTATGCGAACTACCGCCTAGTACTCTACTATCTGTACTAAAAAAATATTGATACGCTTTGTGTAGATAAGCGAGTCTGGCTTTATGCATCATCCTGTGTAAATTGCACCGAAAGCGACTCGTTGCTGGTAGTACGGCGAAGTGATCAAGTTTCACACGACATGTGTAACTGTGAGAGGTGGTAGATAATTTCTCGGAAACAGGCAATTGAGTGCGCGCATTCAATTTATCTCTGTCAGACAATAGATACGCTTTTTTTTAATTGGGTACCTGGGTCTGTTCATCACTATCATGCGGCGACATGCTACCCCAGTACTTCCTAATTGGGCTTTGGCTTTCAGTGGGTATGCACCATCCACGCAGCCACACAGAAGTGCATTTCTTTTCTTTTTTCTTTGCGCTTTGACATTCACGTGTAAAACTGTTTCTTATTGGATTATTATTTTGCTAAAGCGAAGATACAATTGGTATTTCGATAATAATCTACATGTTCCGTCCACCGGTAACGCGGATCGTCTCCCCATTGACATATGAGAAGTACGGACTAGCAACACCTAGAATAGAGCGCGCTGCCTCTTCAGGGCTAGCAGGCCTCCTCAATGGAATGTCGGGGAAGGACTCGGTCTTAGCTTTATCCTCGGCTCCCTTCTTGGTAGCAAGCTGCTTGCCAGGAATACCCAGGGCGACCTTGGTGCCATCTGGAGTTGTGATGAAAGCACCCTCCTCCTTGGCTGCAGTGAGACGAGTTGTCACGTAACCAAAGGCAATGGTGTTAGAGCGCACGCCGAAGGCTGGGCCCCATTCTTTGGCGATAGTACGAGTAAGGCCGACGACACCGGCCTTGGCTACAGCATAATTGGCCTGTCCTCTGTGGGGGTATTAGCCAAAATTCCTGTTCTCTGTGATAATATCGCAGAAATACTCAGAAATAGATAAAAACTTACGCATTTCCGTGAATGCCGCTCGTGCTGCTTATGTTGATGACAATGCGCGGCTCCTGGTCCTTGACTCGGAAATATGGCGCAGCCTCTCGCACCAGCCGGAAGGGCGCAGTGTTGTGCACTGCTAGCATGGTATCCCATTGCTTATCAGTGATCTGTAGACGCAATCAAGGATATCCTCATCAGCTCTACATATACCTAGATGGGCCAATGGAAGATCGAAAGGAACTTGATGGTAGGGTCAATCAAGGAAAAGAAAGGGAACTTACCTTGTGGATCACACCGTCCCAGGTGAAACCAGCATTGTTCACAATAATGTGGATTTTACCACCACCGAATTCGGCCGTACGCTTCACAAGTTCTTTGATATAGTCGCTATCCAGCACGTCGCCCGCCACTGCCAAAGCACGGCCCGCTTCGGCGGCATTGATGGCATCAGCGACCGCGTTGGCCTTTTCTGTTTTGAGAGGTGAGTGATGAGGCCTCAATATTTGGTGAAAATTCCAGAGAGAGGAAAGATTGGAAAGCATAATGTAAGTACGTACTCGCATCGATATCCGCAATAACGACCTTTGCGCCTTCGTTGGCAAAGAGTCGAGCCGCCTCGGCGCCGATGCCTTGACCTGCACCAGTGATGATGGCCACTTGGCCGGCCAGCATGCCGGCCGGGTAGTTGAGGTGCTTGTTGACCTGATTGAGACGATCAGAAGGTGCCATCTTGAATTTACTGTTGTTTTCCGTGGTGTATGGCTAAGGTGGATGTGAGGGGGAAGTTGGGGTCTTATACAAGCTCGGTGATTGAACTGCCGAGGCTCGCCGCGGACCGAAGTGTGGGGTCGCGTCGGTCGCAGCAAGTCGAACCCACGGACTAGAGTATATTTTAGTTAAATCAAGAAGCAAAATATAAGCAAAATGTAACTCATATAGCCTATGTAACCCAATTCTTCTAGCCTCTGATGAGCTAGCCGATTCGCGTTTACTATCGTGCTTGTGCATCGTATCTACGTAAGAGATCCTCCTGTACAAAGCCAATCTGCAGGCAAGGAAATAGTAGAAACAAAGAAGGTAAAGCAAACAATAAAGACATTGGGAAACGTTGCAGCAAAATACCTAGACTTACTCAGAAAACCCATATACACAATTGAAACTTCAGAGGGACTCATCTCGTACTGCATACTTGGATCCACAGATACAATCGTTTGAGACAGAGCGTAGAAATGCTTCCACAGTAGCTTCGTAGCCGGTGACGATAGGTAATAAACAGTTACTTCCGGGGCCAGGTGCATCTGACTCCGAGTCTTGCAGTGTGACTCCAAAATGATCTGGCGAGACCCAGGGTTGATCGGCAGAGTATTCACTTTTGATAGTCTGATCCCGAGATACTTCGTCATCAAGTAGCTTTGGATTCTCGAGAGAAATGGTATTCACGGTGGCCTTCAAATTAGACAAAACATCTCTGCACTGGAGGAGTAGGCTCCGAAGCAAGAATGACCGTATCTGTCGATTGTCTTCTTGGCCAACCTCATAATACCCGTAGCGAATATCGATACCATGCTCCACGTGCGGGACACGTGAGGTTTCACCGGATATCCAATGCTCGAAGAGCTGCAAAGTCAGATTGAGTACAGATATAGCCAGAAGTAAGTTACCACTGTCCTTGGTGCATTTGACACACTGCATGAATATTTGGCATGCGCAGAAAGTAGCTTTGATGGCTTGAAGGCTATGATCAAATCTCAAAGGAACCGATTCAGCTAGAAGATGATTCATACGGTTCATATAAAACAGTTGTTTGTCCAAACACTCGCATCGTACTGCTGAGTAGGGTGAGGAAACGGATCCTCCAAATGGTGGACTCGCTATGCCATCTATCAAAGGGTCGGATGCAAGGAAGGTAGGTGTGACGGGTGTATGTGGATATCCCAGACCAAGAGGCAATGCGGAACATGAATCCATGAGATCATTGAATGGTGAACCATCAACGCCCGTCAGATGAGAAGGACATATGGGTGTGTCTAACGCAGCACCGCTTCCAAAACTTCGTGGGCTTTCCCAAAGCGCCGGTGGGCCTGGTATTAGACATATCTAAAGAACCCCGCCAATATAACAGTCAGAGAGACTTAACAGAATGAAACAGCTGGTTAATGAAAGAACTCACGTCATCGTTCATTAGTGAGTCTGTCATATTCCCTCGGTAGCTAGGAGGGACTTGGGGTTCCCTATCTACCACCGGAGGCACAGTACGATTTCCCCGAAATCCTCGAATAGGTGGCTTTTCATCTTGCAACTGACCTAATTTGCGCAGTGTGGCTCGATTCTTACTCCCCTTTGGCTTCCCGGAACGATTTGCAAAGCCATATTGACACTGTAAACCATGTCGCAAACACCTTGTGCAAATACTTTTCCCGGACAGATTGCATTTCACCTTGGATTGCCTACAGTTCTCACAGGCGGTTCGCAGCTTTGGTGCATCGCCCCCGGCATAGGGACTGTCATTGGACTCGGTAAGCATGAAGGGCCAACAAAAGGAAGAAATCGGGTTGTAGGAGAAGACTTTGTTAGATGCAGATATATGATGTAGATAGTATCACACGAGGAGGATCGACACTGCCGGGGCGGGAAGATCATTGCATAGTAAAGGGAACTTTGAAAGTCATGGAGGGAGCCCTGGGGAGTGAAAGGCAAAATATGAGGTTAACTTTCAGGATACTATTCACTCAGCAGGACACATCCAGTCCCTTCCTCCCTTCTGGTACGCTAGTCCCCACTGTTCTCGTATATATAAAGCCAAAAATACTCAAGCTTCATGAACCAAGAAAGAAGTCATAAAAGAATGTCACACTTCCATTCGGATTCATATACCGACGGCAGCCGCAAAGAGGTCAGCCGCTGTGAAACCCAAGAATGCTTTCCATCTGATCAAATAAACCTGGGATTCGCGACAGTCAATTGGAAAGTAAAAATAAAGGGGCCTCGACACCCCCCTCTAAGTCCTAAACCCCACAGCATCGGTGATTGAACCAGATTAGGGAACGCACTTCTCAGAGTAGCCGTTGCTCAATTGGAGCATAGCTCGTGATAGATGAAAGTAGAAACGCTACTAGAGGAGCTTGAACCGCCTAGGGGTCCTCAAAGTCACACACCCTGATGCAACATTGTCGTAAATGGCCCATGAAGTTTGGCTTTTTTTCTATCATTGTGATTTTAATTATTCTGATTTATCCTTGGAAATTTCTATTTTATTTTTACTTTCCTTTTAAAAGGAAAAGTATCGTGAGAAATATTATTGATAATTCATTTCATACTTTCTTAGGAGGAGGAAGCACCTTGGAGACACTTTCCGGGAGTCTGCTGTCGGTTGGGTCCGCATGAACCACCAATGAGACTGGTCTACAATGGCTTTCAACAAGAATCTTGGGGGCACCATGTGAATTTTGGAGCACATTCGACTTGGGCTGACTGGGTCGAGCCACAGTCGTTGGCTCTTTTTCCTGTCAGAGCTTTCACCGCTTCGCTCTGACCGTGGTCATTGTTGCACATCACGAACCGGGTCATCGTCAGCAGGGGCCTTTACTATCGAGGGCGTCCATTACCCTTCGCCACACGACTGTGTGAAATGTTTCATTACATGCTACCACCAGAATTGCCATGAGCATGCTGTCCAACCTCATCTTCTCCACTAAGATACCATCATAACTCAGCCGCGTGGAATCTAACAAATCTCGGCACTACCGCTGTGCCGATAGTCGAATGCCTTGAGCAGCCCTGTCAGATGAGCCACTGCCGCACAAACGACTAGCACGTGGAATATCTGATGAGAGCTACCGACGAGGTCAAATTTACCGGGCCATAGTCTCTCAGGGACCCGTGCCGCGTATATAGCGGCTCCAAGAATATACAAGAAGCCTTGGAGCAAAAGCCAGCTGAGTCCGATCTGCCGTCGCATGCGATCGAACCCAAAAAGGGCCAGACCATGGAGCACGGGGAAGACGGCCGACAGGCCCATCCAGACAAACATGGCAGCCCGGTATGGGCGCCAGCGGGGGGTTCGGAACCGTGGGAGAATTGAGACACACACGCAGCCTAGCCCAATGGTGCAGATCATGGTCCAGTATCGGTGTTGGAGCTCAGGCACACAGTAAAACCCATAGAAGATACTGGGGACGAAGCTACCAACAATGAGGCCTACAATGCCAATATAGTCAAACGAATTGCCGATACGAGCAACTGCTGGTGAATGATTGGAGATTGTGTGATATGTTGCAGACATCCCCAGACAGAAAGCAGCACCTGCAAAAAAGGAGATAAACGCAGCGATGTCAGAGTCAGTTGCGGTTTGATAGCGAGGCTCTAAGGCATGGTAAAGCAGATAAGCTGCAGGGACGGCTAAAATCGCGGGTAGAAGGTGACTGTAAATATTGACTGTCTCATTGTGGAAGTAGCCAAGCGATTGAAACGAGACCGAAAATGAGGACGAGGCCGGGCGATATCCGGTATGGATGTGGTGATTATCGCGCTGCCAATGAGGCAAATCATCCCAGTGAAGAAGCTTCTTCATCGCTTTGGGGGGTACTTCGAGTACAGAGCTTGCCAGCGAAGTTTCTGGGCTGTCCGACTCTTTCCCCTGTACTGGGCGACGCTGACGAGACATCGTCACATGCAGAGTAAATGCAGGACGTGGTGTTTAGAACTTGGCGGATAAGCCACAAACCATGCAGAGAATATGTAAGCCGATCAACTGTAATAGAATTGATCTTATGGAAGCTCTTGGAAGGAGAAAGCAATAAATAAAAATAAAGAGACTGTACATGAAAATTAGATTGAAGCGTTGAGTAGTTGGGGACCCAAATCTATGGCGCCGTTGGGAACCTCGGTGCAAACGTAGCAAACAGTGCAAAGTGCCGCGGTCCACATCTGCATCGGCCCCAGATCTGATACGGGCAGTTGTCCCCTCATGCTTCCCACATGCAGTCCGCCAAACCCCAGGGAAGCCGGTTACGGCCCGTAGCTGACCCTCTCGAAAGGGTTGGCTTCGTATCAAAGGGTGACAAGACGTAAATTGTCCACATTAAGCCTTGGGTAAACCTTCTCTAACGCTGTCTTTACAGGCTACTCAATCATAAAGCACAGCAGGACTACTACGATACAATCGTTGAGCGATATTTCCGATTCTGTTCAGATCACCATAATGATTTTGATGCCGCTCATGCATCGCTGCCTATAAGTTCTTCAAATGATGCAACGTCAAACCCCCCTGCAGCCCAGTCAGCTCCAAAGACCAGCCCCCTTGGGAGGGGTATCCCCCCACCATCGGCGGAATTATCCAAGCTCCTTCTTTCCCTCCGGAAGCTGCGAGAAGGTATTTTGGCAACATCGGGAACTACTCCGCCCGAATTCGCCCAGCGAGTTCATTACTTCTCGATCCGCCTGGCAATTCTTGCGCAGCACCCTCCGTCATACTTCCCTTCCTTGGAGCATTGCCTAAACAAGCTGCATTCGAGATCCCACCCAATGCCTGATTCGGAAGTGAAAGACATAGTGACCTACTTGATCCTTGATTATGCCTGTCGCCAGGAGAATATGGTATCGGCCTTCGAGCTGCGGGCACGGGCGCGGCGGGAGTGCGCCTTTCAGTCGTTAGCTGTCGACCGTGTTTTGACTGCATTGATGCACGATAACTGGGTGATATTTTGGCAGGTTCACAAAACCGTGGACTCTTACACACGTGCTGTGATGAATTGGGCTGTGGATCGAGTGCGAAGACATGCCTTGAAGGCGGTGGGCAGTGCATACCTCAATGCCCCTGTGGACTGGATCGTGGGTGGATGCACTGGTGACGATGTGAACTGGACGTGGGAGAAATTGCACCAAAAGGAAAACCTCGGTTGGCAGAAAGAGGGCGATATAATCATAATCAGACGTCTCAAGCCCCGGCCACCACCAAATCCACAAGTCGCGAAGGCATAGTAATGAAATATGTGCGTGGTTGCATTTTTGATTGGCGTTTTATTGGAATGCATGGTGTTGAGGCCCATACTGGTCATATTCTTATTTGGGCTGCATTCGATCGTTCTCTCTTCATGGGACATTGGATTTGGCATTTTCTGGGCACTTGGCGTTTTTACAAAGAAAGGTCAGATTCAATAAATACCCATATCGGGTCATTCATTTCATTCGTTTCATAGCTTAAAATCCGTGTTCGGACGTTCTATGTTTGTGTGTCCAGAAGCTGGCTGACTAGCCACTGTAGCTGCCAGTTGTCCCTTCATTTCGCTAGCATTGTCAGAGCAAAGTTCGTATACAGTCGATAGATTGAAAATAAGACTGCCAAATAGATGATGTGTAGAGATCTGCGACTCAAGGAGTTGACGCGCCTGGGCACCTCGTTAGCTTCTACTCCAACATTCAACCAGTATTGAGCATACCTCATCAAGTTTTCCAGCGTAAAGGAGGCACACGGCCATGTTCTGTGCGATCAAGTCCCTATCTTCCCTGGATGTATCTTCATAAAGGGCGTGCCATTGGTCTGCCGCATCATTGTAACGAGCATCTGACATACTTAAGAGAGGCTGCAAGAATTTCACCTCCTTCGACTCATGCGATTCATCGAAGATCTGATGCGCGGAATCAACATCCCCTATACGCAGAAGAAGAAGTGCTTTGCGCAACTTGATGTTGTTTGCACTTGGTTCTGACGACCCTAAACTTTCGAGTGATCTTTTGGCTGCGTCAAGATCACCCATCTCTATCAAAGCATTGACGCAACGCATTCCTAGATCTGCCAGTCTTTCTTTCCAAATTTCTCTTGCTGATTCTTCGATTTCTTGCCTTGTCAGCTCCCTTCTTGCCTCCAGTCCAAGCTCGTATAGCCCACCAATACTTCTGCGAGAGTCACCGAAGCCAATACTTTGAAGCCTCACGGCCAACACACGCAAAGGCCATGGTACTATATGGCGAAGTTGATTTTCAGGTGCTTGGGTCTCCTTATCTTCTTTTCCAGGCGCGTCGAGGCTGGAGTCGATGTAATAGAATGCAGAATGCAAATCCTCCAACGCTTTCGACTCTTGGGCAGCAAGTACGGTATTTCCGGATAGCTCTAGGCAGGCTAGACGAGTGTAAAACAAAGAGAAGATGATTTTAATATCCGTAGGCGTTATTAATGAAGAGGTAAGTATCGAGGCAGCGAAATTTGCAGCAACTAGGAAACGACCTTCGGTAAGGAGCTTTTCCAGTGTGCCTAAAGACGACGAGAGCGGTTCACCCGGGTCTAGGACGACGAATTCGGCGCGAAGAGGTGGTGGAATATCATTATGTGATAATTGATGGAAAATATTATGCCGGAGTAGGAATGACAGGTCTTTTGCCATCGTTTCGGGGAGATCATCGGGGGCCAGCGGGTCTAATTCGTGAAAAGAAGCCCCTGAAAAGGCATTATTTTTGATATTCGAGCTCGCATGCGGGACATGCAAGCTGTCCGGTTCAAGAGGACTGTACAAGATGTGAGAATTTGAGATTACAAGTGGGGAACATGGGTATTTTCTCACTCGTCTGGTGGTGCATCTAAAGGACCCCGAGTTGAGCTGCGGGGCCGCGAAGCTATTCAGTAAATTAGTATTCGCCTCAAAGAGCACAACCTGTCTTATCGCGACGGAAGTTTCTCACATCTAGATAAAATGCGATTATGGGTTGCCGGTGATGCCATCTTTCGGAGAATTTATAAACAGTAAATGGATATGCACCAACAACGTGCTTTGGCGCCTTGTGTCCGGGGGAAGCTCGTGCGATAAGTTATCGGGCAAAAACAAAGGCGGTGGGTGGACACGTCCACCGGATCTGGCCAGCATTGGCGCAACGTTGATTCTCCTCCAACAAGCTTTCCGGCCATTCGCTCCCTACTTCTGTTTTATTTTTTCGTTAATTCGCGGCTTCTGTCCTGGAGAAATCAATTGACTCCATAAACTCCTTGAACTTTCACCATGAGCGCCACAAAGAACAAGTACTCGGTCATTTTGCCGACCTACAACGAACGGAGGAACCTCCCTATTATCATCTGGCTGCTCCAGAGGACTTTCAACGAGAAGTACGCGCCCCTTATGCGATATGTTATAATTATATTTGCTGACTGTGTTTTCTCCCGGAAACAGCAAGCTGGATTGGGAGGTCATTATCGTTGACGATGGCTCCCCTGACGGCACCATCGAGATCGCGAAACAACTCCAGAAACTCTATGGCCCCGAGCATATCATCCTGAAACCTCGTGCAGGCAAACTTGGTCTTGGAACGGCCTACGTGCACGGACTGCAGTACACTACCGGCAACTTCGTTATCATCATGGACGCCGACTTCAGTCACCACCCCAAGTTTATCCCCGAGATGATCCGCATTCAGAAGGACAGCGACGCCGACATTGTGACCGGGACACGGTACGCCAACCGTGATAATATTAAGGGTGGTGTCTACGGCTGGGATCTGTTCCGCAAGTTTACCTCGCGCACGGCGAACATGATTGCAGATGTTATGCTGATGCCCGGCGTGAGCGACTTGACTGGTAGCTTCCGTCTGTATAAGAAGCAGGTTCTCGAGAAGGTCATCACTAGCACTCAAAGCAAGGGCTACAGTTTCCAGATGGAGATGATGGTCCGTGCTAAGGCTATGGGATATAAGGTTGAGGAGTGCCCCATCACCTTTGTTGATCGTCTCTACGGCGAAAGCAAGCTGGGTGGCTCTGAGATCGTCGAGTATCTCAAGGGCGTGCTCAATCTGTGGCTGAAGGTCTAATCCCTACGAAAGACATTCGACCTATTTGACTCCTATTCAGTCGTCCTCATTTCATCTGGGCTCATTAAGTACCAGCTCTGAGCGGATTACCCGTCCTTCGATATACCCCACAACTGCACCATAATTGGGCTACTACCTTACTACATCTCCCTTTCCTTTCAATTTCTTTTATTTTTATCTTCTTGGGCGGTGTTTGCATATCTTTGATTTCGAGACCCATGTATGTCAAGAGAAAAATCCAATGATCTATTCTATATCGTAAGGGGGTTTCTTTCCTTCTCGAATATTGAAGATTTGTTCCATTTCCGTGAAAGATACCTCCCTCTTAGAGAGTTTTCAGATATCTTACCACACGCTCAATTAGGCATTGTTGCCCTTCGCCCTTGGCATTGTGACTGGCACCAGGAACGATACCACTATTCTCTGCGTCCCAAGAAGCACCCCCAGCCTCAGTAGCTTGTTTCCACTTCTGTACCAAAGCCTCCTTGTCAACCCACGGCGGGCAGTATTCGTCGCTCCCAGAGTATAGTACCAAAAATTTAGACTTGGAATTCAAAATACCACGCGAACCAATCTTTCCAAATGTCTCTTGATGGCGTTGTTCGGACAGATCAGAGCTGAAAAGATCGTCTGCCGATGGCTGATCCGGGCTATCTGGGCTAACAAGACTCAAGAATCGACGTGCACTAAGCGGAGCATTACCCGGTAATCCTAGCTGCGCGGTCATATTCATAGGAAGAATAGCATCCATCTTATCATGAGTCCATGGCTGTGTCTTAGCGGCGCTTACGAGTTGATCATAAGCACCCTGTGCCTCGTTCGGTTGAATGGAGGTCTTAATAAGATGTTGGATAGCCTCTCGGTCCGACACTGGGGCTTGCATGATGGCTCCATCGAGCTTAGGGCGCGTCAGGTATTGAAGACCAACATCGAATTCGGGATCCCTGGGGACAGGGTTAGGCGAATGGAGATAGTGCAAGACATCCTGGCTACCAGTTGAGTGGCCCATGACAACGATTTTGCCAGATTCACCCTTCAGATTACGAATGAATTGCACGCATTGCGCGATCTCCTCCACGTCCAGGTCGAGACTGCCGACTCCAAATCCATTGTAGGAGGAAGAAAGCAAGATTGAGAAAACGGACCATTCGGTTGGCTCGAGGGTTTTAGCGAGCGGGTTTACGTAAGGGACTGTTTTGAATCCATCGGTCAAACCGCCCACGAAGATCAAGCTGTTTGGCTTGTTCGGCTTATCGGACGAAGTAAATTCGAAGGCAACGAGCCTGGGAGCCTAACAGAGCACATGTCGATTAGCCCAGGAAATATGGCAAAATCAAGGATGTCGGCCATACATATTCGTGGAGAATTCCACTGTTCGATAATTCATGAGTAGACGACATTGTTGTTTGAAGAGAGTGTGCGGTAGCTGGTAGCTCAATCGGAGGGGCAGGGGTGGATGCTTGACGTCTTCTGGGGTCCACTGCGGGGCTCGCGTCTTTCTCGTGCCTTAGGTTGTCTCGACCAGACACCAAGGTACAACTCTCTAGTAAGAATGACTCACTCGCTATCATCTTCAACTGGTCACAAGTCTCATTGCTGTCAGTTATGAGGAGGTTAAATAGGCAATTATTTTAGCTCACTGGCGCCTTCGTGGTGCACCTACACGTCTAGTATTTTATGGCACCGCAGACAATAATTTCAAACGTTCACTTTTTATGTTTATACTAGCAGACCGAAAAGCATCAATCCATTTCATATTTCACTTTATGAAATCACAAGCATAAAGTATTCATATCCCCCAGACGCCTAATGGGTCTGAGCCATGGTCCCTTCGCGTCTCTTGTAGCCTTTTCACTCGCTTTACAAGGGTACCTACACAAATTGGCCCAATTGGAGTACAAATAGAGATCGCCCAGATTATAACCAGGTAGATCTCGGAAGATTGACCTGATGGCCCAGATGGAAATATACCTTGACTTTGTGCGAGAGAAGCGATAAGATATCCAATCTCTCCTCTTGCAACCTTGGCCAACCCAAGAATCGACGGCGGGTATAGTGACTTTGGTTTTGGAGGGAATGCACCCAATGAAGTTTGCCGAGGTGCCGTGGCTTGAGTGTCTTCTTGGAGTTTGGATTGACTGGCAGGATTCTGACTAAATGACCCAACCCTGTTAGCAATCTGATCTTGGGTTTTTGGTAGATTATCCGATACTCCTGTAGCTTGCTCTACTGAAGCCGTTGAGGATTCATTTGGCGCACGTTTTTTCTCCTTTTGCTCTTGGTCGGTTCTTTTAGGGGTGCAAAAGAGACGAATACGATGAATTGGTCGTTTCAGCGTATTTGTGAGGCTGGAGAAGGGACGCAATGAGAAACGAACAAGCCAGATTCCAGTGACCATCTTTCCAAGTGTCATCAAAAGGGCATATAAAGAAATATTTGACTCTCCCGATTAAGCTAAATCCCCTAGTTGGCAAATTCTATGATTCGGGATGCTTGTCCTTGGAGTACAGTCGACGGTTATGGTCTTTTACATAAGGAATTATTTTCAAATATTAATTCAGATTGAGCGATAATAGTAATTAAGTTCACATTTCTGAATACGCGGGAGGATGCTCCAGTTCCTCAAACTCAGTCATCGTCACATCGTAGCCTAGATGTCTCTTAAGTAGCTCGTGCGTGACAAATCGCTCGGGCGTATTGCCTTGAGCATCAACAAAAGAGACATGATGATTGACATCGCTGATTCTCTGCAATTCGTTTGCGTGGCGATGATGATGTGGACATCCATCCACACCAATCAGGAATATTGTTACATGAACCCAAGACAAGCTCAAAAGGTCCAGCTCAAACTCGTCCATATCGCTAGCTTCACCATCAAGCAATAGAAGCAATCTAAGTTTGGGTGTTTCTGGCCCGGCTTGCCATCCGTATACCGGATGGTAGTATGCCGACTCAGAATGTTTCTGGAAATGAAGATTCTTGACAAGTTGCCAGCCGGTCATGACTCGGGTTCTGCCCCCAAAGCGAATTTGATTCCACATTTCACGGAAGTTCTGGTTGTTCAAAAAGCCGATATACTCAGCATTATCATCAAAAGTAACGAGCTGGTAGCCAGTTGTGCTGTGATCATGGTTGATCATTGCATCTGTAAAGCGATGGATGATGGCTTTGGCGAGATCTGTACACGAAATGTTAACATTGATGGCGAATGTGTGAGCGAGGAATCTTACCCTTATTTTTCGGCTGAGTCGATGGCTCATACTGTGTTATCAGAGGGCCTTGATATACCGGGCGAATAGGGTCGAAATTCATGGACCCAGAAACGTCCAACAATATCATTGTGTCATCCGAGGGCACTTCTGCCCCATCAAAAGGCCTGAATGGAGCAGGCATCACCTGCTTCGAGTAGCCATCTGACTTATGCTGAACGTGGCAAGTATCATCCGGAGAGAAGTACGCAGGGGGAGGCTCAACGGCAGAAGCCATCCTGGCACGAGCCAATTGCATCGCAGAAATAGGATCAGGTTTCATTCTCGGACCGGTGATCCCTGCCCTGTGGTTTAAGACCCAGTATAAGCGCTCCTCGGCCGTATCCTCATAGCCTCTCCAAGCAGGCGTTATACCTCTCCATCCAGAACCCGACTCGATGCTGAATTTAAGCGGATTGGAAGCGAGATTGGCCCACTCGACTGGAATAGGCTCGAAGTATCCTGCTCGTAGCAAATGTAGATATTGAATGGGAAATCTAGCTCGAAGCTCAGCAATTTTCTGCGTCATACCGACATGCTCCTGGTACTCTGCAACGAGTCGTCGCCAATCATTGTCCGGCCATCTTCCATTTTCCTCGTACAGGATTTCGTTTCGTAGCGATTGACCGCGGGCAATTGCCTTTCTTGTACGTGCAATTTCTCTCTCTTCGGGTGATTTGATAGAGAAGGCCCTTCGTAGGCTAGAGAATCTGGATGATTTGGCCTCTTTTTCATTATTGGATGGATCTGGCGAGGCTTTACCAGTATCTTTCTCTGATGTTGAAGGTCCTGGCTCAATGGATTGCCATATATTAATCCTAGGCTCCTGTTGATCGATGGCTATTTGCGCGGCTGAATTCAGTGACGCATTCAGGCTCAGCGTCTTTTGAAGGTATCTGGCGTAGAGGCTTGCGTCTGGCCTTCCCACTCCATAAAACCCACTCATGTTATACATGCCCCCAGAGCCATAGCTGCCAAAGCTACCATATCCAATTGAATAAGGGGATATGAACTGGTAAGGATTGCTACTAAACATGGGTGCGTTTTGATAGCAATCATGGTATGCTTTTTCGCCTATTCAACCCGGTTGTCAATAAATAATACGCTCTTTTTATATATTTGCAGGATTGTTCTATATGTGAGACTGACCTGGGTACATGACTGCCTTAGACCAATGGTTCTGCACGCCAAGGCGAGCAAATTTCCTCTGTTTATACCTATGAACTGGGCAGCTGCAGAACATATCTGTTTCATGTTCTGGTTCAATATCTGAGTTATAGATGCCAAGGTCTAGTTGAAGCCTTTGTAAGTAGAATTGCATTTCTTGCTATCGTCAAATAATAATGGTTAGATCGTCACACTTTACCATACGAAAGGTTAAGCACACCTCATCTCTGGCCCGAAGCTTTCCTGCCTCGATAACGGCATTTGTGTGGACACGACGGGAAGGACCACTCATGGTGTCCCCGTAAGACGGGGGTGCGGGTGTTGATTTCTTGTCCATATCGGTAACAGGCTTTGGCTTGGCCTTCTCGGCATATCATGTAGATCTCAAGGATTAACGTCTGACGAGACCCCCGTTTTAAGTGAAATGCGGGCGCCTAGTGTAGTCGCGTCTGGTTTTGCCCGGCGGGGGCTGAGTAAAAAAAAAAGCCTCGTTGGATCCACGGGCGGGCGCACGTTACCTTCAGTTTGTATGTCTCTACGGAGAAAGAACAAGACAAAGAAAAACTTCGAATGTATATTATTACTAGTGAAATCAGTTCAAATCTTTCGAATGTCCTGTGGGGTTTCCCCCCCCCCCATTATTTCAGTCATATGTTCTGAAATTACTTTCATTGAATACATCGGAGAGAGCCTTGAGCGGTTAAGCGGCACGTCATCCCGGTTGGGCAAAGCCAGTCAGAGATCAGCCTTGCGAGCAATTAGAATGCAATGGGCAATCTGCCTAGGCACTTTTTTATTATGGCGTCCAACTTCATTGTTGAAAGGTAACTCTATGACAAATCGACGAGTTTCAGCCCTGGAGATGAGCGCTCATGTGGAGATTCCAAATGTTGACGCCGGAATCATATACATCCGTCATATTACGGCGTCTGTCTCGGGCGCTACATCATGGTACTTGGTCAACGACTTCAAATTTATAGCTACAACTTGATGTTTCGGCCCGAAATTCAAGTTCGCAACCTTTACGTGATACTCAGTGATGCAACTTCCAGTTGGTCGCACCTGGGACTTCACAAAGGTTGGACTGTCTGCGGATTATCCATCTTCTTGCGCGAGTCCTCCAGAAACTACTCGATTCAGTCTCAATTCCTTGAAGAAAATGGAAAACCGCTTGAAAAATGAGTTCTCCAAGATCCGAAAGAGTCGGCTCAAGGGACTATAAATCACATTACGCGACAGGTATTTGAGGCAGGCATTTTGTTCAAGTTCCTAGCCGGCTGTCTATGTGTATGATGCTCAACTGCCCCAGGGCTAATATCGAGCTGGCAAATCAAGCTCCAATATCTTACCTATGACCAGGCGATGATATGATACAGGACAAGGGATGTGGATTTACCCATGCAGATGATACGATTCAACTGCAGCTAATCCGATTGTTGGCTTGAGCAACGCTAACCGAAATAGGAATGGTGGGGTATCTCCCCGATCGGGGATGGCGCGTCTTGAATTGTAGCTTCCGTAGCTCAAGCAGCGCCAGCATTCCCCGACATCATCTCACCCCCTCCCATTCTGTTGTTCTCTTCATTTATGGCGGCTTGACGTCGACTGAGTGAATAATGCCCGTAGGCCGCAGATCTGGCCGCAACAAGGGCCCCAGGACGGTTTATACAGAGGACCCTTTCGTATCCGCTGGAATCAGTGATGAATCAAGCTCCGAGAAAGAAACACCAGCACCCAAGGGCAAGGAGAGAATCCGGCAGAACGAAGATTCTGCATCCGAAGATGAATTTGTAGCTGGTTCAGATCACGAAATCGATGATGGGGACGAGGGTGAAGATTCTGCGAACGAAGAAGCCGAATACGACGAGGAAATGGGCGAAGCGAATGAAGATGACAATGAAGATGATTTTATGGAAATAGATGAAATCAGCAATTCTTCCAAGAAGAAAAAAGTTTCAGCTTCAAAATTGAGCGCAAACGCACTGCAGACAGCCCGTGATGCTTCATTTATCCCGAAGGATAAGACACACTACAGGGGCATTCTGGAAACCAGAGATCAAGTTTCCAAACTAATGCATTACATCTTGACGTATGGCTCGGATGATCGTGACATGGGCCTTGCAATTCACATGCGTGGCCGGTGGCGGTTGGGACGGGACTCTACCTTCCCAACTCGCCTGTCTCTGGAGCAAACTGACGGAGAGTCCGATTCTCCGCATGGGTTTAGACTTGGGATCACCGCAAAAGATCTTGAAGAAGAGAGGAATACTGGATGGGCCTGGTACTGCGACAAGGAGATCGGTGGAAAGTTCCGAGGAAAGCAGCAACTCGGGAAGAAAATGAAGGAAGTGGAAGCACGTCAACAATATCTACCCCAGCCAAGGCCACAGACGCATAAAGTGTTGATGGGGCCATCTGACTCTCAACATGCCTTCGATCTTGGCTACCATGACTGCATTGATCTAAGCCAAGCTTGGGACGACAAACCGCCTAAGAAGAGCACGCAGCCGGCAGGAACGAAGATGCGGGAGGGTTGGCTTATCAATATTGGGCAGAAAATTCAATGTATGGCATGGGCCCCCAACCAAGATGGTTTATCCCAGTACCTTGCCGTGTCTGCGCCGATCACAAGTGAACAGAAGAAGAAATATCAGACAAATGCAAATGAACCCAGCTCAGCGTTTTCCCCGTCGTCACCTTATCCTGCTGCCATTCAAATTTGGGAGTTCACAGCCAAAGCAGTTGGTGATCAAACACATACAATTGACATGGATCACAAGCCGCACTTTCGGCTAGCTTTGTGCTCCGAATGGGGGGACTTGCGACAAATGGCCTGGTGTCCCATGGGGCGAGAAAAGCAGAGTGCCACTGCGGACGAGTCAGTGGATATCGGCTTGCTAGCTGGTATATGGGGAGATGGAAGGCTGCGAGTATTGCAAATCAAGTTGCAACCGCGTTCGGATGCCCTGCAAATTGGTAAGAGATATTTATTCTAAACTCCAGCCAAGGATACGATTCTAATCTGCTACGTGAATATAGTCAAATTAGATTCTTCAGCCTTCGAGGCTTTGCCCCCATCGGGCGTATGTACAAGCTTGGCCTGGCTCTCGCCAAGCGACATTGCAGTGGGATGTTCAGATGGCTTTGTTGCTGTTTGGAGCATCATACCGTCCTCGGTTCCAGAACCTCGACCTTACTTCTACCATCCCATCCACACAAGCTACATTTTGAATATGACCTCCGCCTACCCGACAAACCCGCATCTCTTATCAACGATTTCAGTCGACGGTGAGACCCGTTTATGGTCCCTTCTCGAGCCTCAAGGTGATAACACGACCACCTTCCGCGTACGGCTGGCCTCATCCCATCTAAGCTACTCCCCCGTTCTCCAAGCTGTATGCTCCAGCGACGAGAACGAATATGCCAGAATCATGCCCGTTCGTCGTTTCTTTGTTACGCTTACACCGGGAAAGGTGAACAGCACTGTCTCCGCGATGGCACCGTGTAGCTTTTGGCACCCCAGCCTCCTCTATGGCGGGACTGGCGGTGAAGTCGTGGCGACAAACCCAATGCGACGCATGCTGTACGGGAAAGAACCTCTGTGGCAACACACGTGGTTCACGCATGAATGGATCTCGGGGTCTGATGCAAATAGCCCAGGCGTCAGCCGGTTCTATGATGGATTTCGCGCTGAAAGCCCCGGTGTGATGAAAGGTGGAGAATCCCGACCAATGGGCTTGAGTCTAACCACCATTTATGATGAAGGTACACACGTCACATCCCTGGCTTGGAATTCTAACCGCCAGTGTGCCGCTTGGGGCAGCGCATCGCTGGGCTGTGGGCTATTGCGGGTCGAGGATCTGGCCATTTAGCTATCCTGCCACAAAGGGAAGAGACACATTCGGCATATGGCAGATCATTTTAGCAGATCATCAAAGATAATTAATCAACCTGTAACCAGTCGATATGAACCAACCTGCCTCATTACAGGGAAATCTCATGCTATTCGTAGACTAAGAAAAGTAACTAGGCACCGGTTATTCCTTGATGCAATATAGTGGATCGAATAAGCGGGTCCCCCAGCCGCTAAGAGTGGGTCTCCCTGGCAACACGCCAACCCGGGCCCCAATCAACATGCAAAACAACGGTTGTGGCGCTTCCATGTGGATCGATAAACTGTTAAATCGGCGTGGCTGGGGTGGTTTTTTAGTCCCCAGCCTCTGTAGATCCCAGCCTGCCTATTTTTGGTCCAATTGAATGGCTGCCATGTGCGTTAGGTATACCTCATGTTGATAGATGTGGCGGTTCTAGATTGCAATTTTCATCACTTTTAAACCCTCTCACCCTACTGTTTTTCAGATTTCAATTCTATCCAAACCAATCGACCATCTCTGAACATTCAGACCAATTTCCAACCTTTCTCAAGCCACCATCTATTTCATACACACATATTCACGACATTCAACATACTTCCGACTTCACAACCATATTATGCATTTCTCCTCCGTTGCCACATTCCTCGCAGTCTCCTCCTACAGCATCACATATGCTGCTCCAGTAGCCAACCTGCAAGATGGTCTCAATCGTCGCCAGATCAACTACCAGGTAGTCAATGTTGACGGCGAGTCTAATAGCTTTACCGCTCCTGAAATTGAGACAGTCACTACAACCCTCAAGTCTACTGTGACTGCACCCGGCGCTCCTCCAGTGGCTCAGACTGTGACTGTGACTGCAACACCATCCCTGACACCTTCGTCCTCTCCGGTGGCTTCGAGTTCGACTCCCATCTCCCACCCAGCTCCTCCTCCGGGCGAGTCTTTCATGCCTGCCAACAGCAATGGCTTTTTCCGCCGTGGTTTGAACGCCGCTGGCAATCCAGCTCTCTATGCGCAGAACTATGCCTCTTCCAGTTCTTCATGGCCTACCTCGTCGGCTTCTCTTGCCGCTCGCAACTTTGATGGGCCGGATTCTTCTTCTTCTTCTTCCTACACCCCTTCTAGCACAGCCGTACCCACCCCTACTCTGGCTGCTCGTCAGTATGGCAGATGGTCTTCCAGCATTCCAGGCTCCTCGCCTACCGCCGTGCCTACTTCTACCGCTTCTCCCCTTGTTGCCCGCCAAGCGGATGTCTGGGGATTCTCTAGCTCGGTTGCCCCACCATCTGGCACTCCCAGCGTAGCCCCCTCTTCGTCTGTGTATGCTCGGGGCTACGTTGCTGCCGCCTTCTCCGGTTCTTCTTCTGGTCTGCCTTCTGGCACTCCCAGCGCGACTCCCTCTGCGTCTGTGTATGGTCGTGGCTACGTCGCTGCCGCCTCCTCTTCTGGCACTCCTTCCTCTAGCGCTATCACCACCGCGTCGCCTACCCCTTCCCCTGTCAAGCGTGACTTTGAGTACTCCTCCAGTGTCTCGACCCCCATTACTCCCAGCTCTAGCTTTTCGATTCCCCGCTCTTCAGCTCTCATGTACTAAGGCAGAGGGTTTTTACGTTAAACAGTGACTTTTTCCTCTTTTTGCGACATTCTGATGACATGAAACCGCATGAAATGACGATTTTCGTGACACATGATACAATTTGAACATGACGTTGATGCAGATGCCGGATGACATATGATACATGCCGATGATCTCTGCAATCAACAAAGATCGGTGTTTTGTTTTTCTTTTATGAATGGACATTTCTTTGATTCAGGCGAGCTTGGGTTGCATACGAGGCGTTTTTGGGAGACTTTCTGTTTTTTATCTGCTTCCTACAGTGTATTATTTTGTTTTTTGACTTCGATGGAAAAATAGGTGGATCTTTCGGAGATTTTGACTACCTGCATAGATTGCTTGAACGTGGCTCTGGTTTCATTTAGATAGGATCACAATACAAGAACATGAGATATTGATTATTAAAAGGTCCACAGAACTAGTATATATGAACTGCTAAAAGTGACCACGGAACTTTTTTCAACAATAGCCTTAGCAAAACTTGGCTTTTCCTTGAAAGAAAGAAGTATGTGACGCGTCAGGCAGCGTGGTAGCGAGGTTACGTAAGGCGACATCGAAGGCCCAAATGCGCATGAATCCCGTTGCCCCGAGTAACGCGCCGTAAACATTCGCACCGCTCATCCCTCTGCTCACCATCTTAACATTCAGCGACCGCAGGGTCTCGTTTTGTATTTTCGTTTTACATCCATACCATATTGTTCTCTATTTTCCACTCATTTCCTATCTGTTCTTCTGATCTCAAACCGTGTATGAGCAAAGGCTGGCCGAGGCTCAACATCGACAATCATGCCTGGCACTGTGGCAGACGGGCCGACGGTCTCTATGTCTTGTAAGGCACACCAAAAAACATAGCTTGATGCGCAATTAACTAACACCTGAGTTCCAGTTGCCAACAACTTCTGGGGTAAAGATGATGCAGGTCTTCAACCTATGCTGGATCGCATGCACGGTTCAAAGACTACAAGTGATGAATTGAAGGCCTTTTACAGCGGTATGCGACCAATGATAGCCAGAGCGGCCTCTTTCAGATACTAATTTTTTTTTGCTGGTTTCTAGTACGGGCTGCTATCGAAGATGAATATGCGCGAAAGTTATCAGCGCTCTGCAGGAAGCCGTTTGGGACATGCGAATCTGGATCGCTTCGAGTCTCGCTGGATGTGGTCCGCGGAGAAACGGAAGCGATTGCCAAAGCACACGCAGCGATTGCTGGTCAAATGAAGACTGAACTTGAAGAACCTCTCGGTGCTTTTGCCAGTGGACTGAAGGAGAGGCGAAAGATCATCCAAAATGGGATTGAACGTCTGCATAAGAATAAGATGCAACAGACACATGTGGTCAACAAGGTTTGTTTACGAGCGACAATTATAATACTGTTGTTTACTAACCATTACCCAGACTCGTGATCGCTTCGAACAAAACTGCCTCCAGATCAAGGGTTATCTTGCCCAGGGGCATATGGTGATGGGTCAAGAGGAACGGAAAAACAAATCTAAGCTTGAAAAAACCCAGATTCAGATGGCATCAAATAGCCAAGAATACGAGGCTGCAGTTAAGGTACTTGAAGACACGACCGGCCGCTGGAACAAGGAGTGGAAGGCTGCTTGTGACAAATTTCAAGACCTGGAAGAAGAGCGACTCGATTTCACTAAGAGCAGTCTCTGGACTTACGCAAACATTGCATCGACCGTCTGTGTGAGTGACGACGCTTCTTGTGAGAAGATCCGATTGTCTCTTGAGAACTGTGAGGTTGAAAAGGACATTGTCTCGTTTATTCAAGACCGCGGAACCGGCCAGGAGATTCCTGCTCCTCCTCGCTTTATCAATTTCTGCAAGGAGGATGACGATGCAGCATCGGATATCGATGGAGCGGATGGCTACTCGGTTGCTCAGTTCCAGCGAACAATGAACCCTGCTTTCCGGACATCTTCGCCACAACCATCCACTTTCGAGTCCCACCATGATCCGCAGTCCGATCTTGCGGCTCAAATGGGCCATCCGACTCCTCCTATCGCCAACACACAGGAAGCGCCTCCTCAGCCCATCCCACAGGAGCCTCCAATGCAGCGTATGCAGCAAGAGCCTCTCATCCAGCGTCCTCCGCAAGACCCACAACTTCAGCGTGTTCCACAGGAGCCTCCAATGCAGCGCATGCAGAGCCAGCCGCCTTCTCAGGCCATGCCACCACCACAGCAAATGCCACAGCAACTACCCATGCAAAGCATGGCGCAGCAACCGCTTCCGCTTGACCTTCGCCGGGGTGGGCAACCGCCACCGAACTATGATCCGGAGCAGCATGGTCAAATCAATAAGGTCCCCCATAATGCGTACCCTACCGATGGTATGACGATGTTCTGCCGCACTGGTCCACCTTCCGAGCGTAGCTCTGCAGCTAGCGGATACCGACCCTCTAGTCGTGATTCGCAGAGTGATATATCGAACCCTACTTCCGCGTCTAGTGTCGAACCTCCAGCCCCGGTTATGATGAATCAGAAGCCAGCACCGCCGCTCCCAAGCGTGATGAAGCAACAGTCCCCTCCTAAGCCCATTCACAATGCATCCTCACCCAGCGCACAAGATGACATCGCGCCAAAGAAGAAGAGCACATTTTTCAGTAACAGTCCATTCCGACGAAAGAGCCGCCACGAGAAAGAAAGGCCGGTCATTCCTGCTGCTCAGTCTGCTTCCCGAAGCCCATGGAGCTCCCCTACAAAGCAGCAGTCTAGCCCGCCCAAGGCCATACCGTCGCCAGCCTCGCGGCCCGACGCTCGCTCTCGTAGCCCCGAACCAGTCGACCCTAGGGCCAACTTCCAGCTGAATGTGGGCAACAACGTTTTCGATGTAGCTTCGCCTGACAAGAATCCTTCGAAGCCGGGATCCCAGCAAGCTAAATCAGCTGAAGATGACCTGGATCCTATTGCTAGGGCCCTCGCAGACTTGAAGACAACTGGCAATGGTAAGCAGTCTAGCTTACGCGTATCAGCCGACAGGTATCACGGAATCCAAACCCCTACGCCTTCAGCACCAACATCAGCTTACGGAGGTAGTAGCGCTGCTGCCCCACCAGCATATAACGATCCATCTGTCAAGCGACTCGGTGCCCCCGAACCAGCATTCACCGCAAAGCAGATGCAAAAGACGACCCAACGATACACTGGCCAGACTCAAAGTGTACTTCGAGGTGGCAGCAACAACCCGTCACCCACGAAGCCTCAAGAGGTTCCTCGCGCAAGATCGCCAGCCCCACGACGTAGTGCTAGTCCCCAAGTGTCTCCTTCTCCTCGGCCTGAACCTCGCACTGGATACGGCGGCGGTGGCGCCAGTCCAAGCCCAAGCACCTATCACTCTGGCAGTGCTCGCAGCCGCTACAGTCAATCGCCAACCCCCCGTCGAGCCCAAGAGCCCCCATATTCTCCCAATGACTACGCGAGAAGAGCTTCGCCAGCTCCATCGCATCGTGCAGTATCCCCCCAACCTCAATTTCGACAGCAGACTCGTCCATCTAGCGCTGGGGGAATGGAGTTGCAGCTTTCTGGTAGCGAGTACGGAGGCGGTAGTCCATCTGGTTATGCTCCGAGCCGAAGCGATAGCCGTTCCCGGTCATACTATGGTGGTGATAATGGTGCTCCCCCTGTTGGTCGCTCTAGGAGCCGCACTGTTGCTGTTGCCGAGCCAGGACGGAAATTCAGTCGTGATGGACGCCCCATCCTTCACTTTGGTAAGCATCTAATTTTCCGTCTTCATTTATTCGTATTATCAATTTGCTAACTTCATATTTCAGCGCGCGCAATGTACGGCTACAACGCTGCTATCCCTGAAGAGCTCGGCTTTGGAAAGGGCGATTGCTTATCTGTCATCCGTCTCCAGGATGATGGTTGGTGGGAAGCTGAAATCACCAATGCCCGTAGCCATCCTGGCCTAGTCCCCAGCAACTACTTGCAGATTATCTAGATCGATTATCTAGATCCCCAGCTTTCCATCTCACGACCCGCCATGATCTTACCAAGCCTTTGTCTTGACGGAGCTCTTTTGTTTTTCCTATTTGTTCACGCTTTCACGTAGATACCACGCCCTTCGCCAATCTCTTTGCACATTCACAATCCTTTTTTATCCAATTTCGATTCTTGGCATGGCGTCCTTGGGGGTTACTAGCCTTGCTTGTCAGCCTGCTCACCATTTTGACTTCTACGACTTTTTTTCCATTTCTCTTCTTTTGATTTTTTTATCTGAGATTTAGCGCGTCTTGTCTATTTTGTCAATATCTTGGCCGTTGTCAATTTATCCACCGCGACTTTGTTTCTATTCTGCGTTTCAGGGGAGATCCGTTCACATCAAAAATTACACCGAGAACGATCTGAGCCATGTACAATCCTCGGGAACCGTGGTTGATGGTGGTCTTTTTCCTTTTTTTCTTCTCCTTTTTCCTAATTTTTTTTTTTTTTTCATATTCTGTGCCTCTTTCCTTTTCCACCGTCGCTTGCTTATGGTTCTGATGGAGGATACGATGAGTTTTCATGTAATTGAATGATTTTTATTTGTAACAAATTCTCTCCACACCGTAAGATTCGCAGCCGTAAATAGTCTAGTCGCCAGATCGGCATAAGAGCTTACCATGAATGCTCATCCTAGGAAATGTGAACAGAACAGGATTAACCATGTTAATTTTGGGTGTAACACCTGGGCATATGAAGTATAACCGACTTCCCGTAACCCCGCACGCTAAATGTTAGTTAGAACCTATATTTCATTTAGTTTCAATAGCGCCTCCGGGCCAAAAACGCCTCTTAGATCATTCGCCGGTGCAGATAACAGCTCGAACTCATACAAGATATTCGAAAATTCTCTCGTGACTTCAAGTTGAGATATAGTATACGTTAAACTTGAGCATGATATCGGAGTAGACATCATAGACTTTGGGGTATAGACACGTTCAACTCAGCAGCAGACTGATTCCTTCAAATTCTATCCTCTGGTCCTGCCTCTAACTGATCGACCCCTCAATCTAGCTGAAAATGGCCAATGGCCAACTTTGAAGCAACGGATCAAAATGCTTGGTCAGGCCACGCCCGATGCCGTCACTTATCATCACAATCACATTGAATATTGACCCACATCGCCCCAGCCTGCGCTAGTGTAGGAATGGAAAGTGAGCACGCACCTTTCTCTACGGAAGACCGATGTTACTCCGCACTGGCATCATGGTTATCTAAGTGGAGCTCAGTAGATAGGGATGTGCACATCCTATGGTCAATACGGATCAGGGGCCGAACGCCGTATTTTTGCCTTTGCCTACGTGACCAATACATCAAAGGCTGAATGTCTATGCACAGTTTTGGTTGTTTAAAATGTAATTTAGAGGTGAAAGCCGCATTTGACCAAAGGCTCAAACTTATAGGTACTTACTATGGACTATAGTAGGTAGTATAGATGATACTATGTATATTGCTCGGCTGGACGATATCGCGCTTACTAGTATGTCTCTGAAACCTTCAACATCCAGTTACCATCTGACTCAATTCGGTTACTAATCCGTTTGTTCAAGTTAACCGGGTATGGAGAAGACTGAGCCACTTTCGGGTTTCATTAAATTATGCCGGTGGTCGGATTTAGTTGACTAGTAAGGTTACTACTACTAGTCAGGATGGATATTTAAAATCGCCTTGACCACACCCCCTCTTGCCACTTTTCCTCGGATTCAATCTAAAGAGAGCTGTAAAAAGACAACCTTCCGTTTATACGTTCGTTGGGGCTGAATTTAAGCTCTACCGTGGGGAAATATGACTTCTTTTTTGATCTCGGGGATTGTTTGTGCTCTCGGTCTGTCATCAAGTGTCACTGCTGTTGCGTATGGTGACTCCGTTCAAAAGTCTGCCACAGAGAAGCAGTTTTCACAGGAGTTTCCAGAGGGATACAGTTTTTTGAAACATATTGGTGGCAATGGACCGTACTCAGAGAGACGTTCGTTCGGCATTTCGCGTGACCCACCCGATAGCTGCGCAGTTGACCAAGTGATTATGATCAAGCGCCACGGTGAACGTTACCCCTTAGCATCAACGGGTGAATCAATCGAGTCCAGCCTTGCAAAGCTCTATGGTGCTGGTGTCACTGAATGGAAGGGTGATCTAGCCTTCCTGGACGAGTGGAAATATTATGTCTCCAATAAGTGCTGGTATGAAGCCGAGACTTACAGCGGTCCTTATGCTGGTTTGCTCGACGCGTACCACCATGGTGCCACCTACCGGGACAGATATGGGGACCTGTGGAATGGCGATGTGACTCCTTTTTTCAGCAGTGGTTATAGTCGTGTTATTAACACTGCTCGAAAGTTTGGTGAGGGCTTCTTCGGATACAATTATTCGACTGACGCTGCTTTGAACATTATCTCCGAGTCTGAATCTCTGGGTGCCAACAGTTTGACTCCAGTTTGTTATAATGATAATGACACGGCTACATGCGATAATCTCCCTAGTACTATGCCAATATTCAAAATTGCCGCAGCCCGATTAAATGCTCAGAACTCAGGCCTCAACCTCAACGAGACTGACATATACAACTTGATGAGTGAGTATTTATTCGTTGACTAGAAGGATATTACCTTAAAAGAATTGAAAGCTGACTTCTGCATAGCCATGGCTTCTTTTGAATTGAATACCCGTGCCTTTTCCGATTGGATCAATGTGTTCACTCAAGATGAATGGGTCGCTTTTGGCTACTTGGGTGACTTATACTATTACTACTGTGCTGGGTGAGTCATTTTCCACAATTTGATAAGAGAGACATGCTGACATTTTGCAAAAGACCCGGCGACAAGAATATGGCTGCTGTTGGGGCTGTCTACATCAATGCGACTCTGAGTCTCCTCAATGAGGGTCCTGAGAAAGTAGGGCCTCTAATTTTCAACTTGTATGCATATTCACCTCGAACTATCCGCCTCCAAGCCTTCAGCGTTACTAACTGTCATAGCGCCCACGACACCGACATTACCCCAATTGTTGCAGCTCTCGGCATTCTCATTCCCAGCGAAGATTTACCTCTAGATCGAATTCCCTTCGGAAACCCTTACTCAATTGGTGACATCGTTCCCATGGGCGGACATCTCACTATTGAACGTCTTAGCTGTAATGCTACTGCCATGTCCGAGAAGGGTACCTACGTACGCTTGGTACTCAATGAAGCCGTTGTGCCATTCAACAAATGCCAGTCTGGCCCTGGCTATTCTTGTTCTCTTGATGACTATACTTCCACCTTGAAGGAAGAACTTCCCGACTACCTGACTACCTGCAAAGTTCCAAAGTCATATCCACAGTACCTCGACTTTTGGTGGAACGCCAATACCACCACTCACTTGAATTACCAGCAAGGGCCGATTGGCTGCCAAGAGGGTTATACCATGTCATAAAGCCGCAAGAACTCCTTACGTCACTATGTCGGATAGATGCACGTATGGGATTACAGGTGGGAGAACCATGATATATCCACATGGGTAATAAGTCTTCAGAATAGATATACAATTCAGTACCCATGAAATAACTATATGAGACAAGATTTGAAGTGATACCAGAAGCAAGATATTGACAATAAATGATCAAAGGCCTTCGAACCATGAGAACGATAATACATCGACATGTAGCAGGGGGTATATGGAGAAAAGAACACAGCGCTCGTAGCAAGCATTCCAAGTGCAACTAGGGTTCAAGAAAAGCAACAGCGCTTATTCATCATCAACAAACGAGTTGGCCATACGACCGAAAAAGGGAACTTCGAAATGTTCGAGTGTTTCAACTGCAAATGAATTAGCATATGAATTCTTTTATAACCAGTGGGTCGTCAAACGCACCATCACGATAAGCTCGCAGACTGAGGTAACCGATCAAACCGAGGTCGACAATGAAGAGAGTCCAAGAAAGAAAAGCGGACCATGATAAAATAAGATGAAGGATCTATCCAACCTCGTCAGCTAATGTTTCAATTTGGACAACGGATTTAATACTCACGAAGATAACAGCAAAAAGCATGCTAGATTGCCAAGCGTGGAATCTATTAATAGTAATCTCATCAGTATTTCTGCCTGGGGTACTCTCAAATCCAAAAGTCATCTAAGTGGTACATACCGGACGTAGTCGCTCTTATGCTCAGCTAATAGGAGAAATAGACCTCCAGCAGGAGGTAAAACTAAATACGCCAGTGCAGCCTCCACATCCATGCGAATGGGAAGGCTTGTCTCAAAGGCCCCCAAGCTCACATGTCCACCTTCAACATCTCGTCCAAAGCTGGTGTTTCCATGTCCACCTCCCGCAAAGTGGCTTGGAGAAGGCAGATCGGCCGATGCTCTAGGTGATCGAAGGTTGGGAGACTTGCCGCGGGGGTCGGGATGGGGAGGGGACAGCGCCCGCTCGATCTCGGGGGATTCGTCTTGATAGGGAGCGAAATTCATTATGTCTGAGTGATGGAGAGGAGAACTGGGGGTTAATCAATTTACTGGGGAAATGGAATCCAAGCTCCTTATCGTTATCAGCGGTCGCGTATCCGCGCGTTTAAGTTTACGTTTACAGCCTCAGGCACCCACTATAATTTAGATCTGTTGCCAGAAATTGGGTATCATTTTCATTGGGCACATTAACGTTTCATGTGGCTCTATCATCATACACGAAGAACAAATCACGTATGAAGTATTCTAAGGCCGGCTTCGTCCTCGGGCAATTCCGCTTGCGCTTGCACTTCCACTGCCAGTACTAGAACCGCGCATAATCCCGCTAACTGGCCGTCGAGTTGTAGTTGTTGATGATCCCCGCGTAGCTCCCGTTCGGCTGGTACTGACACTGGGCGTTCTGCCCAGACCAGTACTGCGAACAGTGCCTCGACTGGTCCCGCGAGTGCTTCTTGTGCTCGGTGCTCGTCGCAGTGCATCTTCTTCCGCTTTTCGAGCTGCTGCCTCTCTTTGTTGTTGTAAGGCTCGTTCGCGCCGCTCAGCAGCTTGTTGTTTCTGAATTGCTTCGGTTTCCATGTCGGCTACATCTTGAGTGGCACCTTGCCAGTTTGGATTGAGGATCAAGCGTTGGTTATGTTCAGTTTGGGAGAGGATTCGGGTCCATGTATTGAGAAGTGTTGATGCGGATGTAACGGTTTTTGATACAGTCTGTAGAACATCGATATGAGTTTTGAGCTTTATTTGTTTGTATAAGTCTCGGTAGTGAACTTACATCCATATTTCCTTTGGCATGATCAATACTGTTAAGGAGGTTTTCAATTACTTGATTGACGTTTCGGACTGTGTGTAATTCGTTTTGTAGCGCGGCTTCCCGAGCTTCCTGACGATCAAACATAGTGTCACCTCCGTCGCGAGATTGCTGTTGTTCTGGTGCGGGAATGTCATCAGATGATCGCGGTGTGAATTTTTTAGTTCCACATTTTGAAGGCGAATCCCAGAGATTCTCAGTATCTTCGTCCGAAAGTTGTAGTCGGTCCATTTCCTCCGCAGCGCTTCGAGCCATTGTGGAATAAGAATCCGGCAGTATCACTGCTCTGAGCTGTAGAATTTGGGTGGAGAGTGTTGAAGAGTTGATTGAAAATAAATATGACTTGGCGCCCACCAAAAGACCTATCAATAGACCTAGATCTCAGGGGAAACTGATCGGGAAGAATAGTGTAGATCCATGGAACGAATCATAAATAATCGCGGGGCCGATTGTTGTTCACCCAATCTCGAAGGCGGTGGAGGTGGTCGGGGCGGTGACGGGAATAGGGTGGCTGGGAAGTCCAAACATGCCGCCCTTCTTTGGGTCTTCGCCCTTCCTTCTTTTCAACTACACCCCATCTCTAATTGCTTTTTGCGGAAATCTACTTGCTTTAAATATCGACTTGCATTTTGGATTGCCTTGAAACGTTCTGTCACGACTTCTGAAGTTTGATTTTCTCCCGTGTGGTCGTATCTGCACCGCGCCCTTGATTGAATCCATCAACGCCAATTCACGACTTGGGGTCAACAAACGGTGCCAAACGAACTGAACGAACCCAACCTGAGGTCAAAATCATCACAACTACGACAACCAGCGAGACAAATACCCAATCTTCAACCGAAAATTCACATTCGTCTCATCGTGTATCATCCATGATGTCGTCCACACCGCCCCCGCCGTCGCCGTCAAGTCTGAGAGTTCCAGGTGCACCACTACATGGTCCTGGATATGACACATATGAGCCATATCCCACTCGGTCTTCAGCTAGATTGGCAAGTCAGCGTGCTTCGCGACCGAAAGAAACAACACCACCAATGTTCCCTGACTCACCAAGTAAAGGTCGATCTCAAGGTTATTCACCAAGAAAGTACCGAAGGGTAGAAGATACGACTCTCTCACCACCAGGTAGTCACTCGAAATCCCGAGCCGATGCACAGCGAGGGCGCCTGTCTGGTACTGTAAATTACGACGAGTCTCGAATCACTCGACCTTCTTCTACCTTACCACCTTCAACTGGAATTTTCCAGAGCCAGACCTTACCCACTCCCGCCAAAACTCCATCAAAGAAGAAGGTAACTGGCGATCTTTCATCTACTGCGCGAACTCTCTTCCCACAAAGCACCAAAATGTCGAGCAGGGTGAAGACTCCATTCTCGCTCGACAGTCTTGACGAGTCCTCTGGCCCAGCTCGGGGTATTGAGATCTTTACAGACTCTCGCGATCGCATCCCTGCTCCCTCTCAAGAAGCAGTCAATCCTTTTCGCATCCAGTCTGGTCTCGATGGTGACGGCGATCGCCCTGTCACTCGTGCCTCTCGTCGAGTACGTGTAGGAGAGGAGACGGAAATGACCTATACCTTGTAAGTAATCCTTTCTGTCTACCCTCACTTTATCATACTAACTTTTACCTTCGCTTCAGCCGTGGCAAATCATTTATCAGAAAGCTTGAGGATCTTGACCAAATGGAGGACGACGATCCAAATGATTTGGGGCTGTTTGCTGGTCGTGAGCACTTGTTACCTGATTCTTCTGTCCTTCAAAGAGTGAAACCTCTTCGTCACAAAGACATCAAGCCTCGGCTGCTCTGGACTGCCGATGGAAAGCCAGTCCCACGACCTCAGCCAAAGGACGAGAACGTGCCTGCCAAGAAGGACGTTAGAGAGTCTACTGTTGAAGACGAGGCCACCGATGAAGAAGATGGCGTGGATGATGAACCCCTCTCGCATAATCCGAAGTCACCTGTTTTCACTCCTCAAAAGCTCGAGTTCCCACGCGCCCCCGGAGCTACTCGCAATTTGCGCTCCCAAGCACGCATGGATTCTGAGATTGAAGACACTCCATCCATGAGCGCCATCAATATTTCACAGCGCAAGAGCACACCATTCAATTCTTGGTTACGAAAGAAGAAGGGACCCGAGGAACTTTCTCCTGCTACCACCCCCGCCAAGCGTGACGCTCGAGACGAGCCTGCGAAGCCCCCGGGTTCTAAGAGATCCCGGACTACCCGCAGCGCCAACATTGCATAGATGTTTCTATTACACAGGCTTGACGCTTTGAACTAGTCCAGGTGTTTTGTTAGTTACTACGCATTGTCTGACCGTTTATGTCTTGTTTCCTCCACTTCGCTACCTGTCACCTAACTTTGAGGCACTACGATCATTGTCAAGCTGTTCCCTAGCACATTTTTGCTGCTCGCTCAACGAGGATACCCTTCTTCAGGCCTCTCGAAGGTCTTTGCTTTTTTCTTTTCTTTCTCAGTCATGATCTAATTTATTCTCCATTGATGACTTCTGCGCCTTTTTCAAGCCATGGGGTTCTTATTTGCTATTACTTCGGTTACCTGGCGCTTCGGTTTGGGTCAGGGATGGGATACCAAGGTACTCAAGCGTGTGCATTCTTTCTTCATTTCTTTTCCGTTTTCCAAGGATGGATCAAGGGAGTCCGGTGCTTTTCCATTATGTTCTTCACTTTTGCATCTTTCCTCCTCTTTTGTACTGCTTCTGCCTGCTTCTAGGCTTCATTGCGCGTCCCTTTTCCTCTGGTTGGTACCTGGATACAGTTTGTGCGTGATGTGTGATGCGACAGATGATACCGTACTTTTTTTTGAGGATGAAAAATTTGAACTTCTCTCAAACTGCATATCAATATTTGCGCAATAGTATGGTTCGATCTTAGTCAATAGTACGTTTATGAAAAAAAAAAAAAGAATACATCAAATTTGAACAACACACAAGTGCCATTACGTAGATCTAAGGTTACCAAGTGAATACACTGGATACGGATCCAAAAACTTTATATGTTGATGGGTCGATTCGATGCAGCCGAAAGAGTTCTCCCTCTCCCATCCATGATGGCGTTATTATGTGCAAAGAAAAAACAGGGCCAGACGCCAGGAAAGCCGTATAAAAGGCAGCGTTGTACATAGATTTCGATTCTAATCAAACAAACTCTAATTCATCATCATCGTCGTCATCTGATAAAGGTTGTTGCTTGCTGCCTGTCGCCTCAGGACCACCAAGACTGTCTCGACCAGCTTCTCGAATTCCCTTCGCAGTGATAAACCGTGTCTTTTTGAGACCACTGCCGTGGGGCTTGTCCCCATCATGTGACCTTTTCTTAGGACTGAGCCTCACGTTCTTTGCTCTGCCAAAGCTAGACAGATTGAAATCGCTGCTACTTGAGGGAAGACCCTTTGGAGTTCCAGGAGGACCAGATGGCTTGGCATCCCCATTGGCATCTGGCAATTCGGTGGTGCGCGTTCGCAGATACTCAGCACCCACGCCACCAACTTTGCTAGAGACAAGCTTTTGTGTGATATCCCTCTCCCGTTGTTGCGCTATCAGGCGTTTGCGTAATCGCTCTTCCTTATTCTCCATCCCCCGGCCCATCATCCCAGCCGCAATAAAAGGGTCGTCATTAGCATCAAGCATCGCTGCTGACCCATGACCTCCAGCGAGAGGGTCATAGGATGTACGATTTGCATCACGACTCCTAGGAGCTGGCGCAACAAAGTATGTTGACGCAGATGCCAAATCGTATCGACCACCTTCAGGCTTTCGTCTCTCTTTTTCGTGAGGAGGCGTGACCGCTCGACTCCCCTTTCTGTGTTCGTAATAGCCCATTCTTGATCCACCACGGCCAAACTGACCTACATCACTGTTCACACCAGAACGCAGGCCTTGCGTGCGTCGCACCTGGAGATCAACGTGGAATTCACAAAATTCGGTTTTCCGGGCATCTAGCCAAGACTGGCATGTTTTGCCATCTTTTTTGACGGATTTGCAGTAACCGATGTCCCGGGCCTTTCCAATCTCCAACACCTTATCATCCGATGACGAGAGAGCCAAACTAAATCGATTGGTATCCAGCCTGTGTTTTGGGGGAGGCAGAATTGTTGGGTTCAATATTGCAACAAGGGTTCCTGTTGTCATCTTGTAGTAGCGCGAGAAGGCAGTATCGAACAGAAAGAGATCAATTGTCCACTTAAGATCGGTCAGAGTTATAGCCATATAGCGACTGGTGTTGTTCGATCCATCGTCATAAGGGTCAGTAGATTTCGATGTGGTATTGTCTGATTGCTTCGTTTGTTTTGGCTCTGACTTGGATGCAACAATTCCAAACACGACGTAATCACCGTCTATGTTATCTGGAAGTTCAAATGCCGGAGCCTTGACCTTTTTGAGGAGATCAGGTATGCGAAGGGCAGTTTTATCGGTGAGAGTGCGGCTTAAGAATGAATGGGGGAGTATGCGACTTGATAGATGCAATGATGAATAGGACTCAAACTTTGAGGAGTCAGGCGCACTTGATGTTGCCCCAACCTCTCCGCTTCGGTTGTTATTATTGTTGAATTTTCGTCGGGAATCGTCCTCTTTCAAGTTCGGAGTCGTCTGACTGCGTTTTAAACCGCCAGCCTGTGGACGGTCTAGGGACCGAAGAATCTCCTCGCGGTTGAAGTTGTAGGTTTCAGGTTCCCGGCTCATAGTAGTTGGAAGTGTTGACTGCAGCTCACCAGCAGCTGCGGCCCTGAAAGACTCGATTTCTGCTTGATCCAACTGAAAGGCTGTGCTGCGGCCAGCCTCCACTCGTTCCGCTCTGGCCAGGCGAGACTTCTCTGCCTTTTCAGCAGCCCGGCCCTCGGCCATTCGCTCACTGAAACTTTTAATTCTTTGGAGTCCTCCAGTGCTGGGCGATGTTTGCGGTCGTGGTGAGGAATACATGTCACTTGCGCGAGACATGGCACCGCTGCGATTTCCAAGCTGGCTGGTGGGTCTAGCCTCCATCCTCGAGCTTGGAGGGCGTTTCAGTGACACATCACTAGCTTTCCAACCCTTGTCTATTCCTAATTGATACCTTCTAGGGGACCAAGGCTCAGGCGCTGGTGCAGCCCGCCTTGTAGGCGACAAAGGAACTTGCACATCATTGGCAGGGGCCTTGCGCTGGCTGCGCGGGGGGCTTCTTGGATCCGCAGTCTGATGAGGGCGTGCGGCGGAGCCCAGGCGATCATCATCGTCTTCGTTGTAAGATGTGGCGGTGCCGGACCGGCCTCGGGATTTTTGGAGTTGTTTCAACTTGAGGCGAGCCTGGATCTCGGCAAGCCGCAGCTCCAGGGTCTCTTCATCCTCTTCTTCCTCCCCGCCGTCATCTTCGCCCTCGTCTAGCACCTGGCTTGCTTTTGATCTGAAATTTGGAGTTGTGTTGGATCGTTTCAAGGGCGAGGAGAGGAGTTGTTTGCGTTGCAAGTCTTGGTATTTCCTCCGACCTCCGGGAGAGCTGAGTAGAGCGTCCCGAGGTGACTTGGGTGGCCAGGCACTGTCGGCCACTGGAAGGAAAGCTTGTCAGTAACCTATTCAATTTTATGGGGGCAGAAAACCCACTTTCAATTCAAATTCAAGGGCAAATCAATCAGAAGCGGCCATCAATATTGAGGTCATTCCCCGCCAGGATCGCCGTTTTCGCCGGCTGAACCCAAAACGCTGCGCTTGAGCCGTTGGAAACGAGTGAATCGACCAAATGCCTTATTAAAACGAAGGGATAAGGAAATATGAGAAGATCAAGTTCGTCGAGTCCTGAAACTTTCGGAAATTGCGAAACTGCTAGGGATGCAGGGAGCGGAAATGATGGATCACACACATGCATGACCCGCACATGATTGGGCGCGTCCCTGCGCGTCGCGGTTTCCTCTTTAGTCCTTAGTACCGTCCAAATTCTACTTCTCGTTCCTTCCTTGCTCCAGTCACTCCAACGCTATAATATATTACACACTTTCATAATGCCTCGCACTCGAGCTTCTGCCCCTGCCGAGCAACCAAAGCCAGAAGACAAAAAGACTTTGACTCCTGCCGAAAAGCCTACAAAAACTTTCATATTGCCCTCGTCTCCCAGCGCCGACGCGCGCCTGCTCTCCCTTCCGAACCCGCAATCAGGCGAACTAAGGCACTATTTCTTCTGCCCACAGCGAGGTCTTTACGAGTTTACGGTTGTCGGCGCACCTCCTTACCAGGCTCGCAGTATTCTTTTCACACCTTCCGCGCGTGAATCAAGTTCGCAAACTGACGAGGCGCCTGCTACTCCGCCTAGCTCGATTTCGAAGAGTGCGGATCTCCTCGTCGCAACGCCCATTGACTCGATATTTTTCTTGGTCCCTCTTTTGTTTGCTTCTTCGAAAGCAGGTCAAACACTTTTCCAGCCATTGGACGATATTATTGACTCCAACGATGACCTCCCTCCCCATTTTCGCAATGTTCTCTACGATGACAAGTTTCGACCTACTCTGCTCGCGCGTGCAGAGGCTATATGTGATACGGTGGACGCTGGGGATGAGAAGATGATTCGTTTCAACGAATCGAAGCTTCTGAAAGAATTAATTGCCAAATCTGAAAGAATGACAGCCCAAGGTCTTCCTGTAAGCTTGGAGGAGCGATTTATCCGGCAGGCATTGGCTGCACCCCTGATGTCCGTCAAGCGGGAAGATGCGTCTACTAGCCAGAAATTGAACGATAATGGGGGCGAGGCAAATAAGCCCAATGAGAGCTCAGATTCGCCATCCACAACAGAAACCACAACTACTCCATCCGTGTCTACGCCGGCGGGCGAGTCAACACCTGCGTCTCAACCGCCCGGAGAAGAGATCACTTCTGATGCTACCATAGCTCGACTACTGCGCATTTCTACGGCACTGTCATATATGAAAGAGTCTTATATTTCGAACGACCTGTGCTCTCGTATTGATAAGCTCCTTGCCTCTCCTGAAAGCCCGTTGGATTTCAAACCCTTAACGGATCGCTTGAAGGAGCTTGTTGAGCTTCGTGCAAAGGCACACGCGTCACGCAATATGTCTGATTTCACCCTCAAGCGTGGCCTCGATGACGAAGAAGTCGAGTCTCGTGCAGAAAAGAAGCGCAAGAAGGATGAAGAGGAGAAGAAAGCCAAGGCTTCAGAATCTCGTGGCATCCGGGATTTGAAGAAGGTTAATACTACGGGCATGAAGAAGATGAGCGATTTCTTCGGCAAGGCTGCAGCTAAGAAAAAGGCTTGAACGACTCGGTTGCGATCTCTACTTCATTCTTCCCGAACCACTATACGGTCCAATAACTAAATACAAATTTGGGAAATTGACGAATTAGCCTTTTGCTCCTCTGGCACGAGGAAGCATCAGTTTCGGCCCACTTGGCGTGGCTGAAAACGCCGCAATTCCTCCTATATATAAAGGACTAACAACCGCTGCACACCAGCTTGCATCTTCAAATTTGGAAGCGATTGGGTCACTCTGCACAAATTACAAGCCCAGCGAGTCGGTCAAATTTTTTTACTGTCGACTGAATCAGTAAGACTGCACCTTGGTACATCCACCCTTTTACAGTGCCGTGTCGCCCTGGGGGCCAAAGTATTTGAAGCTTTAGAATAGTTGATGGTTATTGAGGATATAAATAGTTTCAAAAACCGACCTGTAAGGTCCATTAAATTCGTGAGAAAGCTCATAATTTCTAAATCAAAGACTTCACAGGGCAACCTGGTCAATGGCAGCTCCAGTAACACTATAGATATAATCAATGTTAGCGACATATTCCCCTTCTTCATTGGAAATTCAGGTGTGACATACACGAACGAGCCATTGGACGGCTTGCTGATAACCATCGCTTGCTTCAGCTTCTCCGCGCTGATATCAGGGAAGTGCTTTAGGTAGTACTCATTCCGTAAGGCAGTTGTCACAGCCTCGACCTTGCCCTGTGGCAGCATGTGAACTGTACAACCACCCCATCCAGCACCAGTCAAACGGCTACCCCAAGTACCCGCCTTGCGAGCAATGGTGCAAATCTCATCCACCTCCGGAGCACTGCACTCGTAGTCAACACGGCATGACTCCTGGGACTCGTTGAGCAATTGACCCAGGTAGTGAATACGCTTCTCATCCAACTCCGATGCCTTGGCCAGGCAAGCCTTGAAATCCAGCACACGACGCGCCTCCTTGAAGCAGTGCAATGCGCGCTGGCGCAAACGGAATCGCTCAGCTTGAACAGGGAATGCAGAGAGGAACTTTGACTCCAGCTCGAGAACACTGATGCCCAGAAGCTCGGCCATTTCCTCGCGTGTGTAACCTTCGGTCTTGGTGAAAAGGTCCTGAGTAGCCTGAATAACGGAATCGATCTGGTACTCCAGTGGATCGTGCAGGCGTCCCTCCTTGGTCATAAGTTCCTCTTGGAAATTGCGCAGACTGAAACCGAGGGAGCTGTTATCCTTTGGCAGAGTTAAACCATAGTTCTTGGCGAGAATGACAGCAGCGAGTGTACACTCTGCCACGCGGAGGTTGTAGTGTCGGGGTGCAGTGTCGGCCTTGTTTGAAGTGACAAAGCTCTGAGCCATAAGGAAGGTGATTTCGTCGGCTGCAGTAGGGATTGGGACGTGCTCGACCTTGAATGTGGGGAAGAATTGGGTGTAGAGGAGGAAACCACGCTTTGAGAAGATAGAGGCAGCTTGGTCCATACTATTTATTGCAAGTCGCATCTTGTTAGCAAGTGACAAACTGATTGATTTGAATACGGAGATAGTCATTTCTTTACTTACCCGCCAGAGTACACACCAACCGCACGCTCAGACACAACAGCCAGGTCTAGAAGGTCCTGCTTCGACACATTATGATTGTTGGCCTTCATGACGGCCAGCGCACTAGCGCAGACGAACGCGGCACTGCTAGAGATACCACCACCGGGGGGCACATTGCCATCAACAAGGATTTCCATGCTTGCAGGAGGCACGCCATCTGGTCTCTCCTTGCGCAGGAACTTCAATGCACCGGAAAGACCGGCCTTGAAGTAGTTGATCCATTCGTGCTTCTTGGGGTCGATCTCGATATCGGTATCATGCGGCACGCTGAACTCGCGAGTGGGGAACTTCTCCGGCGCAACATTCGCAATCTTAATAGTGGTACCGGAAGTGCCAGGGGTGACCTTGACGGCCATAATCACGTCGACGCTCACGGCTGTAGGTAGAACATCGTAAAGTGAGTAGTCGATATGCTCGCCGATGATGTTCACGCGACCAGGGCTGCGGGCTACAAAGTCCGGGGTGTGGTTGTATTCTTTATTGAATTGAGAGACCAGAGCAGAGAAGCGCGCCTGGTGTTCAGCGGCGGGGGTGTTCACGGAGGCATCGCTGGTGGCATAGACCTCCGCGATAGATTCTGTTTGCGGAACAAGCTCTTGTGGGGAAGACATGGCGGGGTAAGGGACTTTTTTGAAGAAGAAAAAGAGGAACTTGGTGGGATGAAGGGACAGAAAAGGAAGAAGTGAAGCACGACACTAATATGAAACTAGAAAAATGAAAATAGTAAATGAGAAGAAAGTAATTAATTAGATTAAAAATAAAATAAAATAAAAACCTGCAAGCGAATGACGCCCCGGTTTCCAAAGACTCCAGCCCCGGGTAAAATGGAACGTTGGTGGGGGAAAGGGCCCAGCTTTCATTGCCCCGGTGTCCTTTTGCAGTGTTAGTCCTTGCGGAGAGGTCGCATTGATCCCGCAAACACAATTGAATTGTTCTTGCCTATTGGTGCAAATGACAGGAACCATGCGTTTGCCCCCCTCCCCCCCCCCCGTTATATCGTCATTGGGACATTGCTGGAAGAGTTTAAGAGACTCGGGGCGTAGTAGACATCCGGGGTTAGATGTGCCGATCTATATAAATGATGAAAACAATCAGGCTAAGCCTACGGACTTCCTTCGATCTGTTGAACTTATACAAGTATTAAGCACAGATCTCTCGTATTTAATGCCCTTCAACGTCCTAGGTTACCGGCCCGAAATTGTCAACTCGGCATGCCACTAGGGCTTCGGGAAAAAGAAAACATCGGTTAATAGCTTGTTCTCGGCTTAATGTGGAGGCAGTACCCCATAATATTCTGGATAAAGGCTCTTGCTACAGTGCACGGCCCACCTGGATCCGGAAGTCACCGTCGCGACGTAATTTAACTAGCATAGCATGATCAAAAGTTCATTGAGTTGTTACATGGTGTTATAGGCATTGAAGAATTCCTACATGCGTTGACATCTGTCGCAACCTTTTTGAGGGTCGGAAATTCAGACGGTAGAGCCTCTCCAAAGTAATGTAGCCTCTTCTAGGGTGAGCAGTCCCAAAGAAGCTCATCTGGTTTGCTGCATTCGAGGCCTGTTTTGACTCGGGAAATGGTCACAATTGCAAAGTTCTAACTATCGTGGGACATGCAAAGCCTGCATAAATAATCAATGCCCCGATCTGTGCATAGTCTGCACGGAGCAAGGGCTGCAAGGCAAAAATAATATTTGAGTATATGACGTGGAAAGCATTGTATATCAACTGCAAGTGGTAGCACAAGAAGGTTCACCGGTAGTTGGTGGCCTATAGATCGAGTCCCCTCGCATGGGCCAGGCCTTAATCGGAACATCGCATCGGCATATGAAACCAATAAGAACAGCAAGAAGTCACATGAGAAGCGAAAACGGCCGGGTCAGGTGATCTGCCGATTTACGCCGAGGTCGGAGGTGCGGAGAAGAAAATATGGAGAGAAAGGCCAATCAGAGAGTTTCAAATTGAGTCAGAGCGGTCGGTGAAAGTGGTGCTTTAGGTTAAGGCGCTTTTTTCATTCCCCCAAGATTTACTAGCAAGGGCCAATTGCTTCTTCTTGACTCACCTATCCTTCGTGTGCTGGCCGGGTCGTTCAAGATGATGCCTCTCAGACCATCAAAAACCGCTCTGCGGTCCATCCATATCCAGAGGCAGCTTGTCTCTGGACGCCGGCCCTTTTCGACTTCGTTCGTGGCTTCGGCTGCCTCGCCCCACCGCTCTTCTCCCCAGAAGCGTGCTCAGAGCACCGCAACAGCGACCGTGTGAGTTCTTCCGCCAGAAGAATCAGTAGACGAGAAGAAGAAAGATGGATAAATAAATACTGTGGAAGGATATACCGTACTGACGCCCTTTGGTAGAGAATCTCGTCCTGTCCCCAGCCCAGCCTTCAACCAGGAACCTCATCGCAATGAGGTCTCGCCTCTTCAAAACCGCCAGGCCGGCGAGCTCGATGACTCGTATGTGCTTCAACCATTGTCTTTCATAAAAGGAGTCCTTCAGTCTAATATAATCATACAGTATGGTCGGAATGAGCGGTGGTGAAATCTTCCACGAGATGATGCTGCGTCACGACGTGAAGCACGTTTGTGAGTCACCTACTCTCTCTTATATTCGGCCATTATGGCTCTTTTTTACTGATGAAACATAGTCGGTTACCCTGGTGGTGCCATTCTCCCCGTATTCGATGCTATATATAACTCAAAACACTTCGACTTCATCCTTCCTAAGCATGAGCAGGGTGCCGGACACATGGCCGAAGGTTATGCCCGTGCCTCCGGCAAGCCCGGTGTTGTTTTGGTCACCTCTGGCCCTGGTGCCACTAATGTCATTACTCCTATGCAGGATGCTATGTCAGATGGTATTCCCATGGTTGTGTTCACCGGTCAGGTCGTCACTAGCGCTATTGGAACCGATGCCTTCCAGGAGGCTGATGTTGTCGGTATCTCACGTGCTTGCACCAAGTGGAACGTCATGGTCAAGTCTGTGGGTGAGCTTCCTCGCCGCATTCAAGAGGCCTTCGAGATTGCCACTAGCGGCCGCCCTGGACCTGTTCTCGTCGATTTGCCCAAGGATGTCACCGCTGGCATTCTCCGCAACCCTATCCCCATGCAGAGCACCATCCCCTCCCTCCCAAGTGCCGCAACCATGGCTGCTCGTGAAATGAGCAAGCGCTCTCTCGATGCCACCATTAGCCGCGTCGCTAAGCTTGTCGACAAGGCTGAGAAGCCTATTCTATACGTCGGTCAAGGTCTTCTTGCTCGTCCCGATGGGCCTCAGATCCTGAAGGAGTTCGCCGAGAAGTGCTCCATCCCCGTTACCACCACCCTCCAGGGTCTTGGTGGATTCGACGAGTTAGATCCTAAGGCTCTGCACATGCTGGGTATGCACGGTACTGCATACGCCAACATGGCCATGCAGGAGGCCGATCTTATCATCGCTGTTGGTGCCCGTTTCGACGACCGTGTCACCCTGAGTATCCCTAAGTTTGCCCCGCAAGCGAAGGCCGCCGCCGCCGAGGGCCGTGGTGGTATTGTTCACTTCGAAATCATGCCCAAGAACATTAACAAGGTCGTTCAGGCTACCGAGGCTGTCGAGGGTGACTGCGCTGATAACCTCCGTCTCCTCGTTCCCCATGTCAAGGCCGTCTCAGAGCGCCCCGAGTGGTTCGAGCAGATTAATGACTGGAAGGCACGTTTCCCTCTGTCGCTTTACGAGCGCCAGGAAGCCGATGGTCCCATCAAGCCTCAGTCCGTCATTGAGAAGCTCAGCAACCTCACTGCGGACATTAAGGAGAAGACCATTATCACCACCGGTGTCGGTCAGCACCAGATGTGGGCTGCTCAGCACTTCCGTTGGCGTTTCCCCCGTACCATGATCACCTCTGGTGGTCTTGGTACTATGGGTTTCGGTCTGCCCGCCGCTATCGGTGCTAAGGTCGCTCGCCCTGACTGCCTTGTCATCGATATTGACGGTGACGCTTCCTTCAACATGACCCTAACAGAGCTTTCCACTGCTGCTCAATTCGGTATTAACGTCAAGGTCCTCCTGTTGAACAACGAAGAGCAGGGCATGGTTACCCAATGGTAGGTCAACCTTACATAATATTGATTCAAAGAGAAATTTACTGACAAGAATCAATAGGCAAAATCTCTTCTACGAAGACCGTTACTCTCACACTCACCAGCAGAACCCCAACTTCGTTCCTCTCGCCCACGCTATGCGTGTTGCCGCCGAGCGCGTTTCCGACCCCGCTGAGGTTGAAGCCAAGCTGAAGTGGCTGATTGAGCACGATGGCCCCGCCCTTCTGGAGGTCATCACTGACCGCAAGGTTCCTGTCCTTCCTATGGTTCCCTCCGGCAGTGGTCTGCACGAGTTCCTCGTTTTCGACGAGGCCAAGGAGAAGGAGCGTAAGGATCTGATGCGCCAACGCAAGGTCGACTTCCATGTCCGCAAATAAATTTCTCAAGGCCAGTGGCCAACCGACAACCTATTTCGCCTCCATGGGGACGCCAGTCCCCGTTATTGACCGTTTTTTCCATTGATATCCATGGCGTTTTCTTGGGCGGTTTCACCTAAAGCGATTGGAAGAGTCTAATTGAACCCGAAAACAAAAAAGATTTCCCTTTGCACCCAAAAGTTATATCGCCCGTCGCAGATCGATCGATGTGGCAAAAGTTTTGGTATCCGTTTCTCTTCACGGGTTTCCTCTACTTCTCTTGTTGTCCCTGGGGTAGTTGATTTGGGTCAAGGAATTCCAGATTGCCTACGCTCACTGTGTTTTACATAGTTACTTTCGGGATATCTTCTCCTGAAAGCCGCCTCTTTCACATTGTGTGTAAATAATGTTCATGTATTGCAAGTCATAGGTCGAGATTTGGGATGTGCTGCCTGCGCGCTCCTGGAAGAGACCATTATTCAAACAGTTTTATCCCAAAGGCTTACGTCTTCAGCTTTTTTCTCTTTCAAAGTAGAATGAATCTATCGTATTGTCAGAAATTTTTTTTTTTTTTTTTTCATATACTTAGAATGAATGTGGAAGAGCGGTTTTAGCTTGAACCGTTAATGGAGGAACTACCGATGTGGAACTAGTTAACTAACTAGTTAATTACGCATACGTATTAGGCTGCCTGATTAATATGGCTGATTTTTGGCCTGTCACCTAACTAACTAGTCATTTGGATATGATCAGTTAAATATGGATTCAATGCTCAAAGCCGGATACGTGTCGTTCTAATATTATTAGATTGGATTCAAGAGATAGGTTTATATAGCCCGCAAATGCATAGGCGAGCAGAAGCATAGTGTGCCCAGTGACGTTCGGGGGAATGTCGACCCCATATTATGGTGTCACGGCACCCAATGAGCTTATCCTTCTTTGCTCCAACTCCAACTCCAACCAACTCACTCTCCCTCTCTCTCCTCCAAACACCGCACATCCACCAACCAAACACCTTAATTCTCTTATGAATTGTTGGCAGTGGTGAAGAGCCCCTTGCAAGCTCAATCATTGCTCTAACCGCGCAGGTGTTTACCGCCTGCTTCCCATCCCACAGCTCCCCCTCATTCTACAATGGCCAGCCCACCGCCTGTCGCCGAGGACCAGACCCGCCTCCTTGAGGAGGCATTGGGGGTGGTGAGGCAGCAGTCGGCCTTGATGCGCAAATGTCTGGAGACTCCCGGAAAGCTCATGGATGCGCTCAAATGCGGGTAAGGTGTCCTCCCTGAGCCTTCGCTCTCACTAGGCAGCGATGTCGGATCGCCGCGCAACGAACATATGTGCTAATTAACTCCCCATTCGGGGGCCTGCGATTATAGATCCACACTTGTATCCGAATTGCGAACACCTAGTCTCGGTCCGAAGCAATACTACGAATTGTACATGGCTGTTTTCGATGCACTGCGACACCTCTCCGTTTACCTTAGGGAGAGCCACCCTGTCAACCACCTCGCGGACCTGTACGAGCTCGTTCAGTATGCGGGCAACATCGTTCCTAGGCTATATCTCATGATCACTGTTGGCACCGTGTACATGTCGGTCGAAGAGGCGCCAGTCAAGGAAATTATGAAGGACATGATGGAAATGACCCGTGGAGTTCAGCACCCGATTCGTGGTTTATTTCTGAGATACTATCTTTCCGGCCAGGCGCGGGACTATCTGCCTTCTGGGACTGGCGATGGACCGGAGGGAAACATTCAGGATTCGATCAACTTTGTTTTGACGAACTTTGTGGAAATGAACAAGCTCTGGGTGCGGCTTCAGCACCAAGGTCCTTCGCGAGAGCGAGAGCGACGCATACAGGAGAGACGTGAGCTCGAGCTGCTTGTGGGTAGCAATGTCGTCCGCTTGAGCCAGCTGGTAGACCTCGAAACATACAAATCGGGCATCCTACAAGCTCTACTTGAGCAAGTGGTGCAGTGCCGCGATGTCTTAGCCCAAGAATATCTCTTAGAGGGTATGTATTATTTTTGCGCTGGATGTTCGACTCGACTCAATGCTGATTTTTCCAAAAGTGATAACCAAGGTCTTCCCTGATGAATTCCACCTCCATACTCTTGATCTCTTATTATCCGCCATCTCCCGCCTTAACCCTCATGTTGACCTAAAGAAAATCGTGATCGGACTTATGGACCGTTTATCTACATACGCGGCGAAAGAGAGCGAGGCAGAATCCACGGAAGAGCCAGATACTCGCCAACAGAGTGAGGAGGAGGCCGTCACCCGTTTATTAGAGAAGCTTGAACTTGACAAGGAGAAGAAAAAGAAGCAAGCGCCCGCTGAGCCCGCTGAGCCTGCTGCTGCAGATGCTCCTAAAGAGAACGGGACAGATGAGCCAAGCCAACCGAAAGAGACCACGGATGAACCAGAGCCCACGAACGGAAAAGACTCGAAGGCTGATCTTCCTGCTGAGGCCAAGCTGTATGATATCTTCTACGACCAGGTGGTAAACTTGGTCAAGACACGTGCTTTGCCTATCCAGGATGCCATGGCTCTTTTGGTGTCATTAGTCAACCTTGCATTGAATATCTATCCAGGCCAATTGGAATATGTTGATCAAGTCTTGGACTTTGCGACACAAAAGACAGCTGAATACACCGACCATGCAGATCTGCACGCCACATCCACACAACAACATATCCTCCACCTTCTCAACGCCCCTCTCCGTTCTTATGCCTCAATTTTCACAGCTTTGGCTTTGCCTCATTACTTACCGCTCCTTACATCGCAATCATACCCTACTCGGAGGTCTCTTGCGGGCGAGATAGTGCAGAGTCTGTTGAAAAACAAGACTTTCGTCACAAATCCCGAAAACCTTGATCGTGTTTTGCAAGCCATCAGAGTCTTGATCAAAGAGGGTGCTCAGCAGTCCGCGGGATACCCAGGGGCTCAATCGCAACGTCGCGGAGGAGAGACAGAAGAGACAATCGAAGAACAAGGATGGCTGGCTAGAATGGTGCACTTGATCCAGGGATCAGACAATGATACCCAACTCAAGGTAAGGAAATCGATAATTTTTGAGGTATTCAAACCAGACTAACATCATGGAAAGCTCCTTCAAGCACTGCGTAAAGCATATGCCGATGGCAATGAACGCATCCGATACACCACGCCCGCTATTGTCACAGCCTCGATCCGTCTAGCTCGTAAATTGAAATCGCGAGAGCATTACGATGACAACTGGCAGTCACAATCATCAGCTCTCTACCGATTTATGCACCAATGCGTCAACAATTTGTACCAGCGTGCCAACCCAGGGTGTGCGGATCTGTCTCTTCGACTATTCATTATGTGCGGTGAAGTAGCAGATCAAACTGGATTCGAAGAAGTGAGCTACGAATTCTTTGCGCAAGCGTTTACGATCTACGAAGACGCAATCAGCGATTCTCGAGCACAATTCCAGGCAGTCTGCATTGTTTCTGGGGCCCTGCATGGCACTCGTGGCTTCTCCAAGGAGAACTACGATACCTTGATTACGAAGGCCGCCCTCCATGGCAGCAAGCTACTTAAGAAGCCAGATCAATGCCGTGCAGTGTACCTTGCCAGTCATCTTTGGTGGGTAGTTGAGAACCCTCAGCGCGGAGAAGAAGACCCCAAGGACGTAAGTATCAACACGATCTTCTTTATTTGATTTTTCTTAAACCAGTTATGTTGACATATCAATAGCTTTACCGCGACGGCAAACGTGTTCTTGAGTGTCTTCAGCGTGCTCTTCGTGTTGCAGATGCTTGCATGGACACAGCCGTTTCTGTCGAACTCTTCGTGGAGATCCTCAACCGCTACGTCTATTACTTTGACCAGCAAAATGAGAACGTCACTACCAAGTACCTCAATGGGCTTATCGAGCTCATTCACTCCAACCTGCATAACACCGAGGGAGAGCCAAACCCAAGTCTCGACGGCCCCACGCGCCATTTCGAGCGTACGCTCGAATACATTCGGTCTCGGGGCTACGAGGGTGTCGTTACAGAACGACAGTAACTTTAGAACCCTAATTTTCCTTGGATGTTCGCTCGGTGTCAAGACTGGTTTGAGAAGACTTGAACCTTCAAAGGATGGGACATTGTTTGTATGAGATGCAATATGTGTATTGAGGATCGTTTCTTTTTCTGTCGTGGACCCTAGACTCTCATGGGTTATCATTCTATCGATTTCTTTTCTTGTTTGCCTTGTGGAAGCCGGCCCTTGCCTCTGTTGCTTTTTTCTGTGCTAGTTTCTAAGTATATACAAGTGTATCATTGTCTCTGGATGACACCATACCATACCCTTCAACGATATTGATTCCATGCTTGAATTTTTCTTGTTCTTGATAGACCACTGTATTGATAAAAAGAAGGTAATTCAATTCAACCTTAATTTGGGTCCATAGCTCAAGTGCTCGCATTATCCCATCGTATAGATCCAGCACTTGAGCGGATGTACTTGATACACTAGTCAAACTCGGTGTTCAATATTCAAAATAAACCAAGCTGTCCTGTGGAATAATGAGGCTACTCTGTGCGGTCTTGATTGCTCGGTATTTCTTTTCAAAATGGATTCGTCTGGTGCAAGAGACAATGCACGATGTGCCTTTGACAGGTATGTAATATATAAAATGCGCGTTTTCTACAAGCTGCTGGTGCTATCACAATTGTCACATCATCAAGCGATGAGAAGTTGGAATTTGTGAAGAACAGATTTGGTGCAGACTACACCATTAACGATAAGACCCACCCAGAGTGGTCTAAGGAGGTACTGAGACTCACCAACGGCGAGGGTGTCGACTACTTTCTCGAGAATGGCGACTCCGGAACTATCGCCCAGAGCATCAACTCGGTCAAGATGGATGGAAACGTTTCTGTCATTGGATCCCTTTCACAGGCCAAGGAGATGTCCGATGTCGCAAGCATGGCCCTTGCTAAAAGAGCCGTTGTCCGTGGCGTCGTTGTGGGTTCTACTCAGCTTCTGCAGGAAGTTGTGCGCTTCGTCTCCCGCAAGGGTCGGCGTCTGCCGGTAGAGAAGGAATTCGGCTTCTCTGAGGAGAATGTCATAAAAGCATTTGAGTACCTCACTTCGGGCACTCACATTGGGAAAGTCTGCATTATGCCGTAACTTTTTATTTACGATTATTTGACAAATAAACTTTCGTGCTTTTTCAGATGAAACATTACGGAGTGATTGCTCGCCTCCGTCATCTCCAACTGGGCATAGATGCAAGAAGCCGTCTTCCTCATCGCCGCTGCTGACTCGGGCTCGGACCACCCGGAACCATGAACATAAATCTCTTGAAATATTTTTGAAACCAAACCAAGTAAAGCCTAGAAATTTCCCAAGGGCTTCTGCGAAATCTCTCCAGAATCAAGTCATCATGTCATCCCTTACTGGAAACCCCAATTCACACCCAATTTCAGAGTTCACCGAGCGACTTACTGGCAACTGTCTATGTGGGTCGGTGAAAGTGACAATCAATGATCCGGATCTGTTCACTAGAAGAAGAGGGCATATTTGCCATTGTGCCAATTGTCGCAAGGTTTCAGGTACCTTTGCTGCCAGCAACTTGACCATCGAGGAAGACAAGGTTGAGATAGAGGATCGCGAAGGTACGCTTTCCAAGTTCGTGGATACTCAAACTGGTAGTGGGACTCCTCTTGAAAGATGGTTTTGTTCACGATGTGGAAAGTAAGTGCCTATGCTATCCTGCGGTGATCTTCTTTCTAATTCTTCCAAGTCCGGTCAAGTCTGTGACGCCTGTGTTGGCAGGGAAACTCGTCATGAAGATGGGACTATTTCCGAGAATTCCAGCTCCTGAGTTCGAAACATTTGCTTTATATAGACATGAGTGGCAAGGGCTTCATCCTGGTGTTGATCAATATAAGATAAAGGCGTTTGGAGAGAAGCTTTAGGAAATCAAAAAGGAAGCCATTCATAGTGCATACTAAAAAAAAAAACAAGTTGAAAAGAAGTAAACACGAAGAAACTTTGACAATAGTAGTAAAAACCTGACTTGGGGGGAGACAACCTTAGCATAGACATACCAGCAAAAGGCATAATCTCGAAGCAATCTCCAAATAGTGTGGGGCGCGTGTGGAGAATTGAGCCTCGGGACGCCACAAGAGAATGCCGAACTCACTGCACATCTCCATGGGCGTTAAAACGAAATGGCTTTTACTTTGCCGGAGCAAGTCGGCACTCATCTCTCTCAGGTCCATTTATCTTTTAAATTCTGCCTTCTTATGAGTGCCCCACACCGCAATGAGTAAAAGATACACGGGCTCTACAGCACGGCTTGTAGCGGAGCAGCGTGCCAAAATATGCTTGTATGGGCTTCGAGAGTTACAGAAAACTTGGGAAGTTACCAATTGGATACTTCAGATTTTCTTTCAATACTTGGATCGATCGATGGCACGGCTCTTGGATACTAAAGAGCAAGAAGACGAAAATAACCATATCATGCCAATGGGAAGTCTGCATACCGGATCCTCCGGCCCTCCCAAACACGCTGTAAGTGGTCAAATGGAGATCACAGTGGAAGGAAATGAATTGGGACTCGATATCCCATTTTCCTGGTCTTTTGGCCAAAATAATATGGACTTCACAGGCTCTCACGGACAAGATGAGTCCTGGATTAATGCGTTTTCTTGTCTGGATGGAATTACCCCTGTTGACCTGGAACTTCTTGCGGGTTGTTTGACCTAGAATCTATTAATATCATTATCGAAAATAAGATAAATAAATTTGACAGAAGCTCAATAGTCTTGGCTAATACACCAGTACCAGGATTCTTTTGAAATAATAATGATAATGATTATGAATCATTTGAAATTAATCCAGTTTCGTTTTCATCCTCTATTCTTATTCTATTGACTCTGAAATTTCGAGATGATGCTAGGCCTTGGGTAATTTCTAGATATTGCATTAAGTAATAGGGCTTTCATCCAGAGTGAGCGTTGCAGACTTGGTTATGAGATACTCGTTAATAGCCACGTCTTTTCCAGATTCCTTGCCATATCCCGACTCTTTAATACCACCAAACGGCGTTTCTGCGGCGGATTGATTTCCTGTATCATCGTCAATCTATCTCCTCAACATTCTGGGGAGAGATCCAATTACCTGTGTTTAATCCGATCATTCCAGCCTCCAAAAGTCTCCATGTACGGTTCACATTGCGGGTGAAGACGTATGATGCAAGGCCCATACTAGTGTTATTTGCCCAAGCCACAGCCTCGCCTTCAGTATCGAAACGGAAAAGAGCACATAGTGGGCCAAAAGTCTTTTCATCAGCAACCATCATCTTTTTGCTTGCTTCTGCAATAATTGTAGGAGAGTAGAAGTAGCCGGTGAGGCCAGCAGGGCGAGACCCTCCAAGTACCAGTCTCCCGCCCTGAGCGATTGCATCTTTTACGTGGGACTCAACCTTATCTACCCCCCGAGCGTTGTCAAAGGACCAAGAGTCGTATCTTTTGCTGATCCATGACCAATCTTTAGCTTTCTGGACTTTTCCACGAGTAATGTCTCAAAGGCGCTGTAGACGCCGTTCTGTACATATACACGGTTCGCGGTGATACAGGCTTGCCCAGCGTGTCGCCATTTGAGCTGGATTAGAGCATCCGCTGCCTTTTCAAGATCAGCATCATCGAACACCACAAATGGGCAATTCCCGCCGAGCTCCAGTGTGAACCTTTTCAGCCCATCACTGCAGTGGTGGGAGATCACCTTTCCGACGCGGGTGCTGCCAGTGAAAGTGACCTTACGGACCAGTGGATGCTTGCATAGGCTCTCACTCAGACCAGGAATACGCTTCATATCTGTCGTCAAAACTGTGAGAGCCGCCTTGCCAACTCCTGCGCGCACTGCTAACTCAGCTAAGGCAAGTACACTCAGCGGGGTTTCAGGGGAGGGCTTGATGATCATAGTGCAGCCAGCAGCGAGAGCGGCTGATGCCTTCCGCAGAATCATAGTAACTGGGAAATTCCACGGCACCAGTGCGGCCGAGACTCCAATCGGTTGCTTGATCGTTATGATGCGACGATTCGCAATTGAACAGTGCCCGACAGTTCCCTGAATCCGCTCTGCCTCTCCAGCAAACCACCAGGTAAAGCCCAAGGCATAGTCAAGCTCCCCCAGAGCTTCAGCCCGTGGCTTGCCAGTCTCATATGTAAAGATAGTCGCGATGTCTCTCTTGGCGGCAGTAATAAGCTCGTGCCAGCGTAAAATCATATGTGCTCGGCGGCGAGGCGTAGTGCAGCAATAGCGTTTAAATGCGTCTTGGGATGTCTGAACAACATAGTTGACGTCTTCCGCATCATTCGCGGGACAAGACGCGAATGGGCTACCAGTGCCTGGGTCTTTGGTGATGAATATATCAGTATCGTTCTTCTTCCTCTTGGTAATGCTTGTCCCAAAACATACCGATCACATCAAAGCGTGCACCTGAAGCTGCCTCAAACCATTGACCATTCACAAATGACTGTTGCTTTAAAAGAGTTGGATCCTCCAACTAAGATTGTTCAATAACTATATTATTTTTTTCATTTCGTATTTATATTTGTATACAATCACAATTACTTACCTGGAATGGAACTTCATCTGCTGAACTCATTTTGTCTGCTAGAACTGTTGAAAGTCGATCACTATACTCTGCAAAGTCAATTTCTTTTCACTTTCTTTCGCTCTCTCCATTTTAGATTTTATCTTCTCTCTTCGGCCTCTTACTCGGTCGGCATGACAATCTTTTTACCGAATATATGGTGCCAAGACGGCTTCTTCGAAATGGTGGAGACAATTGGGGATCTCCACCGAGATCAGAAGGACTGTATCTAGCATATCTAGTAAAGCCGTCTCTTGTTCAATCGAAGAACCTCGCCGAGAGAAGCTAACCATGCACCAACGCATGAAGGGAAAGGATTTGTCTGATTGGAGAGAGTCTGGGTCCGAGGTATCTGCAGGGTTGAATCTGGGCATTTTTGAACCAGCAGATAAAAGGCCAAGTTCTGGCACCTAACAGTGCTCCTATTCCTGGTCTCTGGACTACCGGAGAGCTTACTGGACTTTATTACAACGGTATGCCGATACTTTGTTTCCCTCCCTTGATAAGCTCCAGGCTTACAGGCCCCAAGAATATCCTCCAGCTACTTCAGTATTGAGATCTTTGACATTCGGCCGGTTGGCAGGTATTTCTCTCGCGCAGAATCTTCAAACTTCCGAAAAGAAGGCTGTGCTCTAGCTTGGGCTGATCCTGCGTATCCTCAATGGATTTCTTCAACAATAGATATGATTACTACTGCTGTTCTTGCTGTTGTCATTCTGCCTTTTGACCCCGAAATTAGATCCAACTTTAGGCTCCATTGACTTAACCTAAGGCCCATGTCGATAGACTAAGGACGATAACTGGCGTGCTGTAAAGACATTGCTATATAAGATGCACTAGTGGGATGCCGGGCAAAACGAGCGTCGAATCTACTTTTCTATTTTTTTTTATTTTTTTTTAAAAAAAAATTCCCTTCCTTTTCTAACATACCATTATTAAATGTCCGATCACAGCATATAACGAAACACAAATGGAAGAGAGAAAGAGAGAGAAAAATTAAACCAGAGCGGAAAGGTCAAAGTGTATAGGGGAAGCGATTAATTTCTTGTCAACAGAGGACAGGGGAAGATCTAGATGCTATCATTAGAAAGTTCTCGGGATTATTAAAGCGTAAAATGCGACGATTTGCTTCAATGTCTCGTTAATAATAATATTAGCCAATCATCATGAGAATTTTCAAAAGCCGAAAGGCCGAGGAATACTTTCGGCAGTTTTCTACTGATTAATCTAGTGGGGATTTGAAAGGATTCCGGTTGACTTTCACTATTTTTAGTAATTTTGATTTTGAGCTTCCGGTCAAAAAGTTTCCTATTTCGGATAGGCCCCATCGCACCATCTAAAAACCCTCATCCTTCACAAAGTTGCTGACGATACGGTCGCAACTGGGGCAAGTGGATTATTAACAAATTTGAAAAGCCTCGCATTCATGGAGAAAATATGGTGGTTCGGTATAAACCCAACTCGTGCTGTTCCGGTTGCTGATCAATGAGAGTAGGTACCTCAATTTCTTTACAAGCCATGTTCACATCTGGCCTATATATACTATGTCGCAGGTCGTTGAGTAGTAGCTTTCATTCAATACATTTTACTCGACCATTCTTCCTACGATCTAGTGTTTTCACTAAGCAAAGACTACTCTTCGCAACTTCTTCAAAGCCATCCTTTTCCGATATCTCCAAGATGACAGTATCAAACACCCCAACTACTAAGAGCTCTACCTTTCTCGAGGCAGTGAAGCACCGTCGCACTGTATATGGCGTCACCGACCAAGTTTCAGTCTCTGATGATCGCATCGTCGAGATTGTAAACGAAGTTATTCAAACCGTTCCTTCGTCATGGAATATGCAGAGCACCCGCATCCTTGTCACCCTCAAGAAAGAGCACGAGAAGCTTTGGGACGCAATCACTGATGCTGCAAAGCCGGGTGTTGTCGAGACACAGGGAGAAGAAGCCTGGGCGCGCAATGAGGAGCGTTTCAAGTCATTCCGAAAAGCCTATGGTACAGTACGTCTTCCAAGGAAATGTTCCTACCCGCACCGAAAATGACGATGCATAATATTTCTTGCTCTTCATTCTTCTCTCATGCAAGGCTAATTATATTCAATAGATCACCGTTTTTGAAGACCACGCAGCCATTGAAAAGCAACATGCGAAATTCTCCCATTTCCCTATCGGTGTCTTTGAGGGTTTCTCCGAGCACTCCAGCGCGATGCACCAAATCACACTTTGGACTGCAATTGAGCTTGAAGGCCTTGGTGCTAGTTTACAACACTCGCACATGATGCCTGGTGCTGAGGAAGCCATCAGATCAGCATTTGACCTACCCTCTACGTGGGCCCCCAAGGCTGAGATCGTATTCGGTGGCCTGTCAGGCGATATGCCAGCTGCACCTGAGAAGGAGCCTCTCTCTACCACTGTCAAGGTCTTCAAATAAAGATTATATCCTGCTTAAGAGGCCCTGGAGGGCTTCATGCTTTGCAACCTGGGGACAAGGTTGTCAGATACCTTCGAGATAGATCCAGAGGACAGTGAAGGATAATTTTATATGTTATACATGACTAGATAGTTTTATCATTTTGCTTTTTTATACTATAGTGAGCCCAATTAGAGATACCGTCATTCTTAAGTGTGGTCAATTTTCTGTCCCAATTGTAGTTTCATGAAAACAGAGCAAAAAAGAGGAAATCTGATGAAAAAGCAACATTGCGATGGTTATATCCATCTAATGTCTACAGTGTATCGGCAAGAATACAGAATCCGCTAGTTTCCATTGGTGATATTCAACCTTTTATGTACTGGTGGACCTATTAACCAACGAACTGAAGTTGAAACCTCATGGTGTCGAAGGGGCTCGATAGCCTGGTATGACTATGAGGTTTACAAAATTGAGAATTGAGACTACGGTATCGACTGTCACAAAGACTAGCCAAGGATAGAAAGACGAAGAAACCTTCAATCATGCAATTGTGACAAGGACGATGATGGAGAGGGAGATTATCCCAAGCTCCTTGGATATCGCTGCATACTGCAGAAAGGCCAGCAACAAAGAGAGAAACAAAGCTCATAACGTACACTAAATAAAACCTGATGCCCCCAGGTCCAAGTTCAGCCGACTTGGACGCAACTTATGAAAAGAAATTCCATCAACATAAAACCCATGAAAATTGGAAAAAAGAGACTTGAGGACGCGTAAATGTGAGACGTTAAGCCATGACGCTTCAATTCAGGTGAAAAAAAAAAGACATGAAGAAAAGAGGAAAAGGACGAGGGGCATTTCAAATGTGATTCCCAAAAGATTGCGTAAGAGGGCCATTCTTATAGATATAAAGGATGGTCATGTACATTTCAGTCAAAGGGCTCATAGGATTATCGGGATTAAGAAGTCCCGCCATATAACCCAGCCGGGGGTGAGGAGTATTGCCGTAACACGGAAGGAGCGTTGAATCCACCAAACGGAGCAGGATGACTATTTCCAGGAACCGGGCTACCAATATCACCCGGGACAATGCTACCGCGATGACCAGGAATCGCACTGTTGGTATCTGGCTCAAACTTGACGTGCTTGCCATTCTCATCTTCCTTGATGGAGAATGAACCACCGCCATTTTGATGATTACCTTCAGTGTCGCAGATCTCTACCATTTCGCTCAAATTTATAGCCGGTTCAGTAGAGGGGCGAAGCTGCTCCACTTGACTGAGAACCACATTCACGTTGTGGTAGCCCCCAGAGCCAGGCTGGGGGCTTAGCGTGTTAAGGTTCTTGCAGGCTTGTATCACTAAGAGACGGATGGTGACGGGTCGAGATGTGTGTCCACGGTGATGCGTGCCAGCTGCGAAGACATTGTTTGGCTGTGGTTGCGGCCAGCCGCTTCCTATTGAAGTATTAATACGAGGCTTTTGTATAGATAGGTCAAAGTTTCCCTTACCAGTCGTTGCTCCCCAAGTCGACGCACTAGGAAAGGCAGAACCACCAAAGGGGGTGGCACCCCAGCCAGTTGATCCTACTGCAAAGTTCGTGGGTTTAGAACTGAGAGGTTCGGGGAAGAATGACGGCCCCTGGAAACTAGCTCGGGATGGTGTGGGGAACTGGCCTGGAGCAGTAGCGCCTGGAAGCGACTGAGACAGCTTCGATGAATAATGAGCGTCAGTATCGTCAAGGAGCGCACTACTACCCAGTTGAGTGCTCAACTGATCGACTTCCCGATGTGTTGCTCCATGGCCTCCGTTTTGTTGATCCTGTGTACCACTTGACGGCCGCTTAATGGGACTAGGTCTTTGGAACGATTGGCCACTTGTTTCTAAGGGCGAGCGTTCAAATGAGCTCGATGGTTGTCTAGAATGGGTCTTTGCCAAAACTGGTTGCTGCATTGGGAACACGCCAGGCATTCCGTGGTGCCCTTGAAATGGGAAGCTGTGTCCTGGATCTGACGGGAAGCCTCGTCCTGAAGGCATAGGGCGTACACCATTCATACCAGGGGGCGCAGTGATACCACCCGGTCCAGGGAAGGGTCGAAGTGGGTTCATAATCGCTGAGTTGGGGGAGTACATATGCAGGTCAGGGGCCCCGAGAGGTCGACCACCCATTCCTGGAAGGCCCGGGGGGTTCGGAGGTAGGCCACCAAATCCAGGGAAACCAGGATGGTTACCTCTACCCAAAGGCGACAGAGGAGCGGAAGGTTGGGGATGGTGCAAAGGAGGTTGGGGATGATGACCCGGCCTGCCACCGATGGTGCCATGATGTGATTGAGCCATAGAGCGTGGTGAAATGGATGGCTGGGGAAATAATTCAGAGGAGGATGGCTGTGAGTGAGGAGAGGAGGTATGAGATCCCTGTTGGGACGGCTGGCGTGGCCTGACAGGCGTAGAAACTTTGGGGGCGATGGGGGTGGTCGTGGAGTAACGAGGGGACTGTAGAGAGCCAGGAGTAGCTTGGAATAAAAAATTTGGCGGCATGGAGATATTTCCAGGGAGTGGAGCGGGTCTTGGTTGGGGATCCGATTTTCCAGCACGTTCACGGGCTTCTTGCTCTGCCCTAGCTGTAACCTCACGATTCTTCCTGGCTTGTTCGTCCCGTACTTTCCGCTCTTGTTCCTCTTGAATCTCCTTCTCGCGGTCTTCTTTCTCCTTGCGCTTCGCTTCCTCGCGCCTCTTTTTCTCTTCCTTCTGCTCCCGCTGCTTGCGTTCCGCTTCAGCTTGTCGTTCTCTGTCTTCCTTTAGACGCCGCTGTTTCTCAGCTTCTTTGCGTGCCCGTTCCTCCTCTTGGGCTTTCCGTTCAATCTCACGCTTCTTTCGTTGCTCTTCACGCTTCACTCGCTGTTCTTCTAGCTTCTTATCTTGAGCAGCCTTAACAGCAGCTTCCTCGGCCGCTTTTTCGGCGTCCCGGCGAGCCCTTTCTTCGTCTTTAGCCTGTTTTTGAAGACGTTTCTTATCTTTCTTCTTCTGAGCTTCTCGTGCCTTCTTAGCGTTGCGCTGTTCGGTTTGATTCTCCTCTTCTAAGAGCTCTTCTAGAAGCTGCTTCTGGCGTTGTTCGGCTACCTTCTCTCGATATGCAGTCATAACACGTTGTTCAAACATTCGAGCAGCGAAAATCTGAAACATTCGACGGCCCTCCTGCATACGTTGCTCTTCTGTCATGGCATCCTTTTGTAGATATTAGCAAATTGATCAAACTAGAAGAAATTTCATAGCCTCGAAAACAAACCATTTCGTCCTCGTCAAACTCTTCCTCCTCCTGACTATCGTAATCTTCTTCCTCTTCATCGTCGTAATCTTCATCATCCAAGGGGCCATGGTTATGACCAGCATGAAAGGATTGGTGAGCGGCGGCTATATTATACTGCGTGTCTTCTTCTCGTTGCATACGACGTTCGGCTAATTGCTCCATCATGTCGATGAAGTGTTTGCCATCGTTTTTGAGAAGATCATCGGCCACGGTGAGTATGCCATCTAATCGATAATGGTTAGAAAATAAAACCAAGTTAAGTTAAGCCTTACTAGTGCGTGTCCGCATACCTTTTACCGTCAAGCTATTACCGAACGCAAAGAAGTCTGCTCGAGCGGCTCGAGCATCCTCATCTTCGAATTCCTCATCGCTATAAAGCTCATCATCATCTTCGTCATCTTCCTCTTCCTCTTCCTCTTCCTCGTCGTAATCGTCCTCCAAGTCTTCTTCTTCTTCTTCTTCTTCTTCTTCTTCTTCTTCTTCGTCGTCGTCCTCGTCCTCGGGTAATTCTTGGACTCGATTCCGTGACGGATGATATTGGCCGTGGGTGCGGGTATGCTGTCCAGGAGATCGAAGTGGGGGTTGATACAATCGCGGAGGTGGTATTATAGGAGCACCTTCGTCAAAAGAGCCTTGGTTGTTGTTGGCATATTGCTCAAGTTCCTCGTAATACGCATCGTACAGAACTTCTAGCTCTTCTTCGATTGCGGTTCGCTTTCGGCCACACACAGTGCAACTGCAGGAGTGCTTTTGCTGCTCTTTCATCTTCTTCAACACAGCATCCTTTTCTACTTTCACAAGTTGACGTCTTTCCTCCTCGCCCAGCTCAAACCAAAATGTTCGAATGTTTTCGCGCTCCTCGGTGTTTGATTGGTTCCAGATACTGCTTTCATGGGTGGATTTGGCGGGAAATTGAGAAGGGTATGGCAGCGAGTGTGGCGGTGGAGGGTGAGAAAAGGTGGCGGAGGGTGTGGATAGAGGAGTAGAACTACCATCGGCGTGCGTATGCGAGCCAGAGCGGCCTTTCTTATTTTTCTTCTTCTTTGATTTCGACCCCTCCGAATTCCCATAGTCGTTCGATATTGGATGGCCATCTATATCGTGATGCACACCTGAGATTCCGTTATGGTATAAATCATCGCCTTCGGCATGGTCAAGATCCGCACTATCAACTTCGCCGTGGTCATTGGAATGTTGGTCATCCACAGCCGAATCTAAGTCCGCGGAGGCATTAACATCAGATGGATCGATGCCGAGACGGGCGGCTTGTTTCTGTCGACGTTTTTGCTTCTTGCGGTTTACTTGTGCTGGTACAGGCATGTTCCCAGGAGGAGTGTGGCTCAAAGGTCCCCGCGCATCGCCGTTGGTCGGTGGTGTCGGTTTGGCCGATGTATGGGTCGCCATAATGGGTGCGAATGGAGCTGAGGGCGACAGTCCTCAGCTAAGCTCTAATATCATGCGCCAGGATGTTAGCAGCCAGATATCAGAAGCAGCGTTTGGAGAGTGGGGGTGGTTCAGAGAAAACCGCCCAAGACCCAAAAGCGGAGAGCGGGAGGACGAAAGAACCAACCAACAAAGCTCCGACCTAATCCAATGTAAGGACTCACCAAAAGATCGAACCCCTTTGGGTGTCCACAAAGGCACCGGATTGGTCCCTTTGTTGGTCACTCAGAGGCTGTTCCAAGGGAGCAAGTGAGTGGGAGGGGCTGGCGGGCGATCGAGATATCGGGAGGAGGGGGTGGTTGAAAGGCAATAAAAGCCGCCGGCCCAGGGCGTATTTAATCGGGACTGGGGCCGGGGGAGGCTGGAGTGGTCGCGGAGGTCGAAGGGAGGCGAATCTAAACCCGGGCCAGCAAGCAAAGCGAAGCCCTGAGCGTGCGGAACACAAACGGCAGCGAAATCGTATTCTTGATGATGATGAATGAGAGCGACGGGCTTTCCAGCATTCTGGCTGGTTGTCGTGCCGCCGCAATGGGATAGCCGCCGCAAGCGAGCTGGTGCCTGACTATTCAGGCACAATAGGTTTTATCTATTAATCTGCAGGTGAGTCCGATAATGACCTACTATGTATTTGCGTGTTTATTTCATCCGCATTCCTTTGATATGTTCTTTAAGAAATCTGACTCATGCATCTCCAAAACTCATACATTGTAATGCCCACTGGTCACCTGATTGTTTCTGACCGCCTTCATGCAAGCCCTCATAAATCCCGCAGTATCCGTGGGTGAAAAGGCGGTAACTCTATGTACGGGGACTCTCTAGCTGACCAGTTGCCTGCGCATTAGTACTTGCCCGTAACTGTCAAAGCCTCCAAGGTCCAAAGTCGTTGCGCGCTCCTCAGCTCCACCAACAGTGAGACACAGCGCTAATGACAAAAATAACTTTTTCCTTCTCGATTCCCACTCATTTAGACTTTGCGAACGGAGTGGCCGTAAATCAGAAACAAAAATATGTCATATCGCGGAGAAACTACCTAGACAGAGAGTAGCATAAAATTAATAACGTAGGCTTCCTACCTCAATTTCTCCTTCTGGTGTGTCTTAAATCTCCGGATTGTTCCCAACTCTATCCGCATTCCCGCTCTGCCCCCTTCATCTTATCATCAGCTCAGGCACCTCTCTCGCTTACTCAATTTCAACCTTTTTCTTTCTCTCGTTACTCTTTTTCTTTATTTTGTCGACCTGTCTGCTGTCTTGTCTCCCCGTATCGAATCATCCTTCAGGATCGTCGTCCTCATCTAATTCGTTAACCTGCATCCCACCTCTCCCCCACCCCCAGTCGACCATCATTCAGCCCCGGCGCGACCGCCTTCAACAAGCCCAAAGTCACGTCACTGTTTTTCTTTAGGCCAGCCACGCCTGCATCTACTATTGGGCGGAAATACAGTGCACGCGCAGGGCCAATATTTCCTTATCCCTGCTCATCAACCCGCGGCATCGTGGGTTTACCTCGACTATCTCGCACCTGTGATCCGTCATTCTTCTCTCCTACCATCCTCCTGTCGAGCAGCGCTCGAAACACTCTGCCGTCCAGTCCATTGAAATATGGCGCAGCAAGAAGGCGATAATGTTATGCGGAGGTACGCGCGGCCAATCTCTTACTTTTGCATATTGTCATACCCCCTCCGGCCTAGACCTTTCCAAATCATACAGACAGACACCTCCATCGAGTGGCGATCCCATCCACGGAGAACGACGGTCGTTTTTTTTCCCACTTCTTTTTTCTGGATAATATGCAATTGAAATTCTAGGGACTCACGTTCAAATATACTAACATCAATGGAAACCTCTAGGAAGCTGGTGATTATTGGAGATGGCGCGTGTGGAAAGACTAGTTTACTGAGTGTCTTCACACTTGGCTACTTTCCAACGGTAAGTCTTTCGGATCCAAACATCCTTTCCATTTTTTTTAATCTCATTGGTCAATTATTGGCTAACTGAACTCTTTCTTCTAGCATTATGTTAGTTTTTATACCCTGGACAAGAACAAATAAACACCCGCTCGGCCTCTAACTTGCAGCCTAGGTACCAACGGTATTCGAAAACTACGTGACGGACTGTCGAGTCGATGGCCGTTCAGTGCAATTGGCTCTTTGGGATACTGCTGGTCAAGAAGACTACGAGCGATTGCGGCCATTGGCGTATTCCAAAGCGCACGTTCTCCTAATCGGATTCTCCGTGGACACTCCTGATTCGCTAGAGAATGTAAAACATAAGGTTTGTTGGCTCAACACGGTCTCCCGGGATATATAATGGCACAACGACTAACAATCTAAATAACAGTGGATCGAAGAAGCGAATGAACGGTGCCCCGGCGTCCCCATCATCCTCGTTGGCCTGAAGAAAGATCTCCGAGAAGACCCAATGGCGGTCGAAGAGATGCGCAAAAAGTCACTCAAATTCGTCACAGCTAAAGAGGGCAACGAGACTGGCACCCAAATCGGAGCTCGCAAGTATCTCGAATGTTCCTCCTTGACTGGCGAAGGCGTTGATGACGTGTTCGAAGCTGCCACCAGAGCTGCGCTCTTAACCTTCGATAAGCGGAAAGGCTCCTGCTGCGTGGTGCTATAACGACTTCATCCCATGAGACCGTGCGACCATTACAATTCCTTTCTCTGCCAGCGTTCGATCTATTTTACTCTCACTTTGGGAAAGCGATGAACTTGGCTTAAGCTCAGGTTTGCCATTCAATCGACCTTCCGCTGTATCATGCATCATTGGCGTTTGGGAGGTTCTAAAATGCCCGCCTGGTCACCTGGCTTTGGGCATGATGTCTTTTCTATCTGTTTTATTCCATCCACCCTTGCCGTCCTGATTTAGCACGGCGTACATTCAATTTTTTACTTCATGTCTTTCCTTTATCAACAATTGCCTATGTTATCACAACAATCTTCCGACTTGATGCACGTGCGACTCCGGATACCTGTCCCTCTTTTACATATTCCCCGAAGTGCATGGCGAATCCCGCTCCTTTCATGTTTTCCCCTTCTCCTCGTGTAGTATCTCCTGTCACTTTCGTGTTCCCATACAGTGCCTCATTCCTTTCCCACTCCTCCCAGAAATACATAATCAAATACTCAACCTGGAACACAATTATCTTTCCTCTCTAGTCTTCATTCTAGGCAAAACCCGCGGTCGAATACTCTACCCCCCCTTCCAAGCCTTGATTCATAATATTTTGGCTCAAATAATTGATTGTTCATAGTACCAGGCACATCCAGCAAGATCGATATTGGCTACTAGTTGAAAATGATCAACTCGATTTATTAAATTTGACCTAAACTTGAACCCTTGGAAGCTACAAGACCATTTCCTTGTCAGAAACTCACAAAACGAAATCGTCAAACCACAGAAAATTTGCAAGTATAAAAATCAACTTGAAGAAACCTTTACATTTCAAAAAATCTCAATAAGAGAGATAAATGCATATATATAGTACATGGCGCCAATAATACAACCTTGGAAGACACCCAAAAGACAAATATAAAAACCCTGTCTCGAACGTCTATCTCAATCACAATAAACCTCTGATATCAAACACTTATTTCTTCTCAATCTTCTTCCACTCATGATTCCACCCCTCAGCAGACGGGAACTCAGTCTGCATACGTCCATATTCAATGGGAATCAAATCAGTAAAGATACCCTTCTTGTTCATTGATTTCCGGAACAATCTGCCACCATCTCCAGCACCAGTGCGCAACTCCTCACACGCAGCCTGCATAGTCTGGTATTGGCGCTGCAGTTCGAGTTGTTGGGTGTTGCGCTGCTTAGCCTGGAACAATTGCCAAGCGCGATGAATAGTCCAATGACGGAGGAACCGGTTACGAGAGAAGCGGAGAGGACGAGGAGTAAGAGGGTGGTGAAGGAAGTAACGAATAAGAGCTGAGGGTGATGTTAGTATTTAGATCCTATTCTGTGTTGTTTCTATAATGTTTTGGGGCACATGGGCTGGTAATTGGGGGCAATTGATCGCATTCTCAAATTGATATAGAGTAACGTACTGATTCGCTTGTCCACACCGGGGCGGCCTTCCTTGCGCTTGGCTAGGGAGCTTGTTGATGAGAAGGAGGCGGTTTGGACGGCCGAGGTGATCGGGCTCGGTTGTGTTCGTCGGGACAGTGCCTCATAGCATACACGGGTAACTGAGGGTCGTGCCGGTGTGGGTGAGATGGGGATACGGAATACGTTCGCGAGAGACGCGAGGGCTGGTGAAAGGGACCGCATTGTGGCTGATGTAGTATATGAGGAGACGAAGAGGCTGTTTCACTGGAGTTCAGGGCGAATAATTCCTTGACGGCAGAAATTGACCGCCTTCTCTTAGCCGCGCGCTTAATAGGAGTAGGCCGTGGAATCTATATTGTGATTATCACTTACTGCAACCGGAGATTTTGGCTGCAATAAATTCTATAATTACGAGTTATTGGTACATGCAAAAACCCGAGTCAGAGCAAATTCGGTCTCATGTCCTGCCAGATATTTGTTTTTTAAGATACTACAGATAATAGGTAGATAGACGATAATCACCACCTGCTCAGCAAGAAGAAGTAAAATAGTGATATGTCAGAAAAAGATAGTCCAGAGAGTAGTCCAGAGAGTAGTCCAGAGAGTCATTGTAATGCGTAGCGGTATCTTGGGTCGTGAGAGGCATCAAATGTTAAAAATGACATGCGTGTAAATGGGTCCACCAGAACCCCCAAGGAGAAGCCCTTAAATAAGCGCCATGAAATGCAAAAAGAGAGGGGAAATTGGGGTGTCGAGAGCAATTATGTTAGGCAGCTTCGGAAATCATTTCACCGTTTATTTGTACCCTGCTTTTTTGCCTTGGACCGCTCATAATCCAACACCTTTCGTCGTCGGTGTGTTTGTGCCAACTTCCACCGGCAATATAGAACGAGTGCGTCTTTGAGTAATACAAACATACAGCCACCAACGACACTGCGTCCCCAGCGAGTCTGAAGAAGTCCAGGTCGACTGCGCTCCAATACCGAAGATGGGGTCGTCCATGTTTTTGGTAGAACGTATTTCAACAGACCACCCACCGAGGCAGAGATGGCTGGGAAAACCAGAGCCCCAAGCACAGTGTCGGCGATATTACCGGTGTCGTGAATAATCTCGTTTTGTCTTCGGCCTAGACCCAGACCTTGATTGTTGTTCTGGCCTGCGGGCTGGCCTTGAGCTTGTCCGTCCTGAGCGCCTGTGTCAGCGCCATCATCGTTTTCGGCGGCAGGAAGAGCTGGAGCATCGGCAAGCTCGTCGTCATTGCCCATTCCTACCTGTAATTCAAGATCAATCTCCATGAGAATTTGACCATTAACGTTGTCACCGAATCGATTTAGTCCCTCCGCCTGATCTTGCTGTTGGGCATCATCTAGAATCTCTTCTGCCGCACGAGGTTGTACCTCTGCGATCCATTTGCGCTCCAAGGCGCCGAATAGTCGATCGTAAAGTGCGCCATAGAAGCTTTTTACATAAGGCAAGGCCGCGAAGGTCATCGCCGGGGTGGGCGGCCAGATATCAAAGTCGGGTTCGTGTCCTGGGTTGTGTACGGCAAAAAATAGAACGGGAATGGCTGGGAGAAGACCTTCGGCGTAGCGTGTGCGCGAGAATATCAAGACCAGTGGGATGAGAGGCAGGCCGAGGTTGAGTCCAGAGTTCCACGGACCCTCCAAACTATCTTCGATAATGTGCCTGGCTTCCTGTGGACCGAAGACAAGCTGCATTGAATACGCGCCGTGGGCACAGCATCCTGCCCAGACAGTGCCCGCGACTGTGAAGACCATACCCGGGAGGACCAGCCGCCCCGCCACTCTTTCCATCAGTCGCAAGGTATCAACAACATAGCTCCGTGGACGAGTGACAACGATCTCAGATTTGCACTGGGGACACTGCATTTTGGTGTGACCGTTCCGCTTCCGCGAACGAGGATTCTCCATATCCGCAAGCCAGTCGAGCAAACATGCCTCGTGCGCTGTCAAAGCACATGGGCAAGGTGATCGCCATTCCAGATTAAGTGGCGAGTCTTCTGTTTCGTCGGTATAGCAAATCCAACATTTTCGTGGTTCCTCCTGCACTGTGTCTGGTAGAGTCGAAGATCGGCTAGTAGCTTTGTCGGTGATATCGGACAGATTCTCGAGGCTGCTCGGCGTGGAGGCACCTTTATTCAGGAAAACGGTCTCGGTGTCTTCGATCGGATCGGGTTGACTTGATGTACCCTCAAGGGTGGAGGCGCTGTTATTATTTGAGGTGGTGCCGTCGGAGGATCTCGTCCTGCCAATCGTACTATAGCCTGGAAGAGACGCCATATTGAAAGGCAAGATGATTGTTTGATTAGATGCAAAAAGATGATTAAATTAAAGTTCCAAGCCCGATATAAGACAAAACTGGGTCAGCATCTTTTGTGAAAGGTCAAATAAGAAGATGACGAAGCGAAAGTGGTGAAAGGTCGGCGGAACTCGCTGGGAGAGAGTACCTCCGCTTTCAAAGGTGGAGAGACACTTATAAGGGCATCTCGGCTGTGAGCAGCGGCTGTCGGCCACCGGGTCACGTGGACGGTCACGTCAGAGCCACCGAGGCGAACGTGCTCTACAGCTGAACGGGCTTGCCCGCAATTGATACTGATCGGCAGGGACTTTTTCACGATCGGTGGATCATCCGAAATGCATTCGAAAGGGGAAATGACCCTCATGGTCCGGAGTATTCTCGCAGTTTTCAAACATTCAAATATACATCTTGATACAGAATACTGGGTGGATCTCCGATTCTCCGATTGTGGAAGCCCATGTATATGCCGCTTTTGGACGTGAACCAATTTAAAAAGGTTGGATCACAATTGCAAGACAAATCGATTCTAACAAAATATGCAACGATGTGAACCCCAGTGCAATTTCACCAGAGGCAATTCCAAGCGCTATCCCAAGACAAGACTAAGGGTGACCCGGGAGCCGCTAAGCGAGACGATAGGTTTAGCGGCTATGAATAGCATCGAAAAGGCGAGTAGACCCGTGGAAGAATCCAAAGTGATTAGTACGCGATTCGGTACGAAATAATTACTTATTCGGGGTACTGCCTCTGTAGTATGCCGTCCTAAAGACACTTATGAGGGGGTAATATAACGAGCTGAAGCTCATGTCTATCTTGTTATGCATATATGATAGTAGAGTATAAAAAAGTTCGAGGCTACTTAGTTAATACAATGCAACAGAGAGGTAGAACTATTTTGATAAGAATAACCTAATCTTCACACTAATTTAAAATCAAAAATCAATTCCCTAATCTATCCGTGTCCCGGTGGCGTGCTGATCTTGGCAGCAGCATGTTTTGTTGTGTCAAGAGCGAGCGGTGCACAAACTGCAGAGACGTAGCAAACACATGAGTCCCAGTTTGCGGATTTCGGCTTTAACCAAAACTTGATGCCAGTACGGTGGTCGTGCCGAGGTCAACCAGAGCACCGCTGGATATGAGTGCCGGTGAGCAACAGTTTGAAATTGGCGGGACATATCGCTCTAAGTTAGATGGGGCACATCGTGTGAAAGTTGATGGGGAATGAAAAAAAAAACCAGAATTTCTCGAGGCTGATTCAACGAAAAGTTGAATGTGAACTTGATCAATTAACTTCAAGATGTGAGGGGGAAATGTACAAGTATTTTGATCCTTGGATCATTTGAAGATATCACTGGAGCCTGAGAGTCGGGCTTCAATTCTATTTGGCGAAACATATATCTATGCCCCCGGCAACAAACTTGAAGACAATAACTCATGTTGCTGAACACATTCCAACTCACACTGTCGTTGAGGCAGGCACCGTAGAGATTGGTTTAGATACCGTTTTTCGATCCAACTTTGTCTGTACATGTCTTCCTCGAAAACAAATGTGAGAATGACTTTCCCTAGTGAATTCAAGAACCATATACTACTTCAAGTTACTAGTACATAGTACTGTACAAGCGTTGATGGGGTACTGTGATCTTCAAATAACGGCACAAGCCCGTCGCCCGGACCAAGTGGGGACGCCAGAGCTGGGGGCCCACAGGGCTTGACCACGAACACGATTACGATCACGAGAGTCGCGTTAGATATAAGCCAGCCATGAGGTCGACATTTCAAAAATAAACAACAATCATTATGGCCACAGAAGACAACATGACGGACTCTAGGCAGGCTGTGTCAGATCATGCTTTTTCAGATCCCGACAACTCTACCCCAAAGCCGCGCAGCTTACTCCAACTCTCGATCGTGTTGACATCACTCTGTGCAGCGGTGTTTGTGGCAGCCCTCGACATCACGATCATCACAACGTCTTTGCCATCTATCGCGGGCCATTTTCACTCAAGTTCCGCGTATACATGGATCGGAAGTTCCTATGTTCTGGCCAACAGTGCCACTATCCCTTCTTGGGGGAAATTGTCAGATATTTGGGGCCGTAAGCCGCTGCTTCTGATTGCGCTGGTCATTTTCTTCGTGGGGAGTTTAGTATGCGCCGTTGTTGAAACCATGCCGTTGTTTCTTTTTGGTCGTGCCGTCCAGGGTCTGGGAGCTGCAGGCTTACTGACACTAGTGAACATATGCATCTGTGACTTGTTCTCAATGAGGGATAGGGGGTTATATTTTGGTCTAATTTCTGTTGTATGGGCCCTCGCATGTGGAGTTGCACCAGTACTTGGAGGTCTGTTAACTGAAAGAGCATCGTAAGTGATGTGGCAATATTCCCCAGGAAATACACATACTTACTAGTCATTATCCGTAGTTGGCGTTGGTGTTTCTGGATCAATTGTATGATGCTCATAACTAACATGCAATCTTTTTGCTTTCCATACTAATCGTTCTTAGTGCCCGTATCTGCTCTGGTATTCATTCTCCTGGCTTTTACTCTCAAGCTCGACACGCCTCATACCCCTATATGGGAGGGTCTAAAAGCAGTTGATTGGACCGGAAGCCTTTTCATAGTCGGCAGCACAATCATGCTACTTCTTGGCCTTGATTTTGGAGGCGTCACCCACCCCTGGGACTCGGCGACGGTAATATGCCTGATTGTCTTCAGTGCGGTATCCATCTTTTTATTCATGGTGAATGAATGGAAGTTGGTCAAATACCCTATTATCCCACTATCGCTCTTCCGAGATCGTTCAGGAATTGCCTCCTTCCTCGTCTGTTTCTGCCATGGATTTATCTTCATGGGCGAAGCCTACTACCTACCACTCTATTTCCAGGCCGTTCTTGGCGCAAGTCCGATCATGTCTGGGGTTTATCTATTACCTCTGGTCCTATCTATTTCGTTATTTGGCGCATTAACAGGGCTCTTCATTCAAAAGACAGGGAAGTACGTGCCTGCGATCTGGCTAGGGTTGGTACTCTTAGCACTGGGCTCCGGTCTACTTATCAACTTGGAACCCACACCTAATTGGGGTAAAATAATTGGGTTTCAAGTGATCTCCGGTGCAGGTGTGGGTCTTAACTTCGAAGGGCCACTGTTAGCATTACAAGCGATCGTTGGCACAGAAAATACGGCCACGGCAACCGCATCTATTGGCTTCGTGAGAAGTCTTTCCACTGCTGTTTCAGCGGTCATTGGAGCAGTTGTGTTCCAAAATAAAATGGCTCAGCAAGGTCCAAGGTTAGTTGCGGTCCTAGGCGAAAGTTTGGCCAGCCAGCTATCAGATGGTAGTGCTACCGCTAGTATAGAGCTTATCAACGCTCTCCCCGCAGTACAGAAAGTGGCGGCGCAACTGGCATTTTATGAATCTTTACAAGCAATGTGGATCATGGTAGGTTATTTTCGCTTCGAGATTCAATTTCCTTCTTTATTTTTTCCCCTCTTGCTTTTCTTTTTCAAATAAGGTACAGTGTTAATGCCGAGTCCTACAGTATGTTGCTTTTGCCGCGGTCGGCCTCGTTGCCAGCCTTTTCGTGGACGCACATCACCTTTCTAAGGAACATAAAACCGTCACTCTTGGGTTGCGTGATATGAATTCAGATCGTGTGGCGCCCCAGTCAACTCAATCTGGACATACACAGGGACAATAGATGCATAGTTAAAGAGAGCCAATGATGTAATCCAAAAGCTTAGCAAGATAGCACAGTATGACATCGAGGTACGTCATCGCAGCCTTCTGCGTTGATCATGATATAACTACAGAACAAACACCATGGACCTTGTTAAAACCGGATTTTCAAACTCATCCCTTAATAACCAATTAATAAAATCGGGCCTAGAAACTGATTGAATTCTAACTTATCCAACGATTTTGTTTAACTTCTCCATCCTCGTGCCCTTAGAAGAACCATACCATTCAGAATGAGCTCTTTCTTACAGACTTCTTCGCGACTCCGGGCGCCTTTGTCCTCTATTCCTCTTAGCCGTCCAGCTGTCGACTTGACGAGTCGGCGATTTTATGTTCAAGGTACTCCTAAGAAATACGGGCAGGCAAACCAGAAGGAACCGACCGAAAATCCCGAGTTAGACAATACTCCCAACCACCCAATTCCCTCAAATAAAGCCCACCCAACTCTAGGAGATGGCAGACAGTCAAACCTGACAGATGAGAAGGGGAAACCAAATAAGAATTTACCCGAGGATGTGAAGAAGCACAACGCAGAAATGGAAAACCGATACGACAAGCCTTACAACCACATCGCGGACGAAGGCCCAGTTGAGAGTGCCTTTGAGAAGAAATGATTGTTCTCTTCCCGAGCTGCTTGCTAGGCTATTTTCCTTCTCTGTTCTATAAAATCCGAAGCATCTCGTTGCCTTTTGTGTACAATAATCTCTATTTATGTATGGTTCTGGGGTAGGATAATTTGAATATGCTGTATCTGGACCGACCCCCTTTTCGTGTCTTCAAACAAACCCACCAAATGAATTTGAATTCACTATTCATTTCCGATCTTTGTGAGATGGTTATATTATAATTATAAATCTAAAATTGAGCCAGAAATATTTATTTGGCTTCATCCCTCCAATTCTCGGCCTACGTATCCTCCTTCGCTGGAATCGTCGCACCAGCCTGGACTCGTAGTTTCACACGCACCTCTGAACTTTCAGGCATTTAAGTAATTAAAATAACATTGTCGAAGTAGTTATCATGGTATGCTCCGGGATCTTTGGGGAAACGACCTGGTAATATCATATTGGCGTATATGACGATCGATGGTACTACTCTGTTGAACGTCCAAACAACTGAAAAGAATAAAGAACAGAAATATTGAAAGCCTTTTTTTACCCCAGCCAAAAATTTAGTTGTTTCTAAGATGACTACAGGCGCAAAAATTGCCACTCCACCTACCACGCAAACTCGCTTCTGCTTACTCGGGTGACTCTCTACACACCCCGTAAATACTTGAGGGAGGATACGGTATAATTTCATGTTTTCAAACAGATTATATGCTACAGGTAACAAGGATGCATCCAAAGAGAAGTAAAAAGCTTAATAAATAAAGAGGCAGAAGCACAAGGGCAGAGAAAAAGTAACCTTGTTTACAGGTGCGATAGGCTACATATGTATTGGGCCCCACAAAAAACCTGGGCTTACAGTAGCATGTTCCTGTCGATTCGGGCTAGTTGCCCACTCATCCCTTCATGGGTACCTGTGCTTGAAATATTCCAATATGCCCTACTAGATCATTAGGTGAGAGAGTGTATTCAAATTTATCTCTCATGCAATACATGTAATTTTATTCAATGACCTGCTCAACTACATGTACCTGCTGGATGTGTATAATGCCGATCAACACGGGCAGCCAATCATAATTGACTGTACAACGATAACTGGGCCGCCCGGGATTAAGCTTATCAACAAAGTCTCAGGGCATTCATAAAAGACTCTCAAAGTTTGTAAGGAAGGCAGTGCTTATATTTAGAAATCAAAGAAAATCAGAGTCTCGCATACAAAACTAACTATATATCTCCTCCCATTGTCTGTAGCAGCAATCTCAGTGAGCGCCGTGCAGCAACCTTGGATTTAGAGTTCAAACCGCCGAAGATACTTCTTATCGATAAGAAATCTCAAAATATTATTCTGCCACATGCTACCGTCAACTATTATCCTTTGCTCAGGTACCCTTCGGGTGGAAAATTTTCATTCTACAGCTATTTTCAGTTTTGGTGAAATATATAACATTCATCATCATGTCAAGCCCTCCAAACATGGATGGCGCTCAGCCATACAGCGCCATGGCGGGGAAGCTAGACTCCCGTCTGCTCAAGGCCCTTGAAGTGATGGACTTCAAGTTCATGACCCCCGTCCAGCAGCGAGTTCTAAGTGAACTTCCCGATTGGCGCAGTGACTGTCTTGTCCAAGCTAAGACTGGTACTGGAAAGACTCTTGCCTTCCTTCTGCCCGCACTACACTGCCTGCTTCAGGGTAACTCAGCGCCACCAAGGGGCCAGGTTGCCATCTTGATCATTACGCCGACACGAGAGCTCGCCCAGCAAATCGCCAAGTCATGCGACCAACTCACATCACAATTGTCGAAATCCCTCGAATGTCATATTGCGGTCGGTGGAACAGCTCGTGCATCTGCTCATTCACGTTTCATGAAAGGCGCCCCTTCTGTTCTAGTAGCAACTCCGGGTCGTCTCAAGGATTACCTGTCTGACGATTACACTGCTGAGAAATTGTCAAACATTCAAACATTGGTTCTTGATGAGGCTGATACCATGCTTGAAGCTGGTTTCCTGGCTGATGTCAAGCAAATTCTGCGCCTGATTCCATCAAAGAAAACCGCCGGGTGGCAAGGCATGTGCTTTTCGGCTACTGTTCCTCCTAAGGTCAAGGAGGTGGTTAGTGTCGTTCTGAAAGATGGCTACACTAATATTTCGACAATTGACAAGAACGAAGCTCCTACACATGAGCGGGTACCACAGTACCATGTGGTGATTCCATCCGTGGCAGAAACCTTCACAACACTAGCTACACTTGTCAAGCTCGAGAGCCAAAAATGCTCTAAAATCATTGTTTTCGGCGTCACTGCCAATATGGTCGCTCTATTTGCCAAGGTCTTTTCCCGAGGACTGACACCATTGAACGTATTTGAGATTCATTCCCGACTCAGCCAGAATATTCGCACAAGAACCACAGCACAGTTCAAGGAAGCCGCGTCTGGAATCATGTTCGCTTCGGATGTTATTGGTCGTGGTATGGACTTCCCCAACGTCGACCTGGTTATCCAAGTCGGTTTGCCATCAAACGGTGAACAGTACGTTCACCGCGTTGGTCGTACAGCTCGCGCAGGAAATGACGGTCGTGCTATTATTCTTCTTACACAAAGCGAATCTTTCTTCATGAAGGTTAATCGCCACCTGCCCATTCAGCCCCACCCTCAGACTGAGGCTATCATTGCGGAAGCTCCTGCATGTGCCGACGATGTCAACCAAGCTATGTATAGCATTGATGAAGTTACCAAGCAGCGGGCCTACTCCTCCTACATTGGTTTCTTTGCTGGATCAGGTCTTTTGAGACAGCTCCGTCTCGACAAGACTGGCCTGGTCCAATTAGCAAACGAAATGGCCATCAAGGGCATGGCCTGTCCTGAAGCTCCTCCAATGGACAAGAAGGTCGTTGGTAAGATGGGGCTCAAGGGTGTTCCTGGATTCAATTTTGGAAGCCTGGACGATTTGAATGGAGACAGTTCCGGTGGTCCTCGTGGTCGTCCACAAGGGCGCCCCAATGGCAAGAAACGCGATGTTCTTAGCCCCGGCGCCGGCTCAAACAGAGGAGGCGTTGAGAAGTCAGGAGGTCGTGGAGGAGGCCGGGGAGGTCGCGGAGGCCGTGGAGGCCGTGGACGCGGTCGTGGTGGTGGCCGCGGCAGAGGAGCTTAAATATCATATCCTGTATGTAATGCATAAAAGAATTTATAGAATAGATCATGATGAAATATGATTTGAGCACTTATTCTCTTGGACGTCCTGAACCATCGCTAGAGTATCAACCCAACGCCCCCTTTCCTCCTCCCCCCAAAAAGCGTATAAAGATAATGATCTTTCAATTTATTCAAGAAGCCAAAGATGCAAAAATTGAAACTACTAAAAATTCAGAAAGTGACAAGAGGGGGATTCGAACCCCCGCCCCGAAATCGAGACACGGATGTTTGGATCAGGTATACCTGAACCGTGCGCCTTGGACCGCTCGGCCATCTTGCCGTTGCTGTAGTGACGGTGAGAATCGTGCCATGATGAGAAAAGACAAATGCTTTTGGCTATAGATCCCACCTGGGTAGCTATAATTGAGCACTTGGGGAAGCCAGGGCTGGAGCATAAGATAAAAGGCCAACCGATAGCGCAGTGTCATGGTAAGAATAATAAAATGGAAGGAATTTATCAATACTGAAATAAGTTCAAGTGCTTTTATAGCTACTGCATACTGCGTTTTTCTACAAGCTTTATGCAAGGACAAAACGAGCATTGTACATATCCAATTAACACAGTTACATCCAAAAATATCATAAGTATCAAGATCCACGGTAAGTCGAGTAGTTCCAAGGACCCAGCAAAACAGGTACATGATAGTGGCGCCAGCCTTCCTCGCCCTCACGTCCACGGCCCTTGACCGTGAACTTGACCTCAACCTCAGGCCAGAAGCTTTCAATACCTTGCGACTCATACCAGGGTCCAACCTGGAAGCTCACAGCCCAATTGGTCTTGCTGTCTGCACCGGGCAGTGCCGCCAAAATCCCCGGGACAGACTGGTCTCCACCGGCTGGCGTCCAGTTTGCGACACGGCCATCGCCATTGGTGGTAGCATGGAAGAGGACAGGGCTGGATGATGCAGTTTCTGACAATAGCCTCAATGTAACGGGCAGGTTGGCAGCAGGTGTGCCAGTCAACGTATTAAGTACGTGGCAGGTAATTGGGTCGCGGGCAGCCATTGTGGAGGGTTTTTGTGCTGGTGGGTTGGTTGTGTTGGGGAGCGGGGCGGAGTTAAGATGCTGTTGGTAGAGCGCAAGGCGGTTGGTGATGCGGCCTGAGTCACTGGGATTGTCCATTCATATAGGTAAGAGGAGAAACTGGAGAAGAGAAATGAAGTGGAATTTTTAAGGATAGTAGATTAAAGTAAGTTGCGAAGAGAAAATGGGGATTGTATTAATTTCTATGGGTCGTTGGCATCGGAGAGCGCATCGGAGAGCACCGATAGCAATGCGGAGGGTGCCATGGTGTGGAGATTAGCAGCTTTACAACCATTCGGGTTATCGGCGATCGTTTGCTTGGTTGGTATCTTTGTAATTTGAATCTCTTCAGGTTGAAATACTAAGCTTGTAATTGTTTTAAGTCTTATTCAAAGTGTTTGCTGCTTTATCGGCCTTCAATTCAACATAGGTACTTAGAATGCTGTGACGTACCATGGAACCTTCGACAATCCGGTTATCCAGCAAAATAAAAGGAGGAAGCGATCGCACAATGACAGATAAAATAAACATCGATCCTGGATTGCATAGCTCATCAAAGAAACGTCAATCAATTTGTATACCCTCTATCAAAGCTTATTGTGGTCATCTAGACCATCTTCCGGAACGTTCGATTGCTTTGCGGGGCAAATCATCAATTTCGAACTTCACCTCCCAATCTCCCACCCCCACACCTCCCTAAGCCCAAATCACCATGTCCTCCTCCGCCGTCGTCCAAAGCGACGATCTCGACATGGAGCCTACGCTCCAGTCGATCATCAGCCAAAAAACCCTCCGCTGGATCTTTGTCGGCGGCAAAGGTGGTGTGGGTAAAACCACCACCTCCTGCTCGCTGGCCATCCAGCTTGCCAAAGCCCGCAAATCCGTCCTCTTAATCTCCACCGATCCTGCCCACAATCTTAGCGATGCCTTCGGACAGAAATTCGGAAAGGAAGCCCGTCTGATTGACGGATACGACAACCTAAGTGCCATGGAGATCGATCCCAATGGCAGTATCCAGGATCTCCTGGCTAATGGAGATGGACAGGATGACGCTATGGGCGGAATGGGTATGGGCAACATGATGCAGGACCTGGCGTTCAGCGTAAGTGGAGAAATGACGCCTACAGCTTAGACTTTGATGTGTGATATACTGATTGCGAGCTTTCTACGATTAGATTCCTGGTGTTGATGAGGCTATGTCCTTTGCCGAAGTCCTGAAGCAGGTGAAGTCGCTTTCATACGAGGTTATTGTTTTCGATACCGCGCCCACTGGACACACTCTGCGCTTCCTGCAGTTCCCCACAGTTCTTGAGAAGGCCCTAGCGAAGTTGTCTCAGCTCTCAACACAGTTCGGCCCCATGCTGAACTCTATTCTGGGTGCGCGCGGAGGTCTGCCTGGTGGACAGAATATGGATGAGATCTTGCAGAAGATGGAGTCGCTGCGGGAGACTATTGGCGAGGTCAACACACAGTTCAAGAACCCGGACATGACAACCTTTGTTTGCGTGTGTATTGCGGAGTTCCTGTCGCTTTATGAGACCGAGCGCATGATCCAGGAGTTGACTAGCTATGGCATTGATACCCACTCCATTGTTGTGAATCAATTGCTGTTCCCCAAGGATGGAAGCAGCTGTGACCAGTGTAAAGCCCGGAGAAAGATGCAGAAGAAATACCTTGAGCAGATTGAGGAATTGTACGAGGACTTCAACGTGGTCCGCATGCCTCTATTGGTGGAAGAAGTCCGCGGAAAAGAGAAGCTGGAGAAGTCAGTTCACCCCCTTTACCCTATACCCATTGATGACTTGTTATGATTTGATCTCATGCTAACCCTCCGCCTCTCCGATAGATTCAGCGGCATGTTGGTCGACCCATATGTGCCTCCGGAGTAAGGGTTTGATATGATTTGACAGGATACGAGATGGACAGTGCAGCCTTTTTTTTTCTCGAACGAATTATGAAAAGACTAGAGAATAATTCATGACACCACCAATTATTTTGGTAGTTTCCTGTACATGCGACCATGAAGATATTCAAGTACAAACAATAAAATGGTAGACAGTTCAACTTTGAACGACCGGGGATCCCGGAGAGTATACAAGTGCCGCTATGCATGTTCTCGTCCCACCCGATAGACATGAAACCAATCGTGCCTTCTTCATTCTATTCCCCCTCCAACTTCAACATTACCAATATCACCCAGCAGAATAGAATAAACGAAACCCAAATGAAATGAATCTGCACCTGGAACTCCAATCAAATTGCTTGACAGATTCCCCACTATAATATGGCAAATAGTATCTACAACACACGTACTTTGACCATGAACTCGAACCCAGGAATCCAGGAACCCTCGCCTGCATCAGCCATGTGTTCGGCGTGAATCGAAAAGAAAAGACTAGCGATGGCAAAGTCCATTGTCCTAAAAGCGCCAGATGCAGAAACTTCCTGCAGCAATTTAGGTTGGGCCTCTTCAATCTAATGGAATCCTTGGTGCCACGACATCACCGCAGCAAGAGCCAATTTCGCACTGCATTGAAGGTGCGGTGTAGACATGAGAATGTCACTGTCATCGTCAGAAGGGACAATGCAAAGACCAGCTTCGTTTCATTTTCCGGTTTCGTCAATATTATCTCATTTTGATATGTCTAATTTTTTATTTTATTTTTCGCTCTTCTGCTGCGTTGTTCGCTGCATTCCGAATCGGCTAAGCATCTATGCCGCTATGCGTCTACACCTTGACAAGCCTCACTTTTCACCCTCGCTCCAAAGAATATACTTTCGATCATCAGCTAAAAAATTCACCGGTCAAGGTTTATACATGATCAAATCCGAGATTGATGAGTTCAATATATTGATATCATATTAATTTAAAAGAAATCTCGTGGCAAACACAGAGCTATGTATGGAAGGGGAAATGGTTCCCGCAAAAGCGTTGGGTCTCAGCGGTTGATAGAGTGAGGCGGCCATCCACCTTTTTTCCTGTCCCCGACAATTCCGTGAATCCTCCATGCCAGCTAGAAAGCCTAGATTCAATTAATTGGCTCTCGTTTGATGTTTCTTCATGGACCTTGCTGCGGGTACGCTCGCCCCGTTTTTACTTTTTGAGTCTACATACTTGGAGTCTACACCCGGGTGCTGTGCACCTGGGTTATGGTGGAGCATATACCTTCTATTCGGGGATTTCCTTGCTTTTCTGACACCCTATACTACATTCCATTTGTCCGTGGGTAAGACCATGATGCATCTGTGGATCTGAAGCTGTCTGTATGGAACGATATAGAATATGGGGTTTGCTGCTTGTGTGGATTTCGTGAGATCATCCACTTGGCGCCCCCTAAGGATCTGAACGAGAGAAGTGTAGCTCCAACTGGGCAATTTTTGATTCGTCCCCCTTGCCTCCGATGGGCCTTCTTTATTAATCGCTTTTTCATGAAGAGGGGGGTAGGTGGAGTGTACTAGTTCATTGGCCTCGGCACCAATGTTTTTGGGTATTTATACCCCCTAACGGGTCTTAAAGAAACCCAAAGGAGAAAGAAAACCAACAAAGAAGATTGAGAAAAACGAATCAGTCAAGTACTCAGACGTATCCACCACAGGGGCTCCAGGATTTCTAGTTCTGGCCCTCGTGTGTTGGTGTCACTCAATTCCAATATCAAATATCAAACCTGCTCGCCCTATTTTTCAACAATCCCCTATCTATCCAGCAACACTGCTTCAGAAGCAAAAGCCATGTCTGCATCTCAACAATACTGGCTTCCAGGATACGGTCTATCCCGTCATATTGTCCTAGGGCATATCCACTATTTTCTCGGCCCGAGTGCATCGGTCCGGCCGTTTAGTTACCAGGTATATCGGCCATACCACCCACTACGCGCCATGGTTAACTCGCTCTAACCAGATTTCCTTGCACGTCTAAAGGGGCGCGAAGGATATCTTATCACAGGCCCACCTCTTACACGGGTCTGTCCACTACCATGACCAGGCGGAAAGAACGAAGAAAGAGGAGGAAAAGAAGAGAACAAGAAACTAAACTGCTAGGTATCGGTTTGGCTAACTTATGCTGTTACCGGCTGTAGGAACAAATCGACGATCTGGCTGCTATGTCTCGAGAGTATGAGATGCAGGAAGCACTTCGTATGGCGAACCAGAACCAGAACAATAACGGTATCTACGCTAGTAGCCATGTTGATTCGCGCCAGTCATCTTCAGAGCCCTATATCAATGAGTTGATCCCGGTTGACAACTCTCGACCTCGCAGACGCGCAGAACCGGAGGCCAGAGGAGCTCGTTGATTTTAACACTGCTTTCGATGTCCCACTGGCTTGGCCTGTGAACCGGATTTGTTCTTTTTTTCAGCATTTGCCCGGAGTCCACGCTTTGAAACCCACGAGATTTTGACCATTCCATTCCAGGATCTAGTCAGCGGGACGACAGATTTGATACTTGTTCACCAGCTCCAGATTTCGTTTCAGTTCCATTTCCGGTTTCTAGGTCCATGTCCCGTTTCTTTGGTTTCCAAATCCCCTTTCCATGGATATACAGGAATGGCTATTCATCATACCGGTGCTCCAGATCTAGCCTTGATTTCGTTACGTTGTTCCTACCATGGATTGAAGCCAGCCGAACGGACTCTTTGACCTATATCCAGGACAGACCGAGAGTGAAAGGAGCGTTGATTTGGACATTTGCCGTAGAGTGATACAATGGTGCTTTGTTCGAGCGTATCATTACGGTTCTTAGATACCCTTGATTGTTGAGCGTTATGAGCCTCTCATTACTGTTTTGTGCTTGCATATGCTTTTGTTTTCCTCTCCTTGGAATTGACTGGATCACCCAGGTCTACTTAGCTTCCAAGGCTGCTTACTGCTTACAAGGGAAGAATATTGGACCAGACATATTGTCAGACATCATTTTCACTCATCTCTATAGACCATTCGTAACAGCATAGATCCATCAGACTCCACCAATATCAGGAATCTGCTACTTAATCCACGTCTCATCTTTTTTGTCTCTCCTCTGTACCGAAAGGACATAAGCCCCTTTCGATAATCCACTTCGCTGCGAAAATAAACTAATGGTTCAAAACAACAACATAAAGTGAGAGTAAGAATAGGGAAACACAATCTGATGATGGAGAAGGTAAATAGAGGGAGCGGAAGAAGAGAAACTGTGGACTAAGAGGTAAAAAAGAAACATCAGAAAAGGTTGGACCACCTAAGAACGCCAGCCGGATGCCACTCTGCCTCGGAGTCCCTTATCCCTCCAATCCGTGTTGTGACATACACGGGGGAGATTCACAAAAAAACGGGAAAGGCAGAAAACATTTAGGGTTGATAATAACAAAAGAAGAAAGGATACGGTTTTGGCATCAGCTCATGGAGAAGGATGTAGGGGGAATGGGGAATGTTTATTTAGCAACAGCCGAGCTGAGGACCTGTGTGCGGAAGAAGGCACCCTTGGTCTTCTCGATGACTTGCTGGTACACGGACTGAGGTGGGTGGTTCATGATGACTGTGCCCTCCTTATAGTCGATCTTGGCATCAACTCGGGTATCACGGATGAGGTTGACAATCCACTTCTCACCCTCGTCCTGGCTCAGACCGAGACGGGTGGAGAGATCCCTAAAGAAGAAAAATAGATTAGTTGACAGGAAATTTTTTTTGGTCTCAACTGTAGTTATAACGTACTTGATATCGATCCGTTGGTGGATCTTGCAGTAACTCTCGGAGATGAGGTGACGAGCAGCCTCGACGAAAGCATCAGCAGCAGAGACAAGGAAGAAATCACTGCGCAGAACCTCCTCGGCCTCACCCAGCTTCTTCTGAGCCTCCTCGAAGTCGAAATCGACGTACAGTGCCTTAACAAAGTCGGTGATGGGGTCGGTATACTCGTAGTCCTCCTGGCGCACAACTCGGATCAAATCCTTAAGTTGCTTCTGGTAGATACCGGTGTGCTTGTGGGGGCGGCTGCGGTTGGTGATAACGGCGGCAGCAAGGTAACGCAGAACCCAAGGGCAGCTGGTCTGGATGGTGTTGATATAAGCGGGGGAGAAGAAAAGATCGGTTAGGGCGTCGCGGGCGGGATCGTGGTTGAAGAAGGGGAACAACGACCAGTGGATGAGCCAGGAGCGGTTGTTGAGCTGGGCGAGCGGGTTGTTGAACAGACGAGTCTCAATTGAATCCTTCACCTTCTGCACCTCCTCCATAGCACCCTCCCAGTTGGTAGTCAGGATCTCGGAAGCGAGCTTACCCCAGGTGGCTGAGGCAACCTTGTCGTTGTCGGTGGACAGAACACGGAACTGGTAAAGCAGCTCAGAGGCGTTACCGTAACTACCGCAGCTGTACTGGAAACGGCCGTAGTCGTAAAGGCCGTCAACCATCTCGGTGGTGACACCGTGTTCCTCCTCGAGGAAGCGCAAGTTAGCAGCCTTGTCGCTTCGCAGGTTACCCACAACCTCCTCATCCTGCAACAATTCGGTAATTTTCTCAACCTGGCCCTCGAAGTGCTGCAGTTTGGCCAAAACCTCCTCGCGCTTCTTAACGAACTCCTCGGGAATCGTATCGGTGTTGTTCATTTCCTGCCACAAATTGGCGACGTAGTCGGTCATGTTGGTATGCTTGAGCAGCTCGTACTTGGCGCGGATAACCTCACTGTCCTCCTCATCGTTGCCAGCGCTGAATTCCAGCAACGGGAAAACCAAGTGGCGGTCCAGGTATGGGATCAACCGGGGCAGCAGATCATACTGAGGGGCGGTCTCTGCGGCGGAAGCGCCGCTGAGCTGCTCAGCGGAAGGAGGGGCGTTGGCTGCCATGGTGGGACGCAGGATGTGGGTTGGTTCAAAGATACAACGATGCGTCTTTGATTGAATTTGTGTGCGGGAGGGTTTGATGCGCTAAACCCATTTAGGTAGGCCGTGTGTCGCGGGGCGGTGGCAGAATTCGGCCGTGAGAGAAACTTGCGCTTTTTCTTGTTTCTCGGTTGCCGGTTGAAGCTTGTTGATCGCTTGTTCGAGTCTTTCCCTCCTCTCCACCCTTCACCCTCCTCCATCTTTGACGCGCGATGGCGTCTCTTCGACACTCGGTCCCGGCCGTCTCAGCCGTGTGCAAGCAGAGCGTCAACTCCCGTCTGGCTCAGTCCGTGGCTTCCGTGCAGACATCTTACTTGTCTTCCATATCTACACGACCTACATCCTGTATGTGCCATTTCAACCACCTCTTTCTCTGCAACTACTGCATAGGGATGCATGGTACATGGCGATGGCAACTGGGTCACAATAGTCATATCCAGAATGCTATTACATCCCGAAGTCCTGGCTACTATCATACCACCGACTGCATTCAAGAACCGAGAGAGAGAGAGAAAAAACCACACCTCTCCATCTTCACGGGAAATCACTGAATAACTAACCAAAATAATCACTAAACAGATTCTCTCCCTTTTCCAAAATCATCTTACTCCCTCCCCATCCGCCAAACCCGCACGTTCCTGACGCAACTTCGTCACCAAGCCCAAGCGCTAAAAGAGCAACCGATCTCCTCACCAACTCCAATCCCGCAGACCACGCAACCACCAGCCCCTCCTCTCCAACTCAACAACCTCCCCTACTTCGTCCGCCGCACCGGCTCCAACCAGCTTCCCGTGTACCTGGACAAGAAAGCCGGTGGCACAAAACAACTCACCAAGATCCAAAAGACAGAGGGTGATCTCGATGCGTTCCGCGAGGATCTAGCTCGGTCTTTGGGCGTGGACGTGCGGAGTTCCGACGTGAGCGTTAATAGAATCACAGGTCACATTGTCGTAAAGGTATGCACCCAATTAATGTCTTCATGATAAGTACAAGACTAATTATGTTTTATCATTTACAGGGCTGGCGCAAACCTGAGATTTTGAAGTTCCTGCGTGAGCGCAACTTTTAATTCTCTTATTTCCTTCCCTTCTGTTTTTTCCATTAGCGATGTCTTCCCATATATGCATGGGAAGGCAATCATACCATCAACCGCAATGGCTACCAAAAAGCATGCACAACTCCTGATCTGATCGGGATTTGTATCTTGAGAGGCATATTTCCACGAAGAGGTGGAATTTACGAGGTATTGAAGAGGTCATGCGATTAGCATTTGCAATGGCTTTATGGATCGAAACACCCATGAGCTACTTGTCCCTCTCCTCGGTGTATTTTTTTCTTTTTCTTATTCTTTTCTCTTCTCTTCTCCTTTTCTTAATTTTTCGTCATCGGAGCTATTTTTCTCTAGTTTCCTTTACTATTGCTGGTGTTCTGTCTTGCTTTTTCTTTGCCTATCTGCAGTTATCAGGCGCATATTCTTTGCTCTTGGAGTTCTGCTCTCCCTGTACCACTTTTATTGTGTATATGTTCCATGACTCGGTGCCGGTGAAGTCTTCTCTAATCGAATGATTGAATCATACGTCTATCTATTTTAGTCTTGGAAGTATTATTCGTAATTCTGTTGGGTTTCTAGCATGTATGGGATTAAGGCTGAGGCTACTGAGGGTTCGTTCCACACGGACGCCTGACAAGTTGGCAGATGCGTGGGTGCTAGCTGTATAGTGGGACTACTAGAAGTCCTTACGTGTATATTCTTTGTACTTGTAGGCCTTGAATATAGATCATATGATCCTGTGAAGGGTATTTTGAGCATTGTACACGGAAAAAACTCGCTATCTCACAATGAAAACAGATCGGAAAAAAAATAAAAGTAATAAAAGTAAACCCCACCCCTTCCCATTTCCACTGGCGCCCAAAGAAATTCGCGATGATCGGCCATTGGCTGAAGACATAAGTACAAATGACATGAGAGGAATCAAAATTGTCGTATATGTTGTAGACAAGGGGAACAACGCCGCCTCACTCCTGAGGGAAACATAACAAATAGCTCATCCTTGTTCACGACGGTATAACATCATACCACTCACTCCGCAAGACGAGCATATGCGAGGAGATGGCGAATGATAGTGGGGTCCATGTTCGTAAGCAGTAATGCCCCAAGTAGGCTTTCCTTGCTGGGAATGACACCAGACGGGAGCTTGATCGGGGAGATGTTGTCTACTTGTTTTGATTTCTCGGCAAGTCGACGGAGAATAGCCAATCCACGGTGGATTATAGAGCTGAACGCATAGGCATCCGCATCATTGGCACTGGGATGACCTCCTCTTTGGCGCGGGTTGGTAAGATGTGGCAGGCGTTCGTTGCAAAGCAGACAAGATAGATTCAAGAGGTGAATGGCAAACCCGTCAACAGAGGCAAGCCATGATCTTGCCATAGATCCATCCGCAAAGGTAGACAACACATCCGCGGCCAAAAGGCCATGCATAAGCAATACCTTGCGGGCATCCGCAACCACCAGGGTTTTCTTATCAGGAATAGCGCAAATAGCGAGACCAAATGCACGAGTCAATAGATCAGGCCTGGGAGGAACAGAACCATCACCGGAGAAGATGGTACCTAGATAAATTCTGTTTGGATCATCTCGGGCCAACATTTTGGCGAGGCCGTCCACCGCAGCGGGAGTGTATCGATGAACAGAGGGGTTAAGCGTAGTAAACATCAGCTTGTCTGGATTCGACGTCGGTTCCGGCGTAGGCGCGAAGGCAAGAAGGAAGTTCAAGAGACTCAAAGCCTCCTCTTTTCCGGGAATCTGCATAACGTGGGCAAGGTTGCTCATAAAAATCACGGCATCCTTCATGAAGTCCAAGGTGTTCTGGTCGGTCCGTAGGAACATTTTGCGCATCCCCATGGAGCGGAAGATGTCCGCATAAACCTGAGTGACATCAGGCATGCCCAGGATCCCGAGGTTCGTTTCACTAAAGGAAAAGTTGCGGAATATGGTTGTGATGCATATCAATCGTTCAACTGCTCGATCAAGATAGTACTCAACGCTTCCAAACTCAGGAACTTCGGCCAACGAGGTAAATTCAGTCTGACACCCTCGAGTAACCTCTTCATATGAGCGTAAATGCACGATTTCGGAAACCTCAGGTATATGATCAACGAGAAAATCGACCTGATCTTGGGCACAGTCCACCAAACTCTCCACCAAGTCATCGCAGTTCTCTAAAGAAATTGGCACTGTTGGTTCACATGAAAGAGTGGTCAAAGTATCTAAAGCGACTCGAATCTCTGCCTGAATCCCAGACTTGAGCCCCATGTTGAGGGCATGAATATCAACCACGCCAAGCTCTGCAAAGGATGGCATAAAGGGCTTCAGCCGTGAGATATGCTCTCCAAGTTGATACATTTCATCAACAACAATGGGCCCGTGAAGATGGTGTTCTGTGATGACAGTAGGCTTAAACGTATCCTCAATTGGAACCTTGGTTACCTGCTCAAGTTTGTGCTCAGCTTGGGCGGGCTGTGGGACAGGCGTGGCCGATGCGGCTTTAGGCTGCTGCTGTGCTGCCGTAGGCGTAGCGAATTGAACTGCATTCACTGGGGGTGTCGGCGGTGGCACTTGTCGAGAGATGCTAGACCGGTGTCCAGTGGGAGGCTTACTTTGGCTCCGCGCCTGCGTTGGTGTCGTGAAGCCATTTACTGGCGTAGCTTGAGCGTGGTTGGGAATTGGGGTATGATTCTGTGAAGAATGGGAGATCTGCTGTGATTGATCGAACCCGTGACCTGGTTTGAGCGCAGGGGATTGCAATTGCATCGCTGAAGGATCATTGGGTTGGCGAGGCATTCCACCTTGCGGCTGAGGTTGGGGCTGCTGCTGTGGTGGTGGCGGCGGTTGCTGCTGCTGCTGCTGCTGCTGCTGCTGCTGAGGTTGTTGTTGATGTTGCTGCTGCTGCTGCATCTGTTCCGCAAATTGCCTTTGTTGCGATGTGATATAAGCTTGTTCATAGAGTGCGAGATTCCTTTGGTGGTAATCGCGAAGTTCCTGAGCAGCCGATTGGAATTGCATCTGCGGAAACTGTAGGTGTTGTCCAACTGCAGGCCAAGCATTCATTGCAGTGACTTTCTTAGAGCCACCCATTTTCATAACCGTTCCATATAGCTGAACAGGGTTGATAGGACGGCCACAGATAATTGGATTTGTATCAAAGGGGAGATTTCGCTGCATCATGAACTTCTGCAAGGTGCGCATGAAGCCCGCGGGATCGGTTGGCTTCGCCATATTCTGCTGCATTTGCCGGATAGCAGCCATTTGTTGAGGGTTTGCCATGGGGTTCATGCCAGCAGGGGGACGCGCACCCATCTGAGGGTGGGAATTCATCTGGCGGTTTTGCATATTCATGGCATGTAACCGTTGCTGCTGGCTAGCAATGGCTTGATGATAGCCCGGCGGTACTTGTTGCATACCACCTTGTTGCATACCACTTAGCTGTGCTTGCATGGATTGCTGAGGTCCAGCCGAGGTCATTCCGGGTCCTTGCTGGAATTGAGGGTTCATGCCTTGCGGAAAGGCCTGACCTGGCATGAAATTGGCATTTTGCGGGGTGTTGACTCGGCTCCCATGATCTGATTGAGGTGGAGACATGTGAGGGCCAACATGCGGACCGGCGGGAGAGAAGGGGCTAGGGGAGGCTGTCCCCATACGAACACTCTGTTGATCAAAGTCTTGCATGACTGGGGACTGAGTCACATTAGGGGATGCATTTTGTTGGAGATGTTGATAAGGTGTGGGGTGTTGAGGATATTGCGGTGTTCCATTAGCTGGACCTTGATAGCCTGGGTATGGGACTTGAGGTGTTTGCGATCGCGACCCAGGCACGCCACCAGGCGCTGGTCGCGGAGACATAGGCATGCCATCTTCTGGCCGAGGTCGTTTTGATGGAATCACCTGGCCAGGGTTGTGGAAGCCGGGAGAAGCATTCCGCGGCACGCCATTGAACATGCGCTGGAATTGGTTAGGGTCCTGGGGATTTGGGGAGGCATGAAGGAAGGCGGCTGAGGGATCGATAGTGGATGGGTTAAAAGCCCCATTATCCTGGCCAGGAAGATTCGAGGCGTCGACGGCCCAGGCGTTCATGTCGTGCGGTTCTACCAACCCATCTACCCTCACCATGGTCAGTACTTGCAATCATCTAATGTCGCGCGCCACAATCGCTCAGTCAACTGTTTCCACCTTCAACCATCCGATCCCATCAAAACATAATCGCATGCAATGCCCCAAAGATATTGCCTAGTCTGGGGGCACGCGTGGAGTGGAGCTGTTTTGGAGATGCGCGCTCGGTCGCGACACGGTTGGGACACGGTTGGACCCGGAAACTCAGGATGATTGAAAGGGCGTTTCCACATCGCCAATAAAATGCAATATAGAAAAAGAAAAAAGAAAAACCCCCAGGGATGAGGAAGTAAGAGATTGTACATACCGACAAGGCTGGATCACTGGAATTCCAATAGGCGAACGGATGGCTAAGCCGAGTCCCGAAATTAGTGGATGGGACAAAAGACAGAGGTTGGAGGTGCTGGGTGTGGTCACGTGGTGTTGCCGCCTAAGGCAGTGGGAACTGCCACCAGGGAAGGGGAAGAGAGGAATGGGGGGTGGGCCGTGGGGAAAGGCCAGTCAAATCATAGGCTTGAGGGGGAAGGGAACAAAGCTGCTGGTCTTTCTAGATGATCTAAACGACAGCTCCGGGCCCGATAAACCATAAAGAAACAAATTGGGGGTTACAGACAGTGCGTAGGTGTGGGCTCCCGGAAAGAAGGGGGGAAGGGAAGAAGGGTGCGTGGCCACAGGGGAATGGGGAAACAGTAATACCGTGGGAAATTTAAAATAACAAAATTAAAAGCAAAAGAAACGATTCAAAAAAACATATAAAATACCAAAACAAACGGGGGGAATACCTACAGCTCGCAAAGTGTGCAGGCGGTTAGGGATGAAAGGGGAAGTGGAGAGAGAATCTCTGAGTGAAAATTGGCTGATGCCAATTCTCGTACTCTTTACTGCGGAGGGTCGTTTCCGGCCTCTCGTTCCCTGTACCACTTCCCACTTTCTGTTTTTTCTTGTCTTTAAAGAGACACTCCCTATAATATTATTATATATTGAGCGTGCTGTAATTTGTGGAATTAGAATTATGGTTCTTTTTTTTCCCTTATTTTTTCCCCATTTCTCTTGGGATGGCATAGGTCGTCATGACGTCCATGGGTTAGTTAATCGCGGGTCTCGGCTGGATTCACGCCTCATCCACCATAAGGATAAGGCAGAGCCGAGCCAAATCGAGAAATCACCAACCAACCCTGAGGGGATGGGATTTTTTGCCCATGTTGGTTTTCCCGATGGTTATTTGAAACTGGTAGGAGAAGAAAAAAAGGAGAGGGAAAAAAAAAAGAGGGAAAAAAGAAGTAAATGAAGCAAGCGATGATCCATTCCAACGGTCTTCGCCTAGTCAGGTTAGTCTGTATACTTGGGGATGCTAGGCTAATCGGGCCGCACGAAAATGATCTCCAGAAAGAAAGGAAATTCAAATTCAAGGACTGTAAAGAAAAGGGGGAAAGATTCATGGGGAAAAAATAAAATGGTAAAAATAAAAATAAGAAGAAACTCCGGGGTGTGAGGTTGTGGACTTGGGCGCTCCTTATATAAAGCTCGGGCTAGCGTCTGTTAATCATGACGCCCAATCCTCGTTCATGAAGGGAAATGGGGGGAAAATCCGAACAAAAACCCTCCTTTGACAAAAAACATTTCGAGCAATCCTCTCAAATGCACCAGCAAAGACGCAGAGGCCAAGACTGGGTTTCCCCCTCCACCCAGTGGCAAGGATCCGACTCGATCCGCATGGGAAAAATCATGGTCTCTTGTACCTGTCCCACCTAGCCGCGGGCCTGCTCCACTCTCATGATTGGGTCCGGGCTCAATGGCAGAGCTAGAAAAGGCTAGGAAAAGGTGAAAAATAGCCAAATTAGCTAGCACTTCGACTTTCAAATGATCTCTTGTTCCGAGGAATCTATCAGCTGGATCTGCATCGCCCGCTACAAATCGTAAAACGTAGTCCCGCCTTATTGGCCATGCCACGAACTTGGCTTGTACAATCTGACCACCTGAGCACCGATCACCCTGAAACATGTCATGAATACAGGAAATTCCGAAAGGCTGATTTGGGGCACAGGCCATCGTGACTTCCAAAGTTCTTCAAGGACCCGCTGTTAATATCATGACTCGGCCCCGGGGGTAAATGTGTTTCTTTCACTATGGCCCTGACGTGTGATAGCCAGCCTGTAGTACGACCATATGGGACACTACAATATATACTAAGTAGTAAGCCTTGGGGCTGAAGCGCAGTACCTACCTAGTAGTAGTAGTAGTAGTAGTAGCAGTAGTAGTAGTAGTAGTAGTAGTAGTAGTCTGCAAATATATTGTAGAGAACCTGGAACATTTGTCTAAAAGAAGCTTGGAGATAAAATAAATCTTTGACAATAAGATTTCTTTCCCATTGGAATATTTATTTAGGAGGCCTTTAAAAAAAAAAAAAAAAAAAAAAGAGTCACTTTCTAAGCTCCCGAGGTCGTGTTGAATAAACCCTGGAGGTATACATATACTGAGATCCATCGACGTAATCCGCAGCCCAATTGAACCTTGGAACTGCACATCTCAATTTCACGTAAAAAAGTAGTTGAAATGTCCTCTATTAAAAGATAACTCATGACAGAATACATATGTATCCCAAAAAGAAATAGAATATACACATACGCCACTTAAAACCAAAAAGATCTGGTTCAAACATTGGACATTCCACTCTGTTCGATCCGAGGAGAATCACGTGACCATACCGTAAGCTCCCAATAGCCCGATTGATCGAGCTCCAAGACACATCACATCCCCGAACTCCTCATCGCGCATTCATAACGTCCACGAAACCACATCCAATCATCATTTCTATTTATTCACACCATTTTAAATTGCCTAGGAACCACCTTTAAAAAATCTCACCATGGGAGACGTCGCCGTGGAAAACCCGGCAAATAGCGTCACGCCTCTCCCCAAGCCGGCCCTGGACGCCCTTGGAGCCTTGGACTCCTTGGAGGGAACAGGCGCTGATGGAAATGATGAATACGCTACTCTGAAGCGATTACAGAGACATCTAGAGTATGCTAGGCTCTTCTGAACCCATAGCCAAGCTTGGACTAATCGCCTCCCCAGATATATTCAACTGCAGGAGGAATACATCAAGGATGAGCAGAGGTATGCTCCTATCATCTTCATTGGAGACTTATAGGACGAGCAGATTTCTAACCCCTTTGGATGATTCTAGGAGCCTGAAGAGGGAGCTTGTTCGGGCACAGGAGGAGATCAAACGGATACAGAGTGTGCCACTGGTGATCGGACAATTCATGGAAGCTATCGACCAGAAGTATGTCAGGCTGTATTCGGAGCTCATTTGACGAGATTTTGATCGCTAACGGGCATCTTTTAGCACGGGTATCGTACAGAGCTCAACCGGGTCCAATTACGTCGTTCGTATCCTGTCCACACTCGACCGCGAGAAGCTGAAGCCATCATCCTCGGTCGCCCTCCACCGACACTCCAATGCGTTGGTTGATATTCTCCCCCCAGAGGCCGACTCCTCAATTGCCATGCTTGGTGAGAATGAGAAGCCTGATGTGACATACGCCGATGTTGGTGGTTTGGACATGCAGAAGCAGGAGATCCGGGAAGCTGTCGAGCTGCCGTTGACGCACTTCGATCTTTACAAACAAATTGGTGGGTCTTAAAACATTCGTTACACATATCACAACCGCCATGCTAATTTCATGCAGGTATTGACCCTCCCCGTGGTGTCTTGCTCTACGGCCCTCCCGGTACCGGTAAGACCATGCTTGTCAAAGCAGTGGCGAACAGCACAACCGCCAGCTTCATCCGTGTGAACGGATCAGAATTCGTACAAAAGTACCTGGGAGAAGGTCCTCGTATGGTCCGCGATGTTTTCCGAATGGCGCGCGAGAACTCTCCCGCCATCATTTTCATTGATGAAATCGATGCTATCGCTACCAAACGTTTCGACGCCCAGACCGGCGCTGACCGTGAAGTCCAACGTATTCTGCTCGAGTTGCTGAACCAAATGGACGGTTTCGAGCAGAGCAGCAATGTCAAGGTTATCATGGCCACCAATCGAGCTGACACTCTGGATCCCGCTTTGCTGCGTCCAGGTCGTCTCGATCGTAAGATCGAGTTTCCTAACCTGCGTGACCGACGTGAACGCCGACTAATTTTCTCTACTATTGCGTCGAAAATGTCTCTGTCCCCGGAGGTGGATCTGGATTCCTTGATTGTACGCAACGAACCCTTGTCAGGTGCCGTGATTGCAGCTATCATGCAAGAGGCCGGTCTTCGAGCGGTTCGCAAGAACCGGTACAACATCATCCAGTCCGACCTTGAGGATGCTTATTCCGCCCAGGTGAAGAGTGGCCACGATGACGATCGGTATGTTCCACCTCTACTTTGTCTTCTATACTATTGGGTTCGTGCAACTAATGAATATACAGACCTGACTTCTACCGATAAATGGGATGGTGTGTTGGGTACGCTCGGTATGGTGGGGTATGGGTGCATGGTGGAATGTTGCCTTTCCCCTCTTTTTTGTTGTATTATCAATAATCCGTGACACTTGGGAATCCATAGATGATCTATTTCATTGTATCTTGTAAGTGCATGGCTGCCCCTTTGAGGAAATGCTACATAGGAAAACCTGTATTCCCTTTTAAACGCCTATACATACGTGTAGTAGATTCATGTATTTGGGAGATCCGGGGGACTGTACAACGAATAGTCAGGGTCTGGGCCAAAAGATAGCGGCGGTGGGACTCCCGCTCCCAAGGTAGGACCAAAGAACCTCGGGACCTCAAATACCGGCCACCTGGGCAGAAGTAACATTCAATACTGGTACCAGAGTAACAAGGCTTTGGACAAAGGATTTGATTTGTGATTGCCTGGCGATCTATGCAAAAGGTCTAAAAATCAAGGATTAGACACCCCTTGCCACCTCATCGCTGCTGCCAGGTACCAGTTCGCTCTGACCCCTCTCTAGTTAGCGCCATGCTAGGCACCCAACCCCCTCCCGGATACGGACTATACGCAGACAACTCCGCCAGAATTAATGCTTTGAAAATGACTATGGAGAGATAGATTTGTAGTGCCTATATAATAATAGTTTGAAGTTTTATTTTCTTCTTTCAACGTGACTTGTTGGATATATGATCTATCAAGCGTAGGATGTCCAAAAAAACGGAAGCAGAATACGCTGGGGGTGTAACCCATACCGGACCCAGCTGATTCCGGGAGATGACGCACTCCCGTCACGTTATGCCGATCTCCGTCTCCAGTCACTCCGCCCCCAGCTCCCTCTTATCTTCCTCATCACCTCTCTCCGTTCATCATCATCTACACGCTTTATCCATCATGAAGTCTTTTGCCCTCTTGACAGCCTCTGCGCTGCTGGGCAGTGCCTCTGCGGAGGTTCACAAGCTCAAGCTTAACAAGGTCCCTCTCAGCGAGCAGCTGGTAAGCATCAATCAATCAATACCGCTTTAGGCGACATCCCCAGCTGATTAGCTATCTCAGGCAACCCACAACATCGACGCTCATGTCCACAGCTTGGGCCAGAAGTATATGGGCATCCGTCCTGAGCGACACGAGGAGATGTTCCAGGATACCGGCTTCAAGCCCAATGCTGGCCATGATGTCCTGGTTGACAACTTCTTGAACGCCCAGTGTAAGCTATCCTTTGCTTATCCGTTACCATTCATACACCCCGGATCATATAAATACTGACTCTTTGTCTACTTTAAGACTTCTCTGAGGTTACCATCGGAACTCCTCCCCAGACTTTCAAGGTTGTCCTTGACACTGGTAGTTCCAACCTGTGGGTTCCATCATCAGGGTGCAACTCCATCGCTTGTTTCCTCCACAGCACGTACGATTCATCTTCGTCCAGCACATACGAGAAGAATGGTACCGATTTCGAAATTCGGTATGGTTCTGGCAGCCTGAGTGGTTTTGTTTCTCAGGATACGCTCCAGATTGGCGACCTGAAGGTCAAGAACCAGGACTTTGCCGAAGCAATCAGCGAGCCCGGCCTGGCCTTTGCTTTTGGCCGGTTTGATGGTATCCTAGGTCTGGGATACGACACCATCTCAGTCAACAAGATGGTTCCTCCTTTCTACAATATGCTCAACCAGGGTCTGCTGGATGAGCCCCTTTTCGCCTTCTACCTTGGCGATTCCACCAAGGAGGGAGACGACTCTGAGGTCACCTTCGGTGGTGTGGACAAGAGCCACTACACCGGCGAGATCACTACCATTCCTCTGCGCCGCAAGGCCTACTGGGAGGTCGAACTCAACGCCATTAAGCTTGGCGAGGAATCTGCCGAGCTTGACAACACTGGTGTCATCCTTGACACTGGTACTTCTCTCATTGCTCTGCCCTCTACTCTCGCTGAGCTCCTGAACAAGCAGATCGGAGCTACCAAGGGCTTCACTGGCCAGTACAGCGTCGAGTGTGACAAGCGTGATTCTTTGCCCGACCTCACCTTCACCCTGAGCGGCCATGACTTCACCATCACTCCCTTCGACTACATCCTGGAGGTCTCAGGCTCTTGCATTAGTACCTTCATGGGTATGGATATGCCTGAGCCCGTCGGTCCTTTGGCCATCCTGGGTGATGCTTTCCTGCGCAAGTACTACAGCATCTATGACCTCGGCAACAACTCCGTTGGTCTTGCTAAGGCTAAATAAGTCACTAATCCAATAAATGACTTTGTTCAGTGGTAGCTTTCGATGAACCTAAAGCCAGGAATCCGGGAATGTCTCGTATATACAGTTTTGTATATGCGGCTTTCATTTGGAGGGTAAAGTGTCGGGTCAAACCGTACTCTCCAATTCACCAATACAAGCATAAACCAAACCAATATTGAGTTGATTTGATCGTTCTTATTGTCTTATTTTCGGGCTTTCTTTTTTGTTTTCTATTCTTGATCAGCATGGCTTCCACTCCTACGCTTGACCATCGATGAATACTGTCTGCGCAATCTGTCCTCCTGATGCTGTATGACTTTTACTTTACATCTCTCGTTCATATTGCTTGATATTGATCTGCCCTGCTTCCTTGTTATGTAAACTTGTTGTCAACGTAATATAATGGCTTCACCTATTGCACGTCTAATGTATCTGGTATATTCCAAACGATCGATTATAATAGCTCCAGTTTCCGGTCGAAGCTAACATTTCCCGATTTTAATATAGCTAGGTAGTGGCTGGCCCGTAACTGCAGCAAAGCCGTTCAGTGACAAGCGGACGGCCAATCATAGCTGGTAATCTGGGCCGAGGAGGTTGCTCTAAGTATGGGGTGGGGGCAACCAACTAATCCTAGTTTACAAACCTTCATTAGGATAGTATATTGGAATGAAAACATAATCTGATCCGAACTCTTGAGAAAATCAAAACTGTCATCCGAAATCCACAATATGAACTCTGGGCCCATACTACAGTATGTAGATGGTATGTTCCTCGGAGGCGGTGGACAAAAGGTTGACATAAGCGGAGCTCTTCAAGTTCAAAGCAGTCCCCGCACCCCAGAGCTTGCCCTTCTCCGATCGCAAGCATTCTTCTCACCTTTAAAAACCCGATCCCTGACACCCACCGTCAGTTCCTGGCGCCTATTCTATTTTTGCCACCCACCGCCAGATTGAGTGAGGCGCACACCGTTTCCCTTTCATCCGTTTCGTGTGGCGACTTTCCATTCACAAGCTTTCTACCCTCGCGCGTTTCACCTTTAAGCACTTACCCTTCCCAACAGGCTGAAAGACCAAGGAAAAAGACTATCGTCTTGTCTTTTTCTTCCATCCTCGAATACTCCTCCCGAACCACGAACCAAGAACATACCTACCACGCGTCGCGTGTCGGTGATGGCTTCATAACTTGAAGCGCACGCGATCATATCCACGTCACGCCACGTCTAATTCAATTCCGCTTGCGCTTTCTCTGCGCTGTCAAAGCTACGAACTAGAAGTGGTAGATACTGTCCCGGGGATACTGGGCTTGTTGAGTCATTGACCAGTACCCTGTGGATTTCGTCGCCTGGGAGTGCGTTGGAAGCAAATATGCTTCTCCGTCTGCCGTACAGCTTGCACTACCCGATAACAATCACGTCGTTGCTTAAAAGCGCGGGTGATGAGGTTAAAAAGGATGAGGCGTTGTTTCGGTATAACTACAAGACTAAGGTTGAAGAAATAAACATATGGGGCGAGACGGAATGGAAGGAACGGAATTTCCCTACTCGTTTTGAGTCGACCGTTGATGGTCAGGTTGAGGAGTGGAAGATTTGCGAAGGAGATATTATTGATGGACCGTGAGCTCTCTTTTCACGACGTGCTGGTTCAGCCAATTAATGATTTGTTTAGGATGGATGTTGTAGAAATCGCCGAGCCTTGTGCTCACGAGGTTCAATATGGTGGAATGTGTGCTGAGTGTGGAAAGGACATGACTGAGTGTGTATATCCTTTGTTGTTCACTGAAAAAAAAAAGACGTTAATATGCTAACCGATGACCTTTTTATTTCGCGGATAGAGCATCCTACAATACCGAAATGATGGACTCCATGCGCGCTCCGATTCAGATGTCCCATGACAATACCGCCTTGACTGTCAGTGAGAAGGAGGCTAATCGTGTTGAAGAAGATGCCAAGCGTCGTCTTTTGGCATCCAAGCGTCTCTCGCTTGTAGTAGATCTTGATCAGACCATCATCCATGCCACCGTAGATCCTACCGTTGGAGAATGGAAAGAGGACAAGGATAACCCCAACTACGAAGCACTAAGGGATGTCAGGCAATTCAGATTGATCGACGACGGACCGGGAATGCGCGGCTGTTGGTACTACATCAAACTCCGGCCCGGACTGGAAGATTTCCTGCAGAATATCGCAGAGCTGTATGAATTGCATATCTACACCATGGGCACTCGTGCATATGCACAAAACATTGCAGATATCATTGATCCGACACGCAAGCTTTTCGGAGATCGAATTCTAAGTCGCGATGAAAGTGGAAGCTTGACAGCCAAAAACCTCCACCGTCTATTCCCAACTGACACAAAAATGGTTGTCATCATTGATGATCGCGGTGATGTGTGGAGTTGGAACAAAAACCTCATAAAAGTTTCTCCTTATGATTTCTTTGTGGGGATCGGAGACATTAACTCCAGTTTCTTGCCGCAGAAGCAGGATATTGGTGAAACGAATAATAAGGCGGTCGCCAAGTCCCCGAAGCCTGAAACGAAGGAAGATCATGCCAACGGAGCAGTTGACAAACCGACTGGAGAAGGTGATGTTTCCGCATTAGCACAACTTGTCACGATGGGCGGTGGCGATGATCCAAGATTGCGGGCAGAACAGACCAACGCCCAGGAGGAAACTATCTTGCACCAAGTCGAAGATCGCCCACTGCTACAAAAACAAAAAGAATTAGATGCAGAAGATGACGGCTCAGCTGAGAGCCACGAGTCCACTTCTAGTATTGAAGAACCCCAAGAAAACAAACACCGACACCACCTACTTGAAGATCATGATCGAGAGCTCTTCCAACTACAAGAACGACTGGAGCAAGTGCACGCCAAATTCTTCGATGAATACGACAGAACACGTACTAGTGGTCTTGGGGGCCGTGTGGCAGCTCTGAGGGGGGAGAGAGCGCCCTTGAAAGACAAGGACGTTGACTTAAAGCTGGTCCCTGATGTCAAGGATATCATGCCCAAAATAAAATCTCGGATTCTCGGGGGAATTGTCGTTGTTTTTTCTGGCGTTCTTCCTCTGGGGACAGATACCAAGAATGCTGATATCTCTCGTTGGGCGATGAGCTTTGGCATTGTCATTTCGTCAAGAATAAACGGCCGGACGACTCATCTCGTAGCTGGCCGAAACCGAACTGCTAAGGTGCGCGAAGCTACACGATGGCCCGACGTCAAGATCGTCACAACGCAGTGGCTTCTAGACTCCTTAGTAAGTTGGAGGCATCTAGATGAAGAGCCTTACCTACTTCCCGTTCATCCAGACGACCGTGGTGAGCCCCTTTCGCCCAAGTCACGAGAACTCGCCGACAGCTCCTGGTTGTCGTCTTCAGACGAGGCGACAGGCTCCATGTTCACCGAAGACGAAGGCAATCCCGATTCAGAAGACATTTTTAGAGAGACGGGGCTGGATGACCATTCGCCTGTCGGATATGACGAAAACGAACAGGCAGCTGTACATGACGAACTTAGGGATTTCCTCGGCAGTGATGACGAGAGCGAGAGCGACAACGATGCGGGGGGAGATGACTCGGCCGCAGCGAGTAAGAAACGGAAACGCGGCGAAGGAGCAGATGTAGGCACCGATGACGAGTCTACCGAGGATGAGGATGATGAAGACAAACAAGGCTCTCGGCTCTCGCAACGGATCAAGCGTTCATACGAGCGAAGCACTGGCCTTCGAGAAGTCGCGAGTGTTGCAACAACCGAGAACAACGGATTACCTTCCAGAGAACGGGCGGAGCAGGAGCAAGACATCGACAAAGCAGCTGCCAGTAACGCTGGCTCTGATGACGGGCATCCCGAGAACCCAGATGATGACGAAGATGATCTGGAACGAGAGATGCTTGCTGCATTTGAGAATGACGAGGACGAGGCTGGAGACGAGGACATTGTTGATGAGAATGAATGATCTTCTCTGTATGTCTCTCGTCCTCCTCTATCATTGTCTTCCTACCATTTTGTTCAATCTACATTCTACTCTTCGATTCGACTGTGTTTTCTTTTCTTTGTTCCATCTCCAGATTTCAAATGCAGTGGCAATGCGCCTCTGGCATAGCGATGGCGTTTATGTTGATCTTCTCTGTCTTCTTTGATGCATATTCTGTGGGATAGCCTCAGTGTTTATCTATCTACTTGTTCAAGTTATATGTGGATAGAATCAGAACCCTGGCGGCCGTTTAACACAGGGCATGTTCTCGTTGAGGCTTTTTCCCCGCCCATGTACAGTCTTTCAAAAGAATAAAAATCCAGAAATCGATCATGACTTTGAGACTTTGAATCACTTTAGCCTTTGCGTACATATGTAGATTAAAGTCGTATATGCAGCATTAAAACCAATGGATTTCGTGTCCCTCATATTCAAAGACTATTTTAGATATATCGCTGAAGGTTCATAATGCTCATAAAAACGCCAGCTCAATGCAAAAATATGGTATCACAATGAAAAAAGAAAATTTCAAGAAATAAGACCAAGAAGAAAAGAAGAAAAGAAGAAAAAAACAAATCCTAAACTTATTCTCAAGAATTCAAAAAGGTAAGTAAATCAAGTCAAGTCAAGTCAAGTCAAGTCAAATCAAGTCAAATCAAGTCAAATCAAATGAAATCAAATGAAATAAATCAATGATAATAATTCCGATGAACCTGCCAGGACATCACCATCATCCAAATATAAAAGATGACATTGACAAGCTCAAATGCAAACGCCGTTTTCCAGCAATTACCTATCAACACGAATCAAATCAGTATATTATCCTTTCTTTTCAAATGGCTAGCCACATAAGACTCACAAATAGTTATCTGCGTTAACCAGGCTAACGTATTGATATTATTCCCCCTCGACTTATCATTGACCACATAATTCTGGCAATTGCTGTTTATGTTCCCCACCACGCCGTAGAGTTGTAAAGATGTTTCAATCAGACCTGTTAAGAACAGGACGAAGAGGATGAAGCTGCCCAGTATTAGGATGCCGGGTAAGAGAAGGCGGCGGGTGATTAGGCCTAGGACGACGAAGATGAAGGTTACTGCTAGAGCGCTGGTTGTCACCATGAATGGGAAGAGCCTGTGAGAAGTTACTTAGTTAGTATGTAAAGTGTAAAGTGGAGGTTAGGATTGAGGTTGGAGGTGGAGTTCCCGAGGAATGCGGATAGGATATGATAGATCGATAAGATGGAAGTTTGATGGACTTACCATGGTGTGCCGAGGTGCATTGTTGATTGTATTACCATGAACCAGGAGAAGATACCGAGACATGTTGCTGAGCCTGCTAGGACGACGATGAGCCAGATGTTGAGCTGGATCTCGGGCCAGTGATAGCTTAGGCGTTTTTGCATGATAGGCATGATGGGCTGTAGAGTGATGGGTGTTTCGGTATTTCGGTGGTCGGATCAGGTATGAATGAAGGGGTTTCGGTCTTGGTCTTTGTAGTCGAGTGCGCTCGGCGAGTTATTATTGTTGTTGCTTTGTTGATGTTTTGATGGAGGTGATTTCGAGTATGAAGAGATGAGATGCGACGAGATGCGATTGCGATTGCGATATATATGATTCAACGAGAGTGATGCAGTATGCCCGATTCAATTAGGACGTTTCTGGCTTCAAACAGGGCTGCGAAGTTTGTAAACCCAATGGCGCAAAGCGCAAGCCTGTGGAACGGGGTTGGGTTTGGTTTGGATCTGGGGAAAACGCGATAAGGGCAGCGCATCGGGCGCCGAAAGGCGCAACGTCAAGGTGAGATCTTGACTTGTCGATGACAGTATATATTGTCGGAAATAAAAGACAAGAGACTTGGCAGCGTAACTGGAATGGAAAGAGTGAGAAAAAGTGAGAAAGAAAGAAAGATTTAGAGGAGGCGGGGGAATCGGGCTGATCAGCGGAAATTAAGGTGGCAGGGGATTTTGTATACGCGTGGTGGAACCCGCTCTCTACTCCGGGACTATACCCGTGGGTATACTATGTAGTACAATAAGGTGAATGTCATCAAAATCTTTTATTATATTCTCAAAGACTCTTTTCTAAATCTCATGATGGTCATCTAAAAAACAAAAGAAAATCGCGAAAAGATAAACTAGTATCATATTACAAGAGGGTATCGCCCAGTGCACTGCGGACCAACGAGCATCCCGCGCGAATAGTCTCCGCGGCACCGGCTGTTTCTTGTAGGTTGGGGTTAACCTCTACCAGGTCCATAGCGACCAGGTTACCTGTCTCATGCACGGCCTCGCAGATAAAATCACCTTCACGAAGAGTGAGACCACCGCGAACTGGAGTACCGGTGCTAGGAGCCCACTGGGGGTCCAGCGCATCGACATCAAAGGATAGATGAATAGGAGTATCGTTTCCAATGTATGCGAGAGCCATCTCGACAACGCGACCAATGCCATGGCTAATAAAGACAAAAAAGTTAGTTATATAGTTCTCGGACGTAATAGCGAGTCAAAGTATCAAGGAAAACATACCGGTCGATATCGTGCATGCTGAATGCCTTAATTCCATTATCACGCAAGATTTTCTTCTCGCCTCGATCCACATCCCGAAGACCAATGTACACCAGCTTCCGAGTGCTGACAATGTGCTCATCCTTCAACCAGCCGAATATATCGGGCTTATCTTCCTTCGCCAACCGAGTCAGGAACGCCATAGGCATACCGTGGATGTTACCACTAGGGCTCATCTCAGGAATATTGATATCGGCATGGGCGTCAACCCAAATGACCGCCATCTCACGACCCAAACGCTCACGGATTGCCTTCGCGGTACCGGAAACCGTACCAATAGCGATGGAGTGGTCGCCGCCCAGAGTAAGGACGAACTTGCCATCCTTGGCGTAGTTGTACACCTGGGAGCTTAGTCGCTCGGTAACGGCGCTGACAGCACGGGGCTTCTTCATGTTTCGGTGAGGGGGATCTTGGTCCTCGGATGGAATATCTTTCTCGTAGTAGTGGACGGTGTTATCGTGGTGGATGTCATATTCGAGGTCCTCGCTCAGTTGGGTGAGGAGGCCGGATTCGATCAGGGCCATTGGGGCGGCTTCGACGCCCTTTTTCATCTGTTATGTGATTTTTTAGCATTCTGGTATATTGGAATCGTCTCATGTCCAAGGTCAAGTTTCCATACCTGTCCGCCATTGAACCCGACAGCTACCACACCGAGCTGGTTGGGGTGGGACAAGAAGCGCGAGGCGATGGTGGATGGTTGCGTCATCGTGCGTGTGGGATATGTAGGTTGTTGAAGGTTAAATGGAAGAACTGCAGTAAATTCTAATGGTAATGCGCAGCGATTTCCAATAGTTTCAAGCAGTTTAAGGAACCAATGTATGGAGGTTGAAGACAGATGGACTCCAGATCTAAGTGATCTGCGATAAGATAGGCGAAAAAAAAGTGGATCGGATCAAGATTGAAAGAGGGTCACAAAGACAAAGGATCAAAGTAAACTTGAGGATATCAGGATAGAAAAGGGGATTTTCAAGAGGAATTCAAGCCAAATTTATATCTTGACTGATAAATGACCTAAACCCCCTTTTTTAACCCGGTCTTGGATCGTTCCGGCTTGTGAGTAGCAACCATCGCTAAAACCTGCACTTAACGATCATGACGCTCCGCCGGGTGCTCCATCGCTTCCGTTAAGTACAGGTTGAGGAGAGCCGCCCCGTTTCGGCCACCCAGAGGCCCCGAATCGTCCCACCGTGTTGCCATTTGGTATTTTAGTGAGGGGAAAGGCCCGAGGGATGTCGTAATTTCATCTGCGAGTTCCTTTTTGCACGAATAATGGAGTTGTGGGTTGCGTCTGGGGCGGCAAGGGAGGGTTTCTAACAACAAAGTCGCTCGAATGCTTACTGCTGATCGAGTTTAATCAGGTTTGAAGTTATCTGAAGGAAAGTAAAAAGAAAGAAAAAAGCGTGCAATGGAAATATAGAGATTAGAAATACACAAGGGTATCATTGGTGGCTAAAAGTTGAAACTAAGATAGTACATGCATCGAGACTAAAATCATACAGTATTTGCTTCTTCGCTCAGGATTAGTTCACGGAGAACCTCCTCCGCCCTGGGCGCTTCAACACGGCCCTTCTCGCCCGTGCGCATCATCTGCCCCACGAACCAACCGAGTTTCCCCAGTTGATTTTTGCTACGGATCTGTTCAACCATCTTCGGGTTCTGAGCAATGGCGGATTTCGCCAAGGTCAGGTACTCCTCGCGCGATAAGGGCCGAAGCAGAAGATTATCTTCTTCTAATAGTTGGGGTAATGGCCGAAGATCTCCTTCGAAAATCATCGCTAGTACCTGCTTCGCCGTGGGTCCAGTAATCTTCTTCATTTGCAGATGATTGACCAGCTCAGCGAGAGACCGGGCCGGGACAATCTCCGCATCCCAGAACCGGTCTGCTTTAGTCAAGAGACCACCTAATTCATGGAGTACCCAGTTTCCAGCCATTCGCGCGAGAACGACCTGTGAGGATTTATCCAGATCGCCGTGTAATACACAGAGAATGTCTACGACATCTTGGTAATACTCGAGACGAGCACCGTCATCCAACTCGATCAAGGGTTTGGCGTCCTCAATTGAGAGGCCATAGTCGGGGCCCGTCAGTTGCACAAGTAATGCGTCAGGAGAAGTAGGCAGGGTTTCCTGAAGGTGAGCGATCACATCCTCACCAATAACTAGTGGAGGAACGTCAGGATCAGGCATGTAGCGGTAGTCGACGGCACCCTCTTTGCCTCGGAGAAGGCGAGTTTCAGTGCTACCAATGGTCCATCCTCGCGTCTCACCCTCGACAACACCGCCGCTTTCCAGTAGTCTGATCTGGCGGTTTTTCTCGGCAATGATAGCATCCTCTATCGCCTTGAAACTGCTCAAGTTTTTGATCTCAGTGCGCTGGCCTAGCCCAGAAATGCCGTCATACTGGCAGTGTCCTGGTCCCTCGCCGCGGCGCCGTATCGACACATTAACATCGGCACGCAGACCACCAAGCTCCATTCCAGTTGTGACAGCCCCGCATGCTTGCAGAATCGATTGTAGCTTTCGGACACAGGCTGCAGCGGTCGCAGGGGTATGGATCTGCGGCATGGTAATAATCTCAATAAGTGGGTGAGATACACGGTTGAAATCGATGAGCTGAGTCGAGGGAGGGTATTCCTGGGATTTGGCGGTATCCTGTTCCAATTGGACCTGCTTGATATCTATGCGGACCCGTTCACCATCCTCAGGCGCGATACCGTCGTAGTCATTTAAATCGACGTGGCCATTTCGTGCGAAGGGTTCTACGTAGTATTAGCCTTGGCTGGCAAGGACCGATCGAGGATAAAGAAACTGACCGTAGTATTGAGTGATCTGATACCCCGCCGGCTGGTCTTGGTAGAAATAATGTTTCCGATCAAACCGGCTGACACGTTGGACTTCACAGTTCAAGGCGATCGCAGCACGGAGGGCTGGGAGGAGAGTAGCTGCTTGGAATTCCTGCGCGGTGTAAGTCCATGCCCATATTGTAGGTTATCTGGTCAACACGAACTGGTTGACTACCTGGGAATGCCAGGTCGAACAAGGCGACATTTGAATTGGGGGCATCGCTTGAAGATGTAGCCGCTCCTAATGAGAGGAAGTATCACGCGTCAGAAAAGAACTTCCAAGGGTCCAAGGGTACCCGTTATGCGCATTGAAGAACATACTAGAGAATAATTTTGCAGCCGTATCCAATTGGGCATGGATTTCCACCCCAACTGTAAGCTCCCATGTCTGTCTTGATGCCTCCTCGTTCTCTTTGCGTTGTTTTTTCTGGGATTTCAGACTCTTGGCTTCTTGTTTGAGTTGTTTGCGGAGAGGGATGCGGTCACTTGTAGCGTGGAGATTGCGGAGGGAGGATAAATTGGTTGGATGGATGAGTAACGGTCTTAATGGATGGTTTAGTCGACCGAGGCAGCGACGTGCGCCACTGTTGAGCCATGGCCGGAGCATGGAGGCGCGTTGCAGAGGGTGAAGTCGGAGAAGAAGCGGAATGGACGGGATTGACTTGGCGATCTGCCGATCGCACTAGAGTCATAATGAATCACACTATTTGAACTTTGAAGGATTTAGTACGACAGTAAGATGGTAGATCGAAGGAAGTATCACATCATAGCACATATTAGGAGTATTCACATGTTTTTGTATTATTTTTATTTATGTAAAATAAGGAGAGAGTGTGTATATAGCCATTATGTAGTGCGTAGTCCGGTATTAGTAGTGGGACATAGTAACCTAACCGCCCATGGATCCTTCAATAGAGTGTACTACACTTCACCCCCTCCAAAACAATGCAATGGTTCTATGTATAGCACCCCCCCCCTCTTCACAGCTGCATGAACAACCATTACAACCATGCACCGAGAATGACGAGAATGATGGGAATGATGGCAGTCGACTAGTCACATCCCCCTCAATCCTTCGGTACCCAAAAATCGGGGCGAATGTGTGCCAGACCGCCAGATGGTCCAGACGCAAGGAGATGATCGACAAGCGACTCGCCAACACATTGTCCCCAATGACTTAACTATGTTCAGGCACGCATGCATCGTTCCTCGGATCGGAAAGGAATGACGGTTGATTTGTTCCTATTCAAGTCCGGGCCCACAGGGCTATTGAATAACGGGTGTCCCCATCTTTCAAACTACTGACGCTTTTTTCTTTCTTTCGTGTACTGGCGCTTTGTTCGTTGAAACCTTGTGCTCCGTACCACACCCAGAAGGAAAACAACACTATCTTACACTATTTAAAACAAAAAGGATATTAAAGGATAGCACCTGTGTGATTCCGCATTACGATCGGCAGGGATTGCGAGGAACCTCCTTGCTGACCTTCCGTCATTGGCTCCCGATCTGAAGCCCCCGGCGCTTCTAAATCTGCTTCAGATTGACGGAGATTCCCTGTGCGACGAATTACAACACTCCATTTCCAAGAAGATTACCGCCGTGGTTTCGTTTTAGTCTCTAGGTGACGCCGAACTCGTTTCTAATCTGGGGTTGCGAAAAAAAAAAGGGAACCAAGCTGACGTGCAGCACTCTCTTCGCTCTTTATTTAATTAGAGCAGGACTCGACTCCCAAATCTGTCCTGGGTCATACATACATGAAGAATGTCAAGAGGGGACCTGGCGTGGTGAGACTTGAGACATCATCTGGACTATCACGCTCCCTCTTACCATTTTCTACTTTCCTTTTTTCCCTGTCGCCCTATTTGATCTTTTCTTTTCCTTCTTAAACCTTGTTTTCGTCTTGTCCAGACCCGACCCCTAGATTCCGCGGCTTGACGTCGTGATCTGATCGGAATTCAACCCCTCCCTTGCCATGCCTCGCGGCCCGATAGTGACGCTCTTGAACCCATTACCATTACAACCAAACATTTATGCCATTCAATCACTGTTATTACGGGCATGGCCTAAAAAACACTGATTCAATCATTCTTCAATTAATAAACAAACGATACTTGCCGATTATCGCCGATCATCATGCCACTCAATAGTATGCGAACTAGGAAGCCAACAAAGAAGGATGGGAGGAAGAGAACATCATCGACGGTTTCAACTGCAACAACAACATCAACACAGGCTGGCTCCGTGGAGAGCGTTAAAACCCCAGAGAAAGTTCAGACTTCTGGCCGGACCATTGGCTCTAAAAATGTCGTGAAGCCGCAGGCGGCCTCCGAGTCATCACCACAATCCGCAGAACCAACAAAGAAAGTCCCCAACGTATTCGAATTTCTCGAGGATAGCGACGTCTCGCCATCCTCATCGTCGGAATCCGAGTCTGAATCCGAGGACGAGGCTCCTGTTCCCGCCACTCGGACTGCTGTCACTAAGATCCAGTCACCTAAACCCCGTGCTAGCCCTGTACCGCATGCACTATTGGTATCGAAGGCTGGCACTTCTCCCAAACTATCGGGGTCATCTACTGGCGGAACGTCAAGAATCGCAAGTGACTCTCGGCCGCCACAGGCACCATCACCTCCATCCGTCCCTTCTGAAACCCAGTTAGTATCGCGCAAGCCATTGTCACCGCCAGCGCGAAAATCATCTGCTCCGAAGGACTATCCTAGCTCCACAGCAGGGTCTCCACCGCCGCCAGGCAAGCGTCAATTGCAAATTTCTCGACCGGAGAACTATTATAGAGATGCTGCCTCTATCCACCGGTCCCCACTGCCACCATCCCCTCCTAGTAGCCCGGAAGATAGTATCCACCGTGCATTGCAACGAAGAGATTCAACTGCTTCCCAAGCGACATCGGGATATGGTCTCGTGGCATCACATTTGACTCGTTCGCGTGGGGAAGACAAGGGAGCATTCCCTCCAATGTACAGACGCTTCGAGAGCTTAAACCATCGTGTTCTACTCCATCTCCAAGATGAGATTGCACAGATGGAAGAAGACCTCAATATCTTGGATGAATACGAAGAAATGCACCGTGCCGCCGCCGCCGAAAAAGACGGCAATAAGCCCGTACCTGCATCTCGCCGAGTAGATGCCCAGTCTCAATCTTTCTCATCGCTGCATTATCGGCGTATGGATCTGATGTCGGCTCTGATTCAAAAGACCGAACAATACAGTAAGCCACCTTCTCTAGTAAAAAACCAGAAACAGCCCTGACGAATCTTTCAGACAATGCACTCAGTGCATACAGTAAAGTCATTCAGACCCTACCCCGCGCCACAGAAGATGACATTCAGAATTACCGCTCTTGGATGAAAGAACACAATCCCATAGCTGCGGCTGAAACCCGCTTCCTGGACGACGGTGTCGACCTTGTATCTCTTACACCCCGCCTGGCAGCATCCGCCGCCGCCGCACCAGTATACATGGCTATAATCATAGCCTCTGCTGCTCTTTTACTACCGCTCCTTGCATTCAGCATGATTGCAGAATTCTCCGGCCGATTGGTCGTAGTAACAGTCGTTGCCGGTGCCACAGCCGCAATCGCAGCGAACTATTCCGCCGGCATTGATGCTCTTGTTGACTCAAGAGATGGCTGGAGATGTGCTACACTGTAAGACTAAGAGAACCGCAACACCTGCATCAATCTATCACTGTACCCAAGCTGACATGTTCCACAGATATTTCGGTTTCATGACCTTCGCCGCAATGTTCATTCCATAGAGAACAAGCGGTAATGAATGACGAATCCCCTAACTATTCATTTATGGATTGTGCTTTGTACTTGTCTTTTTCTTCTTCTTTTATTTTCCTTTGTCAGTTTCGGTTTCGTCTACTACATTATTGATCGCCAGAAGGGAACTAGCCGCCGGCCTCCAGCATGAACATTGACATGGCTGCGCATTTCACCAAAAGTTTTATACAGAGATGATTGCACATAAAAGCCCTTGATGACGTTCAAAATAAGAGGATTAGCTCAAAAGTTCTCGGACAGGTTGAAAGATTCAGGATAGTGGCGTTTGTATTTCTTTTGAATTGTTATAACAAATTACTACAACTGAATTATTGGTTGTTGATGGCATTGGAATTTGAGCTTGAGCTTGAGCATTGGGTTGGATGGGAGATACCTCACTTGTGATTTGGGAATGAGGTGTTATGAGGATTATAATGAGTTTTATACGTTGTTTTCACCTGTTGAAGTGTACCATTTATGAAAGATATGAAATAAATGCCGGGATTGAGATATAATACATACCTATGTATTCTTCTATTGATGCTTAGACCCCGTCGCCCTTAGAACCGAATTGGTGGATCAAATCCAAATTTGGCCCTGGGGCCGAGTCCATCCTTGTATGAACCCAATTTCTCGCCACTTCCAAGGTTAATTAGAAGGTTATTTTTAAGCTCATAGTTGGCTACGCTTGGGGCCGCCCCAGTAGTATTATATATAAGGTCATCTTTTGGGGGCTTTAAAGTGTTACGTAGTTTGTGCTTTAAGAATCGTACATAGTGGATAGCATAGGTACTGTCGAGTACCTATACGGGGTTTAAACATCATAGAATACATCAATTGTGATAAAAGCGAAAGCAATCTTCATCTCGTCTAAACGAACACTATAAACCGAACAAAGTGCAGACTGCCTCGCATCACCAGCCTGTTTCACCCATGCCGAACTCTTGTAAAATTGGAAACCATGCACAGACACGCGCCAATCGCTTATTATTCAACACAACACCACCGATACAAAAGAAAAGAAAAGAAACCACAAGACCTGGTACACCCCACGAAATATGATTGGAAAGGATCATTAAAAACACAATGGAGAATGTGAAAGGATGGAAATGGAAAAGACTCGAAGCCATTTTCGAGCAAAGAAGAAGAAAAAGTTGACCCAAAAAGTTCAGAAAGAGGAAGCCATATAGCTAAGAACAAGATAGGGACAAGAGAGAACTTTTCAATAATTTGAAACAAATTCGAACAACGACGAGCGAGGAATTGATTTTCTATGACTGAATGGGGGTCCCATTCTGTTTCCCTGGTGTCAAACTCCCTTCCTGTGATTGTCGAGCTTCATAGTGTGGTTGAGGTGTGGAGGGACTTTGTCGGGCTTGAGCTGCCAGGTGTGTTTTGTTTACAGCGCTCTGGTCTGCGGCACTTCTAGCATATGCCGCGGCGGCAGCGCTGTTCAAGTATCCCTGTGAGGGTGTCTGGGTAGCGTACTGCTGGTACCGTTGAGCGGAAGCTGAAGGTGCTGAAGCGGACGGGGTACGCCCTTGTGGTGTACCATATTGAGCGGGTTGACCAGGCCTTGGTGAGTAAGGCTGGGGTGTATACCCATTGGGTGTAGGTCGCTGAAATTGTGGTACATTGCTGGCCTGGTTGTACTGTGGGTTGGCCTGCGGAAATTGCGAACTGGATCCGGGACGTTGGGAAGGAGTGCTTGGTGGTCGACCCCCAGTATAACCAGGAGGAAACGAGCCGCCCGTTGATGGTTGTCGAGTTGGCTGCGGTGTTGGGAATCCACTCGGTGTTTGAGAGACACGGGCGTTTGCATTGAACGCACGCTGATTGTACGCAGAGTGGGGAGCTTGGTAGTTGGCAGGTCGGGCAGACGACGGTGTCGAGGCACGATTGGCAGCGTTGGTCTGGGCAGCGATGGCTGCCGCACGATCCTGTTGAAGGGAGTAGTCATCTTTTTCCATGGTGCCTTGCCAGTCGGGGTTGTCAATGATGATCTTTTGACTGATGTTTAATTCTGCTAGTTGGTCACCGTTGACCTTGGCGACAACGTATGGAGGAAGGTTGCTAATAATGGCAACAAGCTTGGACTTGAGGTCTTCATAAACAGCTCTCTCTTCATCTGACGGGGTTTCTGCATCGTTGATTTCTGGCGCAGGGCTTTCATTCGATTCGGAAATTTCATCATCTGAGGGCAGTGTAGTTCGGCGAATATTTTGATATGAAGCAAGTGTTTCAAGCAGGTTGGAAACCTCCGCAAGGACATCGTCGATCTCTCTTGATTCTGGTTCCGCTTTAGGTGTTTGCTCTGTTTGAGCAAGATATTCTGCATAGTCCTTCGGCTTCAGCGATTCGGCCACCTCATCAAGGAAGCTCTCATCCATTTTATCGATGGCTTCAACGTCCACTTCTCTTGAACTGTCCTCTAGTCCATTTTCTGGATATGGAAGAGAGAGAAGTGTACGTAAGCGCCTTGCTCCTCGCTGCCCCCACCAAACTAGATTCTTTGAGTCAGCCTGTATGACGGCATTGGAACTGTCGAAAGACGGAGCGAACGAGGAATAAACTCCTTGCAAAATAGCAGATTCATCATCGGTCCACAGCGCTGGATCCTCGTGTCTTGACACAAAGCCTGATTCTTCGTTATGCTTTTCAACACGAGACCAATATGACGATGAGGATGAAACACCGCCATATTGCAACCATTGCGTGGCTGGCAGCGTCGCAAAACTGTAGTTGTTGCTTTCGCCCGAGAAATTATTGACGTCTAGGACAAGATCAAATGGGTCGATCCAAGAGACTGCTGTGCTTCGGCGCCGTTTCCTGGGCTCAGCAGGCGGCAAACCAGACCGAGGAGCGAAGACGTCACCAAATGTCCTCTTGGGCTTATCTTCAGCGGACTCTAAATTATATGGAACTACCCGAGTAGTTGCGATGCCATTAGGCAGACCCCCCTCGCGAAGTTGCTCTTGTACCTCAACAACCTTCTCCGCACCAGACTCAGACTGCAGTGGCACTTGAACCGATTTTTGCAAACTAGAGAACAACTGTTTAGGTTGCGATTGGTTTCCACCAAACATAGTCAAAGCCTGTTTATCCTCACGAGCCCCTGAATTTGAAACGAGGGACAGTAGCTGCTCATCATCCTCATCTGGGTATTCGGCTTTGATGTCAGACTGATTGACAAAAGATTGCCCGACGAGAGTGTTCATATGCTTCTTGAAGGCTGCGATGAGATTGACCACCTCTGTTAAGGCGGAGCCTTCGGGCTTCGTTCCATTTGTCTGGTTCTGATTGCGCTCAATCACCGCAGCAGATGCTCGCTCGATGTCGGCCAAGAATTCCTGCAGAGTATTGTAGTGACTTGACTCGACTCGGGTCCGAATATTTGATGTATCTTGATCCCCCGAAGTTTTAGCTCGCTTAACCCGGGGTTTGGCTGTCGACGTGGGAAAGGGACATGATAGAAGCTGGAGTTCGGTGTCATGCCTATCAGCTGTCAGTAAACTCTGTGAAGACAATCATCCTCAAAAATGGGCAAGCCTACTTTAGCAAGAGGCCAACAAGGTTTCGTAGAGTCTCATGCAGGTTGCTTCTGTCATGCAATGTCGATGAAGTAGACTCAACCGCTGGTCTATCATCTTGGGTTGAACGCTTCCTCTTGGCTGGGGTCGCGGTCGCAGCAGACTCTATGTGAGACTCGCCGTTTGAGGGAGCCAAAGGCCTGGGATCTTCACTCTCGTCGGCGCTCATGGTGGAGGGTTCGTGGTTGGTGTCAAGTAGCTAGGGTTTCGTTGGACGCGGTCCCTTTCAATGCAGATGATCGCTAGGAGGATTCTGAAATGCTCGAAGAGAAGATCAGAAAGACGCGACCGAGGAGGTGATTATCAATGGGTCGTCGTGGTTGAAGGTATTATGTGATCTGGTTCGCGAATGGTGGTTCGAGTAACCTTGATGCGAGGCTCGCGACAGGATCAAGAAAGGATGAAATCGCGACGATAGAGGGAGAGGAGGAACAACACGTTAAGAGTCCAGATTTTGGGGTGGAAAAGCAAGATTGAAGGATGCAAAAAAATGAAGCGAGTATACACCTTAAGGTGTGCAATGGACTGGACCACCTCCTCAAGTGGTGAATTTCTTGAGCAGTGAATTTGTATGAGAATTGGGAAGACGAGGGCGATACCGTTTCGTGAGACTCAGAATGCGCGCTTGTCCGAAATGCGTCGATCGGTCACGTGAGGAGCCCGCTCCCCCATTTTCTGCCGGAAGCTTTGGCTTCAGGTACTTTTCTTTTTCTTGTTTAGTTGGTCAATGTTTTCTTGGGAAACCTCCAGGAAAAGAATATTGTAACACCTGACTGGAGTGCGTGCTCTGGTGAAGGTGTTTCTATGATCACATTCATGGATGTCATCGGCTCTCAATCATCTTCGAGGCCTTTCGGGGATATCCTCTTTAAGAGCCGCGCATCCTCGGACTTTTAAGTGGTACAAGGTATGCTTGAAAAAGGTTGCTTGAAGAGGCTGGGAGTCTTTTGCTAACTTAATTGTTCTATTAGAATTGGAATTTTGGCGATATTATACGCCCTACGCATCACTGCCGCGACCTGCTGCGAGATGCCTCTGGAGACAACCGCCGCTTATTCCACACAAATGGTCCCTCTCGTGGGCTCGACTCCCGCGTCCTAGCTATAGACTCGGACGTTCAGCACGAAGACAGCATCGAAGTCAAAAATGGACAGGACGACTCATCAGCGCGTGTTCGATATCCCCGAAGAAAATGCACCACCAAGTCTACGCTTACACCCTCTGAATACCTTTCTGATTCCCTTCAACAAGCAGGCCATCCTCTTGGGTCTGGAAGGCGATTCAAAACAGCCGCCGGAATTTCGAAACGCAATACAAAATACGTCATCTCTCCTAAAAATCTCTTAAAGAAAGAACCTCGATCACGTTCTGTGCGACAGTCTCTACAAACAACGCTTGGTCAATACATCCAATATGTCGATCCTTTACTTCGCAGTGTTTCTGAGGCAGATAATTTGAATGCATGGGAGGTCGCGCTCGGAGACGTCTTCCGAGCAAGCAACCGCCGTTACCTCGAAGTACGAGGCTACAGCGTGGATGATGTGGTTGCATGGGCGTGGATTTTGACCAGCAACGATCCATATCAAGCAGCCTCGCGATTGCTTTTGTTGGAAGCTGATTATAAAAATCAAAAGATATCGACTAATGGGCCTCGTGTCCCGCCCTTCATTGTTTTGCTTCTCTTAAAAGAGCATCATCTAGATCCTCATGTCTTTCGGTTGTTACTTATCCATTCTTTACATCTGATGAGCGGTGAACCTCTCCCAAGTCTTGACATACTGGGTCAGTCTTTGCAGACAGAGCAGGTACCCGCTACGGAAAGCATATACCCCAGAAGGCCTCAGGTCGATGTAACTACTTGTATGCTGTTGACCAAGCGTTTGATACGGCATGCGCGGCACGTATGGCCCGAGGCTTTCCCTGTCGTTGCCCGCGCGGTTGCCCGATTTTTGACCATGCCAGGCACGGAAAGGACAGGCAAATCAATCCCCGACGAGTCAAAAGATAGACGTTTCAGAACCCAAATGGCCAACCTTTGTCTTTCATTACTCTCCCTCCCCGCGAAAATTCATCCCTTCCGATCAGCCTTCATGCAACAACAAGCGCAATTCGAGCTTCTTCGTGCCATGGCCACTCATAAGCCGGTTCTTCCTGTAACACGGGAAGGTTATCGAGCCGTGGTTGCCGTTCAACTGGCCCATAAAAAGACAACAGACGAGCGCCAATCTGCAGACTTGAAAGCTCCCTCATGGCCTCCCTGGAAGGAAGAAAAACTTGGAATTGATGCTCAACGAGGAAATGAAGGTCTCCACAGTCGTGCAATGAACGTACTGTCTCAAATGAAAGAAGCAGGGTATTCCCCCCGGCTCTGGGAGGAGATTTCTTCTATCTTGGCTGGTTGGGATACCGATGGCAGCCCGACAGTTCAAACAAGGTCTCTTGCTCCGCCACGAGAGTCTTGGCCGCTGAAAAGTCGCCAGGATCGTGATCACCACCTCATGTGGGTTGCACGAATTCGCGCCACTCGAACTGTACGTGAAGCCTGGGCTTGTTTCTTATCTTACCAGGATCATGGCCTGCCTCCAAAAGCTGCGATGTACGCTGCGATGGCCGAAAAATTGTTGTATCGCCAAAATTTGGCTGGTAGTGATTTTGATCGGGCTAGTCTGACTCTGCCGGGCGACGGGCGGGAGGTTTACGCAGAACCGGCTTCGGCACGGGACGTTATCTATGTGCGCTCAGAACCGCCATCATTAAACGAATTTTTGGACGAAATGATCTCTCATGATATTCTTCCTTCTGGCAGGCTGCTTGCCCTCCTTTTGTTGTCTGCCCCAACTTTGCGTTCGGGACTGGTTTACCTACATGCCAGCAGTCTTACCGAGGACCAGATCATAGGGCTATGTACTGTATGGCGTCATCCATCGGAGTACCAAGAAAAGCATCTTAGAGCCCTTGAAGCTCTGCCGGACGTCATATTCGGTGCCTTTATCAAGTTTTTGTGCAAACATTCGCCTTTAACCGTCAGTAAATGTGCCAAGGATGTCTTCATGGCCGACCGGACCGAGTTTGACGTTGAATTTCCAACCCAATATGAACCCGATGGGCCTATTGCCTTTCTTTCCGAAAACCAGGAAGATCTAGGACCAGCAGGCCACCCGCTAGCATTTTGGCATGCTACTCAGTTAGTCAAATTACGCCAACCGCCTTGCCGCTGGGCCTGGCATAATCTTCTTTCTGCCTTCCACCTTGATCCCATTGGTGGACAACAAACAGCACGCACCAAGCGATTTGTTCGCCTAGTGGCGTGGCATGGCATTGGTCAAGTCTTAACCTGGATGCGTGCGCGCAATATTGCACCTGGGCCAAATGATTTCCAGTCCTTATGTGTAACGTTCAGCAGAGCGATTGATGCTGGAATCAAACAACCCGAACTAGTAGAAAAGGCAACCAGACTCTATCAAGTCTCTGCTAAGTTCCCAGAAACCGATGATCGTGATCACTTCGATGTTCTGGTTGAAAATGGCCTGTCTCTTCTTAAGGCTCACTTTGATCAGCTGGTTCTCCCTTCTGCACAAACCTCTGGTGTTGCGGAGCGAAGCATATTTGCCATGGATAGTGAGACGGACTCACTTATCACCACGCCTTCTCTTCTTCATGTCCCGTCATATGCAACACTACACAGCTTTGTGCGGGCCATGGGAATGGTTGGAGACGATGACGGCCTGTTACATCTGCTGCGGTGGATGAGTCGGTCATCTGCTTTGCTGAACGAGGTTGCTGAAGAACGTCTAAACGGGAGCCAAATGATGCGTCAGACCTTAGTTGCTACCCGAATGTACCTGCAGAAGCTACACCCCCAGTCTGTTACGGATGATCGGAATGATAAGATATCATCGGACTCTAAGCTGGAGGAGGCATACGACATAGTCAGTCGGACACCAGGCTGGGAATGGCCCGATCTGGCAGAGGTTGAGGAATATGTGAATGTATAATAGTGCAATTTTTGCTTATAGACCTGTGAATTATGATACCCCATTTACTACCTATTCATTTCTCTTGGCTTTTGAGCCTGCGCACGAATCTAATGTATGATTGACACCGTAAAGTACGTAGGGTCGTGTGTTGCATTAGGTGTCAAGAACATGTGGCTCCTAGACTGCACGCCCTACGTCACTGGTTACTACTTCAGTGTGGCCTAGTAGGCGTGGCAATTGTGAACTGGCTTCATCCATACTATAGCGCCAGTCTTACGATCCAGCTTAGAAAATTGATATTTAACCTCATGCCATCGGGTGAATAGTACTAAGCTAATAGGCGTGAAATAGTCCAACTGTGAAAGTGAAAACCAATCTCACAGGGTCTAACAGGTATTTTTAAATCCGTCCCAACAAAACTAGCGCTCTCTCTAAGTTGCATGTTTCTTAATCGACACTGAGAGGTTGCAACTGCAGCCCTAGTTGGATCTTTCAACCGTGCCTCTAGTGCGCGACCCCGAGCGACAGCCATAGCCGTTATGACACTTTCCGAAGCCGAACTCATGATGAGCCCGCCACTCTTAGAAGAGGGTTTATTATGGTAAAAGGACGTGTGCAAGGTTGAAGCCTCTGCGACCCAGTCCATCACAACTTCTTCAAGCTCTGTGGCTGCGGGGGAGCATATCCAACTGAACATTGAGTTAGCGAAAGAGGTAGCTAGAAACTCGCCCAACATGGATGGGTAAGACGTTCCCGATGGAAAGAATGCTGCAAAGCCAGGCGAGCTCCAATCTGTCATACGAGGGAGAACTAAATTCTGATAATCGGCCTGAATGGCATCCCAGGACTCGGAATGAGCAGAAGCAGCTCTGGGCAAATGCGTTTGTGCAGAGTCTTGAGGCCTGTTAGCTGCACTCCTTTACAGAAAGCGAACTACACATTGCTTGCCTCCTTCTAGGTCTGGTATGACGAGACAACTATCTCCGAAACAAAGAACCTTTGTACGACTGGACTGGCATGCATTACTTGGATACTCCAGTTCTGCGACAACTGCAAGACTTTGTAGCAATTCTTGGTCGCGAGGGAATTAGGTCGGAGTCAGTCCAGACCCTGCTAGCGACGAATTTCTTTACCGCTGGGGGCACATCTCTAAACGCGATGTCCTGTGTTGTTAAACTCCGGAGAGGTGGCATGGACATCAGCATGGCTGATCTTTTTGCCGCCAAATCACTTTGGCATGTATTTGACTCGCTTGCGAGAAAGCAACACTCTTGCTCTCGATCCATCCCGCCACCTCAGTGGACAGTCAGGCCGCTGGACCGAAGCAATACAGATGAAGCATGGGAGCTGGAGGCGTCAAACATGGTCGACACTCAGCCGATATCGTATATGTGGAATGGTTCCTCAAATCCCGCCAGGACCAGAACGAACTGCTATATTGAAATGGTACAGATCCTGAAGAATCTTGAGCCTTTTATGGTACGGGCGCCATCTATCACATTTGGTGTGTTCGACTCTGAAAATTCACTGATTGGTGTTTGCTGCAACATCTTATCTGATAGTTGCCGGGAAGGGCTCCCATGCAATTTCTGAGCGAGCTCGAAGAAGGCGTGATAAACAAAATCCAACAAAAGGGGAACATGAGTCACTTCATGGAGAGTGTAATAACGGCTATTGACAGAAAGCGGCTTCATGATCAGGCCGAGCGAGTCCAGTGTATGTACTTCATTGAGGTGGAGCTGCTAAGGGTTGCGCGGGAGAACAGCGCGTCGTTTGTCATCACCACGAACACAAGCCCGGTGACACAGGACATTGATCGACTTCTTGGATACAAAGAAGAAGAAGAAGAAGAAAGCAATGCTGTCATCGAATGGACAGATAATGAGGGAAACCCGTATGTACCATCTGTGGACGGTGATTTTGACATACAGGTCACGTATAAGCTATTGGGTGGTTGTTAGTTGTTGTGGCCACTTTTCCATATTCGATGAAATAATTTAGCGGAATACGTTTATCCGCTCCTTACCACAATCTAGAGTATATCAAGCTCTTTGTGAAGTTCTTTAGTAGAGATTCCACATTAAGCTCCAGTAGTCACAGACTTACAGCAGCTCGGCAATCTTCGGGTTGCCGCGGCTTCTTGAGCTTTCCCCACAGCCGGAGCCCCGAGAGCAACTTAACCGTAATTTCCTACAGAGTTGGATTGCACTCTTGAAATCACTTGACCCCCCCCCCATATTACTCTCCAGCATTTTCTAGGACCTTGTGATCGAGAATCATCTCGATCTGCAAAATCGATCTAGGAAATGGCATCCACCCTATCTCCCCGACTTATTCGCCTCACACCTCTATCCCACTTCTCTCGCCCTACCTCAACCTGTACCCGGGTTTTCATTTCGCGCTACAGTACCAGTTCAGACGAAGAAGTGATCAAGACTCAACAGATCCCCGCACCAGGATCAGGTCATGTACGCGTGCTCCAACTCAACCGGCCTAGCGCCCGCAACGCGATCTCGCGTCACCTGCTCGATACCCTATCCAAGCACGTGAAGTCCGTCGCCGCAGAGGAGGGCAACGGGCCGACTCGTGCCTTGGTATTGTCAAGCAACGTTGACGCCGCATTCTGCGCAGGCGCAGATCTAAAAGAGCGCGCCAAAATGAGCCCTGCCGAGTGAGATTCTCCTTTCGGCTCGAACTCGATGTAACGACCATATTTGCTAACTAGTGATTGTCGTGTACAGAACAGAAGATTTCCTCCTGGATCTCCGCAGCACATTTAAAGACCTGTCAAACCTCCAAATACCCACCATCTCGGCGATTTCCTCCATGGCCCTTGGTGGCGGCCTCGAACTCGCGCTCACCACACACCTTCGCGTTTTCGGCTCCTCTAGTATCGTCGGACTCCCCGAGACCCGCCTTGCGATCATCCCCGGCGCTGGCGGAACATACAGGCTGCCTGCGCTCATTGGTATGAACCGTGCGCGCGACATGATTCTTACCGGGCGCAGAGTGACTGGCCCAGAATCTTACTTCATGGGGCTGTGCGACCGTCTTGTGGAGGTTTTGCCCGAGGAGGCGACAAAAGAGGGTGTTGCGCGCGAGAAGGTCCTGAGGGAGGCTATTCGGTTGGCGCTGGATATTTGCGAGGGTGGTCCTATTGCGATCAAGCAGGCTTTGTTGGCCGTGGAGGGATCGCCTATGGGGGAGGCCTCAGAGAACAGAGCTTATGAGGGAGTTATTGAGACGGAGGATCGGTATGAGGCGCTGCGCGCCTTTGCTGAGAAGCGGAAGCCAGCTTTCCGGGGACGATAAATGTTTTACGGATTGTCTTTATTTGGAATGTGTAATTTGGGGTCGTATAGAGGCTCAGTTTTCATCTTTGATGAGACGAATATAAGAAATTTAAATAAATTGATATGTCTGACTGGTGATTCCTCGAATCTACAAATCTATAAATTTACGAGTATTGGTTTACAAAATGGCAATCTACATGGCAATAGAGTATAACGGGGTTGATCGTGTGTACACTTACATGCCAAGTTGTCTTCCAAAGAGCGCAATTTAGATGAATACAACCAAGTCTCTTGTTTCCAAGGTTCATTTGCGCTTGTAGTAATCCAGACTGCTGTACGGAGTAAAGCCCTGCTTAACATTCTCACTCAGCCCGGTTGCCTGCATGAACCTTGGGTAGAGCCTCGCCCCGCACAAAGTCAGATATTCTTTCAGAAACGCCCTGCTGCTACAATAAAAACAAATTTTAAAATAGTCTGAGAGTTCAGATACTAATATAATATTCCATTCCTATAATTGTCAAATAGGTAAAAACATTTTTTAAAAATTAAGACAATCAAGTCCGATGGGGGCTGCGCATACTTGTTCAGTCCCCCGTATATGGGGTTCACTTCGGATCCAGTTCCGATCTTAGTAGCCTCTGGTATTCTTCACGGCATCGGGGAGATCCCCCGGAGCTCATCTGCAGGTTTCAAGGTTTTGTGAGTGGTATTGGACAGGGCACCTGTTCAAGATCCCCCGCCACCTCCTTTGAAAGAAAGTGACGAATGATGCAACCTGGTCACAGTAGGTGGGAGCCATGAGTCACTGGTCTGGCGCCTAGATTCTAGTTGGATTCTACTTTTGCTCATTGCCTGCGCCTCTTCCGGGCTTTTACCTGGGTTCCTGCAGGCATCTGCACACCAGAATGTCCTAAAAAAGAAACTCGGAGAAGAGCAAGGGCGGGTAGGGTGTTTCTGGTGCTTGGCTGATCTATATCCCCTCTACTCCATACATTGATTTGGTATCCAGTACAGTTGTCACGAAGATATCTGAACATAGATGATTTTATGTAGATCGCTCAAAATCGAGCTAGCAGTTTGATTGATGTGATCTAATGCATTAACAGTAACAAAGGAGTATTGGGGGGTTTTGATTATTGGATGTATCTACTCCATCAGGATCAACAACTTCTTTCACGGGCAACTCCTCCAATAGTAATACCAGGTATGGGTGGTATGGGACTCCACTCTCACCCGTGGCGCAGTCCTGATCATTTTGCGATCTGCATTTGCTTTGGGGGCCCGGGGACCTGGGATTATAGCGGCCAGAAGGAAAAAAACCTCAATTTCCCTATTTTAGACCGGCAGAAAACCACGATACCTCCAGCCAATACAGTATCAACTCTAGGCGGTAAAAGATTATATATAGCCTAGGGGTTTCTTGCCACCTGTGCGTTAACGCCCTCCCATACTACCCGGGGAGGACTCCACTCTGGCCAGTGTTTACATTGGGTCATCTGGATGGGTCAGGGGAACCGTATCACCTGCAGCTCCTACCCTGTTTGTTTCCAAGGTTATAACAAGTAGGTACTAGCCTTGTGTATTTTTGGTCTTGTATATATTGCTTCAAATATTTCCCTCTCTCTGGCTTCCATCTTAACTATGGTTTGTTGACCTCCGAAATATTGTACACTACAAATCCATGCCTGATTCTCGCCCGGTCAAGCCTTTTGGCTTGACTCAGGTGTATGTTCCCCGCGGTGACCCCACAGTTGATATCGTGTTGGTTCATGGTCTCAACGGCCACCCTCACGATTCATGGACCAGCAAGTCCACTAATTGCTTCTGGCCCGTTGACCTCCTACCCGATGTGCTTGCCTCTCAACGACCTCGTATCCTAACCTATGGCTACAATGCGAATGTCACCGCATTTACTGACGGCGCATCGCGCGACTCGATCGTCAGCCATGCGGAGACTCTAGCATCTAACCTGGCCGCGAATAGAAATCTCCGTGACTGCGCCGATCGACCTATCATCTTTATTTGCCACTCTCTCGGTGGGTTGGTTGTCAAACGAGCTTTGATCTACTGCCGTAGCTTGTCGAACGAGCGAACAGAGCACCTCCGCTCCGTCTATGTATCAACCTTCGGTATCCTCTTCCTCGGCACGCCGCATAACGGATCAGATATCGCGAAATGGGGCTTATTGTTGCACAACATCTGTAGTGCCCTTCTCCCCAAGAAGGTTATGGAAGGATCCCCGCAATTGGTCAAGGCACTGCGGACAAACAATGAAACCTTGCAGCACATCAATAGTTTGTTTGCAGATATCATAAGTCGCTTCCATATCTATTTTTTCCACGAAACTCGTTCAACCGACGTCCGTGGAACAAGGGAGATTATCGTGGATGAAACTTCTGCTGCCCCATATATTGAAGGTGTTGAGAGAATGGGTATCGAGGCGGATCACAGTCACATGTGCAAGTTTGACGACGAGAACTCTGCTGGCTATGAGGTTGTTGCTGAGGCTCTTCTTCGATACTCCCGTCAAGCGCCTGCACTGATTTCAGACCGTTGGGTTGCCGAGAGAACCACTCGCACCATGGAAATGAAGGCCAAAGCTCGCGAGATCTACGACGGTACGCCTTCAAATTCTTCAGATGTATATCGACCTACTGGAGTCAAAATGCTGACTGGCCCAGTCAAGGATGACCCTCTAGCTCAAAGCACCCCAAATTTGAATAACATTGGTAGGACGCACCTTCTCCCTGCACCGAGTGAATCAGTTACGTTGAGGGATTATGAGGTTGAAGAGCCCCCTGTTTGAGGAGTGCAAGTTGAAGCCAGCGTGAATCTCTTATCTTTCTTTTTGTCTTCGCTCAGCAACACCTACGAATACTACGAATACACCCATACCTGCGGCCATTTTATTGTTGATTTTCTTCGAGTTCATGGAATTCTTGATCTATTTTTATGACAATGTGTGTCCACTATGATTATCCTTTTGTATTTAATTCAGCGTTTGGTCCTTTCTCCTAGGGTGGCTCTCAATTTTCTCCCTCAACAATCAAGCTGATATCATTCAAATCGTTTATTGAAATCCTTGGAATTATTTGAAGTCAGACATTTGGCTGACTTTTTATTTCCCCATAGGTCACTCTGTACCGACCCTTCCTCGTGCGCCTGCTACTGAAGGCCGTAGCTCCCCAGTATCTGAGATGAGCAATAGTGGCGTACTCACGTTCTCTCATTACTCACAGCGAGAGCCACAGCCCTTTGTTGCCCCACCGGGCTTTCATCCAAATGCTACATTTTTCGGCATGCAAAAGGAACTAGAAATCCTGCACAATCGCTTGTTCAAGGCCAAGGCGCGTGCAGATCGAACCATGGCCGTTTTGATTTCTGGAGTACCGGGATCAGGAAAGACTCATCTAGCACGGCAATACGTTTTTGCTCAACGCGAGTGTTACCCAGGAGGGGTGTTCTGGATTGATGCCAAATCTCGCGAGTCGGCATACAAGTGTTTCTGGGAGATCGCTCAAGCAGCCAGGCTGGTGGATCGCAAGGATGCCGAGGATTCGGTCTATCTCGAGGCTCGATCATACGTCAGCACCGTTCGAAACTGGCTCCAGACACGACAAGAGTGGATTTTGATATATGACGGAATTACTTTTGATCACGATACCGATATTAATGACTTTCGACCTTTCTTACCTTGGAATAAGAAGTGTAGCATCATTTACACATCGATTGATACTACACTTCGAAAAAAGCAACGCCTGTTTGAACCTTATTGTTTGTCAATGCCTCGACTCAGTGTGGAAGATGCTTGTAAGCTTCTTTATAAAGATCTCGGGATCAAAAAGCCGACACAGGATCAGGCTCTCCGGGCGGTGGAAATTGTTGATCACTACGAGTGCTTGCCTCTGGCTATTCATGCTATTGGCCATCGTCTCAATGCCACAGGCAAGCCGATCGAAAGATACCACGTTAAGCATCAAGTGACGGACAAAAAACTGGCGGAGCCATTCCTGAGCATTATGAATGATTTATATCGCCTGCAGCAGCGCCAGGCTTTGAATCTCATCAATTTGCTATCATTTCTTGGACACCAAATTCCTGTTGGCCTTCTCAACTTTGGAAAAAATGCCATGACTGCTGAAAATGCTGAAATCACAACAAGTGTTCAAGTCGGAGAGGACCCAGACCTTGATAATACACTGGGAACTTTGATTCATTATGGTTTAATTGAGAGAATCTCGGATTCCGACCCATTTTTTGCACAGCATATTTCAACGCCATCAGGAGACGAGATTAATGTCGACGTTAAACCTGTACCGGAACTGTCAGAGTCGTTAACCGAGAGCAGCCAAGAAGGCTTTTTCTCTATATACCGTGGCAATTCTGCCGTTGATGTTGTTAAGATCCACAGTGTGGTGCAGGGGTTTTGTCGAGACGAGCTCAAAATTAAGGATGAAGAATACAAAGAGACCATGGGCCGAGACGACCCTGGGTTTTACGACTCGTGGCTAATCGTTGCTACTCGCTTTTTGTGTAAATCCTGGGAAGCCGCTAAGGAAAGAATGACTCATTCTTCTGACTGCGGACTTATCCGGGATTACCGCGAATACGAGACACATGCATCGCGTTTGATCGAACTCTTCCCCAAGAGGCACGGTATTGGGGTGCACCCACCGATTATCCGCGAGGCAAGAGAAAGTCTGCGACGATTGATGAAGAGTCTTAGTAATGAGATCAATCGGAGGTCACCAAGTTCTTCTCAGGAGTGTGCACGTAATCAGAGATCTGTCTTTGATCGTTCTAGCAGCTCATCTTCCTCATTCCCTGAGTCCTCAGCGGACGAAGGTCTTTCACGCCAATCAACTTGGGCTTTTACAGACTCGGGTTCACCTCGGGCTGAATCTCCCGAGGAAATCGCACCTCCTCGGTTTAAATTAGATTTATTCCCGCCTCACATTTTTAGACAGGCAGGCTATGAGTCGGAAGAGGGCTATGAAACCGATGGAGAAGCGAAAGAAGCTCCTAGAATTTCTCCAGCATTGTCACAAATGAGCCAGATGACCGAGAAACCGAAGCGCTCGCCTTTATCCTCTAGCCCTCCTGTGCAACCCGACGATAGTAATGCATGGAGGCTAGTTGAGCGGCACACAAAATCACGTTCACCAAGAGAAAAACAGCAAAGACGACGTACTAGAGGGTCCTCTCGCCGATTTCGGGGAAATAAACCAGCCACCCCGTTGGTCAAGATCTCACCTGTCCATGGACGAGGGTCATCAAGTCGCAAATCCGTAGACGAGGGAGGCAGCTCCGTGATACTAGCCTCCGCCGCTGAGCGAGCACTTGCAGCTGTTCGGAAATCTGACAGAACGCAGGCAGTAGGTGAAAACCTCAAGCCGAGCACGAGCCCTCCATTTCAGGACCATGAAAACGACCATACTTATGCGAGCGTGATTGCTCATCATATCCTCGATGCCGAGCCAAAGCGCCCAGCCTCCATGCCTTCGCGACGTGGAGTAGAATTGATAGGGCCACGGATGAAAGCATCTGCAGAATCTCTTGATGGATATGGAAGCCAATTATTTGCCTCGCCACTCTCGCATGAGTTGGCACAACATGAAATCATCGCAGAGGCTATGACTCGATCAACATATAGCGATCCTGGGCGAGATTTTCTCAATCAACCATTGCGCGAGCTGGATTTGCGTACTGCACCAAATTCTCAAATCAACTCTCGACGCGCCTCACTTGCCACATTTGAGCCTATACGCGATATGTCTGCTAGTACTCCTTCACTTCTTCCTTATGGCCCACTACTCCCTTATGATGAAGACATTACTGTCACAAGGTCGAATCATTCGAGAATGGCGCAAAGCGTTTCCGGTTCTACTTTTATTCCTTCCGGTCCTCAACCTGTGCCAATAGTTTCTCATCCTTCCGCGATAATGCCTGGTGCATTGCCTCTTTCCCTGCCTTCGGATGCTCCGATATCCCAATTTACAGAGCGACCAGGACCTGATGCGCTTTCTCGTGCATCTTCTGGAATTTCAACCCAATCATGGGCAACCGAGCCTGTCCGTTACCCGCCACGCTTCTCTCCTTTCCAGAGTTTTCAAGGACCGGTCGATATATCGAGGTCCCCCACACCAATGCTCCAACCGCAGCATACAATTACTGGACGAGCAAGTTGGAATGGTGAGTTCCCCGTAATAAACAGTGCCCTTCAGTCTGATTTGCTCTATCCTGCTCTGGTTCCGCATACTATGCCTAATCACCACAGGGTAGGCTCAGTAGACGAACGACTGCAAGCAGTCAAGCCGGCATGGGATTCTGAGATGGAGCCTGCACAGTTACTCAATTTCGGTTCTCATCGCGTTGACGTGCGAGAGGCTCGTCAACGATTGTCGGAGTCTGGTCGGCTGCAGATACCGAGACATGTTCCCACTTACCAGCTGTATCATCCTAACCTATCTGGACCTTTGATTCAAGATGGGGGACATGTCTATACTCCTGCCCCTCCACTCGAGGTATATGGAACACGCGCACGCAGTGGTAGTACCCCGCAACGTCCTAATCACTACGATGGACTGGGTGTACGATTTCAATGATAAGACCCCGAACATTTCTTTCGCTTGGCCTCTCTATAATCTGTCTTCTTTTTCTCTTCTTATTGCATACATATTTGGTTTCCTTGCATCTTTGATGGAGCTTTTGTTTTGCTTTCGCTCTTTGCTATTTTTATGATACACCATTTTATACCTTTCATTGATGTTTGCTTCATACAGCCTCTTGCCTTATGAGGTCAATTTTGAGTTTTTTTTTTTGAGATTCGTCTCTTTGACAGAGACCTAGAAAGAATGCATCTATAACAGTGTCGATTGCATGGATGTGCGGCTGTTTTCAAGGTCATAAAGCATGAAGTTGGTGTCTGTTTTATGTTCTCTCTCTCTCTCTCTCTTCTTTTTCTTTTTCTTTTCACTTCTTTTAGAATAATAATTTAAAGTCTTTTCCGAGAAGCTTTGAATAAACTATAACTCGCATACATAGTCTGTTCAATAGACATAGTCATCTCATAATAAATTCTTTCCAAGATTGCGAACTCTGAGCCTCATGATACTACATTATCGTACAGACTCCCCCTTCTTCTGACTCAAGTTTGTGAAATATCTCCGTCTTCGCCGAGCGGAACTGTTTATAGGCATCCCGACTATGAGTCATCTCTTCTCGACTGATCTAAATCGCGTCCTGGTAGTCTTCCGCTTCAGCCATGGCCTTTTCCCTCTTCTGTCTATCTAATCGATGGTTCCGCTCAGCTTCCTTGTGCATGCTACGAACCAAATCTTCGAGCGCCAATAACTCAGTATCCTTGCGATCAATCTCTTCTCGAAAATATATTTCAAGAACATCCATTTTCTCCTTCCATTCCTGCTGCTCGTCCCCATGAAAATCCTCAAAGGTACCCTTCAAGATCGCCTGGTCCTGATGCCCCTCACTCAAACATTCTTCAATCTCATCCTTGACTTCTGTCAACTCAGCCAGATTCTCCGCATCTTCATTCTCAGCTGCTTTCTCCATCTGAGCAGTAACCTCAGCCAGTTGCTCCTCATACGCCTTCCTAGCTTTATACAACTGTATCCCCACCTGGGTCCCAACAGAAGACTTAGCGAGGATCTTTCTTTCCTGGAAAAACTCACGCGGAAACTGTAAAGCCTCCGGCTTGTACCCATCAGAAAGCCCAATTAACTGTGACATAATGTGCTGTGCATGAGCCTTCTGCTCATACTGATTCCAAGTCCCAGTTTCATTGAAGCGGCGTGAAAATGCTTCACTCTGTTGTAAATCACCATAATACGCGCGGAGCATCCCCATCTCTCTGTTCCTTAAGAAGGCACATTGGTTCCAGGTTTGTCTATTGTCTTTTAGATCCGACTCGCGGGGCCACATTGTCGTTACAATACAAAAATTCCGATACCCTGCGAATCCGCAGATGGCCTTCACTTTGTTGATGTTATGGCGGCTGATGGGCTCCAAATTGTCTCTATCATTAGGCTGTAACATCAAGATGCCGTTGATACGTACTTCGTTAGCGTACGAGGCGCCGAGGTACGAAGAGAGGACTTTGAGGGTCTCCACGTCTGAGCGATTTGGATCGTTGAAGCCTGGCGTATCAATAAGGTGGATTCGTCTCCCGTGCCACTTGTAGTTGTAAACATTGATTAAGTCGGTACTTAGACGTTTTGTGTTAGTTATTAATTATCTAGAGTATATTATCTCTGGGGTGCATACATGATGGGAGGCGTTCAGAAGGGCCAATTTCCTGATCGGTACAGCGACGTATAAAGCTCGATTTACCAGAGGCCGGTGCACCTACTATGATGAAGAATCTGTCCAAAGAGTCTACCTCGATGAGGCCTGTGAAGGCTGCGAAGCGCCGAGCGTTGGCGGCTAACCGCTCGCAAGCAGTCCCTTCATCATTCATATTTAAAAAATTGACAGATAACAGAGCAAGAAATAAATGAGATTAGAATCCCTACTGAGACGCCGTATGTAAACTGATGGGTCTATGGATTTGGTGAGTGCGGAGTAGAATCACGGAGGCCCAAGGCATACTTCTGGGGCGGGATGACGGGCCTTTATCATGAGGGCTCAGCCTCGAGCCGGAAATCCCTGTCGAATTTTATCTATCATCCGACTTTTCTTCGTTTGAGGTCATTATTGCCGGTGGCGTAGTATCCGAATCTTGACAACGACGTGTCCATGCAAAGACAGGGGTAACTGCCTCGCATGATGCTTTTCAAACAAGTTTTGACGCCAGCAAATAAGCAATAAGGTGCCACAATAATATTCACTGATTTGATGCTATACTCAAGTCGCTGAATAGTATGATCCTGCTATCATTAAGGGCCAATTATACATGTTCCGGTCCCTCTATTATTCCAATTCGGGCGCCGGGTCGATTCCAGGACATCAATCATAATCTTCCACGACAGGCGATAACCCCTGTGCATGCACTAGACGCTCGCGTGGCGTCTCAACCCTTGCTATATAGGATGAGTGAGTACTGACACTAGGTTGATTGAGCAATGAACTGCAAAATAGGTGTTATTATAGCCAGGTATGTGAGGGGTAGTCTGACGAACCAGAGGATTCATAACTTGTTGGTTTTTCACTTCTCTCTCAGTGTTAATCAACTGACCGAAAAATTCCCTCTTGAAAATAAAAAAAGATTCCGCTACTCGATGATTTGAAATCAAGGAGACTTCGCAATTGAAGATGCTCGGTGCTTAGGCCAGGATCAGGAGTATTAAAACCACCCAATCTGTCCAATATATGGGATGAGGAGACAGAATGAAGGTCAAATCTGTTGGCTTTCAGCATATCACTTAATGCACTGGCAGCCACGGTTAGAATACCCGAGAGAGTTATAATCGTACTGGGATATGTGTATGCATTGCAGATATAATTCATTGTATCTTTGTCCCGGGACACTTTGTACAAATTGCGTAATATATACAGACAAGGATGATTCGAATAGTCGGTTGAATATGCTGGAAGCTCCATGATGCGTTTTTGAAGCTTGGTTCCTGTTTAAATCTTTGATAATCTCCGAAGGGGTGGATAACGTAAAATTTCGAATATAGCGTGCCACTTTCAAGTGAAGACACTCACTTGATTTAATAGAAACAGAGAAAATCCGTACTCGATCTTGAAGATGATAATCGGTGGGAACAAAAAAAGCAAAGAAAGAATCGGTGTGCTTGATTGATATATGATTGAAATTTATCGATTTGGGATGCAATATTTATGCAGCAAAATTGGAGGCTGAAGAAAATGAGGCATCTCATGCACACTTGCCTAGGTGCGACATGATAATGTCGGAGCCTTGAAACAGCCTGATGGTAGAATATTCCGTTGCTTAGATTTGAAGAACAAAGGCCCAAACATTTCAGGGTCAACTGAAATGTTTTAAGCTAAGAAAAAATACATTGTACTTCTTGAGTTTAGACAAGATGTTCGGAGATCGAGTATTCTTCGAATAGTGATTGGCTTCACCTCAACTTTGTAGAATTTTGTATGGTTTTTCTGATCGAGTCTTAACTTCGTCTTTAGGTAGAAATGGGTTCTATGTTAGACTAGGGTTGTTCTGCAAGTGGTCGAATAATTTCTAAACATTTGAATAATCCTTGAGGGGAAATCTACATGACCCTTCATTTGGCGACCGTCCTGGGCACTTGCCAGGGCCCTTTCTGAGCTCCTCGTCGATACCATGGTTTTTAATATAGAAAAATACAATGTTCTCATGCTGAATTCCCGCCCAATTTACCTATTCCTTGGTGGAATTCTCGTCGAGGCTGGGAACCGATCGAGTTGATGTATGCCGCTGGGTCGAAGCCAGGCTGTTGGTGGACATTCCGACTGGGTGCTTGTTTTAGAGACCCTGGCATGATCTGTATCATTTTTTTAAGTTTTCGTCTCTTAAAAAACCAATTTTACTCAATGGGTAAATTTCGTTTTGAAACTATGATGCGTCGCGCCATATCTAGATGTCCTACGTAAACTGTATCTTGCAACTGCCACGCACCTTATATACGCGAACCCTACACTTAACCCAACCCTCGGGATAAGCACACGCCCAGCCTCCCCGCCTTTGGATGGGCTCGAAATCACACCTCAGCACGTTAGTTATTGTTTTGCGCCTATACTCAACTCCGAGATGGCCCAATATACACAAGTTGAGCTCCTCACACTCCATGGACCGGTATTTCGTCGCGTTTCAGCAGCTCCCCCTCGACCGGCTACGGACGATGAGATTCCTATCATTGATCTAGGCACAATCGATGATGGCTTTGAAGCCAGAGAAAACATTGCATCTAAGATCAAACATGCAGCAGAGAACATTGGATTTTTCTATATCAAAAACCATGGTATCGACGAGGAGCTCATAGAAAGGGCCCTGGCAAGTGCCCAGGCCTTTTTTGGCCAAACGGATGAGCAAAAAAACCAGGCTCACGATAGATATCGTGGAGTTGGAAGCACACAGATAAATAAAAAAGAAACCAAAGGTTGGTTTTCATCCATCTCAAAAACTACCTCTGATATTTGCTAACTGGATGATTGTTGGAACATCTACACTACAGACCGGAAAGAGACCTTCTTTCTTCCATATAACCCCAGAAATGACCCCACGCTCGCCGACCCCGCAACCCTTCCCCATAAAAACCAACATCTAGACAGTGAAAACGATTATTTTTGGCAGGGAACTGGCCATATTTCAGACTTCAAAGAGACAACCATTGAATTTTGGCAACGTCGCCTCATCCTCGCTCGCAAGGTAATCCGCATTTTCGCATTGGCTCTTGATATGCCCGAGAACTACTTCGACGAAGTCATCACACAGCCAGGTGCAGATGGCCTCTACATACACTACCCAGGTTTACCAGAAGTTATCTTCGAGGGCACCGAAGCCGATGTCGGTATTGGTTCGCACACAGATATTCAATGCATTACCCTTCTTTGGCAGGATATGTCTGGGGGTTTACAAGTGTTGTCAGCCAGTGACGAATGGCTTGATGCACGACCTATCCCTGGCACATTAGTTGTCAATATTGGAGACTTTTTACAGAGGTTGTCTAATGATAGATTCAAGTCTACTGTGCATCGGGTTTACAATCGACAGTCTACTTCGCGATATTCTATGCCATTTTTCTTGGGATTTAATCCTGACTCGGTCTGTCAGGTTGTCCCGTCTTGTATCGATGAAGAACACCCTGCTTTATACGAGCCTATTACTTGTGGGAAAGTAAGACACCCCCAATCTCATTCCATGATAATGTGCGTTTTGCTGACTGAGTATTAGTGGCATCGGGATCGAATGGCGCTTGCGCAGGGGAAGCTCTCGTGGCAAGAATCTGGCTATAAGTCTACATAGAAAAATCCGTTCAACGAAAGTACGATCACACTTTTAAAAGGATATTTATTTATTAACCACTGATTAAGGGCCAAAATTTCTCGCTTTGCAGCACATAATCTATTTTAGAGCGCGGAGTGGAACTCTTAATCTGCACAACATGGGGTTAGCTCCACTCTTAATTAAGCTTTGACAACCCTATAGCTTCCTCAAGCTTCAGCTCCATAGAACCTAAGAGATGAATTGAACGACACGGTGGCTTGTTAGAGCCGTGTCTCTATTTCAAACAGGATATTTAATTGTCCAAGCTTGAAAAAACTTGGCTGTGGATCCTCGGGGGTGTGACCGAGAATCGACGTAAGAAATGCGACGCTGATGACGTCGTGATGCCAGGAAACAGCCGAACCATATCCAAGTATTTACCTTTAAAAGCTCGCTCAATGGCAAAAACACAACTTTAATTTCCTGCATACAAATACTTCAGGTCGCTATAAACTCAAGCAAATTCTTCTTTGGCAAAAACACTACACAGTACTATTCCCAATCTATCGCAACTCATCGCAACTCATCGCTATCCATCATGTCCTCTGCACGCTTTATGGCAATCGCCAAGTCCCGTGTGGCAACTACCACGCCGAGATCTATCATTGCTATTCGGGGTATCTCTTCGACTGCTAGACTGGAGAAGAGCCCAGTCGAGGCTACAAAGGATACTCTTAAGAAAGCCGATCGGGTTGTTTCCGATGCTGCAGTGAAGGGCATCAACAAGGGTGGTAAGTGGGCATTCTTAGTACATTCACCTAGTTCCAGTGGTGGGCTTTCCATGACCAACTTTTGCTTTACGTTTCTTTTTCCAAACAAACTTAAGTAAGGAAATACAGGCGCTAATGTTGGACCTTGTTGCATTGTAGATGAAGCTGCCCACAAAATCAAGGATGCCGTCGGCGGCGTCGCGCAGGAGGCACAGTCAAAGGCCGGAGATGTAAAGGGGAACGCATCCGAGTACGAGGGTAAAGTCAAGGGAACTGCAGAGGAGGCCGCAGGCAAGGCTAAGGGAAAGGCAAGTGAGGCCGCTGGCAAGGCTAAGGAGCATCTCGGCTGAGAGCTTCTCATTTAAGATGAAACTGGCGTATTGATTCACTGTTTGTACATCATGAACTATAATACCAACTTTAAAGTTACCTATAAAAAGATCGAAAAAGAGGAAACGGAAAAAAAGAAGATACAAATGAATATGCTAAATAATCAAAACGCCGACCATAGTGTATGCGGATCATGATAGATGTCAAGAGCTTAGGCCTTCCATTCCCTCCATGCCACCCAAATCTTCCCAGAAGTTACTGAAATCCACGTTTTCTTCCTTAAACATCTGTTGCACCTGGAACATCGCTGACTTTTGTCGTTCCGGAGTGAAGCCCCCAGGCTGTGCACTCTCCGACGACACCAACTCGACCCAGCGAAAGAACAAATCCTCTTTGCCCATCGCAGTCAACTTGTCCTTGAAGGCCAAAATTTGATCTCGCTGCGCCGAGCGTTGCCGGTTAGCTGGAGTGTTCTCATCCCCAACACGCCAGATGAGCCACCCATCAGAATCGGTATGAACCAGCACAGCAGTACGGAACTCATCCAACTGCACGCCATCACCCTTGGTAATTCTGTCCACCAAAGCATGAGCGGATGTCATGGCAGGGTAGTCGAGATTCCAGTCCTCGTCAACAAGCAAGTAACCTGTTTTGCCAATTCGCTCAGGAGTCACGGCAGCTACGATCTTATCGCGCATGGCCTCGTTTTCACGAATCCACTTGTTACGTTCGAGCGTCTTGCTCCAGCTGCGGTTACTGCGACGGACAATGATCTCCCGGTCTCGGAACCCGATTGCACGCCGCCAGCGTAGGGGACCGAGCACGAAATTTATAGGCCAAGCCAAAAACTGTGTCGCGAGGACATAGTCAATGAAAATGGTCCCTGTCCGCCGGAGAACGAGTGGCGCCATCTGCAACCATGACAGGGAAGCTTCATCAACCGTCATCGAGCTTTGGAACATGAAGAAATTCTTTATAAGTGTTGGGTAGGTGCTGATTCCGAAGTATACACGCGCGGCAATCGCCAAGGCCAGCACTACGTTCACTATCGAAGGAACTAGGAAGGTCTGCCATTTGAGATCGGGTGATGTTGTGTCGATATGTATAAGGTATACCTCATCCGAAGATAGAGGCTCAACGAAGGGTTGTAAGACATTTGGAGTCTTGATAAAGGGAGGAATAGGACCGGAGGATGCGGAGTTTGGGGTCGAGGTGCCTGATGAGGCCGGAGTTGAGCCGGGCGTTTTCCGGCGGGAGGATTTCGTCATGGTGTAAGGTGTAGCTTTGAAGGAGCTTAGAAAAAAGGGCAAGAAGTATTCGTTTGAGATATTGCGGGAGGATATGAGCTGGGATGTTCCTTTTGGATAGTGCTGGGGTGCACCCTGGCGTTGATTGTGGTTTTTATTCGAAACACGAGTCTGCAAATGATCAGAGCAAGTGCGCGGGTCACATGTCAAGGCGAGTCACCAATGTTGCTCGCATGATCCAACCAAACAGACCAGGAAGAGTGGTATGTGGATAGGAAAGAAACAAGTAGCTAGACGAATATGAGACGAAGAAGGGATGAGGGCCAAAGGAAATCCCACAACAGTGCTTTGCAAGAAGTTAAATTCCACACTGCATAATCGACATGAAGCTCTGCTGCTAACCTCATCGGGCAATGCGGGATCTCCATATTTACTTTACTCAGGCGCTCCAAGTTATTCGCCTCTCTAATACCTAGAAGAACGGCTCTTTATCCCCTTTAAATCTCCAAGCAAGGGGGAATTTTCTTCTTCGTTCATTTCCGCGCCATGTCAACTTCTCAAGGCGATCGGGTTTCCCTGGCGCGTCACAACTACCCCCAGTCGCCCTTTAACCGCGCGCGCGAAGCCAACTACGAATTCGATCTGGATACCTCCAATTTCCCCACACCTTCCAAACAGAATGGTTCGCGTTCTCACCACAGTTATCGAACGAGCACACTAGCTGGGGCATATCGGGCTGCATCGCGTGCATCCATGGAGGAAGGCATACAATCGGGCTCGTCCCCAAGTCCCCGACAGGCGCGACGACCATTCGGCGCGTTCTCTCCCAATTCCGAGACATCAAACCCACGAGCGGAGACGATGGACGTGTATCGAGGGACCGAAGGATACGATTACCCACCAAACAACGCACCGCTAGAAGAATGGGATGCACCACGGGGCGCTCGTTCTGCAAGTTATTCTTCCTCTCATACAAGGAATCGCGACTACGAGCATGTCGCTCATGATGGACTTGCAATCTCTGAAGTCAGTTTGTTTAGTGAAAATGGGCGATATTCTCCGCGCCGAAGGACTACGGATTATAACAAAGATGAGCAGCGCCTGAGGCGTGTCACTGGGAAAGACTCGCCAGTGTTTAGCAAAGCTAAGACTGGGCGAGCAGCTCTGACTGCAGATAATCTCCAACGACGTGAAGAGGAGGAGGTCGAGAGCCAACATATATCGGATGGTGACAACGAGCATGGTCCGTCATTGAATTTGCCAACTACTTGGGGAAGCCGTGCAACTCGCCGACAAGAATGGCTTCGGAACGTCAGTCAACGCAGCGTCTCGGATGAGTCCAAGGAAAGGGAGGGGGGTCCTCCGAAAGTATCAGCGGATCCGTCTGAACCTAGGACAAGGTCAAACGATACTTTAACTTCTAAACGTCGCTCTTCTCCCCGTTCGCTAGAACGAAATCGCATTCCGACCCGAAGTGCCCTCGAGGAGCGCACTGCCAACCCACACATACAAGATATACCCGAACCGAGGGAGGAGCTAAACGAAAGGAAGTTTAGCCCGGATCACGCCGCGCCCGGTGAAGGCGATCCTATCCCGAATACTCCTATTGTGGTATTCAAAAATTCGAATTTTACAAAACAAAATCAGCCAAAGCGAGACTCTCAAAACTTGTTACGTCTATTGTCGAGAACCGAAAGCCCGAAGCTGGAGCAGACGCAAACCCCCGAGCCACCGAAGCTATTCGAACGACACGTATATGATAAAACGCCTCGAGTGACAGGTGCATGGATTGATACCCCAATAACAGCGAAGGTTGCCCAAATTCCAGATGATTTGACAAAGGACATTGTTGTTCCGTCTGGCGCGCCGAAGGCTGTCGAAGCCCCGAAGCAGCAAAGCAAGTCGCAAACAGAAGTCGGAGCTAAATCTAAAAACTTGAATAAAGAGCCAATTACCATAACAGAAAAATCTCCGGAAGAAGAGAAACCAACGAGGCCGTCAAGGTCCTCTGTTTTTCGGCCAAAGCTTCCAAAGAGTGGCTTGGAAACAGTTATTGAGGATGTCAACTCTGGAAAGGAGACTCTTGGTTTAGGAGACGATACTATCGAATCTCTTCAGGCGATTGTAAATGACCAAATTGTCTTGAAAACGGAAGAGGAGGAAGAGGCAGCCTATGAGAAAGAGGTCCTTGCGAAATTACAACTAGCTCGCTGGAACGGGCAGGGCTCAGTTGATATTGATCAACTAGACGAGAAAATAACATCTCTCGCAAACAAGATCTACGAGATGAAAAATGGTCTCGCCAAGCTTGAAGGAAATATCTCTCAGAGCGGTTCCGTCACGCCGCAGTCCAGCCCCTCTGCAGAAAAGAAACCTCAACACACCATCCGCCAACAAACCAGCGAATCCTGTGAACAGTGTGCATCACATCCTCATGGCCGCGTCTACGCTGCGATTCCATTACCCCAGCTTTGGATTCGAAATCCATCTACCCGGCGTTGCCAGCTCACAAAACTTGGTTGGGTCACTTTCGTGTCATTGACATGGTATGTCATTGAGTGCATGATGGTAGAGCAGTACTGTCACCCCACAATTTCGGAAACCTGCGATGGATATTGTCTCATGCCAGATGCTCCTGAGTTTCCATTTGTGACTGTCACAATGCTGTGGCGTTGGTCTCATTTATCAGTCATTCTAATGCCCATATTCACTGCCGCCATGGCTTTCTTCCGCTTGATTGGATTGTTGCTAGGGCTATGGGATGGCTACGCCGATGAGCCAACGGAAATAGGCAATCTCGTGGGTGAAGTTCGCATCAACGGAACCCCTGTGGCGTTTCCTTGGCTTTCATCCCCGTCAGCTCAGGGTCTCCCACCCCCACAGCCGCCTGTCTGGACCCCACGCGATGAACCGCCACCCAACCAACCGCCGCGCAACGAAGCCCCTGTCAAATGGGATGACGACCAACCTTCAATGGATGATGATGAATTTATTTAAACAGCCTAATTTTGCACTGAGATGGCACCTTATGACCTTATCATGGATTTTGGAGATAGGCGCAATTGGCTTAAAGGGACCCCAAGGACTGGCTGTCGAATATAGCGACATGTACTCAATAATTCTTTTGGTACTCTGCAGATGCAGACTTCAAAGTCAATATTCTTAGCTTATAATAATACCAAATTTTGTAACCAACCAAGCTTAATTGCCATTATTGCACTACCGGCTCCTTATAACTAAACTTGCTGATTACAAGTAAAACTCAAAGACCTGTGAGTGGGGTCTGTCATTGAACAACATCAATAAGGTGTTTGATACGAGAAAAAATCTGTAATTAAATCCACATGGGATGATTCCCCAATAGTATCCGATCCCCATGAATCTCCTAGCCACATTGTCTGGTGGCCGGACTTGCTTGGCAGCCATTTTGTAAGGCTTTCGCCGTTTGGATTGCCAGTTTTGATAAAGTTTGCCCAATATGCTGTCATTTTAGTCTGTATTTCATAGTCATCGCTGGTCCAAGGCATATCGGGGTAGTTGTATGGAATATTGTTGAACACATAGTACATCTCACTTCCATGAAATGCACCCAGAACTTGACCTGGTGGCGCATGGGTCCAGTAATAAGACCAAACGGGCTGCTTGCTTCCACCCGCCGCCATGTTCAATGCGAATTGCCATGTCGAAATGCGGCTGAAATCTTGCCACATCAGGTTGCTCTGATTGTTGGCTTCGTAGTAGGTATCCGCAGGATAGAGTTCGAAGTAGCGAGTAGAGAGATTTCCATACATGGCAGTGTAATTGCCCTTGTAAGTGCTGACTGTGTAGCCTGGGTCTGGCGATGCACCTGTTTCATCCTTGTTGTTGCCTGCTAGAATGGGCACATTTGCATGTTCATTGTTTAGCAGAGCCTCCCAGTAACTGTATGGTAGAACATAACCGTCTACTACGGGTCGCCATAGTGGAGGTTCGGAAAAATTTGTCACATTCTCGAATTGCGTCCCATCGAATATTGTGTCATTCAGTTGGCTCCATGTCGTCATGTTGGCTGTCGGGATCTTTCGTGCCTCCGCAATCGATGATACATTGAGTTTGTTAGACACGAAGTCGACACCAGAAGCCAAAGCATGCTCTTTCTGTCGATAGCTTGTGGCAACAGAGCCGGTGATAGGGTCGTGTGGTGCTCGAGGGCCACTCTCTGCGATAACACCGGCGATCAACCCAGAAGATTGTGGGCTGTAGAACATGTCTAGGGCACACGAGGAACCAGAGGATTGGCCTCCCACTGTGATTTTCTCTGGGTTGCCTCCAAAATTGGCAATCTCTGCTTTGACCCATTCGACGGCAGCAATCATATCCATCACGCCATAATTACCGGATACATTGTGCGGCGACTCAGAGGAGAGTTCGGGGTGGGCTAGGTATCCAAATGGTCCTAGTCTGTAGTTGATAGTCACCATGACAATATCATGCACAGCAAGTCCAGAGCCGTCATATGTAATCACATCGCCGGACCCATCGACGAAACGTCCACCATACATCCAGATGTATACAGGAAGATTGGCTGACGGATCAGTAGTAGAAGTCCAGATATTGAGATAAAGGCAGTCCTCACTCATGACCTCACTTCCAGTTGTCCATAGACCTTTACCATCAATGAGAGGCTGGGGGCATTGAGGTCCTGATACGGTGGCTTTACGGACACCATCCCAAGAGTCTGGCTTTGTGGGAGGGGTCCAACGGGCCTCTCCAGTAGGTGGCGATGCAAAGGGAATTCCCTTGAAAGCATATACATTGTCACGATATTCAGAGACGTTTCCTTGGAGACGACCATAACTTGTGCGAATGATGGGGTTCTTGTCACCCTCGGTGCTGCTTGAGGGGGCACCTTGAGCTCCGATAGCTACCAAGGTGCCAATCAATAATGAAGAAATTGAGCGCATGGCTTGAAACTTCGTAATTGGCGCCTCTCAATATAGTCGTTGGCAACAATGAGCCCGAGATTGACCATTGTTGGCCGCTTCCCTTCCTTTTATAGGTGAGCAGTATGCAAGATGATAATTGTAGGACCAAAGCTATGCCGCTCATTGTTTCTACTTGTGGGAATATCTTTGAAGATCGCATGTGGACTGACACGGCTGGCAATTGTATGAGTGTCTATGTGAAGTGGGTGGCACTAACCATGTATGGTTTCAAGGCCCGAATATTCAAACCTCCTGCCACATTTTAGTATGATCCACGATACATTTGCGATCCAATAAGGAACTATCATCACCTAACTTCCCCGCTAGTATCGGCATGTTTTCAGCTGGGGTATAGTTTCTTCTCCACAAGATCGGCTTCTCCGGGCTTTCCGTCCGTCATATACATCACTCGATTGCGGGGTATCGGCCCCATTAACTCATAGCGAGCTAGCCTGTAGTCAAAGCTTCGGCTACCTAAGTCAAAAAAAAGTGAATGATTGAGATTTTCTCTCGAGGCCGGAAGGCCTTCTTTGGGAAAAAGAGATCCGGGACTCGGATGTTGCGATATCCAGTGCTGTTGTCCGAGACTTGCCTGATGCTCCCCACTTCTAGATGCCCCCGCATTGATTTGGTGACAGTAGATTGCATAAATATGGGTTCTATCTAGAACGCCTTGTTGTGCAGCTAGTTACATACAGCTCAAAATCTCCATTGATTAAAACCAACTGCAGATATGTCTTTCATCCTGTGCTTAGCTCTCTTGGCAGCTCTGGATACCTCGTTGGCATTGGCTGGCTCTTCTGGCGAAACGAGCATCCTCTACCAAAATGACGGGAACTGGACAAGACATGACCAGAATCCCAGTGCAGTTTTCTTTAATGTTGCAACGGACTACGAGGCCGCGAAAGCAACATGTGTTTCCAACAACGAGACCCTCTTGAACTGCCACAAATTTTCCGAGCTTAGTGATCAGTTCTCCTACCAGAGATACCTTGGGAATCTTGGTGAAAACCAGCTACTGTGGTCATCGTGTTCCTCATCAAGCCCAAGTGATCAGAATGGTGGTCTTCCTCAGTCTGGGACTGGTACCAAATACCCTTTCCTATGTACAAACAGTGCTTCACTGGTCCAAGATGTGTATACAGACTTTTCTGCCTACCCACGCATCAACACAACCGTTAATGGAACAACCTTTGAGGGGATCCGAGACCACATGGCATTCAGATTCATTGGTGTCCCATTTGCCAAGCCACCTGTCAAAGACTTACGCTTCAGGTATGCCCAGAATTGGGAGGGGACTCATGTTCAAGCCACAAACTACAGTAATGGTTGTTTACAATATGGGTGGTTTGAAGGTGATACATATGGTCTCAACCCTTGGGGTAATAGTGAAGATTGCCTATACTTAAATGTCTACACTAGCACAATTCCGGAGTTGCCATTGACGGATGAGTCTCAACTCAAACCGGTTATGTTCTGGTTCTATGGAGGGGGTCAAACCACGGGAACTGCCTCTGACTCTACATTTGACGGTGCTAGTATCGTCAGCCGTGGTGATGTGGTTCTCGTAACAGCAAATTATCGATTGAATATCTTCGGCTACATGGGTCTGAACGATTCAATCATTCCTGGCAATTACGCTCTGACAGATAAGATCGTGGCGCTGGAGTGGGTACAGAAGTACATCCGTGGGTTTGGTGGCAATCCCAACAATGTCACTATTTTTGGTCAATCTGCTGGAGGTGGCTCATGTATCGACCTAGTTACCTCGCCAAAGGCTAAGAGTCTATTCTCAGGCGCCATTCAGCAATCTGCTGGTCGCGGTCACGACACAACTCCAAATACTGCTGCAGGATTGGTTCTTTCATATTTAGACCAGTACTGTTACGGCGCCAACGGAACTGGCGAAGCACGTCTCAAGTGTCTCCAAGCCCTTCCAGCAGAGACACTTCTCAACATCACTTACAGTGAAGTCACTACCTGGCAAACAATTGTCGATGGCATTTATGTTCCCGATATGCCTATATCTCAGGTGGCCAAAGGAGCAGCATATGTTAATCCAGTCAAACTGATGAGTACCTTCATGCCAGAAGAGGCACAATCGTTGCTCGAGACTCTGTTGGCACCTAATATGACCAATTTCACTGCCAATTTGTGGACACTGGAAGAAAATGGGCAGATAACTGCTAAGCAAGTAGATGAGATTCTTGCTTCTAACCTATGGCTCATTACCAACGAGACTATTCCCAACAATGGCAGCACCACTTATCCTAATGCATACAATGCAAGTATCAATGTAGCAACCGATGCACAATTGGCATGTTTTAGCGGGCAGTACGCCACCCTTGGAACTTTTGTTGCAGCCTTTGATCCTGTCTGGGCTGCCGTGCACCAGCGAGGCTACGGCCTGAGTTACTATGACTACTATGACCTTTGCACTTTCCCCGTTGGAAAGCCTGAAACTCCTTATTACCGTTGCCACTCCAGCGATTTATATGAAATTTTTGGCACCTACTATCTGTTTAATCTCCCAGTTCGAGTCCCCGAAGATATTTACTATACCAATGCAGTTCAGGACATGTGGACTTCGTTTGCACGAACGGGCAATCCCAATGTCGAGAAAGATTATTTGAAAGCCCGAGGATACAATACGACACTCAGGTTCTTCGAAAACTGGTCGTGGCCTCAGTTTGAAATGTGGGACCAGTCTGCTGCTAGCATCCAGTGGCCAGACTCAGGCTATACAGCGCTCCCGAGTCTGAGGCATTGCAAAGTGATCGTTCCAGAATTAACGCTGTAAGTACGGGACGTGAGATGATGGAGTGGTACATTTAGCTATATGAGAGTTTATGATCTTACAATTTGGGATAATTAATTCTATACAAAGATAGGTATTTGCAGAGAGACAAATAATAAGATCCACTCGCTCCGTATTAACGAGAAACCTTAGTCTACACATTTGAACTAGACATATCACCCACCGAGACTAGGCCACCCCCCATAGGGAATATGGAGTATGCATTTAAAAATTTTAAGCATTAAATAAATGTAGCATGCGGTGACAAAAAGGGGGCTTAGGCGATTTGGACACATCGAAGTTATTGGCTACGATCGGTCTTGGCCCTGGGGCCAGGTAGTGCATAAATCACCATACCATCCCGTAAAAATAGGGCCCAGGTGCACGGGGCGACACTCTAAGGCGGCCCCCGGTGTCAGTGGCTGGAACCTTAACTTGCTCCACGTTAAATCGGCCTATTCAGCCCCCACATGGCCTTGTTTATTACAAACTTGCCGGCAAATCTACCCCTGTTGAAGTTTTTCTGAACGATGATGAAGACAGGAAGGAGATCATACGTCTTTGATCAAATAGAAGAACAAAATGTACCACATTTCCACGAAGACCACCGCTGAAGATCTGAAGTTCGATGTCGCGGCGCCGACTGGCTGGGCTTTCGCTGCGGGAGACACGATTATTGGAAATTTAGTCCGCAGTACCGAGATCGTTGTCCCAGAAGCAACCGTTAAAATCGACTTCATGGGTCGTATATGGAGTCAAATAACAGAAGGCCATACTGACAATAAAAAAACCTATGAAGATAACAGAGACTTGGTCGACTCTCAAGAGACCGTGCTTTACAATGGACCACTCCACTTGCCTGCTGGCAGCGATGAGAGAATAAACTGGGAATTCTCCGTCAAGATTCCTAGTCAGCTCAAAAAGAATCTTGAGCTTGATTATACCACCATGGGTAGTCTTTTTTCGACAACTAGTTCTGATCACCCTGATCCTAGTATTCTTCCCCCGGCATTCGAGTCGTCCGGGTCGCCTGGATATAAATCGTCACACACCTCGATCAAGTATTGTTTGAAGGCTTCGTTGTGCTATAGATCTGGCAAATCTTCAAAAATCCATGAGGTAACATGGCCTGTCAAAATCCGGTACTCTTCCCCACATACCGCAGCTCAGAGTCGGATTCAGCAGGCTCAAGCATCTGAAACGAAAGTCCAAAGTCAGCGACTATTACTTGGGATGCAAAATGCACAACTTTCGCTGCATGATAAAACACGGAAACTCTTTCGCTCTTCTAAAGTTCCTGAATTTCATTTCAAAATGAGCGCCTCCTGGCCGATGGCGATTCGATTCGATCATCCAGAGCCCATCCCAATCACTGTAAAATTCGAGGTTTTGCCAGAGAAAACTAGTACCGACATCAAGGATGCTCCGCAGGAAATTCGGATCGATTCTATCAAAATATTACTTTGCTCAAGAACTATGATTCGAATCAAGAGCAGGCTCTCAAGCACTAGCTCCCATTCCAATTGTCATGTTAAGAGCTCGGATCTTGGTTTGAATAAAGTGCTTTCGCTACTTGAAAATCCCATGACGGTATCTACTGGGGAGGAGAATGAGCCTTTGCATTTAGGTAATGCGTTTCATCTCATTTTGCACGAATATGGCATGACTGCGGGAAATAAGCGACTATATCCAATGCGTCCATTATATCCTGATTTTTTAACTCATGGAATTTGCCATACAAATAGCTTGGAGCTACAGGTTACTGTGAATATTGCCGGGGAAAGTGTTACTGCGACGGCTAGCTCACCGGTCAAGATATTATCTGCAGCATAGAATGTCGAAAGTTCTTTGCATCATTATGTTCATAAATTTCAATTTCATTCATATTCAGATATAATCCGTAAAGCTAATACTAACAAGATGTGTACCTTGAGTTTCTTCGAATTCGAAATAGTGCTTGTATGTTGATGGCCAAATCTTGTACAAGGTCCCCCAAGAATTCTCCTCGGGTGTACAGCAAGCAAATTAAAAACAAAGAATAAAATAAAATCATGTTCATGTTCATGATCATAAACGTGATCGTTCCCGCCATTCTCTTTGCATCTTATTCTCAGTCTCCAATCTCCAACCTGTGTGTTTGCGAAGTCTTTCCTCAACCTCATCATCGCCAACGTCACAAGCCTTCTCTAGAGGGATATCGCGCTCGCTCCGCAGCTTGAATGCATGGTGTCTCAGATGCCCACTTCGTGTAACCCGAGACATATCAACATCGCGAAAGAATCCACAAAGCCCATCCCAAAACTTCTTACCGGTCGGCGTCGAAATCATGATTATTCCATGACAGTGTGGCATACCCTCGAACATCTGCGCAGCAACAGGTACCCCTGCCTGATGCATACGCCGCGCCAGAATCAAGCCTTCATCAGTGAGACACTCTTCGCCAACAGAAATGAAGACAGGCGGGGAGTCTTTCCATAATTCGGGATTAGCAGCAATTGGCGAGACGAGGGGATGTGACATTGCGTTTGCGTTGCAGAATAGGTCGACGCGGGGTGGTGAAACTGGCCATGCTGCATCTGATGGGAAGGGGTGGGATTGAAAGGGGATTGAAAAGTCCGGCTCATCAACTCGTCCTGGGCGGATGTCCATATAGTCAAATTGCCTGTTCTTTACAATTGATGGCATCGACAGCGTGACATCGCACCATGGAGAGATTCCTCCCACTCCGCCGGGCAATTCAATGTCTACATCCTTGCCGTGGAAACGGACGGATCGGGAGACACGTCGGAGTGTGAGAAGAGTTTGCAATAGTACAAATGATAAATTGCCTCCGGCTGAGTCGCCGGCTATGACGATCTTGTTAGCTGGTACAGGCTTGTGCAAGGAACCTTCAGGTGGGTGTATCAGTGAAAGATACGCTGTTAAAGCGTCGACGAGTGCTGCTGGGAATGGATTCTGCGGAGCCAGGCGATATCGTACTGAGAAGACAGGGGCGCCTGTTTGCCGCGAAACATGCGCAACGGGTACCCGGTGGGTGCATGGGTCCATTAGGCTGTGGGTATAGGTGTTAGTTTCAGACTTAATTTTGACTTTGCGTTATAGAATTGTGCTTACAAGTACGCGCCGCCATGGAAATATAAGATTGTGATATCTGAGGTGATCTCCTTGCGCAACCTGTGATATTTCTCTTCCTCCGAGATATCAGGTTGGGGGGCTTTCTTATCGACCCCACTACGATATCCGGTCCATTCGGCTTCAACAGCAGCAACAGCAGGCGTATGAAAAGTCTCTTGACCATTTCCGAGTTCTTCAATCGCACGGAGAACCGCATCGCGCACATCGAACTCTGGTTGCGGCAGAGTGACCTTGGAGATCCACATTGGGCCTCGAATACCAGGGTCACGCATACTGCCTTTTTGCGTCTTGAGAATTGTGTCCTCGCCCGTAACGAATGAGCGAATGAGCACCGTGAGAAGCTCAGTACGCAGATCCTGTTTCCCTGACATAGGGGACATGTGAATGCCGTGTAGGACCAGCGTCTTCAATAACAGAGGTATGCGAATCAGGAGCATCTTAAGCCGCGTGACGGCTTGTTTTAATCCGCCCATGCTGGATGATAGACGGACAAGGCTCTGACCGTTCTCCTCTGCGAGTGCGATGTGGGATGGTTGAGATTGATATAGATTCAAACCGGTTTGGTACAGAATGCCTGGACCCTTGTGCCGAGGTCCGTTCTTGTTTAGGCGAATCAAGCTACGTCAAGCGGGTCCACCCCAGAACCGGTATCCACTGCGATGAACAAGATGGATTATTAAACTTGCATAATTTGAGACTTCGAAAGAATCTGCACTATATTGAACAGTTTCACAGAAGATCATAACAGCCAAAGCTCGTTTTCAATTGATGTTTGAAATGCAGGGTCTATGAGACACCGACCGCCCTTATCTACATGCAGATACAGATATACAGCATTTATACCAGTTCGTTTTCGTTTTCTCCTTACTTTTTTTTATTAATAAACATCTCTATTGTTTTCCTGAATGTCCGTGTTTAATTGATTATATATAAATACTATATATCTTACACTTCAGCCTCATACCTGTTGCCTACCTCAAGTGCTAGTATATAGTAGTAGTAGTAGTAGTAGGTCTAGATGTCTTGCCCCCGGCCCCAAACAAACCCGGCTCAAACTTGAACAGCTGGACCCAACTCAATACACGAAGCCTCCGAGTCAGACCTTTTCCCCTCCGGCCCTGGAAGCTATTGGATTTAGCGAAAAGAATTGCCTCGTTTGGACCTTTAATTTTCGGGTCCCATTCATACCTCGGAAGTTCAAAGCAGGAAGCCAGCACTTCACGTCTTCCAAGCTTCACACACGTTAAAACTGCACAAAGCTAATCATATTCATAATGGACTGGACGGCACTGCCTCCAGAAATATTCGATACGGTTCTCACATATCTGGACATCGACACGATCAAGGCACTTCGTCTAGCAGACCGAAAGTTCGCAAACAAATGCCTTGGGCCCCGCTTTCGAGAGTCTATTCAACCCAACATCGAGTTTTCGCCCCACGGTCTTCGTGCACTTTATAATCTGACATGCAACTCTACCATCAGTAGCATGGTCCACTCTCTGACGTTTGTGGCCATATCCCTGGATTTTTATCGATTAAAAAAGTGCATAAAATATGGGTATCGCACTGTAACGGGAGGAGATACGTCCTTTCGTATAACGACAGAGAAAAAATAATCCCCCCAAGAGATGTCAAATTTCAAATCTGATCTGGACTGGTTACAAGAAAAGCAGAAAGAAAGAGCCAAGGAAGTACCTAGCGAAAAGATCGAAGTCCTCAAACTTACGTTGAGGCGGCTCCCCAAGTTGGAGTCTATTCGCTTAGATGGTGCGTCTGTTGTGGGGCGTACCTTGAAACGATCAACCCAGGGCGCGGACTGGTATCAGCTATGGATGCGCGCCTCGCACATTTTCTCATTGGTTGTGACAGCTATGGCGCAGAGTGGGACGTCGGTGAAAAGGCTCGATGTATATCGCGAGATTCCTAGATGCTGCATTCCATCTGGTCACATCACCAGTTACGCCTCATCTCTCGGCACAAAGCAGCTGGAAATGATGTGTGAGCGCTTGGAGTCGCTCAATTTGAGTATGTCCACGGAAATACGGAGTTCTCTTAACACTGAAGAGCCAGATCAAAATACGGTACACGAACACGAAGGTGACAATGACGATGAAAAAACACTCTACTCCGAAGATGAAAGCGAGCTGAGCAAGCCCGAAGATGGATATTTATCACCTGGTGATCCTCGTGCAATACTGTCTCGTGAGACACCTGGAATCACGCGGTTTTTGATGACTGCGCCTGCCCTTCGGGAGCTAGACTTGTCTTTCCGCAATGCCCTTGGATACGAGATGTCGGATAGTTACGACCGGATCATTGGAAGTATCGCCCATGAAACTAATTTTCCGATGTTGGAGTGATGTGCGTTCTCTGGATTTCGGGCAAATGGGGAGTCGATTCTACTGTTCCTTCAGAAGCACTCTGACCTCCGCGCTTTCAAGCTGCATCAGTGCAGTCTGACAACTGGGTCATATACACCCATCTTTTCTCACTTAGAGGAATCGATGCCAAGATTAGAAAGCCTCAATTTTTTTAATCTATATGGAAAATATATGGCGGTTCCGCGGCGCCCCCCAAATGTTTCTCATTCGCCTTCAATTGGTGAATATCAATACGAGGAAGAGCGCGAGCGAGAGATTAGTGGACTCGTGCATTTGGAACCAATTTGGGAGCATGATGGTGGAATGCCTTCGATATGGACGAATACTAAGATATTCAATCACGAAGAATCGAAGAAAGGGCTTAGGTTCCGGGCAAGGCCTTACGGGAGACAACAAGACTCTGGCGCACTTCGCCGGAGGTATCAAACTTCGCAAGGGCTGTATGGATCTCCATAGTGCTATAAAAATTGCTTAGAAATCAGCCTCGTGCTTTTAAGGGTCTCAAGTATCATCTTTATGATATTCAGAAACCTTAGATGTAAATTAATCTCCTCTGAAAACAGCTTGGATATCTCCTTCAATCCACCTCGCCCCAACCTTAACCAACACGATTTTCCAAATACCCCCACTCAACTCAAACTCCATATTATTAAGACCATATCCATTTGCATTAAGAGTCGCGCCTTCTCCCTTGTTCGAAGGCCTCCAATGAGCAGCTCGAATCTGGAAATGCACCCTCCATCTCGATTCCGACAGTTCTGTCCACTTGCACGCGCCGATAAAATGTTGGGTCGTGATATCCAAATTTCCTAGTCGCTCAGGGCTGGAAACCCATTCAACAAATGAATCCGGTGCTGCCGATAAATCTTTAATACCACCAACATCTCCATAATCAATGGAGACCTCTGGAGCAAAAAGGCTGTGAAGTAGAGACCAAGACTTTGTGTCGATGCTTTCAGCCCAATCGTAGAGAGTATTTTGGCACTGGAGTAGAGCTGTAGCCATTGGGACTGCTTTCATCAAGTGTTTGAAGAAAGTGAATAGTAAATTGAGAAGCCCTGAAGCTCTTGGGAGTATAGTATGAGCTGGGTTAAACCGTGTAGGAAATGGTTATGAGTCTGGTATTAGATTGAATTGGATTAAGAGTCTCCGGGGCTGTAGATGTATGGAAACATTTGAGAATCTATAAATAGACCGGTTAGGCCACCTACTATACTCAACCGAGAAAATGAGGGCACAAGCTTTAGTGTAGACTCCATCGTGTGTTTGGCTTGATCATGGTTGGTGAAGCTCAAGCTGTTGTGGAGTATGTACGCAGATTAAGGTTTGTTGGTTGTCGCAACGATTTCCCTCTTTCGATTAAAGTAGATGCCAATAGGTTTGGGGTATGGAGACTTAAAATGCAATAATGCAAATACCGATATTGAGCCTCGTGCCTGAGAAGCTTGATTGTGTATTTGTATTCAAATGTAGGATCGCAATACCTAGTCAGCCATTCATGAGTGGTGGGTCGATCATTTCCAATTTTGGATAGACCATGGCTGAAGGAATGTGAATTGTCAACAGACGCAGAGTGCTCTCTGTCCTGCGTGCTTACTTCTCCCCCCCTTCTTTGAGCCTGCGAGAGCCATCAACCCCACATCTTCAAATCTAAGTGTTGAAGCGACGTCTGGCCCGGCTGGTATAAGCTGTCAGCTCATTGAGAGCATTTCCTACACAATACCTATCACCGGATTTCCAAAACACCTACTCGTATTGAATCATAATTTTTCTACTCCCATTTTTCAGGAATGCAGGGAGGGCCTTGTTGCAAACACTAGCTGCTACTGTCAACCAGTGAACGTACAAGAAATTCCAAGCCTAACTACAAACTATCGTAAGGTGACGGCTACTCCCCACATCTACCTGATTTCACCTGGTTTACACCATTAGATCCAGATGTGCCAGATCAAGTATTTGAGATACACTTGCGGCTGCAAGCAGGATTTGGAGTTTCAGCAGTGTGCCGAGCGTTTTGGTACCAATGTCAAGTGCCATCCGCTCAAGAAGGTATTTGATAGAAATTCGACCAATCACTGTCCGAAGCATCTGGTCAAGCGGGATGCCCCAATGATTTATACCGAGCGACGGGAGCGAATTGTGGAAAACAATGTATAGGTAGCCATCCATGATGGGTTTGTGCAGCTATCGAGTTATCCACCAAAGATTTTTACGTACGAGGTGGCGTGTGACCGATTATATCATGATGTAGTAGTTGCCAGGCACTGTCATCCCCCCAGCTTTAATCTGACATTAGCAGAGTTCCTTGACAGCTACTCCGTATACTGGGCAGAAATCAATCTGCAAAGATAGATTCCAAATCGGACATTCGAGTCCTTGTCTATAGACAAACAAAATTGCCTTGTTTGGAGTCCTTGACGAGTTATGATGCGATATATCGATTGGATACTGTATATAATAGTGCATGAAAAGGTACGGAAACGTACATTTGGCTATTGAGCTTCAGATTTGCCCCGTCGACTTTCTTGCTCTTCTAGAGATGAAAACGACATTCTAGAAATCGAGATATTCCAGAACCGCCCTATCGGGTTCATCGTTAGTCTGTACCTCTGGGAACGACCGGAACCTTCTATCATGCCTCTACAATGTGGTGTGTATATCTTATGGAAGCGATGCTCTAAAGGGGCCCTTTACTTATTTTTCCGGCTGTCAATAGGTTCATGTACACCTTGGCTTCAGCCCGACCTCCCTATCATGGATTAAGATTGGTTTGTGAAATGGCATATTCTTCATGAATTTCCCCGGTTTGTGAGAGAGACGATCCGCTTTACAGACAATTTTCTTTTCGCGAAGGCTATGGATACAATCGAAGGAACGCTGGTCCCTCGTTTTACTTCAGGTCAAACTTTGACGGCTCGAGAGTTTGTGTATGAGGCTGGAGCGTGCAGAGCCCACGTTGTTATTCTTCGACGAGAAGAAAAGGCAATAGACGATTCTTCTTCCCAGGCTGAGATACTCGAAGAAAGAATTGATCAAATTGAGGAGTCTGCGAGGAAATTGAAACGCGCCTATAAATCAGAAATACAGGACAGGACAGCCAGGTTAAGAGAAGAGCCTTTGTGGGCCGACAACTTTGCATATTGCACCGAAGATTCTAGGCGCAAAATTAAGTATTCAGAGAGGCGCAGAAATTGTCATTTATCCAGTCGATAGCTTCAGTAGCCGGCAATCAACCAAGCTCGTCAACGACAACTCCAACTCCCCTTTATGCGAGGGCAGCCCGGAAGCGACTTCAATCCCAAAGAGGCTCACCTCGCCGGAGCCAGCGAAGTTGGCGGGGACGAAGGGCTTAAATCCTCCTCTGCCTAGGATTGGGGTGCCTGTGGACCTTTGATTGCCTAGATAGTTTCAATTCGCTTTTCTATCGACACCCACGCCGACAGTCTATGAACTGCCAGTGTATCTAGTCTCTGTAGCATGCATCATTTACTTCGTATCATCTGCCTGTTAATATTTTCTACCATCTTATTCAAGTTAGCCATTCTATCAGTTTCGTAATTCTAACAACTTGAACCATTTGGAAACTTATTGCTATATCTTCGAATATACAAATGGACAGTCACCGAGTGGCAATCGCCATCACATGAGTGTCGCTGAAGATCCCAGCCCCGAAAGGAGGATGTCATAATGAATGGTTGTGCAATGAGTCGTTTCCAGCCGCTCACTAATTATAGTCGTATACTTAATGCCCAGAATCCGTGTTAAACACCCTAAAACGCCAAACGCAGTGCAATAATCACAGCTATCATGTATCAAGAAGATCAACAGACGGCTTCGTCTCATTCGCAGGTATAGACCCAGCTTCATTCTCAGGTTCACTGGGCCGATCAGATAGATCCTGCGCTCCCTGCTTAGGATGCAACTCTTTCTGATAGACAGGTTGTTCATCGTCCTTAAGCCCCGATCCAGTCGGATCCCTACGAATCAAGAAACTCTGCACTCTTGCATCATTCGATGGCATCTGACTGACAGTACTCTGTCTTCTCCCCGTCAAAAACCGCATCGAGTCCTCACTAACCTCGCGAAGCCTCTCCTCATACCCGGTATTCAACTGACCAATCCACGAAGCCTGCATCGCACCCCCAAATAACGTAAGAAGAATAACAAGCCTTGTAAACGTCCGGTGATCCACAATATGTTGCTGTTTCCCATTATGCCGGTTATTCCAGCGTTCCCAGTCCTCCCACGTTCCGTTCGCGTATATATTCATGTCAGGCCCGTATGGCCCAGCCATAGGATCTGGACGAACAGAATGGCTCCATCCGGTTCCGAATTTGTCATATGCTGCGCGTTTAATGGGGTCGGAGAGGATCTCGTGTGCGGCGACTACGATCTTATAGCGCTGAAGACGGATTTCGGGCGTGATGTCATTGCTGCGGAGGTCTGGGTGGTAGAGCTTTACGAGGTCATAGTAGCGGGTTTTGGAGTAGGTTGCATTGCGCGGAATGTTGAAGACTTCGTATGGAGTGAATAAGGGTGTTTTGGGCCATGAGTGTTCGTGGCTGGGGGTATCTGGTATGCTGGCATAGTTTCTTGTGGGTGGGATGAAGCTGAGGCGGGATAGTGGCGAGATGGTGTTTTGCGGACTTAGGAGCTGGATACCGCCGCAGCAGAGGGTGTGTGGCTTCTTGAACATGGCCACATGGCTTTCTGGGAGATTGCAGTGGCTCCTGTTTCTTTTAGATGTAAATTGGATGTTGGTGAGAAGAGAGGTGAAGCTTGCTCGATCTCCCCTCACGGCTGCTGCCGTTGTTCCCGGTCTCGGCGTTAAGGTTATTGGCTCACGCGACTCCGACTCTCCAGCTTCCGAGATCAGCTGTTAGATCAAGTGTCCATATGCACATATGAAAATTTACCTTTCTTGTGACTAGAATTTGGTTTTATAGGAGAGCATTTTAGGATATAATATGGAGAAAAATTCACTGTGAAAGTGATTGAGTATGTACTGGTGGGTATCTCGTGAAATTCGGTCAAGGGCAAGTATAAGGATAAATCGCCGGATGTCACTGGGCAATAGAAATCAAAAAAGAAATGAACAGTAAAGCAAAGCAAGGCAATGTAAAATCAAAAAAATATGACCCTTGCTACGCCGTAAATACAAAATATCCAAGTCTTTCTATTGTGGGGTGTCTTCACGACGATACTCAAGAGACCACAATTTCTCCCATGGTCGGCCTCGTCGAGCAGATGTTGACCTTTTTGGAAATGATGTTGCGGAAGTATCAGGATCAACTCCGTGGATGTGGTTACGGGGCGAAGAAGGGTATTTCGAAGCCTGTGTTGAAGAAGTTAGCTTAAAGTGAATATAAACCCGAGAAAAGATAATGATTGTCGTTTCGTACTTTTCACGGGCCGAGGAGTAGGTCACGGCGAACCTCTTCAAATATCGGTGCAGATTCACGAGGATGGGAGCCGGCGGCATCGGCATTAGCATCAGCATCGGCAGGTCGAACTAAATCGATGGCCGAGTCGTTGGCTCTTTGGGATGGCGTAGGAGTTCCCCGCTTGGAATTGTTGCTGTTGCGCCGACTGTCTAAACTCTTGGACAAAGCCTGAGCGACTGTGTTTTCTTCGGTCGGTCGCTTGAGACGGATGCTCCCCTTGGCATCCACCTGGGTAGACGCGACGGTACTTTTGGAAATTCCAGGAGTAGCTGGTGCCCCAGGCTTTTCCTCGATGGCTTCGAGAAGATACCATCGGAGGCCATCGGACAACTCAAATGGATTCTCATCATCAATGGAGGCAGCTTCGCTGGCATCTCCAAGCGAGCGTCTATCGGGAGTGCCGCCATTTAATGACTTCGAGAGATCCACAACTCGTTCCTCGATCTTGGTAATACGAGCGAGCAGCCAATCGCGGGCGTGAAGCTTATGAGAATCTTGTTCACGCAAGAAATAATGCGGTGCACCAACATTGAATGCAGCCCATGACCGAATGGCTTGATTTCGAGTGGGGAGAAATAAAGCTAGGTCACCCTCCTTGAAAGAGCGGTATGCAATCTTGTCATGAGCGTCACTCTGGGCTCGATGGTACTTCTCGCGATATCCACGAGCTTCCTTTTGCCATTTACGCGCAAGTTGCTCAATGTCTTTCACTCGTTTCACGACCACATCACCAAAAATGGAGACGTCGAATCGAGTGAGGCTTTCCATGAACGATGAGAATTTGGTCTCTTCTTCTTCGGGGCTCTCAGCATTCATCCAACCAAGTAGTGCACTGTCAGGCTTAGCGGACACAATACCAGATTGAGCCAAGCTTTCGCCAAGTCCCGATGAAGAGGCAGTGAGCTTCGAAGCGCGTTGGATAATGAGATGACCATCTTGTTGAATGATAGCAAATCCCAGTTGCTCGAGCATCCGTTCCAATTTATCGACCTGCGAAAAAAGCTGCTTAGATATATCGTGGCCATGTTTCCCGCGACTTTCGTAGCGTGCTAGTGCTTGTCGTTCTGCCTCTGAAGCAATATCGAGCTTCTTCGCCCAATCCGCTTCCTTGGTCTGTAGTTCCTGGGCCTTGGAGTCTGCATCGGCTAGTCTCTGGGATAAATCTGCTTGTTTCCGCTCTTCTTCTGCAATCCTTTCTCGCAGCTCATCAGATCCTGTTTCTCCTGCAGATACTTGGGATTGCAAAGTGTGATGTTTAGACTGCTCCTGTTCCAACTCGATTTTTGTGTCGTTGGCTTCAGATCGTGCTTTTTCCAACTCATGCTTTGTGGTCTCCAATTCCTGCCGAACCTTGTCAAGTTTCTCGGACAACTGGGTCAAATCAGTGTCCCGTTTATGGACGGCCGTAGCTTGCTCCTCCAGTTCATATTCGATCTTTTGGATATTTTCTTCCAGAGACTTATTTTCAGCCATGGTTTTCGATGCATTGGTTTCAGCAGTTCGAGCATGGATAGAAAGGCCTTCAGAAAGGACCTCGATAGCGTGAATGATACTAGGGATTTCGAGTGGCACAGCTCCTCCGGGAGACAGACTCATGAAAGCCGACTGTAGAGCACTGTAGTTCTCTTGATCTTTGTGAGTCCACTCTGTTCGTTGGCGCTCAAGATCATTGACATTCGCCTGAAGCTCTTGTTCTTTTTCTTGCTGGCATCTAATGCGCTCATCCAAATCGTCGGCCCTCTGAGTCTCCTTCGCCGAAGCTGTGTGGGCGTCTTGCAGTTCGATCTCGAGCTGATAGATTCGATCATCGATCTCTTGCTTCTCATGGTCCCGTCCATCTATCACTTTATCCAGCTCTTCTTCCACTTCATCCGCGCGAAGTCGATATTTCTTGAGTTCTGATTCGAGAAATTTTCGTTCGTCCTCAAACTCGCGCTGTCGTGCCTCAAGATTTCCAATGAGATCTCTTTTGGTTGACTGGGCTTCTTGATACTTGTCAGAATTGGATTGTCGCTCGACATGGGCCTCTTTGTGAAGTCTCTGAACAGTCTCTCTTTCAGCTGTCAGTTCAGCTTCGAGAGAAACTATACGTTGGACCAAGACTCTATCCTCGGGGGACTGGGTCATAGAAACCCGCCTGGATGAAACTGAAGATCTCCTAGAGAGGGTGTCTGGATGTGGAGAAGCTGGTGAACTAGGAAAGTCCGGGCCGAAGTTACCACTAGATGGTCGACTAAGCTGGCTTTGGCGATGGAGGAGATCCTCTAATTTTCGTATACGACTCTCAGAGCCCTTAACCCGCTCTTCGAGTTTAGTCTTCTCATCCTGTAGACTTCGAACCATATCATCACCGCGTAGAAGAATAGAGCTCCGACTCAGGTCGAAGACACTGCCATTCTTGAATGCCTTCGCTCGTCGTCTTTGCTGGCGTGAGGGTGAATCTAAGTCTTTGAGCTGCTGGGATAATTCTTCTGCAATATTTGTTAAAGAATGTTTAGATCTTATATCATCAATATAAAGCTCAATCTCCTTTCGGTTCACCTCAGGCCATTCTTCATCTTGCCCTTGCAGGTTGACTTCGATACCTAGGGTATTCGAGTCCCCGAAAGAAATTTGATCGCCCATGTTTTTGAGCCACTTTTTTCGGCGTCTTTGTTCTTCATCTCTGAGGACGGCCATTTCTTCCGCTAAACTCAATGAATCCGCCTTTACCTTATCTGACCATTCTCGGCGTCGAACGGATTCGATAAGGATGGACCCGTATACCATTGGCATCTGGAATACAGTATAGATAATGTCGAAGGAGTTGGTATTCACATCGAGATTTATCAGTTGGCCATTAGCGTCGGCCAACCGTGATTGGAGAGATGAAATGGCCCGCATTTGATCAATGGCCGTCTTCTCTGCATTATAACGACGCTCGATTGAATGTGCAAGTGCTTGCTGCAGGTCTGCACTTGCAGCCAAGAGAGAGGGGAGAAGGTTTTGGGTGTGGTTGAGCGCCAGCCGAGAAACATTTGCAAGCATCTTCTGGTTATTTGGTAGACTGATAACATGCTCATGGTCCGAGCCAATCTTCTTCGCAATCGTTTCCACTTCAGCTAGCAAGCCCTCGTCCACATCGGCGGGAGAAGACAACAACTCCTTTATTAAATTTTGAGTATCCAAGGAGATCTCACCAACTGCGTCCTGGAGATCTTGAACTTGACTGGCGAACCGCGGTTGGGCAACCGCCGCATCTGCGCCAGCCTGTTCGACTTCGTGTGCATCTACGAAGTCATTAAGAGATCCCATCAACCGGTTGTTGTCTTTCTTTGGGGTTGATGGTCGGCCAAGAAGTGGGAAATCTTTTCGTGCTGGGATGCTCTCTAATCTTGCCAGAGCGCGTTGCCAGTCATCTAGAGCAGCCTGCTGCTCTTCCAGTATATTATTGGCCCACGTCTGAGCTTCTTTGAACTTGTGTTCTAGATTTCCAACATGTGATTTGAGATTCTCGAGTGCGACACCAACTGCGCGATTGATGACATCGGTTCGTTCATTGTGTTCCTGTATCGTCTTGTCGGTAGCGCCACATCGGCTGGATAACTCCAGGGCCCATGATTTCCTCGCCATGAATAAGTTCCGCCATGCTTGCAGGTCGTTCTGGTCGGTAAGTGATGCGGGAGGACTGCCAGGCTTAAAGGGTTCAGGTGTAGGTAGTTCCGGAAGCTCGATATCGCCCGGCTCGCTCACGTATTGTCGGTCATATACAAATATTTCAGTCTATTTCAAATCCCAGCGACCGTATTAGTGTGTGAACAACTTCATGCTGGGGGTTGAGTTCCAGAGTTGCCTACCTCGGTAGCAAGTGTCTGTGTCTTCACGTTCTTCCCTCGGGCGGTCATCAAGATCTGCCTAGAAGGAGGAATCGAGGTATTTCGAACGATCCATGATTTCAAAGAATCGGGTCTGCATTCAGAGTGGAGTTAGCTTGCTGATGCATGAAGCTAGGGAGATCGGAATGGGGGCTTTCCCCTCTACCAAAACCTGGGGAAATGGGCCGAAACATACGAAGCAAAAGCTACTGGATCAGCCAGTAGATGCTCACCAGAGTGAGAAATGTAAATGTGCAACGACATGTCCCCCTCCTCTCCACCGAGATTCAAAGCTCTCAGGTGTTTTCAAGGAAGAGGGGAGTGTGCTAGTTAAGTTTAGCAGGGGCTGAAGCTCTTCCATACGAGTTCCCCACCGCCTCCGGTCCTTATCACAAGATTACATCCTTTGCCGCACGCGATCTTGCTCATGGCTCCGAAACATAATCAGTGGCCACACTTGCGCTCGGAGGAGCTGACCCTCCTCGAGTACTCTACGGATGACCCACGCGATGTGGTGACGCTATCTGACAAGGAAACCCTGATCCTGCAGCTCGCCGAGCAGATTCAGGAACAGCGATTAGAAAAGGCGTTACTTGAACAAGGTACGTGTTTATGGCTCTTTTGTTCTTTCTCTTTATTTGGCTCTTTGTTCTTTTATTTTCCCTTTCGTCGCTTGCTTCCTTTGGTCCTAACTTGTCTACAGAACCAGAATCCCTCTCAGGCGACAATGTAGAGGAGGAGCTTGCGATCGCGGAACGCGAGTTTCTAGAATCGAGAGCCACATACACGGTCAGGAGGAAAGCACTACGAATGGTCCTCGTGACTGACCCGATCCTGAAAGCCGTTCATCTGAAAGCGACTACCCCCCCTGAAAAGTATGTTCATATCCCTGGCTATATACATGCGCCGCGTCTCATGGAAATCGCACAGGGCACTGCTCCGCCTCGTCAACCGCCGCGACGAGCTCGCGCTCGCGCACGAGAATCTAGCATCCGTCCAAAATGCCGTCCTCAAACAGCTTTCCAACTCCGGAGTGAAGAATCTACAGATAAATAGTGAAAACCAGGAGCTAGTCAGCCAGCTCCTGGAGCTTACGAAAAACGATTCAACCTGGCGCGAAAGACTTCAAGACGCCAAACTCGCATCACAGCTTGACGAGCTTGAAAAGGAACATAGAACCAGCAAGGCCAAATGGGAGACAATGAAGAATATTGCAAGCGCAATGGTGGTTGGTAGCGGACTTGATTGGGCCGATGACGATCATCTACGAGCTCTTGTTCTAGATGAGAGCGATGATTAGTGATGTCTTTGTAGGCACGGCGTACTTTGTTCTTATTTTCTTTGTCACGGGCGCGTTGTTCGGCGTTGATCCTTTATGCCTTGCGATTTATTATGATTTTACAACGGTTATACCCTGTGGGCTGGATGGGGCAATCAACATTAGAATTTCGTATCAAAGGGCAATCGGCCTTTGAGCATAATTTTTTTATAATTTTCTGTTACTTTTTTCATAATTTTCAGTCTCAATTTTTCTAACTTTATGGGTTCTGTGGCTTGGCAAGCGAGAGGAGTGCACCCCGTACCAAACAGCATCACATCAGGAGTGTGGCCGTGTAAGACCTGTTGACCCACGCCTACATCACAGTCCACCCGTCATAACGAAGTGGGTAGATAAGGGTGTTATGGGCCCGCGTTGTTAGGGGGAATTCCAGTCATGCGCACGTACAGCAGAAAGAAAAGAAAAATTATCGACTAGGTAACGTCAGTCTTAGGTGGATTTGGGATTCGTACAGCCTCGACCTAGAAATGATACATCTCCTCATCAGATGCGACTAAAGAAAGATAGATTTGCAAGTATCATGGCTAGTCATACTTTTAGTGGTGGAAGCTACCCTAGGTAGCCGGGCTGCAGAATCCAGCATTACACAGAAGCATAATTACGCGAGTCCAACCACTCTATGACGCTCTCCTCTCGGAAGAAGTGGAAGGGTAATATTACAAGTGGAGTGGTACTTGATTCCTGCGGGACTTGGACATGGAGACCAATGTACCCAATGTACCGGAATGTGACCTTGATACTGCCCCCAGCTGTACTATTCTCTGCTCTGTCTGTAAAGACGTGTTGCCTGCCTATAATATTTTATTAGTATATAGTAGTCTTTTTTTTTTAACTTTCTCCTCGCTTTCCGAGTCCCTCGCAGGGTATTATGCACAATCGGCGAAGAGAATAGTACATCTCTGGATACTCTGCATATAGTACCGAGGGAATTTTCAAAACGCGTCGCAAGGGAACACGCCCCAATACACCATGGTTTCCGGCTTGTGATCGTGTGATTTCCAACTCTGCAAGGGAAGAAAAAAAAACTAATGATAACAAGGGAAAATCCAGTCTCCCAGGATCCGCTTTTCGATTTGTGTCCCGATCAACCAAACAGACAGAATTACTACTAGTCAATCTTGCGTGATCCTCAAGGGATTTGAATCCCGAGATTCATTGCATACGTCAAGATGTAAACATGTAAAGAATGGATATCGGCAGCCATAAGCGCCCTTTTTTCATGTATGTAGAGCAATCCCAACCAGAGATTTTCGGGCAACGGCGCTATAATCCCCAGTTGTATGGCTGTGTTTCCAATAATCGTCGGTTACGCCAAAAGGGTACGCCATGCTTATGTTTGAGCAACGCTCCAGCTGCGGTTGTACCTCCAAGTCCTTACCTCGCGCTAATTCGATCCCGGATGGGCTGCCATTACACGGTGGTCGGTGCTTTTATTACTACTTTTCTGTTAATACTGGAACTATACTGGCTACTGGCTAGCGGACTGGATCAGAGCGGGAAATCTTTTCTATATATGGGGGTACTCCCGTCGTCAAAAAAAAAAAAAATACTCAACCTAAAAGGCTGGCTGGCTGGATGCGTATGTAAGTGTACTTTTCGTGATCCGTACTGTCGCAAGGACGACCACTTGCCGTTCGGCGACCAAGGTACAGTACACATTCGCTGCGTTCGTTTCGGAGTTATTACTTAGATAGCCAAGGGGAAATGGTTTCTATGAATACGATTTTCGTCCTTATGCGTCGCGCAATCCTTTCCCGATCTGCTTATCTATGAATGGCCAATTGTGCTCAAGGTATTTAGGTGTGGATATGTTGACTGGGATCATATTGGGGAGGAGAATGGAGATTCATGCGTAGAAGATACTCCCTGCGCAATACTATTTATTCCCTTTGCTTGCTGGGTAGTAATCTTGAAATCATGAAACACTTTGATTAATGCAGCATTAAAGTCAAAGAATTTGCTTTCCATTTCGTTCTATTATTATTATAGACATATTGGGATCTCTTTTTTTCCGATCTCATATTTCCAACAGGTTGGGGTGGGCAGTTTTAGTTTTGCAAGACACGGGCAGACACCAACATAAGCAGCGTATTAGAAGGGTACTGGATACTTACGCATTAACTCACTTTATTGTATGCTCCAGCGGTACATGGTACGACATATCCTAGGGCCAGCTGCGCGGTTTTAATGGGTGCTCCACTGTGAGAGGGCTTAAGTATGTTACAGGTGTACTGGTGTTTGGTACGATTTCCCTCTCCGGGAGCATGAGCCGGGTAGAAGCATGTAATTTTGCCTTTTGCTTTATGATTAGACTCTAGAAACAAAGCTGTATTGATTGACGTAGGTAGAAAGATGAGGAGATGGGACAAGGGACGTGTATAGACTTCTTTTAATATTATACCTTTTTTTTGTTTGTTTTTTTTCCCTTTTCTTCCCATGATGTTCAGCAGTGTGTATTGGGACTACTGGAGCTGGGAGCAATGCAGTACTAAGGTTGAGGGGGCTGTACAGTGTGTACATAGGATACGGCGGGTACAGTACGGAGAGATTAATACGTGACGCAGCCCGGTACATTCCCCTTGGGTCCCAGTTAAGTGTGGTAAGCAAACAGCAAGGGCATTCCCCCCTCTTACTCTCTTTCCCTACTACTACGGCTCTCCCCCCTCTCTCTCTTTCCACTTCTTCTTACTACCAGCTTCGCCATACAATATTTGGCCATACAAATCTGAGGTACTGCATATAAATCCCCTATCTATACAACCACCAGCATCCCCCAATCCTCTCCACCACCACCATTTCTCTTTTTCTCTGTTTCTATTGTCCTTGATCTCGTTTCGCAAGGTCTTAGAAACACTTTTTTTTATCCTCGTCGCGACCGGTCGCGTTGGCGCTTTCGTTCCATCTATGAGAGTTGCGCAGTAACTAACTTGCGCCCACTCATTTAGATAATTCCAGCATTGGAACTCTTAATTGATTTCTAATTTTTCTAGTGAGTATTACTGTCCTTTTACCATTTCGTTTCATCCCATTGCAAGCAACTGGAAGGTGTGACCTGAGGGAGCGCAACTCAACCAAACTAAGCCAGCACGCGCCAGCCGTGTTTAGAGTGAGGGCACCACCACAGCACGCGTGTTTCTCAGCGCCACTCTTCTCCCTTACTATCTTCCACATATTTTGGCGCGCCTCCCCCCCCCCCTCATCGTCACTAACTTTTCTATTGCACCATCTCCATATTTTTCATCACCCGACATCACATCAATCAATCTAACCATGCCTAAAGCCACCAAAGCCACTACTTCCAAAATGCCTAAGGACAAGCCCGTTCGCAAGGCCACCAAGGAGCGTGTCCAGCGCCGCAAGAAGGGTACGTCGTCGTCTCGTCTCGTCGCTCAAGACATCCATATGAATCAAGTCAATTCTAACCTTCTCTTAGACCCCAACGCCCCCAAGCGTGGTCTCTCTGCTTACATGTTCTTCGCCAACGACAACCGTGACAAGGTTCGCGAGGAGAACCCCGGTATCACTTTCGGTAAGCAACACTCGTGAATGATTCATCGCTCGTCAACGTCTCTAACCTCACCTTCAGGCCAAGTCGGAAAGAGCCTCGGTGACAAGTGGAAGGCTCTCACTGAGTCCGAGCGCAAGCCCTACGACAAGAAGGCTGCCGATGACAAGAAGCGTTACGAGGAAGAGAAGGCCAAGTACCAAGAAGTGAGTGCTATCATGTCCATCGATGTCCCCTTGTGTTCTCTTACTAACTGACTTTCGCAGAGTCTGGCCAACGCCGATGAAGAGGAGTCCGAGTAAACGTCTCTCCGCAACTTTCATTTGCGCAGATAATGGCGTTTTACGTGTGCACTCTTGGTGATTCTCCTCAGTTTCCTTTTTCCTTCCCGCTGTTATCATCATGGGCTTAACGGATGGGTTCCTCGGTGGTTTTTGCTTGCTTTATGGATGGATAGCCTCACAATTAGGGGCCTGAACTAGTGTTTACTTGCGGAAATGGTTTCCATCTTGACTTTCCATCTTCTTGCCAGTCTTGGTTTTATCTTTGCTTTTTTCTTTGTTTCCTTTCTTGCTTGTCTTGTTGAGGGAAACGGATCTCGAAGTTTAATCAATCAGTGACTGCTCGGACTGATGGACAGGACGATACTTGCTGGATCTCTCGAAGCAAGCCTAGTCTGATGTACACTAGTCAATTTTACTCTATTTCCCTATTATGACAATTGTGCCTGTAGCTCCTGTGTGAAGCTGTAATTTCTTCAGAAATGAAATCTCAACGCGCTTGGGTTGGCCCAAGCTCCCGCGTCCGTGGGGCCTTCCAGGGTTGTTTATTCCCGACGCGCCCGGGAGATCTCCGGTTGTTGGCCTGAGGCTGAGATGATGCTCCAGCGGATCAAGGATCCTATTCCCTGGTACGCTATTCTCCAGGGCTCTATAGATCTTCTCATGATGTTCTTCACTCTGTATTTATTACTCTTCAAACTGCGGCTACTAGTTCGGATTAATACGAGGCCACCAGCAAGCTGACTAACTCTACCAAAAGTTGCCTACCAAGTCGATTGGGCATACAAGTATGGATTTACTATCTCTCGACATGGGACGTACCGTGTACGTATACCTACCTGAACGGTCATCAGACTACTTTCCCCGAAGTTCATCGTATCACTTCTTTTGTTTATTCTATCAGAATGATGAGGCTCGGAAAGAAGGTCATGGATGCGAAGGCTTTGTGGGATTTGTATAAGCTAGTAGACCTCCCATTTGCTGCTTTGTATCAGGTGCCCAAGGATATGCAAGTGAGCAAACATATTAAGATGCAATAAGAAGATGCAATGCTATCACTAGCTGCAATACTAGTCACTCCTTCCCGACTCTAGCTTGGCACTAGTAGTTGTTCCGTTTCTCGCTACGGAGTATAAGTAGACTACACAGCCTCAAGACTTGGGCACAAAGGCACGGACTTACAAGCCATGCAGGCAACACTATTGACCTTCCCTTTTCGATATGACTTCTAGTGGTAGTATATAGATCAAGGTCCACCCTCAGCTGAGACGTTTGTCTCGTTCTTTTCTATTTTATCCTCCATTCGCCCATGCGTCAACCAAACTAGTAGGCGCCGTTATCTATACATACCTATACTTACACCTCTTTTTCTTCTTTTGTGCTCATGATTCTCATTGCGTCTCTATATACTGAATTCAATTTCACTACAATTCTCTCGCGTGCCCGTTTTCTCTGTCCCTGTCCCCTTTCCCTTACCAAAATGTGTCTCTGGCTTCTCCCACCGTGGCCGCTTGGGCATTTCCGCACTGTGGAGACTGTTCGGGATACTTAAAGTTGTGCAGGTCCATGGGAACTCGTCTGCCAATCCAATAAAATCGCGATCTATATTCTGCCTGGCCTTTTGAGTACGTTGTTACTGAAATGTATCAGGCCTTCACATTGCTCTATATCCCTGTGCACTGATTTCAACATAGACTAAGATGCTGGTTGTGCACTGGTTCCACCGGCTTCTTTCCCCTCCTCTTCCCCTCCCCCCACCGAAACGCCCCGCCATTCCCGCGCGACCACGTCAGGACACAAGACGCAAGGGTGAAAAAAAAAGTAAGAGCCGCATTGCACGTGAGATTGGGTGACCTCGCTTTTCTCAGGCTCTCGTATCTCCCACTTTTGACTCAAAAAAAACCTGCGTAGAATCCTTCGCCGTATGGCCTAACCAACCCCATGGATCTGAGTACGTCTGTTGGAGATACCGAGAGTGCGGCAGCTGGCTTTACCACCTTTCGTGTCCCTCTCCCCGATCATGCGGCTGAAGTCACCACTTTAATATCCGATCTGTACGCAATAAGTGCCTCGTTGACTAGCCTGGGAAGATTTTCTCAAGATGTTCGCTACCGACGCAATTGGCCCCTCATCGAACCTGATGTTGAACTTGTGCGAAAGAGTCTGAAGTACACACTAGAGGATATTTTTAAGTATTTTCGTCGCATTGACAAGGAGAGGTCACCAGAGAGCTACAGACGTGCCTGGACATCTATGGATGGGTGGTTTTGGGACGAATCGCATTATTCTCTTTCAACCCGTCTGGCAAGATATAAGAGCTTTCTTAGGGAGATGGGCGATGTGATGAAGGAGTATGTAAACCTCCCCAAGTGCGACTTTTCTTCCGGGGTCTTTATAGTGAAGCCGTTACTATACTGATGCCTGGCTCTTATATTGTAGTCGACTTGAGGACCTACCGCTACTACCAGCCACTCGAAGGAGGCTGAAACAGCTTCTCGCTTTGCAAGAAGAGCGTTTGACATCTAATCTTGGACGCATGTCTCTCAATGACCAAATCCCGCCCATTAATCGTCCACCCTCGAGAAACGATCGTCCCTCTTCGATTCTTCGCCCGCCATCGAGAAATAATCGTCCTCCCTCAAGGAATGACCGTCCACCCTCGAGAAATGATCGTCCCACTTCAATTCATCGTCCTCCCTCGAGAAACGATCGTCCCACTTCGGTTCATCGTTCCCACTCGAGAAACCGCCCTCTATCTAGCGGTAATGGCGCCGAACCTATTAGCCCGGTTGGAGACCGACGCCGACGTCGTTCGTTCGAACGTGCTCGACCTTTCAATCCTCAATCCCCCCAGTCCCCTCTCTCGCCTTCATCTGGGACTTTCTCTGATAGTTTCCCACCATCCGTACCGGATCCTCCTAGCTCACCGTTGACGGGCTCTGTGTCTGCTACTACAACTACTAGTCAATCTACACAAAACGATATCCTAACTTACCACTGGGTGAAAGATGTCTTTAACAGCTACCGCACGGAAACTGCAATCCCAGAATCATCAGAAAAGTAAGATTCTATTAGTTTCAGATATTCTCTGTCAGGCAAATCATACTAAAAAAATGTCTAGAGCCGGGTGTTTCGATGAGCCCCAGTCAGGGATCAAAACAGTTTTAAAAGAACAAGGGTTTGAGAGGGCTCTTCAATTGTGAGTGATCGGGGGAATAAGAATGATATGTCAACCGACTCTAACCAAATACTAGGGCGTTCAACGATAGGTCGGAGATGACTGCATACTTTTATTTACGCGAGAAAGACGGCCGCGCTCGAATTGTTTGCAAGGTACCACATCGCAGTAAACCAAGCGAATACTTCTGTCTCCCTTTGAACATGTTAGAAGTTGTCCAGAAGGGGTCTTGTCTACAACTGTGCCGGAGACGAAACTCAGGCAAGAAATTGATCTTGTGGGCACGTCTAAAGTTCACAACTGTTGAAAGTAAGTGTGGTGTCGAATGTATAACCCCATCCATTCCGGTTGATACTGTGATCTAATTCTATTGACCTCAGGCATGGTTGTATTCTTCTGTACGTTCCTGGCCCTTCGCTCACAGGATGAGGGTCGACCTGTGGAGGATATCCAAGATCACGAATTGAACGACGAGGAGGAGATGTATGGCGGGTGAGTCAAACCGACTTCTCGAGACTGTCCAGATAATACTAACTAGCTATAGCCTTATTATCGATGACCGCTATTCACATGCTTTACGTGTCTATCAAGACAAGATAACTGGGGCTGTTCGATTGCAGGCCTCTGTTCACGAAGGTGTCATGGACCGGTAAGTTTACACACTAAACACTTCAATCACCTGGTTTTAACTTAAGGGAATTTAGCACACCCGTGTGGACTGCATTTGTGACCCATCACCTTGGCCGACGCAGCTGGCTGAAAACCTTGGACTCGAAGACCGTTGCAGTGCGCGACTTGGACCTTGCCATTTTCATCTCCACTGATGAATACAGCCCACCACATACTAATCGGGGCGAGCATTTGTTGAAATTTGCAACTCGAAGTGGTGCGTTAGCTTCAAATCCCTCTTAACTCGTTTTTCTTGATTGGACGATACTAACATATTCCAGACGCTGAAGGCTTCCTGGATTGCATGCAGGAGATAGCGGCGGCTTCCCATTAGTCGCGCCACTGCATTATCATACGTAGTATGGCTTTATAATATTGAGCACATCAAAGCCCGGAGCTGGTCTCATGACTCACGAGTTTATGCCGCAATGATTTTCGCGATCAAGAATAAAAGTTTCTTTTGGGCCTGCTAATTGGTTGTTCTGGCGAAGCAGCGGGCGCACGTCTATAATTTCTGAGCGTTCATTTGATGTTGAGTATGCGTTGAAGGCGTGATGGGCATGATAGGGGACATGCTAATATTTTCTTTTTGGACATTTTGGCTGCGCTGGCTTCGCTGAATCTGATTGACTTGCACGTATTTTGATTTCATGCGTACAATACATCCTCAACTCAACTAGGTCAGGATAGATCAATTCATCGCAAATGAATGATGGGAAATAATAGAACAAACACGATATAATTGGGATCTTAAAAACGTATAGAGCCTGCAGACGATCATTTCTTCGACTCAGTCTAATCGAGATGCCAACATATCATTAGGAAGGTGATTCAGAAGTCGTTGGGTTATTCTCTTCTCTCGCAAGTGCGCAAGCTCATTAGTCATTTCCTCCTATTCTGCCCTCTTCTTCACTCGAAGCTATCTCTGAGCCTTAGTCTCAATACGATCTTTTTCGAGTTGAATTAATACGTCCCTCATACTATTATTTAGTCCGTGGTTGGCATGATATGCCCTATACCTACTTCACCAGCCAATTGATGGGATGGCATGAGCCGGCAGCCTGTTAGCCGTACCTAGTATTTATGCGGTGGAGCTAGGACAGAAATCCATTGAAACCCATAACTAGTTATTCTTATGGACCGTTTACGTGATTGTTCCCTGCCTCCTAAATATGCCGATTATTCCAGGATGACTTCGTCGATTGACACCTTGCCCTTACTACTTTGCTTGACACAGATTTCATGCGCCAAGGATTTTCCCGCATTGCGAACATTGACGCGTGGCCTAGTTTATAGTCTCTCTTAAGTTTCGCGTCCTATTAAGCCCATGAAGAAAGCCACAAGGTCATGAATCCACTTTTTCTGCATCGCCCATGTTACCTGATTTTTGGTTCCCCACCCCCTGTCTAATCTCCGAGTGCATTTGGCCCGGCTCCTCCGACCCGTTACGGAACACTAGGCCGATATCAAGAAGATAAATTCGGCTTAAGCGCAGATCCTTGGAACAAAAGTGGCATGCAAATTCAGTTGACGTACTCGCCAAGCACTTCTGTGACGAAACAATTTAAACTGCTGATAATGTGTTACGCTAGTAGAAGATCGACACCGGCTAAGCTATTGAAGAGCTAACATAAAAGGCTTGTAGCATCTCACTTCCGCCAACTTCAAAGTTGCACTCAAGCGTGTCTGGGAGTCTATATTATCTTATATTTCTCACCCTTCTATACCTCGGCACCATGCTTCCGAAGACAATCGCTGCTACTACTATACTTTTCGGCTTGTCGCCCCTTGTGTCAGCCGCGCTTTATGAATCTGTTGTTCAAACGAAATATGGCGCTGTTCAAGGATATCCCGCGTTTAACAAAACCTCTACTGGAAACCTGACGAATTGGAAGGATATCAGTGTTTGGAAGGGAATTCCATTTGCCGCAACCACCGGTGGAGAAAATCGCTGGAGAGCTCCCCAGCCTGCCTCTGCATGGAACGGCACCCTGGATGCTAAAACATGGGGACCTGTTTGCCCATCCGCAACAAGTGGGGACAATGATTATACCATCGATGAAGATTGCTTGAATCTCAATATTTGGAGCTCTGCCAGCTCGTCTGAGGCAAAATTGCCTGTGGTTATGTGGAGTTATCCTGCCCTCTCCACTGCGGCCGACGCCCTCTTCGATGGCGGGGGTATGGCAGACCAAGGGATTGTATTTGTTAACTATAACTATCGTACTGGCTCCTTCGGATGGTTGGCTAACCCTGAGTTGACTGAAGAATTCCAAAATGGCCATAACAGCTCTGGTAACTGGGGTATGTTGGATCAGTTTGCTGCTCTCAAGTGGATCAAAGCCAATATTGCCGACTTTGGCGGAGATCCTGATCACATCACTGTCATGGGACAATCTGCTGGTTCTGCCGCAACTCAGCACATTTTGAACAGTGAATTAACAAAGGGATTGATTGTTGGTGCTATCATCGAGAGTGGTGTCCGTTATCCAGAAGATCCATATGCCATGCAAGCTGCCGAAGGATACACCACCCTCAGTGCCTCCTATAAGACGGCCAAAGAATACCTTGCTAGCCTGAATGTATCCACCATTGCAGAGGCGCGAAAGCTACCCATGTCTGATCTTGTCACAAATTTCATGAGCTCGGCCTACTCTTTCAGCGCAACACTCGATGGCTATGCCATGCCAAGCACCTACTGGAAAACACTGAAGCAAAGTCTGGCACAGGATGTTCCTGTTCTTACCGGAAACACCAAGGATGAGAGTGGAGCTACCTATGGCCTGAACATAACACTGGAGGAGTACTACGAAGACTTAAACGAAACATTCACCGGTGCTTGGATCCAACGTTTCCTCGATCTCTATCCCGCGAATGACTCTCTCACTGCATCTGGTGCAGAGAACTCACAGTGGACCGATCGCTCAAAAGTCGGCACCTGGCTTTGGTCGCAGATGTGGGACGAGGCGTACGAAAGCCCTATCTACAACTACTACTGGGATCATGCTCCACCTGGACAGGACCAGGGTGCTTACCACGAATCTGAGATCAATTACGTGTTGAACAACCTCTACGCGACCGACATGCCCTGGACTGCAGAGGATTACGCTATTGCTCAGAAGATGAACAGCTACTGGGCAAACTTCATCAAGAATGGTGATCCTAATGGCGAGAAGCTTGTTTCGTGGCCTGCTGTGAACTCATCTGAGTTGGTTCAGCATGTCGGTGATGGATGGGGCCAGATCCCAGTGGCTTCAAGCAAGAAGGTTGCTCTCTTCAAGTCTTGGTTCAGTACTTTGAAGAAGTATTAGAACGCCATGGAGCCTGACAGCTGTGTACATAGCAGATACTTTCCTCTAAAGTTTCAAAATTTACATCTGCTTCCTAATGGCAAGATGTATGAGTAGTTGAATAAACTAGCGAGTTCACAGTGATACGAATGTATAGTACATGTCGAAGACCATCCTTTCTAACCATTGTTTCATTATGTTTCCAATTAAATACCTCCGGTCTATATATAAGTTCCCAATTCACATCGAACCGATTTACTCAAGCCAGCTCCGCCTCGATCACACTTTCTGCAACGCCAGGGTATGTGTGAACCTTAATAACCTTTAATCCACCCTTGGCAAGTAAGCTTGTCCATTCAGCCTCGGACCTTTCACGGACGTTCAGGTGAGCCAGCATCATCATATCCATGTTTGTCGCAGCCAGTGTGGGCTTCTCTTCGCTAACAACAATTTCGTTGAACAGAACTCGCGAGTAACCCTTCTTCAATGCAGGGACGAGGTTCTCAATAATCTTCACACTCTCCTCATCACCCCAGTCATGCAGAATAGAGTGAAGCGAGTAGGCGCGAGCCGCCTTAATGGGCTGAGGGGTGAAAAAGTCATGGGCCTGCACTTCAAAGGGGAGTTCGGTGCCTTCCACTTTGACAGTTGCAATGACTTGCTCGCGATCTTGGAGAACGATCTTGCCCGGGCGTGATTCGTAGCGCGCAGCAAAAGTAGTAACGTCATGACCTCGGCCACCACCGACATCAACCAAGAGTGCCTCGTTGGCGGAGGCATCGAACCCTTCAATCAGACGTTCTTGAACCGGGTAGAAGTCGAACCAGTCTGGCTTTCCAGCACGATAAGAGGCCATGAAAGAACTGAAATAGTCGAGGTGAGGAGGCGTCGCAACGAGCCAGTCAAAAAATGCCTTGTCTGTCTTATGTGCTGATTGGAAGGGACCATCGAGCCCGCTTAGAGTCGGGGGTTTGTATCCATTCTTCTTGAAGTGTTCGGGGAAGCCGTTAAAAGCAGGGCGAGACGCATCGTAGCAGAATGATATACTGTGTTGATATTTCTCTTCTGCGAGGTCGTTGCTCAATTTGGACGCGAGGAAGACGCCATTGTGGAAGGTGATAAGGTTCATGGCGACCAGATGCCTGATCAATCGTTCGAGGAGGTTGACATTGATTCCGGTTTTTTCGGAAAGAGCCGAGGGGCTCAATCCATGTTCACCAGCTTCCTTCAGGTGTTGAAAAAGTTTTACATCGACGGCGATGCGGATAATCGCGGATTGGGCAGGCTATTAAGCATGAATTCTTGTCAGCTTCCAAGTACAAGTTAAAATTCACAATTGCATAACCGAATTCGGGAATTAGTTACCTCAGCCCAGAAGGTTCGCTGCACAAACTCGCTAGGGATCTCGAGGGATGAGATAAGTGCGCGACTATAATCAATCAAAGCCTCTCTTGACCCCGCCTCGTTCTTTTCGAATGCGATGCGCGCCGCGGCTATGCCGTCTAGGATCTCTGATGGGGCCTGGGACACCATTTTCAAGCCAATTTCCTTTTAAAATGAAGTAAATATGGTCAATTGATTGCGATCAAACTGAAGAAGAGTCAATTGAGCCCTCTAAATAGCGAAAAACCTGGCAATTTGCTAAATTGCCTCGTTACGATGACCATGGCCATTTCTTACCCCTCCTGCTTTCAGGGGCATAGTTCAAAAGGACACAGAACCCTGATTGGCTTTGCAGCGATTGAAACCGGCACTTCTACTGTAGTCCCATTCGTCTATCGGCCAATGAACGGGAAAATAAAAATGTGCTAAGTGCCGCGTCTCATCTGGTGGCCCTTAGCCAGCGGGGTATTACATAGAGGGCTTCCAAGGTTGAACGGAATAAAATGACATGGCTCGGACCGTGGGATTGGCTGTTCACCATTGGCTTTTGAACCTCGGGAACCGTTATTGTTCCCTAAAAGTGACAGGAGTTTAAGGGGGTTGACATTGTAAGTAGAACCTCCACCATCATTGTTACCCACTTTTTCCTATTATAGTTTTCACGGGTGTAAACAAAACAAAGTCAACTAACGCATCCTGCTTTTCTCCTTCGCATTTGGCTACCTATTCTGCTGCACTACTTTAGTCATGCACACATAGCCGATCTTTGGCCAGGCTAGGTATTTTCGACGGTATGGCCCCCATCGAGCCTTCACGGAATAGCCTCGGGCCGCTTATTGACGCTAAAAACGCCTTGCATGTCCCACCATATGGACTAAGACCCAAACCAGTTTTTCGGGCTCTACAAAGGCAGAAGAATGCACCTTGCATCCTGGTGCTATGTATAATTTGTCCACAAGTGAACCGATCTCCAACCTGAATGAATCTGTCAAATTGGAAAACAAATGTATCTGCACCCCCTGGAGAGTGGACGCAGCATCCGCAGTGGATAGATCTTCCGCTGACTTGTCAATCCTACCTATGATAAACAGCTTCATTTCCAGTTTTGACCCGCTGTGGAGAACTTTCTCGTTCTATCCCATAATGGTGGAATCGGTGCAATGTGCTTACGATTGTACTCACCAATAAGTGTTGTTTGAGAATATGGTGGTTGCTAGGTGGGTATGGACTAGATTAAACCGGTTACATATCTCAATTTCTGGCCTAGATTCATTACACTTGCATACAAACATCTGGGGCGAAAATTAAGCGAGATGGCAACACTCTGCGGACATCTCATATTTACCACATTTACAGTCACAAAAGTACTGCTTTGACCCACTTGACAGAGATCGTGGTCAATCAAGATCTCCATCTTCCCTTTTTTTTTCTTTTGCTCGTGATTATATTTGTTATTTGTTCATCTCCGTACTACGTACTATGCCACTGTTGCGGGTCCCCAACCTAACTCCCGGGTACAAATGGTTCAAATGAGCTAATTGCTAAGGCTCTGTGCGCAAAACCCAAGACTAGTCGCTGCAGACTTCAGACATCCATTCTGCTATGTTGCGATCGCTTTTGGATTGCAACTGCCCTCCTTAATTGAGAATCGTGTTTCCTCATCTCTCGCCATGTCTACGTTTGATACGAACGTTGACTATAGCGAGAGTCGAGCAGCTGAGATCAATACAATCGGATGGGTATTTACTGGCATTGCTATCGCTGTCGTTGCCTTGAAGATATTCTCTCGTGTGGATAGCAAGCGTGCTGGATGGGATGACTTTTTTATTTTTTTCTCATTGGTATGATACTCAACTTGAGTTTGGTGATATCTAACTGACTTACAACCTTTAGGCTCTTAGTATACTTGCCACCTCATTCGTCTCCCGCTCGGTCACATTGGGATTTGGGCGACATACTGCAGCAGTTGTCGCAGAGCATGGCTTAGAGCGCTATGAAAAGACTGCTTATTGGCAGATCATTGCATTTCCGTTCAATATCGGTACGTTGAACTTAAAAATAAGTTAGCAAAGATATCTGAAGAACTGACCCAGAAATTCTGGTGCAGGTGCATTTAGCTTCCCCAACATCTCGATTGCGATCTTGATCGTCGATCTACTGGACCCTAACATCTATCGCAAATGGTGTCTCTATCTTATGACAATATTCCAAGTGATCTTTGCTATGATCTCGGTATTCATTGTGTTCTTCCAGTGTAAGCCCACGGCAAGACTATGGACCCCCACGTTGGACGGCACTTGCTGGAGCTCGGATGTCTTCGACGATTTCTCCTACTGGGTCAGTGCCTATACGGCTATAACGGACATCATTCTGGCGATTGTCCCCATTCGAGCATTTTGGAAACTACAAATGCGAACCTCGACCAAACTCAGTGTCTGCATCATGATGGGATTGACATTGCTCTCGGCAATCGTCACGATCGTTAAAGCGACCTATTTACATCTCTTTACAAACCACACGGATCCACGTACGTCCTCCGTTCTCCCTCCTCTCGCTACTTAATTAGTTGCTGATATTTATTAGTATGGGTCCCCGTGCCACTGGTTCTTTGGGGCTTGTAAGTACTCCTGTCCCCCAAAACTGTTCCGCCTACTCTAACAAAATAACAGGGTTGAACAAAATGTTGTTATTATCGCTGCCTGTATCCCAACCCTCCGCCCTTTTTTTCGCAAAACATTCAAATCTACCCTAGGTTCTTCCGAGGGGAGCACTTCACGGAGTCGTTCGGGATCCGGATTCAAGCTTCCTTCCAACCCGATCACTGGTGGTGCTAACAAAGCCCCGTCCTCTGTCTCGGAGTTTCCCCTGAGGAACACGCGGCAAAAAAGTCATGGCGAAGATAGCCATGGCAGCGATCATGATGGGTCATGGCATGGCATGGAGCCCTGACAATAAACGGGTTCTCCTAGTGCCCAGGAGCTCTAAGTCGACTCATTTCGGGATAAATTAAAAGCTTTTATTGAGAAGCACTATTTTGGCGTTTGCAAAGGCATATTTTACGCGGTATGATCAAATATTCCACCATTTTCAATTTTCTGTGGTCTTTTGAGACGCTAAGATCGTAAAAAGTGCTTGGTAGCCTCTCCCCAGTAGTCCCCATCCTTATACTCGTAAATGCCCGGTACATTGCCTTTGTTCAGACCTTCAATCGCCACAGCAAGCTCCTCTCCTAGTCCTTCGTCCTTGATTTCCTGTAAAGGGTAGAGATATGTATGGAAAGCAAAAATAAGCGCCTTGGAATGCGGTAATCGGTGAAGAGTTTGGCGCTCAGAACGCAAGAATGTCTAATATAAGTCAATATCAGTTGTCTTCCAACTAGTCCAGAAGTATATTTACCTGATTAACATTCAATTCACCCGGCTTTATAGTTTGCACTTCCTTCTCCGAATCAAATGCATGGAACAGTCCCGTTCCCTCAGTATTGATACTCCAGTTGACCCTCTTCACAACCCTCCCAACTTCAATCTTCGCGAAAAAACGATCCATACTACGTTCAAGTTTCTCTGCATACTTAGGTACGGGGCCATGAATATCTGCAAGACGAAGACCAAGCTTCTGACGCGTGTTAAATCCAGACGGAAAACATGTAGCGTATGCCTGAAGTATATACTTTGGCTGATTGGGAGAAGATAAATCAGGAAGAAGAATTAAGAACTCTTCATCCACGGTCTGTGCCAGGATCTCCAGTGCATGGATCGTGGACATCTCAGCACTAACTTTTATCGGCCAAGATGCGCCGGTGACGAGGTTCTCGAAGTGTTCTGGTTTTTCTTTCGTGCTTGGATGTAGTTTGAACATGCTTGGATAGCGGCCTGGAAGGTATTTCCCTAGTATAAACAAATAAAGCTCGCTGACAGCGCTGTCGGTGCGAGGGTCTGCTGTTGCGGATTCGTTGACTGCTACTGCTATATCGTGATGCTCTTTCAAGATCTTCTGACGAAGTGCTAGTCTGTCTTTGTATGTCTTATCCATGGGTATCATCTCGGACGGATCTAGGTTCTCGATTGCTTGGGGGGCGTTAGCACAACACTGTTGATCATGTAAAAGGCTTGTGCTAACTAAAGAACTCAAATGCAACTTACCCATAGTCAGGTTGTATTTATGTTTTCCTTGGAACGAACGAAGTTGTAATGGTTCAGTATTTTGCCAATCAAAGTCCATTAATGGTTTAATTGTCGGATTCTTAATATCCGTTTCATCTTCGAGATTGGATAATGTTGGAGCTGAAGAGCGTTCAAGCCAACGTCGCACTGCGGCACATACTCCAACTAAAATGACTGCAGTCCCAATCAGGGACCACAGAGATGATGTTTCACACCATGACGTGATGAGATCCAGCTGCTCGTTCAGGAATGTTGCCATCCCGACAATAGAACCGAGCGTTATCCGTGTCTCACTTATAATATCTTGTAGATGCAAACTCCAACACTTATGCCAGTTGCTAGTGTAGCTTGTGAGTGTCGAGAAGAGATGAGTCAAGTCCAACCCCCAACCCCCAACCTTTTTACTCCGCACTGACTCCGCAGAGGGGTTCGCCTCTACAAAAATTTCACTATGTGTTTTGCCGGTCGCTCTCCACTTTGACGGAACCATCCGATAGATTGGTTTGGCTTGTTAAGTACAAGGATATGTATAAGCGATGGCTTCCATACAGGGTATAATGATATTCACACAATCGGAATGATAAACACATCCAACTCTTCCTCCAGGCCACGGTATGCATAATTGATCACGCGTTCCTATCTTTTCAACAAAGCCTCCGATCCGGGTATCACCCGGTAAATTAAGACAACCCCATATAACACCATAAAAGGGAAGAAAAAGACCCTCAAAACCGGCGCATTCGAGGAAATCTAAGAAACAAATACTTCGAACAGAACAAACTTCAAGGTCTCGGAACTCAGAACATAACGATCATGACCGGCCACCTCTATGCTTCATCACTCCGTTAGCATCTGAATGGACCGATCCATCCGTACTAGGCGCCATATCCTCTTTTCCCATGTCTCTCTCACCCCGAGAGGTCTTATCATGTGTCATATCGTCTGTTGATTCTTGCCCATGGTCACGGTCACTAGTATCGGTCTCCACACCACGTAATCCAAATGCTCGCCGTTGTCCATCTGGTCGTTCGTTAAGGCTCGGGGCCCGGGGTCGCTGTTGGCCGCGCGCGCGTCCACCGATCCAAGGAAGTTCCCAATGTATTATGCGATAAAGCCACAGCCCTGCGTCGAAAACGATGAGCGCAAACCAGGGAAGGATCGTGATAAGGCCGAGGAGAAACTATGACAATCCAAAGAATTAGCTACGTCATGGACAGATATTCAACGTAGAGAAACGAAATTCGTACGAATATTCTCACAGCCCAACTTTCCACCTGAATGAGTTGTGGTGGGAGAATGGAGTACCACGCCATGGTTTTATCCTCTCGTTATTCTAGTTCGGAGATATTTCTGGGTAGCTGAGGTGGCTAAGCAGTTGCCAAAGTTTGCTGTAATGGAAGCGCGAGGCTTTTTATCCACTTTTCCAATATCGAAGGTCTGACAGCTAGAACGGCAACAGGCTTAAGCTGGGCGTCTAGATGCTCTTTGTGGTGGGTTCTTCAAAGGTTCCTCATCCTCTCGGAGGGGGAGAATGATCGGGCAGAAGAGATAGGTATCCGGGACCACACGACAGCAAGGCGCATAAATCTATGCGTCAGGCTGGTCGATGTATCAAATCGAACGACAAACACCCTTCCCCGCACGGTCCCTCCAGGCTGGAGGATAAAGTGAGGGAGGTGGTTCGGATGCGGAGGAAAGGCGGTGTCTGGAGCTAGGGGGGCTTGCTATTCGGAGCCGCGCAATCCTCCCCGCAGAATATTCAGCAGATAGTGACACCGACGCGGACTGATCAAAATTAAGTGGGAAGTGTCGAGTTGTCGCGTGGAATGAGGGTTGTCAGGAACAAGTGGAGCCAAGAGGGAGAGCGGAGACACAAGGACATCACTGATCTAAGCTGCCCGGATTAGGAAAGTTGCAAGCACCTGCCGAAGATCGTTCTTGCCTCCTTATACTTCCACCATTCTATCTTAATTATTTTGTTTTGAACTAGCTATTGAACAATGGAGTCTTCTTTATTGAACCTCCAATAATAAATACACCATGCGAAGGTCCTTTTCCAGTCTCCCATAAAACATTTCCCAGGCCTTACTGCGTGTCGGTCTTGCCATTGGTACCTTGCGATCTCAAACTGAACGACTTTTGAATATTGGTAGTCTTTGCGTTTTGACCAGCTTATCTATGAGAAAGGGCATAGATACCTCTGAAACCGGCCATTTGACTTTCAACTCGAAGTGCTCAAAACGATTTTATATTGGGCCCAGTTGGGGCAACAAGAAAGACCCGATACTCTGGCTTGGTAGATGACCTTAAAGCCCCAATATATGCAAGTTTGATTGACGAATCGGTAGCTTTGCCTAGTATTTAGGAATATGACCCACATGTAACACAGCATACAAACGCAGGTACCGATATTTTCATCGATCAAGAATTACTGATGGAATAATCGGATTGAACTCTGCAGTATTGTATCATTGCAGACTAGGCAAGTGTCAGATTGTTGTTTCATAGGACTGCTACTAGCCTCCAGAAATGAAACATCGAGGATTTAGTATCTGCAGCTGTCAAATGAAGAAGTGCATGCTCCCGATACTGTAAATCCGATCAAATGTTGGTATAGCTAACCCACAGCCCTTGAAAATGGCATGGAGCCCAGTCATATTCATTGTCGGTGACTAGCTTCCTCTAATAGAATGAGTTCTGGTAAATTAAACCACTACATTTTGAAGTACTACCGATATCATCATAGTTCTAACTGTTTGCTCATGCAAACGAAGACGGTGCATACACAGAAAGGGAGAATAAAATGATCTGCAGCGATCACACATTCAATGTACGCCCCAAGCTGGATTGCCACCTCACAGGGAATGTTAGGTCATTTGCCTTTAAGAAAGGAGTAAATTCATCTGGCTCTCGTCCCGGTGCTGCAAAGCGAAGGTTTCCCTGTATTCCTCCCACGGCCCCCCGGAATTCGCGCTTGGTTTTAACCGAGCGGTTAGGCAGTCCTATGACAGTTGCAAATGAATAACAGCTCCAAATACATACACGGAAATAGATATTACTTGCATTTCTCATATTATTTACTTTTATTTACTTTTCTACTTAACTGATCCTAATTAGGTTTACACGTTCTAGAAGAACCAGATAATGGGAATAATGGTTCCATGGAACTTCCACACCACTCATAAATAAGAATAACCGATCTAGCCATGTCCTCTACGGAGTATGGCCGGCCAATTTGTACTGGCCTCCAATCAAAAAGCAGTTATTGACACGGTGCCTTTGATACAAAGTGCTTGGCATGTTTTCTAATTCGCTGACGAAAATCATCACGCTTTCGGGTCATACTCCGGGGGTAAATGCAGGTAAATGCAGAGTTGTGCTGCAACTCCATCACAAGAAACACCCAATCAGGGTGTGGCTGAAGCTCACGAGGCAGGTTCTAACAACGTCAAGGAACAAAGAAAAAGGCTTGAATTATTCGGTGGTTTAAGTGGTCGGTGGAGCGGCGACGGTAGGTGCCGCCAGTACCTTTCTTGGCAGGTGACAGGGCCGATCTAAACGCTAGGCATGCGGGCGGAGATCACGAATTATCGGTGATTGTTTCGCCAATTCCAAATCGTTCAGTAAGTATTTCGATTCCAAATATGTCCTTGTACGTGTTGTCTTATATTTTCTGTTTCTTTCTAAATGAAAGACGATGAGTTTCGACCGATTTACAGCTGTTCTTTGGCGATGTATACACTGAATCTGATATCTGATGATCCAATGCTAAAACTAGCGTTTAAACTCTATAATCTAACCGATATTATTGATCGCAATGTGATTAAGCCCCGTGGTCCCTGAGTCAAATCTAATTGGCGATCATGCATACTCCATATCTAGTGCAACCTCTCGGAACGAAGTGCGGTTCCCAATCCATAACAAAGCTCACGCAGTATTCTGATAATTGATAATCTATCATGCTTTGCTTGCTCTATGTTCCTATTTACTCCGCTTCAACTTGATATCCGCAGCACACCCACGTGTGTACATGCAGGCCCTGGAGGTCAACCAATGCAACCATGACGCGGAAACCGACCTCCTCCCACCCGTACATCCAACTATAAAGCAGAACAAGATGCCACCAGTAAGCCAGTGTGAATTAGCAGCTTGTACGGATACTCCAAGGTTCTCCAACAGTTACTCCTAGTAGCAATTGAGCCCCTCCCCCCGCACCAATGCATCCTAGCACTCTCGTCGGCCTTTTGGCCTTTGCTGCTGCGGCACAGGCCATCCCCACAAACCCCCGCAAAGCTCACTCGACATCTTCAATTTCAAATCTGAAGTCCAAAATTAAGAATGTCGTTGTTCTTTGCATGGAGAACCGCTCAGTCGATAACCTCCTCGGTGGACAAACACTCAAAGGTATTGAGAACCCAATCAACAATGGCCCTTACTGCAATCCCTACAATGTTACCGATCTCTCCCAGGGTCAGCATTGCACCGAGGCAAGAGACTATGACTCTGTCACCGATGACCCCAGCCACGCCGTAACTGGTAACACAATGGAGTTCTACAGTAGCTGGACTCCCGATAATGCGCTCATCGCCTCTGGAAAACTTACAGCAAACAACAATGGCTTCATCCACGAGCAAATCAATAACTACGGCTCCGATGCAAACAAGACCGTCCTAGCCAAGCAGGTCATGAACTACTATACCGAAGACGAGGTTCCAGTCCTCACCTCCCTGGTCCAGAACTTCCTTACCTTCAACCACTGGCACTCCGACATTGCAGGCGTAAGTTATCGTAATAGCCCAACTCACTCAACCAGAACTAAAATAGTATATAGCCCACGGATCCTAACCGTTTTGCCCTTGTAGCCGGTACATCAGGCGGCCACGGCGAAAACGACGACACATTCGGTACATACGCCTTCACCCAGCGTTCCATCTTCCAACAACTATCCGAGACAAACCACACCTGGCTCAACTACTGGGACACAGCCGGTGGCACCGGTCCCGAAGCACAATGGTTCTCCTGGACAAAAGAGACCTCAAACCAAGACAAAGTGGTCCCCATCACTCAATTCTACACAGATGCAGAAAGCGGCTCTCTGCCCGAATTCTCCTACCTAAACCCCTCCTGCTGCGGCGTAGGAACAACATCTATGCACGACAGCGGTCTAATCTCAGACGGCGAAGCATTCATCAAGAAAGTCTATGACTCCATCCGCTCCAGCCCACAGTGGAACGAGACCTTATTCGTTCTCACATTCGATGAAACGGGTGGATTCCATGATCACGTTCGTCCACCCTTGGCTACGAGACCTGATAATCTCACTTATACCGAGACGGCGCCTAATGGAGAGAAGTATACGTATGAGTTCAATCGTCTTGGAGGGCGTATTCCGACATTTTTGATTTCGCCTTGGACTTCTAAGGGATATGTTGAGCAGAAGGGAACGGATAAAACTGGTGCAACTGTTTCTTATTCTGCTAGTTCTCTTTTGAAGACTTTGGGCTATTTGTGGGATTTTGATGCTTTTACCCCCCGCGTGGAGGATGCTGCTTCGTTTGATCATTTGATTTTGAGCACTATTCGTTCGGATGCGCCGACTGCGCTTCCTAATTCGGAGGCCTTCTGAATCTCTGTAGCGAGTGAGAAGGTTGTAGCTGGGTCTGGAGAGAAGGTGGTGGTTCAAAGTGGCTGGGTGGCGTCGCTGTTTATAGCTTGGTTGTTGGTTCTATAGTAGGATATATGGATCTTGGCTATGGCTCAGACGGACCCTGATCTTAAAAACTTTTGCTTTTGTATAAGCTTCTACCTACTATATTTTATGAGTTTTGATTTATGACTCCTTTTCTTGATCTTACTACTCCTTCAATCATTATAGGTACTCATACTGTTTTGTAATTGTTCAATTCGTTTTTGAATAATATTTGGATTATGGTATGTGACTAATTTCAGAATATTGTGTACAGCTCAAGTACGATATTTCCAGATTCGCTTGATGCAACATTATCCAGCCCTTGGAAATTAAAAGGAATGTATGTAAAGGGGATCATGGTCTCGTATCAGTATCAAAGGCAGCCTCTCAGCGCCATCTAAACCCCGGAATGGGTGTTTCGCCAAAATAATACAGAAAGAAAAATATCAAATAATACACAAAGATGCAGACAACCTCCAATGTTCGTGCCAGAACAAAGAAGATAGATAAAAAGAGACAAAATACAAGAACGATGGATTACCGTGGCGCCCTATACGCATCATATGATGTATAGGAGTACGGGTCAACCTCGTGCCCGTGCTCGTGCTCTTGTTGTCCGAGAGGGCCGTAGCCGCTGCCTCCTGCACGCCACCGGTCAAGCGGATTAGCATCAACTTGAGCTGGCGTTTGCGCGCTGCTGAGAAGTCTTGTCTCGCTTTCATTGGAGTGTTGGTACATGCCTCCGCTGAGGCTGTTGCCGCTGTCACCGCGTGAGAGCGGAACACGGAAGGCCGGATGAACAAGTCCACCAGATTCGGAATGTTCGTAGCCTTCGTTTAATTTTAAAGCGGTCATGGATGGCAGAGAAGGGACGGGGGAGGAAGCACGTGAGGAACTGGGAGACCACTCCGCACCCAAGGTACTGCGTGGTGTCTGGGAACGTTCTGTCATCAAGTCTTCTGGGCGGCCATAGATGCCTCCGCCAAATTCTTCGCGGAAGTCCGGGCGATCCTTGAAGTATGAGAAGTCCAGATGATTCTCTGGGACAACTTCGAATGGAGACGGGTCGGCAGCCTTGCCGGGTTGGGACGACATCATGGGATTCATGGCGATATCGGAATATTCCCCCTCCATATCGCCGCCATCCAAGCGACCCTGGTAGATTTGCTTGAGTGCCTCGGCAGCACGACCATGAACCATAGGGGTCAATAGCGGCTTGTAAAGGGCTGGGTGGCCAAATTTGGAGCTGAGGCGTTCTCCTGCCCTCTTGCTAGACTTTGAAGCACCGAGAGCCTCGGCATCGGTCAGGTTGGCGCGATTATAGTACTCGCAGTCTGGGTCGAATGTGCGGTAACAATAATACTTGAAGCCCAACAGCAAGAATGGCAGAGGAGCGACGCAATACACCATAGTCCAGGTTCCCCTCGACAAAGCGACCAAGGCGATGATGAAATTCGAGAGAATAGTGGCAAAGATCATGCGGTCAAAGATCACGCGCCAGAATGAGCCAGCAGACTCGTTCTTAGTCACAAAGATGTACATAAGCAGATACTTCTTCAAGATGGCATCAACACCAAAGTACAACGCGGTTATAGGCAAGACAATTGGCTGTAATGTGGCGAAGCACATGGCAACAGTAGCATAGAAGAGGAAGTAATTGTAGTAACTAGCGTAGTCAAATGGAGGAGGCGCAGTCCACTCAATAGCTTGGCGTGGGGTTGGCGAAAGGAAGGTCCTGGAGAACCAAACCCAAGCCAAGCTGACCATTTGGAGAAGGTCGATAGTAGCACCGAGATTTCGCTGAAGGAGATATGTCACCCAAAAGGTTGACACATTGCACAGCGCAGTAATCAGCTTATCATAAAGTTGACTATCGATAATGGCCTGCCAAGCATTTTCGTTGTTTTCGTTGGTATCCTCAATCACAGCTGTGACGAAATTCCAAGCAGCGGAAAAGAGAGAGAAGACAATGAGGTTATTGAAGACAAAGAATGCATACAGTTGACCCATGACCTTTCGATCTCGAGAAGTCTTCGTTTTGGCACCGCTTTTGATTGACAGGCGTCGGAAGATAGTCGGAAGAACCAGATAGACGAGGGAGGTGATTGCAGGGGACGCAATACCCTGGATAGCAGCCCATACGTGAGGGTTGGCCTCCAGCTGGGTTTGGAAAGCTGGCCAAACGAGGCCCAAATTGGACAAGCTGGACAAGAAAATGGCAATGAGACCGTTAGGAACAATCCAGACCAGAGTTAGCGCAGTAACCCAAATAAAGTTGGCAAATCGCTTCCATTTCAGAGAAGCCTTGGAAAGAGGCAGATTCTCCCAGATAAGGTCGCTAGGTCGAGGGGCGAGTCTGATGGTAGTACCCTTGGGGTGTTTCTTGCGAGCTGTCCAGGCAACTGCATGCGCCTGTTCGATGTTTTCCCAACTGGCAAACCCATATGGCATAGCATCACGACGATCGATGGACGCTCTACCGTGCTTGATTTGTTCCTCTAAAACGCGAATGCGCACCGTCAAGTAATCAATCGCATCCACTTTTCCATCAGGGTGCTTGCTGCGTTGACTTCGGGGTGGGCGAATGCGAGGACGTTTCGCAGGCAAATGATCGGGTCGTCTGAGGTATTTGGCAAGTATGGACTCTAATTGCCGCACCGCGTCTTCATGTTCCGTGATGATAGACGGTAAGTCCTTCACGTTACGCCCAATAGCAGCACGAGGTAAGGCAGCTGTGGGATTCACTTGATCGGTAAGTCGAAGGATACCCTCATCAGAGCGGTCAGGTGCTGGGATATCGGTGACCATGAGGGTTCGCGCATGCAGACTACGTTGGTAATCTGAACTCTGGAAATATTTCCTTCGTAGAGCCCGTACAGCTTTGTAGTTCCTCCAAAGAAAATATGCGATGACCATGTCAAAAGCCCAAGCACATGCGACCTGGCTCCAAATTGGTGGTGTTGTGGTCACATTGAGAGGGGTCATCAAGTCAAAGACGGACAGGTCTGAGATGTTCTTATTCTTTTTGCTTTCTGCGAAATTCACCGGAATCATAACGATGCAGCCAATGCTCATGAAGATGAAGATATTGCGACACATCTTAGAGAAGCGCAAGAATATGACAGCATCCAGTCCGATGGTTTCTACCAGATGATCCTCGCGCGTTTTGATGACGGGTTTAAACCAGGAGAAGAAGCCCTTGCCCACCGGGGGCGGGGCATGTTTTTGGTCTGCATGTTTGACTTTGGGAGCGTAGACGAGCGAGTGACGGGGACGAAAGAGAGAGAAGAGGAGAGCGAGGACGACGGAGACACCGAGCGAAGTGGCAAGTGAAGCCCAGATAGAGCTGGAATTGAACTGTAGAAGATCGATTGTTAGAGATAATTGTCTCCTCGAGGACTTTAACCCCGCAGAAATCCACCTACGGAAGACTTGAAAGGATTCTGAATAAGATCAAGGAATTCATCCGTTGAGGACTCGGCGCGCAGCTGCAAGCTCAGGCGCCGATCCATGATGGTCGGCAAAACCTCAAAGCGAGCCAAAACAAAGAACAAACGAGAGAATAGTATTCGAAGAAGAAGAAATTAATAATTCGCTGAGAGAGAAAACGAATGACAAGTCGACATGAAGCAAAGCAAAACCCCGATTAAGAGTCCAACAAGCAGAAACCAGAAAGAGTAGGGAAAGGGAAAAAAGCGACGAGTAGTGAGACAATGTACAAGAATGAAAGAAAAGTGGAGCAGTGCGGAGGCCTGGATTCGCAGGCCTATTATTAGTAAAGTAAGAGTGCAGACGATCCGCGCCGATCGTTTCGACCGTTCAAATTTCAGGCCCAGGTTCGCCTGCTCCATGCTCAATTCAGTTCAACGTCAACAATTCCCCATAGTGTGGCCCAGTGTGGCCCAGTCGTGCCCCTTGGTGGCGTCCACAATACGTCGGACTCTCCATACAAAGACCCATACAAATGGGCGTTATTGGTAGACCAGACCAGTGCACCTCGTGGCGATCCAATCACACTCCGCACGGCTGTCGCAGTCTGGAACATCTGGAACATTTACTCAGATTAGGGTCCCAAGGTAACATTCGAAACGCTGACAAGTACACATTGGGTAGTGGACCTGCGTTTAGTGCCGAGTTTTTTTTTTCTGTGCGGTATTCGCAACACCTGCAGAACAGTGGAGTTCATGTATGTAAATAGCTACATACTGATAGTGGTTACGGTGTACTCCGGACAGCTTTGAAGGCGAAGAAGACTAAGAAGACTAAGAAGTGAGGAATTGGACTTGGATGCCTTGTGGCCTGAATATGAATCTGCTGAGGTTGAAGTTAACACCTTAGAAATCAGGCGTTAAGGAAACTAATGAGAATTGCTAATACCACCCCTCAAATGGCTAAACCCACCCCTTCTAAGCTCACCGCCGTATTTGTAATACCACGAGGCACAAAGGCATCAATTTTCTGCCGGCAGCATGAATACGGTCCAGAATTAAATTAAATCTCCACGTAAAAAGCTTCCATTTTACCACACATTTAACGACATTTAATATGCAAGCAAGTTATCTCATTCCAAGCTTAACCTAAAGAGGAAACAGGGGCTGATTTTAAAAACACCGGAAAATGCATTTTCAGTCGAATTAACTGGCAAATCTGTTGATCTGCGGACATCCAGGCCTTTTATGCCCCTCCACGCCCCAATTTCCACACGTATCGGGTCTCCTCCGCGATTGCTGAGTTGCTGGCTGCTGTGAGCCTTGTTGGGACCATTGCTCATAAAACTCACGATCTACAGCATCTTCAACGGCACCTAGCTGCTCCCATAAGCTTGGGATCCGCCTGGACCTCGCCTGACCGCCCATTTTAAATTACACCGCCTTGTTAAGGGCTCATATTACAAATACGGCAGAATTTCCCAAAGCGGCTTAGAAGGGGTGGGTTTAGCCATTTGAGGGGTGGTATTAGCAATTCTCAAACTAATAGCCCCTCGCCAAGCCACATACGCAGCGGATGATGAAGTCACACTCCACATATGTGCACCAGCATCCCACCTGGTCATGACAATAGGGGTCAATGCAGCCCAATCCCACCAAATACATATCTAGTCTATTGTTATAATTTATAACCGCACTACAATGTACATGTGCACTCTCTGCATGACTATTCTACATGACTTTTCCTACATAATAACTTTCTCCTTACTTAAAATGCAAAAAAAAAAAAGATTTTGTCACATGGTCGTGATAGTGTATCTTCATTATGTGTCGACATGACATTTCGCTACATACAACCGGTACGCCAACATCCCCAGGCGCGCCCAATATTTTTCAACATCATAAGGGACATTTAGACGGGAAGAAACAAGCAAAAGAAATTAAACATCAATCAAGTGGGGGGAATTCCTAAGAAACAAAAACACAACACATCTTTTTACAGCTGGTTGGAAGTGTTGAAGTCCTCAAGAGCGACCTTAGTACGCTGGGACATGGTCTTCTCACCCTCACGAACCCACACGCGGGGGTCGAAGAACTTCTTGTTGGGCTTGTCAGCACCATCGGGGTTACCAACCATGGTCTGGAGGTAGTCCTTCTTGTTCTGGATGAAGTCCCGGACACCGGACAGGTATGCGTACTGCATGTCAGTGTCGACGTTGACCTTGACGACACCGTAGCTGATAGCCTCCTTGTACTCCTCCTTGGAGGAACCGGAACCACCGTGGAAGACGAAGTAGACGGGCTTGTCAGACTTGGAGCCCAGCTGCTCCTGGACGTACTTCTGGTGCTTGGAGAGCAGCTCGGGGTGCAGACGGACGTTACCGGGCTTGTAGACACCGTGGACGTTACCGAAACCAGCGGCAATGGAGAAGTAAGGGCTGATGGCAGCGAGGGCCTTCTGGATGGCAAGGATGTCCTCGGGCTGAGTGTAGAGGGAGTTGTTGTCAACATCCTCGTTGTTGACACCGTCCTCCTCACCACCGGTGATACCGATCTCCTATTATGACGTGTTAGATAAAGGATTTAAATATAGAAGTCTTGTTTTTGGGATCAGGAGAATCTTACCATCTCGAGCCACTGCTTCATGGGGGCAGCGCGCTTAAGGTAGGCGGCAGTGGTGTTGATGTTGTAGTCAACGGGCTCCTCGGACAGATCAATCATGTGGGAGGAGAAGAGGGGCTCGCCGTGAAGCTTGTTGTAAGCCTCATCGGCATCGAGCATACCATCGAGCCAAGGGAGGAGCTTCTTGGCGCAGTGGTCGGTGTGCAGGATAACGGGAATACCGTAGGCAGGGGCAATGCTACGGATGTAGTGGGCAGCGGCAACGGAACCAGCAATGGAAGCAGCCTGGCCATCGTTGCTGACACCCTTACCAGCGAAGTAAGCGGCACCACCCTGGGAAACCTGCAGGATGATGGGAGACTTGGCATCGCGAGCAGCCTCGAGGGAGGCGACGACAGTGGAGGAAGATGTGACGTTCTAGAGGAGTATAGTTAGTAGCTGTTGCTGTTGTTGTTCATCTATGGAGAGATAGAATGGAGCTCTCCCACGGATGGGTATGCATATGAATATGAATATAGCGGGGGATATTTGATAGAACATACAATGGCGGGAACGGCGTAGTTGTTAGCCTGGGCGTGCTCGAAGAGACGGAGGACATCGTCACCGACGATGACACCGGTCTTGCGGGAGAGCTGTGCGAGGAGACCCATGATGGATGATGATTGAAATGTACAGGGAATTCGTTAAAAAAAAATTGAAACTGTTAAGAAGAAGAAAAGGAAGAAGAGGTCAGTCCAATCGTAGAAGTAATAAAAGCAAGCGCTTTACCGAAGGACGAAAGCGGGCAGGGTTAAATGGGCAAGGTATGGAGGGGCAAAATTGGTTGGTTGGTTTTGGAGGGGCAAGCATCGTCATCGACACTCACCGGGAAAAGTGGAGCTTGGATTCACTTACTTTATGAAGAAGAAGACAAACTGAGGTCAGGATGATTTCAAAGGCGTGTTCCAAGGCACTGGCTACTTATATAGGGAACTCGTTCAAAGTGGTTTTCAATCCCTCCGAGCTTTTCCGTGGCGCACGAGGATTTGCCGTTCGGCCTGGTTTTCTTGTATAACTTCCCCACTATGAACCTGGCGGGGGGTTTGTTGGGTTGAGCTGCATTTACAATTCCAGGTTTCACGTTGGAAAACTAGGAGATGCACAAACTTGAACTAGGTCTAGCTTTGAACCCTCGGAATTAATCCTGTCATTGAAAATCGCAATTGGAGTAGATCTATCCTATGGGAAGAGAGCAAATACTATCTCTCGGGCTGCAAAGCATTGATCCCGTTCACTCCGTAAATTGTTCGTCCCGTAGCGGGGAACCGAGGAATTCGTGTTTCGCCGTTCTTCCATCATCCGCCATTTACGTAGCAGAGAGAGAGAGAGAGAGTCGAGAACAATATAATGACCCGCTCTTCAATGTACACTTTGCAGGATCAAAACAACCCGGTTCAAACACTGCAACACACACCCTGATCTTGATCCGGTTGCTTGCAGAGTTCCACCGGCTTTTACACTTCGGTCCGGTGTGCAATCCGGTTAAGGGAGGGCCCTCGGTGGATCTGCGTGTGCCTGATCGGAAACCCTGGAGACATCCCTGAATATGACTGTGACATCAGCTCCCGTGGGGCTTCACTACCAAGTTAGATTCACTTGATTCCCAATTCGTAGATCTCATGAAAACCAGTCACTTCTGTCTTCATTTCTACTCTAAAAAACCTAGCCATCAATAGGTGGCTGGTGGCTGGTGGCTGATTGCTGATTCCAGCCTTACCAATGAACTGATGGAGAAAAGTTGCTATGTACGGGAAACCTTTTCTATACAAAGAGATTGTCAATAAGACATGGAAATATGAAACTTCCCTATGCAAGTTTCATCTATAAACGCCCCTCAGCAAAGGCAGGGTTGGCCTCAGGTCGCTCCATCTCGTAGAACAAAAGATATACTTCCTTCTGCATGCCCAGCACGTCCGAGGTTTTGCATTCTTTGATTTTTTCGTCGGAGATCCGCCACCACCGGTCATTCGCCTTGCGACGACGACGAAGTCGGGAACCAAGCCCCGTGGGGGTTTCCACCGATGAGCGCGGGATGGTCCGAGATGATCGTGGGGCAGACGAAATACTTGCTCGACCTGCTTCTGTCGTCGGGCTATGAACATCCGAAGTCGTAGGTTGTGGTGTAGAGGATCGAGAGAAGGTGCTCGGGAAGGAGCGGCGAGAACTGGAAGTAGTGGGGCGTGCTGCTGATGGGGACAGCTGGGTGCCTGACTGGGATGCACCCGAGAGTGAAGTCGACGAGGTCGCAGGTGAAATATTGTTACTGCTACCCCCAATATCATCTGGATTGAGTGGTACCAATCGAGGACTTGGAGCCTCTGAAGGATTTTGGCTGGTGACGCGACTCTGGGCGTAGGAACCAAATGCTTCGGGGGTAGAAAAGGGAGCATAGAGGTTATTGCGACGGAAGGACTCGTAATGACCGCTGTGATGGCTACCCTTGTGGCAGACAATTGCTAGTACCTTGTACCAGGTCTGGTTTAAGATTCCTCCCAGGGGAAGTCGCTCAGGGAATGATACCTTAGCAGCATTCTTTGTCGAGCTGCTGCGATCGAAAATCGAACGCGACAAGTGAATAGCAATGACTTTGGGAAATGCAGTGATACGCATATGACGGGCAATGCGTCGTTTTGGCGCAGAGTCTGCAGGTGGGAATACGATGCCCTTCAGCTCAGCCTCTGGGTCCTTCTCCAATGCCTCTTGGATACGGGAAATTTCATTGTCCAGACGTTCTGACTCGGTCGATGAACGTGTTCTAGCCTTTTCTTGCTTCTTGGCGTCTATCGCGTGCTGAAGTCGACACCGATCACAACGGAAATCTTCGATATATTCGGTTTTCAATAAACCATCAAAACAGGCGTTGAGCGTCGTTGAGCTCTTCTGCGGTACTTGTAGCGTAAGGTTGACGAATGACGTCTGGTTCGGTTTATATTGATAGTGACAAGACTGGCACTCAATCTGCGACTCCAGCTTCCCCTCAAATAAAAATCCCGGTTCATTTTCTATCTCTTTCAATTTCGTATCAATTATGGCAGGGAGACCGTTAGGCGTGCCATCATCAATACGTACCTCCACCTCAGCTGGGCTCTCTGGTACATCGGCTTCAGACTCTGTCCACGCCACATTGGGACTAGCAGACACACCATTAGGACGCAGCGCTTGCTTTCTTGCGCGTACGCCAGCATGGTATTCGTCGCAAAGACGCTCCAAGACGATCTGCAGGAACTCCTGCGCGTCCTGCTGATTGCGGCTAATGCGCGTCCGGAACGCGAACTCTAAAGACTGTATGAACCCCCGCGCTGAGATAGTCTTTTTATAGATAGGCCGCTCGTTCAACCGATCCAGCATTTCTTTTAATGCCTTTGTAATCAATCCTTGTTGTAATTCCCGCATCTTGTCTTCCTTCGCTCCACGTAATTGGTCATCTTGGCTCGATACCGCGTGATAAACCTCCGGTCCGTCCAGTTCGCGACGATGCAGCTCTCGAATGAGATATACGCGAAGATCTCCAAGGCCGGCTAGGGCCTGAAGAACCGAATTGATAAAGCAGTCATTGGCTAGGTTGGACAGGCCTACGATGCTCTTCTTGCGGTTGTTATCGTTGGACTCGTCGCCGTCGATCGTGTAGTTGGGTCCAAACACATAAAACAGGGCGACGGCAGCGAGAGAGGCCCCGGCCGCATAAGCGGCTACTGTTGTAGGCTTCTCTTGCATCAAGGCTTGTGGGTGGTAAAGGGAGGGGGTTGGCGGCGGTTCGTGGCGTAGGGTAGGAAAGTGAGGCGAATCAGCTTAGCAATGTCATGCGCCCCATTGTTCGATTCCAGGATGGTAATATTGGAGAAGAACGGGTGCCTAGGGCCTCGGAGGTACTGAAAGGACAGAGGAAGGGCCCAAGAGAGTCGCTAGGTGTTGAGTTGCTGCAACAATATCTTATTCACAAGGAACTGGGGAAATAGTTGAGAATTCTGCGGGCTAGGCCGGGGAAGAGGAGGGGGCGGGAGTGGACCGAAGGGTTCATGCGGAGAAGTCGGGGGCTTCGATCTAAGAAATAACAAGTTTCCGGATCCTTTTAGTCAAAACGGGGTAACTCCGACCGGAGAATATAATATCAAGGGCACCTAAAAGGTCATTGAAAGCCACAGTAACTTCCGGATGCATTATGGCTAGCTCGTTCTTGGGTGAATCCAATCCAATGTCCAGTCGTCATCCCCCAATTAGCCTATTCTGCGCGGTCAAGGCGCTGTAGCACTGAGTCATCTTCCTTTGACGGATCCTCCGGATAACTGTTGACCCCACATTTGGTGTATTATGGAAAGCCACCGTGGTTGATTCTTAAAAAGACCCGGGGGTTATAAAGGGAGATGCTGGATGTAAAGAAGCTTGGTCTGTCGGCTCCAAATGTCCGTAGGCATCCATGTATCGCAACAAAACGAGTCACCTTTGAGCCATTGGGAAATCAAAAATGGAATTGACGTGGGAAAGGGCCTCTGCTAGGCTCCCATTTTGGACAGCCTGGAGATGGTGGAACAAAGTTGTAAGGGGAGAAAATTGGCGACAAACCCCAGATGTAAACAAGTGGTATATCCATTTTGACTAGTCTTTCTTTGAATGTTCCACATGATTACCTACATAGCCAGAGTACATCATGATAGTATGTAGCATATATACAGAGTATAGTAGATACTACAGAGCTAGTTATTACGTATAGATAAATATTCCAAACGAAATATTTTACCTGGAACTATTTCAATCAAGGAGCTCGGAATTAATATTCAAAATGTAGGTCTGATCAAGGTCACGATGACCATGCATTGAATTGTGGAAAATGCCCCCTAATTTTTTAATATGGGCTTTATCAAGACTTTTATAATGTCCTTCCATCCACATGTTCGATCTCTATCAAAAATTCCATCGTATCATAACTTTCATTTCAGTCTAAAAACCCTTGGGTTTAGGAGCGGAGCGTCTCAGGCAGGGTAGCAACCTTCTCTTCGAACAGTTCCTCGGCCTGCTTCCACACACGAGCAGTGGTGCGATCCTTCAGCTGCAGAAGGCTAGGGAGGAGAGCCTCGCTGAACTGCTCAGAGCTCTCACGGGGAAGAAGAGATGGCAGGTGGTCGATGCTGATGACGCTTAAAGGCGGGCCCTGGGTACCTGCGGGCAGGGTAACAGGAACAGTAGGCTTATCGAATGTGGTAGTGACTGTTGCTATGTGAGTTTTCATTCTTTAAATAGGGTTGAGTGATAATAAAATGATCGGCCACTTACTGTCGTAAACAGGGACGGGGTTGAAGGGGTTGGTGGTGTCGGCGCTGACGTCGCAGATAACAGAGAGAGCGCGATTGGAAGAGGTGAGGGACTCGACGTTGACGAAAGCTTTGCGAAGGAAGGATAATTAGCTAGAGGCGATGATATGAGTGAATTGAGTAAACTTACGAGGGATCTGAGCGCTCAGGTAAATGCAGTTGACGAAAATGTCGCTGGTCACAATCTCCTCGAAAGGACCGCCCTTCTTGGTCTCGGCCATATCCCACTTAATAATGTTGGAGTCGGGGATACCGACATCCAGGGCCAGCTGGACGGCACCCTTGCCACAACGGCCAAGGGCACCGATGACAAGAACGGTAGGGTACTTGCCGGAGATCTTCTTACCAGCCTCAACGCTCTCCTTGACGGACTCGATCAGGAGATCCTGGTTGGCGTAAGGAACCTCACCAGGGAGCGCTCCACCCTCGGGATGGGCGAGCTGCCAGGCCCAGTTCTTGACAGCCAGTGCAGAACCAGCGTAACCAGCAGAGAAGCCGAAAGCAGCAACGCGACGGCCAACCTCATCGGTGAGGAACTCCAGGTCAAGCAGAAGACCCTTGCCGCGGGGCCAGCGGCTTAGGACATCTTGCCATCCACCCTGCTGCTTGTAGCAATGGGCGAAAGTAACGTGAACGTGCTCCAAGGGGAAGTCCTCCTCGGGCAGTTCCTTCAGACCCAAAACAACGGCGTCCTTGGGAGCATCTTTTACCCAGGAGCCTTCATCAACGAGAGGAGCTCCGATCTATATTCAATCGCGAGGTTTAAATGGTGAACTATCGGATGAAAGGGTAAATGGGGGTGCGAACCTTGGCGAATTCCTCATCTATTGATAGTGTTAGCCAATTGAGTCATAATACTCCAAACACGACCAATTCAGAGAACATACCATCAAAAATGCGCTGAGTAGAGCGCTCGACTGTCACATGGTAGCCAGCATCAATCAATGCCTTGCAAGTGGTTGGGGTCACTAAATTAAAAGCTATCAGCAAACAATTATCCCTCCAAGAGCCGATAACGACAATTGAATAGTGGGGAAGAAGAGGGACTCACAAGCAGACCGCGCCTCAGCGGGCTTGGTCTCAGCACGAAGCCAAATCTTCTGCGACATGATGAATTGTAAAGTATTAAGAAGGTATGAAAGTAAATAACAATGTAGACAGGAAGCAATTGAGATCAAAGCAGAAATAAAATAGCATCGCGGTGACACATTGATAGCGGGGTTGGTTTCTCCGTCCCCGGGGCAGTGAGTCAGCCCGATTTTCGGCGGGCGGAGTCCCGATTCGGGTACTTAGGGCATGCTTAGCATTGGAAGCTGAAGTTCTAGAGGTCTTACGAGGGAAGCTGTCTTATGGAATATACTTGGAGTTTCGTTGATTTATTTTTGGATGATAATGACAATCTCATCCCTCCACGGATAATAATAATTCATACACCGGCTTCTGCGGCGAGATGAATAGTAGAAGGCTATAGCACGGGATGGGATACCAGATTTTCGGGCCATACAGAAGGCTTAGGTAGCCTTGGTTCGGCTACGAGTGCGGCTTCCGATTCCATCACCTGGGATCACTTTCTTGATTGCCTCTTTCACTTTCTCTTTCTTAGGACGTCCTGCTTTCTTCGAGTCGCCATTGGTATCCTGGGTGGCAGTTGTCGTAGCAGGGGCGACCGGGCTCGACTCTGCAGGTTCATTGGCATCGGAAGCTGGTGCGGCGTTCACATCTAGCTTTTGTTTCTTGGCCTCGGGTTCTTCTGTTGCTTCGGATGCTGGTTCTTTCTTGTCTTCGGTGACCGAGGCTGCAGTTGGGACTGAGGCCGGTGTCGTAGTTGAGTCAAGATCACGTTTCTCGCCAGTTTGAGGCTCCTCCTTCGTTTCTTCGTTTTGAATTTGCCCCTGGGTCTGGGCCTTGGATACCTGTACCTGGGCGTCCACTGGCGCTTCGGGCTCCGAGGATGCAACTGCTCGGCCAATACTAGATTCTGTAGGTGGTGCCACCGATGGTTTGGTAGTAGGGGCCTCTAGACTGTCGACATTCGCACCTGCCTTGGCATTTTCACCAGAGAGTAGTTCACTTTCCGTCTGGCTCGGATGTACGACGCTTTGAACCGGCTGAGAGGGTTCGCTGGTGGAAGCTACCATTGATTAGTCAGCATACACTCGGATGAAATTGACATGAATAGCAATGGTGAGAGTTGCCCAGACAAGAAACTTGGGTAAGGTCTGGGGGAATTCATCTGAATGAAGCCATTGCAGTACAAAGGGCACACACCTGGAGCTGGGATAGGGTTTTGCACAGAAACTCCTTCGGTAGTCATGGTGGATCAATGATGTCAGATGTGGGAACGCGGTTGGGAGAGGTGAATTTCACGAGAAATACGATCGCGAACGTAGGGCGACTGCAATTAAGGAGATAGATATGATTTACGAAGAGATAATGGGATGGAAAAAGAGTTGATTGAAATCAAAGTGGGAGAAGTGAGGCTGCGCGGTGACGTTTACTACACAAGAGCAACTGGAGACGCTAACCCGATTCCATCGAAGTGCGACGGGGCTGATTCGCCCCCTGCTACCCCATGCTAAAACCGCCGTCACACAACTCCTAAATGGACCATTTCCATTCTGTCCGTCATATTCTTCTCTTGCACCTTAGGGTTGTGCTTTCATACAACTTCAGAATTGGATTGATGAAAAGTGTATCGTCCAGAAGGTCATCCTCTCAGTGTGACGCTGCCTTGATACAAGCATGCCAAGCAGATCTCGGAGATATTTATCCGGATGGCGCAGCGGGAGTGGAGTCACAGTGCGGAGTACATTCGACGGTTTTCGTCATATCGCACTGAAGTACTCCGAGAAGTGCTGCTAGGGTCCGCTCACCAAATGAGAAATACAGAGTAACGATCTCTCGTTCCCATAGTTCATAGAACAGAAATATAGAACATGGCTGGAAGAGCGCTGTAGTCTCCCTGGTCTTTTGATGACGGTGTCATGAAGCTCGAGTGTAATCCTGCGCAGTCGTTCGCACTCTGTAGTACTTATCTGGCAGCCGTAGTGTTGTTTCTAGTAAATAGTATTAAGGCGGTTGTTTGTCAGGAAACGGCTTCCACAACTCAGGCCAAGCTAAATTCAAGACGGCTAAGAAGATCCTCCTGTTCTTTGGAAGAGATAGGAAGGCGAGATCCTTCAGCGGTAGAATCTGCGGTCGTATTTGGAAAGAATTGCTGTATAAGGTGAGCCAGATGAATAGCCTCCCGGATATTCTTCCGATCAATCAAAAGGTGTAGTGCATCGCACGCAATACGAAGTACCGCATCCCGTCGCGGAGAATTCCAAGAAAGGAATTTGGTAGGCGACAAGGTTTCCACGAATCGAATTAAAGGTTGAGGGTCAGGATTTTTTGGATGGCAAAGCGATATGCTGGCGGATATCAATGAGTTCGGGACGGACAGTGTGGAGATTACACTCTGATACTCATCGTAGGTCGTGACCGATACTAGCTCATTCAAAGGTTTGAGTTCCAATGCCGCTCGGTTAAGACGGGCTCCGGCTTCCAACAACATTGTTTTTCCAGGCAAATGGGTTTTCTGTCGAGATATTGAATGCATGTTGCAGACATGTACGTAATGTTGGAATGCCGAGCCCAAACCCTTTCCATATCGAATTTCAGCTTCTATGAAGCCAACCAGAAAGTTGTTAAAAGTTTGCTGGGCCACCACCTCATTCATTCGGCCATTATGACCGCCGAGGTCATAGCTCATGAGCATTTCGAGCCAACAGATAATCGTATCTTGAAGACCTTCTGCGACCATGAACTTGGCCAAGGACGAGGAAGTAGCTTTCCAGCGTAGAAGCATTTGTCGGGAAGCCCCATCTGAAGCCCAAAACCAATCTACCACTCTAGATGCGGTACGAGACGTCTTCATCGTCTCGCTGACTTCCCCATTATCTGAGGAGCGCACTAGCAGAAGTTGCGACTTTAAGCATTTAGTAAGCAAAAACGGTGTGACTGCTCCCGATGCTGCCATTTCATCGAAGAGCCCCATTGGGTTCTCAGCTAGTCGCTTGTCTTGGCTAATATTCTTTCCCGCATGATGGTCCAGAGACGTAGCCTTGGGTGGTACGATTCGAAATAACGGGTTATCCAGGATATTATGCAAGTGTTGGTCTGTTGCATGAAGCGAGGAATCCGTATTCAAGGGCTGCCGATCGCTTTCATTATGGGGTGGCTTGGAGGCTGGGTACGCCTGGTCCAATTGACTGCGAAAGGATGATGTGAGGGCATTCAGTAACTGTTGAGACTCTCGCGGAGTTCGAGGTAGTGGCTGATGTATTTTGGGCCACGACTTGAATTGGAAAATGGAGGTGCCCTTCATGATGGATGCGGTGACTCCAACGATGGTCCTACTGTAGCAAGTGGTGGAGAGCCCCCTTGTGAACGCCCCAAGGTTGAGAAGGGGAAGATCGCCGCGAGGGGTGGGCGGTGAAGGGTGCAGATTAGAAGTGTACGCCCCCTTGCCCATAGATAGACTTTACCGCCTATTACACCGCTGCCTGTACTGTAAGCTCTACATAGATAGAAAACTAGGTGGAAAGACAGGTAGAAAGACAACAAGAAAGACCAGTGGAAAGATAAGTTAAGAAATGGCTTTTTTCTAGATATATTAGATTATGCTAGTAAGTTCGTTTAAAAAATATCTCAAAAAACATGGCGATATCCCATAGGCCTCCAGGGCTGGATAGTTGAAGTTATTGTATTACAAGTATCGTGATTTTCTGCCGGCATGGAAGTGGATGACGAGCAGACCGAAGTGTGGTGCAAGCGGGAAGAAAAGGAAGAAATTGGTGGAAGAAACGATCAAAGGACTGCAGAGAAAAAAGTAAAAAAAAAAGATAGAATGGATGAAAGAATTAGTTCTAGATCTCAATTGGTCGCTTGCATTCAAACCTCTAGTCTTTTATGCTTGAGAAATGCTCTCGCTCCTTCTATGCTATAACTTTCATAGTATAAAGAATTGCAGGCAGATCAAGCAAGCACACCCAATAGGCGCCACTCGCTAAAAAGCCGGGCAGTGCCAAGACCAGCTGTGACTGGGAGCAACACATCAGAACTTAGCTTTTGCCTTCCCCATTCACACTCCTGCTCTCTCTCCTCATAACAACATCTCTTTTCCCTTTTTCTCTCTCTTGCTTGTGTCTCTGAATTTATATTTGGCCCCAGTGCCTGTGGTCTTTTCTGGTGCTTTACCTCTTGCGCGAGGGTGCATCACGCTTTTTCCTACCTCAGATCCTTCCCTTTCAACGAAACCCTTGCGACGCCATCGTGACCTCCTTCCCAATTTCACTTCTTTCATCTCACACATCCTCCTGAAATAATGTCCGACGTTCAGAACCGACCCTCTGCCCGAGGCAGAGTATCCGCCCGTGGTGGACGCGGTGGTTACAGCAACAGAGGTGGCCGGGGTGGAAGCAGCAGATCCAATGCAGACAGCTCAGACCTCCCCTCCTTTGATGAAGGTGAAATCGGACAAATGAAGAAGAAGTATTCCGACACTCTGCCTACTCTCCGAGAATTATTCCCCGACTGGAAAGACGAGGACCTCGCATTCGCACTAGAGGACTCAAATGGTGATCTCGAGGAAGCAATTGAGCGCATCACTGAAGGTGGGTCCCCCTTGGCTGAACGAGGACTCGGCGCATCGTAATTTTTTTGGATCATATGCTTATATTAATCAATTACCCCAGGCAATGTATCGCAGTGGGGAGAAGTCAAAAAGAAGACCACAGACCGCACTCGCCCTAAAGCCAAGGAGGTTCAGAGCACCTCGACCGAGCCGACTGCAGCTTCCGTCCGTGGAGCCCGTGGTCGCGGCGGATTCGAAGGGCGTGGTCGTGCCCGCGGAGACCGAGGTCGTGGCGGCCGTGGTGGCCGGGCAGGCGCTCAAGCTGCCAATGGAGCTCGTGTCGTCAGCACCGCAGAGTCTGTGCCGGCAGTTGCGACAGTGGCAGAGACAGAGCCTGTTACATCTAAGGCAGGAGAAGAAGCTGAGACTGAATCTGCAGCTGTTGACTCCGAGCCTAAGACTAGTGTGATTCCTGATGGTGCAAAGAAGGGATGGGCTAGCTTGTTTGCCAAACCTGCTCCTCCTCCCCCACAGAAGAAACCGCCACAGGCTGCTCCCGCGCCCGCACCTGCACCTGCGCCTATTCCCGAGAAGCCCGTTGAGCCTGTGCCAAAACAGAAGGCCCCCGAGCCTGCACCGGTACCGGCCGCAGCTCAGAAGACTCCTGTTGCTAAGCCGACCGTCCCCGCCGTTCCTACCGTTCCTGTCATCCCCGCTACAGCTGGCAAGCAACACAAAGGTGACTTGACCGAGACAAACCTTGAACAAATTCCCGATGTTTCTGCTCCTGCTCCCACCGCAACTGCTGCTAGCACCGTTGGCAGCGGCATTGACCCCGCCGCCGCTGCTGCAAGCGGCACTCCTTCTCGTGCTCCTCCCTCCAGTCTTCCTGGTAGCGCATACAAGCAAGGTGTTCGGGCGCCTGGTTTCCAACGCCGTGTTATGGAGCAGCAGCAAGCTGTTGTCATGCCTGGGAATCATGCGGTCGACCGTGCTGCCGTGCAATTTGGTAGCATGGGACTGAACGGTGACTCTGTGGACATTGATGAGAACCGTGAGGAGGCCGAGACTCGCACTCAACCTCCTCAGCACTCTCCTGTTGCCCCCCGTGCGGCTCTCCCACCTACGTCTCAAGGTTCCGCCGAGACTGGCGCCGCCCGTCCCGCTCCGGGTCTGCCTCCAGTCCCCCAGGCCTCTGTCGGCGACTCTTCATTCTCTGAATTTGGACGCTACTCTGAGGCCCAAAAGCCATACGATCCTTTCAACCCTCAAATCAGCCAGCCTCAGCAACAGATCCCGGAGCCCTTCGCCAATCAGGCCCCTGCTCAGCCTGCTGCCACAACCGGCAGCGAATACGCTCCCTTTTATGCCGCAGATCAGCGATTCCCTTACTATAACAACAACTACGGCTCCTACGGACAGTCCCAGGATGCTAGTGCTGCTCCTCGGGCTGCTCCTGGATTCGGTGTTTCTGGTGCCGAGGCTGCGCCTCAAGTTCCTGCCAGCCAGGCTCCCACTCGCTACGGCCCTGTTGATGCTACTAACAGTGGTCACAACACTCCTAACCCTACCCTCCCTGGCGCGACCCAGGCCCCTGCTGCCCAGCAGCATATGGCTGGTCAGAGTGCTTACGGCTACGGCTACAACCCTTACTACTCCAGCCCTCACTACGCTCAGTACATGAACCAGATGAACCAGCAACAGTACGGCCGGAGCCGCCCGATGTATGATGATGCTCGTCGTTATGATGAACAGCAGCAGCAGCAACAACAACAACAACAGCAACACTACGGTATGCCACACAACAACCAGTATGGTTACGGCAACCAGTATGGTCCTTACGGTGGCAAGGGTGGCATGTATGGTCAGCCTCACGGCGGCTTCTCTTACGACCACGCCTCCTCTCCCGCCAACACTGCTGCTAGCTTTAACCAAACCGCTGCCCCTGGACGTGACTCCGTCTACAGTGCTCGCACTAGCTCTGCCCAGCCAGCCGATAGCCAGCAGTCCGCTACTGGTGCCAATGCCTTCAGCACCGGAATGTCGGACGTCTTCGCTCGTTCCCAAGCTGGTGGATTCGGTCAAACACCCTCAGTCGCTCAACAGCCCCCTGTGGCCACCGAAGAGACCAAGGGCTTTGAGGCACCCAAGGCCGGTGGCCCCAGCCCATCTCTGACTCAGGCTAATCGCCCCGGCTCTGCCACCAACAATGTCCCCGGCCAGGCCCAGGGTCAGACCGGCCTTCCTCAGCAGGGTCAGCAAGCCTTCGGTGGCTACGGTCACCTTAACCCGCAGTATGCTGGTCTTGGTGGACTTGGTGGTCACCAGGGAAATGCTTCGCAGACTGGCGGTTATAACTATGGGGCTGGCTTCGGTAACTACTACGGAAACAACCGTGGTGGCTGGGGTAACAACTACGGCCACTAAATGTCGAGACTATAGTTTCATTCCCCTTCTTCCTTGCCATACACATATGGCGTTGCATTTACAGGTGATTTGAGAAAATGGAGGGTCGTTGCTCTTGACCTTGCAAGGCAGACAACGTGATGCTGTCTGTATTAGGCAGTATCATTTAACCTGAAAAAACGCTCCAGCTTTTCTTTTCGTCCTTTTTTCCTCAACATTTGTGTAATCTCTACTCTCTTCTGGGAGCTTGGTTGGCTTTTCCTTATTGGGGAACTGGGTCTTGCGGGTTTTCTTTTTCTTTGTCTTTTTTCATTTTCCCAGGTCGCTTTTTTTCTTTTGCTACTGCTGCTCCTTGTTGAGCCGGTCTGTATTAAATCCATCAACTTTCCCGAGTGCCTGTGTTCCTCCACTCTTGTTTCTTTTTTCTTTTACTTTTTTTTTCTTTTTTCCCTCCTAGCTCACGGTGTCTCTTCGGGGTTCGGTGTGCCGTTCAGTGAAAACGGGATTATATTAATGTCCCTTCTTTGCAACTTCTGTTCTTCACCGTGAGCAATGTCTGATGATTGCCAGGTACGGTGGAGAGGTAGATCATGATGGACTGCTCATGTTACTTATGTTTACTGGGCCTCCAAAAAAGTGTGATGAGTTATGTACGCACCTATACAAACCAGATATTCCAGGACCAATCGATTTTGTTAGGGACCGGGACAAATCTCGCTGATATAAATGCGTAATTCTCTTCTATTCAAAGTACATATCTCCTACAAAGCAGACTCCCATTCAACTTGGAAATCCTCCTTGGGTATCTAGGGGACTACATATACGTACTATATCTCCTCTGCCAAGTGGAGATTTCCTATTCAAGATGCCGCCGCTTTCATTATGGTCAAGACATTAGCGTCAAGGTATCTGTTATCGCGAAGAATTCGGGGGAAATCTTACAATTGAAGTCCTGTCCGTGACACTGCGCATCCCAACGAGAAAACAAGAAAATGTGTCATCGATGTCAGGTATGTGTTTCTCCATCCCCAAACATTGCATATCCTTGTCCATAACATGATAAATCCTGGAAGGTAAGGAGATAACAATTAAATCTGGGTCTTCATAGACTTACCCGTATATGTAATCAAATACGACGTTACAAACCAGCTCGTTTGATTAGAGCTGTTTAGATCACTCGTTATGGCGAAAACTGAGGTACTGATGACTGTTCCCTCAACGTTGACAATGAAAAGACTGATAGAGAGACTGGTTTATTTTGTTAATAACCAAATATCGAAGACGACAAGGCAAAATCAACGAATGCCTACCTAAATGCCATAGCATACAGCCTCCAGCCAAACAAACAATGACTATCGGACTAAGATTCGGTTTCCACATTGTTAGTAGCTATTGCAGATTTTATGCTTGTTGTATGTCACCCCAGCTACTATCGCTTTCAATTTTCCTCGACTACAGAAGGAAATAGAAGTAGCAGAGTTTGCTACTACCACGCGCAAGGCCCTGTTGCCAGAGCTATTATATTATAAAAACAACATGTCCAAGTCTGATCAGCTTTCCAATATAGATGAGATATGCATACCAAGGGGGGTTACACAGTATCCAAGCTGAAGGGATAAAAAAAATGGAAGTCGACTCGCGCCGATCTGGTCTTTCGTTGATGGCATCGACGTAAGTACCGACTTCACTTCTAAGTTTATCAGTGAGATACTATAGACCCCCCTTGCCTCATAACGTTATCGCGCATTCCTAGATCCCGACCAACAGAATTGAATAAATAGACTGATGGGCAAGTGAATGGACCTAGTTTTAGTACGTTACCTATGTTCATCTCTTTTTCAAATGGCTCTATTAGGACTCCCGACACTAGGTCATAATCTGACCTACGATAAGTATTATATCGTTAGTACAACAATGCGTACAATGCACTGTTTGTATTTGTCATTTCAATCATGTATCACACCGCCGATTTTTTGAATCTACATAATTAGATTCTATATTGCGTGTGTATGAATGGGGAGTAAAATACTATACCAAGGGCAGGTAGAAGAACAATACAATCGCCTCACTTGATGCTCAAGTTATCTACCACCAGTCACCTAATATAAGCCCTCAGTTTTGTATTTCCCACAGTGCTCCTGTACTTTAGTTTCAGTCTTTACTTTTCATTTGGTTGGATATAGGTTAATCTCCCACTTTCTCAATAAAAGTAATTCAGCTACTAAGAAATGTTTGAAAGCGTGCGGTATAACTATAACCCTTTATTATATTTGCAGGGCTCTTACAGATGACGTCTAGAATAACCTTGGAAGCATGATGTGAGGAAGGAATTGAAGGGAGAGATTACACGCTAGCTCATGTACTTTATTTTACCCAAGTTATGTAGTACTTCATATCACCCTTCGTATCTATACGTACCTTTCGAGATACAAACTTGTCCATCGATCAGTCGCCACGCTTCAAAGCCTTTCCATCTTCCATTCGACTGTTTTCAAATCGCAGGTTTCACTCGGCGAGATGGACTGTTTTGGTCATAAATCAAACAGTACTTTGTGGATCTTGACTTTGCGCGGGGCACCATATATACGGCCTTTTCCGCGAGTTTGCGCGTCATTAGAAGCTTGAATATATACTAGTAGTTATTAAAACGAGCCAGAGCTTCTAGCCCTGGATATGTTATACCGTTGCAAAATATTGTGTTTAAACAAGCTTGAATTGACCCCGTTCCACAGCTTCACAAGTTAAGGTAGCTTTTGCTCCTATCCGTGGATATATAATCCTGTCGTCCCGAGGTCCGGGCTGTCGGAGTTTGAATGTAAAACAGGGACATATGCAGTCCACGGGTAGTAGTAAGTACTTGACTCAAGTTCAAGTCCACGTATCAATTACTACTAAGTTTAAGCATTCCAATGTTCTAGCCAGAGTTGAGTATGAAAAGGACCGGGCAGTAAAGGGTATGAGTGTATAGGCGTCAGCTTTCGTTTAGAAGAAAAAACCAAGATCATATCATTAAGCAGTGCAGCCACTGGCCCTTTCGCACCAAGCTAATAAGCAAGTAGCAAGACCACCAGCCGGAACTATGTACAATCGAAATGTAGCATGACATGGTCCCTTATATGAAAGGGCATCATAAGGCCAACTCTATGTGTGAAGACAATTGGGACGGGGGCAGGACTGAGTAGCCCGATAGGGTAGCCCTGGCACCCTAGATCCACTAGAAAAGAAACCAAAAGGATACGGAAATAACAGAAAAGCAGGGAAAGCCTCTCAGCTTCGCCATCCAAAAAAAAAAGATTTCAAGAGATAATCTACTCGGAGAGGCCCAGCCCCTCGGGACCAACCTTGTGGTAGGGTGGCTTGGCCCCCGCAGCGCGGGACGCGTCGAAGCGCCAAAGTCCGCCGGTCTTCTCCCCATCGAGATCAGGAGACAGATCCAGAGAGCGAGCCAGCTGTTGAACAGCGGCATCGTCGTCCTTCGGCTCAACGCGGCCGAAGAAGCGACGCTCCCAGTCGCGGTTTTCGGCCTTCTCTGCGCGGCGGAGATCACGTTGGGCATTCTCGATGCGCGATTTGTGTGCGGAGACAGCATCCATGTTACCACTTTGGATGTTCTCCGCAACATCCTTCCAAGCCTTACGACTCTCATACAGATCCTGCTCTTCGAGTGGGGCTAGGCTAAGCGGGGTAGTTTGGTTTTCCTCGACGACCCAAGTATCAATCACATCCTTGGAGCCGGTCTTCTTAATCTGGAAGTTCTTTGACCATTGACCATCGACTGTGTAAATGGGCTTCTTTTCTCCTTCGCTGGCCTTGTACAGGCTAGCGGTGAAGGTGTTCTTCTTACCACTTAGCCATCCCTTACCGGAGAAATCAATTTTGGAGACGTATCCACTGCTGCTGGCAATTTTGGCGGTCTTTTCGAGCTCGACAAATGGTGTACCGTAAATTAGAGACTCGATGTGCAGGTTGGGGAGCGTAATGAGGTAGCGCTCCTTTTCTTCGGAACCGGGTAAGGAGAGGGTGTACAGGGCATGGCCGATCTGCTTAATTTGGATGGTGCTAGAGAAGGATGCTTTCTGGGCATTGTATCCTTGTAGCTGTAGGCGAGTGGTAGAAATGAGATACCGTATCCGCGAAAATTCAAGGGTGTGGCGTTGCACTTACCTCAACTCCGTGTTTCTCGTTGGAGATTGCATATGCAGTCGCGGGTGGATGGTGACTGTCAAATTATTCCAATGTTATTTTTTCATGTTCCGCGATGGAGAAAGAAATCCCCCAAACAAGATAATTCAGACCTACCTGACTTGTTCGCTGACCAACTGTGTCTCGCCGACGTCCTCGTCGCCTTGCCACTTTCCAATGAACAGCTCGCCTAGGAATGGGTTCAACGGCTTCTTCTCACTACCGAGCTTCTCACTGCGACTGCAGTACTGCTGGTGCAGAGTAGTCAGGAACCATTTCAGAACGAGGAGGGCTCGCTTCTCAGGATCCGACTCCTTAGCGGGGGCGACGAAGACGGCGGGGTGCTCGGCCCAGTAGGCGGAGTACTCGGTGAGGGAAGTTGTAGACAAGATAAAAGGAGGAGCTGTCAGGGAAGAGAGATCACCGTTGAACGAGGCGATGGACTAGAAAAATGGGTTAACTCAGGAACTCAGGAACCCAAAATTTAGTAGAGCAAGTATTCTACGTACCTTGAGGAAACTAGTCCATGAGCCTTTGCTGCCGGGGGGAACAGCGCTCTGGGGTTCCTTGGACGACATTTTTGGGTTTAAAAAAGAGGAAAAATAATAATTAAAAAAACAGATATGCAGGATAATATAATAGGGAAATTCCCAGACTGAAAGAGCCTATAGCTAAGTGGGGAGCCCTGGAAAGAGGTGACGGAGGTTAGGATGGTTGGCGGTCAGAGGATAACGTCATGAGCCGGGAGAGCACATGGCAGTTGTGTCATGAAGGTTTGTGGTTTGTAGTCTGTGGTGGGATTGGCCGATCTTCGTTCCTTTTCCTGAATGCCCTTTGTGTACAGCCACACTATAATCTCGCTTTTTCAAGGCCGGATTTTTTTTCTCCTATTGGGGTGAATTGACATGGCTTGCGCGTCAGGCTGCCATGATCTTCTCCCCCCTCCATGATCCACAAGCTTCGTCGACTAACGGAGATCCATAAATTCCGACTGTGATCAGTGCACGATCCATCATGGCTGTCAAAGGTTTAAATCAATCCCCTTCCCATACTAATTGGCAAGTTCCATAGGAAAAAGAAGACTTCTTGGCGTATTTATCGCTTTATCGCTGCGATCGGTCGTTCCCGCATTCCCCATACATGCGACACACGGATTCTTTTCCGCACTCGCTCGGGCCATGGCAACGAGATCCTCTTTGTCCCCACGTTATCACGTCCATACGATTGGACACAATCACCGGAATAGACCCTGAAGAACCAAAATCGGGCTCTTATCCCGCATATCTGAGCGTTTTGTACTCTACGGTCTCTCATCCGTCGTCGGTTCAGGATGTTGCCCCCGCCGATCCTCGGCCAATTTGAATAGCTCGCCGAGGGTATAAGGCACATTGCAGATTTTCTTCTTCTGACTCACTGTTTGACTCTTAATTGTATTCAATGACTATATATTCTTATCATTTTTGAATTGAGTTACAATTTGACAACCTTATCTTTGTTTTTACGAACTATATGTCTCTATAAGGCTTTGGAAAGACACTGCGGTTGAATGTTAAGCCTTATCCCTGTCCTGACGATCTTTTTTGGGCCTATCTGCCCAATTTCCATGAAAGCATACAAGCAATTAAACTCTGTTCACTGAACAGGCTTCAATTCAGTCATATTATCTCATTGGTATACCGCGCTTTAGAGGGTGACATCTCCTGAAGCGTTAGCCATGTCGCCGTCATATTCTGGCTCCAGTATTGAGGAGGCACCTGAGGTAGAAGAGATTCAGCCTCAAAGAACAAAGTCACGGCGATCCGATGCGGGCAATGACTTACATCTTGTGCAAAGTCATATGTCCCATCATGATATGCCCGTGGCCACACATGAATTCCATGAAGTGGATGCCGAACAATACTTGCGCTTTTCACCCTCACGGAAAATAGTGATTGTCGCAGTGCTATCGTTCTGTTCATTTCTGGCCCCAATTTCTTCAACGTCTATTTTATCAGGAATCCCGGAGGTTGCAGAAACCTACAACACCACCGGAAGCATCATCAATGCCAGCAATGCTTTATACTTAGCGTTTATGGGCATCGCCGCGCCTTTCTGGGGACCATTTAGCCAAGTGTGGGGCCGGAGACCGGTTAGTGGTTCCTGTCTGTATCATCTCCATATTCCTTCTGACGTTGAACTCCCCAGATCTTTCTAATTAGTGCTTTTCTGTTCTTTGCTTTTAGCATTGGCACTGCACTGGCCCCAAATCTACCATCATATTTTATCTTCCGTATTCTCACAGCCTTCCAAGGAACATCATTCCTCGTGGTAGGAAGCTCTGCAATTGGAGATGTTTATGAGCCACGAGCCCGCGCAACAGCTTTAGGATGGTTCCTCTCTGGTACCCTTATTGGACCTGCATTCGGACCATTCATCGGCGTATGTTCTTTACCCTTTCTGTATCTGTATCCAAAACACTTCACTAACAACTAAACAGGGTGTTATTGTCACATTCCGCTCCTGGAGAGTAGTCTTTTGGCTCCAAACTGCCCTTGGCGGGTTTGGTACTTTACTAGTCTTCTTCTTCTTCCCAGAGACATACCCCCACTTGGCCAAGGCAGATGAGACCCAGAAAACACCCAAACAAAAAGCCCAATTCCTCTGGCACCGCGTCAATCCTCTCCGCGTCGGCGTTCTCCTCTTCTCTTACCCGAATCTCTTCTTCGCAGGCCTAGCAGCCGGCGCCCTAGTCTGGAATCAATATTCTCTCCTCACCCCAATCCGTTACGTTCTAAACCCCCGATTCAACCTTACCAGTCCCATCGAATCGGGATTGTTCTACATCGCCCCGGGCTGCGGGTATCTAGTTGGTACTTTTATGGGCGGGCGATGGGCCGACTACACAGTTAAGAAATGGATCCGCAAGCGTGGTGGCGTTCGAGTTCCAGAAGATCGACTCAAGTCCTGTCTTGTCTTCCTCGGAATTGTTATTCCAGGCTGCATACTGGTATACGGATGGACAGTCGAGAAAGCCGTGGGCGGGATTCCCGTGCCAGTACTAGCTATGTTCGTACAAGGTATCGCGCAACTCTTCTGCTTCCCAAGTCTGAATACCTTCTGCTTGGACGTGATGCAATCCTCTGGCCGTAGTGCAGAGGTCGTAGCAGGAAACTACATGTTCCGGTACGTCTTTGCTGCCATTGGCTCTGGTGTTGTCCTTCCGGCTATTAAGGGGATTGGTGTTGGTTGGTTTAGCACCATCAGTGCCGTTTTTCTCGTGATTGCTGGTGGTTGTGTTTGGGTGACTACTATTTTCGGAGATAAGTGGCGAAAGGAGGTTGATGCTAAGAATCAGCAAAAAGAAGCGAAAAGGCTAGGAGAGCAGGTCTTTTCACAGGAGAGTGAGAAGAAAGCTGAGGTTTGAGCTGCTCTTCATGAGTTATGAGTGATGTTCAACATGTGCATAATCCTATATCAGATCCGTATCCCAAAGACGTGGACAATTCCCGAGGTCCTGTTGACAGAAGGACTTGCCGAGGAAAAAAATGTTAATAAGGCTACTTGATAAATAATTCTATAATGTTTTGTTCTTTTTCTCTTTCTAAATTTGTAAACTCGATAGCTCTCCAAAGCCTAATTAGTCATTTCTATGCCCCAATGTGTGTGTTTTGTGACCCATAGCCTCCCCCCTAGGAAAAAATTGAATGACTTATACCACTTGGGAATTTCAGACGACTGAGCACTCAGAACATAGCAGCAATCATTCAATCATTCTCAAGACTGACCAACCTGGTTTCCTAGATATAAACGGCTAATTATTTTCTGCTGGATTTTCATCTAACCCCTTGCCCTTTAAAATGGTGTCTCGATCTAACCCAGTCTCCGTAGCGACACGATCTACTTTGCGCTGCTCAGTAAAATTCCTGCAATCTTCTCGGCCCTTTTCAATATCCACGAAGCCAATTGCAACCATAGCAGCAGCACATATTGCAAAGAGGAAGGGGAACCCCATCCAATTGTTGCGAGTGCTGTTAATAATAGCTTGAATGACATTCGGACCAATGACGGAGGACTTGGAGTTGAGGTCAGTAGAGAAAATAAGCTCTTGCGCATTTACAACTTACTGCTCGATTTGTTATCCCGAACAATGCGAAAAACATGTTATCATAGCCTCTAGGCATTAGCTCACTAATCATTGTTTGGGCATACTACAATCGAAACAATTAGCCTGGTTTTAGCGTCCGCGAAATGTGCTGTGGGAGAACATACTGCGTAATATGGCGCCTGGAACAAGCCAAAGATGACATTATAAAAGTAGAATTCCCACTAGAAGAGTGTCAGTTTTGTAATAATTCTAGTTTAGTAGGATGACTTACGCGATTGTGGTATCCAATTCGGGTTGTCCAAAGCCCTAGCATTCCCCAGAAAGGAATGAGAACAGTGAAGCAATTTGTGATCATAAACATAGTCTTGGTTTTGATCTTGAAGTATCTTTGAATGTACCAGAAGCCAAATGTTGAGGTGATTGAGCAGACAGCCTGGGTAATTCCAAGATACGTGACCTGAAGGAACGAAAAAGATACGTAGTCATTTTGAATAATCGATACAAGTGTTCCTGATTTGTATTAGCAAATGATGGGCTTTATAAGGGGTTAGAAACGTACCAGTCGTGTTCAGGCCATCGGCTAGCAGGAAGTATGCCACAAAATACAAGAATGTCTGAGGAAGGGACCGTATCTCTTTCATGGCCAGCCAAATCTGTTTGAAACCAATCGTGGCATAGTTGGAGCCTTTGGGAACTTTTGGGCCCGGCCTCTTCTGTTGGAACAGGAACCACCAGATACCGAGTACAACCCAGTCTAATCAGAGTGTTAACTCAAGGTAGTGAAGGTAGACATCGAAATAGTCGCTTACATGAATTGGTGAGACAAAGTGCCAAATTGTTTGCAAATTCATTGTTTTGCATCGGAAGCAAAACACTCAGATTTAGCACCAATGTGAGGAGGTATCCAATGTTACTATGTGCGGTTGAAATATTGCTGCAAGCACTCACATAAGTACCTGGGTATTACAATTTAGAGATGAGTAATTTTACCTGATATGATTCCTTTCCAAAGACTCGATCGCATCATACTCCTGCTGGCTGATCTTACCTTCTGCAAGCTCATCCCTCGCTTTTCGAACATGCGGCATATATCGCGCAATTCGAGGAAACACAGCGGCATAAAAGACCAGCGTGGCACCGTAGGCAATATAAGAGACCACATACAGACCCATAGCGGTCGCCCATTGACTAGGATGTCGGATAGAAAGCATGCCGTACTGTAGGGCCCAACAAATGACAGTCAGAGCCAAAAGAAGCCATCGACCAAAAGAACCATAGTCAGCGGCACTTCCTAGCCACACGAATATTACTGTCATGAAGGCGAAGCAGAGTCCGTTGGCAATCAGCACTACGGAGGATGTCGATCGAGTGCCCCCTGCCCAGGGTACCATACATGCCGATGAATCGGTACATGGCTTAGGTGGATTTGTATCGGGGATATGTCCGGCGCCATTTAAAGCCCATTGGAACCTGTCAAGTTAGTATCATATAAAGGAGACGCTTTTCTGATGCGGAAATGGCGTACAAAGTTTGGCTGTACGAGCCTGGGCCGACGCCGTTATCGCCTGGGAAGTTTCAGGGTTTCAATCAGCTCTTTCCTTTGACAATCTCATATATCGACTACGTGGCGATCGATGAGACATACCATTGTAATAGAGGTAGTAGGACCAGAGTTCTTTTCGGGTTGTGGTGGGCTGTTCATAGGCGTCCTCATCGACGCCGAACAACCGTTCATATTCTCGCAGTGTAGCACGAGGCTGTGAGGAGGTGACAGCAACCTCGACGGCAGTGTCATTTTTACCTGACTTGATTTCCGTTGTTTGATCTTGAGCTGTAGGGTGTTCCATGTTTGATATTCCTCAATAAGGTCGGGAACCTCGGAATGAAGGAGAAAGAGAGTTTTTGGTCACATTCCCCTTCCCAAATATGGGTTTATCTTTACCCCGCATTCTAAGATTGCTGGACTTATCCCCTATTTCCCGAATAAAATGCTTATGTTTATCTTATTAGCCTTATAAGTTACGTGATTGGCGATAGGTATGTGGTCCATTAGGGACTATGTTCTAACATTTGAAGTGGACCCCGTACCAGAACTTAAGATAAGGTGGGCTTCATTGATCGACGTGGGTCATTGTATTCCCAAACTCACTGAAAATAGTATAGAACAGTCGCCAAGCCCTGCCGGCATCCTTTCAGACATTAAAAAACGTCTGAAAAAAATTCAAATCTAATAGAATAAGCAAAACCACTCAAATTTTGCCTGGCCGATAACTGCGCCAAACATCAAAGCCAACTTGCTCATACCACCCATCAAGAGCAACCCAGTCCACAAAGACACCCTCAATACCACGCTGCTTCATATTTTTCAAGGCATGGGAGATGAGTGCCAACCCAATACCAGACGTACGATGGTCAGCATCAACACCGACACAACCAATCAATCCTGTGTTTGGACCACATGTCTGTGGGAATGCCCATCCTGCATTCAACTTGGGACAGGGAGGCAACATTAGCGTCCATCCAACCTGTTGTCCCTCCGAGTCAAAGGCCGTCATCACGCAATGTGGATATTTACTAGGATGTAAAGCAACATATGTCTCAACCCAGCCCTGAAAGGGACGTTAGTCTCGGGGCGTTAATAACAAGAATACGATGACTTAAATACATACCGCTTTATCTGAAAAGTTCTTCCTCTGGCCAACGAGGCATGCCTCATAATCTTCAGACTGCAAAGGAGCAAAGCGAAAGCCACGGTCTTGCGCACGAGTGAAATATTTCTCGGGGGCCCTGAAGTTACGAATATCCTGATAAAGATCCACGGCTCGGGATTCTGGCGGACTGAGACGAAAGCCGCGGTGAGTAAAAAACTGTTGAACCGATTCAGGTAAATCACGAGGTATTCCGGGCCAGAAGCGGGGGAAAGAACTTCCAAGGTCTATAACGTTGATACCGAATTCGTTTCTGAAGTACGAGCGAGTTTCTGTCAAGAGTGAGGTTCCGATTCCTTTACCTTGATGATCCTGGGAAACAGCCAGAACCGCAATATGCACAGTCGAAGGTGGACCAAAAGAATTCAGATAAGCGAGGCAGAAGCCAACAAGCTTTGTGCCGACTCGGGCTACGAAGTGATTCCCATTCTTCCTGTCGACTAAAATGCGAAGACTGTCATCGGGAAGAGCGTATGTTGGGAACACCTCATTCCACAGGGACACAACGTCATCTAGGTCTTTTGAAGCATCAAATGGAGTTATAAAGGCGGGCCTCTTTGTGGTACCTCGGCTAATGGGAAGTGACCCCTTCGGTGTCAACTGACCAAAAATAATTCGCGCGGCCACAGTGAATGCTTCGATAGTCGGCTCATATGTCGTGATATATGTTTGAGCCTCGGGCGTCTCAAGAAAGTCGTATGGGCTACAGGCAGCAATGAAAACCGAGTGTTGAACATGGCGCGGAAGCTCGTTACCAAGGGACTGTTGATAGGGGGCCTCGGTTCCATTGATAGAGACAAAGACGACGGCATCTGCAGTTTTGATATCAGACCATTGCTCATCAGATAGCCCCGTTTCCTTGTATTTGATTTCCGTCACGGAAGGATTGAGGACCCGGAGCGCATTAAGATACGGGGAAGCTTCATAAGCCCCCTGTCGCCCCATTCCTTCGCCATCTACAGCACCTCCTACCGGGATGGTACCTCCGGGGAAAAGAAGCACAACCTTCGATGTTGTTGACAAAGGAAGTATCCCTTTAGTATCGCGAACAACACTCACGGATCGCTCATATATCCCTTTGCAAATTGGTGAAGCTCGGCTGTTGATTGTGTCAAGCTCTTTGAGACCCTTCTGATGCAATGCAGTATCCCAGTCTAAGAATTTGTCTTTGACATGAGCTACGCGGCGACACGCCTCATCCAGACGAGATGAAATGAGGTTTTCAGTTTCAACTGCTTCGCATACCTTTTTGATGGAAGCAACCTGTACATCAAATGTGTGACACAGCATAATACTGTCACTTCCAGCTTGGAGTGCAAGAACAGAGCCTCGTTCAGTTCCAATGGTGGACCGAATTCCATCCATTTCAAGACAGTCTGTTATGACCATCCCATCATAGGCCATGTCATTGCGTAGAATCCCGAGTACCTTGGGCGACAGCGTTGCGGGCAGTGTGTCATCGATGCTTGGCAGAGAGATGTGAGCCGTCATAACAGTCTCGATACCTTCGGCGACAGCGCGTCGAAATGGAAGTAATTCACATCTCTCCAGTTGATCGCGAGTTTTTGGGATAACTGGTAACCCATAATGAGAGTCTGTAGCAGTATCGCCGTGACCGGGAAAGTGTTTCACGCTAGGGACGATATTCGTCTCTCGAAGACCCCGCGCTATTGCACTAGCAAATCGGCCCACAAACTCCGGGTCATCACCGGGGCTGCGGACTCCAATGACTGGATTCAAGGGCTCCGAATTAATGTCACAGACAGGTGCGTAGTTCATGTTGACGCCAAAGAAGCCTAGCGTTTCGCCTGTGAGCTTCCCCGCTTGATAGGCCAGTTCAGGGTCATGAGTAGCCCCAAGAGCCATCGGCCCGGGAACCTGAGTAGCAATTGGAGGAGAGATACGAGTGACAAGTCCATTCTCTTGGTCAATACCAATGAGTAGAGGTCGTTCATGTCCAGCAAGTCGAGCCTCGTTTTGTAGTGCAGAAGTTAAGGCCTTCCAGCGAATGATCAGTATGTTCCATGCAAGGAAAATAGGGAACTCGGGATCTCACCAGAAGTTGCTCGCCATTTTGGAAATTCCGGGAGAAAACAACAATACTTCCGACGTGGTAGTCATGGATGAGTGTTTTGACCTCTGGACTTGGTTCATGGCCATGGAACCCCACCGCGAACAGCTGAATTTGTTAGACATGTTTTGGTTCTGAAAATGGCTAGATAAGGGTTCCAAGGTTCCCATACTTGGCCGACTTTCTTTTGGAGATCTATTGAGCTCATAGTTTCGATGTCCCACGAAGCTCCAAAGGTGTGGGAAGAAGTGCTAAGTTGGCGCGGGGATGGCAGGTTATGAAGTGGAACCGGCTCATCGCCAGTGCGCTCCGTGTCCGTGTCTCCCTCCACCTGCCGATGCAACCTCTTTTTACTCTTGGCTCCGTCCTTTGTTCTTTCTTTTTTACGTGTACAAACATGATAGACCATGGTCGTTCCTTATTTATTTTGTATTAACTTTATCACCTAGGCAACTGTAAGGATCTTCTGAGTCGTGCCTTCTCTATAAACCTTGCACATATGTATGATCCATGGATTTGACCAAACTGACTCAGTGCAGATCGGTGTTTTTCATAGCATCAATTTTAGCACGAGCATTTTTGAACCCTTCGAGTCTGGCCTCTTCCGTCCGGCCACTATCAGGAATGTTCGCACCCTTCTGCGCTGCCCCTCGCTTCTTAATCTCCTCAACCCACTTCTTTACAGCTGGGAACTCCGCCAAGTCGATCTCCAATGCACCGGGAGCCATTTGCACCCAAGAGTAATTCGCAATATCTGCGATTGTGTACTTATCACCAGCAAGCCACGGGCTCTCCTTCAGCCTAATTTCAAGAACAGAAAACAGACGCTTCGTCTCGTCTATGTACCGCTTGATACCATAATCAGAACGCGTATTGGCAAATAGGCGGAAATGGTTAGCTTGGCCTGTAAATTGGAAAGAGTCAGATATGGCTTATAACCTTCGAGTGGCGGTTCAGTTTAGCTCACCTTGCATGGGTCCAATTCCACCAGTCTGGAACATGATCCAGGAAAGCTGCTCAATGTACTCAGGGGTACCAGGCGCGTAGCTTATTTTACGGTCGGTGTCATATTTATCAGCTAGATAGAGCAGAATTGAGCCGCTCTCAAATACGCGCTGGGACCCGTCGGTGATTGCAGGGATGCGCCCATTGGGGTTGATCTTCAAGAACCAGCTAGTTTATCGATATGTTAGCTATGCCAAGGCGATCTCTTCGTTGTGATCACGTTCACCTACTCCTCCTTCTGAATGTTTGTACCGATGTTCATGGGCACAGTTTTGTACGGGAGACCTAGCTCCTCGAGGGCAATAGAGGCTTTGATGCCGTTTGGGGTCGGCCAGCTGTACAAAGTGATGTCGGACATGGTCGCGGTAGTAGAGAATGGTGCTGGGAACGTGGAGGAGAATTGAGACAGTCGTAATGCAGCTTTATAAGAGCCAGAGCTTGGGAAGCGGGGTAACATCATCAAGTGGCGATGGAAAGGGTTATGTAAAATCGAAATATTCTAGAGCTGTCTATGGCGTAGATGCATCGGGGAAATTGGTGGGTCCACAAGTATGTAGGGGAGAAGCTCCGTGACTGGATGGCCTCATATTAGCCTGAGATAGCAATTCGTCTTATAAATTTCAGCATCAGTGCTTGAAGAATTTATGTTTCTCTATTATCATCAATTGATTAGAAATAGATCGCTCATGCTCCAGAGAGATCATTACGGAGTGGCTTTCCGATCAGTAAGCAATCGGGTTTTCGGCATTTTGTTTTCCAATTTCCGAATCTCCTTGACATCATGATCTGTTTTACACACTAGAACAAGAGTCAAGGTTATATTCGAGCTTTTTGTACCTTATTTCAACATTTAGTACTGCCTGGGGCTCATATCTATGTTTCAAGGCATGAATATTCGATCAGAATCAGCCATGGCCCATCAGCGTAAGCCGAATCATGCCACGGCGGCTTTCGGCCCCCCGTCAAGATCTCACCCCGCGAAACGAGATTCATCACAACTTACAAGGATTTGTGTAAATCTGATGCAGAGGATTCATGCACATGTGACATTTACAACATGGTCCGCTTAATTTGGGCAAAGGCGATGACTCTATTTCAGTGGATGACAAGGTATCTAATCCCCTGGCATCATCGAGATGAACCAACTCGACTTCAAGTTCAAAAAATTGTCGCACAAATTGAGAGGCAAACCTGGACAACCCTGAGACTAGAATTTGTGTTTTTTGTCCGACTTTTTCTTTCAGAATCCTTACTAGAGAAAGGATGGAACATCGTGTGTAAGGGATTTGGACCACTGAAGAGCACCGGAACTCCAATTATTACCGCTGGATGGTGGTTGACATCTGTCAAAGTTCCGCTCACTTTTGAGCGTGCCGAATATGCACTACTACTTCAAATAACACCGTGGGGCAAACTTTTAGGGTTTCGCTTTACTTCGCAGCAAGCACTCGGTCTCGCGACTGGCTGGAAGAAACCATGTTATGCCGACAAACCCGTTCGCGAATCTACCATGAAGCTTGGAAGGGGAAAGTTCAAAGTTGAAGGGACACTGTGCCTACCAAATAAAACAGGAGAGCAGACTGAGTTCTCGGGGTTTCCCTGTGTAGTCTTCCTGGCAGGCTCTGGACCATGCGATCGAGATTCTACAATAGGAGAGAACAAACCATTCAAAGACCTTGCATTGGGTCTTGCTTCCCAGAGAATCGCCTCAATTCGATTCGACAAAGTGACTCATACACACCAAAAGACATTTCGCAAGCGCAAGGGTATCACATTGACAGACGAATATGTGGAACATGCTATGGATGCTGTTCTACAGGCCCAGAACCATCCAAACATCCTTCCACATGGAGTTTTTGCTCTCGGACACAGTCTAGGTGCAGTAGTTGCACCAATAATTACAGCTATGAATAATTCCACTGCCGGTTGCATTATAATGGCTGGGCCAGCGGAGCCAGTTTACCGATGTCTTGTCCGACAACTTCGCTACATCATGTCATTAGATGGCCCCGAAGCGCTATATCTCAACAAGCAGATTGATGCTACACAAGCGCAGGCTGAACTAGCAGACAGTGACAAGCTCACATTGTCAACGCCTGCTAAAAAGCTCCCCTTTGGAATAGGTCCGTCTTATTGGCTTGATTATCGCAAATTCAAGCCCATTGAGACATGCGCCTCATTGAAGAAACCCGTACTCGTTATGCAGGGCGATAGGGACTACCAGATCACCATCCAGGATGATTATCGCCATTGGGAGGCGGCTCTTAGTGAGAAGCAGAACGTCCAGTTACGGATTTATGAGCGTTTAAATCATCTTTTCATCTCGGGGAGTGTACCATCGACACCAATTGAGTATACTGTCCCAGGAAACCTAGATGAGCAGGTTGTAAATGATCTTGCTAAATGGGTGACTGAAAATAGCCCGGTCACACCGGAAGCCCAGACATTAATCTGAGTCACATTTCAAGTGGGAGAATACATCTGTGAGAAACGGTGGATACTATTTCGTCCATGGATGTTCCAGTTTGTAATAGAAGTCAAGCTTCAATTTGCGACATTTCCCATTATCCAGAAACAGGCAGTAATCACTTGCACGGAGTCTTTCCGAGCACCAGTTGCTCCCGGTTAGCCTCATTGATATCCCAAAAAGTATATCGCTGCTTTAAGTAAATTAGATGGATGATCCCCACATGGCCTGAAGCCACGCGATTTCACGTTACAACGACACGACAGGGCGATCAACCCGAGCCTCGATGGATTTCGCCGGAGACGGCCAACAACCAAGATACAGTAAGACTTGTTTTTGTTCTAAAATAACAAGAAATTTGTCACCTATGCGCTCAGGGCGGGCTTGGCCCCTAGTGTGACATCTTCCAGCGCGTGACTGTTGTACCTTGGCACTCCTGGGCATACGAAACGCGTGCTTGAGTCGTATCTTGTCGGTAGTTCAGGATTGTGGCGTATAGGCAACGAAACCCTCAAGATCCCGAACCATGCCGGGTCTCAGATTCACCCCTTCGATGCGGAATATTTGCGGGTTCACCGTCGCTCCTTATTTCCCGACCACGGTATGTTGAGCGAGGTTTGCGGGTTTCGTTCGGGAGGGAAACCTTGGCCCGAGGCTTATTGGTGTCAGTACCAGGCCATAACGGTCAAGTGGATCTGAGCGGCCAACCCGAGAGATCTCATGCGTTAATTTCGGGCACAGACAAACACAAATCGCGAGCTTAAAGCATTTTGCGCAGGGCAGCTGGGGCCGACTCCAGGTTTACAATCAACGGCTAGTGCCATACCCCAAACCCCAGACCAACCCCGCTTGACCTCGTGGAGAAGAAAAATGATGTACCACATCTATATAATTTAATTTGGGGGTAAAAATGTACATTTATCGCACATGGAAAAGAGCACAGAGCTTGCCGGATGCGATTATGTCCAAGATCATGACCGTGATCGGTCAGAAACTATTACAGTTACCTACCGGTGGATCGTTACGCCACAAAATCAGCCTGCCGCGACGACGGAAATCTTTCAACAAGGGATTTGCCTTCCTAGGCCGAATTTGGTATGGTCGCTGTGTTCCCGTTTGACTTCGTGATGCATTAATCAAGGGGGCTTGGCCCAGCGAATCACGGGTAGCTGGGTTTCTTAGCCTCGTGCTTTGTCTCCACCGAATAGGGGAGGAAAAGAAGAGTCGAAGAGACACAAGAAGGGGAAAATGGATTCTTTAGCTCTGCTGAGCAACGAAAGTTTACTTTGGAACGACGCCAGTGGCGCTAAGACTCTGTAATATAGAGTAGAACCTCAATAGTACGGGGCGCATAGATCCAAATCCGGCGAGCATGGAAGAGACAGCAGGATCAAGGCGTAACAGCCAATTGTGATGAATCTTAGACTCCCAGGAAATTGAATTTCAGAAAAATTGTGACCTAAATGAGACTTTGGTCTTGACACGGAAATCATGGAGGGGGAAGTTCGTTGCTAACCGATGTAGATTATGGTACTTCCCATGGGATGTAGCTTATTTCACTTCATGGGTCCATTTATTCCCGGGCTAAAGTCTTGAGTCCCGATCTTTTTAATCTGCCACAAGGATGATTGTTTGCGTAATAGTTAAGTGCCGATGCTAATTGTACCTACTGATCGCCAATTTCACAGGGCTCAAGCATCCAGGCCAAGATCACTAGCAGGAGCGATTGATTGGACAGAAGTACTAGACCATGAATATCCCAGCCGAGACTCAGGGACTCGGCCACTAAAACTCAGAGCCCAGACTCAATTTCTCGTCAGTCGTGAGGGAGCCGAGTCGAGAGTTCAAACCTTCCCCGTGGGCAAGTGGGCCCCTCCATGATTACCCCAAGCCTGGGGGTGTGTACTCCGCACGGTGTTTGTTCCGGGGAAATATGGGTCCCATTGAACTTGAGATTTCAAGCGCCAATATGACTAGTTCTGCTCTTGGTATAGCTGTAATGGCCGTTGGAGGCGTTCCCTTTTCGAGCCAATGGTTTTTTGACATTGCCAATCGGACTGGAAGGAGGTAAGATCCCCAGTGAGAAGCATAAAAGGCGTCAGATCCCCGTGGATTTCCTATACATTTCTCGATTATTCTTTTCTTTATTGTGGAGCTACGCCTACATTTCCTAATGTATTTTTGATTTTTGATCTCTCACTTTCCCTCAACCCTCCTCAACCCACTTCATACCTCACCACCCACGCTTACTGATACCACTCACAACATCCACAAAGCCTTTCCATCATCAAGATGGAGAAGGATACTGTAGCGGAGGTGGAGGCGCCACGGTTCGTTCTGCTTCCAAAAGAATGATTATGCATCAAGCACTAACTGTCAGCAGCCTCAGCAGTGATGTGAGCAACGCTGAGAAGGGCCACGTCGAACAGGTGAACCTGCACAACAACATTTCAGCCAAGTAAGTTCTCATGCTTCACAAAAGGCTTAACTGAGTATCCATACTTGACAGATCACTAATTAAAAAAACAGAATCAAGAATCCCTTGGCGGATTTGTCCCAGGCACAAGTGCTCCGAGATGTCGAGGAATTTGCAGTGAAATACCAGGTCACCGATATTCTTCCTGAGTTGAAAAAAGGAGCCTTAGTCGCCAAAGACCCTGCTGCATTTGCATCCGTACCCGATCTCACAGAGGCTGAATCCACTGCGCTGAGCGACGAAGTGCTACATAAGTGGCGCCAGCCCAGGGCTCTCTATTTCACCATTATCCTTTGCTCGGTTGGTGCAGCCGTTCAAGGCTGGGACCAGACAGGATCTAATGGTGCCAACCTTTCTTTCCCCGACGCGTTTGGCATCCCTGAAAGCGCCAGTGTTAAAAACCAGTGGCTTGTAGGTATCGTCAATGCCGCTCCGTACATTGCCAGTGCTTGCTTAGGCTGTTGGCTCTCTGACCCTTGCAATCGAATCCTTGGTCGCCGTGGAACAATCTTTATTTCTGCCATCTTCTGTGTCATTGCTCCTATCGGATCTGCCTTCACTCAAACTTGGCCCCAACTATTTATCGTTCGCCTTCTGCTTGGTCTTGGAATGGGTCTAAAAGCTTCAACCATCCCCATTTTCTGCGCTGAGAACACACCTGCAGTAATCCGAGGAGGCCTCGTTATGTCCTGGCAGTTGTGGACGGCATTCGGTATCTTCCTTGGTTTCTGCGCCAATTTGGCTGTCAAAGACACAGGCTCTATATCATGGCGTCTGCAACTGGGATCTGCTTTCATCCCTGCCGTTCCCTTGGTAATTGGTGTTTTCTTTTGTCCTGAATCACCCCGTTGGTATATCCGACGAGGGGAGATGGGTAAGGCCTACCAATCCCTGTGTCGTCTTCGCAATACTCCCTTGCAAGCTGCTCGGGACCTTTACTACATCCATGCCCAGATTGCAATCGAGCAGAGTGTTATTGGAGACAGCAACTATGTCACTCGGTTTGTGGAGCTTTTCACTATTCCACGAGTCCGTCGTGCCACTCTTGCTTCGTTTACTGTTATGATTGCCCAGCAAATGTGTGGAAGTAAGTAAATTCCGAAGCCCCCTAGGTCTCCTTCGCATTTCTAACATTTCACCTTAGTCAACATCATTGCATTCTACAGTTCAACTGTCTTCAGTAATGCCGGTGCTTCTGACACCGGAGCTTTGTTTGCGTCTTGGGGATTTGGCTTGGTAAACTTTATTTTCGCCTTTCCAGCTATTTGGACCATTGACACTTGGGGCCGACGAACATTGCTTCTATTCACATTCCCTCAAATGGCTTGGACACTACTCGCTGCAGGCTTTTGCTTCTATGTTCCCGGAGATGGTGGAGCGCATTTGGGATCCATTGCTCTTTTTATCTTTCTCTTCGCTGCTTTCTACTCCCCTGGCGAAGGCCCTGTGCCATTCACATACTCTGCCGAAGTCTTTCCATTGTCGCATCGCGGTACGTACTCTCTCCAAGAAACTTTGAGGAGAATAACATAGCTAACTATTTGACACAGAGGTTGGAATGTCCTGGGCTGTTGCAACCTGTCTCGGGTGGGCGGCAGTGCTCTCTATTACGTTCCCCCGTATGCTTTGGGCTATGACTGCCACTGGGGCATTTGGCTTCTATGCGTGAGTGATCCTGGATATTAATCAATTTATCTTGCTTATTACTGACTATCTGGTATTAGTGGCCTAAACGTGACTGCTCTGGTCATGATCTTCCTTTTCGTTCCGGAGACTAAGCAACGCACCCTTGAAGAATTGGATTACATCTTTGCCGTCCCAACCCGAGTCCACATGCACTACCAGGTCTTCAAAGTTTTGCCATGGTGGACCCAGCGCTACATCTTCCGCAGGGATGTGCAGCTAGAGCCTCTGTACAAGCTCGATCACCTAGCCGATAACGAGGAGGTCGTAGCCAACATCCGCAACAACAGCACCGTTGAGAAGATTTAGTACTAAGCGGTCCTATTTTGATTTCAGGTTTGCCAACGAACTTTTTTGATGTGGTTGATGAGAATTATGGATGAGCCGAAATCTGGATTACACATGATAGTATGTGAGATGAATTAAATTTTTGAAGCGATGGCGGCGCCTGCATTGTAACTCCTATTTTTGCCTCACTTAAAGCCACAAAGACGAAGACCCGATCGCTAAGCGCCCGGATAATAAGTCCCCTCCATTCATCGCTCCTAGTAATCTTGATAAGATGGCGTCAGCAGCTTGTTCACCCATACATGAAACGTCCGGTGTCTTGGCATATGCAGTTCATCACTTCTTCGCCGATGCTAGAGCCAGTGTACAAAAGTACCAAATGAGATAAGCAGCATAACAGCCCTCCTACGTGCGACGATCGGATGCTTTATTTAATGTTAATATTTCAAGCCGACTATACCGGTTTTTAACTCCTCTTGGTAAGGTTTTCAAGGATATCTTAATTCTACGCTTTCGAGCAGTATGGCTCTAAGACGGTCCTAAGTGAATGGCTGAGCACTAAAATAGCATCACAGAGAGGGGAAGCACCACGATATGGAACTAATGCATCTACAGGGATCTTGATGCACGGGGCCAAAGGATTGTACTCCTGGTGTCTAATGCCCTCAGCTGTTAGGGGACGCTTCTCATCCTCGCCCCGGTTCCTTTCCCCTTCTTTCTTATTCATTTCCACTTTTCTTTTTTAAACTACTCAAAGTTGACTACAAACCTTAGCAGCACAACGTTTATCATGCCAAGCTCTACTTCCTCTGGAGACAAAGCTTTGAAAGATTTGCAGTCGCAACAGGCAAAGATCCTCTTCGATAAGATTGATGAGTTGCGAACGATTGGAGTCGGTGGTATCATTGAGCTTCCCCAACTGATCGTCTGCGGCGATCAATCCAGCGGAAAGAGCTCTGTATTGGAGGCCATCTCCCGAGTTCGCTTTCCAACGAAGACCAATACCTGCACAAGATTTGCAACGGAGGTGGTTCTTCGTAGAAGTCCAGAGCCCAAGCTAAAGGTCTCGATCGATCCAGGTGATTCTCGAACGGATGACGAGGAAATAGAAAGGCTTCGAGCATTTTCCGAGACTTTGTCAGACAGTAACGATGCTGCTGCGTTCCAGAAGTTGGTCGAGAAGGCTCAAGAGTGGATGGGCATCGATAACACCGACACTTCGCCAACGGGGTTCAGCGACGATGTTCTTAGAGTCGAGATCTCAGGGCCTGAAAAGCCTGAGCTCACTCTAGTTGATCTTCCTGGCATGTATCATGCCAAAAGTAAAGATCAAAATGCCGAAGGGATTGAGTTCGTTCGAAACATCACGGAGAAATACATGGCCAATCCCCGCAGTATCATCTTAGCTGTTCTGAGTGCTAGGTTCAACTATCACCTGCAAGATGTTCTCGATACTGCGGAAATCTTCGATCCGGAGAGGGAGAGAGTCTTAGCCATTGTCACCTCCCCAGACAAACTTTCTTCGGGATCTGATGAGGAAGAAGAATACCTTCAGTGTCTTGGAAACGAGAAAGTCCCACTGCAGTTGGGCTGGCATGTATTGCGAAACCGGGGATATGAAGAACGCAATATGGCCGACGACGAGCGCGACAAAAAAGAAAAAGCCTTTTTTGAAACCGGAAAGTGGACTAATCTTTCTCGGGAGAATGTGGGAATCGAAAGCCTCAGGCTTCGTTTGAGTGACATTCTTTTCAAGCATGTTCGTCGCAACTTGCCGGGGCTAGTCAAAGATATACAGGGCAAGATCACCAGTCACAAACACAACTTGGCAAAGCTCGGTGCCCCAAGATCAACACTGCAGGAGCAAAGATCCTTCCTCGTTGACATAAGCAACAACTTTACGCTTATCATCAACCAGGGCCTTAATGGAACGTACGAACATAGCTTCTTCAAGAGCTTGGATGACGACACGCCATATCCTGACAATCATTGTCGGCTACGTGCAATGGTGCGGGAGCTTAACGAGTATTTTGTCGATGCTATCACTGTCCGTGGCAATGAACGAAATATTCTTTTCCCAGAATCGGAGCAACGCCTATTCATGAGTGACCCGAACAACCCGAGGTTCGATCCCTACAAGGACTGCTGGGTACCAGACGATGTTGACTACAGAGTACTACTCGAGGAAATGAGAAGGAAAGCACGAGTAAACAGAGGCAGAGAGCTTCCAGGGAATTCAAACCAGCTGTTGGTGGGTCAGTTATTCCGCCAACAGTCAACGCCATGGGAGAAAATCGCCAAATTGCACATTGACACAGTTTATGATGCAGTAGCCAAGTTTGTTTATTCTGCTCTCAATTATCTCACAGATAAACATACATTTGAGCCTATATTCAATGATGTTATCGCGCCAGGATTGGAGAAGCTGAGGCTGTCCATATTTGGAAAACTCGAAGAGTTGACCCGGCACTCCAAGCACGGGCACCCATTACCAGTAGGAAGAAATTTCATCACTCGGGTGCAGGGGCTACGGAATGCACGCCAACTTTTCGTGCTCAAAGGGGAGCTTGGTGTTGTTGGAGGAGGATTTGGGAAGTCTTTCACCTCGAAGGATTTAGAGAACGCTACACACAAGATGCGAAGCATGAGTGATGATTTCGCAGCTGTGGATATCATTGACCAGGCTCAGGCATACTATGAGGTAAGGAGCAAAATTGAATACGACTCATCACAACGTCAACACTAATCAAAACCCGCAGACCGCCCTGACAACATTTGTCGACAATATCGCAATTTTAGCAATCGAGAACTGCTTGCTACTTCCCCTCGAATCTACTTTTACAAGTCTTGATGTCAGCAACATGGAGAGTAATAAGATCAGAGCGCTAGCGGGAGAGCCACCATACGTTCGGAGCGACAGAGATCGCTTTACTAGTCAGCTTGAGAAACTAGAGGCTGGGTTGCAAACTCTTAATATTCTGAAGACTGATAGATCGTCCTTAACCACCCCTGTGGTATTTGGTCAGTTTCAAGCATTCGGCTCAGACGCTCTTAGCTAACAAAAATTTAGTATAGTATCCAGAGCCACATCTCCATATGGAAACGGAAGGTCATCCCATAATGCAGATGAAAAATCCTTTAATAGTCATTATGAAAGAGAGAATATTGACTGATCCACTGATTGACTGATGGATATCACAGTTTTTTCTTTCTTTCTTCCTGCCCGTCTCCATGTTTGTTTGTTTTTCTGCGCAGTGCTATGTATCTCAATACAATAGTAAAACTTATGTAGCACACAACTTCTCAGCAGATTGGTAGTCTCGGTGAATTTTCCAGGGTATTTCCAAGCCCAAGCAAGATTGACCATGCCCCAAATTTTGTCCGGGTCATTCAACGTGTAGGGCGATCGGTGCCGAAATTTATTTTGCGCGTCTTCATCGATAGTATCTAGATTAACTTTAACTTGAAGATTCAAATGTGCTCATCGTTTTCCTAGCACCCTTCAAGCCACCGAGTACTACCACGCTCTTTCTTGCATTCATTATTCTGTCTTCTTTTCATTTTTATACATTTTCCTGTTTGCATATATCGGCAAGTCATTAGATCAGTACCCACCACTCAGTGAAGATACGCGTGGTGGTGGAATAAAATTTCGTATTAATGCAAAGAACTGCATGCGTAAAACATTTATCACTGTGCAGGTGCTATGTATTGATTTTTCCCCTCTATATCACACTCATACCTATGCTACTAGCTCACAGCATAAAAATAGGTCTAACTCACCAGATATTCAACTTCAAGTTGCTCACACAGAAATCCAGCGTAGATCCAAGGCATCTGGTAATTATGTTCCGAGGCAAAGTGAGGCCATAGGGGGATTATAGTTAAAACTGAACATTTTAAACAGTCCTCTCGATAGTGATTTCTAAATTGCCCGGGCAGCTTTTTGATCTATTGATTTCTGTTTCCGCGGTGACTGAGCGGGTCCTGGCATCATAACATTGAATTGATCCATGGTAGAGATCAGCTGATGTGGGACATAGGTGAAATGATCAAGGGGCAGATGCCAGAACTCAGCAACTGACAGAAATGATAGATAAAATCAGGCGGGAGACATGAAAAAGTTAAAGCCAGCAGATCATGTAGAAATGATAGATAAAAAACGAAGCAGCTGGACATATCATAGGGTTTGACTAGGTCACGCTCCTGACGACTAATAAGGTGTATCACGTGGGGGTTCGAGATGTTTTGGTCCACTCCCGCCCCTCACTCCCTCCTGCCCAAAAGCATTCCATTGCGCAACTTAGCTCTGTTCGGCTCCATATGGGTGTTTCGATGGTCTTGTCGTCTTCTTGACCTCTACGTTGAATCTCTGAGAGGCAAACCAACTCGTCTCTACGGACCCTCCCTTCTCGTCAGCCCTCCTACGGACCCACAGAAGCCTCACTTCACTTCCCAGCCTCCATATATCAGTAGCAGCAGTGGGGTTCCGACCCAGTGGGCTACTGGGTACTCCTTAGCCAGTCTAAAACATACTATCTTGACCGCCTCTTCTAAAGCTTCCTCACTCCTCGCCGGACTAAAAAACACCGTCAAAAAACGAACCAGAAGGAAAAAAGTCACAACAGCTGATTGTGGTCTTCTAACCTACGTTCGGGCTGTCAAATTTTACCTGAATTCCTCCCTGAGACAGGCTTATCTTCTCTCGAATTCCTGGAGGAGATTCTCTCCTTGTTTTTGAGCTCCGCCTCAAATTTATCCCCTCAAAAAAATAACTATCTCCCCCTCCAACCCCTCTTGACGCGCCGCTATGCCCTGTTTCAAAGGCCTGGCCGTGAGTATCCATACTCCAGATGGCGCCATCTCAGAATACTCTATCCAGCGACAATCGCGTGCGTCTCGTATAGCTTGTTTCATTCCGGTCCCCCCGCCGAAGGTCCCGGATTCTAAGAATGGCAAGCCCGAACAATCAACCTTCGCTATCTCTATCACCCTCTTGAACCCCGGTCAAGATGTCCCTTACTCCACCCCTAAGCCAACCTCCGAGTGCCCATCACCCAAACCGAAAGTCGTTGGCGGCCTGCCGGGAAACACAGGAGAGCGCGGCCAATACTCCGGCGCTGTAGCGCCATACCAGGCCTTGACCAATTCACCCAACGAAACCGTTGCAGCCTACATATACTTTGATGGAAGGCAGAAGGAGGAGGTGGCTACACTGTTGCGGAGGGGAGAAGAGACTTGGGTGAACTCACGCTGGGTTAGCATTCCTGGATCTGAAGGCGGCGGCATTGCCGAGCGCGAGTTCCTGTTCCGAGAGGTCGGCCTGGAACGCTGGCTCAATGGGCTGGATTTGGAAGGAAAAGATGCGGCCGCCAAGATTGAGCGTCGCCGACAAAAAATGGAGAAGCGTCGCGCCAAGCGCCTAGAAGAGGGCCTGAGTATGGATATGGAAGCAGGCGCCTCTTCGAAGCCAAAGAACATCATGCGCTACGGTGGTGATGCTAAGGCACCGCTGGAGAATGTCTCGGATGATGATCTGTCCTCCGATTCTGATGATGATGACCCAATCCCGGAGACTGCTGGCCAGATCAAGGTTGCACTATTCCGCGTACTGGCGTCCGGAGAGATCAAACGGGGTGAATACTCTCCGCAATTTGATGCACACGATGATGACGAGGAAGGTGGCCAGGAGGGCGGAAATGGAGATGCCGATGTGGATCACACAACTAGCTTCGCAAAGCCTAAGTCGCTGGATCCAAAATCTATCAGTACCCAAACCGTCACCGGCATCGACCCGACTGACAAGCCATACGCAACTTTTACATTTATGTATCGTGGTGAACGTAGGTTTTTACAAGCCGAATGGGCTGGAGAATTGAATATCGCTAATCATATGCAACATTTACAGGGCAATTGCAGAAAATGGGCATTTTTAGGGATTCCAAAGCACCAGAAACACCCGCCGCAAAACGAAAGTCTTTACAAGCAGACTTCTCTAGCTTAGGCCCTCTCAAACCCGGCGGGACAGTTGGATTCCTCAATTTTAGGGATCAAGAAACCGCACGTAAGAGCAAGAAAGGCGATGATGAAATGGACAGCGATGACGATGACACCGATAATCCCATTCTGAGCAAAGCGGACGACGAAGAAACAAAGGACGATGACCAATTCCTCTCTCCGGACGACATCAAACGTCAGGGAGAACTGGAGGAAGGTGTACGTAAGATTCGGGTACGTTCTGTTACTATTTTATACTTTAATACTTATATTTGCTAACAACCCAACAGTTGAAGCGCCAACACTCCGCTGAGCCGTTCAATAGCGGCGGCGAGAACAACTCTGCCGATAGTCCAGCTTCTGGTACAACACCCCCAGCGCCCGAGCGTGCCACGACACCACCTAAAGCTACCATCAATGCCACAGCGGGTCCCTCTGAGCCTTCTCAGCCTCTCGCAGACTCAGCCGCAGCCGCCGGGTTTATTGGCAGTCCCTTGAAGAAGCAACGGGCCAGCGTATCCGCAGCTGACGAAAATGCGCTCCGACGCCGTATTGCGGAGTCCTCTGGACGTATCAATGAGGTGCTGGGCACAAGTACGAATGAGACTACGCCCGCCACCACATCGTTTGGTGATAAGATCAACTCCGCGGATTCAGCAGCTCCACTCCAAGAAGATGAGGAGCTATGATCTTGAAATTGTGACCGGTGGCTCTTTGCCCTATTCCTGGAGTCTGGGATGGGCGATCCTGGATTCATAGACTTTTTTTTGCTGGAACCTTATTATTGCACCACTATGAGCCTTTCAAGGAGCGACTGGGCCTTTATGCATGCTCCTTCTTTTCTTCTCCTCTCCTTTTCTTTCTCCTTCACCATTTACGCCGTTATGTCCAAATCAACACCACAGGAAGCATTCGGAAAGGGAAAATACATTAGCTGCGTCACCTATGAGTGACTTGTTTATAAGTTAGTATGCAGGGGATTATTTGAAAAAAAGAATATCAAACCGGCATGATCTATCTAATCTTGCAATTCTTGGTTGTAAACCGAGTACTGTACCTATTTTCCAACCTTAAGCTCACATAAGTATAAAATCAGACATGGCGGTAGAGCACCTAAGCACAATAGATCCGCAATTTCAAGCTGTGGAATTTGTCCGTGACACTAAATCATGATTTATGCAGAACCCAATACTCAACTTCGCTAAACTCAACTTGCCAGAAGATGTTCGCAAGGGGCTTTCCACGCCCGTCGCTCACGGTCTCATCCGCCATACTCAAGAAACAGAACGTTCGGACTCGGCCCGCTTGTTTTCTCCACCAGGTCATTCCAACTCCATCCACCTTTTTTTTCCCCCTCGGGCGCGCATCTCAACGAGGAACCAGCATTGACAAGCTAGCTAGAGAATACACACTTCCTCAACCCCGCGCACCACTCCCATCATGTCTCTGACGCGTTCAACCGACCCCTTGGTCTGGATCGACTGCGAAGTAAGTTCCCTTCTGCATGAGACTACAGCAACTTGTCGCGCCCACGAAAAAGATCAGGAACACAACACTACGAATAGCAAATACTCATGACTATACTGTGCGCAGATGACCGGTCTCGACTCCGAAAACGACCAAATCCTCCAAATATGTTGCTTCATCACCGATGCCCAGCTCCAAATCCTTGACGATGCCGGCTTCGAGACCGTCATCCACCACCCCGACTCCACCCTCGACGCCATGAACCCGTGGTGTATTGACACGCACGGTCGCACGGGCCTCACGGCCGCCGTCCGCGCCTCGACCACCAGCCCGACCGCCGCAGCCGAATCCCTCCTTGCCTATATCCAACGCTACGTCCCGACCCCGCGCACTGCTTTGCTGGCCGGGAATAGTGTACACGCTGATAAAGCGTTCTTAGTACGGGGGCCATATGCTGCTATCATGGAACATTTGCATTATCGTATTCTGGACGTGAGTACTATTAAAGAGGCGGCGAGGCGCTGGGGTAGTGAGGAGTTGTTGGCGTCTGCCCCGCCAAAGCAGGAGGTACATCTGGCCCGCGATGATATTTTGGAAAGTATTGCAGAGATACGGTACTACAAGGAGAAATTATTTAAGTAATTATGGAGCGTTGTACTCTTTTGTGTTTCATTTCGATGTTTTATGATACCAATTTCAAACTTGACGAGAGAATGATGTATTCGTGTTTACTAAGTATTTTGGATTCCAAGGTTAATTCTTGGTGGGGAGCTCAATGCTCCGGTGTTTGGGTTTTAGGGGAGATAAAAGCAATCACAGAGGGTTGTAGAGACAAAGGGTAGCTTGAGAAGCATAGAGACAATATCTCAGATCAATATACTACATTTGAAACCAATTGAACCCTTTGGTGGCAAAAGAAAACCTCGAAAATTGAATATGCGCCATGTCTTAGAACCGTAAGTGGGATGATCAACACATGACGCCAACCCCTCCTTCTTTCTAGTCGCTCAACTTTCGCTTCCTTTTCCCCCTTCAACCCACCCCTCTTAAGTTCACCATGTCAGTCCAAACTGTTTCTATTCAACCCTTCACTGACCAGAAGCCGGGAACGTAGGTACTTCCTTACCCCAATCTGTGTCCCATTCCTCTTCCCTGACAATGTTTCAGTTCTGGTCTTCGCAAGAAGGTCAAGGTCTTCCAGCAGCCCCATTACTCCGAATCCTTCATTACCAGCATTCTGCTCTCAATCCCCGAGGGTGTCAAGGACTCCTTCCTCGTCATTGGTGGTGATGGCCGTTACTACAACCCTGAGGTGATCTCCAAAATTGCCAAGATCAGTGCCGCCTACGGTGTCAAGAAGCTCTTGGTAGGACAAAATGGTATTCTCAGCACACCTGCTGCTAGCAACCTGATCCGCGTTCGCAAGGCCACTGGTGGTATCTTGCTGACTGCCAGTCACAACCCTGGTGGTAAGTTAGACAATCGTTGTCCCAGCGCTGTTACCTAGGACAAGCTACTAACACGATGCAATTGCTAGGTCCGGACAACGACTTTGGTATCAAGTACAACTTGGCCAATGGTGCCCCTGCCCCGGAAAGTGTTACCGACAAAATCTACGAAACCTCCAAGTCCCTCGCCTCCTACAACTATGTCGAAATCCCTGATGTCGACACCTCGAGCATTGGCTCCAAGACCTACGGTCCCCTCGAGGTTGAGGTTGTCCACTCGACCGCCGACTACGTTACCATGATGAAGGAGATCTTCGACTTCGATCTGATCAAGGATTTCCTCAGCTCCCACAAGGACTTCAAGGTGCTCTTCGATGGTATGCACGGTGTGACCGGTCCCTATGGCGTAGACATCTTCGTCAAGGAGCTTGGCCTGCCAGCCAGCAGCACCATGAACTGCGAGCCTAAGCCAGACTTCGGCGGTGGTCACCCAGACCCTAACCTCGTGTATGCGCACGAGCTTGTTGAGGCCGTTGACAAGAACGGTGTGCACTTCGGTGCCGCCAGTGACGGTGACGGTGACCGCAACATGATCTACGGCGCCAACACCTTCGTCTCTCCCGGTGACAGCTTGGCCATCATTGCCCACCACGCCAAGCTGATCCCCTGGTTCAAGAAACAGGGTGTTTACGGACTTGCTCGTTCCATGCCCACCTCCGGTGCCGTTGACCGTGTCGCCCAGGCCCAGGGTCTCCAAAGCTATGAGGTTCCCACTGGCTGGAAGTTCTTCTGCAACCTGTTTGACAACAAGAAGATTTCCATCTGTGGCGAGGAGAGTTTCGGTACTGGTAGCAATCACATCCGTGAGAAGGATGGTGTCTGGGCTGTCGTTGCCTGGTTGAACATCATCGCTGGTGTATCCAAGGAGAAGCCCGAGGAGACTCCCAGCATCGCTTCCATCCAGAACGACTTCTGGAAGACATATGGCCGCACATTCTTCACTCGTTTCGACTACGAGAACGTTGACAGCGACGGCGCCAACAAGGTCGTCGCCACTTTGGCCGATGTCGTTGCGCAGAACACCCCAGCTGGCGCTGGCGCTGCCATTGAGGGCCGCAAGGTTACCGACGCTGGTAACTTCTCCTACACCGATCTTGATGGCAGTGTTTCCAAGAACCAGGGTCTTTACGTCAAGTTCGACGATGGCAGCCGTATCGTTGTCCGTCTGTCTGGTACTGGCAGCAGCGGTGCTACTATCCGTCTGTACATTGAGCGTTATGAGAGCGATAACTCCAAGTTCGGTCTGAGTGCCCAGGAATACTTGGGCGAGAACATCGCTTTGGCTTTGAAGCTTCTCAAGTTCAAGGAGTATGTCGGACGCGAGGAGCCTGATGTCAAGACCTAAGTGATTCATTGTCACTTGGGCAGATTATCGTGTCACCCGCTGGATGGGGGTCACGGCTTTTATTCTTCAAAGTTTGATATACGAAGTTGATACGATGGATGACTGCAGAAACAAAGTATGAGATAGAAATAACAATATCGATTTGAGTAATATTCAGTTTGTTCCGCACTTTGTCAGTTGGCAAATAGTAAACGCATTATACTCTGCGCATTCCAGGGCTTTAAAATCACATATACAGGCTCTTCTCCTTTTTCTTCTTCCTATTTTTCTACCACTCCTTATCTATGATTACCATCTAACATATATCTACTACTTAGTGTTCAAATATGATATTGTCTTGATATAGTGAGATGTTATAACTTGGTATACAACACATTTTGCCGAGAGGTTCTAATCCAAGGCCCTTTAGCCTAAACAATTTATATTCATGGAAAATGGACTTATGTGGATGTAGGTATTGTGTTGAATGAAAACTGGCTATAACATTGAACAGAATAGAGTTTAGATAGAAGTACAATTTATCAATGAAGGAGTAATTCTTAATAGTTCAACGATGCAATACTGATGGGTCTATTTATTTCCAACCTTCGAAGTCTTAAAGCAAGTCAAAAATAAGCATCTCTTATTCCTCTCATTTCTGCAGTGAGGATCTCTAATGCCTCTCGCTAAAATGAACGTTGATCGGTGGTGCATTATGCGCATGGCGAGATCCAGCAGAAAGCCTGCGCGATAGTAAGTTGTGACTATCTGTGTTGATATTTTCTAGTAAAATAAAACAACTTAAGTGCTGATTTGGGTCTCTACGATAGTTCAAGGCTTCGAAGCAGCATCGAATTCCTTAGCTGTTCTTGGTAAAGCTCCCGATATCATTCATAATGTTATAACCCATATCGAATTTAATGCTCAGATCTAGTAGGCGCCACCGCTTTTGCTAATGACTTCTGCTGGCGAAGATTTATTCAGCACTTTGATAACCCTCCCCCGTCTTGATAAACTGATTGGGGTGCTGCAGAAGACACCGAAGCCAAGATACATGTATAGAGCAGGTAAGATTCCTTCAGAAGTCACCCATCGAGTGTTACCTATTAAACAGACTATTCAAGATTGTAATCGCCCGCCAGAGATGTTTTCGGCAATCAAGACGCTAAATTTTCGAGACATCCGGCCCTTTCTTCAGTCTCGAAAGGCCCGAAAAAATACCCCGCGGCCTTGAGGTAATGAGTGTCGATTTTAATACAACCTCTCATGCCGACACTTTTGCCTTACTTTCAATGAAACTTCGCTTCGCTGTCGCGACAAAGCTTTCTACTGCTGAGTTCTTTCATCTCAGGCTTTCGTCAAAAGCCATGGCTCCTCTATTTGAATGCGAGCAATTCTGGAGAACAAGGTTTTTGCTCCACGGAGAGCGAGGATATTTGAATTTCCTTACCGAAGAGAACTATCAAGATTGGAGACTTCTATATCGGTGCACTCGCTCAAAGTTTGTTTGGCCTCTCAAGCTTCAGGATTGGAGAAAGCAATGGCTCACTAATGAGAACATACGTGATCATTATGTGATGATCGAAGAGCCAAGTACAGCTCTAATAGATAGAAAAATGCAATCAGCAGAATTCGATAACAGTTTGCAATGGGAAAAGCAGCCCCCCCCCCCCCACCCCAACTCTTGTCCTTACTATCTACATAATGCTCGGCACGTTGACTTTCTTATATCTCAGCCTATATCGGAAATCTCCGATACCGTATATTGCTTATGTGGTCGACCAGCGTTTCGTTTGAAATCCCATACAATTGCGAATCCTGCCTCAATTTTGGAGATACATATTTCCGTCCTCGTCGATGATGAGCTCACATATATAACGGGATTCGATTTAGTTCACGGATTTGATGTTCCAAATACAGCCTTTGGATACAGAATCCCTGGGAAGCAAACCACTGTTCGTCTTCGTGATCGACAATTCAAGGGCTTCGAAATGAAAATGAATATAGACGGGGTCCGGGCCCTAGGACTCATAACGGATGTCGATGACCTTATCAACTATGATTGGGTCGGTCAACATGAGGGACCTGAAAGTACAATGACGAGGCGAGTCACTTCTAATGATCATATTGCTGCTATTTCAGGAGAGTTTCAGGTTAGCGACGGCTTTCTTTTGTTCAAATAAGCTTTTCCTCATATAGATTGCGTGTATTAACAAGGGTATTGCTTTACAGGATCAAAAGTTGATGGGCCCAGCAGTAGGTTCAATGGCTAAGCCTGTCACTACTGTTAGCGATGATAAATGTGTCCATCAAATACGAAGAAAATCAATCTATACGTTTAAATTGTCCATCTATCTCTATTATTTGGATAGCAATTTACTTGATTGAGGTAAAAAGATGTGGCTCCTATGCGTTACTCGGCACATGAATCGCTCCAAAAATCTATGTTTGTAGGTAGTATGATTCCATGGCGTTCATCAATTGGCCTAAACGATACCATAGTATTCAATCGTTCAGCTTCCCTTGAATTACTTGCAATAAAACAGCTTCTAAGTAGTTATTTATTGATTATAATCTTCGTTCTTGGCTTCATGTGCCCTGCAATAGTTGAAATGTATGAATCTTAAATTTCACGTACGAATTATAAAAGCGCATTCATAACCTCAGACCCGTTCTTAGCGTCTGTGTTGACTCTCTTAACAGTCAAGATAATCACGAACGATAGAAGGCGATGAGGATATGAAAGGGGCTAAATGGCCTAGAATATCCGCATTGCTGTCTTAAATTACCTAGATTCCAATTCCTTCTTTTCGATGCTAGGCTCTTTTCATGGTAAAGTGGATGCTGATGTGTATGTAGTATATCTTGATGAAAGCACTGTTAGAGGACATATACGCCCGTACTACTAGTAGTAGATAAAATGCAGTGATAAATTAGTAGCCAAATCAGTATAAAAGCTTCAAACTCACTTTTTCTTCTTCCTTCTCTCTTCCTTCTTCAGGCGAAATTCTTTCCAGATCAACTGCGAAGAACATTCATATACACTTAAAAGTTACAATTACCAAGACGAAAGACCAATCGCCTATCACAACCAGCATATCCCCTCTACCACCATAACACTTCCTATTCGCCAAAATGCCGGTAAGCACCATTTCAGATATCCAGAGCGATTACACTAACAGTCTTTTCGGCTGAGGGACGACGAGACCTTGGATATACACCTTGAAAAGGTGACCGAGCGAGGGTCTCTTGAAGTCGTTGTGGATGATTCTGGGTACGCATTTTTGAACTCCTATTCTCTGCACCAGACCAGTACACACACCAGCGTGAAGCGTACACTGGCACTGGGTCACGCACACGAGCAAGCGTCTCCGTAGCAATCACCATGTCTTCATCTTAGTACGTGCTTTTGGATTGCCCCTTTTGTTATTCTTCTCAAATTGCGCTGCTTTTTTTCCCCTGCAATAATTGCAGTATCATCATTCATTAAGCTTCCAATGTTATCATGATTAATATTGTATCCAAACCATTTCACGCTCTCAGAGATCACCAGCTGAGTCCTTCAACTTCTGTGACCACCAATCTCCCCAGCGCACAACACGCTCACTTCTCCTGGCCTCCTCAGCTGCAAAGACCACTGCATGACTACGGACTGCTTCTTCGAGCGTACAGCCAACAAACCTGGCCTGGGCAGTTTGAATATCCAATTCCCCATTCAAAACAGCCTGAACAGCGCTAACATACTTTCCTGCAAGTCCATAGTCCCCGCCCCCATGCGACTCGGCCCTCTCAGGCGGCGGCTTTGGCACATCGTGCACAATAGTTGTTCCAGACGCAAAATCATAAATCGAGATAGTATAACTGTCATACTCAATTTCTCCCGTAGTCCCATAAACCCTTCCTCTTCGCTCACACTGTTTCTCCGTCGGCGCGACCATATGAAAAGAAGCAGTTTTCGCAAGACGATGTGGTGAACCCGTCTGATCATCCCACGCAAAAGTGACCACCTGATCATCCATAACGTCATTATCTGCCTCATATACACAGCGTCCATACCAGGGGCGTGCCGCAATATCTCCATCACTCTGCACTCCAAACTGATAATCTTCACTCAATCGAGACATCAAATGCTTCTCAGCTGCATCGGCTCCCTGCGCCGAATACACATCTTCGATATCAGGGCAAACAATATCAACTGGCCACCCAGTATGTCCCCTTCCAAGATGCCGGTCCTTGTATATTCGCACCGCGCTATAGCTGCACTCTCGCTCCGCAGGGCAAGAAACACAGGTAGTAGCGTCGCCCGCTGTAACAGGTTTCCTTGAACGTCGGAATTGTGTCAAGGTTCCAGCTGATGAGATACTCCGTGGGAAATGCGGGGCAGATCTTTTCTTCTGTGCTTCTTCTAGACAAGTAGGGGAACAGAGTAGCCATAGGATAAAATCAATATCATGACATGATTTCGTGAGCAAAGAGCCGTCACCTGCTGCTGTGGCACGACGCCAGTTACCGCGCACATAGCTATGGGAGAAATGCCACCATCCTACGGGCTCGGTGTGCTCGAGTGAGACTATATCGCCGATCACGCGATCTTGAAGTAGTAGCTTGCGAAGTAAGATATTATGTGGGCTGTAGCGGAGGACATGGCCAATGGAGAAGATGGCTGTTTGTTCACGGGGAGCTTTGGTAGGACCCTCGGGTGGTTGAAGGGTACGATAGACAGTCAAGCAGTCTTTCAGTGAAAGAGCGAGAGGTTTCTCGCAGAGAATATGAAGATTCAATGGGGCAATGGCCTGGATAACCCCAACATGAGTTTCGTCCAGTGTGCAGATGAAAACTCCGTCCACACCTAGAGGGATTGTGTCATCACCGCTTTGAGAAGCTTGTTTACGTCGCTCGGTCTCCCAGGCTAGCCAGTCACGCCAGTCGGTAAATTCTTGGCCTTTGCTTGGTGTTCCTTCTGCGCCCCAGATGTAGTTTCGGCCAAATTCGCGCCGCTTGAAGGGGTGGGGCTCGGCGACGGCGTGGACGTTACCTGGCGTTGTTCTGGTGACGGCACGTGCGTAGGCGTTTCCTCTGGAACCAGCCCCAATTACTAGGAAGCGGCTTACTCTTTTTGTCGAAGAGCTGGACAGCTGTGAAGGGATATCGGGTAGAGGGACTTGAGCTTCTTTCATTTTCGCGTGGTAAAGACAAGGATTGGGCTTTATAATCCAAGAATTATAGACAAGCTAGCAGGGACTGATCATGAAAGAATAAAACCATGGATTAGGCTTATCTGTGCAATTTTATATTGCTATCGGTGAGTTTGAGGTTGCACCGCGGGGCGTGTTGCAGTGCGGGGGAGATGGGACATCAGCAAAATCAGACGAGCGCTGATTGGCCCCGGCTTAACTATAAGCTTCATTATCTACGTTCATAGAGAATGCAACATTAATAAAGGGAAAATCAAATAGTAGAGAGGATACCAGGAGGACTATGAGTAGAAAAGAAATATTAAGCGCTTGAGATCAACATGATTTGTAGAAACTTGGCAGCACAAATCCCCAGGACGATAAGTGGATCCTCCGCCCTTCTATCCAATTTTGCAAGTGCTCGAGCCTTCATCTTCCCTTTCCCCATGACTACTTATACCAGTCACTCATTCAAGAACTTCAATCTCAGTACCTAGCTCTCCTCCATGTCTTTTTCAATTACCAGGTTACCAGAACCCTAATTTCCGAACGTGCCTAGGTGACGAAACCTCATAAAATCCGGGACTAGGTCCCTTTCTCCCTTTTGATGATTTGATTGTCCGTGGCATGCTCAATAATAGCATGCCGAGTCATGGAATTGAGATAATCAGTACAGTCGTGTTTCCTAAGAATGACATGATACTCAGAGCTACCCTTCATCCAGCTGGAAAAATAAGAACTGGATCCAATAAAAGGGACATTAGCGTACGCTGATATAGAGGAAATGAAATTCTGGGAGACAGGGAGATATACTACCCCTGGAAATGGAGAGGAAGACGCTTTAGTTCATGAAGCAATGCCTTTGCAAGATGTGATGGAAGATCTTCACCTTGGTGCAAGAGTTTGGAGCCCACATGAAGAGGAAGACCAGGGTAATTTTGTAGTTTCAACATATCGTTTTCTTCTTGATAAATGAGAAGGATACACGAAGCGACCTTGGCCATTTTTGGAATATTAGGCGTCTCCATGCGGAAATGCTACTGAGATGGGCGTGGGTGTACACTGTTTGCGTAAGGATAGAAGTGAAGAAAATGAAGGTTTTCAAGATATGGAGTAGGATATAAAAAAGGATATAAAAAAGTACAAAGAAATTATGTCATCTAAATATGCAGAGATAATCAGGCGATCTCCAAGGTTCCAAATAATATGGGTTGTCATATTGATAAAGAGTGTGGCATATCATCCCTATGATTTTCTAAACAAAGGATAAGTGAAATAGATCAAACGTCCAGCGCTCCAGCACTGCAGGGTCAAATGGTCTAGGTATCTCGATTCTAGTAACTGTATACAAAATAGACAGTATCTTCAAAATTCAATTGGTGATACAATAAATTATTCCATATTAAAGATACATTCATTCAAAAATCCAGAATTCACACAGGTCTCAAGGTATTTAAAGCTCTCGGCATTCGAAAAATCCACATGGCTTTTCTCCTGGGGCCCAGGCCTCCTCCCCACTAAGCCCCCGCTAAGTCCCCACATCCCCGCTTAAAGTACGTCCAAACTATTCCAAGAGACTAGACACTCCGTGTAAGATCACTGATTGGCGGGGTAGGGTGGAAGGTCTGGGTGATTGATAATATCTGGCTTCTTGAGAATCACGAAATAGCTTCCAGAGAACCAAGCCCGATTAAATGCACTGGAGCCAGATAGAAAGACAATCGTTAGGGATCACACGACAAGTGTAGTATGAATTGACGAAATACGGGGAATTGATACATACTGGCCAGTGAAAAGATTGGAGATGTCCTTGCCTATCGCTCTGTAGTGATCTGGCTGAAGGACCTCATTTGTCTTCTGTAATAATGGAGATGCATCGTCGATCTCGAGACCAGGATAGTTGGCAAGCTTGTATTGGTACGTATTTTGCTTGGCATCGTGCAATTTGCTGTAAATGACCAGGATGTAGGACGGCGGCATCTTGAGAGAATAAATGAGCAATCAACGATATGTAGGGGATCTTAAAGTTATAGATGAAAGTTATAACTCCGCGACAGAAACAGGCTGACCCCTGTTCCGTGATGGTCACATGATAGTTCGATCTGGCCCCGATCTGGGGCTATCCTGGGCTTGGATAAGTGTCATGTGCTGTGCAAAATAAGAAGAAACAAGACATTAATGCCGATGCGCTCGCTAATATGGAACGTCGAGAAGTGGGGTTTCCAGAGGGTTCTGGTGACAGGAGGTAGAGGAGTGCACGGTAGATGGCGGAATTAGATAACTTGCCAATACTCCTCGGTACACTAGTGGGGTAAGAAGATGAAGGGAACGCATATCGAACTCACCCGTTCTTTCAGGTGTACTTTTATTTCCTAATAAATGCCCAGAAAAAGCATACCGCTAATGAGCAAAGCGATACCAATTCGAATTCATTGGTCGGTAAGATAGTGACAAGACAATTTCTCTTAGTTAAATGCCAAACAGAACTGTGGCCTAGAGCTAGCACATAGCCACTCCTCATATATTTATTACCAGTCACGGCTACATACATGTTACGCTCGATCCAGTGGGGGTGTAAAGGGGTGAATCCGGAGTAGATGGTCTCTTAATAATCACAAAAATGTAGTTGTAGTTTGGTTCGGAGCTGGGCTTCCAAGCCGAGTAAAGTTTTCTAAAGCTCTATGATCAGATATTGTATGGACTCATGGTGGAATTGAGGAGATCAGGGTAGGATATGGTCTTACGAGCCATGAAATACAGATGCGTGGTCGTTGATATTATTGGCTATAACTTTGTAAAGCTCAGGCTCATGATCACTGGAACCCTTATGCAGAAATTGGGATTTGTCGTCAATTTCGAGGCCGGGGTAGTTAAAGAGCTTGGCAGTCCAGCAGTATGGATTTTTTACATTGTGGTATTGCTGGTAAATGAGTAAAATACAATATGAGCGTGCATGTTTATAGTGTGAAGAAGACAGTTGATACCACTGAGGAGTATAGTATTTGGATATTTGAAAGATCTGAAATATTTTATGCCATTATAGGAAATAAAACAAATTATTGAACAACTTTTATTTAAAAAATTGGGAAAGATGCAAGGCTTTGTTACATGCTGACTGTCTTTGGCCTTAAAGGTGTCAGGATGATGAAATCTAATCGTGGACAGATTGATGATCGAAACACATTATCAGTTAGAAATTTTTTGGTTTCTTTGGGAACCTTCAGATATTACGAGACATAAAAAATAGGTTGAAGAGTTCCAAGGTTCGTATCAAGAACAAATATGTAGGTTGCTGCGGAGGGGCCCAAAACCCCAGAATGCCATATTTGAGGTCTTAATCGCCTGTCAAGAATCTTTTGATCCACCACATTTCCAAAGTTACCTTTGGAAAAGGTTTAGTGAGGGAGAACTTCAATAAAAACATACGAAGCTAAATAAAAGTTCTGCGACATGCATGCATTATCTGTACTCTAGAGTATCAAGGACCAAATGCCACAATGATAACATTTAGCGACCAAGTTTACTTATTTTTGAGGAGCATACAGAACAACATAAAAAGAAAGAAGACCTCTAGGGAAGCATAGTCAAGTATTAAAGGAAGCTTTCGTCTCAGCATCAATGGCTTGAATTGGTCGTAGGTTGCTTTGCTGTGTATTTCGTGTTTGGTGTTTGATATCTTTTATCTATTCAAAATCCTTTCAAATGTGGGGTATACGGATCTCAATAGTCTGGGGAAGAAAATGCCTAAGAATTGGGATTAATATTCGTCATTGGGTGGGAAACGTGCATACCAGCGGTATGCGTACCATGTTCTCAAGAAAAGTGGGTATTACTCAATGGAGATATTTATTTACAAAATCTATTTTGTATACATCGTTCCAGTGCTGTTTATCAGGTACTGCCATAGGATAAAAAACCGGTTTATGGGGCCTCAGGAACATCAATGGAGAAAGCTGCATGCAGGTATGTGGTTCCATGCACTGACTGAGGGGGAGGGGTTGACAGGCCCCACGTATACTGCAGATCATCTACAAGTTTATCTAACTTATCTATGAAAAAAATATGGGGAAACAATATTTCAAGTCTCTTGCAAAAGGAGGTTGCATGACTAGCTCGGTAGACTGTCTAGATTACATCGCGCAAGAAGGGAAGGCCATCAGGAAATGGCACCGCCAGTCTGCAATTACTGCCCCAGAGACGCACGCTCAAATGGAGACAATGCCGCCTATCAAAACCAAATCAAACACGTCGATAATTTATTCCTCACCGCAGTTGACGATGGTGGGCTTGACGGAGGAGCGAACGGCACCGGAAGAGGAACCGAGGGCCTCAATCTCCTTCACGACCTTCATGGAAGCCTCATCGGCGACCTCGCCGAAGACGACGTGCTTGCCATCGAGCCAAGAGGTGACGACGGTGGTAATGAAAAATTGGGAGCCGTTACTGTTGAGGAGAAATAGTCAGATTTATGTTCCTTGTTTTGGAGCGGGGTCGGTGGATCTGAGCGCAAAAAAAAACGAAACAGGAATAAGAGAAACTTACGTGTTGGGGCCGGCGTTGGCCATGGACAGAAGACCGGGGCGGACGTGCTTGTGCTTGAAGTTCTCATCGGGGAACTTATCGCCGTAGATTGAGCGACCGCCAGTACCCTGCGTCACAGAAATTAATTAGCCAATGCTTGATTGTGATGTGAATTGGACCAAGACCAGATCAAGTTGGTTCGGCAGCCATTGCCGGCGGGTGATTGGAGAAAGTGGAGGGGAAAGCAGCTTACGTTGTGGCGGGTGAAGTCACCACCCTGAAGCATGAACTGGGGAATGATACGGTGGAAACCGGAGCCCTTGTATCCCTCACCCTCGGGCTTGGAGCAGAGCTCACGGAAGTTGCGAGCAGTCTTGGGGACGTCACCCTCGTAGAGGTTGAAGTTAATGCGGCCAGTCTTGGCTAAAAGGAGTGTTAGAATTGGTTTCTTTTCAGGTTGAATATCATGCAGACAATCAATGATTCCCGCGGCAAAAGAGATGGAGGCTCAATTGACGAGAGCGACGAGTGACAGAACTTCGATCTGCCCCTCTTTAGGTCTTCAGATAGAATCTGGGGAAACTTACGAGCGCTGGAGCCGACTGGGGCGTACTGGATCTCGAAGAAAGCCTTGGTGTTTCCGGACATGGCTGCGGATGTAGATGAAAATGATCTAGTGGCAGGGTGGAAAGAACAATTGAGAGATGAGAAGAAAGAGGGTGGGGTTGACTTGAGGCGGCAAAACATGGTGAGGGGCACAAGGCGGAGCGGGACAACCTGGGAACCGGGCTGGAATGGGGTTAGCTTTTTCGGGATACCAAGGAGACCAATAATGTATTCTTAGCGCCTCAGGCATCAATCTCAAGAATCCTGCCATCGAAGTATCGCGCGTTTCTGCCAATGGCAGCGAAGGTTCATTGGGATTTGAGGCGTAAATGGGTAGAGTTGGATATTCCAATCCATTTGATATCAACCATACTTACATATTATACAAGAAGAGGATGGGGATGACGGTGAAGAGAGACTATAGGGGGAAAAATTGTAGCTCGACTCAGAAAAGCTGTCCGGAGCTCCGTGATTAGTCATCCCGGGAACTCCGTTCCGGGGAAGCTAGGCCATTTCTACTAATAAATAATCCCACTCCTTGCTACCTAGAATCGGTGGGTTCTCGGTCTAATCGGCTCTCGTAATACCTTCGTTAAGGTAATTCTAGAGGCTTAGATAATATTATACCTAAGCTCTAAGATGTATACTTAACATATCATAAGGCTTTAACCAAAGCTAATATAGGTGCGATTCCATAGGAGGACGGTACATAAGGAGTGTAAAATTTAATGTGGTGGAATTGAAGTGATATACTATGGCTCTTTTGTAGTTTTACATGAGCAATACAATCGATTCTGCCGTTCTTTTTACAAGGAGTGGGATTATTTATCGGGGTGACTGTAGTATACTGCGCGGATACAACAGTCTTCAATGTTGAGTATTCCTCACCCAAGGTTGGATAAACGGTGTTTTATGGTATTCATCTATGTTTATGTTTAAGCTTCAAATTTTTAAGCAAAACAGATTAATGGGGCCAAAAATCCTATTTCATGTGCAATGAAAGGGCTAGACCCAGTGGCTCCATAGAAGGCAGGAAAGGGAATGGTGGAGAAATTAACAGCATAAAAAGGTGACTACCAAGAAAGGCAGTGGGAGAAAGAATAAATAAATAGTGGAAAATAGGGCACAGAAGAATGAAAAGAAGTAAAGAATCTCCAAAGCACTGTAGAAATAGAAATACAACAAATGTGGCCTTAGGGGAATCCAAATGCCGAAGAACAAACATGCAAAGAGAACAAGAAACCATTGATTGCCACGCGTACCAGGACATCATTTCGACATTGTCAGCTTATTTGCCACAGATGAGAGTCGCTCAAAAGCCAGAGAAAGGATGAAAAGTTGAAAAGGTATGGGGGGGGGGGGGGGAAATATAGAGAGAAGAACGGAAAGAAATGTCAAGAGAAATGCACGCTAGGTGCAGCTCATCCACGTATGTAGAGACACAGTAAGTCGTGTGTAGATGGAAAAGAATTTAAATAAATTTATCACGCGAAGTCGTCATCATCTCCGTGCATTAATGATTCCAGGCGCTGCACCAGTTCCTTGGTCTGGCGAGCGATCTCGAATGCAATTGGAGGCAATTGGTTGGTCACCTCGCGCAGTTCCTCGGGGCGGGTAGTGTGGTGACCTTGGGCAACAGCACTTATCAATCGGCCACGGCATTCATCAAGAGAGTGAACCGCAGGCTCAGATTGCTCGCGCAGGGCAGTATCACCGCTGCGTTCATGAATCAGGTGTTCCGTGGCAGAAACCACATTGGAAACAACCTGCCCAATGGCGGAGACGTGAGATTCGACGCTGCTCAGTTCATGTTCGGCTCGAATGCTAGCAACCAAGGCTTGAATAGACTGGACCATGCCATCAGTCTGGTCCTCAACGTAAAGCTTAAGCTCTTGGACTTCGTGATCTTCCTGGGGAGCAGCATAGCCGTAGCCATTGGTGTAACCGTTCTGCATGGCAGGGTGGTCATGCTCAGGAGGGCTCAATGCACTATATTCAGAGTTGTTGCTGTATCGCCTTTGGCTAGCAGTTGTGCTGAAGTAATCCGGGAATTTTTCCTGGGAAACACCCACATCAACTTCATCCAAGTCATCCGCAGGGGATGCTTGGATTTTAACCACACGGACCAATTCCACCACAGCAGTGCAAAGATGGGAGGCAGCAGCATCAAGCAAAGAAACAGGCGATAACCCACTGGAGCTAGTGAAGTTGCGAGCAGCAGTAATCATGTTGTTGGCAGTGGCAGATACTCTGCCTTTAGCCTTCATGCGAAGGGCAGCTGTACCGTCAACCGGGGCAGGAGCCTTGTCCACATCATTAATCATGTAGCGAACAGCAATGATAATAGGTTTGATGTGGTGGGACACCTCCTGGGCGTCCTCGTACCGGGCAGCTCGAAGCAGCTCATCAATGGACATCTGGAACTTGGTGACATGGATATCCTTTACCACACCGTCGGCCTGGACGAGTTCGTGCTCTTTGACAATGACGCTTGCGTCAGGTAGCATATCAGAGATGCCGCCTGATGAAGTACGCAGATGGCGCAATTGTGCCTTTGCCTTTGCATAGCGGTCCTTCCACTCGCCAACCTCACCTTGGAGCTTCTCGACATCATTTGACAACCGTTCTTCGCGTTCCCAATTAGAGTGGCTCTGAGCGGTCAGAGTCTTCATTTCCATGAGAAACTCAGATGCTTCCTGTCGGACCTCTGCGGTGACAGACTGCTGTTGTTGTAATTCCACCTGAAGGCTTTGATGCTTAACCTCCAGATCAGCAAACCGAGCTACCAAGTCTACATCGCCAGATTCTCGAGAGACTTCATCAAGTTGAGCCCGGAGATCCCGTTCCAGGTTATCTTGCTCTGAGCGAACTCGATCCAGCTCAAGCTGAAGCGAGGTATTAAGACTTTCGGCCTGGGATACTTTGCTCTCCAAATCTTGGCGGAGATCATCCCACTCCTGGCGTTCACTATGGCTGACCTATGGAAAAAGTCAGAAAAGGGTCGAGAGCAACCAAAAAAAGAAAATAAGGGAGCAAAACATACCGCTGATTGATCTGAATCTTGTGACCGAGACAATTCTTCGTCTTTCGCGCGAACTGATTCTTCTAATTTTTCCACTTTCTCTTGTAGTGCCGACACTTGGGCTTGACTGTCCAGCAGCATTTTTCTTTCCCCATCACTTAAAGTCATGGCAGTTCCTCGTCTGCTCAGTACTGCATCCAGCGCAAAAGCATCACTCCGAGCATCATCGTCATCATCCATTCCCATATCATCGCTATCTTCAACCATTGTACTCTTATTAGGGACCATAGTGTTACTCTGGAAAGATCGGGCCAAAGGACCATCACCATTCATAGAAGGTGGCCCACCAAGAGAACCTTGCCGGGGCGGGAAGGGGCTGCCAGGGGGACCACCAGATGGATAGCCTCGACCCATGCGACTCGGGGGTCCACGAGATTGTGAGCGGCGAGCGCCCGGGGGCATATTGGGCGGAGCACGGCCGCGGCCTGTGAACTGGGGAAAGCGACGCTCCAGTTCACAGAAGACATCGGTCGCTAGATCTCGGAAGCGCTGATGCTGAAGCATCGCAAGCTTCTGTCGGGCATGATTGCGTTTTTCGTGGAAGTCATCGCGAGGAGGGAGAAAAGTAGGAGCGTCAGGGCGAGGTGGCCGTCCAGGAGCAGGTGTAGTTTGCTGGCGACGAATAAGTTCGTCGTAGACGTCGGTACTAAGTTCGTGGAATTGTGTGGGTGATAGTCGTAGCAGCTTATCGCGAGCTTTGTTGGAGCGGCCGTTCACTCGGTCTTCGCGGTAGGTAGCACTGAGGAACCGCTTCAGGGCGACATAGTGTTGATGTAATATTTCCTCCATCTGGCGTCTTCGTCGGCCACCATCGCGCTCCTCGCCTAGTGTCCCCGAGCTGGATCTCGCACCTCCCACGGAACTGGGAGGTGATGGGTTTGCGCTGCCAGGCAGTGACAAAGCGGTGCCACTAGGGCTTAAGGGTGCGCTGGGCACGCCAGATGTCGGGGGAGTGGCTAAATTGCCGCGAGAGGAGAATGTTGGCGAAAAAGGCGGGTCCGACGACTTCTGGTATTGATTGAGGCCGGACCAGTCGCTACCATCGACGGAGACAGGCGACATGGCTCCTGACTGGCCATTCATATCAGGTTGGCAGGAGATTATCAAAGGCTTTCCACCAGCACTATATCGATTCGAAATTCGCAAGGTTGATGGGGATTTTGGAGGAAAGGGCGGTTGACAAGGCCGGACACATCCGCGTCGTCACCGCACAAGGACCCAGTTTTATCTCCTCCACACGATCTGAATGTTTGAAACCAAGGCACCGAAAAGGGGGAAGGCGAGGGAATCACCCAGATCGGAGGATGGGTGGCAGTCAAAGAGGGACTTGGAAAGTAGGAGTCCGAAGGAGTGAAGGACTTTTGGAAGGGGAGAAATAATGAAAGGGGAAAGAGAAGTTCAATGTTGGCACAGTGGTGGTAAAGTTCCTCTCCGGAGTTCCCTTACGGGGGACCCGCAGGTCCTTACCTTGAGCCACAGGAAGCAGATATTAATCAGGAACCAAATGCAAGCCAAGCCTCTTTCGTCAAGTTGCAGACATTAATTACTTATTCTATCGGGTGATACTGTGATACTGCAAGTATACTGCAGTAGACAATCTGATCTCCGTTATCTCTATGCATAAGGGATGTATCAGGTATAATTATTATCTATACAGATCTTAGGTTGTACAATTAGTTCGAATCAATTACACATGTGCAGAGTAAGTTTTCGAATCCACGAACCAGCTCGTGCTAAATGGGTATTGTTGGGATGACCTGTCAGAAAGGTACATGTACATGGGTAATACCTAGGACTGGGACTCGCCAATCTCGGGCGGATGTTAAAAGGTTTAGGGCCACAAGCCACAGGGGCTGAAACCATCCCCCCTGCTGACACCAAATTTAAACATTCAAGCTCGAATCAGAAGTCAGAAGTTTAAGTTGATTAAAAAAAGAAAATTTAGAGGGTGAAATAAAAATAAGTTACTTTCTACAAAGCCTGGTTGTGTACATCAAAGAGAAAATAGTTCACCAGGGAACATAAGGGGGGGAAAGCCCTAAGCGGACTCCATTCAGGAGTTGATCTAAACAATCTAGACCTTTTAGCCCCCGGAAGTTTGTGGCTAGAAAATACCATACGAATACGATACCCATGGACTACTCGGCATGGGGTATTATTGACTCCACTTCGGACACACTAGAAAACACACGGGAATACAATAGAAGGATGGAGATACCGAAAAAAAATTTAAAAATTTAACAGGCTTCATAGGTCTTTGCGACCAGCATATCTATCCAGATGAAAATCACCAAGTACAAAATGTAGGAGCGTAGCTCGTATCCGCTGGCAGCGGATGTGTTTTTGGTAGGCCGCAGAGGGCTCAAGGGGGGCTCACAATTAGTCGGGGAAATAACATAATGTTTCCCCCTGTGGACAGAGCCATCACTGGATTCCAAGCACCTTCTCAATCCCTATACATATAGGTGAAGCAATTGGGGAGAGCTCCCATTATGAGAAAGAAATTGAAAAATGCAAAAGCAGAGATGGGTCTTCGAGCGAGTGTAGGGCTCGTCCCAAATCTACATCGGATATGGTATCCAGGGTTCATGGAGATGGGGATATAGGATGTCTTGTTTCCGCAAGCCAGAGGGAGGAGGAGGAATCAATCGCTGCTTATTTCGAGGTCATAGAAAGACCACGGGTAGCTCCCACGGCGGCAGATACCGGGGTTGATGAGCGAGTTGGGGCAGCACTACGGTTGTGCGCCATGTGGGCTTTAACCAGGTGTCCAGCGGCAAGCGCGGCACATAGACTGAGCTCACCCGCGAGAACGGAGGCAGCGATGATGCGAGCCAATTGGCGGGCATTCTCACCGGGGGTGGTGGGGTGGGATCCCCGAACACCAAGCAGGTCTAACATCGCACCTTGACCCTCCAGGATAGTACCGCCACCGATGGTACCCACCTCAATGGAGGGCATCGAAACGGCAATCTGAAGGTCACCATTGACACTGTAAAAAGAAATCGGGTTAGAATCGTCGGTTGGAAAAAGAATCAAACATATCACAAGAAACTTACTTCTTCATCGTGGTGATACAGTTACTGCTCTCAACGACCTGAGCGGGATCTTGACCTGTAGCCAGGAAGATAGCAGCCACAATGTTTGAGGCGTGAGCGTTGAAACCACCCAAAGCACCGGCCATAGCACTTCCAATCAAGTTCTTGCTGATGTTCAATTCAACAAGAGCAGCGACGTCACTCTTAAGCACACTCTTGACAACATCACCGGGGATGATAGCCTCGGCGACAACCGACTTACCACGGCCATCAGTCCAGTTGATGGCAGCAGCCTTCTTGTCAGTACAGTAGTTACCGGACAGAGAGATGATGGCCATGTCGTCGAAGCCGCACTCCTTGGACATGACGTCGAGTGCCTTTTCACAGCCCTTGGAAATCATGTTCATACCCATGGCATCACCAGTGGTAGTCTTGAAGCGGACGTAGAGGTAGGTACCAGCAAGAGCAGTCTTCAGGCTCTGAAGACGGGCGAAACGACTAGTCGAGTTGAAGGCAGAGAAGATGATGTTGCGACCCTCTTCGGAGTCAATCCAGACCTTGGCAGCGGCAGCCCGAGCCAATGTTGGGAAGCTGACACAGGGGCCACGAGTCATACCATCGCCAGTCAAAACGGTGACAGCGCCACCACCGGCATTGATAGCCTTGGAGCCACGGCTGGTACTAGCGACCAACACACCTTCAGTGGTGGCCATGGGGATGAAGTAATTCTGGCCATCAATCTTGATCGGACCAGCAACACCAAGAGGAAGGGGCAGGTAACCAATGACGTTTTCACAGCAAGCGCCGTGAACCAAACCATAGTTGAAGTCTTCATAAGGAAGCTTGGAGTGCTCCAGAGAGTTGGTAATAACAGAGGTAGCCGGGGTACGAGAGACAACAGCTCGGCGGATCTTGACAGCACGGGTGAAAGCGTCCACACGGCTCATCAAGTTCTCGTCCTCCATAGTCTTCTCCAGAGCATATCCAGGAAGCTTACCGCGAAGGGACAGGGTGACAAGTTCCTCATCAGTGAGTAGGGGAGCGCGCTTCTCCTTCAACATCAGTTCACATTCCTCGGAGGAACGAGTGGTATCTGTCTCATTAGGCTCGAACTTGGGGTACACCTTGGGTGCAACAGGTTCCTTGGGAGCAGCGGGGGCAGGCTCGGGCTCCTTAATGCTCCATCGAGCGGCATTAAAGAGATAACCATTGAGAATGATACTAAGTGTCAAAGCCGCAATAATCCACTTGCTAATGAAGGGGTCTTCCACACTCTTGAGCAGACTCTCAAGAACCTTTCCGCCCACAGCATCAAGGAACTGATCAGTGTACTCAATGTCAAAACCAGGAACTTCAGCACCCGCGTAATAAACAGAGGGGTACTCCAGCTTGTACTTGATTGGTGGGATGATAGTAACCAAAGTCTCTTGCTTCTGGCTCTTGGCAGTAACATAAACTGCATCCAAGCCGTTCTCGGCCACCTTGAAGGGGTCGATAGGAGTTGGGGCCATGAAGTTAGATAGACGGGAGATAAGAGCGCCGTTTCCAGTGTTTCGGAAAGGGATAGCAGAGAAATTCACAACATTGATTAGGACAAGGCCACCAACCATGAAGATCTTGAAACGACGAACGGCACTGGACTTGATTTTACGGCCAAAGATGCTAGTGTCACCATCTTCGGAGCCTGCGGTGGGCCAATCGATACTCGATGCAACGTTCTCAGCAACGCTGTTGCTAATACCGTCCTCTTCCAGAGCCTTGCGCAAAGCAACATGTCGGCGAATGCGGGTGATCTCAAGCTTGATGCAGAGAATCGTCGTGTAGAAGGTAAAGAGGAGAACAGCGTCGAAGAACAGGATCCAGGCTGCGAGGAAGCAGAACTGCTGAAGACCACCCTTAACACCAGAGGCAGCTCCCATAGCCAAAAGACCAATCTCGATGCAGTAGTGCTGAACAATCTCAAAGCCCTGCTGTTTGATGGCAGTAGCAATAGAGTCTTGAATAGAACCAGGGGTGCTGGAAGCCAGCGGCCGGGGAGCGGCACCGGGACGGGGGCGACGGCTGTCCACTGATGCGTTCAGAACGGCCCGGGTGAACATAATTGGCTTCTCGAATCCAATGGTAACAACCAGGAAGGGAAGGCCCTCAGAGAGAAGGAGAAGATTGATTGGTACTCCCAGCTTGGTGGTCACCAAGAGACCAAAAAGGAAAGCGAAAGATCCGGAAAACAGCACTGTCGCGCCCAGCCAGAAGTTTGAGCCCAAGCGTCTCATAGAGAAGAAAAGGGACACAAAGCTCAGGTGCATCGAAATATATCCGAGGGTCATGATAACAATGTCAATGGTCTCAGCGTGTTTGATTAAGTCCACAAAAGAGCTCCAAGCATCCGTCAACCACATCATAAGAGCGGCATGAGAGCTTGAGGCACCACGAGCAGCACGCATGATCCATTTCTTAGGCTCTGTGGCTTCCGCATCTCCAGACGGGTTCGGGATCTCCTGAGCGGCCCTCAGGAGGTCCGAGATCTGGCCAAAGGGCGCGGTGTATGCAAGAGCGGAATCATGGGAGAAAGGCGAGAAGAGATTGGGAGTGTATGGGACGGAGTAGGCAGAGACATTAGAAGGGATCGGGACACCATCGGCGGACGGAGCAGTGAAGGCAGACTTGGAGGAGGAATCGGGGAAGATGAAAGTAGTCAAGGCCAGGTGGTTCACGGCAGGCTTCTCGACCTCCTATTGGAATATTGATTAGCAATTGACCCCGCGAAGCAAGTTGGGATGAAAATAATAGACTCACGGCCGAGTCAACCCAAGTGTCCTCCGCTTGCCACTTCCATGAAGTGGACTCGCCTAATCGCAGGCTTCGACTCCCTTGGAGCAGAGCATCTACGTCAACCTGTCCAGCGACGTTGCGAGGGTTCTTGGTAGCATCTAGAAGACTGCCTTCCAGGAGACCCACGTAGGTGGTGCTGGCGAGCAAGGCAATAACCACAATGGTATGGATGGGGTGTACACACGCCCGACGCGAGATGCACTGCAGTCCAGAAGTGACCTGGCGGCGAATCCAACTCGGTTCTTTGTCCTGAGTGTCCTCCGTAGAGCGCAGCCTCTTGGAGATAAGAGAGGTTGCCATGTTGATAGGGTTGGTGAGAGCGGTGTGGACGTCTGTTGAAGGCGTTGAGAGGGAGAGGCTAAGACGGTCCGCGGGGACCAATTCCTGGAAGAATTACCACCGTGGATGAATTCTTGTTGGCCGAACTCGAAGCACGAGAGAAGAGATCTCAGAGTCGGTAGATCTCCTGCCACATGTGGCCCACGAGGCGGTGTTGTTCACTAACTGCAGTTCCCACAGGAACTTTTTTTGGGATGATCAGCGGGTTTCACCACATGAGACTATTGTGAGCTCGGAGCATACCAGAACAGATATAAGGTAAGAAAAATGTTAGAGAACACACAGCCTCTCAAATTGGGAATTGCGGTATACGAGCAAGCACGGAGGACCCCCTGAAGGCTGCGAAATAATTGAGACCGGGTCCGCGCCGAATGGAATTAAGTATCGCCGACAACGGGGCCCTGGGATGCCAAGCCACGGCTCAGTGGGGGTTTTCAGGTTTTGACAGGCCAATGAAGAGTTTTTTTGGCCAAATGAGACTAGTGGTTGATTGCCGACTTAAGGGTCGAATCGAACGAAATTGAAAAGATTCAGAAGAAATAAGTAAAGGGGGGAATTCAGGCGTGTGGTTCAGGGTGAGAGAGAAGTCCCCTATAATGGACCGCAGAATAGGAGTAACAATACTAAGAACCCGAATCCCGGTTCCTCCAAACATGAAAGGAACGAGTTTGCGAAGCTAGTGCAGCTTGAGGTGGATTTGACTTTCTCTAGCTACAAAGACTAACCTTGGAACTTGAGGCTTCGCTGCTGACCGGTCAGGTGCTCCATACCGTACAGAATAGATTATGTATATCAAATTCAAGTTTGAATGATGCAGGATTTACTATATTTATGTATTCTACAACCCCAGGATTCTTTTCAGCCCCTAGCCCTGTGACGCTTTATGTAGACCATTCATTCATCAAGATTTGTCTGGGGACTGGGGTGGTGGCGAATCCCATTGAAAAGCAAAAAGGGGAATAGACAAGACTTGAAGTCGTGCTATTATGTACTAATTTTGATTTTTCCGGTTATAGTCGGAGGTCATGGAGTCATGAACAGTTACACTACGTATGTATGTTTGTACGAAATAGCTGAAATGAAGACGATCTTCAGCTTAGGACAGCCACGAGTGAGGGTTACTCCATAAGCCCTGGGACGCCACTTTATCCAGTGTCTCCATAACTTCATACAACCAATAGCCTTGTGTTATCCAATTCTAAGTACTTCTATCGGCACAAGTCCGTCCTTCCGTATACATGCGTCTGCAGAAGACCCATTTTCCTCCCCAATATTGCAGAGTGTTGCAGAAACTCCATCTTGTGTGCAAATCGCTTCCCGTCAACCCGATAAGTCGGCCCGACTCGCTTGCAGTTCCACCATTGCCCGTTATGCATACATCTTAGATGATATTTTCTAAATTCCTTCTCGAGTCCACGTCAGCTAGCGTCTTGGTCCGTTAAAATCCGCCGAGTTTCACTTCCGAAAATCGCCGGTTTAACAGCTTTTTGACCCTGTCTCTGGTTAACACGCCAAGGAGAATCCACCCGGTGGAGCTGATGAAAGAATCAGATAAAAATCAGATAACTCAAGCCACATCATAATCCTCTCTAATCCCCACGACATCTATCCACTCATCCAGAATGGTATCGGTAAGCGAGCTCGCTAAACAGAAAAGAGGGGCCATTTAATCAAGATAAGATGCATTCCCGAGGGCCCAGAAATCAACGGTGAGATTTCTTGCCAGCGGATACATGCATATGGTATCGAGCTTCGGAGTTGGGCGGAGTAGACCGACTGAATCAATCAGCCAACCCAAACATTGTTCAAGTTGCCAGTGCTCGGACAGATCAATGAGGGTTCCTATGTACTGAAGAAGGCGGATCAAAGTACGGAGTAAATGGCATCATACCTTGATCTCTAGACGCGCCTAGCTCTGATAATAAATCACGGAAAGTCCTAGTTTCCGCAGACTTGTAGACTTGCAGACTATCACTAAAACAGAAGAGAGGGGCGTTTAGACCTTGGTAGGCATGGAGCAGGAAGTCCCTCGGTGAGGCCAATAGGGCCGTTTCGGGCAGCTACTCATTCATCGAGTTAACAGTCAAAGTCTGAAAACAAAACAAAACAAAAAGTAACCATGCAGCTATGAAATAATCTGTGCAATCTATTTTCCGCATGCTGGCTTGTCTGCAGAACATCGGGTGTTGCATGATCCACCTCCTCAGAACACGGCGCTTAGAGAATTTCTGCCAACAACCAATCGATGAGCTTTAAAAAGCTCAACGGCTGCAGACCTGCAACACTTGCAGCCCCCTAGGGCTCTCGATTAGTCTGTAGATCTCAGAAGCAGCCTTCTTTCTCTCTTAGCGCCAGGAGTGCGGGTTGGAGTCAGTCTCAGACACAAGAATACCCCCCGTTGCCTTTTATTTATGCTATCCGAAGCAGGCCCCAGTTGCCCAGGTGTTTTCCCAACCATGTCACCCAACCGTTCACTTCAAGACTCCATCCTTCAGTATATCTTGGCGCTGAAGGTGAACAATGCATCGGGTGACAGATTTAGATTGTTTCAATTGTGACGTCGGCATTTGATCTTTATTTGGGTTGCTCCAATTGGGTACAACCATGGACTATTGCTATGTCGACCTCCCTTATATCTGCAACACAAGTCCTTTGATCGCATTATTTGAGAATACTCGTTACCCATTTGGAAGCCTTGTTTACCACATGTGTTTCTATGAACAAAGCAGATTTGAAACCCTTGTCACATCTCTTTGGATCACTGTCTTTGACGCCTAAATACCAACATGGTTTGAAGTGAATCTCAGCATCTGCCTACTTTCCCATTGTTACTTTAATTATTCAATCATTCCCTACGTATAAAAGCGCCTCCCGTTTTCTTTTATCTCCGATAAATAAATGGTCTACTAGCAATATTTTTCTTGAACCGCTTGCAAGACAATATATTCGAAGTCGCGTACCGCTGGCCGGTGCCCTGCAAATTTCTTATTTCGAATTCATAACACGCAAATCTCATCCTCCAGCATGTTATTTCAAACCACCGCAGTAGTCCTTTTCGTCGCATCCTCCAGCGCCCATTCTTGGGTTGAACAGCTTAGTGTGATCGCGCCCAATGGGACCTTCACTGGCACCCCAGGATATGCACGGGGAAATTACCTTCGCACAGCAGAGGGATTCAATGATACGACAATGACATACCTCATTCCTCCAAACACCCAGGCCAACACAACGGTCATCTACCCCACAACCAAGCTCTGCAAAGGCACACAGCAAGACCAAACGCAAACACCAGGCAGCCCACGACTAGAAGCCAATGCAGGCGACGCGATCGCACTACGATACCAAGAAAACGGTCATGTCACTTTACCCTGGAATCAACCAGGCAAGCCACCAAACCGAGGCACGGTGTTTGTATACGGGACGACAGAGCCCAAGGTCGGTGAAACCCTACTTGATGTCCACGGGGTATGGAACTGGGATGGCACGGGTGGAGATGGACGTGGAGTGCTTTTGTCTGAGCAAAACTTCGATGATGGTCGCTGTTATCAAATAAATACCGGTAACATCTCGGAGGCTCGACAGGAAAAATATCCCCATCAAGCGAACCAGTTAATGGGCGCTGATCTGTGGTGTCAACAAGATGCCCAGCTACCCAATACTGCTCCAAGTGGTAAAGTATACACTCTTTATTGGGTATGGGACTGGCCAACTTTGCCAGATATTGATCCTACATACCCCGATGGGAAAAAGGAGATTTACACTACATGTATGGATATCGACGTTGTGGACAAATCTACGAGTCGTGTGCAGGTGACCGACAGCTACATTCATGATCAGAGTCTCGACAATGCAGCCATTCCATCAGAATTAAATGACTTGACGAACGAGGATGCTGTTACTGTGACAGATTCTTCGTCGACGGCATCGGCTGCCCTTAATGAGAATACTGGGTCTGCCTCGGTCTTAAAGTCGACCACCCAGACTGCCCAAACCACACAGATCATTCAAAGTACTCAACCCACCACGTCTGCAAGCGCAGCTACTGTGACTGTCACTGTTGGCGCCGTGACGGCTTGGCGCACAGTGACCAAGGTGGAAATACAGGAACATACGGTGACTATCAATAGTTGCCAATCAACCGGGAACACTGGTTAGAAGTTTATCTAGTTATACTGGTTATACTAGATATTTCTATACGTGTATATTTTAGATCTACAATACTTGGAAAATAAAGAGATTATACCCTGGAGATTGAATCGTTGTTATGCAATTCATTTCATTCTATATTTTCCCCATTAATGAAACACTTTCTCGCCCATTAAGAAGTTTATTGGTAAATAACTTTATGAAGCCAATAGTCATTTACCAACCTTTCTTAATTATCACGACTATCAGGGGGTCAAATAGGGGGAAGTAGAACCTAAGGCGTCAAGCTCGGATCTATACTCCGTATCGATACAAATCGAACCCACGATTGTGGCTTAGCGCGGCTCAACTAACGGACTTTTGTAATCCAATCACATATGAACATGGGTCAGTGAAGATGGATGGGGTAGGATTTGATGTGGTTAAAAGCACATTGCAGATATGTTAGAATTGAGAATATTTGACTCAGAATTACCAGCCATGTAGTCCTATCTTACAACTAGAACTCCACACCTTATAGTTCCTTAATTACTGAAATTATTATATAAGGCTTCCGTGGGTTTCCGAATTAGGCATGACTCCTCGATCTGAAACACGCTAGCACGTGACGCTGACCTAAGCCCCGCGAAGCTTCAATTCAACCACTGCGAAACGGTTCGAGACAGTTGGGATTCTTTGCTTCTTGCGCTGCTTCTAACCTGCATCTGATTTGCTGTGTGTAGTGTTGGGTTATCCCTGCGACTGCTGCCGAAAGAACATACACATCCCCGCGCTGATCATTAACCTAAGGGAGTTAAGATTCAATCAAGGTATGCCCCATCTCCGATCGCATTGCATTCAGGCCAGATGAAACCAGAAGATGATGGGCACGCCAAAGGAATTGGATTGAGCAAAACAGATCCAAAAAGAGTCAAAATAATTTCTTTTTCAAAAAAAAAGGCCATTCTCATCATCACTGGCTCGAATCGGCAAATCTGCAATACCCTTCACTCTTAATTTTTCGGCGACATAAGCGCTGTGCCCGGGTTGCATTATATCTGACACACACCAGTTTCTGCTATATTTAGCATTTACCCTCGACCAACTGCGGGACAGCAGTCTGGAACAACCACTATTCCGACTCTTCTCCCAAGCATTTTCACCTTCATCCGCGAACCCTTACTTGGACTCCAATCACCGTGGGGTCTAACTCCTCTCGTGACTCGGCAGTCCCCGCCTTGAACCTTTCCCCCCTCCTCCGATCTGGAATACCCGCCTGGGGTCCTCGTGTGTCCACAATCGGGCGGTTGAGAGACAACGTGGTGGACGTGGTGTGCGTGCGTGTGTGTGCATAATCCTTTTGCGTACATTGATTGTCTCTCCTATTGTCCCAAATCACCAGGGACAGTTTGTGGCGGGAATCGCAAGTGGGATTATCGTCGGCGCGCCACCCAATCGCAATGCAAAAATAGGATTCATGCAACGCGGCTAAATGAACTCCTCCCCATACCCCTTGCTGAGACTCGAATTTGTGACTTTCTCATCATCTGCTCACCTATCTTGGGGATCTCCCTGACCGTGAAAGATGGCTGCCCCGACCTCCCCTAATACGCTTTCTGCAGACAACCTGTCGGTCCTGCCCCCCATCCTGACGGATGCCACAGTGAAACCGTCTCCCAGCGCGAAGGATCGTCTATCTACATACTCCAATGTTTCCTTCGCATCCCAAAATCGTTCGCGCCCGGGCTCTCACGTATTTCCTATATTCCACTCTAGTCTGCCGTACGCTCTCGTGCGAGACTTTGCCTACCCACCAATTCATCCACTGCACTACGGTCCACCTCCCCTAGCCTCTGGTGTCTCTACACCAGCAAGCGAATACCGTCGTCTGTCCGATCCAGCCACCTCATGGGACACCTCCCGCGGGCCTTGGGCTGCCGGCCCATGGAGCAACGAGAGCGGACAGACACAGGGTCCTGATCCTGGCCCTGGCCCTGGACATGGCCATCAGAAATTGCCGGCTATGTCCTTTGGCGACGGGCCCCCGTACAGCGAGGATGAGGATTTGCATAGCCCAGTAGTGACTACATCGCGTCAACGGAAGAAGTCCGTTGGTACAGATCTGAATGGTATGATGCATGAAAGCATCTCAGACCCTGCAGATCGCGGAAAATTTATTAGCATGAACCCCGATGGTAGTGAGACATATTACGTCAATGGAGGTGTCTCAATGGAAGATGGACCTGGTGGGGAATACGTCACATACCCCGCCAACGAAGGGCGTTATTCACACTACGATACCAACCAGGGATATGCACCTGATAACGGCTTCGAGACAGATTATGGCGGTGACCGATTTAGCAATGACTATGAATTTGCTGTTGGGTGTCCGGACGAAGAAATGCACGGCAGAGCTGTTGCCCTCTTCGACTTCACCCGTGAGCATGAGAACGAGCTGCCTCTCACAGAGGGCCAGGTGGTTTACGTCTCTTACCGACACGGCCACGGCTGGCTGGTTGCTGAAGATCCAACGACTGGAGAAAATGGTCTTGTTCCCGAGGAATTCGTGAGACTGCTTCGCGATATCGAAGGAGGGTTGACCTCGTTGAACGGGGAGCTCATCCCGGACTTGTCAGAAAGCAGCACATCTGTCGATATGACTGAAGATGATCGCACCACTACTCCCACTCAGAATGATATGAAGGACACGAATGGTGACACTCCGATGACGAACTCCGGCGAAGCAACTGGCGACAAAGCAACCGGCGACACCAGCGACACCAGCGAAACTACTGGTGATACTGGTGCTCGTTCTAGCATGATTTCAAAAACCTGAAATGGCTAAAATCACCCAGAAGCGGCTCCATTGAACCAAGGGCACGACCTGAAATGCGCATGTCTCATACGTTCGAGCCCTGTGCGTGCCGGATCGCACCTCTGGCATTCTCAAAGCCTTTTGACAAAGCCCCCCTGTTTATCTTCACCCCAAAGTGGTAGAGCCATTTCCTCTACCCGCATGCAATCCTATTGGTTGGTAATTGCAAGCATGTCACTCCGGGGGAAAGCAGTCACTTTGTCGTCTTCCAGATGCAACATTTCTGGAGACCAAATGGGCTCAAATCTTCTATGACCAGAAAATCGACTTTACAACCGCCCTTGGCCATATACTTCACCGAAGCGCCCATGCCCCCTCTCTCCGACTGATGAATGATTCCCTCGACCACACAACTTCTACAATGATATCCCACTTTCCACGAGATCTGTTTACGCCCTTGTACAACCCTTGGTTAGCAGAGGCTACTTTGAAAGCCCCACATGAGAATTATGAGAAAGAGCTACTCTTCTCTTATCTTGTCGGCTTTATTTTCCATCTATCCCCTTTTCTCCGCAAAGTTTCTGAATTCTGTCATACATTTTCCTGTTCTATCCCCTCTTCTAAACTCATCTCCCTTTTCCGCACATGTATCTAGCTTCCTTCAGCGCAGGCGTTGTCCTAGCATCAATTATCAGCATTAGCGTAATGCCTATTCACCCTTCATGTCCTGTGCAATGGTAGTTTATAAGCTCGAATACCTTAAAAAGTCTAAATGAAACTTCTTTCAAGTTCAAGTCGCTTAAGGCATTATGCTAAATTGAGCTCTTCACCTGGGCATGGCATCTACTCTTAAGCAGGAATTACAAGACGTAAGTCACAGCCTTGAGCCAAGAATGTATGTTCAATGAAGGATAATCATGAGAAATCAAGTCCATGGATATATATAACAAAGATCATCTTACTAGGAAATGGATATGAGATTTTGTTCGCAAGTCACTGCAAAGAAAAAAAGAGAAAATTTTCAGGATTGCTTTGCTAAAGCGGTGGACAATTCCATAAGCCGACGAACAAAAAAAGGTGAAACACGTAAATGGAAGGGGCTTTGCAAAAAAAGAGGCAAGATGGGTGAAAAAAAAAATGAGAGAGGGGATAAACAAAATGTCTGTAGAATTATGGAATACCGAATTCTGTGCTTGGTAGAAGACCATGACACATGATCAAGGAGCCTCGATGACCAGATCGGAGACTTCAATTTAACCGAGCAGGTCGTCGAAAGCCGAACCACCAGATTGCTTTGGTTGGGCTGGTGCCCCAGAGCTGGCAGGAGCTCCCCAAATACCAGCGCTAGCCTTCTCCTTAGCCATGCTAGCAAGGTTGGGGCCCTTGTTGGCATTCGCGTTCGCCTTGCTGATACCAGCGGTGGCACTGGCATTGGACCAGAGGGAGCCGAAGGCATCGCCGGAGGGCTTAGCTGCTGAGGCTGCGGGCTTGCTTGCTGTAGAGGGAGCCTTAGCGGAGGCTGAGGAGGCGGCACCTTGCGAGAAATGAGAGTTTTGGTTTGAGACAGAAGTGTAGTAGTTGGGGGTAGCTGCTTGGAAGCCTGTGGGCTTGGGGAGCTGCTGCTGTTGGATACTGGCTGTCTGGGAGACGGGAGAAGCGAGTGAGCTCGAGGTTGGAGTAGGAGTTGCCGAAGTGAAGCCGACAATGCCGTTGATGTTGGCACCCTGTGACGCTGAGACGGGCTGAGGAGCAACGAATTGAGTGTGGGATGTTGTGCTCGCGGTCGAGGCAGGAGGCGCGATGGAGAATTGGTTGGAAGCAGCCGGTGCCGGAGTTGCGGATTGGAAGTCATCGAAGTCATCGTCATCGTTTCCGGTGTCCAGCATGTTCAAAGCACTTCCAGCGGGCTGCTTGCCAGCGGCGGTAGAAGTAGTGGTCGTCGCAGGTTCATCATCACCGAAATCGAACAAGTCTACTACGGGAGCAGGGGCTGGTTCCGGCTTCTTGGGTGGTGCTCTCTTGGAGGTAGTGGCAGCGGCGGCGGGTGTACGTGTTGGAGGGCTAACATCACCCTCATCGTACTCGTCGTATTCATCGAATTGATTACCCCGGCGAGCACTGGTATCCTGGAATTCACTCGAGGCACCGCCAAAGCCACCACCATCACCGAATACACCACCGCTGTAACCACCGTATCCCATGCTTTCGCTGCCGAAGCCACCGTAGCGACTAGAGCCACTAGACATTCCACCAACATTCATACCGCCTTCAAAGCCACTGAACTTGTTGCGATTGCTCCGGGCCTTTTTGCGCTCTGTGCGGATTTGATCCACATCGCCCAACAACTTCACCAACTCGGAAGATCGGTTTCGCACGTTGATACCCTGATCCTTGCCGTTCATATCAATGAAGTGGAATTGTCGCAACATCCGCAGCAAGGACATGTGAGATCTTGCGTCATCGACCACTCTCTCGGATCCATTCTTGATCAGGAATTCAAGAAGTTGTAGGCCCTATACATTGCAAAACAGGCAAAGTCAGTTATGTGATCAGGGGCATTGCAGTAGGTAAGCTGACATGCCTTGTAAATCTGTCGCCATTCCTCGGCAGCCTTATCGGTGAATCGTTTATAAATCATGGGCATAATCTCGTTAAGATTTTGGCTGTAATGATTGTCAGACTCTGCACAGACGTCCATTGGCGTCGCACAAGTGGTAGCCACTTACTAGCTGTTTGTTGCATTGGCAATTTCCTGCATCAACGTAGTCGAAGCGCCCCATGGTTCATTATTTGTGGCTTCTCGGACCTAGGTCATGTAAGTCAATTGCTGCCGAAGTTCCGTACGAGAATATGAAGTGCGATGGGTATTCATGAGGCGATTTCGTGGCAACTGGTGATCAGGGTGAACGGACCTTGGACTCCATTTCTGTATAGTTCATGACAGCTATAACAAAAGCGGTCAGCTTGCGATTTCTCGGAATTGGTAGGCAACGCAAAGACTATCTTGAAAACAAAAGTAACATGCTTCATGACTTGGCTTACCATTTTGCACCTTCCGAACACCAGCCTTGAGATCATATAAAGTCAGGTTGCTAACCTGATCTTTGAGGTTGTTGAAGTCCATGGCGAGGGGTGGTTGTTTAACAAGCCGAGATGAGGGTCAGGAAGGAACTGAAGCGTGGCACAAGAAATGCGAGACCAGACGATTGAGACTAGAGAAGACTAAGCAGTTTAAACCTGCGGGGATTCGGAGTGATCGGAGAAGAATGGTTGGAGCACTGTAGGGTGACAATCCGGCTTCCAGCTGGCCGATTGCACGCGCCACGCAGTCACGTGAGAGCCCCTGACCCCAGCCATGAACATGATTGGTGGGGCACTGGGATCTTTTACTATACAATAGATTTCAGTTGTATAGTTTCAAGGTTACAACGTCGATTGACGCCAATTATCTCAAGTCGAATAGTATGCGGATATGTAGAAGGTTTTTTATTTTCTTCTGGTCATCAAGAGCCAGTATGGTCAAAATAATAATATTTCTCGAGATCTAGAACATCGGAGGGCATTGTCTATTGATATAGCCAGGAAAAGACCTCAAAATTCAGAATGTTTTTCATATTGTGTACATGTCCATTCGAATGGCATTGTCAGAACCATGACGTTATCGCTATTGAAAGGGAAGGAAAGATCCATACAAAAAAAGAAATACCTAGGTATCTGTAACAGAGTAGAAAACGAAAAAAAAATGAATATCACCATGAATATGCCCAACCCCATTCATACCTCATCAAATCAGTCAGCGTGAGAAGTTTATTCGTTGTAGAACTTCTTCATAATCAAATGCAAGAATAGATTAACATTAACCCTCATCTGCCCCTCGAAAAAGTCCATGAATTGTGTATTGTTGAATTGCGCCTGCAAAAGGTCGTCAAGTGGTACTTGAGCGTTGGCGCCAGGCACCATCATGTTCCCGGTGCTGCCATCAATGGTGAACACCCCGACTTCATTACTGGAGATAGTCAAGTCCACACGGTCGAACTGTCTGTCGGAGTAGCCCTTCCAAGAAACTAGTACACCACGATCCGCCAAGTTGCGAGCGGAGTACTTGTAAGATCCGAACTTGAACACCTTGCCCGTCTTTTGAAGTTCTCGCTGATGATCCCACTGCTTTGTGAAGGGCATTAAGAATCGCTTCTTACCCTTCTTGTTCTGAAGAGTGACCATGGCTTGCTCGATATAATCGTTGTAGGTCTTGAGTTGACCATCCAAGTAACCAGCCTGGTCGCTAAGGCGAGCAGAGGTTAGTCGTGCACCTTCTAACTCTCGTTCACGTTGAATTCGTCGTCGGTGTTTGGTTCGTATGTCAATGGCAATAGCATTCAGAAGATCTTGGTATTGGTTTTGTCGACTGATCTTGCCAGCCTGCTCCAGGCGCAAGATGTTCTCCAGGGCAGTTCCCTTGAGTTCCGGATAACTCATGGAACCAATATCAATTAAGGTACTAGCTTCGGAATAGGCACCTCGGCGTGGGTTGTTTGTGCTTAATTCATCTCGTACTAACGCGTGCCACCGCTCTTCGTCTTCGTGACTGGGTGGTTTGAGCATAATATCCATCAAGCTAGTACCGCTCTGGACTCGGATAATGTAAAGAATGCATCGCTTGGTCTCCATAAACAGTGCCTTGACTGCTGCTTCGGGATCTTATTACTCTTTGTTAGCTAGTGATTTTCATACTTTCCCTCAAAATATAACGTACCTTCGACCTGAGCCAGCTTGGGATTAAGCGTAAGGTTAATTTCAGTGGAGCTGACACTCATCAATTCATTCTCATTGCTCTTCACGTTGCCAAGATCGCGCACAAGCTGTTTGAGGAAGTCGTCGGGGTGTGAGCACATGAAGTCGATTTGCGAAGCAACAAGTTGATGAATCGAAAAGATATCAGACATCTTGATATACAAAGTTGGCTTGGCCTTGGCGTAAAGATCATTAAACTCGTCAATATCGAAGTAGGCTTCCGCGTCTTGAACAGAAATCACTGTGAAGTGTCAGTTTCGATCGAAATAAGAAAGATGGAAGAAAACATACACTGTCCCCAGACGGCTCCAAGCCTTTGTATTGACTCGCCGATATAGGTATTCAAAGGTTGGAGGTAAACATTCTCAGCTCCAAATAACCTTCCAGAAGCTACTTGGGCAACCACCTTGGAGATTTCTCCAAGGTTCCTCTTTTGTTCTTGCGTCAATCCACGATCCACCACGCCGTGTTTCTCTGGTTCCAAGATAGCTGGCTGGAAATAACTCTTCCAAACCCAATGACCAACAGTTTGGAGAACAAACCCAGGGTCTTCGTTGGGGAACCGCTCAAGCAAATTCTCATACATTTGCTTGGCCAAATACCGGATACCAAAAGGCATACGATACAGGAAATCTTCGAAGGCAGCAAAGAACTGATCAGCGATATCGCGGAGGTCTTGCAGGTTTTGAATGAAATTTTCACGGGTTTCGGGGTCCCTGATTGCCTCTTCTCTAGGAAGGTCTGGTTGTCGTCGACTGCGTTGGCCTGTTCGAAGCTCCTCGTTATTGATCGAGGAACGGTAGATTTGGATTGGATCGCTCTCAAGGTCAAGTTGGGGATTGTCGATGACGGACTCCTTTACTACGATTCCTAGAACATCCCGCATAAACTTTCGGTCTCGAGGCGATTTTGCGTAGGAGCCAAAGAGTTTGTTCCAGAACGAGTGGCAGCGTAGAAACTCAGACAGGGAGGTAAAGCCATCAATATCTTCTTTCACCGCGCGAGCAAGAAGCTTAACAAGGTAATATTCCTCTCGCCTCTTCTGTGAGTACCCGAATAGACCCATCATCAAATGTCTGATCCTTTCATACTCCTTATCAGATGTGTTGAGCTCTCGCAGTCGCCTGAAGAGTCTCGCCAAGTATTGTGACTGTGTCTGGAGAAGAAAGAAGAAGACCTGATATTGATCCAGCTTTCTTCTGGATGTCTTATTTAAAGCCTTGAGATCATAGGGATCCTTCGACGAGATGTCGGTATTGGACAATAAATTGCCGATATGGCCACCAAAATGTTTCTGGTGCTTGACCACTTCATCGAGGGTAATTTTGTTCTTGACAAGAAGAGCAATCTTGATGTCCAATTGACTGATGTACTGTTCGGCGAGTTCGTTTTGTCGAACCTGCTGAACCACAACCTTGCGAAGTCTTTCGAACTCGACTTCCTCGTCGAAGTCAAAGTCACTGTCATTAAGAAGATGCACAAAGCCCTTGACGGTCCCAACCGGTGGGTTTTTTCCGCTCGTCAAACTCTTATATGCCTGACCTTGGATGCGGCCTCGAATAACACTTTGAGCCTTGATGACCTTTTCCATGTTTTCGTTGTAATGGCGGCGTCTTTCCTCGAAGCGATTCCTGACAAGAATGCCCCGAATACGAGCTTGGAAGTCGGTTATGACGTTCTCTTCATCTTCCAAGTCGGCAAGCATATCCCCAACCTGTAGTCTAAGGATCATAGCTCGAGCCAGAGCTTGAAGCTCGACGGTCTCTTCTTCGTTTTCTTCAAGTCTGTTAAGAATTTCACCAACTCTGATGCGCTCCATTGCGGCTCGTGACAGCGATTGAAGATCAACGATAAGATGCACCTGCTTCTCTAAGGCTTCGCGCTCATCCTGTCGGTGTTTGCGTTGGAGGAGGCCCCTGATCATGGACTGCAGATCTAAAACAGAGCTCTCTTCTTTCATCAGTGCCTCGTTCTGGGCTTGCAGGAGATCTCGCTGGGCCTGGCCTCTGAGGATCCCTTGTAGTGCAGTCACTGATAATTTATGTTGTGTCAATTCAGCATGTAGGGCTGTGTTGTGTTTTCGAGCTGCAGCACCTCGAACCAAAGCTTGCAGATCAATACAAATATTCTCCTTGTTCGAAAGATCAATCATCAGTTGCAAGTGTCGCTTCCTGGATGCCAGCGCCCTTGCTCCTGCTTGCATGAGAGTGATGGTAGGGATCTCATGTTGAAGAGATGCCTTGACTTGTGCCAAGCTTTGGCGAGCGAGGTTCCCCCGAATCACTGCCTGCAGTGACTTCACAGGGTTACTCGCCTGCTCCACTTGCTGTGACTGGGCACTCATTTGCTTGCGCTGCAAAGTGCCCCTGATTGCTGCTTGGAAGGCTGTGACATCACTCTCGGCATATCTAGTCTCGTCATATTGATCTGTAACAACTTTGCGGTGTAGCGCACCCCGGATCGCCGCCTGGAAGCTTTTTATTCCAGACTCTTCGTTTCGCATCCGGGTCTGTAGTAAACTGCTCTCTGCGCGCACTTTCGAAGCCCGGATGAGACTCTGAAGCTGAAGGATGTTGGTTTCTTGGGCATGCCGCCACTGCATCTCTCCTTGTTGGCGATGACGGACAAGGAATCCGCGACTCAGTGCTTGAAGTTGAATCGCAAATTGTCGCATCTCAAGTCGATACTGGCTAACTTGACGCGCCCAATCACCCCGGATTATTGATTGCAACTCAATAAGCATCGGCTCAAAGTTCCAAAGATCATTCATCGTATTGCCAAGCTTCAGCCGCATCATAGCTCCTCGGACTTGAGCCTGAAGGTCGGTAATCGACCCCTCATTCTCGTGGAGTTCACGATCAATTCGCTCTTCTTCGGATTCGACTGGCTCGGGTTCCGGCTCTGGCTCTGGCTCTGCGCCGAAGTTTGCAGCCATGCCTGCGAAGCTCGGCATACTGACTCCGGCTTTGTCCAGTCCCTTCTGGGTCTTTTCAAGCTCGTGGTGCTCGAATTCAAGCTGACCAACCAGGTTACCCATCCGGAAATCCAGCATACCATTTTTGAAAAGCAACCAGGATAGAGCATGGATGCAGTGAATGACCTTCGGAACGTTTTTCTTCTCATAGAGGTCAATGAGTTCGAATCGGAACAGTTCGGGTAGTTCCACATCGTCAAGGAATCTGAAAAACAATGCAATGTTGTCCGAATGGCGATACTGTAGTTTGGCATGTCGAAAAATGCGCAGTTTTCGGTCGGGGTACATTGCCTGTACGAGCTCGGCTAGGGTCACACCATCTCTCAACCCTTCTTCCAGCTGGACAATTGGTGGAATTTGCTGCTGAATAACTTCTTCAATCCATTCTTTAGCCTCGCCAATATGGCACAGGTATTCGTATGCTTGTAAGAATTGACGTTGTTGATCCATCCAATTGCTCGCTGCCCATGAAGATGCCTTTGGCTTTTCTGGTGATACCGCGCCATTCCTTGCAGCGACCGAGTCGGCTCGTTTTAAACGTCGGCGCCCTTGTAAACCCACCACAGATCCTGTACCTGACGCAAGTTGGAATTCCTCACCTTCTCCGGATTGCGCGAACTTGGACAATGCTCGAAGGTGGCGTGTAGATGATTTTTGGAAAGTCTCGAGCTCCGGCGCGGAAATAGCTGCGGTAAGTTGTGGTGGGCGAGGACTTCCGGATAATGTCTTTTGAGGCGATGAGGGGCGTGATGAGCCTGGGGCTTGGGAGGGAGTCCAATGATGGGAGGAGGCACCTAGTGGTGGTGTTTGGGGTTCAAATGCTGGCGATTTATACCGGGGTGATTCATTCTCTTTAAATTGAACATGATGCGAATCTGGAGTCCTGGGTCGGATATCTTTGTAGGAGGGTTGTTCATCGATGGTATGGCTGCGAGAGTGTCGGTTTACACCACTCTTCGGGGGCGAAGAGGAGATATTCGGCGCTTGCTGCAACGGTCGCAAAGACCGACGAATGCTCTCATATGTTGTTCCGGCGTTGGCCAACGATCCTTTATTCGACGGCTCCATTGTGACGCCACTTGCCTCACTCTTTCCTCGATGATGACCTAGGTTGCTGTTTATGGATGCATTTGAAGAGACTGTGCTTGTTCGGCTAGGGACGAAGGAGCTTGATGCGACCGAGTATGCGGAAGAATTGGTTGACGCGGTCGACCCGTGTCGCAGTGGACTGGATGACTGCGTGGGAAGATCTGTCTGAGCCCGCTTGAGTGATGGGAATTGACTGGACATCACTATCACCGTTGCGACAGGAACACAGGCACCGATACAAGATTCCTGTGCTCGATAGGCCGCATCCCTGCTTCAATCACAGAAGCGGGGGTGTGGTAATTTCAGTCCGAGCTTGTCGCAATTCTCGGTTTGTTTTTATTGAGATCGTCGGAATGTGAGATCAAACGGCAACAGAGGTGAGCGCAAAAGTCGCTATTCGGAGGTGCGGGAAGCAAAAAGGCGATATTTCGATAGCCGTGTATTTCAAAAGACTTGTCGAAAAGTTCCGGCTGTAAGGACTGCTTCCCGATGATGGAATTATTGTTGACGGTGGGGGAGGAGCGAACCGGGCAGGAAGAACCAGGAATCCAAAACAAATCTCCCGATGGGGACTAGCGCGATCAGCTGATGATCGCTGATCCTCAACTTTTCCCAGTTGGTTGAAGCCACAGATCGTGTACATATATATATAACGTAATCACCAATATTATGTGAGCTATATATATATATATAACCTGATATATAGAACTTGTTACTCTATACTATCCGTACAAAGCGTACATAGCAGATCCGTTGAGCACTTATTCCTCTGAGCCCGAAAATGTAGCAGATTCCGGGCAGGGTCCATACTAAAGGTAGTCTTGGCAAAAGTGGCTCGATCGGCCAGGGCTAACAGTGGACCGTAGTCCCGTGCGACCATCTTCCATCAACACTGTTGTCGCAGCTCGACTCTGTTCCGATTTCTGAAATCCTTCTTACTTCGCTCCAAGTGAATATAGTAGGTCTCTTGTCGTAAGGCTCGGGGGAAAGAGGCTCACGACCTGCCCAGTTCCTGAAAAAATTCCAACTCGAAAACCGTCTCATACGTCGTACCTACTACCCTACTACCTGCCTAAGTACTCCGGAATACTACATAAGTATCCAGGTATGGATATATTTTCTTCAAAAGTTCAAGTTGTTACGAAGCCGGAGCTCTCGGGTTGTAAATAGTACCGAGATATAACACGACCCCCATGGATATCATAGGTATCTAGAATATTCATCCATCTCTATAGTCGCAACCCATATATACTTTGACCACTGTATGTATTACCCACACTCGCTGCTCTTAGATTTCCCTCCACAATAATTAAGTCTTTCCTAACGTGGTTCGTGCGCGATTTAGTTAGGCCTGAAGGTCGGCGGCTTGACCCCGCTAATGTGAGAATAGCGTGACAATTATGACATGGATCCACCACCGAATCCCCTCTTCAACCGTGGAAGAAAAATTTCGACACATCTCTTACTTTCTCCCCTTAGATTACACCCTTAGGCTTTGCCAATACACAATATGGCGGCATTAGAATCGCCTCCCCGTTACACCTACAAGATCGTCCCCTCCACGGCACCAGTGCCCCAGCCGATTCCTGAGATATTGCCGGTCAGCGAGCTAGACCGGGGCTCAGGATTCATTCATCTGTCAACGTCAACTCAAGTGCCCAATACACTCAAGTTTTTCTTCAAAGATGATCCCATAGTCTATATACTACGCATTGAGTATGACCGAGTGCAACACAATATTCGCTGGGAATCTCCCGATGGGAAAGTCTGTGGCCCGCGACCCGGTGAAGGCTTGTTCCCTGTAAGCTCAGCACTAGATCGGATTTGCAGATTGATCAACAAAAACTAATTTAGAATAAGCATCTGTATAACGATTTGAAGTTAGGCAAAGACGAGGTGGAAAGTGTGGCGATTTGGCAAAATGAAGACGGTTGGGACAAAGCCATTGACGGGGCCAAGCCATGGCTTCTATATTAGCGCTATGTATAAAATAGCTTGATGAGCTCCACTTCATTTCTCCAGATCACTTACTGGATTGAACCTTAGACCCCTGAATGGAATATTATTCTAAATTTCTACTGCCACTAGGCAAACTTCGAAGCATGTTTCGAACTTGATGAATAGAACCATTTCAATCATGTATATATATTTGGACGTATACTTACCGGTTTGAAGATCTGTCTCATACTAAGAGTCATAGGGTTAATATTACTACTTCTAAAGATTGGCCGCATATACATTTAGAACGATCCACGGATCTTCTGAGGATTGGCACACATGAGTACTAGTACGATCAGATATACAACTTGAACCATGCTTAAATACTATGCAGTAAGCTCTTGAAGAGTTTGTACACTGCATAGATATCCGAGTCCCTACTAGACGCATGCATTATTCGGGTTGCATGCAGGGATTTGCAAGCACTGCATGTAGCAAAATGGGGTCCACAGAACTTTTGAAAAGACTATGTAGAGCCTACCAATTTGAATGATCTAAGGCTCTCATAGACTAGCTGACAAACGCATTCCCTGTCAGTTTTAGTTATACGACATGCAATATAATCATCATTGATAAGCAACAGATCCCTCACCGCCCGCCGGAACTTTCGTTTAGGAACCAATCATATCATGTGACCGGTGAAAAAAAAGTTGTTGCGCTAGTCCCAAATAGGTAAGGCCCGGAAGCAGAAAAGGACTGCTCTTTCGCTGCAATTTTTTTCTTTTTCTTTCTTTTCTTTGGGAAACCTTAGCTGGCCTCTCTCCATCAACAGAAGTTTCGTTCCTGTTGATTGATATTCTTTCATATTTGATATCCATTCTCTGACCTGAGAGTCACCTTCTTTTCTATTAAAATAACCATGCCTATCACCAACAAGGAGGCTGCGCCCGGCGCTGCCATGAAGGCAGAAATCGAGGACTACACCAAGGCCCTCGAGGTTGTCAAGACCTATACCACTAAGGATGGTCTGGATGTTGACACTCTTCTGGACTCCGATAAGCACGGCGCTCTGACTTACAATGATTTCCTTGTCCTGCCCGGTTACATCGGTAAGATTCTCGGTTTATACCCATAGCGGGGTATTCGATCAGAAATTTTTCTAACATTCTGAGTTTATAGGCTTCCCTGCTTCTGATGTTACCCTGGAAACTCCTGTCACTAAGCGTATTACGCTTAAGGCCCCCCTTGTGTCCTCCCCTATGGACACTGTCACTGAGCACAACATGGCTATCCACATGGCCCTGCTCGGTGGCCTCGGTGTCATCCACAACAACTGCGCCCCCGAGGACCAGGCCGAGATGGTCCGCAAAGTGAAGAGATACGAGAACGGCTTCATCCTGGACCCTGTCGTTCTGTCTCCCAAAGCCACCGTTGGCGAGGCCAAGGACCTCAAGGCCAAGTGGGGTTTCGGTGGTTTCCCTGTCACTGGTAAGCTTCACTCATTGTTCACTTCCTTTAGCCCAATGTTTTTCCCCATTTGCATGATGAATACCTTTTTCTATATAACTTTCGTTCCACTGGAGCCGCGAGAGCAGCACTGTAGAGAAAACTTTTTAACTGAACATGTTTCTGTTCTATCACGTTCTGAATCATTGCAATTCATCTGGCATCATTGCTAACATCAATTGCCTAACAGAGAACGGCACTCTCCGCTCCAAGCTAGTCGGTATGGTCACCTCTCGTGACATTCAGTTCCAAGGCGACCTCGACGAGCCTGTCACTTCTATCATGGCCACTGACCTGGTCACTGCCCCTGCTGGCACCACTCTAGCTGAGGCCAACAGCGTTCTCCGCAAGTCCAAGAAGGGCAAGCTGCCCATCATTGATGACAATGGAAACCTTGTCTCTTTGCTGTCCCGCTCCGACTTGATGAAGAACCTTCACTACCCTCTGGCTTCCAAGCTCCCCGACTCCAAGCAGCTTATTTGTGCTGCCGCCATCGGTACTCGTGAGGAGGATAAGACTCGTCTCAAGCATCTCGTTGAAGCTGGTCTTGACATTGTCATCCTGGACAGCAGCCAGGGTAACAGCATGTTCATGATCGACATGGTCAAGCACATTAAGAAGACCTTCCCAGAAATTGATGTTATCGCCGGTAACGTTGTTACCCGCGAGCAGGCCGCTTCTCTGATTGTCGCCGGTGCCGATGGCCTGAGAATTGGCATGGGCAGTGGTAGCGCTTGTATCACCCAGGAAGTTATGGCTGTTGGCCGTCCCCAGGCTGCTGCCGTGCGTAGCGTTTCCAACTTCGCTGCTCGCTTCGGTGTTCCATGTATTGCCGACGGTGGTGTCCAAAACGTTGGTCACATTGTCAAGGGTCTGGCCATGGGTGCCAGCACTGTCATGATGGGTGGTCTCCTTGCCGGTACCACCGAGTCTCCTGGCGAGTACTACGTCAGCAATGAGGGTCAGCTCGTCAAGGCCTACCGTGGTATGGGCAGTATTGCCGCCATGGAAGACAAGAAGGCCGCCGGTACCAACAAGGACAGCCGTGCTAGCAACGCTGGTACTGCCCGTTACTTCTCCGAAAAGGACCGCGTTCTGGTCGCCCAGGGTGTCGCTGGTTCCGTTCTGGACCGTGGCTCCGTCACCAAGTTCATCCCCTACCTTTTCGCCGGTGTCCAGCACTCTCTGCAAGACATTGGTGTCCAGAGCCTCCAGGCTCTCCACGATGGCGTCAACGCCGGCGATGTTCGCTTCGAGATGCGCAGCGCCAGTGCTATGACCGAGGGTAACGTCCACGGTCTGCACAGCTATGACAAGAAGCTTTACTCGTAAGCTCCAAGCTTCTTTCGAAGTATTGAGATAGGGACTTCCCGCTGTGAATGTGAATATGACCGGGATATCTGCGCATGATGCTACGTGGAATTGGAAATAAAAAAGGGGTATGATAAAGATTTGGAGTTATTATCCGAGGAGTCTTGTTTACGGTTTATAATGATGATACACATGTTGCTATCAATTCTGTTCTTTCTTTCTCCTTTCTCGCAGTAAATTTGTAGACCCTTGATTCTTTTAAGTATGTAACCGTCTACACATGACTATAACGGCCGAAGCTCGTTGTCGGTTTATGAAATGTAGGGTTCATAAGAGACACTGCCCTTACAGATATGTACAGCCCTGGAGTAATACAGGAGTTTTCATTCATATCTTACCTAACACTAGTCCACCTTAAGTGCTGTCTTCGTTGTTTTCTTCGACACTTCTTCTCCTATCTTTATTTCTTTTGTTAATAAAGTGATCTCTATCATTTTACCGAATGGAGTTTTTTTAGTATGTGCATACTTTTGATAATTCAAAAAGACCTATACAAATCAGGAATCAATTGTAAACGGCCTATAGCCGCGTTGGCGTTCGGTAACCGTCAAGCACATGGCGCCTAGCCTTAATGCGGATAAGCAAGGCGCGGGGTATAGGGATGAGCCTAGGCTCTCGGGTCATTTGCCTTCCATCTCCCTCGGCGACAAGTCACTCTACAACGAGATGTTGAAGATTAATTTGGAGAGCATTTGCAATTATTCTTTAATCCCTCGAACACTAATACGGTCTTCACTCACTCCAAGAAGCCCGAGATATCTGAGATATCGCTCATCGCCCATTCCAAGCTTGTCGCGTTTGCCGGTGAATAGACTGCATTTTTCTGCAAAGAACTATTCGGCTACTTCAAGCCCATTAAACACATCAGACCAAAGAATGCCACGCAAACAAAGCAATGGCAATCATAAAAGAGAAGTCGCCATTCCTCGACCTAGTTCTAGGTAAGTAATCCCATCGAAGAACTACCCATCCACCCAGGTAGTTCTGTTGTCCGCCCTTCACATGGCTTCCCGACGGGAAACACAGTGCGGCATTTCAACCATTTATTTGAATTGTAGCTTACAAACGCGCAGTGTGATTCTTGTCTCTCCCACAAACGAAGTTCTTCTGCTTCACCGCGTGCATACTTCTACCTCCTTTGCATCTGCTCATGTCTTTCCAGGCGGAAACCTCTCAGATCAGGATGGTCCATGTCCTCCCCCGGAGGACCACACGCGACACGACGATGCGCCCCATTACCGTAGAGCGGCAATCAGGGAGCTGTTTGAAGAGAGTGGAATCCTTCTCGCCAAGAACCAGACCACAGGCAAGATGCTCGTGGTCGACGAGAAAACTAGGGATCAAGGCCGAGCCTTGATTCACCAAAATAAACTTACTTTCGACGAGTGGCTGAAGCAGCAGCATTCAGAAGCTGAGCCTGATACAGGTTAGTTTATATGCCACATGACTTGAGTTTCTACGGCACCCTTAGCTAACTCTTCTGAAGACAAATTGGTCCCTTTCACTCGCTGGGTGACACCTACAAACGTCCCCAAGCGGTATACGACCCAGATGTACATATACTTTATGCCACTACCCGTTGATGTGGACAAAGAACTTCTTGAAGAACTTCCCACAGAAGGTGAACGTGAAGAAATCCAGGTTCCATCTAGCGACGGCGGTATCGAGGTAACCGAGGCCCAGTTTCTTCCAGCTTCTGAGTGGCTTCGCCGAGCTCAAAGTGGGGAGATTATTCTTTTCCCTCCTCAATTCCTTCTCTTGGATGTTGTATCTGGATTCTTGGACCAGGAGCCCCGATCAGATGCATCCTTAGAAGTACTCAAGAAACGACGGGCAGCGTTGCTCGGTTTTATCCATTCAGGCTCCCCACCATGGACAGATAAGGTTATTGCGCCCAAATTGCTTAAAATGACAGAAGATGGACGCTCAGTGCTGGCACTTGACGATTCTGGGCCTGAGCTGAAAGGATCCGGACGACGAGGCGAGCCAGATCGGGTTGTAGTCTTGAAGTTCAAGAAGGAGGGCGCAAGAGAGGTGCGAGTAGCATGGAAGAAGGATATTATGCAAGAAGAACGGAGCAATCTTTGATATAAGACCAATGTACATATTTAGGTATCATCTGAAGTATAGAAATAATCATATTTACTATTACTACAAAGTTCTACAAAGTCCATCGCCCCATTCATGAACTTACCCGAATTAATTCCCAATCCCATTATTGCCACGATCGGCTTATACGTCATGGCTCTAATCCCACGCACCACGTAAACCCGGCCACGCCAGCCCTCGACAAACAGTCACATGACCCACACAAATCATTCGGGTCTTCAATTTTATGGGCCACCAAAAATCCATCCACCTCCAACCTCACCGTCGCCCGTCAAAACCTCTACACACAACCCGCCAAAATGGAGAACGAGAAGGGAGAGATCGTCGATCTGTACGTGCCTCGCCTTTGAAACCAATCCCACCACAATATCCCGGACCTCTGAATCTGGCTGTCCATGCAAAACCGCGTCCCACGAACATGGAAGCAAGTCAAATATGGAATTTTTACTCCTCACTGTCAGCCATGAAGAGGCGTCGCATTAATTCCTACTCGATCACTGCGATTTGCGAGCAGAGCAGCCAGATACAGAGATTCAACGGATGGGCATTGAATTCGACAAGAAAAATTCAATATTTAAAAAGATCAATCATACTAATCTAGCCTTTTTCAACAGCTACGTGCCCCGCAAGTGCAGCGCCACCAACCGCATCATCAAGGCCAACGACCACGCCTCCGTCCAGCTCTCCGTTGGCAAGGTTGACGAGAACGGCCGCTACACCGGCGAGAACGAGACCTACGCTCTGTGCGGTTTCATCCGTGCCCGTGGTGAGAGCGATGACTCCTTCAACCGCCTCGCTCAGCGTGACGGATACCTGAAGAACGTCTGGGCCGCCAGCAGCCAGCGCTAAATTATTGGCCGGGAATGTGAATGACGGGTTGATATGATGGTTAGTGCGACCCGAACAGTTTTTTTCTTGATTGACTCTGGTGAATTTCCCAACTAACATACTTCATACATACAGACGAACTGTGGCTAGATGGTCCAGGTTCGGGGATTGGTTATGGAAAAAAAAATCAGGCGGGGTACAAACAATTGTTACCTTACGAATGTTCAAATTTTTTTAGTCCCCAGAGAGATCCTGTTCTCCTGCAGTCTATCTATCAAAATGAATGGAATCGACGACTTAATGGGTCAGGTTTTTCTCAAACCGATTGTTCAACGCCCTTCGGGTTTCACGCCTTATCGCGATAGATATTCCAGGCTAGGTCTGATTGACTTCGGCCGAGCAGCCTTATAACCACTTGCTATTGTTGCAGTCCAAGACAAGATGAAATCGTCCAAATTCCACACACTAGACCATGAGGCCCTTGCTTCCCCCTTTCTATTTATTCCCTTTCCGTCCCCATTCCCCTTTTCCTTTGTTTTATTTCTGGTTTATCCAGTCGGCATATCAAGGCATCCTCATTCTTTCAGACTAGGAAATCGGACCTTGTGTCTGTGTTACCGATGTTTGGTTCCATGAGCGAGGAGGTAGAAATAGCACATCCATCGCCGAAAATCACTTTCCGCCTGCTGAAGAGCCACTGTTGCAGAGATCCATGCACTGGGGCACAGATACGGGTGGGACATTTCTTCTGTAGAGATTGAAGCTGTAGATGACATCTCAGCTCTGAAGGCTATGTCGCTTTACATAGGTTATTACATCTTAAATACAAAAAGATTTATCAATTTCTTTCCTATTCTACATTCTCATCTACTCGTGGTATCCTTTATGAATCATTGCAAGTAGAAAATTGGTGTTCATATATAAAGACATTTTTGCTTCATTTCTCCTCATCACGGACATGCAATACGTTGTGTCCTACGTGAAATCGTGATTGCAGGCCAAGATCCTAAAGGTTCTAGTACCCAGGGGCCTCCACCAGCAAGACAAAAGAAAGCCCAAGTGCCTCTCATCTATTGACAGAATATCTCACCCCAAACATAGTCGAATGAGAACTTTTTTTCACTTTTAGTTTCCTTCTCTAGTTCTTCTCCAGACGAACAGCAGGGTTAGACTCGATGAAGTTCAAGTCAACCTTGTGACCAAGGAGCTCACGAATGTTGTTGACACCGTACCTACAAGTAGGATTATATTAGCAATTGACACCCATTAAGACAAAAAAATACCCTCGGGATATGGGATAGGTAAACTCACTTGATCATAGTAGGTCTCTCCAAACTCAAACCCCAACCGTAAACCTGCATGTTCTTGGGAATGCCCATAGACTCCAGCATCTCAGGTCGGAACATACCACTATTACCAATCTCAACCCACTTGCCAAGACCGTCGTGGTAACCGAAGATCTCCATACTAGGCTCAGTGTAAGGGTTGTATGCAGGCTTGAAGCGAAGCTGGTGAATACCCATCTTAGCAAAGAAGACTTCCATGAAGCCGATCAGGCCACCAAGGGTGAGACCAAAGTCCGCAATAACACCCTCAATCTGGTGGAACTCCGCCAAGTGAGTAGCATCAACAGCCTCGTTACGGAAGACACGGTCGATGGAGAAGAAGCGGGCCGGTCGCGGGTTAGCAGCGAGCTGGTGCAGCACATAAGCTGAGACAGAGGTAGTGTGTGTACGGAGCACAAGACGCAGAGTTTCATCCGCATTCCATGGGTAGCGGTAGCCGATGGAGCCGAACTTGCCCTTCTCGTGGACCTCGTGCACATTCTCCCAGTACTGCTTATAGTCGAGGGGCTTGGCGTCGGTGTTTGTAGTGAGGGACTTGAGACGGTGAGGGTCCTCGGGGGGGTCCTCGCGAGGGGCGTCAGCGACCAGTGGGTCGGCGATATAGAAGGTGTCTTGAAGATCACGGGCGGGGTGTTGCTGGGGGACGAAGAGGGCGTCGAAGTTCCAGAAGCCAGTCTCGACGTAGCGGTTGGTGGGCATTTCCTCAAAGCCCATCTCGAAGAAGATGTTGCGGAACTCAGTGCGAACCTTGTTAAGAGGGTGCAAGGCGCCCGAGGTGGTGTGGGCACCCTTAGCGTTGAAGTTGTATGCCTTCAGCTCGGCGGTCTTCCAGGACCCGCTGGCAATCATCTCCGGAGTGAGATCGGTTTCTTCCTTGACGAACTCGCGGGCATACTTGGGGCCCTTGGAGAACTTGTATGTAATTTCCTTGGTCACGGCAACAAGTTTCCTTCGCTTGAGATCGGCCAGGGCCTTGCTGTCGGTCAGAGCCTTTGTGCGCTGGACAGTGAGCAGCAGTTCGCGGGTCTCGTCGACAATTGACTCGGTGGTAGCGCGCAGCTTATCGGCGTCCTTCTTGACCCAGCCACGCTTGAAAGCATTACCCTGGCCAACCTTGGCGCTGTCCTTCCCCACAATCCCGGGCAATTCGCTGATCTTGAGGCCGTCGAGCGCGGCGACGACTGCGTTGAAAACCTTGGCCTCGTGACTGCCATTGGCGGCAATTTCAGCGCCCTCGGCGGAGAGAGTGAAGACATCTCTGTCAATGGTTTCATATTCGATAAACTGTCGGGAGCCGAGGCGGTCCAGCGCACTTTTAATGTTGGAGGAGGGGGTGGAGGGGAAGGCTTCGTTGGAGAGGAGGGGCGCATCGGACGTGGACAGGGCGTCCAGGATCGGGGCAGTCATATCGGACGCCATGACTGCAGACGTCTCCTGCAGTGAAATTGGCAGATATTGAACAAATAGCGGGGGGATAATATCGGGCTGGTGTTGATCGACCGAAATTCCGATGACTCTTTTCCCATCATGTCCGGCGGGGCAGAGAGACCAATTCTGCCATTTCACCCCGCCAAGTTAAACTTACTATAGTAAAAGCATGACCTGGCTCATAGTGTGTCGGAAGTATGCAGCTTATCTCAACGAAGGCATTTGAGACAGGGTGTTGTTGCTTTCTTTTTTCTTTTTTTTTAAAAAAAAGGGAAAGAAGCCGTTTTGATTATTTGATCACGCAGCAATACCTCGTATTCCATCGCTATCTTACGCATGTAATCATCTCATCAGCCCCTCTTTTACTAGTAGTTCGATAGAGTACTCCATACATCCGCGCATAGCCCTATGCCGCAGATAAGGACAAATAGTGCCAAGATGCCAGACCATCCACGAAATTAGCATTCCAGCATACTTGTAGTATATATTGTCTGCAAATTTAGGGTTCAGCATTTTGTCATCGGGGTTTTTTACATTGTCCCAGCATCTGAAATCTCTCCTGGGGCTCTGGTGGCTTATCAATAGGTGCTATGATTCGTGTCCATGGTGCTTAGGCCCATCCACACCCTGCAGCGTGACACCGTTTTGCCACATTCTTATGAGACATGAAAGTGTAAAAAACTTGATGGAGTGAAGAAGTTGAAATTCCCTAGTAATCTGTCTTGGATCTAGTAGCAAGACGAAAAGATCTCCAGACTATATTATGGCAGTTATACATCTACCCCTTATCAAAGTTCGTATTGCGGCGAACTAAGAAGCGGATCTCCGCCTGATCGGAGCGACAAGTTTGAACCTCCGGTGATTTAGGCTGCGTTAAACGGTGAAAAAAAATTAGGCAAAGTACGCCGAGACTCCGGGACCAATGATAGGTCCGTATATGATCAATACTGTACTGAGATACCATGTTTTAGCGGGCGTTGGAACATTAATATACTATGGATACTTCCAAGATCACCTAAGTCTGAGTACAGTACATGATAGTCTGTAGTACGCCGTAATATTTTCTGAATCTCCCTAATGACCTTTCCTTTCCTGTTAGCGAGGGACCAGCAACACACCAAGAATCCCCGAGACCATGAACCAACGAGGCCATGCACCAATCAAGTCACGACCGAGTCCACTTTTTCTGGTCAAGACTTAAGGTTCAAACTGGATCCATCCACCACGAACCCCGATGATTGGTGATTTGGTAAAAAGCCCTGGTCCAATCCTCCTAATCCTGGGATGAGTGGGAGCCGTGAGACTGTAGGTCGGTTTGGAACATGAAGGTAGGTGGGACCCTGCGGTTTACACAAGGCAAATAAACTATTGAGAGCTCAAACAACGAAGTCCAGCGGTACTGGAGTCAGAAGCGTATGGATCGGCCCCCTGACGGCGATCATCACGCTTTTGAGCCCGAAGTTGGTTTCAATAATTCAAGAAAACAGTTTAGGCGTGGGCACTAAAGCAGACCACGGGAGATGAAACAACCTTCTGTGTTCTCTGGGCACTAGTGCCTTCTATTGCCTTTCTGATCCTTTCACCGTATATGCGATGGGGGGTTGTCCGTGCGTCCCTAAGCATGGGAAATATTGATAGATTTGCCTCCCATAAAGAAGAAAAAGTAGGCAAAAGCGAGAGAACTGCATACAAAATTATAAAATTATAGAAATCGGTGGAAACTAGAGACATGAACGCACCGAAGCATTACACATTTGTTTATGATTAGGAGGCAAAGTCCAGTAGCCCCTTTCGAAATCTTTGGTTGTCTCTGCCACTGCCACTGCCACTGCCACTGCCCACTGCCCACTGCCCACTACACCCCCCTCCCCTCTCTCGTTGTTCTCCATCTAAGCTCTTTCCGCTCCGAGCATTGGTTGTCCCCGTTTGCTGCTCCATTCTGTTCGGAGCATATTATTTCGCTTGATTTAATGGAAAATCATTCTGATTTCATATTTTTTACTTTTATATCTTATTATTCTCTTTCATATTTCCCCCCTTTATCATATTGGGCTGTGTCTTGTTCTCCCCCGCAAAAAAAATAAATCCCAAAAAACCGCAAACCTTCGTGATTACATAACCCACGATTTCCCCCTTCCCAAGGTTCCCGACTTTGATTCCAGTTCCCTTTCATCCCCCGAACGACTCGGGTTCTATTGCATCTTCCCGGTCCTCGATTCTTTGAAATCGCCTCATGTCGCCTTAATTTATTTGTTCGATATTGTGTGTCAGGAACTCGTCCCCGTAAGTGCCGCCCGTTTTTTTATGCCTCTTATCCGGCTCAATCGATCTTCGACACCCTTTTCCTGGCACAACGAGACTGTCTCTATGTGACACCTTCTATCCTATTTGCTTTTGTTCTTGTCTTGCTCGCATCGAAAGATTTCTGGCCATGGACAAGAATCCCTGTGGTCTTGGCGAGAGAGCGCGGTCGGATGGATTTGGTTTCCGATTTTCTATTTCTTGCTTCAAACCGCTGATCCAATCTTAGGGCACAATGGCTGGCGCGGACGAGACTCTCGCGGCCGCGACTGCCGTGCTACAGTCTTTGGCGAGAGAAGAATCCACCACCGGCTCCTCTTCGCCTCCCTTTGATTTTCAATTCCCATCTTCAAATGGCGCGAAAGCGTCCCATCTTCCCGGAGATCCCACCGCTGCAAAGGCCGCCTTCGAAACCGAGTTAGAGGCCTTGGTGCGCCGCGTGCATCACCTGGAATTCCAAGCTGTCAGTCATCACAAGTTCCCCGACGACCCCCAACAGGCTACTCTGTCTGTCCTCGGATCCAACGAGAAGAACCCTGATTTTCTGTGGACCTTTGGGCTCGATCGCTTGTCGTCCGGTCAAGGTTCTGACTCTTCTTATTGCCTTACACAGCAGCAAAATTCGAATCAACCCGATCGGAGACAACAAACCCCCTCGGGTCCCGAGGAACCACCCGCCGGAGATTTTGACGACGACGAAACTGATGAGGAGGATGAGACTGGATCCGGCACCCGTGTCGTTAGAGAAGAGGATATCAGTATCCTACGCAACCATGTTCAGAAACAAGCCGAGGAAATCAGCTACCAAAAGGATATAATCGCCCAGGTTCGTGACGAGTTACTCAAGCAGGAAGAGCACACCCGTCGTGCTCTCATCAAAGTCGAAAATGAGGACGTTGTTCTTTTGGAACGTGAGTTACGGAAACACCAACAAGCCAACGAGGCTTTTCAGAAAGCGCTACGAGAAATTGGAGGCATCATCACCCAGGTCGCCAACGGTGACCTCTCGATGAAGGTGCAGATTCACCCCTTGGAAATGGACCCGGAAATTGCTACATTCAAACGTACGATCAACACTATGATGGACCAACTGCAGGTATTTGGAAGTGAAGTGTCTCGAGTTGCCCGTGAGGTCGGAACCGAAGGAATACTTGGTGGACAAGCTCAAATCACTGGTGTGCATGGTATCTGGAAGGAACTTACTGAAAACGTGAACATTATGGCCAAGAACTTAACGGACCAGGTGCGAGAAATCGCAACTGTAACAACTGCTGTCGCCCACGGTGATCTTTCTCAGAAGATCGAGAGTCGTGCTCAAGGTGAAATTCTGGAACTGCAACAAACTATCAACACCATGGTGGATCAACTTCGAACATTTGCAACGGAAGTAACGCGTGTAGCCCGTGATGTCGGTACAGAAGGAGTACTCGGTGGTCAAGCTCAAATTGAAGGTGTTCAGGGAATGTGGAACGAACTCACGGTAAATGTCAACGCCATGGCCAACAATCTTACAACGCAAGTACGAGATATCGCGACCGTTACCAAGGCTGTCGCCAAGGGTGACTTGACGCAGAAGGTGCAAGCCAACTGTCGAGGAGAGATTGCGGAACTTAAAGATATTATCAATTCCATGGTGGACCAACTGCGACAATTTGCCCAAGAGGTCACGAAAATTGCGAAGGAGGTCGGTACAGATGGTGTTCTGGGAGGTCAAGCCACAGTCAATGATGTCGAAGGCACGTGGAAGGACTTGACAGAAAATGTGAACCGTATGGCCAACAATCTTACCACTCAAGTGCGTGAGATTGCGGATGTCACCACTGCTGTCGCCAAGGGTGACTTGACTAAGAAGGTTACGGCCAACGTACAAGGTGAGATCCTTGATCTCAAGAGCACGATTAACGGCATGGTGGATCGTTTGAATACCTTCGCTTTCGAGGTTAGCAAAGTCGCCCGTGAAGTCGGTACCGACGGAACCCTTGGTGGCCAAGCCAAGGTGGACAATGTGGAAGGAAAATGGAAAGATCTTACCGATAACGTCAACACCATGGCCCAGAATTTGACCTCTCAAGTGCGAAGTATCTCGGATGTCACTCAAGCTATCGCGAAGGGTGATTTGAGCAAGAAGATTGAAGTGCATGCACAAGGAGAGATTCTCACCCTCAAGGTGACCATCAATCACATGGTGGGTCGACTCGCTAAGTTCGCCACGGAACTCAAAAAGGTCGCTCGTGATGTCGGTGTCGATGGTAAAATGGGTGGTCAGGCCAACGTGGAGGGTATTGCAGGAACTTGGAAAGAAATTACCGAGGACGTCAATACTATGGCTGAAAATCTTACGTCTCAAGTGCGTGCATTTGGTGAAATCACAGATGCTGCCACGGACGGTGATTTCACGAAATTGATTACCGTCAATGCCTCTGGTGAGATGGACGAGCTGAAGCGCAAGATCAATAAGATGGTTTCCAACCTTAGAGACAGTATTCAGCGAAACACTGCAGCCAGGGAAGCTGCCGAGCTTGCCAATCGCACCAAATCCGAGTTCCTCGCCAATATGTCCCACGAGATTCGAACTCCTATGAACGGTATCATTGGTATGACACAACTTACGTTGGATACCGATGACCTAAAGCCTTACACACGTGAGATGTTGAACGTGGTGCATAACCTGGCCAACAGCTTGCTCACCATCATTGACGATATACTCGATATCTCAAAGATCGAAGCCAATCGGATGGTGATTGAGAGCATTCCTTTCACAGTGAGAGGCACCGTCTTCAATGCTCTCAAAACATTAGCTGTCAAAGCCAACGAGAAGTTCTTAAGCTTGACCTATCAAGTGGATAATACAGTACCGGACTACGTTATTGGTGATCCATTCCGTCTACGCCAGATCATACTTAACTTGGTTGGCAATGCTATTAAGTTCACTGAGCATGGAGAGGTCAAGCTCACCATTCGCAAATCAGACCGTGAGCAGTGTACGACCAACGAGTATGCCTTCGAATTCTCTGTGTCGGACACCGGTATCGGTATCGAAGAGGATAAGCTAGACTTGATCTTCGACACTTTCCAACAGGCAGATGGTTCTACTACTCGCCGCTTTGGTGGTACTGGTCTTGGTCTGTCTATTTCTAAGCGTCTGGTCAATCTGATGGGCGGTGATGTCTGGGTCACGTCCGAATACGGACACGGAAGTACTTTCCACTTCACTTGCGTCGTCAAGCTTGCCGACCAATCTATCAATGTCATTGCATCCCAACTCCTTCCTTACAGAAACCACCGAGTTCTATTTATCGACAAGGGTCAGAATGGTACTCAGGCCTCCAATGTCCTGAAGATGCTCAAGCAAATCGAGTTGGAGCCGTTGGTTGTTCGAAACGAAGAGCACGTTCCTCCACCAGAGATCCAAGACCCCTCTGGAAAGGAATCCGGTCATGCGTACGATGTAATCATTGTCGACTCCGTGGATACAGCCCGTATTCTGCGGACATTTGACGAGTTCAAATATATTCCGATCGTTCTGGTTTGTCCTTTGGTCTGCGTTAGCCTGAAGTCGGCCCTCGATCTCGGTATCAGCTCATATATGACTACACCATGCCAGCCTATTGACCTTGGTAATGGTATGCTGCCCGCACTGGAAGGCCGCTCTACACCAATCACTACCGATAATTCTCGATCCTTCGATATTCTTCTCGCTGAGGATAACGACGTGAATCAACAATTGGCAATGAAAATTCTTCAAAAGCATAACCATAACGTATTTGTTGTTGGCAACGGTCTGGAGGCCGTCGAAGCTGTCAAGAAGCGTCGCTACGACGTCATTTTGATGGACGTACAAATGCCGGTGATGGGTGGTTTTGAAGCTACGGGTAAGATACGTGAGTACGAACGTGACAGTGGACTTCAGCGTACTCCCATCATTGCGCTCACAGCCCACGCCATGTTGGGTGATCGTGAGAAATGTATTCAAGCTCAGATGGACGAGTATCTGTCAAAGCCGCTTAAACAAAACCAAATGATGCAAACTATCCTCAAATGTGCCACACTTGGTGGCTCACTGCTGGAGAAGAGCAAAGAATCTCGAATTTCAAGCAGTGGGGAAATGCATCCTATTCATTCCTCTGTCTCCCAGGACCAGAACCAGCAACAGCAACAACCGCAACGATCACAAAAGATGCAACCCTTACCTACACCTCCTCGACCTGGTTTCGAGACTCGGTCTATCACCACGTCCGGCTCTGTCGGTCGTGGAAATGTTGTCAGCCCTGTCGAGGACAAGGATGAAGAGATGATCGATGATCGGGTACGTTGAGCATGTATGTGTGAAAAGTTATAAATTCATCGACCAAACCGACTAATAATTTTCCTTTCTCTTCCAAACAGTCACTACTGCGATCAAATAGTACTTGAAGGCCGTTTGCATATCATGAACATTTTGTTTCCCAGCATGCAGATTCTTCTCGGATGTTTTCGATCTTGTCGTTGATACCCTGTCCATATGAGTCGTCAAGGTTTTCTTGATTGTTCTCGTGGTAGAAAGAAATTATTAACTCTTTTTCCCATTCTCTGTTCTACTCGCTCATACCCTTTGCTCTTCATTATCATATATTCCGACCTTCCTCTCACACCAACATACACATCCTCCCGCATTCGCTTCATTCCTTATCCTGGTGTCTGGCGCTTCTTTTTCACAATTTTTCATCTTTGATTTCCAAAGCTTGGGTCTACTCGGCACAGTCTGGTGGGTGACTAAAGGGGGAGTTTGTAAGAGAGGGAATGCTTCATTTCCATTCCCTCTTGGTCTTTCTATTGTTGCCATATTTATCATCCATTCTCTCGCTCTTTGCTTCCAGAAAGCCCTTGAAGCTTCTTCTGTTCTTATTTACTTCTATTTTTTTGTATTGTATTTAGTTGCTTCTTCCTTTCTGGTCGAACCACCTGCGGTGCAAGACACAGAGTGCCACAAGCTCCGGGGGTTATTCATGATGTCTCTTGGGTCGTCTTCTGGCTTTTGGCTCGGTCTTCGTTTCACGGACAGTTTAGATTTCTGTCCGTTTCATTTCTCAATGCAAGACTTTCTGCTCTGTGTTTATTACAAGTAAAAGTGTGAATAAAAGTTACATGCCTGCGACTTGGCGGCTCAACCCCCAGCCATCAATACCTAAGTAATTGAATCCATATCTTTGCTCCCATCTACAAGACTTATATGCCTTTGTATCTTTAGATGATAATAGATAAGTCATATTAACTACTGGTTTAACAAATTATAGTTCAAGAATCAAAAACAACCAGCAATCTTATTATCTATGCCTTTCTTTTCCCAAATTCCAGCAAGTGATATTACATTAGATCCCATATCTTCCCAAAATAAAGTCTTCAACAATTATGACAAAAAGGTTCCCAAATATTTCAAGACACCCAACTTAAACCAAAGAAATTAAGGAGAATAAGAGGAGAAATAGAAATAGAAAAACGAGAAGAGGAGAATAGAAGAGAGGAGAGGAGAGAAAAGAAAAGGAATGGACACAGTAGCCCGTACCTCGTATTAATTTATCCTCGATGTCTCATATGGAACTGAGGAAAGGCCCCAGACCCAGCCTCGGTTGTCGTAGTCGTCAAAAACCTCGTCACGTTAAGAGTACCCGTCGCATTCGAGAGAATACTGCTCGTGTTAGCGAACGGCGCTGTCATATTCATCGTCCCCAACATCTGCCGTCGCACTATACCGGGAGGAATTGCCGCTCGCGGGGTGACTGAGCTTCCTCCAGCCCCAGCACTACCACTAGCAGCTCTGCTAGCGCCAGCACCAGAGCCAGGAGTCGATCCAGGCACCGCAGTGGACGTGGGTAGGGTTTTCAGGGTACTTCCGCCTGCTGAGCCGGAGCCGGCTGGTGTGCTACTGCCGCTGCCGGGGATTAAAGGTGTCGAGACTCGGGTGCTGACTGAACTGGTAACGGTAATTGCGCCGGAGCTTACGACGGGTGTTGAGCTTGAGGGTTGCGCGCTAGCTGTGGACGATGAGACTTGAACGGAAGATGAGGGCTGGGCAGATGCTGTGCTTCCTCCTGCTCCGGCTCCACCTCCACCTCCTCCTACGGCGCTGGTGGTAGCTGCATTCCCGCCTCCAGCTCCAGATGTAGCAGCTCCGCCGCCGCCTTGGTTGGTACCACCTCCGGCTGTGGCGCTGGGGCAGCTGGTAACTGTTACTGTTGTGGCAGGGCAGGCGGCACATAGAGCGCTTGCAATGGGGCAGAGGCCAATGGTCGATGGAGCAGGTGTAACCACGACTGGTCCGATGGAAACAGCACAGGTAGCAGGTGGGGTTGTGGCAGGAGAAGAAGAAGAAGAAGAAGAAACAGAGGATCCTCCACCGCCGCTGGGAGAGCCACCACCACCACCGGGACTGCCTCCTCCACCAGGGCTTCCGCCGCCAGAGCCAGGGGAGCCGCCGCCAGGAGAGCCGCCACCGGGGGAACCTCCACCAGGGGAACCTCCGCCAGAACCAGGACTACCTCCTCCGGGGCTACCTCCGCCAGGAGAGCCACCGCCAGTGCCTCCGCCGGGGGAACCCCCTCCAGAAGAGCCACCACCAGGACTACCACCTCCTGATTCACTACCGCCGCCGCCGCCAGTAGAGGAGCCACCAGAAGGTTGGGAGCTTTGGCAAGGACTACCAGTAGCACCAAGGTTTCGCTCCTCAATATTTCGCACCTCCAATTGATTCAAGTCATCGGGATTGATAAGCTCATCGGCACCAACAGGAACACTCTGCAAGAACAGCCAAGAAGCGGCCAGAAAGACCAAGCACTTCTTCGCATGCATCATTGAAGCAAAGAAACCCAGCAGATAATAGAAGAACCTGTCACTTGAAGCCTCGAGAAATTGATTGAAGCGAGATAATGAATATAGAGCGAAGCCGATTGGATTGCGGATACGTAGCAGGAGAAACTTCAACGTCTTTCACGACTTTGAGCACAGTTTCGAGCACTGGTCGAGCTCGAAAAGAGGATATAGGCCCACGGGAGGTACTTTATCAACACGAAGCAAGAAACAGGAAAGAACAGCCTCCGATTACCAGAAACGCGCAGATCGAAGGGGAATCTTGTATCGACTTCGAAAGAGCAAGGGGAAAAGGAACAAAAATGACGGAAAGCACATAGGCCAGAACGCTCGAATATGTACCATGTAGAGAAGAGGGTGATGTCTTCGACAAATGATGGAGACTCGATGTCATCGAAGGTCCCGATTGGGAGTCGGAACTTGTATACATTCAATTGAGTTAGGGTGTTAATTAAGTTTGAAGCTTTGTTCAGCCCTAATCTTTGCTTTTTCTGGTTCCGTGGTGCCCGTAAGCTCCAAACCGCCCTATTGGAAATTATCCCATGCTCTGATCCATGGATGGGGTATCTCAGGCACCATCATCGTGACTGGTTGGTTACATAGATTCTATGCACCTGAGGATATTTGTTCCTGTCGGAGAAGATATGCGAGGGGTTTGTTGTTTGGTCAGCACCCGGTGAATAGTGAGTTAGATGTAGTTGCGAGGTCGATGAATTTATTGTTTAAGGGTGTCTGCAAACGTTGATGTGTCGGTTATTATTCAAGTATGACATATGAGGCCCGTGAAGTTGAGCTCTCTCCGAATCGGACTCTGGCCCCGACTTTAGAGATTCGGTGATGCAGCCGTCCTAGCTAATCAGTGATGGACGAAAAATCGATGATTTTGTGTTTAGGTTTTTTTTGGGAATGCGAGTGGACATCTTAGTAAACTTTAACTCGACATTAAAGATATTCTAGGTATATGGGCTTTAGGGATTTATTGCAATGCATGCGAACAGTTCAGTTGCCCGTGTCGTCGCTGTCGTCGCTGTCGTGAAGCTGTGACAGCTCAAGCTTCGAAAAGAAAAATTTGAACGCTCAATTAGACGATGGTTAGAATGCAAGATGAATTTTTTCGCTCATTGGGCAGTTTTATTCTGCTGCCATCAGGTCGTGTTGAGATCATTGGAGAAAGAGTGTGGTGCTGTTCCTGAATATCAAGAGTCTAGTAAATTGCTAACGGCTTGCGCCACCCGACTTGAATGACTTTGACAGCCGTGCAGCATACCAAACCTAGAGCATAACATGCGATCGTGAATGTAATAAGGCCCCACCATTCTCCATTACATCTCACTAAAATTTCACCTGCAATTGGTATACCGGTTAAGGTACTGGTGATAGAAGATGTCAGTCCGATGTGTAAATTACATCACCAAGTCATGCAACGAGCTCTGCAAAAGGAAAGAAATGACTCACCCAAAACTGACAATGGTATAGCATGTTGCATAGTACCTCCCGTAGTTCTCCGTTTTGCAAAGCTGGTCAATATTAGCTGAATTTCATTTTCTGATAATATTGGTCGGGATGAAATCATAGGAGGGAACTCATACCTGGCCGACACAAACGGGTGTCAAGCTAATGTTGCTGCCAGAAGCAAATCCAAAGAATAGAGAGTATATGACAAGCAGAGCTAAACTTTTACCCGCTGGTAGCCAAAAGCATACATTGCAAAGCAAGCACATGGCAACAGTCACGATCAAGGCATTAAATCTTCCCAAGTAGTCGGCAAAGAAACCCGGCAAAAATCGTCCAAAGAATGAGCCGACGTTCAAGATTGCCAGAATCTGGTACGAGAAGCTCGTGGAAAACCCCTTGTCCAGTGCATAAGTTGAGATGTAGCTGATTGGGACAAAAAGACCCCACTCAATGAAGAAGACGCTTGCGGTGGTCAATGCGAACCGGGAATCGCGGAAGATGCGGAAATCTGGTAGAATATTTTCCTTGGAGAACGGCTTTTGAGGGAGACGTGATTTGATCAAGAGGCTTGCTAATGAAAAGGTGATGAGGCAGATCAGGGCGATAACTCTAGTTGCCCAGGCCCATCCTATTCTAGGGAATAGAGCCTCGAGAATGAGTGGGAATGCAATACCTCCAATCGAGCCACCGGTAGCTGCGATTCCTGTTGCAAGACCGCGTCTATAACTGAATGTTAGCAGGGAATTTCGATGCGTAGCTAGCCATTATGGAATTCTAACCTTTCGTAGAAAAAGTGTCCGATGGCAGATATAGCTGGTGTGAAAATAAGAGAAGCTCCTACGCCTCCAAGGACGCCAATTACCAACATAAAGTGCCAGTACTTGGTACAAAATCCAAGAAGAATGATGAAAGCCATTTCACATATCGAGCCGGCGAGAACCAGCATCCGCGGGCCGCGAGCATCGAAGATGGGACCGATTTGAACACCACAGAAAAAGACTAAAAAGGCATACATGCCAAAGATCCAGCCAATATCTCCGGAACTATAATCTTTGAGCTGGTGGCTCGAAATATAGGCCTGGAAAGTACCGATAGTGTTGACAAGTCCGAGGGATCCAAAAAGACCGAGAAAACTTCCTAATACAACGAGCCATGCCTCTTTTCCACCTTCTGGGTAAACGTTCCCCTCTGCATCAGTTGTCACTCGACTGACTGGATCTCTGTGAACAGACCGCTGGGAGGGGGCCACAGTTGAGGCCATTTGATACAATACATCACTCTGGGCGGGATGGTCATGTGCTGTTGGTTGATCGGGCGATTCCGATTTTCCCACCGCGTGGACTTGCTGTTCAGAGTTGGTTACATGGCTGGCAGACTTTTCTATCTCTGTTGTGACAGCGTGTGTTTCATCTGTGTTCGCATTCTGATGATGGGAATCGACACTCAGGTCAAGGTCAACAACTGCATTAGACATTCTAAACAAAATGTCGCACCGTTATGTATTCCTCTGCACGGTATTTTTCTCCTCTTCCGGCTTTCTATGGGAATTTTTCGGTTGTTGTAATTAATATTCCGAGTCAACAGCGAGGTGATGAAGTAAGTTGCGGGTTTGATTCAAGAAAAAGCTGGGGTGAGGGGGCGTATTAGGAATCGAAAAAATTGGGTCATCAAAGCCAAGAAGGCTACAAACTGTTCATGGTGCGTCCATGGCCCCGATTGGCCCCTGTGAGGGTCTGGAGGGTCTTTAGGACGCTAAAGAAAAAATTTCATTGGATCCGGCGGTTGGTTGCCGATAGTGGGGACCAAGGTACCTCTATAGCTTTCGCTTCTCAATATGGAAAAACATCTATGAATTCTGAACCATCGGTAGATGTGCATAGGAAATGATTTGACCTTAGACAAATTTTGAGTAATATGAATAATACCCCACTCCACAAAACAGCCGATAGGGACTCTGGAGATACCCAATACATGCAGATGCAGCATGCGGTGGGGTTGCTTGATCTCGCCCGCGGAGGACATGCCCCACCCGATGCCCCGTTACATTCGGTGTGGAAGAGCCTGAGTGTCGGTGCCCTTTGTTCACCTAAACTCTGTATAGTGTTTGGCTTTCCTGCCGGTAAACGGTGATCATCGTATAGATAGGCCAAATGGCTACCAATTCAAGTCTACTATACATAGATTTTAGGCTTCCAAGGTTCAACTGTGCCAACCTCGGAGAATATAATAATACGCAAATGTATCTGCAGGATGAAACTCAAATTTTGCTCGGAGATATATTAGTATCATCCTGATCAAAGTTGGAATGTGTCCGAGTCGGTCTATATTGGCATGAAATACTATAAAGAGACGTCTACAGTCATTAGAATTTAAATTTTTTCCAACTAGAATGCGGCACAGCATACTAATTGCAGGGAAGCTAGAAGAACAATTTTTGCAGAGGGTTTGCCTGATCGCTCGTTGTAGCGTTTTTAAATACATTCAGAAAGATGGATGGGGCGAAGACACTGACAGGGAACAAAACTCTTTCCCTTATATAACCAAAGATTGAGCCGCCATATATCAATTGGGCTTGTGGTTTAGTGGTATAATACTCCCTTAGCATGGGAGTGGTCCGGGGTTCGATTCCCCGCGAGTCCATCTTTTTGCTTGTCCACATTAATCTCATTAATCGTCGTACGACATGTCTTTTTTTTGTATAGTAGATAGACAAACTATGATTATCTACGCCAGGATTCCCGGACGGCATTTCCACGGGTCTTACCACCACCTGCCAATGTTACTGCAGGATGACGTTCTTCATGAGCCATTAATTTATGCTATGTATCGACAGGTAGGAAGTACAGTACTAGTTAGTGATGCTGTAGGTAAGCCGACCTTTCCCAAAATTGATCAGGCCTTACTGGTGTCAGAAGCGAATTACTAGATATAGTCGCAGAGGCATCTGCAATAATACCTATTATTGGCAATGAAGAGACGCCAAACCCGTCATTAAAAAAAGCTTAACACTCCAGGATTTACGTTGAATTTTGGTAAAATCGCTCCATGCATTCTTTGATAAGCTAGCAATAATCTGTTTCTCAAACACATCGGCTACATTATTAGGAGCAACGAAATATCCCGCTAATGCCGTACCTATCAGTGCATGATGAACTCAGTCGGCTACGAGCTCACAATCAACTGTAGCCGACAGCTTTCCAAGGGTGGGAGATTGAACGTCTGACTACTGAACCGCGCACGGAGTACACCCAGCCGCGTGGATTATTTCGTCTCTAGTATATTGCATCGTCCGAAAGCCAGCTTGATAGCTTGATGTTAGCAGCGATTTTCTTCGCGCCACCCGCCACCACATTTTAGGCGAGCGGGAAATCAAAATGCGACGCAGAAGAAATTACGTTGGTTGGAGTGAGGGGAAGGCGATAATCCAATCTTGTCAGGCGAACTCCACTTCTTCCGCCATACGAGCTTCATCTAAGAACGTAGATAAGCCCATATCGCCGGAGTTCCGCCGCTGTCCCGATAAAACCTAGTCAACGTCTAGCTTGTGCCTGAGCAAACATGACGCAATCAATTTATCTCGGAACATGAGAAGACCTTATCCAAGCTCCCTTAAGCACGAGAAACAGCTATTCGGCTAATTCGGACGTGCTGAACAATGAGAAGCCTGAAAAGAGTAAAGAGATGGGATGATCATGCACGGTGAAGTAGTCGGGAGATTTACAGTCTGGTTTCCGTTTCCGGGAATGGTGCACTTTTCGACCCCGCCTACAAAGTGGTACATTTGGCTGATACTGGCCGCTCAGTGATATCAGCGGAGGAACCGATGTGGAGTTGCAGGAAGAAGCATTGGTTAGCCAGGTGCTTGACCAACCAGGGGTTTCTTCCGAATTGCCGCAATGTCCATCAGCCCCCGAAATTGAGTACTTATAATCGAGCATGCTCTCCCACATGCAACGATTGACTGTCCCGGCCTTTCTTTCTTATTCATCCTTTAATTTCCACCCGAGGCCCTTAGTCCAGGATGCAGATTAAACCATTCTTGACGTCGGCGCTCCTAGCCCTTTCACTGGGTGCGGATACTGTAGCCGCATCCAAGCATGGTCGCTTCGGACAGCTTTCTCGTGCGCCAATGGAGAAGGCCAAGAGGGCCTTACAGTCGGCGAAGGATCATGTAGTAAGGACTACGACCAAGTATCGCTTCTTGAGCAGCAAGTCAAAACGTGAGTGGAATACATGGATCTCGTTTCACCTTTTCACAAATTGACTGAGTTCTCTTAGCTTATAAGGTCAATCATTTGCCCGATGTGCATTTCGATATTGGTGAGATGTACTCGGGGCTAGTGCCAATTGAAAAGAATGATACTTCACGATCGCTCTTTTTCGTGTTTCAACCAACTATTGGTGAGCCAGTGGATGAGATTGTGATCTGGCTCAATGGCGGCCCGGGCTGTTCTTCCATGGAAGGATTTCTTCAAGAAAATGGAAGATTCACGTGGCAACCGGGAACCTTTCTCCCTGTTGAGAACGAATACTCTTGGGTGAACCTGACCAATGTGTTGTGGTAAGCACTTGCAATATCATTGTAATTTCCTAAGAAATGCGGAGTTTAACTTTCTTCCTAGGGTTGACCAACCCGTTGGGACTGGATTCTCTATTGGCAACCCCACAGCAGACTCAGAGGAAGAGATTGCCCAAGACTTTGTCAAATTTTTCAAAAACTGGCAGGAAATCTTTGGAATCAAGAACTACAAGATTTACGTGACAGGTGAAAGTTATGCAGGACGCTATGTTCCATACATTTCAGCGGCTATCTTGGACGAGCAGAATAAGGAGAACTATGATTTGCATGGTGAGTGAGAAGATCTTAACTATTCAACGACTCTAAAGGCATTTCTAATTTATCCTAGGTGCACTTATGTACGATCCTTGCATTGGTCAATTCGACTGGGTTCAGGAGGAAGCCCCAGCTGTACCACTTGTACAAGCGAATGCAAACTTATTCAACTTCAATGAGACATTCATGGCCGAGCTCGAAAGACTTCACAAGAAATGTGGATACGAAGACTTCATCGACAAATATTTGACCTTCCCACCACCCGAGCATCAGCCACCCAAGTTCTTTAACTACACAACCGACGCTGAATGTGATGTTTTCGACCTGATTTACAATGAGGCATTCAGCACAAATCCTTGCTTCGACTTGTATGAGATCCCTACTATGTGTCCTCTGCTGTGGGATGTGTTGGCTTTCCCCGGTTCCCTCGGCTATCTTCCCGACGGAGCAACCGTGTATTTTGATCGGGCAGATGTCAAGCGGGCACTACACGCACCCAACATTACCTGGTCTGAGTGCTCAGATGGACCTGTCTTCACTGGTGGTGATGCAGGACCTCAGCAAGAAGGAGATATCTCTGCGAACCCGATTGAGAAAGTACTTCCTCAGGTCATCGAAGCAACGAACCGTGTCCTTATTGGTAATGGTGACTATGATATGGTCATCATAACTAATGGCACTCTTCTTTCTATTCAGAATATGACTTGGAATGGTCATCTTGGATTCCAGAAGAAGCCCGAGAAGCCCATCGTTATCGATCTTCCTGATCTTCAGTACCAGAGCGTCTTTGCTGAAAATGGAATGACTGGTCTGGATGGACCCCAGGGTGTCATGGGTATCCAACACTTCGAGCGTGGCTTAATGTGGGTTGAGACCTACCAAGCCGGGCACATGGAGCCTCAATACCAACCGCGTAGTTCTTACAGACATCTTTCGTATCTTTTGAACAGAACACAAGAGATCTGATCGAGGAAGTGATTCGAAGCCGCATTAGTATGATAGTATCATAGAAAGGGACGGTGGTTCAAATGTTGACGTGTACTGTCGCAGTCAGACCTGAAGATGTGGTATCAAGCTATTTATTAGTTGATAACCATTTGCCCATGTGAATATGCATTTTCGAACTCATGTGCATACTTGAAGCTTAAATCCAATAAAACCCTAGACCTGTATTGAGGGGCGTTAACCACTTCGACTATATTAACCCACAAGTTGAATCTTGCCGAAACTATGATGCTCAAGACCTAAAGACATGAGACGTAAAGACCAGGTCTAAGGACTGCTATGTATCCCGTTTGTGCAGTAAAGCTCAAAATCGGGTCGGTAGTAACATTAAAACGCTCATTGGCAATTTTCTGGATAGTGTCCCCAGGAAGACTTGTGTAAACATGAGGCCCGCCGTAGATGCAATCCGCTGTAGCATTGGCATTGTTTGTACTGAAGCAGGAGTAGTCGTTTGGGAAGGTTGCCCTTGCAGGAATGCGTAGCGTTTCATTCGTGTACAGGAAGTTTGGATCAGAAAGCACATTGATCCGAGCTAGGTCACAGGCGCCCACATTGTACTTCGCTGCAATAGTATGGGTTGTGTCGAACTTTTTCCTTTGAGAATGTATGTATCTGTTAATGAATGACTTCGCCTTCCACTACTTATGCTACATCGATTGTTATAAGTTGTCAAAGCGCTCGGTGAAGTATCTTTGTATAGTATCCGTCTACCCCATAGAGCCCTTTCCAATATTAAAGCATATTGTAATTACTTGGTCTCAGATAGTTCACTACAGTTTCTGTTTTAAGGGTTGTTTTAGTGAAAGCTGCCAATAACAGGAATTTCAATTCTAAGTCACGATGGTATCTTGCACATATACACGTTCAGCAGGAGGCGATCTCGCTCAACCATGCAAAACAAACCAAAAAAGTAACAATAATAATATACTCGGAGCTGGTTAGGCCCTCATTACAAGTGGCGCCAGGCGCAGTGTGCTCATTTCTTTGAGCTTGACCAGCCCGATAGAAAGGTATCACTTGTGTATATACCTCGGCTTTATCTTCACACTGAATAGATTGGTGTTGATGACGACGACCTTGGGCTAGAGAAATTGGAAATTCAATCTTCCGTGTTTTTTTTTTCCCGTTGCTTCTCTTTCTATCTCTATAGAGTTTGCTTGCCACGTGTTTCAATGGGGAAGCAAGCCATAGCCACAAAACCAGCGAGCATCAGAGCACCCGAAGCATAGATCGGAGCATTCGCGTCAGATGTACTGGCGAAAATAGCAACCAATGGAGCACAAAGACCGGCAATACGGTTCAAACAACTTGAAATGCCAGATCCGGTTCCGCGGTTGGGAGCGGGGAACACCTCAGGAGTGTAAGCGTAGAGAACACCGTACATAATATTCTGGAAGAAAGCCTCGAGACAAGTGCAAACGAGTTGAACATCCGAGGTCTTTGCGGCAGTGAAGCAGAACAGCAAAATTCCAGTGATGAGGGTTGAAATGGCCATAGTTCCCTTACGACCAATGTACTTCATCTCAACTGTGTAGCAGGCAAGAATGGAGCCAGGACATCCCACAACTGAAGTGATGGCGTAGTTACGGTAGGTGATGTATTCGGAATTTGTTTGACCACCAACCTGAGAGAGGTATTGTGGCAGGAAAGCGTTGAAAAGAGGGTATCCCATTCCGATGGTGGTCCAGCAGAACCAGAGGAGAGCGGTGGTGATACCCAGACGCTTGCTGGAGAATAGAGGTGCAATGCGCTCCATAGAAAACTTGGAGAAGAAACGCTTGACAATGTCGCCTACGGCAAGCTTTTCGGCTTCCTTGGTTTCAGCAATGCCACCGATTTCGTTAAGAATCTCAGTTGTTAACCAGGTCTTGGTGTTGTTCTCATAAGCAATGCCATGGACGGAGGCTACAGCTTCGTCTTGGCGACCGCGAGAAAGTAGGAACTTGGGTGACTCGTATAGGTGGAAAAAGAAGAAACGAGCAATCCACATGCACATGGTGATTGCGCCAAGGGTCAAAATCAGGTAGCGCCAGCCCATATTGTTTTCCTTGGTACAGCCAACTGCGCTAGAGCAACTGTAGGGTGGGATGAAGGCCCAAGCGAGCAAACTGGAGATGAGCTGTCCAATAGGCCACCAGACACTTAGCATTGTCAACAGGTTGCCAGAAGCACAAGGTAAAAATTCCAAGAAGAGAGCGCCATCAACCGGCAGGTTTCCACCGACACCGAGACCGAGACAGGCGTACAGAGCAGAGGTGCCGATCCACGTAGGCCCACCACCTGCTGCGAGACCGAATACACCGGCAAGGAAAAGGGTTGTGTTGAAAGCCAGACGACGGCCGACAATATCAGAAATAACACCCCAGAATGAAGCACCGATACACAGACCCAGGAATAGGGCACAGGTGCTGAAGCGCACCCATGACGAATCGATGTTAAACTCGTAAGAAATTGGTGTCAAAGTAAGGGCAATACCCTATGGTAATTCATTGTTAGCTTTGATCACAATAATGGCTAAATGGTTGCCTGCTCGTGTATCATCGTGGTGGGTTCTCACCTGAAGCCAAAGGCTGCATAGAAAGTCAGTCAACAATAGTCAATTAGATTCTAAGAAGTGGAATGGAGCTTACTTGTCGGCTAGCCAGCCAAATCCGCACAAGAAAAACAGCTTTTTCTGGTATTTTCCCATGCCAATGTCCTGCATCGCACGGTTGATCACCTTAGCTTTCCCTAAAGAAGTGGAGAAGATTAGATCTAAAGCCCAATATTCAAATCGAGAAAGACATTATTGTAACACTCCGAGCCGAAGAGCATCCACTTACGGTCATAAATAGAGTCAAGAGAAGATGTGGACGATTCGTTTTCAATTTCAGCCCGCAGCATTTCTATCGTTAGATGGGACGTCTCGTGCAGGGAACCGGCTGATCCATTCTCCGATGAAGAGGCACGCTCCAAGGATTTGTTAGCATCCGGGCTGGCATTGGGATCTTCCTTTTTCTCGACGGGCTGGGCTCGGTTTGGGTAAGCCGGGGCTTCGGATAGAGGGATCACGACGCCTGGGAAATTCTGGCGATCCTTCTTGAACGGGTTGAATTTTTCGAACCCCATGGTGGCTATACGGAGAGGATGATTTGAGGCGCTTGAGGGAAACTGTAATTTTTCCTAAACAAAGTCAAGGACTGGTTCGTCGGGGGTTCGTTAAATCGCCTGCGGAATTGTCGCTATCTGCTGAATGGTCTATAGTCTGTTCTAGATACCGGGTGACAGGTCGTTTGTTGGGGTAAGACTACAAAAGTGGTGCAATCGAGAACAATTTTGCGCAAGGGTTAGATCGTTGGCGTTGTGCTTGCTGGGAGAAATGAATTCGGATCGTGAGCGTAATACGTTGCAATCACTTGTCGAAAAAGTGGAGGTCGTTGCTACTGAGGAGCAAAGTCGTGTGTGAAGAGTATGTGACGTGCTTGGTTCCGTTGATTTGAAACACTTTCTTTTTTTCTTTCTTTCTTGTCTTTTGTCTTTCTCATAGAAGAAGGGAACAGGTAAAATGGGTTGAGATACTATAGTAGATAGTATGTCTCGAGACCCTGAAGGTGGGGAGGAATAGACGGGGAATGGGAAAGAAATGGGTACCATGCGATACTACTCCATACTTATACCTGGATCCATTCTGGATTCCTCTTCCCCCCCCATTTTCACATCTTTGCTTTTTTCCCTTTTTTCCTTTTTTTTTCTCTTCGCTTTTTCCACCTAAATTACAGCCCCGGGTTTATGCGAGTAGGCCGAATCCATGGAAACCGGATTGGTCACTCTAAAAGTGGAGCGTGTTCCTCTTCCACGAATCGGGTATAGCGGTCCAATGCTAGTGTCGCCCCCATCCAAATGTTGGCATCATTATGGTAAGGATTCACGCAGGTAATGGGGTCCCAAGGCCATCCAGGTATCCGTCTATACTGTGCTTCGTATAGATTACAGCTTCCTCATTAATGCCGGAGCCGCCGCACTCAGCCTAGTGTGATATCAGGAGACCCTGGCTCAATGAGGGCCGCCGCATTCGGCTATGAGTTTGCACAAACTCCATTATTTGTTCCCTGAGGCTCGGTCCGCACCAGTCAAGGGATTCAATGGATGTTCTATGTAATACATATACATGATGTATGTACAGCCGTTCAATTGACAGGTCCACGATTGAACGTGGAGTATGGGGATACGGGAAAGACCCTCCCTTGGCTCTCAACACCACACTCGAAGCGCTCAGATACATATGGAAAATATTCTTGCGTGAAGGCCAAAGGCACATGTGCACAGGAACCCTAATCTTCGGCACCGACGTCATCCCATATCTTGTTTCGCTGGTTTGACCGTGGCCCTGGTGCTTTTCTTCTTTGCTTTTTCTCCTTGCGACCCCGGATTCAGAACGATCGACGGAGGGCCCTTCCCTCTGTAATCGCCCCGAATCTTGTCTTACAGGATGATCCTCACCACCCAAGCAGACCTTTCTAACAAGACAGAGATCAGAAAATCTTTGATATCATCCCCAATGTCACTCATAACCCTCCTTGGCGTGGGCGCCTCATTCCGCATTCAGCTCAGAAATTTCATCCATGGACTTAATCAATTAGCAAATCAGAGCTTACATGATATTACAATACCGTACTGCTGTTACATTCACGGGGCTCCACACACGGAGTACTCCGTACCAAAAATCTAGCCTTGGAATCAGTACTGTACGAGTTCGGGACTATACCGCGTGGCAACGACTTGGCAATGTCGCCTGCCTTGCTCTCCTTGTTCGTAACGTAGGGGTCTATCTACAAAAAAAGAAGCAATTCCACCGCTGAATTTACGCCAGCTGAATGATGGATATTCGTATATAAGATAAGGCAAAGTTTTCACGCCCTAGATATGCACTAGTCTTTATCGAAACGCGATTTAAACATTACAACCCTGCTCCTTGGCGCGGCCTGAGCTCAAGCTGAAAATCGAAATTCTCGTCCAATCACTTCCTAATATTATTTTTTTAGCGAGAAGGCCGAAAGAATTAATTGTGCGATATGGACGGAAATTATATTGCTGTGTTTCGATTTACGAGTTTGTGAATTTTCTTCGTCTAGGAGACTTTGGTATTTCATGGCGTGCTTCAATCGAGAGTCATGGAACTCCACAACTAGAAGTATATGGTCATATTTTCGTGGCTAGAGTTTTAAAATGCGCTGAGGGGGCCGTTTGAAATTAGAATTTCGTGACTCCGATCAGCCACCACAGGGCCTGATTATCGAGTCAGTAAGGGAATTAGAATATTAACACAAGCCATCACTTTGCGCGTTATACGTGTATTCAAGGGCTATGGAGTATGTACCGGCAGGCTGTAATAAAGCCCCTTGGCTGAACAAACTTCAGCCACCCGCTGAGCTGCCTAGTTAGTCTTAGGCCGGAAGACATTAGCCGAGAGAGATAAACAAGAAGCGAGCAAAAGAAGAAGCAGAAATCAGGACTCACTGTATGTTATGTATACTTTGATCTTTGTTTCGCTGGTTGGATCTCTTCAATCGCAATATCCACAATTATACATAATTAACATACTGGAGTGGAGTGAGACCGGTTAATAATCGTGGGTTTATTAACCTGCAATGAACATGATCCTGCAGTATTGAAGCCCGAGTTCATCACATGACCTTCAACGTTTTCATGCATTTTCAGGGTGAATGGCCCCCAACCCCATGTTACGAACTATAATCAAAGGTCGTGCTTTGATATTCCTTAAATGGCCCCAAGGTTATCTTAACCCTGGACAGCTATAAGACATCGCCCCCAAATAGAGAGAAGAACCGTTTCAAAGCTCCATACATAAACGAACTCTCTTCAAACTTCTATGTAATTTAGTGCATCCTTCCATGATCGACATGTAAGCGAGGCACTTCCAAGGTTCGTATCAAAAAGCCCCTATTACATCAACATAGCGCCCCATTAAGTTACCTGTGATTCTTCGTCATATGATAGGGATTACGGAGTAACTCGAGGTGACAGCGAAAAGGCCACGGTTCTGCGTGGTCTTTTGAGGGATAATCGTGGCCATTCCACCTACCCCTCAAATCGGAACAACAGTAGCCAAAATAGGTTTAGCGGAATTGCAATATTACAGGAGGAAATACTATGACCCCCTCTGGCATGTAATTGAATAAAAAAAAGATAAAAGGCAGTCGAGAGTCCTCATGGTTTCTAATAATATTGAGACCAGTAAAATACGTACCAGGCAGTAACCGTACCTTCGCGTATTTCTTGACCGCCCGCGTTCTAGTGCGCCCTAGCGAAATGCAATCCCCAGCGAAATGTAATATTGACTAATCCGGTATCTTTTATATGGCTTTTATATATAAAAGATACATCGCTAAAAAAACTATAATTTTAGCTATATCCTAATATATATTAATGTTTTTTATAACTTATATCTCTTTCAAATCTTTTATTTATAATGACTATATATCTAGCTTAAATTAACTTTTCAAAATTTTGTGAAGGGCTAAAGCAGAATTTATGTTCAATTGAGCTAGGCCACGTACTGTGTATAAAAAGCTTAAAGAGAGAAATACCAAGTAGGTGTTCTACGTGTTAGGTTGTTATGGTCACGTGTGCCACATGACCTTATACCGGGCATTGGCCCGTGACAGTATCCCCCCTTTAGGGTGGTCCTCCTTGTGCGTGTTGTAGTCGTATTCGGTCGTCTTCGGGCCTGTAATAGAGTCGAAACGGGGCCGAATCGTCTTTCAAAGGCATCCAATACAGAGCAATCTCGAACGTCACCGAGGCTCTGCCAGGTCTATTCCGCCCAACCTGTCCATTTCACTAGGGCTTCATCACGGTATCCTCGACCGACTTTCTTACATCTTACGTTTATTATCTCTTCCACTTCATACTCAAGTTCCCCATTAACCAGCATCAGTAAAGGATGTGAATCGTCCACGATCTATGATAGAAACAGGTCTGAAGCGACAGGTCTAACCAGCTCCACGTGGAATACTAGATAGACACCGGTGGGCACCTCTAATCGTACTGTATGAGGTGTGGGGACGTCTAAAACTCGATATTAGACATATAGCCAATCCAGCTTCTTTGATTGTCGTTATATACATATATTCCGTAAATTTAGCCATACCCAGTCGTCTTTCTTATAGACTAATGCAGCCTGTCGTCGCTTATTCGATTGCTCTTCCTGTAGAGCTTGTACAGAAGCAATTACAGCTTAGGCCCAATCAGTAGCTTCTCGTAGTCGATTCACGAATATTTCGCCCGCGATTCCCGGTCGTATACAGGTTTCGCAGGGTTCCTCTATCTCTTCCACCTTAATGGGGTCGACATAGTAACCATATATAAAGAAGAAGGGGGATAGTCCTGTTACACTAGCGTTGCGGTTATTAATCGCTATGGCGACGATAGGGAGTAGTGTACCCCAATTACTCTACATATAGGTTATGAATACACGTAAGATTCGTTCAACTTCTTGGTTCGCGCGCTCCGTAACACCATCGGATTGTGGATGGAAAGCGGTCGATAGTCAACATTGAATCGACAGCTTCTCACATACTATTCGCCAGAATACACCCACAAATTGGGACCCACGGTCACTTATAACCGCTCATGGTAGCCCATGGTGCATATAAAAGTAGGTAAAGAATACATCCACTACTCTCTCAGCAATTATCTCTACCATACTTATAAGAATCACACTCTTTGTAAGCCAGTCCGTGATTACCATCAAATTCATTACACCTATATGTGCTGTTGGGGGTAGTTCCACAATAAAATCTATGGACAATTCCGCCCATATTCACTACGGAATCGGTAGCGGTTTCAGTAGCCCATACTTCATATCGCGCCATACAATACTACAGCCGCAAACTGTACAGTTTCGTAAGAAACATCATACATCTCTCGCTGCTCCTGGCCAGAAGAATCTCCATAATAGTATCGCGTAGGTAGCGTCTCAACCAGGGTATACTATAACATAAAAGTCGTGGATCTTCTGTATAATCCCTGTGCATAGCGCCTCATTATCTAGGATCCATATCCGCTACCTAAAGCAGAGTAGCCCTCGTTCGTCCAGATAGCACTCTAATAAGCTCGTTTTTATGTTCGCTTCGGCGGCGATTCGCCAATCTCCCTTTTCCAAGGCTTCACATATCTTCTGATACTCTAGATCAGTAGATCTCACATTCTTCCATTCTTATTATAGCGTAGACTCCTCGAATAGGGGTATTTCCTTCTCAAAGTCAATTCCCTCTACCACTAGTAGATCGGGTCGTCCCGTCTTAATCTACACCTTTTTCAGTAGGGTTCGGAACCGATTCGATAGCCTTTCGTCCGTGATATACTGTGGGGTGTCTTGGCTTCACCGTAAAAGTGCGTCAGGTCTCGCAGCAAGCTTCCCAAGGCGATATTTTAGTTCATAGTTAAACTCTGTAAGGATATCCACCCATCTTATTTGTTGTTTGTTTAGATGTTGTGCTTTACCAAAGTATCGCAGGTTTTTATGGTCCGTTACGATAGTGAATCGGGGCACCATCTTTAACTCTGGTCTCCACTCTCGGAGGACACATATAATCGCTAGCAGCTCTTTGTCATAAATCTCGTAATTTGACTCTGCTGGCGATAGTTTCTGGGAGAGGTAAGCGCACAGACGTAGCTGCTCGTCTGGCCCATATTGTGATAAGACAGCTCCTGTGGCCCATCCTGATACGTCTGCCTCGATAACAATTTCCTTATCCTCTTCGAAATGTACTAGAATCGGGGCGTTGATGAAGAGGCTCTTCAATTCTTCAAATACTTATTAGCAGTCGTTATCCCACGTGAATTAGGCATCTTTTCTCGTCAATTTCGTTAGAGGCACTGAGAGGTCAGCGAATCGGGATATAAACGGGCGGTAAAAATTAGCGAATCCAAGGAAGCTCCATATATCTCGTACTGATTTCGATACTTCCCATTCTCGGATAGCTGTAACCTTCTTTAGATCGACATAGATTCCCTTGCCCGCTTATACAATAAACCCTAGATATTTCACGGAATCTTGCTCAAACTCTGATTTTCCAATATCACACTATAGACCTGCTTCCTATAGTTTCTATAGCACTTGTCCTACTTTCCGTCAGTGATCCCCCAGCAATCCACTACTATATATAATAATATCGTCCACGTACACGGACACGAAATCGTCGAGATACTCTTGTAGGGTCCTGTTGATATATCTCTAGAAAGTCGCTGGTACACCAGTTAGCCCGAATGAAATAACGTTCTACTCGTATAGGCCGTACCGTGTCCGAAACGCTATTTTCCATTCTTCTCCTGGTTGGACACGAATCTTATGGAAAGCAGCAATAATATCTAGCTTAGAAAACCATCTAGCCTACCCTATATTCCTTAGTATCTCTCTAATCAATAATAGCGGATAACAATCCTTCACTATTAACTCGTTTAACCCACAATAATCGACACAGAATCGTACTCCTCCGCCTGGCTTCCTCACTAGTAAGACTAGGGCCGCGGCGAGCGATTTGCTCACTCGGATAAAGCTCTTTCCAAAAAGGTCTGTTAACATCTTCCGTAGGTATAGGAGCTCTTCTCTATTCATACCGTAGAGGGGATTGTATAGGGGTGGTTCCTCAATACCGTTATGGTCTCGTTTCAGGGTGATTTTATAGTCAATTCCTGGTCGATTCGGGAGTAACTCGTTAGCTAACTGCTGGCTAAAGACGTCCAACCACCGCCAATAGTGTCTTAGCAGCTTGTCCTTAGGATTATCCTATTTCTTTGGACGCAGCGCTTTCTCAATATCGTCTATCGTAACTTTGCCGATTCGTAGTCGATTCAGCTACTTCTCTCTGTGGATAAAGTCGTGCAGTGATTAGGCTATTAACTTCTTAATCTATATTCTCCTCACGTTGGTTGGTCCGATTGTACGGTCTACACGGTTCCAGCACCTTGTCCGCTCTCCATTTCTCACAAATATGTTAATATACCCTTTCCTTACTAAGTATCGGCCGTTAACGTCTCATAACCAAGGGTCTCCTAATATCATACTATCCTCTTGCTAGGGAATAATATACACAAATACTCATCCTTACTAGTGGCCGTGAATATCTAGATTGAAGTACATAACCTAGGTGATTCAGCCCTGATTCGGGACTACCCCGTCTAGGATCCGCATAGGTATCCTAATACGCGGGAGGTTAAGCGACTGAACTAACACTTCGTTTACGGTTGCGTAACAACGGCATCCGCTGTCGACTAGGGCTTATATAAATTGGATTTCATTCACTCTAGCGTCGACTAGAAATAGTAGTATTTCTCGTTTCAGTAGCTTTTTGACTCCTTTTCGCTCCTGTTCGCGACTCAGAACCGGAGTTACTCTTTTCCCGAATCCTCGCTTAAGGAGAGTTCGTCCTCGGAAGCTGACACGCTTGACTTATAGTCGGTTATATATCTAGCTTTCTTGCCTTTAACCCTACAGGGATATCTCTCTCTTGGTCCTTAGTGCTATATAGCTGGCAAGGAACACTTCGCAATAAAGTAGCCTTATTCGCCACAACGAAGACATCTTCCTTCGTCCCGTCGTCTCTTTACCTCTTCGTGATCAACCCACTTCGCTTACCTACTCGTTTCAGGCCCTAATCGGTAGTATTTCGTACAGAATTCGGCTTGATTAACTGTGGTAGTTAAGGTCCAATCCATTGAGTCCTGGTGCTGCTGGGCGTATACACAGTACGATCTTTCTGGGGTATTAATACTAAGGGCATCCATATCGGTACTGATTTCATAGAGCCAAGCAATAAGGTCCGAAAACGTAGCGGGAATACCACAATTCATCAACGAATTCGTCATACTTTTGTTCAAGGATCCTAACAAGATCTATCTCTTCGCTTCGTCGTGCCATTCGAGGGCACCTACATCTGCAAACTCCTTCTCTAACCTAAGAAGGAATTTCGTAAAAGGTATACTATTCGACTAGCGTATCTAGTGGAGACGTCTCGCGGTACGTGCTTTGATATTTGGGTCCCCGTAAATACCCTCAAGATAGTCCAGAATCATCTGCGGATCCCCATCGTTTCATCGCAATTTCACAAAGGTTCCGGTGTTCTTCCAAGCAAGCTTCTCAAGCCTAGAGAACACGTACATAAACTAATCTTGGGGCGAGCCAATTGCTACGCCATCAACATGCAGTTTATTCTCTATTGTCACACGCCACGTTGGCTAGTCGGCTGTTTTTCCCCCAAATGGGATCGGGTCTGGCAGTCGTACCTTCGGGTGATATACAGATTCTAATCGTGGGGGTTCCGGGGTCGATTCAACCGTAGTTCGTGCCGGAGTTGGTTCCCCTGTCGTCGTCGTCGACCGTAAGACCAATTGCTCTATTACAGTCTCCAGGCGACGGATTCGTTCGTCTTAGGCAACACGCTCTTGGTCGTATCGTCGTATTAATTCCTCCTATACTGCGCGTTCTATATCGATTCACTCGTTCTGTTCGCTCTACATAGCTTGCGACTATGCCATTTGTTGCAGTAGCGTCTGCGCCCATAATAGTAGGCTCGTAGATTCCTGCATCTTTTACTCAGGGGTCGCGTCGCCGAATCACTCTTGATTCAGGGACAATTCGTATATAGTTTTAGATTTTTACAATATCCAATTGGAAGCTTTTTATTTGTGAAGGGCTAAAGCAGAATTTATGTTCAATTAAGCTAGGCCACGTACTGTATATAAAAAGCTTAAAGAGAGAAATACCAAGTAGGTGTTCTACGTGTTAGGTTGTTATGGTCACGTGTGCCACGTGACCTTATACCGGGCATTGGCCCGTGACAATTTTTATTAATTAACATATTAATATATGAATTTTTCCTATAGTAAAATTTACTATAGGAAACCCTTTTTTAACAGATAAATCTATCATAAATAATAAATTTATATTTGAAAATAAAAGAACTAGATAATTTAAAGAATAATAAATCCTTATATTTTATAATTTATCAAGTTTTCAATAATTTTTATTACAAAATTATGAATTAAAAAAATTAAAAATCTAGGTATCTGTGAAGGGCTGAAGCAGAATTTATATTCAAATGAGCTAGGCCACAAACTATGTATAAAAAGCTTGAAAAGAGAATTACTAAGTAGGTATTCTGCGTGTTAGTTTGTTATAGTCACGTAGTATACGTGACCTTATACCGGGCACTGGCCTGTGACAGTATCTTTTGTATGATAAAGTCATATAAAAGATAACTGATTACATTTCGGTGGGGATTGCATTTCGCTGGGGCGTACTAGAACGCGGGCGGTCTAGAAATACGCGGAGGTACGGTTAGTAGTAACACCCTATGTGAAGGTTAGTGACGCCCGCTGACACGACTCATAATGAAGTAATGCTATATCGCAGCTCCAAAGTTTCAATAATTACTCTGGTACATATGATATGAGCATTTTGAATTTTTCTTGAAGTCATTCGATGAGCACAGACACTTGTTGGAGTCCAACATTGAATCAGTACCTAGACAAATTATTCTAATGAACACACTGCCATTATATGCCCAAAAAGCCTAGGTGCTTACATGCAGTCTGAGCCAAAATGTCTATCCCTCAGCCACAGCTTTTCAAGCCCTACTATGAGCGATCTGTAAATGATCTCGACTCTTGTATTCCGCGATATTTATACAAGGGATGCCAGCAGTTTCAAGAGATCTGCCATAATGAGTATCTTCGCTATACCGAACTTAATGACGCTCTGGTCCAACGATATAACGGCCAGTGGCATAAGCTCAAGCACCTTGATCAAACCAGCTATCCCCGATATCAAAAGCGGCTTGAAGAACTTGATCAACTTTATGGTTTCAACATGACTCGAGATCTTTATTGCGACTTGAACAAAATCCACTGCGCCTCTGGACTAGAGAGTCAGTCCGTCATGCGTAGCACTTCACACTCTACTGCTTCTAGTAAAACATTCGAACTCAGGAGTGCAAAGTCTCCGAAAAGAGGAAAATCAAAACATCCAATTTTGGAAGGAACCATTGCTTCGACTCAACGAGACATCCCAAGCCTCCAAGTCGATGAAGATTACTTCCCTTGTGACCGCAAACCCGATTCAGGCCTAAATCCACGGAAGCTCACAAGATTTTTGTCAAATCCGACTCCGAACGCCATTTTCTATATTGACCAAGATACTTTCCAGAAAGACTTCCTCGCTGAGGACAATCGACTCAGATTTTCCTTTTTCCGTCAAAACATTCTAATCACGATGGCACCTCTATCCGAACACGCGAATGCTACGACTGAGCTAGAGAAGCCGGTTTGGCGATGGCTCATAACTATGAACCTAGAAGACTCGATTAGGGGATTTGGCGGCTCTGGAGTGGCAGCTAAAAACGACTCGAATGAAATCAAAGTACCCGATGCATCATATGGGCCCAAAGAAGCCCCCTCTCAATCCGATCCAGGAAGACCTTCCCTCATTCTGGAGATTGGAAACACTCAAAGCCTTCCCAGTCTGGAAGAGAATGCCCGCTGGTGGCTAGATCGTCAAAAGGGTGATGCGAAAGTTTGCATCACATGTAAGCTCGATCGTAACCCAAGGCTTGTTCTCGATCTCTGGGAGAGGCAGACTGTCAATTCACGGGAAATTACCAGTCACGCCCAACACATTATTATAACTCGATCCAAAAACGGCGAGGTCAACATTCGTGGTTCCCCTCTTCACCTCAAATTTTCTCTTGTATTTCAGAGACCATGCAATGCCGATTCCAATGAGCATGATCTGACAATTCAGAGCGAGAGACTGATTCGAATTGCCAAAGACATTTGGACATTCCAAGGTCTGAACTGATGCCAGTGGGTCTCTACCTATGTTTTTTCTCGTTTTTCTTTCGTTTTCTTCTATTTTTTGTCCTCGCTAAGTTTTTCTTCTCACTTTCGGTTCCCTTCTTTGTCATCCTAGTATGATGGTGGTGGTATGGTTGCGTTCAAGCTTGAAAGGCACAATCAGAATGCGTTATCCAAGACTGGTCGATATGTAGTAGGTCCTGAGTATTTGAAGAAGTTGAAGTGGTGATCAAGTTGTAAACTCTGTAGCTACTAGCTACCATCAATGTCATTCTTTACTATCTCAACATGTCTTATATACATAAGCCTGATTACTAGTCACGCCGCTGGTCCCCCCGCTATAATATGTATTAGTAGAGGACATACTATAAGGATACTAGTACATTTTGTACTAGTAGTGCTAGAGCTAGAAATTGACTATAGGATCATCATGCTGATGTTCAGTTTTGCTCGGCTCATCTTGATAGATGGAGGAGCTTATGTGGCTGGCACTGGAAGACATGTATATCCAGAGACCAGCTTATAGTGGAGAGTTCTTAGCCACCTATCAAAAACCATACCCGTAACGGTCCTGCATAGGCCAGTTTCCAAGTCTCGAGTACCATCGATATCCTGGGTGAAGAAAATACCATCGCAGTCCCGCAGATATTTTGAAACAGCGTACTTGATTTGACTCTTCGGTAATTCTCCATACAATGGGCGCTCACCGTTTTCTAGCCACGATCTGTAAGAACGTGGGTATTCTTTGATATTTGGGTGAGGGTCATGTCCTAGCCATATTATCCCATCTTCAAAATGGAAATGCAAACGTGCTAATATCTCATCGAGACGAGGAGCCCTGGAAGTGACATAAGGGGTCAACACATACCCTAATTTCAAGTGTCCGTGCTTGGTATGCACCATAAGCTCGGTATATGAAGGGCGGTCAATCACAAATCCTTGCTTTTCGACTACTCCGATGCAAGATCGAGAGGGCTGCTGAAACATAATTCGTTTCCAACTTGCATTTTCATGCGTCAAGCGTTGGTCATCTTGATGATCGAATTTGGGTACGTACATCCAAACCGCACAAGATTGCAAAGTTCTGCTGCTCTGGCTATCTCGGACTCATGACCTGTTGATATAGGTTATAATAGGAAGCTATTTTTGAGCGTAAATCTTGGAATTGGAGCTAAATACACAAGAAAATAGAAGATTGAAGTGTGTTGATTCCCGTTGAAAAGGCCGGGGAATCTGGTATCTGTTATAGGCAAGACCGCACTCCTCTCCCCATACTCGCGCCGGTGACGGGGAGGGGGCGGGGCTCGGCGACCTAGATCAATGGCAAAAATGCCTCACAGAGGCTGCCCGGTAGCAGTGTATGCATACGGAGTTAGATAGTAAGAAAAGAAGAGCGAAGAGCGAAATAACAACCAAAAATCGTCGCGGTGATGAGGAGGACTTTATAGACACGCACGGAGGTTCCTGAACACCAAGACACGCTAAGCTGAATGAGGCGGGCTAAACTGCTTTGAGTAATTCGCCGTCACCCGAGAGTATGGTGTACGGAGTATATCAGCGGTGATTTTATACTTAGAATGGTAGGGCAGTCCTGCCGACCATATCTTCCCAAGATAGGCCTATCCGGACCGAAGATTTAGAGGAAAAGAGCAAAAAAATCATATAGATTGGTAATTAATTACCAAGCATGAATCTTCCCCGCGGGAAACTTTGTACCGCACTCTGATAATCTGATCAATGATAGGTTGAGTGTTTCATAAAATTCAAATAGTATCTACCACATGGACGCAAGGGCGATCCAGCGGTACGGTACTTCCCATATATCCTTTTACTCCTCGGTGTAAGTTCGGCATTGTCGGAACAGTTCCAAAACTGAATGGAAACCCACGGATTTATACATAGATGTACATCTGAGTCATTATTCAAGATACTATGCACATTAAATCATAACTTACTGCCAGAATCGGTAGATACAGACTTGCCACCAAAACTGGCATCGTACACTATCCGTCCCTCAAACCATGTCTTCAAGACGTTTGCCCCCGAGAACTCACCCTTACTCAGGTCTTGATCGAGAGCTATGAAATTAGCCACCTTGCCCACTTCAAGGCTCCCACTTCTTGTCTCGGCTCCGACTGCCTCGGCGCCACCGAGAGAGATAACTCTACAGAGAATCTCACCTCCGCGTTCCTTTCGGCTCTTCCCCTCTGCTAAAGCTGTACTTCTTTTACCACCCGGGAAGAACTCCACTTTCTCCACGATGGCTGCCAACGCATCGAATAAGCTTGGCGTTTCGGGCAATAACCAGTCGGAACCGATTGTCATTTGAGCACCACTCTGTAAAACGTCGTTGAAGGGCCATTTTAGTAGATGTGGAATTTCTTGGACGACGGGCTCATGGAATATAGCAGGGGACATTTCAGCCGTGATACGGCTTTTGACAAAGCGAGGAACGTCATCTGAATCAACGTCAAATTAGCCAAAGTCTAGCTTAGTTGAGACGAAAGCAAAGTAAAAGACTGACCTGGATGAACTGCACTGCAGTGCGCCAATTCATGCCTCGGGCCGTTAGGATTCTTTTGTCGAACTTTTTCCAAAACGTCCAATGCACCGCGAGCAGAGCCTTCACCTGCGACATGCAGTTTACATGTCATTCCGCGTGCATCATACTTCTCCACCGCCACTTCAAGAAAGTCCCATCCAATGACTACGTTCCTTTTCTCGGGGACTCCAGCAGGATCTAGATCACATTGCGTGAACTGTGGCGGTAATGGGGCACCATCAAGCCAGAACTTGACAAAATTAGTATGCACATGTTTGCTGCGAAAGCCCTCTGAGACATCCAGCAACGCCGAAAGACTCTCACTCGACTCCATTGCAAATGTCTCTGGAGCACAGACAATATGAGTATACACATCGAGGGCCAACTGATTTTCTTGTTCCAGTTCTTTCAAGGCATGGAGATACGTCGAATTCGCAGATGCTTCTTGACAAGACGTGATACCGTACCGATGACACATGTTAATTCCGAACTGCAGAGCCCGTTTGGCATGAGACAGTGGCGGAATGGGAAGCTTGGAAAAGACTTGGCTCATCGCGTTTTCCGCGACTTCCCCAGTAAGACTTCCATCAGGGCGACGGATATAAAAGCCCCCCACGGGATCAATGGCATTGGTAGGATCGATTCCCGCTTTCTTCAATCCCGCTGTATTGAGAAGAATACGATGGCAAGAAACCTCACGCACAAGGACTGGTGTGTCCGGGTAATTGGCGTCCAGATATTTACGATCAGGGATACCGTTTGGGAAAAAGCTGGCCTGATAGAAGTTTCCAATCACCCAGTCGCCAGTAACATTATGATATGAACAGGCGCATACGCCATGTTTGATTCTGTCGCCAATGTTCTCGGCGCCCGAATCAAATCCAATTGAGGACTCATTTAATGCTTGCATGCTCGCGATTAAAAGGTGAGTATGGGCATCATGAATACCTGGCATCACGAACTTCTGGGCCAGCTCATATTTGATAAGACCTCTTGAGGATGCTAATTGTAGGATATCCTTTTCTGAGCCAATTGCCTCGATAATACCTGCTGCTGAAACGATAAAAGCTTCTGCCCAAGGCTGCTTTTCGTTGATAGTATAGACTCTACCATTGTAGTAAGCAACTGAGTTGCTTGAGTCTGTTGAAGAGAACATTGTGGTAACGCAATGAAATCAAAGCGATCGATGATTACCACAGGGCTTGCGTGTTATTTACTCCAAACCGAGAGATTCGGAGAATATCCCCAGTTATATGATTTCCATGTACCCCCGCTCTCAACAGCCCCAGGGGCGGAATGAAAGGCCGGAATAAAAGTACTGACATAAGGTAAGCTGGTGCACAGCATTGCCTAATGTGACCGAACAGTACAACTATCCATACTGCAGAACGAGATTTTTGGTGCGGGGGGACAAGGAATATCGGAATAATTCCGTGTCCCACGAATTTGAATTCATATCGAATACTTGTATATAACCCACTTATCTCAAAGGTTAGGATCGAAATCTTGGTTCGGATTTTTAAATAAAGATACATAGGGTATTCGCAAGCTGATATCGTTGTGGGACTTGTTAAGACATAGCTGATAGCTGAAATACATTCTAGATTGTACGGGCCCTTAGGGGTGGGGTTATATTGGATATGAGTACTAACACGGACATCAAAGCCTAAGCCATGATAGCATCCAAAATCACCGACCATTGACTGAAATTCGCTGCACATGATCTAGCAACGGCGTGCTCTCATCCATATCAATACCAAATCTTGTCAGTGTTCTGACTTTTTCTTCAGCCGAACAACTATGTGTCGTAGAGTGAGTAGTTGCTGTCAAATGACTTTCAGCCCTCGAACCACTTTCATCCCGAGTCTTACTATCGTTGAGATTAGAAGATTCAGAAGCACTCGAGACTGGACCGGCGCTATTAGGTCGACTGGTCATGATATCAGGTCCAAATTTCCACCATTCCATCGAGAATGAGCTCTCAAACCGTCCCTTCTCCTTTAACTCTTTATCAATACAGCATTCTGTGTCTTTCATGGTTTTCAGGAATTGTGATCCCACAACCAGACCAGCAATCGACGAGATACTACATGGACTCTTGGGCAGAACCTCTTTTGTCCCTATCATTTATCAGAAGAGCGCTTGATATTTCTGAAATTGAAACCTCCGAGTCATACCTGCAGTCGGTCCATATGTCTATAGATGATAGTACCGATCACCATCTATCTGTCTTGATTCCATGGCTGTGACCTTCATGCCGAGTGACAACATAAAGGGCAATGAGTGCACCCAACATTGACAGAGAACTAAGCAGGAATATAATCATAGTCGAGCGATGGAGAAAAAATGGTACCCATAGATTACGAAGGCTGCCATGGTTATCATCTGGGTCGGTCTTCGCATCACAAGCGTAGTTGCCAGCTCGTTGGCTGCCGACACCCTCTTCCGTCAACATACTGAAGATGGGACATAGATCAGATCTAGAAAGTGACGTTCAAAAGAACGGAAGGTATTGAAATCACAGGAGAGGAGGATCTCAGGATTTTGGTTAGCAGTCGATGCAACCAGGTCTTGAGAAAGGTAGGCGAGCTTAAAGGGAATGGCTGTTGAACAGGTGTCAAGCACCAGGACCGGTTGATATTGACTATGCAACGGTGTTAGGTAGGTGAGTGCGATGCCTAGGTGGTGCTGGAGGCGGGCGGCGAAGCGCCGACTCGCCCTCTAAAGTTGCGAACCGGCCTCACCATAGTACACCCGCTACCTTAAAGCAATTTGGATTATTGCAAATCTACGATGGCAGCATCTTGATCGAATTGATCCAATGAGATTTGTTCAGCCTATTAACATACAAAAAATACTTGTCTAAAAAACCGTTGGAGACAAGCGTTATTCAAATCAGATTACCAAGTCCACAAGATATGGACTTGGCCAGAAAACGAAGTGATTGCATTTGGCTGTCCCTCAAGCCAGAGCAGAAGCAAGATAAGAGAAAAGAATAAGTAAGTCCTTAAAATGTAAAATCCCTAAGATGACACATAAAACAACCAACTCCAGGCCAGGTCGAAAAAAGCAAAAAAAATCGCAAATGAAAATCAGTAACCATGTTCACCGGTGAAAACCCCATTCCCTCGCCTATCCAAGATACCAGAACCAGTCAAATAAAGTATGTATGCTCTTCTTCGCTGGAATATCCGCATGACATGCATAGACAAGTGAGGAATAAAAAGAATATTAGAGAAAATGGAAGACGCGAATGAAAGAGAAACGAAGATGTAAGGAGGGAAAGTAATCAGAGGTTATTTATCGGCACATATGAATGGAGAGGAAGGAGAGAGTCGTTTGTATATGGGAGAGGTGGAAGAAAATCATAACGAGAGAGATCGTGAAACATATCGCTCATTAAGGAAGATCGGTAGGACCATAAGTCAAAGGATCGAGGGGGCATAATTTCTTTTCGTTTTCGAAATATGCTGACAATAAGTAGAGGCAGGTTTTCATGTTTAGGCGACTGGTTGTCCTTGATTCCGTCGGGTGCGTTTTTCCAACAGTGTGGCACCGTCCAAAGTGAGCTCGAATGGTTGCTGAGCTCTACGTCCGATAGAGCTCTTAGCTGCAGCTGCAACTTTAGCGTCGTGTTGACCGTAGCCTTGCTGTTGACGAGGTTGTCGATGGGCTTGCCGGGCCTGGGCGGCACTACTTTGTGTACCAAGATTTGTGGATCGGAGTTTGGCTTCCATGCCAGCCATTTCCCCCGGCTGACCAGTAGCTTTAACAACCTTGGCCGGTGGTTGTCCGGTAGCATCGGTGGCCTCTTTATAGTCGAGGTCGTCATCATAATCTTCATTAAGAGAACCAAGAGCGGTCTGAAAACCAGCGGTAGGGTTACTGCGGGCTGCCTGTCGTTGATGCCGGCGACGTTTGCCTTCCTCCTCTTGTCGGTGAACAGCATAACCAACATCAAAGACCTCACGTAAGTTGAATGCAGCTGGTGAGCGGAAATCCATGCGACGATCTGAGCCGGTGGCGGAGGGAATATCCAGAAGTCGGGAACTGGCAGGTTGGTATGGAGCTTGGTCGGCGCCCATCGGGTCGAGATGGTCTCCGCTTTGGCGGACTGGACCCATTGGAGTTGCCAGAGGAGGAGCATCGGCGGCAGCAGAGGTCTCTTCATCCGTTCCGCGGATCCAAGGATGAGCGAGGAACTCGGTGATTGTGTATCGTTTCTCGGGATCGACAGTCAACAAATGCGAAATTAAGTCTTGAGCGGATTTTGAAATATCATCCCACCACGGCGACAGGAATGTATATTGACCTCTCGCCACTTTTTCTGTGAGAACCTGGATACTCTCATCGTAGAAAGGGGGGAAACCGCATAGAAGGGTGTAGAGCACACAGCCCATGGCCCACATATCCACACTCTTCGAATATCGCTCGTCCTTGACGATCTCCGGCGCAGTATATCCAACAGTTCCGCAGGGAGTCATGGTTTGGCTGTCCCAAATGACTTTTGATAGACCAAAGTCGGCGATCTTGATTAGGCCGATGCCACCGGAGCCATGCCCGGGCGTAAACTCTCCCTCGTCTTCCTTTTCCTCGTCGCCTGGCTGTTGAGATTTCGGGTTTTTGCTAGGGACAAATGGGGTGGGGTAGAACAATAGGTTCTCTGGTTTGATATCGCTATATAATTTTCGTTAGTCTATCAATATATGGCACCGGGAGCTTCACAAACGAACCGATGCACGACACCAGATGTCTCATGGAGGTATTCGATAGCCTTTGCAACTTGTAAAATAACATGACGGCTCAGATTTTCGCTAAAATAGGTCAATCGCACGATCTGGTGAAAGAGTTCGCCACCAGGGCAGAGCTCCAGGATGATATAGTAGTATTGGCGGGATTCAGAGAAATCAATCAATTTGACGATATTCGGGTGATCGAGGTTTCGCATGATTTGAACTTCCTTGAGAATGTTTGCGCGCTAGAAAAAGAGACAGAAGTTAGCAACAGAAACGTAGTGAAGATGCGACGTTAGGAAAGAGCGCGGCAGTGTAACAAGTCAACATTGTCGTGGGAGTGGAAGTCATGGTCTTAGGAGAATCCGATCTGCGCACCTCTGCAGCCTTGGGGACCTTTTTGACGCTTGGATGAAGAGGATCGGACTACAGAGAAGACATTGGCAAAGTTCCTGTGGGAACCATCTCTCCTCTTTCCCCCGTGGAGTCAAGATCGCAGTTCACCATCAGACAGCCAAAACTGAGAGAAATAGCAGAACTGAAATTTGTTGACACATGCGAGAAAAGTAAAAATAACGGGGAAAAGAGTAGATAAGAAAGGAAATCAAGACCACCAGGCCAGCCTACCTGATTGCTGTTCATTTCAAATTTCCGCACGACCTTAATTGCGACTTCTCCAAATTCTGTTGTGGAATCCTTGGCTCGATAGACATTGCTGAAAGCGCCATCGCCCATCTTCTCGATCAAGATCCATCGATCCAGCCCTGGATATTTAGGCATCTTGGATCGGCTCATGTTCTCCTCTTGTACCAATCTTTCAATGTCCATTGAGCGATCACGGCGCACTTCAGCTTCTGATTTATGCTGCACCGCGGCAGGACCATTTCCTCGTAATTCGGGGTCGAAGGAGCCAAGTGCAGGGGCGAATTGACCCTGGGGGTGTGGTTGCTGTTCGGCGTGGATGGTGGATACGTCGGTGGTTGGTTCGGAATGAGGGGTCACGAGGCGAGCTTGTTTCCCATGCCGGATAAAGTTCTTGATGTTTTGGATGGTGCTCATGACAGGCAAGTGATTAGGAAGTGACAAGGGCCTTTTTAATAATGACAAAAGGGGCGGGGGGGGGGGGGGGGGAGTAAGAAACGTCACGGCCGAATGCGCCCGAGGGAGGGGTTGGGGGTTGTAATGTGGAGGGGGGAAGTTTAAGCAGTAAGAAAATAGATGATAACACACTCCCTAAGAGAAGGATAGAGAGGTCTGGGTCACGGGAAAAGGGAACAAAACGAAGAAATTGAGAAACTGAAAAAAATCGAGGTTGAATTTCTCTGGAGAAAAAGGAGAAAAGGAAAAGAAAAAAAAAGCCTATGACGACGATGCCTGATGATCATCGGGGCGATGTCATCTTGGTTTGTTACCAAGCACAATCAAAGGTCATGGCCAACTTTCCCATCTTCGGTTCAAAACGTCATGTTTCCCGCCACTGATCCACTAATGTAGATTAAATGTAAATGAATGAACTTTTATTTCCTTCGCATCATACGGATGGCCTGGATTAATCTTTCTAGGATTGTGGCATTTTTTGTTTGCGGAGAGAACTGTACAAGTACCCCGCCGACACCTGAATGCCTGAGATCAGTCAACCACCTCTTACAGTACTGACCTAGGTGCCTAGGTATACTATCCGGTTATTCTCTTGTTACCTATGACTCAAGAAACCATGGGTTTGGTTACTATATGTGATCTCATTTCTTAGATCATATTTTATCTCAGTCAGATGACGAATTATCCCACAACTTGTCAGGTTGCCAAGGAGGGAGTACGGAGTACGCCTACAAACTACTGTACATTTTGCCATCTCCATCACAACCTGCTATAGAACAGGTCTGCAGCACGAACTAGTCCAGGATGCAATCTGAAGTTGTACCAAAGCTTTCTCCCCCCATGTCCACAATTTCCTATCAATTCCCAGAATTCCAGAAGACCGGCCGCTAATCAAGGTTCCAACCTTCTTGGTGGAGTTTTGATATCGTCATCCGGTCATTCTCGCCACATGCCCACACCCCGAATGCGGATTCTATGAACGGGATCTCTTTTGATCGTTTGGAAATTAAATAAACAATCAAAAGCTACCTCAATGCTCGTCATTGGTTCTCATGTGAACCTGATACTGAGCTGGAATGTGTGTGTGGCTTGCCTTTGCCAAGGGTCAAACATGCGACAAACATGCGACATGCAAGGAGACCTGAAACGGGTGTCTGTGTCTAATAGGCAACAGACTAAGAATGAGCCACAGAGCCATGCAGAGTATACAGCTAGAGAACAAAAATAAAAGTTTGATCCAGGAACGTCCGTTGTTTCTCCACATGCACCTCAGTCAAAGGTACATGAGTCGTTTAATTAGTGGTATCTATGTCCACTGATCATCGGCAAGGCTCTGTACGGAGTAGACTGGGGTAGGCTTAGGGTATACTCATGACTCCTTTCCCCAGTGCCCAGGTGGATCATATTTCAGTACGAGCCAACATTGATGTGATACATAGAATATCTTCTACCTAACCATTCATATTGTTGATCTCAACTCGCTATCTCAACTCGGTAAGAAGTACACACAACGGTACCTACCGACTACTGTACGTATTGTAGGTCCATGCAGTCACAATCCAATCACATCCGAACATCTCACCAAGCATATTCCAGATGTCGGTTCCTTTTGATTAAGGACGTTTGACCTTTTTCTGTAAAACTCAAATAAAGTCAACACTATGATTCTGTGACTGCGAATCCACTTAAACTATACTTAGCACGTAGACGTGGTCTCCAGCGAACAACTCGCTTCCACGCTCCTTCCTTCTCGCCCTCGGTTGTGCTGTCTAAGTCGCTCCTTCCCTTCCAGCCCCCTCTCATCCACCCTTACCGGTGTCCAGGCACACTTAGCGTCTCTGCGTCTGCATATTTTGCATCTTCGTATCTCTCTGCATACATCGCGAATATTTTCCTATCGTCACCTCGAGCCGTGATACACTTCCCTTGCAGTCTATTATCTGCGTCAAGCCAGTTGACGGGTCCTTGATCGCCCTTCCCGCGATGCGACCCATCCATCCCTCGACTGACGCTTGAAATTCAACGGGACCCGTCTTTGACATCTCATATTTTGAAACTTATGGGTCATGTCTGGCCCCCTTTTACGACTTTCATGATCCTATCATCACTCTCCTTTCTTTCTTTCTTTCTCTCTCCTACAGCGATTTAACGTTTTCTTCATTTCCCCCTTCCTTCTTGTGACGGGAGCTTCGATATGCCTGGCGTGGAGGTGATGAACAACACTTCGGTGGATTCGCCTGAGCGACCGTCTCGGAAGTCCCACAAGTCACTCCCGCGGAGGGGTATCGTCACCCCCATTGATGTTGTCCAACCCGTTTCACCAGACAAAAATGCGACACTTACCGCGCCGGCTCCTCCGTTAACTCCGCCCGGTGCGATTCATGATGAGACCACGGAGGACGAACTTACTCCCCGAAGGACCGACTCACGCCCCGAGGCTCAAACCACGGGAATGTTGACACCGCGCCGGCCCTCTAAACCACCTACACCTGATGTCACACCCCCACGAACGAACTCGATCAAGCGACCGCCACTCAATCATGTCCACCATTCATCTTCATCGCGAGCAGAGTCCTTTCAGACCGCCTTCGAAAGTATCTCGGATGCTGATACTGATACGCCTGTTCGCACGACCTTGAATTTGCCACAGACGATGAGCCGACCGAGGTTACCTTCTTCCTGGCAACGAAGTGTGTCTAACGGAAACCCTGCGAAGCTTAGTTACGCCAAAGATACTCCTCCATCTGCTTCCCAGCAGCACAGTGAGACAGCATCTGAAACAGGATTTGAATCATGCAATGGAGAATGGGCGACCAATCAGGGCGAGGCATCACCAACACCTGCGACTGGAAAGAAACATCCAAAGACCCGAGATCAAATGAACGCTTCTCCAGATTCGGAAAAGGACACGCTGGACGTGCTACACCTAGATGCTTCTTTGATCCGTGAAAAAAGCCTACGGGATAGGGTTCACAAAACTAACGACTTAACTGAAACTCCCTCTATGGAGCGCTTTCGAGATGAAATTGGATGGCCATCCTATGATACTTCTTCACAGGCGGGCGATGCAGAATCACATCGCTTATCAGGCTTATCTACAACCTCTACCGTCGAAGCGATGATTATCGATTCTCCAAAGAGGGGCCAGCGGTTGTTGCGACATTCAGAAAAACGTAGCTCTCTTCGTTCTACTAGCTCCCCTATCACGAGATCTGAACGCACCTCGACTACATCAAACGTGGACTCGCAGCACCGCCTAGTGCACAAGGCCGCTCGTATCTCAGAACAGGATCGCCGAAGTATTTCATCGGGCATCTCTTTCTCCGACAAGACTGTCAGCAGCGCGCCTCGTACTTCAGTCGATATAATTCCAGTGGTAGTCGTGCCAGAGAGACGATCATCCCTCAAGTCAGGACCCAATAGTCAAGTTTCCTCGAAACATGGGTCTCAGCGTTCCAGTCGACGACCACCAGTATCATCCCAGGGCTCAAGCTCGGTGAATGTACCACGCCAAAAGAAACGGACCATGTCTGATTCGGCATCGGCACGATCTGCAGATCTAGATTCGAGAGGCCGGCCATTTGGTCGACCGGTGATTCCACCACGCAGCTCCTCGCTTTCTGCGCCGACAAGTCGAAAAACTTCTCGCGCTACATCCCTTACGTCAGAAAGCTTGCGCAGTCACACCCTGGCCATGGACTTGGAGGTTCAAAAGCGTCGAGAGCATCAGCCAGTGTCACCGCCTCGTAACAACATCTTGGGTAACAATGGGCCCGGGCAGGGTCCGGCTCGTATAGAGCCTTCCAAGGTACCACCGCCAATCTTAATGAACAACAATGATGACATGTCAACTTTACGACCACCCTCTTTGCCTTTCACACAATGGTCGATTCCTTCGTCTTCCCCAGGACCTATAGAAATTCGAGAGGCCACTGCTGTTAGCCTTTTCGCACACAATAACCGGTCCCTGCTTTTGGTTGACCCACGGATGCCACCAGCACCAGAAACCCACACACTCCAGGCGTTTTATCAAATGAGCAGGGGCATTTCCAATCCACAGACTCCGGATAATCGCATCCACCCCGCCATGCTTGCGGTGGAGTCTCCGTTAAAGAATCCCCGCCCGCCACCGAAGCCTCCTGTTTCCAAACCACTGCCGCCCCTCCCTACTCATGTACAGCGAGAAAATAGTAATGGCCTTGAGGAGAGCGGTGAATTAAGCCGTCGGCAAGAATCAGCTCGTCGTACCTGGGCTAGCCGCCCTCGGTCAAATTCTTTCAATGCTCTCCTCCGCTCTCTTTCTGTTAAATCAGCAAAGAATCGCAAGGCGGGAATGGATGTTGACAGTCAACTCCATCCAATGTGGCGTCCACGTGGGTTCTGGGATGACATTCCTGGAACATCTCCTAAGAAAGGCAACACCGCTCGGCAGAGCCTTACCAATCCCGATGAAGCACATTTGGTCAACAACTCTCTCGGTCTTCCTCAGTCACGCATCATAATCGAAGGTCCACCATCCTTGGCTCGCCGAAGCCCTGAAATGAGACGCCTCTTTAACGGAATGCCTTCTGTCGCCCAGTACAATGCCAGCAATGCTAGCTTGGTGGATCGAGGCATTCTTCGTAGCGGATCGCCCCTGTATCAGAATCGGTACCGAGTACTATCTCGATTGGGGATCCGTCTCAGATCCCTCAACCTGCGCAACATGCGAAACCGCTTTCAACGCCAGCGTCAGAGACGCGTTGAGAGAAAAAGGGCAGCCCGTCGACAGACTCTTAAGCAGAGCATTGGAGGTCCTATTTACGTGGCTTCTAGTGCCACCCATGAGATAACGCACTGATGCCTGTTTCACGCCACCTTACGATACATATTTTGACTGGATTTGATTCAGCTGATGGAAGTAATATTTATGATGACGACCTTTATCCAGACGTCAGGATGATTTGATTTGACTTTTTTTTTACCTGCACGTTGATTTCACTCGAACGACCTTGAATGATTTGCGCCTTTGATTTCACTGAAATTTCCTTCTTCTTTGCATGCACGGGGTTCAAGTTTGCTGATGATCTACGATACTTACGACACACAATGATGACTCAATGACTTATGCAAGTTGTGCCAGCTTTCTCACTGGCCTCAAGATGTATCATAAGCTCTACCCTGCGCTACGTTGGACATGCATTTGATTTGGCCCGGTTTGAACATATCTACTAGGGTTTTTTGTTTGGTGTCACTTAAATCTTTTCATTTTCATATACATTGCGATTTACATTACTGCTCTCTGGGGTATATACATGGCATTTTGATCATGACCATCCATCGATGTTCTATAAAAGCAACCTTGCAGGGGTGATTGAGATGTAGTTCATATTAAGCTCTGGACCCCCTGCCTCTCACTCGTTTCCCCCTCCCACTAACACTCGACCGACCTCGAATAGCCATAGAGCCATACTCTGCTTCCCTTTCTCGTCTTAGCCTGCGCTGATCTGCTGTCTCGGAGCTAGAAGGACCGACAGAGCCATGATCATCTCGTCGATTACCCGTCCCTGTATTATTGGAAGCATTGGCCGTGTCTCGAGCCCGTTTCAACATCGCCTCCCAGGTAGGAGGATCGAGGAAGGGCTGCGGGGCCATCGCAAATGCTACTTCAATAGGCTCCGACTTCAGATATTGTAGTTCATCTCCATCTTGGCCCTCATCTGCATTCTCATCACTATGCAGGGGATAGGAAATGGGTTTCTTCATGCGTGTTTCTGCTGCCACCGCGCTAGAATTCAAAGCCTTGGCGACTGTCTTATTGCATGATGTTTTGCTTTTGTTTATATCTTTCCCTGTCGTGGACGAGAATAGAGGTCGCTTGTGTGGGATGAGAAGAGGGCGTGAAGATGTCATTCTGGGGTTTAGCAGTGTAAGAGGAAGGCTAACATGACGTGTCCGATTGGTACTTTGTAGAGTGGCTGTTATCTTATCGCTTATCGCTTATCAATTTCGCTATGTACTGAAACTGTCTGTCCGCTTTGTCCATTCAACGCTGAGAAAATGCAAAAACAATAGATCGAAATGCAAAATGCGAAATCAAAAATTATGCGAAACCCAAAAAACCATGCCAATGTGTCTAGCTCTGAAATGCAGAGATATTAACAGAAAGAGGAATAATTACCTATTTCTCTGACTCTCTACGTCGCAACCGCAATTTCAGCCCAAAATTTGGCACATAGAACTCCTCGAAAGACAAGGAGCCAGTCAATGGTGCAGTCGCTGAATCAGGCAGAATATCAAATTGCTTGATAAGATGAGCAAAGACCAACTTCATTAGTGCACTCGCCATCCACCGGCCGGGACTACAATGCGAACAAAGACTAGTTAGCTGACAGACATACACGTGTGCGGTTGAAATTAAAAGCAGGGCAAAGATGGGGCTGAAGGATCTCCCCGAAAAATGCAGCTTATTGACCAGAGATAAATCCGAGCCAGATATAGTAGAAAGGATTGGATGGGAATGACTCTGGCTCATGACTTTAAATGCAAATGCAGGGGAACTTACCAGGCATGTACGCCCATTCCGAAGACTAGGTAGTCGGGGCTTAGGTCGACGAGGCTGGTGTCTTGGGATCCAGCTGCGGCTTTCTTTACGAATCGGTACCCATCAAAGATCTCTGGGTCTGTGTATGATTTGCTTGACCGCTGGATCCAGCCGCTCGGGACACCGACGTGCGTTCCGGGCTTTAAGACAATACCTGTGACCCGAGGACATGGTGAGATTCGAATTCAAAGTGGAATGGAATGTGGAGATTATTGGCGACTTGACTTGACGTACCATTTGATAACGCGAGGGGTGTCACGCAGACACGATGAGCAGAAACTATAATGGCAATGTTCTTTTTTAGCTTCACGCTTCAATGATGCTGGTTCAATGTACAGATGCATATACATACCGGCTGCAGGAGGATGCAGGCGTTGGCACTCCTTTAGAAAACTGTCCATTAGCACCATGCGGTTGCAGGCTGCGACGCTGGTGCCCATTTCAGAAAGTATGGTTTCCGCTTCTGCGCGGAGAGCGGAGATGTACTCTGGTCTTCGAGAGAGTTCGGCAAGTGCGCCGTATAGACCCTTAAAAAGAATAAGAATATGAGTTTCTATTTTAATTATAGTAAATCTGGTAATAGATCACTCACATAGGCAGTTGTATAGATGAATGCGAATTGGAGCAGGAGCATTTCTCCAATTACTTCGGAGTAACTCCATCGCTGGCGAACAATGGAGCTTTCGTATAGCCATTTGAAGATCTCAACCTGTATGCATATTTATTCATCAGTATGAAATATTCAATTGACTTCGAAAGTTCTTGTCATGGTTTTGCATAACCTGGGCGAAATAAAAACACTTACCGGCTTTTCCAAAGTATCGGAATTACCCTGCTTACTGTCCACGCTGGAACCTTTGGCGATTTCAATTTTGTATTCGGCTGCCCTTGCATCGAAGTGCTTTAATAATATCTTGCGTGAGGATTTCATGTTCCAGCGTGTGCCTAATGTAGCCAATGTGCTGATGAAGCCCCCAATGTACCTATTTTATCATGTTAGTTTGTATGGAAATGGAAATGAAAAGTGTAATCGACATCCTCCAAGGTTGTTAGTATGGTGTTTCATACTTTTTAAGACAATCTGGAATCAAGAATTGAACGCGAGTAGTCATGATCATCCCTAGGATATGATCCTTGACGGCCTTCAGGTATTCCTCATTCTGAGACAACCGCTCGCCAACCATAGCGAAGCTACCACTGCGCACTACGACTGAATAGGCAAAGTCAAAGCAGTTCACAGTACATTCTATTATGAACTATTAGTACGCACATCTCGTACACGTATTCAAAAATGAGAAGAAAGAAAATCCCTTACCGCCGTCTTCTAAATTCACTTTCTGCAATTGAGAAATAATGGCGTCGTTCATAGAAGGCACATACCGCTCCAACTGCTTGTATACCGTTCCCCGGATAACACCGGGTGTCGTCTTCGCAATAGCAGGCCAGCCACCGCCCTTGGGGAAATAACCAGGCATCACATGGGAGATCTGAAGCAATTGATCGATCCATGGTTCAGGAGAAGCAACCGAACTCCATGAATTCCTTAGTTCTTCAATAAGCTCAGGCTTGCATAGAATGACTTGACCGGGCCGAAACGTCCGAGGGATTTCGAAGAGCCCATCAGAGAACCTGGAGTAGCCTTGTCTAATCAGGTCTGGTCCATTTATCACGAAGCGATAGTGTTGATATAGAATTGATAGTGGACCTTTCCCCGTTACGAACGGGACACCATCCTAACCAAACGAGCAGCATTAGTGATTGATACCAGAGAAAAGACGAAAGCCAGCAAATTTCTTAATTGATCACGCCAGCAGATATGAATTGGATAGAATGGGCAAAATGGGGAACCGACATTAGCCCATTGGCGAGATGTAAACACCAGCGCAAATGCAGTAACCAGAATGAACACCAAGAACGCTACAAGGATCCAAGTGGCCACGAGGCGGGGATCCCAGGATCCACTTGGCACATAGGCCAACCAGGTGTCCATGGCCGCAAAAAGTTGCCGAAAGGAGGAATGGAATCACTAGCGTGGAGCTTTGATGGGTCAAGGATATCGAGGAAGAAATCGGGTAAAAGTGTGACGGCTCATGCACGGATACTTCGAACTGGCGTGAGAGTCAAAGACGATTCGGCCTGAGAGAAATATCAGAGTGGCCAGAGGTCAGTATATGAGCAGACTGGGATTATGCGTGTATGCTCCAGGCCTCTGTTCCTTGTTACAAATGGTCCCGCTAGTTTGGATTAGATTCCACTCCGGCCGAGCTGCCAATCCCAATACGGCGGGAATTTGCGTAGCGGTCAAAAGAAAAACTGGGTGAACGGGGCCACTGTCAGACGAAAGGATTGGTGTTGTCCTTAAGTTTACAACGCACAGAGTAATTGTGTTCATTAGCGCGACCTGCTATAGGGTACCGACCCGGAGGTTCACAGGTGGCAGACGGTTAATGCAGGAAGTAGTTTCCAAGGTTTTCCTTCTATCTCAATGGAGAATAGTCCCTCATATTTGCACACGAAATAGTTAAGTAAATGTCTGTACAATGACTCGTTCATATGATTTTTTTTTAAAAAAAACAAGGAAGAAAATGAGCAAATATGAACTAGGCACAAGGAATATGAATTTAAAAACAGAACAAAACAAAACAAAACTCCCCAGGTATCAGCGAATGGATCCGTGTGGTATAATGGTACAAGCAATCCACAAATACGCCATCGATAAAGAAAAAAGGTTTTGACAAAAAAATAGAAAACGAGATAAAGAAAAGTTTTTGAGGGGGATCAATTTTTGATCTATGCAATTCCCTGGGGTTCCACGCCGCCAATGTTCGAATACGATGAATATGGTAAATCTACCAGCCCGTCAAGGAGCCAGTTCAGAGGATCAAAGACCTCATAATTGGGCTCCATGAAACCACTGGGGAGCCCACCGACCGCACTGCTGGTACCCACGCCAAGGGCGGCTTGTGAAATCATTGGTGCTGGTGCGAGGCTTGGATCACCACCGGAAATGCCAGGTGTGGATGACTGAGTGCGGGGAGGGCCGACGGACGAAGCGGCGGATGAGTCGGCTGTGGAGTCCGGGTTGGTCGGATTTTTGAGGTAGGCTTTTTTTTAAGAAGAAAATCGGTCAGGATGGGATATGAGACTGGGGTGATTTGTTCGTTTACTAACCTTCAATATTTCGTCCCTTTGTCCTTGCGTCCTCTCGCCATCGCCAGACTGAATCAAAGAGGAGGGACATGCTCATACGGCACCGGACTTTAAGTCTCAACGAATCGTCAATGCTCGTATTACTCGTTGTGGACTTTTGAGCTCCCAACCGCCACATTTGAGCAAGCACCTCGGCCAGGCGTTCAGGAAGGTCGTTGTTCGATGCAGACACGCTACGAATCGCCCAAATAGTCCTGTTGAACAAATTTTTCGTATATTCCATGTCGATGTGAGCGGCAAAGAAGCTTTTGCTGAGTTTGAGGAGGGTACAGCCTGCTGCAACCATCATCTGGTAGATATAGTAAGGAGTATAAGAGAGAACAGGGCCCACTTCTGTTTCAAGATTCATGGCAGCCTCAAGAAACGAAGTTGTGGCAACGTATAGCGAAAGAAGACGCTCACGGTAGTCTTTTGCAGCAGGATCGTCAAAGAAGGCTGACAAATGCAGATGAAGGTTGGCTGCGCGAAGAAATAGATCGGTAATGCCTAAGTAGTCATAAGTATTGCGACAATTGGGGAGAATAATTGTTATAGAGCTCTTACAATCATTTCGCGCTTTGAATTGCTCTTCTAGTTCATCAAAATCACGTGAAAGGAAGGAAATCATTGTGTTCCGTTCTTGGTCACTTGTCAGTCCGACGGGATCACGTCTGTTGGTATAAAGAGCTCGGGTAATTCTGTCGCAGAATTTTTCGATCTCCAACCTATGTTTGATATCATCGGGTAATTTGAAGTTCGGGTCTAACGAATCACTGGATGAGAGCGTCCAGTCATAAAGCGTTGATGGAGGTTGACCATAGCCAGTTGAGACTCTAGAGACAAGTTAGAAGAGCGCTCACCAAGCCGCAACGTAATATGATCAAACACGTACCGTTGCCCAACGATGTTACAAATGGCCCATGTTCGGACTTTGTCTTTCAATTCCTCCTCAATAAGTTCCACGCGAAATTTACTGAAGTCCTGGCTGTGGGATGGCCGATGAAGACCAAGCTGCATGGCTACCTGAATCATCATCCCGCAGAGCATAAATGTTGGGTCTGTTGAGGTGCTGCTAGTGGGAAATGGCCAGGAGCACAGCAAGCCGAGCGCTTTCACAACGTGGTAACTTTGGGGTATATCTGCCAAAGTACTCCATACGAGACGTGTGACAGGCCCCGCAAGAGAATTCAACAACCCTGAATCACCCTGATATCTTCTGGCACCGATACTGATAATCATCCAGAATAACAAAGGCGAAGCATTATGGTATTCATCTGGAGATTGCTGTCGGTCCAAAAATGGGAGGAATGGGTTATAGTATGTGAAATATCTATTCAAGAGTTAGATCAATGAACAAGTCACCATTTTCTGAACCACCTGAAGTCTTACATGCTGAAGAGCTCGACCACCTTCTCTGGAACAACCATGACATCTTCAATTCGCCTGAATTGCTGATTTCCATTTCTGAGAAAGGTGTTTCCATCAAATCCAGAGCGTAAATCTAAGAGCGATGCGACGGCCTCCTGGGAGCCCATATATTGATCTGCGGACATGGCTGACGGCGTCTGGGTTTGGTAGACACCGGCAGGGCTGACCTGACTCGACTCTTGCTTCGGCGTTAATTGGCCGGCATGAATAGTCTGTGGCTGGTGCATTGATGAGGTAGGAGTGGTATTGGCAGTCGCAATTTGTTTCCTCAACTCAATTATCTCTCGTTCCATCTCGGCATTGCGACTTCGCTTTCCAACTCGCTTGAAGTTGGATTCGATTTTACAGTCAAGTCCAAGTCGGCGGCATCTTGAACAATCGCTCCAAGGATCTTGAATGACATCACATCGTAGCTATGGCAAAGTTTATCAGATCAGCAAAAATTACTAAAATTCATGACACCGCCTGTGTCACTGCACCAGTGCTGTGGAAAATAACCATAAATAAACACACCTTTTGCTGTCGGCATTCGTTACAAGCCCGCTTCACTGGTTGTCTCCTCTTGTCATCGCGTTCGTTATCCTCCGCATCATCAATACTCCCCGGGGAGCTGTCCATCCCCGAGATGGTCACATTTCGTTTGCGACCCTGCAAACCATCGGAGACAGACATAGAGAGCGGCGCATGATTGACACCCGTCATTACGGGACTTAAAACCACTGGAGCATTATCAGCCCCTACACTTGGGTTGAAAGCTTGGGCCTGTGACCCTCCGTTTGCGCCTAGTCGAGAAGCCAGACTGATGGATGGCCTTGGTGCTGTCGGGAGCAAGGTTCCGGGCGCTTAAAAAAAAGAGCGATCGCCCAGGTAATGTTCTGACAGGCGGCTATATGACTTCAATAAGTAGTAAGCCACATCAATGACCTTATTCACGCTGAATTTGTCACCGGCGACTCCGCACAAGCTGTGAGATGCAGACTTCAATGCGCGGGGACAATTAGATGACTCCACCCGCTTTTTCGGAAGTCGGGAATATTATTCTTCCAGCAACATTCAGGATGATGTAATCACGACATCCCACCAGAAACCAGAAACTTTATCCTTTAATAAGTTTAAGCTTCTTCTTTTTCTCTCTTGGTTTTGCTTGAAAATTACTAGGTAAGTTGGTAGGCAGCATTGATTTCTTCTTAATCATCCGATCTATGGTTCAACCAAGTCCGCGTGGTGATCCGGCTTCTCCTGTGATCGCGTGTTCCATTGCTGTGATCGGCATAAGTGGATAAACCATTTCCTTTCTAGTGCCAGATGACGCATTCTAGAGTGTCTTGGCTGCTTCTCTGGTATGAAGATGGAGGTATTTTTCTTCATACGTGGAAGAAATTCGTGAGACGAATTCTTAATGGAAGCTTGAACTACTCTCTACAGAAAAATTGTTTTTAATGAAATAAAAAACGGGCGCACTCTTCTCTACCTATCTATTTACTGTTCATCTCACTTGCGTAATATACACGAAATTTCTTTAGAAAAGGATCTTGACATGGAAGAATTAATTCCGTAGTGAATCGAGTTGAATTGGCTCGGTGAGATTTGAAAGAAGATATATACGCTTTTTCAAGTCCATATACACTCGATTTCCCAACAGTGTACATCATGATCATGATGTAGGATCTTTGTCTGCATATAAGCAGCCGTGAAACCCGCGGACCCTGGAAATTTCTACTAAGAGCACCGCTAGCTCTGACCTGGAGGGCCTATTAGATAAATCAAATGGCTCCCAGTGCCGAAGTGCTAATACTACGTACACCTAGACCTCAGTGTAAATAAATCTAACTATAGTTGGCAGGTAGTAGTAGTCTTGGAGGTACCCGTGGACTGACTTATCATGCATTTATATCATATAAAGATACCGGTCAACCTTTGTGAAGCACCATGCCAAATGAAATGACTGGATGTGATATTGATAAAATAACCACTCTATTAATTTGGCTAGCATCACTGGCAGCATTTTAAAGAGAACGGAGCCTTTGATTTAATATCCAGGTTATTAGGTAAAGTCCCCCATTTATACCAGTATACCTTCCGTGCCCCGAACTCCATGCTGCACGAACTACCAGTGGCCCCCGGGGTCGATTTCTCGAAGAGTGTGGCTCCTTCGAATACATCTCCACTGATCATCTGAGATCTGGGACCCCGGGCTATGCCACTGCTGGACGCTACATCAAACAAGCCCCCGGGGCCATCTATGCGAGGTGCGACTGCTCAATCCAAATTGTTCTCGAGGTCACAACCATCTTTCAGGGTTCAAGGCCAAATGGTTTCATTGTTGCCTCATCAAATTGGTGTATCCTCACTGCATAGTTCCATGTTCCGATGAGGTCATTTTTGCCGATCCCCACTCGGGCAATTTAGAAGGGGAGGAACGAGCCGCATTGCTAGGCTGTGCTTTCCATCTGGTTCAATCACATAAGCGCCCTGGTGCCCCGTCAGTCCACCGTGCGCCCGACTCCAATCACATCTTGTTACTTCTACTGGTTCCAAAGGGCGAAGCAGCCTCGCCAGAAACTCCGAAGAGGGTTTCTCTAATTCGTCAAGCTTTTGCTGTGCGGAATTCACAAGGCTTAGACGCCCACATTTCACTCCCCAGCGGATGAATTCGGTTGGTACGTCCATTGATTGGTCGCTTAGAGCACGTTTCCATACGAGACCCTGATCTGATCTGCCTTGTGACTTACTTGTTCAGATTGAAGGCCCTTTCTGCCCCGGGGCCCTGATCGTCAGTCCTTACGTAGCACACCCCATATATAAAATGAACCATCGCACCCCCATCTAGTAACAGGAGGATTCTGTCAACAAAACTCTATCAAATCAAGGCTCTACAAACATTCTACCCATTCCACGACTTTAATGAACTAGCTATCAGTTCTCAAACGCAATTATGGGCAAACCTACGGACGAAAAGGCCAAAGAAAGACCCACGACAGCCTCAAGCTCTGCCACGGGGTTAAGCTCTGAGTCTGCCTCAGCCTCGAGCTCTACGGGTAACCAGCCACCTCCAGAGTATGAAGCTGCTCAAGAACGCGTCTTGGTCGATTTCCCCAAGCTCAGCTTGGGCGAGGATCTTGGAAGCCCGATTGATGGAACCATCACCACTGATCAGTGTATCGCACATCTCAAATTTCTAGCTGTTCTAGCGGACCTGCGAGATTCCATTTCAAATCAAGATGGACTCTTCGGGATCTTCGATTCCCAGGCGAACAAGTTCCCAGATTCTTATGACCAGGCTATGATTCGTATTCGCGAGAAGCGCTGGGCCGTCTACACTGCTCGCGCAGCCGATCGTTATGAGAAGTGGTTCATGACTGCTCTGCCTCAGTTTAGACCTCCTGCGACACTTTCCGATGTAGAGAGTAACACCTATGAAAATATCACAGACTGCAAGACAAAGGCCTTGTGGACTGACAAAATTATGCCTCCTCTTGGTGAGTCTCAAATCATGTTCCGTTGACAAGATAAAATGACCTAACTTGCATATAGATATCCTGATGGTCTGGCATTCTCACATGCTCAATCCAAGGAATTTTCTTGAGGACTGTATTCGCTATGGTAAGATGAGTATTTGGCGAACAGGATTTCCCTTCGAAGCTGTGAATGCATCCATTAGGGACAACACATTGGAATACCTCACTAGTGCGGGTTGTCAAGAAGCTTTCGAGCGTGAAATGAAAGTCAAATGGGACAATCTTGAAGATCCACCCACAAAGACTATAAAATGTCCCCGCTGCGGACAAGACAACAGTGTGGCATGGACCGAAGGTGAAATCGGAGAATCCGTCGACAATGCGTTTTCAGACAACAATGGCCTGGCCGATAACAAATTTGAGACTACCTGCAAAACTTGCAGAGGTACAGTTGACCACGGCAGGCTTAGAGTTGCAAAGTTTAGAAATAATCTTCGACGCCTATTATATAACAAGGAACCCATGCCGGGGGCTGTTTTGAACATCAATGGAGTGCCTGAAGGTCCTGGTAACAACATCAGACGGATCCAGATTCACACCAACATGATGTTTCCTTCGAAAGCGTTGCAGGCATGCGGACAAGAATTAATGGCCCTGACAGACCCCAGATTAGATCGGTGCCGGAGCGTAGAGGACCTCCGCACTCAGCTAGAACCCAGGATTCGCGAATTCAAGGTTCTGGTGGCAGCATTTGGACGCGCCGGAGCCCCCATTCGACCTGGGGCAAAGGTCCATTTCCGACGCATGATGTCTCGTTACTGGGATAACTCTAGCCCCTTTGCGCTTGATCTCGTTGGTGCCGTGATTCGACAGGGAACATTCATCCAAAAGATGGATAACATCGATTGGCTTCACTCGCCCGCTCTCATGGAAACAACCAAACGACTCATCAAGAAGTATACCGTCTTCTTGGGCATCATTTTCGCCAACCCCAAAGAAATGGCTGTCCCCACTCTGGATGTGGATCTCGCCTGGCATACACACCAACTCAAGCCTCAGAGGTACTACAAATACACAACGAAAATGACACCCGAAAGAACACGCCGCTTCATCGACCACGACGACAAAGTAGAGGAAAATAAACTCTCCGAGAGCTTCGAGTGGACTAGCAAGATGTACCGCCGCGCCACAAATGGTGGTATCTACAGCGAATGCACATGTTGGTACTGTGAAGCAACTCGAGCACCAGACCTGTATGACCGACTCATAAACATTGGTTCTTCATCTCGTGCTCGCAACAATGCAGATTCTCTGCATAATCGACAGGATATCTCTTCCGATCCAGATAGAAACCCACATATCTCAGCGCACAACGCTGTCCGCCCGCCTATTCGAGATCCACAGGATACGGGTCTTGGGTATCTCCAGCGAATGCGCCTACACAGAAACTACGAGAAAGCCTGTCGACGAGCTGAGAAACGGGGCCGGCCTAGATCTGATTCGAGGTCGGGAGCTAACGGCGTGGAGCCGGCATACTACGCGCCGTATGTGTGGGGATATCCCATGATGGTACCTTATTACGGGCCATATATGTGTGACCCTGGAATCAGCTCGGGTGCATACGCCTGTAACCCAAGCTGTATGAGTACTGCTGTAGGGGCTGCTGGAAACTGCTGCGCGGGAACTTGTGGTGGAGGTGTGGCAGCCGGCTCATGTGGTGGAGCTGGTAGTGCAGGCTGTGCTGGAGGAGGAGCTGCTTGTGGTAAGTTTTGTACCATCATTCCAGTCTGAAGTTTTTCTTCTTTGAACAGTCCTAATATCCCCTAAAGGCGGAGGTGGAGGCGGTTGTAGTGGTGGCGGAGGAGGCTGTGGAGGTGGAGGAGGAGGCTGTGGAGGAGGTGGTGGAGGGGGCGGAGGAGGCTGTGGAGGTAAGTCTTCATTTATCCTCAGCGATATCATAGACTCGAACTAATGATAATTTAGGTGGTGGTGGTGGTGGTTGTTAAAGAACCCCACAAGACAGAAAGCCTACTCTAGGCAGTAATCTGGACCTCCTTGCTTTACGTTTCAACATTGGGCCATATCCTTATGCCAATTTATGATACTCATGATTGATTCCCTTGCCACTTGGTACTTGCTACTACTTGCTTCATGATAGTCTCCCCATGATATGCAACTTTCTTCATTTACTTTCTGTTGATATATTTGAATACTGCCAGTGCACTTATATTCTTATGATGCCTCCATTTCACTTAGTTTTGAATAAGCTTGAACTACATAGCCTATAATTAACCTTGGAAACATATTTATTCCCATATATGTATGACTCATATTGCAACTACTTTCTCAAATTTCCTGAAATGAAAGGTTGAATTTGGCCACAGGGTACGAAGCTTCTTCATCATGATGCAATAACTCGAAATACATAGTAGAGAATTGATATGTCCGAAGTTTGATATATCCACTTTATAGTGCTAGCCAGTAGATGAGTCTATCCACCTAGATGACCAGCAAGTATCTATCTTGGAACGAGGGTATTATGATCTTTTCGAAATGAGACAAAAGGAAAGTTAACGCTACATGACAAGGCACTTATTTTTTCGTTTTCGACCACGTTCTCGAATAGTGTGCTCATTCCAATCTTCAATGCGCCTCCGCCATTCTTCATTCTCTGGCGGTGGTAAACTCGTTGGCTCAGTAGAGACTCGCCTTCGGAACGATCTTTGCCTCGCGGGGATTTCTTCGTCTTCGGCGGACAAGTCTAACGCGTTTCCATGTGGCTGTGGGATATGCAAGAGGTTCGGAGATGAGGAGGCATAGGAGAAGTAATTTTCCCCAAGAAGTGTTGCCCCCAGAGGAGGGATGGGAGGATCAGCTTGCTGGCGCGGCTGTGCAGGCTGCACAGTCAAAGTCGGAAGCGGTTGCAAGAAAGGGATATGGCCTGTGGTGATTGGAACCACGGGAGATGCCGTGCTTGGACGAGCTGCTACCAAGTGCGCCGGCAGAGGAGGTAAAGCTGTTGCTGCCTGAGCTGCTGGGATCGCCGGGACCGGGGGTATATCAAGAGACTCCTGTCCCAAGGCGTCACCGGCAGCTGAAGAATCTCTTCTAGCTCTTCCAGCGCGTAAATTACCAGTAATGGTTCCTAGCCTTTGAATTATGGCAGATTGAGGCCGGGGTCGATCTGATGGGTTTGTTCGTGGGACACGAGCTGTTTGAGCCCTTTGGACCGGACTGGAAGGTAGCTGCAAGAAGTTTTGAGATGAAGGTCGATTAGGAAAATCGCCTGCCCCGGATACATTTGGCATAAGGGTTTGTCGCAGGTGATCTGGTAAGGGGCCGTCAGGCTCGCGTTGGTAAGGTGGAGGCGGTGGAACCCAGTTGTCTGCATCGCTTTCGTGAGGAACATAGCGACCGCTAGGCGTGCTGCGATAACGTGGATCATAACGTCCTCGGGTTGATGCCGCAGCTGTGGCGGCACGATGAAGTACTTCTTGAGAACGAGGTTGAGTATTATCATATGGAATGTCAACGACACCATTGGAGTTCGGTCCAGATCCGGTGGTAGCAGGTATCAAACTATCGTGTCGTTGAGGATCAAGAACTGGAATAGAAGGAACTCTCGTCGATTGCCGAGTACGAAGACCAGCAACTGTAGCATCTGTATCATGACGGACTAACCGAGTACGTCTTCTCTGTAGTTCGACTTCTGTGTCTAGGGAAGAATCCGGTTCCTGCAACATCTTCGGCGGCGTCTCGCCAACTTCAATATCGAGCTCAAATTCTTCGCCATTTGTAGTTGATCTTTCAAAATCTAGAATGAGGACTCTCCCACCATCCACAGGTACATCCTCTTCCCCAAATAATTGAGGTCGGACACCGCCAGGAGCCACGGAAACAAGACGCCGCCATGGTTTGATTGAACTTGCTGAATGTACCCAACGAGTTGATGTGATACCCTGCAGATCGGTTACCCGTCGACCACGGACGAGGAGTTTAGACTGTTGAATTATTTTATCGAGTTGTGCTAGATTATCACGAGGCATCTCAGAGCCTGCGCAATGGTGCACACCACCAAAGCGCGTAGTTGTGTTCTGGGTTGACTCCGGAGCTGTGTTTGTTGGAACCACATCGAGGCGCTTCGGTAATCCGTACAACCATACTTCCGAATCTTGAAATCCCAATGCCGCAAGTTCACCGGCTTCATCGATGGATGGAAACATAGTAGGCATCATTTCTCTGGACTCATCCGTCAAGAACGGGCTTGAAAAGTAAACACCGCCTGCGTCCATGCGGTTGACCTGAATTGCTCGGAAGGCTGCCAGCTGAATATCATACCCGAGAATCCAGCTATCGTCTCCTTCATAATGCTCTGAAATCAAGCAGGCGTGAGTGAACCCACGGGCCAGTTCAGGAAAGAGAATTTGGGTTGTCCACATTCGCATCTGAACTTCTTCAGGTGATGCATCGGTTCCAGTCTCAGTATAGAAGGGAGCAGTAATAGTGACAATGCCGTCTATCTCGTGATCTACCGAAGACCCAAGTACCATTGAGCCATCTGGTGTAAATTGGAGTGCGTCAACGCGAGTGCATCTTGCTGCGCGACGCTCAGTTGCAAGTGTTTCCTCTCCAATGGCATGTACCTCAATGTTATCTTCAAAGGAAAGGGCCAACACACTACCAGTGGGTGAGAAAATCAAGTCACGGGGGGCATCATTCAACGTGATAGTCTGAATTCGCTTTGCTTCATTGTTGGTGAGCTTGTATATATTGACCTTATAGGACTCCGAAACGACTGCAAGCAAGGACCCGTCATCCAAGATGGTAGCACCTAAAGGCCTCCGACGAGTCTGTAGTTCATGTTTGACAGATACTGGGTCTGCTGCTACTTCCAGTACAACAATTCGAGATGAGCTGATACAAAGAGCCATGTGGCCATTGGCCGAGAACGAAAAGCGAAAGACTTCGCCCTGTGGAAAAGCCGTAGAAGAGCTCATGGAGCTCGAAATCAAGCGTACCAGAGTTTTACGAGGGCGCAGAAACACATCAAAGGCATTTCTACGGATCTCTTCAACGAACTGACGTTTGAGACTCGATAGCTCGTCGGCCTCGGTTGGTGGGGCGAGAACCGCGCGTGACCAAAGAAATGATGGACATTGTGATAAGTGGTGGGCATAGAGTGCTTTAGACTCTGATACTTGCCTCCATTTCTGGCTCAGGAGTGCGAGAGAAGCAAAAGTGTTGGCATCTACGGCATAAAGAATGCTGGGCAAGGATGGTCAGCCAAAGATCGAATCTCAGACCAAAGGGGCCACCTGGACCCTTGAAATTCAAACAGAATCACCTACTTCTCAATTACAGAGGGGGGCAGCCGGTCAAAGGCGCGCGCTTCTTGAGGGAAGGCATCCTCCATGATCAACATATATTGCCGACATACGGAATTGGCGCGGGCACCCGAGATGGAGTTGCCCTTTCAAAGTGGCGGTGCATCCCAACCACCTTCATGTCGCCCGCGTCGATCTCGTGGATATAAATAGAGGTGGCACGTGGTGATGACTCATCACCCCGCATTCAGTTTAGCTTACTTTTTTTTCTTCTCCAAGCAAATTAAACGTGACCTGGATCTAGAGGGGCTTGAAGAAACCCCTACATTGCATTGTGGATGAACGGACATAAACTGTGACTAATTCCCATAGATACTTACAGGGGACGCCATGGAAGTATAACAGCCAAGGAGCCACGGTTGTGCTCTTCCACCCAATAGACAATCGATGCCTGTCGCATTCGGCCGGGTTATACCCCTCATTCTGTCCAACTGAGATCGGCCGACTCCGAAAACTCCCCGGGATCTTTTTTCCCCAGATTTTACTTCCTTCACCTTCCCCTCTCCATGCAATCTCCTGAAGGGTTGCGCATCATGTCGCCGGCCGCCCTTCAAGTCAATCCGTCCTCCAAATTACCCTCGCCCGGCTTCAATGCCGGTGCGCGACCATACCGCTCCCACAAAGTTCGCGCGTGTGACCTCTGTCGCAAGCGCAAGTCCCGATGCACTGTTGATATCCCCGGTCAAAGCTGTCTACTGTGTCGCGTACAGGGCGCTGACTGCCACTACCAAGAGGAACCACAAGGGGATACTCCAGTGTTGAGCGCCACGGAATCTAAGCCGACGTGGTCGGGAGCTCAGCCGATTGAGCCAGTATCGGGCCAAAAGCGCAAGCGCAGTCCGGACCGGTCACCCAATTCGCTTCCACACATCGCAACTCGCCAGCCGACTAATGGACCGAGTCCTCAGGGCACAAATTCGTCTTCCGGGCGTCGAGGAAGTGACTCGCGACGCAAGTACGACGATGACCGCCACAACGAATCCGTTCTCATTGTGGGGCCAATGGTGGCAGAAGATGCACAAGTCATTGAAAAGCACATGCCTCCAGAGCGAAGTCTTTCTGAAGAAGCCAATGGTCAACCATACAATATCTACTCCAGCGATCCTAGAAAGCCCGTACTTTACACCACTATCTCACGGCGGCGAAAGGGTATGAGACAGGGTGTTCCACCTGGGGAGAATCAGAAGGAGATTTTAGAACAGATTTTGGGACCTTTCAAACACGATCTCGTGAGACTGTAAGGCTTGACACTCTCCAATAACTTTTGTTCTTCGGTACTCATCAGTCATTTTTTATTTAGATTTATCGACCGATTCAACACAGCATTCCCTATCTTTGACGGCGAATCGTTCTGGGATGCTTATATTTCTGACACGACGGATGATCCTCCGGCCTCTCTTTTATGCCAGGTTTATTCGATGTCACTCGTTTATTGGATGCACACTCCTAAACTCTCATGCCACCCGAAGCCAGATGTGCGATATGCTGTCAACATGACTGTTGCTGCCTTACACGAGGAATTCTCCGCCCCAGGGCTGTCTACAATCAGCGCCGCGTTGATCGATTTGACTGGCCGACCTATTTTCTCCATGACTGGAAATGCCGTCAGTTGTGGGCGGATGCTTTCCTTGGCTAACTGCCTTGGTCTGAACCGAGACCCAAGTTTGTGGAAGCTTTCGGAACAAGAGAAGGATCATCGAATTCGTCTTTGGTGGGGAGTCGTAATCCATGACCGATGGGGTAGCTTTGGCCATGGCGTTCCTCCTCAGATCTCCAAGACTCAATACGATGTCCCCCTTCCGACCATTGACGGGTTGGTACCGCCGAGCCTCCGCACGACTGAGCGTGTGAGAGCGGCGACCTGTCATATTGCTCTTTGTACATTGACAGAAATCCTCGGTGAATTATTGCCTCTGGTCTATGGTCTTCAGGCAAAACTGGCGCGCGAGAGTTCTAAGAAGATTAGACAAATTCGGACTGAGTTAGACTTATGGGAGGATTCCCTTCCTGATTGGTTGAGAAGCCCAGTCAATCACAATCGCGGAGAGCAAGTGTCCGCATCAAGCAGCTTACAGCTAGCATTTTTGGCTGTGAAGATGCTTGTCAGTCGAGTTGAGTTGAATGTAAGACTCGAGCTTTCTCTGCCAGTCGAATCACCTTTATTATGTTTTTACTGACATCTGGTTTGCAGGAGGTCAACAATGCTGAAACAGATAACCCCGAAGCTCGCCGTTATTTTCAAACAGAATGTCGACGCTCTGCAGAGGAAATTGTACGATTCATTACATCTCTTCGAAAGGAGAACTTCAAGGAATTCTGGTTACCATGTATGTCACAAAGCATTTCTTCTCAGGCTCTATAGCCGGAAACTTACAATCTCTTTAGACAGCGCTTTTCACCTGACATCGACCGCCACCCTCCTCGTTCGATGCGCCTTTGAAACAACCGATAGTGAAGTTGCCAGATCATGCCTCAGCAATGTCGAAACCCTCCGTGCCGTACTTCGTCGCGTCCGGGAAGAAGAAGACTGGGACGTGGCCGATATGTGCCTTGATCACTGCGAGCGGATTATGCACAGGATTCCTGGCGCCAATTCTTTGATGGATCAATCAGTCAATTCCGCCTTAGCCGACAACGGCCTCGTCAATCCAGCAGCTATTTCGCTGCCGGAGACACAAACCAACAACGACATCGTCGATGATATGATGTCCATATCTAATACATTCGGCACGATGGATGGGTTCCCCTTCGATATGACAGGTATTTGGGACGTTTCAGTTTTCCAAGATGTCAACTTGTCTTAAAGGCGTCTTTCTTTTAGTTAAAGGTGACGTGATTATCGCATTATTCGTTCTTCTGGTTGTTTTGTGATGGTGGGCAACCGGACATGTACTTTACTTCAACACTGTATATACCCTGGGTTCAGCACGAACCCTAACCTCGTGCAAAGCAAGCTGGACATAAACTCTATAAGCCTCAACCTCTTCATATTAAAGCATCTGATCAAATTTTAAAATGTACATCGAGAATCAAGAAACAAGTAGATCGGACACCAAACACTATTTTACAGTCGTTCCAGGAAGGGATTGCTCAGAACGAAACCAAACCATCTAATGACCCAACCCATTGCCCCATAAATGACAAAACACACAAACCCCCGCGATGATGAGTTGGGAAATAAATAAATGGGGAATAAAGAGCGGGGCTTTTTACAGCAATACATGGAATTATCAGTGTGATGCTATGACGAAGCCAAATTACTGCTTGTCACCACCAGCACCGAACATTCCAGTGAAGGAGCCCTTCATGCTCTGCATTTGCTCTTGACGAGCCTTCTCCTCCTCAGCAGCCATCTCAGCAAGCCACTTCTCACCGTTCTCACGGATCTCCTTGTCGATAAGCTCGAAGTTCTTCTGGCCACGCTCGCGGATCTGATCCCACAGCATCTTACCCTGGGCAAGACCCTCAGAGGGGCTGACTTCGCCATCCAGGGTGCGGTTGGATTTCAGACCCAAAGCAGAGGCAACGCTACCCATGCTCAGGGAGGGCTTCTTTTTCTTCTCCTCGGCGAGCTCCTTTTCGAAGCGTTCGCGCATAGCCTTCTCGCGCTTGGTGAATTCGACCGGGATGTCAGAGCCCTCGAATGACTTCAGAACGGGACGGACGTCCTCCACGCCCATACCGGCAAGGTATTCAAGGAACGGAATCAGGGCGACCAGGGTCTTGTCCTTGGGGTCACCAGTCCACTTGTCCAACACGACGGCGTTCTCGGGCTGCAGGCGGGCGTGCTCCTCCTTGGTGTCAAGGAGAATAACCTTCGATAGGTCACGGTTCAGGTATGAAAGGTCCTAATTAACTTGTCAGAATGATTTCAACGGGAACGGTATGAATTTGCAGTAATAGCTCATACCTTGATATACTCTCCATCCTTGTAGCGAGTAGCTTCACGGAAGAGGGGCCAGCGAATGATACGGTAGGGGTCGAGTTTGCGGAGAACCTGATCAGCCATCATGCTAGGCACACTGGTGAACAGAACAAGCTCGTAGTACTGGTTGAGGTAGCGAAGGAAGTAGTCGACACCAGGGCGCTTGGCAACACGCCATCCATGCTCACGGCTCCACTCGCTGTGAACAAGCAGATCCTCCATACTCAGAACAAGGGTATATGGCTGGCGCATGGTAGGGTCCTCATCGGGAAGCAGCTTGGGGAAAGCAGGGTCCTTGTAGTAGCTGGTGAGGTCACCAGTACGGGCCTTGACACGGTTCCACCAGAGACCCAGACCCCAGCCTGATGGGTGATCGGTGTGAGCGCGCTCCTCCTCGTCTGATTCCCAGTTGCGGCCTAGGTAGCCCATACCGGCGATACCCGAGGCCAACATCAAGGCGTACATGATGTTAGCCATGCGGGCCTTGCGGCGGTCCAAAGAAGTCTCATATCCGCTCTTGGAGTATTCACCGCCACCGCGTTCCTCGCTGTACTCCTCCGATTGAGTGGGATCCTCAGTGAGGTTCAGCTGTGATGTGTTTCCTTTCTTCGTGCGGCCTTCCAATTCGGCAGCCAATGTGGAGGGAATACCCTGGGTTAGGTCGGGTAAGGGCTGGTTGGGAATTTGTTCAGAGTCGGCCTATAGAGAACAGATGGTTAGATACATGTTGTGCTGGTAGATAGCTGACGTATGGTGCAAGTCCCGGAGTAGCATACAGCGTTTGACTCTGCGGCGTCGGCGCTTGGCTTGGCCTTGGTATCGAACTCGGGTTGCTCTTTCGCGTGTTGGTTTTGTGAGGCCTCAGGAGCAGTCTTGGGCTTCTTTGAATTAGATGATTTGGGAAGGTCATATGGACTGCCCTTGCCCTTGGCGTAGGACCGGGACCACTGTGTAGAGACAGCTGGAACTCGGGAAGCCCGGGCAGCAGAGGCGAGGAGGCTAGGCCTCGTTCGAAGAACGGCGCGGCTCAACATGGTTGGGATGATTTAGTCGAAGACAAATGCAATCATGCCCTGTCTAAATGTCACGGAATCACGGACGTTCGGGGTCGAGTCTCCCGTAGAAAAGTCGGAACGCGCGAAGTGGATCGGGTGATCCACACAAGCCAGTGACGCAGTTCCCTTATAGCCTTTCGCCGCCAAAATCCTACTTTCCCCTTTTCTCTTCTTTTTTTTCTTCAGTTATGAAAGTTCACCCAGAAATTAATTCGATCCTGTATGCACTCTGCATGTGTACCGGGTTGTATTAGCTGGGGAGACCAAAAGAAGTTCTCTTCTATTCCCACTACCAAGAGCCGCAGCGAAGGCATTCGCCACTGATGCTGTAGCTCCGATCGTGGGACACAATCCTTTGTCTATATTTTACTTGCTTTAGACTTCTGTTTCATTTTGATCACTGCTGGTGGCATGCGCCGTGAATTGAGAACAGAAAGACTTCGAAAAATGGAATCCGTGCCAAACCCTTAGAACTCATATCTCCGTGTACTTTGATAGATTTCATCTTGGATTTTTCCATTTTCTCTTTTCCCCTCCCATCATGGCCTCCAAAGCATCCAGGAAGGCCGCAAAGAAGGCCAAAGCTGCCTCCGCATTCTACGAGGAGGACTTGCGAGATATATCAGAACCCGAACCTCCACGTTTACCAGATCCGTTCCGATTTCTCGATTTGCCATCGGAAATCCGGGTGGTGATCTACCATTTCGTGTTATTCACCCCCACGAAGAAAACCGCCAAATTAAACCCCGGCTCGGTCGGTGCCTCTGCGAAAAGGGCCAAAGCCGTAGCGCCAACTGCACAACGCATAGCCTTATTTTTAGTTTCGCGCCGTGTCCACGATGAAGCCAGCCATTATTTCTACTCGACACAAATTTTCCGCGTCTTCACCATTCAAGATTTCTCGCGCCGCCCGACCCTCCGAGGGATACCCCGCTGCTACCGCCCCTTGATCGGCACCGTTGAGTTGATTCTTGGAAATAGTTGGACAGCACCACCAAAGACATGGAGTGTCGACAAGGGTCTGGGACTGCAGGATATGGCGCTCACGCGCACGTTGAAACTCTTTATCGAGTGCGATCCTTCTCAGCCAATCTTCGAGGGCTTCCGAATCTCCAAGGAGTATTACACTGAGTTCTGCGGCAGATTAGTGAAAGAAATACTGGCGGGACTTCCGGCCTTAGAGTGGGTGGAATTCGATGCATATCCATCGGTGCAGAAGAACGGTTCTCTTATGAGCCGCTTACTATATGAAACCCGCAAGGCCAACAAGAAGGTCAAATGGGGCCCCGAGAGAGGCTGGACAGATCTCAATGATAAGGGCTTCATGATCGAGGAGGAACCACTGCCGACTATTACTGCCTCTGCTCCTGCTCCTCCCACCGTGGACCAGTCACGCCCATACGAATCTGCACATATTGATGAATTAACCAATAGAGTTCAGGATATCAGCCTGAATATGAGCGCTCAAACTGCAGTTTACAATTAATGCTAAATGTGCTACGATTTATTGTTTTTCCATGTCATACATGTATACATACATTGGGTGGAGTTGACAGAGATGGTCTGACTGACTGTTGCATGGGGATTTGAAGCCTCAGCTCGGCTTTACTATGGGCTTACGACCCCACCATAGCCCATTATTGGGCACTTATGACCTCCGCATGTTCCCGTCTCTGTATAGGATCAATAGATTAGTTGTTGACTCCGCTTCAATTACATTTTCACTTTTTGGTCCAGCATCTTGCCATTCTGGCGCTAGCCCTTCATAATTATCAGCCATCTTGTGAACTTAGGCCGCGGATATCTAGAGATAGAATCCAAATCTTCAGCCAAATTTCTCAAATTTCTCAAATTGGGCCAATTTGTGGCCATCTAGTCATGTCGCATGATATCATTGAACCCCGTGAAGGTGACCATGAAGTATAGTCGTTGGAACGTCAAGTATGCGCATGCCTGCGTGCTTTGACGAAATTCTACCATTCTTGCTAGCTTCAAGAGCAAGCTTGTGAATGAATAATATGCGACAACGTGTAAAAAGAGAACATCACTACTAGTGGCCACCAGCAGCAAATTGAATTCATAGCCAATTCAATGATTTCGCGTATACCACCTTCATAATTGCATCTTTGTAACTTGAATTTTGTATAAGACTGAATAATAATGATACATTGTCGCACGCCTTTGACTCGAGTAACTTCGCTCTCTTGGGTCATAGCTTCGAAGAAGTATATTTTCACGATTCATCCGAATGACTAGTGATTATACTCAACACCCCAAGCTTTGTTCACCGTGATGCCTTCTTTGTCAATAGTAGCTTGTTTCTTGAGTGTTGATAATGGAATCGCGATGGTCGTTTCAGTATGCGGTTGATCGAATTTCGAGTAATGGTGTGGTCCTTCTTCTACATCACTAGTCGCAGTAGAGAAAGGCTGAGTGTCATCGTTATCGTCCGAGTGCGATTTGAGTATCCTTGTGGCCCATGATGGGGCTGAAGTACGTGTCGATAGCGTAGCCCAAGTGGGTGGGTCGGAGGATTGGTTGGTTGGTGGTGAACCAAAGAGTTTCTGTCGAACGGTGACATATACAGGTCGCAACGTTGGGAGGCAAGCTTTGATACAGTAGATATCATAAGTCGTCCTGTTCAGTAACCTTGAGAGTAGATGGCACGTACCTGATACAATTGCCAAGTCGGCTTCGACGGTGGCCCAAGTGGCCTGATTGACCCAGTTCCAACTGACGTCCGCGTCGGTACCCTGATTCATTACTGATACTAGTCTCATTATCGAGGCGATACACACGCTGTTCGGTTAGTCTGCTATTATTAACAATTAGAATGAGAGTTCGACTTACAAGCTTCCCAAGAGAAACATTGAGATGATGGCCTTTTTGCTGCTGCCCGACATGTTGAGTTTCATGATGTAAGGCGTAGGAAGTATGAGAAGAGTAATATCAATGATGATGTTTGGGATTGAGATTGCAAACAGGAACTTTTGGCTGTCAACATTGCAAGAGGCATTAACAGATTGATCCCATAGTCCTCGGGTTGGTATACATTGCAGCAAAGTGAGCAAAAACTGAAACTGTTAGAGAAAGTCTTCTACTTGAGAGCGGAAAAATATAACACTTACTACAGCGATACCCCACATACAGACCAATGTGGCAAGGATGCTAATGGGAACCTTTATGTTCGTCTTGTTGAATATACGCCAGTACAAGGCCATAATAGAGAACTTGACAAGGACAATGACACCGGTGTACGTCAGTTCACAGGCGAATAGCCCGATATATGCGTCCTCCGTAGCATTGGGTCCGAAAGTCTGAATATGCCTTCCAAGAGCGCGAGGTATCCCTGCATCTGTCAATTTCGAACATTTGTGTAACACCAATTGGATTTCGCCTTACACCACAATAATGAAGCTGTCAGGCCCGTGCCGCAAGCCTAATCAACAATGTTAGAAACTCCCAGCCGGTGACAGATGTTACAGGACGTACCAGTGAGGCTAAAATCAGCCAGTCATCAAGCCACCAACCCGCTGTGTTTTTCCAGCGGCACCAGAATCGAAGACCGACACAGAGAAGTGCGATGATGAAGGGTATTGTTGAAGAAGCATACAGGTTAGGTTGCTGATTTTCGGAAAGGTCCACAGAAGACATAGATTGAGACATAATAGCTACAGAGAGCTCGGAGTTTGTGGTGAGCAGATGAATGTCCAAGTTTCATTTAGACACTGAAGAACTCCCTGTGGAGACGATTGAAATTGTAGAGTGTGGTCATCGTGAGAAAAAGTGTAATATCATATTGAGTGATTAAATCGAGGGGTGTGCTAATATCCCCCTTCTGGCCCCCTCTCATTTTGTGATTGGAGGTGGGGCTGGGAATTGATGATGAGTACTTAGTGTATACTAGTAGAATAGACAATGGGAAGTAGTCGGACCGCGGTAGTACCACAGCGTCATTGATATGCATGTATTGATCATTCCTTTTTTGGACGGCCAGAGGAATTCATACAAGACCAAGGTGGCCGACATAGTACTGTAATTGGTTCTTTGGATTGCGGACTGACATACGCACGTTGCATTTTGGCTTCCATGCCGTGGATCTGCAGTCCTTTTACCAACATCCCGGGAACATTGAAGACCTTAGTATGACCAATTCGTCACAAGGTCAAACAGGGTGGCGTATTAGGCGTATTAGGCGCATTCAAGTGCAAGCAATACCGAAACGATGCCGAGAAGTTTGGTAATCCTTCAAGGTTCTCGGCCCGCCTAAGTTCCGCTCCACACATGTCAACGGAAAATATCCCCACTATCAGGCAACTAGACCAGTGACCAATCAAAAGGTATAATCAGAAATGCGAGATATCTTTATTTGGCCCCCAAAAAGAACAAGGAAACACCTGTCACTAGCGTATGCACGTTCAACTGAATGCCCTCCTTGGCACCTTCAATCTGCAGACTAAATCCTTAGCCCCACGTTCTTTGCAGATCGTAATAAATATCATGCAACATTTGACGGGCGTGGCTCTTTTAGGCATATCCACAGGTAGCCATTGCAATCTAGTAAATCTAGTACGCAGCTAATTGCGATTGTGTAACGTATGCGACGTGAAAGAATAACAGGCTGTAACACAGCCAAGATTCCCAATATGCAGGGGTATGTATATCAATTGATAATGATGAGATTAATTTATCACGCCACGGCCAATAGCTACCACCGAATCCACCATCCTGCCTCCCAAGGTTCTTTAGGTTGCTTGTCGGCTTTTCTTTTCTTTTCAGCAATAATATTCGACATAGCAAATTTGAAACTTGTTTTCAAGTTAGACTCACATTCACTATGTCCTCGGTGAATCTCCCAGTGATAGTTATCGTTCCAGGTGCCTTCGGCACACCTGAAGGTTTCGATGGATTGAAACCATATCTGACCAAAGCCGGATACACAACACACTCAGGAGCATATCCTAGTTGTAATCCTTCTGATCCGGCCAACGTTTCATCTGCTCAGGATATCGCTTTCTTGCGCAACAATGTATTACTTCCACTTTTGAACGAGGAGGGTAAAGATGTTGTCATCATTGCCCACTCATACGGGGGTGTTGTTGCAGGTGGTGCAGCAAAAGAACTTTCGAAGGAGACAAGAAGAGCTCAAGGTCAAGGCACTGGCGTCGTTGGTCTGATTTATGTGGTGGGCAATATTACACTCGAAGGAGAATCTCTCCTCACTGCTGTAGGCGGCGCCTACCCTCCTTTTATCAAAGTCAACAAGGTACGGTTTACCCAGAACAATCGCAATCGCAATTGTAGACAATTAATGATTTTGTTCTCAGCCATCCCAGGGCCTTTCTCTCATCGAACCGGCAATGGATATTTTGTACAATGACTGCGACCGTGCTCTTGAGCCGGAATTGGAGAAGCTAATGCAGCCACACGGACTCCAAGCTTTTGAAACACCCGCCACTGCCCCAGCTTGGGCAGAGAGAGCATTTGATGGCAGGAGGGCGTATGTGCGTACACTGGAAGACTGTTGTAACCCTTCATTCTTGCAGGATATGTGGCTGGAGAAGTCCAATGTCAAATGGGAAGTTGTGGACTTCAAGACTGGACACATGCCATTTGTGAGCCATCCCCAGGCTTTGGCGGAGCAGATTATCAAGTTCACTAATGGTTTTATTGCAAAATAAATGTTGACGTATCGAGTGTCCGCATAATGGCACAGAAATTTGACTATGCTTGCTCTATAAATTATTACCAACCAACATCTTTTTAATATGAAACGGACTGGTCAACTTGGAAAATGTTTCAATAGTAATTTGGTTTACCTTAAGAGTGAATCCGAAAACTTTCTACAAATTACCTATGTATTGTGAGTCAAAGATATCTTTAGAATGAAAAGAGAAGTAGAGAACCACACCAGGTGTAAATATTCTTAATCTGGGTCTGATATTCAAAATAACTATGCCTGCACTCTATCGCCAACAGCTAGGTTTGATACATAGTAGTTAATATCAAGATAGACAAATTGATCGTCTCTGCACCACCGACTAGACTGCTGTATCAATCCATCTTTTTCGTCACCCAGACCAACTTTGGGACCATAATCGAAGCACCATTCAAAGTCTCCATCATCGCGTTACGCTCCAATTTCCCGGATTCCTCTGGGTTTTTAAGGGCATTGTCTGCAAATTCTTTCCATGTGCTCACATATCTGTATACGAGTTAGGTACTTCCATAACTAGCCTACATCCATAACTAGCCAGTGTTGGTGTCTATTATATTGAACTTACACATCATTCCAAAATCGGGCCATTCCAAGTCCGTATTCGTAGGTATACAGCACTGAGCCAGTATATCCACTTTCATCCATGATTCGCTTGAGCTCATATTTCCAGCTGTGAAAGAGATTAGCTCGTACCAGGTCAACTAACAAAACCCCCTTAAAATACTTACGTGTCGCGACCTTTGAGCTGGGAAAAGAGTGTATCAAGGTTATCTGCCGAATTCCCCGGTACGGTCTTGATCGAACATCCAATTGTGTCAACTTCGTCCCACTGAAGGTAGCCGCCGGGTCCTAGACGCAATGGATTGTCAGCATAGCCAAACAGTTGAATAGATAATACATACTCAGTAGCTTTTTAAGGTTTGCTAGAATAGGCCTGGGGTCGTTGTTCTTGACAACGACAGTGATCAGACGAACGTGTACAATGTCGAAGAATCCTACGAACTCATCCGGCACGTTTTCGAAGATATTCCAGGTATGCATGTGTATATTGGCGGGTAGCCATGGCTTAGGGCCAACTTGGTCCAGGCTGATATCGAAGCCATGAAGCTCCGTGGATGGTGGTTTTCCACGAGCAAAATCGTGAAGCCAAATGCTGAAACACAGTCAGATATGAATACTTTCAAAGTAGGTAGATAACTGTACCCATTGCCAGTAGCAATATCAGCGACTCTCAAGTCAGCAGCCCGAGTATCAATATCAGGATGAACCAGGAACCCAAGTAGCTCTTTCCAGAGATAATGCTGTGCTGTAAGTCTAGTTACGATATTAGTAAAATACCAATTAACGCTATTTTAGGCGAATTTACCGAGAGTTCGCATTACAGTCGCGCATTAGCGCATAAGGATCCTTAGTAGCTTCTACAGTTGTCCCATTCCAGCCATTTGCTGTTGGTACACTGTTATCCTTTGGGACCTTGACGTCCGCTGAGTGTCCAATTTCGCGGATTGAAATGGGGGTGTTGATAGTTTGGGTTTCGCTCATTGTGCCAATATTTTCAATGTAAAGAGAATATTTTATATCAACTGGCTATATAATCGGAGCGATAGCTTTTGAACGGCTCAGAGGTAAGTTTTTATAGACAAACTCGACTATTGTAGAGCTTCGAACGTCATATGTGGAGTGCACTAAGTACAGTAGTATGCATTAGCCCCGGGACCTGTTGCAGGGATTAGTATGTACGCCGAAAGGACCTCGGGAACTTCGCTATCAGGTGGTCGGTCTATCAGGGTGGGGCATTTACGTGCTTTAACTAGCCGAAGAATTGCGGGCCAGCTGTTTTAGTTTGTCTAGCGCTCTTGATGGGTCGTAATATTACCTGTATACGTACACTGTCGTAACAAAAGTTCTCATAAAACTTATTTTGCCAAGTATTAGTAATCGGGCGGTGAAGACCTACCGCCTCTTCCAATGTCAATACTATTGGAACAAATGGAGTTCCCGGAGGATCTACTCAGGCAGAATATTATGTAATTTGGCCTTGGCAAAATAAGTTTTATGAGAACTTTTGTTACGCCACTGTATACTATGTCAACTAGGCTTCTAAGCAGGGCTTCCCCTCCCTTTAGAATACATGAGGTAATACTTCTAAACCTCTACATACATATGCCGTTCTGCAGTTCCGGGCTGACACTGTGAAGACTAGTTACGTGGCTGCTTCTACGTAATCATTGTACCTGTGGGTCTGAATGAATAGTATCGCGCGAAGCGTCCGGCTGTACTTCTAAGGTTCGCACCAAGCTGCTTCAGATCGGCGATGGAGATTTCTTTCTCGGTCTTCTAGCCCCACGGTGCCAAGCAAGACTCTGATAAGAGGAATTTGTTCTAGCCGGCTGATGCCATGCTGCGGAAAGCCATGCTCCGTAATATTTGTTCAAGAACAAGGGAAATTCTTAATAAAGAGTCTGGGAGAGAGATTTTATAGGCCGGAAACGAACAATTGTGATAATGTTCGTCCCCTGATATGGAAGGATCATTTCACAGCTGCCATCATAACCATAGCTCTTGTATCTTACTTGTTGTGTCATTATAAAGCTAGTCCTTCCCTAAAGGTAACATAACTTATTGAACCTCAACCCTATATCTTGTTCTTCTCTTGAATAAAGATAGGATGGTCCATTTGTCTTTAAAGGCTTCTAAGTTGATGAATAGCTACGTATCTTGCAAATTTCTATCATCATCGGCCTTTTTCAATCTGCTCCTCGGGTACCAACTACAATTCCAGATAAATGGTCTTTTTGGGAGGTAGGTAATCTAAAGTAAGCTTGAACGACTCAGATCTAATATTCTTAGTTGTCTTTTTATTCTCCTTGTTTCTCTTTACGATTGGTGACAGTAAGAAGGAAGTCACTGTCTATTCTTCTGCTTTGGCCGGGCTCCTATAGCCCCTGGATGCTATAATGAATGGAAGGTATGACCGAGGCGAAAATTAGATATATTGATGTTTAGATATCGACATTGATACACTTATTGAATTGTATTTTATACATTCCCGGGCGAGGAGACAGACACCCCGGATCATGTCGGTGTCAACTTTTGGAGGACGATAGTGGTCAAAAAAGGTGCGAGGGTTGGCATGCTTCATGATTAACTTGAACTAGTAAATGTTGCTCCCTGCTCACCCACCTTGCAAAACTTGAAGACATCAGTGTAGTCCGTTGGAGCACCCTTGGCTAAATTCGTTGTGTAGTACACGATATACCCGTCACTCTCAGGCTAATTTTGGCTAAGGGTGTCAAAATACACAACTCTTTCTTCTCTGTACATCTCCACCATACTCCATGGATTCATTGGTCCTTGTGAAATTATACTTGCAATGCTCATATGTTGGAACGCTGCCCAGGTGACAACTTGAGCTCGAAACCTTGTACTACTAATATCTAGTACTACATAGTATATCCATGGATCATACCGCTGTATAGTATATTTCTCCACTTCAACATACGATACTTGTCCTCTATCGTACATATATTTGAAATTAAACCTTGGAACAGACGTGTTGCTTTATATATCTTTAACCGGAACCGCAAGATGTCAATATTGTAGGCTAATGTGAGTAAAAGAGTAAGATTTCGTGATTAGAGTGTTTCAGCAGAACTCATACATCTTCTAATCTAAAGCTCCTCATCTACCTCCATGGAAGCACCATTGGTTCCATCTTTAGTTGTCGACTCCTGGCGTGCTACTGATGCCTCCTTGTCGATCATCTGCCTAGAGACAGCAACAATGTTGTCTTCAATCAATTGCTGACTCAAGTCCTCAATATCTGTGGATAAGGATTAGTATATCTGCGAGTAGATGGATAGAGAGAATCGGTTTACTCACGTTTCTTGGGATCCACCTTGCCAACATATCGTGTCTTCAACTGGTCCTTGGTCAACTCAGTCTCTTCCTTCACCCGCTTCTCGTAGCCCTCAGCAAGGCTGACCAGCTGCTTCATCTGGTCTACATTGTGGTGCCCTTCCTCATGGAAATCCTTCATTTGAAGGGCCTCGGTCCAAACGTGTTTGTGCAAGTTCATCAACATATTCTCTTCCAATCCAGTCTTCCGGTAGGCGATTCCAATGCTGTAGTAGTGGCGGTTCAGGCCGTGGATCAAGGCTTGGATGGAAGGCTTGTTCAAGTGACCCAAGTTGGAAGTTGTTTGACGTGGCTCTTGGCCCATAACGACAGTTTGAGGTTGAATAAGACGGAAAGCATCGATAACAACCTTGCCCTTAACGGACTGGATAGGATCAACGACGACAGCGACAGCACGGGGGGTAAGCTGCTCAAATGATTGTTGGGTGTTGATATCGACGGAAGAAAGCCAGCAGCCGAAACCAGGGTGAGAATGGTACCAGCCGACAACGGTTTCCGGTCTGCATAGAGAGAGATATTATCAGCGCAGCCCTCGATCTGTCTGTCACAATCACCGTAAATAGCTTACCGTCCTGTCTGTCGTAGCATCTCCATCATCTTAGTTTGGAACACTGGATCCACGGCTTCAACACTAACACCAGTACCACTCTGGGGCATGGCGAATACATCCGTTACTCGAACTGTGTACTCATCCACGAATTCTCCTAACATCAGGCCCATGACCTCCATAGGTACACCGGCGCGGCCATGGCGCAACATCTTCAACAAAGCCAAGGAAGAGATATGGACGGTTTCGGAGTTATCAATCAGGTTTGGTGTGTCCTATATTAAGCTTGATTAGCCACTTGAAGCTCGATGGATTGATCGGTACCATGATGACAAGCTGCAACAAGCCCGGCACCATATGAACATTGTAGACGCCACATCACCAACTTACACCACCTGGAGCAGCGCTGCCCATTCCCATGCCCTGGGCAGCTTGCAGCATCCGATTAAGACGGTCCATGATTGATTCAAGAAATCAGATGAGATATCAAGAACGAGATGTGAATGATAGCTTCCTCGGTGGAAGCTCCCAGTGGGGCGGTTTTTCGATAATATTTCGAGGGTCGAGCGCTAGGATGGACGGAAACAGATCTAATGACGATAGATATTCCACAGCGAAGGTAGGGAATGACACTTGGGGTTTCTTCTGGGGGGATGATAGTAAGTGAGCTAGGATGCTTTGGATTAGTGAAGCACTGCGGATCAAGGCAACTGACGAAGGCGGTATATTATTCTGCCGCGTTTCGCTCCTTCACTCGCGCGGCGATCGATTCTCTTAAGCCTTTCTCCGTCTCTCGTCCACAACACCATGAGCTTGTCAGACCTAATTTGGTGTCGTGAGTAATTTATTTGCTCGCTGCTTGCAGTTATAGGTCAACAGCATCCTGTTTATTGTGGTTCTGCGAGCCATTCACTACACCACCTCTCCCAACCCGCATACTTCCTTTCATATCTCTTAATTTATACCCACCAAACCCTTTTCCTGGCTCGATAAGACCCATCTTTCCCCAATTTTCAAGATGGCAGCCGAACCGATATCCAATGTCATCGCCGGCAACAATAAGAAGGTTGCCTACTTCTATGATTCGGATGTGGGCAACTACGCCTACGTCTCGGGTCATCCTATGAAACCCCATCGCATACGCATGACCCACAGTCTGGTCATGAACTACGGCTTGTACAAGAAGATGGAAATTTATGTGAGCTCTCTTCGATCGTCCCTGCTTTATTCCAAGGTGAATCATCAGCTCATACATGTCTATTCAGCGCGCGAAACCAGCTTCGAAATATGAGATGACCCAGTTCCACACCGATGAATATATCGACTTCCTTTCAAAAGTTACCCCAGATAATATGGACCAGTTCTCTAAAGAGCAGAGTCGGTACAATGTCGGAGATGATTGCCCGGTATTTGACGGTCTGTTTGAATTTTGTGGAATCAGTGCTGGTGGAAGTATGGAAGGTGCCGCACGATTGAACCGCAATAAGTGCGATGTTGCTGTCAACTGGGCCGGTGGTCTCCATCACGCGAAAAAGAGTGAGGCTAGTGGTTTCTGTTATGTTAATGGTAAGCGTGTGGTCCTTTCTTGGGGAGAATTGATCCTTTGGCGCTAACAGTACTTGTAGACATTGTGCTCGGTATTCTAGAGCTGCTACGATTCAAGCAGCGTGTGCTTTATGTCGACATTGACGTCCATCATGGTGATGGTGTTGAAGAAGCCTTCTATACCACAGACCGCGTGATGACAGTATCATTCCATAAATATGGCGAGTACTTCCCTGGTACCGGTGAACTTCGCGATATCGGCGTTGGGTCAGGAAAGTACTATGCCATTAACTTCCCCCTTCGTGATGGTATCAATGATACGTCATATAAGAGCATTTTTGAACCCGTCATCAAGAGTGTCATGGAATGGTACCGCCCAGAGGCTGTAGTCTTACAATGTGGTGGTGATAGCTTGTCTGGCGATCGTCTTGGCTGCTTCAACCTGAGCATGCGTGGACACGCAAACTGCGTCAACTTCATGAAAAGTTTCGATCTGCCAACCCTGATTCTCGGTGGCGGTGGTTATACCATGCGCAATGTTGCACGTACCTGGGCCTTTGAAACCGGTATCCTTGTTGGCGACAACCTGGAATCTGAACTGCCATACAATGACTACTACGAGGTAAATCTTTCCGCGATATCTTTTCGATTGAACGAATGATGCTAATAAATATCGCCAGTATTTCGCACCCGACTATGAACTTGATGTCCGCCCTTCCAATATGGATAATGCCAACACGAAAGATTATTTGGACAAGATTCGTAGCCAGGTCGTTGAAAACCTTAAGCGCACAGCATTTGCGCCTTCGGTCCAGATGACAGACGTGCCCCGTAATCCACTTGTGGATGGCATGGACGACGAGGCTGATGACATTATGGATGATCTTGACGAGGACGAGAATAAGGACAAGCGATTCACTCAACGACGTTTTGATCAGTACGTGGAGAAGGCTGGTGAGCTCAGTGAGAGTGAAGACGAGGAGGAAAACGCCGCGAACGGTGTACGCCGTCAACCGGGTGCTATTCGCCGTCGAAACCAAACCAATTACAGGAACTTGGATGATTCTGGTCTCGACAGCGGTATGGCTACTCCACAGGAAGCATCTTCTGTTGGGGATGGAGAATTAGAATCTACACTGGATACCAAGATGGCCGACATTCCACGAACCGAGCCTGAGACATCGGCTGCTGCCGCGAGCTCTAATGATCAAGATACTCCCGCCGATGCCGACAAGATGACGGTGGAAGACGAGGAGAAGGGACCATCCACCTCTGCATCTCAACAACCTTCCCCTCCCCCGCATGACGAGGACACAACAATGGAAGACGCAGCTGCCCCTGCTCCAGATACCGAATTGTCCGGCCCTACAACCGATGCACCGGGTGCCAAGTCTGAGGCATCTGCCACGGAAGATGCTTTCAAGGCAGCGGGGTCCCCGTCCCAAGCACCATCCTCTCCCAAGGCAGGGAAAGGTGACGAGGAATCTAAGGAAAACTCTACTGGAAATGCGGAACCTCAAGCAACAACCACAGAGTCCACTGAACCACCTACTAAGCAAGAACAGTAAGAACTTGCAAGACAATCAATATCGGATCTGGCGCAACGGACAATGGGCAGAAAGGTGTTATCGGTTTAGCAGCGAACTCACATCTGATTCCAACATGGGAGGCGCGGTATCTCTCTTTGGAATGGAACTGGCGAGATGAATTGTTTTTCAAGCTTGGGAACACCTCATGTTTCTTAACTTGGATTATCTAGCAGCCAAGTTCCAGAAATGTACACCTTGCCTACTTTAGAGTGGATATCTCTGAACTGGGAAACTTGGATTTCTTGGGCTGTACTTTTCTGTTCGTATTTCTTTTTTCTCTTTAATTCTCTATCTATCATTATTTACTACTGGAAGATGTATAAGCGTTTCAAACAGAAAAGAAAATAACTATATTTATGCACTTGGGGTGTTCGTCGCGTATTTCGTAGGTGGGACTCGTAAATGGTACATTGTTGTTGAGGATCGCTCGGAAGGGCCTAGACCAGAAACAAAGATTTGCCATAGCAAATCCAAATATTGAAAATTATCAGTATTGTCAAAGTATTAATCCTCCGTGGAATCCAATCACATCACCAAATTGAAGCTCTGCAAGCCCCGATACTTTGCCAACCCAGATCCTTATATTCCCCGTACTCATGGATGTAGATGGAATCATAGTCACGTGGAATTACGTATCTGGTGCCTCAGGCAGAAGCTTAATATCTTTAGTCCTAAAGAGGTCTAGTGCTAGGGCAACCCGTTCCACCAATGGGCCCGCGCCAAGAATTTCCACATTCAACGCACAAGCGAGAAACCACTGTGGATGATTCTTTGACTCTCGACCTGACCTTCTGTCGCCAACCCTTTTCGACTATCCGACAAACCCGTGATATTCAGCCATCATGTCTAAGAGAGGGTGAGTTCATCATCCCTGCCTTCGAAAAACACTGTCAAATCCAACGGAACATATCCTCGTGGAACGCCTCGACAATCGCACATGCACCTTGAATATTCAACCATGTCGAACTGGAGAGAAGCAACCGAATGGATAAACGACAGATGAGACTAGCAACGACAGAATGGAAATGCTGACTTTGGATTTACAGTCGTGGCGGTGCCGCCGGCAACAAGCTTAAGATGACCCTCGGTCTGCCTGTGTACGTTTAAAGATATCCCAAAATTTTCTTCCCACGAGTACACCTCGCCCAATGAACATCGACAACGCCCAATGCCAAACGCCCACATTCGATAAATATATCAGTCTCAGTATTATCGCCATTTCGAAAACGACGCAATTAAAATCCGACAAGACCATCAACCAGGCATCGCGAAACGAATGAAATCAATGGGCGGGGTGAACACGACTGTGATAGAATTTTCGAACACGACTAGCCGCAATAGAAGGACATTTGACTAACCTGTGTTTTTCGTCGAACAGTGGCGCCGTGATGAATTGCTGCGACAACTCTGGTGCTCGCAACCTGTACATCATTGCCGTCGCCGGTACCGGTGCCCGTCTGAACCGTCTCCCGGCTGCCGGTGTCGGTGACATGGTTATGGCCACCGTCAAGAAGGGAAAGCCTGAGCTCCGTAAGAAGGTTATGCCCGCCGTTGTCGTCCGTCAGAGCAAGCCCTGGCGCCGGGCTGACGGTATCTACCTGTACTTCGAGGACAATGCTGGTGTTGTAAGTGGAAACTCTTCTTCGTCATGGGAACTATGCGCGGAGAAAACAATGTTACGCACTAGGAGTTGGACTCTCTCCATTGGAGCCTATGCCCTACTGCGTTCATTTGATCTTCCGCAAAGTGAAACCTAGCAATGCGTTTTCGGAAATGGATTTACTAATATACTGTTAAAATAGATCGTCAACAACAAGGGTGAGATGAAGGGTTCCGCCATTACCGGTCCCGTCGGTAAGGAGGCTGCTGAGCTTTGGCCCCGTATTGCCTCCAACGCTGGTGTTGTCATGTAAAGAGATTGAACCGAATAAAACAACCAAAAATGAACGATACCATCCAAACCTGAACTCTTTGGGACCTGGGAAACGGCGTGCATACGAGACATATAGTGGAGAATAAGGGAAAGGCGGAGGTCCATTTTGACGACTCTACCTGTGTTATTTCGAGCCGGTTTTCCTTCCCAATTCGTGTTTTTTCCTCTTTGAACACTGGCGACTCGGAAGTATTCTTGAAAAGAAATTCACACTTTTTCATGACACAATTGCTCTCACTGGGGTATTGGGCTTGCATAGCGCCATGTGCTACTGCGGGTTTCCATACTTTTAGACTCCTTTGATGTGAAACGCAGACAGATTCATGAAATCCGATGCCCTGTAGCCTGGAGCATATTTTGAAAGTAGTCATGGTAGACCGTATACTTAGTATCAGCTGCTCCCAATGGCTGCTACGACATGGATGCAGTCACCTACGCGATGACTGCAACCTTGTCCATGGTCATACTATGGATATAAACTATGTCAGTCAATGTAATTCTCTAGCCATACTTCACGGTATGGGCTTCTTGAGTCCATCAACGTAGAAAAGCCTCTCATAGCCAGCATCCCTCTTATCTGGCGCGGGTTAGACTTGTCCATGAACGAAATGTTGACAGCTATTATTTTGCATATTGCGATAAAATTTTCAAAGGTTAAACCTCATACTAGAAGATAAACCAAAATTTAAAAATTACTAGATCTATCTGGAACTGAAAATAGTATGTGTAATAGGTAGGTAAGTTTCTAGAACAGCTTATCTACATATTCAATATTCTGAGATTATGACACTCGCTCAGGTGGGTTTTCCACTTATTGATGTGGAAAGGCAAACAAATTGTTCAGCTAAGCCTTGGAATATATGAAATTGACTTTCATTTACCCCCAACATGAAACTATTATTCGGTAGCGCAGCCTCAAAGACGGATTAAGGAAAATGATATGAAAAGTTTGATATATACTCATCTGTGCCCAACAGAGGCTCTCGGAGCATTACATACATAGTAGCGCCATGCAATCATACCTATATACTACTACTAACCAATGCCCATCCAAAGTTGCGCCCCATCATGTTCATTACTATGTATTTAAACAGTCAATCGCCGGGCCGTCAAGTACTCATAATCAGACATAGAACTCTTGACAGCTTCATAAACAAGCGCAGCAGGTTCCTCGCCGAATTCCTCCTTCCACTTCACCATCTCAGCCTCGATATCAATAGTCTCAGGCGCCTTATCCTTGACAATACCAGTTGATTCTTCAAGGGTGGAGAGCATAAAACTGGCGCCCGTTTGATGGAATTTCACCTCTTCAGGAGTAGCCTCAGGGTTGTGAGTCGCCCATTGCAAAGACTTCTTGGGCTCGCTCTTGTCCTTCCACTCAAACTGCACAACGCTCTTATCCAAACCTAGCTGGTCGCAAAGCTTAAGTACGACCTCCGGATGGTGAATAAGATCGTGTGCATCAATCACAGGGGGTGCAACAGGCACATCTGGCTGCTCCAAGCACCGATCGTAAAGCATACGAGTCCATCGCATATTCATGTGGGTAAAAGACGAGCCCTTCACACCATCCTCATCGATCATGCCCACCGCAGAGAGCTTCAGCATAGCACGGTACATGGATGGCCAGGCTAGCGCGGGGTGGCGGATGATGAAGGCCATTTTCCAGGACTGGAGGTATTCGTCGGAGAAGATAGTCATGTTGGATGCAGAGTATGTCTTTGTCTTGCTATATTTCTCAGGTGTGTTCACGCGGAAGGATTTATAGAAATCCTCGTCATGAACGCCGGCGTTGTGTTCCTGAAGTGCGGCAGGACTGAACATCCAGTATGCATGCTCTTTTGAGAACATCACTTGGTTTTCGTTATTGGCCTTTGTTGAGTATTCCTCCAGGGAGTCAAGGCATTTCTGGAAAGACTCCCGAGCCTTGTTTTTCTCTTCTGCGGTCCATTGATCTCCCGGCTTTTCAAACTGAAGGCCAGCTGCAGCGTTTTCAATGAAAGCCGGGTAAAAGAAGTATCCGCCTTTTGGGCTGGTGAGCAGATTGGGTTGTTTGGGGATATTCAGGATTTTGAGGAGAAGGTTGGAGGCTGTGCGAGGAATACTGATCAGGAGGATGCGGCGGGGGTCAGCGTGGGCGCCGTTGGTGCCGTTGACTTGGGAAGGGTCGATAACAGCCATAGTTGATATAGAGTATTGGTATAGATCTTAGCACATGAGCTTAAGTTGGTATGAAGCAATGGAAATGCAGAGAAATGGCTACATTCTGGGGGCATATGGCGTGATTATATGTTAGTACATTCACACCAAGCCACTAATTTACGGCCGCCCCAGGGGCTAAACAACGCTAGAAAATAGTGGCCAGACAATTGAAAGCCCTATACGACATGCCCGCGTTGTTAGTCTCCTTCTATTCACTACGATTGGACCTCTCGGTTTTTACCGATCCATACGTCGCATCAACGCCGAATAAGTGGAGCCAGACTGTCAACAAGCCGGGTTTTGACTGGATCCGTTCTATTGATCTACAGATCCATTCCCTCCATTGGGAAAAGAGGACAGGAATGTCCTCGGGGCATCGGGCAGTCGAAGGGCCGATGAAACTGCACGGCCATTAGGGAGCGGTAGTAATACTAATAGGCCTCAACAAATGATTCAAATCCTACTGAGGTTTCCATTTGCTAAGTATGGCCCGCCATGACCATTGACCACAGTGGGCTTGTTATCGGCAATATAACTCACTAAACTAACCAACCAGTTACACCAATCGCTAGCTGAGGATGCGAATAAACAGGGCATCTCCGGAGTAAAGTGTCAACTTCAGCTGGACCCACCGCAAGAGTTCCGGCAAGGCAGAAATCATTACCCGTTCTATCCAACGAGAAGAGATTAACGAGAATTCTTTCGCACTTGGACGGCCTGGAAAGATCCGTTCTGCTCTCGGAGCATGGAGGATATGCAGCCTCGCAGAAGTTCAGCCGCTTCGAATCCTTCACAGCTAAATTCATTTGTTGTCAATTGCTTATGCCGATCACTAGATTCCTGATTCCAGGCAGTGCCATATCCTTTCGTTGAGGGTCCAATCGTACTCGACAGCATGAAACCCTATCTTACGATCGCCGATTCCAATACGACCTGAATTTCAGTCATGGGAACGATATAGATTCCGAGGGTCCGCAGCATTAGTAACTTTTTCTCGGACGCTTTCGCCCAATTATCATGATAAAATGCACGCTGGTGATCTCCTTGGCAAGCAACTAAGCGGACCTACTTTGCGCTTACTAAATGCACCAATGAGAGAAACCCCGGCTTCGAAGCTATGTGGTTTCATGTAAAAAGGTAAAGGGGACTCGGAGATAGGAGTTTACAGTACTTAGAACTATTTATCTCGGTAATGGCTAGAAATAGAGAGGGGCTTCGAGACATGGGTATTTTAGTATTCTGTAGAAGACAACATGAAAATATTGTACCAAGCCCCATCTGTATCAAACAACATAGCGGCATCGTAACTTGAAAACACTCCTTTGAAATATGGGTCCACATTTGAGATTCTAGTGGCGAGATCTTATTACACTGGCAGAGCAACCTCCAATGTTTATCCCATGTTCCTCAGTTTGGGTCTTGGATTTGGCTTTTCATCGAATGAGTCTGGAATAAGTATTTAGGGCTACCATAATAATCACCTTACAGTAGTCTAGGAAGTTACTGTTAATTACAAGAAACAGATCAGTAAACATTCCAAGGCTAACACGCAAGACCAAACTTTTAGCAATTTCGATATTTCAATAATGCCTCTACATTCCTTCTCGACATGTCGATCTGGATACATGAGTGGATATGGCTAGTTTGATTTCCAGTTAAGGAAGCCACCGATATCTACCTTTGGAACTTGGGTGTACTACCTCACATGTACAGACATGATAATATCACGAATCCAGTAACGTAATCATATATTTCTGATTTTTCTTGAAAATCTCTCTTAGCAGACCTGGATTCTTCAAGTAATATGTGCCCAGGCATGACTTTACAAGGAAAAAGTTACCAAGTCCATATAATAGTCTGGAGTTCATTCATGTTTCTGCCCAAAGATCCGTCGACAAATACTTAAGACCAGAATCACAAATCATGATTGCGATCGTTTTCCCTTTCATCTCCCCTTTGAGCAGCTCAATTGCAGCGCTCAAATTTGCACCACTAGAAAAACCCCCAAAGATACCCTCTTTGCCTGCTAAAAGGCGAGCTCCTTCTCTAGCCTGATCACCCGTTACCTGTAGATAACCATCAACAGCAACAGCACCATCCTTAAGATAAACCAAATCAGGCATCATATACCCACCTCCCTGAATAGGATGTTCTGGCTGCGAAACTTCCTTGTTGGCTAAGACAGCAGCTCCATCCGGCTCAACAATAAAGCATTTCACCTCAGGATTCATAGCTTTAAGCTTCCTAGATACACCAGCATAGGTACCACCAGAACCAACAAAGTCCACAAACCCATCAAGACACCCGTTTGTTTGTTCCCAAATCTCCGCTCCAGTCCCGTCAAAATGAGCCATCCAATTCCCATCACGAAGAAACTGGTCCGCGCGAAAAGCTCCGCGCTCAATCTCAAGTTCTTTCACTTCCTCCTCCACTAGCTTTAGATCAGCTCCAGAGACTTGACCGAGTGTTGAGCCGGGCATTTGATCAACGAGGATAACCTCAGCGCCTAGAGCGGACATCATACGGGCACGTTCAACGGAGTTACCTCGAGACATAACTGCAATGAACGGGTAGCCTTTAATGGCACATACAATTGAAAGCCCAGTGCCTGTGTTGCCACTTGTGAGTTCGACGACAGGCTGTCCGGGCTTGAGAGTACCCAGTCTCTCTGCTTCTTCGATAATGCCGAGTGCGACGCGATCTTTTTTCGATCCGCCGGGGTTGAGGTAGTCCAACTTGGCGATGATGGTCCCGTCAAGCCCCAATGAAGAGGTGATGCCATCTAAACGCACGAGGGGCGTGTTTCCGATGGCCTCGGCCGCGGAATTGAGAAGCGGAAGCATTTTTCAATGATGGATGCAGTCAATTTTATCGTTTATTGAAGGGAAGATCCAGTATTGTCACAGATTCCAATGTGAGTAGAGTGTAAGAAAGTATTAAGAAATGCTCATAGACGCAGGGTATTTAGTAATGGAAAACATGTATGAGTTGGTTACTATCAAGATCCTATTCCCGCGCTCATTCCCGAGATGAGTCCAGTTCCGGGAATGATTATTGGTGATGATTGGAGGGTGTAAGTGGATTAGAATATAGGGCTGGCGCCCTTTCGATGACAAGAGATATTTTGAAGTGATTTTCATATTGCACATTTTAATTTCACAACATCGAGAGTCTCAGATCGACCATATATAGACCTTTGCCTTTAATTCAATTCGACTAGAGGTTTTTGCTAACCTTGAAAGGTTCCAAGATCACCATTACATGCGACCTCAGTAACTATTTCTAGCAATATCCACCAGTCTATACAAATGAACATTTAAAATCATCAATTGAGAATATAAGCATGGTCTATATTATATATGTACCTAAGTGGCCAATATTCGGCGCAAGTATCATTTCTTCTGAGGCTCTTGCGCTCGCTTCTTGGAGTCACTCTTCTTGCCATCAACTCGATCCTTTTGGCCCAGCTTCTCTCCAACTGTATTCGTACCTTTAGACACAACCTCCTCTCTCCTGGACTCTTCGGTTCCAAACAGACCGGTCAATAACCAAAGCGATCCAACGATAAAAGTCACCAAAAGAACAATATGCACCGCCCACCAAATATGCTGCACGCCAGCAGGGCAGAGAGTCATTTTATAATCCCATTCGCCCAAATCAGCATCAAACCACACAGAGAGCAAACCGGCATTTCCTCCAAACTCTCCCATCATAGAACGAAGTGTGACTTCGCGAATAGACGGAGTTTGCTGCGCAATTGAAGCCTCATACTCAACGTCATACCGCTTCGCAGCCCACTTCCAATTCTTAGCGGGTTCTGCGTTACTATCTTCATTCTTTTCATCTTCTGCGCTGACGTCGACTTTCTCCACATAGTGAACAGTGTCACAGCCTGTATGGTCATGTCCCGTGAGAACCAGTCCCTTCCGTCCATATCCACCAGCAGGCGCATTTTCATTCCCACTCATACCGAAAAGTCCTTGCAAAATCCCCGTATCACTAACGAAGTCACTAAGGTGATTCTGCTCCCGCAACCCCTCGGCCATAAAACGCGGAACACCATCAGGGCCCTCGTTATCGTCCTCCTCATGAAACGTAAAATATGGACCATCGGTACACACACCATCTTCTTTATGAAGTGGTAAATGTGTAAGAAGCAATGTAAAGGTTGATCGATCCTCAACGGGATAAAGCCGCCGACTAATCAGATCATTAAGGTATCCATAGCTTCGCGACTGTAGTTCCGACGAAAGAGCCGGCGTATCAAGAATGAGAGTGTTGAGATTGACCACATGTAATGTTGGCACGATCGATGATTCCTCGCCAGCATCGCTGCTACTCCCCCGACGCTGAACAGGAGGGTGTTTAAATCTGATATCCCAGTTTGCGCGCCCGAATTCCCGCTCAAAACGCTCCATTCGCGCCTCGCTCACATCGCCCGCGTACCCAATATCATGATTTCCGGCAATATGTATGATTCGTCGTGCCCATGCTGGATCTGAGTCGGGGCCCAGAGGCTCCAGGTGCGGGTCTGCTGTGTCTTGATCGGGAGCTACAGCACCTGTCCAAGTGATGTTGTCGTCGACGCGGACTCCGCTGCGAAATACTCGGTCCCAGTATCGGTTGCTTCTTTCGGAAAATTCGTCGTCCGGAATCCACTGGCTTCCTAGGAGGTCGCCCAGGACAGTTGTATGGGTTGGTTTCGTCCACCAGAAGAGCGTGCGGTAGATATGGGCGAGGTAGAAGTCATTTCCGAGGAGATCGATACGTTTCAGGAAAGCGCCTATGGAGCGGGTGATGTCTTCACTTGCTAGTGTTCGGAGACCGGTTGTGATGTTTGAGAGGACGTGGGTGTCAAGGAGGGTGAGTGGGGTTGGCGCTGTTGAAGCATTATTGATCGAGTCTTGAACTGCGCGCCAGTGCAAGCGCATTCGTGGGATAAGCTCCCATTCTGGAAGTGGAAGGGAGGTATCGCCTTCTAATTGGGGGTCGGCGAGGACGAGAAGTCTGAAGATGGCGGGTTGGGCATCTGTTGCGGAGTCGGGTGTGCGGAGGTGTTGAAGCAGGGTATTGGCTAGGGGATGCTGCTGGAGCTTTCTCAGGACCGAAGCAGACTCTGTGTTGCTTGTTTCGGGGCTGGGGAGAGGGAACGCGCAACCTTTAAAGACTGGGTATAGATATAAGTAAATGGTGGCTGCGGCGCTGAGGGGGAGAAGAAGCGCGAAGAGGCGGCCGAGCAATGAGCGGAGGGACATGAGGGATGAAGGACCGGGTAGTTATAAATAATACTAGCAAATAATATACAGCATATTGAATGTTCAAGAAAAAAAAAGGACTGTGGGTCTTGGTTAGGAAGGACTTGAAGTCAAGCTTTAAAAGAGGGTACGGAGTAAACAGCAGCACTTCCGCAGGCCGCGTTAGCTCACATGTTATTTATGCAGGCGAAAAATCACTAATTAACTGAATCTCCTATTTGTGAAACTTATATTTTTACGAGAGGGTCAAAATTGCAAAACCATCTGAAACAAATAAAACATATCGTGATATACATAGCAATAATACAGAATTTGACTCTCAGTGAATGTAGTTTCTCGTGCTTGCCTGCCCTTTGTACCCTGTCAAAGTCATAACGTAATTCCCGGTCGGGCTGTACACCCGGCCGAGCTGTACACCCCATCAAAAATCACATCTTCCTACCAATATACCAACTTTAACCAGCCACTATGCCACCAATTCGCGCCCAATCGTCTCGAAATTCTGCCGGAAAAGAGGGTAGGATCTTATTAGCCGTTAAAGATATCAAAGATGGCCGTATCAACTCTCTCCGCGCAGCAGCAAAGCTATACGATATCCCCCATACAACGCTGGCTACGCGCGTCAATGGTGTACAATCACGCGTCGATATACGTCCAAATGGCCATAAACTGACACAATTAGAAGAGGATTCACTTGTTGAATGGATAATCTCTATGGATACGCGTGGAGCAGCGCCTAGGCCAGCTACTGTACGAGAGATGGCTAATATACTACTAGCTGCGCGTGGTAGCTACCCTCCACCAACAGTTGGTAAAAATTGGCCATCAAGCTTCATAAATCGACGCGAAGAGATTCGATCACGCTTCTCTAGGCGTTACGACTATCAACGCGCATTAAACGAAGATCCTAAATCGCTACGAGAGTGGTTTGCGACCGTACAACGTGCTATTGACGATAACGGTATCCAAATGGAGGATATCTACAACTTCGATGAGACAGGGTTTGCAATGGGTCTTATTTCAACACAGAAAGTGGTTACGCGGGCTGGATACTACGGTCGGAGAGCTATATTACAACCAGGAAACCGCGAATGGGTTACTGCTATTGAAACTATTTGTGCAGATGGCTATTCGCTACCGCCATGTATAGTTTTTAAAGGCCAAGTTGCTATGGCTGGTTGGTTTGATAATCTACCAAAAGACTGGCGATTTGAGGTCTCAAATAATGGCTGGACTACCGATGAAATTGGCCTACGTTGGCTACAGAAACTATTCATCCCATGTACAAATTCGCGCGTACATGGCCGGTTTCGGCTATTGATTCTTGATGGCCATGGTAGCCATCTTACGGCTAAATTTGACCAAATCTGCGCAGAAAACAATATTATACCACTTTGTATGCCTGCGCATTCTTCGCATTTATTACAACCGCTTGATGTTGGATGTTTCGCAGTGCTTAAACGCGCATACGGTCGCTTTATAAGTGATCTTGCGCGTGTAGGCTATAACCACATTGATAAGTTTGATTTTCTGGATGACTACCAACGCGCAAGACTGGAAGTGTTCAAAAAGCCAATTATTATTCAAAATAGCTTTATAGCTGCTGGCCTAGTGCCTATTGATCCAGAAAGAGTGCTTTCGAAGCTTAATATCTCTCTACGAACACCAACACCCCCAGGAAGCCGACCAAGCAGCAGATCTAGCCAATTTACACCAAAAACGCCGAGAACTGTCATTCAACTACAAAAACAAGCTTCTATGATGAAAGATCTATTAAAACAACGGTCAAATAGCCCACCAAGCCCATCGAAGACTATGTTAGATCAAATTATCAAAGGTCACTATATATCGCTACACAACACAGCGTTACTCGCACAGGAAAACGCAAATTTACGTACAGCCAATGAGAAAAAACGCCAAAAACGCAATCGATCAAATAGGCAGATACCCTGTGATACTGGCCTAACGGTCGAAGAGGGCCTACAACTAGCTACGCAGCTAAATTTACTAGATGAAGCTACTCCGGTGGATTCGAATACACAGGGCAAAACGCCTATTCAGCCAGGTCAGCCAGCCAAAAGGGCTCCGCCTCGGTGTAGTGGATGTGGGAATATTGGCCATAAGATCAATCGATGTATAAATCGCGTTATTTAGCTAAATTAATATATGTTGGCCAATATATATCGATTTAAATTTTTCTAATGGGTTGGGGTGTACAGCTCGGCCGGGTGTACAGCCCGACCGGGAATTACGTTATGATTCGAGATTAGTCATGGAATCTGGGGCATCCAACCAATAGCAAGTCCTCAACTCAGACATCTACCTCAAGCAAGTGCTCAAGTGCTCGAGTGCTCGAGGCTAAGACCTCGTTTATTTACTATTTAGAGCTAGAATATTCAGATAAATATTTCAAGGCTCAGATTATGTGATCGAAGAACAAAAATAGTTGAAATTCCTTAAATATGAGCCCATACTAGCCTAGGCCCCAACCCTAGCACTCGAGTTCGCATCCATCAGAACTACAAGTACGTACAAACCCACAAAGTGATATACGAAAACAAAGCCCCAAGACCAATAACATTAGCCAGAAAAGGAAGTCCCAGAAAAGTAACCTGAGCAAGAGCATAAAAAAGCAAACAAAGCGTACTAGCAGCCACATCACTCTTAACAGGCTCACTACCTTGAGATTGAGATTCACAAGTCTTCCTCCAATTACTATGATTTAATCTTTCAATCACATTATCCAAAGCCGTTGAAAGCGAATCAATCAAAAATCGACTCTCATGCTCATCCGCCTGTCCAGTAGCAACCTTGTTCTCAAGTATAGTGATTCGAACCTGTAATTCTCGTCGAATAACAGAGAAGAGCGGTTGAATCAATCTGTATGCCTCTGACGGCGACTTGGAATTGAACATGTTTAGCGTGGCTATGATATCCTCGAAAATTGTTTGCATATCTTTCAAGCCTAGTATTAACTGCTTGGTTAATGGGCTTGAAGAGATATCTAAGTGCAAGTTGTGAGATGTGCTAGGGCTATTCGAGCCTGCGGGGGTGATGTGGTGAAAGTATGTGGCTGTGTTGTTTAAATCAGCTGCTAAGTTGGCGAGGGCATTGCAGATTGATTCTCCTTCAAGTTGGAAGATGGGGGTTCCGGTGACACCTATGGTGCTGAGGGAGCAAATTGCGGAAAGGATAAGAATGAGCTTCATGGTTAAGATTGATTATCGCGATTACTTGTAGAATAGCTCAATGTTTCCAAAGCTGGATAGGTAGTGATCACACTGGAAGTGGAGCCTACCTACTACATACTAGGGAGCTATAGCGGTGTTTATATGGTGCACAGCAGCTCTTTCTCATTCAAGTTGCTTTTAACGGATCCAAGTTCTGCCTGTAAGATCTTTTCCAAGGCCGTACAAACTCAGAGAGCATGATTACTTTGAGCTAGCATCTCTTGGATTGTGAATGGTCCGAATCTAGGTCGATTGATAATTTGACTACATCAACGTGTGTATGAGACACCGCAGTTCGCCGGTAGGCGCTGGAATAAAAATGATTGGTATCTTTGATATTCTATTCATACTCCTGTCGATTGATTGGTTAATATGTACAATGCTCTTAAAATATTATTCCGGGAAAAGATTTACCTTCTGACTGGTTAGGTATTTCAAGGTTGATGATTGCGGAGCATGACAGGCTACTATCGGTTGACAAAAGATCACCACACAAGACATCCATGGATATAATAGTGAGTGTGAACCACCTAAAATTATACAAAAAAGATTCTACTAATTGGTTCAAGCCGAAATGATTATGAAGCCATGAAATTATTGGGATTATCAACAATCCACAAGATTGAAGCCTATAAAGGAAGTGTGTAGAAGAAATTCGGTATTGAGCCACAGCTAGTACTTCCACATCATCCTCATAAGCCAGGTCATCACATTACCCGCAGAAGAAGATCCCTTCATACCCACGTGACTGAAACAGAAATTGGCGTGAGCCAAGAACGAATGGAACAGAAAGTCGGAGCGAAGGGGGGTATATCACATCAAACGCCAGGGGTCAAAGGGTTAAAAGGGTAGAAAGGAAAATATTGCAAGGGGGAGATATTTGAACAGCCAAAGAAAAGCTCAAGATAGAAGAGAAGTGTGGGGAATAAATCAAAAATATCAAAGAAATTGGGGAGAGGGTGTGATAACGACAAGTATTTGTAGATTTCAATCGGTGGAAAGGATAGATGGTGTGCAAATATCCAACATGGAGCGATATCGTACAATGATTCATATGTTGTAGGAAGGGGAGGGGAAGGGAGCAAGATCAGAACGAGTCGTTTCTGATTAGGGGGCTTGGGAGAAGGGACGTAGGGCCTGTTTCAATTTCACCGAGATGATTCGACTCTGTGCGTTCGTGGGAATTGGGACCGGTGCCGTTCTGATCGCCCTTGGCATCGACATAGGAATTGCCTCCTGATGATCCGGATTTGGTCAAATTGAGACCTTCAATCCGAAGACCTTCGTCTTCGTCCTCTTTCTCTTCGACCAGTTTGTCGTCTTCCAGAGGGTGTGGGTTATTCATGAGAGCTGGTGGTCGCTGATTCATTAAACGGGCTTGCTTGAGACTAATGGTCTTTTGCTTGTTGGTTGTGGATGCTTCCTCGGTTAGATCACGCTCGATCGTTGCCTTCATGAGGGCTGCCATCCACAGTCGGCCCTCCTCAACACTGTCAACTTGGAAGTAGTGAGTTGTAGGTTTGGTAAATTGTACAGTGCGCGAGTTATTCGACTTGGGTGGCACCAATTTGAAGAAGAATGGCCCATTGCCGTCTTTACTCTTCATCGATGCAAGGACTGAAGGGGTGATGAGCTTGACCCCACTCTGCTCCGTGGCGCTCGCATTTGCTGGAAGCGCTGTAGAGCCTGTGACCGTTGCGTGGAGGGTGATTATAGGGTCATTATCTGCTCGGAGTACACGGTGGGCAGTGATGTCGATTAGACCCCTCTCTTCAGTATCGTCATCGGCGTAATAGTATGACAAACGGCGTCCACGCAAAACGAACAGTCGAGGCTTCCAGGTGGTCATTAGATTAGATGACCTCTTCTTCATCCATCCACTGTAATCGCAGACAGCAATCTGTTCCTGGGGTGTCTTCTTTTCCAGACCGCGGGTGTATGCACTGGTATCCTTCTTTGACTTTACTGTCCGAGGACGGTTCATTAACCCAGGAGCATCACCAACCTTGCCAGAGCCATCTGTGCTGTGGCGCTCTGAGCTCTTGGATGTAGCCGAAGGGGTAGTGGAGCCAGTGCGCGCGAGCTTAGGGTCGAAGTCCCGAGGAGAAACAGGTGCGGAGGAGTCCTTGCTGGCGGCATCTGAAATGGCGCGCATGCCTACAGCTCGTCGCATCTTTGGGCCAACGTTTCTCAAAGGCTGGAAACGACCAGAGCCGTCAGATTCACTGCTCTTCTTCATTCCAAAATTGGAAAAGAACCCAGACTTGGTGTCGGTGTTAGACGCCTGAGAATTACGACCACTGCCACTCTGAGCAGAGTTGCGTTGGCTCAGGCTGCGCAGACGAGACTTTGCAGGGGAATCATTGTACAGCTTAGAAGCAACAGATGTATGTTTACCTGCATCGCGCAGGGAATCAACGCTAGCAATTCTGGACTGGCGCTTTGGAGGCTTAGCTAAGAAAGGCTCTTCCTGGTAGCTCGACTTTCGAGAATGGCTCAGGCTACCTCCGCTGGACGTCGTTCGTTTTTGTAAGCGTCGTTGAGTTCGGCGCGAATCAACCTCGGTACCAGAGAAATAGCCTCGATCCAAGTCATCAAAGCCATCAGGGGTGTTGGGTTCTGACTCAACAGTTCCACGGAAAGTTCGATATCCTTCCGTTGGGGTACCAACTGAAGTTCCCGGGCGAGGTGGTAACGCGTGCGTTCCACCGTTCAGTGTCCAAGATCTATCAAAAGACGGCTTCTTCTGGTGGCCATAAAATTCGGAAACGCCGCGTTGAGTCGCATCGATAGAGGAGTGTCGCCGGCTGTGATTGAAATCGCGAATTGATGCCGCAGATATTCTTCGAGAATCGTTGCCATACTGGGGAGGAGTCATCGGGGTGACTGGGGAACTGTTATTGCTGGCTAGTCTGGGATGCTGAGAAGGGCCCATAGATGCTGCTCGTGAGAATCCTGCACCAGTCTTCTCTGATACAGTAGGAATTCGGGGGAGAAAGGTACCAGTGTGACCGGCACGCGACCCTGATCGTTCTTCATTAGGGCTGGGGTAGCCCGCAATAGAGCCTCGGGTCGGTGGTGGCTTGGAGCCCTTAACTTCCTCCTGGAGTGCTTTAATTTTGTGCCAAGTCTTGAGTCGTTTGCCCATGACACCGAAATCAAACTCTTTCATGAATATGAAGTCCTGGTTCATCTCCAGTAGCACATCGCCTGTGATCTCTTCTCTCTCGAAAATTTCACAGTGTTTGGGCTCGACACCGAGGCTTCGTAGATGATTTGAGGTATCCATCTGGGTCCATCGACGGACCTCCTGCTCGGTCAGTGATGTACCCTCTTCCTCATCTGTCTCATGTCCATTAATGTATGACAGGCGGTGGCTGAGATGGGTACTGTATTCACTGCCCGAGTCATTGATCGTCTTCGCATCTTGTGTGGACATGCTGTGGCGAGGCGTGTTCATATCGGTAATGTGTTCATCAATCACACTCAGAGTCTCATTCATCACTGGACTTTCCTCTCCATTGACATGATGACTTCCAGACGGACGGAATGCATTTTGAATATCGGCGGCCAAGCTAGATTGCGGAAGAGGTGAGGAAGCAGATCGTTGCTGCCCTGGTGAGCTCATTGTAGACACCTCCGGAACACTATTCTGTCGCGATGCCTGCGGAGTAGTTTGCTCACTCCCCACGGCACCAAAAGATTTGTCTTTCGGGGTTGAGGGTTCGATTTGCGCGGGCGACTCGGTCTCTTCAGAGGCGAATGTCCCCTGGGTTGAATCGATACGGAGAGAGTTTTGGAATTGTTCGGATTCATGTCTTCGGGCTTTCCTGGTGAAACCTGTTGGAGGGGGGGGAAATCGATTAGCTCGGCTCTATGAAAGTCAACTGTCATGTGCGCATCGCATACCTGCGGGGAAAAGACCCTTCTCGTTCGTCTCGGGGTGTTCGCCAAGCCACCAACCATCTTGGAACTCGTCATCAAGCTCTACCAGTCTGATGAGCTGATTACACTTCATCTGCAATTCATCTTCTCCACCGGCGTGGCCATCTGTCTTTGTGTTAGGCGCATCATTGGAAGGATCGCAGGTAGGGAAGCGCAGGAGCGGTTGCGCGCCCTGCGCATTAACATGACTTACGAACGACAACGAGATAATCACCAGGCTGGACATTCTGCGGTGGTGGGGGTGGCGCCAGCTCCACGTCGGCCATGGTGAAATGTCTTGGGGGCGCAAGTTCTGCGGTCGCGCGGGTGGTGAGAGGTGGTTCGAGTGAAGCGGGAGATCAGACGAGATCAGTCGCAGGACATTAGAGCCCGGCAGCCCAGAAGGGGGAGGGAAGAAAGCTAGCACAAATCAACCGCCGGGCTAGGAATCTTTTTTGCGATAGAGAGGAGAAACAGTAATGTGAAATCGCGAAAAGGCAGGGGAGAGAATGCAGAAGGGCCGGAATCTAGCGCGCCAGTCTCGGCTTAGGCTCTTGGGCTCTATTAGGTCATTAGGTCATAAGCCTCGCGGGGTCCAGTAAAAGCACGTACCTCGGAGAGCTTCGTGCGCAATTGAGATTTCCGACCAAAGGGGTGGTTCTTGAACGACCAGGAATTCGAGGTCGCCAAAAGAACAAAGAACACACAGCACAGAAGCGATGTTCTACTTCCGAGATGATTTGTAGATTTTAGGAATCTGATGTGGAATGGAGCCTAAGAAAGGATATGGTCCACCACAAACACACAAACCGAGACAAGACCCACAAAACTTGGGAGAAATGATGGGTTAGTTCACCAAGAAATGAGCAAAAGAAGAAAAGGAATCGAAGCCGCTGAGAAAATATGGATCCTGGGAAGCCAAGAGTGACGTGGTGCCGCCGTCAAGAAGTTCTGGACACCGGAAATTCCACGGTAACTTCGGAGATTGGGAAGTCGAGCGGCTGATGGTGATACAATGAGATGAAAGAGAAGGAGAGGAAGGAGAAGAGTCAGACTAAGGGGAATTAAATTAATCTGAACCAGTTATTTCAGTCAGACAAAGTTGTGTTCTATCTCCGAAGCCAGCAGATTTAATCAATAAATAAACGTATCCGATCAGATCATCCAGCTGAATTCGTGTAGATGAAAGCAGCCGAGATGAACTTGAAGTACAGAGGATATCATACCCGACAATATTGCCACTCGTTTATTAAGAATAGAATCATGATAACTATAATTACAGTCGTTCATATGTGTGTATCGCTTAAGATTATAGTTTTCTATTTTCTATTTTCTATTTCGAATTCGACATCTCCCTATACCCACTGGCACTAATGTATCTGCATGTCCGCTTCCCGTACTTTTAGTCCCTTTAGTACCTGCAGCTTACATATAGCAATAATATGGATGATAAGGTACTTGCAGAATAATCCCATCGAATCTCTTTATACGGAGTACAGTATAGAGTATAGATGAAACTGTTTAATAATCAGTATACACTATTGGATTGTATTTATTTCTCAAAGACTCAAAGCTTCATCAATTCCACTAATGCACTCATTCCTCAGGCGAAGTATACCCCTGCTAGTAAGTACAGGAGGTACTTACGCGCCCTAGTCTTCCAGTCACATCGGGGGTCACTTCACTTATGTACTTTTAGTCACTCGGGTCACTTCGGTGGGCCAGTCCCAAGTAGCCCCTCATCCATTTTTCTTTGTTCTTCTTTGTCTACAAATACTGTACAGGGATAAATCAAGGGAGGCAACAAACCAATGAGATTGGTCTCGCCGGGGGGTTGTAAAGCCCCCTAAATGAGGAGAACTAGAGAACTAATTTTGTTTGCCTAATTATCATTATTATCATAATTATCCAACACTTAAGATTGTCTCTCTTTCCCAGACTCTCTCGACCTGTTCGATATATACCACTGCAATCCTATCCCAATCCGGCAATTTGCTTGGGACAACACACTACCCAAAGTACTTTCGTCTCGATGATTCTACTATTTAAGTTTGTCTTTGGTTGAGACAAAGCAAACATCTTTTTGTGTATAAAAAAATATCTCCCCATATTTGATTGGGAGCAAGGAAGAGAGATAACACACAATTTTGTTCTTTCTTCTTTTTAAAGTTTGCTTGAGTCTCATCCAATCTCTAAACTTCCTACTTTAAAATCTCGCCACTTACTATATTCTCACTACGTCGGCAAGAAACACCGGGGAACTCATCTGAATATTAAAAACAAGAGCAACGGAAGGGCACATGAGACAACTGTCTGGTTGGGTGACCTAACCTGGTTGTCTCGTACTCATAATTCATGGCGACTTCCAGTACACGGCAGCGGCGCCCGAGCGCGGAGGATGTTACTAGGGAGTCTAATTCTACCGCCAGTCTTTTTCTAGGCGGCGCGCGCAAGAACTGGATGTCATCCTCCACACAGGTCAAACCCACCAAGCCCAACAAACCCACCAATCCTGCCGCAACGAGCCCGTCTTTTCCTCGACAAGATGCTCCGCACGCGATGCCTCCTCCAGATCATACTTCCCCACCGACTGTCCCCGATCGTCCCGAAGCTACACTCATATCTCCTGTCACACCAAGAGCAACGATTCAGTCCTCGGGCCTGCACGAACCAGTCGCTACTATGATAGCGCCAAAGGTTCCAGATCCTCCGCAACTAGCTGCTGCTCCTGCCCTTCCCTCTCCCGTCCCGAGTACAGAATCTTATCCAAGCCCCGTTGTCGACCAGCTCTGGATGGTGAATTCCACTACTGCTCCTTCACCCGGCGCAAGCACTTCTGTACGATCAGAGAATCCAATTACCACCGCCGCTGCCACGACTACGACCACGACCACGACCACGACGACCAACACTACTGCCCCAGGGACCTTGAATGGAACTGCTTCGAATCCATCGATTCGCTCGGGAACAGCACAAATTCCACAGCCCTCACCAGCCTCTACCTCTCAAGAAACAGCAGCACGCGTCCAACCTGTCTCACTTCTTCATGGATCTCAGAATCGATCGGCGGATGGAAGCTTTCCAGACGCGCAAACATGGGCGCTGTGGAAATCCCGATTGAATACGTTGAAGATAACAGCGGACAATGGCCAACTATCTCCATATGTGGAACCGAGGATTGGATTGCTGTACGAGGCCTGCAACTATGAAGACGTTGACTATTTACTGTTGCATTACCTCTTCTGTCGGCAGTTCGCGGGGATCACTTCCCCTGCAACCGAGGCCCTCGATACACCAGCTTGTCGAAGAGGGTTAATATTAATGTCAGATCTGTTGCAGTCTAATGACGATCTCCCTATTGTGTTAGTGCGCAAGTTCTGCCAGTTTCCAGGTAACCCAATTGAGATGGAATATGAACCATGGTATTCCGCCACGGTTGGTAGAATCGCCAACACCCTTACGCTGCTTGCAACAGGATTCGCGGAGAATCCAATTCCTGTTTACAAAGAACTTTCTGAGCGTCGATTTCCTTTTCTGGTATCTGAAATGAAAACGCGTTTTGGAATTCGGTCAGTATGCCTACTGAGGGTGGTCTTTCAGTCCTTAGTACGGCAATTATACCCTGATTCGTCGGACATTTACAAGAGGTTGCGTGACTTGTTTCAAAGGGACTTGATACTGGATAAGACCGAGATGAATACTTTGTCTTTTAGGGATTTGATTGATGAATACCGGAAGATTCCCATGAAAACGTTAAGTCCAACAACGGCATCGCCATTATCAACGTCGACCCCCTCGGTCTCCACTCCATCGCAAGTCACTCAAGCACATCAGCTAGGAAGAGCGCCGGTGCAGGACACTTGTCGACCATCTGCGAGCAATCAATCGCCAGTCGCGAGTACAAATACGACAGCGCTCCCCACGAACCAGTCGCATGTCACTCATTCAAATAGGATATCACAGCAGCCTACTCCAGTTCAGCAGTCTGCTCCAAATCGGCGGTCGAGTTCAGGTGGGCACTTGATTCCATCTCAACAACCAGTTCCCAGCCAGCAGTCTATTGCAGGCCAAACCCCTGTTCCATACCAACAGCCTATCCAGGGCCAGCAACAACATTATCATCATCGCGCCCTGCCGCCCCAGCCTTACAATTCCCCATATCCACATAATGCGTACCCTCCGCAGAATTTACAACAAATGCAGTTCAATCAGCAGGCAGTTCCAGTCCCAATACAGCAGCAGCAGCACTCTCCACATCCACATCCACAGCAATCCCAACAGCAACAACAATATTCAGGCTGGTCACTCGTGTCACCAACTTCACAAGGTCAGTTGGGTTTCATACCTCCTAATGGAGCTTTCAGGCAAGTTTCTCGGCCTGGAATTAATACTGGGCATTATTTGCCCAATCACCCGGCTCATATGCGCCAGTCTGTTCAGGGGCCTCCAGTTGGCTACTTTACTCCTCCTTCGGGGCCAATGGCAACAAGGTCTCCGCAAGCCAGTGCCGCTCAGCAAACTGGGCCACAATCTGCTGCATCTTCAGCATTCAGGCCTGGCCAAACTCAAATGGGAGGAGGCCCCTTGCAAGACTCTACAGTTCAAGTGAGGAATCAGGCGGCTGCCAGCCCTCACCACCAACTGGCCCCTCCTCACCACGTTCCCTCACCAGCATCTCTCACTCCTCAAACTCACCTTACTTACCCCGTGAACTACCCATACCTCATGCCGCCAGAAGGTTATCGAATTCCACAACTTGCTGTACCAGACCCATTTCGTCTCTCCATGCATCAAATTGATCTTCTTGATCCGATAAAGAAATGTGTGAAGTCAGGTGAGCCGGGTGGCCATAAGGTTGAAGCCGAACTTTTTCATTACTTCAGTGACTTTTGGCTGGGGCCCACTGAGATTGATCCTCACGCTTACAATTACGAATGGCCCTTGACCCTGACCGCGGAAGACATCCGCAGGCTTCCTCGTTATGAAACGCTCGCGAAAGAGGAGCACCGAAAAGTCATCACTTACCAGACAGGGTGTCGTGTCTTTCGCCTTCGATGTGTCGCAATTAAAAAAATCGAGACAAGAGACATTCGGGATCTGTGGCCGACGGCACCAACTACGTGGCCAAGTTGTTTTTACATTCACATCAATGGTATTGAGCTGACCGCACGCCGAAAACCTCATAATGCGAGAGATTTACCTGTCGATCTGTCGATGTCCTTAAAAGATGGTGAGAATAAACTTCAGATCAGCCTGCTTCCTAGGGATGGTGAATTTGAAAACACACGTTTCTTCTTTGCCGTTGAGAAAATGGAAATCCACAGTTTTGAAATGGTCCGAGGCCAGGTGCAAACAGTCCCGGCTGAAAAAGTCCGCCAAATTATTCGGGAGCGCCTGAACAAGACGGCTGCTGATGAGGATTTGGCTGTTGTCACTGAGAATCTGAACGTTAGTCTCATTGATCCATTCACTGCGCAAGTCTTTACTCACCCTGCTCGCTCTGAGCTTTGCACTCACCTCGATTGCTTTGATCTCGAGACATTCATCAGAACTCGAAAGTCTGTTAGTGGTCCGGCTTCATTGAACGATAAGTGGACATGTCCCATCTGCAATGTCGATGCTCGCCCACAGCTTCTGAAAGTAGATCGATTTTTCGAAGAGGTTCGTGACGAGCTCGTCAGCAAGAATCAACTGGAAGTTGCCCAGGCTATCAAAATAAGCTCGAATGGCTCGTGGACTCTGCAGACCATTCAAGAATCTACACCTGAAAGACGCAGCAGCTCACAGACTCCACTTGCCAAACGCAAAGCAGGTAGTCAGCGGGCTGGAAGTGCGACTTCGCGTCCTAAGATTGAGAGCTCTTCTACGCGCACTGCTCCATCCAGCGAGCGGGTTGTCATTGAACTGGACTGATCAGCTCTTCCATCTCTCCTCACCTAATCGCATGTTGTTGTCTGTTATCTGCATGCGCACTAACATTATAAACCACCCCTTTGTTTCTTATTATTAGTCCCTCCTTGTTTTGTTCGATTTGCACTGAATTTCAGTGAAAAAAAAGATACCCCTTATGTATGCTTTCAAGGTAGTTCGTTATGAGGAAACGGGGCATCTACCAGGCGTTAATGAAAACTTTTTCAGCTTTTTCGGCGTTCGCTACTGAGGCTTCGCAACGATTTATGATTCATTACGCATGTATCTTCTTCGGGCACTTGCCCTGAACATACCTTTATACATTTTTAGCACAATATCATCAATAATTCGAAGTCTAAACAGGTCCCGAGGTCTAGTCTAGTGTCTATTAGCTGCAAGACTGTTCTTGACTATATAAAAAAAAGTAGATTTATTCATGCTCATTCAGTGAAGATGATCTCCACCCCGACATTAAATTATACATAGGATTATATAGTAAACATGCTGCACATCCAAAGCCTGAGGATATACTTAACTTTACTTCCTAACTCTTCGAACATGACTAACCAAGTTCTCGATAACACCTTCAAAGGCCTCCTTCTCACCAACCAACCCATCACGTCTCTTAAGCCAATATTCCAAAACCTCACTAGCCCTCAACGTAACTTTCTCCAATTCACTAACATGTCCCTTCAACTCACCATCTGTCAACCCACCCAACGCAGCATCAGTAGTCGCACAAAGCCTCCGCACAGAAGGAAGATCCATCATCGGCACAGGCGGCGCCCCCCTCCGCGTCTTAGAGCGGGGTACTTGTCCCTGCCCCTGCCCCTGCCCTTGTCCGGACGAAGCAGAGCCAGATTCCTGCTCGGCGTCGCCTTCTTTGCGGGCTTCGCTGCGCGAGCGGGCGGCGGGGGTGTTTGTGCCTGATTCCAGGTCTATAGAGGGGAGGATGAGCTTTTTCTGTTTTGAGGCGGGAAGGATCTCGTCGAGATCAACTGGGACGCCTAGGCTGACGAGGAAGAGGCGGCGGATACGGGATTTTACCCAGTTTTGGGGTTGGAGAGGTGGAGGAGCGACGAGTTGAGACCAGAGGGAGAGGGAACGCTCTGTGCTGAAGATTGCGGCTGAGTCGGGGATTGGTTCAATTGGTGGGAGGGAGGGGAGGTCTTTCGAGGCTGGGAGGAGGTTGTCGAGGGTTCCTTGGAGGGATGAGAGGAGGTCGGATGTTGATTTGAAGACGTCGAAATCTGTGAGAGGGGGCTGATGGGGTTTTATTTTAATTAGTTATGTTGGTTATCATGTGGAGTTTGGTTTGTTCTTTAATTTTTTTCTTTCTTGTTCTTTTGTTTGTCTTTTCGGGGGGTTCACGTACAACTGGCGGGGGTGCGAATGATTGTTGTGGGGAGGCTTCACGCTCCGTGACGTCTGCGCTGGCTTCTTGGAAACCGTCGTCGAAGTCTCCGAAGTCGTCGTCTTCCATTGCTTCTTGCTCATCCACAAAATCGTCAAAGTCATCTGCAAAGTCGTCTGGAGCATCTGCTTCTTCCAGGGTATCCTCCCCGGCGTCGTATTGTGCCGTTGGTTCGGTATCATTGTTGGTTGTTTCAACGACATCGAGGTCTAGGTCACTCGGTTCGAATGTCTGAGCTTGTGGGCTCGATGATATATTTTCTTCTATAGGCATGGTTTCCATGGGGGAGTCTTCGTGACGGGGATAGGTTGAGTAGGCGTAGCATTGCTATCAGTGGAACCGTCGTCGGAAGCTGGAGCATCTATATCGTTTTGTGGATCGGATATATCTTTCACAATATCAGGTGTCGCGTCTGCCTGTCGTTTATCATATGCGTCTGTGCCTGGAACCTCTCCAAAGCTTGGCTCATCAGAGTCGACCTTTTCCACTATTGTTTGTGGGATTGGGGAGCCATTGGGGCGTGTAGCTCCATCCTGCGACGGCGCCACGGGTTGGTCCTTGCTCTGTTCGCCTTCCGGAACGACTTCGATTTCGTCAGGGCTGGCGTCTTCCACTCTTTTTTTCATAGGCTGCTGTTCCAGGGATTTCACCATGTTGGGCACTGTCATCGACCCGCTCTACTCGTGTTCGCGGGACAGGGGAAGTATTGCCCGACTGTGGGCTTGATTGTAAATATGTATGGCCTTCACTGGCATCCGAAAAATGGTCATCGTCACTGTTGGAAGCTTTAAGCCCCATATAGCCCCTTATTAGATCTTTGAACAAAACTATGACGTCCTAGGAACAACTAATACCTGTGTCCTCAGCTCCTGGCTCCTCCACCTTCGTGGACTTGGTGGGTTGTTCTAGGTGAGTGGGCGAATCGGGCGATGCCTCGGACATAATGGTGCGTCAACTTATGGCTGGAACATGGAGAGAAAAGAGAGTGAAGGGAAAATGGGGAAATGGGGAAATTAAAATGCAAGTCGAGTTGTGTAGCGCAGAGTGACGATGTTCCCTGCAATCGATTCGAGCCCAGAACGTTTACACCTTGTGGCCTGAGGTCCAACACGTTTGGCCAGGTTTATAAGGCTTCAATTGGGCTCCCAGAAATTCAGGCATGAACGGGCGCGTTAACTCAAACTCCTGCCGATTATTATTCTGAGCTTCAACCTCTTTGCTTCGAATCCTTCCTTCAGTTCCGCATTGGACTCAATTCTCATTCAGTCATTGCGATCGCATTAAACTGTTTCGACCTGTGATCTCACACCGCAGGATCCCCCGACCTGTCACCGGTCGTAGTTTTCTTCACTTTTTACAGAGCTCGCCGCCCTTCTACCGCGACAGCACATCGCCATGTCCTTCACCTTCGGCGCACCAGCGTCCAGCGGAACGTCCAGCGGAGGTCTATTTGGAACAGCCGGTGGCTCTTTTGGCTCCAACCAGAACAGCTCAAATACAGGGTCGACTGGTGCTAGTGGCGGTCTTTTCGGCAATGTAGGAGCTTCGTCCGCTGGAGGCCCATCAGCCTTCGGAGCGAAGCCTGCCAGTGCCAGCCCTTCTCTTTTCGGAGGTGCTGCTAGCAACGGAACTGGCAGCAACAGTCCACTCGCGTCCACAAACACGACCTCCGGAGGCTCTACCGGCGGGGGCTTCTCGTTTGGTCAAGCTCAAAACACATCCGGTCCATCCACTGGTTCAATGTTTGGTGGTGGCACCTCGACTCCGGCGAAGACAGATGCAGCTACACCTAGTGCAAATGGTGGTGGGTTATTTGGAGGTGGTCCTCCCAGTGGAAGTGCATTTGGGGCCTCAACTACTCCCGGTCCCTCAGGCGGCTCTTTGTTTGGCAATGCTTCAACTACTCCTGCTGGCCCTCCCCCGGGATCCAGTGCTCCAAGTTTGTTTGGAGGAATGAAGGCCGGTGCCACTTCGACAACCCCAGCAACCAACTCAGCCTTCTCTGCTACCCCAGCTACAAGCCAGCCACAACCTGCTGGCGGCCTATTTGGCGCCGGTGCCGGCTCCACATCAACAACCCCCAAGCCTGCATTTGGATCCACGCCTGCCGCCGGCAGCGGAGGTCTCTTCGGCGGCGCAAAGCCAGCTGAGTCTACAACTTCAGCGGCTCCTGCAGCCAGTGCCGCAAAACCTAGTTTCTTTGGCACAGCCGCACCGGCTGCTGGTAGTGCCCAAAGCACACAGAATTCTCTTTTCAAAATGCCATCTGCTGGAGGCGACTCAGCCCCAAAGGCCGCATTCCCTTCTCTCGGCGCTCCTTCTTCAACTACAACAGCTACATCGCAACCCTCATTGGGAGCTCCTGCGACATCCTCCACGCCCCAAGGCTCTTCTCTCTTCCCCTCCCTTGGGGGCACAACCTCTTCCGCTCCTCAATCGTCTACACCCGCAGCAGCTCCTAGCGGTGGCATGTTTGGCCAGCCCGCTGCTTCCGCTGCTCCAGCGTCCGCAGCTACTACAGCCGCACCCGCTGCCACTTCTGCAGCCCCAGCTCCTTCCTTAGGAGGCGGCCTGTTCAAACAGCCCGCTCCTTCAGCTACAGCTACTCAACCTCCTCCTGCTTCTGCTGCCGCTACCACTGCTGCCACAACGGCCCCGGCTGCGACTGCGACTGCTACTGCCCCTGCCCCTGCTAACACGGGCGCTGCTGCACCATCTGCCCTTGGACAGTCAACCACTGGCCCAGCCCCACCAGCCCAGTCACGGTTGAAGAACAAGACTATGGACGAGGTCATTACTCGGTGGGCGACAGATCTCACTAAGTACCAAAAGGACTTCCGTGATCAGGCAGAGAAGGTGGCCGAATGGGATCGGATGCTAGTAGAGAACGGAACTAAAGTTCAGAAGTTGTATGGCAGCACTGTGGATGCAGAGCGGGCCACTCAAGAAGTTGAACGTCAACTGGCCTCGGTGGAGGGTCAACAGGATGAACTTAGCTCATGGCTGGATCGTTATGAGCGGGAGGTCGATGAGATGACCTCGAAGCAGCTGACTCACAATGAAGCCCTCCAGGGCCCAGATCAAGAGCGCGAGAGAACGTAAGTTTTGAACTCATCCCTATCACTCATGTTCTCAATGACTCTAACTTGTTTTACTAGATACAAACTGGCCGAGAAGCTCTCCGAGCATCTGGATGAGATGGGCAAGGACCTGACCAGCATGATTGAAGAGGTCAACGGTGCCTCTGCAACACTGAGCAAGACCAACCGGGCAGACGAACCTGTATGTTTGATCCCAACAACCCCTTTCCATTCCTACTTGATACTGACTACTTTCCTTCTTCCTTTCTTTTAGATCTCACAAATTGTGCGCATTCTCAACTCGCACCTCTCTCAACTACAGGTTATCGACCAGGGTACCTCCGAACTCCAGTCCAAGGTTTCAGCCGCTCAAAAGGCCGGCCAATCCATCTCTTCTCGTCTGGGATATGGTGGTTTTGCTAGTCCCGGCATGAACGGAGGTAATGCCGCAGATGATTTCTACCGCTCCTACATGGGAAGACGGTAAATGGTGATTAATGGGATAATTTATGATTTTAGCTGGGATCGTTGTACTGTACCGCGACTCAATGGGAAAAGGATTTGATTTTCACAGTTAGAATTTCCAAGATTCTCTCCATTGTTTATTATACGTATCTCCTTTATTTATTTTGTTATCTGGAAGGGTTTAACGGTGTCCCTCAATTCAATGGTAACCTGGGGTCGCTTTTGTGTTCAATTTGTGTATATGTTCAGCTTTGATCTTGCTGGGTTTCTCTCAAGGGTGTAATTTGAAATAACGCAACAGCTACATTCCCGGCGTGTGATAGCTTGATTCCAAGGTTCTTTCATTTCTCTTCCTACTTGACATTTTCTCATGTAGTCAAGTGTCACAATTTCCCTAGAAAGTTCCGTGTGCATAATCTACCAATAGAAATACTAGTGTGTAGATAATTCAAGCCTGGTCTTCAAATGCCTCGCCATTGCATCTCTTGGTGGATTTAATCCTACAGCCATTTTATATGGCCCACTAAACTAATCAAAGCCGTTCAATCCCCAGGTCCGCCATACTGATTGACTCGCTCTGGTATCCTAACTGAGAACTATATCAAATCGATCCTATCTCGAAGCTCAACGGTTTCCTATGTTAAGGGCTACTATATTATACAGCCTTCTCTTTATTGATCATGCAGTGTATTAAGCTGGATTCCCGTAAGCAAAATGTTTGACCTATTCAGAAACCTCCCAGCTGATACCCAACTAGGGAAATACTATCTCTCGAGACTTGACGGTCACAGGTAGCCTAAACACAACCATATACCGACCTACCATGACAGAATCTCAACTAGACGCTTTCAATGTGTATACCATACAACTCTTTGATACTCTCCTTATTCCATTCAGCACCCACTTATCGTTAATCTCTGTAAACAGCTCCCGCCTTCACAGCAGCCGGTATATACGGCATACTCACCCTCGCGATTCCCGTGGCCATGTACATGGACTAGTATGGTAGCGAGTATATCGTGGCAGCTACTGTCGCTTGTTGCCTTTGCATTGTTGTCGGAACTAGTTATATTTCGTGCTCGATATGTCTTTTGGGGGAATTCGCATCTTAGAAAGTTAGTTGGGGCGACACTGTTTTCGACTACTTGTATGGTTATTCGTGGCGTTTATCGCACATATGAGCTTGCACATGGGTGGCAAGGGTACTTGTTTACTCATTAGCGGTATACCATTGTTTTAGATGGAGCCATGATGGTTGGTTCTTTGGTAGTTTTTAATGTTTGGAACCCCGGGTTCTTGGTTAAAAGGGCCGAAGAGGTAGAGATGGGAGGAATCGACGGAGTCGAGGATTGTTGAATTTGATGGTGGGACTTTCGCTTAACTATCCATGGATGGATCAGCCACGCTGAGTATATGGGCGTGTGATCATCTCATGTAATAAGGACTACAATACCAGCCATGTGGCTGCTTACTGTCTACTAAATGGCTTTTGTTCAAAATTGAAAATCGAGAAACTCCTGATATGCTCGATTATCTTTCTAGCTCACATGTCACCCAAGAAAAAGCCCTCGCAAGTCCCGTGGGCATGTCTAGCTGGAGCGGAGATGATTATGATACAGGGGTGGCAAGGCTTCGACGCGAAACAGGTATGCTATAGTTCAAAAGGCTAATTTAGCGCTTCTGCTCCTCGGTCAGTTTGTTACTGGAGGGTGTTAGTATTGTTCGAACTCTGCAATAGATGGTTGGCTAGGAAAAGTAACGTACATGTGAGCCTCGAGGTCATCGAGGTGCTTGCGCTGCTCGCCAATTTGGCCCTTCAGCTTGTGAAGCCTAGGAAGTATATTAGCGACCTACTCTGAATAAAACCACCATTTTCAAGATGACTTACTTCTCCAGCTCCTTCTCACGGATGTACATAGCCTCTTGGGCAGCCTCACGCTTGGTAAATGAGTCACTGTGCCAGAACCCTGTCAGCCATTGATGATGTCATGCGGCAAGGCAGACACGCATTACGCTCGTCCCCCATTGCCTTTGTTGGTATGTGTAGCACGAATGGATAAGAGAAGAAGAGTGATGAGAAAGCTACAGGGGTCAATGCAGGGGATGATGAAATGTCACGTACCCAGAGGTGCTGCCTCCAGTGGTTCGAGGAGCTCCAGTGTCACCGGCGCCCAGTCGGGGAACAGCAACAGAGAAAGAGCGCTGCAAGAGGGCACGGTTGGCAGTGGCCACAGGGCGAACAATAGATTGACGAAGCATTTTGAATTGTGATTTCGAGCTGAGTAGATTGAAGAAGGAAGAAAGAAGGGGTCAAAGAACCAGCTCAACCAAGATCTAAAACGGCTGACACCTGGGTGGCATGACGACACATCAGGTGACTTCATAAAGTTCCGGGGTGCATTAGATAATGCATTATGTCAGCCGTGCCCAGCTCCATTAAATCTCTGCGATAAGTGAACGTGATCTAATTCGACTCTTTCAATAGATCACGAGGGGCTTAGTCGGTGATCATGTTAAGCCTTGAAGTAAACGATATACGAGCTATACCACTGCATATCCCTGAATACTCCGGAAGCAGAAAAAAATTGAGCCTACTCTTTATACTACATATATCTGTAGGGTTTGATACCCACATAGTCTAGACTAGGAAATGGTTCTAAATTTCGAGGGGCGAAGTTAGGGCTGTTTCGGAGATATGAGGACCCAAATCACCCTTGTACAAGAATTGTATAGGGTCTGTGTTCCAACTTCCAAAAAGTGAGGCGCGAAAGTAGGGAACCACCAGGACGATTGGCGGGCGCGGGATGGGGGATGACGCTGGGAGGCCCACCGAACCACACAGAAGATGAGGATGATGTTGACCACGAACAATTCGATCACCATAGACAATCAGGCAGATGACAAGGGAATCAACCATACCGATAGAAAATAAAAATAAAATAAAAAAACCCCCTCCTCTCAATCTTGACGAACTGAGTTCTTAAAGGGACATTCACCCATATAGACCTGACGACTGCAGTGAAATCACAGCAAGGCAGTTTTCCTATTAGTTGAAGTGTCCGTAGCGTTAAATCCCAACGACACCGCCCTGTTGATTCCCTCCCCCTCTTCTCCCTCTCACACTCTCCTCTCCCCTTCATCTTGGAACTTCCCCCCTTTCCCTCTTTATCCACTCTCCCGCTATTATTTTCTTCATTTCAATCAAGGTGAGTTGATACACTCTTCAATTTCTTCTATCTTGCTTCATCCCTCTTCCTGTGCTTTCTCCTCGGCCCTGGAGTCCAAGCCACACAACAATCTGCCCCCTCAAACCCACTCCCCTTCCATAACGGGAAAAAAAGAGAATCATTGAACCCAAGGCGGGGTCTCCAATCGAGTGCAATATTTCCTCGCGGATATGTGCATCATTCAGAATCGCATGTCCTGTGGATGGTCAGAGCCCGTCTCTACTGTTCCCTTGTTTACTTGCCGGGACGGCCGCGACCGCTTCGTCATGAATCCAAACACCGCACTGCCCCGGGAAAGCCCACCCATGCCATCATCAACATAACCATGATCGTCACGATGTCTACTTCACGGAGAGGGGAACAACAAGGTTGTGATTGGGATGACTTGAGTGATGTCAAGTCCAACTTATAGTTGCCCCCAATCCTAGGGGAGGGTCCTGCCGCCCGTGTCTACCCCTCCCGGTCGGCGATGATGTCGATGGCGTGATTCCCATCCTCGTATATCCACAAAACAAGAATGCCATCTATGAAACGAAGATTAGTGGAATTATCAAACTGACGATTTTTAATCGATCTAGAACTTTTCACCATGGGTCAAGAAGATGCTGTCTACCTCGCCAAGCTCGCTGAGCAGGCCGAGCGCTATGAAGGTTCGCATGCCTCCTCCCCACAAATTTGTTAATCAGAGCATCGGGATTTTGACTATAGTCTCCAAACAGAGATGGTTGAGAACATGAAGGTCGTCGCCTCGGCCAATGTTGAGCTCACCGTTGAGGAGCGAAATCTCCTGTCCGTCGCCTACAAGAACGTCATTGGTGCCCGCCGTGCCTCCTGGAGAATCGTTACCTCTATCGAGCAGAAGGAGGAGTCCAAGGGCAACGAGTCCCAGGTTACTCTGATCAAGGAGTACCGCCAGAAGATCGAGGCTGAGCTGGCCAAGATCTGCGATGACATCCTTGAGGTCCTCGATGAGCACCTTATCAAATCCGCCGAGAGCGGCGAGTCTAAGGTCTTCTACCACAAGATGAAGGGTGACTACCACCGTTACCTTGCTGAGTTCGCCATTGGCGACCGCCGCAAGGGTGCCGCCGATGCTTCCCTGGAGGCTTACAAGGCTGCCACCGAGATTGCCCAGACTGACCTGGCCCCCACCCACCCCATCCGTCTCGGCCTTGCCCTGAACTTCTCGGTCTTCTACTATGAAATTCTGAACTCCCCTGACCAGGCCTGCCACCTGGCCAAGCTCGCCTTCGATGATGCCATTGCTGGTTCGTTTTCCCTTCCCTTCCCGTTATCTCTCTATGTCTGTAAACCAGCCGCTAACGTGCTTTCTACAGAGCTTGACACCCTGAGCGAGGAGAGCTACAAGGACTCCACCCTCATTATGCAGCTTCTCCGTGACAACCTGGTACGTCCACTATGTCTTATCATTTTTTTTTGCGTTATGACATATCGCTAACTTTCTTTAGACCCTCTGGACCTCCTCCGAGGCTGAGGGCGGTTCTGCTGAGGCCCCTGTCGAGAAGAAGGCTGAGGAAGCCCCAGCTGCTGAGGGTGACAAGCCCGCTGAGTAAAGCTGGAATCCTTAAAAAATATCTTGATGACGGACACACGTCCTGAGGTGGATGAAATAACCGAGAGAGTTGTTTGTGACTGGTTTCTTGGTACAAGGAGCACAAGTGGACGTGTAGGGAAGGCCCCCCGTGAGATGCATTGATTTGAATCTTTGTATTACTCCATTCTTAGGGTCTTGCGACCTAGAGATAGGAGGAAGTGCCGATTTCTTTCCAGATGCTACTCTCTGTACGGGTTAAATCCCTTCGTGTCTTCTGTTTCATTTCGAAATTAGTTTCCTTTGGTCTGGTGTTTTTTCTTTCTTGAAACCTTGAGCTCTTCTCTTTTCGTTTTTTGTCATTCTCCTTGTTATTTTGTCTACTTGCCTCTATTTACCCCCTTCCTGAAAGAGTCCCCTTCACGCGCGCTCTCGAAACACCCACAACACATATACACACGGACAGAGAATTTTTTTAAATCAGCTCCTTATCAGGACTACAATGAGGGCCTCGTACCGATCCCCAGATCTGGCTTTTCCACACTTTTCTTCTCTTCTCTTCTTCTATCTCTTCTTTTCTATATCTTCTCGTATTTTGTCCCTCGCGGCGTTTTTCTCGCTAGATGTGGTTTTAAATGATCAACTGAGGTGTATTTGCCCCCTTGTACTCACTCGTCTTGGGGTGATACCCTTTTCTGGGTGCTCTATCCCTAGTCTTGGTTTGGAAATTGCCAAAGAACTAGAATTACTTGAGGTCTTTAAGACGTCGACCATTGCATCGTGATAGAGCCTGAGTGTAGTAGATGTCGAGCGATCAAGTAAATAAGCCAGGCATGCAAGAGATTCCTTCCTACTACTTCTAGCTTTTGTACGCGCCCTGACAATTTTTCACCATTCCAGGCGTACCCCAGGTTGCCCTGCTTTCTCCTTGTAACTTCAAGATGCAAGATAGTTGAGATGTATCTGTACCATTTATATGCCTGGTCTATGTTCTCGGTGGGCTAATATAAGTGTTCGGGATTAAAAAATACAAGAAAGTCTTCCAAGTTCAAAGGTTTAGCATCAAAAGATGTCTATAGTCGACTATACATTCATGGATGGTTAGGCATTTTGGTTGTGTCGATAGCCCTAAAAATGTGGCAGAACCATGAGATCTCCAGAACTCTAAAGCTTCTATTCCGAGGGTGTAAAAGCACCGAGAAGATATCTGGATCGGAAATATTAAATCGGATTTTAGGTTTATGGGTGTTAGATAGAGCATCCATAGATATTACACAAGCAGTATTGACATCGCATGAAGAGCAATGATATAGACGTATGTAAATGTATGTTGCATTGTCATAGTGGGGAAAGCATTGACATGGACCAAGAAGCATTGACACGACCCCAAAACCATTGACACGCCTGAAAAGCATTGACCTACCCCAAAAAGCATTGAAAGGATTTGCATCGTATTGACATGAGTTTTTGAGCATTGACACATACAAATTTGGTTTCTGAATAGCTTCATCTTTGCCTGTTCAAGGGATCCCCAGGTTTTGAGCTTCAGACTAAGAACACCAGGTTGAATTATTTCGCAGGTCTGGATGACAGCCTGTTTTTGGGGATTCTCGTTTCTGGCTATTGGCCTACATACTTAAGAGGGACATCCGAGGGAGGGGTAAACAGGCATGCACTTGGAGGCTCTTTCCCATTTTGGATAGGTGGCCTCAGGCTCAGGATCGAATCTCCAATCTCCAACCAACGTGCATACATCAGCATGAGGTCATGTTCAAGTACTTCCTCCTTGTATTCTCTTTGAAGACATTGACGCAAACATGCACATAGACTATGTGTCTCTTCAAATATTAACATGCTGGTTGATTCTAAGGTTGTGAAAATACACCCCCAGATAGCACATGTAGGTATACTCTTTCGCGTCCAAAGCCCATCCAAGCCAGCATTGAGACTTGAATATCCTATTCTGGTCACATGTGTAAGACTATCCCAGGTTTCAGATATTCGAATGCTACAGTCCGATGATGTGAGACGAAGATTCCTTGCCTTGATCCTTCTCTCTGGGGTTATAACAATCTTCCAAGGTTCTGGGGTGTGTTACCTAGTTCCAAGGTTTCAACAGCAACTATAAGAGGAGAAAATGATGGCAAGGATCTAGCTCTAGCAGCTGGGCATTATTTTCTGACATTTGACAGCAATACCATTGTTTGCTCCCTAGGCTTTTTTCAGAACATTCAACCACAATCCCTAATAATGCAAGCTACGTTTCCAGTTCGTGAAGAGCAGCAGAGCTTCCATCTATAGCTGCTTTTCTTGCCCCGTCTCTATCTACTATCTTATGAATATACCATGGAAGCTAAGTCTAATTATTTCAATCCGATCTTGCAAGTTCTAAGGTTGAATTCGAGACTTAGCTACATACAAATCCAATATAGCTGGGCATGTGACATATTGAACCTGTTGGGATGGAGGAAACAGCTCGAAATTAGCAAGTTGCTAAATGTCGAAGATGGCAGCTCAGCATACACATATCAATTCAATTAATGTACTCCGTCATCTTCTTTTTGCATACAGTTGCCGAGGTGTAAATGTGGTATCATGATCCAGATAAGCGTACAGTTGTACAATAAGGCGCCAAGGGCAAATGATAGGTCAAACATACGTACGGAGAGGTAATCCGTATTCATACGCACAAGCATGATCAAGTTCAAAAGTACCTCTGCCTAAAGCACAGACTTTATCATCATGATCTTCAATAATCTGCCAAGTTAACTGAAAATTGGGGCAAGTGGGTTATTTCCCCTGATCATTACTAACTTGAGCATTGGATACAGCTCAGGTGAGCTCCTGATCTACACTTAGCGTCTGCTAAGGCACGTATATCTTTAGATAGACCCACGTACTAATGGATATGTCCTTTGCTCAGCCGATATGCCTATTTAGGCTTGTTACCATTAAGCTTCCCCCTTTTTGTGTGTGAAATTGAATTTCTTTGGCCTGATGTATAAAGTACAGTACTTACGTACGGCGGAGACTACAGCCGTTGCGTGGCGTAAGTACAACTTGAAATAGTATGAATTTTCGAGGAACTGGGGTTGTACTAAAAAAAGCACAAGAACCTGGGAATCTAGTGTGGGCTTTATTTAGTACTGGCATGTAAGGGAGTAGCGCAATGGCTCTACACTCGACACCCTTACATTATTCGATAGCTAAATAGGCGGGACATACTTACGGTTGCTTGCGCATATCAGGGCTTACATAGGACAGGGGACATAATCATTTTGAACAATCTCCATTGCTATGGATAGAACCACCATGCTACCAGCCATGCAAGCTAGACAGAAGGGGTATGATAGGCGATGAAAAATAATAGGGTGGGGACTTGAGACATGCACACGTTCCAGGGTATGACAAGCGCGAAGCAAGTAGCAGAGAAGTAGAGCCGCAAGGAGTAAGAAAAGAGCAGAAAACTGCAGGAGGCGTGGAAAGAAGAAAGAAGAGTCATTCAGCGAAGCCAGTCCATCAAAAGCGAAATCAAGATGTACAGGTGATCGTTCCGATATGTTGAGAGAAGAGGATCAAGTGAGGCGATGAAAAAAAAACAAAGGCAAATGGACTGCTCCGAAAACAATGACCCCTTAATCATGCTTCTCACTTCCCACGCCGTCCTGCCGCTGACCATGCAATGCCATACGATGACGAAAACAATATCCTGTGCGGGCTCCGGTAAGTGTTCATTTCAATCAAATCGAGTCTAGTCCCAGTCCCCGAAAACGCCCAAGGTGCTATGCATCCGATAATAAAAAGAAATGATGTGAAAAAAATACAAGTGAATATCCGCAAAGAGCCGCCGTGGGAGTCAGTGAAATGGAAGATGAAGGATAACGCCGAAAGAAAGAGACGAAAAAGAAAATTGAAAGTAGAGAAGAGAAGAGAATAATAGGATGGGGGTTAATGAAGGCCTGTCGTAATGTATTGCCGGAGGTGAAGAGATGATCGTCCTGCAGTCCAAGCCACATCGATGGGCGTCATTTGGTAAGGAGCGCCATATGTACGATGGATGATCCGAAAGGGATCAAAGTTGCCAAGACTCAGGTGGCGATCCACTTGATGCATCCCGGGTATGCAATGATGTCACAAGTAATCCGATTTCGCCCCCTTGTGGTAAATAATCACAAGAAATGACGATTTGGCAGTTTTGAATAACGGTCAACTCGATTGCGAAAGGGGTGTAACGGTGTAAAACGGCATGAGACGTAAGAATGAAGTGGGTTAAGGCCAAATCGAACCGGTCGGGTGGCTGGAAGTGAGAAGTGTAGGAATAACGGTGTGGCGACAACCGTGGGAAAATACTCCCATTGGGAAACGAACACAATAGATCTTCGTATGAAGGAATTGTTCCTTTCCACTCAACCCCATATGGATCCTCTCCTATCGTCTGCCAGTTTTATTTTGGTGAGGTATGGTGTCGTGGGTAGCTCGGGTTCAATTCGGGAGCAGTGATTGGGACCACGGTGAGAATGTTAACGAGAAGGCTTAAGGGTCGTCATGAAAGGCGGAGAGAATCGAAAATCAAAGGTGTAAATCGTAAAGTGTATAACTGGCTCCCGGGTGTTCTTTAGATGCGTAGGGTTCCAGGTCTCTGAGTCACAGTGTATCGATGGCCAGCCTGTGACCTTTTCCCTGCCCCGATGCGATTGAGCTACTTATGCGCTTTGCGTCCTTTCGTACTTCGAGTTAAGTCGCCTTTGGTCATATTGCGGGTGAGTCCACCAATGTAATCTTGTAAAATCTTGTTGTCCTTCTCCAGCTTGTCATGGTCCGATTTGACGACATCGATTCGTTCAGCGAGGGCTTGCAATGACGATTGGAGGGCCTTGGCCTGTCTAAATTGATTATTAGTGAATTTCCACGAAAAAATCTCATTTAAATGGGATTTCTTTTATTTTGATCATTGGAAGAACCCAGGGGTTCTTGGTAATTCCAGATCAAAGGGAGTGATCAATACTCACTCTTGGAGAGTTTGTCGAGCCTCCTTGCTCAGCCGTTCTAAGTCGGCAGAGTTCCTTCGAGGACTCATGGCACGGGCGTCGTCTGGGGGAAATTCCTCCTCCTCAATTTCAATTTCGGGGTGATCACGGGGTACCAGAATAGATGCACTGGGTTTTCGGCTCGCCATACGGGGTCGTTCAGATCGGCCGCGGCGTTCAGTCTCGGCGTCAGATATAGATGAAGATGAAGACAAAGAGGACATATGCATGCGGCCACCGTCGTTTGGTTGCGGCAAGGTGTCAACGGGAGAGGCTTCAGTCATCTCTGTATCAGACATATGGGAGGTTTCTCGCAACAGACACAGTCGAAAAGATGGGATTTGGCGAGGTCCAGTGTGGCGGCTTTACTAACGGTCTCTTCGGGAGGTAGCTTTGATCAAGGTTCCTTTTTTCCGGTTTTCTGGGTGTTTTTTATGCCGTTGATTTCTCGCTGTTTACGGGTCGGTAAAACGAATATTTCGGCGTTTTGATCGACCACGGTCTACCCCCTAGCGATGTACCCCAGACGAAAGATCTGTGTTACGCTTGAGGTAGCTACCGGGGTCGGTTGAAGGTCGGAATCGGGTGTTGATGGTTGGAAATCGGGAGCACACGAGAATGGGCGTGTTGAGGGGAGGGGGGATTTCCGTGTGGTGATTTGGTCGCGAGGTTGACGGTTGAAACGGACCACGTTGGACGAAGACTCGGGTGAGGTGGAAAGAGTGCGAGTTTGGCGATAGATAGGGAGAGAGAAAGGGAAAAAGTGAAGGGGTCGTAGAGCAAAAGTCAAAAAGGCAAAAAAAAGCACGAAAAAGGGACGAAAAGATGAAGAGCTCGGGACCGGCGTATCGTTACCAGGATACTTGGAAGCGTACGAGAGCGGTGGGCGGTACGGACTATCTTAGCACCTTTTCAGTAGGTGGAGGAGGGCCAAGTCCCTTGGTTGGGTGTTACTGATCGTCCCCCCTCTTTCTCTCTCCTTCTCCCACTCCGAAATTGAATTTAAAACTGACTTTTTTCTTTTTCTTTTTCTTTTTCTTTTTCTGTTTGTCTTTTCCTATATGGGGAGGGAGTTTATTACTGTAATTTTAGGCATCTCGTGAAGTTCAACCCAGGTCGTGGTACCTACCTTTATTGGTAACATTGGGCTTATTCCAAGGTGATTGTCCCCATTATGGCCCCTGTGTACCGAAGTTTACCATAGAATACACCATGTATTTAAGTATATTTGAGTATTTTTGAGTACCCAAAAGGTTCAAATATTCTGATTTACGTATTAAGCATGTACCCAGGATGATCCATCCATATAGATCCTTGCAAACATATTTTATAGTAAGCATATTAACTAGTAGGTGCCTGCCCACATATAGTATAGGCAGTCTATACTATCTTGCTTATTGGGTATTCCTTTCTTTCCATCTGATTCTCCTAGCTTACGTTCCGGTGAGAGAAGGCAAGCGAACCTGTTTTTTATTCTATTTTTCTTTCTCTCAAGGACACCAGGGCTCCGTAGCGGGGGCAAAATGTACATGTACAAATGAGCAGCAATCAGCGGATGAGGTCCGGCTTAGGGCCATCCTTTTTACCCTTTTGGACATGGTCTGGTATTTTATGTATTATTCGATAGCTCTGAAGTATCTCAAGTGACACTCTAATATGTAGGGATAAGATATGCACTTGAGTTTTATGATTATATATATAATTCAGCAATTTACAGTGCTTTTCTGCATATTTATTATAATTCCATATACTTATTTTTCTAATCATTTGTGCCTCTTTTATTCTGCTATTCTGGTTAATCCCCCTTTCCAGATGGTATCCCCGTACACCGCTTCCCTCTCCTGGCTCCACCCAGCTTAGTCCGGGAGTTCCTAACTAGTTGGCTCCCGACTCCGCTCTGTTGACCAATAATCACTCGCCCCCACTCCCACCGCCATGAAAGATGGTACCAGTGTGACCGAACGCTGATGAACACGTATTCTCTTTTCTCCCTTGACTATCGACCTGCTTAGACAGGTAAAGTTGTTAAAAAGGCCTTGTTACGGGCTACTCTGTATATGTACTTGATAACATCACCCCACAGCTTATACTTCATCGCTATGTACTGTTAATACTACATACATTTGCTAGGCATTTTAGTTCTCCACATATCTATCTACCTACTTCCATTCCAATCCCCGAGAACAGCCCTGCTTAAATTTGAAATTACAAAATAAAGATGATTTTGAAACGCCGGAACCATACGTAGGCTTCTGGAAACACAGGGAATAATAAACCGCTCAACCTTGTAAGAAATGATGGAATAAAAAATTAAATTAAATAAACAAATAAATAAATAATGAAAGTAAGAAGGTAAGAAGGTAAGAAAATAAAAGCACCAGCTATTGGTGCTTCATCTGGGCGGTATGGGGAAAGTGTATCTTCATCCACCTCTCAGGGGGGGCGTGTTATGCAATGTCGATCGAGCCTCAACGAGCGGAGATGACGCCATATGACTGGCTCTGTCTTCTTTTCACGCGGACATGCCTTCAGCTTCCCCGTACCACTTATAAACGGGCGTCTTCTCCGGATGGAGTACGGACTACGGTGTACTTAAACTTCCTTTCCTCGGCGGTGGAATGGTGGCGAACGGCAAATTAGGGAGGAATTGCAGAAACCACGAAATCAAAAGCCTCAAGGGATAACCTAATCCCTAGTTACTGTACATGGAGGATATGGAGAAAGTAGATCTATCAATTGTCAGTAACCTTTTATCCTTTCAAATAGAGCGCAAAAGTACCTGCGCCTGCAACCTGAAGACCCAGTTTCCCTCGTCCAAAGAAACAAAAAGAGTGGGAAAGAAAAGAGCCGATCTTTTTACGCCCCAGTGGGAGAGCCAAGACTTCCATGCCGCTCGGTTAGCCCTAAATTAAACACGGGTTCGTCCTCTGATGAACTCATCGCAGAGTATACATAGCCGCAGAGGTATTGCTTTTACTTAAAATTTATAGATGTAGATATACATACCAAAATTGTCCATATTCGCAAATCTATTGATGGGCTATATGATAAATCCAGGTACCTATATCTCCTTGATCCTTTACGGTGTAATTCTTCTCACAAGCCGCGCGGAGTCATGGGTTGGGGAGGGACCAATGCGCGCCCGGTAAACGCTTGGAGCAGCCGATCCATTCCCGTGGATTCAACCATTAACCGTCCCATTTGATGGATTGCTAGCCGACTAAAAGGAGGTGAAACCAACCAGGGTCACCACTGCTGCCGATCCTGATGGTCAAAATCGTACTCTCCACACACACATTGCCGGGCTGTCTGAAGTTTCGAAACCTTGGAAGAAATTCACTGGAAGCTTTCTTCGTTGTACGGAACACTCCGTATGGAGTGTCCAGGATGTATAATCCACTCCTTTGTTTTCCTTTTTACGCCTTCCTAAGCCTTCCGGCTTTGTTTGCCTTAGGCGGGGACAGCCTGTCAGGCTGACTGACTATATGACACGTATCGGGGATTATTACATAGTTATCAAGGATCACAGGGATTCCAAAAGAGTGTCATACTGGCCCCCGGGTCATTGCCTTTAGCAACAATTAAACCGGTCAGATTCTTTGGGGCGAAGGGGTCATCTCCGTTTCCATAATTCTGCTAAATTAGCCTATACCATGATATTTTTGCTGGTTCGGTTCCTTTATACTGTGTGACCCAGGACTAAAGAAGCCAAAATCAGGTACCAGACCCGACAGTACCATCCATGGGTCCCCCAGGTCCCAGCGGTGGCTTGATTTGGAGAACGGTCGCTGCAGCGCAACACTCGAATCAGAACTGCCGGCGCCACTCCATCACCAGCTGCACGAGTTGTTCATGGCCGGGGAGGAGGATCAAGACGTTGCACGAGGCAGATTATCTGTAATGACAGCATGGTCGGACCGGCAATCCGGAGTTTTCTTTTTGTTCTGTTTCGTTGGCTTCTGTTGCAGGATTGAAATCCTGCAGTATTACGATCCTAAATGTACGATTTTTGTAGCTTTGATTTGATCGATATTTGAAGTGGAACCTTTAAAAGGATATTAAATGAAAATACACCCTTGGTAATACAAAAGTAAATATGACCGATCGGAAAATTACTTTGCGCAAGCTAACTACAACATAAATGGAAATTTTCAGCAATATGGTTGGTTGCACATGTACCCCATACAGAGCACATACGATGTAATAAATCCTACCATTAGCATACTTTATACATACCTACAAATGCATATAAGAATAACCATGATAATATAAACATCACTCCGTTTTTTCAATGTGTGCTCATTTATATACCTTTTCGGAGTGGAAGAGATTGTATCTCTTGACCCAACCCCTCCTACTACTAACCCCAAGAACCAGTAGCCTTCGTTCCTGGATCTCCGCCGAGTCAGATGCGAAGAGGGGCGCTCAGGCCTGATTTCGGTGGGACGTGGGAGCGTGTGACTGCGAATAAGATTAAAATACTGCACAGACGTCCTCAATGTCTCCGTCATGCATGTATGTATACCGGTGGACATCTGGTGAGTCCGTATACGTAGTACAGCATCGTATCCAAAATCTACGAGCTATTGGAATTATTAATTGACACTGGTCGTTCGATACAATAAGAGAGGCAACTGAGACATTGAAGCACTGCTTAGTATTCTGGCTGCGTGGAACAATCCACGTAACCTCTCTATATTAAACCACATGTTCGCCTGAGCTATGCCGTAACCGAGATTTCCAACTGTTACTGAATAATAACTGCACCTTTTCACCCCACCCGGCACCTCCAATCCCACATGGCGTGTCAACTGCAATAATCCCTGTCCCAAAAAATACATGCTGTATGGCTGTTGGCAATCCATGGCCTTCATTCGGGTCAATTATCCAAAACCCTGCCGATCTGCATGTCAGTCCTCCGCGTTGATTCGCTTTACCGTACGCATTTCCTTTTCTCCCACCCCCACCAGCTCCGTACGAACATGTTTCATTTCAGTTACGGAGAGGGGGGCATCAAGTAAGGCTAGTCTTGAAGCACACTAAACTCCACTCCCCCCCCAAGCTGCGGATGGCGCGCGTTCTTTGGGTTAGTGCGGGTGGGTAGGAATGTGGCTACCAATCTTCTGTGCCATCTCACTGGCTACATTCATTCTTTGCCGCGGGATATTTCTCTCTGCAGCATAGCCAATCAGTGATTTAGTATTTCTTTTTTTATTCTGCTCCTTTTTTTTTTTTTTTTTTTTTTTTTTTTAAAAGGTACCCAATATACAGATCGTACAAACTTTGAAAACAAAAGCTGTTGCACAAGATCCAACCGCGCTGAAAGTTTGTATGTGTTCTGCATGTAAGACATTTGTTTAATTCATTGATATTTGTTATGGATACGTAATTATGTCCAAGGTTTCTGATTACGATGACGACCCGCTCACTATGTTAGCTCAAAAAAGTCATATATTGATTTAAGAAATCCTGAAGAAAACATACCATTATGCCAGGTATTTGGATGCAATGTTAACTGACAATCTTATTATCACGAGGTATGGGGGCTGTGCTGCCTGATGGTGGGTCGAACCATGTCGTGCTTGTCATTTATCGTGACCCCCAACTCACCTAGTTCAATCGCGCTATACTTCTACGGTAGCTAGCCTTGTAAATTGTTCGGTAGGCTAGGAAGAAACCTGTATTCACAGTCCCCGCTCTACAAGGAGTCATGCCATTCGAGATATCCACTTGGACTATTCTTCGGTGACACTGTAAAGTTGACTGTTCTCTCTCACGCTGGCGAGGCTGAATACTCCATTTCTTCGGGGATATCCAGTAGAAAAAGGAATCGGACAGTTACCGACACTGGCATGCGCTTGACAGGTTGTATGTATATGCTATGCTGTACCTACACGGTTGAAATCCCGAACGTTGTATAGGTATACTTAAGCGCTACATGGACACTGCTCGGCAGTACTGAGCATTAGATATCAATATAGAATTGATTATTTTTACCGCTGCCCTGTTACATACCTAGATCGTTTCCAATTAGTATTCTATTTACTTTCAACATGGCAAACCAAATTCATATACTATACTAAGGTTGCAAGTGGTGTATCTATAGGTACCTGGTTTCCTGGTCGATAACGGCCCCAAATCCATAACCAAGAACCTGAATCTATAGATATGCAGATTATTCAATACCAAGGTCTAGCGTACCCCCGGGCCTCAGTGATTACGTCCTATCGGATCCATCATAGAGCCCCAGCTAAACATCACTTGCAACGTAATTCGCCCACATGGAAGAGGCTCTGCGTCATACCATAGTACAAGCCATCAAAACAAACTGAGACACTGAAGCCGATCGATACAAGCGTCCCACAACGGCAGATCAATCGATCTCACAATCCTGTTTTTAGATTTTAGATTAACATCCTCGGTTTTTGTTTCCTATAGTCTGTACTCCGTGCTCCGTACATTTCCTTAGCTTGTTACGGAGCATTCATCCCGCTTTTCCATAAATACAGTGGAGCTAAGCTGATGGAAGCCTGGTCGATCCAGCGCGAGATGAACCGTGCACGGGCTTGAAGAGGAAGGTTACGAGGTGCATGATGGTGCATGGCTCCCGGACTCTGAGATAAATTGATGCCTCTGTGCTCGGTTGTTGGGACTGGTAGCGTTGGCTCCGAGGTCGCCGCTTTCAGATGAAACATTGTGTCAATAGTGTCTTTGGAAGTGCGACACTGTCGCTCAGCGTGTTGGTTCCTCTCCTAGGTAGGTAGATCGGTAGGGAAATTTGTTCAGGGACTTTGTAATGGTGTTATCTATTCAATTGGGGTTTAATAAATTGAGGGCCCTACCGCGTTGAACCAGCCCGCCCTACTGGTTGTGGCTTATGCGGGTGAGTACATAGTAGAAACGGTCCGATATCCAAAGAAAAGTATAATGGAATGTAGAAAAACTGACAATGCTTCCAGTATCCGGTAATGGAATGTGTTGTACAAGGGCCGAAAACTAGGTAAACTTAATGATAATGATGATATGTATCGCGAAACGCCCGAAATATTGAATAATAACTTCATGAAAGAGCATCGCTTGTCTGCCATTGGAACAAAGCCCGCAGCACTGCGACGCCACCAGACTGCGTCTCAACCGTTCGGCCCCGGCCCCGGTCATTGAAGTCTCGAGGGACGCCTGCTGTCAAAGAGGCGGGGCTAGTACCCAGATCGCCATTGCGGTAGTCTTCTGCCCCCTCGGGGATAGTGCTGCTATTCACGATCTCATTTGCTTCTAGGACTGATAAGAAAGGCAGACCCCACCACATACCGAACTTCCCGTCATCATCACGAGTTATAAGCGCAGCTCGGGCGTTATGCTCAATCCAAGACCCGTAAGCACGGCAGCGCTTCAGATGGTTGCCGTACACTTCTTCCCACTCTTCGCCCGCGAGAGGTCTCTTGGTCTGACTAGCTAGGAATCTTTCTTCCTGTACCCGAAGCGGGCGACAAAATTCTGTAAGGTGATGAAAGAATATACCCTTAAAAGTCTGCCCATCCTGCGAACAACTAGCGTGCGAATCACAGTAATCTTCAAGTATACCTCCACGCCCGAGCCCAGCCCATGTGTTTGACCAAGTCTTCGGCCAGCCGGTAGCACGAAGGACTCTATGAATTAATTCGTGGCCATCAAGCATATACTCTTGTGAGCTAGTAGCTAGCCAAAGGCCTCTCAGCCCGCTGAGAATGACACCTTGGTTATACGTATAGACCATCTTATTCAATTGGTCGCATTTCCGAGTACCTGGATCCGACTCGCTACGCCAGCCACGGATATGGAAGCCATCTGCATAGAGCCCGTATAATCCAGTCATATGAGAGTTTTTCAGCCATGAATACCCATTGACTGCAGCGATTAAGTGTTTGGGATCATGGGGGAGCGGGGATTGGGCGGTGGCCATAAATGGGACATCGATGGGGTCGCCAGGGAAGTAAAGGTACATCGCAATGCTTGCAGATATAAAAAGCTCGTTCGTTATGGCGTTTTTGTATGGCTCTAGCGACGGGTTCCAGACCATACCGCCACCACATAGGGTTTTGTCCCATCCCACAGAAGCTAATTCGTAGAAGATCCGTGCTCGATGGGCGGCCGATTCACTAAACTGCGTGCCGTGCCATGCCGACCCGGACGATTTATTCGAGCTGGAATAGTGGAGGTCAGAGTGTAGGTTCTGGAATTTGATGTTTTCTAACCAGTCTAGCACTACCCAGAGCATGTCGTCGTAGGCTTGGTTCCGTAGGCTGAAAGCATTCTCGCCAAAATAGAAGGTGTTGAGGTGGCCGAAGAAATAATTGACAGTATTCTCGAGTGCGGCGAAAGATAATTCATGAGGTTGTTTGGCATTGGCGATGTCAAGTGCGCAAGTCGAAGTAAACGACGACAATGTTGCGCCAACGTGCGTTGCCAGGACAGCTGCAGTCCAATCGATACTGGTTGGCCATGTGCCCATCCACAGACAAAAATAGCTATCTTGCATAACATTCAATGCGTCAAAAAGATCCCGCAGTGTCTGGGTGGGAGTTTGCCAGCTCTTGGAGCCCTTATCTGTCGCAATGCCATTTCCAAGTTTGACCTCTTCCAAAGCATCGTACTGCGATTGGACTGACCCCTGCGCGGCAGGCAGGGATTCCCCGAGGTGTTTCTGAGGTTCGGTTGCAAGCGAAGTGGCCAAAACCAAAAAGGAAAAGAAGAATAAGGTAATAATCATATATAGAGATCGAGATAGCCCACAAGGGGCCTGGAATGTCGGTGACAAGGTCATTCTGATCGATAGGGAGAGAATCCGACAATTCCAAAGTAGAATCACTGTCTCTCCCCTATATAATAGTATGCCATGAAGAGAGAAAAGAGAGGAACCAAAGCACCAACAGCCGCCCGCATGAACATCGATAGCCTCTAATGCGGGGAAATGGGGAAGGAAAAAAGGTTGGATCCCTGAAATGGCTAGTTGAGGTATTAGTCACCTGGGGCATCCCCACATGTGCAAACTGATTGAATTCAACTCCATGGACGCTTGGCTGGGATGTTTATTGCTGCACAATAAAATTTTCTGTAAACCATGAAAAGCTATCTAGCCAAACATCAGCAGGTAAATAACTATGATGCATCACGAGATGCTATCTATTGGAGGTGTGCTCGTTGGTCGTGTGATTCAGCCCTGGTCGCTATATAGTTAGTCAAGCATGCCGAGCCGCGAGGCTACGCTCGGACTGAAGCTGGCTGCACAATGCAGGTCAATGCAAAGTTCTGTTTTCGAAACGAGGGAAGAGAGGGAAAGTAATTAATTAGAAAAGGACATCGACTTCTAGCATACGTTTTTGTTAATTAATAAGAAACCAGTGCAAGGTATGATGGGTACAAATTGAGATACGGAGCTGATTTGTATACGTATGAACTTCAATCATAACTATGCGTATGCGTATCTGTCAAGGCAAAGTATGTAATTAAACGGCGACTGAACTGTTATAGGTCGCGTATAATGCACCGAAGTTTAGAATTGCGGCATATGATATCCATGTTCATAGCTCTGTTTCTTTTTTTTTATTGAAATTATATATCGTTGCTAGCTGAACCAATTTATTCAACTGGAAGAACTCAATGCGCGAAATTGATTTGATGTAATGTGGCATCAAATCGACCGGCATTGTTTCAATCCTAGGCCCAAGTCAGCGAATGACAAACAACTAGACCAAGGACATATCTTCGTACCTTCCAGGACATTGTATTGGGGCGCCGACACCAACCTCTCCATGGGTATGCTAGCAATGATTCTCACGCAAGAAGCCATGGAAGCCTATCAAAGCAGCCGAGGAGAGAGAGAGCAGGTCGGCTGAGGTCAGGACACCGATTGTTCGTCATCCATCAAAAGAGTCGTAGGTTGGGGGTATGCAAGGTAAACAGGTGAAGAGAGAAGCGCTCCATAGAAAACGACGAGAAAATAAGAGGAAAGTCTAGGATTCAACATGGGTAGACAAGTAGTGGTAGTTGCCTCCCGTCTAGAGAATCAATCTTTCTTAAGAGATCAAAGCTAGTTGTGCTCAGCTTCGGGACTGCGGCTCCGGTTTGGGCTGCGGCTACGGCCCCGACCACCCCGATTTCCTTTCGGGCCTCCCTTGCCCTTTGCGGCCGGAGGTGGGCGAACGAAGGCGTAGTCGACGTGGATAGTTTGGTCAAGGAGCTTCGTGTCGTTCAGGTTTTTGATGGCTTCGGTAGCTTCTGGGAGGGTTGAGTATTCGATAAGCGCATATCCCTAGCATGGAAGTGTCAGTAAGAATTGTCTTCAAAGGCTATCAACAAGTCATAATTTAATTGCACCCTGTGATATGAAAGCTGGCCACCGCAGCGACATCAGCACTCAAGAAAGGTCATAGCGTACCTTGACATAACCTGTGCGTCGATCCAGGTTCAAGTTGAAGTTCTTGATTTCACCATACTCTGCAAAGAGTTCGGTGATGTCTTCCTCTGACGCTTCTTCGTGAATGTTTGACACAATGACAATCCAACCCTCAATACTGCGCACGGCGACCGCGCCGGATTGTGTGTGAGGCTCGAAGCCGCGCTCCTGTTGCTCGGGGACGTCATCCTGGGTCACAGGGGGATCCACTTCCATTTCGTTTGACATTTTGAGAGAAGTGTAGATAAGGGAGTGGGAAAAGAACGTTTGGAAAGGGCGTAGGTAGTTGTTCAATGAGGTGGGAATGCGGACTTGGGGAAAAGCTCTGGTTGAGGTACTCCATTTTGGGTTTAGCGTGTTTTCTACTAGAACCACAATCGGCTCTGCAACCATGTTGAGAGATGCTCTCCTGACTTGTATTTATTTAAGAAAATGGCAAGGCAAGTTGTCCATTTATTTGAATTTGAATCTTTCTTCAAGATCAATCCATCCGACTCATTCTGTATGGACCTAAATGGGAATGGAGAGGGCAAACGATGTTGTATAAGAACAAAGTTCCAGATTAGACACAAAGTGTACGGTTAGATTGAAGGTAAGGATACCATGGAGCTGATATTCAATCATTTCGAGGATTGCCCACACGAAGAGAGAGTTATGCAGTTCCGCAGGTCGAATACTGCATCAAGTCACGAGCTGTTGCCATGATTCTTCTCACGTACCGAAATACCAAGTCGAAAATTTGGCATCAAATTAGGACCAGGCTCAACTTGCTTGATATTGCAGGTTTCAACTGGGCACAAGATCAAGAACAAATGGTAAAGGGCAATATTCACGTCAAGTTCGGAAGACATCTTATCTATCAGAATGGGGTAGCCAGGCTGCAAAAATAACATCCATTGAGAAGTAGGCATCTTGTTTGGACCTGAGAGTGCCATCGTTAATGAAGGGTATGGAGCGACGACTCAACTCAAAGGCGTCTGTTCAGCTTTGCATGCAGGGGATTTGGTATGTACAAGAGCATCTAATGACCAGGGGCATGACAATCTTATGTACATAGTTTAGTCCGAAGCTATTGGAGGCCTAATATTCAGATTTCTTAAATATTAAATCACTACCGGGAGATTGTGACTGATTTTGGGGGACTCAATTCGAAATAATTTGGAATAACGCTAATGGTCACACGCTCATGGGTAGAGTGGGCTCCGAACTTCGTTGAGTCTAATTTAAAGGACGAGTTTTTTGTCTGCGCAGTGTTCTGATTTTTTTTGGGTATTTCTTTGAAGCAGAAGCTTCTTTAAGGAGTGGAGATTTATCCCCATTTGTTATGTCTTAAATGACAGACCTCCTCATGGAAAGGTGGGAAGGGAATTGAACAAGGAAAGGGAAAAGGAATGCAGTTCGTTAAAAGTACAGGATGCCGAGGAAATTAGGTAGTAGAAGGAAGCGGATGGTCACATCTGGCAAATTGCCTACTTTCGGTTGTTGCCGCGCATGCCCAAAATCTGGACCATACGAACGAAGATGTTAATGAAGTCCAGCTCGAGGCTAACACTCTCGTTGACAACATCACGCTTCATCAGGCCCCGCTGGGACAAGCGAGCGTGGTGCAGGACCTTTTGGACATCATAGAGAGTGAAGCCACCGAAGACAGCCAGACCACCGTACAGCCAAATACGCTCAGACCACATCAATGTGCGGGCAGCAGTGGCGGGGAGAACCATGGGGGCAAGACCAGAGAGAGCGACAAGAGTGACACCAGCGAGGAGCGGACCTCCGAGGTACAAGTACTTCTCTTGCTTGGCGGTTGCACCGACGAAGGCAATTGAGCCCATCAGACCGACGGTGTACATACCGGCACGAGCGAGCAGAGCAGGGTTGTAGAACATTAGAGGGGAGAGAAGCGCAGCCTGTGTGAGGTTGAAGGCAGTCCAAAGACCGTATTTCATAACGTAGCTATTGGGGCATTAGCAAGTGAGCAAGAAGACGTGATTAAATGAGTGGAAAACTTACTTATCCGGGGAGGTGTACATGGTGCCGTACATGGTGCCAATGCTGCCAACCAGACCAACACCGAGGACAGCCCAAGGGCTCATGGTCATCAAACGGACCGACCAACCATTGGTGTGGAGAGCGCGAGCAGCGATAGCAATAATACCAAGACCAAGACCAGTGTGCATGAAAGTTTCATTCAGGAAGCTTCGCTCGTAATCGGGCATGCCACCATCTTCGCGAGTTTCACGGTTGAAGATGAAGTTGGTAGCAAGGACGGTACCACCAATGATGGCGGCGCCGTAAGCCAGCTTCTGGCCCATGTTGCCACTTTGGCTGTTGAAGGTCTGCTGCATGTAGGTGCGACGGAAGGCATTTTGGAAGTTCTGGCGGGACTTGGCGAAGACGGAGGAAGTGCTCAGTGGCTTAGCGGCCTGGGTAGACTTGATAGGGGAGTTGTAAATGAAGCGAGCAGTGTTAGAAAGCCTGGGAACTTGCTTTAGTGCCGAAGAGACGGCGAATGGCCGCCGAAGAAAGAAAGCCATGGCGACGGTAATTGTCGAGAGTGGGTTTGAAGTTGAGGGGAATGCTTCTCCAAATATAGCCGGGAATGATATCAGCATGATTACTCACTGCCGGATGACCGGCTTCTCTTAAGTCCGAAGCTTCCAGAATTGTCATGTGACATCGAACAATTGCCCACCATATCCAGGTGGGGTGTGGCTTGCACTTACAGACGTTATATGAGCTTTTTACCATGGCATCATTACTAGAGACAATCAAGCTTCCTCATCTTCCGGCCGATCTTCCAGTCCATGTGGCTCTTTACCGGAATGTAGAAAATTCAGCCTTTTTGCGTGAGCAGCTTCTTGGTGGGAACACTGAATTTGAGTACGCCTTGGTTGATGCAAGCATGGTACGTGTATAAACCTTTTAGAGTTCAATTGTTGAAGAATAATCATTCTCATACATATATTTTATAAATGAAATAGGTTTTATCGCGAGACCATGCTCTCACGGCAATCTTCAGGGCTTTGAATGATTATTTGAACAATCGTCTCAAGTCTCGCAACGTGCACTCGGAGATAGTGTTCTCCTTTAGTTCAGCCAACAATGTGAGCAGCACAGCCCTTCTGGTCTTTCATAGCCTCATTGGAACAGAAAACTAACTGTCTTAGATCGCTGACTCATTTCGCAAATTCGGCATTGCCGACTCCACCAAGGACTTGTTGGTGGTGAAAGTCTCCGTATCGCCGGAGATAACCCATGACTCCATTGCCGCACATCTGGAAAGTTCTATCGAAGGAACCCCTGTGCCTTTCGACAACCAGGCAATTGCCGAGATCTCTGACATAACCAAGATTAAGAAGGCATATAAACTTGGGGCATTGCCTTCACCTAGCACAAGGACTGATGCTGAAAAATCCAATAGCACATTCGACGATGTCAAGCGCCGACTTGAACTGTCACTTCTAGGCGCCATTGCTCTTCGTGGATCATGAATGTCATTTTCAGCAAATGTATATCTTCAATTTTCCTGAGAGACTCGAGCGGTCGGGTCTATGGCTGAGGCTGGCCACCATATTGAACCCCCAGAAGTGATAATCCAACAATACCGGCAATTCAGCACATGGGAAGCAGTAACTAGGGCACAGTCATGCCCTGGCTAATTGATTTCCTTGATTCGCTCGGTTTGCCGAGGACCCTTTTCATTTGAAAGAAATAGTTTTCAATATTCTTCATGAGGAATTGTTTCCTGGGATTTTCTGCCATTGGCAGCCTCGCGAATACCGAAGTTTCAAAAATCCGTTATGGAATTGCAGGCTTATTGCACATGTGGGGTCTCATGACTCCAAAGGTTTAACGAATATGGGCTCAACCCCTGCCTTGAATTGCAAGGAAGTACCTCAGACTATGCATTCATGCTGAAGGTTAACATTGTTTCCCAGCGAGGGTCGGAGCAAAGCTTCATCAAAGATTCTATAGATCGGCCAGGTGGTTTACTAGCGAAAGATACATAATACCATGACTTCAACTTCCAATGCTATTTTCAAGAAATCTATGTTTACCCAAGATTGAAATGGCCATGTAGCAACCCTTTAAAAATAAAAGCTGTAGACTACCAGGTCAGTCAACGTACCTATGTTCCTATTTGATCATTGGGTCGGAATCCCGAAATTCCAAAGGGAATCTTGAAAAACGCGTCGAATATCAAAACCCATACGAAATTGCTTAGGTACGATATCCAGTATGTGATACCTTCTATCTTGAAATATATTGAGGAAGATCATAATTACGATTATACGCAGATGCAGATACCATGCGTTGCCCGGACCGACTTGTTGTCATCCCAGAACGGCAATCGCGCCGATCTTTGTAATCACCTTATCGCCCGACCTACATCATCGCATCTTGCATTTCAATGGTACTTGACCCGCTAATTAGCAGGAAAGTTAGCCTTCACAATTCGCTCAGCTGAAACCATAGCAGTTCTTTTAATTATTGTTTTATGAGTGGTGAGTATCTTACATACCGACCTATATGATCATCATCGAGCTTTGGTTGAACACGCGCGATTCATAACAATACCTCGACGCGCGCATCTCAACAATGGCGAGCGCTGCAGAAGCAATTGTTTTGTCCTCTTCCCCAATTGCCTCGACACATAACATTACGAAGTCATCAGATAATTCCGACCATCTCCCATGTATATCGCAACGAAATGCAACGCCACCACCTTTACCATCGCCTCAACCATCTCCCTCGAAGCAGCCCTGTCCCACGCGGTCTAAATTTTTCGCCCAGCCAGATGCGACCGATGCAGCGCTGAAGAAGAAGCGACAACCTGCGAAAAAGGCCACAGCAACCAAGAAAAGCGGAACGCGGACGAGCAAAAAGGCCAAGGAACCGGAATCAGGAACTATAACACTGGCTGGCAAAGTCATCAAGGCAAATGGTGATTCTCAGGCGAAGAAAGGGAAGAAGTCAGATGAGAAGTTAAGCACTTTGGATCCGTCCGAGCCTGAAGTATCTCATTCTTCGAAGCCTTCAGCTGATAATGAAGACCTACAGCTGGATGAGGCAATAGCAAGACGCCGTCACTGGACGCCTCCAAGGGAAACATCTCAAAACGCCATTGTCGCGGAGGATGAGTCTAAAAGCCAAGAGCCTAGGTCATTTGGCAAACTTTTATCCGACTATAATTATCCTGGTCTTGCTTCGGAATCGGCTAGCTTCAGTATGGATGACAACGGCCCAACAAAAAGAAGAAAAATCGAGGTATGTGATCAAGTACCTTGGCATCTATGTTTATATTTCAAAGATGAAAGGAGCTGATATCACTTAGCTTGTGGATTCTGCATTGCAATCTATGATGACTGGAAAACCAACTACAGAAAAGCCACCACCTTCTACCAAGCGAGCGAAAAAGCCTAAAAGGTTCACAACATTGACCGCTAGAATGACTGCCCAATATACTTCCAACGAAGTGACAGACACCGAATCAGTGGAAGACACTGTGCCAGAGATCAGTAAAGCAAAATCTCGACAAAAGAAAAAGGCCAAATCAGCGTCTACAGAACCTGCATTTGTTGTTCTATCCCCCGAAGCTGCAGCAAAAGCTCTGGATGACCAGGATTTGGTCTTTGGCAGCTGCAGCCAGCTTGAAAGAGAAAATTCTCCGCAGGCATCAACTGTCCATACATCAGAAGTCATGCTATCTGGCAGGCAAGCTCCAGGTCTTGGAACACCGTCACGCTTGGGATCTTCCGTGGTTAGCACAAAAAACCTATGGGGAGTTGCAGCTCGTGACATCGACGGATCTTTGATTCAAGCAGAGAAAAGGGACTTCGGCGACTTGGCAAAGCCCTCTAAAAAACCCCAAACAAAACAAAAAGATCTTAATCCTGTCTCTGAGTCCGTTACAATTGAGCATTTGCCACTTCAAACAAAGGCACAGGCTTCAGCTGAGAAGATCCCAACGGAAGTGACCAGTAGCCAAGGCCCTTCTATGCCGCAGTATACTGGGTTTACTGATGCCGAGCTTTCAAAGCATATTACGTCTTTTGGATTCAAGGCAGTGAGAGGTCGCAAGAAGATGATTGAGCTTCTTCAAAAATGTTGGGAGTCAAAGCACGGAAGTAGGAAGCCTGCTCAGACATCCGAGCAAATCACAGCATCCAAGCCCAATCCCAAGCCTAAGCCCAAGCCTAAAGCCCAGGCCAAAGCAAAACCCAAACGCACAGAAAAAGAAGAATCTCAAACTATTGTATCATCTGCATCAGTACATACATCTGCTGAAGTGACAACAACCAAGCAGAAAAGCCTACCAAACATATTCACTCAGATTACGAAGGCTGTGCGGGCACAGCCATCAATTAGCAGTCGGAAGCATGCAACATGGCATGAGAAGATCCTCACGTACGACCCTATCATTCTTGAAGATATTACAGCATGGCTAAATGTTGAAGGATTCGGCCTTGTTGATGAAGATAGAGAAGTTAGCTCCCTTGATGTGAGAACCTGGTGCGAGAGTCATGGGATCTGTTGCTGTTGGAAACAGAATGCAAGCTGGTGATATCGTTGACACCGCCTACCCACTTCCTTGCCCGGTCCACCTCATCCATTTTGATTTTACAATCAGAAAAACATCCTCGTTTCTAGTCGTACTGGATTGTAGTAAATTATAAGTGGGTTTTGGACCGCGGTAGCTGAGAGTAGCCTCAAAAAGACACAGATTGATTGGGTTTTCCAAATAAACTGTTTGGAGAAATATGATATCCCGTGTCCTCTCGGCATGGGTGGGATATAAATCAATATGATCAACATTTTTCAAAAAAATGGTTCAAGGTAAAATGATTCATGGTGTTGCACCCCGTGTAGATCTCAGGAGGATTGATTTGATTGCTGAAGAAGATAGCTTGAGCATCACTGGGCGATGACCGGGGGCATTCTATTTTGATTTTTTCCAGAAGTGACCACGGATTGAGATGTTAGAGACAGACCAAGTAGATGCCCATTACGAATACTACGACTTTAATCCCGCAGTTATCAATATATTAAAAGCAACATGACATTTTCTTAAAAGTACCGCAAAAACCGTCGAAAGCTCTTTCGCCAAAACAAAAGAACAATTGTAGAAGCCAAGGTCCATCAGATCACCAAAAAGAACAACCCAGCATGATAGAGGTGGGACTTTGTACGAAAAGCCCCGAAGATTTTCTAATTTCCAAACTTTCAAATCCAAAAAGACATAATAAGTAAGAATAGAAACAAAAAATCAAATGAAAATGGTATTGCTTCGAGTGGAGGACAGACAGGAGCGCAGACGACCGCCATCGAAAGGGCACGAGATTCCAAGATTCAACGCCAACGCACAGAAGAAAGCGTTCCAGGGCTGTATGGGGAGACAAGACCGCTTATTTCAAATTTGAAGTGAAAATCGCAGGTATTCATACCCCCTGGGTTGATAAAGTCCTCGTATTGATTATGGAAATCATTGGACATCTTGCAATGGGCGAATCGAGCTAGCTCAGATCCGAAAAAGGAGCTTAGGCCAAGAAAGCATGATCATAAAGCATTGATGGGTCAGATACTATGTTCATTCCCCCCATGCTCGGATTGCCGAAGGGAGTGGTCTGAGTGAATCCATCATGGTGAGTATCAGGATAAGACGCCCTATCTCTATTGTGTTGGAGTAACTCGTTCTGGTACTGTTCATTTGTTTTCGTCAAAAAGTCTATTCGATCATCGCGATTCGATATCTCCTTTTCGTACGCTTGAATCTTCTGACTGAGTTCCCGATAAACCTCCTTCAATTTCTGTTCGAGGTCGTCGACTTGGGATTTCAAAATGGCGGGCTCGCCACGAACGGATGTCACGTTGAGAACACGATCAGTGACAAAACAAGGTATTTTTGCTTCCCAACATCCTATACAGGAACTTTCATTGGGATTAATCTCGCAGCGGGATTTCTTCATCTAAATGTGTGGAACAATTAGTACCTGTTGATGTAATATTACCGGGACGAAAGTCGAACTCACCCTACATCTATCACAAGCATGTCTGGACCGGTTTGTGATTCTCTGCCTTTTGACCTGCTCTTCTCTGACCATCTCTGACCATTCAGGCTCCGGCTCATGACGACCGCGACGGCGCTTTTTCCCTTTATTCTCACAGGGCGACTCATGGATAGAGTTGGGGGGATATGCTTCTTTCTGATCGGGGCCATCTTCTAGATTGAGAGAGGAAGATTTGATGGTTTTCATTGGAAAAGTTATGGGAAACTCCTGTGCGAGAGCTTGAATAAAGCTTTCTTCTGCCATACTGACCATGTGGAAGTCGTTTGATGGCGAACAGGCGTGAGGAGGACGGTGTCAAGTTAAGAAGGAAAGATTCGCAGAAGGTTTGATAAATCTAGACAATGATAGATCTGAAGAGATATTTATGAATCAGAGGTATGATTCAACTTCACTTTAAAAAAGTATCTATATTCTTCTGTTGCTGAATAGGTGACAATTGGTGGGGTTTTCGGAGTTGGTGGTGGGCATATAGGAAAAAGAGGCTATGGTGGGTTTTATAAATGTCCAGAATGCAATAGAGCACCTACCCTGTTAAGATGCCTGAAAGTTCAGTAGTCCACCGTGACAGAACAGGAATCATCACTAAGGCTCTATGTGAGCTGAGTCCTGAGGTGGCTAAACTAGGGATGGGGCACCTAGATGAAGATATCTAATATAGTATTTTAGTGAAGCTGGCAGAAACTCATATTAGGTGTGAGCCTTTATATTCCAGAGTTGTGACTTTTCTTTTATTTTTTTATAGAGCCAGTTTATTGACGTGGAAAATAGAAGAAACAACTTAGACAATGAACATGAACATGAATGAAAATCATAAAGAAAGCGTGGTGCATGCTTATATGGCGTGAATTCCAAAGATGAAGACATCGACTGTCTCGGCCAATATATGGCAAAGTCTGGGGGTCATGTTTTATATCAAAAGCAGAGAGTGCATGGATATAGTCCCCATGGGCCTCAGGCTCTTAAAGTCGAAAGTTATGCGGCCCTTCAAGTTGACATAGATGAACTTCTCTCTTGACACAGCTCGATAATCTAAATGAAATTCTTGAGGCGTAGATACTCGATATCAGGATATTTAGAGTACACACCCCGTAAACCCAACCAAATGAAAAAAGGCAATAGGAAAGAAAAATTAGAAAAGAAAAGACAAGGGGGGCAAAGCTGTTGACACAGGCAGCATTAACTTCGTAAATGGCATACCATATCCGCAAGAAATTAAATATAAGTATCAAATGCGTTCAGTCTTGGAACTCCAGCCATGCTCGACCAGCTTAAGAGCCAAAGAAATGTGAAGTCAAATCACAACCCCTTACCCCAGAGGCAAAATACACAATAGCCCAAATCCGGAGCCCAGTCTATATGGGCCGAAGCCGACAAATGAATGTAAACAAAAGAAATGTGACCCAAAAAGCCTAACACCCAAATCATGAGAAGCCGTCAACAAGTCAAGATGAAAATAAACCCAAGGATATGTGAAGAAATCAAATAATTAAATAGATCGCGTTGGTATTATTGCAGGTCCACGTGACCTCATTGTTCAAGGTGGTCGTGTTCATTGCCATCGTTGGATTGTATGGCATCGAACTTGGTCTGAGTTTGTACCTGCCTATCGAAAAACTCTTGTATTTGAAGCGACAATTTGGAAGTCAACGCGCGGCTGATAGCGCATTGCACCGCCGTCTTCAAGCCAAGGAAGAAGGTTCTTACATTGGCTGACATCGAAGGACTCCAGTTGGTGACAACCTTCAGCAACGGCTTCCACACCTACCCCAGTGACACGAACGCAGCCACGCACGGATAGATGTTGGAGGGAAAGTAGATGCAGACCAATGCTACGAAGAGAGGGATCTGAAATCGCAGATCCACAGAAAGACATGTTAAGGTGCTTCAACTGTGAGCACTGGAGTGCAAGAACTTCGGTCGCGGTATCGGATAACGCACAACAAAACGACTGATCAAGATGTTAATTATAGTTTAGTTGAGTTTATGAGTGGAATATCTTACCAAGTCCAATTCTTGAAGCTGCTTGGCAGCGTTGGTCAGATGTACTATGGCATTGTCGGTCAAATAGGTGCAGTCAGCCAAGCAAAGTCGGCGGAGGTTGGTGAATCGTGCATTACCCCAGTATTGAAAGCCCTGGTCGGTGATAGTAGTACAGCGCGTCAGATCCATTTCTTCGATTCGACTGGCTGCATGTGATGCGATGTGGTGCATGGAACGGTCTGTCACATGTTTACAATAGGAAAGCGTGAGCTTTTTCAATTGAGGACAGCCATACACCAGACTGTCTGCAGTCTGAAAAGTAGGCTTGATGGTTGCACTTTTGCCTTCGGTCGGTTTCTGGCTTTCCGGTATAACCCATCCAATTATACGGGCCATCAGAGTATCGCCGACCTTTCGGCAGTTGCTCAAGTCGACCTCCTGCAGGCCTGTGGCTTTACTTGACATCTCTAAGATCGCTGAAGCGGTCACATCCCAGACGCTTTTCATCTTCCACGTTTTTGAGTTAGGGGCACAAGTGCTCACAAGTGCATTGAAACCCTCGTCGGTGATATGGAAGCAGTTGTTGATGTTCACAGATCGTGGTCGATCACCAACAAACGGACAAATGACCTTCACTAGAACTTCATCCGTGACCTTGCGATTGTAAACACTCAAGTCTAGATCTCGGGCGATTTTCCCAGACTTTTTCAGAATTTCAGTCCAATGAGATGACACAGCACGAAGCCGAAGGAGATGATGTAGTTCCAGAAATTGAAAGATATTCTGCAAAATACTATCTGGGAGTATTCCATAGTGAGCATCAATGGATGGACGTGGAGCTTTTTGCGATTTTGAGAGCCCGGCAGTCTCTGGGAGCGCAACTATCGATGAAGTAGCAGATCTTGGCTCCGAAGGTGATTGTCGCTGAAATTCCCCAGACATTTCTTCTGGGGCTAATGGGGCCACTGAGCCACGTCGGCTTCGAAGTCGAACTTTATCTAACCCAAGGCTCAAATAAGGGTCGGGATCCGATGGGCGTGCTAAAGGATGCTCCTGGTCCTCGCCCGATACGGATTGATGAGGACCATCCAGTTCAGTTTCCGTCAATGTCAACAAAGGCATGGACTTCCTCCGAGATGAGGTTATTTTGACTCGGTCATCAATATTTAAGTCGCCCATTGGAGACTGCTCGTCTGTGGCATCTGCCATAACCACATCACCATCAGAAGCCGCCTGCAACCTTTCTTGGGCAGTGCGCTCTACCTGCTCCCGAATGTCTTTAGGGCACATCTCCCAAAATTTTGAGAGCACATCCCCGCTCAGCATAAGACATTCGACTAATGTAACCGAGCGGACGGTTGCTGTTCTTCGCGGTGCTAAATCAAGACTCACCACCTCTCCAAAATACTGACCCTGCTTCAGTCTAGCTTTAACTTCGATACCGGAGTGATTAACTCCATTAGGCTTGCCATTTGGTTGGTTGTGTGTTTCGCGTTTTTCGGTTATTACCTCTACTTCACCACGAACAATGAAATAGAGTTCACGACCTTGGGTATCTTGCCGGATAATGTCGGTGAATGGAGGGAAGGAGGATGGCTGGGCATTCAACCCTAAAAAGTGAAGGATATCGGCAGGCAATCCAGAGAATAGAGGAAGTTCTTTGAGCAATAAACGAACATTCACTAGTCCATTGGCGAGGGCACTGGCCGCATCGCGGCGCCCCGGGCTCGGTGATTTCCGCTTTTTATGCACGGACTTGACACTGAGATCTTCATCCTCTGCAAGAATGAGATCCTTGGAAAAGCTTTCCCGCAATCTTTTGGAGCCTCTCCGCACTGGACTGGGACTAGCGTCATCGTCTATTACTGGTGCTGAAGTCTCCTTCTTTTTCTTTTCTAGGATCATCAATCGCTCTTGCGCTTCTTCCATGATTGCGCGCTCAACTTCAGGGAAGCGCGGCAATATGTTTCGAAAGTCGTCCTTAGAGAGCACGACCAGCATGCATCGGGTGCGAGCAATAATCGTCGCGGTGCGCGGTCGGTCCATCAACACACCAATCTCACCAAAGAAAGCTCCCGGCTTTAACTCAGCGTATATACTTTCTCCGTCGCGTGATGTGACCGATACTGCACCGCGAACTAGCCAATAAATCGCTTTCGCATCGTCACCCTCTGTGAGAATATAATCGTTCGGGGCGTGCAGTTGTGGGCGCAGGTGTTGGCCGACTTCGATCAAGAAGGATTCGGGTGTGGCTTGGAAGAGAGGAAATGACCGTAGGCGATCGACAAGCTCTAACGGTAGCGCTTTTATGTGGGAAGAAGCTAAGGGCGAGGGGCGCACCGGTCGGTTCGGATTCAGGACAGAGTCAAAGGAATGGATGAGGGACAGGTTATCGGACATGGGAGAGACACCTTTGGTCGGGCCCCCGCTAGCCCTACCATGGCGACGCATAGTTGATCACAAATATAAATGTTGAGATGAAGGTCTGATTTTTTGGCAGACAGGCATACGGGACCCCGGAGCGAGGAGCATCAATAAAACGATGACGTCGACGAAGGCAGCGCAGATTTCAAGCTGGTCTTCGGCATGCTCTCCACGCCCAATGGGATGGATTGAGCGCTAGCAGATAGACATCAGCAGATGTAGCAGTTGGTGAGGTTGGTGGGGGAAAGGTGAAGGAATCAAAGATGGTAGAAGGTTAACGGGGGGTCTCTTCAGGCGAAAAAGGTGGGGGGAAAGAGCGACTCAGCGACGTCAAATGCGGTTGAGCTCCACCGATCATCTGGAAACCTTCGGAAACTCTATGGGAACCCGCTGTCGGAGAGATCCACTATTTTCTTCTGCTATGACTATTATATGAGTCCCACAAAATCAGTCTCAGCTTTCAATATTTGTATCTGTATACGATTGTTCATCTCAGGCTTAGTGGGGGCGGCACCAAGCGGTCAATTGTGTTCGGATCGTCGCATTGTTTCGGTGCCTGCAGAGAAGATCCTTGCGCCCCAGCAGTTCGTGCCAGAAAATTTGCTCTATCTGCATGAGACATCGTTCTAATGAGACTTCAACTATGCTGATTAAGATTTCTTTTCTTTCGCTTTAAAGCTATGTCATTGTATTATAGCTATATGTCATGGAATATCTCAAAGAACAACCTTGATTTTTTGCCTAGAGCAGTCATTGCCCAATCCGGATAATCCGCACACATACTATTGGGAAGCAGCTATAAGCCTGAGTCCCCTTGTCAATTGGCAAGGTTTTATACATTCATGGATATCGAACTAGCTATTCAATACCGGTATTAGATAATGAAAATATTTTCAGACAGAATTGACGGTGGTCTGACTGCATTAGTCTCAGATCATGCAGCAAGTCCTGGAGTCAGGTATACATTTTTAGTCACGTGCACAAATATTTTGCAAGAGGAGATCAATTGCATGGTATAACATAAGAGGGTAAAAGGGTATCAAACGGGCATAGATAATACAGGGAGGAGGAGTTGGATGATTTAAAGGAGTAAGTCGTGTGACTGAGACTCCCCATTCTGTCTGTCCAATCAAAAGCATGATTTTCAGGCGCTTTGGCCAAATGTCTTAGCCGTAGTCTTTGTTCCTATCATGGCAAAAACCTGGCAATCTCAGACCATACCTGACTGAAGTTTGAGGTAGAGAAGTGCCATTGGTGGCCGGTAGAGATGCGACGTAGCCATTAGGGCCGCCGACAAAGAACATCGTTTAGACAGACATAAGCCTTCTATGGTAAAATGACGGCGGTTCGTGAGGGAGAAGAAAACATCATACAGAGCTCTCCTCTTTGAATTTATCTTGGCGCTTCCCTGCAAAAAAGTCTAGGTATTTTGGGCGGTTTCCTTTCATGGTCTCCAATGCGTCCTGCAGTAGACCGTAGCCCAAGCTTAACTTCAAGCCAAGCTTTGCTGTGCGCGCCGCAGTATAAACATCATGACAAGCTGGAGAGGATAGAGAAAATTAGTTGAAATGGTCTTGTTAGGCGGAGGCAAGAATATCCGACTATTATCCATACCTAGTAAACTGTAGATGCCAGAAAATGATAAGCCAGCGATGACTGTTGAAATGAAGTCTCGCTCATCATGACGAGCATAGTCGACTGTCTCCTCAAATAGGGAAAACGCAAGGGCCCCAGTGCCCAGTCTGAGGCCCATCTTTGCTCCATCCTTCGCTCCGCCGACGATAGAGATGTAGTTCTTAGTCTTGTGGTACTGGAACCAGCCGGTTGACGAGGTGGGAAATCGATGTGCGTTTTCTGCCCGAAACACGAGACCTGCTCTTCTGCTTCCATGTACATATCCTAAAGCTAAGCCAGTCATAATTGCCGACGTTGTGGTGTACGGTATGCGTTTTTCGACATCGATACCTAGCCGGGGCGGGCTGTCGGATTCGAAGAGCTTGTGCCAATAGACCAATTTAAGGAAGAGCGAGTGCTCTCGAGCAGACTCAACAGCCTCGGGGGTGACTGGTTGGGGTTCCATTGTGAAAGTGCTGTTGTACTGTTTTAGAGACTGACGATCGAGGTGAAGATGAGCCAGGTAGGCGCGGCGATGGCCTGGTTCGACGGAGAAGGGAAGAAAGCGATGCGATTTACGGAATGGGGCCCGTAGATTGAAAAGGAGCAGAGACGATGCGGTGAAAGCGATATTATACTATCCAAAATGAATGTTCTTTGTTGCGCTTCTCACCTCAATTCCGTGGCGAAGAAGTCGGCACAAGACTTTCGGAGTCGGGAGCTTCTCTCCGCCTCCGCCGCGACTCCGCTAAATCGATTACGCCTGGCACTTTCAGCATAGCAGCAACGGCGCCCTCATTCTATCCCTACAACCCATCTAAAATGGTGAGTTTCGGATTAAATTGCTTACATCTCAAGTATAAAGAACGACCGAAGTAAGCTAATCATATCTTACCTCATACAGCCACCAAAACGAGCAACATCAACCTCCAGATCATCGACTGTCCTCTTCAAAAAGCACAAGATCACTGTCCTACTTTCCCTCCAACCCAATGAGCCCCTCACAGCAGTCAAAGAAAAATTACACGATGCCTTGAAATCGCGGGAGCTTCGCGAAATCAATGGCGATCAAGTCCCCGAGGACTCTAGTTGCATCGAGTTTGGTTTGCCCGTTGATCGAAATGACCTCGAAAAAGGATGGACACCACTGGCCGACCATACATCAGTTGATCAGAATGGGGATGTTCCTCAAACGAGTACAGGGATAGCCGACCAGACTGCTCAAGCAGCTGGATTAACGAATGGGCACCCAGTCGCATTTCGTTTCAGGAAGTCAGGCGAAGTCAAAGACGACGAGCTCGAGAGAGATCTCAATCACGAAGATCCAGGATGGGACGTAGTTATCCCATCTTTTGAGGACGAGGACGAGGAATATTGATTGGATTAGGATTGTCTTTTTGAGAGCTTAACGAAAACGAAGCCGGAAAATGAGGGTCAGTGGCGTTGACAGAAGGAGGGCTTGCTTGATATTATTCGTTGCATGGCGTTTCGGTATTTTGTACAGTACATCTACTACTGTTGCTTGAATGAGGGTTAAGCCATGACAGCTGTTGCTCTTGATCTGCTTTTCATGGTAATAACTAGGAAAGATATTGTAAAAACAACTACGAGTAGCTGGGCTGGGACATGCTTTGTCCAGGGCAGGAAATATGTCAACTCTCTTTCAAATTAGAGTATAGAGGGTCCTGGGGCACTCTAGATTGTAGACATTAAGCATTCATGAGATCTTACCCGATAATCTTTCTATTATTAGCTTGTCCAAGTGAGCTATCACACTTTGCCCCCACAAGATTGGACCTGAAACAGATACGTGCGTGGATAACAAGAGCTGTAGTGCGTGGTCGTAATATGAAACAGTTTTATAGACCAATGCTGTAGTGCTACGAGTCCAAATGCCACGCTATAGACAAGCTAATCGGCACTATCAAACGGTTGCCGGGAGCAACCAGGAGGGGACAACAAGTCCCTCCTATCAACAAATGAAATCGCTTCCAGGAGACTCTCGGAGAATACTGCATCCCATAAACCCCATACAACATTAGATCCACACATTCTTCACCCTTTCATTGTTAACTCTCGACAACCCACAACCCCAACTTTAGGCCTTGCCGAACGCAGGTCGCGATACGGCTTCGACATACCGGCCCCGCAGCAGCGCGACGTGCAGGCGGCTTTCGACCCTATCTTCCACCATGGCCGCCTCCGATGGCGCCTCTTCAATCACGGTCGCGGTCCGCGTACGACCTTTTACAATCCGAGAAGCAGCTCAAATAACCAAGACCGATGATGGCCCTCTTTTCCTTGGCGACGGATCGCTAGCAGGTGTCCCTGCACCAAAGTTGAACCAAAAGGGAATTCGATCCATTGTGAAGGTGATCGACGATCGATGTTTGTATGTATCAAGCTTGAACGATCGACTATTAGCTCAGGACAGCTTTCCCCGCTGACTTTCATTCTACCAGAGTGTTTGACCCTCCCGAAGACAACCCGGTCCAGAAGTTTTCCAGGAGCGTGGTGCCCAATGGCAAGCGCGTCAAGGATCAGACCTTCGCCTTCGATCGTATCTTCGACCAAAATGCCTCCCAAGGTGAGGTTTACGAGTCAACTACTCGCGGCCTTCTCGATAGCGTTCTCGACGGCTACAATGCGACAGTCTTTGCATACGGTGCCACGGGTTGTGGAAAGACCCATACCATTACAGGAACTTCCCAGCAGCCTGGAATTATTTTCTTGACCATGCAAGAGCTTTTCGAGCGAATCGATGAGCGATCAAGCGAGAAGTCAACCGAGATCTCTCTGTCCTACCTAGAAATTTACAACGAAACTATTCGCGATCTTCTCGTTCCACCAGGTGCAAAGGGTGGTCTTATGCTTCGTGAAGATGCGAACCAGTCAGTCTCTGTGCCTGGATTGTCAAGCCACCACCCACAAAATGTTCAGGAAGTCATGGATATGATTATGCGTGGCAATGAATGCCGTACCATGTCTCCGACTGAGGCCAATGCGACCTCGTCTCGATCTCACGCCGTCCTCCAAATCAACGTGGCTCAGAAGGATAGGAATGCCGATGTGAATGAGCCTCATACTATGGCAACTCTGAGTATCATCGATCTTGCGGGAAGTGAACGAGCAAGTGCTACGAAGAACCGAGGCGAGCGCCTCCTTGAAGGTGCTAATATCAACAAGTCCCTCCTGGCCCTAGGTAGCTGCATTAATGCACTCTGTGACCCTCGGAAGCGAAATCATATCCCTTACCGAAATTCGAAGCTTACTCGACTTCTGAAGTTTGCTCTCGGCGGAAATTGCAAAACTGTCATGATCGTTTGCGTTAGTCCATCAAGTCAGCACTTCGACGAGACTCAGAACACGCTACGCTACGCCAACCGTGCAAAGAATATCCAGACCAAGGTTACCCGAAATGTGTTCAATGTCAACCGCCACGTTAAAGACTTTTTGGTCAAGATTGACGAACAAATGAAGCTCATCAATGAACTCAAGGCGCAACAGAAGGACCAAGAGACTGTGGCGTTCGTAAAATTCAAGAAACAAAATGAGAAGAAAGACGCAGTTATGCGTGAAGGTGTTGCTCGTATCCGCAATGCATACGAACATGCTCAGCCAGAGAGACAGGAGAAGACCAATAATATGCTTAAGTTAAGACAGATCAGCCGCAGGATCGGTATTCTCTCGTCTTGGATCGCAGCCTTTGACACGGTCTGTGCCGCTCGCGAAGACGGCGAGGGCATCGCAAACTTGTGGGCAATTCGCAAGTCCGCACAAGGTATCCTTATCGAGTTGGAGGGCAGCCGACACCACTATCATCAACGACTATCTAAAAGTACATGGGACCGAGCGATGATTTCGGCTGTTGAAAACGCGACCAAACAGCTGCAGGATTTCGATATTAGTGACGCTAGCGATTACGCCAATTTGGACAGAGAAGCCGAGCTTCTCAGATCAAATGCAGAGCGCGAGGCCTTGTCTGCAGTAGTGGAACAGGACAAAGCTGGCGAAGCTGGTGCTGTGCAGCTTCTTCTTCAGGCACAATTCGAATTGATGTCCTCCATTGAAGACATAATGCAACTCAATGCAACCGAGGCTATTCAAAAAGGGCGTGTTATTCTTGGCAAGATGTTGGAAGAATGTTCGAATGCGGCATCCAACCTTGTAAAGTCTGATGGCAGCTTGTCTGCCATGCCTGCTAGCCCAGTCAAACCAGCTAGTCCGGCAAAGCCTAAGAAGAGGTTCAGCATGGTCAGCATGCCGCCACCGATGAAGAGCCTCCAACCATCTGTTCAAATTGCACATGTTGCTCCGCCATCCCCCATAAAGGGTTCGCCCCGTCGCCGCAAGGCCGCCGCTGGTCGTAAAAGTGTTAGCTTTTCACCAAAGAAGTCACAAGCTAAATCAACTAAGCGGTCAGTTCGTTGGAAGGATGATGAGGAAGACGCTCCCTTGACCGAGTTCCAAAACACACCCCAAAAGGACGACTCTTTTGATGAGTTCAGCTCCGAAGAGACTTCCGAACCCGTCTTACCACGATCGTCGTCTCCTATTCCACGAAACATCCCTCGGGTCGTTAGCCCATCGGGGATTTCTTCTCCTGTCCCAGCATCCGGCGATTCAATGCTCAGTGTTCAGAAGAACAACAGTCGGTTCAAGGCTGGATTTCTTTCCAAGAGAGCTGGAAGCTCACCTCTAGCACCTCCCCCTACCGCGTCTCTTCCACTTTCTGATACTGGAAACTCCCCCCTTCGTGATATTGAGGGCAGCAGCTTCCTCAATCGTGCCTCGTCGGAACGACCTTCTCGTATCGCCGTGCGCAGCCCGAGTGGAAATTTCTCGAGCAGCCCAGTCGCCGATAGTAAATCAGAAAGCAATGACAACTGGAAGTCTGAGAAGGACGAGGCGATCAAAATTAATTCCGCCATGCGTCGTATCTCCAGTGGACATTTCGGACCAACTGCCAACTCTCTACGCGTCCACCGTCGACGCAGCCCCAGCTCTAACACATACGGTAGCTCGCCGAGCGAGAACAATATGTTCACCGCATCGCAGGCTCGTCGTATGGTAAAAAGTGAGCGAGAGGTAGAAACTAAGCCTAGAGTCTTCAGCCCTCACACGCTACCAGTGATGAAGAATACAGGTCGACGTACTACCTTGGGAGGAGATATCCGACCTCGACATGCCAGTCTTTCCAGCAGAGATGCCATGCGACTGAGTGCCATGGCAACTCCACAAGTCGATCGCTCGTCATGATAGACATCCAGTGTATCGCGGTAGATATCTGATGCTCTCTATCTTGATTCCTTTTCTTTTTTGCTTTTTGCCTTTTCTGGTGACTATGATGGAGTTGGATATGGGTTTGGCGCACAAGATACCACTTTCTCCCCTTTTTTCTCCCAGTTCTTCTTCTCGGTGTACTACTGCCATGGGTTGATCTCATACTTGTTTTATCGATTTTTCTATCTTCTTTCTCTCGTGTCGTTTGACTACGTCTAGCCCGCTGGTGGATTTGCGTCTGTCGCATTTTTTTCTTTACTTGTCATATTCTTTCTTCGAAAGTGTACATTAACGACTTTGAACCGTCCTTTTTTCTGTTACTCAAATTATACTTGTCCAGTATAACGCAATTGCCACCATATAATCTTCCGTAAGTAGAGATGTCTAGTGTGTCGGGTAAATCTTGACACCTTGAAACCCCGGACATCGTCGTCAACTGGTTGGTGTTTGCGTTGCTTTGTCAGAACTCGCATGACGCCACTGCGCAACAGCTTTAGCTCAAGTTGAATCATAGTAATCCTTCTTGAAATTCCTCCTCAAGCCCTTACAATTACTCTGTCATTTTCTGACAAGCTGGCGATCCCGCTTATGAGCCCCCACCGCACTTTTGTTTCCCTCTAAAAAGTGTCAGAACCCGCCTCGCGTCAACTTCTAATCTCCTTCCCCACTTCCGGCACTCGTTCTCCACTAGAATTTCTGCAGATGACTTTCGCCGCCCCGATCGCTTCGACATTATTTTCACGACTCGCCCGTCCCTTCTCCAAAAGCGCTCCGATTCTCTCTCTTACCCCGGAATCCCAATCGCGCAACATGTCCACCACAGAAAAAGCCACCGTCGGAGCCGGCTGCTTCTGGGGCGTCGAGCATCTATACCGCAAGAACTTCGGAAACGGCAAGGGTTTGCTGGATGCGAAGGTTGGATATTCTGGAGGACAGACCTCTGATCCAAACTACCGAGCTGTTTGCTCTGGCTCTACTGGCCGTAAGTTCTATTGACTACTCGTGCCAAAGCTTCGGTCTTTTTCTGGAGATCTCGCGCCGCGCTATAATATACTTCTGCTTTTACGTGGAGAACGTTCGCTAATATCTTTTTTCTTTCTTTTAGACGCCGAAGCCCTCCAAGTCACCTTCGATCCCTCCATTGTGTCTTACCGCCAGCTACTTGAGTTCTTCTATCGTATGCACGACGCTTCAACTCCTAACCGCCAAGGTCCGGATGTTGGTACTCAGTACCGTAGTGTGATCTACACACATGGCGCGGAGCAACAGAGCATTGCGGAGGAGATTACTAAGAAGGTTAGCGAGCAGTGGTATAAGAAACCTGTTTCCACTGAGGTTGCGCCCGCCGGTCAGTGGTGGAATGCCGAAGAATATCACCAGTTGTACTTGAACAAGAACCCTGCTGGCTATGAGTGCCCTGCACAGTATGTGTTCTCCGTCTCTATTCCCGGAGAGGTTTCATTTGTCTTCTTTTTTGAGATATCAGTACTAACGCAACATTTTACTAGCTTTGTGCGCGACTTCCCTCCTCTTTCGGATTGACTAGGTGCACCGAAAATATAACGAACTTATTTGATTTAATTGCATTGTTTGCTATTATGTTTTTGGAGAACCCCCGAGTTCAAATCTAGGGTACACCACATGAATATTTGAACTTCTTGGTTCACGAATCCATTCTTTGACCCATAGATGGTCTGAATTGGCATCATTCTCAATCGAGAGTTGAAATCTATCTCTACATACATTTGATTTTGTCATGGAATGAATCATTTCTATTTCTATCAATTATTGGTTGAAAACCGAGAATAAATATCGGAGACAATCATAGGCCTTGTCTGCCTTTCTCATTGTATATGTGCATCTCTCAATTTCCAGCGCCAACGCATTCTCGAGTGTTAGATCTATTGATAGAGGATCTTCTTTCAGGAGAATCTTTTTTAATATGGATCTTCAAATATATCGAATAGCTGGACAGTAAAAATCCAAGTATCTACCCAGAGATCAAGCACTTGTCTTCTAACGAGCTTCATCTCGACTTGGTGAGAGCTTTGCCTTCTAGGGGCCATAAAAGGGGCCATTTGCCTGCACTCGCAACTTCCGAAGACCACATCTCCCAACCATCAATATATCGGTATATCATATTTGGAGTTCCCATTTATCTATTTTACAACATCTTGATTTGGAATTCAATCCTCGAATGTATGCCCGTTCCAATATCAAACTATACAGCGCCATGGCTTGGAACACAGACCTTGACACAAATCCTTTCGTGCCAACGAACTTTTCCACGTCCAACTTTTGCCATTGGTCACCGCATGAGGAACTCTTTCTCTATATTACTCTCTCCAAGCTCCTTTGAATTTGAAAGCGGAAGAATTTCAGCTCGAGTTTCTCGTGTCGGCACTCTGATATTAAAATGCATGCGTGATGGCGGATGGTAACTCTTTGACTTATAAAATGCATTATATGATCCTAGTTACACTACTATCATTGTTTCAGCCTCTCGTTTACTTGAAAAATACCCTAGTACGGATTTCGAACGTCAAGTTGGGGTGGTATCATCACTTTTGGTTCTGGCGAGAGGATTCCGTGCTGTTTACACGATTGGGAGTACCATTTAGATATTTCGCATATCTGGCACAATTCCATAGAAGTTAAATGCCATGCACTTGATTATTGTTGTAGCGATTATTGTGTATTGCGGGAACAATCTCTATCTGAAGAGCATAGCCCTAGGAATCTTATTGGGGAAGGCGATAGGAAATGAGACAAGATAGAGAACATTGAGATTGGTGAGACATGTTTTAAGGAGTTTTCTTCTTCTTTTCTCCATTTTAAGCTACCTTGTTTCTTGTTTCATCTTTCGTGTTTCTAGAATATTTCCAATTCTAGTAAACCATGGTGATATATGGCGGACTACATGAAAGATTGTGCTTTTCCGTTTAGGAATATCAGAAACTCCTACGTTTTTTGATCCAGTCGATGGTCTGAATTAAAATTTGTCTGAATTGAAGGTCAAATAATATACGGTAATATGATTTATCTAGTGAGACAAAATTATCCTCATTCAAGAATTATTTCTATCAAAACAAAGATTTGGGCACGAATCAAGCCGTTGTGGCATGGTGTACCTCTTCCATTGATAGAGACATTGATTGTCTCAATTTTTAATCAGCAAATCATGTAAGTCAAATCTGCAGTACTGAAAAACGTGGCGAATTAGCTTATTTCATCGGAAATATCTTTGGATGGAGCTTCATAGCTTCAGGTTCGGGGTCCAAGACGTCAAAGAGCTGGGCAGGAATGCTTCAAAGAGCTAGCCAGCAACAAGATCTTACCTTCAGATGAGCTTCAAGCCCACTCAAAATGATGAAAAAGACTATTTCCCAGCTATTCAATTCCAGAAGATCACAACTCTCTTCTTCCATCAAACCATCACTCCCAATCTCGTTACCTTGTAATATCGTAGCTTACTATTCTTGAACAACCATTTTTCAACTTAAAACTTAAGCAACACAAGCCAAAGCACCTTAGATCCTACCAACCAATTTAAGGGGCGGATACCCCTTACCGAAGCCAGCTTGTCGTTCTAGACACTGGTGCGGGTCATCGTAAGTACAAGCACAAGAACCTATTCTTAGATATTACACCCTATGAAGTACAACTCACCAAGTACATTACTAAAGGAAAAGGTACTGTAAGATTAAGATACAAGACTGTGAACGGCTAGCTCGATCTCGATTTTCCCAATACTTATAAGGTTCCTAAGAAGTCCTACAGCTGCGATACAACTATATCATTTTCCGTGTTTGTAAAAGCCTTCGGTACACATTTCCAACAAATTAATAACTCGACCAATTTCAGCGTCACAATTGGCTCGGATACATTGATAGTCTACTTGAACAGGACTTACTATCTACTACTTCCTCATAAGACCGATTGCAACTACCATACATAAGGTAATGGTCATAGCAATACTCATTCACAGTAAAAGTCTTCGCCACTCTGAGGTTTGCCTTGGAAATCAGTGAGAGACTAAGTAGACAATGTTGAGACTGATTGGATTTTTTTATTTTCAGTAAAGATGATGAGCATTCTAGGATCGAATTTGGGAGGGATGTGATGCGAGTTCAGGATGCAACTTAGGCCAGATTGAAGATTTTCTGTTGTTCCCTGTTTTTCTTGTTTTATTGGAGTTTTGTTGAGGTTTTTGTTTCTGCATTGATTTAATTGAAATTTACTGTTTGTTTTGAGTATCTCTTGCTCGGTTTGTCTCTGTGCCTTTTAGTAGTAGGTGAATCAATTGAACCTATTTGCACACTCGTCTCTCATTCCAAGTGATATTGTCGATCATATTGGTACAACTTGCATTGACCAAGTATTTCGCTCCTAGCCCATCTTGTAGCTACCAGGATAGGTAGTTGCATACAAGGGTAGCCGTGATTCGCTAGGTGGAATTTTCTGATGATGACTAGGACAGCAACGACTTATACTCTCGCATAGCTACTATCATATCATTCGTCATAAATCATGCTAGGAGAATATCCAAGCTCACAGCATACTGACCTCAACTGGAATGACAACGTCAAACAAGGTCGGAGGTATTCGTCTACGTATGGGTAGTAGAGCTCCTTATCAAGATCGCGCTAACCTCAATAGAAGCGAGAGAACTGGAGATTTGAGTACGGGATAATTACGATAAGAAATCCTCCCAAAACCCACACGGGCAGTGCTACGCGCCAAAAGTCCTTGGTACCTGGGGCCAAGACCAAGCCGTAGCACAATTTCTCCCCAGATAGATTCCTTCGCACTGTTGTGTTTCCTCAAGGCACCGCTATCCACTTCCCCCTTACGGAGGACATATGTAATGACACATTCCTGGGCTGGCAATAAACATTAAACTTGGAAGTAGGTCACAACAGATCAACATGGTGCCTCAGCCACTATCATCACATTTTTTCTAGAAGAATATCTGGGGTTGCTGAGAAGAGCAAATGCATGGGAGATGGGTTGTACTTCGTATTAGTCTCGTATTGTGGTATTTTGATTTTCGCCCCTGACTTCCTCGTGCGTAGTGTGATCAACACTCTAGCTCCCCCCGGAGCTCCGTGTGGGTGCGCAGCACCGTTCAACGAGTGGTGGGAACGAGCGCATAAGGTTACCCCGACACTGGATCGACAGTTCCTCCTCGTTCCTGTGCAGAATTGGGATGTCAGGACGAGTAGATCTTTATTGACTGCTACCCTGGTCTAGTGTTTTTATTCCAGAGGTCATTCAGTACGTATTATTGGGGAAATATGATCCATTGAAGCCAAGAACCTTGGACGAGAAAAAGTCTTGGGCGCCGAGCCTTACGGCGCCACTCTATTAATCCACCAAGTCTTGGTCTTGTTTCTTTCTTGTTTAAACCAAAAAAAATTTGCCTGTAGCCTGGCGAAGCGAAGTGTGGCTCACTTGAAATTGAGTCGGTGGCCCCCAACTGCAAGGTGTCTCGGAATATGATTGGGTACGCCATATTCGGTACCGTACGGATACCCGTACCCAGGTGGGCTGCTGGAGCTGGAAGAGGAAGCGTTACACGATCCCTGGAGTCTTATTGGTGAAAAGAGACACTAATTATAACACTTTGAAGTTGGGAAATCGTAGTCGACCACGGACCATTCCGATATCTATTGCCTACCTAGGTACAGAAGAGTTTAGTCCGGTTAAATCCAGTCAATTCAGTGTCAATGTGGTCATTCTGATTTTGCTAGTCACAAACACCTGGGGCAAAATGTCTCACACGGCACCCACCAAAGTAATCACGACGCGCCTAAACCAGGAAATGAGATCGAGCCACTGTATTTTTAGGAAGATTTCTTCACCTAGGGATCTATTTTGGATTGTCGAATACACAGATATTCATGTTGCCACAATAATTTGCCAAATGTGATCGGCTGATTACACAAAGAAGAGAGAGAGAAAGGCAAAGTCAATTCGCGGGGAATTGGCAGACCCTTGGCGTAAATACGGGTAATATCGTGTATTGGCACTGTCAGCCTGCCAATCAATACCTGTGCACAGTTATTAGTGGAGCACTTGAGTCAAAGAGCCCTGAGAGTCCCTGAACTAACGAGTCCCTGTCTAACCAAGTGGAGCCAGTCCCTGTTCATGATAAGGTGTTGACTCCACCAATTGTTCCAATTTCCTTGGATGCTGTTTATGCAAAAAAGTTCCTGCTGGAAACTTTGATTGTCATTGCCCCGTCACCTTTAAGGAGCCCCGAACTCTCTCTCTCTCTCTCCTGATGCCCTCGCCTTGACTTCTTCCCTTTATTTTAATTTCTTCTTTTTCCATCACCCAGTTCGCTCGTTTGTCTGTGGTTTTGTTTTGTTTTATTCTTGGATCTTCTACGATCTGTTTCACTCGCTCACACTAAAACTCACCACACACCCCCTTTCTTGTACATTCTGGTTTTGCATACTCGAACGTCTCCACCCGTACACAATCTGACACGATGGTCCGTTTCGTGACCTCTCTCTCCCTCCTGGCCCTCTCCGCCACGGCCTGGGCTACCACTACTTGCAGTGCTAGCAGCCAGTGTCCTAAGGACAAGCCCTGCTGCTCCCGTAAGTATACATGATATGATGCATTGCAATTCGAACTGATTGTGGAACCTGGTCCCTGACATGCTTCTCTTCCCCACACAGAATATGGCGAGTGTGGTACCGGCGCATACTGCTTGGGTGGTTGCGACCCCCAGGCCTCTTTCGCCATTGACGCGTGTGCTCCTATGCCTGTCTGCCAGAGCAAGAGCTACACCTGGGATAACCTCGACAACTCCGTCTTGAACACCAAGTACCTCGGCAACACTACCGACGCCGACTGGACTTACTCTGGTTTCCCCAAGACTGAGAATGGCTCTCTCCTCATGACCATGCCCAAGGAATCTGTCGGAACTCTCTTCGCTAACAACCACTACATCTGGTACGGCAAGGTTTCCGGAAAGATCAAGTCCAGCCGCGGCAAGGGTGTTGTTACTGCATTCATCCTACTCTCCGATGTCAAGGATGAGATCGATTACGAGTGGGTCGGTGCCGATCTCACTGATGTGCAAACCAATTACTACTGGCAGGGTGTTCTCGACTGTACGTGACTTGCTTTACTCCGATATTTCTTTGTTTGCGCGCCGCGCGCAATGTTAGATGCCTTTTGATCTGATTAACTAACTCAAATTCACAGGGCACAACAGCGCCAACGCTACCTTCAGCGGCGATGACAGCTTTGACGACTGGCACACTTACGAGATCGACTGGCAGCCCGACCAGCTCCAGTGGATCATCGACGGCGAAGTTAAGCGTACCCTGAAGAAGTCCTCCACCTACAACGAGACCTCCAAGCAGTACCAATACCCCCAGACTCCTTCTCGTCTCCAGATGTCTCTCTGGCCCGCCGGTCAGTCCAGCAACGCCGAGGGTACCATCGCCTGGGCTGGTGGTGAGATCGACTGGGACAGCGAGGACATCAAGGACAAGGGTTACTACTACGCTACCATCGGCCAGGTTGACGTGCAGTGCTACGCCACCCCCGACGGCATCACCACCAAGGGCAACACCTCATACGTCTACACCTCCAGCGACGCCATGGAGTCCGATATCGAAGTGACCAGCAACTCCACCATCCTGGGCTCCTTGGGTGCCACCGGTCTCGACCCCACTCTCGGTGCCAACAGCTCTTCTTCCGCCACCAGCAGCGGCAGCGACAGCGTCCCCACCAATTCCAGCGGTGGCAGCGGTAGCGCCGGTAACAGCACTACCTCTACTGGTTCTGGATCTGGATCCAACTCCGGCTCTGGCTCCGGTACCTCCACTGAGTCCGGTAACCCCTCTTCCACCTCCAGCTCTTTCAGCCAAGGTACTAGCAGCAGCGCCGCCAACCCCAGCGACCGTGTCCTGAGTGGCTCGCTCTTCGCAGTCCTGGTTGCTGTTGGTGGTCTGGTGACGCTGTAAATGTTTTGATTGGATTTGAATCCCCGATTTTATCTTGTTGTATTTTATTCTTTTTACTCTTATCTTTTTGAGTACATTATTTTGATCCCGGGTTATTTCCATATGGGCCCATTTCTTTCTTGACTGTCACTGAACCCAACTTGAACAAATCCAACTTAATGAAGACCTCCCTTTCCGATATGTTACGGTGATTGTCCTGTTTCAATGCCTTCGTGCATTCGTGCATTAATCTCAATGCTTTGATTTTCTTTCATGGTTTTTGTTTCAAAATACCTCGTTAGCGTCTCATTTGATATTACTATCCAACTACTTGTTCTGGGTATTCATTTGATCTTCACTGTTCCTTGTAACTACATAAATTCCCATCTATTGTAGAGACTGTTTGTACATGCATCTATTGGCAAGTCCAGGTGTTACACTGAAGCCTCTGTCGTCATTCATGCAGGGTACCTACATATCTCAAAGCACCCATCCACCAAGCCACGGGAAGATGGGTGTACTATACCGCATTGGCTGGGAACCCAACAACCTCATCCAAATACCTGTGGACACACGCCACATCCATGTATCCACGTGGCATCGGAGATATAGAAGGGAATGCACTCCGTACTTTGGTCAATATCCTGTATACAGCCGCCATAGTGGGTCTGGCATGTGAAGGTCTCAGGCTTATGTACACGCAAGTTCTCTCTGGATACATAAGAAGTGGTTATGGCAACTTGCAGCATCCCCGTTTGGTCCTGGTCAATATGAGGCATCTGACGAACAATTTGAAGAGGACGCATATCAAGACCAACTTAAACCCCTTAATCTCTATCTTTGATGCTAGCCCAATTTTACTTTGTATATTCTCTACTGCATGGGTATACATATCCTTTCGTTCTGCTCTTTCGCTTCTGTCTCAGCTATTTACCTGCCTTTGATGGATTCAACATTGATATTATTTATAGACAATCCAAATGCGCTCTCAAGGATCAACTAGGGTACACCTATTGCCTCCTTTTCAACTTCAGAAAATAAAACAAGATAACCACAACTTCTTGGCCCTACTCCCTTGAAGTTCTTTTCAACCCAGGACTTCCCACCTTAAACCCAGACAATTCCATTGAGCCCATCTTAAGAACATAAAAGACCTCCCACTCATTTCACAGAACAAAAAAAATTTCAACCATCCGATGTGCCTCTACAAAGCCATCTGGTACTATGAATGCCAGCACGTCCGATTCCAACTCCATACTCTCTGCAATGAACTTCTCGACCAGCTATACCGAATCAACGAGATAATGTCGCAAGAATCACAAGCATCGCAAGATGAGGCCGAGAAACCGGTTAGCTGTTTACCTCGGCTCGTCGCTCCAGATGGTCTCCTGGTCATGAAGGATAAAGGGTTCCAGGACGGTGGAGCAACGAATATTATTCAGTGGGTTACTGACTTGGTTGATCCGTGTCCATCTTGTGCTTTGAACTTGAAATTGCACTTGAAGAAGGAGATGTGAGAACTTGAATATTCATGGAGTTTGGTTGCTTTTATTCTGGTCTGTGACATTGCGTGGGGAAAACTGCTGTCAAGGAGACAAATAACTCAAGTTGCTGATTGACTATGTATACTATTATGATGGTATTGATTTCTTATATTCGTTTCAATCACCCGATGCTGATGCTTAGTCGTGACCACGCGGCCTTGAGGCCTAAATCCCTTTCATACCATGTGGACATATATTCTTGGTTGTTCCATAGCAATTCTGACTCTTCACATGCTTATCTACCAGACCAAATTCAGCACTTGAGATATTCAAGAATCTCTTATAGAAAAGAAAGGTTAATGTATAACCCCATTCCATCATAATACAGACTCCAAACTTAGAGGCAATTCACATCCACTAACAAATATGAACTTCTAGTACAATTAAGTCTAATAATCCTCCAAACCCCGTTATACAAACCACATAACTACTAGCCCTACCGACCTGATTCCAAGCAACAAAGCCAGGAATAGATACAGAAACCATTGAGCTGAGCTGTCTAAGTGATTGTTTATTCAAGAATTTATCTATCAAGAAGACAAGATGTGTTTTTTCGATGGCACATGTCATAAGCAGTGCAAGCACTACACTTTCCGTATGGCTTCTTTTTGCGGTACTATGGTAAACCATCTACACCATCATGATATCGATGATGACTTGGAAGGCGTATTGAATTCTCTTCCAGATGCTGCAGACGTTGAGTGTCTGCCTCGTGTTTTATCTTTTGGAAGCACTGTTGGGGGGTCCCCGATTCTTGCGGTTCATGGGGATAAGGATGGTACTAATATTTTGTCGTGGCGGTTTGTGGATGGGATTTGTATATCGTGTCAGGCGCCCTCGGCAGATATTTGTAAGAATTGGGCTGCTTCTGTAGGCTTCAAGTTTGCGTGATTTCTATTCCTATGGTGTATTCCAAGGTTGGTTGGATTATGTTTGATACTAAATTGGGTATCACTGTCTTTGGTTTTGGAGGATCATCTATCTATTGATAGGAACGGATGTGAAAACTTTGTTGAATAGTTAAGAGCTGATTAGAGCTAAGGCAGTGAAGTGAAGGGTTGCTCTTTTGAAAAGTTTGAATGTGTTGTTATTGTGATATCAAAGACCTTTACCGGCCGTACAAGAGTCTCACCCTCATTCTCATGCTATACCCGAAAACGCCGAATGGGGGCAAATGTGGAAAATTAAAAGCAATGCAGAGGGATTATTGTAATGACAGACTAGTGCTGTCCGCCACATCCACAGTCATCGGAAGATCGCTTTTTGAATTCTCCATGATATGTGTCAAGACCTTCTGTCTCGACATCCGACCCTAACGGATCGCCCATCCAATCAAAATTTCCTTGGGAAGCAGTGGAGGCATCCGAGTTCGCACTCCATGAAGCTGTTTTGCGGAGGAGTTTGGTGACCTCGTCAACTTTGAGGTCGAGATACTCGGCAAGAAAACCGCCTACGTCGGTGTTTTCGTTATTACCGACGAGTGGCCAGGAGTCTCTAGAAGAGGATGCGTAAATGTTGACGTCAACAGCTACAAATTCAAGATCATTAGTATACATTCAATGATAACCAGAGGATTTGGGATTTAGCTTCTTACCAGAATGGCCATGTGTGGACCATCCAAGCTGTGCTCGACGACTGATAATGTCGGAAAGTACGTATTTGGTGGCAACTCCAGCTGGAGGATTGATGATGGCGTCCAATTCTTCGTCAGAGGCGTCATCGATGCCAAGGTACTCATCTAAGAGTGTATCACGAACATAGCTCTTCTTGTCTGATTTTTTGGCATCAACACCAGCTCCGGAGAGATATTCATCAAGCTTGGCTTCGGCAAACTCAGATGAGTGCTTGGCCTTTGCTAGAACACTTGGATACCAGACATATTTCGGGTATTCCACACCAAGCTGTCTAGCAGCTGCCAAACCGCCGGTTTCGTGATCAGAGGTGCTGACTACAACGCCAGGTGTAGAGTCCTTATCCAAGAAATCCAAAACAGCAGCAAATGCCTTGTCATACGCCAATACCTCGTGAACCTGAGCAGCAGGATCATTTCCATGACCAGCATGGTCGATACGCGAACCCTCAATCATCAAGAAAAACCCGTGTTCACTATCGCGCGTTGCCTCGCTCAGTGCATTCAACGCAGTGCGAGCCATTTCCTCCAAAGATGGATAAACGTCATTCTGAGAGCGGCGATCAATCTCAAACGGAATGTCTTTATCGGCAAAAAGACCCATCAGCGGTAATTTAGCTTGGGAACCGTCGTTGAGCGCATCGAACCCAGCCCGATCATTCACATAATTGAATCCGTTCTTGGCCGCCACGTCGATCAAATCCCGATCATCCGCTCGACAACTGCCACTAGTAGAATTGGGCAGGAAGTGACATCTTCCACCACCCATCAGCAGATCTACAACTCGTCCTAGAGGGTGCTCGCCGGCTTCTTGTTCCGCAATGCTATCCTCGTACTGTCGCAGGTTGGCATGTGAAGCAAAGCACGCTGGCGTAGCATCTGTCAGCCGTGTAGTGACAACCAATCCAGTCTTATATCCCGCTAAAGCGGCGGCCTCCAATACCGTTCCGCAAGGTGAATGATCGGGAAGCACCGAGATAGCTCCATTATAGCTCTTATATCCGCAGGAGAAGGCCGTCGCTCCAGCCGCAGAGTCCGTGACAAGACTAGAGCTAGATCGTGTCCGAGATGTACCGATGTAATGCCGGTCCAGAACGAGAATATCGTCAACTGGGAGGCCCTCTGTGTACTGGCGGAAATTCCTTGTCATCGAAAGACTGGTTGGACCCATGCCGTCGGAGACCATGAAGATCAAATTGCGTTTGCCTGTAGGTTTTCCACCGGGGCCCCATATCTCCTTCTGGCTGTGTGATTTCGACGTTTCGTGTTGGAAGACCACGGCCAGTACGATTACCAGGATCGTGGCGATAAGTGCCCACGTAAATAATCCGACTTCTCGCCAAAATGCCCAGCCTCGGCGCTCTCCCTGGCGAAACTCTGGTCGTGCCGCATGCTCGCCGGTTAAGAGGGCGTCTTCTTCTTCATCGGCTCGAATGGAGGAGTGGTCATCGGAGGATGGCCGTGGGACCAATAGGGGTGTATCGCGTGAATCGACTGCCATGATTAATGTGGGGAAGTTCAAGAGAAGCCCTGGTTATGGTGCTGGGCTTCTCTCTAAGTTGGTGAGGGGTTTAAGAGATCAGGTGGAGTCCCCAAGATGATGGGGTCGAAGGTGAATGCGGTAAGGCCCAGGGACTGATTCCCAGCCGCCAATAAGCACTGACCCGCATAACGGATCCCTGATAAGGGTTCACATGATATCCATGGGGAACAGCTGCATGTTTGGGGTACTTCTAGTATATCTACTGGAAATGGGAAATTTTTATGACTTTCTAAGTTTATTGAAATCAAGAGCGGCGTTTTAATCTTCCAAGGTTATCAACGTTGTTATAGTACATTTTTCTAAGCGGGGAAAGCGACTCAAGCCTTCCCTTTCCATCCCATCGGGATCATAGCAGCTGCGATCTCAGTCACACCACGCTCAGTAGCTAGCAAATTGAATTGCGCCGCAGCATTACGGGTGTCCTGGATATCCACACGAATTCCCAGGGAATTAATCTGACGTTTTGTTTCCGGTGAAAGAGGATGAATCGAACTACCCAGCCCAAGGATAAGCATATCTAAAGCGAAATCAGTAACCAATATACAACAAATTACAGGTCGTACAGCCTCAGACAACTCTCTTAGGAAGGTCATAATAGCTGTGCAGCTTATAATTTCCACTCCACATAACCATCCGAGCAAGTCCCAGTAGCCGCAGCTACAAGCACAAACTATGAAGAAAAAGAAAAGTCTAGTTCACGTACCAGGTCTAGGCCAAACAACACTCAAAAGACCCCAAGCCTCCTCACTCAGCTCAAATTGTCCCTTCGCATTAAGCATTGCCGCCTTGGCCGCGGCCTCATTCTCAAACTGAGATTCCGATGCCCTCCACGGTCTCCACGAAAATGCCTCGCCACCCACAAGCAGCATGCCATCGCCGCCAGTAATCTTAACACCGCTGTTCAGATGGAATCCCGAGTCCAAGCAGGCATCGATAGCAGTAGTAGGCGCAGGAATATTGGCGAGTACATTGAGCGCGTTGAAGTCTGTCTGCGTGTCTTCTTGTGACTCGGGGCCGCGGTCGTGACTGGTGGGCTTGTGGGTGTGGGCACGGGGGATCATTCGTGTAGGGCGAACATTGGAGCTGTTGTTTCGTCGGGAAGATGTAAGGGATTGGATTGATGGATTGGTGAGTCGGGGGCTGCGGAGAATGGGAGAATTTGATGAGAGGGTGGTGCGGAGAGCGCGGAGGAGTTGGGGCGATGGTGTGTGCATTTTCAAGATTCGTATGCGACAGCTGGTAGGGATGTACGGAGATTTAATATACAGTATTTGGTGGTAAAATCCCGGCGCGAATATTGATGTTGTGGTAGATTGAGGTGAAATACGGGTGGGAAAAGTGAGTTGAAGCTAGCAAGCTTTGGCTGGTCTTGGCTTGGCGGGCTGGACTTCCGCAGATCTATATGCAAAGGCCTGGAGGTATGTAGGTGCTGCAGGGGTGTAACTTTGGAAGAAATAGTACAAAGTCCAAGAATCTAAGTGTTCTATTTCTACCTGTGGCACTCTAGCAAAAAGAAATAAAACCTTGAGGTTTCGATAAACCAGATAGGCCCGGGCTGATCATTATTCTTTCTAGAGGTTCGGCTTCCTGTACCATCCCATACTTCCAAATCACGATACTTTAGCTAACAACAAACCAACCACCGTCGTCTCATTCAATATCTAGGATATTTGAAAATACTACTGGGACAAGGAAGAGATGCGAAAAGAAAAGGTGCAAAAAAATAATACCGACAGCTGGCGGATTTGAACCGCCGCCTCCGAAGAGAATTGATTTCTAGTCAATCGCCTTAGACCACTCGGCCAAACTGCCTTGTAATATAATGAGGTCTCATTTTTTGACATTGTGAAGCTTGTGGTAAAGCCTTGAAGAAATAGTTATATGTTTTCAAATATCAAAAACTAAGCACCTGAATATATACTAACAACGCCTATGATGAGTAGAAATGTTAAGGTCGATCATGGCGTCAACATTTCAAATTCTCCACATCAAATGGCAGTTTGGCCGAGTGGTCTAAGGCGATTGACTAGAAATCAATTCTCTTCGGAGGCGGCGGTTCAAATCCGCCAGCTGTCGATTAAATTTTTTTGTTTCTTCTTTTTTTTTTCCCCGTTTAGCCTTTCTTTCCGTGTCTTCTATAAACTCGCATCGAGAGTGGCCAGTTTCGAAGGCAGAGTTTACCGAAAACGGGAGATCTCCATATGGAGACTTCCGATGCGGCGTTTGTTGCCCTGGCCTAAATAACGGCGAGATCTCTGGTATACAGCTTCTCCCTGCCCATGCTCTCGTTCCAGAGTCTTTGCAAGACTTACTACATCCAAAAATATATATTTAATCGCGACCCAGGGCAAAATATATATGCTCTTTCAAGTTATGACATGGTTCAAAAGGATAGCTCTCTTTCAAAAATCCTGTCATGGCAATCAATAAAAGATATTCCATGGGCGCCATACCGAACACCATACCGAACACCATACCGAACAAACAAGGGGCAGGAGAGCTTTCGAGTTGGCTGAAAGGAGTTTCTCCCTCATTATCAAAGAACAATGTCTTTGATATGAGCAATCTCGCAATTCTCTACGGCGGCATCTGTCGGTATCACATTTGACGGTATCTCTTTTGTCATGGGGATGCCAACGAAGCTCCTCTTCCATTTGGACCGAAGCAATCTGGGGTCAGTGCAACACATTCCCTGATATAGATTGCAAACTTCCAAAATACAGAGGGTTCTAGACACCCTCTAGGTGGGTCCACATTGCCTTTGAAATGGATTGTTCTTAATATGGACTCGAGATCTTATTAAGAACATCAAGCTACGAGTGATTCTTCTTCGTGAACCAAAAGGCAGAGGACCTGGCTCTCACCAGCAGTGAATCTCTAAAGTATTGATTTTCAGATCTGCTTAAAACTCAGTGGAGATAACAACGAGCGGATATTTGTGAGATCTCCCCCAACATTTATTAGGATGTGGTCAGGCAAGGGGCTGGCAGTCCAAAAGCTGGGGCTCTGTTCAGATTCGTGGATGCAATCGCAGAGTTGAGGCTTGTTCCGGCATTTTACCAGAGTACCTTGACATTTCTGTTGATTATCCTTGGCTAGAATAATGAAAATTCTGGACAAAGTCAGCCCCTTCCTCCTGAATTAGACAAAATTGATCTAACACTGAGGTTCTGGCTTACAAGACTTGACTTTTTAAAGGATAATGAGCTTCGCCGTCTTTCAGGAGGCAGCGCAGAGTAAGACTTGGCTTACTAGCCCTTACGCTTCTGCGAGACCGGGTGAAAGCTAGTAGTGAGAAACGAATTCTGTCCTCTCGTCCACGACGCCGTGGTACTATTCCTCAAGAGACCACACAGAATTTTAGATCTCTTCTGAACGAAATCCAGGAAGCTCGATCCTCTTCAGCCCGGATAATCTTTCGGAGAATACAAATCTGCCGGAAGTCCAAGAACCCCAATCTTCTTCTAGAGAGACAATCATTATTTTAAGTGTTTACTCAGGGGATATTTGGCTTGATGCAGATATTCCTCATAAAATCGCACTAGATGAAGTTTCTTGGAGATGTGATTTCAAAGGGTAGCATCGGTTAAGCTACATACTCCCAATAAGCCAAAAACAACATTCTGAAGACAAGAAGTTAAGCTTCCAAGAACAGCAGCTAGCAGAACTTCATGGATAAAGAGCCTCAAATTATTGACTAGACACTACTTTACAGGGTACGAAACAAGTAAAGATCTCATCAGCTCCTACCGTGACGCTTACAATATTCAACATATAACATCCCGCATCAACGAAGCACCGGAGCCAGTATGAAATTCGCCAGTTATTGTTCCCGCTCCCCCCTTTACTTGATTTTTTTTGGAAAGTGAAAAAAGTGGTTCCTCAATGGTGAATCCATGGAGGTCCAAAGCCAACACAATCCACTTGTGCATTTTTAGAGTATTCAAGTTAACGTCCGGTCAAAATGCCACATTTCGAACTTCTTAATATCCAATGGCAGTTTGGCCGAGTGGTCTAAGGCGATTGACTAGAAATCAATTCTCTTCGGAGGCGGCGGTTCAAATCCGCCAGCTGTCGATTTATCTTTTTTTCTTCTTCTTTTTCCTTCCTTAAAGGATACCGCCAATAACTAAACACGCGGCCTTAGTTCAGTGGTGGAAAGTCTCATGCTGGATGGGGCGCGGCTTCAGTTCCAGGTGATGGACAAACCTTGAACTGTCAAGTAGAAAACACACAACATGGACGTCTGCAAACTTATATTGAATCAAGAGAAATCCCAAATTTGAATGTCCTTTATTAATATATCCACCTCGGCCCCAGTGATTAATCTAGTTTTTATTTCCAGGTTACCCACCTATGCCCGTACTGACTACCTATTCAATATCGAACAAGGACGAAAAGAGAGAGAGAGAGACGGAGAAAATGCAGTAGAAGAAAGAAACAATGTCATGCGCGTCATGATGCCCGAAACGCCAAGGAACGCGCGTGAAAGAAATGATAAAAAAAGGAAGAAAGAAGAGAGAAAGTGAAAATGAAAACATATTTCAGCACCATAAAGTTTCGATGAAACAAGGAACGACATCAATGATTAAAGAGCGCAGGAACAATGACCATGCATTTTAGTCATCTTTCCAGTCTCAGAACATATTACGCACCCTTTTTGTTTTCGTTGGCCAATTAGGTAAGTCTCCAAATGAAGAGAGGGAAAGCGAGAAGAGGAAATAGATGAGTATGCACACGTGAATGATTAGACATGGTAATGTAGGTGTTGAGGGATGTTGAATTGCCTGTACAGGTCGATCGTGTGTGGGAGGTATATTGATTATTTGGCAGGATGGTGAATGCCATTTCGGTCCTCGTCTGACTGACTTGAGCTGTCATCGCTATTTGTCGCGTTGCGTAGACGCTCTGCGCGGTTTTGAAGAACTTGGGCTTCGGCGGCTGCCTTTTGAGCCCGGATTTGTTTGCGCCACATACCGGCGTAGCGGCCCTTAATTGCGAGGAGCTCTTCGTGGGTCCCGCTCTCGGCTACTTGGCCGTTGTGAAGGACTAGGATACGGTCTGCGGTTGTGATGGTGCTGAGTCTGTGCGCAATTACCAACATGGTGCGGCCGTGAGAAAGAGTAGAAAGAGCTCCCTGGATATGCTCTTCTGTATCGGTATCAAGCGCGGCTGTGGCTTCGTCCAAAAGAATGATGCGAGGATTCTTAAGAATAGTGCGGGCAATGGCTACACGCTGCTTTTCACCACCGCTAAGACGCAAGCCACGCTCCCCGACCTTGGTATTATATCCATCGGGGAATGCCATGATCTTATCGTGGATACTGGCGGCGCGGCAGGCCTCGTACACATCTTCGTTGGCGGCGTCTTGATTGGCGTATTTGAGATTATACATTAACGTTTCGTTGAAAAGAACAGTGTCTTGTGGTACGACACCAATGTGTTTGCGAAGAGAGTCAATGGTAATATCTTGCACATCATGACCATCCACGCAAAGAGAACCTTTCTCCGCGTTGTAGAAACGGAAGAGGAGGCGGAAGATTGTAGACTTGCCGCCGCCGGACTCTCCAACTAGAGCCGTAGTTGTACCGGGCTCGCAGCGGAATGTAAGTCCATTCAATGCGGGCTTGCGAGAGTCATAAGAAAACTCGACATTTTGAAAGCGGATGTCACCCTTGCACATGGCCAAAGGTGTAGCACGGGAGCTATCCACTACAGTAGGTTGCTCTCGGAACAGTTCCAGCATACGCTCGGCATTGATGAGAGCTGACTGGATGGAGCGGTAGAAGGTACCAAAAAAGTTGAGGGGACCCTGAAGCTGGGCCATGTATGTCAACAACGACACAAATCGTCCCACCTCACGCTGGCCGGTGGAGACCTGGTACGCGCAAATAAAGCAAGTTGTCAAAAGGCCAAGCATGAAAACGGTATTTTGGCAGGTGTTGAGTAGAGTCAGAGAGAAAAGTACATGGTACTCGGCCTTCTGGAAGGTACCCACAGCATCACGGTAACGGTCGAACTCATACTGCTCGGCATTAAAGTACTTGACTGTTTCATATGAAACCATAGAGTCATTCCTGGTAATTCAACTGTTAGAAAATCTTTTTGATGTGAAACAAAAAAAAACACACAGGGAACTTACTTTACAGCATCTTCTTGCCTCGAAGCGTTGACCATCTGTCTTCTGATCTCTGCTCTCCATTGCGCCATGCGGATTGTGACATAAAGATAACCAAAGGTTGAGATACCAACCACGAGAGCATAGTAGACATCGAATTTGATCAAGAAATAGCCAACCGCGATACCCAAATCAACGAGCATGGGAACCACCTGGAAGGTGACTTGCTCGAGGAAAGTATTAATGGAGCTTCCCTTGCTAAGAGCTGAGAGCACCTCACCGGTCTTCTTGCCTAGATGAAAATCCAAGCTAAGACCATGCACGTGCTCAAAGGCAGCAGTAGAAAGCTCCATATAAGAATACTGGCTCACAGGAATCCAGAGGCTGGAACGCATGGATGACAGTAGGCCCTGTCCACCTTGCAGCCACCTGTAAACCACATACATGAATATCTCAAACCATGGTACACGGAACTGGCCCTCGTCTGCAACTAGAGCAGTCGTAATGGCATCCACCTGGTTAGGAACCAGCACATTGACAACACGCTGCGCGACAAGTAGGATGAAGCAAGCCACGAACACGATTTGTAGACGACGTGACTTAGAAGGCCACAGGTAAGGGAAGAACAGAGAGTAACCACTCAGATACTCCCACCAGCTGGTTGAGGGCATCGTAGTTGGGCGAACCCAAGGGTCTTCTGGCTTCGCCGACCCGTTGGTTGCGCCGTTGGTACCGTTGGTTCCATTCGTAGATCCATAAGAATGACCATTTCCATTGCCATTGGCAGCACCATTCTCCGCGCTTGATGAGTCCAACAAGCTAGTTGATTCCGTGCTTCCATTGTGATGTCCATGTTTCTTATCGTGGTTCTTACAAGAGATGGATTTGCTGGCATAGAGGATGACTAAGGCGAAGAGAAGGAGGACACGCACGGCGTTGGAGGAAACTTCCAATGTTTCCCATAGGGTGATGCTTCGGCGAATTCGGCCACCCTCCGGGTCTCCAACGACCGGCTCATGATGGACCGAGGTGTAGATAGATAAGGATGTGCTAAGAATAACCAATTCAATGGGTATGGCGACGGACCAGCAAATGAATTGAGCGAGTGTTGGAGATGGGGTGGTATCAAGCAATGTCATGAGCAAAACGGCGTAGACGAAAAAAGAACCGACGATGTAGATCTGCAATATGGTTAGCTAACTCTATTTTTTGATTTTCATAATTTTATAATAAATAGTATTTTTTTCAGCCTGCATGTAATTTGCTTTTTTTTTTCTGGCTTTCGGCAATTTTGGGTATGAGGGGGAATTCCCTCCGAGACGTACCACCACGGACTGACCACGCCACCAATGCTCGGCTCTCGCCGTCATCACATGGAGGATGTAGATCGTCGCATCTGCAAGGAAGGTCACGAGTATGCCGACAGAGAGCCAGTTGAAGACCCGCTTGACAGTGTTGGAGAACCCCTGCGTGTTGCGGATGCCAGAGCTGCGGGATCGAGTAGGAAGCGGGCGTCCACCGGGGCCCATGCGAGGTGATTCGGGTCGGTTAGCTTTGCTCGCGCTGGCCACGGTATTGGCTATGAAGGCCACGGCGAAAAGGAGTAACAGGAAAACCGGATAACATGTTCGTAGGTATTGCAGCAGCTCGAGAGCTGCGTGGGGATTCATGATGAAGCAAGTGAATTAGCTCCCCCACGAGGATCCGCACAAGAAAAGGAAAGAGATGAGAAGAAAAGAAAAGAAAGAAAGCTGGTTTAATCGCTTTCCATGACACAGTGGGCGTCCTCCACTAAAACCGCGTAGTCGAAGAGGCGAGGTTCGGATCGGAAACGACTGGACGGGTATGGCCAAGGATCGACGCGAGGAATGATCGCGGCCGCACGCGGGGATTATGCGTGAACAACTTTTGGGTCCACGAGGCGAGATCGGAGAGCAGAACAGAGAAGGAATACTGTATGGGGGGTTTAAGCTTTGCGCCAAAACAGTTAGAAAATGCAGAGATGCAAGGTTGTTTTTCGTAGAATTAATTGCTTTTTTGTTTTGGTCTAAGATGGTTCTGTGAATCTGCCGAGTTTTTGGGGGGACGGTTTTTTTTTTCTTTTTTCCTCTCTTTCTTTTTCCTTTGAAGCCTGGTGACTCTGTGATCTGAACCACCAAACCTTGGAAGAGTCTCCACGGGGTGGCAAACTCGACAACCGGAAAAAGAAGAACAAGATGGAAATAAGCGTATAGTGATGGAAATGTAATAAAATAAAATAAAATATTCCAAATCAAAATAAATATAGCAAAGGGTAGAAAAAAAAACAACAAAACACTGAAAAAAAAGAAAGTAGACAAGGATTCAGGGGAATACGAACCTTTATACAAAGGAATCGAATGATTTATTTCTCAAATCAAATTGGATCTCTCACACGAACTTATTCAGGAGGGAATGACGGTGTGTGGGTGCAGCTTCACGCTCTCCGCCTCGGACTTGACAGCCTTCGGGTTCCTCAGCTGCAATCCGAGGCTGTGGCTGGATTTTATAGATGAAATCCCGAGATAGAGGGCGTCGATTGTTTGTCCTGGTCCAAACCACAAGATCGGAAACTGCCAGGTGGGCAATGCCAGTTGTGTTGATGAGTTTGGGGTTGATGTGTTGCTGCTGCGTTGCTGCTGCTTGAAGTGTGGATGTGTGCCCGATGGTCCAGGTTCGAATGAGACCCAAAGATGATTAGGCGAAGGTGATGCTGTTATTGACTGGGGAGAGAGGGGGAGAGGGAAGTAATTTGAAAATATTCCTCTATAGTAGAGTTTAAGGGGGCGAAAGAACTTGAAAATGGCCAAGTTATTCAAGCTGGGAATATCGAAGATGACGATATACTAGGATTCTTCAGATCCTCGGAGAACCAGATAGATTTCCATGTATAAATAAATAAATAAAGAAAACCGACATCATCATTATCAAATAGACAAATATTAGTATTTTCAATATTAACATTCTTTTTAATAAATAGAAATATCCATTCTTTCTCCGTAATGTCCCATGTCCGGCGATCAGATGGCAAACCAACGATCTAGAATCTCCATGTGCGACCAACCCGGTCGTTGGGTCATTTGTTGCTGTCTGAGCCCCCGATTAGATCCATTCTAGACTCCCCGGTGCTTTTGATAGATGTGCCTTGAATTTGAATCTGAGAATTAATCTGACTGTTAATTTATTTGACATTTCCCTTTGTACTGATCCTATTTACAGTTCAGGGGTTTTGACAAATAGCACGAACTACTATCCGTAGGTTGTATAATCAAGGTTTCATCTGTAGCTACCAGTATCTCGGGGGTATACTAGTAGGTATATCCGCTGTCGCATGTCTCCTTCGCATGTCGCCTTGTATAGCTACGTTAATGGGATCATCGGCCTCTTAACTATAAACAAATCCCCAGCACGAGACACTTACCAGCCTTTCTCCTCCGATCCATTGGCTATCCGGTTCCCCGACCGTATGAAGCTTGTCTGTGTCATTCGTTTTGCCTGCTCATTCCATCCCAACGGTGAGACATGTCTTTGTTACTCCAAAGGACTCTCTGTGCCGATTATGATTTACCGATTAGCATTATCGGGATAACATCCTTCTCTACTTTGGATAGTCCATAGCTTTCGAATCCTCTATCAAACCATTCTCTCCCCATCGGAAACCTCGGGGAGACCTGCAGTGGGACGACTTTCAAATCTGATCTCTTTGCTGTAGTGGTGTGTTGGCTTGTCAGACCGCTCTTGACAACTCTCACCAGAAGCATGAGGGATCCACAATCCTTTCAGAGAGGTACCAACCCTGGAAAAAATTCCGGAAAAAACAGAGAAGCTGGTTAAAATCAAGTTATAATCCTAGTCCGATGGAGCCAGGGGAAAAGCAGCTACCGGCATCTGGAGGTATACACACTTTAATCCACTCTCAAAGAACTATAAACTATATTCTCGAGTCCCCAAACTAGTAGAATATAACGGAGGGTTTCAAGGTTAAATCCATTTTTCCCCACTTAAGATAAACCTCACCGCCCTTGCACCACCCCAACCTTGGAAACCTCACTTCATTTTGGTCAACTGGTCGTGTGCCCTCGCCCCAGCAATGGACGTGTGATAGGGGAAAAAATCATGTCAGACCTGTCAGGGTCACGTTCACCCGTACCCCCACCGCCACCTCCTCCTCCAAAGTACTCGCGTGCTGCGCACGCCCTTGCCCGGTTCGCGCCTTTCTTCTCCGGATCGAGACCCCCCAGTCCGCAGAATAACCGGGTCGATGGTCCCCGGCCGATCAGGTCTAAATCACTGTACGTTACATCTTCACACCGCTGCTATATTGCTTCATTTTTAGGTCTTCTTGATTGGATTGCCTCTGGCTTTGCTTCCCTGTTTCCCGTCTCTTTGCGGAGACGCCCAGATGCACTGCTTGGTTGCGATCTGATATCACCTCTCATCCTTCAAGCCCCTCCCCTCCTCATGTACTCCCCGAATTCTACATTTCTTATTCAGATCGGAGATCGAACCAATCCTCACAAATGTAATATAGCCCAGGTGAACCACAAACAGTCACCCATCGGACTGGTATCCCCATTGCGGCCCTCGACATCTCCCCCGAACGAACGCATGCCGTGATCGCGGGCAAGGAGATTCTCAAAACTATCCGAGTCTCGCCTGACCATTCATCGGAGGAATTTAATATTCGCAATGCAGTGGTGAGCTATGCATCCACCCAGAATGATGCGAATGTATCGATACCACATAAGGACCAGTTGAATGTAAAGGATGTCAAGTGGTCACATGGTAATTACGACCGGATAATCGCGACTGCGGTTGCCAATGGCCGGATCGTCGTTTACGACCTGCAGCGGCCCGGCCTCCAATTATGTCGCTTCCAGGGCCACAACCGCCAGGTTCACAGACTCGCCTTCAATCCCCATCTCGCCTCTTGGCTGCTGTCCGGTAGCCAAGATGGAAGCATCCGTATGTGGGATCTGCGAACCGCCTCTGCGAATCGTAGTCTTTCCACCTGCGGCAGCAAACATGTTTATCAGGGCAATAGCGATGCTATCCGAGATGTCCGGTGGTCCCCCACCGACGGCGTCGTATTTGCGACCGCTTCGGACAGCGGCGCTATTCAAATGTGGGATTCACGCAAGACCACCGCCCCGCTGATGCGAATTGCGGCTCACGATCGCCCGTGTTTCGCCGTCGACTGGCATCCAGACGGGAAACATATTGTCAGCGGAGGCACAGATCGGCAGGTCAAAGTTTGGGATTTCTCCTCTGTAGAGCGACGGCAGAAACCTGCGTTTCAGTTCCGGACCCCCCAGCCCGTGACGAATGTCCGCTGGCGTCCGCCATCATGGGTGGGTGATTCGCCCGGTTCGGGAGAGTGGCAATCTTCTCAAATAGTCACTTCCTATGACAAAGAAGACCCGCGTATCCATCTCTGGGATCTTCGCCGTTCACATGTCCCTTTCCGTGAGTTTGATCGGTATGATACACCGGCAAGCGACTTGCTCTGGCATTCCAAAGACCTGCTGTGGACCGTCGGCGAGTCCGGCGTATTTACTCAGACCGATGTTCGATATGCACCCACATTGGTCACTCGGCGGCCGACATGTTCAGTCGCCTGGAGCCCCCAGGGTGCGTTTGCTGCCTTTGGTCATCAGCGTCCTCGACGACGACCTCGTGGTGTCGATGTCTCCGAATTTCTCCATCTCGAAGACGACACAGCTAGTACCGGGGAAAAATCTTTGAGCCAAAGTCCCGCAGATGACATTCTTGATGAAGTGTCACTATCTTCCTCATTTCGCTCTCGGCAGACTCAGCCTACCGCCCTCCGCCCCTCAAAGTCCTTGGGTAGTACACCACCTGCAGCCGTGGACTTCATCCCTATTGTACCCCTGAACGAAGCATTGGCCAAGATCTCCACGCCAGGCCCTGAGCAGCTGGGGACAATTGGAAGTATACCCGGTGCAACGAATGATGAATCTCTCTTTCGATTCTTGGCGCGTCACTATTCGCCTCTGATGAATACATATGACGACAGGAAAAGCCGTGTCGATGCGCTTAATTCCCTGATGGACTCGCTTGACCATAATGCTGAGTGTGCGGATGATGTATCACAGGCAAAACTGGCGCAAACATGGCGCATTGTCAAATTTGCGATCATCCAAGAGCTTCAACGCAGGTCGAGAAAGCAGTCGGCTAGTAACAAAAGTGGCGTGAAAGGCAAGTCATCCAAGGATGGCCTTCTAGCCGATAGGTCACGGCCAACCGATGACAATCGCCAAGGAAAGGTCAAGAATCGATTGCTCAAGGGGGTGATGGACGCAGAAGGCCAAAGGAGTTTGAATCCGGATGCTGAAAGCACTTCGAACATGACTACCCCTCTAGCACAGCCGTTGCCAGATTCTCCTCACATGGACGACTCATGGAGTAGTGACTCTCAAATCCCTTCAATAAGTGATAATGCGATTGATCTTGACCCACTACCACCATCAGTGCTGAGCTCACACAATGGCTGGAGTATGCCTGATCGTGAAGATCGTCTAATTGCACCTTTGCCCTTGCTACAGGCTCAGTCGGCATCAAGTGGTGACACTCACAACTCTGCGGGGATCATGGCCGACCGTCTCCGTGATCCACTGTACGACCCAGATAGCGATCAGAGATCAGCACCTCGGGCAATCACTGGCAGATCCGACTGGAGGGTTCGTAATCATCCGGACTACCCTCGGAGAGGCTCCGAAGAGGACTTTGACCAGAAGATGGAGCATAAGCGAGCAGCTCTTCGAGACTACAAACAATTTCCCAAGACAGTACTGACACTGGATACTCCCATGGATTCAAATCGACCACCCCGACCGGATGGGTACAACCGACATGATTCCTCGGAAAGCTTCCCCATGTTCTCCGCCTCTACTGATAGCTCACACCCTTCCAAATCCCTTGGTGTTTCATATTCGTCCAATGGCCGATTCCCAGAAAGACGTTCATCGGATGGCGGCCAGTCTAATTCTTATGGAGGGCGGTCTAGCACATCAGCTAGAAGAGAATCTAATTTGGACCCATCCCCAGAAGAATTAGAAGAGGATTATGAACTGGATGAGTCTATGATAGAAGCAAATCGTGTTCATCTCGAACGGCCTTCCAGCCCTCCAGCATTATTGACTGAATCCACACCACTCGAATATCCAATTTCTGTGGATCAATTCCAAACTTTGCACCCCTTGGCCGCTAATGTCTCCGCGTACCCTTCTATAGCGGGAGTCTTTGAAGATCTCTCTCAGATCCAGATCCCTCTCGCTCCCGACACAGCTGAATCGAAGCCATGGAGCATCGAGGCTATCCTGAAAGAGGCAGTTCGGTACTACCATAGCAATAGTAGCTCTGTTGATATCCAGACTGCAGCGCATTTGCTTCAGAAACTTCACGTTTTATTTGAAGATTGCGAGGAAATTCTGCCTTATGAGGAGAGTGAAATGATCTTCAAAACTTACAATGAATATCTCATTCGACACTCCATGGATCTGGAGGCTGCTGAGCTCCGCTTATCCTGCGTACCCACCTACCCAGCTGTCTACGATTATGCACAAATTGACACATTTATGAACGTGTTTTGCTATACGTGTCAAAAGCCATTTGAAAACCCCAAGCGTGATAACACCCGTTGTCATCGCTGCAGCACTCCACAAGCACCATGCTCCATTTGCATGAGCATTGACCCGCCCGCCGAATGGGTCTCTGCACAACAAGAGCAGCAATCAGCCCCCTCCGGTAGTGCAAGCCCCAACCCAGAATCAGAAACAACATCTCATTCCTCTGTCCCGACTGAACTTGTTCCAAGTGCTGAACTTGATCGATTTGGTTCCTTTCCCGCACCCCGCCCCATGGGCTCAGCTCTCTGGACCTGGTGTCAAGGATGTGGTCATGGCGGCCATGTCGCTTGCATGACTACCTGGCTTAGTGACATATCCATCAGCGAAGGTGGTTGCGCTACTCCCGGCTGCTCGCATGATTGTGGACCAGGGCCCCGACGTGACTCGAATCGTCAAGCTGATTCCAAACGTCGAGACTCTGTTAGTCGCTCTTCTGGTGCTGGTCTCGTAAAACGTGATCCCTGGATGAAAACCGAAAGCAATGCTGTCGAAAAGGTCCGTGGCATGCTTGGTGCTGCTGGTGTTGTCGCTACCACTGGTGGAACTGTCTCGAATACTTCATCGGGTACTGGACAGCCTACCTCTGGAGCTGTGTCGCCTAAGAGGGTCAGGTTGGTGACACCTGGTGAGCAGGGTCGACGGAAGGGTCCATCGAGTCGCTCCAGCTTTGCCCCTACAGATTAAGTGAGCCTTTACTTTACTGTATCCTTTGGATTCAAAACCTTAATCTTCTGTATGACTTCATACGTGTACTTTATTAGCCTTTGGGGCCGTTCGATATAATATTTGTCGATCGATTTGTCATTTAGCGAGTTTTCTTTTTGGATTTTCCTTTGTTGTTCTCAATGATTCCCCCAATTGACATTTAATTTTATTTACATTCACATCCTTCCATATTACACCTCGTCACATTATATCAACCTTGTAAATGTGAAAAAAGTACGCCTAGAACCTCCGTTTCTTCTTAGGGGCTTTACTCTTGTCCTCAAGCTGTCGCTTTAACTCATCCCGTTTCCGAGTAGTCTTCTGCTCCTCCGTCTCAGCCGCGGCCGGCGGAGGGGCAGCCTCTTCTCTCTTCGGCGAACCCTGAGACGCCTCTTCCTTTACAGGTCGAGTAGCTTCAGTCTCTTTAGTGTCCCCTTTCCTTGCACTAGGTGGTCCTTGTACCTGTTCTTGTTCCTGCTCAGCAACAGGAGAACTAGGGTCTGGAGCAACAGGGGCTTTCTTTTTGCTCTTCCCGCCTATCATCCCAAGCTTAGTGCTTCTTTTAGCTTTTGGAGTTGCCGGTGCTTCAGTAGAAGCTTCCTTAGCTGATTTTGATGTCTCCGGGGCCGGTGGTTCTGCCTGTGGGGGTGGAGACGGAGAAGGAACTGGAGCTGGACTTGGAGATGGTTGCTTTTCTTCTTTCTTTTTCTTGCCTCCGATTACACCAAGGCCTCCTTTAGCTTTGGTGAACTTTTTAAGCGGTTCTTCGTGTTTATTTTCTGGTGTAGGTGTGCGCTTCTTCTGTGTTGTTGCGATAATCTTAGACTCCAAGTCTAAGTCTGAGTCTGAGTCTGATGCTGTGGCATCTGGATCTTTAGTCGGCGGTTGAGTTTTTGTCTTTGCTTTTGTTTGTGGCGGAGTAACCTCGGGCTTTTTATCTTGTGCTTTGCGACGAGGCAGACTTTCCTTTACCTGGATTTAGTTAGTACAAGTAGCTCGTATAAAGGATTATTGAGGCTATGCAAACCTGAAATTCATCCTCTTCGCTAGCGGTCGATGCGCCGTCTTTGTCTAGATCGTAATCATGCTGCGAGCTGATGATTTTATCATCCTTTCGTGTAGTTGAAGACCGTTCATTTGATTTTTGATCACTCTTGTCGGATAGAAACGAGAATTCCGAGAGTGATGGCAGGTCGCTCCACCACTGATCCTCCGGCGCACGCAGTTTCTCAATATCAACACTTTTAATTCCATTGATAATATCCGTAGCCAAGCTATTAGAGCCATTGGATGAAGCCTTTGTAGACTCTCGGAGCCATTTTGTTTCATCAAATATCGCAACACCTTTGATAACTCGACCAACATCAGGTCTCGTGTTTCCCTTCTTAGAACGAACTCCCGCAGCAGCAGGAAAAGCAGTTCCAGGATCTACCCCGAGTACCTCGAACTTATCAAACATTTTTCCAATGACCCAGTCTTTCTGTTTAAGCTGGTCTAATAGGAGTCGCTGTCGAAATTCCCACCCCGCCTCATTTCTTAGTAGCGGGAGCAGAAGTTGATCCGTTATAGACGGAGAAGCTTGCTTTGATAAATGCATTATCCACTTAAGTGGTCGAAGCGGAGGAGGGAGCTTCGAGCTCGTCGTAAGTTGAAGCTCATTGCTTTGAGATGAATTAAGTGTTGCACTGCCTCCATCGCCGCGTAGAGCTTCGCCGATCTTTACCAGCAGCACTTCGAATTGATCTTTATCTTCGCTTGGATCGATAGTAGTGGCGTTTTCTTCTGCTTGTTTGAGAATTTGGTGGTGTGATAGCTCTTCGCTCCATATGGAGGTTAGGTCTGTTATATAGAGGTTGTAGCCTTTGTGAGTCCATGTGAACTGGAAGAGGAGAGGAGGTAAATTAGACTGTTGTAAAGTCAACCTATGCCATGCTGGTGACATGGTTTGTAAAGATTTTGGTTTATTTCCACAGTTCAACCACCTGGGCAGTTCTTTAGTGTTTTGTGTAGACGAGAGGTGAGCTTTGGGGTAGGCAGCTAGTGCGGAGCGGAGCTGAGCTGAAATTAGCCGCACGTCTAACTCTCCGCCGATCTCCCGCCTTAAATTTCAACTTCAGACTAACAACACTTGCCCAAGCTATACTTTTCCTTCTTCGACAGCTACCCGAATACAAACGTCTCACTAAAATATATATTGAGATCTATATTTTTGACCGCTTCCAAATGTCCTCGCGACCACCGGACCGTTCGGCTCCACGGCGCGACCGATCGCGCTCCCCGTCCAACTGGCGCCAACCCCAGAATCACCCTCGCGGAGACAATAGAGAATGGCGCGATCGCCAGGACTCGCGACCGGGTCAGGGTCAACAGTCGCGGAATATGCGTGATCAGATGAAGATCAACCAGATCCAAGAGGATGAGCAGGTTCGCGAATGGGTGGCGCAGGAGGATATCTTCGTGCTGAAGCAGGCTAAGAAGAAGGCTGAGATTCGCGTGAAAGAGGGGCGCGCAAAGCCGATCGACTGGTTGACTGTTACGTTGAGGGTTATTGATCCTACGCGAGACCCTTTGGATGACGAGATTGCAGATTCAGAGCTTGACGTTGTAGATCCTGATGGAGTGTTTGAGGGATTGTCAGAGTCTGAACTGCAGGATTTGGAGCATGATATTGAAACGTTTATTAAGTTGGAGACGAATTCCCGGAATCGGGACTACTGGCAGGTATGGTTTATCAAATTTGTTATTCTTTCTGGGTTAAATGTCCGTCTGCTTACCAGCTTTTCTCTTTTCTTTCGCAGACCATGAAGATTATTTGTCGAGATCGCTTGAAAACCAATGCCCCGGAAGGGCGCGCTCTCAGCTCCGTCGCCGCCGATATTAATAGGCTCCTTAGCCCCAAGACATACGAACAATTACAAAACCTGGAAGTACAAGTGAAGAGGAAGTTGAACTCCAATGAGCCTATCGATACAGATTACTGGGAGGAGCTGCTACGCAGCTTGACAGTTTGGAAGGCTCGTGCGCGGTTGAAGAATGTCTACCAAGCTGTCATTGATGAGCGTGTTCGGGATCTTAGGAGTCAACAGAAGGAAGAGGCGCAGTCAGTCCGTGAAAAGCTAGCGCCGCTTGCACCGATTATGACTGGTGATGAAAAGGAGCTGGACTCTGCAGATTTCAAAGGCCTAGATCCCGACCCGTTACTGCAAGTGCGCGCAGAAGATAAAGGTCTAGAGATCATGGACGAATCGGTATTCCTTCGACAGGTCGCTCGTGAGCGTCAGAAGATCACCCGTATGGGATACGTTCCTCTTCGACAGCGAGTAATCGAAAAGCCAAGCAACATGATCATCAATCCAGAGGCATCCACCGCGTCTGCTTCTACAGGGACCGGTCGCTTTGCAGCGCTTCCTAATGATGATTTCTCTCAAGCAACCAAAGCGCTGTATGAAAGAGAATTGGCCAAGGGGGTCAGTGAAAATGAGGAGATCTTTACTGGTGAAGAGTCTGTGAGTACTGGCGCGCAACCCCAGTGGGCTGGTAAGTATCGGCCCCGAAAGCCCCGATACTTCAACCGAGTTCAGATGGGCTACGAGTGGAACAAGTACAACCAAACCCATTACGACCACGATAACCCGCCACCTAAGGTTGTGCAAGGTTACAAGTTCAACATTTTCTACCCTGACCTCATCGACAAAACCAAAGCCCCAACGTACCGTATTGAGCGAGAGCATGGTCGAAAGCGGGGTGAATCCTTCGCTGCTGCTGGTGAGGAAGATACCTGTTTGATTCGATTTATGGCTGGTCCTCCCTATGAGGATATTGCTTTCCGAATTGTGGACAAGGAATGGGATTACAGTGCTAAGCGGGAACGTGGGTTTAAAAGCACTTTTGATAAGGTAGGTTTCCCCCGTGTCCTTGTAAAAGGATGTATAGAAAGGGACCAGAAAGAGACCAGAAAGAGACCAGAGCGATATTCTAACGTCATTTCGGTGGTACAGGGTATTCTTCAACTACATTTTCAGTTCAAACGAGTAAGTTACTTCATCCAGGAGTATTTCCCCATGATTTGATCAAAAACACAATGCTAACTATTTGTCTCAGATCTATTACCGAAAGTAACACTTGCGCGCCTCTTTTTACTCCCACGTGGGCGTCATATCGGGACAGAGGAGAAGGAGTGGGTACTCTTGGGGATGTACATGCAGGATGGGGGGGGGTTCGGGGTGTATTATCCAGAGCGCTATCAATCTGTGAATCCAGCAACCTCAAGACTGATTAGGCAGGAATTATTTTCCCCCTTCACTGGGTTAAGGGATCTTGCACATGTGTAAAATCGATTCAAATTCTCCAGCTCGGTCCACCTGTGGAGCCAACATCAAATGCTTAATTCGACGGCAATTTTCTTCTTGCATCCAGAGCCTGTCAATTTTTAGTTTGTTTTTAGTTTCCCCCGCGTCTGACATTCTTGTATATGCATCGATATATAGGATGTCGGAACCAATACATACATCCCTCCTGTAACAACCAGTTTTTTAACGACTTTTCCCATGTGCGCAGCAACGGGAAGCGGCACAAGTAGATTTGTTTTAATTTACACGATCTTTCTAGACATTTTATTCGATTTCGCCCCCCTTTCTCTTGCCTGCGGAACAGCGGACGTTGTCAGTTTCCGGTGACACGAATGCAGACCTGCAACATGCAGGACAGTAAGTCCATGACTTTCGCGGCTGGGTGGAAGCAGCCAACCAACAAGAGATCTGGAAGCGCCCAGGCAGGACAGGAAATGCAGCATAGGGAATGAGGTTTCCAGAACGTCTCTTTCGCCATTCGCTGTGTCTTTCCGAGAGATCCGCCTTCTGTTGCATATGAATGGCTATGAAGGGCCAAGAATGGCCACTGTCCGGTCTGTAGGCCTCTGCCAGCCACTAAACTAAGTCATCCACCCTTTTTTTCTCTTCCCCTCACCCTTCTGTTGACCCTCTTAGTTCGCTCCCAGTCTGCCGTAGCACCCTAGACTGAGTTGCCCGTGACACTATTGGCCAGTGACGATACTATGGGAATTACCGTTTCACAGAGAGAGAAATAAAAAACAACAAAGAAATAAGAAAAAAGATTAAGATTACAAAACCAGGGGAGATTTAGGGGATCTGAGAAGGAGACGATGATACTTGCATGTAGATGGCGCTAAAGAATCTCCCTTCTTTTTTCTTTACGTTCTGGTCCTCATGGTCCTATCTGTTGTTTGCTCTGGGGATGCAGGACACTTGACGGCTCTTAGCAGGAAAGGCAGCATTTGCCTTATGTGTTGGCTAGAGGAAATGATTTTTTTTTTAAAATAAAATAAATTACAGAAAAATAAAAAAGACAAGAATAAATACACAAAAATAAAAATAAGAATAAAAATAAAAATAACAGAAGAGAAGAACGAGAAAAAAGTACCTAGTTGATCTAATTTTATTTTATTTTAATTTTAAGTTTTTTTATCCTGTCAATTTTACCTGTCGCGAGAGAGAAAAGAAATAGACGAAGAAAGTCAAAATTACAATACATAAAATAAATTAAAATTGAATAAAATTAAAGAAATTCAGAATCAGAAGAGCGTGTACAGCTCCATTTGGTATCCTTGAACGGCGGCTTGTGTACTGGGGCAATGATTCCTCCCTGGTTACTTTTACATCGCTCTGCCGCATACTCTTTCATCCTTGGAGACTTCTTTTATTTCACTTCTAGCTTCTGTGTTGCTCCTTCTGTTCAAGTGCAGGTTTAAGCCTCTCACGGTTTCATTGCCTGTTTCAAGCCAAATAATGCCTAGAGAACTTAATATTCCGTCTTCTAACAAGCGCACGATGGATCATCATTCGTTTTCATCCTACCACTCTCACCTGGCTCAAATGCCAACTGACCAGCGGGAGCTCGAGTATCATCATCGCCCGGTACAAACACCCGGCGCTGAGGAAATCCTCCAAGGAAGTGCCTTGCATCCTGGAAACGACCCAATCCCCCACTGGTCGACTCTGAGATTGCTCCAGCCGCCACAGCCCATAGATCCTCGTCAATATCACGGGTATAACAATGCCTGGGGTATCAATGTGCTGGCAGACTGTGAACAGCTTAACGCCCCTCAGGCAACAAATATCTTTGTCTCTGATGATTCGGAATATTCCCCTTACTATTTACCATCTTCGAGATTATCTTTAATGACCCCCTCTACAACCATGGACCACCTCAATTCCCCCGTGAAATGCGAAGGGGATGAGCAATTTGGAGAGCCTCAAGATCCTTGGGTTGGTCAACAGCACATTTGTCACCCGGCGATGAAATTGGATCATTATTTGAAGATGGAAGACTCCGCCGGAAATATCCAGGCAATTCCCACCGCTGCGCCATCACCTGTTTCAACCGTTTCTCATCATTCTTATTCCCATTCTCATTCTCATTCTCATTCTCCTGGTGCACACTGTACACCAATGAGCATCATGGCTGCTGATGGTTCCTCTCCGACAACAAGCTTGACTGAGTCCAGCGAGGAAGATCATCCTGCAGACCCACCTTACTCACAACTCATTTACCAAGCCTTGAGCCAGTCGAAAGATTACAGTCTCCATCTTCAAGACATCTATGCTTGGTTTGAGAAAAACACATCCAAGGGCAAGGACCAAACCCAAAAAGGATGGCAGAACAGTATCCGTCACAATCTTTCGATGAACCAAGTACGTTACCCCCGCATTACATATTCTATTGTTATTGTCATTGTCATTATTAGTTTCTTTTTTTATTCTACGTAGCATGGGGAGATTCGGCATTTGAATATCACAATTTCACACCAGCTAACCGGTGATTGGTTATTTAGGGCTTCGTGGCCATCAAGACTGAAGCTCGAAACGGTAAAAGAACCGTGAGCTATTGGCGTCTTAGCGAGGAGGCTATCAAAAAGGGTAGGGTGGAATCTACCACCCGGTACCGCCGACACTCTAATAAGAGGACCCAGAACACGGAATCGCCCACCCTTCGCCGTCAGGGGGTAGGGCAGCGGGGTGGAAAATCAGCAACCGGCAGAGGAAGCAAGTCCAACCATCACGAGAGATCGGCGCGGAACCCCGTAGTGTTACATCACTCCCAGCCAGCCCCTCAGCCTCTAATGCCAATGGATGACGCCTATCTTCCTCCATCTGGGATGTTGCCTTACCAAGAGTCCCTGATAGCCTCTGGACTACCAACAACTGAAATTTTTGGTTACGATAGAGTGATCGGCTACACAGATTCCACACATGGCAACATCTCGGCTGGGTATGATTCTGTGGATCACTACTCGCGTTGGAATTCGCAAATGGAGCACTGGGGTGGACAGTCTCCCGACCCCAATAGTGGATCCATGAACGGGCCAGGGGACCACTTAGGCCTTTAAAAGGAGTTTGATAGACTAGGGTGGGTGAGAACATGGCGACAAAGGAGGGGGGGCTAATAGTTCAGCTTGACAGGATTGGATGATGTGAAAAGTGCAGCTGACGTGCATTGTTGCCTTGTCTTTGATTCTTGCTGTTGGGTTTTTTCCATGGACATGATTTGAGATAATGTCTTTTGTTTTCTTTTACTAATCTTGGCTTGTTTTTATTGTCGTCATGGGTGTGTTGGGGATTGTTTTTGTTTTGTTTTGTTTTTTACTAGCTGCAACTTGACGTGAGCCTCGGATAAACTAGAGAGGCATGTTGCATCAATCGCTGGTTTATGAATGGAGGGAGAATCTGGTGTTCAAAGGGCGAGGAACACTTTGCATGCGTTTTCTTCTTTTATGGTTATTATTATTATCTCTCCTATGCTGTGATTTTTATTTGCTTTCAAATCTCTGAGATTGAACAAGTTCGAGTGTACCATAATATCCACAGTCTCGTTGGCCCCATGAATCCATATCCATTTTTCAGTCGATCTATCACTTGTCCGAGTAACTGAGCCTTTGAATATCTAGTTCAAGCACTAGTTCTCGGATGCTTTCAGATTCGTGCATTTCCGAAGTTCCACTTTTGGCATACCTGAACTATGCAAGCCATGAAATTAACGGGATCTACAGTACATCTTGCTCTGCACTGGCCAACTCGAAAGAATCCAATAGAGGGTTGACAAATTCCAGAATTATATCATTTCAAACTTCGCGTCTTCACTGCATTATACATAATGTCTAGATCAAGTCATGCGACAGCTGTATCATCTTTTACTGACGGTGTCGCAGAGGAAAAATCTTGAAATTTAACCAGAGCACACGAAAATGGGTCGCAAGTCCGCACATCCAACTTGAACTTACCCGGATAGTCTACTCCGACGGAAATGAATATTCGTATAAAGTGGATCCGAAAACACCCAATAAATCGATACATCGGGTGTCTACTACAATGTATGATTCAAAGCTCGGTCCATCTCGATTCATGGGTATCCTCACTTGGGCATTGAAGTGCCTAATTCCGTAGGTAGTCACTCACTTCCTCACTCGGTCACTGGTACGAAACGCGTCTCAGAAGGGCCCAGTTGATATCTGCAGCTGTCCATGGGGTGACGCGGATAAGCTGACTAGCCTCCCCGGCTGCGCCTACAGAACGCTAGAGACCATCCTATGCACCGGTACTTATTCCCCACTTTTGCCCTTCGGCTGTGTACGATCTCGGATGATCATAGCCCTACTTTGATGCGGCAGATTGCACGAACAAGCTGTATGTACATGTGGTACGGAGCACTAGAGGCGTTCTTGACGAGTCATGTCCGACTGCACGTGTGGAGATAACGCTCCAGTCCGGTGATTACGACCGACAGATCTTGGCTATCTGGCACTGGGCATTGGGTGTTCGGTGCGCGGTGCGCTGCCTTGCACCTGGGTAGTATGTACCTACTCTGTACAGTACGTGAACACCATAATGGCTCTGGTGGAAATACAAAAACACTATATGTAAAAACCACTAAATCTCCATGCTACCTAGCGCCATACGAGCAGCTTCCCGTGCTCAAGATCAACAAGCGCCATATACCTTAGATAGGTCTGTATCTCCGGCATCGGATTAAGGAGGCTCTGGTACTTCGTACTGTGTACCTCTTGATCATGTACATATAAGGGTCGGGGATAGACAGGGTCGCCCGTTCGAATGACCAGTCCACTATAATCAAAATTTAGGTAATGTACATAGGTAGTAGGACTGCAGCTCGGAGCCGACTCTCGGCCGCCGACCCCCAAATCCAAGCCTCGTATACTTTACCTCCATAGCCTCCTTTGGGCATGTGCCACTCGGTTTTCTTTAAATCTGTTATGCGTCGGGAACGTGTATTCTCCTCCATTACGGGGTATCAGTGGATGGCAGCTGTTGTGCTATTCACAGGGCATCCAACGCACGACGTTTTGCGGTCGTGTTGTTCTCTTGTCATGGACCGGGCCGTCACGGAACGTGGAGTCTCGAGCCTATTAGACTTAGGGATTATGCGGAGATGCGGCCCAAACATACATGGCTTTGATATACTGTATATATATTTTTCATGTTTCACTGAACCTAGAACTAGTATGGAGCTATGTTTTGTTTTTATTGAATTTCCTTTTTTATAGTTTTGCCTCCCCTTTTCCCGCAGATCTACTTGTGGACCTTCTGGTTAAGGATTTGAACCTCAAAACCCGGCATTCCTTCGCATTTACAGAAAATTGATCATCAGTGACGTCGGAGACAATCTATTTTATATATCTACTTGGTTATATTATTGTGTACAGTATACATATGGGGTTTTAAAAGCGTCGATAGGATTATCGGCAGAGCGCGTAGTCTCTACAAAGCTGGTTGCAGCTTTCCATTGGGCGGGATTTTACACTATCTCTATTCCATTTCTCACTTTCTATATATACTAACGTGCATAAAGAAATAGTAAACGAAAATTACTTTTTACATAACTTCATACCGCTCAGCGGGGCTTTAGGGGTGGGCACCCCTTTTCCTGTCTCCTCTTGCTGATCTGGTCCCTAAAATGTTAGATCTTAATAGCGGAAATGCAAATCCGGAATTATATACTCCACATCTCAATATCAATAAGATGGGGGTCCTAAGCAAACTGTAGGGCGCTATGGTATTCGAACTCCGCGATGTAATAGAGCATTCTCTACTCCGCAAAAGTAATATCCATCACGCTGGGGGTTCGCAAAACCCACGGCAAGAACAATTTCACACTAAAATTGATGCGCACGTAACATTGAAGCCTAATGATCGGCTTTCGTTGCCGAAAATGCACTTCTCCTCAGTGCTGTGGATCATAATTCAGTAGTTTCATGGCTAGTCAAATTTTCTCCAAGGGATCGAGGAGAGCACGATTATGTTGGCTAGATCTCGACCAACGACGTTTCGCCGCCCCCGACAAGCAAAAGAACTACTTCCATAGATGGCTAAAGATCACCGCACGGACCTTAGCGCGGTTTTGGATCATCAAATCGTCGGGTCTGCCGTGAAACTTTTTTCCAATTCTCCTCCCCGTTTACGACGTTTCTTTTGCCGGGTCTCGCTTGTGTGCCGCATTCGTGGTGGCGACGATATGTGATCCTCCACTGACAGAACCAGGGTTTTGTGTCATAGTTGCTTTTTTTCCTTCTCTTTTCGTTGCTTTCGCTTTCAGTCTATGTACATCGGTCTTCTTCCGGTTTTTCACCGTTCTATATCAATTTTGAGTTAGATGCCATGCAGGGGGTGTCAATATTCCGTCAATAGACTTGTTGATTTCCCCACAGTGTAACTGCCGAATAGTCGAGGTACAGGCTGTAGAAAAATCTTCTTCCAACCGGGTTGCTTTCCTTGTGTCTTTTTCCTCCTCTCTTTTATCTATCAAATTCAACAGAGGCGGGTACCGTCAGAAATGCATGACGGGATTACAGCCTGCTGAATCGAGCAGATACTTTTTCGTCGGTGAAAGAATGCAGGATAATGTACCTACACCGTACGTACGAAGAACATAATAGGTAAAGTGTCTCCGGATTGATAACTACCGAGACAGGGATCATTCCCGACCGGAAAATCGAGATCCAGTACAGAGTATAGACTGTCCGGCTGATTAACGGCCAGGGGTCATAGGCGGCTTTGTTGGTACGGACAATGCTCTTATGTATTGTCGAGGTTCGTACGTGTCTTCGGTCGCATCACGGTACTCGAAAGTCGGGCGTTGAACGTGCCTGATGTTCAGACCTCCTGTCAACTATAACCCTAAACGCGAAAAGTAAGGGTGGCTGGCATGTTCATCGCCTTATGGCAAAATTTGCGCGTTCGAAAGTTCTTTTTGCTTCTCTTAGGTAGGTCATACTGTACACATGACCTAGGCTGACACCTGCAGGTCAGAGGTGCGGATGTTTGTATTTTTTTAGGTTCGATCTAGTGCCTAATATGGCAGGAGTCATTTTAGCCTATCCAAAGAATGACAAGGGAGCCTTGGGCCTCGGACATGCATCATCCTTTCGTATGCAGCAATGACATAAGTACTCGTCCCCTTGGCAGATGCGGCGTGGTTTGGCCTTTGAAGTGCGATGCCAGGTGCAATGGGTATTCCATGACGAATATATACATCAACTTTCGGGATGATCGCGTACTAGTATCCAGTTGGTTTCCTCCAGGGCTCCAGAATTATTTTTTTGGAATTATATCTTGCTGCACAGGTACCAGTGCTCAAGAACTTGAATCGCCGATCTTGCAAGGCTTAGAGCTATCCCTATTAGCCGATGGCATATGGCGCCTGCAGATCCTATTTTCCAACCTACGCATCTGTACCCAGTAGACGCCACTGTCGGCAGCCGTGTCCGGCTAGGAAGATTATGTGTACCGGAGTCAGCAGAACATCTGGCTGCATGAAATGAATACCTCTCCAGACCCTTGAAGAATCCACTGAAAATAATGGCAATGGTTTTGAAACAAAGAAAAAGCTGCAAAAATGGGATCGTGACAAGTGTATGAGGGCGAGGCTAGCGCCTTGGTGCCCAAGGCATCAACCCATCATTTTAGCCCCGGAGTTTTTTGCCCACAACCAGATGGCCACGACAGAACAAGACCGCTGAAGATAGCCACTTCAACTAGTTGTAAAACCCAAAATGCGCTTGTAACCACCGTAAGCGAACCAGCAACCGAGCTTCATTGGTCAGAAATCCCAATCGATCCACGTAGGACGGGCGCTCGGAATACCAAAGCCTGAATTCCTGCAGCCTCAGCCCGCATTGCAACCGCGAAACGGCTTGTCGGAGCAGGTGATTTGGCCACCAGAATTGATCAATGGGATTTAAGAAAGAGACAGCTGCCCTTGTCTATATAATGCCTTTCTATAACCATCTTGTCTTCCCCGGTTATGGAGTACTCCTGACGCTATTCTGTGGCCTATCAACCCTTGTAAAATCTAGCGGTCTGCCACGCAGGCTGGAGCTATCTGCCGAAGACAAGGATAATGTGCTTGGGCATTCTGCACTGCAACGAAGGATTTTTTACGAAACGGAGGCTCTGTTTCCTAATGGTACTTGTTGACGTGGTTCAACGCGTGCGGGTTGTGGGCATGCCTGGCCAAGGGTCTAGATTTATGAGATAAGGCCGGACGTACGTAGCGCATTGAGTGACGAAGAGGTGCATCTATGAGCGCCAGGGAGGTTTGTAAGCCCGGGAAATTGTCCTTAGAGCGGAGGTGAATCTATGAACGTTGAGGGGTTGTAATGTAGAATGTTGGGCAAGCCTGCTGTGGAAGGTCGCCAAATGTCTCCAGCAGTTCTGGAGAGGGCAGTGCAATACTTGGCAAAGACCGAGCGTAGTCTACGGGAATTCTATGAGTGCTGTTATATCTCCAACATTGGACCAAGCAAGACTTGAATCATCTCAAGTCATGTCAGACCCAAAAAAGATATATAAACCGCAACATATATGGACAGTTGGAAATACCAATTGAGGCAAGACTCGAAAGAGAATGATTAGGAACGAACGCTTTTTGGGAATCAACTCGTGAAGATAATAAAATTGGGTTTCATTTGCGTAGCCACGGCCCAGTTTGTGGACTCGTGGGCTAGCGGTTCCTGTTCATCCTTTTAGATTCTAAGAGAACCGTTCCCATCCTTTTTTCCGTAACGTCCGCTCCTCAAAAAAGACCAACACCGACGATAATTGACATTGCTTAGCGCTTGCCAGCGGCCTTCTCCTGGGACTCCTTGAGGACCTTCTTGACGATCTTCTGCTCCTCGATCAGGAAAGCACGAACAATGCGGTCCTTGACACAACCGGCACAGCGGGAACCACCGTAGGCACGGCTGACGTTCTTCTTAGGGCGGGAGATCTGAGCGTACTCGCGGGGACGGAGAGCAGGGACCTATAAAAAGAGCCTTGTCAGTCGACCTGGGTCATCGATAAATATGACGGCCATGAAGAAATTGTGACGAGTATTGGCGAGGCGCAGATACACAAAGATATCCGGAACATATTTTTTTTCTTTCGTTGAGGGTCCCTTTGCGTCGGTCCACCCACAATCATCCGCAACGCACAATACCACGCACAATCCTCCATGACAGTCGGAAAAAATCGTATTAGGAGATACTCACACCGGGGAGCTTGATGCCACAGTCACCGCACTTGGGAGCAGTACCCTTCTTCTTCAGGTGAAGGTAACGGAGCTCACCACCGGGGGTCTTGATGATGCGAACCTTGTTAGACCGCGTGTTGTACCTATCGGAGGGAAAACCGTCAATAAATCGTTCCAGTTCGTTGTAGCCAAGTTGTCCTAATCGCATCTAGTGTCGAATGAAGCGAAAGAGGCATTGTGCGGAGGGATTGGAATTTTTTTTTAAACGTACGGGTTGCGGCGGCGCTGCAGAAGGATCAGTCAATATTTTCGCTCAGAAATCAGAGATGAATAGACTCAATAAGACTCACGTATTGCAATCTGTTGTTCGCCATTTTGACTGTCGTTGAACCTCGGTGGTCAAGAAGGCGTTGGTCGTCGTCGGGTTGTGAACGGGAAAATGTTCGAGTTGGACGGGTTTGTGTGGGTTTGGCTCTAGCGCAGATTTGGCGAGAGCGCGCTAGGCCCAATCGAGACTAGCGCGTTATGGAGCCGCCACCGCAAAGGTTGCAAGTTCGAAAGGAGCGTGCTACTGGAAAGCTAGAGAGAACGACCTTTGGTGTTCAACTCATCTATCCCTTCCTCCCGGTCGGGTCTATCCTATCTCTACGTGCTTGTTCTCAAGCTTTTATTCAAACTTCCTGCTTTTCTCGACCCTACCCCCCAATCGTCGATGATTTACGACGTGATTCGACGCGACTCTTGAGCCCCATCTCACGCATAAGGGAGGGTGGAAAGTCCCCCATCAACACCCACCATCATGGCATCTTTGCCTCCTCCGCCTCCTCCTGGATGGGGTGCAGCGTCCTCAGCCATGCCGATGGCACCGCCGCCCCCCGGATTCCAACCGCTCGCTGACCCGACCGTCGCAAAATTTGCGCAGAAGAAGCATGAATGGCTACGAACGCAGCGCAGTCGTTTCGGCGAGAAGCGTAAAGGGGGATTCGTGGAGACTCAGAAGGCTGATATGCCCCCGGAACATTTGCGAAAGATTGTGAAGGATATTGGCGATGTGTCGCAGCGAAAATTCACCAACGAAAAGCGTAGCTATTTGGGCGCGTTGAAGTTTATGCCTCATGCCGTCCTCAAGCTGCTGGAAAACATGCCAATGCCCTGGGAGTCAGCCAGGGAAGTCAAGGTTCTCTACCACGTTAACGGATGTTTGACTTTGGTCAACGAGACCCCGCGTGTGATTGAGCCAGTCTTCCACGCTCAATGGGCTACTATGTGGATGTGCATGCGTCGCGAAAAGAGTGATCGACGACACTTCAAGCGTATGCGATTCCCTCCTTTTGATGACGAAGAACCACCTCTTTCATGGTCAGAGAACATTGAGGATGTCGAGCCTTTGGAACCCATCCAGATGGAGCTGGACGACGAGGAAGATGCGGCAGTCTACGAATGGCTTTACGACCACCGACCCCTCCTAGATACCCCTCACGTTAATGGACCAAGCTATAAGAGCTGGAACCTGTCATTACCACAGATGGCAACTCTTCACCGTCTCAGCCACCAACTTCTTAGCGATGTGGTAGATCAAAATTATCACCATATGTTCGACCTCAACAGCTTTTTCACAGCAAAGGCTCTCAACGTGGCTATCCCCGGTGGTCCCCGCTTCGAGCCCCTGTACAAAGATATCGATCCGAACGATGAGGATTTCAGCGAATTCAACGCCATTGACCGCATTATTTTCCGTGCCCCCATTCGTACCGAGTACCGCGTCACATTCCCCTTCCTGTATAATACCCTCCCCCGCAGTGTCAAGGTCGCCTGGTACTCCCACCCCCAAGTGGTTTATGTTCGCACTGAGGATCCTAATCTCCCCGCCTTCTACTTCGACCCCGTCATTAATCCTATCTCTTCCCGATCCGTCGGCCCGAAAAACATCACTGTCAGCCACGAGGATGAAATCTTCGGTGAGGGCAATAATGAAGATGATTTCGAGCTTCCTGGTGAGGTTGAGCCATTCTTCGACGACGAGGAACTTTACACAGCGGATACCGCGTCTGCTATCGCGTTATGGTGGGCCCCTCATCCATTCGATAAGCGATCTGGCAAGATGGTGCGAGCTCAGGATGTGCCTCTCGTCAAGCAGTGGTATTTGGAGCATTGCCCGCAGGGTCAGCCCGTTAAAGTTCGCGTCTCCTACCAGAAGCTTCTTAAGACTTACGTACTTAATGAGCTGCACAAGAGCACGCCCAAGGCCCAGAGCAAGCATAATTTACTGAAGACGCTTAAGACTACCAAGTTCTTCCAGCAGACGACTATTGATTGGGTCGAGGCTGGTTTGCAAGTTTGTCGCCAAGGCTTCAACATGCTGAACTTGCTGATCCATCGCAAGAACTTGACCTACCTTCATCTTGATTACAACTTCAACTTGAAGCCCGTGAAGACTCTGACGACCAAGGAACGAAAGAAGTCTCGTTTCGGAAATGCTTTCCACTTGATGCGAGAAATTCTTCGATTGACCAAATTGATTGTCGACGCTCAAGTTCAGTACCGTCTGGGTAACATTGATGCTTTCCAGCTTGCAGACGGTATCCTCTATGCTTTCAACCACGTCGGCCAGCTGACTGGTATGTACCGGTACAAGTACAAGCTGATGCACCAGATTCGTTCGTGCAAGGACTTGAAGCATCTTATCTACTACCGTTTCAACTCTGGCCCTGTTGGTAAAGGTCCTGGATGTGGTTTCTGGGCCCCAGCTTGGCGCGTTTGGTTGTTCTTCATGCGTGGTATCATTCCCCTCCTCGAGAGATGGCTCGGAAACTTGCTTTCTCGTCAATTTGAGGGACGACACAGCAAGGGCGTTGCGAAGACTGTTACTAAGCAGCGTGTGGAATCTCATTTCGATCTTGAGCTGCGTGCTTCGGTCATGGCGGATCTCATGGATATGATGCCTGAGGGTATCAAGCAAAACAAGGTCAACGTTGTATTGCAACACCTGTCTGAAGCCTGGAGATGTTGGAAGAGTAATATCCCCTGGAAAGTCCCTGGCTTGCCCGCTCCTATTGAAAACATCATTCTTCGATACGTTAAGAGCAAAGCCGACTGGTGGATCTCGGTTGCCCACTACAACCGTGAGAGAATTCGCCGGGGTGCCACCGTTGACAAGACCGTGGCGAAGAAGAACCTGGGTCGTCTTACTCGTCTCTGGCTCAAGTCAGAGCAAGAAAGACAGCACAACTACTTGAAGGATGGTCCTTATGTCTCGTCCGAAGAGGCTGTGGCTATCTACACCACAATGGTTCATTGGTTGGAGTCGCGTAAATTTTCGCCCATTCCATTCCCCAGTGTCTCATACAAGCATGATACCAAGATCCTCATCCTGGCTCTTGAGCGCCTTCGCGAGTCCTATTCTGTAAAGGGTAGATTGAACCAGAGCCAACGTGAAGAGCTCGCCTTGATTGAACAAGCGTACGATTCCCCTGGAACTACTTTGGCTAGAATCAAGCGTTTTCTCCTCACCCAGCGAGCCTTTAAGGAAGTGGGCATCGATATGAATGATAACTACAACAATATCAACCCCGTCTACGACATTGAGCCCATTGAGAAGATCACTGATGCTTACCTGGATCAGTACTTGTGGTACCAAGCAGAGCAGCGCCACTTATTCCCCGCCTGGATTAAGCCTTCTGATTCCGAAGTGCCACCCCTTTTGACCTACAAGTGGACCCAGGGTATTAACAACCTGTCCAATGTTTGGGAAACTGCTGATGGTGAGACCAATGTCATGATCGAGACTGAATTGTCAAAAGTCTATGAGAAGATGGATCTTACTTTGTTGAACCGTATGCTTCGTTTGATCATGGACCACAACTTGGCAGACTACATCACTTCCAAGAACAACGTTCAGCTTAGTTATAAGGACATGAACCACACCAACAGCTACGGTTTGATCCGTGGTCTACAGTTCTCAGGCTTTGTCTTCCAGTACTACGGTCTGATGATCGATTTGCTGCTCCTTGGCTTGCAGAGAGCCAGTGAAATGGCTGGCCCGCCCGCTAGTCCTAACGACTTCTTGCAGTTCCGTGACCGTGCAACTGAAACCAGACATCCCATTCGTCTCTACACTCGTTACGTTGATAGAATTTGGGTGTTCTTCCGCTTCGACGCAGACGAATCCAGAGACCTCATTCAACGCTTCCTCACTGAGAACCCCGACCCTAATTTCGAGAATGTTATCGGTTACAAGAACAAAAAGTGCTGGCCACGCGACTGTCGAATGCGCTTGATGCGCCACGATGTTAACCTTGGACGTGCTGTCTTCTGGGATCTCAAGAACCGTCTGCCCCGCTCAATTACCACAATCGAGTGGGACGACACGTTTGCTAGCGTGTACAGCAAGGACAACCCTAATCTGCTTTTCTCGATGAGTGGATTTGAAGTGCGTATTCTTCCTAAGAACCGCAACCAGAATGAAGAATTCTCAGTCAAGGACAGCGTTTGGTCTTTGGTAGACAACTCGACCAAGGAACGCACTGCGCACGCCTTCCTTCAGGTGACTGAAGAAGATATCCAGAAGTTCAACAACCGCATCCGACAGATTTTGATGTCCTCTGGATCAACCACATTCACCAAGATTGCGAACAAGTGGAACACAGCGCTCATTGCTCTGTTCACATACTACCGTGAAGCCGCTGTGTCGACCGTCAATCTTCTTGATACCATTGTGAAGTGTGAGACAAAGATCCAGACTCGTGTCAAGATTGGCCTGAACTCCAAGATGCCGTCTCGTTTCCCGCCAGCGGTATTTTACACACCCAAGGAGCTTGGTGGTTTGGGTATGATATCTGGATCCCATATTCTCATTCCCACCAGCGACAAGCGTTGGTCCAAGCAAACTGATACCGGTATCACCCATTTCCGAGCGGGTATGTCGCATGATGAGGAGACTCTTATTCCCAACATTTTCCGTTACATCATTCCTTGGGAAGCCGAGTTCATCGATTCCCAACGTGTTTGGATGGAGTATTCTCAGAAGCGTTTGGAAGCCCAGCAGCAGAATCGTCGTCTGACCCTAGAGGATCTGGAGGATAGCTGGGACCGCGGTCTTCCCCGTATCAACACTCTTTTTCAAAAGGATCGTAGTACTCTGAGCTTCGACAAGGGCTTCCGTCTTCGTGCCGAGTTCAAGCAGTATCAGTTGATGAAGAGCAATCCATTCTGGTGGACTAGCCAGAGGCACGACGGTAAACTTTGGAATCTGAATGCCTACAGAACCGATGTTATCCAGGCATTGGGTGGTGTTGAGACCATTCTCGAGCACACTCTGTTCAAGGCCACTGCTTTCCCATCCTGGGAGGGTCTTTTCTGGGAACGAGCCTCAGGTAAGCTCAACCATCTGCCCTCTCAATTGATATCACATAACTGATTTTCTTTTTCTCAATAGGTTTCGAAGAGTCCATGAAGTTCAAGAAACTGACAAACGCTCAGCGATCCGGTCTCAACCAGATTCCCAACCGTCGTTTCACTCTTTGGTGGTCTCCTACTATCAATCGTGCCAACGTCTACGTTGGTTTCCAGGTTCAACTGGATTTGACTGGTATTTTCTTGCACGGCAAGATTCCCACACTGAAGATCTCTTTAATTCAGATCTTCCGTGCTCACTTGTGGCAGAAGATCCACGAGTCCGTGGTGATGGATTTGTGTCAAGTCTTCGATCAAGAGTTGGAGCAACTGGGCGTCGAGGCTGTTCAGAAGGAAACTATTCACCCTCGTAAGTCGTACAAGATGAACAGCTCCTGCGCGGATATCCTTCTTTTCGCCACAAACAAGTGGAATGTCACCCGGCCATCCCTGCTATATGATACCAAGGATGTTTACGAACCTACGACCACCAACAAGTTCTGGCTTGATGTGCAACTGAGATACGGTGACTACGATTCTCATGACATTGAACGTTACGTCCGTGCCAAGTACCTTGACTACACCACAGACAGCATGAGTATTTATCCCTCCGCAACTGGCCTCATGGTCGGCATTGATCTTGCCTACAACTTGTACTCCGCTTATGGCCAGTACTTCCCGGGTCTGAAGACTTTGATCCAACAGGCCATGGCCAAGGTCATGAAGGCGAACCCTGCTCTGTACGTCCTTCGGGAGCGTATTCGCAAGGGTCTGCAGCTGTATGCGTCAGAGAGCAACCAGGAGTTCTTGAACTCTCAGAACTACTCGGAACTTTTCAGTCCGCAGATCCAGTTGTTCATTGACGACACAAACGTCTACCGTGTCACCATTCACAAGACCTTTGAAGGTAACTTAACCACCAAGCCTATCAATGGTGCTATCTTCATCTTCAACCCTAGAACAGGTCAATTGTTCTTGAAGATCATTCACACCAGTGTCTGGGCTGGCCAGAAGCGTTTGGGTCAGTTGGCGAAGTGGAAGACTGCGGAAGAAGTTGCAGCTTTGATTCGATCTTTGCCCGTGGAAGAGCAACCGAAGCAGCTCATTGTCACTCGAAAGGGTCTGCTTGATCCCCTCGAGGTTCATCTGCTTGACTTCCCCAATATCTCCATCCGTGCCTCCGAACTTCAACTGCCCTTCCAGGCTGCCATGAAGGTTGAGAAGCTTGCAGATATGATCCTGCGTGCCACTGAACCCCAGATGGTTCTCTTCAACTTGTACGACGAATGGCTAAAGTCCATCTCCCCATACACCGCTTTCTCTCGATTGATCTTGATCCTGCGTGCCCTCCACGTCAATATTGACAAGGCCAAGATTATTCTCCGTCCGGACAAGAGTGTCATTACCCAGGAGCACCACATCTGGCCCTCCCTTTCCGACGAGGATTGGATTAAGGTTGAAGTGCAACTGCGTGATCTGATCTTGAACGACTATGGAAAGAAGAATAATGTAAACGTACAGAGCTTGACCAGTAGCGAAGTGCGAGATATTATTTTGGGTATGGAGATCAGTGCACCATCTCTCCAGCGTCAACAAGCCGCAGAGATTGAGAAGCAACAAGAGGAGGCGAAGCAACTCACTGCTGTGACAACCAAGACCCAGAACTCCCGTGGCGAGGATATAATTGTGACGACCACTTCTCAGTACGAGCAACAGTCATTTGCGTCCAAGACTGAGTGGCGCACCCGCGCTATTGCAACATCGAACCTTCGAACCCGATCCAACAACATCTATGTCTCGTCTGACGACGTTCGTGACGAGGGATTCACTTACATCATGCCAAAGAACATTCTCAAGCGATTCATCACTATTGCGGATCTTCGGGTGCAGGTAACGGGTTACATTTACGGTAGCTCGCCGCCAGACAACGAACAAGTCAAGGAGGTCCGAACTATTGTCATGGTCCCACAGGTTGGAAACACTCGGGATGTTCAGTTGCCACACGAGCTGCCTCAACATGACTACCTGAATGGACTCGAGCCGCTCGGTATTATCCACACGGTTTCTGGAAACGAGCCCCCTTACATGTCTGCAGCTGATGTCACACAACATGCGCGCCTCATGAACTCTCATCCATCATGGGACAAGAAGACTGTCACCATGAGTGTTTCTTTCACTCCTGGATCTGTCTCACTTGCCGCCTGGGGACTCACACCCCAAGGCTATAAATGGGGTGCTGAGAACAAGGACATGACCTCCGACCAGCCCCAAGGCTTTTCCACCGATATGGGTCAGAAATGTCAATTATTGCTCAGTGACCGAGTGCGCGGTTATTTCCTTGTGCCCGAGGACAATCTCTGGAACTATAGCTTCATGGGTAGTTCATTTGGCAGTGTTGAGAAGAGACCTATCTACGTCAAGATCGACACGCCACTACGATTCTACGATGATCAGCATCGTCCTCTGCATTTCCAGAACTTTGCTGAGCTGGAGGATATCTGGGTTGACCGGACGGATAACTTTGAGTAAGGATTTGTATTGTTAGGCGTTTACAAAAAAGCCATGAAAGCCCTTTGTTTGCTTATGGGTGTGTGACTGTGTCTGTAATTTGGGCGTCTGTATTCTTAATCGTTTTTTTATTATTTTGTATTTTCTTCTTATTATTTTTTGGGTGATATGTGAGCAGCTTGTATCATGACAATTGGAATTTCCATATATTTGGATCACTGCACAATTTTTGGAAAGACAAACAACCAATCTAAACGCTGACTTCGCGGGCCGCGAATACTAGCGTGGTTTCTGATCGATCAACGATTCACTTGTATGCACTAGATGGCGAAATCGGCATCCATTGGAATGATTTTAGTGATGACAAGGGGGTATGTATAGCCACCACCGATTGTACCCGTTTGAAGATGGGAAGGTTTGTTGTCATCTGAAGTGAAAGAAGGTTCCATGACGCTCCGGTAGTCGCCCTGTGCCGCGCTTACTTGACTAGGGCAATGCAATTTCATCATTCTTTCGCTCCCATTCGGCCGGGTCGGAGCTTTGAGGCGTTGCTATATTGCGATGTTCTATGTCAATGCTGCGTGCGTGTCGCGTATTAAACCTTGGAAAGGATCACGTTGACGATTGGCAGGGATCTCCATCCTCATCTCGCAGCCAACCCGGATTACCGATCAGCCGTACTCAAACTATTGAATCCGCTAGTCAGATAGGCAGCCTCTGGTCCGTGGAGGTGCATGAGACAATTGAATCGTAAGCTCCTAGAGGAGGAGCCACCCTGCAGCTAATTCAACTTGGGAACCCACTCGGATCCTCTCAGATTTTGCCCCCTCACCCCCTCCACAAATACGCTTCCTTTGAGAGGAGAAGACAGAAGTCTTGAGGTGGCAAGGGAATCTAAAATGACATCTCTAGACATCAAAATCAAGGTCTCTGACGTTGTGATATACTTGCGTCCCCGACGTTCAACTAAAACCTGGATACAGACTCCGGCTCCAATCCTCCGCCCAGGTCAACTCCACTCTCATCACGAACCTTCCTGTCAGCCGGTAAATACTAGCGTCCGAGCGCCAAAAATTACCTTGCCAGGTTTCATTGTCTTTCAACCCGTGTCCGCAGACTTCGGCTGTCTCCTAGTGTCTTTGCTGCAGGGCCTTGGAATAGGTGCCAGGTCGCATGGTGTCAAAGCAAATGATGCCCCTGGCTCAAATTCTGTTCCGCATTGACCAATCCAACAATTGATTAACCATAGATGTTGATTCCACTCACGCCGGGATTGATTGATTGGAAGTTTCGTCCATCAAATGGTCTCGGCGCCCCCCCCTCCTACCCATCCCTATTCGAGGTCTGATTGTCGCCTGCTCATCCCAACTAATATTCCCGGCGGGCTGGGGCGTTTCTTCGGCTCCTACTGCGTTTCGTCTGTTTTCGATTGCCTTTGGTGTCCCACCTGCATATTAGGTCCTTGTATATGTGGCCTTGTCGTTTGTTTCAAGGCGCTTTTACTCAAAAAGAAAATAATGTTCCTTAGTATAGAGCAACGATTGAAAGGAATTAATAGTTGGGAAATATAAGGGAATGTTTTGTATTCATAGGATAGATAGAGACGCGCGCGCTTTGGAGATGGATTATCGATTTAGAACTCTTCTATGTAAACATCATCAAATTGTATATGGCTTTTCTTTACCGTCTTGAATTTCTACCCCCCCCCGCGGGGGAACCAGCCGTGGGGATACATCCAGGTGATGGGCTCTTAGCACACAGACTCCCCTTTTTCTTTTTTGACCCAACCCCGATGCAAAGCCCCGGTCCAAGATGAACGGGGTCACTCGGTGAACGACTTAAAATGGGCTCCCGCTGCAGTTGTTTTTTTATAATTTCCTTTTCTATCAATGTCCCCAGACTTGCTCTTTCCTCTTAGTACACGCCCCGCTATGTTATAACCATCTATCGGTCACCCATACTGTCGTACCTCTTTGATACGTTGACATTAAGAGACTTCAACACTATTATCCCCCAACCTCGCTTTATTGTCCTTATTCTTCCTATTTGTTCATTTTTTGCTGGTGCGAATTAAATTTTGTCTCTCGCTCGCCACTGGAAGGAAGGCCACCCACACCCCCTATACTCCAGCTTCTTATGTGGCAACAAAGCACCAACTTTTCATTCTTCTCATTCTTGGAAAAGGCAGACGTGACACTCTTCCTGTTTCCTTTTGACAGCTCAGCCACCTAAGCCGGGGCTCTCCTGGCAGAGTTGATGTATGTCAGCGACACTAGCAGATCCGTATCGAGGCTTTGTGGCTACTTATTCGCACGCGGGAAAACCGGATGACCACCATGATTTGATCAACTACGATGCGGCCCATTCACAGCCGCGCGAGAAACTGCTAAGCGGCCTCTCCTACCACTCCGAAGGTGCCAACACATCGTCCTTTGGCACGCATCTGCAAGCAGTGCTGCCTCCCCCAGAGCCCCAAACTAACGGCCATCATCAGGAGCAACCGTCAAGATTTGCCCCCGTGCATCATCTGCTTCACCCACCGCACTACAGTTACGACATTCCATTTCCATCGGATACCAGGAAACGATCACGGTCAGGAAGTGAAGGAGAGGCAAACCCCGATATGGAGCGTAATATGGCGCTTCCGCCGCCCGTGCACCCAATGTCTATGGATGGCTCAGTTTCAGCACCGGAGTATGAAATGATGTATCCCATTCCAAGTGACCATTCCGTCTCTCATCCGCCGCCGAATCCAAGCTTTGCATCGCCTTTACCTCTTTCGTTACCCCTTCCGATCCCACAACACCATCACCATCGACTCCCCCCGCAGTCTGGTCTTCTTTCCAGTATTCCTGGCCATGGATCCTCATCTCCACCTTTGGGACTGGGACCGCCGAGTGTAGTGGGTCAACTTGGGATGCCCGAGCCTGCTCCGCGGCCTAAGGGACCAAAGCTCAAATTTACACCGGAGGAAGATGCATTACTGGTGGAACTGAAGGAAGAAAAGAACTTGACTTGGAAACAAATCGCGGACTTCTTCCCTGGCCGTACGAGCGGCACGTTGCAAGTTCGTTACTGTACGAAGTTGAAAGCGAAGGATGTAATTTGGACTGATGACATGGTTCGTGCTTGAAATTTTTGACACTGTACTCTTCGGTGCTCACATACCTCTTACTGTGTTATTATGATCTCGACACTGATTGGTAATACAGCTACACCGGCTTAATCGCGCTATGGACGAGTATGAGAACGATCGATGGCGGATTGTTGCAGGAAAGGTTGGAAATGGATTCACACCAGCAGCATGTCGAGAGAGGGTCACAAACTTCAGTGGATGATGATGAGATGTTATATTTATTCTGTATATTCTTGTTCCGCTGTTTGGGAAATTCGACTTATACCTGTATGTAGATAAAGGGCTGTATGTTGGTCATGGTTAGGAGCCCTGGAGTATCATGGTAATGACGATTTTGATTTAGGTGTCTGATCAAAGGATTATGAATGTTTCTATGAATATCATGTCGGAAATACACGCACGAAATTGTATTTTGCCGTTTTCTTCTTCTCTTTTCCCCGCATTTGTTTTGGAAGAGCATGCCATGTACTTCGACGCACAGCCCTAAGCCCTAGCACTTCCTGAAGCAGCACAACTTGTGCATCTTTGGTCTCTAGCACCACCCGTATCAATAACCAATCAGCATCTCCCTTATTTGCTGATAGTCCGACCAATCAAAAGCCAACGGCCCATAACGGACAAACTCACTCCAACCTCAGCAGACCTGGAAACTCTTCCATCCTCAAATTCCAACCCTCCTCTCCCCTCCATCCCACCACCTCTTTTGGACAATGTTCCTCCAGCGTACCGCCTCCGCCATTGCGAGGCGCTCTCCCGCCCGCGCCTTCACTCTCGCCCAGCGCCCGTTCTCCTCTTCCCTCGTGCGCAGTACGTGACTCCTTCCCACCCCGAGTGGCCTGATTCGAGCTCGACCACCCAACATCCGCCAATTGCCCCTCCCCAATGCAATTGAACACTCAGAGACCTTATAGAATCAATAATGGAGAAGCAAGCTACACACGAACATAAGCTAACGCGAATTTTGCTCCAATAGAGAACGACAACAAGTGGGCTCCTAAGGACGAGCGCAAGGCCCTTTCCTTCGATGGTTAGTGAAAAGCTACCTCACCGCTACCCCGACAATGCGACAATGCTTCAACTTCAACTGTGTCTTCGAATGCGGCAGGTGTACTATTCATCCTCAACCCATTGTTTTTGTTTCCTGACGCAATTGCGCCCCGGGAGATATCGGGAACATGGATTGTGGACCCCTCCGCGTTCGATGCCACACAGCACGAAGCTAAAGCTAGCTCGCCTTACAACAAGAAATACAAAGCAAAGTAGACTGAACTGAACTAACTTTGTCCTTTTTGAGTACAGAGATCAAGAGCGAGGATGACCTGATCCCCCCCGGTGCCCAGCCCGGTACCGTCCCTACCGACTACGTCCAGGCCACCGGTCTCGAGCGTCTGGAGCTTATCGGAAAGATGCAGGGCATCGACATTTTCGATATGCGTCCTCTTGATGCCTCCCGCAAGGGTATGTGAATATGATCTCGATCTTGATTTGTTATTGTTATCGTTTCTGTGACCGGATATCCGCGTCATCAAGCTAGGATGAGATCAAGTCACTAATTCAATTGCTACCAATAGGAACACTCGAAGACCCCATCATCGTCAACGGTGCCGGTGATGAGCAGTATGCCGGTTGCACCGGTTTCCCCGCAGATTCCCACCAGGTTAACTGGTTGACTGTACGACCGAGCCCCCCTTCAAAAAAACATGTGATGATTCCGGAAGTATTAACCGATCCTTTTACGTTAGGTCTCTCGTGAGCGTCCTCTTGAGCGCTGCAACGAGTGCGGCAACACTGTAAAGCTGAACTACGTCGGTCCTGAGGAGGACCCCCACTCCCGTATGTGTCATTCTGCAGTTCACCGGCAATTGCTGGTCCCGAACCACATGATTGTTGCTTCTGGTATTCCATGTACTAATATCTCTCTCTGCTTTAGACGACCACGACCACGGTCACCACCACCCTCCCCACGAGGAGCCTAAGACATTCGCCGACTACGTCAAGCCCGAGTACTGGTACCGGTAAATTCGTGGCACTGCAAAAACCCCTCCGATACAGTTGTGAACGGTTATTTGTAGCATGCTAGTCTGTTGTGTTCGTGTCTCTGTATCTGTTCTGTCTTTGTGGCTTGCGCTTTCCATCTCTTTTGTAGAATAGTTCTCTAGTGGATGAAAATAGAGGATCCCCGGGGATGTATTTTGACTAATCTCTTGAATTTCTTATTTTCTTCTATCTTGTATACAACCAGAGATTATGTATATTGCTGTGATAGTAAAACCATGTTGAGATGGGATACCAGTCATATATGTATTCCTTTCATACATCGTAAGATGTGTTAGTGATTATGAACAGGGGGGATAATGCTGAAACTAATTTCCAAAAAAAGTAAAATTTTACAATAACTTTGGAGTGAACGAATTGAGTCAATACGCCGTCATTCACTGATGTAGAGACCGAGAACGAATTCAACGGCCAAGAAACCGCAGCTCCAGGAATCGGAGAGGCGGGTAAACGACCAGAGCCCAGGTAAAACCGACATAATTACCCATCTAAATCAAACGAAAATTTAGATTATGTCCAAGTGGAGTAGATAGAGAGAAAAACTCACATCAGCGCCATAAGCACCGACCAATTTTGCAAGTGGTCCAATATACCAAACCTGAGCCATACACAAGATCGCACCAACCCACCCAACAGCAAAGGCCGTAAAAGCCGCAAAACCAATAGGCAACTTCTTCGGATCCCTCCACGCAGCCCAGTTATACCCGCTTCGAAAGCGGAAGATAAGGAACTCTTCAATAAGAATAGCAAACCAGATAGCAACCCAGTATCCCATCAATGCAAGGAAATTGGTAAAGATCTCGGAAAGATGACTGCGGCCTACCAACGCGCAAATAGTATATATGATCACACCGACAGTATTCCAAATCACGCGGGGGATCTGTTCAGCATAGCGGCCGAGGATCTGGAAGTCCACACCGGAGGAATAGGTTGGTGCGACTGTGTTGGCGATAAGGCCGAGGGCAACGATGACGGAGCAGAATTTGCCGAAGCCGTGCAGGGGACCGAAGCCCTCGACTATTAGGGCACCTTGGCCCTTTGCGTAGGCGGTTGCGTACTCTGGGTGTGAGAGGATACCGGAGCCTAGGCCGATGCCGGAGATGAGGGCGAAAGAGAAAGAGAGTACGAGACCTGTTAGAGTGAGGGTGAAGATTGTGAGGCGGGAGGTGTGTTCGGGGTAGTAGACAAAGAAGTCTGCTGCCAGAGGCGCGTAGGTGATTCCTGCGCTTACACAGATAGAGAAGAATGATAGCCTTTGGTGTGTTAGAATTTGTTGTAGATTTGCTTGGTTTTTTAGATAGCTTACCTGTTACCGGCTACCGTTCTAGCGTCACCTGTAGATACCGTGGACAAATCAAACTTCACTGAGGACACACCGAAGAGGATACAGAATACAATGAGCTGTGGGAGGAATGCGAATCTGTTGTCTTGTTAGCGGATATATTGGCTCTTTCCAGAGAGTTATAGACTAACCGTTCATAGTAGTGGAAGCCTTTGATACCAAATGTTGCCACTACCCATGAGATAATTGCGATGATGACGATACCAACAGCAACAGACATGCCTCCCGGCGAAACAGCAGAGAGAATCTGTCCTCCGACAACACAATCGATCAAACAGTACCCAATCATTTGAATGAGATTCAGCAAGACAATAATCTTACTGGGCCACCAGCCCATTGAGTATCGACCAAACGCCTAGCTGCACTGTTAGCTTCATCACAAACAACACGAAGATAAGAGAAGTCCATACCATAGTCCGGATGCCCGAGATAGGACCCCATGTCGCCATCCACGAAGCGACTAAAGAGCCCGTAAAGACGCCAAACACAGCACATAGAGCCGAGTCCTTAAAGCTAAGACCATACACTGCCGGTCCTAGCATTCCAAGAGTAATATTGTTGGCTGCAAGATTGATGGATACCCAGAGCAGGAAAGCCTGTAGGTATGATACCCATGATAACCGCTTCATACGCTCATCTGCACCGACTCGCTCAATTCCTCGTGCTTCTAGGTTATACTCGACGAGCTGCTGCTCAAATGCTCTAAGTAGGGAGCCTACTCGTGATCCGACAGGGTTCCGTCGACCGGCGGTGGTATCCACGGGGAAAGGCGCATCGTGTACATTTTTATCGGATGAACTGCCGATATTCGAATCTAATTGCTGCTTATGTTGCTGCGATTGAATATCTTTCTCAGTGCGCACCTCTACGGTGGCGATCTCGTTATCGGGCGTCATGCTGTTTAACAGGGCATTAGTATACTTTGGTATTTGTTTCGGATAGGGGATTTGTGCGCATGAGTTCTTTCGCTGGAGTTATCCAGATCAAGTTCAACCGTATAATCTCAGAACGACTGCTCCGGACCTAAGTATAAGATAGGAGCAACCGAACACCGGTCTGCATGCAGGTGGGGTTGCCACATTGTACCTTGATCACGGGATAAAATCAGACTACTTGTCTTCATGATACCCAGGTCATTGTGAAGAGAGGAAGTAGGAATCTGTACTGGAAAATTGGAGGAGCCTCGTAGGTGGGACTCTGTTGTACCTTCCAAATGAGTCACTATGAAGCAAGCCGATAAGGATTAGTATTGTGGTGGCGACGACAAGATAGGGAAGCGCAATTACCTGGAAAGAAGTATCGATGCAGACCAAGGACAAGTAGGCCTTTTTCGACAATTCACTTCACCGAATCTGGGAAGTTCTAGTTGTAAATGTATCGGGGACAGAATGTGGGGAGAAGGAGAGTCACCATTTTTTTTTGGTCGCGGGGAAAAAACGATCGTTCCGCGGTCTCGGCGTCTTTTCCCGCTCTCCGCCGGAATTATAAGATCGGAGTTTACTGCAGATCAATACGTGACAGCGGAGTACATGCATCTACGTTAAACCCTGACCCACTTTGTATAGTTCAAATATCCTCAAGTTCCAAGGTTGATTTATTGGTATTGAATTCTGATCGGACTAGATTTGATCGCATGTTCCTGGGAATCATCGATGTAATATTCATCAAAACCAGCGGAGAAGTATCCACCCCAAGTACTGGCACTTATAACGCCCCGTTCGCATTGGAAAAAAAAGATGATGAAGTAAAGTCACGCATTGGTGGAATCGGCGCAGAAGAAGCATTCAGTAAATCAAAACGTACAAGAAGAAAGTATCAAAGAATCGAATCACAAATAAAAAGAAATCAAAAAAAGAAACCTGAATCCCCCAACTCCATCTTGCCTGTCAAGACAAAAGGCCCCCATGGCCCCTTGATAACACTTGCACCGCTATGGAATTGCAAAATTCGGGATGGCATGCCAACTTAATCAGAATGCAGAAGAAAAAAAGAAGAAAATATAGAAATTAAAGCGCAGAGTTCATGACTTCATGAGAAGGGTCGTGGCCAAAAGAGAAATAAGATCTCTCAAAGATTCTTGAAGTGCTCTTTGGCATACTGTTCACATGCCTATGGAAAGGGATTTGTCAGTGATCAAGTAAAGACTGATAGATGTAGCAGTGTAAACACACCTTAGCGGGCTTGCCAACTTTTGCCCCAATTACCTTCCACTTATTGGCTTCATAATCTTTGATAGCCTCACGAAGTTTTATAGACTATGTCGTCGATTAGTTTTGTCCCAGCAAGATCAAGATCGCATTATTTTGATCGTACGTACCTCATCTTCGGCGAACTCAGCATAATGCATGTCCTAATTTCCATTCGCGTTAGTATACAAAACCAAAAGTCATTTGCGCGCATGTCCAGGAAAATAAAGTGTGTAAACACGGAATGCGCAGTTTGGTAACGCGCGAAAATCGCATAGTCCAAGTACGCGCATAAGTTGACTTACTTTATACCAATGCTTCTTCACGCTGCCTTCAGTCCTAGTCGTAAATGTCTGTGGAGGTGTCTGATGTTAGTGATCGATGCCTTGGTTCAAGGATAAAAATATATAGGGCTGCGCGTCGCACCTTCGCAATCTCGCTCCAGCTACGGCCCGCATCTCGCATCGTCTTCAGGCGTTGTTCTTCCTCGGCTGTCCATGGCGTGTTCGTACGACCCTTTTTCTTTGGGGCGGGCTCCGCGGGGGCGGCGAGTGCGCCCGGGTCACCCTCGATCGCGGCCCCGGGATTCATCTGCGGCGCCATCATGAGGGATGAGCCCCCGCTTGGTGATTGTCCACGTTTGCGTGAAGTGGTGTGGGTTTGTTGCGGGAGAGGTGCTGTCGGAATGGGAATTCCTTCAAAGCGCGGCACCTGGTGGAAAGGGTGAATTTGTTGCTGTGCTAAGAGATGTGAGGGAGCAGTGGTTGTCGCTGACGTCTTGAGCCTCTTGGACGTTGGGGGGGAACTGTGATCAAAACAACGGAACGGTTAGTCGATAGTCACGAGGAAGCCGAAGTAAAGTAAGTGGAAGAGTTGAAAAAAAAGATAAGCCAGTTCAAAGAAATTCAGGCAAACACGACGAGATCCCATAACGCGACACATCCGAGGTCTCCTCCCGTTTGGACGGAGATCATAGACGAGGGACTTACGACATGGTGAAAAAACACACGATCGCAATCACAGGGCGAGTCATCTGTACATACAACAAAGCCGCATAGGGGGGTTAGCAGATCTGCTACAGGCGCGCCTTGGTCAACTTCTAGGAAAGTGGGCCTTGTTACACTAAAAGACGATGACACAGGCGCATCCTAGGCAGAACCAGATCGGGACAAGAAGGGGACAGGGTGGGATGATGTGGAAAGGATGCGAGGGAAGTCAAGTGCCCATCCCGTAGCAATTAAGCTCTTGTGGGGGTGGAAATGGGGGGGGGGGTTGTTGATCTTCGATATGAGGACGCGAAAGTGAAGTGGAGTCGATAGGAAGGGGGGTGGAAAGCAAGCTCACAGATCAAAGTCGCATGGTCGAAGAGTCGATTCGGGAACCTCGAATTCTTCCGAATATGGGGAGAACATGAGGCTGGAAGGTAAAAGAAGGATGTGTGTGTAAGGTTAATTCGGATGGAAGTTGGGGGTAGGGGGGGTGGGGGAGTAAAGGTAATAAGAAAGGGAAAAAGGTAGGGGAGAAGGTTACAGGAAGGAGAGAGAGAGAGAGAGAGAGAGAGAGAGAGAGAGGGAGAGAGTTAAGTTGTGAGCGGGGATGGAGTTCACCTCATATCACCGGTAATGGCCCAGAAAAGTCCACGACCACTTTAACACGCCTGGTTTTTTGGGGGCTTTTTTTTGTGTGGATTTTTAAAACAGATATTATTGTTAATTCTTTGCTCTTGATTTATTTCAATTTAATTTGATTTGATTCTTGAGGGGGAAATAGTTGGGGTCAAATAGGTAGTAAACTATTGTTTTGTATGGGAAGTTTGGTTATATATGGGGGGAATTCAACAGTACTATTAGAACCGCAAGTAACAACCAAGCATCTCTCTCTCCCTCTTTTATAAGGTGCCAGGTGGAGACAAGGAATACTAGTAAAAACCAGGTCCACGTCAAGAAAGTCTAGACCTTTTGACAGATTCAATGTTGATCTCTCATCTCATATGTCACAACTAAACGTCGATTTCTAGATCTCCCATTAGAACCTTCAAGGTTGTTCTATACAACGTTTTCTTCCCTCCTATTACATGCATGCATGCATCTATCCATACTGGCTACGTACACTGCCCTACATTAACCATCGGGTTCCCATTTTCAGCATTATTGTTATGGTTTCGAATACCCCCCATCTCCCCGAATAAATAAACATAAATAAATAAAGTAAAATACAAATAATTATATAAAAATAAAAAATAAAAAATCATTCAATCCTATCCACACACAGCTACAAACCCTGGTCAGCACTCAACGCCCTCCGGTGCATTCCACAACCCACCGTTCGTCTGTGGTCGAGGAACCGATCCCCCGGCCCTGTCACAGATGGGTCGTGCTGCCCTCCAATTCGGCCAAGGAATCTGCAGAAAGCAAGAATACTCACGTCCCGGGCAGCTCCCCCATGAGACATTTGGGCCGAAGAGACCCGCGAGTGGTCTATTCCAGAATCCGGTGACCCGGCGAGCTCTCACACCCGTACGAGGATGACATACTTCCTTGACCATAGATGAAGTATACAGAATATACAGCAATTATGCAAAACCAAAAGAAAAAGAAATAAATAAATAAAACAAATGATTCATATCCAAAAAGCCGCAGCCATGTCCCAGATTCATCCTGCTCCGTTTATCCCGATCCTGGGCGGGCCAATTCAAGCCACAGGAGGGTTTGAGGATGCAGCCACCATTAACCCCTCTTTTGTTGACACATTCACTCCCAGGATGCTTATATGAGTAGCATTAATGGTCTTTGGCCCCGCTGGTGCGTCTGTTCTGATTTTGATTTTCAATTTAGCCTCGTATCTTTTGATTGTTTTTATTTTATTTTTTGTTGTACCTATTGGAGCCCTAGAAGGGGAAGCTTTGAAGCAAATCTACCTGAACCAGCTTACTCAAGCCAGACAAGTCTCAGTACATATATAGCACGCGTAGTCTGGTACACAATGCCTGAAAATACTAGAAAATCTCTTCAATATTGGGAAGAAACAAAACAAAGTGGCTGATCGACTGCGAAGCAATTTCCCCCCAGTGCCAATAAGGCAATCCATCCCCGGAGCTCACGCTGCAGCCGTGCGGGTTAACCAGGATCGTGCATCTGCTCGAAACAATGTGGCTTACCCTTCCCTACCTACCTTGCCCACCTGCAGAATTATGTTATCCACGGATTCTATAATGACCAGGTATAAGTAGAAACGAGCAAGTTATCTTTATCAATCAATTGTGATATCGCCGGGTTGGGCTGGTCGTTGCGGTGGAAACATGGGCTGACCGGGGCTACTAATCAGAGCTGGTGGATATGTCATGGTCGCCTAGGACCATCAAGGGTATTTGATTGGTCGATTGCATTGATGACGACTTGGTCAATGTGTCACATGCGACATGTTGACCCTCGTGGATGTTATTGCTTTATTGTTGGAAATATTCAACTATTGACGTTTCATAGATCTATAGACATGGATTTCGCCATAACCACTTCAAATGGGGGATCAGGGACAGCAGCCCTAAATATTCTGTTAAGGTCATATTGTATTCTATTTTGAAATGAGAGAGAAAATGAGAGAGAAAGAGAAAAAGAAATACTGGTCTATTAACAAACATATAGTAAACCAACGGAGCTAAACATTCCTGCTCATATCTCAAATTACCCAAAATGGAGCTACATACTCTCGTTAAAAATATTCATAATTTCCAATAAAATCTAAGTCATAACCTTCAAACGTCCAAAGAAAACCAGGCGACCAGAAAAATACCAATAAATCAGATATTAAGATGATTAATCTGCAACCCCGCTACTCTATATGAGCAGACCCGGAGGCTCCACAAAAACCTTGAAGTACTAGTAGCCTTCCAAGCTCTCGTTCTCACATCATGTATAAGCATAACAAAAAGGTCTACCCGTCGTACTCATGATATCTTTCATAACAATCGATCGATTCTTATCAACATATCCAACATTAACCATCGTCTCGAGCGTCACGTTAGGAGAAGCAGGCCGATTAAGATACGTCTCCGTCCCCGCAACCGCAAACTGTCGATGAGCCACATCCAAACTCTGCCAAATCCACCACACCCGATCGATCATTCCATGGTGATGCCAGAATGCAGGATCCCCAGCTCCCGTCTGCGTCATTACCTGGATCTCCACCTATAGCATAATGGCCACCACTGTGAAGACCGATCGAGCCGTTTCGAAGTGCCCGATATCTTGACTTTGAGTGATTAGGTGAAGTATTGATGTGTAATTTGCGAATCTTAAGACTCAAGTTAGACTTTAAATTTAAATTGACCTCTAGCTATTGCGTTCATTTGGAATTGGAATTGTTTTGCTCTTATGAAGTTGATTTAGATGGATGTACTTGCCTTCTTAAAACTGAGGTAGTTAGATCTCGCTTCATACATCGTGGGTTGTGGTCAAGTGGAAAGACCCGGAAGACTATGTCATCGCCTGGTATTGAGAGGTATGATGGTCCCATGCTGACTGTGTAGTTTTGAAGGGTCCACCAGTGACACAGCCGCCTCCGGTGCCTGGTGGAAGGAAAACAGGCGAATAGTTTCCAACTGGAACCCTGATACCTTTTTGTTTGGGGATGTATTCTCCATTTCCAGATAGTGATGTATCACTCCCATTGAAAACGGGTGAAATTTCTATAGAATCGGCATCTGCACCCCAATCCCAGTCAGTATCTAAAGAGTGTTAGCATTATACTGATAAGGACCATATATTCTTCTGGTTGACGTCTGGGAAGACTAACGGATAATCTCCGCTATATTTGCATTCATCCTGCAATGCCAACTCAAACTCATGGATAAAGTATCGGTGCCAGGCTACAAATATGCCCTATCATATGTCAGGAACATAGCGCTAGGAATCAATGGCATGATGCACAAGAGAACTTGTAATTGAAACACTGATATTAATTCAAAGACAAAGAGCAAAGAAACAGAACATACCGAACGGTGGATAATGTTAGTTTGATTAATGTGAGTAGCCACGAAATCATCATACCGAGGCCTTGCTCCTTTTGCCAACTCGTTTGGAGTTCGCGACGGCAGAGACTGTAGACAAAGCACAGAATCAATGTATGCCTTCTTTTCCTCTACAGAGAAAGCTCTCCAATTTCGCCGTATTCTTAATTCCTCAAGCGTGCATCCTGTATGCTGGGCAGCAATATTATTCTGGGTAGCTTTGAGGGAAAACTCAGCAAGAGATTCGAGTTGATTAAACTCAGATATCCAGGCCAACCATTGAGCGTCTAGTACGTCACTATGTAAACTGGTTAAAAAAGGTAAAGCTTTCACTAGTAATAACAAGATACTAGTACTAAATGTAAATATAAGCATTGCGAGAAGAGCCTCTATCTAGGTACTTGAAAAATAGAGACAGAAAAGACTTGAAAAGAACATCATCGAAAATCAACTTCCTTAACTTATTTGAATCTAGATTAGAACATGACAAATCGCTGAATGATCCTTCTTAAGTCGGATATTTGGCCCGATACTGCAGTATATGTAGTCATCAATGCCAAATACCTGCCGTGTACCACGATGTGATCGTCTCTCGTTGGGCCGGGGGTTTTATGAGAAGTATCCACGTGAGGCTAACTATGGTCTCCTACAACGTGTTTAGCCTTGTCTTTTATGGACATTAAATAATAGACTGAAGGTCATAATTTATCACGTATAAATTTTAGCCACTGAAAATACCCTTTGCACAAGGGCATTAAATGCATGAAAGGTTCAAGAAACTATGGGAATATCCCTCTATCATGCATACAAACAGCGGACGAAAACTTGACCGTCTCTATGTACGACGCTAATAAAATTATTATCTCAGACTTCTATTTCATACCTCAATAGAGACACATTCCGTGAAAATCTCACCGGAAATTTTGCATACCCCATGAAGTAGAAGGCTACTAATCGATTGACTGTTGTAAGCCGTAAACTTCGGGAACCCCCCGCCATCATCTTCTAACTGAGATACACCGTATATCTCACGACCCATATTTCGTTGGTGATTGACCATATTCGCAACCCCCAAAGTTTGATATATCGGGAATGCGCCTTCTTCTGTCGGTTGAAGATTATGGAGAGCTTCCAACCACTTTTGTATTTCCAGCCCCAGACTCAAGTCCTGACAACGTAGCAGGGCAGCCAGTAGCAGACCTGAGAACCCGATTGTGTAGCTATTTTTTGAAACGGAAGTCTGCATATTGGTTCCTTTTGCAATTTGGAGCAATAGTCTGGTCCAGCTTTGTTCTTCGCTGAGGTTGTGGTCCCGATGGAAGCTTCGATTTCGAAGACGACTTATGGCTCCAGTACACTGCATGGTACGTGCCAGCACATAGTAGGCAAAGTTGAGAGCTGCGTCGTGTGACTGAAAAGATATGGTATTATTCCACTCATTCCCATGGAAAGCTTGAGTCTGCACCTGCAGTCCCGAGGGTTGTTCATTTATCGGAAGGTATAAAAGCCACAAATCTAGCTTTTCAGATTGCTCGTTTAATTTATAGAGCGTAGCTTCGTCATCGTCGGTATTCGGACTACAGACCCAATATTTGAGTATGTGGTTGCAATTGAGACGATGCGATTCGCACATGATGTTCAAGACATTGACTCGTCGTTCCTCCGTAGTTTCAAAACTCCCATCAATACTTCCTGGCAAAAGCACAGGAGGCATGTTGCAGTGAATCTCCAATGGACTGAAGTAGACACGAGCCCACCAGACCACAAATCTGATTTGCATCCATGCGGTAAGAGTTGCATGAAGCTCAGGATCCTCAGGGCTATCCTGTACTTCCGAGAGGAACTTGAGAAGACCCTGCACATGGCAATTGAACCCTTGAAAGTTACCCATGGAGGATTCAATATAGGCAAAAAGAACGGAGACCGTGAATATAGTGCGAAAATTCGAGCGATTTTCTATTTGTTTCAGAGATGCCAAACTTTTGATCGCCTGTGAATAATATAGTTGGCTTCTTGTTTGGTGAACGAGATCAGGGCTATAAACTCCCATATGTTTCATGGAGGAGTCTCTGCGCTCTGCAAAAAGACGGCTCATGTTGCATGAAGATAATGCAAGCATTGCATTTGTCAACATCGGAGAAGTGCGATTAAGGAGCGTAGCGGATTTGAATACCGGATGTAATGCCGGTAGGCAATTATCTTCCCAGTAGGTGGAATAGAATACATCTCGCTCGGTGTGTTGAAGAGATCTTATGATATCAAGACTTGGTGATATAGCCCTGTTTGGGGGTGTATGGACGATATCCCGCCTTGTGGAATCATACTCCGTCTGAAGATTTGATGTCTCTTTTGATGATGTCGTGTCTGAGTCTGGCCCAGTAACCATTCGAAATTTAAAGTCTGATTTAATGTTTTCGCATACTTTGCCTAACCTAACGCAGGTCCCACAAGGCTTCTTTTCATCACACTTGTTAATTGTTAGCGTTCGAAATATCACAAGCTCTATTTACGGGTAAACGAACTTTGGTTCTTCTTTCACGACAAAATTTGCAGCCACTTCGAGATCGGACGATATCTGTCTTTTTCGGTCTCGGACGAACCGGTTTGTACATCCTGCTTGTACATGGGGCTGGGTGATCTCACTCTGCAGTGTTACCTTAGAGAGTTGCGGGGACGGTAATTCGAGATCCAATTCATGCCGCCGGAAGAAGCGTTATCGGGTCAGCTGATCGCTTCCATTATAACACATCTTTTAGAATTTACTCAACATGAACTAAATAATTTCGATCGGTAATTTCTATTTTGAGATTTTTTTCTTCTTCAAGTCTGATTGGAGAATTGACATAAATATATGCGGAAACCAGAGACAGATCATGAGTCTATCTATGTCTCAAGCGCTAGTCGTAGTATTATCTTGATAGCAAATTTACCTAGGTAGGAACGCCAGGCCATGGGTTTTATTTCAATTTCAAATCAGATTGATTGTATAGGATACTCCTTCTCATGATTGGAAATATTGACCTGCATTGAAGGTATCGAATCCTTGTCGTACAAGTAAGTGTTTATACAAATCCTTCATCGCCCACTATTTAGCCTCTTTCTTTTTCAAATCATGCAGCTGTCCTCGACTCTTCACCAATTCTGAAATAGCATGGCCTGTTTCACCTCCTAATTTTTCAAATCCTTGAGCCACTCCTTCACGATCACCCTGGCGCATCTCCTGACTCATCTTAAACTTCCCCTGGATTTTCTTAACCTCAATCTTGATACCCACAATATTCCGCTTTAAAAGCTCGACGTAGCGCTCTGGAGCCTCGTCAACAGTCCACGCCTCAGGTTTATCCCCGCCAGTATAGCCCATAACGGACTTTTCAGTATGAGCAGAAAGATCGTGGATCTGCTGCGCTAGGAACGATTCCGTCTCAGCTGTCTTTGAGTCATAGTAAAGCGAAAGCTTGCCATATACCTGGACCGCAGCATAGTTCCAGGTAGGGACAACCTTGCCGGTGTCGGGCTTGGTTTCAATGTAGAACTTGGGCGTCACGTAGTGATCGTGTTGTCCATTGAAAAGAACCAAGACATCCTCGTCCAATTCCAGGACATTGGGTGGTTTTTCATCCACGGCTTCGATCATTGCCTTTACTTGTGGGTTTTGTTTGGCGATATGCGCACGAATATGGGCATTTTCACCACCGGACTCTTCTGGTAGGTCGAGAACCCATGGTACATGGGTGCATTGTAAGAAGTCTTGTTCAGAGGACTTCAGGCCTGTGATAAGAATGCCAAGAGGGTTCTCTCTGATGAATTGGAGGAGAACCTCGGTGTCTTGCTCAGCATGGACACTTGGAAGGAACATTTTGACGGATTACCTCAATATGAATCAAAGGCGAGGACTAGCATGAGGTTCAAAAATGACATTCATCAATTGACTTGGCAGTGACACATCGCTGCTTAAATATTGTTGTGCCGAGATTTGCTGGACTGATAGGTGGGTTTGCCGTATACGGCAGGTCTACGCGGGGCTGCCAACGCGTTTTGTCAACTTGATTGTCGGCCAAGGGACTGTGACTCAGGATTAAAAGGAAAACTTCTCAATTCCCTGAGTGAGATATGTATGTATTCTTTCAAAGATGGTAATGTTTCCGCCATCTTAGCCAGGATATGATTTATATTAAGGATCAGATTTTAAGGCACACCTAGAGCCCTATCTGAGGGCGCTAACCATTTATGCTTAGCATCGTTCTCGCACACCTGATTGGGAATAGTGCAATTCCCCTTTATGCCTAAGGTATCAATTCCTAACAAATGATCAGGAGTGTATTTGCAAATAATACTGAGCGAACTCTGTGATGCAAATAATATTATTATGAATTATAGGTTGAAGCAAGGATATGTAGCAAGCCATTAGACTCGGAGATTCTTCTCTGTTGGGATAAAACCATCATCGGTAATTGAGATAAAACAACAGTGAAAAGTCAAGACACATTGAGCCAGGCCAGCCAATCGATGCTGTCATTTTCGTCAACTCTAATTCCTCTCATTAATGTGTCAAAAAACTGGAGCTCGGCATCCTGCCCTGTTTCCATATGCTCCCCAGCAGTTAACGGGAATTCTTGGTTTTGTTGAGGAATAGAATCAGGATTGGTGTGATTGGCTTGCCCCATCTGGAATGAAGGGTTATTAGTAGAGATATGGCCATGGGACAGGGAAGAAGGCTGGGATTGCGGCGGCGGGTTTGTTTTTGCTTGCAATTTGTCTTTTGTCTGGTGCCTGCCTATCCCGCCTCCTGCCTCACTATAGATGCCCTGTCGACCAGAGGAAGAAAGGCCATATCCATATTGTTTTTGAGTTCCATATTTGGCGACTTCAAATTGTGACTCCATATCACCTGTAACAACCTGCTGAATTTGGTGAGGGTTTTTGAAGAAAATACCCCGACGAGTGACATTGATAACACCAAAATGGGGAATTGACATTTGGACGGCGTCGCTGTCGTTTTTGGGAGATGAGTTCTTGTTAATTTCCGAGGACCATGGAGGCCCTTTTGCAGCTTCAGCCTCGATAGTCATCAAACGTCGTAAGATGTTCGAAATCTGAGTGCTCATTGTCTCCGTCTCCAGTCGGCCGACTTCGTCCAGGATATCTAGCATGTTTTCTATAAGTGCGCGGTCGCTAGGCCTCTGGTGTGTGAATGGGTTACTCATTGGCTCAGAAGTGCCTTGGGGCCACTCCAGACTATTCACTATAGAGGGTTTTTGCTGGTGGCCATCGGTGTGTACCAATAAGAGAGTCATAGCTGCCATTAAACCGAAGAAGTCGACGGTGCGACAGCTGAAGGCAATTCGGTTGAAACTATGAAACATGACGAAACGCGAGAGTATATCGCGGGCCGAATTAACACAAATAATCTGTGAATACCCGCATCTATGTCCAGCAGCCGCAGAACCGAGCATATATGGCAAATGAAGTTGAATGAGTAGGTTATAATGAAAAAGGTGATGTAAGAGTCGGCGCATATCCCAGAAGAGTGCTTCCGGTTTATCAGCAACAGTGGCTAGGTTTGGGACGAGCCACCACTTGTCTGGAAGATATCTGGAAGCTGCTTGCAATTCTTCGTCTAGATATTGTGCCAGAGCAGGATCATGAGACGCTGGAAGTGATTGGTTGCGTTGTAGAATTTTAGAGGTCACCACAGAGTGTATACGATCAAGACGTCCCATAGGTGTATCGTTTGAAAGAGCTGCCTGGGAAGTCATGCTATGATCATTTGTTGCTTCTGGAATGCCTAGCGTTAAACAGAGGTATCGCTCAAGAGCGGTGATTCGATGCCAAATGAAGTCTGGATAAGATTTTGTCTGCTGATCAACGATTTTGCACTGTGCTCTTCCTGGCTGGTGGAAGCCCATCAACTCCGCAATAGTCATGGCTCTTCGAACGGTAACCAAGCCTTTTCGTATATTCCCACCATTCGTATGAAACCAGCTCTCCACCAGCATACATTCTATTCCTTCAACACAGTAAACGAGGTCATCATTTGTTGTCACGATATTGGTGGCTATTGCTGATAATCTTCTCATCATCTCTCGAGGAGGCTCAGATAGTCTGCCAACGTTTTTGGTAAAGTCAGGATGAAGATGCTGCAAGGCCGTTGCGACATGAAGCATGTGTCTTGCGATTATAACAGGATGCGCATTGAGATTTGGCGTCGCAAACATGCTTTCAAGAGACATTGTCTTGTCAAGATCGTTGTAGGGCACGATTTGCATTTGATAAAATAAGGAAGATGTGTTGCCACATGCTTTGACGATTATCTGTATTTCTTCCGGTGATGGTAATGAGGCATGTAAGGTCCGAGACAGCTTCTCATGCTTGTCGGGTCTAAAAGGGGCATTTTGAACGACTCTGGAGCTTGAAGACTCAGTATTTCCACTTAGAATTTCAAAGCCAGCTGTTTCGGGCTTCTACAAGATTATTTAGCGTCTTCTCCAAGTGAAATTTATTCATATTAGAAACATACCTCTAAAGACTCGGACGAAGTCGCCTTCGGTGAAGTGCCAGAGTTGAGCAACGGAGAAGTGGGCGTGTCATGTTTGTCTTCTTCAACCCCAGAACTCACTTCTATACTGTCTCTGTTGAGGAGCTTTTCGACCAAATTCTCCACTCGTATCAGACGGTCGCTCACTTGGAGGCTTCGGTCCAAGGACGAAGTGATCTCTTCTGGATACTCTTGACTGACACATTTAATACCACGTCGATGACAGCGAACACATATAATGTCTGTCGATCGCGAGAAAATACACTTCATCTTCCGCTGTCTGCATTCCCAACAGCTTCGAGTTCCTTTCCGTACTTTTCGTCGTTTTGATGCGGACATCTCATCTGATTCACGACCATCGGCAGAAGAGCGCGGAACCAATGTGGACTGAGAGGTAGACATTCTGCCTTCTAGTCTTACTGATGGGAGATGGAGCTGCAAAAACAATAGATATATTCAAGAGAAGAATATTAGCATTCGTCCGAAATAATACTTGAATCAATATTCAATAGTAAGAACACGGAGTGGCAAAAGGTCGTTCGACCGGAAGCTCGGTGGACGGATGTGCATCAGCCTTGGCCCCCACAATATTGCCGGTGCAAGGCTGGGAAGTTAATTCCGCTAGAGCTCTTGATTGGACCATTTTTGTCGACTACATAGTATTCAAGATCGGTCTTTAGTGTTTCATTTCGACCATAATCTCGGAGGACGAATGATACTTTCAATGTTATTTTTCTTGACAATGCAAATACTATATAAAGGTGCCCAGAAATGTACCTGGCAACACTGGAGAAATATCAAGAGTCCTTTTCTACTCATCCATTCAAGTTCTACTAGTACTACTACTAGTAGTACCTACCGGCTTCAAGTTATCTTTGCATACCTTTTTTTTACCGTGATCCCAACTGGAGATCAGTACAGCCATGGCCACTCAATTCAATACTCCTCCCAAAAGTCTAGCTAAGCTGCGGCCTTTTAATTTTCGTGTGCCCGAAAAGGAGTTAGTTGAATTTCAAGATCTTCTAAAGCTATCGAAGATTGGTACTCCAACCTGGTGGAATCAACAAAATGATCCCCAACTCGGAGTATCTCGCGAGTGGTTGACCAAGGCGAAAGAAACATGGCTCACAGCATTCGATTGGCGCAAGCATGAGGAATCTATTAACAGATTTCCAAATTTCAAGATCGCCATCCAAGATCCAGAGATAGGCGAGATCGATATTCATTTCGCTGCACTTTTTTCAGCCAAAGATGATGCTATTCCTATCATTTTCATGCATGGGTTTCCTTCCGCCTTCACGGACTTTTTGCCAATGATGGATGTTCTGGCCAACAAGTACACACCTGAAACTTTGCCATATCATGTCATTGTGCCATCTTTGCCCGACTATGGACTTTCCGGTACTCGTAGTCAAGACATAGAGATGACCTTGGAACGATCCGCACGCATCATGAACCAGCTTATGGTTGATCTTGGGTTTGAAGATGGTTATGTTGCTCAGGGAGGTGACCTTGGGAGCCTGATTGCTCGTATTATGTCTGCTCAGTACGAAGAGTGCAGGGCCTTTCACCGTACGTATAGATCCAACAATGCTGCTATTGAACTTGATACAGCAGCTAACTCTTATCAGTCAATATGCTCATTCTAGACCCAGGAGAGACAACTCCCTCTTACGATGTTCTCAGCCCAGAAGAAATACAGATTCTCAAGCGATCAGAAACGTGGCAGGCGACAGGCTTGGCATATGCTCTAGAACATGGTACTCGGCCCTCTACTGCTGGACTGGCTATATCGTCTAGCCCGCTTGCATTGCTAGCTTGGTATGCGCCCTTCAATCTCCGCCGTAAGCCTTTCTAACAACGATGTAGGATTGGCGAGAAACTGATAGAATGGACTGATCCACGACAACCTCTATCTCTAGATCATATCCTCGGACTTGTCAGCTTCTATTGGTTTACTGATACGTTTGCTCGGAGTTTGTATCACGCAACGGCTTATCAGCGTTTTCTTGCAGATGCTCCTCCTTCAATCTCCAAGGAGAAGCCTCTTGGATACTCGCTTTTCAAATATGACCTTGTTATACTCCCTCAAGCTTGGGCTCGGGAGATTTATCCTAATCTGACTTTCTTCAATAGTCATGCCAACGTGAGTCATGGCTAGTCTATACGTTTCACGAAAATTGCTAATTTGGGCATTTAGGGTGGTCATTTTGCCAGCTTAGAGCAAACGGAAGAACTACTAGAGGATGTTGAGATTTTTGTCAAGAAAGTTAGCGATCTGTTCAAGAGACAGTAGGCTATTGGTTTCTTGACTGTGCCTATGCATTGGTTTAGTATTTCGGTATGTCAGTGCTGTCGCGATGACCATTTGATCAGATGAAGTGAAGTTTAGCTCGCTATGGTTCATTCTCGTTAGTTATGGTACATGTTTTCAATCCATTTAATTCTTTATAGCTTACTCTCGTCATTATTCTTTGAAACGGATCTTAAAACATTATTTTGATGCTTATTACATTTAAATGCCTTTTGTATACTTCCCCGATATGATGTCATGCGTCACGTGAGGACACGCGGCATGAGCTCCATTACTGATAGCGGAAGCTCCCTTCCCCATACAATCACCATCCCCAGCGCTTCAAGGGTTGGGAAGCACGAACTTGTGAACAGCCCTTCATAGCTCAACGTGACTCCCCCGATATCGCAGTCTTGAATCGCAGCATTCATTTCAATCTCATTTGTTCAGACCGAACCTTTGTTTCCACCTCGCCTCCTCCTCTCCCCGCAATACAGTCATCCCTACCACGATGAGTTGGAACATCTTCCGCTATATTGCCGACACGTCTCATCTGGCCTCAATATGCATTCTTATATGGGCCATACACAGAAATAAAAGTGCTGAGGGTAAGCGATACGATCTTCCTGTTTTGTTTGACTTGAATCAGTTGTGCTAACCAGAAGGTCGCAGGCATTTCGCTCTTAACACAGATGCTTTATGGGCTTGTGTTCGTGGCTCGCTATTTGGATTTATTCTCGAGCTACTCATGGAGCTTTGGCATTGAGGGCTCAGTTTACAACCTGAGCTTCAAGCTATTTTACCTGGCATCCTCCCTCTATCTCGTATTCATCATGATGAAGGTGTTTCCTCGAACTCAAGAAAAAGAACGTGCATGGAAGCTTGGAATCTACTCGATCGTTGGATCATTGGTGCTGGCGCCTGTTATGATTCTTATTTTCGAGCGGAAGAAACACCCCGGGAACTGGTTCCTGGAGGTAAGCCATCCCCATTTCCATCCCCGCAGTTCCCCAGCCCCCCCTCTGTCTTCCCGCGGAGAGCTAATCAATCAAAACGGATAGATATTCTGGGTATTCTCTATTGCTCTCGAATCAGTCTGCGTGCTGCCACAGCTGCTACTTCTACGTCAAACCACCGTTCCTACCGTGATCAATTCATACTATCTTGCCGCCTTGGGGTCTTACCGAGCATTCTACATTCTAAACTGGCTTGTTCGTGGCTTCGGTAGCGAGCACCATTGGGACCCTATAGCATTCATTTTCGCCGTCGTTCAAACCGCGTTCTATATTGATTTTGCTTGGGTGTACTACTCACGACAGAGAGTGAAACTGCGCAATGGTGGGATTGTCGATTCGGACGACCTCCGCAAAAGCTGGTTGATGAAACGTGTGTTCAATATGCGAGGTGTGCGCGGCTCTAACGATGAAGAGCAGGGTCTCAATGAAGACGGAGAAGGCGATGACAACCGACCGAACAGCAATCGTTGGGGTGCCCGTGGAGTCTCCATCGCTGCAGATGACACGTTGGATCATCATCATGGACACGAGGAAGATGAGGACAACTTTGAGGGTGTTCTTGGAGATGAAGATTCCGATGCGGAAGATATATCTAATCAGCGTCATCATTAAGATACAGTGTCTACTGTGGATAGTATCTTCTTGGTATGACATGGCATTGTGACAGACACATCTCGGCACATGATTTCTTTTTTTTTTTGTTCGGAATATCTATGAAACGGCAAACTGTATTCCCGAGACTGCATTGTATTTGTTTTTATCCGGTGCAAGAGTATCGGATGTTATTGTGAGCGTGCATTTATTAGCCATTTTTAGCCAATCTATCTATACCCCACTGGAATGGGGGCTTTTAACCAATCATTAACTTGAAAAAAATAGAAGATGCCCAGGGTTGAATCGACCTGCACATCGGCAATGCAATATAGCCTTGAGGGCTGACTCAAGGTGGGGTGTTTCTTTTTACTGTGGGGCAGTTTGATCTAAGGCTGGCCGACCATCTGCGTTGAATGGGGCTATAAAGAGATATTTCAAGCCGTACCAGCAGCCCATGCAACCATCATCTAGTGCAATTATTCTTACGTGGTCCGGAGTTATTCTGTTCCTGCATATGTACATATCAGGCTTGATTTGGAGACATGACCGCACCCAGAAGATATTTATGGAGCACCAAGGTGTGCCCCATGCGTGCGCTAGGTATTTGGACCCACTGTGGGTTGGTAGATGTCACGAAAAGTATGCCAGTGGTCAGCCCATTGAGTCTTCTTCAGCCCGATCATCTTTTCATGTTTCAACATCACCCCGAGTCTATATGTGGAAACCGGCCCCCAAAGAGGATCAACTAGAATATGCAGCAATGTAACCCCCATCTGAGCCACTTTTAGCGTCTCATCACATGATTTGATCTGTATTGTACACAGTGTGAAGAAACGGAGTACGGAGGGGCCATGCTACGGTCCGTGTATAGTAACTCCGATAGGGTTGAGTCCAGGAACAGGAATGACAAATTGGACACAGACCTCTGCCCCCGGGGGCTTTCAACACTTTGGGCCCTCGGATTACAGTAGGTATTAATTTATTGTATTGTCCAGAATTGTTTTCCTTTTTGCAACGTCTCCTAACCCTTGAACACTGGTATCTTGGTAATTTGAAGTTGAAACATTACAAGCGTTACTGCATCAGTTTCTGTAGAGATTTCTTACAAAAAATGACACACAAGAAGTATTTGGCGGATTAAGTCGGCGAAAATGAGGAGGGCATGAGCACAAATCGGTTTAGCCTCGGGAGTAGACCGCTCAGTAAGTCTTATAAAGAACAGCCAATCGAATGAATAGCGCTATACGTTCAAAGAGAAGAGATTTGACGGATTCGGAGCTGACAAAGCTTAAGCCTGGTGAGAGTCCCTTTTCTTTATCCATATTCCTTGGACTCTAGCTGTCGATTAACCAAATCCTATTTCTTAAGCAAGGTTCAGCTTTTTAACGAATCTTCTTTGTCAGTCAACTGAAAGAAACATCTTATACTACACCAAGTCTCTTTGTTGGCGGTAGATATAGTAGGATGCCTTCTTATAAAAGCAATAGAATCCAACCCCTCATTTAAATTTGTTGAAGCACAAAAACTTAAGATCCCAAATCATCTTTTAAACTACATTTTGTCCGTTTGAATCGTCCCCGAAATCCGTTTTCCTGCCGCTCTGCGGTATCCTATCGATAGAAATGCCCAGACATTCAGAGGCTACCAAAGAACGCAAACGCAGCAAGAAAGAAGATGGCAGTGATTCTTCTGAGGAAAACCCAAAACGTCTAAAGAAGTGGGATCCTAAGCGCTCTTATATCCCCGAATATGAAGCCGAATAAGTTGAGCAGCCGCCAAGACAAAAATGGGTGCATCATGGGGAACCTATCATGGACATAAGTAAGGTTCCACGAGGCTGGCACAGTGAGGAGTTTGACCTACACCCCAAGTAGGTTAACTTGTGACTCCCAACCTGAGGACTAATCTTGATAGTCATGGTTACTTTTCAAAGGTCCAGTTGATTAATGCCAGATTTTGGTAGTGATCTTGCGGCGCAAATAGAGAGATGCGAGGAGAGAATCCAGGAGGGGATTGTGCCTTGGCTTTTTGAGGATCAGTTACGATCTCTGAGGGCTCGGATGACAGTTTTGGAGTAAGTAGATCCCTAAGTCTGGGTCCCAATTATGATTCTTTATGTGTAATTAGCACTAACACATTTTTTCAGGAAAGTGATGGCTCGGTTTCCGGGTGTTAGCCCACATGTGGCGGAGCGACTAGAAATTCTAGAAGCCCAGGGAAAATATCTTATTGAGAGAGATGACGACTTGGAGCTAGTTTCCAATGTGAGAAATATTATATCTGCTTATAAATCATGTCAACTCGACTGGTATCCAGGTCTAGTGACGTACTGGTCGCATGGGAAACGACTATGCGAGCCAAGACCTTTTGATTTCCAGGAGTTCGCAGAGGTCAACCGGAAGCATAAAGGCTGGAGTGGATTCTGGGTATAGGGGGTACGTTCATCTTGAGATCATTATATGAACAGAGTCAGACTTGCTAATCCTGGAGGTGGCATAGTATCGGCCCCTTGAGCCAGCAAATGCCTTCATGGCACACAGAAAGTTCGGTCCGAGCAGATTTACTGGGGACAGAGTGAGCAAAGCACGTATAAGGGTAAGTAGAATGCGAAATTAGTATCATATTGTACTAACATTTGTTCATGAGCATTTAGTTACCAATTTCTATGCGAATTCCCCGAGGAATTCCACATTTTGCCGCACTCACGCAGGATATTCCAATAAGATATAGTGAAGTGCCGCGTGCAGGGCAAGCTCCGGATGTAGCCAACGCGGGCGAGATACTAGGCTAGGAGCCTAGAAGATATGCCGAAGAGCCAGTTGTCATGAGAGAAGCTTCGCCGGAGGCTCCTTATAGCCATATGACGTTTTGGCTCAACGATGACACGGGTGCAGATCGAATGCAGCTTTATAGAGCCGATATTACCACGCTTCGGAATGCCGTTCAAACCGCAGGATTACCTATACTAAACCAGCCCCCCTGATGGGTATGGCCACAGTGGTTCTTGCCGACGGCACTCGTCGATTTCATGCGATCCGAATCCTTGAAGTGAACATGATGGATAAGAATGGGAGGGAAATATGTCCCTTTTGGGACTGGGTTGATGTCATGATAGTAGAAGATCCGCCCGACGCAGTTAACCCCGTAAGACTCTGTGGGCCATGGCTGCGACACCGGTTTTTTACGGGCACATCCCGACACTCAAAAGGCCGGCTGTGGGTTCACGACAGTTGGTTTGGGTTCTACTTTGTGACAAGAGTGTGTCAGTGGGAAGATCAGGACCTTTGCCGAGTCTGGATTATGGACAGATGGATAACAATGTAAGGGGGAAGAATAGATAACAGAGCAGGAGTGCCAAAAGAAGCCAGAACCTGAGATGGCAATGGTCGACCCCGCTGGCGCTGATGGGCAGCAAACAGGAGGCCCTCCTCCAAACTCCATATGGAATTAACTTTATCCCATAGATTGGATCTATTAAATAGCAAATACTAGGTAGTAGCATTTCTGCGTTTTATTTTGAGATATAGTTCAATGTGGCAGTCGTTTTGCTCTCGCTGGGTTTCATGAAAAGAATGAGAAGGATAACGGAGCGATATCAAGGAAGAAGAACAGCCAGGACTGATGATGAGACATCCATAAATGTTGAATCAAACAAGGTCTCCTGACACTGAGGAGTGAGGGTATATATCTCTGGGTGGCTCGGATACGCTGCGAGGCATAAGACGTTCTGAAATTCTGCATCAGCAAAGAGAATAGAGAGGTTCAAGTTGCGTGAAGATATTTACTATCTGCTGTTAAGTGAGCTGTGGTTCGTATATGACGAATCGCCTAGGTAGTTTTGAAGTTTTTTTTGGATTTAAATTTGATGAACATTGAAATCTCAACATCGATCTGGATTTTCTTCTTGGATGCCGGGCATCACCTTCCAGGTTCTTGCTTCGGCCGTAGTCGATGAATCTTAGCCTGTAAACCCTCTTTATCATTTGAAAGCCGTGATACATCATCATGATTTTATCGGATGATTTAACCCTTTTTTTTTTGTTTTCATGCAACGAGGGTAACCGATCATCTCAGCCACAATACCGAATGGGTCGCGGGCGCTTAATAGCATGACCACGTAGGAGGAGTGGAGAGGAACGAGAGCCATGTGGGGTATGGATGGTGGCCCCGGCGGGACAAACGTGCCCACGGCCCCCCGAGCAGGATAAACAACATTTTTTGGCCCGCATGGCCATATGCAACGCTCCGCCTTGCGGCTACTTGCAACGGGCTGTCATTGGTGAGGTCTCAAAAGAAGATTCTTGGGAAGTTGCAAAAAACACCGAGTCTTTGGGCCAGCGCTTAACTACCGGTCATGAATTCTCCGGAAGAAAAAGCCCCTTCCTGACTACGACGCGCGGGTAGGTCCTTTCAGCCTCACGGACCCCGGCTTGCATCTTGTCCAGTCAAGAGCCGCTGCGAAAGAACTCCTCAGGGCTGTATGGCCCCATTTCTGTGTCTTCACGGTGAATTGTGGATAGGTGTGGACACCATCTTCTCATCATGTCACATTTTTCTTTTTCTTTTGTTTTTTTCCTTGGAAAAAATTCGAATTCTAGGGAAAAAATAGAAAATAAATGACACAGAAAAAAAAAAGAAAAAAAAAGAAAATCAATAATAATCTGCGTACACCCAGGACAGCTAGACTTGGTGGAGTCCCTGTCATTAAAGGATCAATTTACGAGAATCTTGTTATTGAGGATTTCATGAAGTATATACCATATACCAATCATTTACCACTGGAGTGATGAGATTGGCAGGGTTTAGATAGTTTGTGACTCCTTTTGTGATGAATCATTCACACTCGGCGTTTAATCTGATAAAACTATGGCCTCAAGCACTAATCACAACCAAAACTTCGAAGCCACTGGATAGGTAGAATCTCACGAAATGTCAACAATGTCATCAATCTCCCCGACGAAGATCCAGATCCCTGCGAACGCATGGAACACTTCGTCGAATTACTTTCCAACCGGACACTAAAAACACTAAAAACACTAAACCTCTATTAAATTCGTTGTTCTATTGATTTTATTTACTGATTTTCCCCCAGCCCCTTACACCTGTAATTCAGCAAATCAGAGTCTCTCGATTTCGGCCCTTTGCTTTAGTGAACCCACACTGCCCACTAAAAACCGGACCCTTGGATACCGGGCGTGTTTTGTTCTATTTTGGAATCCTTACACCTTCCATTCTATTTCAGCAATATTGTTTTTAGTAAATCCTGCGACGGATAAGGAGTAATAGAGAAGAAAGCCTTCCGGTGGACCTGTAATCCTTCAATCGATGCAGATTCTAAATCCTACCCCCCTTCCCCGGGGGTGTGGACGGAAGGATGGGGGCGGGAAACGCTGTATATCAAGAAGCGGGACTATGAAATTCGAAGGCGCTTAAATATAGGCCCTCGATGTGTCTACACATTTCTTCCCCGAGCGGTTCCAACGCATATCGGTCCTCATCGGCGGTACTACTCTTGATTCCTGGTGCACTCTGAGCCTATAGTTCCCGTTCACCCAAGCTAGAACGTTTGCTCATCCTGCCTTGCGAGGCATTTCACTGCGGGCCGTGATATCGATTTTATTTTTCAATGCTGTCAGTAGAGCGGATGTTGGATCTATATCTTATTCCTTCGATCCCCGCTTGTACCTGAGCAGACTCCGAGTCTCCATCTATAAAGAAAGGCTCCTTCGAGTGAGGAACTTTGGCTATTCATCCTTTCGCGATTACCCCCAAATTATCGGCGCCTTCAATCTCGATATGTGCTAGATGCCACTACTTTCTTGTTTCAGATACTAGCCGCTTTCCAACCAGCTTCTACTATCAACCGCCCTCGTCGCGAATTCCTGCACGAAGACGTGGAACCGTGTTTCAAGTTCTTTGCCACCATCAGTCCCAGTCCCAATCAAGTGTACGAGATTGGTCCACAAGCTGCTCAGCTTCCAGAAGTCATACATGGTTCTACCAGGCTACCTAGCAAAGATCATGTCTCTCCGGGACGAGATGACTTGCTCTGGGGAGGAAATGCCAGCATTCTACGAAACCATAGGTCCCGACTGGAGCGAAGTTGAAACGGTAAGCCCCATTGGCCCCCGGGGCTAGCAGCTACCCACCTTCTTCCCCATCTGCAACTTGAAACTAACGAAGCTATCTTTAGCCAGCGTTTCATGCAGCTCTCATGAGAATGAACGGCTCCTTCTGCACGGAACCGCTAGTTCCACCTGCCATTCATACTCCAACAAGCCTTCCCGATAGCTCATTCCGACCAAGTCCAGCCCTCAGTCACCGTTCCCAAGACTACAACCCCCAAGAGTACCAATATAGCATTGGGCACTCTTTACCACCACAGGGCCTGGGTATCAGTGCTCCATTCCCAAACGATTTCCCTCGAACATCAGCTCCATTATCCAATAGCTACAATGTCTATGCCCCGGATGATCTGTATTTTCCCCTGGGCACAACGCCTAGCATGTCGCCACAGGGCCCACCTCCCAAACGGATGAAACGCACATCATCCCAGTCTCAAACCCCAGCTCGGGACCCTATCCACATTCTTCCCCACCCAGATGGTCTGGAGCAGATAGAGCGTGAGCGCCAGAGCCAGCGGCCCCCTATTATTCTCCATCCCCGGCCCCGGGCACCCGGCAGGGGCCGTCGGGACCCACAAGCTGAAGAAGAAGATGCATTCGTAGAGGAATTGCGTAAACAGAACACAAGCTGGAAAGTTATTCGCGTCCAGTTTCGTGAGAAATACAACAAAGATGCTACCGAGGCACGCCTACAAATGCGCCTGAAACGTCGACGCGGAAAGCCGATGACCAATTGGGAAGAGAATGATGTGAGTACGTTAGCCTTACTCCCCGGGTATACGTCGGCAGGTCGTAAGACTATCTTGAAGGTGTATACTGACTTTTGATTTTTGAATTTAGATACAACATCTCATCACCGCGTATGATCAGTGGGAAGAGGAAAAGTACCGCTTTATTGCAGATAAGGTAAGCCCCCCAATCGATTTGTTGGCAAGACAATCATACTATATTTCTCTCGAATATCTAGCTAAACCTTGATACAGATCAAAGAGCTTGGCGGTTCAAAAGAATACACCCCTGATCAATGCAAGACTCAACTACGGCTCATAGATCTTAAACAGCGCCATCAATATAGGGGTGGTGCATCGCCTTCAGCTATGTCTGATCCTCCTCCTTCGCCTACAATATTGAAACCGACATCGATGTCTCGAAAGCGAGCACGATCAATGTCATTGGAGTCAGAGTAAGGCTTCCTCTTCTCTCTTCTCTCTTCTCTCTTCTCTCTTCACATCTTCACATCTTCACATCTTCACATCTTCACATCTTCACATCTTCACATCTTCACATCTTCACATCTTCACATCTTCACATCTTCACATCTTCACATCTTCACATCTTCTACATTTTATCTTCATTTATATGAGTACATATTTACGATACACTTATGATTCACGAAGCACGAAGCGTCATTCCTTTCATGTTTAGGTATCACCTTGATCATATTTTGCGTTGCATACATTGGGATAGCATTACATTACGATATTAGTTGCATTTCCGGCCCTATTGTTTAATTCTGTCTGACAAAAATTACACACTATCACAATAACCAATCCATGACTCCAATAAATATCCCCATATCTAAGTAAAGAAACAACTCAGCTCCTAGTACCCGTCTCGGCACAGCCTAGCCTGCGCATTCCCCAGTCCAACTTGCGTCGCCAGTCAGCTAGGCCCACTTCGCGCATGAGAGCGGGAAGTAACCAGCCGCTCAACGAATGAGAAACCCCAAATTCTGCAATGATCTATATTTACGCACCGTGTCTGGGCATGGCAAGCGAAGTCGGGCATAAACCGAATTCAAAGACGAGCGGCCCAAGTATCCAGATGTGGATATGGGTATACCTCGCAGAATACTTTCCTTGGGGCCATTGGGGCCATTGTCAATCTAGTAGTAAGCGGGGTTGTCATGTTCATGGATGACTAGCGTTGTGCGTATCGGGAATCGTGAAACGCTCGGGGATCTTCGGTTTATGGGATCTAGATATGCGATCTGCGCTATTCTACTGCAAGGCGTACCATGATCTTGCTTGGTAGTAGCATTGTTGTACGGCATTATACGGTAGTTTATTTTTTGACTTTTGCCGTGTAGCATACGCCGCCACTTTATGCAGGCAAGATTAGCACGATGTGCCTTTTCGTAATTATTTCCAAATTTGACAGTTCCGTTTCGTTGAGCTGCATTACTTGCAATATTCAAAATGGTGGGAGATTGAAGATTTTGATATCTATACCTCTAGTTGGAAAAGAAGAACATGAAACAGCATCCATTTTGAATCTATTTCCAAGTAACATTTTAAGAAATGGCTTTCTTTTATATGCATTCATTCATATAATGAGAGGGCTATATTTATTCTGCCCTTAGAACATTGTATGAGCTCTCATAAGTTTCGTCACGTTGAGGATTTTGGCTGTCTCAGCAGTATCTAGTGAATCATGATTCATCTTCGGAATCCAAATCTTCCTCTATGATCGGGAAGGTCAAAAGCGCCGCAATGCCTCCAAGTCCCTCGAGGCGTTTCCCACTCTCGTGATCAGAGCTGAGGATTCGTACCTCACCACCTTCCACATCTCGGACTCGGTCCACAAGGGTCACCCATCGCTTGCGCTCCGCGATATCCTGTGATCTGAAGAGTCGATTTGACATGATCAAAACACCGCCGCCACGACCAACTGCTCCCTGATCAACTGCTGATTCCACTTCACGAGGACCATATGTAGCTTTGTTTGTCTCCTTGCGAAGCTGATCTAAGAAGTCATCCATTAACCTTGTTTCACGTGCATATTTCGTATCAGCAAGAAGTGTCTTGACTGCAGGTGACTGAAGAACTTCGGAAAGAGAGTTCATGTATCCTGATGCTGAATGAACGACCACCATGCTGGGAAGTAGTCTCTTAAGACCTGGTGTTGTTGTAGATGCTTCGGACTGTATGTATTTATGGAATCCTGAAGCGACAAACCCAGGCGAAGCAAGGAGAACTGGCCGTACAGACTCATTGTTCGAGACCGATGTAATGCTGGTATTGAATTCCATTTGTCGGAGAAGCGTCTCGAGCGTCATACGGAAGAACTTGCCCATCCCCTTTAAATGTTAGTTTTCGAGAAATCAACACTGATCCAAGCCCGCCGGCTCGTCGCACTCACCTTATCATGATCGCCTCCGCCTTGTCGTTTCCGCGGCACAGACATCTCGACTTTCTGCTTTAATATTGTTTGGAATTGTCCAATGAAGCAAATATGTGCCAGACCCTCTTGCATGACAACAGCGACAGCCTCCGCGCGGCGTTTCCCACCCTCATCCACCGCATCTTTGAGCATCTCTATCGCGATACTATCCCACCCGACACCCTCGCCATTCGCGCCGACCTCTTTTTCCAAAGTGAAGTTCCGATTGAGCTCCAGATCAAGGGTATGGAACTGTCCGACTTTCGTATGAGGTGTCTCGTTGATGATTTGTCCCGAAACGTGAAGCGCCGAGCTTTGAGGATCGAAATCAAGGTTCTTCACGCGGATTTCAAGGTTCAGGTGTACTCGGGTGGATGTGGTGGATCCCGTATCTTGGACTGTGGTAACTCGGCGGATAGCGCTTGCGCGTAGTAAATCTCCCGGGCGGATCAAATTGTATGCGTGCCACTATATCGAGGCGCATCACTGCATCAGTATGGTGCTCGCAGGATTGGTGGTGGGACATACCATGTCTTCAGGCTCCTCCGGGAACAATGTGACCGTCCCGGAGCCATTGTGTTCAACTTTGTTTTTTATCAGACGCATGGTTGTGTCTAAAAGCTCTGTGCGGGGCTCTTGCGGTCAAAAGTCGTCCAGGAATGTCTGGTCCAAAAAAGTCACTGCCATGAATCGCGTCCTGATGCCCCGCACAGTACTGCCATGGTTTACCGCCCAGGAAATGAAGCTTCTATATAGAGCAAAACAAGACTGAGGTTTGGTAGGAAAGGCTTGTTAAATTGATAGAGTATAATCATGAAGTGTTACACCCTAGCATTAGAATCACCTCAGGAAGTAAGATTATGTGCTGACAGGTGCTTTTGAGATCAGCGATTTGTTTGTCCTACAACTTTACGTTACGTCATTGGGGAAGAAGATATACTTACGATTATAGACTCATATGAGATGAATGGTTCGAGTTCCTGAATCAGATGAGAATAATGGTTAAACGCGATAAGTCATTCTATTATGATCTTGTCGCCCTGGTTGTCTCTTGGTCAAATAGACGTGAACTTCTGTGCCCTATGTATCTCTTATCGATAACGATGAGCCCCAGTCAATCCAATCCAAATGGCATTGGAATATTTTCAATGTAGATATTACTACAGATATTACCACAAGAAGTCAGTTTTGAGCAAAGCCCACATGGCTGAACATATTTTCCCTGGACAATGTTAAGCCCTTCGTCAATCTATTCATGGCACTGTGATCTCTTTGCACAACAAGGGAAATACTTAGAGAGACTCTTTTGAACTGCGGAAAACTAAAAGCCCCACACATTATTGGCCACTCATCAGCTAGGTCTGCGCAGCTCCACTTGGAAGAACATTAGTTAGTTGAATTTCTTAAACGAGCTTTGTCACTTATGGGAACAGGCGGTACACGCGGAAATTACGGACCCGAAGTGGCCCGTGGGGTTTATCAATCAGTCCCCAAAATTATCGATTCGTATTTAGCTTCCCAGAATCCATTGCTCTCATTTTCCCCTCCCAATATCTCTGCAACTGCCCTATCAAATAAAATCAGATCCGAGGAAATCTACAACGATGACAAACATTTCTCTGCAATCCACTCATAAACTGCTTTCTGGCTATGATATTCCCGTCGTTGGGCTTGGTGTATGTTGTCCTGTCACTCAGGCCTTGCAGTTTTGAATGTTAACAAAGCATGCCTGTATGACTTTAGGTTTATCAAACGTATGGAATTATCATGGCAAGAGATTCAATATCATCATAGCTAATCCTCATCATTCATGTATCAGGCCATCCGAAGTTACCGAAAATGTCACCCTCAAAGCTCTAGAGCTGGGATACCGCCATGTAAGTGTCTCGCCAATCAATGATTATATATTTCAACTCGAATAATAACTCATGAGCTGCAGGTGGACTGTGCTAAGGTGTACGACAATGAGAAGGAGAGTGCCTCGGCTATCCGTAATTCGGGACTTGACCGATCACAGATCTTCTATACAAGCAAGATCCCCCGGACATGTATGGGCTACGAAAAGGCCAAGCAGGCGATAGAAGAAAGCCTCGCTTCCGCCAATCTCGGCTATATTGACCTGTATGTATCTCCGACTTCAATGGAGCGATAGACCTACTGACACTAGTTAGAATGCTGGTTCACACGCCTTACGGCGGCAAAGAGGGTCGACTGGGGGCCTGGCGTGCTCTGGTTGAAGCTCAGAAAGCTGGCAAGATTCGTTCCTTGGGCGTTTCAAACTATGGCATTCACCACCTGGAGGAGCTGGAAGCCTACATCCAGAGTGGAGGTGGCGGAGAGATCTCCGTGGGCCAATATGAGATTCATCCGTGGTGCCCGCGCGACGATATTGCCGGCTGGCTACAAAAGAGGAATACTATTGTTGAGGCGTACTCACCCCTTGTACAGGCGACGCGCATGAAAGAGAGCGTTTTGCAGAATCTGGCTCAGAAGCATGGCAAAACACCTGCCCAAATCTTGGTTCGGTGGAGCGTGCAGAAGGTATTCCATCACGATCATCAGTTCCGAATGTATGGCTAACTTTTTTTTGCTCTAGGCATATGTGCCTCTTCCTAAGTCTGTTACTGAATCGCGAATGAAGGAAAATGGAGATGTATTTGGTTTCGTGTTGTCAGATGCAGACATGGCTTCTCTGGAGCTGGATTCATATGCACCTGTCTGCTGGGACCCGGCACGAGAGTGCAAGCTATAGATAATATTTGAAATTGTGTGACATGCCAAATCCAAATTAATTATTTGAAGAGTTGTGGAGGAAAGTGATGATATATAGACCTCCAGTATTTTAGATTGACGTAATGCTTGACCACCTAATCGGGCAATTTGTTGATTTTCGGCACAACGTATCGCCGACAATAAACCACTCCCGCCCGGTGATCAATAACTTTCAAGGTCTCTAGCAACATACTACCACTGCTGAACCTCGCCTGTCCCCCATGTGTGAAAATAAGTCAGGCAGTCGCCCGCGACGGTTGCCTTCAAAATGCCCGAGGGGAAACGCATAATCATCGAAAAGTCTAGTACCGTTCGACGCAGGTACCAGCGAAGCGACAAACGATTCAAGTTTACTGCCAAGCAACTAAAGCAGATCGAGCGTGAAGAGGAGCTTGACAAACGAGCCAAGGATATTCGCGAGAAAGAAAAACGGCGTATTGTCAACAAGAAAAAGAGGGACGAGCAAGAAGCGAAAGCTCGTGAAGAGCTCCAGGAAGCCAGACGGCAGGGGTTGCCCGATCCACATGCAAAGATCCCGTCCAGCCAGCCACTACTATCAAAGTTTCTAGGCTTTGCGAGTCGACCAGCTAGAGTTGAAGAATCCCCCGTCGAAAAGGTGCCCGGTGAAAATACCTCCGCCGAAGAGTCTCCCACCGAAGAATTTCCCGTCGACGAATCGATCTATGAAAACGTTCCCACAAAGACCAGCCCGGAGCCTACAACTACAGAGCCGATTGCCCCCGATAGCAACGGAGATACAGAGGTCGATAGTGCAGCTGGGGATACAGAACTAGACTCAGAGGGCTTTGATGATTTAGATGAAGAGTTAGAATATGAAATATCAGCCCTTGAGGGTGTAGGCGCCACGGAAGAATGGAAATCTCCGCCGCCTCCAGAGCTCTCCAACAGCAAAGACACACTTAATACTTTCGATGACGATGATGAATTCTCGGACTGTTCAGCATTTAACGACGACGAAATCATAAAGGAAGTCGAAGCAGCCGCAGCAGCGACAAAAGGCAATCGTCATAAAGTTGCATCAGCCCCCATAAACTCTGCGCCCATCAACCATACACTTGTGCAACCACCAACAAGTCACCAACCAAAGCCTTGTTCTTCGCCCACACTTAATAAATCTTTCCGTGATGAAACGGCGGATTTCCTGGAGGAGGCTTTCAGGACAGAGGCTTTCTCAACAATTCGCCAACCAAAGCCTCGTTTTTTGCCCACACTAAATGAATCTTTCCGTGATGAAACAGCGGATTTTCTGGAAGGGACTTTCTCGAGAAGTCAACAGCCAAACCCTTGTTCTTTGCCCGCACTAAATGAATCTTTTCGTGACGAAACGGCGGACTTCCTGGAGGAGGCTTTCTCGCGCGGCTGCTCCGACTCTTTTGGCGAACTTATCCAATTGGGCCAAACGACGCGATAGCCGCGCCCATCTACGAATGATGAACGTTTTAATGACAAGAGATTTACTTTGAAATTCCATTAAGGTTATTGGAGTTCTGGAGTTCTGATTACTTCAATGTTCTTTGCAGCAATTGGATCGGCTGCGGTCCGACGGTCGGCAGAGTACATCCGCTCCTTCGGATATGCTTGGGTTGTCTCCACAGTGCGGGATCATAGAAAGGCGCAGATACGGATATATGCACAAGACACCACTGATTTCTGGAGGTGTATGGTTCTGTAACGAGGAGGAACTAGGCTTTTCCTTATCGCCCTACTGCAAATAAGCTAATTTGCTGTTTCCGTTCATATTTATCGCCGCTTTTTGGCTTCAAGTAAAATACATAATGCTATGACTTACGAGGACATTTCGCAATGTATCTGCACGAAGTGCTCTATTGAATTCTTTGGTCCATCATCCAAATAAACACTTCATTCTCAACTGATAGATACCACCACGCAGATCCGCATACAGAGCCCTAGAAATTATACTCATGTGTATGTCATATCTTACATGAGATCTTACTGAGACATTATGGACCAGATGAAGATTTTCTGGGGCAAATAGTTACTCCATTTTACTATTTGATTGAATCGTAGTCCCAAGATGCAGTCATGAATAAATGGAAGAGAAGGAATAATCACCTTATTTACACGTTCCACCTTTTCGCCGAATTGCTGGGCTTAGCAAAGCGTTGCTGTGGGTGCTTCGATGGGTAGCAATTGGTATTCTTGATGGAGACACTACTCTTGGTTTCATTGTATGTCATGTTCGATGTCTGTAGTAGTAAGTTAAGAGCCTGCTTACATAGGGTATTACATAAAATCCACAAAGAAAAAAACTTGCCAAAGTAATCGAGCAAGAATTACCTGACGTGAGCATGGGAAAAGGGTAAAAAGCAAAATCCATGCCAAACAGGATAAACCATTCAAAGAACATTCTAGAAACTAAGTCATGCCAGGGTTGATATTGCCCAGGTGAGTTTGGTGTTAGATCTACGGAACCCTGGATCGCAACAATCCATGTTGACAGGTGCGATCTCGGGAGCTCTACACTTCAGATCTGGAACTGCCAGTGACATACCAGGTTCGTTTTATGGCTAATATCCGCTACCTCGTCTTAGATATGAACCAAATAAGGCTAGAAAGCTCAATATACCCGAATATTAAACTCGTTTGACGTGTACTGTAGTAGTGGGTGTCATAGCGCCTACTCATGTACCCACCGTTGGGTTATCTACGGAGCTGTGAACGCGTCGCGTGGCGCGTCCTGGGGAGGTTTTTACTACTGCTTTAACTACACCTAGCTACATTTCAACAACTTCCATCTTTTCTGTCTTAGCATACTCAACGCTTCAATCCGGGACACATAAATCTACAATGGCGGAAAACTTTAATAATCTGCCTTTACTCAACGAGGCAATCGATGAATCATCAGAGGAAGTCCTAGCTTCCATGCTAAAGGAAATATGCCAGAAGTACCCATCAATCACAGAATTCGTACAGAGTCGACTTCTTGTGTGCGAAGATGAAGTCGCTCGGCCAGGAACATCTGCCACGCCCACCAGCGTTCACGAAGGGGGCAACAGCAGCAATGATGAAGGGGAGGATACGACTTCCGCCACGGCTTCCCGTTCTGGGAAATTGAAAAAGCGCTACGCTAGGTGCGAAAATTGCGAGGAGGAATTCGATGTCACAGGAAATACTGTCACGAGCTGTTCCTATCATCCGAGTAGGTGCAAGACACTCGTGGGCCCGTTTCCTGTTTTCGGTTACGGTTATATTTAACATTACGGCTAACTTTCTCCTCAGGCGAATCTGAGCCGAATTACGAGGAATTTCTTGACCATGATGAAGACTGCCATGGGATCATTGACTCCGATGAAATGCGAGAAGACTACCCAGAGAAATTCTACTTTGTTTGCTGCGATCGTCGTTACAACGAAAAGGGCTGCGTGATAGACTGGCACTTGGAGACTGACAATGATTCCGGAGTCTGGAAAAGACGAAAGTTTTAATTGGGAAGAGGCTCAATCATGTGCCGCTCAGCCATTAAGAGTATACATCTCCATTGGGTATATCGTATCATCAGTAATAGAATGACTGTTATCTGCAAATAGGATGGCTGATCATAACACGCGGGTATCATAAATGAACCCATGTTAAGTTTATCAGAGCCAAATCTCTAATGAAAAAGCCCAGCCGATCCTTTGTCTCTCTGCAACCTTAATTAACCCGAAAAGCTATCACTTAATATCCGATTTATCTGTGTGGCCCTGGTTAACTCATCGTTTCTATCGAATCCACCCGTATCTGAGCATATAGACTTACCGACCTCTTTGTACTTCTTCTTGGGAGCACCGCATGTTACCTGTTGCGCAATATGGAACGAACGAAGCATGTTGGTCTTAATCCCATTTTTGTGGCTCTATTCGACTCCACAATATTTTCATTTATGTTAGGGCGATGCCACGCTCTGACATAGAAATTAGATAAAGAAAGATCGCGACATTCCCTGGCCATAATAGATCATAACATAACTATCGATCGCCAAATAAGACGGCCCATTGTAGCTTTTCTAAGAATGCCTTCGCTGACGGGCCTGGGGAGCCACTGGTATACCGGACAGCTATCGCGTTCAAAGATGATATAGCTCTTAGCTCCGCATTTATTTTTAGCAGAACATTTTGAGCCGAAGCATGGACAATATGGTCTTCCTCGAATAGGGGGCGTGTGGTACGATTAAATATTAGGAGTTCTATCATCTTCAAACCAACAAAGCATTTTTGCAGGAATCGCAGGCTCTGCAAGGTCTCTTTTCGTATCTCGAGGCAAACTGAAGAAATTGATAGGGATACTTTTGTTGTAGTAGGTGATTGTGAATGTGACGGTATGTCGAACGGTATTTCAAAGTATAGAGGACATCAGAAAGTGAGGGCAAAATTCAACCAGGCGCCAGCGTCAAATCGGCGAACCTCTTGAAATTCAACTTACAATACGTTGTGGGCAGGCTAATACAGGGTGGATTGTTATTGGTCTGAAAGTCCAATGTATGGAGTCTCCTCATTGGAAAGATAGGTAAAGCCATCCTGCTTTACAGTAGGTCTTGTTTGCCCCTCATGACGTGAAGACCAGGGCGAATGAGCTTCATTAATAGAGGTGGGAACTATACTTTGGTTCGTAGCCCGGTCTATCTGTGGGGGTAGTCCTTCAACCAATTATAGAATAGATTCTTTTCTTGCAAGCTTGTTCTGGGGGTTAGCGAGGCCTGAAAAACTTGGATCCAGGGAGAAACGACCACTTGTCGCATTGGGCTCAGCAGAATTTTGCGATAGAGGTTAAGGTGAAACCAGCGGTTGGAAGTAACTTTAAGTAAGACAAAAACAAAGTAATGTACGGGGGACAAAAGTGACCAGGCTTCCCTACGTGGGGATAATCGTCTGGAGCGATCCCGGAACCTTGTCGGTGGCCTGGGGACGCGGGGGTTGTAGCTCTTATGCTCATGAGTGATTTTCACATACTTATACTTAGGTGAATATCAAGTTTCTAGATATGCAAAAACAACACAGTAACTTAAAATCAATATAAGCATGCATGAGGTGTCGATATTCGCCGCTAAGATACGACAGATCAAAGATATGCACGGTTAAAGCGGCGATAGACAATCCCACTCGGAAGCCAACCTGCCCCACCCGAAATAGATCAAGCCGATACCAACCTGTTTTGAGTTGGAGATCCAATTTATTAAGCTAGACATATATAGCTTGAACAGGTCTCTTCTGCTTTCTTCAGCACCCACCTATCCATCTCCAAACATTCACATTCAAGATGCCGTTTGTCCAAGCCAACCCCCATCGCCTTCACTATTCCGACTCGCACCCCGCTGGTCCACCAGATGCAGCAGGCTTGACCTTCATCTTCATCCATGGCCTAGGATCATCTCAAAATTATTATTTCCCTGTCATTCCGCATTTGACAAAGAAGCACCGTTGCATCACAATTGATACGTACGGCTCAGCTCGTTCAACATACACCGGTGATTCTATTTCGATCCCTGGTATCGCTGCAGATGTTATTGGTGTTCTGGATACACTCAATGTCCCCAAGGCCGTTGTAATCGGTCACTCAATGGGTGGCTTAACGGTCACTGAGATTGGATCACGATACCCGGATCGGGTGTTGGGACTTGTGGCTATTGGGCCGACACATCCGACCGAAATGTTAGAATCGGTTATGGGTAAGAGAGCAGATACTGTCCTGGAAGGTAAGAATTACATTTTCCGTCTCAAACATAGTATACTCTTTATCATGGATTTCGTTATTGACTTATTCTTCACAGCTGGCATGGAGCCTATGGCCAATTCTATCCCCTCCGCAGCCGTCGGATCCCGCAGCACCCCACTTCACAGCGCCTTCATCCGAGAGCTGCTTCTTGGACAAGACCCTAAGGGCTATGCGGCACTTTGTCGTGCCCTTTCCACGGCTAAGCCGGCAGATTATGCTGGCGTGCAGGCGCCATTCTTGCTTATCGCTGGTGAGGAAGATAAGTCTGCGTCTATGGAAGGATGTCAGCATATCTTCCAACATGTCTCGAGTAAGAGCAAGGAGTTGAAGGTTTTGAAGGGCGTAGGACATTGGCATTGTATTGAAGCGCCTGATGAGGTTGGCACACTTATTGCAGAATTTGCAAATGGAATTGCAGTCTAAGATTATGAATTTAACAACCGAAAGAGATTTGATTGATTGCAACATTTGAATATATTAAAATATTGATGCTATTGGCAATGGACATTACAAATTTTGACTAGAAAGTATATTAAGAGCACAGCGGATGAGGCTTTTTGAATTTATCTAATATTTTTGATTGACCTGAATGATTCAAATATGTACGGAGAACGCTATCGTAATGAACAGGGTAAAAGAAGAGAAAAAGAATATACAACCAAAGAAGACATCTCATAATATCCTTCATGCACCGTTAGGCTACTCATCAGCCACAAGCTTGACATCGTACAAGAGCTCAAGCTCAGCTTGAGGATCACCCTTGCGTGGAACGAAGTCCACGACCAGTGAGTCCTTGACGGCAAACACAGAGTCGTTGGTCAGATACTTGTCCTTGCTATCAAAGATCTGGGTAGTAAGAGGGCGGTAGCCTTCGTATGTAGCCTAGAAATGATGGTTAGTGCAAGCTCTTGATAAATCAACAGATCTAACTTACAATAATATGGATGTGAGCAGGGCGGAATGGGTGACGGTCCATAAGCTCAAGTAGCCTTCCAGCCGGGCCTTAAAAACAGTCAGCGCGAGGTCCATAATCTCATATAAGAAGATCAAAAAGAGTAACTCACCATCATCAGGAACAGGGTACGGTGTAGGTCGCAAACAGTAAAAGTAATAACGTCCATCGGCATCAGTCTTGAACTTGCCCCGCAAGTTAAATTCCACTTGCTCCGGATCCTGCTGCTCATACAACCCATTAGTAGACGCTTGCCACACCTCAACAGTCGCGCCAACAAGCGGCTTCTGAGTAGCAACGTCCATCACACGGCCATGCATATAGGCCATCTCACCACCATCCTTGGGCTTAGTAACGACGATATCGGCACCGTTTTCGCGATACGGAGTATCGGCGCGGAAGAACGGACCCAAGATAGCAGTGGCGGTAGGCGCATCCTTAGCTTCATCGGCCAAAGTAAAAGTGATCTCATCGACAAGACTAATGCGACTGAGTTAGCATTCAGGTTTTGGAGATAAGCGCATCGCAATGTAACTCACGATTCCAGTCCGATCACATCGCAGACTAATTGTCCCTCATTGCGCTTATCATCACTCATCTGTCCAGCCCAATTAAGCATCTGCACACCGGCCATCCACTCGTCGACTGTGAGCTCGTTCTCGCGCGCAAAGTCATGCACATGTCGGATTAAACCGGTCATGAGCTGACGAAAGCGTGGCGAGGTCTTAGGACCCATCGCCTCGATAACATTATCGGTGAATGTGGGATCAAATCGGTGTGTAGCCATTGTGAGAATGTGTAGCTTTGAAGCTCCTGATAAAGCTTGTTGGTGTTGTCGCTATCGTTCGCAAAACCAAAGTCAAATAGGAATAGAAACTTGGTTTCGTGAAACACTCTTTTTCTTGCGGAGGTTTAAGTTGAGAAATATGCGCCGCACTGTTGCAGAACTTCCAGTATTTAATCTAATGGTGTTCACGAGATCCGACGGGACTTGGGCGTGAGATCTGCTTGGGCGCGGCAATACACGGATCATTGACCTATTTCCGGGTCCCCAGATGAACTTGACCAACTAGTTGATGCTCATTCGAGGGCGACCCCGCAAAATGGCGGGCGCAAATGGCATGATTGGGTCGGGGCGGCGTCGGATGCTCACGTTGATACTCGGGTAGTCGGATCGGGCACGCTAGTTGAGTGAAGAGTACACTTCCGATTCCCCCGCGGTTCGGAAGTGGCGTGGGTATCATTGATTATGGGGGTTGATCTTCGGGGAAGAAATCACGGTATACGGAAGTAATCTTCATTACTTGATCTATAGAGATAGTGTCTAGTTACTACTTGCTTACTGAGGCACTGGGTGAGACAATTTCCAACTCATCGGGCACAAATATTTGGATTCGTAAAGATACAATAACTCGGATCAAGGGGGTATATCCTTCAAAGCAAAAAAAAAAAAAACCAAATTATCCTAAATCTTCTAGCCAAAATCGCCCAAAGATTTCTCTTCACTCTCTTCACCGATCACAAATGCAGCTACATTCAGCGACCGGGCAAACCTTATGTCGAGTGAACCAGTCGCGGGCATGATGTGCATGGAATCCATGATTGCAATGTATACAAAAGACCACAAACCGGCGCATCACTTCAGTTTCCGTGGCTTTATCAGTGTTAGATTCTGCATCAGCAGCAATGCTAGCGCGTGACATCGGATCTGGCGAGCCCAGCCAAAGTGTACAAACACCGCAGCGGGGCATGTGGCGACCACAGCGAGGGCAAACTGTTCCAGCCATGCCTGCGGATCCGAGAGGGCTACCCACCGTAGGGTGAACGGTTTCTGTTGTAGTCAATGGGGAAATTTGGGATGAAGCATCGTTCTGTGTGAGAGGACGGGTGCAAAAGTTGCAAGTCAGGCTAACCTGTTGGGGTGGAGGAGGAACAAGATTACGGCCGTCAACGGTCACGGCAAATTGACGAGAGCCGACATCAAAGCGTGCACGCTCAAGCTGAAGTTTCCAGGAATTCATTTGTCGGCGATACGTCTCACGCCAGGCTTCAAATTGAGCGATTTGTCCGAAGTTGCTAATGATTCGTGGTACTGTATAGCTCATTGCTAGTACAGGCGTCTGGATGTCGTTGAATTTGTCGATATAAGATTGGAATAGACCCATCGCTAGATGACCCAAGCCGGTCAACACGACGCCCTCAATATCACCCTGTCGCATTGCTTCTGCGGTGGCCTCTTTCAAATATTCACCAAGCTCCGCATCCGGAAGCCAACGCAAAGCAACCTCAACTCGGTATTTCAAGGGAAGTGTGGCTTCATTTACAACAGCATGCCAGTCGCCCTTACTCACGAAAGCAAGAATTGCTCGTGCATAAGGATCAGTGAGTTCCTTCGAAATTTCTGCACATGTGTCTTCCCAGTCGGAACTATTATCACCTTTCGCAGCACCTGCTATAGCCATAGCAAGCAGTTTATGTGCCTGCGCGGGCTCATTACTTCGAAGAGCTGAGTATGCTATTTTGGACTCAGCTTGGAAAATGGCCAAAGCAGCGGCTTTTGTGTGTTGATTATCCGCAGATAATTTCTTCACCAAGCTCTCAAGTTCTCGATGTGATTGAGCTGCGCCGCAAAGACGAAGGCAAAGCCGCCGGTGCTCGGGATGAGCAGTCTGGGAGCCATTAAACTCTGGTAGATTCAACTGTTCAGCCAGCTGAACAATCACCTCCGTTGCAAGCTTTGCATCATCTCCTTTGGAGCCGAGTCGCCTTCTTTCGAGGCCATTGCCTATGGAATGTGTTAATCAATTTCAATAATTCGAAAACACGAGCCGGGTGAAGCTTACCGAGATCATTATGCCACACATTATTCACACCAAGATAGTTCATATCCAATCCATTGACGACCATGGCTACCCCAGAAGAGTCAGATCGAGCACCTGCCATGATAATTAGATGGGTTGATAGTTCGGTTTATAGGGCCTAAAAACTCACGATCAATCCAGCTCCACAAGTCTTGGAGAACCACATCGTCTCCCACAATTCCTCGGTTCTTTGCTTCATCAAAAAGATATCCCTCTTTACACCGGAACCGGCCAAGTGTAGATAGAGTTAAAGCTTCTTTCGCTGAGAGTAGAGTCCCGAATGTTCCCAAAGATAGCGCACGCTCCCGAGCTTCTCGGCTCGGAACAGGATCAGAGCCCGAAGATTTAGTCTGAGATTTCTTCTTGTCTGTAGCAGGCTTCATTTCCTGAGAGGTCCACGAAATGCGTGACCTGATGTTTCCGACAAGTTGGGAGATAGGAGATATATGCTCAGATAGTGGATGGATAGACCTCAATTCTGAGTCGCTTGACGAGATACCGCATGCCAGTACCCCTTGTGATGATAGCGTTATAGGTGGACATGGCGGGCGGGGGGTCACGATTTGTGGTAAACCATTACCGTCAATTGCGATAGTACTGGGTTGCGATGAGACACTGAGATTCAAAAAGTCAAAGGCGACTAGACGTTCCTTTTCCCCACACCCACGAGTTGGGTGGTCAAACGGAGCACGCACGTCCCGCACATGTTTTGTGTAGACGGGTTCAGGATAATTTTGAGAGGATCCTTGACCAAGAGTGTCATCTATAGAGGAACGATACTCTTCCGACACATGGTCTTTTGCGACTTCAAAAGTTTTCATATGACCCGAACTGGAGAGTGCGCCCAAGGAGCCTCGATTGGTTTTGGAGAATCGCAAGCTCCAGATTGAAGTCTGGGAATTAAACACATTTTTAAGCTGGAGCGCAGCAACTGCCTGATTGGAATCTGGGTTTGGCGTGGAAGTACCCATGGAGGTAGATGTAAGACGAGGTCCAACTCGGCGGTCCCATACACAAACAGTATTATCATTAGAGGTCGCGCAAGAGGCGATATAATTCTCATCAAGCCAATCGATAGCTAGGTTGTGAACGCAACGTGTTTGGAACTGGAACGAAGGGTTTCCGGGGCCCTCTGAGTCTTGAATTAGCAAAAGTATCAAGCGCCATGACAAATAAGGATTAACAAACCTCTTAGATCATAGATCCGGACAAATTGACCCTTGACACCCGTTACCAGCGTGTCTGGTTGATCTCGAAAGAATTTTATACTGGTTATAGGTTCGGAGCTTGCCAATTTCCTCAAAGGCTCGTGAAACCCTTTAGTAGGCCCGGCAGGGCTTAACCGCTGATTGACGTCCCATATGTTCAAACAAAAGTCGTTGCGCACGCGATCAAGACCCGACGCCACGAGTCCATGTGCACTAAATGCCACTGCATTACAATACCGTTGATTTCGGACGGGGAAGGAAAGCGAATCTTTCGGATCGGCGTCGAGGCGTAGAATCGTAGCTTCGCCTGACGATTGGCCTACCACGATCAGGTTCTCGTTCGAGGCCGACCAGTCGAATGCGCGAAAGGATGGGGTATCTCTAATATGTGAAATAACTTCGTGCTGTATATTCCGACCATGAAAACCTGTGACTCTGCATAGGCGAAATGCCTTGCCAGTGACGTCGACCGAGAGAAAGCGTTGTTCCGCCGCAGTTGAGCTCGGCGACCAGCGAATTGCAGACTCCATATTGCTGAGTCGGTGTCGCCCTGAATCCTATACGGAGCAACAAGGTTCAGCTATAATGAGAGGCCGCGGCCTCGCGTCAACAAAGCACCAATTGATCCAAATGAAGAAGATAGGGTGGAGGGGGAGAGAACGAGGGGAGATGCTAATCAATCGTCATGCCCGATCAGGCGGGCGCTCATTGGCTGCGTCGATCTCTGGGGCACGGGCCGATGGTTGCGCCGAATTGGGAGCTGCGACTTTTTTTTTTCTTGCTTCAAGATCGATTTCTGAACATCAACCCAAACAGAATAAATTATGTCTGACTCTCGGAATATTCGGGGAGAGTCCTCTAAACGAAAGAGTCACCACGGCTCAACGGATTTGGCCCCTCGCAAAAAGCATCACCGTGCTACGACAGATAACGATGAAGATGTTGAGATGGGAGGCTTCGGGAGCGATGATGGAACCCAGGCTCATTCGAGTCACAATTCCAAGGCGAAATTCGCTCCTCGTGATGACAAGGAATTCACTTCTGTGAATGATCTCAAGAGGCGAATTCGAGATGTCAAGCGCCTCCTCAACAAGGGCCGTTTGCCTGCAGATGCTCGGGTAGTGCAGGAGCGCGCACTCGCAGGATACGAGCAAGATCTCGCGGAGGAAACCGCTCGCCGTGATCGATCCCACTTGATCACGAAATACCATTTTGTTCGTTTCTTAGGTATGAAAGTCTAGAGTCTCATGTGACAAGTGACAAGTGAACCCGAAGCTAATTACATTCAATGGAATAGATCGCAAAACTGCAACTAAAAATCTGAATCGACTTCTTCGTCGCGAAAAAGAAAAAGACCTCGACTCAAAACATAAAGCTCGTCTTCAGCAAAAGATTCACGACGCACGTGTCAACCTCAACTACACAATCTACTACCCTCTCACCGAGAAATATCTGTCACTCTACCCAAAATCAGAAGAGAAATCGTCCGCAGAAGCCGAAGAGGACTCGGAGTCAGAGGGAGAGGGAAAGAAACACAAGAAAGAAGCAAAGGCTGCCAGGCCACCCCTTTGGTCTGTTGTGGATAAGTGTATGGCGGAAGACACTTTGGATCTTCTACGTGAAGGCAAATTGAACATCGGACATGATGGCAAGCCTAATTCTGCCGTGGAGAAAGCGAAGCCGGTACAGCATGGGGATGAAAGCAAGAAACCCAAGAAAGAAGTCAAGAAAGACGTCAAGAAAGACAATAGGAAAGACAACAGGAAAGACGTCAAGAAGGACGAGCCTCAAGAGATCAAACAAGGTACTAGACGGGAAAGGCGCGCAGCCCTTAATGATGCTCCCAATGGTAGAAAGGACAAACAAAACCGAATGGACTACGGTCGTGAGAGAGACCGACTACAGGATGTGGCAGTCCAACATGCAGGTGACGACAGTGATGGTGGATTTTTCGACGAATAAGCCTTTCCAGAGGCTTGGTCAGTGGTGGCCGGGGGTTTGCATCTATACTTGATATCCAACATAGCACCATATGAACAATTTCACTTGACCTTGACATACCTCCCGACGAATGATTCAAACAACGTCTATGATAATTTGTGGAAGCACCCTTATTACCTGCTCTGTTAAAATTATACCAAAGCCCACTCAGTATTATTTGTCGGGAAGACCATATACGACAACATCAGGTATATGACTTGATATGCCTTGGTATAATAAAGACCACCTGCACCTTCCCTTACACATCCGACAAATAAAACTCCTTACACTTAAGAATTGAAAGTCATATTACTATATGCATCTGACCTCGGGAGTTCTATACACACAGTGTTCAAACCGTTGTTGAGGCTCATCCACGAGCTTGAAGCAGACTCTGTCTGGAGTTGTTCCAACCTTGGAAGGTTAGATCTATAAATTCGTTTTCTTTCTGTCAAACTCCTGTCAAACTCCTTGGCACTTCAACAATCCATCTCCAGAACTCTCTTACCTGATATTCTTCCAACTTTGAACCATACAAGTACTATTCATCTTATTGTTGCCTCCTGCCATTGGTATTCGTCTGTGTATTTCACCTATTGCATTTGTGTATAGATTTCCGCGAAGAATTTCCCCTCTCACCATTTATACTTCTTGATCCTTTTTCATCTTTACTTTTCCATCTTCCATCTCTCTTCTACATCTTCCATTGCACACCACTTTTCCTTTTGCAATATCCACTGATACATTTTTTTCCAGTCATCTTCATTCGTCTTTCCTGTATTCGTCTGTTTATCTCATCCATTCCATTTGTATGTGGATCCTCGCGAAAACTTCTTCTCTTCTCGCTATCTATACTTCTTGATTCCTTTCCATCTTTACTTTTACATCTTCCATCTCTCTTCTTTTACAGCTTCCATCTCGCTTCTTTTACATCTTCCAATGCACACCATCTCCCCTTTCGCAACCTCCACTGATAAAATTTTCAAAGTCATCTTCATTCTTCTTCCTCTCATCTCACCCATACCATCCGACTTCAAACTTCTCGAATTAACAGCATCGTGTTGAACACCAGCAACCAAGTCGCCGATTCGACTTTCCAACTTACCTACAATACTCTCTCATTGACATTTGACTCAGCCACTTTTCAACCCTTTCCCTGAAATACCATACCATCATGCCTCGGGAAATGAAAGACGGCCCCATGGCCTGTCCCAAGGCCCAAATCCAAACCTACCCAGCCACACTCAAGGGACTCCGCATCAGCTGTCTCGAAATCCTCGCAGAGCACGAGGCAAGTACTCCAGATACACTCTGGCAGGAAACAGACGGCCCCGGTGACATCCCATCGACAGAATCTGGGAAAGCTCTCCTAAAGCTCGCCACAGAAGTCTCCACAGCAAAGGGACGCCCGGTATTCCCACCCAAGAACACGCGCCTAAGCGACGAGCTCGTCTATCTTGCAACAAAACACCTTGGAGCCAAAGAAAGAGGTAATCTATACCCCTATGATTTCCTCCCAAGAGGGGACATAAACCCAGAGCGCGTCCCATCAGGCGTAGCGCCGATAATCTGGGCTCACGGACTCCCCTTTTCCCCGTTTTCAAAGGCTACTACGTTCTGTGTGGCCGATCTCACGCCACCTGGGTAGGATGGCATCTACGCCCTCGCTTCCATCGCCAAATGCTTTCATGGCCAGTCTGGACAATCGGTCCAGTCGTTGCGCCGGGGTCGGCTCTTAAAGAGCATCGATGCATTGAGCGGCAGGCAAGAGTCTGGAAAATGAAATCTGCAAAGGATGCTGAGTGGGGGAGAGAGAAGAATGGTATTGCGAGGGATGTTGTTTCGTTTGCACATGCGGATGGGTCTGTTGTGCCGAAGGATTCGAAGGGTGGATTCTTTGTTACACAACTCTTTAGGGTGCATGGGTACTCTGTTAGGGTTGGGCCGGATTATGGTGATACGAAGAAGGCGAATGTACAAGTTAGGGGATTCTTTTCGAAGAATCGTGCTCATGATTTTGATTATGAGGCTTGTTTGAAAAGACCTTATCAGAATTGGAGGAAGCCGATGATTTATGGGGACCATGTGGAGAGTGAGGGTGTGGATTCGGATGGGGATACGGCGATGGATGAGCAGAGACAGGAGGACTTTCAGGAGCAGGATCAAGAGAATTCTGTGACGGATGCTGATCAGGAGAATAGCAGGTATAGTGATGAGAAGACGGATGCTGATAGTGTGGAAAGTGGAGAGATTATCGAACATGCCAATGGGCACGTCGATACGGCATGTGATATTGTTCAGAACGATGCCTCAAGTCCCGTGGTGGAGAAAGACCAGATTGACTCAATCGAAGAAAGTCGAGTAGTCTCTCAGAATGAGGTCCAACAGGATATCCAGAAAGAGATCGGAGTTTAAGGTGTTGAAGTTTTTCAATGTTCCCGGGTCTAACACGATCCAAATTGACAACATACGTGTACGGAGACTGGCTGGATGTATCATTTTACGGGCTGATATTACATATTATTGATATAGGTTCCCACGTTTTCCATTTTCCAACCTGCTATCATTTTTATATTTCGGGCGTTTCAAATCTTATGTTTCAAATTGTTCAAGAATGCGCTTTGCTTATATGGCTTCCATTTGATGATCAGCAGACAAAGTTGGAATCTTTCTGTGATATTTATCGAGTTGTGTTCAAATTTGAAGAAAACCAAGAAAAAAAGGGGGTTGCTAAAAAATATATATTTCCTTTTCTTTCGTAGACTTAACTGAGATGGTGTCATTTTATCATTATTGTTATAAGAATGTTGGAATATTGAGTACAAGGGACAATATGTGGCGATCATCCGGGAAACCCCCCTTTGGCCATAGATAGCCTTTACCGTCCCCTATCACACCACTACATGCCAGTGTATGGTAGGCTCTACATAGCTACACTAGAAAGCCAAGTGGAAGGACATATAGAAAGACAGTTAGAAAGTCCAATTAAAAGACGTATAGAAAGACCCGCGGGCAAATCCATGGAGAAATGCCTTCTTCAAGTTCAAGTTCCAAATACTTTAGATTCTACTATTACTAGTAGTATTCAGTTCATTTAAAAGGACTCAAGAGGAAAGATTGCACCTCGAAGATAGTATATCTTAAGACAGCAGGATTGAAGCTCGACTCGGCTATACTATCCCACAAGTCTAAGATTGGCAAACATGGGGGGGGGGGGGGGTTTCCCCCGATGATAGTTATTGCCATCCGTAGATATAGGAAGGTTAGGATATTTAGAAGTATTAATGTCGAGAATTGATTTCATTCATTATCAAACGACGAGAAGAAAAAAATGGTGGGGCATAAAATAGATTGAAACTCCGTTATCCGTCCTTCTACATATGCTGAATATTGAGATATACCAGGCTGATGAGACCAATAGAGCCGAGATAAGTGAGAGTAAGATGATGTTGGCACTATCAAGATATTGCCGATATGAAATGCAAATTGGCTGGTCTTGTTCCAGACGGGATCAAAGCGAACCCATCAAGTGATATTGAGACTGAAGGAGTGGTAAAGAAAAGAAAATCGTCATGAAATTATGAAGAAAGGGGGTTATGGGACGTGTTTGAGGATCCACAGAGGAGATATTCATCCATCAAGGATTGAAACTCTGTGACGTGTTCCAAAGAAGAAGTTGATAGCTGTCATGTCTCGTAAGTCGGAAAATCGGAGATCCAGAAGATTCAGAGGAATACCAGTGACCAGCACTGACCAAAAGATTTCGAGTCATCATCGCTTGCGAGATAGATAAATGTAACGCCATAATAAATCAACCCGAAAGAAAGGAGACAAAATGCGGCCATTGTGGATGTATCATCAAGCCAAAGTTGGATGGAATACAATACCACATCAGGAAGCCTGAACCACCGTGAAGAGAAAAGGCACAACATTAGTGACGCATTAGTGACGGTCTCACATCAAGGAACAACCACCACTTTGAGCTCGCCGACGTCGACCCGTGCCATTGATACCTCCGACGCCATAAGTATCGTCGTCGTCGTCATCAACATTGTACAGTCTCTCGGCTTCACGGGCTCGACGTCTTCTGCGTCGTGCCCCAGCACCACCAGCGCCAGCTTCCTCGGTAGCCATCATATAATCCGCCCATTTGCGATCTAACCGGCTAGCTGATGCGAGCTCGCCTCGTAAAACGCGTTTGTTATGCTCATCAACGGTCATCTGCCACCCATAGAAGCATTTGAGCTGAATGATCTCATTTGGGTACACAGGTGATGGAGATGGAGTCGATGCAGGAGTAACAAAAGTCGTGGTCGTCGGGGATGAGTCTGCATCCGATGTTTGAGTGACTGTCACGACCGCCGATACAGGCTTTCGGTTACGTGGAAGGTGGCAATTACTGGATAGGACTTCTTTGACACCTGCCCAGGTAACGTTCGCACAGTCGAAAACAACCAGTCGAAGGCCGACCTTGGGAACATCTTCCCCGTAACCTCTTCGACGAACACGTAAGCTGGCTTCCATCAAAGTTAAATCGGAGACACGAGTGTTGTCCATCTCGACATAGCGCAGCTTTGGACAGCTCTTCATTACCTGCAGCATTCCTGTGTCGCCGAGGCTTTCGCAGTAACTGATATTCAAGTGTTCAATTTTCTGGGCGCATGGAGACTTGGCAAGTTCGACCAGTGTAGCATTTGTGAGTTGGTCGAGATCCTCCAATTGCAAGTGAGAGAGGCGAGGTGTAGTTCGAATAACATCAATGACTGAATCGTCGCTTAGTTCGGGGCATTGGGAGACCTGCAGGCCTTCTAAATCGGGAACATTGAATGCGAGGCTCTGCAATCCCTCGTCGGTCACATCAGGGCAATGATGCAGATCAAGATGTTTTAAACGTCGAGGCGGCACAATGGGACGGTCGGTTAAAACATCCAACATGGGATTCACGCCATGCATGAGAATCTGCAGGCTCTTGTCGGTAATATTCGTGCGGCTCATGACCAGTCGTTCCAAGGTATTGCGTTCAAACAGCTCCATGGCGAGATCCTCATCATGAAAAGCCTTGATCTCACTCGCTCGGAGGTCTTTCAGCTTTTTACAAGACTGGATAACTCTGCGAAGTCCTTTGGAACTCACATCATGGCACCATGATACATTCAAGGTCTCAAGCTGCGGACAGGACTGTGCTATGATCCTCATTGCTGAATTTGTGACGTTCGACAATCCCGAGACATTGATATACTCCAAGCGGGAATTGCGCAGCAAGAAGTAATGCATTGATGCCTTTTCGATTTTACAACCCTCCAGCGAAAAGTTGACAACGTTTCGGCATAGGTCCGAGATTCGCTCTCCATCCGAGGACCATTTGTCGCGCAGCTGCACACATCCTCTCAAATTGAGGTCACGGACGAAGGGACCACCGCAAGTGATGAGTTTGACCAGGACATCACTGGGGATTTTCTGATAATACTCGGCCGCGTCCACTTTGGACCATAATTGCCCATCGTAACACATTTCATTCCACTTCTTGGAGACAGACGCGCAGCGTACAATCTCCTGTGGTGTCAAATAACGAAAAATCTCCACCTTCAGCTCTTGTGGCATATCGCCCCAGAAATCCAATATTCTTTTCGGCTGAGGATCTTGAACATCTTCAGTATCCGGCACTGAGACGTCGATATCCGTAACCTGCCCTTCTAGAATATCGCCCCGAGAAGCCGGCCGTATATCAATCGGCAATGGTACGGTACGAGATTGCGAGGCATGCGGGGAGTCGGTACCCACGACTCGAATTCGAGGGTTCTCTTCAAGTAACTCAGCTGGGGAGCCTGAGCAGCCAGGCGTGGCCGGTCGGGGATTCAGGCCTCCGTATAATTGAGACGAACTGCCATTTCCTAGACAGGGCGAGTAGTATGCGGAGGACGATAACGAGACACACGATAAGGACGCCGTGTGGTCCCGCCGATAACCGGTTGACGCCGATCGCCCGCGGCGGGGCAACGTCGGACTAGATGACATGCGCTGGAGACTTTGGAGTAATTTATGACGGCCTTTCAATTTGGGAGATTGATCGAGTGGAATTTGGCCCGTTGAGGAAGTTGGGCTGGCCGACGAGATCTCGGGGGAGGGGATCCCCTCGGTCGTTGGGGTAGCCATGTTGCGATCGAGGGCAGTGGACTCGTAGACGAGTTGGGAGGAAGAAGACCGAAGACCGATAAAGGTCAAATCGAATAGGCGCTCGATTCTGCGGATAAGTACTTAGACGATCATAGTTGAAAGGGTCTCAGCAACAGGAGTTGATTGCTTCTTGTTTTTGGTGTTTTGGTTTTAATTTTCGTGTCTAGGATTGTCGTCGTGGTAAGAAGGAAGAAGGGAAAGAAGACAAAGGCCAAACAATCAGGGCTGAACGAGCTGAGACGAGAGAAGGACGTGGATATTGAACCGGGAATTACGGCAAAGTAAGAACCGTGGCACTTCACGGCCTCAACCAACGGGACAATGAGTGACGTTCAGTGTACCGAAGAACCCGAAGAAGTAGAAGTAGGAGTAGAATCAGTAGAAATAATAACTAGAAACGGAAGAGACGAAATAGAATTGTTCAAATGACAAGAAACAAAAAAAAGGTGTTGGCAGGTGAGAGAGTCAAAGGCGGAATGCAGGACAAGAAGGACAAGAATGCGAATACATCAAGACTACCTGTTTTTACTAGGAAGATCCCAGCCAACACACTTGTATTTGTCAAGTACCCCCACCACCCTCCACCAGGGCAACAATGAACAGCCACTTCGGTCCAAGTCAATCACTTAACATTCGTTATTCGCTACTCTCAAAGTCTCTCATTCCTCTAGTACTATGTTCCCCCTCCTCTTTGGTGCTTATCGCATGTTTTCCCCACTTTGGGTCTCGGATTGCGTCTTAACGTGGCACAGACAGTGGGACCCACGCATCTCATCGGCTGACGAGGCCTCGTGGTAATTAGAGAAAAGACTAAAGATCAAAAGCATCGGGAGAATTAGACCATTATGTCTACATATACTAGTTAGGTCTAGCACGGGATATAGATATTAGATTAGGATGTAGTATCGGGCGTAAGTCGGTCTAGCCATCCAGGAACGAATTTCTCCAAGGAATTCACATCTCCCCCGTTTATTGGTGCAGTCGCCTCTCGCTAGGACCTGTGGGGAAAAGAACCTTGGAACACACCAACGGGCCATTCGGAGTAAAGTATACTGTACTCGGAATAATACTAATACACTCAAATTATTACAGATTCTTCGAATTTCCCCGGTCTGGAATTCCCCCCACTTCTCTGAGTCGCCCAGACCCGTGGACCGTTGAACCAGAGGCAAATCTGACCCCACACGCAGTTAACGGCTAAAGGACTAGTACGAAGTAGTGAGCTCCACTGCAAATTCATTAATTAGACATGTTTCTTTTCAATCTTGCAAAAAAACCACGAAACATTGGGATTCTTATACTCCGATTCCTAGAAGCTATTGCAAAAGACATACAAACATTGGAATTACTATGTACAATATAGTTCAATTAAATGTTCCCTGCATCCACTATTTGCTCCCATCTTGATAACCCTATGACTACACCATGATAATAGTTAAATGAGCCCAGGCTTCATTTCCCAATGGGCGAGATGATGGTCCTGACAAAGGGTAACAAAGTGTACAGTCCCATTAGACTTTCCCAGCTAGACATAGAACGTGCACTGAATCAGACGCATATAACGCCCCTCTTGCTCGGATAGTTGGTAACTATTCAAATCGATCATAGAAAGGTCGAGCACCATCGTGTGAGTATCTCTAGCACCTGCAAGCCATTTCATCTGTCAGAGTGTCCTAAAATCAAAAGTTGCGGGGAGAGAAATGGTCGGTCAACAATGAACATACATAGTTCCCCAATGTTGGTAGGGGGCTGATCATTGTCTGAGCTGTAGATATCGATTGTTTTGGTGAGACTGTCTCCTTGGCCATGGAGTAACAAACCACGGCATCTAGTAGGTTCGTCCAACCTCATATGATCTCCCTAAAAATAAGAGACCAATTGAAACAGTGTCATGGAATGGAATTAATCAACTGAAGCTTGAACCTTCTTCACCATCCACTCAATTGGATCAGTTGAAATTCCGAGGTTGAAATCTGCATGAACGAGAGAACCTCTTGGGTTGAATGCCTCGTTAGTTAGAAGGAATCTTCGAGATCCGTAATGGCATGGACTAAACATGCTTTGCTGCTGGAATGTCTCCGAGCCCCAGAGAACAGCTCCACGGGTTACTGCCGTTGAACTAGTGAAATACATTAGCTAAATTGCAGCCAGAATCTCATGAATACAATATGATATACGTACGCATACTTCTTGTTTTGAATGACTGGTATGTTGGGGAAGCAACGCTGCACTTCGCGGTGAAGGTATGGCGAAAAGGAGAATCCCCCCACAAGGAGAATTTTCTAGAAGTGTTTTAGCATTCCCACATCAGTTTGCCTATATGACCAGTCCCTTACATTTATCACCTCGTGTTGTTTGACTGAATTGGCTTTGTTGATGTGATTTGCCAACGTCTGAATGGTCATCTGGATGGCGGGTTCTATTAGCGTTTTAAGATCGGCACTGAATTATTTAGCCCTATTTTTCATGTCGTTTTGCACAGTGAAGTACGTGATTCAAAACAGAACTCACTTTGATACCAGCACGTTGTTTCTCTGATCGTACCACTCTAGATTTGAGCGTCCCGGTATAGCCATCTCGAGGTGCAATTTGATGAATCCTTGACCGCCGAATCCTGTAAACGGGCATTTGAATTTTTGAAATTTGTCCATGAATCGGCTTCCCGGTCCAATTTCCCATGATGGTAGACTAGAAAAAGCATCGCCGAATCTTTCTTGCATAAGCTTATAGAGCTCCCTGTTGATTGAGGTAGAACCGCACAGTTCCCCTTAGTTATATTGTTAGTACAGTATACTACTATATACTGAGTTCCAGTGCCACTCTTGAAACAGCAGCTTACCGGATTTCTGCGCCAATTCAATGTATACAAAGTGGCTATGTTCTGAGATCAAGAAGCTTGCAATGTCCTATTTACAGCAATTAGATGTGGTTCTAAATCGTTTGAGCTTTGGGGGCGAGCTCATGCATCTTTCATTTTGCTCAGGGACGGTTTATCTTGGGGCTATGGGAGTAGAGAAACCCGAAAATTCCCTACGCGAACTTGAATGATGAACTTCAACCTTGGAAGTTTGATTGTGAATTGCTTCAAATATTGGCCTTTAATTTACTTTTTCAGTCACCTATTTGACTAGTTTTGGAGTTTCATTTTGCACTTGTGTTTCAAATTGATTTGACTGTTGGCAGTGGTAAATAACTGTTTATTTTAACATTGTAAGAACAAGATAGATAAGATCTTGCGAAAGTTTCGCCTATCTTGAAGACACAGTATACTAAGGAAAAAAGCCTCGTTTCACAAGGGATATATAAATTCTTTATCTGCCATGTTCATCATGAGGTCTTTGAAAGTCTAGATACAACCAAGAGATATCGAATAGAGAAAAAAAGTGCAATGCAAAAGGCTTCCCCCAAAAAGAAAGCTGAGAGAGTCATGACATATGCAGGAACATTTCCGGTGAATGTTTTTGTGCAAAGAGACAACAGACCCACCCCAGGCCCGAAAAGTATAAAGGGAAAAAGTAAGATGGAGAGAGAACCAAAATCCCCCAAGATCTCCCCAGCCCGTCATCAAGCAAAACAAAACATCATGGGGTATCGTGTCTTTTTGTGGTGTCATAACAAAATAAAATGGTAGGTGATGAGGATGTGGGGGAGGATTACTCCTCTGTCATCCATGGGTGTTCAAGTACTTCGGTGATAGTTAGACGATTGTCGACGTCACGGTCAAGCATCTTGCGCACGAGGTCAATGCATTCTTCGGAAAAGGGGAGGAATGGAATTCGAAGAGGGTGATCGAGAATCTCATCGACGTTGTAAAATGGATTCTCTTTGTAGACAATCGTATAGAGCAGAATTCCTAGTGCCCAGATGTCCTGCTCTTTGCCTCGGTATGATTTGCCCTGGAGAACTTCTGGAGCAGCATAGTCTGGAAAGGTAGAACATGAGGAAGTTAGCTTAGATCAAAAAGATGCATAATACATCCCAGGCCATAGCAGCGCCTGTAATTGCAAAATGGGATCAAATGAGACTGTAAAACATACCAATAGTACCCACAAAGACGTCAAACGGACCGTTCTTGATATATGCAGCACTTCCGAAGTCAATCAACTTGATTCGCCCCTCACCATCAAGAATGACATTTTCATCCTTGATATCGCGATGTACAACCAGCGCCTTGGTATGGAGGTGATGAATAGCGCTCACAACCTGTTTGAAGATACTGCGACACTCTGATTCATCCATGTTGGCCTTCAACTCGATGTAGTCGAATAAATCCATACCAGGAAGGCCATGTGGAATCATTTCAATATAATAGTTGATGTTGTCCTCAAAGAAGCCTTGCATCTCCACGATGTTAGGATGCCTATACCCATCCCGACGAAGGAAATCCAGAACATGAATTTCCAGGGGCACTGTTCCTAATCGTCGATCACGAGTCCATGTATCCACTAAAATCCGTTTCTTAGTGACATATTTGAGGACCATCTTCTCGTCACCCACTGCCTTCTTAAGTCGTGCCAATTTCACCTGGCCATAAGCGCCTTGACCCATCTCTTCGAGGATCACATAGTCATTGATCGTTCGCTTCGGTGGAGACTCTTTAGTGCCATTGCCTGACTTTACTTCAGGGACAGCCTGTAAGGGACGATCCGCAAGAGGCTCAGATGCAGCTTCACTGAGCTGTTGGCTGAGATTCGAGCTTGGTGCATGGATTTCAACAAAGTTCTTATTTGTATCCTGGGTCAGAGTGTCTTCGGTCGTGGCGGTTGGGCTAAGAGGAGAGTTGGGCTGCGAAGTGGGGAGTGAGGAAGATGAGATGTTGGTTGCAGGTCCAGCAGCATGTATTTGCCGTGAGTAAGTTACCCATAAGGCATATACCAACTCTGTCACAGCGATAGTATCATCGCTGTCCTCCGAGTCGCTTGATCGCTCCTCGTGAAGCTTCTCAGCTTGTTCTCTGGAGAAGAAGGTTCCGCTCTTAACTACGCGAAGCTGTACATCAACGACGATGGTTGAGCCATCTCGATGTTTGGCCAATAAGCCACTGGGCTCAGTGAAAACCGATGCAGCATTAGCTTTGCCATCCCGGAGAATAGACAGCGTACGCGCCCGGCGGAAACTGTGTTCGGGGATTACGATCCCATCGACCAATGGCACGTTGTCCTCCTCGGTTAACACATCCAATATTTCATCGAATCCCGGGATGAGCTCCGTGATGTGTCGTCCTTCCGGGCGCTCCTGGCCAAAAAGAGCAGACGAGAAGACAGAGTTGGAACTGATCACATTAAGGGATGCGGATGACAATACCATCATGCCTGCGACGTGTGGGAAACTGGATACTTGTACGGTGCGAAGACCTTCAAAGTTGGTGTTGGTGACTGTCACTGGGATACAGACACCTGCGGCTGTATTGGCCGCGAAATATTTCAATTCCACAATCTTGGGTATCCCCTTCTCTGGCGTGGTTTCGAGTGACTCCGATGGCAGACGAGGTAACAACTCAGTAATTGACTGACCATTGCGAACTACAGATGGACCCCAGATCTTATCAACGTCACCGTTGACATTCACGATATTCCAAGATTCATCACACTCGACAGACGCTGCATTTTCCGTGATTTCTTCTAGCACCCAGATCAGGCCACCACGTTTCTCCATCACCCACACGCTAGCAGATCCTTTGGTACCATTGCGCTTTTCAATTGGCACAACATCGCCGCATAACAAAACACCGCGTGATTTGTTACCAGGATGATTGGCATTCCGGGGATTCCGTGTACTGGACCCATATCCATCGTCGGTCTGCGCTCTGCGAGATTTCTCACGAGATGATGGCTTATTGAGCAGCTGCGCAGTCACCCCATTTCCCAGACCGCGGAACTTTGGGTTTACTGCACGGATATTAGGTCTTTCCGGTTGAAGGGGTGTACGAGCCGCGGCATCAGTGCTAGGATCCCGAAGCTTAGCTTCAAGCCACTGTCTATGCTCTTTCTGTACAACCTCTAGAATACTAAGCCGACGGACTTCGTTTTTAGTCACACCAAATACAAGGCAGGAAAGATCATTAGCGGCGATAATTGTCCAAGGTGCTTGGGCTTCGGTCCGGAATACGGCCTGGGAGGCTGGAGTCCATTTGCTGCTGTGGGTATGCAAGGCGGGAAGCGGGAATCCCAATCCAGAGGTTGAAGAAGCCAAAGAGGCAAAGGGATCCGAGGAAGTGTAGGGTTGCGCTAGAGTTTCCATCAGCTTGTTTTTGAGCGAGGCAGAGTTGAGATCCGTGTATGTACGTTTTAAGCTTACGCGCCTGGACGCTGGTGCTGACTTCAGGTCCAATCTGGATGGCGGAATACGATCATTTGAAACGATGGGACTCAATAGCTGGGAGCTATCGGACGTAGCCTGGGATGCTGACCGAGGTTCTAGGGCCGAATCTCGAGTACTAACCGGAGGCGACCCGTGGTCAGAGAAGGCCCGTTCAAAGATATTATGGCCATTGACCTCCGCAGGTCCGGTGATGGGTCCTCCTCCGTAGTTGCCGCTCTCTTCGTCCAGGACATTGGCCCGAGTCAAAAGGTCCATCATACTTTGGATATCCGAGTCTCCGGTCATGTTGGCTTGCGCATTGGCGATCGCCGCGCTACTGGCGGCCCATCCCATTCGGTCGCGCATGAAGTCGATCGATCTTTTGAGAATATTTTGTCGCGAATGTAATAGTTCCTCCGATTGTTGAGCGAAAGAAAAGGAATGTAATGATTCCAACGGGAATCGATGCAGGTCTTCTAACTCCCCCGTGTTCTGGCTCGTAGACATGCGACCGGTATGAGCTCTCGAAGATGAGCTGGAGCGCATAGATGGAGGTGGACGGGGTACGTTCATGGGAGTTAAAGACGACGTCGACAAGTTCGGTAAGGTCAGAACTCGTGAAGGTTGCTGGCGTATGCGATCCAGCCCTGACGGACCAAGTCCATGTTCGCTCTCGAATAACGGGGATCTGTTGGAAAGAGACGGTGGAAAGGGTTAGTTGCTTGGTCTTCCTATCTTTTGAGACACATTCACTTTATTCTTTGTGAATGGGGGTGAAGTAAATTGGCGGACCTTGAAAGAGGGTCATAACCTGAGGATATGCTGTCGGCGGAGCTTCTTAAGGTCTGCCCGGTCGTTTGTATGGTAAGTTTCTGAAAGCCCGACTCCGATTCGGGGGACTCAGAAAGGGGACCCAAAGGTGACGACAAAGGACTGGGATCGCCTGCAGGAAGATATAAAGATCAGCGGGCTTCGATTGTTTATCAAGACCGTTTTTGACTCCACGGGCTCTTCTCCCCCAACGTGACTCTCCCACCCCGTGATAAAGAGGGATGTGCTAGTATTCAGCACATGCGAAGAAAAGAAGGAAAGCAAAAAGTGTGTTTCCCTTTCCTCAACTCCGAGGACACTCGTGAGAGAATCATTCGGGTTCTTGATTCCTCCGATGTGGCCTTTTTTTATTTCCCCCCCATTTTTTTTCCGATCTGCTTTGCTGCTGCTTTTCGTCGTCCTAATTCACGTCCCACCTTCATCGCGTCCCTTGCTGCCGAACCCCACTCTTCAAGCAAAGAGGCCCGTGGCATGTGAAACAAGAACAGGAACTCACCATCGGGATTATATGCTGACCCCATGCTTTCGGGGGAGGCTGGATTTCTCCCCAAGAGAATCAAGGAGGCTCAAGGTCGAATCGACATGGAAGTCATTCGCTCGAGTCAGCGGGCGAGCAGAGGGCGACTGCCTCGTAACACGCCCGGCATGCGACGATCGAAGGCACGGGCTAGTGCAGGTGAGAAATGCGAGAGGTCCAGGAGAAAGAGAGAAAGAAAAAAGAAAGAAAGAAAGAAAGAAAAAAGAAAGAAGAAAGAAAAAAGTGGGAAAGAGAGGGAAACGGAAAAACGGTCAGGATACAGCGGGGGTTTCGAGGAGAGTTTAGTGGGGAGCAACGAGAAAGGGGCGGGTGATGTAATAGTAGGATGGGGAGAAGAGCTCGGCACTTGAATGAACCTTTTAACTAAAGTTCAAGCGTGTAAAACCCAGATAAAGCATAGAGAACAAGAATAAACTCATATAAAGAACGTTTAAAGGGTTCGAAGTGAAGGGGAAAGGAATTTCAGATCGACCGATCGGCACGGGAGTTGGCCCATGTGGGAGGGGCCTTCAAACTTCTTGTTCAGAAGAAGAAGAAAAAAAACAGGCCTTTGAGGGGAGAGGGGTAGCTAAAGATGGGACTATGAAATTAAACAGAATGAAAAGAACCTAGTAAAGAGTCCGGTTGTTCAATAGAGGGTCTTGGAATGTCAATCCTATCCATCTTGAGACTATGAGAACTCGACAACCAGCTATACAGTAGCAAATCAACTACTTTACCCCCACTCAATGCACCTTGATGAGACTAAAAAAGCCGCTGATGCATTGGGCTTTCGCTAACATGACGACCAAATACATATGATGCCTCCAATATTCTGTGCGCCTCATTACACTACGAATCCAATAGTCAAGATCAGGATGCTTGGCTCAATATTAGAATTATGCAAGTTTCTGTACTTTAGATGCTTGACCGGGAGTTCCGGTGGAACAGTGGCACACATAATTTCCCCACCGCTATCGTGGCCTGAAGATGGGTCACCTCCATGTCTTCTATCTCGGCCAAATGACGAACCAAATAATATAATCCACGGGAAACGATCAGAGAGGGGGGAAGCGCCGGGCTCCTGGTCGAGTTCGGGATGAATCATTAACCACCCCTTACAGCGGACCTGGAGTGCCTTGAAGACTGTGTAGCGCTAATTCATCAGGCTCGGCGTCTGCTTGTGTTTTTTCGTCTCCATTCCCGAAGAGCGGATTGCCTTTATTCCGTGCATGGTTGTCGTGCTGCCGAGTCTCCTCTGGGGGCATCGAAATAGAACTGACAAAGCTAGAGACATTCCGGCTGCCTTCAACCATCCAGGAGAACCCTGCATCGGACAGGGATGGCCGCACAATGGACTTCTTTGCTTGCTCACCGTCGGCCTGCCCGGTGTTTGTCGTGCGAATGGTGGCAGCGCTGACAGGTTTGGAGGTTCCACTTTCGACGCTCGGCCCGCGCGCATCCGCGTTGAAAGATGTGCCCTGCTGATCTTGATCGTCCTGCGCCACTTCGACTGGGCTGGCTGCTTTCAAATCTGTCGGTGGCTCAGTCGACTCGGTATCTACGATCGCCCCAGGAGATGCGGAAACTACGGGAAGCGAGGGGTCTTCAAGGCAGCGTTGGACCGACTCAACTCGGGCCAATGCCTTCTCAATGGAGTCATCGGGTCTTGCGTCGGGATCTTTCGAAAGTTGAATTCGAAGCTCCCCTAATGCCTCGCCTAGTGCATTAGAAAGCGCCTTGTTTCTTTCTTCCAGCTGGTCGATCTTCATCTCTAGTCCAAGCTCTGTGGGTGACGGCTTGGAAGGCGCGTTTGATACACTCGCCAAGGGCCGATGTTTGTAATTTGCAGCAGTTAGCCGTGTTCCCGGCTCGTAATTCATCGTTTGCATGTTCTTCCTAGCCTCCGTGACAGCTCCCCGGACCGCTTTGGCCACGCCCCATGACTCGGTGCGGCGTTGGATTCCTTGGGAAACGTCTTGAAATAGGGATTCGAGGCTCTTGGGGCTGTTTCTAGCCGGGGAAGAGGCGGAAGAGCTGCTATCGCTGCGATTCTTGAAATCCTCCCAAAGGTAGGCTCTCCTAGGTGGTCGTAGTCCAAATTGACTGTGTCGGTTGGAGGATTCCGGGGCTTTGCCTGAGTACTTCGTAATGATAGCACTACCTCGCTCCGCTGTAGGGTTCTGTTCTAGGTAAAGGGCATCATGCACAAATTGGTGGGGCGCATGTGGCTGAGGCGAAGGGTAGCGCAGAAGCATTGATAGGGCGCCCGAGTAATCTGCCTTCAGCACTGTGGGGGGTTATATTAGCCAACCTTGCAAATAGTGAGATCTTTAATTTTGATGCCTTACATTCCCAGCGAATCCGAAGTAACATTGCGATGCATGTAAAGTCGACAAGATCAGACCGTAGCCCATGCGCAAATAGCAGATCCCACATCATTAAGACTTCGTCAAACGGAAATTCTCTTCCAAAGAGAAGTCGCATCCATCGACTTTGCTAGCGGTTAGCCCTAAACATCCACAGCGGTATTTGAATCAAAAACACTCACGTCAGAAATATCTGTGGCAGAACATCCACTGCTTGTAAGTGCTCTGCCAGTTCATGATCGATGATCATCAAAGCCTCGGTATGGAGATACTGGCACCGACTGACAATCGGGATCACGTCGACTTGGCCATCCGCAGTTTTAGTTTCACCGTGCTCGTAATATACGCGTGCCGTCTGCATAACGGAAAGAAACAATGTAAATGAATCATGCTCCACAAACTCCGGGTCGAGGATATTTAACATCAGAGTGTCGTCATTATCACCAGCTGGGGTTTTTAAGCTTTCTTCTGGCTTTGCAACTGAATCCTGATCCACCACCCAAAGCAAGGGTGCTAACAATTCGTGCATCCCCTGTCTATACCCGACATCAGGGTTAAGTTTAGAGTATACAAACAAGACGTCGGTTAATTTAGCTTTCGTCGCCGGCTCTTGGAAGAAGACGTTTTCTTGTAAGCATCGATCAACGTCCTGCGATATCTCGGCTCGTAAATTCTCGTCATTTCGCAGGGTTTGCCATGGAGACTATTCAAACAAAAGTCGGTCAGATAAAGATGTTTCGATACTCAAAATGTAGCAGGCAATGTTGTGAGGAAGATATACCTGCTCATCGTCCGCCAGCGGATCGACACTTGACTCCAAGTCATCTGGATGTTCAATATACTTCAGAAAATGATCACGGAGAGCTTTGTATGCCTCTCGAGACTCGTCGAGCTTCTGTAACCATTCCTCGCGTTCTAGACCCTCGAAGAGCAGAAATACCTGGACGCGGAATGAGTACCGTACTTCATATCAAACCGGTAAATGTCCACGGACCTTCCAGCAAATCGACCTTAGCCCGTCGTTGCACAGCTTTCCACCTTGTGCGGCCCGGAGCGCCTTTTGGAGATCGGAGGATGTATCATTGCCGAGGAAGAGGATTTCCCATCTCTTTCTATGAAGAGGTTTAGTAGTGGTTTTATTTTAAAGCAAGATTGAAAGTAAATACCTAGTTTCCTCAATGGTTCTCATTTCATGTGCGATTGTTGTTTTGGGGGTAGTGGAAGAGGTTAAGATACATGGATGAGGGGAAGCGATAATAATGTAATCCGCACCTCTTATCGCGCTCTCCCGGGAACATGACCGCATCTCCGAACTCCAACCCCGATCTACATCCACAGGACAGCAGTGCTGGGACCTTACCTGTCTTCCTACCGACTCAATTCCAGGCAATACCCTCTATGATACTCATATCTATAATACGCATATAAAATGTCTGCCGACTTGTTCGCAGCTTTCGGCCAGGACCCGGAGCCTGCGCAAAGCTCTGTAGGCAACTCCAAAGTTGGGCGATCGCAAACAAACTCCTCAATACCCAACCAAAGACAAATCGATGATGGCTTCTTTTCGTCGCTATCTGGAGATAATCAACAGACTCAATCAATCCCTGCGACTTCCGTTCCACTACCGACTTCGCGACAGCCTCCCGGCTTCGAATTCTTCAACTTACCCCGACAAGATAATAGCGATGTGCTGTTCGACGCCGAAACCGATAAACCCGCTCAGGACACAGACGATGACTGGGGTGATTTTGAAGCGCCAGAATCAGAATCGACGCCTGAAACCAATCAAAGGGAACACCCTTCTGAAACCATTCTACATAGGCCTCCTCCTCCAACGATCCAACATCATGCCGCCCAAATAGACCTATTGGACTCGCTGTCATTAGAAGACCCAGCACCAGCCACCCAAAGATCACATATTTCTCCCAACAAACCTTCAACATATAGCAAAACTCCCCAAGAGCCAACATGGGATGATGATTCTTTCGGAGACTGGGGCGAATTTACCGATGCAGCCTCCAAGCCCCCTCCAAGTCAACTTCAACATACAACAAAGCCCGCTCCAAGACCAAAGAAGCCAACACCCAGCAAGAAAATAAACCTAGCCCCCCAAGAACCAAAATGGGACGATGAATACGAAGACTGGGGCGACTTTTCCGACGGACCAGCACCAAAACCAAAACCAGTTTCGGTCTCATCCAAACAAAACACAATATCAAAACCTAAGCTATCAGCTCCATCTCCATCTCCATCTCCAGATCCCCGCAGCTTCACATCTTCAACCCCAGCATCACCACCAACAGTCCGACCAACCAATATCCCACCACCATCAGTTCTTCTTTCCCTACTAGTCGAAATCCTGGCCAATCTCCAAAAAGAAGCCCTACAAGCTCAACCTCGAACAACACCAACGACTAAAAAAGAAGAAGCCGCCTCAAAGATCACATCAACCTTAGCAACAGCAGCACGCATAATAGCAGGCCGAAGTCTACGCTGGAAACGCGACACAATCCTAAGCCAAAGTATGCGTATCGGACCAGCTGGGAAATCTGGTGGTATGAAGCTGAGCACAGTGAACAAGCATGAAGATGTGAAGGAGTCACAAGATGCAGTTGAGGTGCTTACATTGTGGCGGGAGCGCTCGGCGTTATTTAATGCTGTTGTTCAGGGTGTAGGGCAGAAGGCTGTTCCTGTTGTTGCTGATCCGGGTGCGTTGAAAGTTGTTTTGGCAAAGGGGGAGGATGGTGCAATTAGAGCGTCGCATTCTTGTGCGCTTTGTGCATTGAAAAGAGATGAGCGAGTGTTGAGGATTGATGAGGGGGGTGTGAATGATAGTTTTGGGGAGTGGTGGACGGAACATTGGGGGCATACGGATTGTAGGGTTTTCTGGGAGAGGAATAAAGAGTTGCTTTTGCAGCGTTGAGGGGATATTTACTTATCTCGTCGAGCACATATTGTTCTACTTCTCTATATGTGTTGGGTTTGGAAGAGCATTGGGCAGTGCTTCATTTCTATAACGATGGGCATTTCTATACCGTTTTATACATTTAGCCGCTTACTACTGTAGATAGCTCAGCGTAAGGGCAGCCCAGAATTCAAGTTTGTATATATCATCATGATACCAAAGCACGGCCCTGTCTATGGTTAGGTCTAGTACACTACAGCTAGATGAAAGCCTCCATGTGGAAAAGGTATCTCGGCAAGAAAGCCACTCCGGTTTGATATTACCGTAGCGACGATGATGAATTAAAGGCAAGAAGGATCACTCCAACACCGGGTTCTGTAAGTAAAAAATAGAATAAAAAAGTAGATACACAGAGGAGAAAGACAATCGAGAGAGGAGAAAGGTACTGCCAGCAGCAAGCGAGCCCAGGCATGGATCAGACCAGCTGAGCTGGAAGGGCTTTTCCTGACATAGTCCGAGCGGGCCTCAAAAGGATACAGAGCACTTTGATACATAAATATACCAGGGTATACGTGCTCGGTGCCTCGGCCGCCCTGAGTATAATCCAGAATAAAACCGGATCGAATTATTTATGCTCTAGAGACATTTCTGTTTTCATAGAGTATGCTTGCTTGCTTGAGCATATACTAGAGTGGCTTCCAGCGTGAGTAGAATCAAGTGGATGATTTTCCAAGGTACCAGAAATAGCGTTCGCTTTAATGTCTGGAACAGAAACACCCGCTTGAGATTCAGTCCGTGACCCCATAGTCCAAAAACTAGGTGAGGCGACCAGGCAGGCTGGAGGATGAGAATCAAGGTCAATTTCTGTTGATAGCTGCTGATGCGACTTGAAATGGCGATTGACTGCAGATTTTCTGGCCAGGACCAGTGAATGATGAAGTCAAAAACAACCTAGTAACTCTGGGCGGAAGTCATGGCAGGCTATAATAAATTCATTAGAAAGCTGAGGCGACAATCAAAAAACACGGGGAAAATTTGGTACTTACCGGACTACTCATAATGCTGTTCCTCTTGTTACGGCCTTTCTTGATGTGATTCTTTAATGCGGTTGAATCCAGGGGCTTCAATAGCTCGAAACTACAGAGAAGCTCTCCAGATACAGACATGATAGCTCCCCAGTTATCGAACTCGCCACAGTACTGTTGTATGCAAATTAGCAAAGAACGAAGATAAGAGTAAGGAGATTATCCCGGAAATAAAACTTACATTCGGAGCCGAGAACACGGTTACCAAGATCCGGTCATTGTAAAATTCATATCCATCTTCGACAACCATGTGAGCACGGCAAACTAGATCAAAGTCATGTCGTTGCAAAAAGTTCATAATGACTTTCTTGCCAAAGCAATAGCTAACACCGCGTTCATTAGGCTCCCAGTCTTCCTCCATGTCTGCTGGATCACTCCACAGGAGATCATTCAACAGTCCATAGTCTGGAACATCGGTGGGCCGGGCAATGCCCCGAATGTCATCCATATGTGACAAGCTCGGAGACAGTCCGCCATGGACGCAGAAGATCTTGCCTGCAACAGTTGCAGCAATCGGAAGACAGTTGAAAGTATCGATGAATGTCTTCCATACTTTGATATTGCATCGTCGTTTACATTCGTCATAAAATCCATAAACACGAGTGACATTAGCACATTCGTGATTGCCGCGAAGCAAGAAGAAATTTTCTGGGTATTTGAGCTTATAGCACAAGAGCAGTAAAATGGTTTCCAAACTCTGTTTTCCTCGGTCGACATAGTCACCCAAGAAGAGATAGTTTGATGCAGGTGGAAAACCACACATCTCGAAGAGGCGAATTAAATCAGTATATTGACCATGGACATCGCCAACAATCTTGACAGGTGCAGACAGCTCCAAAAGAGCAGGTTGCGAAAGGAAGAGCTCTCGAGCTGCTGAACAAATAGCAGTGATCTCGGCATTCTTCAGGCAAACAGTCTTGGTGACTTTAGCAGAATAACCGGCGTCCAGGAGCCGTGAGATCATGTCGTCCAAGTCAATGGACTTCAGAGCGCCCATACCCATCCCTGGGGAGCCAGAAGTCTCAAGAGGAGCATTCAATATAAAATCCAAGATTGGATTTAGCTGGTTTTCACGCTTGATCAAGATGGATTCACCCACAACAGGAGTGGTTGATGGTGCACCTGTTAGCGGGCCCTCTGAGACAGTATCCACCTCGCCGCTTTGCTTCATCGCGCTCACATCTTTATGGCCTCGCTGCAAGCTCGCCGACAGCGAAGGTGACGGTGGGGGCTCGGGAGAACCCGAGCGAGAGGGACCCTCTGAACCGGGAGACTGGGGAAGGCCGGCGTTGGAGCCGGGTCGGCTTCCAACCGACTTTGTCGAAGCCGCATCGGACTTATCATTTAGGCTGTCTGTATGTGAAAGGGCAGTTGTAGAACCCCGGGGGCTGTCGGAGCCACGGGCACCAGGGATCTTCGAGCGGATCGAACCTCGGAAGGAGCGAATAGATTCCTTGGTATCGGATTTCGAAAAGGACGGGTATGATTGCAACGAGTCGCCCGACCCGGCGTTGCTCTTGGAATGCGACTGACCCATCGCTGCAAGGCTGGGATGCTTGCCAAGCTTAGAGGGGATCGCACGAACAGCGGACGTTCAAGCCGCTATGCCGAGAAAAAAAAAACTCCCTAGGTATTGGAATGTCTTGGCTTCCGATTCCAGCTGAGTCGGTCTCAAAGACAGCCTTTATTTATTCTCAAATGCCCTCCTGGATATCTGTGGTGAAGTTTTTCTCTTTCTTTACCAGCAGTACCACCAAGAAGTTTTTCTGCAGTCTAGGGCTTGGCACAAGCTGGGAATTTGCGGCTCGGTCACAAAGGTGGGCAAGAGTTGAATGAACAATAACGATCGGGAGGGTAATATAAAATAGTAGCCGACGGGGCTAGTGATGGTGCCTACGTCTGATAGGGGTTGACGGAAGGAGCTTTTGCAGGTGAGCTGGGCGGAAGGAGTGGGTGGAAGGAGAAGCTCCGAGGCTTGGGTGGAACTGAGGGAAGCTTCCAGCTGCGGCAGGATTAGTTTCTGGATGGGCTCTGAGGTATGTGATCGTTGATGAGAGTATTTGGGCTAAACTCCACAGAATCCTGGGCAGTATGTGGAGGCTGGTTGGAATGAAAGCAAAGGTGAGAGGGATTGCTGGGGAACTCGTGTGGATTTGGGGTGTGGACGGGGCGGGTGGAGGAATGCGTCATTATGTATGGGGATTTTGGTGCGAGGTATTTATCCCACATATTGATTGGAAACAGATCAACAAGCATAAAACACAACTTACAATAGATAATCCTGAAAGTTCACTGAATATGATGAGAAAAGGAAGAGAGAAAAACAAGAGAGGAGGTATGAATAGAGCGAAGAGGGGGAGGACAGCAAAAAGTAGGGTGAAAGTACTCCGCCACCGCTAAATGGGTGAAAAGGTACTTGCGTGGTACACACCTGTCGCCCAGTTCTGGCCACAGCTGGATCTCGGTTAGCTAAGCACGGACTATCAACGGGCCGATTGTTGCCTGGACTCTTGTTTCTGTGTATTTATAGCGATGCGTTCATGACTTGGTGTTTAGACTTTCAGCTGAGAGAGAGAGAAAATAAAATAAAATAAAGTAGGAGACTAGACTAGTAGACTTTGTTTAGTTGTCTTTTCTTTTTTTTAAAAAAACCACAGATTCCCCAGCTTATCGTAACAATATCTGTGCTTTATTGTGCTAAAAAGAGGATCTTAAGGATCATTCCATGGGCCCCTCATCCTTCCTCCGATAAGCGACCACGTCTTACATAGGTTCCCCCATGTTACCACACCTCCAGATTACGATTTGGTCCAGCTCACTGGGACTGTGCGAAGAAAGCTGCAGCCCTGGAGGGCTAGATGGAATCTTGGTGGCTTTCCCGAACCACCCCGGGGGCAAAGAGGAGCAAGACCTTAGACCCCACTAGGGCTCCTATCAGGAACGAGGTGGCGGGGAAAGACAAGGCTAGCAACATCTGATCCAATCCCGCCGCCACCATCTCAAATACAGGGGGAAACCTATAAAGAAAAAGAGAGAGGAGAAATGAAAATAAAGATGTAAAACATGTTACAGGAGCTCTTTCACTTTCAAGCATAGACCGCTATCTTAAATAGGCTCGGACACCCGCAGTAAATGGAGAAGCCATTCCCCATCCAGTTCCACGCACATGTCCATCATCTGGCTCGGACGTTATGTAGATTAGGCAGGAGCCGCAGACAATCTTCGTTCTGCATATGTAGAAGATAATAGTCACTGCATGTACGCCAAGATAATCTTTCGTTTAAGAAGACACCGCCTTTTTGTCTTCCAACCATATCGCCGAGCTGTAGACTACCAAGGAATTCCCCCAGTGGTCGGGATTTGATAGTAGGCCCAATGAACAAGCGCAGAGTCACTGCCATGCAGATATCGTGGTCCATCCATACCACGTTGATAGAGAACCAGCAAGCATAGACCCAGTAAACAAGTTCCAAGGCCCCTTGGCAGCCCCACGTTCAACCTCGTGCTATCAGCAAAGCAGGAACCAGTGTGATACATCAGATGTATATTAGAAACCAGACATTACTGGCAGGGGTGTTTGACTAATAGTTCCCATTGGACTAGATTCCGATGTCGTGATTTGCCCGCCGTTCTGATTGGAGACGTGGTGAATACCAGACGTCTCGTGAACATGACTGAAGAGTATGAAAGAAGCTCTATTCCAGCTCGATTTTCGTAATATGACGCCCTGGTACCACGATGAGCCCAATGAGTCGATGTGTCATGTTGACTTTGACGGTGGCGCTTTTAGCTTCGGCGTTACGCTCCCATGACTCGGCTTCTTTTGCGGCGGCGGCTTGGACAGCGGAGGGTGTGGGGAAACGATATTCGTATGAGTTGGCAAGGATTATATTCCGCTCCTGTACCACGATTCCCTGTCAGCTTAATCTTGACATAATGGTATTTCCAGCTTTGATGACGAGAGCCTTACTGCATCGGTACATTTGAATAGACCAACGAACATCCGACTGTCAGTCGTGTATACCCTGAGCTGACGCCCAATCAATCCCTCCAGGTATTGAACAGCCCGTTCAGTATCCATAGTCATGATTGGACTCGATGGCAGTTGCGTTTGATGTGTAGCCGATACAGATGGAGCCGAAAGTTGAGCACTTGCAGTCTTAAAACGATGAAGTTGGGAAAAGCTCAAGAATCAGGATATAATGACAGCATATCCCGGTGATTTTGTCTTTGATCGAGTCTGCAATTGAGAAAATGAGGGGAGTTGTTGAAATAGCCAGGTTGAGTAACCGCGGTGGAGGACCGGGGGCCCCGCACCCTAATTGGCTAGCTTCGAAATGCCAACAAACACATCAAACAGGTCAATGGGTCAATGTTACTATACTGCACTCATTACAGCCTCCTGGGCTTAAATATATCAATTAATACCCAATAAATACATTATATCAAGGGCTTTCCGACCGGAAAGTGATGCAGTGAGCTTTGCGATCAAATTCGCCGAAATTGGAAATGTTCACCCGTCTAATCCGGATTGCGAAGCAATAACGAAATTCAAGGTGGAAGCTATTACAAGCCGTTAATAACGAAGCGTGCGATGTGTGGTCAAAAGGGAGATGAAATTTACAGGGAAAGAGCTTTCATAATTGCCAAAAGAATAAAAGAGAGAAAACCTGCTTAAATATTAACTATAACTATGTTCAAATGTAATATTGCGCCTAATTTCGGCTTCCCAGTCCCTAGACCTTCCGAAACACCAAGCTCATAAGCTCCCAAGCTCCCAGAGAGAGCAAGAAATAACAGCAAGATAATGATGTGACTTGACTTAAGTACAAGTCAAGCTCCATCTGGTGAAAACTGTAACAGCTGTGCAGCATAGCGACCTGCGCATAGGCACGGCAAAATGGAAACGGCCATGTCATGGAAATTACATCCACGCCCTTACGCCCATGTTCACGTTCGAGTTGGAGCCTTCACTGCTTTCATCGGTATCCATGTCCATATCCATATCCATATCCATATCCATTTCCACCCGGTTGGGCCCAGCATTCATCGTCTCGATTGCGCTAGAATTAGGACCGGCAGTCGGTTGTTGAAATGCCGCACGCCGTACAGCTTCCTCATGGTCCATAGCAATCTCATTCGCACGGGGTACCAGTGCCTCGCGGGATGGTTTAAAACGAGGAGCTTGCTGACCTCGAGGCTGGAAGAAGCGCAGCAGACTCTGTTGACGTGGGTCGACGGTTTCGGGGTTCTCGAGGGATGTTGTTTCTTCCATTGTTTCTTCGGTAGTGCCCATTGAAACTTCATTTTGTTGTTGCTGGGCCGAGAAAATCCACCGGAGGGTTTTCTCTGATGAATGGTTAGCTTATACTTGGTTTGACGGATGAATAGTAGATTTGGCCTGTCTACCTCGGCAATGGGCAAATCACTCACCATATACCACTTCATCATTTGGACGGCCATCTCGGAATCGCTTTCGTGTTCGGCTGTGGAGGTGTTTTGAGTTGTCGATCATGTCTATGTCGCAAGACGCGGATGCGAATGGGCTGGATGGAGCTCGCGAGAATGAGGCCTTGCGTTTGAGTGACATTGTCAAAAGGAGATTATGTATTTGAATTATAAAGTCCTCGAGAAGGTGTTTGCGTGTTTGAGTCTCAGAACCAGAGTGAAAGAGGTAGAGTTGCATTTGAAGGTCAGAAAGGCTGGGAAGAGGGTACGGGAATGCGATTGGCTGGTCGCGTGGATACGAGAGTCGCGTCGTGGTTCTGGTTCACGCTAATCCGTAAGCAGTAATATTGCACTTGAATACTTCATTGGACACCTCAGCTGCGTTTGCTTCTCACGATCACAATTAATATTTCGTATTGAAAAAATGCTATACCATTTTAGAGCGATGCTAAGAGATTCAGTGCATATCCCCGGTCGGATCCTGATATGCCCCCTTGCAGGTCTCCAATAATCCACAATCCAGAAGTCATCCGCCCTAACAACAAACAAAAATGCTCAAGTCAGAGCCCTTGAATGGCCGTGAGCTTTAGTGTATGACAAAGTCTGTGTAAACAAGCTGCATGTCTATCTATTACAGTCAACCCGATAATTAATCCCGCTCTTGTAAAATAACAGCAGAATCAATTGTATTCAAGTTCAAGTTGCTCTTGTAAAACTACAAACCTTGGAAAGAGCCATACATAGCATATAAAGTATATCATTTAAATCCCGCCACATTGAATCTTACACACTTTACCATCTCCCTATGGAATCATACCCCTATTGTCTTTAGTCAAAGTCTTATAATATACAGTAATATTAAGTGTACGCATTACGCATTAAGAGCTTAGGTATAATATCATCTAAGCCTCTAGAATTACATTAGTAAAGGTGTTACAAGAGACGATTTGACTAATGTTTGAAAAGACCATTGGAAAGACGTGTAGGGTAATATGATGTATAACATGTATTCAAGACCTGCTACTTCTAGTAAGGAGGGGCATTGTTTATCGGGGTGACTGTAGTATGCTCCAATTTCCGTCTTAAAACTTCTCTAAGAGCTTGTATGGTTTCGTGTTCATCAATTGGTTGAAGTCCTAAGCTTCAACCATGTTCAAATACTATCCCAGTTACGGACATCTCAAGCTTTTGGATGATCCGATCATATTTTTGCAGTCTACTCTTACTCGACGAGCATTAGACTCATCCCAACGAACCTGACTTAATCGGCATGCCGTGGGACAGATCATCGGTATCTCGCACCCTTACTCCACCATGACGATAGTCTTCCCCGCTTCTCCTCACTCAGCTCATAGCTAACTCCGCTCTCAAACACCGTCCATACCAACTACTCTTTATCATTACGGCCATGTCTGCTCGACGTGCTTTTCATGCTGGGTCGTGGTACTCAGATAACGGTCGTATCCTGTCAACCCAACTGGATGGTTTGCTAGCAAATGTACCGGATACTCTGGAGCATGTGGGCTCACTCCCCATCTCGGGGGCTCGAGTCGTGATCGCACCGTATGTGGTCTATTTTCTATGATTTCCAGAGCTACATATCTGATGATTTTCATAAGACACGCAGGTTATGCTTACTCGGGTCCCTGTGCAGCCTACGCATACAAGGCGCTTGATCTGACCAAGGCGTAAGCAAAATCACTTCGAGAGACCTCCGCTCACTTTGACCTATCTAATCTCCATTCCACTTCTAGTAAACGTATCTTCATTTTGGGTCCATCCCATCATCATTATCTTACCACGCTGGCCGTCCCACAGGTCAAATACTACTATACCCCGCTCTCGGACGATCCCCTCCCACTAGATCTAGACGTAATTGCGCAACTTCAACAGACCAAGTCCAACTTTGCAACCATGTCACGATCTGTCGATGAGGAGGAGCACAGTATCGAGATGCATCTTCCCTACATCCATCGCCTCCTCCAATTACAATACCCGGACACCCCGACAGCCGAATACCCACCGCTGGTCCCAATAATGGTCGGCAACACCTCAGCCTCAACGGAAAAGGCTGCCGGTGCCATCTTAGCCCCGTATCTCGCTGATCCCGAGAATGTTTTTGTGGTTAGTTCCGACTTCTGTCACTGGGGCCTGCGATTCCGTTACACATACTACGTCCCCCAAGCCCCGACTCCTGGGCCTGAACTGCCGTTATCCAGCGATGGGCTTCCCCAGCCAGGACAAGCGGAAGATCAAATTACGGAGACCATTTCTTCTGTCTGCGCAGGTCATGAGTTGCGGCGTGGGGAACGTACCTCGAGAAATGAGCCTGCTATCCACGAGAGTATCTCGGCTTTTGACCTCGCGACCATGTCAGCTATTACGACCGGATCGGCCAAGACCTTCTTGGATACTATTGAGCGCACTGGAAATACCGTTTGTGGTCGTCACCCCATATGTGTTATTATGGCTGCTCTAGAGGTTATCAACGCCACCCGGTCGGAAGAGGCGCAAAGCCTCTTCCATTTCCTGAGGTATGAGCGTAGCACTGATGCAGTAGATGTCAGCGATAGCTCTGTGAGTTATGTGTCTGCCGTTGCAGCCCTTTAGTCAACCCAGCGGTTATTGAGGCGCCTTTTGCTCTTGATTCTTCGCATTACTACCTCAAACAAGAGGCGATATTTGGCGATAGTAAATCTTCTCAATGGAATATGATATTGAAATGAAATAAAGCAAAGCTTCTTCAAGTTGTCTTTGTCAGCTAACTATCAGACGACTTATATCTACTCATTTTATTTTTTTAAATGGAGGATAGACTTAAAACATTTCCTGTGATAGCCCGGTCCTGTCAATTGAGATTCTCGAGCCAATAATGATATCTTGCAAGTTGACTAGTCGGCACGATATTTATGGCCCATAGACTCGGATCACTTGGTCTGGCAGCTTTTGTCCTGCATAGCCTCGTGGTATGCCGATGTTACACCAGAAGGGAAGGGTTCTATCGATGTTGTCAATAGGCTAGTATGCGCCTTTGTGGCATTGCATGGTAGTTTCGGGAGAGGCGTTAATTATTCAAGCTATAGAAGGGAAGAATAACAAGTTCATGGAGGATGCAAAATATCCTCAAGATCTCAGATCAATGATTAAATCAACTCTATATGACAGGAAACTAGTGGTACAAACATCATGCATCTTCAGCGACACGGTCGCTGCAGGACCAAGCCCTACCATCTCATCTTTTAATATCCATCACGCTTTGTGCTGGGTTCTAGATCTGGGCGAGATACATGGCGTTAATCTTGCGGGCGCCGTCTCGTAAATCCGGATTTTGCATTTCGGACTATCTTCTCAAGTGAAATAATTATGTATCATTATTGAAGCATTAAGTAGACACATTTTAGGGGTTACAGTATCCGATTCTCGAAGGATGCAGCAACCCCATCTAATAAAACTCGATCCTTCTGATCCTGTGGGGTCACTCAAGCCACCAGTGTTGGGTCAAAGAGCGGAGCAAGCATGAAACGTCCCGATGGCGCTAGTGTTGTGGGTTAATGAAGGCGCATCCTGTAAAGACCTCAGCGCGTAAGGTGTGCGCTGCAGGGTCATCTTTGTCTATCTGGGTGATACTGTAGCAATCGCTTTATTCACCTTTGACCTGTTTAATTGATCCTTTGTTTCATTCATCTCCTCGCAAGGTGCAAGTCACAATGTTGGCCCCGGGGGCTTAAATCTCCTCGAACTTAATATTCCAAGGGCATAGATATATCCATTCGACTTTCTCCTTCACTGTTATTTATTTGTTAAGCATTTACCTATCTCTCGTTCATTCCAAAGTGATTCTCTCTTTCAAGGCTGGCCTTGCATTCGATCTTTTTTTCTAGAAGAAATTTCTAGACACTTTATTCGCTCCTTATACATTCTTTGAAACTATTTACATTCCTTTGCGGCAAACTTCATTTAAATATGCTACCAAAGGCCCTACTTGGCCTGGCCGGGCTGTTCACATCATTATCCATGGCTAGCCCAGTAGCCCAGGTCTCAGAGACCACATCCTCTGCTGCAGCTACTTCATCTAGTTCCAGTTTAGTATTTTGTCACTTCATGGTAAGCATGATCGCCCTTCCGGTGCTCGGAATCTAATATACAGAAATAATAAAGAAAGAGCTAAATTTTTCTTAAAATCACAGGTCGGAATTGTCAGCAACCGTGTCAGTTCTAGCGATTACGACGATGATATGAAGCGCGCCAAAGACCTTGGCATAGATGCCTTCGCTCTCAACATCGGCACGGATGACTTCACCGATACCCAACTCGGATACGCCTACGCATCTGCTGCTGAGAATGACATGAAGCTGTTCCTATCCTTCGACTTCAGCGCATGGAGCACAAGTGACGGCGCATCTGTCGGCGCCAAAGTTAAGCAGTACGCTAACCAAACTGCTCAGCTGTTAGTAGACGGTGATGTTTTTGTCTCTTCGTTCATTGGAGACGGTGTCGATGTGGATTCCATCGTCTCTGCTGCAGGACAGGACCTTTTCTTTGCGCCGAATTTCGCGCCTGGTGATGGAGATTTTGGTAACATCCAGGGTGCACTTAATTGGATGGCTTGGCCTAACAATGGGGACAATAAGGCCCCAACGGCTGAAGCTAATCTTACTGTTTCGGATGGAGACACCACTTACATTGATGCTTTGGATGGGAAGGCTTATATTGCGCGTGAGTTTTTTGAAAGTGAATATTTGGCTGGATTTTATTGCTTACTAGTGATAGCTGCGTCTCCGTGGTTCTTTACCCATTACGGAACAGAGGTTTCCTACAGTAAGAACTGGGTTTTCCCGTCTGATTTACTCTGGCAGCAACGATGGGAAGAGATTCTGGCTTTGAAGCCTCGTTTTGTGGAAATTATTACCTGGAACGACTATGGAGAGTCCCATTATATTGGACCATTGAGCTCCCCTCATACAGATGATGGAGCGTCCAAGTGGGCAATGGACATGTAAGTGATTGAATGAATCTACTTAAGCCCGATCGAGAACTAAAAGAAATATAGGCCCCATGACGGATGGGCAGAAATGGCCAAGCCCTACATCGCCGCCTACAAGGCCGGCAGCACTGATGTGCTCCCCTACATCACCGATGAACAGCTAGTATACTGGTATCGGCCTACACCCCGGGACGTCGACTGCGACTCAACCGACACCACAATGACCGGATCCGCCAACAACGCCAGTGGCAACTTTTTCCGCGGCAAGCCTAATGGGTGGGAGTCGATGCAAGATGAGGTCTTTGTCGTTTCGTTGCTTAAGACTGCTGCGGAGGTCCAAGTGCAGTCTGGTGATCAGTCGCAGACTTTCCAAGCGCCGGCAGGAGTTAGTGCATTTTCAGTGCCTATGGGGGTGGGTCAGCAGAAGTTCACCGCAACACGGAGTGGCACTACTGTGTTTTCGGCGACTAGTTTGAAGGATATTGTGGATGAGTGTATTTGTGGGATCTACAACTTTAACGCCTATGTAGGCACAGTCCCGGCGCCAACCACGATTAGCCAGCTGCAGCCGGATGGGTTGTCTATGTTGACGTTGGGACTGCAGGTTGCGTGTCCGACCAATACTCTGAGTGCTGGAGCAGCGAGCGCTACTAGTGCTTAGAAGTAACACTATTACTTGTTTCAAAGCTGTGGAAATGAAAGTGAATGAGTGCGCCAGTGTTGAGGTACTTTGAATTTTGGGTATCTACGGGTGTGCTCGGACAATCAGCGATAGGGTTTAGGGGGAACTCGGTGCCTTACACTCCTAGGCTCCACGGGTCGTTTAACTAGTTAACTACCTTGTACATCAGAGCAGTAATTATTGTCTCAATATTATCATCGTATATACCCTTTCTCAAACAATAACAACTTGAATATGAGATAATCTAAATCCTTCTCAATTCCATTAACCAATATTACGCGTCTTCTTATCTTCTCCAACTCCGCACTTATCTAGAACCTTGTATTCTTGCACACCGACTCTCTGTACCCGAGGGTATGACAAGTGCGTGCTTGGACTTCCTCCTTAGCCATATGCGCCTTTTTTCCTGATTGATCTTCTTATGCGTTGTTTTTCTTCTTTTTGGCCCTTTCCCGCTGAAACTACTATATTATGTCCCGATTGCTGCCCTCGGATCGAATGGAACTCTTTTCAGGCTCCGGCCAAGTCCATGGCTTGATCAGCAGGACGACAATACATCTTCAAAAACAGAACTATTAATGCATTGTAAATTCCGCTTCTTATTAACCTTATTGCATTGAACTCACCTCATCTTCAATTCTTCATAATATCTCCGGTCAAAAAGGAATTCTTCAGCAATGGCCCGCACCAAACAAGGTGTATTTTCCTGGGAGGACGTGCTCGCCCAACGATACCAGAGTAAGTAATTCTCACCCTATACTTCCGAGGTTCTGCATATGTATTCAGTGGAGGGGCTGGAATTGGATTGGATTGGAGAAATGCAAAGCTCGAGAGGGGCACTGAGAGGCGGGGGTATAATGGCATCATTATAACTCCCCTGCATCCATTGTTCGCGACAAAAGAGGGAAATAGGCTAATATGGTACTTCTTCGGGCACACGACAGGCAATAAGCCCCCACCTCTCCAAGAACCTCGCCACCAAATCCTCACAGCCACCCAACCCCAGCTCCAATCCGGCTTGTTATCGCGTTTATTCCCGGAACTCCGCCTGATAATCTGGGAATACGTCCTGGGTGGACGACGACTCCACATAATCCAGCGCGCTCAGCAACGACTTGGACACATTGTATGTCCGCACAGCGCGTCCTCATTACCCTCACAAGATAAAAACTTGTTATATCGGGCAAGCAATTCGTCATGCGAGATATGTCTTGGGACCGGAATACCCCAGCCCATAAAAGATGCCGATCTCCACGGCAGTGGAGAGAAGCTTCTAAGTCTTGCGCTGACAAGTCGGCAAATGTATAAATCCTACCTTCACTTTCGCCTCTACATCCACGTCCATTTCCCCTTTCATCTGTGTTTTGATTTTGCGAATTGGGTTAATCCCAAGCAGCAATTTACCTGTTCACATATTCTCGGTTGATTACGGGATAGCTAACTTGATTCCTGTACAGATACCAGGAGTCTATCCACCTCCTCTATACCCTCAATACCTTCGAGTTCAGTAATCCCTGGACCTTACCATATCTGCATCCTACGATCCCTGAAGAAAATTGGGACTGCATACATAACATCGAATTGCGCTGGTCATTCCCCGGTCACTGGCTACCATGCAAAGACCCCGTGCGAACGGTATACGTCGCTGCAGGCCGGGCTGAATGGCTCGAGACTTGTAATGCACTGAAAACTCTTCCGAAGCTGCGATCTTTTGTGCTCATACTGAGTAATCAATGGTACAGCGAGCCAAAGGAAAAACTTCATCTATTCCTTGCACCTTTGCGTGGTCTACTTGTCCAGCGGTCGCGAAGGCTACCACTTCGAAGTGTGAATAAATTCAGCGAAGACAAGCGAGGTTCTCCGGGTTCTGGTTTCCGATCTGCATCTACATCTACAGCTTCATCGCCATCCATGTTTCCATCTGCTGGGTCTGTATCTGGATCTGGAACAAGTTCAGATGAAGAGTCAGGCTCTCTGAGTTCAAGCCCTGCGTCTGGCTCCAGGTTTCCTTTACGGGGAGATACAGACATGCGCTCATATTTCTACTCTTGTTCTGCGAGGGATGCATCATCGTCACGAGCTTCAGTGCCCGTGGATATCGAGTCGGCAGGTTGGGAATTGCACTTGCAGGCCCTGCCGTACTATACGCATGAGCTGGGTTGGGTGGGTGATGATCTTCGGCGGAGAGGGATCGACTGTTACATCTCGATGATGTGAGGAGGGGTCGGGATGCAGTTATGTAGTATGTCGTGATTTACATACTCCTCAGCTGGCTGGATTTGTATGTATGTATCTATGTATGTAATAGTGCATACACGTTGATATGAATGCCCCTAATGTGGATACTTTATGACGGCTGGCAAATGCACGAGTCAGTGAAGAGAAGAAGCCATGGATGGATGATCTGCCATCCGGTTTTTGGGATGTCTCAGCTTATCTGATCTTGGCATCTCCTAGATACCGCGGGTGCAGCGATGTGCATACAAATGACTGATCGGAGTATGTCAGTATCTCCGCTACAATGCATTCTACTATAGTCTCCAGTACAGCCATGGATGATTGTAGAAGCAATGCAATGCCATGGCATATGTACGTCAGTTATCTACATGCAGTATATGTATGGGTCCAGGTAAAAATGAAAGACAGAGATATGTAGATCACCCCTATCTTTAAGACCATCAATCATTGATAAAGAAAAGAACTCCGGAATATTGTACAGATACACGTGCACACAAGAATGAAAACATTCAAATGGATCCCATTGTGTTTACATCATAACATTCTCCCTCGCATAAAGACAGGGTTATGCTTACTTATGCTTAATCCAACCCAGAGCCCCTTTATCGCCCACTACATAGATAAGTCAAGACATGTAATAAACATCATACTACAAAAACTCAATTCTCACGAATACTACCTCAGCGCGTGCACACGCGTCCAATACCCCTATTCCTCTCGGGAGCCCTAGACCCGTTGTCCGAGACCCTGGACCCACACTCTCTCACCCGGGATCCATGGAACAAGTCTAAAAATAATCGACTCCAGAATAGGCCCGTGCTTCGCCTTACAAGGTCTAGTCCAGGGCTGAAGATGAAACAAAGCGACAAGGAGATATTAAAAAGACTGATGATGTATTTTTGATTTTGTTTTGTGTAGTGGGATGGATACATTTGCTTAGAAAGGCTGAGGGCCCGGGATGGATTGTACAGTAGAGCTTCAGGGTCTAGGTGCCTGATTCTGCAATGTAGGCTCGGTGTTGTCGCCAGCCGGCTCCACTTGATGAGCCCATCGGGTCCACCGGCAGGGTGTGGCAGACGCTAAGGGTCTCATCGCGGGGGAGCACTGCACATCCTAATCAAACGGGTATTTTTGAGTAATTTACATATTGTGTTTTAGCGCTGGGGTCGGAGGTTTGTTTGTTTCCGGGTTAGGGATGGGTACGAGGATTTCCGTATACGAGAGGCTAGGGAGGGAGTGGAGATTAAGTTTGTTACTGCTACTGTCTACATAGTGAAAAGAAAATTGTATCCAAAAGCGATTACTATGTGGTATTGAAAAGTGTTGAAGTGAAGGTAAATATAGAAATGCAAAATGGGAAGAAATTCCCAAAGGCTTAGAGAGATGATACTCTCGGACAAATAATGGTAAGGAAAAGAGGATATTGGGTGAAACCGTGTCTCTCGTACAAACGTGTGCCACGAAGGCAGGATATCCCAAATTAAAAGGAAAGATGAAATCGTCACCACTGGCGCCGTGCAAAACCATGCCCAACCCGAATGCCACGATGCAAAACAAAAATGAAATAAAAAAGATATAAGGAAAGAGGGATTAAACCCATAGATAGAGAAAGGCTTATTAAAAGGCGACAAATCAGAGAAAACTCCGAGCCATAATATCCGAAGATTTTGTAGAGATAATGAGATGAAAGTTGATCGAAAGTTGATCGCGAGAGAAAGACGTAAGTCGGTCGTAGGGAAAGGGTATGTTGTGATCATGTACGATCGGCGTGAGCAAGGTACTCAGAGCCGCCAGTCATTGCTTGGGTGCGGAGTGAGCAAAGCTCGCGGGTTCCAATCAAGGGACAGCGGTCGCGCTCTAGTATCTAACCAGAGAGAGGGGTAACCATCCAAGCCACTAGTCGAGAGATTGCTGCGATGTGGGTAGATTATAAGGTTGGTGACCCCGGTGCGATGCGCCCTCCAGTCGGAGATGAGGTGAAAGGGGTGTGAGTCCGTTCGATAATAGTCGAAGGCGCCCGGCCGGACCTCTCGTGCAGTTAAGCAGAGAAGCTATCGGCGAATCGGGTCGCTCAGGTAGTCGACACATTAAGGGAGTTCAAGGAGAATATCTTCAAAAACCCAAGGAGAGAAAGAAAAGAGAAGTCCATCAGACAATTCAAAGGGGCCGAGCTTTTACCGTCCGCCACCCGACCGATCGGGTCCAGCGTTTCCATGGCCTCTTGCCGCAAGCCACTCAGTATTGGCCTCCTGTCGTGCATCGGCATGCTTCTGCTCATGGGCGCGGGCAGTCATGCTGCGTGGAAGGAGGTTGTTGATTTCAGCTGCAAGAGCGGAGGCAGTGTAGGCTCTGAGCTCGCGCTCCTCGCGTTCATCCTCCTTGATCAGTCGAGCACGGTCGGTCTTGGACATATTCTCTCGGCGCTTTCGTCGGATCTCGTGGATGGTCCATAAGAGAACTTCCTCGGGGGCGCGAGTGCGTGGGCTGCCGTTTTTGGAGAAGTTGCGGACGTAGCGACGGGTCACATCGGTCGCACCATCGATGGAGAAGGCAACACAGTAAGAGATCTTCTTGCCCCATCCTTCAGCGTAAATACGGGGGTTGTCCCAAGCTCCTTCGCAAGCATCCACATGCACCCATCGTCGTTGATGCTCGGAGTATACTTCAGTCCAGACGTGGTCCTCTGAGTTCCACACCCAACGGACTCTAGCCCCGACCGCGCGACAGAGCATACTAAAACAGTTGGCCCATTCACCAACCCGACCGCGGCGGGTCTGCAGCAATTGCCAAACATCCGAGTATCGTGGGAATCGTTCGTATGTACCACAGCTGACCTCGGAACAGCGGTAAAGTTCCACTCGGGCGGCTCCCCGGGCGGTTTCGTCTGGGCTAGGAGGGGTCATTCCCTGTGCGATCGAGGGCATGTGACATCGCGAGCATGGTGGGTTATAGACGAATTGGAAGAAAGAAGACTTGAACCATCTGCGAATCAAGGGATGTTAGTGGCAAAGATAAAGGTGGGTCGATAGGGGTGGTCTAGAGTTCCAAAGACGAACCTCAACAATGCTCGAATCACACAATCCTGGTAGCCCCATTCCGGCTTTCCACCGACACTGGCAGCCTTGGCCTGCATAATCTGGCTCTCGTCCTCGGCCTCGGAGTAAAGTCGATCGAGCGGGATGATTGTCAGAGCCTCGTCAAGAAGACCGGGGTTTTCGTATTTGGTAGGTGTAACCGATAATCCATTGAGCAAATTAAAGAATTTTGTAGAAGGCGCATCCTGGGGTGGTGATGGCATAATGGGGAGGCCACGGAGAGCGGGTGACTTTGGGGTCGATTGTGGTTGAGAAGACGGGCGCGGAGAAGCGCCGAAGGGAGGAGGCGGCGGTGGTGCTCGAGAAGGTGGCGGAATACTAGGACAAGCAATGGGAGCTGGAGACTGGGATCCGGAACGTGAATCTTGAAGCTGATTAAATCGTTTAGTGCGCATTAACTGTTCGAAATCCCGGCTTAGTGTCGAAGCATCGTAGTTATTTGAAGCAGGCTGAGATGTCGTCCGCTGCTGGTTGTGTCTGCCGTCCGCCATGGTGAGTATCTAGTATGGTCGAAAGTCACCGGCGGCAGAGTCGGCGAGGAAGCTGTTACTCCAGGGTGAGACGGAGGAGACAGAAGGACCCTAGAGGAGGGCGTGGTCGTTTCTTTTTTAGTTTCGAAAGATATGGGACAAGAGAGAGTATATGTTTAGGTAAAAAGGGAGAGAAGAGAGAGAGAGAGAGAGAATCCAGTCGTAGTGTCCGGGGTGGAGAGTGAGAAAGGGCTTACGAACCAGATACCGCGGTATTACAGGCGTCGTCAGCGTCTCGCCCCAATCATGGGCCCCGCGTCCCAAGCCGCGCGTGCGTAACGGGAAAAAAGCCAAGAAAAGGACCCTTTTTCTCTGTAATTTCATGTATTTTCCCTTGCACACGTACTCTCGCTGGACTTGGCAGTTTGCAACGCACGGGGTTTTCCTCATGACCTCTAGGGCTCTTCCTCTTACGCACTCGATAATTTATTTCCCTTCATCTTTTACTCATGTATGACTATGAATACAATCTTGGATAAACATTTTTTATTATTTTACAATCCTTTGAACATTTATTTGCTTCCCTCTTTCATTTCATTTAATCCAACTTCTACTATATCTATTATCCCAACCCCTCTTTAAGACCGATATCCAATACACATACTGTATGCATGAACTCTACAAAGAGATAACGTCAACATGAGAGCATAAGAGTATGAGGTGGCTTGGGTGAAGATCTCGAACGATCGTCCCGTGTCTCGACTTGTTCAGGTCCCTTCAAGCAGTGGACTACGCGTTCAAAGCCTCTCCAATTTCTTTTTCTCGCTAGATGGGGCAGCGCCAGTACTGGTGGCGGAGACGCGCAAGCGTCCGTCTTGGCATTTAATACGATCGGGCTAGAGCCTCGTTCGGTCTCCACCGCACTAAGCCAAAAATGAAGGCCATCATCCTAAGGTTCATGACATACTGGACTCCATGTCTTTTTTCACAGTCCTAATGCTGACAACGTCGTGCACTGAGTGGACTTGGGTGGACCCTGCGACTTAAGGGGGCTTGGCATCGTCGTACTCCAGAATACTCCTGGGCTGGTATGGCCCAATGTTCCTGTCGATCGGGGATGCAACGCTCTGTTCTTCGACCATTTATGCAGTAGGCTGGTAAAAATAAAAAAAAAATAAAAAAAATTGTTTCGTTCCATAGGGCTTCTTAGATCATCATGAAGCATGTTGCGGTTTGAGATCTCTGGGAATTCCGATCGACTATACTTTTTTTATCTTGTGTTTGATACATTGTTTGCCTGCAGGCAACTCAGTTTCCACCTTTCCTTAACTTGTAATCCACTGGTAAATTTAGTCTCCAATCATTGAACCGGGAAATTGTCCGATCACTGGACCCTGAGCTCGTCGCAAGCCTGCGCTTCGTTCCGACAATCCATATCCACCGACACGTCTACAATGGTTGGAGTAAGGTTGACTTTTTTCCTTTTTTTTTTCTCTCCTTCTCGCATCATTGTACAGTACTGTAGGCACTGTCGACTCCAATTCTACATGCTATTCGCAATAGATAAACCCGCACTCAAATTCGGGGTTTTAATCTATTCCCCCTATCTCCGACATCAATGGTCTGCTTTGATGTTAACTAGCCCCTATGAAAGAATCTACGTGTCTATACATAGAAATATTTGAAAATAAAAAATAAAAATAAAAAACAACCACTCCGTATAACCATGTGTACTCCGTACAAGCTCCATTATAATCCTATCACCGCTCTTCGCCCCACGCCCCTAATACTGAGCTCCTTCTTTCTGACTCAAGCGGTAATCCACTGGTGTTTCAGCTGTTTCATGCTTAACCCTAGCCCCCATAGCCTCATCAACATAGCCCAGCTTGGCTTCAACCCGTTCAAAAATCGTAGTATTTAGAGTACGCATGATCCAGGTTCCATTTCAATGAATCTTTTTCTCCCCTTATACAGCCCCGTAAAACTGGAGAACCCGTTGAATCACACATCCTAGTCGGGATGGCGTCAGGCCCGACCGAGCTGACGCAAAGCATTCGGTTCTGCCCAACATAAACTCGCACAGAATACAATATTGTATCCTCCTGAATACTACATTAATTTAGGTGACGATAGCCATAGACAAAGTCCACGTAGTCCTCTCTGGGCAAAGCTTGGAACCCATTGGCAATTCAACAGGAAGCAAGGAATACCAACCACTTTGTCTCCTTGGTCCTTGGTATTGACGCTGTGAGGGGCCGTATATGGGGAAAGCTATGCGAAGCCTTCTTGGCGGGAAAAGTCAAATCCGTAAGGACTTTGTTGCCGACGAGCCAATTCCTAGTCCTCCTCCCCACGCCAAGATCCCGTCTCTGCATAGAAAAAAACGCCTGGACCAGATTCAATGTAACTAGGTTCACTGCTTTTTTCTAAGAATGTGACGTACAACCCGGCCTCTATCTTTAATATGTTTCCCATTTGTCTAAATGTAAACGCCTTCAACCAAAATACCCAAGATAATGTGCGCTTGGCATGGCTTTCCGTGACTAATTCGGTATCAACCCAAACCTTTAAAACGAGGTGTCTATACCGTTGATCGCATAGTATGGGGACTCCTTGAGCTTGGCACCTCCATCTTTGATCTTCATATCATCAGCCAAGGACAAAAGACACGCAACGCAGCGGAGGTTCACGAAGAAAAGTTCCCGTCAGGACTTGTGATCAACAAGAGATCATCGTCGCTGTTAACACGTATCCCGAGGTCGTCGTCGTCAAGTTCCCAACTCTACGGAGTATGATGCTATCCAACCGGGAAACTAGTGCACTGACCATGCAGAATTTTACTTGTCTTCTATCCAATTCAAGAGAGATAGGAATAAAAAAAGAAAAAAAGTATATAAAAAAAGAAAAAACTGGGCGAGTCATGCGATCCACACTATTGTTCGCGCTACCGCGCATCCGCGTCACCATCGGCTTGACCCGTCACTTACGTGCACCGCCATTATGACAGAGCTTTTTATCCGGCGAAACGAATGGGTCATTTCCAAAGCCTTATTGTCGCTTACCATTCTAGGAATGGTATTTTTCCTATTCCACGCGTTGGTGAGTTAGCGCGCTGATGTACGTCGCTGAAACTTCGATGGATTTATCACAGCGGGTCTATACAGCCCTGTCGATGCTGGGGCCAGTGGATAACTGACTGCTGGCCATTGGCTCGGTGCTTAGTACGGAGTACTCCGTACACAATGCTCTGATAGCTAGGTATTAGCCGACCGTGCTTCCGTCATTGGTGGATGCCGTATCTTACCAATGGTGTAAAGACTCGAAAATAAAAGAACTTTCTGTATGATTAACTAGAAGTATCGAAGATGAGAAAAGAGAAAGAAGGGAGGAAGGCTCCCACGCGTATAGAAGAACGGACGGGTTGTGGATCATGTGTTCCTGTTATATGACCCCGCAACCTTGCTCAATCAACTCGACATCTACCGGTTCATTACAGCATCCTATCTTTCTATCGAAAACAATTGCTTAAGAATTTTACGTTCTTCAAAGAACAAGCGGGAGAGATTTTTCAGCTATTAGTATTTATTTTTGAGGATAGTAAGTACATAAACAACTTAGAAAATATACTATGAGACTACATAGTCTAGAATATAAAGATTTTGATGTGCAATATTGACTTTAAAAGTTTCCTAGAGCGGAACTTATCGATAGAATAAAATGTCTTTCGTTCAATGTAGGATCAAAGGTGAGTTCATATAAGAATATAATGCAATCCCTACACCGTAGGATCTAGTAGAGGTTGTAAAAAGGGATATATAGGGGACATTCTTTGGTTCGCAAGCTGGTGAATGACTGCGGCGAAAATCGTTATAGGAAAGTAATAGGGACTCTTATATACTCTAATATAGATAGGCGACGAATTCACATCGCAGATAATGCATTCTACTATAACGCTCGACAAGATCTTCATCTGCTCTCTTCTGATAAATTCCATACTATTTCCAAGAGGAAGCCAGCCACTGGGCCCGCTTACTGGTTTTCATATATCGATGGTCCGAAAAGTATAAAATAAAAAGATTTTTTCGGTATTGTCTACATTCTATGAATCTAGTGAGGATTGATTTTATTGGCTTATCAGTTTGCTGTGGGAGCGGGTCTCTGCAGTGGCTTCTATTGGATGAAAGTACAGCATCATCCTGCGGAGCCAGCAGTGACCTAGTCTGGTGGAGTAGGCTCCCCTATATAGCACCATGGAAGTCCGTTTCTCTCATTTCCTACATTCGAATAGAAGATATTTCAGCATCAGAGCATATTATTCGATCCCAGCTTCAAAATGCCGCTCGAGTATCATAGACAAGCCTTTCGTGTTATAAGGTTAATTTCGTATCACTAACGATTACGAAGAATCTTACAATCAGGTGTCATCCATGTCCTCGTTAGGAAATCGAGAAGACGGTTCTCGATTCATAGAGCTTTAGAAAGCCCCTTCCCGGACAGTGCCCTTCAGCCGTCTATACTTCAAAATATTAATAAAGTTATCTTTGCTCGTTGCTGTAAATTCGTATACTCTGGCGATTACCTTATCTCACCCTCTACGAACCCGTCGGGAAGTCATGCTATACAGTCTCATTCTAAAGAGATACTCTCTCAGCATGATTTGAGACGATAGGATCCTTCTAATCTAATTCGAAACACCTTCCATCCAACTATACTTCCTCATATATATATATACACCTGGTGGAACACCTTGACCAAGCTCTACGATCGGAAGTCGCAGAAGTCCCGATTATTGATCATCAGCATAGCTGTACGAATGTGATTTTGAGCCACGCCGAGATTCATAATTTCGCCTATAAAACAGGTTGGACCTCACTATGTGCCTTGTCGTTATATCGGCTGATTCAATGTCTCGATAATTTTAAACTATTCCACGAACGAAAAGGGGAAATTGTGGAACTTCTGCGAGTTTGCTTCGAGTAAAGTGAGCTTTCAAGGGACCTGCAAAAGGTGCTGCAAGACTACGTAGTTTGAAATGTGGAGAATCTTATGCAAGAAAATGAGTTCTCAAAACTATTGGAAAGAGTTCCTTGTTTAGAAAAGGCAGTCTTTCGTTAGAGGTGGAAATAATATTGACCACTTCCAAAGTTTCCTGGTTTCGTCCTCTGGGAAAACGGTTCAGAGGGTCTTGATTAGCTATGTACCGCTTTTTGCTCCCTGAGTAGACCTAAGCACGCCCCTGAGCGGTCTGGTCTGCTCACGGAGCAGAACCTGGGCGTCGGGATCAGTAAGTTGCGGCCTCACGTTGCAGGGTCCGTAACACATTTATCTTTTCTAAATGCAAAGTGGCTGTGAGTATTTATGTGTCAGCAATTCCTTTACCTTCACAAAGTAAAGTATCTGCTCTCCACATTCTGTAGACTCAATCTAGAATAGCTAGCGTGTCTCACCACGTTGTTCAGAAATACACTAAACCCAGAAGAACATAAATGGAAAGATCAAAATAAAAAGTGAACAAGTCCATTTTTTCAGCTGTAACCGCGTACTAATGGTCTTACGCCCTCTTAGTCTCGTATTTCGGCTTCCTTAATGGCTTGGAAGAGCGTTTGTAAAAGGATATCCACGTCCTCCATTCCTATACTGATTCTCACCAGATGGCTTGGAACGCCGAGCTCTTCTTGACGAGGCTGTTTGTCTTTTGTTGCCAATTGAGCGTAGGCAATCAAAATACTAAAGGTCATCCCAAAACTGGGACCTTTGAATATATTCACTCCGTCATAGAACCGAATGGCTGTATCATTGTCTCGGAAGACAATGCTCAGCAAATGACCATAGCCACCATCGCGGCGTCGAATACGGTCATAATGATTTTTTGTGATTAAAGACGGGTAGTACACTCTTTCCACAGCAGGATGTGAGGCCAGTTTAGCTGCGACTATTTCAGCGTTGCTATTCGTAGCCTGCAGACGGTGTAGAAAGTCCTGGGAGTTACTGTAGAGAACAGCAACGTCACCAGGGAAGAACGTTTCTTCATAGGAGACCGTCAACTGGTAATGCAGTCTATCATGGTGGGGTGACTGTGGATTGACAACAACACTGCAGACAAAGTCAGCTTGTTATCCACCATAATGAAACAACTGTAACTTACCTGCCCCCCATCACATCGCAGTATCCACTGTACATTTTTGTCAAGCTAGTCATAAGGACATCCACGTAAGGCAGGACATCCACATTTGCAAATGTGCCCACGGTATCGTCAACAAGAACAAGGAAATGGTATTCATCTGCTAGGCGGCGAAGGCGTGGCATATCGGGCGTGACAAGCATCGGGTTTGAGGGTACGTCGATCCAAAGAGCGGTGATCTGCTCCCCGGCTTTCAGCGAGGCTTCAAGGTGATTGACATCTTCGTCTCCACCATCTTTGTAGATAGTAATATCTGGCCAGCGATGCTCCAAAACCTTGATAGTTTCCTTGTACAGCAACCTATTGCTTTTGTTAGAGAGGCAACTTCCCCGTCCCAGCGTGACACGTACCCAAAAGCGACAACGCCTGAGTTGATTCCCAGACTACTCACGGTCCGCCCAACTGCATTAATGGCGGACATTCCTGAGGGATAGAGAAATACGTCTGTCGGAGAGACTGGGACTTGGCCGTGTTTCTCTGACAGGAGGAGCACTGCAATATCCTGCTTGATACAGTCCCGCTCTAAAATTCCAGAGGTCTGTAACTTTGGAATCTCCTCGCCCTTGACAGTCAGTTTTTTGACTGGAGAAGTGCAAAATGCGGCGTTCGATGAATTAGACTGCAAATAGTCAAGCCATCCGAGGCAGAATTCGGCATGCCGAGTTGAAATACCGTCTCCAGAGTCGGTCCAATAAGTGAGAGCTGTTCTAAAATGCTCAACAGGATAAACTATAGTATAGAATTCCAACCACGAAGCTTCAAGGGAACTCTTCTCGGGGTGGGAAAATTGCACCGATGTTACCGTGCCATCCAGGGTGCCCGCTTCTTGTAAAGCCTTCAAGCAGCGAACGGCGCTAGGCAGCGAGGGAAGAACCAGACATGCCACTCCCTCAAATGCAGCAAGGCCAAGGCGTTTTGAAATAGCTTCACTTAATCCCCGGATCTCTGAATTGATGTAAAACCTGGTATTTGTTAGGAATGCTGCTGAAGTCAAGGCACTGCTGCAGTCTCACCGTGGGTATCCAGCTTTAAGTCGTGAGATGAGCCAATCTTCACCAGCACCCAGTGCACCAACAGATTCCCACGTTGGCAAAGAAGAACTGACTACCTATAATTATATCAATGAGAGCCTTCTTGATTCAGATGTCAAAAATTAACTCACATGTTGTCTGTCTGGTGGAATCGGTTCACCAACCTGCAGAGATTGCGGCAGAGAAGGTGTGGCATTCATAGTTAAGTGCGAAAGACAATGACAAAGGTTACGTTGTATTGATGTGGAAACAGCAGTTTGAATGAAGACGAAAGACTTGTCAATAACCAGGGTGGGTTGATATTCAATTTAAGTGGGCAATGCGACAAGCTACGTCTCCAGTTCGCGATCAAGATCCACCAGGAGCTAGAATAACACAATTGGTAATTCGGGATCGCCCATGCACCTATTATGGATGCTAAATCAATAATTTTACAATTTGGGGTTGTAAATCACACGTATTTGTCCCCTTGAGAGTATTTGGGGCGAATTTGGATTAAACCAAAGGCGACGCATCGATTCAAGGATGTTTCACAGCATCTAAAACATGCATATGAAGTGTACTAGCGCGATATGAATATCGAATTCGGAATAAAGGAACAACATTCCCTAGCTGAGTCTCGTATTCATGCACCCCAGGAAAAGCAACGTTCTGCCGTCTTCAGCCAGGCAGGTTTCACCGTAAATGATCGTCCGAAGGGGATGGATGCTGTTCGGAATTCGCCTATGTCTCATCATAAGAAATTATATCGTCATAATATCTGTCAAAATTATTTTCACCGATTTGGATAGCGAAGGATACATACATAGAGTCACATAAAACGTGAAGGCCCAATGGCAAGTTCCATGTACACCCAAGTTACTGTTTCTTTGCCTCTCCTCAAGCATGTTCGATTCAACCAACTTTCTCATTTCCATTGTCGGTCTCACAGCCGTCGGGAAAACCAAGCTGAGCGTTTCTATCGCCAAGTCCCTCAACAGTGAAGTGATATCGGAAGATAGCCTTCAGTGCTACAAGCCCGGGAGCATTGTGACTGCCAAAGAGCGGGCCACATCATATGGTGGACTATCTTGAAGCCGACGAAGAACCGCATGATTTCACAAAGGGAGCTATCAAGATCATCAGAAGCCTGCACAGCCATGGCAAAGTGCCAGTACTAGCAGGAGGGTCCACGTCCTTCACAATTCCACTATTGGACGCCATTGTGGCAGGTGGGACCAAAATTTTTGTGGTCTTCTTGAGATCGCCCGCGCCAATCCACGAAAAGCGAATCAGCAGTCGAATCGATGACATGATCGACCGTGGTTTGCTAACCGAGCTTGAAGAGATGCGTTCGCTGGAGGCCCAGCACCTCGGCAACACGTCTGACTGGACTCGCGGTTTTTGGAAGACAATTGGTTATTCCGAGTTTTACCCTTACCTCATAAGCCCGGAACACCCAACTATAGAAAATTTCCATGCTTATGCCGATCACTCTCCCGATTCGTTTATAAGCCAAAGATCCACAAATAGCAAGCGCGCCGATCCGAAATTTCATCTCTTACCCTTCAGTCTAGCGTACCCCACATCCATCAGGGATGTAGGACGGCACATCATTTGGCGCTCGTTGTTTTGATTTCTCTTACTTAACGCTTTCAGCTCCTCGTGCACCTACTTTTGCCCTTGCATAATGAACAGCGCATAGCTTGATGGGTCTAATGTAGTTGGTAAGGGGTTATTTTGCATGTCTGAGCCGCTGAGCTGACAATATGAGCAGTACCAAATAGTTCACGCATTATCATTTACTTGCATGTGCATCGATTAAGATGGTTGCAATCCGGTAGGTTTGACAGGGAATTTTGACGTCACATTCCCTCTTTGGCCGGCAAGGGACTTCAGGGTGCCCTGCTATTCTTTGAAATTGTGTCGTCAGCTCGAACTAGCTGGGGCCAATGGGTTTTGTAGTATAACTACATGGAGGAGACCCGGGACGGGTATGTTTGTATGGTTTGACCCACTCTCGGATACAGACCAATCAGATGATTGGTCTGGAGAGTGGGCATCCGCCTACATGTACGTAGCATAGCTCTCTCTCTCTCTCTATCTTCTTCTCTTCTTCCCTTCTTCAACGTTGTTATTCATTGTTTTTGCATCTTTTCTCTATACCGGTAGAGACGTGTCACGTAAGCACCCTATCACAGCTAAGACTGCACCGGCATAACAAACGAAATGAAACACCTTCCAAAGATTTCTTTTCTCTAAAAAAAAAGAACCTTGCAAGAATACCAATAGAGCCTGGGAGAGAGAGAAATATATTATTACAGGTTACCTTTTAAGTGCTTCTACATACCAATGAGATTAATTCCGAGTCCCTTCAAATGTTTCAAGGCTGCGATGCTAATGAGAATCTGAAAGAAGGGTAAATGGGTGCTACATATATGTAGTGACATATAGGTAGTAGATTGATTAGCGCTAAAAACTTGAAATGTTAGAGTATGCACCTACTAGTAGGTACTTCTATAGCGGGCACTACCTGGGGGTGCTTATGCGAAACAAACAACCAATCAATCATCTTTGCCACTCGGAAAAATTGTCTAGTGGACGGTACCGGCATTATGTCTATAAAGAGCAGGTGACGTGCTACTAGGAAGCCTGGATAATCAATGTAATGCAGAAAAGTTTATATGTTGTCCCGGTATATACCCGAGCATAAAGATCTATCCGGGACTGAGTAGGTATGAGGCATTTCCGAGAATACTTGTGCCTGAAAGCCCGACCAAGGGGATTCATGAGGCCATATGCAAGTCATGCCGAAGTGACAAGGGTCTAGAATATGTGCCCAGCTAAAACGGCTCTAGAGCGCACCGGTCAGGCATTCCGGGCTAGGTAGGATACTCACGGAGATATTATTATTACCCCTTGACCACTAGAAACCCGATCCAACCCGACCATCGTCAAAGCGACTCTACAATATCACATTCAGATTTCGGGATAGAATCGGACGACAGAAGTCCGGAAACTGCGTGCGACCGTTAGAGGGTATAACAGGGTGAGGTATATCCACCTTGTATGGTGTCGGGCAGCCAAAGCGGAGAGAAGTCTATAAAAGCCTCGTGCCGATATACAACACTCAGGCCCAGCCCTTACCCCAAACTGAACCTTGGAATCTCTCCTAACCCCTCAGCTGACATTGCGCAGCTCACTTTATTACTTCGTTCCATCTCGCTCTACCCTCCTATTTATATGCAGGATGTATCCTGTTTTATAATCGTCTTCATTTGTCAGTTGCGCTACCATTTCCGAGATGACGGTGTTTATCGCATCCCTGTAAGTCTCCGGCTTCCGCGGGGCCCCGCAATATCGAGACTAAATATCTCAATCTAGATTCCTTCCGTACACCATTGACTTTAAGTCGACGGGCTTGAAGAGTTCAAGTACTCGCCGTCGCAAGTCTTCTCCCAGCTACTCTGCCGTTGATGGGTCCGGGCCATTGCCCATCGTTGGACGACTGGCTGGTGTCCGCAAGACTCGGCAAAGGTCCTCAAGCTTTGAATTGACACCCGGAGCAACCACTGAGAATGAAAAGATTTTCAAAGCCTATGCTTCGCACTCCGCGGGCGAGATCCCGATTGCTGAGGAACCTAACGGTCCTGGCCCTAATGAACCACGTGCGGTACCCTGGGGTCAGAGTCGCAAGTTCAATCAGCCTCGTTCCAAGGCCACAACTCATCCTGAGCCATCTATTGTCAGTCGCCCGGGCTCACGACAAGGATCGAAAGAGTCGGCTTTTCTGACTGGCGGGATTAGTCTTCCTGCCGTACCAACAGAATTAGGCAGCCCTCGTGTACTCCTCTCGCCCGAGGATTGGGTTGTCAAGGCAGCAGAGCAAGGCCATGGCGGTCTTCAGAACGCGATTCTTGCCGCTGAAGAAGCAGGTATCCTTGAAAATAAGATGTGGGTGGGGACGCCAGGGATGCCCACCGACTCTTTGACAGATATGACTCGGAGCCTCATTGATGAGACTCTTAGGGACGAGTACGAGTCCTTGACTGTTTTTGTAGGCGACAGTGAGTTTGAAGGTCATTATGCACATTTCTGTCGCTCTGTGCTCTGGCCCGCGCTTCATTATCAGATGCAAGAGACCCCTCGTCATACCGACTATGATGACTACTCTTGGAAACAGTATTTGAAAGTGAATGAAGCCTTCGCCACTACCATTGCAAATCACTGGCGCCCGGGTGATACCATCTGGGCTCATGACTACCATCTTCTTGCCCTACCTGCTCTACTGAGGAAGAAACTGCCACGCGCCAGAATAGGATTCTTCCTACACTCGGCCTTCCCTTCATCGGAGGTCTTTCGTTGCTTGAATTCACGAGATGCATTACTGGATGGTCTCCTCGGCGCAGACTTGATCGGTTTCCAGACAGAAGAGTACTGCTATCACTTTATTCATTCATGCAGTCGGCTTCGAAGATTGCAAGTGTCCGTCGACGGTGTACAAGTCAACGATCGGTTTGTGCACGTTAAGAACTACCCGCTGGGGATCGACTATCAGTCTCTCAATGTGTTACGCCAATCTGTCGAAGTCAGAGATTGGATCTCGGATATTGGTGAAAGGTACAAGGGGAAACACTTGATCGTGGCTCGGGACCGTCTTGATGCGCCTGGTGGTATCAAGCAGAAGCTCTTAGCATATGAGCTCTTTCTGGAAAGTTATCCCAAATGGAGAGATAATGTAAGTGCTACCTCCATTCACAATATGGGAAGTCAAGGTGAAGTATCTGTTAAACATTGATACAGGTGGTTCTTGTTCAGGTCGCATCTTCGGCATCAGAGATTCCAGAGCTCGAAGCACAAGTCTCCAAAGTGGCAATGAGAATCAACTCCGTATACTCAAACCTGACACATTCTCCGTTGGTTCTCTTGAAACAAGACATCAGTTATTCTCAGTTGCTTGCACTTTTGAGTGTATCAGAGATATACATGGCCACGAATCTCCGTGAGGGAATGAATCTTACCAGCCACGACTTCATTCACTGTCAAGACGGCCAGCTCGTCTCCCAGAGACACGGATCCCTCATATTGAGCGAATTTACCGGCAGTGCCTCCATTTTTCACGGCCATGAGCTCATCGTAAACCCCTGGGATTACAAACAGTGCGCCGATGCTATGAATACCGCGCTCGAGATGTCTCCAGAACGAAAGCGGCACAATTGGGAGTTCCTCTTGAATCGCAAATCCCCATACACAGCAACTGCATGGTACACATTTTTACAAAATGCACTTACCGAAGCCCGTAGCATGCAACCGTCCCGCGAGACACACGCCGTCACTCCTCTCCGCCTCGACAAACTCCAGCACTCATATCACTCAGCTCACAAACGAGTCCTCTTCCTCGAAGACGGCGCCACTTTCACCCCGGACAAATCCTACCCCTCCACAGAAGCAACTGACCTTATCCAAGCTCTAGTCCTCGACCCAAAGAACACAGTCTATCTAACTAGCACCAACAGTCCAGATCAACTCGACCGAGCCACGAAATCCCTCCCATCCTGCATCGGTCTAATCGCCGAAAATGGCTGCTTCGTTAAACTCAGTACACGATTCAGGCTCTGTCACGCCTCAGCTCTATCAAATAATTCTGGATTGGAATCATGGGAATCCCTCGTCGACGTCGAAGGCACAAGTGACTGGCGCGCCGGAATTCGCAAGGTAATCGAATATTTCCAAGAACGCACAGAAGGAAGCACTATCGAAGAACGCCGCTGCACACTAACATTCGACTACAAACATGCACTTGATCATGAAATCGCTGCACAACAAGCCTCTGAGCTCGCCGATCAAATCAACGGCGCACGCGGCAGTGGAGCTATCCGTATCGTGCGGGATGCTGTTGCCGTCAGCGTTGAGCCTCTATACGCCTCTAAGGCTGCGGCGGCATCTACCTTGCTAGATAGACTGCCAGCCGAGGAGACTGCGGACTTCATCTTTGTGGCGGGTGGGGGGCGTGGAGACGAGAGCTTGTTTCGGTGGGCAAATTGGTTGAGGCGTGTGCCAGTTGGAAATGGGGTGCGTAACGGTAGTGCGAATGGGAATGGGAACGGGAATGAGAACGTTAAGGGAGGTATCTCTGGGGCTCGGACAGTAACCACTCTTGCGGCTGGTACGCATGCTACTGAAGCGAGTGCAGTATTACCGAGTGGAATGTCGTTGTTGGATGTGTTGAGGCTGTTGGCCTTTCCGCATGTTGTCGATGTGGCTTCGAGATGCAAAGATCTTGAAACGTAGATGGATGATTTGTAGTTGTGGTTCTGATATGTCTAGGTCTCCTTTTTTCGTTCTTTCCCCTTGTCTTATTCTGTTTCTATCTTTTGTTTCTCTCTGTTGACCTCCCACTTCCGCCAGTCCTTTCCTAGGGCATAATTCTATGCATGAGTCTTCTACTGTTGACAGATGCCTTATGTCTACAATACTATTCTCTCGATTTTATCAAGACCGGAGGATAATATAACTACCTATCTCTAGCTTAAGTTATACAGAATGAACCGGGATGGAGGGTGGTTGAAAGGATAAATTTTAATCAAATGTTGGTTACCTGAAACTGCTTCTTGTTCTCAAATTATTATTGAAAATTATCATTGATCTAAATGTGGTACAAGTCTGAAACGAAGGCGACATTGTAAACTCAGGAGACTGCTAAGCTCATAAGCTGTAAACTCCTTTGAAATCGACCAAGTGTCATTGGGACTGACTAGACAAGTCCTGGGGGGAGCAATCACCTCAACTAACCCCCCCCCGGCAAAGTCTTGAGAGTTACAAAATTCGAAAATGCACATATAATGCCGACAGATGGCGAGCCTGCGGGTCGGGGATGGAATGACAAATGTTCTTTAACAGCGTCTTTTGAAAGAATCGAGCAGTAGAGTTAACACCGACAATCAACAACCAAGATCAAAATCGGCCCCGAGGTAATAAAGCGGAACGCATGAGTAAAAACAGCCGGGAGATGAACAAACACATAGAACCTTGAAATCATTCCCTGCAAAGATGTGATGCGATGCACATAAATCTATTAAAACAGAGACAGTGTGCATGGGCAACAATTGTCGAGACAGGTCAACTCAACAATAGGCTTGGATCAAGTTTCATAAGACACGAAATATCCTTGGGAATCGATTGAAGAAAGTGGAATGTTAGAGAAATGCAGCGCAAATTAACAAAGACTTCAGTATACAAAGCAAGACGAAGGTTACTACTTATTACGGATAACATGAATCATCAAAGAGTCCATCCGTTCATAGGCAGCAAATGAAAGCCGATTTGCGAGCTTTTTGGTTTCGTATTGACTCTTGGCAAAGAATTGAGATAGGGATTAAGGACTTCAAAGAATTGAGACCGGTGTTCAGCCGCTAGCTCAAGTGTTTCCAGCATCGCCTGTTGATGATGATGGTGCTGGATCAGTGCCAACTGAAACAAGTGTCGGAGCGATTCGTCTTTTCTTCGGTGGCTGGGCCAGGGGCACCTCGGCACCCTTGCTCTCTTCCTTTTCAGACTCGCTAGCGGTTCGCGTATCTCGCTTGCCAAGTACACTGACCGTGCTTGTGTTTGCGCTATTGTTATTCTGAGCACCTGCTGGAAGAGGTGTTTGGGGTGGTGTGGTGAGTGGAAGTGTTATGGGCTGCGCAGAGTGTGCGGCCGTCACTAGAGGAACGGATCCCAATGTCGGCGTTGGGTTATTTACCACCGTACTATTATGCTGGGACGATGATTGTGTTGTAACCGAGCAGGCGGAATTGGATCGAGCAGGGCTAGCTGGGGGAGCCTGAGATGTCCCAGGCGTTGTGGAGCTCCCACTAGTGGCTAGTGTATGGTTGCTTTTGATGGGAGACGGAGCGTGGGTCGGAGTTGGCAAAGGTGTAACATTCGCCGAGGAAGTGCTAGAGGCGGCCGGGTTGGCAGCACCCACTGAAGTAGATCCCGTGTAAGGCTGGCCCAGTTCTCCTGGTGCAAATGAAAGGGTGGAGCAGAATCCATCAGAAGAGCTCATGATTAATGTTAATCCATCGTTGGACCTGGAAATGATTAATATCACATTTCAATACAAAACGTTGAGTAAAGACTTACCAGGTCAAGTCGGTGAAAGTTGCGAAATGCAAATTGCTCACAACGCACAAGGGGGTTTGCTGCTGTGTGTCATAGATCAAAACAGCATCCTGGGTGGCCACCGCATATACTATGCGGTAGGGAAGTGCGAAAACAGGGGCTGTTGATCCCTGGGCTGAATCGTTGCTGCTACTCTCGCCGGGCTTCTGCGAGGATTGAGATTTTCCAGCATCGCCACTCGTAGGTGCTGAGGAAGGTGAATCTTTCTGAGGGTGTGAAACAACTGGACCGGGCAATGGAGGAAACATAGACTCTTCGTTTGATGTATCAACAGTGAGATGTTTCGCAGGGAGTGTGCCTTGCTTGAGAGTGTAGAAAATGGGCGAGCATTTCACAGCAACCGAGGGCTTCTTGTGCCCCGGGAGGTGAGAAATTGGTGGCTTGTTGAATCCAGCTCGCGTATAAACATAAACGGTGTTGATTACTTCGTCCGTTGTTTTTGAAGCATCAGTAGGTGAGACGTGAGTAGTCTTATACTGACCAGCCGGTGTAAACAACAGGCTTCCATCAGGCGCAAATGTCAATCGTCGGAAAAATGAGGTGAAGGTCTCATTGGCATAAATGCTGGCATTCTTTACCCCGAGACCTCCGAGACCACCAAGACTTGGCGAAGACACCTCCAAGGGCTTCACGGCGGGCAGCGGCAAAGACGGAGCAGGAGATGCGGATCGTCGAATCGATGGTGATGAGCCGAAAGAGGAACGACGGCTATGAGAAACAGGAGGTGGGTCCATAGGCAAATTGGATGCCATTGGAGTACCCGGGGTAGATGGAGCAGGGGAAACAATCGCAATTGAACCACTTGTGCTATGTTGCGATCGACTGGTTTGTTCTGGGGCAGGGCTGCTGGAAGAGATGCGTTTGGCTGGCAAATCCATTTTCATTACCTTGCCGTGGGGAGTCAATGTGAACTGGCCATCCTTGGTTTTTAAGCTGTAAATGTGAACTGATCGATCAGAGGACTGAGTCGCAACAAATTCGTTAAGCGGGTCCCACGCGACACCTTGGACATAGTGAGAATGCTCTGCGATCTGTCGGACCATTTGACCTAGGAGTTCGATTGTTAGTTAAAGGTACGCCACCGCGCATGTATCTTCGACTGAGGACCAACCATTTTGGGCGTTGTAAATCCGGGCAATGTTGTCCATGCTTCCAGTCATGATAAATACACCATCGGGCGACCAGGCCAAGTCGTAGATCTCCGCGCCGGACGAACGGCACATATGCTTCACTCGCCATGTTTCCTTGTCATCTGAAGGGTCCTCGCCGAGACCAGGCTGCGTCTGAAGCTCTGATGGGACCCAGAGTAAAACATTACCGTCATCTCCGGCAGATGCTAGCATCTCACCTGAGCCAGGTCAGCTTATGGCCGAAGGGCGTGCGCCTTGGGAACCTTACCTTTTGGACAAAAACGAACAACATTGACTGCCTGGGTATGTTTCAAAAGTGTACTCAAATATGTCACTTTTCGTTCCTCCCCAGTGGATTCGACTCTCCATAGCTATTAGGGTGTGTCAGACAGGTGTTTCATTGAGGGTTAGGTAGCGGAGGGTGGAGGTTGCGGAGGCGTACTCGGACGTTATTATCGCTAAAAGATTCCTGTTAGTCGGGCCCTTGGGAGTAAAGATTCGAATGAAGACTTACTTTCCAGCAGTTGCTAAGCGACCTTTGCCATTGGGGTCAAAATTGACAGAGTAAATGGGGGCATTGTCGTTGTGCCATGAGATAAGTAAGGCGGAGGCCTTCATGATGGGCACTACAGCTTGTCAAACTGCTTGGAAGAACCGCCTGTTCTAGGTCAATATTGTCCTCGATGAGATTTAGCAATATGGTATGTCAAGAAACGTGAGCAAGTTCACCAAGGAAACAAGGCCACCCCGTCTCAGCCAGTTAATCGGGAGGGGGATGGTGGACAGTGTAGCTTTGAAGTGGAGCCAACTGAAGAGGACAAGGAGAAGAATAAGGAGCAATAGTAATGAGAAGGAAATTCAACAAGGAATGTGATGTTTCAAAGAGTAGTTGAGGGGAAGGAGAGAAGCAAAAAGGTTAAAGAGATTCGATGATGCTTTGACCGGAGCCGGGTTGTTTGCGAGGGCGGCACTTTCACTGGCAACGCGACCGCGGATTAGATATGAGCCACTCAACGGGCACGGATTGCAATCGTGAGTTCTGCATAACCACACTTCAGCACGTTTCAATTATAATAACTCGATACGGATTTAGAGATTTAAATAGATCTCTGGCTTGCAGAGTAAACATCTGAAAGAAAAATATATTTCCAACCAGGATAGCTATGGAGAACTTGACATATATACTGAAAGGGATTGGACCATCTACAAGTGATCTCGAGTCATGTTAGCCTCACAGTCCATGTTGACAGTTCATAAATCACTTATAGACCACCTGCATTTATAAATACTTGAACATTCCAAGGTTTTTATCGTACAAGAAAGAACAACAGAAATCAGAGAGTCGACTAGAATTACAGGCTCTATGGAATCAATTATGAAAGCCATTTTCCAAGTGTCTCGCCAAACCAGCTGACGGCAACCTCTTGTCGTTTTGTCCTGGCATCCGTTTGAGATTTCATGAATGGAGTGGCCTCTTCCGCGTAGAGCTTCTGTTGCTCCATTTGGGAGTTGAAGGTTCGGATTTCCAATTCTCGCTCATGCGGAGTGAGTGTGTGTAGGGGCTTGGATGGCCTGAAGCCCTCTGGGATTGATTCGCCCCCTGGAATATCAAAGGCGAGATCAGACTTGTCCTCCGTAGGCTTTGGAACCTTATGTAGTTTCTCGGGTTGGAAGAGCGACACGATGGGTGGGGGCTCAGTTCCAGCTGCTTTGGCTTCTTTCACTCGTTCCTCATAGTCCAGCATCTGGTGGTAGAGCTTGTCCGCATGCATTTGGATCCGTTCCTCCTTCTCAGGATCATAGTTAAACGAGGAGGCGTAACCTAAGGCTTGAAGGAATTTCTATACTAGGCATCAGTATACATATCTTTGAATGACTTAGAGAGCTATTATGGCCGACTCACACTTTGGGTTGTAAAGCATCGTGAAAATGTACCATTCTCCGCCGCGCACATTGTCAATCTCGATTCGAGCTGCTTGCGCCAGTTTCCAGTTTGGAAACATAATGTAAGAGCCTCATGCTCAAGGGCACAATTCTCCATGGCTGCTCGTTGCACTGTGTTGCCGCGCTCCTTGTATTTCTCAATCACTCGTTCCGCCCCGCGGACTCCAGAGCTCTGGTCGACACTGGCTGGGGGCTTGTAAGTCTTCCACAAATCTGCGTAGCGACCATCTTGATAGAGAGATTGCGCAGGAACTTGAGGCTGGGAGGGGTCTGATGGCTCAGGTTGGGAAGACGGCGGCGGCGTTCTTGTAGAGGTTGGCTGCTTCAAGTCTGGCGCAGGAACATATTTGTCCGGTGTCTCTGATTTAAGATAATCTCGAAGGCCCGGGTCGAGCTTCTGAACGGGGTCATTTTTGTTACTTCCCCAAAGCCAACCCATTGTGCAAAGAGAACTCGGAGGGTGAAAGGCAAGAAAGTGAAGAAAGTGATTGTCTGCAGCGTTGCGGAGAAATCGGGATAAAAATGGATCGGCGCGATTAGACTTGGAGTTCCGACCGCCGCGGGCGGCTTTGCTCCTCCAACATCTACACAACGCGTCTAATTCGACGCCGTTCCTCCACAATGTCTTCCAGTGTGTTTATAATAATTCAGATGAATCGCAAATATGATAGCTAATATCGAACAGCGCGAGAGGAGCGGTTGCAAATGCGACAGCGCGGAGCTGGGTACGCGCCTCTACCCCGCGAAATCATAACATAGGAGCATGAAGCTGATTAGCAATGCAGAACGCGCAAAATCCAACAAGTCGATTTCGGCTTCTCATTTGGAGGCGCAGAGGCTGGCCCATCAGATTCTACACCTTCAATATTCCCTGAACCCGCGAAACTGCCGCAAACACAGACAGTCAGTACTGCGACAACTTTGCCGCCGAAGACATCGCAGCCCGAGTCGCAAACGAGAAGCCAATCCGCAAATACACCGGGCAATGCGCGCAATAATGTTGCTCAACGCGCCTCAACATATGATATACCATTGGACGATATGCCTGAAGAACCGCGGAGCAACAAGAGGAGAAAAATCAGTACGTGACACACTGGTGTTTCCCAAGTTCCCATATTACTGTTCGTTGTATTGACCCCGTCAAAGACCCCTCAGATGAGAACTCTGAAACTCCTTCGCGTCAAAAACCTCGAATATCTGAAGGCGACAACTCGAGCACAGCTCAGAATGGCGCCACTGCACCCGAAGAAGCATCAGCTTCACAAGATGCAGACATATCTTTCGACGTTAATAATGCGAACAATAGTCCTGACACAGGTGCACAGACCGAAATTATCGAACAACAACTACCAATTGAAATACAGACTTCGAGGGCTGATAGTACTCTGCAAACAAATACGGAAGCGCCTCGAAAATCCCGATCACCCCAAGCGCCAATACCCGAGACGCAAGCTATAGTTGAATCCGTCAAATCTGCCAGCACAAAAAAGCGCCAGCAGAAGGGCTCATCACCACCACGCAGTGACCGCTCTTCACCTCAGCAAGGTAAAGAGAAGAAATCAAAAGAGCAAACTCAACATCCGAACCGAGTCTCTAAGGGGGGACGTGAGCCAAAAGCCAGAGTTTCCCAGACTCGACCGACTCCGAGTGCTTCTGCTCCTAATCCCGATGAGCCGGAAACAAGTGGTGCTCCTGAGGACAACGAGAGAGGCACAGAACTCGAACCTGGTACTCGGAATGCAACAGAGACTGAAGCCTCGTCTCAAAAGCACTCTCAAGCGACTAAGAAGACCCGAGGGCGCAAAGGTCATTCACCCAACGGCGACACCGCGCCGCCAGAGGCCACAAAGGAGACTATACCGGATGTGGAAGCAGAGCCTAAGGTCACCAACGTTCAAAGCAAGAAATCACGCGGGAAACGTCCAGCGGGTGAACAATCAATATCTGGAAAATCAACCAATGGAAAGACAAAAGCAAGGCCTGCACCTGCGCCTGAACTTGAGCCCGGAAAGCCAAACCAGGAGCCAGAAGCGGGTCCTTCAAAATCTCGGGGCGGAAAAGCTGGCAATAAGGGCAAGAAAGCAGCTGAGCCCAAATCAGCTGTTCGAAAAGAGCAGCCAGAAGCTGAGGCCGGCCCTGAGCCCGACCCTGAGACAGTGCCAGAACCATCGAAACCCCGCCGTGGCAAGGCTAATAAGAAGGGCAAGCGGGCAACCGAGCCAGTTTTTCCAGCTGCAAGTACAGAAGAACCATCGAATGCCGAGGAAGCACCTCACTCCGGGTCTCAACAACCTCAAGAAACAGAGACGCAAGCAGAACCCGGTCCATCAAAGGCACGCGCTGGGAAACGCGGGAAGAAGAGTCAAAAGTCAACTGAGGCCGAATCTGCTACTAGGGAGGAACAACCAGAAACCGAGACAGCCCAAGAAGGACGCCGAAAGACAAGAGAACCTCGTGGCGAAACTGTGCCCGTTACAGTGCACCGTTTGGTCAATTCCTCGGCCCTGGGTGCAATACACGCTTCTGTTGACTCCGGTGACGAAGATGAAGAGTCAGCACAGCAAAACTCCACTCAAGACATGGACAAGCTGCCAAACCGTGGCGGTGTCAATCCTGCCGATGTCCTTGGTCAAATTTGTCGCGAAACTCTGGAGAAGACGCTCACGGCGCTCCAGAATGGAATTTCCAACGAAACAAATACTCAAAGACGGGCTGAATGGACACGCAAACGAAAGGCTGTTGAGGCCTTCGGTTCTGAACTTGACAGTCGTCTGTTGGACTTGAGTGAGATGCTTGATAGCAACTTCGTGCTTGGCGTTCAGCTTAAAAAGTCGAAGCGTGAGATGATGGACTTGCGGGGTCGTTTGTACAAGGTGCGACAAGAAAGAGAGTCTCTTACCTTACAGATGGACGCAGTACGTGGCAAGCATATGGAAGAAGAGGCTGCCAAAATAGTAAGTTTTCTTTTGGACCTGAATCTAGTACATCGGATCACTTATTAACAACTCTACAGTCCCGTACCACCATCAATAACTCTCTCCACAGCTTGGATTTGGCACTAGATCGCAACCAAAACAGGGCATCACCCACAACAGAGCCTTCGTCTGCTGATTTAGAGTTTATGCTACGTACTGTGGCTGACGATGTGAGCTGTCGAGCACCAGGCGCGCAGGGTGGCTTGCTAAACCAAATTCGTGCTTTTAATGCGCAATTGGAAACTACGGCTCGTCGTATGGAAAGGTAATAATAAGCGATGCAGATATTAGGGAAGTTCGGAGTAATCAGGGCTGTATTTGATTCTTTGAGATACCATTTTTAAACGCATCGTCCCGTGGCTGGTCCAGGGTAAATATGGCGTTCAGTGTTCAGTGATGTATGTACAAGGCCTATGTAGGCTTTCATTGTTTTATTTCATGATGCATTGACAAGATTATATTATTTTATCCTGGTGGGGCATATGAAGTAAACAAATACTGTTTGAATCGGGCGATTATAAAAGGTATCATGCTAGGCGTAATCATGAACGGGCATCAGTATATATCGAGATAGCTGAGAACCAGTTATGTGTTATATGTCGAACGAGGTGTCACGCCAGACACAAAGCACACCCAGGCGCAGAGCTGCCCCGACAACAAGCATATGGGTAATGGCGATGAGGCCCTGTACGCGAAGGTCATTGATACCGAGTGACACCGCGGCGAGGAGGAGAAGGGGATACAGAATCCATGGCTTAGCCGAGAGAGGCGAACATGGATGGATAACGGACACAATTTTGAGAAGGAAAAGGCCGAACTGTAAACCAGGCGAAGAGGTGGAAGCCACCAGGAAATCCAAAGATGGGAAGCGGCTTGGAGGCGGAGGAAGAAGTTGTTGGCGAGGGATTGGCGGGGATTCATGATTATGAATGGTTTCGTCATGGCTGTGTCTTGTAGGAGATATAGGTGGCGAGGCAGAATACTTGGGACGCACAACGATATCTCGATCAGGGCTTAAAGATGGTCGGGTGTCTATAACGTCCGATCCAGAATTCGAGCTGTCCCCCGGTCCACTGGAATCAAACATTGAGTCACGCCTGAATGGAACAGGACTGCGAGGCATTTTCTTGGCTGGGGAGAGGGCTCTTCTATCCGCAGATGGTTGAGGGCTATCAACGGACCGAACTCTCGCTCCAATGGGCATGTCAGAAGTGGCAGAGCTGGTCCGTTTAAAGCGGAATTCGTTGGTATTTGCGCCTGCTTGAATACCACTTAAAACATCGTCTGCCGTGGGTCTTCGACTGGGATCCACTGCAAGTAATCTTTCTAAGAAAGTATAGAGCTTCTCTGGGAGGTCGGGTCGCTTCCTTCGAACTTGATCGAAACCAGTCCAGCTGGTAATCTCGTCACGAAGTTGGTCCAAATCTTCTTTTTCTTCATTGATAACATCGGCACTTGCATATGGAAGTTCCGCAAAGCAGAGAAAATAGAGAATCATCCCCAATGAGAAAATGTCGGACTTGAATGTGAAATTACCGAATGGACCATCTGGATATTCACGCCGAAGAACTTCGGGGGCACAATATGATAATGTCCCCGTTGCGCCTGTTGACTTCCGCATCGCATCTTGGCCTTGCACTTCACCGAAGTCGCTTACTAGAACCCGAATTCCGTCTGCTGTTTCGTGTAGAAGACAATTCTGTGGTTTCAAATCACGGTGTATGTACCCATTGGTGTGTAAATGACGCAGTCCGGATGTTATATCTCGAAAGAAAGAGTAAATTTCATCCAGCTGCAGCGTGCGAGGTCCAATCGGGTCTACATCGGGTTCTCCTTTTGATTTTCGCCGAAGACGTGCCTTTAGCTGCTGCGCGGTAGTTGATGTTTGGACAGAACCGCAAAGATAGTTGTGCAGATCACCGGCATTGCAATACTGTTGCAGAATGAAGGCACATGGCACGCTGGGCCCGAATACATTGATCTTAGCATTTTCCAACCAGACGTGACGATAGGAGACCAAGTTCTGATTGGACAGATGCTGTAATAATTGGACTTCGCCCAATACTTTCTCTAGCCATTCGTGGTCGTCGCCGACGGGCACACGCTTGCATGCATATTGACCAAGAGAAACACCATCCAAAACATGTTTAACGAGCAAGACAACGCCCTTTCCGCCCTTTCCTAATACTTTTTCTTCCACAAAAAACTTCTTAAAATAGTCCTGACTGAACGCTGCAGAGGAGATCCCTTGAGATGTGGTTTGGTGATGAGAAGGATGAGGAGTGCCCGACGGGGCACTCGTAGGACCTAGACCGATTGCTCTATCTGGAAGAGCAGGTTGAACGAGACGACGGCGCGGGGAAGGGGGGGTCGAGGAGCTTGCGGAGCTCGGGAGGCTATTATCGAGCATGCGAAAGTAATTTGGGTTGATGAATTCGTCATCGGTATCGGCATTGTTGCTATTATGACGGCCCCTGCTGCTGTCTCTCATGGGATGGTGACAGAGTGGGCAGTTTGTAAGCTCGACATCGTTCACATGGGTGTCAGCTGTGCTGCGGAGAACTAGCTGTTGGGAGTCATGATCATAGACAACCACCGAGTCGTTATGTCGGCTATCTTCTTGTTAGTTAAAGAAGCAACATTCGGCCACTAATACTGACAGCACCACATCAAGACTACCCGCACTGTACGGGATCATAGACATTTCGTCCGGCATGGCTTCAAAGACATTTCGAAAAGAAACTGAAAGACCATGAGTCTTTGTACTTGGGTGAGATGACGAAGGTGGAGAGTGGAGAATCGTGCCCGCAGGCGGTGAGGCCCCAGACAACGAGAACCATGGTGAAGCCCTTGAGGGATCACTGCCCAGGGTGGAACCAGATTACAATGCCTAACTAGTATCAATGCTGCCCAGGTGGTCAAGCAATGAGGTTATCTGCCTATATAGAAAACCATCTAAGAAATGCGTATTAAGAATTGAGCTTGAAAAACGAAGCTAAACAGAGAAATATGGCTTGGATGGAAGAAATAATTTTGGTTCAATTCATACAAGAATTGGGGTATCTAAAGTGCCAGTCATCTCAGCTGCGAGATGAGACTTGCGTAGGACTGTTGTACCGTACATGTACATTTCATGAGCGTTCATGGGATGAGACGACACACCAAGAGGCCAGCGATGTCTCTGGAATGCCGTTGTTTGAGAAGGTGAAGTCCCCCTCTCTTTGACAATTGGCATCTGACTCTTACCGAGTCGACCCTGTATTGAACTGCAGAGGCGCGGGTAGGTGGGCGCATTGCTCTACTCTTTCAAGAGCTGCGCAAGCCATCGCTAAGTGCGAAATAGTTAGAGGTTGGAAGTTGAGTGTGCACAGACGAAATTCAATCTTCCTCACCACTCTCGACATCGCTGACTTCCAGGTTCGCGATAGAGTCATTATCATCATCTTCATTCTCGGAAAGTCCTTCAAACTCCTCATCAGGCTTAGAATCCGATGACTCGCCATCGTCAGCGGCCTCCTCGGGGATGGTCTGATCAAGCTTACGCTTGCGACCCATCTCACCAAGGCGACCTTCACGGCCCTCAATTTTCTGGTTGTCGTCACCTTCTTTGCCCACTGGCTTGGGAGGTGGGGTGAACCAAGGGGTCTTTCCACGAAGGAAGTCGTTGATGACCATCTTGGCGACACCATCCAAGTCAGGCTCACCGCCCCGGAGGAGGCGACCACCCTTGCGAGCAAGTCGACTTAAGAAGTCAATGGCATCGACAGGATCCTTGATACCATAGGTACGCTCCAGGTGACGGGGCTGGACCCGTTGCATGACGGCTGGAATGTACTGCTCCGGGTTGTCGACATTTTCAACACGGCAAACACCACGAAGAAGAATATCAGTCTCAGTGTCGTTCTGGTTAGGTGGAACGACACCAGGACAATCGATGAGATAAATTCTCTTCATGAGAGTGATGTATTGCCAAACCTTGGTCTCACCAGGAATAGGAGCCACAGTGCAGACCTTCTTCTTTCGAAGGGTGTTGATAATTGAGGATTTACCAGTGTTAGGGTAACCAATAAAACCAACGGAGATTTGCTTGCGGTCAGAATGCAGCGACGAGAATTGACGGAGCAGCTGAATCAAAGATCCCTTGCCAAAAGAGTTGTTGATGTTGGCGTGAAAAGCGAGGGTAGGGTAATCCTTTGACAGATGGCGAACCCAAGCGGCCTAGTGAAGGTGCTAAGTTAGCAACTGATCACCAGAGAAAATATCGATGAGATAAACAAGGAATGTGTGGGATGTTACTAAGAGTTCTGCTACGAAGCCACCAGAAAAGGCAGAAGCAGAACTCAACTCAAAAACAAGACACAGCTGTCCCTTACGACAGTCCTTCAAAACGAAGAACTGTCAACCTAGCTTCAGAAAGAAATTCGGTGCGGGCCAGTGTTAATCTACCAAAGCTGTAACAGACAGACTCCCATTGAGAGAATACGATATGGTGGTCGCAGGAGAAGCCTTGACTTAGCGATGGAACGGAACGCAGCAATAAAAAACAAACACAAAAGGCAAGAAAGATAAATAGAACAAAAACAAGAAAACTCAAAAGGAAGCGAAGGGCAGATATGTGAGAATAGATGTAGAACTTACAGCCACGCCGGTTGGCACAAGATCGGTCTTGTTGAGTACAAAAATCAAATGCTTGTGAGGAGCTTCTTCACGAATGTACTTCTCGACACTTCGGCAACGTGTGCCGTCAGGATCACGAGAATCCAAAACATGGATAACCACATCGGAAGAATCGATGACCTTATACAGCTCGTTCCAGATACGCTTACTTTGACCCTTGGAGAAAACTGACTCGCGGGCTGTTGTAAGGATAGGATCTTCGATGTTTGGGTTGACATCACCAGAGACATTGGGTGTGCCGTCATCGTGTGTGTCTTGATCCTGCTTCTCGAGGTATGAATCATGAAGCTTGGCAGTCTCACCGGCCAGGTCATCTAGAGATGTGACGCCCAGCTTAACACGCTTTCTTTGAGCCTTAGGTCCAAAGGTGTCGCCGAAGGGGTTGTTCTCAATCGCCATCTTAGCTTGATGCTGCTTGATGCCGTTCACCGTATCACTATTATCCCGAATCAAACTCATGGGAAGCTTGTTCGTCTTAAGTAACACCTGGTATGGGTCCTTAGTCTGCTCAGCAACTGCTTCGCGGAAAGAGGTGAGCGCCTCCTGTGAAATAACTCGAGTGTTACCAAACCATTTACGGTTAGGTTCGATACGACCAGTAGGGGCATCGCGAGACTGGTAGGAGGCAGCAACAGTGATCTCTCCGTGGGCATTACGTCTAGCCTTGCCATCCTTGAACATGTTCAAGGTCTTGATCTTCTTGGCATCACTGAATATTGTATTAGATCATTGTATTTCGGTTTAGTTTGATCGAGTTCGCAAGAAAACACATACCGGTAGAAGTTTTCACCTTTGGTCTTCACGTTGTCCATGCCATCACCACCCTTTCCCAGCCGCTCTTTACGAGCGGCTTCCTTCTTACCGGTACCCATAGTGAATGGATGACCTTTAATATAGAAGAATGAAAATAAAAAGTTGGGTTGCCCTTCGGAAAAATTTTCGAAGGTAGACCAAAGAGATGGCAGAGCGCGAAGAGAAGAAGAAAAAAAAGGCGGAAAGAACAAATTGAACTATTTTTTTTTTGCCGCCAAGAAATCCATCGCGCACGGACCACGGGGAAAATCGCTTCTGTTTCTCCCGACTTTGCTCTCCCGCGATTCCCTCCTATCCATTCGATCCATTGTTGCGGTCTTTTGGGCCGATTTTATCATCTTTTAATATATCACATTCTTTTTACCACCACCGGTTCTACCCGATTGCCTTTTTGAGCGGATAAAGGGAGTCGATTGGTGCAAAATGTCTGCCCTTCGCAGTAGTCGGGCTGCCAGAGTGCAGGTCCGCGGTTTTGCGACTACACCGAATCTTCGAGTCGGCCCTGAGTCTCCTCATTTCGTGGATGTTCCCAAAGTCCTCCAGCCGACCAATCGGGCGAAACCTAGAGTCAAGGGTACCCTCCCCGTTCCGCGTGAGCTCTTCCCGAACCGCCGAACAGACAAGCCGGGCAAGGACTACCTTGACTCCGCAACACCTCTCCCTTCTACCGAACGCAAAGTCAACCCTAAAAGCGGTGATCCCGAGAAGCAGGCTTTCAAGCTAAAGATGGCGGAGTTGCGGAGACAAAACTTCCGACAAGGTCTCACTGAGCTATACCGGCGCAAGACAATGGCAGATGAAGTCATGACCAACCGAAGTGTCAAAAGACAGGCCCAACGAGAGCGTATCCTCAGACAACCAGAGCCAGAGGATGAGCGCCTGACACGATCATCTGTTGTACAGGCGATGCAGTCTCAGAAACATGCCTTGGCTGACCCCAATCGGGAAGAGCGTTTGGCCCTTTCTAAAATGCGCGTGGAGGCGAACAAGGCGCAGAAAACCGCAGAGCGAAAGGAGGATTTGCATTCCCTTTACATGGGTGCCCGAAACTTCATCATTAATGAAGAGCAACTTAATGCTGAGATCGAACGTGCATTCCCCGATGGCGAGAACGAGGCCTGGCGCAACGACCACCAACAGGGTGAGAACATTTGGAACTTGGGCATTCCTCCAACTGTGCAGCATATCGTCAACGAGTCTCGAAAGAGCGAGACTCACCGTTGGGACGTTAGCCAGGGCCGAATTAAAAAGCTTGGCGAACAGCTCACTGGTGGAAAGCTGTGATTGATATTATATTATCGTGTACAATAGTTGTTTGAAGCTACCTACTGCATCTGGATTCTGTGCATTATCCTACTACTCAAGGAATTTGTTAAATATAAAGTCTCATATATGATATTTTCAGGTCCATCCCATCAGTCCACGTGTATATATCTAATGCTTCTGGGTATTGTCCTTGAGGAGGAGGCTCTTTCTATATTTTAGTACCAACGCCATTCGAGATTCTTTTTACATAATTGCTATAAACGAAAGAACAATGTCGTCAAAATTTTCAGACTCCGAAGGGGTGATCGCGATTCAAATCCGACGGCCATTGATTGAGATTGCTGGCTAAGTCTCGGGCTGGAAGGGGGACATGGGAGGAGCTTCTGTTTCCAGTCCTTCAATAGTTGGGAACAACGGTTCTTGACCTGGTTCCATCTCTTCGCCAATCGGGAATAAAGGAGGATTTTCCATTGTTTCCAACTCTTCAACAGTATGACCGTAATCGGCCTCAATTAATGCCCGAACCCTCAGGGGGGCCATTTCAGCACTTAATAAGAAATGTGAGCTATCATGCTCATTATGCATCATCGATAATCCTTTGAGACGAAGCGGCAGGTAGCGACATTTTTGGATGATCTCTATGTGGGGTGATAATTTAGAGTCCACCACAAACGTCGCGAATCGACCCAAAGCAATCGATTGTTCTCCGAGTTTGATAACCCGCTCAAAATCAGGAATATGCAAATCATATTGTGCGGGCCTATCGTCAAGTATGGTGCCCAGCACTATCTTAGCGACCAGTGAGCGTATTTCAAGAATGAGAATGGCGGACTTCTGATCAGGATCGGGTCCTGGGTTGGCTTTTAGATTTGCAAATAATGCATGCCAGTTTCTTAGGTATGCATAACCGTTGCTCTGCTCCTCGAGAATATATTGCGGCCAGTCGGACGATTCTGGGGAGGCGGCTCTATGGCCGTCCACGAGGCGAGCCAGTCTGAATATATAGTATTCGACAAATTGCAACGAATCTTGAGCTCGATTGACTGTGATAAACGAAGTATGTTCGAAAGGGCATCTGCCCGGGAAACATCTGCCGTTGCATATAGCGTAGGGACAACCCATGTTGGTAAGGAGGGGAATTATCCTTCGAGCCGGAGAGGCAAGTGCAGCAAGGCTCATGAATCGAAAGTGGCTGGCTAACTGAGAATAAGGACAATATGCGTTGATTATCGTGATGCCATGTATTATGTGCTGTAGTGTCGAAAGAAAGTTGCCACGAACAAAATCAAGAGCCGCAATGCAAATGCAAGCCGTGAGAATGCAATCCAGATCGTGTTGACTCAACGATGTTTGGTTAATGATATCTTGAATAGCATTTACAGCATAGCTATAATGACGGTAAACAATAGCAGCATTGTATGGAATACCTTCCTTCATACACATGCGCTGTTCAAAACATGCACCAAGAGCAATTATGCAGTGCCTGGAGGCAGGTTGTTGAATTGCTGCTGGGGCGCCATGAGAAAACCAGAATTTTTGAGTTGACGGCCACAACCCCTCTGCAGTTGTTGCAGATAAAGCAATATTAAGGCCGCGTAGCGCGTCGGCGTCGAGGCCTGGTATAATCGATAGTCGAAACTGGCTGAGGCCTCTCTCAGGCTTCGAGCTCTTTGACATTACATGTTTGACATTTGGCTGAGAATCCATATATCCATCACACTTTCGGCCAGTAGACAGACATCTCTTGCAATGTGGACGAGCCTCATCACATTTAACTTTGCGGATTCTGCTTAGATGTGAGTCTTTGTTCGGTCAACTTGGATGATATTCCATACTTGCAGGTGACGCAGCCTGTGCGAACTCGTTTCTGGGAGGAACGGCGTGACTTTCGTCTATTGCCCACCACTAAAACCTTCTCTTTCTCGAACGACATACTGTTTTCTACTGGAAAATGAGTTGAGGATGTCTCACCGAATGCAGTTCGGTCCGTAGGTACTGAATGCACGGGCTGGAGGCTCGAAGTGGCCCCCACCTTGAGGTTAAACAGATCAAGGGGGGGTTTGACCTTACTAGTCTGCATATCGTAATGATTTACATCTCCCGCTTCGCACCTCGATCTCGAGTTATTTTTGTATACAAAGTAGCCCCATTTGCCATGGGATTTAACCTTGGAAAAACTACAGCCTGAGGCTCATTCCCTCCAAGCATGATGCTGGTAGAAGCTTGGTGTTTATTTTTATTTTTATTTTATTTTTTGTCATTGTACAGGCTGGATCTATCGATGTAGTTGATTCTAAGCTTCTGTATATGCGAAGCTGATCACTCAAGCAGCAGTGACAGCCAGTTTAGTCTATTATGGAAGGCAAACTTACTTTAATTATGCGATGCGGAGTAATGTACGAATTATGAAAATGAGAATCAAAAATAGAATTAGACTAGTACACTAGACGTTATGGAGTAGAATTTGGCCAACAAAGAACTAGCACAGGTCATGTGAGGGTGAGATGGGGGGGAAATGGAACGTCTTCCCCTGAGGGGAACTTCTCCACTACTCATTGTGCGACCGAGAAATGGCGGTCGATAATCGGTTCGAGCAGTCTGGGGTGCCTTACCGCCAGAAGAAGAAGCATTTCTCAGGCTCTGGAAACCGAGTTCCCCAGAGAGGGACCAAATTCTTGTTTGTGAACGAGCAAGATGACAAAGATCCCAATTACACCTCTTCCGCAACTAAACATGCCTGGGTCAAAAGTCGATCCAGTCGCATCAAGAAGGAAAAGCAACTTAAGGCGTTGAAAGCATCTGTTATACCCTTCCCTAGTTCTCAGTCTCTTCAGATATCCACCAAATCAGGGGTTTCGAGTCTCAATTTCAGGGGTCATCAACGGTCGCAAACCAATGAAGATGATCGATCTAAGCCATTCATGGGCCAAACTATACAAGCGGGCTTATTTGAGGCAGTTCCTTATTTACCCACCAATACCATTCATAGTATCTCCTTCTATTGTCACCATTGTAAGTACCTGCATTCGAATTTGCGTCTATGTTTTCCCCAAAGTTACCTCTTGGGTCATTCTCGTGAAAATATGACTAAGGGAGGTGTTTATCTAGATCGGACATATGCTTCTCACGCAACCTTTCCTCTAAGCTCAGAAACTATGTCCTTGTACTTCTATAAAGAAGGAATGGACCAGCCAGCTCTGATTGAAACTCTTTTATTTTTGAGTGCTGCCAACCATGCCGCGAGCTTAAAGAGCAGGGATGCTTCGCCATATCTGATTGAGAGCACAATGCAAGATGCCCTAAAATTGCGCTCACATGTTTTGAAGTCTTTACAGACTCTCATGCTCGACTCGTCGCGGTCAATCTCAGAGAAAACGATTTTAACCATTTGTCATCTTGCCTGCATAGAAGTAGGTGCATTTCTTTTGCCCAGATATATGACATTGAAATTTTTATTTTTTTAACCGTATTATTAGAGTACCCAGGCGAACATCGAAGGTGTCAAAGCTCATATCTTGGGATTGCAATGCATTATTAATGCATTGGGTGGGCTTGAAAATTTGGAACTTCGAACACTTTCTGCCGTATACTGGTAAGTTGCATCAAAAAGAGCTACGGGATCAGCATACTGATTTTTTTTTTCTTTTAGTGTCGATGCGATGAAGGGGCTGGTGCTTGATACTCCTCCAATTTTCAAAATTTCTAAAAAGTGGGAAAAGTGGATAAAGACCAATTCTATTTGTATTGCTGCCGATAATCGTCCCCCGTCACAGTCGAAGTTAGGGAAACGGTTTTTCAACTCTTCATGGTCACCAGATCTTCCTGAGGAGCTAGTGTCAATACTCAAGGGCTTCCAACTTCTCATTCCCTGCTACGAGCAGATGATACAAAAGGAAAGACGACAAATGCCCGTTGAAAACGACTGCCTACTCTATCTAATCCATAGACTATACATGCTTCCATATAAAGTGATGGTTGATCCATTACTGGAAGTACTTTCCATTTCATTGCAAGCATATACACTTGCCAGGATCTGGGAATGGCGTGGAAAGCCATGTTTTGCTAATGTTGGCCGAACCTTCCGACAAAAGATCGAAAATTCTTTCAATTATCTATTGATGGAAGCACCAGATCTTCTTTTCTGGTCACTCTTCCATGCATGCCTCGTGTCAGTAGGCTTTGAACTCTATGATTGGTTCTTCACCAAACTGAAGGAATGTGCCGACAGGCTGCACATTCGTGATCTCAGTCAAGCATTGCCTGTCCTGGAGGGATTCTTTTTTGTATATCGCATGTCAGAGGAGCCTGCGAGAGAGCTCATGAATTCATTATTCCCTCCAAAGGGAAAGCGGACAGGGCGTGCCCTGGAGTTTATACAGTATAAAGTTGGCTGAATAAACAACTTGAAGGAATGCCTCTACTACGACGCAGTTCGAGCCATCCAATGATGTATATGTAATATGTATAGCTGATATGGGTCAAATGAAAACGGAGCCATGTCATAGTATATTTGGAGATAATCAAGAAAGCAGCTGGGCATTTTAAAAATCAATGGCCAATCACGGACAGAGATTTATATCTCCGAGGGCTTACGAGATTTCGAACCAGTATTTATTCGCGAGCTAGGACAAGAATAGACGTATAGGTTGAAGCGACATAAGTATGGATTTGTTCAACCCGCAGACCGACAAGCTTCACTAGAGAATTCCACTGTTGAGTGGTACGCTCCTTTCCACCAAACGCAAACATCATTGACAAGTCGGCCATCGTAGCCTGCCAGTGAGCACCAGTATCTGGCAAGACGACTTCGTCAATCAAGATGCGAGCGTCAGAAGACATAACGCTACTGATATTGCTGAGAATAGCCCGGGCTTCTTTATCAGGCCAATCATGCATGATTCTTCGCAGATAGTAAAATTTTGCATCTATAATTAACATGTTAAACCGACATGTCTTATTAGCATAAAAATAAGAAGGGTCACTTGCCGACAATTGATTGTTTCTGGAAAAAGTCGTGCGCTTCCGCCTTGACACCTTCAATTGGAGGTAGTCTGTCAATGGCTTCGGGAAGATCTTGAAGCACAAGCCTTCCAAGTAGATGAGGGTATTTTTTACCCAACTGAACGCACTGATGACCATGACCACCGCCGACATCGACGAGAAAGGGTCTTTCCGACGACTGCGGGGTGCTCAATCTGACACTTTTAGCCTCAGTATCAATGAGTTCAAAGCCATTGGTCCATTCGGCACCTTCTAATGAAGTCATAACTTTTTGAAGAGAGGCAAAATGCTTAGGATGCTGAACAAGCCAATCAAAGCAACTGAGGTTTGTGTTGAAGGCTTTCTGGAATGGAGTATCCACATTACTTGCAGGTTCTTGGTACTTCTTGTCCATAAAGAAATCAGGCATGGACTGGACGATAGGACCGAATATGTCAAACCTATCACGGCGATCAATATATAAGTAAGAGATATTTGGGATATGTTGGAAGTCCCAGCGACAGGGGCAGCACTTGAGTGAGATAAGTACTTACCCATGATGTGCCATCCCTTCGCCTCGGGGGTCAGCAAGGACATGGGTACAAATGTTGGCCCGATATCTATTGAAAGAAACTTCGGCAATGACACCCGTAGACGCATAATAGCGAAGGATTCTTTCTAAAAAAGAATTTGTCAAATTAGTAACCGTTTGGGTTTTCAAGTGGATGAAAGAAGTAACTTGCCCATGAATGTGAATGATGCATGCGAAGTATCTGTTAGTTGACTCACGGTCAGTGCATCATTTACTTTGGCTAGTTCGCGAAATACTCCAAGGTCGACCCCGAGACGAATCATTGCGATCAGTAGATTCTACACATGTTAGAACAGGAGTAAATCGAAGGGATTTGAAGCCTCACCGAGTTTCCCAGTTCCATCAGAGTATCTTGCGGGCTTTGAATTTCCTTTCGAATCTTTCGAAGAGCTATCTCTATGTCCAATCGACCGGCATCGTCAGTCGATTGGGCCAATGTTCGAATTTGAGCATTGATGGCATCCATTCTGAGTCTAGTGTTGAACGTTACCAAAGGAATGATGATAAGGCGAAATGAGAGTAAGACGGTTGAAGTTGAATAAGGGAAGACAAGACTTATAATCCGAGATATCCTCAATTAATAGGATTCTCTCCGACCTTTATACTACCGATATTTTGCTGTGTGAATCAGTACATACTAGGAAGCGACGGAAGTTCCGTGGAAGTTCCGCGGGGAGTCACCGCCCATTGATTGGCCCATTGTGTTTTCCCTCCTTTTCTCTCTTTCTCCCCTGCCAGAATGCTCTCTTCGATCGGCGATTATTCTAAACTCGAGGTGGCCCTTTCAGTCACACTATGGTCCGAGTTGAAAAACATTTGACCCGATCAACGCGGTCGCGGCCAGTGTCGTGCCTGTTCTGTCGATCACGGAAGTTGAGATGCAGCCGCCAGTTCCCTTGCGCAAACTGTACCAGTCGTGGTCTTTCTTGTGAACTCGATGGCCACAGGGCTCCTTCTACCACTAGCCCTGAAGGTAATTTACCCGACGAGTGTTCATTCAAGGATGATATCCTGGAGCGTCTACGCCGACTGGAAGATATTGTCATTGGGAAGGGGGAAGAACCACCAATTAGTGCAAGTGGACAGGCGTCACAGAAACAAGCTTCTCGGGCTTGGCAAAGAGGTTACTCTTCTCCATTAAACACTGAAAAATCACCGGCAATCGATGTGGATTGGCTGGAAGGGGAGGTTACATATTCTGTTCCTACTGTATGATCATCTCGAGCATCCTGATAGGATACACTTCGGAGATTGGACGAGTCCTACTGACCATCATATTCGCAGGACTCCCTAGTGGCTTACGGGATAGAGTTCAGAACTTGCTCGATTAGGCAAATAAGCAATGCAGCCTCTATGTCTCAGAATAGCCATGACTCAACTGTTGCTACACGGTGCATCTGGCTGCCCTTTCACAGTGAGGCCAGGCAAATTATCAACAAATACCTGACCGACATTACATACATTCACCATGTTGTGCATAGTCCGACTGTTTTGTCAGTTATAGATGAGCTGTATCACCATGTTTCTCAAAATGGCGACGTCAATCTGGGCCATGTCTCATTGCTCCTGGCAATTTTAGCAAGCACTACATTCTTTTGGACAGAACGTGATATGCACTTAACATTGTTTTCCTCAGTCGAAGAAGCAAATCAGCAAGCTTCCGTATGGTTACAGGCTTCTCTTGATGTTCAAGAGTTCTCTCGCCGCAGGGGAATGGATTGCCTTGAAGATGTTCAAGCTATGATTATCACTGGGTTTCTTATCGCTAACCTCGTTGGAATAGCGCCACAGGCGTGGTATGTATTCTCCTCGGCTATTTCAGTAGCACGGCGGTTATCTCTTCATCGGATCGATCACCCTCACAATGGTAATATAATCGTGCCAGATCCAGACTCAATACAGGCGGAGATAGGCAGGAGAGTTTGGTGGTACCTAGCTGCGACAGATTGGTAAGAATACTGCTATTATTCAGAACATTGAAATCTTGGGTCTAATTTTCCCATGAAGGCAATTTTCGCAGTTTGCAGGTCCCCAAAAAGGAACCTATTCCATAAATCCTCGGCACATGGCAACTCATTTACCGCTGAATGTAAATGACGAAGACCTCATGGATGGAACTCCCACCATTGATAAACCCATGAGCCAGCCGACCTCTATGTCATATTGTTTGCAACGAATCCGACTAGCGGAAATTTGCCGTGAGACCAGTGATAGTATACCATTCGTGGAAACTGGGCATGGGATTCCAAACTACCAGCAGGTACGGGAAATGGATGAACGCCTCTGCAAAATTATGCACGAGATGCCCGCATTTTTTTCTCTCGATTGCGACCCGGATGAAATTTCAAAAAATGACTCGGACAAATCGCCAGGGATAATCATTCAACGCTATGTCATCAACTCTTTACTTTATACGCAAAGATGTAGGCTGCATCTACCATACCTATCTCGGGCGACCGAAGAACCTGAATACGCATTCTCAAAGCACGCATGTTTACAAGCAGCACGAATGGTTATCCGGACTGAAAGACTTCTAGCAATCCAAAACCTTCCTTTCGTATTGAAGCGATTGAAGTTTTCGGGAGTTATACATTGTGTTTGTATGGCAATAATAGTGTTACTGATGGATATTTGCCTTGACAAAAGTATGCGATCGGAGGATGACCGAGAAAGGCGAGAGGAGATTTACAATGCCTTCGATATACTGGAAGAGGCTAAGGGCCAGTCTCCATTCGCGGAACAGATTCTGCAATCCTTCTATGCAACTCTTTGGCGAAACAAGGTCCCTCTACCGAGCACCAGAGGTAAAAGAAAACCCCGAACTGAAAATAACGACCAGCAATTATACACTGGACCCATCAATAGCCCGACAACATCTACAAGTTTCTCAGCAGAACATACTGAAATCGATCCATCAGATCTGAACCTTTCAAGTTTTGATGACCTCTGGCAGACACTCGACAACAATGTGGATTCAAGTTCATTTTTCAACTGGAATTCCCTGTTTGCAGAACTTGACTCGCCCTTTCTTTCTCTATAATTAAAATGCAATCTAAATCTTGAATGACATCCGAATTCAAATGACAAATTTCCCTATGACGCATTGTTCCAGTTTGTTATGTAATGATTCTGCCTTCGCATTGTCATTGCGCTCCGATCGCATCGCCCCGCATGGCCACGCCGACCGGATCATCCACGGCGATCGACACAGCCAGCCGGTTAAATTGGCCCCTAGCGTCAGTAGCGCGATGAGGGGACGGCTAGCCTAACGGCTTACTGGAGGAATTCGGTGTCTATGAGAGCATGATGGCAGCTTGCAGTGGCGTGCCCCAAAATTTCCCGTCTTTTTTAATATATCTTTCAACATCCGATGTTGACGGCCCGATCGATTAAGTCACTGATGAAATTGTAGGGGGTTGCCTGGTTCCTGAAGGACCACAGAATCTGAAACAACCCCCGGGCCTTGATGGCCCTGAGAAAATGGCACATGGAGCCAACAGACCCAAAGATTATTCTTCCCGATTTCCAACATTTCGTAAAAAAAATTTCAAGGAAAAAAGTCTACATTTTGGACTATAGGGCACATTCTAGAAGCTTAGAATGGGGGAAAAAATAATCTTCCCCTCACGACCGCCAGTCTGACACATGGATCTAGCCTTGCACGCGCGTCCTAGAGCGAGTTCTTACGAAAGTCTCCGTCGCCGTGCATCTTTTCAATGCATTTCGATATGCAAGCACCACTTTTCAATGTTCAATGCGCCTTATTCGATTATTTGGCCATTATTAGACAAGTATTCGATTTTACAATTGTTTGTTTGTCAATATATCAACTTGGAAGTCTCAAAACGTGTTGGCTTTTTGTGTGCCTATCCAGACGTTGGTTATTTCTGGGTCAACCAGGCAAATATAAATAGCACACAATATTGTTGGCCAACCAGGGATGAAGGGTTCCACTTCCTACATTGTACAATGATGAATAAGTCCCGGCCACGTACGATCCGGACCAATGCCACTGCTTTTCACTGGTCCCCAGCAGGAATGCGGATGGGTGAATGATTGCATATTTCGTTGTTATTTTCCACTGCATGTACCCATCCATGTGCCAGTGCGCTGCGCTACTATGCTACACGCACTTACGAGGCTATGTTAGATTTCTCGTCCAATCCACAATTATTGATTTGCATCATCAAATTAGACCTGAGTTTGTAGCAAGGAAGATTCGATATCTCCACTACTTCAACAGGGTCGCAGGGACTTTCTAGGTTCGTTCACCCGAGTCCACGTACGGACACTCGTGGGTCAGGCCTGGATCCGTGAGAAATTTGAGCACTGTCACTCGTTCCATTTACTATGCACATGTCTGTACATAAATGTGCAGTACGATTTGATTATTTCCAATTGAAGCTGGGATAGTAGTTTTCTGGGGAAGAAATCATTCTGTTTACATAAAGCTCTTTAGATCAATACGTGCATTCGGAATATTCTGCTAGTACCTTTTCTTGCTCAACATTAACCATGAAAGTAGAAAATGCGGGATTCAATGAGAGCCCAAGATTATTACCAGCAAACCATGGAAGTCTGCCTGTCCTGCTCCGCCTGACCCGAGATTTCATCAGTTGCAAATTTCTTACGGAGTACCAGAGGCGTATCTGCTGGGCTATGTAAGTGGTAAGCAAGGTGTATTTGCCACTCAAAATTCACGCTGCCTGCAGTTTTCTTGGTAGGTCGAACTGCTTAGAAAATCCAGGCCACCTAAATTTCCATAGCGCACACAGTATTAGCGTCTGGGATTTTATGATAGGCTCTGGAAGGTCCACTATGCGATTCATGGCGTCCAACGATGATTATCGCGTTACCCACTCTAGTGGAGCATCAGGCATGGCTCTTTTCTCCACATAAAGAATTGGACCTCAGTTCAGAATGACGTCTGTACTAGATACAAACTGACGCGGATGCTCTTTCCGGCTGGCTCGGACTTTTCTTTACTTGCTGTCGGAGAGACCAGGCACCGGTCCACAGTACCCTTCCATGGTCAATGGCTATGCATCATGAGAGGCTGACAACAGTCTGTTTCTATTTTTTGTTTCCTGGTTCTTGCCCAGTTGTGATTTCGGGGGATTACGCCGGATCTTCGCTCACTGCCATGCTCTGTTCGATTATGCGTTAATCCACAACATGACCTCCACTGCCCGTTATAAGTATGCGTCAGATCCCCCGGCATACTGGTTCTTCTTGCGTTTCTTTGTTTCTTAATCCCCACAAACAGCAAGTTCCATCTAAATTCAAGACCTATCGGTCTTTTCCTAAAAGAGTGCTTCGTTCATTCGTTCAACAAGTTTCTCTACATTGCCTTCGCTTGCTATAATGAAGAGCTTCATTGCCATTGCAGCTTTCGCTGCCGGTACTAATGCGCTAGTTAGTCGCGGCGATAGCTGCTGCTTTCACTTGAGCTCATCCGGCGGTGCTTCCGGTTCCGTTGGCGAGCTTGGTGATGGCCAGGTCCGTGTTGGTGACAAAAAATTGTCTACTTCACAGTTCTGTATCAGCTCTACCGGTGCTATCACTGATGGTGATGGCCGTGGCTGTGTCATCACTAGTAAGTACCCATTGAATAACGTATGTGCCATCCTGTTCTAACATATCCTTCAGCCCCGGAAACACAATTTCAATGTGATCTTGGTGCCAATGCTACCACTGGCTTCTCTATTAGCTCTTCCGGTCAGCTGGAGTATGATGGCAGTGCCGATTTCATTGCCTGCGAGACGGGTGATAATGGTGGACTCAATTTCTACACCACCAACAGCAGCGCCGTTACTGGGTGCAAGAAGGTCAACTTGAAGGCTGACTCTTGCTCCGGCTCCGGCTCCGGCTCTGGCGCCGGTGCTTCATCATCGCCTAAGTCTTCTGGCGTCCCTCACTCTAGCGCCCCTGCTGGGCCCAGCAGTTCACCTGGGTCGCCTAGTTCCCCTGGATCCTCTGGTTCCCCAGGCTCTCCCAGCTCGCCTGGTGGCCCTGCTCCTTCCGGTGCAGCCTCTTCCGCCTCTGTACCTAACTGTGCTCCGCTCTCAGGTTCCCCTATCACAGTGACTAGCACGGTCACTGTCACTGACTGTAACTGCCCTGCTGGCTCTCCGGCCCCTACTGCCGGTCAGCCAGGCGGCGGTGGTGGTGGAGCGCCTGCTTCTCATACCTCTGGTGGTGCTCCTGTTCCCAGTGCTCCTGCTACTCACAGTTCCGGTGCCCCAGGTGGTGAATCGCCCGCTCCTAGCGGCTCGCCTGCTCCTCACACCTCCGGTGCCCCAGGTGGTGGATCAGCTGCTCCTAGCGGCTCACCCACTCCTCACAGCGCTCCTGCATCAAGCGGTACTCCTGCCCCTAGTGGCTCTCCCCAGCCATCTGGTCCTCAGCCCTCTGGACCTGCCGGTGGCTCATCTTCCACCCCTGCCGTTTCTCTGAGCACCAGCACATTCGTTGCTACTAGCACCGTTGCTGCCTCCACCCCCGGTAGCTCCGCTGCTCCATCCTCTACCAGTGCTAGCGGGACCTCTTCCGCCAGTGGCAGCTGTGCAACCACCTTGATTACCCAGAATGAGCAGTACCAATACCCTCACCTGATTGTTCCGGTTAACTCTTCTTCTCCCGATACTGCAGTCGGCAACGGCTACTTCGGTACTGTCAGCTCTACCGTCTCGACCATCTTCAACTTCGATATCCCCTCTTCCTTCGAGGGTTCGACCTGTAACCTGCTCTTCATGTTCCCCAAGAAGGCCGACCTCGAGACAACCGACTACACCTTCAGTGGTGACGGCAAGCTTGACTTCACTCAGCTGTCCGAGGTCGCTACCAGCGACACAACCTGGAACACTGTCCCCTCTACTTCGCAGAACCTTGGAGATATCACCATCTCCCCAGGCAACACCTACGTTGTCTCCAGCTTCTCTTGCCCCGCTGGTCAGGCCGTCGCCTACGAGATCTCTGAGGCTGGGACCACTTCCCTGCACTGGTTCAATGACTGGAACCCCTCTCCGTAAGTTTTCCTCCGCTCTATATGCTCATTGAACAACTTCTAACATGCTTTCTTTTAGTCTTGGTGTCTTCATTACCAAGTGCTAAATCATTTAGCAACTTCCGGTAGTCTGTCTCATTTATTTGACGTTTTCTCGGGCTTTTTAATACCTCATGTTGATATGTCTTCATGGATTTATGGCTTTTTAACTTTTCGTGCGTTGGTGTCGCCAAGTAGTAAAATTTCTTGGTAAACACGCCTTGTCTATACTGGTGCAGATTCTTAAAATTCCAGTGCAGTCAGACACGCCATTCATTTTTTTGTATTACTATATTTCAACCCAATACATTCCTTTCTGTTCATCAAATTCATGATTCAATTATACCTGCGCCTTCAATAGAACATGAGATAATTTTCAACAAGTGACGGTACTCTCCAAAAGATAACTAGCTCCAAGACAAAAAGCACACTTCCCTCCCCAAATTCTCAACCTGATCCAGCACTGGATCCGATCGCTGCAGCCACTCTTTCAGGAAATCAGTGCAATGATTCACATGCTCCATATCAGCAAGCATGTCGTCAAGACGATCACCACGTCGATGTACATCATGCCCACGTCTTATTCTTATAAGAAAAAGGCAGTGCATCAGATGTTCTCGGAGACTCGAATAAAACACACCCTCTGCATTATCCCCCACTTCTTCATAGCTCTACATCCTGTGCTATAATGCCTCGTCATAGAAATATGTGAGAGGCTTGCCGTTATTTGCATACGCGAAGTCTTCGACGTGATCATGTGGACAGCTCTGGTGCAGCCAACATGCATTGTCGTTAGCTTTGTAGTGTTTTACTGTGTATGGAGGCATTGGTTGAGTTGAGGACCATAATTCCTGTGAAGAGTGCGATGGAGAGCAGTATCGTAATCAGGAGGAAACTGATGATTATCATGATTTGAAGGTTCGTGTTGTGTTTGATGGGCTTTAAGGCGGATGTATGTCGATTATTGAAGACGAATGCATCAGTAGCTTCGGCTTCGGCTTCTGTCTCTGTTCCACCTTCATGTTCTGCTTTTGAGATGGAATCATATGCAGGTACAAACACTGGCATTGTCGCCGATTGCCAAGATGTTAATAGAGAATAAAGATTCAAGGATATAGATGGGAACAAGAAGACAGAAATACCACCAAGGCGATACGCCCGGATTATACGATCTACATTTCGATATATAGCGAGACAAAGAAATCCAACATGACTATGTAAAGACGAATATGGGGTCTAAATTTTAGATATACTAATTGTGGGGTTGATGGTGACGGAACATGGGATGAAAATACATTGGGTGATGCTTGTTGAAGCTTAACAGTGAGTTCAAATCGGTATGTCAGAAAGGGCCTAAGTCTCAAGGGACGGGATCATGAAAGAAACGAGGCCTGATTCTTCTTTTTATGGCTTGAAAATAGAGTTCATAAGTCCATGTACACTGAGAGTGCCAAGGTTAGTGCTGTCGATCAATTTCTTTGAGCATAAAGGTTATTTTGTTAATGGCGCGGCATAACCTTGGGAATGATATCTGTAGAAGTTCATTGGTCTTGTTAGGAGACTATGTCCGCAGAAAGCAATGTCTATCTAAAGCTTGGACTTGATCATAACCATGGGTAATGGTAGGGTGGCTTGGCGGGAACCGCGGATGTTTCATACAATGTGTGCTGTACATGTCGCCCACCTGTACAGCATTGAGCTAGTTCCAAGTGACCACGCTGGCTTGAGGTAGTTGCTAACTGAACCATGGTGAATGATGAAGTGAGCATGACCCTCCACACCAGGCTGCAGTAATCAAGTTCTCCACTCCTGTTGCCCTGGGGGTTATGCATATCCGGCTTACCACCCATATATAGCAACCTTAGGTAGAATAGAAGAATTGAAGATCAGAGTCTGCAAGTGGCGCAGCCTACGGCCAATGGGTCAAGAACGCCTCATGGCGTTGAAGGCTTCAAATATCCGTCTTGGCTTCAGATACAGTACATATGATGGTGGAAGGTGGAGAAGCCCACGGACCCTGGCTATCCATAAAACATGCTGCCTAGAGGTGGATCAGCCCAAAAGTTGCCAGGGCCAGGGCCAGGCTGTGTTGAACGCAGATCGAGACTTGACAAAATGCGCAAATAGAAACATACGGAGCTCAGTTCCACCCCGCGAAGTGACATTGCTCTTTTACCCCGTTGAGGAAATATGTGTAGCTGCGCCGTAGTTGCGTGGTAGAGTGTAGACAGAGTCAAGATGAGGATCTGCATGCCCAGACACTCGGCATTGGGATTAGGAACGCTCCAATCGCAAGGGCGCTGCATTTAAGGAAATACATAGGATGTCCACTCAAGAAAAGTAAAAAGCACAATACGGCAAGTCCCAAGTCAGTTCCAATGTGAGCGGTTCATAATACTCGCCAAGATGGAGCTTTGCCGTCGGCGGATTTCCAGAGGCCACACGCGAGCATCTTAAAAGTCCCTTATCCCTTTATTCTTGGAATCCTTTGTTTCGGATTTTTCGGATTGATTCCTTTGTCTGCTTGCTGTGATCTGGGTTTCTCTACATCTACATGAAGATGGAGATTCCGGCCAAATTGCCGTTCTCTAAGCGGCGGCTCCGACCGCGCGTAGTAATCTCGTGTGTTCATTTCCCCCCGCAGATTGTGCCTGGATGAAAGCAACTAACCACTTTGCCATCTCCCAGCTACATATTTGACTATGTGATCTTAATGTGAGTATGACTATCAGCACTTCTTAGTTTACTCTGCTGTTTCCTCTCTAAAGATACTCGACTAATCAATGCCTATAGCATTTGTGTGATTGGATTCTGGATCCTCGACTCCCTCGAACCATACCATCAACACTTCTCTCTCACCAATATATCCCTCCAATATCCTTATGCTGTCCACGAGCGTATTCCGATCGCATACGCCCTTTGTATCTCCGGTGCCTTCCCGCTCGTTCTCATTATCGTCTATACTCTCTTCATCGATGGCTTGTTCTCTCACCACAAGACACAAGATCCGGTGTCTGGGAAGCGGAAACTGCGAGGACCGTGGCGTTGGAAGGATCGCCTGTGGGAGATGAACTGTGGAATACTGGGTCTTCTGCTGTCACAGGCATTGGCATTTCTCATCACACAGGTGCTGAAGAATGCGTGTGGGAAACCTCGCCCTGACTTGATCGATCGGTGCCAGCCACTCGGCGGAAGCGTGGACGCGAAAATATACGGTCTGTCTAATTCGTCAATTTGCACCGGGGAAGCATCTCTCATCAAGGATGGGTTTCGATCATGGCCTTCCGGTCATAGCAGCTGTGAGTTCCATCATTATGGTCTTCAATACCAGCAGCTTGATCAACGTACTGACCGTCATCGATAGCCTCTTTCGCAGGCTTGTTCTACACGTCATTGTGGTTGGGAGGTAAGTTGCATATAATGGACAACCGCGGTGAAGCTTGGAAATCCCTCCTTGTCACGATTCCGATCCTTGCAGCAACCCTTGTCGCAGTGTCTCGCATCATGGATGCGCGCCATCACCCATTCGACGTGATCACCGGCTCGCTACTTGGTGTCGCCTGCGCCACGCTTTCATACCGCCAGTATTTCCCTCCAATCACCGAAGCTTGGCGCAAGGGCCGGGCATACCCCATTCGCACCTGGGGAACCGAGCCAACAGCCCCGATCGATGCGAAGTTCAGCGCACTGGACGACAGTACAACCGCTTTACGGAACCCAGAAATGGAGCGATTAAACGTGCCCGGTCCTCGCAAACGCTCTACATCTCCACTTCAGCCTGCCGACTCGACAGGATATGCGATTCCTGGCAATCCTTACGCCTCCTCGCAGGTATATCCTCGTCGGGCGCATGATCATGACCCGGATGGAAACTGGTCTTCTAGCGAAGATGATGTCGGTGATGGCTATGAGATGCAACCCGGATATGCGACAGCACAGAACGCTGGTGTCAATCCTAGTTCAGTTTCTTTTGACACTCATACCGCGTATGAACCTCCAGCGCACGCGGCGCCTACTGGCCATACAGGCCAACAAGAGTTATTCAACGATGCCGCGGGTCGGCAAGTGTAATAAATGTGCTGCGGGTATTCTTTCATTTATTTACTGTCTGATTTTGAGGCTGGTATACCGAGTACAGTCTATCCTTTGGTTTTTTTGGGTTCTTATGACGTCCTCATGGCATGCATTAAAAACAGTATGGGCGGTATGGGGAAGACGATTGGCGTTTTAGAAACTGCATTAGCGTCCATGTATCTATGAACTCTGCATAATGCCATTGCATGAATATACCACAATTTGACATTGACTATTCTTTATGCATCTCGACCATGATCTCATACAGCCGACGGTATCAATGATTTAATTGGGTTTGGGGTCTATGTCTCCACTATTATCGTGATCCACTCGGGTTGCCGCTCCAACATATCCGGACTTTTGCATGATCAACAAGTCAATCAGATGCAAGACATTAATTAAAAAGACGGGAAATTACAAACTCAGTGGTTGAAAAAGCACACTAGCCCCCGAAGTAATACGGACTGAGTAGAAAAAGTCCATTTACTAGTAGAATCAAACAATTAAATTAAAAGACTTGGCGTGGGTTGCCCCAGCCACCCACATTGTTAGATGAACTGTGACTCGCCCAGCCTCTTCTCTCTCCGCCGAGTCAGCAAAGCCTGAGATGCTCTTATTGTTCCGTTCTACCCCTCTTCCTTCTTTTCCTTCTGTGAATTTTCTTTTGCATCTGTGCTGTGATCTTAGCTTTCTCCGCTTCTAAAGCTGCATGTAAGGTGTATGCTTGAGCTGTGAGATCCACCATACTTCATTTCTACATCTATATCTGCCTCATACATACTTGCGCAACCCGACAGCGGTCCATTTGACAATCTTCCCTTGTCGCATTCCTGAGATCAGATCACTCCCCTCGTCCACGAGGCATCCGTTATCATGATTGGCAACATGTTTGGCAGCGTGTTCTTCATCTTCAATCGGTTGGTGGAAATCACCTTCTTGATTCCCATTATCGGCATTATGGTATGTGAATCCTAAACACTCGATCAGGGCTGTCGCAAAGACAATGCACTCTTCTCAGAGACACCTCGCCTCGCTTCACCCCTAAACCAATATACCAAGTATAACTGAGCTTTCAACTAACGTTATGAAATAGTCATATTTTGTCCACGGCTACCTCAAAGCAAACATGCTTACCCCGGCCTACATCCTCGTTCTCTTCATCGTCAGCGTGATCGCAGCCTTCTGGTGTCTCGATACGCTCATCCGATTCTCAAACACCAAACGCTCCGCCATATTCGTCGCATTCGTGGATCTTCTATTCTTCGGCGCATTCATCGCCGGTGTTTATCAGTTGCGCTTCATCGCCACCCAGGACTGTTCACACTGGGATGGTAGCTCAAGCTCAGTCTGGGTATCTCTAGGACCCTTCGGAGAGTACGGCGAGAGCATCCACAATGACTACCACTTACATGTGAATAAGACCTGCGCTATGCTGAAGACAACTTTTGCTATGGGTATTATGGAGGTTATCTTCTTTTCCTGGACAGCTTTCTGGGCACTTTGGCTGCATAGTCGAGATCGTGAGGTGATTGTTCGTGAGAAGACTGTTCGTCGCAGAAGCCACAGTTCTCGACGGGGTCACTCATCGTCTGGACAGCACCGGCATCGCAGCTCGAGCCGTAGTCGGCGGTCTGGGTATGTTTGAGGGATTCCTAAGGATTGGTGTTAGCAGGTTTTTTTTGAGCTTTTGATTTCCTTGTTTATTTATTTTCTTCTCTTATGAACTTACGATGACGTGACTGGTTAATTATGAAGATATGGGATGGATGATATTAAATCTTGAACGGTGGATGAATGAAAAGAACGTTGGTTTATCAAGCCAGAAAAGCCATTATAAGGTGGAGAGATGGATACGTTGAATTCAGCTTCTTCTACTCGAAGAAATGAGAAACACTTTGATAGTCTAGATAATAGTTGCGACAGCTTGGACTTCGTCCACAATAACAATTCCATAACACATGCATTAAACTCCCAGACTATCTGTGAATATGAATATACCCCGTATAAAAACCATATGAAAAATTAATATGTACTCGCCACTATCAAATCAAGAGAAAATGATAGCAGCCCCAAGAACAATCCCCCCAACAGTTATCCCCAATACATCAGAAAGCCCATTCCAAACACGGCGCGAGCCTAACATCCTCACAGCAGCATTAGAAGTAGCCACAGTCCCATTTGAACCCGCAGTTGAAGTCGCAGTCGCGCCCACAGTCCCATGGAGTATGGTATCTTTCCCAGTGCCTGCAATATCCGACATCTTATGCACAAGCGTAACCATCGGAACAACATTCATAGCATCCAGTCCAATCTTCGAAACATCGGTAGATGCAAATGTCTCCACCAGTGATTGACTCATCGGAGTCGTAGCTGTAAGGCTCCATACATCATCCCAAACCGCCGTCTTTCCATCAACCCATACTGTCTCAGTCACAGTAGCGAAGTCATCGCTGTCAAGTTTCCAGCCACAGCCCGTAGAAATCGGATAATCAGGTATTGTAGACCAGCAGCCTAAATTCGTATTACCAGTCATAGATCTAAAGAATGATAATTAGTCAAATTGATCATCACTTCTTCAGGAAGAGGCTATACATACTCAGGACAACAAAGCATAGCCGTTTCGCTCGGATCAAGAATTTGCATTAACACATTTGCAGGGTTGTTGATTTTCTCTCCACGGGTTACATGGGTCGGAATAGGTGTAGAGGGACTGAAGACTCCTCCTGAAGTTACCGAGGCGTTTCCGTCTCGAGATGCAATGCCGACTGTGTTCCATCCTGAAGGACAGTATATGCCTGGTGAGAAATATCCGGCTTGATACAATGAGCGCGGATCTAGGTATCCTGATGCTTGCGATTTGGATGACTTGGATGATCCGGTCGGTACGCATTCCCCATAATCTGGGCTATCGCAGCTAACGCCCATGTATTCAACGCCTGGGTAGGAGGTCACGCCAAGGACCACATTGTTTGTTGCTGTTGTGCAGCTAGCGGGAGGCGTGTAGGTCGTGGTGAGGGGGCCCCAGTTGGAAAAGGTGAATTGGGATAAAGTTGAGACAGAAGGCATGGTGGATATTTGTTTTCCACCTCTTCCTTTTTGCTTTTTGCTTTTTCTGTTGTTATATTTGTATCCTGTCTTTGGGAATGCGGCTCGAATGGTCGGGCAAGGCTCGCTGCCACTGGGTTCGTAGTTGGTTGATAGGCTGTTCAGGGAATCGCCAAGTAGTATATAGTATCAATCAGTTCACTTTGGTGCTCGTTCGAGAGTTATACTAGTGATACGATGCGAAACTTGAATTGGAAGAATGGATTTTGAAGTGCGAGGACCTTCGGCTAATGTACTATTTAATGTTTTGTTGCCTCTGGCATAAAGCCATGGAATAACTTGAAAATTTGATCACTAGCTGCATACCGAGTTTTAGAGCAGGCTTCTGGGTTACATTAATGGCTCGGTTAGGACCCTGAATCGAACTAATTTTTTAGTTTCTTTAGCTAGCCCGGCAAGACTCGAAATTGTTGTAGCCAGCCCCACATGGACTGGGGGAGAGCATCGGCAGGTGGCTCCTAGAGCGAATTTGGGAGGCAAAAATTGACTGGTCTAGGATAGCGTTTGAAAAATGTTTTACTTGGGAGGCAAAATGTGTTGAAATAGTCTTTTTTGGTTGCCTTTCTCTTTAGTGGACGGAGATGACTTCTGGATTAGGACTTTAAGCCTCTTTTATGGTTTTATGCCGAGCCTCGCACAACTTACTCCGCACGCGAACTTGAGCCATGGATGCGATGAGGCTCCACTTGTCACAAGACATGGAAAGTGCCGGCCGGCTGTTCTTTCCACAACAAATAAACAGAACAAAATTTTTATCAACGAACAACTGATGTATCTAGATCAAAAGATGAATACTAGGCAGAATCAAATGTTAAGCAAAGAGACATCGGAGATGCTGGTATCCTAGTTTCGTTAACCACGGTCAATGTGCTTTTCTTCTTAATGTCTTGACATAACTTGCAATAATACTACTAATAGTAGGACATAAGCATTTGAAGACGTAGACTAGCCAACTAGACCCCATGCGACCACCTATTAGATTGATCAGATTGAAACCCCTTAAGGGAGTTTAAGGGAGTGGACCCAAGCCATTCCGTCATGAACCTTACAGAAATAAGCTGGAACCCTATGCATGTGGCATATTGCGTTTTTATCTGTTATGCTAACCGAATAATCTCCATGGAGTACTTCGGAGTAATCCACTATCTGTTTTTTTGCAGCTTCAATGCGGCGCTAACATTGGGAGGGTAGAGTATTGGAGATCTAACAACTGCGTTTAACTCAAGTCTTTCTAGACCGTGACGAGGGCGTCGTGGAGAACGCCAGCCAATACCAGGCATCAGACTAAGTATGTATAATTTGGTGTTTGATTAGTCGAAATAATAAAAACATGCAGGCAGGGTACAGCAAGTTCAAGTTGGCTAACGCAAAAAGTAGTCGAAGAAGATAATCAGCTTCTTGCGGACCTCCACTGGCAAAAGGACTCCCCAACAACCGCAGACGGGAATGGCCATCCAATTGGTAAGCGACCTTCTACTCAGTATGAACCACTTCACTTAGCACTGCCAAAAAATTTATGTAGTATTAATTCTTCACAGAGGAGGCCTCGTCGTCGGCTCAAAAGATACTATACCTAAACCACAAATCAGCTATCTTACCAGAGCCAGCTTCCTGGAGGTAGTACCCAACTACCGTCTTTGTCCACAGGTATCGGCTTTCGAGGGCCCGATCACTGATTCAAAAGACCGTCTTATTTGGGCAATTAGCAATGCAAGTTCACTGCTCAGTCAAGAAGCTGCTGCAGATGGCTACCAAGTGGCCACGGAGAAGGTAGTTGTCATGGGACCTTCGGGAGGCGGTGGTCTTGCTTTGAACATGGCATGTTTATTCCCTTCTATTATCAGGTCAATATTAACATTATGATACTCTACTGCAGCCAAATCAGCCCGATGTTCCAGTTCAGATCTCCGCTGTATTGGACTTTTACGGAGCAAAGTACCTTGACGATCCGAGTTATTCGGAGCCTCATCCGTGGTTCACGAGTAGAGAGGAGAACTGGGATGAGAAATACCTCAATCGTATTTTTGATAAGCCTCAGGTTTCAGCTGTGGAATTATATCTGGGGACAGATCTGCCTCCACCTAGGGAAGCGTGGCTTACAAGTCAATTTAAATGGGGAAAGCGGTTAAGCGAGGTGGTTCGAGATGGGAATGTCGGGCGAGTCGATGGTGCGAAGGGTTTCTTAAAGACTTATCCACCGACTATGTTTATTCATGGGTTGTCTGATACTTTTGGTCCTTGTGCTGTTAGTGAAAGGGCACATGCTGAATTACAAGGATTGGGTGCTGTCACGAAATACCACTTGGTCCTGGCAAGGATCATATGTTTGACTTGATGATGCAAGAGGAAGACCAAGAGTTCTTAGATTTTGTGGTTCCTGGGTTGAATCTCTTGAGCGAAAAGGTTGGACTTCCTTGATAAACATGGTATCTATTGATTGTCGTGTGAAGATCAATCGTGTGTGTATCTACAGTCTAGTGGGAATGATAAAAGATAGAACTCAAACCAAACACCGATCGCAAAGAAATCAAACGCAGCCAAAGATGATAAACCCGAAACGAAGTGGGTTGAATGAACAATATTAAAGAGTGAATTTAATAGACAAGACAAATCTTCAGATGCATCCTAGCACCATGTACATGAAACCACATCTCATCGATCGATCTATATCCATATCATTAGTTCGGTATTTGCAAGCATTCCATACCCATATCAACTTAATCCCAATGAAAGCAAATAATAGTAACAAACGAAAACCAATCTATTTTGGTAAGGAAAGCAGAGATAGAAGGAGAGTCAAAGAGAGTAAACGCAAAAGATGGTATATGAATGCATCTCATCTCATCGGGAAAAAATCATGACGCGGCATTCCATTCAATCGGATCGGTCAGATAAAAGATCAACGCAGTGCAAGCTTAGATCAACCGTAGCGTGAGCTCAGACTGGCAAATGCATCCGGACTGTGGCGACCGTTTTGTAGGCCATTGATATCGACACTTGGCTGGCTCACATGGGTTCTGGGTAGAGCCGGATTCACTGATCTAAATGGGCTGGGCCCATTGGAGGCTGATAGGCCGATCCCTGCTCCCATGCCCACGGCAGGGGCAGGAGGAGCAGGAGCGGCAGAGCCGTTTGCACCCATTCCAATGCCCAATCCCGAAGAGGACGGGTAGGTAGTAACGCCCGCTTGGGCAGCTAAGCCTGAGCCGGCACCAGTAGCGGATGCAGATCCACCCCACGGGTTATTGGATGCAGGAAAGGGATTGTTGGAGACAGGAAAGGGATTGTTGGAGGCAGGAAAGGGAATGTTGGATGCAGGGAAGGGGTTGCCGGTGTTTTGTTGTGGCGTCTGAATGCTGGAGGGAGGTTGAGATTGTGGGGTGGAGTTGAAAGAGTTGGTAAGTTGTGGAACAGGGCTGATTCCCGCGCCTGGCTGGGACTGGTAATGTTCCGGGATGGGAGGAATTCCGTTTGTTGGAGAAGGAGCGAGGTTGTATAAAGAAAGTATACCTGATTTGTCCATTCGGCCGGTGGTTTGGGGTACTAATTGTTGTGGCTGCTGGGGCGCAAATTGATTCGAATATCCATTGAATTGACCACCTGCGCTCTGTGGAGTAGGCTGTCCCATGGATTGTTGGAATGGGTTATATGATACTTGACCAACTGGTTGTTGGTGTTGCTGCTGCTGTTGGGGCTGCTGCTGGGGCTGCTGGGGCTGCTGGGGCTGGAAGGCAGCCGCTTGCCCAAATGGTGACGTGCCAAAGGGTGAAGTGGACGAGAAAGCCGGCATGGTATTTGCATGCTGGGGAGGGTGAGGCACCCCAAGTGTTGATACAGATGGAACCGACTGCTGCGGTTGAGATTGGGTCTGCGCCGGGGTGCTAAAGAATGGATTGTTCTGCGTAGCGCCCGGGCTCAGGTGTGATTGACTTCCCATACCGCCCTGCGGCTGGGGTGCAGTCTGGAAGAAAGGATTGTAACTATTGTCCATTGGTTGAGGCGATGCTATATAACCACTCTGGTTTGAGAAAGTTGAAGTGACGGGAGGCGTATACGGCTGTTGGTATGTAGGCTGTGGCATAGAATTGGCACGATTCGGGTATCCTCCAGTAGAGTGAGGGAACAGGGGCTGGGAAACCTGGAGACCCTGGAAAGAAGCCTCTAATGGCTGAGCCGATTGCGGAGTTTGCGACATCTGATCGAATGGGTTGTATGGATTTGACTGTATAACATGCACTCCCTGGGTTTGCTGAGGAACTGGATTGGAAACAGCTCGGTCAAATGGATTGTTCGTCGTCTCCGGCTTAGAGACAGCAGCAGGCCCAGCGGAGGACACTGCTCTCGGAGGTGCTGACTTATTCGCATTGGATGCCTTCCTAGCTCGTATTAAGGCCTGGTTGCCTTCGCCCAGTCTCGCCAATGTGTCAATCGATCGATCCAGGTCTTCATTAAGGCCTTTGAGAACCATCTCGTTGCGTCGGTTGTTATTGAAACCTAGTTCCCGCAGCGCTGCCATCTTTGCTTCGAAAGAATCGGTCGTCACATCTGCAACCGGTGCTCCAAGTCCAGTAGTCTTATTTGAGGGTGGCGGGGACCAGGATCGCTGGTCAAAGGACGGCGATGGCGATGCCTTCTTGGTTCCGAAGCGACGGAGGTTGGACGTGGACGAAGAAGATCGAAGACCAAACCCGAAGAACTTGCCCGACTTCGGTGGCAAGGGAGGAGGTGAGCCTTCAGGCGAACTGGGGGATCTTTGAGGTGAAGAACCCCGTCGTCTTGGTTCCTCGCGTAGCCTAGTGTAGCTTGAGTCTTCGCGGCTCGGGGGCTTTGGCTTGCCATCTTCCAGCGAACGATACTGATATTTTTGTCGGATGAAGCGTTCCATGCACGAGTCGGCTTCATCAATATCTGTCGGGACTGGCGGCTTAATGTTCTTGGGGTTATAGATCTTGTTCATCAACAAATTGCCGTGAGATTTCATGCTCTAATAAACATTGCTGTGTCAGTCCCTCAGATGTTCGGCGGATATTCCACACGCCCACTCACATCAACCTGTTCTGAAGACCAAGTGTCCATCGATAACGACTTGACTTTGGATATATGTGTGCCCAATTTGCGGTGGATTGCGGCGCACCGCATACATAAGAAGAGACCCATCTATTGAGGGAAAATTATCAGCCATTGAGTTCAAAAGAGGAGGAATGGTTTCTATCGATCCAAAGGACATCATACATTCCAGCTTGCCCAACCTATAAAATGGAACGAAAAGGTTAGTTCAACCAAGGTTCTGGTTATAATTCTTTTTTTCCGGCGCGGGGAGAGGATACGAACCTGGGGTCAGGGCATCGCAATCGGCACATCGGTCATTGCCAGGGACGGTCCGAATCAACTCAGCCAAGGCTTTTTCATTGCGCTGCTGCTGGCGCTTGCTGATGGCGCTCGGCATGGTGAATTAAAGAAAAAGGAGTGGACAGCGTACATACAGTACGTGAAAGATGAATAGGGGAAAAGGAAAAAGTTCACAAGGCGGAGAGAGAGAGGAGAGAAGACCGGATGATCGAGGGGCATTGCAACCCCAGACAAGCTCCTTTCCTCACTACACGCGGCCCTTTTCAGGGATATTCTATTGATAGTTCCACTAGTTAATTTCGTCATAGAAACTTGCTTCTAGAACAGATCTAAAACGGAATAATTATCCCAGTGAAGCGGAAATCAAGTTCTTCAATTTGATCCCCATCGGATGTCTCTGCGGATTGTCCCAGTAGATCATCTAGATGATATTTACACTAGCAGGGATCCAGCTACGATAAAAGACGACAATTTAAGATTCCAAAATATTCAAGATTCAAATTATATTCCGAAATGGGGTATGTCCAAGCAGCAGGTGACTCGTTCGTCCATCGCACTTAGCCAGTCGAAACCAACCAGTACCGTCGAGGAGCCTTAAGATGCCCAGAATTTCTTCTAGTACGCCAATATGACCTACCATCCTATGGCCTAAAGCTAGGAGGAATTGGAGGTTGATTATGCGTTCGTGATTTTTAAAAAGTGTAAAGAAGAAAAGAAAGTGTCGCGCCGCAGAAAATTCCTCCTTGAAATATGTGAATATCATGTGACTTCGGGTGTTTAGCTTACAGTCACGTGGTCTCTGCTTCAAGTGAAACTTTTCTTCTTCTTTTCTTTCTCTTCTGTCAACATCTCTACATCTGTAGACACACACACAGCTTGTCTCCGAATTGTCCTTCGGTCCTGTAATGTGAGGACCGTTGTATTTTTCTACTGACTCTGTGTCCATCGTATCATTATTATAGCTTGCAAACCCCCACATAACCCGCGAGGTGCCCTCAATGGCATCGACGTCTCTTGGGTGATTTTTTAATCGTTCGTTCAGTGGCATATCAAAACCAAACGGCTTCTAGCAGGGCCGCGTCTACTCCACCCTGGTGCTCGCTATTATAGAGCAGCAGGACTTTTTTACGACGAACATCTCAGTCAAACTACAATAGAATTTATTTTTTTTCCTCTTCATTCTCAAGATTTTTGTATTTCCTACCCATTTTTCCGATATTCCTAAGACCCCCTCCTCTCCTCTTTAAAGTCTATAAACCCCGCTGTCACGAGCCTGTGTCCCTTTGTAGATATAAAACATTCTTTGATTCTCACCCTTCTCTTCCTTCGGATGAGAAGAAGTACACTGGCTCAATCTTTCGGGTCCTGTCTTGCTGACTACACCTACGGCGACCCGGATTTTTCTCCCAACTTCAACCAACATTCACATCGGATGAAGAGGTCCAGCCTCAATAGGGCCATAGCCCAAAATGACGAACCCATCCCATGCTGCTAGGGACTATTACCAGATCCTCAACATCCCCTTCACGAGCTCCTCCGCTACCCTTTCAAAGCAACAGATAAAACTCGCCTACCACAAAGCCCTCTTAAAGCACCACCCAGATAAAGCCGCAACTGTCACGCAAGACTCGGGAATACAAGGCTCTACATTCGCTTCCTCCAACGATTCCTCTTCGATGTCAAACAATGACGCTCGAACCTATACCATTGATGAGATCACGACAGCCTACAAGACATTATTAGATCCACAACAGCGCGCAGAATATGATCGCACACTCCGCCTAGATCGGCAAAGGTCCACCGAGAAGACAGGTGACGTCTTCCATACAGGGCTGGAGATTGTGGATTTGGAGGATCTGGCCTGTGACGAAGGAGATGCAACCAATGATCTTGCGGTCTGGTACCGTGGCTGTCGGTGCGGAGATGATAGAGGCTTCTTAGTCACAGAGGACGACCTGGAAAGAGAGGCAGAACATGGAGAGATCGTCATCGGCTGTCGGGGATGCAGTCTCTGGTTGAAAATTCTTTTTGCTGTCGAGGACGCCTGAGAGCCTGGTGCTTGCTGGTCTACCTGACAGTGTTTATGTGAAATGAGTCTCTTTCTATATATCCAATAGACCTAGATTGTTATATCGATTTCGGTGATACTATTCTTTTCCAGACCCCCTGAAGCTCTCGAAGCACACCGATTATTCAAACGGCTGGAGAGTAGATCGCGCCAAAAGCTGCCTCCGGCAATATGATAAAGCAGGCAATCAACAATCACACCCAGTCCTATTTGACTATATATCATCTTTACCTCCACAGCAGAAGCTGTCCGAGGCAATTGAGATGTTGGTCCCGAGGTCGCTGGAGCGGACACCCTTTCCACAACTTTGACGACTGGAATCCTCCACATACTTCACAACAAGGAAATTGAAAAAAAAGCTTGTTGACTCATTAGCCGGCATCCACGAAGACGAAGAGGGATATATTCGCCTTTTAAACCTGTAAAAATTGAATACTTGGTGCGTATGCCCTCTGACAAACAATGAGACATTAATTTGTTCTGACCGAGTTGCAGGCGGCCAGTGTGAAGGAATCAATCCGGGTTGGGATGGGAATACCAGGGCGTCTACCGCGAGTTGTCCCCGAGAACCTCAGCAGACCCATAATTGTGGACGGAAAGGTTGTGGCGCCAGGTGTATTTGCAGGTCCTAAACTTCGCCATGTTGCATAACTGACCACGATTTACAAGACGATTGTTTTCATGTTGGCCTACACGATGAACTTCAGGAAAGGGCTCTGGGGTCCTGATCCGAGGCAGTTCGACCCCTGTCGTTGGCTCCAAGGAACTGCGGAGAGCCTCAATGGAAGATGTGCTGGCTTTCCAAAGGAAAACGGATGTGTCCAGGACAGATGTGAGTTTTAAATTCGTTGTCCTTTCCGTTAAGTAGTCGATATGCCCAACCAGGTTCTAGCTTGACGTACGCTGAGATGACTATCTTAATGGCATACCTGTTTAAAACTTTCAAGCTTCGTCTTCCTCTTGGCTTCACATTCCCTGAAACCACAGATTAGTCTGCCCATAAATACCCAATTTCCGGTGTTCTCGTACGGACCCGATATAAAGCATTTCAAACCCCTTGGGGAAACGGGAGATGAGTGCTATCCCAGCCGCTCGCATGCATCGATTCCTGAACCAGAGACATTGTCAACTAGTGAGATTGTCAGATTCCAGGGCTAGTCAGACTAGAAATTATCAAAGTAAACATATAGGATTCATATGAAGAATATGAGGACTTGTGAAATCTTTCCAGCTGTATCGTGGGAGGGCGAGCAGACACCTCACCGCCCGCCCCAGTGGCACTATCAGCATAACAGACACCAATACAATCAGATATCTTTAGAAGCGTGTTATTTATAGTCATTTTTGTATAGTAGCCAATTTTCGTTTAGTCCTCTATGTCTACATATCTAGACAGGGTATCTTGAGAAGGATATAGCTCACTTTTCTTGCAATCTTGATACAGCTTGTATTCCAAGGTTCTCGTCAACACCAGTGCATACTAGTACTAGTATATATACTAGTGCTAGTGACTACAGGCGGAGTTGTTTCCAAGGTTGGAGTCAAAAACTAAATATTCTAAGATCAAAATCCCGCGAGAATACAATCTCAGCTATATAGAGGTATTAAAAATCCATACGAACCAACTGACGCCACGAGTGGTACCGCTTCTCAAGCTCTGTTGACGCGGAGAATTGATGACATATTCAAGTTGAAGGATCTCGGGCAAAACAACCTCAACTTCCCCCACCACCGACATCCCTTTAGACACCACCACCCTACCTCCACCATGTCGGTCATCAACATATCCTCAAACGAGCAATTTAACAACCTCCTCACCTCCTCCCGCTTTGTCGTCGCCGATTGTAAGTCCCAAGACCCTCCCCGCACGAGAATTCTTCCCAGCCCCGCCCACCTACCCATCACTCCGAACGAAATCCAAAAAGAGAACATGAAGTTAATCAGCTTTTTGAAAACTAGTCTACGCCGACTGGTGCGGACCATGCAAAGCCATCGCCCCGGTCTATGACTCCCTGGCCCGCCAGCTGACTCGTCCGAACCACATCACATTCACCAAGATCAACGGCGATGAACAGACTGAACTGGCGCAAGCATATAGCGTGCGAGCGTACGTATTCTCTCAAAACATGAACCAGGATTGGATGGAAAATATAACTGCGACCGTGGCAATGTGTTTACTCTACGGGCGATAAACTGACTGTTCTTTTTTATCAGGTACCCCACCTTCATCGTTTTCGAGAACGGCCGCAAGAAACAAACCGTCGCCGGCGCCGACCCCCGCCAACTGAACGAAGTTATCCAGAAACTTGCATCCGAAGCTACCAAGTCCGATGGCGCAGCTGGTGATGTTGATTCCGGTGCAGGCAGTAGCTGGCTCGGTGCCACTGTAGCAAAGAACTACAGTGATATTACGGATCAGGTTGATGCAAAGGGTCTGGAGCTTCTGAACCGAGACAACGAGCGAGGCGAACCACGAGTATTGTTCGATGGAGGCAAGCCATCGGGACTATCTGGGAAAGGAAAAGGGAAGGCAGAGGGAAAGAGTGATTGGGTCGAGAGCGATACGGATGAGCAGCTGATGCTGTACATTCCGTTCCAGTCGACGGTGAAGGTGCACTCTGTCCATATTACTTCATTCGCGGCCTCTGGCGAGGACAATGAAGATGAAGACGATGACGAAGTTCCCATGCGCCCGAAGACGGTCTCCCTCTACTCGAACCGCTCACATGTCCTTGGATTCGACGAGGCGGATGATATTCCGGCTGTGCAAACTGTGGAGATTAAGCCTGAGGATTGGGATGCGAAGACTGGAACCGCACGGGTTGATTTGCGATTTGTCAAGTTCCAGAACGTGACTTCCTTGGTTTTGTTCTTCGTGGATGGTGATGGGGATAGTGAGAAGCTACGTGTGGATCGCGTTCGTATCATTGGAGATGCAGGCGAGAAGCGCGCGATGGGCAAGTTGGAGAAGATTGGTGATGAGCCTGGAGAGTAAAGAATTTTCACAAGAATTTCATGATGGGATACGGAGTAGAAGCTGGGCTTTGGGACTAAAAGCATCAAATTAGTCCTCGTGGATGTTCATAGCCAAGCGCAAAGACATATGGTAACCATACTTCCAGAGGAAATGGCGGAGTTTTCACTCTTTTCTTTTTTCTTCCTTCTCAATCAAGAATTGCTATTAACCAAGACATCGGCTACAGCGCGCATTACAACGGGAAGATTAGAAATTTGAATGAAAATAAGGATTCAATTTTATCATAATACAATAAAAGCTATAGTTCTAAATAGGTATGTCCGATTCTCGAACTTAAAGTTCTCATCTTTGAGGAATAAGAGAGACCAATAAAGTAAGAACCGATGTGCAATTCCCTTCGTCTGTGGCACAACTGACACCTGGTGACATTTCACGGATAGTCTCCGAAGAGACTGGAAATCCAGGCAACACGGGTAATATTGATAGTTGCGCCGCCGCACGAAGAAGAAAAGAAAAAAGAGGAAAAGTCGAACCGCAAGATCGAAATTTATACACACGGTGAAGCGAGTTCCGGACTAACAGTTCCTCCAGCCCCGGGTCTAGTGTAGCCGACAAAGATTATATAATCACGCAAGGAACCGAAGTTTTCTTCTCTGATACAATTTGTGTTCCCTTTTCCTTTTTCTCATATATTTTGGCCGATGATGAGAACAATGGAATCATTATGATAGGAAGAGACTGACTCCCATTGGGAGCGTGATCTTAACTGAACCATCCCTGAGGCCTAAGAAATTAAGAAAGATCTTTATGTCCTGCTGTTGCAATCTGCCTAGTGGCTCGCGCAGATCAGGCAAGAGCTCAGAATGATAACTATAATTCATGAACCATATTAGCAAATGGATTAAGCGTGAATTAGTATCGGCGAAGGACCCGAGAAAGCGCGTAGCTTTAAGCATAAATTCTGACTTGCATGCTGAATGACCTGTCGTTCAAAGCCTAACTCCATCCATGTCAATCCCACATGTCCATGTGAACATTATTCGCCAAGCCACGTAAACGAGGGAACAAAAGCCTCCAATGGCTTCAAATCCAAATACAACGAGGACCCTGGACGGCTGACGAAGCCCACAGGATGAACCATACAGAGCTCGGCCGAAGCACAACATCTTCCAAATTGCAAATGGCATCATTCTTTCTGGAACCCATCTGTCCACTTTTCATGGGCGCTTTGCTTCTGTACTCCATACTCCGTATCCACGAGATCCACGGCTACGGCAAATGACGAAAAATAAACGAATTTCACGTTACAGTGAAATGAAATTAGTGCGCTGAAAAATTGGGTCAGATGGATCCAAGATCTCACTCGCGGGCCGGCAAACCCACACCAAAGCCGTCCCGACCAGACCAACCGGTGGCCGGATACACTCGGCGTGTTGTATGGAGAGTCGGCTGGTGCCGTATACAGCGACTCAGTAGGGCCCGCCGTGGGTTGTAGCTCGTCGTGAGCTTCACCGTATACAGTAGGAGCTAACTAGCAGGGTACTCGAGTTAGGTATGTTTTTGGTAACGAGGTGGCCCGGCTCCACCGTAGACTGGACGGCGTCTTTATCGGCAGCGGACACAGGGGAATATTCCGAGAGTGAGATTCTGAATTATTAGTGAATGAATGGCAAGATTTCCTGCTTGACTATCTCATGTATTGAACACCGAGAATAGCGGAATAAGTATGGCGTGTTTTCTGATTTGCATATTTTTGTGCTCATCATGCCACACTGTTCTCCCCGATTACGGAGAATATAGTTCAGCGGAGATCAATGATCCATGGCTCATTATGCACGGATGATGCTAAAATATAAGCCCCAAGGTCGTATCTGAGAGAACCTGTAAACCGCGCTGACCGCTCTATGCGTATCTCCGTTTCTTGCACACCGGGTGATACCAGACGATCTACTCCGTAGAATACACCGGAGTGGCTTGTTAGCTGATTTGCTAATTGTTTGTCAGTTCGTCATTAGCGAGCCCATTCGGCATGTAGTGCTTTGTGGCTGTTGAAAGCTTTGCGGAAAGCAGCGTCGACCCGCTTCCAAGGTTTCTGCGCGGCTCGACACGAGGATAGCCCACTGGGTTAGCCAGCCTTGGCGATTATGGCACACGCTGCTAGACATTGTACCCACTGCGTCTTGCACGTGTAGAACTGTTGACGTGGGCACAATATTCTTTCGAAGAATTGGAGCTTTGCTATGAAGAAAGGTGGAGAGAAAATTGTGCATCGTGATATACACACTAGTAGCGTAAGCAGGGTAGCCACAGTCACTAGCGTTTGGCGTTAAGGTGGACGGCGTACAGTAGGTTATCCTCTAGAAGAGCTAGAAGGATGGAATTTTTTTTCCTTCAGCGCTAGTGAATTGGTTCATAGATAGTTGACCCTCTTTGCGGATTTATGAAGCGTACCAACCAAGGTGAAGAGTGAGAGGAAGTATCAAGCGCTAGCCACCCGCGAAGGTTTATACAGCCAGGTTTCAGACGAAGTCAGTTTTTGGGTTTCACTTGTTTATTAGGTACCGCGTTCCAATCTAACCGCCACATTGAACTTTGAATGGTGTGGTGGATTCCTTCAATTATGCCAATTTGGGTGTTGGGGGTGTCTTGTCTCCAATTGAACAAAATCTCTTCCAAATTGTCCCTTATCATTACGTACACTCAAATATCCGCAGGATCGGCTGGTGCTCCCGCCAGGCCCAGAAGATGCAGCTTACGGGGAGCCACTTCCTTGTTTGTGCCGTGTGAAAAGGAATTATCTGATAAGGAATGGAGTCGACGATCTCGATCTTGCACGAGAAAGGGCAAAATCGGGGGAATATCAGGAACATCAATGGAGTCGCAGTGTGCGGAAACTTCATCAGCGGTCGGGTGGGTGCTATGATTCGTTGAGATGGTTAAGGCTGGTGTCTTGGCCTTTTCCACTGCAGCCGGGAGATTCGCAGAAATAAATGGGGACGGGGAAGAGATAACTATGTAGTAATGATCTGCTACAGAGATAATGGTTGAAGTGGGCGTTCAGCTTACTCGAGATTGACCAGTATCCGAAATCGGTTATGCTCCGGGCACACAATCCAAGGGTTAAGCTGGAGAAGAGATGGTGATGACTTCATGGGAACCACTGAGTGGCCTGGGTCCGATAGGGTTTCGGCTGGCAAGCGGGAATCGCACCATTTCAGCTGGGGTTTCATAATTTTGTGGGCTCCAGTAGTGAACCAGGACCAAAGATCGAGGCCTTGGATGCAGCGTGCGCGGACGGAAATACTACGGATTTCCGTGCTTTCAGTTTGGATTGGGTGGGGGCAAAAAACTGAGAATGGAGTCCCATCTTGCAACTAAAGCCTGTGAAAACACTCACATCCAAATGTACCTGAGTCAAACCAAACTCAGTGGCCAAACCCAAGGAATCGGTTCCCAGGTGTTCGTTTGGCTATGCGGGCTGGCCCCCAGGTACCATGTTTCGGATTGAGTGCACCAATTACGACAATGGAAGACGCGGAGACCTTCACCAGTTGGGACAAAAGAAAACAAATCCATCTGCAGGTTGCCCCATAGCAAGCGAATTTTGGGAACCGACCACGCCATCTTGTTGGCTCCGGCTTGCATGGGATCGGAAGCCCTAATGCACAATTTGAGAGCCAGGAACACCGCAAGTACGGAGTACATTAGCCCATGGGGGCTTGATACAGATGATAAAAAATGGAACTAGCGATCTACTTGTCTTTTTCTAATTCGCCACGGGCTGAAGTTGAGTTTCCGTCTCTCCGCATTTTTGAGCCCTTCTCTCCATCTCAATTGGATTGAGCTCCGATGGCTGGAAGATATTGTGTACCGATTCAGATAAGAAATTTTGATTCGTGACTTTGATTGCTCCCCGATCCATAGAAAGTGGAGTGAGTGGGGAGAGAAAACAAAGATAACGCAACCTGTTCCCGGACGGATCAACGAAGCTTTTCCCACTGCAAAGACTAGAGAAACGAAAAGAAACTCTGTTGCTAAGCCTGAAGATTGCGGTTATTGTTTGCGGAGATAGACTAAGTTAGCACGAATATGAACGGCAAAAGTACAGTCCAGAAACTTCCATTGGCCAATAGAGTTGATGCCGAGGGAAGCTAGGATTGCAATTCAATGGATTCCCCGAGCGGGTGGAAGGGAGTTTAGTTGCGATAGACAGCAGATCTTGCCAGAATAATCCCTGTTAAGACCACGTTCCTGGCCGCCACATTGAGACCGGGGAGGGGGTCCAAGTGTAGGTTTTATTGGCTTCCTGTCAAATTTGCGCACGCATCCAACACGGATTGTATGTTGGTTCGACTGCCGGGAAGAGCAAGTTAGTAGCGAAACGCAGGGTGATCGTAGCTTCTGAGCCAAATTATACATTATGTACTGCATCTGCCGTGATACCAGGGACTGAATACTGAACTGGGGATAGTGTCTGTTACAACAGCCAGTTACCAAGGGCCCCCGGTAGAGAGAGAGTTTGGGCGATCGACTTGTAAGGTGGTGTCCGCAAATCCTTCGTCGATACCGAGGGCCGGTTTGTCCACACGTGCTAAGGTGCGTTTATCGCCTCAAGCTTTTTGCTTTTGCTTTTTTGCTTTTTTCTCTCTTTTATTTTCAATTTAATCGTCGTTCGCAATTTGACTTTTTGACTTTGTGCCTCTTAGTTCTTATCGGAATGGGCCGTCAATTATTTGTTCCCCGGTATCAGTAGTGTCGATACCACAGCGCCCCAAAAAAAAGAGGACGAAAAGCCAAAAGAAGGGACCAATTAATGAGTTCTATGGAGACCCTAATGAAGATAGAAATCCCCGATTGGGCAATTGATGTTACTGTGTACACCGTATGGAGTAATCGGTACCCGCTAGAGATTGACCGGTGTGTACTTTGTCCCATGGTTTGCCATCGTCCGTGATCCTGGTTTTAGCCGAGAAACGAGAGAGAGCATCGTATGTCGTATCCCCGCATTTCTGCTTGGG